TGAAAGAACCAAAAAAAATAAAAACGTCATTTTAACTCCAGCTGAATGTTTATTTTTTTATTTTTAGGACTTTTATTGGTCAATTAATTTTTTTTCTCCCAATTTCTCTATGAAAATTAAATACTGCCAAAAGGCTGTAAAATTAAAATTGCTATAAAATAATCAATTTTTGCTATAAAGTTGTAGTTTTTTTTAGATATATAAAAGCTTGTATATGATAAAAAAATTAATATTAATTTTATTTTCATGTTTACTAGTAATAAGTTGACGAAATAATCATTTTTTGAAAAAATCACTTAAAACTCAGCAAAAAGACTTGTTTTACGTATGTTTTCAGTTGCGGAATATTTTCATTACTTGTAGTGCACAGAGAGTTGAATCGGGTTTATATTTACTATTTAAATTGACAACATCAGCGAATGGTTTCTTGGTGTAGTTGGTTATCACGCCTGCTTAACACGCAGGCGGTCGCCAGTTCGAGTCTGGCAGAAATCATTCTCATTTATTTTTATAACTGTAAATTTTTTCTCCGAATATATTATTACGTTTTTTGTTGTGGCCCTCTTACAATATGCTATCACTGTTGATATTGTATTTTTCAGCAAAATTGAGAAAGCCTCTGGAATAAAATGATAAATTTAAGGCCAGGTTTGATAATATGTTTTCACTAAAATTAAGAAAAGGTTGGAGCTAAATTGATAACAGCCAAGAAAAAAAAATTGAGAAAGTCTTCCTTTTAAAATACTAAAAAATTACTATATCAATGAACACTGATTTTGAAATGAATGAATTAAGCCTCCAACTAGAGGAAGAGGAACAAATTACCGAGATTTATGCTAGCATGATGTCTATGATGCGATCTAAATGGGTAACCACTATGCCTTCCTCATACGCTATGGATCTCGATGAAGAAGTTAATGAAGAACTGGGAGTTCTTGACTCAGAAGAGAATAACTATAACGAAGATAATAGTGAAAATGAGAATGAAAGTAACGATGAACTAGTAAAGCCCCCTGTCGAAGTATTTGCTAAGAAACTTGCCAGCAGCAATAAAGAAAAAGAGAAAACTTTGAAATACAGAAAGAGTACAACCAGGAACAAATCAAAGAGTTTATCTGCTTGATAACAGATATGGTTCCTGTAAAAGACGCAGCTTTACGAACTGGTATCCTTTTAAGTTCATGTTGTGATTTAGGTAAGTTTAAATAATTAAAATATAAAAAAAAAGAAGTAAAAGAGAAATAAAATAAAATGGACAGAAGAAGTACGTTGAGACTTGTCAATAAGTTTTTATTAAGAGTTGAATTAATTCCAGTATAAGTTATGTGTTATATTATAAGTTCTGTTATAATATGGGCTAATAATGTAAGAGTATTTATATATTTTGTGAATAAGGATGATGAATAATAAGAAGATAAAAATATAACAAATAGTATTTGATAATATAATTATAGAATGATTATTAAGAGTTATAATTATAGATATAGATATCGATTCATGTCTTTTGTATGTATTTATTTTTATAACTAATACGTGTATTCTGAGTAGAATCAATTATTACGCGTATTTGTATTATTCTTAGTTTACCCCAGTTTAACTTGTATAAAGTTATTATTATAAATTTATATTCAGCAGAACAATAATAGAAGAAAGTATATTTTTAGATGTAGGACTTTTTACTAATTAATTATTTTTTTATACAAGGGTAAATATACTAAATATGTTTATAGAGAGAATTATTGTACAAGTGCACTATATATTCTATTATGACTATTTATCTTATTGAATTAAGTTATAAATCTTACAACCATGACAAATAGCATCTATAAATATCATCTAGAACTACCAAGAAAAGTATAAATAGCCAGATAGTTTTTACAAGAAGAATATTTAGTTTTTTTATTTTAATTTTTTTTTCTAATAAAAATTTATTCTTACTTGTGCCTGTGTCTCACGATTTATTTCTGTCTTCTTAACCCATACAACATTTCTCTTTTAAATACATTTTGTTCTGTGTTATTTGCATCATTTGTTCGGTAGTTATAAGTGTTATTGTTATTTTTGCTAAAAAGCCCTAACCATTTTTCCACTTACTGTAACTTTACTGATGGCATCACTTCTCCTGGTTCTATCTCATCTATTACTTTTCAAAGAGGAATGTCTCAGTTCTGTATTGACTATATCTTTGTCACCTCTGATCTCTCCTCTTCTATTACTTACAATAAATTCTCAACGACCTACATTAATCCGGCCTGGCCAGATCATTTTCTTTTATCTAGTCATCTTCATCTTCAGGCTCCCATTTCTACCTCTTCGGCTTCTGCTATTGGTAAAGGCCTATGGAGGGCTCACCCGAAACTCGCTAAAAACTCTGCTTTTAAAAAAAGGTTACGGGTTGCTCTTGCTAAATGCGTTCAATCGCTTGATTCTACTCTTACCGCCGCTGAGAAATGGGAACGTCTTAAACAATGCACTGCTAATGTTTGTCGCTCATTTTATCGCCGTTAAGCTTTCAATTTTGTTAAAGCTGAAGACCTACTTCATAAAAAACGTTCGGGTTTATCCAAAAAATTACAAGCTGATCCTTCTTTGTTGCCTGTTGTATCTCCTCAATTACAAATTGTGGAACAACAATTGGCATTCATTCAAAAGTATCATGTGGAAACTCTTGCCTTACGGTTAGGCATTCGTTGGCGTGAATTGGGTGAACTCTCCGGGTTATCTTAAGCGAACTGTTGCATCCCGCACTGCTCGTCAATTGACTCCTCCATTAATTCATCCCACCACTCAATCAACCTGTACTACTAAAGAAGAAATGCTAGAAGCTGCTTCATCATTTTATCATGATTTGTACTCACCAGATAATATTAGTCAAGATGCGATTGACGAATTATCATCATCACTTTCTGAATCGCTTTCGATTGTCTCGTGCTAATGCCAAATCTCTTGTTGACCCCATCACCTCTGATGATTTATTGTTGGCGTTCTCTCTCATTCCCAAAAAGTCTTCTCCGGGTATGGATGGATTACCGTATGCTATTGTCCGTTTAATAGTCACTCATCCTAATTGTCGTAAAATCGCTCTAGCTACTTTTAACAATGCCCTCTCGTTTGCAAATATCCCCGATTTTTGGTTAAATTCAAGTGTGACTCTATTAGCAAAAAAAGGTCTTCCTAATTTTTTTCAAAACTGACGTCCGATTTCTCTAATCAACACAGATGCTAAAGTTTTTACTCGTAGCCTCAGCTCACGTATCATTGGTTCTGCTAATGATCTCATTAATCCCTTTCAGACTGGTTTTGTTCGTGGGCGGTTTATCGCTAATAACGGTCTTTTGATGAAACTTATCATGGATCATTCACGTTTTTCAAAATCTTCAAGTATTGGATTATTCCTATATCAAGAAAAGGCTTATGACAGGATCCATCCTGTGTATCTTCGTACTGTTCTTGTTCGTTTTGGATATCCTCTTCAACTTGTCGATTGTATTGATAAACTTTTTTTTGGTACTCGTCTTCATATCAACATCAATGGTTTTCTAACTGATATTATCTGTCAACGCCGCAGTCTCAAACAAGGCGACCTACTTAGCCCTACTTTATTTAATTTAGCTTTTGAACCACTTCTTCGTAGTATTCAAAATGATATTCTGATGGAAGGTTATGCACTGCCTAAATCGATTTCTGGTCCTCACTTGTCCGATTCTCTGACTGCTCCTGTTAAGCTAATGGCATACGCCGATGATGTTATTTGTCTTTTGAATTCCCCTGCTGAATTGAATCGACTTCAATTTCATTTATCGCTATATTCCCTGGCTTCTAATGCTCGTATCAATTATAATAAGACCGAAGTTGTTTCTTTATCTGGTTCCTCTTCCATTTATGACACCTGCTGGCGGACAGCTTTGCACTCTTATGGTATTTCGGCATGGCATGATTGTCGTTCTTCTCTACCAGTTGTATATCTTGGCTTCCCTCTTTGCTCCTCAACCAAACAACGTGATTCTTTTCTTGATAAGATTTTATCGAACATCAAAATTGCTTGTGACATTCATCGTCTACGTCTTTTATCTGTTCGAGGTAGATCTACTGTTCTGAACCCTTTGATTCTTAGCAAACTTTGGCATGTTCTTCGTGCGTTGACCGTACCAGCTTCCTTTTTTTTTCAATCCGCTCAGTCTATCATTTCAAATTTTATTAACTTTCGTATCTTTCCAAAAGTTAGAGTTAGTTTTAATACTGCTTGCTTACCGCGATCTTTGGGAGGTTTAGGTCTACTTAATCCGTCTCTTCTACAATCTGCTCTTCAACTACGTTGATTATACTCTATTCTTTCTACTTCTACTGATGACCTTGATTCTAATGACTCGGCTATCAGTGGTTCTATCGTTCTCTTACGAATTATTTCTTTCTTGTATTCGCAAGTTGAATTGTATTCCAAAGGTCAAATTTTCTATACTCCTCCTGCTAAATTAGATCATCGTTTCTTCTTTTTGTTCCCTCTCCGTAGGCCTCCTTTCCTCCGTCAACTGACTAGTTTTCTGTCACTTTTATTCAACGCCATGGATATGATTCCAAAACCATTTTCAGATGTTGTTGTTGTCATTGCTGCTACTTGTCTAGAGATTCCATTTTCGTCACTGGTTATTTCCTCATCAGAGCCCCTGCGCCGATCTATGGCTTCCTTAACTAGTAATTACGGATACATCTTCAATAGTGATGATGAAAATTGTCTTCGTCCTCTTCAAATTATGGAAATTCTTCACCATCCACAACTTGCCAAACAAATTTTAAAGCGGATTACAAAAAACGAAATTGTTTTAGCTCCCTTTTTTATTCGTTGCTTTATTCCAACTAGATTCACAGGTTCTGGTCAATTCCCTTTCACTCAAGTTTCTGACCATTAAGTTGTTGACATTTATCCTTTTCTGAAAAACCTTGGCTTCCTTCATTCCCCTGGTACACCTACAACCCCTTTTTACCACAAAGAAATTTCGTCGCATGTGCTTACAATCACATTTATCCTCTCCTCTACTCCCACCACCTTTTTCCCCAAAAATTTCTTTCCCTTGGTCTCAGTTTTGGTAACTGCCCCTTTCTCATTCTGGTAGAAACTGTTATAGAACAAGCTCTGGATATAATCATAAGTAATATTATAATAGATGAATTACATAATACAAGATAAAGTATAAGCCTGAATATGAAATAAAACTCTGTATATAACATCTTACAAATAATATAAAACTTATTGACATCCAATTGTTTAGATGTATCAATTATAAGACATCGTATTATTTCTAAAATATTTATTTTCATAACCTTGACAAAGGATTCAGGTCGTCTTTGGTCCAATAAAATAAAACATAAAAGATATCAGGAACATATACTCAGATTAAACAATAAATTTTTGTATTTATCACTTAATCAAATCATTATGACACCCAATAGACAATCCATACAAATCAGTCTCTTGAGTCAACAAAATGTATATTTGAATACGAACAACGATTCATGGCTCATATTCTTTGACAGCTATTTTTATTTCTTTAATTCAGGATTCATTAGTATAAATACAAGCAGTTGTTTAGACACAAAATAATCTTTAACCTTCAATAATTTTTTATTCTTTATTTTTAATTGAATAAAACAGTCTCAAACTATACTTCCTTTTGTTCCCTTTCTCTTTTTTTTTTATTTATTTATTACATAAAAAATTGGTACATATCAAATAATAATAATAATAATAAAATAATATAATAAAATAATAAAAGAGTATGCTATAAGCATTACATGTAAAATATTACACTTACCTTGAATACATATTCTATTGATAACATGGTCATTGATTAAAGAATCCTTTGGGGAAAAGAAAAAAAGAAAAAGAACACAGAGATTGCAAGGATTATCATACAGAACAGAAACAAAAAGTAGTAGCAATTGAAGTGATCAACAGAAAAGTATTCCATTTACAAAAGAAGCATACACTATTAATAGAATAAATAATTAATAAAAGCTAATATATGGTAAAGTATAGAAATATCATATTTACCAAAAAAAAAAAAAAAAAAATACAAAAGGCTAGACCTATGCTTGTGCTGCAGAGAAAAGAATATTAGTTAAATCTCGGGTATTATTATTTTTTTTCCCACACTGTACCTTTCAATGTTACATTAGAATGACGTACACTTGTACTTGACCTCCCTGTTATATAAAGAATTGTTAATACACATATTGAAATAGTTAAAGATAAAGGTGTTATTTTATATACCTTTTTTCAATAGATAAATAATACCAGTCTTTGTTGTAGATCTGAATCAAATATTGCTGCTGCATAATAAAGACCAACACATACCTATTTAATTGTTTCATTTTAGTTGTTTTTGATTTAAGAAAAGAGAAAAATTAAAAAAAAAAAGATACATATATTTTCAAAATAATGCAAATACTTAACAAAGACCTATAATTTAAATACATATATAAAAAAGAGTAATAACTATTAATATTAAAATAAACATCTATTCCAAGAAAATAAAATTAGTAGTTTAACGAATGTGTTAAAAAATGAAAATTTTTTTTTTGGTCCGCTTTTAAATAGCAGCAAACCCTGTATATACGATGTAAAAAGTCTTAGCAATATATTTATATTATTTCTATATTTCTTCTCACGAACCTTTATTTTTTACCTATCTAAATGTCTACCTCCAATAACACTCACCAAATTCCTACTATCAGAACTACTTCTGGTACACAACATCTTAACAGAGGAAGAACTGTCACCAGTAACAGTAATGCTGCTTTGTTGACGGCAAGAATTCAACGTTTAGAAGGAACAGTCTTGCGTCTGCAAAAAAAAGCTGAAGCCAGTAGATCTTCAGTAAGATCCTCTGGCCAAAAAGTCCCCAAGGATCTATACAAGACCGTAAATGAAAAAAAAAAAAAAACTTTATAAAAAATATAGAAATTACTTACATTTTATAACCATTATTAATTATATAGGGATTAGTCCAAAAAGCATATGATGCTTTCGTCCAACAGAAAGGATTTGCATTTAATTTCAGCATTTCTTTAGATAAAGATACTAATATGCTGATAAAAAATTTTATAATAGCAAAAATTACTGAGGACGAAAGAAGAATAACCAGTAATGATAACCTGGTTATTGATGCAAAGGACATTTCGGAGAGGATAAGAAGACACTTCGAAGATAATCGAAGTGTCCATCAACGAAAGGCGACGTTAACTGACCAGCAGCTTGCTGAACAAAGTCATTCCAAAAAAATCAAGGGAAGATTGGCCTGGGTAAGCATATAATTTTTTAATATATTTGTATCTAACAATCAAATGTACTTAACTTTTTTTTTTTTTTTTATAAATCTAGAAATGCAAGAGAAGAAAGCAGGTCCATGGAGAGAAGAAGAAAAGACTTGCTCTCCAGTTTGGAATGATTGAAAAAGACTGGAATCATCTTCTTCGAAAGGAATATATGTCAGAAGAAGATGATGATCGAGTCGAGGAAGAGATTGTCTTTACCAGGAAGAGAAAGATTCCTTCTTGGAGAACCGAGCATGTAAATTATTAATTAAAATTATAAATATATTATAGCTAGATAATTAATTTACCTAATTTTTTTTTCATTATAGTTGAACGAGTTCTATCATGAACTCGACAAATGTAAGGATTTCTCTAAGAAGGGAAAGAGGACTCCTGTCTCCGACGTTGTCGTTGATATCCCAATGGATTTGAACGTCCTGGCATCTCTTCCTCGCTGGTCAGTTAAACCAGAAGCCTTTTCAAGAAGATAATTTTGAAAAATAAAAATAAATAAAAAAAAATAAAATAAAAAATAAAACTTACGTCTTTTTATTTCATTGCCCAATGCATTCCATCTTGTTACTTTCGCAATAATATCTAATAAAGATGAGTATCCACATATCATAATTGACAAATAATAACCCTTTTCTTGTAAATTATTCTCCATATTTTTTAATTCAGACATGATAATTGAGCAAAGTGCTAATATTCCCAATGGTAAGAATAGCTGTTGTAATGAGTCAAATTGAACAAATTTAATAAGATGATAAGCAAAATAAAAAAGGGAAAAGAAACTGTAATTGTTAAAGGAGAGGAAGGTTTAGTTAATCAAGAGCTTACGAGGAAGATTGATAATAAGAAGCTTATTGCCATTGTCTATATAATTTAGCTTCACTGCAATTGGAGAATAAATTCTCATTACAGGAACGATCGACAGCTTTGATGCTTCTTCAAATTCACTACTCCAGGTTTCTATTCCGGCCATTTCAAATGTTCGAAGGGGCTGTTCAACTTGACGAAACCAACTAAAATTTAAAAGAAAAATTATTTCTGTATTATTTTATATTCTAAAAAAGAGAGAGAGAAGCTTTTACTCAAGATGTAAGAAAATGTAAACCGCTTCCAAAAAAGTACTACAGCTTATTATATTGGGAAATTCATTGGGTCTGCCATGAATGTTTAAATAAACATAACAGGAAGAGAGTATTTATAATGTTAGACAGCTGTAGAACGCATTACTTCCACTCTGTAATCGATTTTATCAACAAACGATGCTACAGACATTTATTCATGTCATCTTATTCATTCTTTTTGAACCCCACCCCCCATGGAAGAATGTTGGCCAAAAATTAAAAAAAAAAAAAACTTATAAGGAATTCTCTTGATCAAGCTAATACGTTCACCCCATGTATCGCAGAAGCTTGTATTTAAGCTACTGTAGAAGATTTCAAGGGGTTGGAGTAAGATATATGCTGAAACATATTGAGGCAGATGTCTTTTCTTTTTCTTTCTTTTTTTTTTTTTTTTTTTTTTTTTTGGAATGATTCAAGAAAGTTTTTGATCAAGTCAATTTTTATTTTGATCGGCAGGCTAAGAATTTGAATACATTGAATACAATTTCTCAGGATCTTGATTTTTAAACGCAAAACATTGTACCCTTTTTTTTTTCTTTTAAAAGAAGAAGAAACCTAAATAGTATCAAACTGACTTGTTGAATATCTGGTATCCTTGTATGACATAAACATGCTACCCTTTTTTTTCTTTCTGAAACCCCGCTGTATTTATTGAGGGGGGATAATGTTCAGTTAAAAACAAAATTATAGTTGTCGCAGGTGTTGTATATTCATTTATAGCTATAGTCATTTATAATTTACATTTTAATGAAGCTTATAATATAAATGCACTAACGCTGAGTCCATGTAAAGTCAATCATTTTTGCTTTGTTTTTTTTTTTTATATATGGGGAGGAAGGGTCTTTTTTCTATTTTTATTTTTTTTATTTTTTGGTTGCATAATATTATAACCTAATTACTGAAGAGCTTAAAGCAATATTGACCAAGAAACATATATTCTCATTTATAATCATAGATATTCCCTTCATTTCACTTGTCTATTTTTATTTTATAACATGTCATTTATCCAGGCTTCTTTTTATAACTGTTGTCATTTATCTAATAAAAGAGAAATAGTGCTTTTCTCCTTTGAATACTCTTTTCTATCTTTCAAATACATAACATTATTCCCTCAAGTCCTGTTATCTGATTTGTTGTTTTCATATAATTAGTTATTTTACTACTGCTGCGCAGAGTAATCAATATTATTACTTTTCTTGAAATTGATTGGATAAACAACAAGTCTTAATTATTATAAAATAAAATGGATGACTCATCCAAGCCACCCTTTTTTTGTGAGCTGAACTTTAAATTTATCAAGTTGAATAAATATAATAATCAGCTAAAAAGATGTATTTTATTTGTCTATCTATTTATTAAAAATGACTGGTCTTTATATGCTCGATTATGGAGCAGGCAATGTTCGTAGTTTAGTTAATGCCATTCATCATTTGGGGCATGACATTAAATTTGTCAAAGAACCTTCTGATATTGCCCTTGCTGAGGTAAATACTTTAGAAAAAAATAAAAAAATAATATTAAAAATAAAAAAAAAAAACTTTTCTTTTTTTTTTTTTCCTCCTTTCTTGTTACTGAAGAATTCTTATGTAGAAACTCATTTTTCCAGGTGTTGGAGACTTTGGTTTTGCTATGCGTGCATTACATGCTAAAGGTTATTCTGAACCTTTAAAGGCTTATATTAAATCAGGCAAACCTTTTATGGCTATTTGTGTTGGTATGCAAACACTTTTTGAAGGCTCTGCTGAAAGTGATGAACCTGGTTTGGGTATTATTCCAGGAAAGGTACTCAAATTTGATAATAGCAACAAAGCCGTTCCTCATATGGGTTGGAATCATACAGATCTTCTCAAGTCACAACCTGATAATACACCAGGACAAGCTGTTAATTATAATCTGGATGAAAATAAGGTGTATTATTTTGTTCATTCTTATGCTGCGCCTTATACAGAAGAAAATAAAGATTGGGTTTTATCTACTACGCAATATGGTGATGAAATTTTCATTTCTGCTGTACAAAAGGAGAATGTATTCGCAACTCAATTCCATCCAGAAAAGAGTGGTTATGCTGGTCTTGCTCTTTTGAAATCCTTTATTACAGGAACGGGTGTAGTGGATGAAAGGACAGTGATATACAAGTCACCTATGAAAAAGGAAAACGATGCCTTCACAAAACGTATTATTGCTTGTTTAGATGTAAGAGCTAATGATCAAGGAGATTTGGTGGTGACAAAGGGGGATCAATATGATGTACGTGAATCAGAAGGAAATAAGGATGTTCGTAATTTGGGTAAACCTGTTGAATTAGCTAAACGCTATTTTGAAGAAGGTGCTGATGAAGTCACTTTCTTGAATATCACTAGTTTCCGTAACTGTCCATTAGTGGATACCCCTATGCTTGAAGTTTTGAAACGTACATCTGAAACTGTCTTTGTTCCCTTAACGATTGGTGGTGGTATTCGTGATGTTGTAGATCCAGATGGTACTGTTCATCCTGCTTTTGAAGTCGCTGGTGAATATTTCCGTTCAGGAGCTGATAAAGTGTCTATTGGTAGTGATGCAGTTTATTGTGCTGAAAAGTGGATTGCTAGTGGTGGTGAAAAGACGGGTACAACAGCGATTGAAACAATTGCTAAAGCTTATGGTTCTCAAGCAGTCGTTATCTCCGTTGATCCTCGTCGAGTGTATGTAAAGGATCCTAAAGAGACAACTCATCATACCCTGAAGGTCTCTCAACCTGGACCTAATGGTGAGGAATACTGTTGGTATCAATGTACTGTGAAGGGTGGACGTGAAGGTAGAGATTTAGATGTCATTCAACTAGTCACTGCTTGTGAACAATTGGGTGCTGGTGAAATTTTATTAAATTGTATGGATCGTGATGGTACTAACTCTGGATTTGAACTTGAATTGATTCATTCTGTTCGTCAATCTGTGTCTATTCCTGTTATTGCCTCTAGTGGTGCAGGCTGTGTTGACCATTTTACTGAAGTGTTTGAAAAGACGGGTGTTGAAGCTGCTTTAGCCGCAGGTATTTTCCATCGTCAAGAAGTCCCTATTCAATCTGTTAAAGAATATGTGAAAAATGCTGGTATTCCTATTAGACCTATTGATACAACTACTTTGTAAATAAATATATACATCATTATAGAAAATTAAAAAAAAAAAAATTAAATAAAATAAAATAAAATAAAATAAAATAAACGTGGTAAACTTCTTTTTAATCTTATTCTCGTTTCATTGTTTATTTAAATATTTCATTATCAATATTTGTTTATTTTTTTTAAACTTTGCCTAATAACGTATACATAGTACAGAAAGAAAAGAAAAGACTTTTCTTATTCTTGACATTAACTCATCATTAGCTTTACTGTAACTTTTTTAGAATGTATAGCATCGAGCCTAATTTATATAAATATAGAATACTTCAAATAAAACTCGTGCAAAATAGTATTCAACTGTCAGTCCGCGAAATTCCTGACCAATCAAGGAAAAGATATCATGTTAAATTCTCTAATTAAAGATTATTCTCGCCCCCGCAAAATTCTTCTCTGGAAACTAACACTATTTGAAATAAGCTTTCCTCCCCTTTTTGCTTTTTTCTTTTTTTCTTTACTTCTACATCATATTCACGTATTATTTTTTAAGCTATACTTTTATATTTATTATTATTAAAAAAAAAAAAAAAAACTTAAAGGAAAAGAAAAATAAAACTAAAATAAAAAACAATACTTGTTTTTTTCCCTTTTTTTATTAGTTACTGTTTTCTCCTAACTAAATCCATTTTTGATCTCTTTTTATATTCATATAAATTTATATATTTCCCCTTCCTCACAATTTTTTTTTTTTTTTTTTTTTTTTTTTTGTTATTAATTGTTAATTATAATGTCAAAATCAATACCAAGTTTTTCAGAAATTATTACACAATCAACGAATCCCATCTCATTTTCGGGATTAAAGGTCAATCAAATTAAAACAGAATTGACAAATCAGCTTACTGAAAAGAAAAGCTATTACAAAGACTTGGAACAAGTCCACTTAGTAGAAATGCATTGATTAATCAAACAGATATGATTCGAAAAGAATTATTAAATTTGAACCAATATGAAGAACAAGAATTGCCTGATGAAATTCGATCTAAGCTTGAAGATTTAGCCAATGAATTTCAGTACCTGAAAAATGTAAGTAAAAAAAAAAAAAATAAAATAAAAAATTAATACAGTTTTTTTTTTTTTTTTTTTTTTTTTTTTTTTTTTTTATTATTATTATTATTATTTTTATTTATTTTTTTATATTCAATTATAGGTAGCCAATTCACGTGATGCTTCCTTTCTACCAAATAATTATCTTTCCTCTACTCCTTTATTACCTCCTGCACCAACAAATAATTTATCACCTTCAAAGCAACGAACAAAGCTGATGAATGGAAATAGACGTAACCCCGATATCGAATTTGCAACAGAGATTGGCCAAGGATTATTATTCGAGGTACGAAAACTTCAAAATATCTTGCAGGATAAAGATGAAATTATCAAACAATTAGAATTATCTCAAGCTGATAGTGAAAGAGCGAGTGAAATTGTTCAAAGACAATTAAAACAAAAAGAAGAAAATGATGGTAATAATAATAATAATAATATTAAAAAGGTATACGTATATGTAATACTCTATTTTTATTTATTTATTTAATAGAAAAATTAAAGGATGAAAATTGGAATCTTGAAGTAATGAATCAAGAACTTCAATCCAATTTATTAGAAGCCAACCAAACAATTTCAAGATATAATATAGAGCTTGGAAGATTAACAAAACAACTCAAGAATCAATCAGAACAATTGGATATAATGAAGGCGCAAGAAGAGAAATCAGCATCCATGATGGAAGCAATGAAAGCACGTCATGAACAGGAAACATATCAGTTACGGCGACATGCAGCAACTGCGCAGCGTGAACAAGCCCAATTGAAAAAGCAAGTGGAAACACTCAACACCGAATTAAAGATATGTAAAGCCAAATTAGCCATTAAATTAGCTACCTCTTATCGTAGTGATGATGGTGATATCCATAGGATAGATCCTATACCTTCTCAAGATCAAGAATTACTATCTGAAGGTTCCGATTCCAATCAAATTGCATCTCTTTCTTCTGGTGCTGTAGTCTGCTCTGCACCTTCATCCGTGAATGGTTCTAGAAATCAAGCCATGGAGGTTGAAACACTCAAACAATCATTAGCTCATGCGCATCGTATCATCTCCAATCTCAGAAGCTCCTACCATAAAGAAAAGCTAGAAAAGTTTGAATTTAAAAAATTGTTATCAGAAAATCAAGAAACCATTGAGCAAATGCGTAAGGAACTAGCGAATCAAACGAGTTTACTGGGTCTTAACAATAGTCGTGCCTTAGTTAAATCAAATTTTAATAAACGGAAACCCATTTCACCAAAAAAGAAAAGAGGTGGTATTGCTAGACAGCCTAGAGGCCTTTGTCATAATGAGTTATTTGATACAGAAAAGCAACAAAGACAGCAGCAAAAACAACAACGACAACAGCAGCAGCAGCAGCAGCAGCAACTGTTGGAGGACAGTTATACAGAAGAAGAAGAAGAAGATAATACAAGCACTGATGAAGATAATTTTTTGGATCCTGAATTTTCTAATCATACATTAGGATTTGAAAATATGATGTCATTTTCTTCTATTACTATGAAGCCTCTATCATCTGAATTAGAAGCTAATAAAGTCCAAATGATTGATATTGGCATTAATACAGAGCCTTTAGAATGGTTTGATTTAAATAATGTGATTCATATCAGTGAGAATCATTCAACTTCAAGTATGGGTGATGAAGAAGCACTCGATATGGATACATCATCTACAAATAATACCTATTCTGAATCATATCTTATGGCACAAGAGAATATTCATGATAGTTCTCCTATCTCTAAAGAAGTAGTATCAAACTTGTTAACAAGAGACGTTCATAGTCATCATCAGAATGGCTCACTTATAAAACTCCCTTTTGGTCATGCTGACTCGATTTCTATATCAAAGATGCCATCAACGGTAGAAGAATATACTCGTATTATTCAGAAACATATTTCAAGAGCGTTAATCAAAGAGAGAGAATTAATGACAGAACGTGCAACCACACTTCTTTCTCCTGAACAAATGAGAATCTTATTCCCTTCAACATCAGAGGAGGATGCTTCTGATTTACAAGATTCATTCGCCTTAGGCTCCGATCATGATAACGATCTTGAAAAACTAATCCAGAAAGCTATCTTTGAAAAGGTAATGAAGATGATACCAAGAACTGGAATGGATGCATTAATAAGATCTGTTCGACAACAAATGAGAGGAGGAAATGAAGGAGAGGAATTAATAACAAGTGTTGTGAAAGATGTCCATTTAGACGTTCATGTTACACCTTCACAAGATATATTAACAACGGATTCACCAGTACCACCTGATCAGGTGATTAATGGATTTGAAATAACACAAAAGAATCAAATGAGGGATGAAAATGAATCTTTGAATCAACTTACTCTAGACAAGACAAGTGAGGTGTATAATTTATTAGAAAAGCAAAGGAGAGAATTTGAATCTGCTAAAAAGCAGGAAATAAAAGAGTTAGAAGCGACTCATCTAATGAATCTAGAGGAACAAAGAAAGGATATGGAGGACATAAAAAAGACTGAATTAAACAAGTTTATGCGAGAGATGGAAAGTTTGAAAGCATCTGCGTTAGAAAATGAGAAAAAGCAGTATGAAGCTAGTAAGCATGCTGAATTAGAAAAACAACGATTAGAGATGCAAGCTATCTTGACATTAGAATTAGAAAAGCAAAGAGATGAATTTGAGATAGCAAAATCCGTTGAATGTGAAAATCAGAAATCAGAGTTAGAGTTAACCAAGCAAATAGAGATAGAAGCTTTGTCTAAATTAATAGATATTCTGAAGAAAGAATTAGAAGATACAAATCAGCGTATGAAGACAATGTTAACAAAAGAAAGTGTAGATGTACTTATTAAGCGTGCTGTGGATGAAGCTCTATTGATTTCAGAAAGAAATCAGGCAAAGACATTAGCTGGTATGATATCTAGAGAATATGCAAACATAATGGTGAAAGATGAGGTTGAAAAGGCACTTGAAAAGGAAAGGAAGGAAGTAGCTAAACGAGAGGAATTGGAGGCGATAGATATGATATCCAAGGTAGAATCAGAAGCACTTGCTAAGGTTGCAGCAGCAGACGCTATTGTAAAAGAACGTCAGGCTACAGTTGCTCGTGAAAAGGACTTGATGACAAAGGAAGAAGTAGACTTTATGGTTCAGACTGCTTCTAGAGAGGCCGCTAAGAAAGAAAAGGTTAAATTATCCTTAATTTTGGATAAAGAAAGAAAGATGTTTCGTGAAAAAGAAGAAAAAATGATTCCTAAGGAAGAAGCTGAGAGGGCTATTCAAGATGCATTATTAAAATATCAGCAAAACAATATAACTATGAGCAGAAGAAACGAGTATGATCATCATCACCAGATACCCTATTTAGAAACATCCATACCTATAGCAAATTATTCAACTACTCAACAAACCAGCAGATTGGAACCTACTACTACTATTAAAAGGTCTATCTCTACTTCTAGGTTAGCCTCTTCTTCTATTGATCCAAGTCCTTCGCCATCTGTATCCTCCCCTGCTAATTCTAACCATCAACTAAAGTTATCAAGGTCTGTATCTTCATTCAAATTAATGTCTAGAAAAAAGGAAAACCATCATACACAAAAGGGCAAAACCATACAACAAAGCTTAGAAAGTGGGAATAATACCATCAATTCATTTGGTACTTTCTCTCTATTAGGTACTAGCAAATACAAACCATCTCATCGACTTCATTCAAGATCAACTATGAGCCTACGAGATATGACAAACAAGCAGAATTCATCCGTATCCATATCAACATTATCCTCAAATGATGACCATTATTCAAATAATCAATATGAACGAATGCATATTAGTGAGTCCTTTCCAAGCTTCTCAAATACTGAAGGTGGCACGAATATGGAAATTATTTCAGCTGTTACTCAGACAATGATCGGTGAATGGATGCTTAAAAATACCCGTCGTTATGTTGGTGGTGGTATATCTGAGAATAAACACCAGCGATTCTTTTGGGTACATCCGTATACTAAAATTTTATATTGGAGTTCTGCAAAACCTGGAGCAGAAGGAACTCAAGCACGAACAAAGAGTGGTATGAAAGCAATAATATTAATAATAATAATAAAAAGAGCCTTCAAAGAATATACTAATTAAGAAAATGTATACATCTATAGTATTTATTGAATCTGTATCATCTGTTCCTAGTCATGATTATTCTGGTATATCTACAAAAAGTTTACTGATTAAAACACCCAAAAGAGAGTTAAAGATAACAGCTTCAACACTTGAAAGACACGAATTATGGTTAAAGGTAATAAAGAATATCCCATTACAAAAAAAAAAAAATAGTATATTAACTTACAAATTTAATTGTTGTTTGTATTTAGTCATTAACTTATTTATTGGGACGACCTAATATCGCTAATCAACAAATTGTAGAAGAACCAAGACAATCAACAGATAATTATAATACTGAAAATACTAGTCATCAACAAGCTACTACGATATTAAGTGCACATAGTTCTGAAAAAAGTATACCACAAGTAGGAGATATTACCCAATATGACTCGGATGATTCAGAAGACATTGCCAACATTAGACAATGCTGTAATGGAAAACATGACTTATCTACTTTAAGTCGAGAAAATTTTCATCATAATCATTCTCATTAATATATATCTATTGTATATTTAGTAAATAAAATAATAATTCTATTTTTTTTTTAAAAAAAAAAAAAAACTCATTAGGAATTCTCTCGATCAAGCTAATACGTTCACCCCATGTATCGCAGAAGCTTGTATTCAAGTTACTGTAGAAGATTTCAGGGGGTTGGGGTAAGATATATGCTGAAACATATTGAGGCAGATGTCTTTTCTTTTTCTTTTTTTTTTTTTTTTTTTTTTTTTTTTTTTTTTTTGGAATGATTCAAGAAAGTTTTTGATCAAGTCAATTTTTATTTTGATCGGCAGGCTAAGAATTTGAATACATTGAATACAATTTCTCAGAACCTTGATTTTTAAACGCAAAACATTGTATAAAAAAAAAAAGATCCAAGTTTTTACCCCACATACGCCCTTTTTCAAGCCACTCTCAATGGTATAAACTTTCGAAAATACCTATCTGGTAACGGTATACTGCCTCTTTTGATGATGATACCTATGATCCTCGTGCTTTTGCTGGTATCTGTAAAGCATACCTGAAAGATAATCTTGGTGATCGACGAAACAGTAACAATGCTGTTCTCTTGTCTCCCTGCCGCCCTACCCTGGGTATCGATCCTATCCTCTGGTTACCTATGTCAAATACAGAACGCAGCCGAATAGTCCGCTAGCGCCTAGGTTGGTTACCTGGTGGTGTCCCTAAACCGTGCATCTATCATCCTAATGCCATGTTCACACAATCTCATGCTATATGGTCCCTACATATGCATCGACGATTACAAACGCCTTTGATCGAACCCGACCCTTTATCTTTCCTCTTGAATAAGCTGTCAAATAAACAAAAACGCAGGCCACCAATCTCATCAGCTCTCAACTCATCTGTCTTTCTCGCCTGGACAATTCGTTGGCCTGTGATGTGCCTTCTACTTTTTGAACTTGACTATCTTCATCATGGTAAACTTCCTCCAGAAACTCCCCCTCCCCTTGGTAAACTGGTTACGTAACTCTGAATTTAATATTTATTGATATATCTTGCTTTTCCTCTTCCCTTCTCTTTCTTTTTTACCCTTTTGTCTATCAGAAGGTTTTTTAGTACGCTTTTATCCTCTCTCGAACTGACCCGGGCAATCCAATACGCCAGTATTATGTGCTCACATGGGTTTTTAAAATTTTTGTTATAAAAAATTTTTTTTTATTATAAAAAGATAAATAAAAAAAATAAATAAAAAATAAATAAAAAAAAAAATAAAAAATAAATAAATAAATAAATAAATAAATAAATAAATAAAAAACAAAAAATCAATAAATAAAAAATCAATAAATATGAGATACAAGACAAAATGTGGAGTGAAGTTTATATTCAGTCCCTGGAGACCCCTTTCTCTCTTTTAAAAAGACTACGATTGTTACATGATTATTTTCATTGGTCACTAAATGATGCTATCCCCTACACAAAGTGACTATTGTAACAAAAAGTATGGGTCACATGCTCTTTTGTATTAATTGGGTACAGGTCACTCTTAATAATAAACTATAATATGCAAACGAAGAAGAAAAAAAAAATCGGAGTTAGGGTAGTAGATTTAAATAGTTCGAGATGTAATGTTTTTATTTCCATTTTACTTCTTCTTCTTCTTCTTCTCATCTACTAGTTTCTTAACATTATACAGAAATGAGTAATACAACCACAAGTAAATTTCAGACTTATACATATATATTGTATAAAATCCATTAATTTATTACTATTACTATTATTATTATTATTTCTTTTCTTTTTTTTTTTACTTTAGATTTACGTTTAGCATGTGTGGTAAATTAAATAATTAAGAAATCTATACCAGTTAAATAAATACATGCCTATATATTATAGATGGTTGGCTTACCTGCACGTGGAAAGACATATATCTCTTATAAAGGTATTATCCCTTTGAATATTAAGCTGCATAAGTAGTGAATATATATTAAAATATATATGGACTATTATTAGTGAGTCGTTATTTGACTTGGTTAGGAATTAAAACACACATATTTTCTGTGGGTAATTACCGTCGTAAAATTGCAGGACTAAATTTACCACATACCTTTTTTGATACCAACAATATGGAAGCAATGAAAATACGTCATGAAGCAGCTATGATGGCTTTGAATGATATGATTCAATGGTTTTTTAAAGAAGAAGGTACATTAGTAGGTATCTTGGATGCAACCAATTCGAGTAAAAAAGCAAGGGCTTGGATAAATCAAGAACTTACATGTCGTGGTATTCAAGTTTTATTCATTGAATCTATTTGTGACAATGAAAAAGTAATCATGTCAAATATTAAGGATGTCAAATTATCTTCACCTGATTATTGTAATCGTGATCCAAAGGCAGCTACAGAAGATTTTATGAAACGTATTAGTCATTATGAAGCTACTTATGAAACAATAACTGAACAAGATTTAAGTTATATCAAGTTAATCAATGTTGGAAGTCAATATATAATTAATATGATTCGTAGTTATTTAGAAAGTAGAATTGTCTATTATCTTATGAATTTACATACACGACCCAAAAGGATATGGTTTAGTAGAGTAAGTTAAATAAACAGTCAAACAAACAAAAAAAAAAAAAATAGAAGAAGAAGGAAAGGGAGTTTATTTACTTGTTTTATCTTTATTTATTTATTTTATTTTTTAAGCATGGTGAATCACTTTTTAATTTAGAAGATAAAATTGGTGGTGATTCAGGGTTATCTCCAAGAGGAGAACAATATGCATTAAAATTACCAGAATTAGTGAAACAAAATATAGGTGATAGGCCTCTTACTGTTTGGACTTCTTCTATGACTCGTACTATTCAAACTGCAAGACATTTACCATTCCCTAAAAAGCAATGGAAAGCATTAGATGAATTAGATACAGGTGTATGTGATGGTATGACATATGATGAAATAGCTGTAAGTAGTAGTATATCCTTATTTATATGAATTTGACTAAATAAAAAAAAATGAATGAATTAGGCAAAATATCCTGATGATTTCTCTAGGAGAGATGAAGATAAATTTAATTATCGTTATCGTGGTGGAGAGGTAAATAAAACATATGTAAATACATATATATATATATATAAATATATGTATGTATATGTGTATATGTGTATATATGTAGATATGTAAATATATATATATGTATGTATATGTATATAGAGCTACAGAGATTTAGTGCTGAGACTGGAACCTGTTATTATGGATTTAGAAAGACATGAAAATATTTTAATTATATCACATCAAGCTACTATTCGTTGTATGTATGCTTATTTTATGGGATTAAGTCATGAAGAGTTACCCTATGCTCGTATTCCATTACATACAATCATTGAATTAAAACCAAAGGCATTTTCTTGTGAAGAAAAATTATATAAAGGTATACTATACATCTCTATTTATCTATCTACATACATAATTAACATGAACATAATAGTGGATGTAGGAGCAGTGGATACTTTTAGACCAAAAGGTCAGAAATCACGTAGATTAACAAATGATACATTTGTGGATTCATCTATTCCCTTAGCAGAGGGTGCCAGTGGTGAGATTGCAGATGCAAATACGTCTATTTTACCGATTACACCTATCAGTGTAACTCCTTGTTAAACCATTATTCTTATTGTATTTAATCTAATCCTATTCCCCTCTTCTTCTTCCCTATGATCGTGTTTATTTTGTGATAAATGATTATCTATTTTAATCGTATTATTGATATTAAATGTATGCTTTATAATTTTAGATAAATTAAAAAAGAAATAAATTCTATAATAAATCAACAATGTCTATTCCTTGCAGTATCTTTAAAACAAATGCAATAAAAAGAAAAAGACAGTTATATATATAAAAGAACCATAAAAAGATAATAAACCAATACTATGTAACGAATGTTATAAAATAGAATTACATTTAAATATGCTGTAATGCCATGAGTAACTATGACAAAAAAAAAGTACCAAATATAGCCATTTTACTCGTTGTTAGTTGAAATGCATTTCTAAAAGAAAAGAGTATACTCTTTTATTATTATTACGTAATACCAATAGTAATGCAGAGTAATAGGATGTTTAGTTAGTGGTAGTATAACTCACTCGTTATATTATATTATGTGTTTCATTTATGGTAAGTTTAGACAGCAAAATTTATTGTATATATTAGGACTAGCGTATATATTTCCTTTTTTAGAGTAATAAAATATGATCAACAACACGTTAAAAAACAATAATAGTAGATCGCTTTATTACTACTTGCATATGATATTTATTTGTTGCGTTCATCTGTATTCTAAATAAATGATGGTAAAGTAAAATTTATTCCATATAACAACTGAATAGAATGATAAAAAGGAAGGAAGATGATACTAGCAGTAATTGAATAGTATATTTATTTATGTTATTTCCCGTAGTATACAATTTACTAAATCTAGAGTAGAAATCATGTTTATACCGTAGAAGCTTTTTAGTCTTACAAAAAAAAAAATAAAATAAAATAAAATAAAAAAATAAAAAAAAAAAAATAAAATAAAATGAAATAAAATAAAATAAAAAAAAATAAAAATAAAAAATAAAGGTACAGGGAAGGAAAGTAAATCATGTCTATGTAGGCTATATTTGGAGTGGTAGTAGCACATACTGCATAAAAAGTATAGAATTTAATTTGACACATTTCACCCTTATTTGGTATGCTTCTATCTTAAATTAGATAATGAACAATAATGCCAACGATAATACACTCTTCTTTAATAGTAATAAATTATATTATTTCATACAGGATAAAATGAATGACGTAATTAAGGGTCAATAAGTTGAACAGTAAATCCTTTTATTTATTTAATACGCGTATAACAACATATATGAATTTATTTTAGATTGATAAACATCTTCTTCTAAATAATCCAATCTCCGCAGTTGTTGTTGTTGTTTTTATTATTATTATTATTATTATTATTATTTTTGTTTCCGTTATAAAAAGAGCAGATTTTTATTTTCTACTATTTTTCATTTTTCTTTTAATATTATTCTTTTCATTAACGAACAAACAAGCTAAAGAAAAAAGGGGTCCTTTTTTTTTCTTTTTTTTTATATACATTCATTTTTTTTTCTCTTTGTGATTTTTTGTTGATCAAAAAATTATTCCCCCCTCTTTATACACATATTTTTTTTTTCTTGAAGAATGTTTCCGGTTCAAAGAGGTTTATACGGTCATCGATCAACTATGAGTCAATTTGCAAAGCCAGGATATTCATTCATGGCATTCGATCCTTTCCCTTTTACAAATGCAAATTTAACAGACTTTTCAGTTCCAAATAAATCACCTTTAATGCAATATCCTTCAAGTACAGATGAACTTTATGATCAAGAAATATCAAAGGAGTCTTCTAACAATTCTTTACCTCCAAAAAAGTAAAGCTATCATAAAATAATTCATTTAAAGAAAAAAAAATTCATTCAAACTAATTCTCTTTTTTTTTTTTTTTTTCTTCTGTGATAATTGAATCTAAATAGACCACTTACAAAAGCAGAGCGTCGTGCTGAGCATAACGCTATTGAACGCGCTCGTCGTGAAAACTTGAATTCGAAATTTCAATCTCTTGCTCAAGCTCTCCCTAATCTTATTAATTATCGTAGACCTTCTAAAAGTCAAATTGTTGAAAAGGCCTTTGATTGGGTTAAGCAAAGTATTTCCCGGGAAGAACGTTATCGTTATCAAATTTTGCAACTTCAAAGGGAAAATAAAAGACTGCTGGCTCAGTTAATGCATTATCAGCATCAACAACAACAACAACCAGAAGAAGGCGGACACGCTAAATATCCTATGGCTAACAACCCAATTCCAACTATTTGTACACCCCATGCCTCTACTACTACTACTACTATCATGAGTACTTCTCCTCCTGCTTCTATTCCTATGTATAGTAATTTGAATCCACCTACACCACCTCCACAATCTCTTACTTTTACTGCTACTTCGACTACTACTCTCTCTACCTCTGCTTCCCCTACTTATGCTCCTGTCAATTCCTCTATGAACGCCAATACGAATAACAATGGCTGGTCCACGAATCCTTACTTGATGAATCCTACTCTTCAAATGAACCACTACAATAATAGTACCGAAGATATTACAAAGCAGGACTTTGCCAATTCTAAAAGCGATGATGATGATAATACGAGTAGTGGAAATGAAGATGATACTGATTATCAATCTTCTCCGAATGGTATTTTGAATAATAATAATATTAAGCAAGCAGGGACTAACTAACTAACTTTATTTATGTAGCTTCTTACTTGGAAAATAGATCCCCTCAAAAACAATATGAAAAAGTAAATCAGAAAAATCTTTTGGTTAATGAAATTTATCGTAAGTTTCTTTATTCTTTATTTTATTTTATTTTATTTATATGTTGTATAAATAGCTGTTGGAGGTGAAGGAAATTTTCAGTCAACAGATACCCCTTTTGATTCACCCATTTTATTGAATAATTGGAATCAGTCTGGAAGATATTCTTCTCATTTGATCAATAGTGGTAATTTTGATCCTGGTTTAAATAATAGATCTACTCCAGCACAAATGTTATCTTAATCTTTCACCTTTCTTTCTAAGTTTTATATGCTTCTTTCTTAAACATTCCTTTGTATACATGACTTATATATACACATCTATATGTTTTTTTTTCCCCTTTTATTACATACAAACAAACAAACAAACAAAAAAAAAACAAAAAAAAAAAAAGAGAGAGAGAGAAAAGTTTGATACTTTTGTCTTTTATAATAATAGAGTGAGTATATAAACTAGCATATGGTCTAGTTATACTATTTATACATGTATACTCCATTTATGTAGAAAAAGCATATTGATTATGCTTTCTTCTTTTTTTTTTTTTTTATTTTACTTTTTACTAAAAATATACTTGAATTTTAACAATCCATTTGTATGGATACAAAACATATTACTTTTTTTGTCTTGTTGTTTTTGTTTATTGATCCGATAAGAGGTTTTAGTTTATAAATGTTTTTTTTTTATAAAAAAAGAAAAAAAAAAAAAAAAAAAGAAAAAAAAATTTATTTCCAACAAGCGACAAAACTTTAGTTTGAGATAAATACCCCATTTCCTTTTTTTTTTTTCCCGCAAGAACAGAAATGCGTTATTACTATGAAAATGACGCGTTTTAACATTAATGTATACACATATATTAATATGTCAAATTATGACTGTATTCTATATCCATATTTCTTATGTAAGCAAAACCAGTTATTCTGCTGTGACTGTAGTTGACTAAGGGAAAAAGTGAAAAGTTGACGTCGTCCAAAAAAGGCAAAAACTGTCTGAATTTAAAGTAACTCTACCACATAGCCGTCATAATGATGATTACGTAAAGTTCTAAATATTAATTCTATGCATTATCAAAAAAAAAGACACTTTATTTAATATATATACATATATACATGTATATGTATATGTAAAGATAGATAACAAAAAAAAGCGTTTATATTTCATAAATTGTAAGAGAAAAGAAAAAAAAACAGTTACATGAAAAAAAGAGGAGAAGGAAGATGATGATAAAAAGGGAATGAGGATAGGAATGTTATTCTATGTACAATGAAACATGCAAGCGTATATGTAAATGTAAATAAGTGAATATGAATGATAAAAAAAAGAGTAGTTTTCATAAAGTGAATGACAGCCATACTTATGCCCCTATTACATAGAATCTATTCTTTCTTTTTAGGAACCTTTTTAGATAACCCAAACCTGGGTAATCTTCTTGAATCCGGCGGTATAAGGGATTTTGTCTTCTTTTCTTGTATTTTTTCTTGTTGCTCCAACTGATGAAATGAGGATCTTTGCCTTAAAAGCTCCTCTGGCTTCTTTATATCTTCATTACTACTTATAGCAAATGGAGGTGTTGCAGAGTCCTTACCAACTTCTTCTTCTAATAATAATAATAAAAAGATATATTATTTTCTAACTGAAAAATAATAATAATAACACTCTATTTGCTTTCTTACCTATTTCAATCTCTTTCTTTATATAATTAGCAGAGGATAAGAAAAATTCATCAATTGTAGTAGGCTTCTTAACTATACTGCTTCGAACTTGTTTCTTATCAAGCCTTATAAGTTGACTTTCTCTAAGAGTATGGCTTGCTAAAGGGGATGGCGATCGTCTTCTTTTAATAGTGTTGGATGATAGTGTTGGTTTAGGTAATAATAATTGTTCATGTACAGTTATACTTGTCGTCTGCTTCTCTAATTGAAGGATATCCTCTTCTGTCAAGTCATCATGAAGAAGATAATCATCTTCTTGTTGTTGTTGTTGTTGCTGTGTCTGCTTGGCTAAGCCAACAAAAGTAGCCAGAGTACTCGGCGTGCTCGTATCATTCTCTTTATTCATACTTTCTAAGAGTAAATCTTCATCACTTAAATATAAGCTAGGTGGAGAGGTAACTAGTTCTTCATGATAAGATAGACGATCGTTAAATAATGTCGTGCTTTCTTGTTTACGTAGATCGTCACTAGAAAATAAGGGTTCCGGTAAATCATGAACATCATTTGGTATAGTATCATTGACTTCATAAGGTAAAGTATCTGGAGAACTATTGCTATAATCAATCCTATCTGTAGGGTTATACGGTGCTGTATCAGGCAATGATGACTCGGAAGAATTAGAACGATCAAGCGTGTTATTCATACTGTCAATTTCAGGAAGATCTTTTAAAGGATCATCAAATATAGGAGAAGAATCTAAAGAAGGACTGTTATTATTATTATTATTATCAGGTAGAAGAAGATCATCTATTTGATTGGATGCTACATCATGACAATCTGGAGTATCTACAAGATAAGGTGCAGTAGTTGCTGTTGTATCTGAATTTGTGCTACCAGAAGAATTATAATTATCTGGACTGTCAATATTATAGGGGGCAGTGGTAGTGTCAGAACTTGTATCAGGGAAACTGATATCAGATCCTTGGTGATAAAAATCATTGTTGGGTAGTGATAATGAACGTGGTAATAAATCATCCTCAATATCCTCTGATAAAATACGATGATCTTCAACAATTCCAGAATATCCATTTATGGTAAATGATAAATCAAGCTGTTGTTGGTCCTCTGTCTCTCGTTTTGACTGCTCCTTAAAAGCAATATCAGGCAATGAACAAAGTGAATTTTTATCATGATCATCTTCAGGTAATCGTAAAGAATCATTAGTTAATGAAGGAAGTTCTTCAGTTCGATGACTATCTTTTATATGGCTTGAAGTCTTGCTTAAACCCCAATGAGGATTTGAATCTTCAACATGCGATTCTGGTAGGGTAGTATTCGAAAACCAATTATCAATAAATGTTTGTTTGTAAGATTTGCCTTTTCCTTTTGAACCCATTGAATCTTCACGAGTTTGCTAATGATAACACGAAAAAAAATATTAGTAATTGCGTATTTTTTTTTTGTTTAAAAAAATATATTATTAATACACTTTATTACCAGTAGTGATGCGGAAGAAGTATTTGAAACTGCCTCTAATATACAAGTAAAGTTTTTTTTTTTAAGGATCAGTTTTCATTCTGAGTCAATTCTTTTTTTTTTTTTTTTTTACCTCCAGAGTAAGTTCTATTGTCTAGTTTCGTTAAAAATGATAACCCACTTGGTTGCCTTGTAGGTGGTATCTCACTAACTGTTATCAATTCATCAATATTATCCATTGTTAATTAGATGAATATATTTAGGTACCAAAAAAAAAAAAAAAAAAAAAAAAAATACAATTTTGTCATGAATTGAGAATGATACACTGGGGTGTATATAACTTTTTATTAATTTTTATTTTCTTAATTTTGTCCAAAATACATGATTTCTACGCAAAAGATTGTATTGAGATATAATTCTCGAATATGTTATCTTAGAAAGAATAAATATATATGCATATATGTATGTATTCGACATAGTGATAGAATGATTATGTTTACTTACAAAGTATAGCAATTACATCTGATATAGGCATAATACATAAACTATAATAGTATTTGCTTGTGAATCTATATCTTGACTAGAACAATGATCGACTGTATTAAGAGGAATGCAATAAACTTAGATATGTGTATTATTATCATTTAATCTTCAATCATAGTATTTAGCAGGGATAATCTACAAATAACAATAGTACATAATAATCACGACACGTATATTAAAAATATTCATTATTGCTATGCTATAAATATTTTCAGTTGTACTTGATCTTGAAGTATTCAAATATGTAAAGGTCTGTAATTCCTACTAATGTTTAATGATTATTAACAATTTTTGCTGGTATTTTTATTATAATCTTTATTATTGATTCAAGTTTTAATTTTTTTTTCCTTCCTTTATGTCAAACAAGTATTCTACTCAGGATTTACAATTTATGATTTGTTATACAAAATATCATAGTGACCTAGGATAATGTTAGAAACAAAAAAAAAATAGTATACATAATATGTATCCTTACCTGGCCTATATATTAATTTAATAGGCGTCTTAGTTTTATCGTCTTCATTTGGCCAAAATTCATGTATAGCTGCTCTGTCATCTATACCCCCATCTAAATATACAATCTGTATAGGTACATCTAATGCTTTACTGAGAGCAATGATTTGTAAATGATCTGATTCTCTACCAAAGGCTTCAACATGCATTGAACAAAATTCATCAATAGATATCATTTCATCAATTAGAAATGGCTCATATTCAGCAGAATGAATACGAAGGTAAGCAGAAGCTATGAACCGAAAATGCATTACAATAGCATTACTTATTTCATCTGTTTGAAATCCAATCAAAAGCATATCAGGATCGTTCTTATTTAAGGATTCATATTGTTGTAGTGTTACTTCATAAAAGTCTTCATAGGCTAACTTTTCAAATCCGCCTAGTTGTAATAAATTCTCTGTTTCTTTAAGTTTTTCAAGTCGTAAGTTGTATATACATTTATCTTTAATTGCGCTTTCAAACCATGCAAAAGCAAAAGCTTCAAAAAAAACCTGTTTAAAAGTCTAAATTGAATTAAATCTTTACATATTCTTCAAATACCTCGAAAGAAGCAGTTGCCTATATTATTTATCAATTAATGTTTATGATGGTGTTATTTATTTGTCTTTATCCTACCATCCCCACGACATTTTCTTATACTATCATGATCGTTATTTAGATTCTACATTAACAAACATATTTAAATATATTAAGATACATCTATTCAGTTCTTTTTTTATATATATACATATATATACACTTACAGTAACCTTCTTAAAGAAAGGCATGTTGTCTTTATATTCTTCAATAAGCGTTGAAATAGATTCTTTTTGACAAACTAATGGTATCTATTTAAATTCAATCTTTAGACAACATGATTATAAATGACGGCTATGTTATTATTATTTTTTTTGTAGCAATGTACTTTTTGAGCTTCTTCATCTTTTATTTGTTGTTCAAACTGTAAGATTTGTTCATCAGAGAGTACTGATTCTTCTTGATTAGACATTTTTTCTATTTAACACAGAAACCGAGAAAAAAAAAGAGTTAAATTCTATATGGGGTTGTTTTTATTTATTACGTGACTTATGTACATGTGTGTATCACTTTTTTTTTCTTTTTCTTTTTTTTTTTTTTTTTTTTTTTTTTTTTTTTTTTAATTTCTTCTATTATCAAAACGCATAATAATGACAACTAATATGGATGAACAGGGAACATCTGAAGACTTGGCTTCTTATGTAAATACACATAATACTAGCAATACATGTTTATATACTCACCTGAAAGAATAATGTTAAACCAATTAATAAAATTAGTTTATGGATGTAGCAAATAAACTTGTAAGCTTTTATTATTATTATTATTGTTATTTACCATTGTAGTATAGTATAAATAAGACATTCTAATAGCAAGCTAAATTGGATGATGCAAGCGATAAAATGACTAAAAAATGTAACTATTTAGATTAAAATATTTAACGTACTCAATATTTTTTTTTTTTTTTTATATAGTAGATGAAATGTCTAAAAAAATAGACACCTTAGAACGTTCTTTTTTACAGCAAATGGAAGAAACATCAAGCAATAATGGTATTAATTTGCAAGGAGCAAACGACAAAAAATAAACATTGTCATAGATATTCAAATACATATACACACATACATACATATATACATATATACACATAATAAAGCTCATTTATGTATGCCTATATCTCTTTATTTAATTATCAGCTTGAACCCAATCAACGTTGGCAGGTGTCCAATCAATAAGCTCACCAGCTTGACCAAACCATAAACCAATTTCCTTTTCTACAGACTCAAAGGAATCGGAACCATGAATAATATTACGACCAACAGAAATCTAAATATTTATAATATTAATATCCGTATATTCAAAAAAAAAAAAAAAAAAAAAAAAAAAAAAAAAAAAAAAAAAAAAAAAAAAAAAAAAAACTCCCTACCGCATATTGACCACGAATTGTACCAGGATCAGATCCAAGAGGGTTGGTAGCACCTATCATTGCACGTCCTTGCTTAATAACATCCTTTCCTTCCCAAACCTATAAGAAAATATATAATTTTTAAGATAAATGGTTCACACTATACAAATAGTATTCATTATCTTACCATGGCAATAACAGGTGTACCACTGGTCATGTAATTAACAAGTCCTGAGAAAAAAGGACGAGATTTAAGATCTGCATAATGCTTTTCTGCCAATTCCTTAGAAGGAGCAATAGCCTTTAATCCAACAAGTTTGTAACCACGTTCTTCGAAACGAGAAATAACCTTACCAACCAAGCCGCGTTGAACACCATCAGGCTAAAATTAGTAGAAAAATTATATTTATTAGATTTATTGTTAGAAAAAAAAAAGTTTCCATAATTTAAAATACCTTAACAGCAATGAAGGTCCGTTCACTAAACGTTCCCCTTTTTTTTTTTTTTTTTTTTTTTTTTTTTTTTTTAATAAATTATATTTAAAGAGATAATTAGTATTCAGTCATTTTAGATCTGTGTTCATATTAACATATTTACTGAACACCTGCAATTGGCTTAGAGTCAGCAGCAATAGATTCTATAATTTTTAAAATTTGTAAATAAAAAGGACATCATTCTTTGTAGCACTGCTTCCATCTATCAATATAATAAAATGAATACACGTACTTTGTAAATAGGCATAAGAGAATGCACTGGCAGTAGCAACACCAACAGCAGCCAAAGTCAAATGGAAGCTTGTTTTAGTGGTAGTATTACGTGCTTTAGTAGTGAAAGTACGAGCTGGATTTTTTGTTTTGTTTTTTTATCATTAATATACAATACACTATGTTACATGACTTCATTACCTTTTACTGTAAAACTAACAGGTCTAACAGCTATTTTATAGTAGCTTGTATAAATATATAACATTTATGACTTCTATATATAGGTATATTTATACATACCTGAACGAACAATGGTACGAGCAAACATGTTGGTGAATATATAAATGGGAAAGAAGGTGAAAAGAAAAAAAAAAAAGACTTGCGTTACTTGTTATAGTTGTTTTATTTGGGGAAATTTTAAATCAATAAACCGGGGAGATAAAAATAACATAACATATGTCATTATAATGTATGCTGCTTATTCTTATAAAGCTGATTTTAAATTGTTGGGTTTTTTTTCAATTTTACACATCATGCTTTTTATTAGCTATATTGAAGTTGCTATCCTTTTTTTTTTAACAGAACAATGGATCAAATTTGATACTAACAGGCTTATTTGCATAGATAGAAAACCTTAAGGTGAAGTAAGATTCTGGGACCCAAATATCCCCTCCCCTTATGATACTATGGATCATAGTATTATTTGGAATATTCTTCAACCAATACTCCGGCCTATTTTACTTTATTATAACACATATTTGTTGATGTCTCCATTGAAGTTTTATTATCCAAAATTGCTTTATTTAGATTCATACCTACTTCTAACGCATTTCGGAGCACTATTCAGTCATCATTTCTAAATTCTTACTATATTAACGGTCAGCCAGTCAGCTTTATTTAGGTCTATTTCTATATCAAATACAATAATATCTAGTGTTGACTGCTTATTTTATGTGGATAATATTGCACTGCTCGCTTCTAATCAAATCTTACAAAGACTTCTCGATCTATATCAGCAGCATAATTTACAACTTGGCTATTCGATAGAATCTAACCAAGCGTGCAATTCTCATTACATCGAATCATAATACAACTTACATTTTATATGCTCAACCTTTACCTCGTCAAGAGTTTCTTTTTCTATCTATTTTGGTATTTCTTTCCAAGATACTGATGTTTTTAGTGTCAAGAATCTTATTCAGCATAATACAGAAAAGCCTCATATCTCTATGCAAGTTCTCAAACATACTAGCATCAATGCATTTGATTTCTCCAAATTATTATCGACACACGATTGTATAAGCAAATGATACAACCTTAAATGGAGTATGATTTGGTTATCTTTAGATTTACAGTTGCTCAGCAGAGACAATTAGAATAAACTTAGGATACTTGCTTACGTACAATCTTCGGGGGGGATGTTTCACATACTACTCTTTAACAAAAGTAATACGAGATATGTATAAAATATCTTCCACAGCGAGAACGATACCACACATACAATGCAAATCAAGTTTATTCAATGGTTCATTTTCACTTCCTGATGATGCACTCTTCTCAAATGCTTACTACCATGATATTACTAACCTCATGTCAGGTCAATGGTATAAACTTACAAATACACTCTTTACCAAGACTTTTTTTTTCCCGTCTCATTAGACAGCAATACTATTTCAGTATTTCATAAATATCAACAACGATTTTCTTAAAAGATAAAATATTCAACGGGCACTTCAACACACATACAGTAAGTTATTATCTGTGTGTCGCTCAACTCGATCCCTGGATCCAATCCTTTGATCGCCTATACATCCCATCCTATTCTATTAAACATAGTAGTTATATTCTATGATGGATACCCAAACTTTGCTCATGTCTACAATACAAGCTCACCTATATCATGCAATGCTTCCTCCATGTACACACCAGTCTAAAACATCCCTACAGCTATTGCTAACTCTATTTCGTATATCATCAATATGCTACCTAAACGACCTCTCAACTCATTTACTAAGCTAGCATAGTAGAAAACTTTTTGGGTCCTTCTCTAGCAAATCTTATCACTTGTAAATTTAATACAACATAGTATGCTAATCTTTACTGCTAATATTATTTATAGATTCCTATTTCATTCATTGTATTCAAAAACATTAGATGCAATATCTATACTCCCCCCTTTTTTTTCCCTTCCTTTTCTCTTTCTACATTTTTTTTTACTTGAACCCATAAAGATGGGGATTTTTTTTCTTATTCCCTGTATTTTGAACTAGTCCAAAGGAATTTTTGGTATATAAAATACTCGTGTTCATCTGAATCTTTGGAAAAAAAAAACTAATAGTATATTATTGCAATAAAAAAGCAGGAAATTTGAATATTGTATATTTTAGAGAATACAATCAAACTGTGTATTTTATATTTTTGTTTAATTCATTTTAGTTATAATGCATGTATTTTTCTTTTTCTAGAAATTTATTTTAATATATATTACCATGCTATTAAATTTCTTTTGCATGATAAAAATGCATAAAGCTTAATTATTAGAGATGCATAATATGAGGATTACTTTTTGTGGCTTTGTGACCTATAGGTGACTGTTTGCATATTTAGTCGGAACATTTAAAATTTTTTTTTTCACTGTATAACAATTTTAAGAAAACAAGACAGTTGTTCTTTCCTTCCCTTTTCTCCTTTGTGAGCTTAATATAATAGTTGAAATGTCTGCTGAATACGAGGGTGCTATCGGTATTGATTTGGGTACTACGTAAGTGTTATAAAATGTTATACATACACATATACATATACATATATACATACATACATACATATATATATATATACATGTGAATGCATATATTTCAACATTATTACAATTTCACATAAACAGTTTACCATTTACGATAAATCTAAAACTATATTTTTTTTTCTGTTTTTCATCTTAAAATAGTTACTCCTGTGTTGGTGTTTGGGAAAGTGAACGTGTTGAAATTATTGCCAACGAACAAGGTAACCGTACTACTCCTTCTTATGTTGCTTTCTCCGATAACGAACGTCTTATTGGTGATGCTGCTAAGAATCAAGCTGCCATGAACCCCAAGAACACCGTTTTCGATGCCAAGCGTCTTATTGGTCGTCGTTTCGATGATCCTGAAGTCAAGGAAGATATGAAGAACTGGCCTTTCACTGTTATCGATAAGAACGAAAGCCCTTTTGTTCAAGTTGAATTCGAGGGTGAAACCAAGACTTATTCTCCCCAAGGTAAAAAAAAACGACCATGAATATAATAGAGGAAAAAAAATAGTAGCTTTGCATTGTAACGTTTTTTTAATATGATAAATTAATGTAGAAATTTCTTCTATGGTTCTTATCAAGATGAAGGAAATTGCTGAAGCTAAGCTTGGTAAGAAGGTTTCAAAGGCCGTTGTTACTGTTCCTGCTTATTTCAATGACAGTAAGTATATATAAATATATATCTGTGTATTATAAAATAGTGTGGATAATTAAATTATTTTGATTATTATAGGTCAACGTCAAGCTACTAAGGATGCCGGTACCATTGCTGGTCTTGATGTTCTCCGTATTATTAACGAACCTACTGCTGCCGGTAATATATATATTTATATATACATATATATTTTTAGAAAAAAAAGCAACGTTATAAGATTAAGGATATGTGTAAACTGATAATTCAATATAAATATAGCTATTGCTTATGGTTTGGATGCTAACGATAAGACAGAACGTAATGTTCTTATTTTCGATTTGGGTGGTGGTACCTTTGATGTTTCTCTTTTGACCATCTCTGGTGGTGTCTTCGCTGTCAAGGCCACCGCTGGTAACACTCACTTGGGTGGTGAAGATTTCGATAACAACCTTGTCAACCACTTTGTCCAAGAAATCAAGCGTAAGCACAAGAAGGATATCACTGGTGATGCTCGTGCTCTCCGTCGTCTTCGTTCTGCCTCTGAACGTGCTAAGCGTACTTTGTCTTCATTGACTCAAACCACCGTTGAAGTTGACTCTCTCTTCGATGGTGTTGACTTCCAATCTAACATCACTCGTGCCAAGTTTGAAGAAATCAACTCTGCTGCCTTCCAAGGTACTGTTGAACCCGTCGAACGTGTCCTCAAGGATGCCAAGATTGATAAGAAGAACGTGAACGAAATTGTTCTCGTTGGTGGTTCTACTCGTATCCCCAAGATTCAATCTCTTCTCCAAGACCTCTTTGATGGTAAGGAATTGAACAAGTCCATTAACCCTGATGAAGCTGTTGCCTATGGTGCTGCTGTTCAAGCTGCCGTCCTTACTAACCAAGCCGGTAACGAAAAGACTCAAGACCTCCTTCTTTTGGATGTTGTTCCTCTTTCTCTCGGTGTTGAAATGCAAGGTGGTATCATGGCTGTTGTTGTTCCTCGTAACACCCCCATTCCTTGTCAAAAGTCCAAGGTCTTCACCACTGCTGCTGATAACCAAACTACTGTCACTTTCCCTGTCTATGAAGGTGAACGTTTGATGACCAAGGAAAACAACCTTCTCGGTGAATTCTCCCTCTCTGGTCTTATCCCTGCTCCTCGTGGTACTCCTGAACTTCTCTGTACCTTCGATTTGGATGCTAATGGTATCTTGAAGGTTACCGCTCAAGATAAGACCACTGGTCGTAAGGCTGATGTTACCATCTCCAACTCTACTCGTCTCTCCGCTGCTGAAATTGATCGTATGGTTGAAGATGCTGCCAAGAATGCTGATGCTGATAAGGAACGTGAAGCTGTTGTTCAAGCTAAGCAAGACCTTGAAGCCTATGTCTATCAAGTTGAAAACAACATCTCTGATCCTAATGTCAACATGAAGCTCCGTCGTGGTGATCGTGAAGCTATCGAAACCGCTCTTGCTGAAGCCATGGAACTTATGGAAATCTCTGCTGATGAAGCTAAGGCCGATAATCTCAAGGCTGCTCAAGCTAAGTTGAAGCGTGCTTCTACTCGTGCTTTCGCTCATGTTTACTCCCAACGTCGTTAATATTTCAACTTCATACTTATAAAAAGAAATATGTTTTTTTAAAAAAAATGTTTTTATTTTGTTTAATTTTTTTTTGCACTTGTTTATAAATATATATGCACTTTACATAAAGAAAAATAATACCGTATGAATCTACATTAAAAGATTCTATCATAAATGAAATCATTACAAAAAAAAAAAAATGGTTTGTCTGACAATTAATTCATTCGTAGTCGATTTTAATTAATAAATTATGCCGAATTAAAAAAAAAAAAAAAAAAAAAAAAAATAGATATTAGAATGTCATATTAAAAATATTAGTTCGAAAAAAAAAAAAAAAAAAAAAAAAAAAAAAAAAAAAAAAAAAAAAAAAAACAGATAATTTGTTTAGTAACCTTGATGTCTTTTTTATTATTATTAATGCCCCTCATAGCTTTTCTAGTTAAATATGACACTTCTGCTTAATAAATAAATAAATAAATACACATGTATAAAAGAAAATAAGCTTTTTTTTTTTTTTTTTTTTTTTTTTTTTTTTTTTTTTTTTACAATAGTGAACTCATTTAAAATGAACATCATGTATCACACATTCAAATAGATCCCATAAATGGATATCATCTTTTATGTTAATCCTCATTAGACGCTTAGAAACTAGTTAACAGTAAAATGAAATTAATTTGAGAATATCCCTTGTTTGATAGGTAATCAATGCGTTTTATCCGAACACACACACACATACACATACACATATAATATATATATATATATCTGTATACCTATAAATATATAAAACAATATCTCATTATAGCCTATAATATTTTAATTAATTTCGTTTAATCTTTATTCTATGTTATATTAAAATAAATAAAAAGTCCCTATATTAAAAGAAATATACATACAATAATAGACATAGTGGTGGGGTGGCATGCGCCATTCTATACTTACAAAATGATACTCGGTCTATTTCTAGAAGATATATATATATATCTTAATATATATACATGTATACATATACAACTAAGACTATACATTGTCTAACATATAAAAGCTGATATACATATATGCATATAACATAAAAAGCGCATATACATTTATAATCGAAAGAGGAGACTCTATATTATATTGTACGATTGAATATGTGTGAAGGAGATTATTCAGAGAGTTGTTGAGGAGAATAAATATATAAAAAGAAGAGATATATATAATTTACTAGTGTTTTTTTTTTCCTCATAAATAATTTAAACGTTTATATTTATTTATATAATAAATCAAATACACTATAATCCTCAGTTTTTTTTTTTTTTTTTTTTTTTTTTTTTTTTTTTTTTTTTAAGTTTAGACAATTTCATCAATTTATATTTTACACTATTATTTGAATGTATATATTAATTACAGATAGAAGGGAGATTTATAACTTATTCAAGCAAGCAAGCAAGAAAAAAAAAACTCCTTCTCTACTGTAGTATGTGGCTATAATTCCTTTCTCCTATATGAGCTTTATATCTAAAAATACTATTTAATAACAAAATAAATATGAGTACTATATATACATATGTGTATGTATGTATGTATGTGTGCGTATGGTGGCAATGAAACTTATTTGTTAACATTCTTATTCCACTACACTCCTTATCTTTTTTTTTTTTTATGAATATATACATACACACACATATATATATATATCTATCTATATATATATCTATATATACATACTCATATGCTTGCGAAAGGAGTATATATGTTTAGATTGAAATCTATAATGTCAATAGACAACAAACATTAGAAAGGATTCATTTAGTAATAAAGAGATAGATTTACAAAAAAGGAGAACTAATTTATAACAGTTCAACAAAAAAAAAAAAAAAAAAAAAGAATTATTGAAAAAGGAGGAGTAAATAGAGGGGAACGAGAGTAATATAGAATTTAATATAAATATAGAAAACAAAAAACAAAAAAAAAAGAAGCTTTTTTCTTCGTTTTCTTTCTGCTGCTTATATTTATACAACAACAATAATAATAATAAAGTTATGAAATCAACCTGTATTTTACCTTCACTTTCAGACATTTTGAATCCTTTGCCTCAGCAGGATTATAAATCATATCAACAAAGAAATTTATCTAATGCTAGACTTAAGGTTTCAAATTTATTGTTATCCAAAAATGATATAGTATATGAAGAAGAACCTGTTAAAGCAAAACGAAAAAGAGCTTCCAGTTCTCAATTGAATATCCTGAATCGTGTATTTGAACAAACATTTTTTCCTTCCACTGAGCTTAGAATAGAATTAGGAAGACAGCTTGGAATGAGTCCAAGAACAGTTCAGATCTGGTTTCAGAACAAGCGACAATCACTTAGAATGAAAGAAAGAGCAAGCTATAACCATCTAATTCGTTCACCACCCATTTCGCCTTCATCTAATCATACATACTCATTTAATAATGCAAACCATCAAACAAAGTCGGTTTATAACACTCTACCACCACTTAAATTATCACAGGCTTCAACTATCTTCCCTTTAACGCCTTCATCATCTGCTCAACCAAGTCCAACATCCTTCGATCATCCTATTATACATCATGAATATTATAAATCATAAAGTTAAGGAATGTCAAAAAAAAAAAGAAAAGACATCTTTATGTTCTTGCATACTTATGTGATTCCCCCCCCCTTTTTTTTATTATCTTTTTTATAAATTGTTGTTGTTTACTTGCTTGCTAATTTTCGTGAGGAGAGTATTTTTTTTTTCTGTGTTTAATTGTTTTGTTAAAGAAATACAGAATAACATGATAGTAGTGATTTCTATAGCTACTGAAGTACATATTTATATGAAACTAATAAATTTTTGTATATGCAATGTTTTCAGATCAAGTTATCATATTTGGCGATTTTGCTAAATTCATGAAATATGTTCAATGACTGCATTATATCTAATTTAACATATCTATTTTTAAGTAAATACAAAAAAAAAAAGTTAATAATATGAAAAGATATGATGCTTTATTTTACTGAGCTTCGGTTTTTTAGTATCTTCGTTTATAGCTTGAAAGAATATTTATACGTATATAAAGATCATTCTATTTTAAGGGTTCTATTTTTGGGAAACTATTAACTTTATAATACAAAATAGAATAAACGATGATTTACATTTATAATAAATAATATATACTTTACGCTAAGCCCTTTTTTTTTTCTTTTAATATCTATTAAATTAGAGACTTTATTTATGGAACCAAATGTTATTTATTCTTTTCCTTACTAATGATTATTCAACTTGATAAAAAAAAAAAAAAGGAAAATTTTTTGTATTTTAGCTTCAGTAATACCAGGCTTTCATTTCCCTCTTAATGATGTATATTAATCCAATCATCAAATAAAGTGGTTGGAAAATCAATTAAATGATATAATATGTATTAAGGAGTAAAAAATAATGACACACACACACACACGTTTTGCAGAGTATATAATATTGTTAGCAAATAATCTTCAGTTTTATTTATAGTATACACATGTTAAATAGTAAATGAATGATAAATCAAATCAAGTGTAGAAGTAGAAAGAGTAAATTTAGTGATCATAAAAAAAATTCTTCTAAAAGAATTACACCAACAAGTTAATAAGAGTTGAAAAAAAAAAAACTACCTTTTAGATATTTGATCGAACCTAAAGTTTTCATAATTAATGGGTTATCTACATAATTATGATAATTTAGTAATTTATATTTGTAAAAAGTATATTAATCACTTGGTTGATTTAAGACGTATATAAGCTTAAATCCATACTATACTATACAGTCGATTATAAATATATAAATATATGTTTTGCTTTTAGTATAATCTTACAAAGAGAATCATCGTAATATTATGTATTTATTGCTTTGACATGATAAATAAGCACAACATGTTATTAGTTACATAACACTGCTTATTCCCCTATTAGCTGTTTAATTTTATGTATAATCATTTCTTATCTAATGGGTAGTTAACACAGTTATCATACTGCAACTTTTTTTTTCCGGAAATAGACTGCAGCCACTACAGGGGAGAATATGATTTAGACAGGGCAAAAAAAAAAAATAAATCATTTGCAACACAAATATAGAAAGAAAGAAAGAAAAAAGCAGCACATAAGCTACAGTTGATAGTGATCAATACTGATTTTTTTTTCTAGATGAACGACGCTGAGAACAGAATTATTGATAGTTACTCTAATAAAAAATTGATATGAGATGCTGAAAACTGTTTCTGTTCAACTAGAGATTACAAAAATTGTTTCAGTTTGTATTCTGACAGTTTGAATTTATTCTCCTTGCCCAATTTCATTCATTTGAGCCAATTTCTGCTGAACAAAGATTTTTTTTTTGACAGCGAATCATACTATATATAGAGTTCGAATGGAGGCAACAACTGCTAGAATACGATTAAAGAAGAATTTTATTTAAAAAATTAAAAAATGACCAATGAGCACATAGCATTTATATATGCTGTTTTGTCCTGGCCAGATCGCTATGAAAAAAAAAAGGAAAGAAAAACCCCTTTGGGATAAAAGGAAAAATGATAAAGTATATGTATAAGTGATGATAATTAACTGCCAGAAAATCGTTATTGTATTGAAAGAAGATGATGATCAGAGGGTTCAGGGATTTGGGAGTGAAGCAAGATAATCCATCTCCAAGCAGAATTGCATATATAGAAGGCCAGCGTATAAGCCAGGCATCAATTGATTTTCTCACTTTCTTAGTAAGGAATGTTGATGGTAATAGGAGGTTCAAGAGATAAGAGAGTGAGTGGATCTTCAATAGATTTGGGGCATCTGAAGGCGGTTATGCATATACATCCAAAAATACTATGTGACCGTGTGTGTTTGAATAGAAACTAGAATTTTTCTCTCGTGTTTTTTAATTTTAGTAAATTGCACTTTAGAGAGTAAGTTTTGTTAAAAATATATATATATATATCTTTATAAAAAAAAAACAAACTAATAGTAAATTGTTGACAAACTATAGTATATCACAATTAATGCCAAACGGAGAGAATACAATCTTGTTCAACAATTATGTAAGGTCAGACGGGTTTGCAATCGACTTTGTATTCAACAGACGACGCAAAGATAGTACCGTTAGATTACATGACTTGACACTCCAAGATTTTACTTATAGTGAAGTTGAGAGTACTTCTAGGCCTACCTTTATCAACCCTGGTAGGAAGTCTGTAATTATTGCGGCTGTTGGGTTGGGGGACTCCCAACAAATAAGAAGATGTAGTACGAAAGAATATTACACTATGACTGGATCCAAAAACTATCAGAAAAAGATGGAAAGGCTAAAAAATGAGTGAGGTATCACGTCTATTGAATCAGAAATGCCTACGGCCAAGACAAATCAATCTGAATTATACGACAAGTATGTAGAGTATATGCTACGCTACAGACAAGTTTTGTTCAATTTCTATGACTTTCAAAGAGCAAAAGATCGGGTTTACGTATATCAACAAAGGCAAAAAGCGGCGCAGATCATGGTCAATATGATAATAAACAGTGGCAAGAAATATGACCGAAAGCAAAGGAAAAAAAAAGAGAAGAAGAAAGGAAAAAAATAGCTCATGTGTTCCCGAATTGATTGTGGCCAAGTAAGCCAACAGACTTTATTTTTTTTTTCACGTTAATTGACGTATTTCACAATATAGAGTAAAACGGAGGCCCGCAAAGTTTAGTCAAGATGCCACCAAGGTCCCGCTAATAGTTTTTGGAGCAGGAATGTTTGGAAAAGATGGCATAAATCTTAAAGGAAATAAATGCGGTGCTACTGGTGTTTTGTTGAGGGCGGTTAAGAGGAGGGAGAAAGAAGGTGATCTTTTGGCGATAACTATTGATGAGTTCAAGACATCAAAAATATGCTACAAATGCTACGATGATTCGCTCAAAAAAGTAGAAAATATGAAAGGTTCCAGTGTTCTTGCTTGCAAAAACTGTCGAACACTGTGGCAAAGGGATTATAATGCTGCTAAGAATATGTCGCTCATATCGTCATATATCTAGAATGACTACGATCATCCTTCCATGTTCCTCCCCACTAGATCAACTAGATCAATTTTTTAATTTTTTTATTTTTATTTTCATGAATCGCCGTAGTAAACACGGCTTCCCTTTTAGGGATTTAGATTTTTACAGGTAAACATCTGAAAAGCACTGTTTTTTTTCGTCTAAAACTAATTTCTTTTTTGTCTAAAAATCAATTTTAATTCATCCAAAAAAAAAAAAAAACTAACATCGCCTGTATTTGAAGTGTAAAAACTGTAGGTACAAATTACAATGTTATTTTCAAATTCTTCAGTATAGGTGCCATAATATTTCTAATTAAATATCAAAATATAAGCAGTAACCTATATATCGAAAATCAAACATATACTACCTTATACCCGAGTGATAATGTTGTATATTAGCTCCTTTATCTTTGTTGTATCTCTTTTCGCAGTACATTTCATTATCTTTTTTCTTCTTCTTCTTCTTCCTAATAGGGTCGTAGAGACTGAATAAGAAAATGTTTTTAGTTCCTGAGAAAGCCATACATAGATTTTTACTTACATTCTCAGGGATATTTTATGAGTTTCTCAACATATCACCAATTAAAATACATTTTGCAATATTCTCTTCTATAAAACAAGCCAATTGACGAGGCTCGTCTTTATATATAAATATATTTTTTCCTCAAAATAAAACTATTAATAGCATTTAAAGTCAAGCTTTCTACCTTATTTACTTCTTAGTGAATGAAGAAGTTTTTTTTTTAATATTATGAGTCTGTGAAAGATTTTAAATTTTGTTATATTTTATAGTGGAATCTTTAACCCTTATTAAAGTTTAACTATGAACTGTAGTAGTGTTTGTGATATTGAATCTCCGCTACTTTCATATATACAAATATGTGAATGTGTGTATATATAATTTATTTTTTATTTTTTATATTACCAATAAGCCTTCATATTCCCTTTTTTTTTTTCTTTTTCCTTCCTTCCTTTGACAAAAGCTAATAATGGAAATAAATAAAGATGAGGCACTTCGTTGTCTTTTAATTGCAAAAAATCATTACGGAAACAAGAATTATGAAGCAGCGCTTCGTTTAACAAAGAAATCGCTTAAATTATATCCAACAGATGAGGCAAAAGAATTTTTAGCAAAAGCTGAAAAGGCTGCGAGTTCCACCTCTTCAACATCTTCCTCACCAAAGATGCCCTCGACTGAAGAAAAACCAAAGACAAAAGAAAGTTCATCGAGTAGTCAACAAACAGCTGAAGTTCGAGAAATTTTGGCTTGTGGTACTGATTATTATAAAGTTTTGAAACTTGACCGTCAATGTACTGATGTCGAGATCAAAAAATCTTATAGGAAGGTAATCTTACTCAGTTTAATGAACCAACTATAGTGTAAATCTTTTTCTTTTTTATTTATTTATTTATTTATTTATTTTTTATAGCTTGCTCTAAAATTCCATCCTGATAAGAATAAGACACCTGGTGCTGATGAAGCATTTAAACGTAATTAAATTGTTATATACATGTATATAAATATTTATAAACACAGTTCTTAATTCATTTCTTGTTATAGTCATCTCCAAGGCATTTACAGTTTTATCAGATCCTCAAAAGAGAGCCATTCATGATGCTGGAGGAGGAGATCCTGAGCAAAGAGGAGGAGGAGGAGGAGGAGGGGGATTTTCTGGATTTTCTGGATATCGAGCACAAAACTACGGAGCTTCACCATTTGGAGAAGAAATTTCGCCTGAAGACTTATTTAATATGTTCTTTGGGGGCGGTGGTATTAATATGGCAAACCTACATAGACAAGGAGGTGGAGGATTTTCGTTTGGTGGCCCAGCAGGATTTAGTAGTGCCACCTTTGTTGGACCTGGTTTTCGCGCTCGTACCTTTAATAGACAAAGACATTATCAACATCAGCAACAACACCAGCAGCAACAGCAACAAAGATCAGGATGGTCCATCTTTTTACAAATTTTACCACTTCTTCTTTTATTTGGTTATACTCTGTTTTCAGGTCTATTAACAGACGAAACACCCATCTTTTCCTTTCAATCGACTTCAGTTTATTCTCAACCACGTATGACATCAACACATAAAGTACCTTATTATGTAGAGCCTAATGCTTTTAGACCTTATCTTCAAAATCATTATAAATTGTCTAAAGTTGAACAACAAGTTGAAATTGATTGGGTGCGCTCTTTGCAGCAATCTTGTTTATATGAACGTAAACAACAACAAATGAAATTAAATAATGCTCGTGGTGCCTTTGGTTTTGTGGGTCGTGATGAGAAAAGATATCAAGAAGCTTTAAATATGAAATTAACAAGTTGTGAAGAATTAAAAAAGTTTGGAAATTATAAATAAACAAAGACATATAAATAAATAAATAAATAAATATATAATAAAAAAGGGGGTATTTAAATTAGAGCTAATTCTAAAGTCCATGTACGTCTTGCCCATAAGCGAATAGATTCTCCTTTGATTTTCACTGTATTTCCATCCCACCAATATTTTCTCTTTCATACAGAAAAATGATTAGTTTTTTTTAAAAAAAAAAAAAAAAAAAATATTATTATTATTCACTTACTGCAGGTTTCCTCCAAAATAAAAGTAGCTTTTGTGCTGTAGCAAGATGATGATGACTGGGCCCTGTTGTTTTTAATGTAACTAAACTCATGCTTATGATGCAAGTATGTTTAGGTTCGAGTTCTCTATAACCCCACGTGCTTTCCTTTGAAAATCCAGCATCACATAGCATGTCGATCAAATGGTGTTCAGCGGCACTATTGTCTCTTTCTATATTTTTTTCAAGTGCAGTAAACACTTGATCTTGTCTTTTTAAATACTCTCCTGCAGATAATTTGATCTGATTAACTGTAAGAGTTGAATTAGTAGTGACAATGCAATAATATTCTAATTCTTCTCGAAGAACAATGATAGCTTGTTTATCTAGTAATGAAGGATAATAACGTGCTGCTGGAAGCGATGCAAATACTAATCTTTCATCTTCATCTTTTCTTCCCTCTGTTATCATCTGTGCTTCTTTATAACACTTTAATACGTATTGTAAACATGCTGCATCAAAATCAACTTCGGTACCCAAGACTGTTTCCTCCTCCTCCTCTTCAGATGGGCCTAATACTAAACCATTAGGGAACATGGCAATCAATAAACTTTCTGGTAAATTAACAAGTGTTTCTCTATCCAATTCAATATGAACACCACGCAAGTTTAAATCAAGTATTTGTGGGATAGCATCTTGGATAGTAGTGTCATGGTCTGAATCAATATCCTCGTAGTATTCTTGAGCTGAATAAATGAAATCTTCCTGACTATTTGAAGTCATGTCTGTAAAGGTGTCCAAAAAAAAAAAAAAAAAAGAAAAAGAAAGATAATCATATTTAAATAAAGTTAAATATATGTATCCCTTAATACCTAATTTCCCCCTCAAACAATAACATAAAATAAATAAATAAAAAAAAAAAAAAAAGCTCCAATTTATTTATTTAACTGTTTAAGCAGAGGTGGCAGTCTTTTGCTTAGAAGCAGACTTTTGCATAGAAGAAGTACGACGACGTTCCAACTTTTCTTGCTTTTGTTCCTTAACACGCTTGGCAAGCAATTGCTTGTATTCAGCTTCAGCTTCGCGAGAGGCTTCAGCTCTTCTGCGCTTAAGAGCTTGTCTATGTCTCTTACGTTGAAGAGTAAGAGGAGTGACAAGACGTTGAATCTTGGGAGCCTTGGTGTAGGGCTTCTTACCCTCAGCCTTAGGTTGAACCTCACGACGAATGACATACTTACGAACATCATCAGCCTTAGACAAGTTCTATTATCATTTAAATATGCATAAGTAAAATATATATCTATATATGAATGTATGTCTTTATCTATAACTTACGAAGAACTTTCTAATCTTGGAGGCACGCTTAGGACCAAGACGCTTAGGGACAGTAGTATCGGTCAAACCAGGAATATCTTGTTCACCTTGCTTAACAACAACAAGAGACAAGACAGAGAGATCAGAACCGACAATACAACCACGGACGGACTTTCTCTTACGTTCACCAGTACGACGAGGACGGTAACAAGAGTGACCCTTAGACATCAAGAGACGAACACGATGGGGCAAAAGAACACCTTGCTTCATAGGGAAACCTTGCTTATCGTTACCACCAGTAATACGGAAAACGTAACCTTTGAATTCATCGCCGAGAGAATCACCAGAGACTTCTTGGGCCATACGCTTATCATAGAAACCTCGGCTAATGTCCATAAAATAATATAAAAAAAAGAAAAAAAAAGAAAAAGAAAAAGAAAAAGAAAATCAATACAAATTCCAATTAAATCAAAATAAGCGTAATCAACAATTTATTCAAAAAAAAAATAATAATTCTTTTATAAACACTCACAGACGACGTTCGTCTTCGATTTCGATCAACTTTTGACAGCCGGTGGCTGGATTAGCGATGTTCAACTAGAATAGAGAAAACAATCAGCCTCTTTTTTTTTTCATTCCACCGAAAAAAAAAAAATAATGTCATGAATGTGATGAACAATTGTAATAATTTTCCTTTGTTCTAATTTTAATAGTTGGATTTGTAATGTCAAAATTGAAATTTAATCGTTCCTCTTCATTTATCGTATTGTATTTTTTTTTTTTTTTTTTTTTTTTTTTTTTTGTACAAAAAATCCATGTTATCCATTATAACTGTTATACATCCATCCATTTATCTATTGTTCTGTCTTTTTTTTTCTTTTTATATAATTCATCACATCCATGACCTTTTGTGATTTTACCTTCATGTTGGCGCTGGAAGAGAAGGGATAATTAAAGTTGAGGGCGGAATATACACATATATTGTGTGTGTGTATGTCTGTGTGTGTGTGTGTGTGTGCGTGTGCGTGAGTGTTTGTCCCGCACTTTTTATTTTACCGACGATACAATAGAAAGTCCGTCTTTATAATTTTAGTCCCTATTTTGTGATTTCACAAGCTTATAATGATTAAAAAAAAAAAAACTTGTGACAAGGGGAAATGTAGACGTATTTATTTTATACCTTTCAAATGTCTACTAAAGATGAATATGAAGTATCGACTATTGGAGAAGAATATACAAATGAGTATCGAATTTTCATAGAAAAAAATGGTAAAGTTATTTCACCTTTCCATGATGTCCCTCTCTTTGTTGATAGTGAAAAAAAGATTGTGAACATGATTGTTGAAGTTCCACGTTGGTCAAATGCAAAATTTGAAGTACATGAAAAAAAAAAACCAAAAAAAATGAAGGGAGGAAAAACTAAATTAAATACATTTTATATAAAAGATAGCAACAAATGAGCCATTTAATCCTATTAAACAAGATGTTAAAAAAGGTAAATTAAGATTTGTTCGAAATTGTTTCCCCTTTAAAGGTTATATTTGGAATTATGGAGCCCTACCACAGGTAAAAATACAGATATATACATCTAATGTTACAAGTAAAATAATGTATTATTTTTTTAAGACTTGGGAAAATCCTACAATAATATCGAATGATACAAATACAAGAGGAGATAATGATCCTATTGACGTCTGTGAAATTGGACAAGAAATTGGGTTTAAAGGACAAATAAAACAGGTAAAAATTCTGGGTATCTTGGCTTTATTAGATGAAGATGAAACGGATTGGAAATTAATAGCGATTGACATTAAAGACCCCTTAAGTCATAAATTGAATGGTAAATAAGAACAAGAATAAATATAATAGTAAATAAGGCCCTTTAATGATTACATAATGTAATATAGATATTCATGATATTGAAATTTATTTCCCTGACTTAATGAAAGCCACACGACAATGGTTTAAAATATACAAAATACCTGATGGTAAGTTAGCTAATAAATTTGGTTTTAATGGTGAATTCAAGAACAAGGTAATAATATAAATAAGTAATACATAAGCCTAGTTTAATATATGAATATCAATAAGGATTACGCCTATAAAATCATTCAAGAAACACATGAATCATGGAAAGGGCTTATTGAAGGAAGAATACCTTATAAATCCGACACTCATCATATCAATGTGTAAATATATAAATATGTATATAATACAATATTTTAGTAATGATTATGTAGGATGAATGTAACCATCAAGAATTCGCCTTATAAATTGTTACATGATGATGATAAAAAGACAATCATGATAAAGGTAATGCATTTAATGATAGATATACAAATATCTCACTATGCATTACTACTAGCATCTAAAGAAGCAATATAAAAGAAAATGCCATGTAAAAGAAAAAGATGATAAATGGTACTTTGTAGCCAAATCTCAACTTTAATAAAAAGGAGGGAAAGAAATAATAGCGTATTTTAGACTATGTAACTCTTTGAAGCCGCCAAAAGAAGAGATTTTTCATTCCCAATTAAAGGAGAAAAAAAAAAAAAAAATCTCACTTTCAACCTCAGAACAAAAAAAAAAAAAAAAAATTCATATTGATTAAATCCGTACTTTTTTTTTTTTTTTTTTTTTTTTTTTTTTTTTTTTTTTTTTTTTTTCTTGGGCGTTTGTTTATATAAAATATAAATAATATTCTTTTTCTTTTTTACATAAAAAAAAAGATAAGAAGTAATTTATATTATTTATTCCTTCATTTTATCTCTGTCTCTCTCTTTCTTTTTTGTTTGAGTGATTTACATTCATTTTCCCATTTGAAAAAAAAGGAAAAGAATTCAACATTCAACAAGAAATATAACCCATTCCTTTCCTTTCTTCTTTTATAACATTATTATTTTTTTATAATGAGTTTAAATACTGTAATTGCTTTTGCACTCTTATTAAAAAAGGTAATTGTCTTCTTCAGCTTATATCTATTTTTATATGAAATGAAATAAACTTTATTATAGATGACTCAAAAAGACTCAATGAAAAGAAAAACGACTCAGCAAAGATTACGAAAAACAACAAATAATAAAAAGGATACTATTCCACTTAGTTCAGAAGACGATGATAAAAGAACTTCATTGATTGTCTCGACTTCTTCAATGAAGAATACTTTATTAAAAGCCTCAGTTATAGTAGACGAAGAAGATGTTGTGATAATGGATACAGAAGAGAAGGAAGATTTTATTGATGAACTAAAGGTAACAACAATACTATTGTACTATTATGTTTTAAATACCAAGTCATCATTATAGCTTGAACAGATAACAATAAAAGCAAAAGAGAACAACAGTAAAAAAAAAAAAATATTATGTGTTACTTAATATTTAACTGTTCTACTGTAGATATTATTATACGTGACTTCGCTTATCCAATCGATTCTCCCTTGCATTTCGGTCGAAATAGTGTGTTAAAAAATAATCAATCTACTATTTCTTTGTCTTCCCCAGATTTTACAGGAAGAGATGCACGAGCCCTTTTCGATTTTAAACCAGAAACCGAATATGAAGTTGAGTTAAAAGCAGGTCAATCGATTTGGGTTCAATATCGTCAATGCCCGGTATTTATGTGTTACTCATAATAGCTAAAAGTAATATTAATTTCTAACCATATTTTAGGGCTGGTTAATTGCTGATGTTCAAGACGAAACTGGTTTAATTCCTGAATCTTATGTAGAATTTATTTAACAAAAAAAAAAAAACTTTTTTTTTCTTTGTTTTATAAATATACTTCTTTTTTCTTCATGTATTATGTAATGTATTTATTTACAATTTTTATATGATACATAGCTTTCATATACCTGAGTAGGAATTATTATGTAATACATATCATACATTAATAAATTTGAGATGCCAAAGTAACTCAAGACTTGATTAATTATTATAGACATTTTCTTCATTTACTTCATTATTAATCTTGAAAATATAAATACACTGATTATGCAAACAACAAAACGGACATAAATTGCTATATAAAGGCAAAAAGAAAAAAAGAAAATGGCCACTTATATTAGTCCAGTGACTATTACTCTTCATGTAGATTTTTACAGCAAGAAAATTTTACACTTTTTTTTTTTTTCAACATTTAATTTACTTTTATTCATTACCATTTATTTTAATTTATTCAACATGTGTTCCAAGAGAATATGATTGCTTGACAATAATATACAAGATTTATTGTGCAATACTAGATTATTTATTTACAATAGAAAGAAAAGCGATATATGATATATGAATATAAAAAAAAAAAAATTAAAAAGAAAAGGGAAAAAGGTTTTCTGCTGCTACAAATCTATTATTGATGTCTCACATATTTTCCTACAACTACAGCATGATCTCTTTCATAGGGTTCAAGAGTAAGTTGTTCTTGTGGCTTAATTCTTTCTTCTTGAAGCTTCTTGACTTCACGAGCAAAGACAGTAGCTGCATCAACAGTTGAGTCAATACAAGAAGCCTTGATAGAAATAACAATATGTCCTTCATTCTTAAGGAAATGATGAGCATTTAAAGCAATAATACGTGCTTGATCAGGTTGAGCAACATCAGCAAAAATAACATCTACCATGGGAACCAACATACGATATTTTTGAGGATGACGAGCATCTTCAATGATAGGGACAACATTAGTACGCTTCTTGGCCATGTTAATCAAGTCACGACCAGGACGATGAGAGAATTCAACAGCATAGACAGCACCTTCAGGACCAACGACATCGGCTACATGAGAAACTGAGGTACCAGAAGCAGCACCAAGATAAAGGACCTTTTTACCAGGTGCAATATGAATATGATCTACACCACCCAATACTGCAGCAGCCAATTTAGATCTGAAAGGATTCCAAACACGATATTCAATCTTTGTTCCTTCAGGACCATCTACAGAAATACGTTTCTCACCATAGACAGCTTCACCAGGAACTAAATTCTTAGTTACCAAAAGATCTTCCTTACCACGGGCAACAAAGATGCCTGCATGTCTATGAGGTTCAATGATAACCTTGGCACCTCCCTTGGCACCTCCACGGCCGCCTCTAGCGCCTCCTCTACCACCACGAGCACCACCTCTAGCACCACCACGGGCACCGCCTATTTTTTTTAAAAAAAAAAAAGAAAAGAAAATAATTTGTTATTAGTAATCTCATTACTAGTAATTAAGATCGACTAGAAACAAAATTGAAACATTGACTTTCTTCAATTAATGAATCCATGTCGAACAAACTAACTTACCACGAGCGCCACCTCTAGAACCTCCACGGCCACCTCTAAAGCCGCCACGGCCACCACGGCCACCACGATCACCACCAAATCCACCACGATTGCCTCCACGTCCACCACGAGCAGCTCCACGACCTCCACGAGATTCAAATGCCATTATATTTCTCTGTTTTATTTTTTAACAAAAAAAACTGTTATAAAAAAAATTAAAAAAAAAATAATTTTGATTTTCAAATAAGAAAAAAAAAAAAAAAAAAAGAGGAAAAGGTCACAAAACTACTGTCACAACTAATTGTGAATTACAGTCACGTCCTGCAATAATAATAATTCGAATGGCAAAATACTCTTCTGAAAAATCCTTCTTGATATGTTAAGAAACTATATAAATATATCCCAATTTTGTTTATATCAGCATGCATTTAGACATTTGAAAATAGAAGGTAAATTATGGAAGTGGTTATTTTTATATATTTTCTATTATTTAATAGTAGTATAAATTATGTAATAGCAATGCTTAATACATAGAAATCTATTAGCATAATAATTCAACAAAAGATTATACAACCACTACAGATTGAAATGAAATAAACTAATGCATAAATTCTTCCAACTGGTTATAATAAAAGACTTGATACAAAGTGAAAGTTAAGTTTAAGTTTGTTTAATAATAAAGAGTTGGGGTTGGGTGAGTAATACAATGCATAAAAAAAAAGTTCATACAGCCATGGGTAAGAATTATAAAACCGTGTATAATCTATATGAATATAGAATCACTTTAAAAATGAATGAGTATCATTTATAAATCTAACAGGCATAAAATTCCATTTGTAAATATCATTGTTAGGCTTCTTGCTTTCTATTTATTTATCTATAGTCAGGAGGAGTCACTTTCTAAGATTGTTTTTTTGTATTGTTGGAGGATAAATAGTAAAAAAAAAGGAGGGATAAAACTCATTTGCAGATGAGCTTATGTTATGACAGTGCTTCCAAGATTATGACTAGTGCCATTATCTAAAATAAATTTCTACTTTTCAAGAACTTTAACCTATTCTTACATTAAAGACATGTTGAAAGGGAAAAGATCCTAGAAAGACAAATGAATTTAACTAGAGTGGAAGTAACTAACGAAATTTTTTATAGCAATATGATATTGAAGCCATGCTTAATTAAACAATATTTTAATATCGTATTTCTTTGTTCTTAAAAAAAAAAAATATTATATAAGCTATGTTTGACGTATTACTCATATTCTGATTCAGTTCCCTTTTTTTTCCAGTATGCATAAATTGCTACAGGTCACATGGTAATATATTCTAGTGAGCAATAACACTATTATATTCATGTGTGTGTATTTGACGTTATATCTTGCCTAGTAATTTATATAGATAAAAATATATATCTGTATACACATATATTTGTTTGGAGTTTGTTCATACAGTATGTTGCTATGTCAACCATGATAAGCCTGAAATTTTGTAAATAATACTAAATGGTTTTGGATATTTTTAGGCCGAGTAAATAATATAGAGATTATCAACTCTTGTTTCAACAGTGTTACATAATATTTTATACAAATTTCTTCAGCATTAAATAATGTCTTTTGTAATAAGATACTTTTTATTTTAACTTTATGAGTATTGCTGCTATTTCTTAATAAACAATATAATATATCGTTTATTTCTGATCCTTCCCCGCTTTTCTTTTTTTTTTTTTGTCTCAAATATGTATCTATCAAACATTCTGTTTCATGTTTCTGTTTTGCAGAGTTTGGTATTAATAAATTGTGTAGAAGATGGATTAAATAATATATATTTTTCCTTTATAAATATAATAATGAATCAAATTAAAGCTACACTACCTCTTTTTTTTTTTTTTTTTTTTTTTTTTTTTGCACTCTGATAAACAAAACGTCTCCTCTTTCTAATAAGGGGAATGGGGGGGGGGAAAAAAGGAAGAACAAATGTATATCCATATTAATATAGAATGAGTCTAGAACAAAGTGTATGTAGACTAACAGTATAAGCATACTGAATTCTAAATTTTCGATACGATAATTTTAATTTGCACCAACTATCATTCTATTACATATAATTAGCAACAGCATGTATTTTTCTGACAAAAATAGCATAAATACTTTCAATTCGATACTAAGCTTATACACATACATACATATAAATATATATATATTAGCTGGATATGATTTATTCTGTAAATAAAACAACTTAATGAGGTTAGCATTCATTTTAGTATACTTTTGTAATATTATTTAGTTTCTAATTTTACCTAATCAATAATGATTGGCGTACCTTAAATACATGTAAATATATTCATATATAATATAGATCAAAAAAAAAAAAAAAAAAAAAAAAGAAAAGAAAAAAAAAAGCTTCACTTTTTTAAAATTTTATTATTATTATTATTATTTTTATTGATAATTCTTAAAAGTCATAAGTAATGACTTTAGTACAATTGGGTGCAATAAAATTTGGCCATTGATTAAAGATCCATAAAGCAATACCATTTGTCCAACCAAAACCTGTTTGGGAAATATATTCACCTTGACTACCAGAGCGACCAATTGTATTTACATCAAACTTCTCAAACATGTGTCCCTCATCCATAATGGATGCATTTACCTTATCAAGGATACCAGGAACAGATCCACCGGTATTGACCCAACCACAATAAGCAGATGCAGCATAACGTTCAGCTAATACTTGTGCTAGTTTTACAAAGGGTGTACCCAGTGAGGTTGTCCAAGTGTGATTCTTGCTGTCAGTAACCTGTGAATTATCATTATCGGTATCATCATTATTTAAATAATTCTCAATTCGAAGCATACTTTGAATAGCAATATACGTAAGAGGAGGCCAGCCATTAGGCCAATCCCATTGCATTGTTGTATTATAGTAAGATGTGGTTAAGATACCAGGGTACTTTAATAGAGCTCTCTCAGTTTCGTCAAATAGCTTGGCTAATGTTGTCTTGTTCCTTGCTATCCTCTCAGGTAATGCACCCACCCAGATGGGGAACAAAGTGGCAGGTGTAAATTGAATATTTTGTGCATGACTCGTCAAATTGAAATCATAAAAGCTTCCTTCCTCTTCATTCCACATAAGGCTCTCTATAGCAGCTAAACGGTTCTTGGCTTGCCGCTTATAATATTTTGACTTTCTCTTACCCGTCCTTGTACGGTTATTACCAAATTGCTTATACCATTCAGATAACTTATTTTCAGTATGCCATAAAAGTGAATTGAGATCGATAGGGACTATATTGGCTGTATTGATGGTTCGAAGCATTTCATAACTTGCTGTTTGATTTATCGAGGGTACCTTTTGCTTTGTCCAACGAGAAGAATAATCCCAGCCTGTTTCAGCACCTGCTGCAATATCAGCATACATCTGTCGTTTTTCAGCATCTGTAAAGTGCGTACCCTTGTTGACTGTATTAAAGTCTTCAACATAGGACTCTGGGCGAGGTGATGTATTTGATGTTACATAATGATTTAAGGTATATATCTTGAATGATTTCGGATCTTTGACTTGTACAGAAGCATTTTTAATCCAATGAGCATACTCTTGCTCCAAAATAGGTAAAGCTTCAATCATAAAATCTCTATCGCCAGTCTTTTCATAATAAGCTTGTACCATATGAGTCAAAAATGGTGGCTGTGATCGGTTAAGGTAATATATACGTGCTCCATTAGCTATAAACAAAATGATTTAGTTTCAAAAAAAAAAAAAAAAAAAAAAAAAAGTGAGAGAAAGAAAGAAAAAACAATTTACTTACGAACAAACCCATATTTTTTTACAAAATCGAAAAAATTTTCAATCATATTTTTTGCCAATTCATCTTGATCACTGAGTAGGAGACCTTGAATGACGAAAAATGAATCCCTAATAATACATATATATATATATATGTAAGTAAGTAATGAGGACATATAGTGTTATTATAAGATTAGAATTCATTATATACCAATAATAAAATTCACGGAAACGACCGCCTGGTACAACAAATGGACGATTTACAGTCAAAGTAGATGTTAGACACTCTTCACACAAATTGGAATAATCAAACGTAAAAGATAGATTCCCCCATGCCTGATTTAGGTGGCTAACCCAACCGTGATATTCTGGATTGCTAATTTTATCAATCCAAGAAAGCTCGGGGATACTTATATTTTTTAGCAGTTTAACTTCTGAACCGGCAGGTAGAAAATTTTCTGACAAAAACTGCATAACTTGTTCTCTGGTCGCATTTGTGCCACCAAATTTTTGGAAAGAGTGTAATATTTCAGACTCTGATTTTGTGGTTGGCTATGAAATTTTTTTTTTTTTTTTTTTTTTTTTTTTTTTTTTTTTTTAAGAAAAAAAAAATGAAGGATAAATATCTACATTTCTACATTTATATACATTTGCTTATGTATTTGACATATTGAGTTATTTTATGTTTTACCATATCTACAAAAGTTTTTGAATCTTCAAAAATTCTTGCCAGTTGAACAGTTTGAAGTATTGGTCCATCACAATATATGGGTGAATCACACGAATATGAATCATGATTTTGAATAGCGAACACAGTAGAGAAAATCGAAATGTGAGTGAGAATAGCACCACAAATCAGACGAAAAGGATTGGTATGTATATACATGAATTAATAAAAAAAAATCTATTTACTATATGCTGAATATATTATATTCAGTGTATCAGATAAGTAAAATATATATTTATATATATGTATATATGTATAAAATAATGGGAATCAAAATATAAAATAAAATATATGCAGAAGAAAGAAAAAATGTGGGGAAAAAGAAAGAAGTAGGATTAATCTACAGATATTTATATAAATGCTTTTTTATATATGTATATGCATGTTGAAAAAAAAAAGCTTGTATTGACCGATTCGGAGAAACCAGTAAAACCAAGCGATATATATAAAACAGTCAAAAAGAGGGGGTTGAGAGGGGATTGAGGAGACAAAAAAAAAAGGTTTTATGAAAAATTTTAACTTGGAACATGTAGACGTTAATTAGATGTAATTGTGTAAAGTAAGACTAGTCTAAAATGTTCATATTTATCTTCATGACGAAAGCAAGTGTAACCTAGTTACTTGTTGAGATAGTATAAAGTAATATCATAACAATCATTTTGTTTTTACACATAGAAACAAATTAAACAATTATAATTATTAAATAGAAGACCGTATTGTTTGTTCGAGATTCACAGATAAATTGGGAACCCTTATAATCTATATTTGTATAGAATAGAAAAAAGGAAGGAAGTGATATATATATATATGTATATATTTATATATAAAATAACATTGCATTATGTACAAGATTTTCTCACTTGCACAATAAATTATGTCAAAGCATTTACCGATTACGTTAAAGAAAAAAAGACATCATTTTTCTTCATGTGCTACAGTAAAACATTAGAATTCAACATGCTATGTACAAGTATTTATAAAATAAATTCTCGATTCATATTCTTAAGTGTAGTCAGTAACATTAAATATGTACTCGATCGATAATAACTTGCTCATATGTTTCAAAGAAAGGTTTCTTCACAACTGTTAAGCTTAAAAGTATTACGGAGTTAATTACGGTACATGACAATTGACTATGATCATACATATTATGATTCTATAATACCAACAAACTTTTTTTTATTTTAATTATCAAAATACTTACATATATGTATATGTATATGTACGTATAAGATAAAAGAAAGGAGAAAAGGATATAGGATTATATTGATGATATTAATAGATGAATTCACTTGTATATATAAATTGATTTATAAAAGTATACATTATATTCATAGTTGGTTATTTACTACGATTTCTACTTGATAACATATTATTTTATATTTATATCTAACTTGACGGTAAAACAAAGATAGATTTGCAAGACTAATGTAAAGTACTCTGTAAATTTCCATTTTTGAACAGGCTATAAAGATAGGTGATGTTGCATTTTTTTTTTTTTTTTTTTTTTTTTTTTTTTTTTTTTTTTTTGCATCAGGTTTATTAAATCTGCACTCGTGATTTTTATTTTATTCTATTTTGCATATCGTCACCCTGTCTCTTCATTAAAAAAAAGAAAGCATATTAACATATAACCTATTATATATTTGAAAGCCTTTACTATAAACAGAGTTACCAAAATTCTTAATAATGAATGATTTTACAAAAAGTTGAACGGAAAATCCTTACTCTACATTCATATAAACATGGAATAGTCAATTTCTCTGTAAAGAATGTGTTAAATCTATTTTATACTACAACTATCGAACATTATTTGCCAACAATATAAATATCGAAGAGCTTATTAAATTTTTCAGTGCAAAGAAAGTTTTCTTAAAAAAAATAAAAAATAAAAAGTAATAGCCCTTGAGGTAAATTGATAATTTAACCGATATTATTGCCATATCAGAGGAACTATTTATTTATAATAACAAGAATTATTAACTTGACAAAAGTAGTAAAAACTCCTGAAATACTTTGTCCATAATGATGCCATTATTGTAGTTTTGTAAGATATCTGTATACTAAATCCTAATTTTCCCAACTAGCCTATTAGTTTCTTATTCGCCCATGTAGGTTTGATATGCTGCTGTAATCTTATCTTTAATATATATATATATATATATATATATATATATATATATATAAACAGTAATAAAAGGTAGACAATTTTGTTCCATTAGACTAGAATTTATTATATATCATTGTAGGATCAAAGAAAATAATACTAGTAGAATTTGTGATTTATAAGAATAGCTTTATCTCTTTACTATTTCCAATATGTCTTCATTGGTCCAAAAATATCAAATTCATAATTATTATTAATAACTTATATATTTAAACTTTATTGACGACTCTATGCGAATAATGTATTAATTGAATCATAAAGCTAATTCATGTAGCATGTCTCAGATTTTGAATATTAACGTGCGTTAAATGATGAGATGGTATATTGAATATAAATCTAAACCTCAAAGTATTTTTTATATCACTTCAAAATACAAAAGGCAATATAAGCTTAAAGAAAAAACTACAATGTAGCTTAGTAATAAGAAAAATGTTAGAAAATAGCAAAGCAAATTCTGTTAATGATATCAATTATGTATTTGATTACAATTGGTTTGTATGAAGAAAGGAAGGATATTACTTCTTGAGAGTGAAAATTTACGAATACAAAACATACTAAAAAAAGTCTCTTCTCTATTTTAAATGTAATACTTTCTTAGAATCTTCTAAAGATTAGACAAAAAAAAACTTATTGAGCTAATGTAACAGTGTGTCGAAGAAAATAACTAAAAGAAAAATAATATTTTGGAAGAACATCAAAGTAATACCGTAAAATAGATATCATGCATTTATTTAGGGGTTGTTATATATACTCTATACCTGAATATTTTATAGCAGTATTATCACTTATAAAAGCACTGAAAACTCAGAGTTAAGTATTATGTGTTTGAAGATATATATATATATATTAAATGTCAAAGTAAATTATCTACACCAATATATGTTACAGATGCTTTGAATGGGAAATATTCGTACTAGTAAACCGCATTAATAAATATTCAATTAATTCTAGTTAATTAAAGAATATATATTATACTCGAATCAAAATTTTTACATTTCTACAGAACACTTTGTTAAACTTGTAAACAAAGTATTGAAAAAAGAATGAGCAGTAGGTTAATTATTTCGATCTATTAGAGTTATTTGCTCAATGACATATTAAGAAAAAAAAAATAATGGTATGCTATTAAACATTATAGAAAGCTTAAGAATATAGTATGAAGAATAACTTTTCTTAAATAAAAAAAAAAAAGATTTTACCATTCTACATTATAAATATCTGAAATTTTATTTTGTCGAATGAACAAAAAGAATTAATCATGTATTTGTTTGTGAGCTAGATTTCCACCTGCCAACTATTTTATTATTTCTATACTTACTACAAGCCAAAATGGTTATGGTGGTGATAGTAATAAGCGAGGTTTTATACCTTTATCCTATATAATCATTTCCTCTACCAAGTATTTCTCATCAATTATTATATAAAATTATACTATTGTCAGTATTAATATATAATATTCAGCATTCTTATGAATTATGTGTGGCTTAATAACCTAGGCCAAGGAAACAACTTCTTTCAGTGACATTTTTATGAAACAATGAAATTATTGACGGGTATTAATTGGCTTTTATCAAGCTTAATGTATAGTATGCTTAGACAAGCACGAGGATTTTGGTTTTGATTGATTGAAAATTAAATAATTTGATATATCATAAGTATTTTCCTCCTTTTTTTATACGTGTATTCATACACGCACCATTTGGTAGTGATACAAAATAGAATAAAAATAAATAATTAATATATCCTTTTTCTTCTTCTTCTTCTTCTTGTATTTCCCTTTATTCTTCTTCTTTACAGATAGAAAAATGGATTTATATCTTCCAGCTGAGCTAGTCGAGTTAATAGCATTATGTCTATCTAATAACGAACAATTTCACTGCCTTACAATTTCTAAAAAATGGTATGAATCAATATTTCGAGCACTTTATAAAATAATTCGAATCAACTATCGTCGACAACTTAAATTATTACTCAAGCTGTTCAGCTATCAACCAAAGTATGGTCTCTTAGTTCGCCAAATTTATTTTAATAAATCAAGCCATAACATTGTTGGTATCACCACACAAGAATTAGATCAATTAATTACATATTGTCCATTTTTAGAAATTCTCGATTTCGATCAGAGTATTTGGAAATACATTAAACATGCCTCCATTTTTAAATATCAACTAAAACAGTTACCCACTTTGAATCTGTATGCACCTTCTTTATTTTTATTAGAGAATCCTTTCTATCTTCTCACATTAACTCAGTTAACTTTATGTGGTGAACTAGTGTCTCAACTGTTTGATCATTCTCCTAGACTGATTCAATTACTATCCAATACACCTGACTTAAGAAGACTCACTCTTGATAGTAAACAGCATAAATCACATGTTATTTATGTATCATATCACATTATAGAAGCTATTCATACTTCATTGACAAAACTTGAGGAATTGGAAATAACAGGGTCCTTCCAGTTTCATATACAAAATGGGGATGGATTATTAGGATTCATATATCCTACAAAAGTGCGTAGGCTAAAATTGAAAGCAAATTTATTGCCGCCTCAATGGATTTATTATATAGCACAAAAGTACCCACAGTTAGAGGAACTTGATCTAGAAGTGATGAACACGGCAGATAACTTGACATCTTATCATCAACGGGTCTTATCCAATAATATATCAGCTACTATAAAAGAAGATTCCAATTCACAATCATTATTCTCAGAGGAAGGCATTCAATACCTTTTCTCTCTATTATTAGATCATTGTTTGCGTCTTTGTAAAATTCAGTTAGACAGTAGAACAGCAACGATGTATTTAACACCATTCTTCTTTGAAAGGTCAACAAGCCATAAGTCTTTAAAAGAAATTAAAATAAAAAATATACCCTATAACCTTGTCTCTTGTGAACATGTATTTTTCGATACTTTGGTCAAATATGGTCAACAACTTGTGACAGGATTAGGCACAGAGTTCATCGATACTAACCCACTTTCTCATTTTACTAATCTAACAGAACTCAGTTTATGCTGTGGTTATCCTTATGTTGACTGTGGTTTAAATCTGCTTTTGATTCATTGCAAAAAGCTGAAGCATCTTACGATACGATCAGCTCATGTTATGATCGAACAACTAAATTATGTCTATTATCGTGAACTTAAAGGTCATCCACTAATCTCACTTCATCTGAGTGCTGTCTCATTTTCATCCGATATCTTTGTTTATTTAGGGAATGCATGTCCTGCATTAAATCAGCTTTCAATTTATGATTGCAGTCAAAGAGATAATTTTGCTAATTGTATTCATATCAATATGCCTAATAATAACTTTCATTCTATCATTATTAATGGTATTCGGCTTGATTCTGTACTACTTCATGCTCTTGTTTGGATGCCTAATGCACGTGTCTTATCCATCAAGACGGCAACTGGTAAAAAAAAAAGATGGTATCATGTTTATAATAGAAACAAGTTATGCTACCCTGTAAATCCAAAAATCCAAAGATTAAACGCTCGTAAAGCAACTATCGCAGAGTGTTATTATCAACTTAATCATCAAAGTTATTTAGACGAAATTATTAGTGAAATAAATCAATTATCAGATCCACAAAAGAAACATGACTTGTGTACAAGAAAAAATAGTAGAGAATGGGAAGATGATTTATTGTTTGGTCAAATTGAAATTCAATGTCGATCTATCAAGCACTGGGAATTCATTTGTCATACGACTTTTAACGAATTTTGATGTGTTGTTTCAATAAAGTAATTATTATTTTGTCTATCTGCTTCTATATTTTTTTGAAATGTTTCAATTTCATTTATAAATTGTAAAAGAGCTCGTTCTTCAGTATGTCCAAACACAAATCCAACGATTAAGCATATCAACACGCAAATTAACGTTAAATTCATCAAAAGACCCCCAAAAGCAGTAACTAAAGCAATGGGTAATCTTCCATAACTTTGAAGCGTGGTTGGTAACACAATCACAACGATGTATAGTAAAATATGAAGTATAGCACAAATGGCTAATGTATATAGTAATACGTTGGCATCTTTTTTTGCTCTTTCTTGATTAGTTCGTAATGCATCTAGAATATCATGTATAATAGCAGGTTCTAAATGTGTATAATTTGGATAGCATAGTAAAAAGGAAGGTGGGGCCATCCCAGTTAATTGATTATTTTTATGTTGATGAGCATTGCTTATTTTAAATATAGATACAACACCAAAATGATCTGAATAACTCATTTGTGAATCTGGTATGGAATTAGTAAAGACTACTTTGGAATCAATACATTGTAACTCTGGTGTATGCCTATAAAAAATATAATCTAATCGCTTTCCAAATCCTTTTCTAGCATTCGTATCCTTTCCCTGATCATAATAGCGAGAGAAAGTATTAAAAGGTGAATTGCATGTATACCCAAAAAATTGAGTGTATAAATCTGCTGTTATATTATTCACATCAAAATACTTTGGATCAGGTTCGCCATGTATCTGTAGCCATGAATCTGTCATGAATCCATGATCACATATAAGACGATAATTAAATGATGTTGGAATGCTATTAAAATCTCCTGACTAAAGGGGAAAGGGGGAGAGGATTTTCAATGAAATGATTTAAGTCACATGTGAAATGAAATAAGTATTGACATTCATACCAAAATAATTTGTCTACCCATTGCTGCTGATGTTCTTAAAATTTGTGCTAACTGCCAACATTCTGTAGCACGGTGAGCCCTATATCGATCTTTTGGTCCATATCCACCATGAAGATGAGTATTGAAAACTTCAACAAGACCAATGGTTGGATGATTGATGAGTGCCGATCCAATACCTTTACCAACATAATAATCTCCATGGAAGATCATTAATGGCTTTCCATTTAAAGTAAAACGATGATAAGCAGTTGAAATTATGGGAAATTTTGACAAGATGGCTAATCCACTTCCAAAGGCTCCACTGGAAGAAGGATAAAAAAAACATTTATTGTTTGTATAGAGCTTGTATTATTGTATACTCTTACCTATAAAAGTATTTAGAATAGGGTAAAACATGTTGAACAGATGCTTGAATCAGTTCAAAATCTTTGTATACCCAAATCTCTTGTAAAGTAATAATGTCATAATCTTCTTTACTTAGTGCCTCAGCTATAGCTTTTAAGCGATAGCCTCTATGTTTTGATACAAAAGCTAAGCCCCTGTAAAAAAAAAGTTTTAAGAATACCATTTAATACCTGCTCTGTTCCTTTATCTTACCAACAATTAAAGGACAACACATTTAGTTGATTAGCACAAGACATTTTTATATTTTTTTAAGAGAGAGAGAGAAAAAAGGAACATAATATAAAATTTAATGCAGAGTTTTACAAATAATAAATTTTTAGAGCACTGATGTTATTGTGCACATCCTATTGTTTATCAAAGATTTGTTAACAATTAAGTTATAAATCAAATCTTACAGATATCATATCTAAAAGTATAATAAATAAAAGGCATATAGTATTCTCAATTTACAGCATTCTAATTGGTTAAGAGACTGAGAATATCGCGAGTATATGTATGTTCTGATCCAACATCGTTGATATAAGCTCAATTTTCGAACTTAAAAGGCTCCTGCTGTAATAATATCTCTCCTTTTCCCCTTTAAAGAGATAATATAGTCATTGACGACATTACTTATGGTCTTAGAAAAACATAGAAAAAAAGTAAATTCAGTCGCCTCATCATTTACATCCGTTTTAAATTCAGCATTTGAAGCTTCATCTGTTAACTATTAATAAACGATGGAAATAATCAATTCCTAGAAAATGTTGTGAAAAAAAGAAAAGAAAAGAAAGTTAATTGTCTGTTAAAGGTGTTGCATAATAATAATAAGAATGAAATTAGCAAGTTGATTTGAATATAATACAGACTCATTTTAAGTGAATTGAAATGCTTAGTATTCCTAGTTGATTTTTAATTTGGTGTTATTAGTATAATTCAAAAGTTCAATAGTTATAACCATATGTCATTATCTGATGATATCTGAAAGCTTACTTAAGAGATACAATTCAGAGAAGCTATATCGAACTGAAGAAATGCTATAATTAGGTCGCTTCCAATACGTTTGAGTGTGAAGAAGAGAAAATGAACGTAAATACCCCCAAAAGCTTGTTTCATTCAAGTATAAGTGATCTTCCACTTATTACCAATTATATAATAAAGGCTAATGCTGATTATTCTTATCTCATTGAAAATACTTTCTTTGATATGGTAAAGTTTGCATTCAGGAGTATTAGAAGCTTACACTTTCATGATAGTAACTAAGTAAAGTTCTTGGCCTTTTAAGTGGAACTCAATATTTAACATTTTCTTTTTCTTTTTTTTTCCCTAGAATCAATAGGAACCAATTTAGAAATTATACTTAACACCTTGCACATTCATTATTCTTGAAAAATATCGACAAATTCAGCAATAGAAATGGAAGAGTTATTATTAGCAATGGAAGTAGTGAGCTATAGTTGTATATGAGCAACATTCAGAGTGTTATGAATGTAGTCGTCTTTACAACTAAGTTGATAGAAATAAACCATCATTTATTTAAATAATAAAGAGGCTATTCAAATAAAACTAGTGTATTGTATTTCACAGCATAATATTCATTCTACATTCAGTTTTAATAACAGTCGTTGTGAACTAAAGAAATAATTATATACATTGTATTATGTAATAATAAGAATTTAATAGGTTTATGACTGTTATATTCAATTACATAATTATTTATACAAGTCATACATGTCTATAATATTAAATATTGTTATGTAATAACATCTTAGAGGATGATAATAATAGTAGCTTATAAATAATTGGTATTGTTATAGCGGGAATATTCACTATGAATTAATATGAACGCGTTGCTTACCCCAGAAATAATAGTTAGTAACAGCGACGGCTAAAGGAGAAAAAAGATAAAAATACATCTTATTGTAAACAAAAAACATATAGATAGCACTTGTCATTTTTCCATATTATTTTTTCTTTTTATGAACTATACGGAGTTTTCACAAACTTGTCTTTTCTGTTTTCTCTTTCCTTATTCTTTTGCGCTTAAAACAATTAACATGTTTAAAGTAACAAAGTCTATTCCACAATCTATTAAAATACGTTAATAGCTTTCATTCTTGCTTTGTTCAGTCGCGAAGTAACCCAACATCGGTTTTCAGTCAGCAATATACGAATTACTGGTTGTAGCGTGACAAGAAAGATGCTGATGAACGAATGTTCAAGAGACAAAGAATGGCAGTCGAAGTAACTAACGAAGCAGCCTTCTCTTCTTTTGAAGCAATAATTTATAAAGTAAATTTTTAGTGGAAAACATCACTTGAGACTAACAATTAAAAATTACTATCCATATCGCCCAAACGGCTTCAAGTGTAGAAAATGGTTCAACAGTGGCTGACATCGAAGTAGGTACTCAAAGGAACGATGAAGTAGATGACGATTTGAAAGAATTAGAAAGTGTTATTTTTAAAGAGTAAGTCTATCACATCTTAGAATAGTCGTTGTTTGGTATTGATAAAATAGACTTCTTACTGCTATATATATATATATATATATAGATTTGAAGAAAAGATTATTTATTTAGACCAAGAAGAATATAAGCAATCAGAAAATGACAATGCAGTAGCCCTTTTCTTGTCTAATATTACAAATATTCCGTCGAAACAACTTTTAGATGATTGTCAACTTCTCCTTGAAATAATTCGTAACTGTGCAGCAAGTTCAAGAATAATTAGATCAACTATCAGATCACATGCACTCACTATGGAAGGACTTCTCGACCTTATGCTTAACGATGATTTGAATTTTACAGAGTTAATCTGTACACATTTGTAAGCTGCTCATTTAATATTAACAAAAATTAGTTCTAAGATCTAAAATTCTACGGAAATAACCTCAACTTAATAGATAGCCCAGGAAATCCATTGCAATAGCAACAGCTAGAGCAGAACACAGTATTTCTCACTACTATTCCAATTTTACATAACTTGATTATTTTATATAGTGATATGATTGATATGCAATGGTAAGCTTGTGACTTATTTTCGTAAAAAAAAAAAAAAAAAGTTAGTTTAACATATATCTTATACAGTACATAGGGTTGAAAGACAGGCAAGATCAACAGAGAATGTAAAGTGGGACAGTATTGCTTTTCGAGTAAAAAATAAGAAAACTACACCGCTTTTTGTTGAGTTATCAGGAGGTATTGATTTTAACAGCAGCATTGATAAAAAAAAGGTGATGAAGAAAAATTGATAAAGCATTTTATCAAAACGTTAAAAGTGAAGAAAGCTAAAGGTATTGAAATACCAAATCAGTTTTATATAAGATATCATGGTAAAATAATCATTTCTTTTGAAAATTTTCTCTATGAATATTGTATAGCTAAGTAGCAAAAATACATTTTTTTATTTAGATTTGAATATCTATTTTGATTCCCTGACTTACTACGAAGACTATTATATTAAACGCACTTACATTGTATTAACTTGTCCTTTGACGCCCACGAAGCTTAAGCATTTTGCTGAGGAAATTCCCCGGATATTTCAATACAGTCGAGGTATCTTTGATCAATTTACTGTCATGGTTGTAAGATTTGTGACTTAATTCAATAAGATAAATAGTCATAATAGAACATATAGTGCACTTGTATAATAATTCTGTCTATAGACATATTAAGAAGTATATTTATTCTTGTGTAGAAAAAACAATTAATAGAAGTCCTACATCTAAAAAACATATCTTCTTCTATTATTGTTATGCTGAATACAAATTTATAAAAATAACTTTACATATCAAGCCGTGGAAACACTAAGAATAATGAAGGTACACGTAATAATTGATCTCACTCAAAGTGCATGTGATAATAGTTATAGAAAATGAATATACTAAAAGACATGGATACATTTTTACCTGAATCATTATTCTCTATCTATATTTATAATATCAAATACAATTTATTGATCATAAAAAAAATACAAACATTCTTATATTTTGTACTTTTATAACCAATAAGAAGAATCATATTATAACCCTTTATCTTAATAAAATATATTAACAAATCTCAACGTACTTCCATTTGTCTCTTTTATTCTTTTCATTTCCTTATTTTATTTTTCTTTATTTTTTAAATTTACTTGAATCATCACACTCTTTCTTTTTTTAGGGCTTACTTCAACCATATTAACACCAGATTCCTCGGCTAACTACAACTCAAAAAAAAAAAAAAATTATCATTTTTGACATCTTTCTAAGGTCTGTTAACTTTTTTTTAGACGGAATAAATGAACCTCATACTAATGTGCTTTGTTTCGATTATCATCAAAGATATCTCATCTCCCATCTCTGTGATTAAAAAAGCTATTTCAGAGTCTACCATTAAGTTTTGACCCACCCTGACCAACTTAATCCAAAAAGTGGCCAACTGGTTCCCAAAAAGTCTGCCCAAACAAGCTTCCAAAATCCGACCAATTGAGTTTGAAAAGTTGACCAAGCCTTTCAGCAAAGTGACCAATTGAGGGTGACAACACTGTACTAAAATGAATCGTCATTATTTTAATAAGGTAGATTATTTCTTCTTTTCAGGCGAATTGCTAGATTTTTTTTTTTTCATTGTTGTACCTTAATTTACAGATAAACTTAATTAATTAAAACTCAGGTTATATAACTCCAATCATCTAATGTTGTATCTATTTCCCTTTTCTCTCTTCCTCTCTTTTATAAATATATAGCTTCTTCTTTTTATACCCTTTAAATTTTTTTTATTTTATACCCTAATTCTTATTAAATTTACTTTAATTTCTTCTTATAAATGTCATTAAAAGAAAAATATAAAATAAATTGTATACAACAGGAGAAAAATGAAGAAGCAATCCATAAAAAGCCTAATGATATACCAAAAAGACAGAAAATAGTGAAGGCTTGTAAAGATTGTCGCAGACGAAAGGTAAACAAACAAAGATCCTTTTAATGAAAATAAAATAAAATGAGATGGATACATAGATATATATATATTAACATTATTTTACTTTTTATTTCTTTCTTTTTTTATTTCTTTTTTTTTTATTTCTTTTTTTTTTTATTTTTTTTAAAAAAAAACAAAAAGGTTAAATGTGATGGAGCAACACCTTGCAGTACCTGCCAAAGGTCTTCTATACCTTGTATATTTGAGTCAACTTCACCAAAAAGAGGAGCAACTAAACACTATATTGAATCATTAGAAAATAGAATTAACGTTATTGAAAAGGCTCTTACTGCTATAAGTGGTCCTACAATGCAATTAATTGAAGAAACAATACGTAGACAGCAAATCATAGATGAGTCTAATTATGGTGGTTTAAAACAACAAGGTATAATTGAATGAATGTGTGTTTTTTATTAATATTTACAATCAGTGTATAGATTTAGTAATACAACACTACCCAGAAGATAAATTCTTAATAAATGAGTTAGGGTGCCCTAATTACATTCAAGAAATTACGACTCATATGTTAGATAATTGTTTAGATTCGATACAGTCTTCTTCACCAAAGAGTACGAATGATAATAATAATTCAACATTAAAAGAAGATATTGAAAATTATATTCAATTTTATTTAATTCAAATTCAACCTTATTTTCCTTTATTTGTACCTTCTCATTTTACTCGTCAGTTTGCTGCTCATGAATTACCAATCATATTAATATATGCAATCTGTGCACTGGGTTCTTATTTTCAACAGACAGGTGAAGATGAGCTATTTTATCATAGAGCCATGATCATGCTAGATGAAGCCATTGGAAGACCCTCTGTAGCACTTATCCAGGCATTATTATTGTTAATTAAATACATGGAATGTACAAATAACCCTTCCTTTTTTGATAAAACTAAAAGCCTTATAACAAGAGTCATTGAATTGTGTAAAATACTTCAATTACATCAAATTGTGACTAAGGATCCTTCAGATCTTGAAACTGAAACTGCAAAACGAACATTTTGCATGGCCTTTACTTATAGTATCCTATTATGGTAAATTAAATGAATACATATAAATACTTATAAACATGTAACTACAAAAGGAAATTTATTAATACTTTCTCTCTCTCTTTTTTTTTTTTTTTTTTTTTTTTTTCGTAAGTGTGGAGCAGAACATCGAATCAGATTTTAATACCGTTTTCATTAAAGAGTTAACGTTATTATTACCTACAACTGTAGCAAATGAATCAACTGTAGAATGTCAACGATATTTTATTTCTTTTTCATTCACATTATCACAAATCTATCAACATATAATTCGTGTTACGCAAAGACAAGAGATACAAAAGGGTTTACGCAATAATTCTCAAATATTAGAAGAAAAAATGGCATTATTGCATTTACAAGTCATGATTGAAAATGATTTGATGCATTTACCACCTAATTTGAGCTATAATTTAACTCATAATATGAAAAATCAGTATCCATTTCCAGCTGAAGAAGAGGTCACGTCGTCTGTAAATGTATCACCTATGACGAGGTTACTCCACATGCTGTACCACTTGAACGTAATACTATTACACTTTCATTATTTCATTCATCCACTTCTTCAAGGATCAAACGAGAAAACAACGGATTATGCACACAGACAAATGTGCGCATCATCTGCTTCCTATATGGTTCGATTAACTGAAGGCCTTTTATCAGATTCAAATCGATCTTATCGATATATCCCTCGTGGGTTGCAATTTGTTGCTTATTGCATCACTATTGCGCTTAGTTTACTTCGAATAGAGACAACACTTGTAAAAGATATGAAATCTGGGAAAATTTATTTTGATGAATATCAACGATGTGCTAACCTTGCTGAACGTATTGCATCTATATCTCCTTCTCATGAAATGCGTGCTTCTGCAAAAACATTAAATGATTTACCAGATACATTCAATTTATCTACATTAGATAATACTCATCTTGTTACTGCTACTTCTACTGCTACTGCTACTACTACTACTACTACTACTGTTGCTGCTGCTACTACTACTGCCACGAGTGCTACTACTACTACTGCTGCTGCTGCTGCTGTTACAGCTAGCCCATCTCCTTCTAGTACATCTTCTTCATCATTATTATTTCCTTCGAAAACCTATACAAATACAACTCCATTAACAACTTCGCCTATAGGTATGCTTTCTGATTGTTCATCGTCTACAATTATGTCTAGAAGACGAAATACAATTTCCGAAAGACCTTATCATCAAAGAGCACCTACATATCCTATTGTAGCTTCTCAGTCACTTTTACAACCTTCTAGTACTGATCTCAGTTCCTTTGCATTAAATGCTCAACATCAACCATTACATAATATTCATGCTACTCCACTTCAAATTCGTCAACCCACAGCAACAAACTTGAAGGCAAATACAATCTCATCACTTGAAAGAAATCATCTTCGAAGTTCAACTCAATCTTGTCAAGACCTGAGATCTTTGTATAGATTGCATAATAATAAAACAATGGTTATATCACCAAACCAGCAGCATAAACCTTCTCCATCTGTATCCAGTGCAATGAGCGCAACCCTAACCGGAACATATCGAAATAATAATAATAATAATGGAAATCGAAATGCATCGCCTAATTTACCTTATAGTAAGCCAAACTATAGCAACGATATGAATGATGCGCTTATTCCCATTGCTCCTCCATACCCTTCACAATCTGCTGGATATGTACGACAAACAGGGAAGATACGACGTGTTCGAAAAAGTGTTTCTATACATGGATTATCCAATACATATCAGCGTCAACAACAAAGATTAATGCAGCCACATCTATTAAATCAATTTACATGTACTCAGCAGCAGCAACAACAACAACAACAACAACAACAGTCAGAAGATCAATTATTTCTTCATCGTCCTTATCAACCAAGTTATGATGACGATAACATGAAATTAATAGCTGATAATTCAATAGAAACAGGAATGATGATTAATGACTTTTCAATGAATGTTGATTTCAATCATTTTTTAAATTCGTATCCTTTACCTTTAACTGATAATAATAGAACTGAAAGTCAACAAACTTTATAGTATGTATATATGTTATATGTGTGTACTTATTATATGATTTTTATATTTTTAATGTATAATAACACTACTGATAATAATTATAATATTAATAAAAAAAAAAAGAAAAGAAAAGAAAAAAAAAAAAGAAATGCATATATTTTTTCAAAGAAAAAAAAAGGAACAAAAGGTAGTTAAGGCACTATTATTGAGAAAGAGTGGTGAGAGAGAGAGAGAGAGAGAGCCAATTATAGAATTATTCAGTGAATAGTACACAAAAGGTTCCAGCTGATATAATAGCAGATCACCTGGAATACATAATACTTTGGAGAACCATTACAACATCAACTCCAAATATTGAATGGTAAATAATTTATCAAATAGCTTGATACCTGTCAAAATACATGGTTTCTACCGTATCTTTAGTGGCTCTCTATTAAACCTATGCTCTATTTTACCAACCTGCCAACCAACCAACCTACAATGAAAAAATAAATAAATAAATAAACGTACTCACATACTACAAGTCCGCTTTGTTGGTTTACCTAGTGATATTACTCTACTTTTAATACATTTACTGCTGCTGTTTCTCCAAACCTCTTCTGGCTCCACGCAATCGCTACCGCCTTACCTAATCTCCATGATGCTAAAGATATGACTTGATTCTATAATTCAGTTAATATCGTCCCTAGTGTCTGGAAGACAATGTTAATAATCATTGTATTGCTCTTAATATCAAACTACGGAATGTGTGCCTTCCCAGACTAAGGTATAGATCCTATCCTAAACAGTTATCTTGTCTATTACATTATATGTTTCTGCCTGGATTATCCTCTGGCAAGAAATAGGTTAGGTTATTCTCTATGCATTAGATACTCTATTTCATAATAATCTCCTCTTCCTCTTATTGAAAAATCTTTTTTTTTTTTTTTTTTTTTTTTTTTGGAAGGGAACCTGTTTAGGACGAAGGAAAGAGGGTCAGGGATGGTGTGTGGCATTTGAAAGTGACTATGCATGTCGAAGTAGATAATAGCATGGTCCCAAGTAAGCCTTGAGTCTGAGTGGAAGGCACGATGTTGCGGCTTGCCACCGGGGAGCTAATCAAGTCACCGTCGAACATATTATTATTTTGAATCAGAAATAATTGTAAGTCATGCTATGCTAATATTCAAAATAAAGACTGAGTCTGACTTTAACCGAAAAAAAAAAAAAGCCCTAAAAGTATAATTCAGACAGATCGACAGCTTTGTCACTTTAGAGCGTTTTCCATAAATGGTAGAATTTGCTGAAATTTGATACTTTATTAGTATATGTAGATTCAAATTAAACATATGATCTGTCAGAAATATTTGCAACAACATGCTCCAGCGCATTTTACCAGTCGACTGTAAAAAAAAAAGCTGATGTGGTTCTATTGCAAAAAAATAACAAACAGTACAGATGAATACAGATGCATATCTAGCGAAGACGTAGAAATTTTCTAATTGGGAGATGCTATGAAGAATGAAAACTTGGCTGATGTTTCTCTTTGCAAACTGGATCCCAACCGACATCAGGTTTTTGCTGCTGCTTATGGGGAGGGTGATGGATCCCATCAAATTAGGTGATGCTCTACTAAAGAGTACTATACCTTAACAAACAGGGTCTATAAGACACGCAAAGAGAGAAACAAAAAGAATGTCTCGAGAAAATATGGAGGATATACTTCTCAACATTCCTACAGCCAAGACAGCTGTTCTTTCAAACTATTTGCAATACATAACTTATATCCTCTTACATCTAAACAGAATACTAGCATTTAACAACTTCTCAACTGTTGAAAGTTGCTTTCATCTATACCAGGGAGTTCAAAGGGCCAGACAAGAAATGGCCAATGTCCTCATTAATGGTGGAAAAAAAAATACAATAAGGCCAAAAGAAAGAACACAAAGAAGAAGAGGAAGAAGAGGAAGAAGAGGAAGAAAAGAGAGAAGAGGAGAGAAAAAGAAGTGAAAAAAAAAGACAAAGAAGTTCCCCAGCAGACAAAGTGAGTATACTAGCAGCAAAGCAGAGAGACAAACACTATATTCATTAACTATTATTTATTTCAGGAACGCCAAGAAGCTTTGGAAGCCCCAACCTTTCAAATACGACAAGAATGAATTGCCTGTTATAGCTCTCGGAAATGGCATGTTTGGAAAAGACGGTGTACATTTGAAGGGTCTCAGGGCGGGAGTGACAGAAGGTCTTGACAAACAACTCAAAATAAGACAGAAATCAGGAGAACTTTTACTTGCTTCTGTAGATGAGTTCAAGAATGACCCAATTATTTTTTTATTGGCCCAACCTAGTTTCCCAGACTGTAAGCCGATCTGGACAATCAGTGCTATTTGGAAACCATTGTAAAGTGGAAAATGTGTGTCACAATAGATTTGTAGAATAAAAGGCAACTTTATTAATTTTAAGTGCAGACATATTATTTAACTCAACACCATAAAAGATCGGGGATAAAAAAAAAAAAAAGTTAACTTTGTAATAAAATTTTATACATAAAAGCGATCATTTTATTTTTTTTTAATAATAATGTCACAAAAAAAAAGATTTTACACTTCGCATAATGTTATTAAATCAAAAGATCTAATATTGGATAGTGATGAAGATGATAGCGACAATAGTGATTTAGACATCCTTGACTTGACTATATTAAAATTAGAAAGGTTGATGGACCAAGGCCAATATAAAGAAGCAAGAATATTATTTAACGAAATGATTAAATCAACTCTTTTCTCTACAAAGGATCTTTGGAAGATCGGTATTGAGATTGTAACAAATACTACACCTGAAGATGTTGTAGATTACATTCGTGCATTGCATGCCAGTTGTCAAGAAGATTTGGTAAAATTAAATAAACCATTTCACTCAACACAAGCTAATCACAGTTTTTTTTTCTTTTTTCTTTAAAAAAAAAAAGAAATTTGATACATTTAATGCATTTATCGATCAGTTGATGCTTGAAAAAAAATGGGAAATGGCTTTAAATGAAATAGATTTGTAAGATTTAATAAAGACACATAAGCAAATGACTTGATGTTAACGCTCTCTCTCTCTCTCTCTCTCCTCTTTTTTTTAAAAAAAATAGCGTATATAATCGATCTTTATATCACCATCCTACACTTTTACGGAAAACGGCATTCTGTGCATATTATCAATGGCAAACATTAAGACAAGAATTACCGCAACCATACCCTGAGGAAGAAATAGAGCTTGATGATGTTGATCCATCAATAATTTCGAAATATATGAAATATGAAGCTCTTGCAAAAGATAAATTAGACAATGCACACAACACATTACCCTATGATGTCGAACTTTTAGATAAATATTGTAATGTAAGTAATTACTTTTTTTTTTCTCTCTCTCTCCTAGAATTGATCTGAGTTTATTCCCATAAAGTTTTTAGATACTATTGATAACCAAGAGACAAAAAAATTAGTTATATTAAAATCTCTTGAAGCTTATAAGAAATCACCCAATTATTATTTAATTTTGTAAGCTATTCAAAATGAATCATCTTTAAATAACCCGGTTTCATTAAATAGTTGCCTTAATATAGCTTTTTATTGCAGGAAAATGGGAAAGATAACTATTTTGAAGGTGAATCTTTCCTTATGGAAATGTATGATTTGAACCCAACATTAGATGACACGTTTGGACTCAAAAAATTAGTAGAAAAGATCTGCGGTGAAATAAGTAAGTTATATATACAGAGGATAAAAAGAAAAAATAGAATTAATGTATGATTTCTTATAGATAATTGTATACCCAATAATGAAGATACAACCAAGATATCCTATCTTCAAAAGCAAGCAAACCAATTATTTAAATTCTTTATCAAACGAATAGATCACGGAACACTTGATATATGGTTTTTAGAGCAAATTCGAGATTCTATTTTAACACATGCATTAAGGTAAAAGAATGCATAAATGTATTGTATACTGAAAAAAAAAATTGATTATTTTTTGTTTATAGTACAGACATTCATGACATGTATTATTCCAAGAAAGTAGATGAATTACTTAAAATGCCATGTTTGTTAAGCAAGCAATCAAAGCCTAATTCTATAATTAAAATAGCAGAGCAAATAAAAGAAAAGATGGAAGGATTTAAAAAGAAGAAGCGAAAGGCAAGAGAGATGAAGAAAGAGGAAGAGAATATAACAAGTGAATTCCATGATATTGAAAACTTTAAAAGATATAAAAGACTTTTAGAGGAATTATATGATTAAGCATAAAGTTATTATGAATATGAATGAATAGATAAATAAATAAATAAATATGTAGTAAAGACTATGACGTATTATCTTCGAAACGTATTATGAATACCACTTTTTCCTGCTCTTTTATATAATTGATCTAATTCAGCTTCAAGAGCTTTAATATGAGCATGTTGTATCTCTAAATCGTTATTCAATTTATCTCTTTCTTTTATGAGCTAAATGAAAAAAAATTAGATAAAGATTTCTACAAAAAAAAAAGACTTTTTATATACTTTATATTCTTTACCTGTTGTTCCCAACGACGAAATCTAGATTCTTCGTTTTTAACTTGCTCAGTAAATAAGCTTCTTAGAGCTTCTTCCTTTTCACGAAATTTAGGATTTTCAGATCTCTTTGGTCTATTTCACAAAAATTATGTTTAATTATAGATAGATAGACAGATAGATAGATCGTTCTTACTTTGGTTCACCAAATTTACGAGTAACCATTTGTTGTTGACGATAATATTCATAATGATATTCTTCAGTTGTATTAATCAAGTCAAGCAGATGAGAACGAATTAATAAATTTCGAAGTTTAATAAAGTCACAATGATCGTCATTCTCAACTTCTGCTACACCCCAATCATATTCTCGTCCTCTCACCTTTTGACCATGTTGATTTACAACAAAATGGGTCGAGCCAATAACTGCAAACGGAAAAGCATCTGCAATAGCTTGATTACGCATCGTACTTTCCTCATCTTCACTTTCAATTGGACATTGAAAGACTTGAATATTATTCATTTGAATACATTCCCGGATCTATACAGAAAAAGAATAAGAACAAGAACAAGAAAAAAAAATTAAAAAAATAGGCTTAAAATTAAAAATTCTCTCTTTCGTTGTTTACTTGCATTTTCTTTAAACTTTTGCAAATCTTTCGGGGTTAAAGTATCAGCTTTAGCAATGATAGGAATTAAATTAACTCGAGTACCAAGTCTTTTCATAATTTCAATATCTAACGCTTTTAAGCTTTTTTTGTTTGTTTGTTTGTTACAAATTCTCTCTCATTGCATGATTACAAAATATAAGTTTTTTGTCATACCTGTGTCCATTTGGCCTAATAAAGTAAAGACAAGCATGAACACGCATATCAATTTTTCCTTGACGATAAGGTTGTTGCTCTTGTCTCATATAACTTTCATGTTGATCATCAATAAAATCAATGATAGGCAACCAACTAGCTTTGTTATTTACATAATCACCAAAACCAGGTGTATCAACAACTGTCAATCTTATTTTAAACCTATTTTCTTCCATCTCTTTTAAAATATACATATATTAAAAATTGGGATGACTGATAAAAGAAATAACCTATTTTACCTGCTTTTGTAATTTCAATGTCTACAGTTCTATCTAATTGCTTTTCAAATCTCTTTCCATAAAGTTGATAATTTTTAATCGTTGTTGCGAATAATGTATTTATAAATGTAGTTTTGCCTAATCCAGATTCACCTGTTTTTTTTTTCGCTTTATGAGAAACCTGAAACAAAGTTCTCCTTTTTTTTTTTTTTTTTTTCTATCATTTATACATTACCACAAACCATTAAGGTGAAATTAATACCTCTATTTGTAGCAATTTTATGTACTTGATTGGGTAAATGTGCAACACCTACACCAGAAGAAGAAATAGTTAAAGAGGACATACTCTTTTATTTATATATATATAAATATATACATATATATCTATGTATATGTAAGGAAAAGAATATTAATAATGACAAAAAAAAAGAAAAGAAAAGAAAAAGAAAAAAAAAAAGGTAATAATAAATTAATTTTCGAAACCCCTTATTATTGGGTAAAAGAGGTTGAATACATCAAATTTGCCCCCCAGATAATTTAAAGAAGGGAATGGGAAAAGAGAGAATGAAAAAAGTAGTGATTCTATTATTATCATATGATTATTATTTTTTTTTTTTTGCTCATGATTTAATAACAATAAAGAAGAGATGGCCTTTTTCTTTAGGATAAAGGCCCATCAAGGAAAGAAGAGGAATGTGTATCACGAAAAGACAAACAGGTGATGTTCGATTGTTTCTGATATTTCGAATCAGTGAAGAAGAGTCTTTATAAAGTGAAAGCCCCTTTCTACTAGTAGATGATATTTTTAACCATGACTACTAACGGTTATTTCTACTATGAACAAAGTAATTAAATTGTTTCATCTATTTGTACATACATGTATAAATATATTATCAATGATTGGTTGATTCTAGATAATAGCTTTCATTATTAATAGTTGTAATATCATGATCATTACAGAATATGCATATTACAAGCTACGGATGAATATGTGTACCACAAATTATGTCAGAATAAAGAAGGATATATCTTTATGATTAAAGAAGAAATATATTTAAAAAATTAAAAAATGACCAATGAGCACATAGCATTTATATATGCTGTTTTGCCCTAGTCAGATTGCTATAGAAACCCCCTTCTGGGATAAAAGGGAAAATGTTAAAGTGTATGTATAAGTGATGATAATTAACTATCAGAAAATCGTTATTGTATTGAAAGAAGATGATGGTCAGAGGGTTCAGGGATTTGGGAGTGAAGCAAGATAATCCATCTCAAGCAGTATTGCACATAGAGAAGGCCAGCGTATGAGCCAGACATCAATTGATTTTCTCATTTTCTTAGTATGGAATGTTGATGGTAATATGTTCAAGAGATACGAGAGTGGATCTTCAATAGATTTGGGGCATCTGAAGGCGGTTATGCATATACATCCAAAAATACTATGTGAACATGTGAAGAGTTCATTTGGATGGAAGGGGCAGGTTTGAGGGTGCGCGTCTAATATACGAGCGTTTGTTCGTATATCTGCCAAATTTACTGTAAAAAAGGAAATGCTAAAACATCAGTCTTTTTAATTTGGTTTTTAGAGGAATTTGGCAAATATACGAAAAAGGTGAGCGAAACACTGAAAATAACTTTTATTGAAACTAACATTGTGTCTCGATTTAATTTTTTCCACTTTGTCCCATTTTCGCATGTTTTTTTTTATTGACCCAACCTAGTTTCGTTGACTGTAATTTACAAATTGATTAACAGTTAGATACAAAAAGAGAAAAAAAAGAGAGATAGAATCCAATTAGCATATTTTATATTAAATTGATAATAAAACTAAGAAATATTTAAAATTGGACACTTTTTTAATATAAAAAGACATGTTATTCTTTATAAATAAATCATCTGAAATACAGGTCTTAAACGTGTTTATTAAAATCATGCTATCTTGAAATGTTGTCAATTTGACTCTTAAACGTTTGTTTTCATAACTAACATGAACAACAACCTCTATTCTTATTCTTGGTAGTAGTAAGTACATGACATTTGATTTCTCTTTTTTTTTCTTTTTCTTTTGTTTTATTTGAATTTTATCTGTACATTATATATGGATAATTTAAATAGATTCTTTCATATATTACAGGATAATAAAAGTTTTTTTTTTAATTCCATTAATATAACTTTTTTAATTAAAATGGGATTTGTTGCAATAAGGACAAAGGAGGAGAAGAAGATGAGATCAATGTGTTTGTACAACAAATTAGAATTAAAATATAAGCTCCGATTAAATTCTCGTTTTTTTTTTTCTTCTATATTCTTAATTTGGTAAACTGTACTTCTCCTTTTTTTATTTTATTTTTTTTATTTTTTGCTGGTATTTTTTAAATCAATAATAAAATGTTATGTAGCTTTATTGTGTAAGATAGAAAGGTTACATTATTTTAATTTTTACCTTTTTTTTTCCTTTTCTTTCCTTTCCTTTCCTTTTCTTTTCTTTTCCTCTTTTTTTTTTTTTATTATTTCTTGTAATTAAACACAACATATAAATGAAAGAATATAAGCTTGTAGTTTTAGGTTCAGGAGGTGTAGGAAAGTCAGCTCTGGTAATTACAAAGATTTAAAAAAAAAAAAAAAAAAAAAAAAAAAAAAAAAAAAAAAAAAAAAAAAGTAATTACACAGTATATTATAAACTCATCAAGGTCATCATTAGACTGTTCAATTTGTTCAATCTATCTTTGTTGAAAAATATGATCCTACCATTGAGGATTCTTATAGAAAACAAGTTGAGGTTGATGGACAACAATGCATGCTCGAGATTTTAGATACAGCAGGTACTGAGCAATTTACAGCAATGCGTGATTTATACATGAAAAACGGTCAGGGTTTTGTTTTAGTATTTTCGATAACAAGTCAAGTTACTTTGACTGATCTTCATGAGATTAGGGAGCAAATAATTAGAGTGAAAGGTTCTGAAAATGTAAGGAGAGAAATAGATATACATGAATATTAGATAAAATAACATTTGATATATATACATATTAGATACCTATGGTATTAGTGGGTAATAAATGTGATTTAGAAAATGAAAGAATGGTTTCAAGAGAAAAAGGAATGTCATTGTCACAACAATGGGGTGGAAAACCATTTTATGAAACTTCAGCAAGATTTAAAATTAATGTTGATGAAGTATTTTATGATGTAGTTAGACAGATTAACAAACAAAATCCTTCAAAAGAGAAGAATAAGAAAAAGTTTAAATGTCTTATTTTATAATATAAGTATTTATTCCTCCCTCCCTTTCTTCCCTTTCGCCTTCCCCTTATATATAAATATCTAATATACATAATAAAAATATATATATTTGTATATATATAAAATAAGATAGTGAGTTCATTTTTTTTTTTACTATGTATATATAAGCTGATTTGTTGTACGAGTCAAACAATATGTATTATTTACATTATTTATTCCATTCATTTAACTAAAGTCTGCCTCCATAGTTCGAGTCACCATTGATAAATATTCTAAAAATGAATTAACAGCTACTCGAAGCATTTTTGTATTATAACATTCGAAATGTCTATGTGAAATAGATAAACACGAGTGAGATCAATTGATCTATTAAAAAAAAATAATAATTTCAATCTTACACTTGAAGTAGATTATCCTGACTGGTAATTACTCTTTTCACTTGATCTGTCTTTAATTCTTCATCCACATTCATAACTCTTTTAGCAATTGTAGCTAAATGCTCATTTGGGAAAGGAATCTCTATAAATCTATCAAAATTATTTGATTATTATAATTTTTTTTTCTCTTATCCGTCTATTTTTATTACATTTTACTGTCCATGTTTAAATGTATAAAAATAAAATAAAATATAAAAAAATAAAAAATAATAATATTTAAATTTGACAGTGAAATTTTTATATTTAAAGAGAGAAAAAAAAAAAATGAGCATCTATTCTTTAACCAAAATAACCTTGAATTGCTTACTTTTTTTTTCAGTTGCATTTACTATCCTAATAGATACTGTGAGCATATTGTAAAAATTAGTATGCTAAAGTGGAATTCAATCTATTTGGATAATAGACCAACCAAATAAAATAATAAGTTTATATCTTGATTTCACCATCTCGGAGCAAGTTATAAGTAATGGAAAAAAAAATAGATAAAAGATAGAAATAGACAAAAGGTAAGAAAATAAGCTAAACATAGTTATATGTAACTATTTAGTTTAAAAGTAAATACATATTGAAGATATTTCTGGCATCTTCATAAGTTTTCTTTTCTTTCTTTTTAACCATAACTGAGTCAGTAATAGGAATAAAACTCTTATTATTCTATTCATATAACAAAAAAAAAGAAAAATTACTCCAAGTAATATAAATAAATGAATAGATTAGATTTCTATATTATCAAAACAAGTATACATGCATGTAATGAAATTCCAGTCTTTTTTTTTTTTTGTTATTATTGAAGATATGCATCATCAATTTATTTATTTGATCAAGTATAAATAAGAAAGACTATCATCAAGCTTTGTTTTTTCTCTCTCTTTTCTTTTATGTAAATATAAATGCTCTATATACATTTTATTAATAAAAAAAAAAAGACTTTATTGCTGTTATTATGTTTGTGTGTATGTAAAGGTGTGTATATAAACAATTAATTTGTATTATTTCCTTCTTCTTTTTCTTTGTGTGCATATTTAAGTGAAAGAGATATGTAATAATTTATTTGATTTTAAAATATGACTTTTTTTGTACATTAGTTGTTGAAAGTAATTTTCTTTGTTGATGATGTAGATGCATTAATGGAAGATATTTTCGAGGCAAGTCAACCACTATATAAATAAAGTTAACAAGAGTCCACACATATGTATTCACTAGTAACCACTTTACCAACTTTATTTTTTTCTTTATTCTCTTGACACTGAGGGCTACAATACCATAAGGATGAATCTAATATTGAAGTTGGATAACAATTTAGATGATATGCACGAGAACAACCTCCTTCACATGGTCTAAGTAAATCCTCTTTATTCTTTTCGGGATTTTGACAAATAACACAAAATTGCTGCACAATTGGACGTCGACGATCTTCTAATTTCTCCTTTACAAATGCAGATAAATCAAGCCTTGGTAATCGACTTGCCAAACCATATCCTTTATAATCACATCCATGTTTACTGTTTAAAAGGTGTATATGTGTATCTTATTAATTTCTTTTCTTCTCACACACACACACACACACACACTCTCTCTCTCTCTCTCTTTTATTTTTCTTTAAAAAAATTCTATTCCATTTACTTACTTGCATAATGTTCTTTTACCCCAAGGTCCTGGTCTCCAATTAACACCTTCTGTTGTACCGCAATATCTACACCAATCAATTCCAGATCGAGTTAAATTCTCAAATAATGTTTCTGTCGAATGAGATACTTTTAATTTCTTTTTATTATTAGAGTGTTCATTCATTGGATTTATTATATTTGAACTTGATATTTTTCTCTTTATTGTAGATGTTTTCTTATTGGGTACAAAGGAAGTTACTATTTTGTTCGTAACCAAATAAGGAAGTTTAGGAGTTTCTAATATGGTCATTTCTTTATTATTGCATTCCTGCTGCTGCTGTTGCTGCTGCTGCTGCTGTTGCTGCTGCTGCTGCTGTTGCTGCTGCTGTTGCTGCTGCTCAAATTCCGAGTTATTATGATGGTCAGAGTCAGCCAAGTGTTCTTCTTTCATGTCATTATTAAATAATACATATGTTTCTTCTTCTTCTTCTTCAATTGAAGTAGTTGGTGTAGGTGGCAAGAGACTAGGATCATGGTGATTAGTTATATCGAACTGATTCAATAAAGCCGACCAATCTAGATCATGATCATTTTTTATTTTTTCATTTAAAAATCCTAGACACCTTTTTTCATCTTGTTCATTATTGATATCTTGTTCAGTTGATAACATTGTTTGACCATAGTCAATACCATCGAATAAAGGTTCATGGTTGTACAAAAAGTCGGAAGGAGAGGTTACAGGTGACAAACAAGGGGTCGGAATATGAGAAGTAGTAGTAGTAGTAGTAGTAGAAGAAGAAGAAGAAATGATGGTATCATCTAATTGTTTAATATCTACTTGAGCTGTAATGAAAGGAGCAAGAAAGACATCATCTTTAACTAATCTTTGTGGAGACCAAAACATCCAACGAATTGTTTGCTGTAATAGTTCATTTGTAGATTGATCAAATAATGTATCTAAAATATTTATGGTCGCTGTGCTGCACTCGTGATACGATACATCGGCTGATCCAGTAAAGACAGAACTATTATCTTCATCGTTTAAGATGGGTGCAACCACTTTTATTTGATTGTTCTTGATCATTGTATCGTTATGAAGGGACATTATTATTAATAATTAACTCTACTTTAGTATGAAACTGAAATATAAAGCGTAAATGGAAAGAAGATAAATGATAAAAAGGAAGAAGAAGAAGAGAAAAAGAAAAAGAAAAAAAAGGAAAAAAAAAAAAGAAAAGAAAAAAAAGGAGAATCTTATAAATAAATAAATTATTGTATGATGATATGTTTTCAAATGCTTCAGAAAGGAGTATAAAAATACATGTATTATTAAGGTTATAATTATGTTATGTATACATAAATACATACATACATGCATTTATACATATTGCAAAACTTCCCCCTCCCCTTTCTCCTAAATTATCTTTTCCCCCCCCCCTCCTTTCTCCCTCCCCTTAATTTAATAAAATTCATTGTTTCTGCTAATATCAATAATCTCCCTTTGATATAATAAAGTTTCATTTATTATAAGGGTTTGTTTGACTTTACATTCTAATTCTTATATATACAACATGTTTTATTATTTTTTATAAAAGAGTCTCTAGAATCAATCTTGCACGTTTAGTTTCTGTTGTTTCTTCTTCTTCTGCTTTTGGTAAAGGAGCTGACATTGCTTGTGCTAATAACTTTTCAGCATCAAAGTCATCGTCCATGCTATTATCATTATTATTTACAGTTGAATATCCTGTCAAATGATGGCTAATAGTAGCTTCTTTTTTTACTGGAATCTTTCCTTCTGCTTCCTTTATTGCTTTCTATAATAACTCGTTAATTTTTTTTTTGTATGAAATAAATGCTTCTTTTTTTTTTTTACCTCACGTGCTGAACCTTGAAGATCTTTTAAATACTTCAACACATTATCAAACTCACTTTCAGGTATCTAAAATACACATTGTATGTTATCATTTAATACTATTCTTACTTTTTTTTTTTAATACTACCTCGTATAAATGTTGAAGTAACCAAATCTGCAAGACTTTCTTGAACTTCCAGGAGCTACGATCATTAACAAACAATCGAACATAGGCAAGTGCCTCTAAACAAACAAATAAATGTACGTACATGCGTGCGTATGTAAATACAAAATATCCTTTCTTCTACTCTTTATAAATAGGCTACCTTCTTGTTTTGTATCTTTTTTAGTAGCGATTTCATTATTTGTTGCTTTTGTTTTTGGCTTTTTAGCCTTTTTTGGCATTTTCTTTTCTTTTTCTTCCTCCTTTTCTTTTTCTTCCTTCTTACGCTTGTTTTTCATAGGCTCAGGTTTTTTCATAGCAGGACGATCCTTTTTCGTCATCTGAACTACTGTCTCCACTTTTTCTTCATTACCCTCATCGTCAAATGATACATGCGTATTTTTCACACCCTTCATAAGGGCCAACTTGGCTGCCTTTTGTGCAGTCATCGTCTTTAATAACTTTTGTCCTGGCGTAAGCTGTTTTGCCTTATCTTCCTCACTAGCTTTCTTGTTGTTAGATAGTGTTGTTGATTTCTTTATATTAGATTCATTTTTGTTAATCAACTTTGTATTGATCTTTTTAGTTTTTAATTTATTTGTTTCTGTATTCTTTTCCTTGGTATCTGTCATTTTTTTTTTTTGTCTTATATAAGAAGAAAAGATTTACAATTGAAAGATCTAAAAGTAATAGATCTTGAAATAAAAAACTTTTTATTAACAAACGAAAAAAAAAAAAAAAATCTTTCGGTGCCAACTCCGCAATAACTTTTACAGAGCCTGTCTGTCTAACTTGGAGAAATGCCTGATAGAAGATTCTAAATATAAAAGGAATAGAGCTTGATCAAAGTCGATGGATAATACTAATCTATTCCAATAATGGCCCTTCGTGTTCTTCATTATCAACAAGAATCCTTTTTACTTGTTCAATTAAATATTCGTATATTCTTTGTTCATGTATTTGTTACTTTCTGGTGCTTGTAGCTGTTGTCTTCATAACCGAGTTAGTTATTATTTAACGGGTAGTCTTTTGCACTTTACAGTGTCATTGTTCATTCTACATTCAGTTTTAATGATAGTATTGGAGTGCATAATAATGATAATGATAATATACTACACTATATTAGACAATAACAAGAATTGTGACTGTTATATTCCCATGGCATTTATCATGGATGATAAATAGTATTGTAATACAATTATATAATAATTGGTGCTGATATGATAGCTTTAGTATTCATTCGAGGTTTATATAAACATATTGCATGTTTTCTTATTAACAGAAATTATTCCGGAAAGAATAAAGATATTCCGTTATTAATATGAATACAAAAAGATATAATCCAGTCCTTTGTAGGTGAGGCCATATTATTTTCCTTATGAAAACATGTAAATGACCCGTTTTTTTTTTCAGTATTATTTCTTCTCGGTATAGTTCTTCGTCTATGTATTAATAAACTATACAGACTTGTCCATTGTTTTCTTCTTCTTCTTCTTTATCTTTTTTTTTTTTTGCTATAAATGTACAAATATGCTTGAAAAAAATAATTGAAAATTATAAAGAGCCACATGTTTGCTATCTATCAACGACTGAAAAATTATGCAGAATAGAGATATTAAATTTACGAAATTGGGTGGTGAAGTAGCCAGAAACTAAAAAAAAAAAAAGGACTGGTCTTATAAGATGATTTTAGCTTTTTAGTAGTAGCCACTGCCTTTGATAGAAAATGTATTTAATTTATTGCCCTCCCTCCACCTTTTTTTCTTTCTTTCTTTCTTTCTTTAAAGTGTTCTTGATTTAAATAGTTGGGCAGCTTAGCCCATTCAATTCTAGATTTTATTATTTACTTTCTTTTAGGTGTGGCAATCAATGCACAATTTTCTAAACTTGTAGCTAAATCAACATAATAAACTAATTTAACATCAAAGCCAAATTGTTCTAAATATTTAACTCGTCCAGCATCAAGAATTCGTTTACATTTATATCCAATTGCTTCACGTTCCTGAGCATCACGACCTGAAAAATGATTCCTAGAGATAACATTAGTTTTTTTTTTCCTTGGGTTAAATAAATTATATTCTCTTTTGAATGACTTTACGCTGTTTCATCAAAATTATCTTCATCATCGCTTACTGCATGGTTATTATCTTCATCCATGTTATCTTCTTCGTTTGATGGTTTTCTTCTACCATTTTTACAAGTGGCCCAACTTGTCATTTTGCATAATCGCTCAAAATCCGTTTTAGAAACACCAATGGACTTGAGGTAGTCTTGGTTGGGGTACATTTCATAACGACAAATTTGATGACAGCAAAGGGCAATAATAATTCCCGTAATAGGCTCACTTTAATATAACAATGAAAGAAAGAGATAAATATGAGGGAGAAGTTTTTTTTTTTTTTTTTTTTTTTTTTTTTTTTTTTTTTTTTTTTGTAAATAATAACAAGGTAAAAAAAAAATAAATAAAAAATAACTATACCTTTGTTGTCCCTTTGATTTTTCATGTTCAACATAATTCATTAAGCATTTCAAGGTAATATCAGTAGCACATCCACAAAGATGCTTTGACATAGCTACCACTTTCTTATCATTGTCTGCAATGCAGTCTACTTTTGATAAAACAAGATCCTTAATATCAATCATTTGTCGTTGTACTCTTGACTTATTCTCTGAATGCCCAAGTAATGCTTGATCTGCTTTATTACGAACGCTCTTTCTATCAATCAGCAAATAAGTTGCTTCTCCATTTTCCTCGTTAATCGCTCTTTTCACAAAAGCTGAAAGATCCCCTTTTCCTGCTCCAAATTCAGTAAAACATGCAGTTTTATCTTTTAACATTTCATTCTTTTCCAAATGTCCTAGTAAAGAAGACAGTTGATCCAAATGCTTTGTATTTGAAATAAATTGCCTTGTATAAGGGAAAGTAAGTTTTTTTTTTTTTTTAATATCATGTAGATAAATTATTTTGATTAGAATAATACCTTTTTTTCTCTGCAGAAGAATGAGTTAATTTTTCCATTGGAATAAGAGGGACATGTGCATCATATGCAAAAGATACTTTATCGATGAGTGACTCTAATTCTTCTTTACTTAGTTGATTTAATCGAACTCTTGCTAGCCAAGGTTGAACATGTAATTTTTGATGGGAGAAAATACTTTTTTGGAAATCTAATTCTTCCTGTGAAAGAGGTAGTGTACAGTTAACATTGAGTGAATGACACTTTGGTAATTCTCTAGGTCGAGCATTGCAACGATTTTTTAAGTGATTTTCAAGATCTTTCTCAAAAATGGTACTAAATGTATTAAGAAAAAAAAAAAAAAAAAAAAAAAAGAAAAGAGTGAGTGAGAGTGAGTGAGTCAGTCAGTGAGCTCTATTAGTACAAAGCATATAATATACACCAATTATAATACCCACTGTGAATTATCATAAGGACATGGGATTCTTTTTGGTAAATCTTTTGCATTCTCATCATCGGCACATGCTGTTAAATGTTCACCACAATACTTCAAGTTCTTTTTGGCCGGTAAACCACAATACCTTCTTTTTCTAAGAACAAAAAAATGGCCTATATAAAATAGACGTCTATCAGAATCTTTTTTTTTTTTTTATTTGAAATTTTTTTTTTTCTTTTGTTCTTTACATTGTTGAGGTTTTGTTGGCACTGGAGGAATAACAAATGGTTCAGATTTCCCATTTGATTTTTTGCTTTTCTTTGCTACAGTATCTTTTGGCATTTGTTTGTTATAACAAAGAAGAAGAAGAAAAAAAAGAAAGGGGGTGAAGGGACAAGACGAAAAATACAAAATAAAAAAAAAAATAAAAAATAAAAAAAAATTTTTGGCACAAAAATATTAGAAAATGTAAATACATATTTTAACATACATTTAACAAATGTTATTTTATATATGCATAATAGATACTTCATTCATTTTATTTTATTTCATTTTTTTTTCATTAAATTAAGATGAAAAAAATAAACAGCCAGTATCTCTTATTAATTCCAACCAGAAGTGGGAGCAGGAGCAGGAGTAGCTACATCTTCAGCCCAGTCAGCGGCAATAGTGTCAGTTTGAGCAGACCAATCACCAGAAGTAGCAGCGAAAGCAGCAGGTCCTTCAGCAGCAGAACCTTCAATGGTCCAGTCACCTTCTTCAGTATTAGCAGCCCATCCAGCATTTTCACCTTCGGGTACGGCAGCAGCATCTTCCTCGTTCTCCTTCTCAACTTCCTCAGGATCACGATAGAAGAACATATCAACCATGACGTCCCAAGCATTGCTGTATTCAAGAGTACCACGAAGACGGAGAACTGCACGAGCCAAGAGCCAGTAGATCAAACCAATAGCATGCTTACCCTTGTTGTTGGTAGGAATAGCAACATCAACAAACTTGAGAGAAGCATCAGTATCAGCAAGAGAAATGACAGGGATGTTGACATAAGAAGCTTCCAAAATGGCTTGGAAGTCGGAACGAGGATCAGTACAGACGATCAAACGAGGTTCACGGAAAGAACGAGTGATGTAGTTAGTGAAGGTACCGGGAGTGAAACGACCGACGATAGCTTCAGCACCAATATACTTGGCGAACTTAAGAGCTGCACGGTGACCATAAGGACGAGCTGAGACAACAACAATATCTTGGGGATTTTCAATGGCAGCAATAACACGAGAAGCCAAAATAAGTTTTTCCCAAGTCTTACCAATGTTAATCAAGTTGATACCTAAAATAATAATAATTAACCTTCAAATTCGATTACATCTTTCTCTCTAAATGATGAAATTAAAATTATTGCATTACCATCAGCACGACGCTTAAAAACATAAGGAGACATACGAGTGTTGACATTCTTAGTACCGATATGGCATTGAGCAGCCAACAAAAGTTGAATGTCTTCTTCAGTAGGGTTCAAAACTAATTAATTACAAATTGAAATTGTGAATGTTAATTTTTGATTCATATTTTTGTTTTTTATTTTTCATTTTTTAAAAAAAAAAAAAAGAAAGATTAACTTACCAGCAGGGATTTTTGACATTTTTACTAATTATTTTTTTCAAGCGGACGGCTATCGTTATTTTCTGACAAAAGTTAAGGTGCAGAAAGATTTATGAGGTTTAGAAGGCCAAATAAGTCCAGGTGAAAAAGGAGGAAGTTTCATCATTTTGCAAATTCAACAATTATTTAATAAAAGACAAAAAAAAAACTTTTATTTTTCACAGTCCGATTTTTTTTAAACGCCACAATTTTTTTCCCCTTTGATCTTCACGTACTTTAAAAAAAAAAAAACTCCAGATTGAGCATGACATTTAAGCCGTTCAACTTAGTTCATTGATGGAAATAAAAGATACCACAAAAATACCTTTAGGTTTAATGGTAAAAAGAAAAAGGAAAAGAAATAAAATGGAAAGAAGAGTAGTAATGACATTAATTAGTAATGGGGGGAAATAGGAAAGCTAGTCAAGGAACAATTACTGAATAGGCAGTGAAGGAGTAAAAAAGATGAATGGATTTAAACCCAGTTTTGGAATAATAGTTCTTTTTGGAAGAATTTATATATGAGCCAAAAAAAAAAAATAAACCTGAGCATCCAGCTTTTTTTTTTATCGGGTTATTTGATGATTATCCTTCTATCGTTCTTAAGAAAGCAAAATGAAAACCATGTAATCACTTTGAAGGCCTGGAAATTTATTTTCCAAGCCCTTGTAAACATATTTGCGAAAGCAGGTAATTAAACACATTTTCGAGTGATATACTCCAAACACTATTTGACTGCGCTTTAGCATTTTTAGTCATTATAGAGCTGCAGGTGTTAGCTTCCAGTAGAATTATGTGTTTGTTATTGAGACAGAGTTTTACTTGCGGTTGATGGGGGGGAGCCTTGTGTTATTATAGATCAGGAATCTCGCTGTAGTAAAAATATATACCCAGAAAAGTATAAACATTTGTATTATTGATTATATTTCTCCTTTTTAAATGTTATGCTTCTCAATAATTGAGTGATTATAGAAGAGAGATATAGCCATGATAGCCAAAGAATTTCCTGTGTTGTTCCCTTTTTAAACAGAGATAAGTGGCTATCGAAATGCTGTAAAACCAATAGAGCTTCTAAAATACACTGCATTTACCATATTATCAGGTTTATAAAATCAGCAGTGGACAATTGTAAAATTTAACATTTTCACTTAGTGGTAAACGCTGTCAGCAAGTACAGATATACTTCTTTATTTTTGCCATTATATTTGCTATTTTTATGTCTATTTGAAGAATACTAAACCAAAATCAAGCAAAATATGGTTTGAAATACTCTTGATAAGTCAGGTAAGATTATGCCTCGCATTACTAGAGTTTACAAGCAGTATATTGCTGCATAGAGTTAAAGATAGATAAAGTAAATAGGGGCTTACTGGGATATATATTTGGAAAAAGAGATTGGCTTGAAATAGTACACTTCTTCTCAGTAAATTATTCGATTATCAAAAAGAAAAAAAAAACGGAGAGCATTTAAATAGTATATTAATTTCGTACGACTAACTTGTAAAGGCTTTTCATTTAAGTAACCTTGTAAATCGCTTGAGTAGATAATATTACAAGCTTCAACAAGTCTTGGTGTAAAGGTTTCTTTCAAAAGTTTCTCTTATTTAGGTTTATTCTTACATACGAGCTATAATCGTTTAAATTGGATTTAGCTATTCAAAATAGTATGATGAAAGATAAACATTATTTATATTCTCTCTCTAGACAATAATACCAGTTAATCTATTGGATTTTGTAACATTGAAGAGCTTTACTCCGATGTCATAGATCTAAAGCAGTTTCTATTTGCTGCTATACTCATAATAATACCATTTTTATAACTTTTGTTATCCTAACAAGAGTTGTGATCTCTTCTATTTCGTATATATAAAGTACCTTGTATATTGATGCATCTGAAGGGGATGTTATTGAGTAAAATATAAATAACAAGAACAAAAGCAAAATAGATATCTTGATTACAAATTTTACTGTATGGCTTCTTCACTTTTGAAATGTAACTTTCAATATCTACTTTTCTTAGTGTTAGCGAATATGCTTTTGTTTTTCTTTCCATTCCAATCAGCTATAATATTTACATATATTTTATTAACAATTAAACATTTTGCTGCTTATAATGGCAGCGTTGTTTGCTATATTATTAATAATAATATTTATCTGCTAGAGTTTGTTGTTTATTTGATGACCTTATTTTATTTAAATATATAGCATATCTATTTTCATCTTTATAGGAATATAGCTTCAGCCATCTTCATATTTTGCTGCTAATTAATTCAAGAATAAATTTAGGATAACTGTTTATTTGCCATTATAAAGTTAAATAGGCATATTTATAATCTTTTCCTTCATAATAAGAGCAAATGCAATATATTATTATTTTGAGCAAAAAAAAAAAAAAAAAAAAAAAAAAAAAAAAAAAAAAAAAAAAAAAAAAAAAAAAAAAAAACTATACTAACTAGCTGTCAGTAACGGTCACGTATTACATAATAAATAGCTGAGGCTTATAAATGGTTATTCAATTTGCATGGTCGTATTTAATTACATCTACTATGATAAGCCTTATTATTATTGAATAGAGAATTCATGCTACTATAAATGATGATGAAATGATGACGAAATTGCTACCAAAATACATAAAAATACTTTGTTTTTCGCATTATTATATAAAAATGATTTATGAATATATTTATCAATCAAGAAGATGCTATTGGGATAATATAGCCAACGTTTAAAGCAGCTTTCTGTTTCACGATTTGTATTGTAAAGAAAAATGTGATAATTACAAACAAATAAAAACAAAAAATATTTATTAAAATTAAAAAAAAAAGAAAAGAAAAAAATACAAGGAAAATGATAATAATAAATTATGACAAGGACTTTACAATAATGATAAATTCTTTTTTATCCTTATTAGATGCTATAAAAAATTTCTCTCATAAAACATACTCCATAGATTTGCGCCTCTTTTTAATTTAATTGTTACTCAGAAAGAAAAATATGCTAAATACATAAATGTTTTTTTTTCCATTACATATTTACATAACCTGTATGTGTATATTTTTTATACAAATATTTCATTTAGTTTCATTTTAACTCTATTCCTTTTTATTTTATCTCATTTTTTTTTTTTTTTTTACTAGGCCTTACATATACTTATGTCCCGTAAACGATGGTTTGATATCTTTTGGAAAAGTAAAGATAATGAAGAAAATAATAGCCGCGACAGATACTGTCAAGGAATACATCGAAGAGCATCCACTGAGAATTCTCAACAGTCTGCTATAACAACTTCGACTTTATCTCATACTGAATCAACAGCTGTCAAATTAAAGAAAATAACAAATGGGGGACGCCGAATATTTATCAATTTACCCCTTTCTACCTTTTATAATAATGCAACAGCAACTGAAAAGAAAAGAAATTTTGCAACCAACAAAATTAGAACTTCGAAATATACCTTACTTTCTTTTATTCCAAAGAACTTATTTGAACAATTTCGTAGACCTGCAAACATGTATTTTTTAGCAATGGCTATTATACAAATGTTACCTCAATTTGGAGTCAAATCACCAGCATTAACTCTTTTACCTATCTGTTTTGTCGTATTTGTTACTGCAGTGAAAGATGGCTTTGAGGATTTTCAACGTCATAAGGTAGACAAACAGTATAATCAAAATATTACGCATACCTTAAGGGGTTATCATAATACAAATTTTCCTTATCAAGATTCATCTTCTTCTTCAGCAAGCGGTAAATTCTTGACTAATATTACTACTACTACTTGGCTATCTGCTATTTTATATCATCTTTCCTTTTTTAAAAAGGTTCCAGCTACAGGAGAAAGTGAAAATGTTCATGATGATGGAAATCAACAAAACTTGCCTTCCCATGCTGAGGATGTATTTGAAAGATCACTTTCCAAGGATATACGTGTAGGAGATTTCATTCTGTTACGTAATGGTGATAGTCTACCAGCGGATGCAGTACTTTTATCTACATCAGATAAAGAAGGGATATGTTATGTTGAGACAAAGGATTTGGACGGCGAAATTAATTTAAAACCTCGAAAGAGTATACGAGAGTTAAGTTATATTCAATCTGGAGCAGATTGTTTAAATGATTGTCATTTCTATCTTGAAGCAGGTGCTCCCTCTCCGGACTTGTATCATTTTGAGGGAACCCTCGTGAGGCTAGAAAGGGATGGATCATTAGTAGATAAATGGATAGAGAAAAGTAGGACCCCAGTTGGAATTGAGAATATATTACTTCGAGGACATGTGGTGAAGAATACAAAGTGGGCTATTGCTGTTGTACTTTTTACAGGCGTAGATAGTAAGATTATGCTAAATTCAGGTGAAACACCTAGTAAAAGGAGTAGAGTAGATAAACAAATGAATCAAGAGGTAATAATACAAACAATATATAATATGTATATATATATCTGTGTGTGTATGTAGTAACTATATACATATATATATATATATCTGTATATAGATTTTTATAGCATTTCTTGTACTTTTTATATTATGTTTAATATGTGCTATTATGGCTGGTGTTAAGAGAAGTTATTTTATGTCAAATACTTCATCATCTCTCTTTGCAGTCCAATCTGGGTCACCAGCTTATGTAGGGTTTATGAATTTTTGGTCTAGTTTAATTATTTTTCAAAATATTATACCCATTTCTCTTTATGTATCTATCGAATTTGTGAAAACTTTTCAGGTACTTTATATATATATGTATACCTCATTTTGTATTTATAAATTTCAATATAGGCATTTTTTATTTGGAATGATTTAGATATGTGGGATGAATCATCACAGAAATCATGCGTACCAAAGACAGTAAGTAAATATCATATATTCGCAAAATAGAGAGAGAGAGAAAAAAAAAAGAATAGTATAATTAATTCTATTATTATTAAGTGGATATTATCAGATGACCTTGGACAGGTGGAATATATTTTTTCTGATAAAACAGGGACTCTAACTAGAAATATTATGGAATTTAGAGAATGCACGATTGGAGGTGTCAGATACGGCAATAATGGATTTGCACCCGAATCTGAAGGCGCTCGTGGTGCCCGTATTCGAAAAGAGAAAGAGAAAAAGAGCAATCATAATGAAACGAATACTAGCAGCCATGTTGGACACGATCTAGAGGAGCAGCGTGAAGCTGTAATGAAGGAATCGACAGAAAATCACTTGCCATTATTGGATGTTGATGAAGATCCTCTTAAAGATAATGATGAAAAGAAAGCAAACAAAGAAAATAAAGATAAACGATTAGAAATTATGAAAGATTATGAAGCAACTATGAAAAACCTATTTCAACCAACTTATTCTTCATTGAACCCTAATAGACTTTCATTCGCAGATCCACAATTATTCAAAGATATTGAATCTTCAGAACCGGACAAAGAACTGGACAAACAATCTGCTAAAATTAAAGAATTTTTCATGTTATTAGCATTATGTCATACAGTAATGGTAGAAAGGATTGGAGAAGATGGTAAAGTTATCGAAGAAGAAGAAGAAGAAGATGATGATGATGATGATAAGAAAATGACTAAACAAGAACCAAAAATCAGTGAGAATATGGCTAACGGAAGTTATAACAAATTGAAAAATACAATCGTTAGTGACATAAAAGATGCAAAAGCATCGGATGAAAATGCAGCAACTGAAAAAATGGAAACAAGTAATTACAAATCACATACAGGGAGCACGAGTAAACTTCTTTCACAAGTCCCAGGTATTCGCCATTTAAAAAAGTCTTCTGATACTGAAGCTACTAATAAAAGGGGTGATTTAAGACGTAAAAAGAGTCGAGGTGAAGAATTCAATTCAATTACAGACGAGAAGCAAAAATCGGATCAAACGGATGATACAGTACGGATACAACTTAACTATAAAGCTGAATCACCAGATGAGGCTGCCTTAGTGAATGCAGCCAAAAATGCTGGGTTTGTCTTTCTTCAACGAAAGGGGGAAACAGTGACGGCAGATATTGTTGGTAAAGAATATCAATTTGAACTACTAAATGTGCTAGAATTTAATTCAGACAGAAAACGGATGAGTGTGATTTTGCGTCGGCCTGAACCATGGAATGATATCATATTGTACTGTAAAGGCGCGGATAATGTGATATCTGAAAGATTAGACAAGAGTAAGCAAGAGAAGGATGTAATTAATCAAACTTTTTCTCATGTGAATGAGTACTCTGAATGTGGTCTTCGTACTTTACTTGCAAGTTATCGCCTTTTAGAAGAGGATGAGTATAAAAACTGGAAGTCAGAATATGATGAAGCAAGTACTGCTTATGAAAATCGTTCAGATAAGATTGCTGAGGTACAAGAGAAAATCGAGGTTAATCTTAGACTACTTGGAGCAACTGGTATAGAGGATAAACTTCAAGAAGGTGTACCTAAATGTATTGAAGATCTTCGAAATGCAGGTATCAAAATTTGGGTTTTAACTGGTGATAAATTAGAAACTGCTATAAACATTGGATACGCAAGTAACTTGTTAGATGCCAATATGAAACTATGGGTCATTCATGGTAGTGATAGCCCAGAGAAGGTATTTCAAACCTTAACTGACACATTGGAAAAATTAGACAATAGACATGAAATAGATGATTCAATCATACAAGAAAATGCACTTATCATTGAAGGGTCATCATTAGCTCATATATTAAAGTCATCAGATTTAAAAATAAAGCTCTTACAAATTGCTACTCATTGCAAAAGTGTTATATGTTGCCGAGTTAGTCCACTTCAAAAGGCATTAGTTGTTCAACTTGTTCGTAAACATCATGATACTGTTACGCTTGCTGTTGGTGATGGTGCGAATGATGTAAGTATGATTCAAGCTGCAAATGTAGGAGTTGGAATAGCAGGTCAGGAAGGTGTACAGGCTTCTATGGCTGCTGATTATGCCATTTCACAGTTTCGATTTCTTCATAAGCTATTATTAGTTCAAGGTCACTGGAGTTATTCTCGTATTTCAGAGATGATATTAACTTTCTTTTTTAAGAATGTCTTTTGGGTATTTCCATCATTATGGTATCAAATATACAGTGCGTGGTCTGGCAATATCTTTTATGATTATTCATTCTTGCAACTTTATAATATTGTGTTTACAGTTGCACCTGTAGTTATTCTTGGTATTTAATAATTTATTATAGAGATTATTTTAATTGTACTTGATATTAAAAAAAAAAAATAGGTGCAACCGATCAAGATCTTACTTCACCTTATCTAAAGCATTTAACAAGTATTTATTCAATTCGAGGAAAATTATATACAAAGTTTAGGTTTTGGCTGTATTTTTTAGATGGAGTTTGGCAATCCGTCATTGTATTCTATGCTTTCTATTTATTGTATATTAATGGAAATCCTAATTCAAATGGCTATTCAGAGTCTATGTTACAACTATCTACATCTGTTGCAGTCACTGCTATAACATTAGCCAACATCATGCCAGGTTTTAATACTTACTATTGGACATGGTGGCAATTTACTTTTATTGGACTTGAATTACTGGTCACATTTTTATGGGTCGTAATTTATGGAGCATTCCCTTCTGTTTCACTTTGGGGCATGGCTAATATGGTCTTTGGTCAGGGTTCATTTTGGTTGACTTATTTATTAGTTATTATATTTGCATTTTTACCGCGTTATACAATTACCTTTATTTATCAGTGGTGGTATCCTAATGTTATTGCAAAGGGTCGCCAATTTGAGCTTTATGACAAGCGCATAAAGAAAAAAGAGAGGTAATATATATATATATACATGTATAATCGATATTTTTTTTTTCTTGTAAATAATTGTATAAAAGGGTAAAAGAGTTATAATCATCTTTTATTTCAGTAATAAAAATTTTTTTTGTTGCATATATTGTAATTGACAATATAAAACTAAGGAAAAGATATAAAGCCAAAGTGTTATTACAAAACCATTAATATCCTTATATAATTTGGTAGCTGAAACCATTTCTGTTTTATCTATAGACCTAAAAGTATTTATTTGCTCTTATCAGATATATAGACTAGATAAAAAATCAATAGATTCAGGAGTTCCCTTGAAGACATTTTGGATATAGAAATTCTATTTAGTAGTAGCAAAATAAATTACGATAGTAACAATGATAAAATGACGTCTAATTATGTTAACAAGAGTTTAAGATGAAATTAAGATAGTACCAATAACGTATAACAATAAAAGAAGATTGAAGGATGTATATACTTCATTGTAGCTGCAGTAATGTGTTTAATGATTTCCTACATTATAGCTTTTTTTTTATTATATCTGAAATAGATACCAGTATTAATAAAAGTTTGCTAAGTAATTGTATACTCATTTTTACAATAATATAGATATATATTGTATTTAAAAGAATACGAGGCACTTTTCTTGTTTAAAGAACTTTGATGATGATAACGTTAGACGTCCAAACTTATCTTTATTATGTATTGATATATAAATCAGATTTATCAATAAAAAAAATATCTATTTTCAGTATCCCTTGAATTCATTATTTATACTCTATTTTTATTACAATGAAAAAGAAATCGTATATTATGATTTTTATCTAGAAGGATAGATGGAAGAAAAGTTTGTTATGATCACAAATAAAAAAAAAAGTAACTCAGAAGCGTGCTATTGACATAAAATCTACTATTGAACAACTAGAAAGCAGAAGGAGATCTAAGGGCACTATTTTCAATAGAGTAAGCTCATTGGTTGAGAACAATAAAAGATTAGAGTGAATGAGGCCGACTTGGTATTCCCCCCCCCTCCACCTTGTCATCAACAAATCAAGTCAGAGGTGCTTTTTAATTTGTTTGGAAGAGAAGCAAATTACAGTGAACCTGAGGGGGGATATTCGATTGTTAACAGAGAGTAATAAATTCGAAGAAAAAGAGATAGACAAAGTTGGATGGATAAAAAGAAATAATGACTGGTCCAACATACATTCGAAAACTTTTTACGGTATTTATTGTTAAAAAAAAAAAAGAATAAACTAATACATTTATTCAACAAGTTATATATAAAATGATATGGAATATTATTGTTTAGAAAGTAAAGTTATATTTTTACAATTATTTATGATGTGCAGTTTACTGAAAGTAAAGTAGTTATTTTTTTTTTTTTTTTATTAAATCGAACAATTTGAAGCAGTCAAGTGATTAAAAATTACTGCTTAACGTGTGTATGTACTTGGATATTTTTGTTACTTTTTCAAGCAGTGACATAAAATTATCAATAGCAAACTAATCTTGATTAAGATTCTTTACAGCAACTGTAGCAGTGGACATCAGATGACCCCCTGTAAAACAAAGTTATTGAGTAAACAAGCGCTTATATTAGACAGAGATAAAAAAAAAAAAATGGAACTTTAAATTCCTTTTATGTTATTAAATTGTATCACTCACATATGATTTGTATACCTAATTTAAATAAAACGTTGTCTACAATTAAGCAACCGCCAACTCCTAACATCTCCGCACATAGGGAAAGGCAACAAAAGATACTTCAGCTAAATCACTATTACCAACCATGTTGGAGTTAAAATGCTATAACTCAAATGCCTTCTATGGTATGGGAACAAAGACATGCGGTACTAAAGAGCAGTAAAACAACAACCAACGTTAACAGAACTTATGTTGGATTACCGAGTCTGAAATCATAATGAAAAAAAAAGAAAGAAATAATGACGTTAGTACCTGGAATTGAATAGTTTTTTTTTTTTTTTTTATTTTTTTTTTTTATAAAAAAAAGGGGTAAAGATCACTTTATATCAAAATAAGGAAATAGAGTAAACAGTAAAATGTCGCATAGGATGTTTCTGCATCTTTTGATTTGTATAATTTTCTCGAAATATTTATTTCCATAAGTTCAAGACAAATAGCCCTTTTAAACTGTTTGAGGAAGAAATAGAAAATGTAAAACTGGGAAATAATAATAAAAAAAAAATGCCTGTTTTTATTTTATAACTATCTGGTGAGATATTTATTATAAATTGTTTACTAAAACGGGGATCCTACTGAGAGCCCAACAAATAGGATGATGATTGCTGCCTGAGGTATTATTAAACCAACGTTTAAATTCACCTTTGAGATTTGCATTAATGTCGCCGTTGGTGTCAGTATGTTGCACCAATCTATCTTTAATTTCATTGAAATTTTAATAAGGTTAAGCATAGATTTAGCTTCCTTTCTTCAGTGATGAACAAGCAGCGATAAGTATATATTCTTCTATTGTGATGTGAAAGAGAATCATACCATTATCTTTGCCGTAGCTATTTACAGTGACACAAGATGTGCAACATGTCAGAGAGTGAATACAAACATTTATAAGGTTATATCATAAAAGGTATACTGTTTATGATGAATCATAAGCTCTATAACGCAAGTATAATTTGTCAACATGCCACGTTCTGATACCAAACACGTTTTTCTACGATGACTCAAAAAATTTGCTTCATGATTTTTTTTTTTTTTTTTTTGTTATCTTTGAATACAAAAAAAAGCTAACATTCTATTGCTACACTATGTATTCATGAGATTGCTAATTAGTTTCATCTTTTGAAATCAGTATTTTTATAATTAGCAGATTTGATTAACTCATGTCTTTATATACATGACCACTTAATTATTGAAAACACACACACATATATATATTTAGTGTCAGATCGTGTTATAGAGTTCAAAAGATATTACATTGAAACCATTACAGGAGAAACAAATTATGATATTTTCAGAAAAGATGTACACCGAACCAGAATTATAACTTTAACTTTAAAATTGAATATCAAACCTTTTTTTTTCTTTAATGACTAACATTGAGTGAAAAATGCTTATGTAGAAAGTAATTTTCTCTGTGCTTATTAATATTAGTGTTATTTATTACATTTAGTAGCAGCAATAGTAGTAACATTAATTATTGCTAATAACCAATATTTCTCCGTTTTAACACAGCTTGGTTCAAGTAAATTTGCTTATTTTTTATTTTTTTATTGATTTATTTTTTTTTTGACCGGGAATTTACGTAATTAATTAAATCAATGAAGGATTATTTTGAAAGAGTATAACAGACAGAGACTGTGATGCAGCTATTTAATCTAAATATTTCCATTTAATTGGAACAACACCTTGCTTATAAGATGCTAATTTAATGAAAGCAGCAGGGCTTAGATCTATTGTTATTATTTATAATTTGTTAGCTTGTTAGTTTGTTATATAATCGAGATAAAAAAAAATATATTTGCTTATTACCTAAACTACCCTTTTTACATCCTGGACACTATTTAATTAGTTAGTGAGTTAGTCAGTCAGTCAGTCAGTCAGTCAGTCAGTCAGTCTTTTGGTCTAACAGTGGTTATTATACTACTTACTGTGTCTACCACTTTTACTTTTACTGTATCACCTTTGTTATTTTCAATTTCTATCATTCTTCCACAATTGGGATTTTTATCAGATTCATGTTTTTTGTTATCCATATCGTCTTTATTAACTGCAGCAATTAAATCATCTTTAGTATTTCTCCATCCACAAGAGCCCTTGTCAGGTGAATAAAAGGTAGCTACACCATGATGATCGAATCCACCACCGCTCTTTTTAGAAGATGATGAAGCAGTCTTTTTATGGCGTTTATTCGAGTGATGTTGTTGTTTCTTATCGAGACGACTATTCTTTCTAATTTTAGAATGGCGATGACTGTTCTTTTTATCCTTATGTTTGTCCTTTGTATGATCTCGTTCTTCTTTTTTGTGCTTTTTATCTGAATGATGACGACGCTTATGAAGACTATCATGTTCAGTAGCCATCATTCTTTCTTCATCATCTTTGTTTTGAATATCTACTAATGTATTTCGGCTCATTTCTTGTTGTTGTTCTTCAAGCGGCAAATCATAGTCCTGTTGTGGTACGGATTTGATAATATCATAATCAATATTGACATTGTTATTACTAGCTAAAGTAGGTGAACGAATAGGTGATGCCACCACTGAGTTAGTTAAGAAATAAGTGGCTGTAGTAATTGACAAGCCAAGCAGTAAAATAGACCTCATAAAGCTTAATAAATGAAAAAAAAAATAGAAGAGAAAAGAAAGGATGTTTATTATGTAATGAAAACAAAGGATGGCATTATATAATCTTAGTTCATTGTAATAAATTAAAAATTAATGCGGAATTGAATGTAGTTGGTGTGAGTAATGACTGTATTGTTCTTCATCTTCCCCCCCCCTCTTCTTTACTCTCTCACTCCCCCTTTTTTTTTTTTTTGCAGTAAAAATATATTTATATATACATATAAAATGAATTTATTCCATGTTTTTTCCTTTTCCTTTTTTTTTTTTTTTTTTTACTATTATTCCTATTTTTTTTTTCTTTTACCTTTTTTCTTGGTTATGGTGCTTAATAACATACAAACATTTTCTATATTAAATGAACCTAATGTGATTCATGTTGGGTTCAATCTTATAGAATATTTAGTATCAGATTTGATGTCTTGCCTTAATGGAATGTCAAATTATGTTATTATTACAGATAATCATCTTGCTCCGCTTTATTTAAATAAATTAATGAACGCTATTAAGTCTCACTTGCAAGAAACTCATCAAAGACTTTTCGTTCGAGTTTTACCCTCTGGAGAACAAACAAAATGCCGTGAAGTGAAGGCGTCCATTGAAGATTATTTATTAGATCAGTCATGTACAAGGGATACATGTCTTATTGCATTAGGTGGAGGTGTTATGGGTGATCTCGTCGGTTATGTTGCTTCTACATTTATGCGCGGAGTTCCTTTCGTTCAAATACCTACCACTCTTTTGGCCATGGTCGATTCAAGTATTGGCGGTAAAACGGCGATTGATACTCCCCGTGGTAAAAACTTGATTGGTACTTTTTGGCAACCAAAACGTATTTATTTAGATTTATCCATGTTGGAAACCCTTCCTAGAAGAGAATTTGCAAATGGTATGGCTGAAGTTATTAAGGTAAATAAATAGAAAAGAAGGGAGGGGGACGGGGGAGAGTGGGAGAGTGGGAGCGGGAGGAAAGGAGAATATCCCTACTTTCTAAAGAAAAAAAATTTTTTTTTTTTTATACATTCATAGACAGCGGCTATATCAAGTGAATTAGAGTTTATTAAACTTGAACAAGGAAAAGACAAAATTGAGTCAGCTTTAATGGGCTCAAATTCTAAAAATCAATCTACAATAGGTAACGAGTTATTGTTTATGATTATTATTTATAAAAAAAAAAAAAAATTTCTATTTGTATTTAGATTCCGATCGAGACTATTTAGCAAATGTCATTAGTGCTGCAGCCCAATTTAAAGCAAAAATTGTCACTCTTGATGAAAGAGAAGGTGGTTTAAGGGGTCTCCTGAATTTTGGTCATTCGATAGGTCATGCATATGAAGCAATCTTATCCCCTGAATGGCTTCATGGAGAATGCGTATCCATCGGGCTTTTGCATGAAGCTGAGTTATCCCGAGACCTTGGTCATTGTGATCAAGATGTCGTTGATAGGCTTAAAGAGTGTTTAAAATTATATAATTTACCTACTGAATTTGATACGAGAACAAAGGAAAAATTATCTATGGCTGATGTCATGAACATAATGAAGGTAGACAAGAAAAATAGGGGTACTCAGAAAAGGATTGTCTTGCTAAGTTCTATTGGTAAAACATTAGAACAAAGAGCAACGGATGTACCTGATTCTGCTATTGAAGCTCTATTATCAAAATATATAGCCTCTACTATGCATAGATCAGTAACTACTACGATAAGTCAAAAGTCCGAATCTGAAACTTTTTCTTCTTCATTCGATAATGATATTCAACTTCCAATGAGAAAGATATCATTAGAACTGATTGCAACATCACATGATATATTTGAAATTATCACATCTCTTCTTCCCCTTTCGGCTTTAAAAGAAAAAAGAGTGACTGATGGTTTTATTGAGATCAAGGAAGAAGAACATAAAATTATTTGTACAAGTCAATCATCTGATAAATGGGTTCATATTTACTTTACTAAAGAACCAGGCACAACGTGTCCATTAAATGAACATGAAAATTGGTTTGAATATGTTCTCTTAACTAAAGATCAACAACAACAAGAGGATATTTTACAATTTATTGATATCATCTGCAGTCGTCATACTACAAAGCATCATATTGACCCATCAAAGAAAGGAGCTCAGACTACATTTTTGACGCCTACTATCTCCAACTATGATTCTATAGAACCTTGTCTCTTCCAGCAATGGATCGAAAATACAGATGCAGTTGAATTCCGTGTGGATCATTTGCAACCTCCCTCTGATACTTTACATGATTGGATAACAACAACGGGGGAACAATTATTTCATTTACGTCAATTGACAAAGTTACCTATCGTCTATACTGTTCGTACTATAGCACAGGTTGGGAGATTTGACCCCTCTCTTGGTTCTGACCATTATCTTCAACTTCTTCAATGGGGCCACCGTTGGGGGTGTAATTATGTTGATCTTGAAATGACAGCTCAAGGTCTGGAAGAGATCATGCGACTTAACCAATATTATCCATGCACTAAATTGATCGCCTCCTTTCATGATCAATCCACTTGGTCAAGTTCAGGTATGACTCAAGTTTATAATCAAGCGAAACAGTTATTTGAAAGATATAATCATAAGGGGGTCATTAAACTTGTAGGCTATGCGAAATCATTTTGGGATAATATAGAATTAGAACAATTTAGACATCAAGTCGATCCTAATAATGATAAGGAAATCATTCTTATCAATATGGGTCCTCAAGGTAAATTGTCAAGGGTCACCAATCATTTCTTAAGTCCAGCTACTCATCCTACACTTCCTTTTACTGCTGCTCCTGGTCAATTATCGATTACCGAAATGTCATTTCTTCGTAAAAAGTTGGCTATGGAATGAATAAATTCAATTCAATTCAATTCAATTCAAATTCTACTATCTTTACACACATAAAACATAATAAAATAAACAATTTTATTATTTATTCATTCATCATTTATAATAAATATATTATTCGTCAAGATTATGCAAGGTCCTTCCAATTAAATAATTATCTTCTCTGATATTTTGAGCTAATCTTGTAGTCATTCTAGTTCCAATTTTACCGAGATAATAGCTCGTAATACCAATTAGAGCAATTGGATATGCAATTTGAACTAATCTTGCTCGCAGCTCTGTATCAGTTTGAGCTAATATAGAGATTTGAGTATAAGCAATGTTATATATGCATATGTATATATATTCATATAAATACATACCAATAATTTTTATATTTATATAAGCTGTTAAAAGAGGAAGAAAAATGGCTGCAAGACTGACAAGTAATAAGGGTCCAAGTAGTTTAACAATACATAATTTTATTTTCATTTTGTGAATACCATCTTGGAATATCTAATAAATACATACAAAATAAATAAATATATAAATGAATTGAATCATCTTTTTTTATATACTCTTTTTTTTTCTTTTTTTTTTAAAAAAAAATACTTACATTATCCAAAATATGTTTCAAATGATGATTAGGGATAATTTGAATACATCCATGAAGAATATTCATACAAACAAATCCTTGAGTCCATAATGGTATTACTTTGATGGAAAAGATATTCGAATCTATTTGTCTCAAAGGTAAAATTGTATAAAATTCAATCAATGCTCCAAATAAGAAGGGTATAATCAAACCAAACGACACCAGAAAAAATACCCATCTAAAAGCCTACATTGCAAAAGAAAATTAAGCCTTTTAATCTTTTTTTTTTTATTAGTATTATTATTATTATCACTTACCCATAAAAACCATTTTGTTAAATATCTCCACACGGATGCTAAAATATTAGGTCTTGAAATAATATCTTTAATGGCTTTGTAAGTATGCTTCATAAAAGAACCAAGTGTCAAAAGAATAAAGACGCCAAGCTTAAAAGAATAGATATCATGTACTTCATTTTCAACCCCAAATTTCATTTTAAACAGGTAACGACCTAATAAAAGAGGAGAGATGATGGCTGAACAACAAACTAACGTCATAATTAACCACATGAATATAACAAACACCAAGAGTCTCAATTTAAAATGAGGTGGACTATAGACAATGATTGTATTTATATCATTACCACCAGCCGCAGTTGCTGCAGGATGTCCTAAACGTCTTTCTGTTTCATCAATAGGTTCAAAAGTTCTATTGTCGACAGGGACTAGCATACGTCGACGATCAATAATAGGAACACTATCATGTCGAGGAACACGTAATAATTGTCCATCCCAAATATACGAAACATCATTACCTATCACATTTTCACAACTTCCTTCTACAGGGTAATAAGCAGGCTTAACTTGCTTTATCCATGCAATCCATGTATGATAAACAAGCGTTCCTTCTTCTTCTGGTCTTCTTCCTCCAAATATAAATGAAAATAATCTCAGTTGTCGACAGGCAAAAGCGGTGCATTTTAAAAATAATTGCTTCATTATTTTCTTGGGTTGGAAATATTTAACAATAACTGGAATATAGATTTGCCCTATAATTAAATCAATAGGCATAATGGAGATTGGACTTCTATTGTATAATATGGCGTTACTTTTATTTTTTCTTGATTCCCCTTTAAAAAAAACATAACTACTTACGATAAATTCCATCTTAAAGGTAAGATTTGACAGTCAACAACATCAAGTAAATGGACTACACTACCTACACCAATCAAGATGACAGTAAGGTAAATTAAAGCACTAGCACCAATTTTTTTAAATTGAAATAAGATGGGTCTTTCAATAATTTCTCGAATTGGATGAAATTGAGGATCGTTTGGATCACGAATAAACCACATAACACCAGGGCGTACCGTTTCACGACATGTGGTAACAAAAACGGCAAATAAGAACATAAATCCTGTCCCCAAGAACCAATGTAAAAAGATAGAAGGAATAGGATGTGTCTGTAAATAGCTAAGACGACTTAAAAGAGTTACTGCTTTAAATAATGGCAGCGTTGAAAAGTCCAATAAAAACCCACAAACGATAGGGAACAGAACAAGTTCAATTGTAATAAACATGCCAACTTTAAAAATCATACTCTGTTGACGAATAATTTCTTGCGCTGTACGTCCAAATGCTGCAACAGCAAGATTTTGTTGAATAGATCGAGTCAAATACCAGCAGCTAGCAAACGTTGCTACCATGTAACCAACCAAAATGCATGCAAAACGGTCTACAGCCGTTTGGCCTGTTGCTAATAATTGATAACGACGAAAAGCAGATTCAAAGATGGGATCTGTTTCATTCATGAATTTAGCCACAGATGTAAAAATAAAGGATGAATTGGATGCATAAGAGGTCATGTTGGGTATAATTTGATCCGATAAAACGATATCAGAGGATTTACTAAAGAGTAATGAATTGCTGATAATAAACGTATAAATGTACATAAATGAGTCTATTATTTTGTTGTAGATAGGTAAAGAAGAAATAGTCACAGAGATGGGTTGCAAATGATTTTGATAAATAGTATGTATGAGCCATGGTTTGACATAATTGGAACATATCATAATTAAATAATCTACTAATGGATCTGTAGCCCAACGAACCACTTTTAATGGTAAACGAATAAACTCCAATGTATCTGTCATAATGAATATCATACCAATGACGTATGGCATCCATACAGTAACAGCAAGACATAAAGCAATCAATACTGCTATCAAAGCACAGTTTTGCGCTAAAGACCATAAACTACCTTGCATACCAATTGCTTCGAGTATACCTTCAAATTCTTCAATATTTTCATCATCATCATCATCATCTTCTTCTTCTTCTTCTTCATTATCATCATTATTGTCGCCTTCATTCACATTATGATTATCAATAGGTTGAATTGGGGCCTGGACAAAAGGCCTATTTTCCTGTTCATTTTCTTCTTCTTCTAGAATAGGCTGATGACTTGAGGTAGGAGCTTCAGCGTGTCGTATTCTCGGAGCATTAGGAGGATAACCACGATGCGTAGTAGCTATGGCAGGAATCAAAGCATGATTTTGTTCCAAGATTTGATTTTGATAGCTAGGCATATGACCAGTAGTAAGTCTATTATCAACAAAAAGTTCCATACTCATCGATTTTTGAAAATTGATTTGTTCTCTATTTAACTGAGATATCAGGTTATTTTCAGAAGTTTCATCATCATCAAAAGAAGTAGGTATAGAAAGTGAAGGAGGCATTGATGCTGCACGAGGAGGTCTTGATGATTCAATATGATTGGAATGCATGATCGAATCTGACGAACTTGTTCCTGCTTCACCAAACCAAATTCTGTCATTTAGAGCGATTGGAGAAGAAGGTAAATCATTCTCAATCTCATTTCTTTCCTCCTGTTCCCAAGATCCATTCAATAATCCTTCTATTCTTCTTTGATCATTATTATTTCCAAAGACTTGTTCATCTTGAATCATTCTCTCTGCTGGCTGATCTAAAATAAAATTATTATCATCTTCAACAGGTGGCGGATCCATTGGAATATTCTGTACAATCCATTCTCTTAATAAAAAAATAGCAACAAAAATAACAACTACAATACAAGTTATAATTTGACCTTCAAAACAATCTGATAAAAATGTTCTTTATAAAAAAAAAAGGGATTAATATATGGATAGGTTCTCGTTTATCATCTATTCTTACCGTAAAGTAAAACGATTATTATAGGTTTGAAGCCAATTGGCAGTTATAGTTTCATTACTATAATTATATGAATCTAATATAACTGATATATTCTTTGCTTGTGCAAACTGATATCTCATATTTTGCAACTTGATAAAATGTTTTCCAAAGTGACTGCCCAAGAAAAAGTATAATCTCCATATCCAAATAGTAAAATAAGGTAATAAAACTAACCAAATACTAGATACAAGAATAGCTCTTAAAGTTTTTGAAATCACAAACAATGTCTTTTTTTGTAATTGCTTTAGAAATAATCTAGCAGGTAAAACTTCTGGCATATCTTGACTATAAACTATACATAGGATGATTTAGTTCATGTTGAACAAGAATGATATTTACTTTCTTTCTATTCTATATACCTGGTGTAAACGTAAAAGGGTGTCCGCATAATTCACAGTATCTAAAAGTTAAAAGCAATAATAAAAGTACACAATTATATTTAGTTATAAACTATAATACACATATATAATAAAATCATATTATACAGCTATAATGCATATACACTATTACTTTTTCCGGCTGTGAGATAGCCATTCTATTAGACTAATACAGAAAAAAAAAAAAAAGGAAGAATGTGAATATATACATATAATTCCTTTCCAAGTTAAATTGCTTCATTAAATTTTACCATTCTTGATGAACATATTTTATACTTCCAGCACATTTACAAGGATGAAATAAAGGTTGCTCAGAAGTGCTTTCTGAACGACACACTCTACATATTTCTGTATATAGTTTTTAAGTAAAAAAAAATGACAAAGGATAGCTTGGTTATTTACCTTCTTCTTCCTCCATGACCTTTTTCTTTTTTCTTCAAAAAAAAAAAAAAAAAAAAAAAAAAAAAAAAAAAAAAAAAAAAGAGTCACTTAAAATGTTGTATTTAAAGAATAATGAAGAGAAGAAGGTGAATAATTATCATAAAAAAAGCAGATAATTTTTATTTGGTTGGCAGTCACTACCATTTATTACAGCCTGAGTATAAAAAAAAAAAAAAGTGTGTATGAAACATGGCAATTTGCTTCATCAATTGCTGTTATAGCATTTTTAACGTTGTTCATGTCTTTTATTGCTTGTCTTCGTATTGTTAAAACAATTCTTTTTAATAGAAGAAGAAACAAAAGTAATGTTCATTCAACAATGCAAGAAGATAAATAAACTTTGCAGAGTAGAAAAGATAAAATTTTATATGAACAGTAGTGATATAATGATTAAATACGCGTGTAAATAACACGACATTCGCTGCATAAATACCACTTTTTTATTGTGACTCTAACATTGTCCATTTAAGCTCCATTTAAATCTTTTTTTTTTTAAATTTTAGATTGATAGATAACCTTATTACTGCTACTTCTTTTCTACTCTATCCTATTTTACATTTTTATGATTGAGAAATTTGATATACCAAAATTAGATAAAGTAGAACTCCTAGACAAATTATCTAATATTAGACTTCCTAATGAATTTAAAGATAACTCCTCTATTGGATGGAAATGTGGAACTCCAAGCTGGGCAGTGCAAGAAATGGTTCGCGCTTGGAAGGAAGGATTTAATTGGGAAGAAAAAAGAAAAGAAATGAGTCAATGGCATCATTATAAAACAACCATCAATGAGCTGAATATTCATTTTATTCATGAGGTGTCATCCAAGACTACAGATGCTATTCCTATCATCTTACTTCATGGTTGGCCGTCTTCTTTTTATGAGTTTCATAAAATAATTGAACCATTACGAGATGGAATAAATTCAACTCAAGTAATAAATATAATATATATATATATATACACACATATGCATATACATATACATATACATATACATGTACATATGAAAGAATTCATTCTCTTCTATTTGTAGTCATTCCATGTTGTCATACCCAGTTTACCTGGATATGGGTTTTCTGAAGCCCCAAAAACAGATGGCTCTGGTAGTATAGCTCAAATAGCAAATATTTTACATAAGCTTATGATCAAATTAGGCTATCAAAAATACAGTAATATACATACATACATACATACATATACACGTATATTAATTCATATTATAGTGATCTATGGTACGGATTGGGGCGCAACGATTGGAACTTTTATGGCACAAAACTTTTCTAATTCATGCTTAGGGTTTATTACAAACATGCCTATTGCAATGCCACCTTTACCTACATTATATAACATCATCTTTCATCCAATTAAAGTAATTTTATTTATCATTTCTTTATTTCTTGGATTTGATCTTGTTTATGGAAAAGGAAAGACAAAGAGATTAAAGACAACTGCTTATGCTAATGTGGATAAAGATGAAACGGCTGGATATCGAGCTATTCAAGGCACTCGACCTTATACATTAGCTTTTGGATTAACAGATAGTCCTATTGGTTTATTAGCTTGGATGCTAGAACCTTATCATCAATGGACTTACTTTCCATCTTCCTCTCATCAGCTTGTTCTTCCAGCTACAGTTTCAGTTGATGAATTCCTAACCCAAGTAACCATTTATTGGATATCAAACTGTATGTCTTCCTCTTATCGAATCTATTATGAAGTTAAAAAGAATCATAACAAGGCTTTAAAGGACATGATGAAAACATACGTTTCGGTACCTATGGCTGTATCTTATTTTGAAAATGAGGTAGTAAAGGTAATAGAGTATAACCATAGGATGTAAATAAGGATAGTTTAATATTTTTATATATATATCCATATATGTATCTAATTCATGTGTAGCTTCCTCGTGATTGGATAGAAGTTAGCTCTCATCTTGTTCAATTCAAGTCTTATGATAAGGTAAAGATGAATTTATATAAAGGATGTATTTATTCATTTTATATATGTATAATAGGGCGGTCATTTTCCTGCACTTGAAGTCCCTTCTTTATTAATAGAAGATATTCAAAAATTTGGTTCCTATATAGTCAATAAGAATAGTATTCAACAAGAACAGAAAATGAAGAAACTACTTTAAAATAAATAAAACTAAATGTTACATTCTTTGTTACAAAAGAACTGAGCATAAATTTTTTTTTTTTAATATTTATCTGCTGGTAGTGTATATTGTACACATATTTTTTTTTTTTTTTTTTTTTTTTTTAATTATTCTACTACATTGAACAGCATTCTATTTAAATCAAATACATAAAATAAAAATGGAACGTTCAGTGACCATTGATTTACCTGTAGAACAAGTTGCTAAAGTAGTAAAACGGCATCTTGTTTATCATCAGACTTCTTCTGCTTCTTCATCTTCTCTAATTCCACCACGACCTTCTCGTAAACAGCGTAAACAACAACAAAAGCAACAACAACAACAAAAAAATTATAAATTAAAAGAACAACAGCAACAACAACAAAAACAACCAACCTATAATACACATCATCTTTTACCAGGAGGTTCTATTTTAGACGAAATTTATAAATGGACAGCTCATGTAGAAAATAAACAACAAAAAAGAAATAGAGCACAAAGTATATCATTACCTGCCATTCGAGAACCTATTATAGATGCTTCATTTCAATCATTAAAACAACCTGGAGGCTTTAGACGTCATTATGTATTAAATAAAGCAGCAAGACAAGGAAAAAGACTTCCCAATTTTGTAACATCTAGTTTTGTTGAATTTTTATGTTTATATGGACATTTTGGTGGTGAAAATCTGAGTGATGCTGATGAGTCTTCTTCTGATTCAGAGTCTTCCTATCATTCAAGCGAAGATGAAGCAAGTAGTGAAGAAGATGTTCATGAAGTGGAAGGTAGCATTATGGCATACCGTGGACAACCTTTAAAGAATTATGTGTCTTATGGCAGTACAGATGATCAAGAGTATTCATCTTTATTACCAACGACAACCTCAAAGAAACCGTTAATACCTTTACAATATGAACAACTAGAAATAAGAGAAAGAATGCCGTTATTATCAAGGTCACGTCCAGGTCAAACATTACAAGGAAAGGCAACACCCGGAAAAGCGATGTTTTTATTATTAAAATCATTTGTTACTACAGGAATCATGTTTTTACCAAAAGCGTAAGTACCTTTGTCATTCCCAAGTACCCCCCCCTTTTATTCATTCTTCCTCTTATATAGGTTTTACAATGGAGGCTTAGTTTTTTCCATTTTTGCCATCGTTGCTTGGGCTTTTATATCATTATGGTCATTTTTATTACTCGTTCAGACTCGATTGATTGTACCGGCTAGTTTTAGTGATATGGGAGGAGTCTTATATGGATCAAAGATGAGAAAGGCAGTATTAGTATCGATTACTTTATCACAAATAGGATTTGTATGTGCTTATATGATCTTTGTTGCAGAGAATTTACAAGCATTAGTTCTTACATTTTCAAAATGTCGAGTCTTAATACCAATGCATCTTTTAATATTAGCCCAAAGCTTTGCATTTATTCCATTAGCTATGATACGAAAGATACAACGTTTATCTATATTTGCATTGATTGCTGATGTATTCATCGTGATTGGATTAAGTTATTTATTTTATTATGATATAAAAGAATTAATTGTGATAGGTATAGCTAAAGTAGAGATGTGGAATCCAGTTCATTTCCCTTTATTTATTGGCACTGCTGCTTTTACATTTGAGGGTATTGGTTTAGGTAAATACATGTATATGCGTATGTGTATATATATATATCTATATGTCTATATGTCTATATATCTATATGTCTATATATATATAGAATATAAGTAAATATGTGTATATGCGTATGCATCTATATATACATATACAAGTATATAAGCATATAAAGTATATACGTATTAAAGTTGTGTATAGTTATCCCTATTACAGAATCTATGAAGGAACCAAAGAAATTCCCCAGCGTTCTTACAAAAACATTAGTTATTATTACATGTTTATTTATTTCAATGGGAGCTCTTTCATATATGACATTTGGAGATAATATGCAAACGATTATTTTATTGAATTTACCTAGTAAAGATCCTATGGTATCCACTATTCAAACCTTATATTCCTTTGCTATATGTTTATCTATCCCCCTTCAATTATTTCCTGCTATTCGAATTATGGAAAATGGACTATTTACGACTAAATCTGGAAAGAATAATGCAATTGTTAAATGGCAAAAGAATGTATTTCGAGTCTTTATTGTCTTTTTATGCGCAGGTATAGGTATTATGGGTTCAAAGGATAAGCTTGATAAATTTGTTTCCTTAATTGGTGCCTTATTCTGTATTCCACTTTGCTTCATTTTCCCTCCTTTATTTCATTTAAAAGCGTTAAAACTACCAACCATTAGACGTTTAGCAAATTATAGTTTAATTCTATTTGGTGGTATTTGGTAAGTTAACTTGTTCTACATAAAAGTCTTTTTTTTTTTAACCATAAAGATATATAATATTAGCATGATATTCGTCTTTTTCACAACATTAACTCAATGGAATTCCTCTGAACCAACTGATCCTGTCAAGCAATGTATTATACATAAAGTATAATGTTTTAATATACCATCAACACTACTTGTGTAAAAAAAAGGAATAATGTTTTTTTTTATTATTATTATTATTAAAGTTTAGAAAGATGAAGTTCTTGTTTATTTATTTTTTCTTCCATGACTTGAATGACATATTCAGCAGAACCCCAACTTGCTTGAACCCCAAATCCACCATGTCCATAAGCATGTGTAACCTGTACAGATCTCCTTTTATCTCTTGAAACTAATTTAATACAAAAAAATAAATATCTTTTGTGTATTTTATATACTAATTTCAGTCTTTACATAAAATTTCATTTTCAATACGTGGTCCACCTAAACGTGTAGGACGTAAACCAACAGCATATCTAACGATGTCTAAAGGTTGATGATGATCCGTTCTTAACTCTGGACATAAATTAACCGTTTTTTCTAAAATCGACTTTGTAACTGTATCATCTGGAAAGGGATTACTAAAAGAAAAGAAGAGTTAATTATGTGTGTGTGTGTGTGTGCAAATGCATTTACAAATCATGTTCGTTGGCTGTTCCACCAAGAATGACAGTCCCGTCAGATCTAGGAATAATGTAATTTATATTTTTTTGTTTTCCTAATATTAATCAATCAGAACTTGTGAAAGAGGAAAAAAAAAAGTATAGAATGATATTACCTACATGTGTAATCGTCTTTTTAATGTGGGATGCTTTAATGATGACTGTTTGTCCTCTTGTTGGATATAAAGCGTTATCTTGTACGCCTCCAAGGAATCGAGCACCCAATCCAGTACAATTAATGACAGCAAAGTGCTGTTCATCTTTATTCATCTCTGTTGGCTGTTGTTGGTGCAAAAAATTGAAAATTTCATCAATATGGGAGAGTGAATAGCGTACAAGATGGCCTCCAAAAGATTTAAATTTAGAAAGTAACCATTTTAAATAGACAGGTGTATTAACAAGAACTTGGTGGGCCAAAAAAAATAAATAAAATAAATTATGTCAATATACCATTACATATCATTTTATGATAATAATTACCTGTAGTATAAGTATGTCCTATTTTAGCTCCTTCAGGTAAATTATCCTTTTCTGTCAATAATTGAAACTATAACCATATATCATTTAACTGTTACTTTTCTCTCTCTCTTTTTTTTTTTCTTTCGTTAATACTATACATTTTGAACTACATCTTTAAACCATGGATCTGTATTCTCAATAATAGAATCATCATCATAATAATCAAAGCTAGGAACTATCATGATACCCGTAGATTCCTTTTCATTATTCTCTGCAAGTTGAATAAACTTTTTATAACTAATCGTATCGAATCCTATAATAAATATTATCAATATTTTCCCCTTCCCCCCTCTTTAAAATGAATACAGATAAAGTTTTTTTTTTTTTTTTTTTTTTTTTTTTTTTTTTTTTTTTATCGTGTTACTTTGAAGTAATTGATCATCATTTTTCGCCATGGTTCGCCAGTGAGCACCTTAATTTCATCGTTTTTTTTTTTCTCAATAAACTTTCGATAATAATAATAATTGTGAGTTACCTGCATAGGGTGAGGTATATTCAATAGATAGGTCTCCAGGTAGATGCTTGGCTACAATAAGCACTTTTTTATATCCTTTTTCCATTAAACTTACTGCTGTAGTAAGACCAGTGACACCTGCACCAATCACAACTATCGTTTTCTGATTCTTCTCGTCCATCCTACTTTCTTCTTTCAACACACACACACACACACACACACAAAATTGATAAAAAAAAAAAAAAAAAAAAAAAAAAAAAAAAAAAAAAAAAAAAAAAAAAAGAGAGAGAGAGAGAGAGAGAGCAAGGAGAAAGAAAAAAAGAGGATATTGATAACCATGTTGATTGATTCTAATTTGAATGTACACTCTGTGATACCAATTACTTTATCCAATCATAACAACTAAAAGCCCTTCTTATTATATTTATCTATTTTTTTTTATTAGAATAATATGTATACTTGAACAGATTATTGTTATTATTATTATTATTATATTTATATATATATGTTAGCTAAGTGTTATCTATGCAATCCTTTTTTTTTTAAGATTATGTGTATTTGATATGCTTTAAAAATAAAGAAAGAAAGAAGAAGAAGAAGAAAAGAGATGCAAAAAAAAAAAAAAAAGGATTAAATAACAGGCTTTGATTTAGTTACATAATTACTAGGGAATAATCCAGAGATGGCATCCCCTTTACCATTATCTTTATATCCCATCCACCATACATTATCACTTGTATCTGTTACGACAATAGGTGTATTTGCACCAAATGCTAATTCTCCAAATTCTTTTGCATCAAATGGATATTTTGCATAATAAAGTTGAGGTGAATCTTCTGTAGCTGGACTATTCGTATTATTACTATTATGTAAAGCATTTGACATCATGATACTAAATGGCAAAGGACCTGTGGACATACCACCACTTGACATCCTTGGTTGTTTATGAACAGAAGAAGAAGAAGATCCAACAACCGCCATATCAGCCAAATCGACACCCGTCGGTTGTCCACGATGAATAGCTGCATGATGTCCTCCTCCATCTACAGCTGTTGAATAGCCTGTTGCAACCATGGTTGTAGTATTAGGATTGTTATTTGAATATTTTTCATTCATTGCAGGGAATGTATCTGCTGCTGCTGTTGTTGCTGTTGCTGTTGCTGCTGCTGCAGTATTAGTAGTAGTACTAGTAGTAGAGGGATCAGTTAGGTTAGCAGCATTAATCATAGCTAAAAGACTTGATGGTCGATACTTGGGTTTCCATCCTTTCATGGGTTCAGAATAATGATAATATTCTGGATGATGACGTCGTTTGATAAACAGAAAGAGGAAGGCAATGAGGACCAAGAAGAAAATGATACCTAATGAAATAGCAATTGAAATCAAAATAACGGCCGGAACTGAAAGATAATGACGAGTAGAGTGGATGGCTGTACAACAAGGCACTGCTGTAAAGACACGAGATATAGAACCCCCTGTTGCTCCATCACGAGATGCAGTTAACAAATAAGGATACCAACGATGTCCATCATAGAGTGCAACACTACTACTACTACTACTACCATCGCCAAAATCGGGTATATCAAGGTGACCCACGACCATCAACATGGTATCCGAATTGGCTGGGTAACGTGAAAGAGTCGGCGCTGAGGATCGTTCAATAGGTGCCCACAACAATTGACGAATGGAGGTAGTAGGACCCAAATCATGTTCAATAGATGTAAAATTTTCCCCATTCCAATTTGCAATATAACTACTACTATTACTACTTTTATTATTTGTTTTCCCTGTTATCAAATAACTACCATCACGGTCGTAAATTAAAGCGACAGGAGAAAGGAATTGTTCGTTATAAGGTGCTGCCTTCCAAGTCGCTGTGGTTGAGGTTGTATCTAATTCAGCTAGTGAAATAGATTGTTGTGTACCTATCGTAAGATCTCCTACTACCGTAAGTACACCTGAATCATTCAGAAGCATATCATGAATCGTTCCTGATATAACCGGTTGAATTTGATTCCATTGTCGAGTATCCATCGTAAGCATACAGATTGCAGAACAACCAAGTAAACCTGCAGTCGTGAAATGGCCACCCACAAAAACAGTACGACCATCTCCTTGAGGTCTGATCACATTCACTTGACCAGGTTGTCCATTTTCATCAAAGAGTCCATTTAACCCTTCTATAGTTTGACTTTCGAGGTCATAAAAGAGGATGCTCGTTAGCATCGTAGTCCCATCTGGTGCTGTCCCATTAAATTCTCCTCCAGCTACTAAACTATTTTTAATGACTGATAAAGTCCGAATCTCGCCTTGAATTCCTTGTAGGACACCTTGCCATGTTCCACCCGCTGTACGCATCACAAGATTGTACACCGTGTTATTCAGATGGAAATGACCTGCTAAAATAAGACACGTTTCTGTCTTATTTTTCCAAAATGCACCCGCATTCACAATAGCATCTGGATCTAATTGAGTAATTGAAGTAGAAAAGCTGTCACTTTGAGATGATGCGAGGGATATAAAGTCGGTAGTACGATACGTTTGTGCGTTTTTCACGGAACCAAGATATAAAGTTGTTTTTGGTCCAATTCGTACCTGATTTGCAATAGGACCTACTATAAGTGAGGTAGGTGTAACCCAGTTTTGGCTGTTCAAATCCCACTCTACATTATTATATAATATAGCATTATTATTATTTAAACTTGCATTAAATGGTCCTGATAAATGAATATGTTTGTTATCTGTTGAATATAAATAATCCACATTATTATTTACGCCCTAAAAAAAAAGATAATAAATAAATATATGAATATATGAATACATGTATATATATATAATATACTTACTTGATCCATGCCTGACCATGTATTTGACTGAATATTATATATAGCAACATGATTCAAATCATTTCTTTGCTGAGGTATCCATGTATTATTAAAGCTTCCACCCACAATCAAGTCTAAAAAAAATAAAAAAAATAAGAAAGAATAAATTATTTTTAAACAAAATTGTTAATACAAATTTATATACATATATCATTCATCCTTACTTGAATCTATAAGTAAAGAAGTAGAAACATCTCCATTTAAACCGCCATCTGTTAAAGGTACAAAACCTGTATCAAAATCATAAGCAACCAAACTGTTGATTGTATTGTTATTTAAAGTAAACTGTCCACCAATGTAAAGCTTATTTTCATTTGCTTGTAAAGTATGAACAATGGATCCCGATGGTAATTGTTGAGGAAGAGCTAACCAAGTATTGTTGTTGGGATAATAGTTTAAAATACTTGATAATGTTGAGCTTGTTGAGTTTCTAACAAATTGAATTGAACTTCCAAATAGTGTTACATTCGTTGTTGAAGATGTTCGAGCTGAAGGTGCTACTTTCATGACAATGGTAGGTTTAAATAAATTCGTTGTAGCTGCAATGGGGCCTGTATAAATTAATTTGTTTTCATCATTTACAATATCTTGATTTAATATTAAAGTAGATTTATTTCCGGGTGTCAATTGAATGGTTAATTCAGCTTGAGTACGTTCATCACAAGAACTTGTGCCTATACAGCCTGGTGTAGTTGCATATACATTATAAATCCCTTGAGCATAAATATATCTAAAAAGTAAAATTAAAATTAATTATGTATAAAGGTATCCTTATATGTATACATATATATAAAAGATCAAAATTTACGGCTGGTAAGTAGCAGATACATCCGTAGTTGATAATTCAGATACAGGAATACTAGCAACTAAGAAATTTCGATAAATTCCAAAAGAATATTGATTTGACCAATGACCTGTGGTAGATACTACAGAGGATTGAGAATTCAAATAAGAATAACAATTTGACTCAGTATTGCCACTCTCTGTTGATAGTTCAGGTTGAAGGGTAACATCTATTCATTCTCATCATTAGTATAACAGAGTCTTATTATTTTATCCATTCTATTCCATTTGTTTTTACCTGTCCTAAAAATACTGACACCACTTAAACCGCCACCTGAACCATACCAAGTATTAATATTGATTCGAATACCACTTGTAGTAATAGGTTTTAATACAGTAAAATCCTGATAAGGTATATTTAAATCATTTGATAAATAACATTCCTCTGTACAAGTCAAGTTCTGGTTTGTAACCGGGTCTTTGTAAGATAATTCAAAATATTCGTTTGATCCCAGAGAAATAATACTGAAAGAGAGAGAGAGAAAGATCAGATTTTGCATATATAATTATGTGTATAAATGTATATAAAAATATGTATATGCATATATATATAATACTCACCTAAATGAATGTGTATTTTTTCCATCAATATGAGCATTTGATAATCGAAATAGAGATGGTTCAAGAGGAGTATTAAATGTAGCTTCCCAATAACCAGGAACACCATCTTGTAAAAGCCAAGGTGCTCGAGAACAAAGAACATTTCTAGGATCTGAATAATTTCCAAAGTTCATACCATTTCCTTCTGAGATGGTCTATATATTAGAAGAAAAAAAATAAGAATAAATAAATAAATATATGTGTATGACATATAAGAAAAGAGAATTAAAATGTGTGTAGCTATATATATATATAAAAAAAAAAAAGATAGATTTTATTTACAGCAGTAGAAATTAAATTGATTTGTTGACTAAAAGTTTGATTCATATACTGACCATCACCGGTTGAATCAAATTGGCCTGCAAATAGAATTGATTGCTGTTGTTGATGTGGTAAAATAGAATAAACTGGGCCATTAAATCCGTTCCAAGGAACAGGAGACCATTGATTATCGTTCCAAATAGCAACATGTCCTGTAAATTGTTGGCTGTTATTAATAGGAGCTATAAAGTTTCCACCAACATAAACTGTGGATTGATTTAGACAATAAACTGAATAAACAGGACCGTCTAAGCCTTGTTGAAGAGGACTAAATGTACGTGATTGAGTATCGAATTGAACGATATTATTAAAAGTTGTATGATTTATGGTATTAAAGTTTCCGGCTAATATAAATTGAGTATCAGTTAATTTACAAAAGGTTTCAATTGATCCATTTATAGTAGAAAAAAAATTAAATATCAGCATATCGTCTTCTTCATCAGATGTAATGAGTGAAGTTGTTGGAAGTGATTCAAATTGAAGAGAGTTTTTAAATGGTGAAAGACCAGCATAGTCACCAACAAACCCTAATTGACCACCCACTGAATCAAGTTGTACTGCTGGTAATTCTAAAGCTGATTGTTGTTGAAATAATAAAATAAAAATAAGGAACCATAGTATTGTCACCATGCCTCCTTCTTTTATTGCTGTTATATAATCTCTATTTTATAAAGGAAAGAAAGGAAAACAGTTATAAAAAAAAAAAAAAAAAAGGAGGGGAAAAAGAAAAGAAAAGAAAACAGTAATAAAAAGGAGAATTAAAAAAAAAAAAAAAAAAAAAAAAAAAAATAATCAAATTGATAATTAATTTTATAAATTCAAACTCGTGTAAATAAAATAAAATATTTCATTGCATAACAAGACTTTATTAATTTTTTTTTGTTTTTGTTTTGTTTTTTTTGTTTTTTTTTTTTTTGCTTTCTTTTTTCTATTTTTAATAATGACATCTGCAAGCATAATTAATACAGATTTCCATAGTGCATAAGGTCAATATTTCTCTGTCATTCTTAATAGAGAAAGTATTTATACCCTCCTACATCGTTTCGGGTAAAATTCATTATGATGAAAAACTATTTATAAATAGTTACTGGTTCTAAATAAGAATTGGAAATAGTAAATCAAGAGGTTACCATTCTTCACTTTAAAATAAATAAAATGAGAAATATCGAATGGATATGCTTCTCCTTCCTTCCTTTCTTTCTTTCTTTCTCCTTTATTAATACCTATTACAGTAAATCTAAACTGGTTCGATCCTATATCTAGTCTTTATATATCTGTTTCACATATTTGTGTTGTCATAATTTCTTGCTACTTGGAAAGAAGCATATGGCTTATTTATCTTTATTGTTTGTTGCCTATTCTTTCATTGACAGTTAACTAGATAAACAAAGCCTTTTTTTAAAGGCTTATAGCAAAAGATGTTCTTATTACTTTAATTTAGATAATATTTCTTTTTGGTAATCTTTTAATACATTGTAATGATGAATACTCTTTATAATTGTTTTTTTTTAACCATGAATATTTGTTAAAAAGTTCTACAAACAGATATATGTCTTGACATGATATCTAAACCATAAATACAGCAGATTATATTGAATTTAAGATTTAAAGGAAAAAAAAATATCACATATCATTATTGGTAACAAATCATTACACATCAATTATTCTATTCATGATTTATCTTTTCTAAAATGAATATGAATCAATTCATTTTGCTACCTTTGACCTTTAGCCCTCCTATATGTGATAGTATATCAACTCAATATATGGAGCGCCTCATTCATACACTAGATATGTGTGTAAACATCTAATAAAGTCAATGTGTTCAACAACTGTCCTTTATTAAGCTTGCTGTCACTTTTTTTTTTTTTTACCATTCCTTCTTCTCATTAAGTCTCAAATGCTTCGAATTTATGTATTCTTCTCGGAGCCTTTTCAATAAAGACAGTGTTTATTCCCTTCAATGAAGCTACACTAACTTGAAGGAAGGGGGTGAAAGTGATAGTGATAAGAGGGGGGGGAGAATAAAAAATACCCTTAGCTAGTCTTTATTTAGGAATATCTACACATACTAAACATTTATAAAATAAATATATTTTGTATAAGAATTATCTTTATTCATATTATAGCAGGTATTCCTTTACATTATGAACATAGGGCGAGAATAAAATATATGTTTCAATGGAATGTTTTCTATTTTTTTTTTTTTTAAAAAAAAAAGGAGTTGAGAGAGCACAAGTTAACATCTGCAAACAGTATAATAAAGCTAGTTAGCTTGTTTTAATTGAAATATGAATTAATGAATTACAATGAATATATGTTTGAGTTTAAAGTAAATAGGTATCGTAGTAACGAATTTGGTTGATCATTTTAGTGAGTTACTATAGGAACGTGATCAAGAATAATGAATTAGTTCCTGATGATAATAATAGATCCAAATAGAATGACTGCTCTCTCTCTCTCATTTTTGTCACAATTGTGATAATAACAAAGTTTCTCCTGATAAATTCAATAGAAAAAAAAAAAAAAAAAAAAAAAAAAAAAAAAAAAAAAACTTTGAAGGTTGCTTCTGAGAAATTTTGAAAAAAAGATCATATGCTGTAGTATGTAAAGTATTCTAATAAAAGAATGTAAATGTTCTTTGATGCATGTTAACACTCATCTATATAATAAATATTTTACTTCTATGTATTACACATAGAACTAAATTAGTGATCACTATTGAACAATCAAATATAATATATCTAGTAAAGTTTAAACTAGAGTCGCTATCGGTTACGATGCAAATCATCACTTGAGATCCTTTTCTTTAATAGAATGAATTATTTTGCTTGTATAATAGATATTAATATGAAAAAAAAAACAATAGTAAGTGGTTATTTTACCTTGATGTATATGAAATGTTACACTCTAGACAAGGCCATTGTTGTTTCCTACAAAAATGAAACTATATTATAGATTTGTCTGTTTGCTACTGCTAGTTATTTGTACAATCCTTCACGTATCTTCATTATTGTTACAACTACAATTCCTTGGCTGGCTACCCTCTCTTCCTTTTCCTCCCTCCTACTAACCGTGTCGTCACAGCTCCATTTTTCCTTTTTAATAACCCTTTTCTTTACTCTCTTAATTCCTAAAAGGATAATTTATCTTTATTATTATTATCTTTTTTTTCTATTGATGCGATAAATATCTTGTGCTCTCTCTCTTTTTTTTTTTGGGGGGGGGGAAGGTTTTTTTTTAATGTACTATTTTTCATATTTCCAATCTCAGATAACCTCAAAAAAAAAAAAAAAAAAAAAGAAAAAGAAAAAAAAAATCAATAGTTTCATTTTAGTTGCCATTATTTTATATGTGTATATATTTCCCAAGTACATAGTAATGACACAATATCTTATTGCTGTATGGGATTATGAAGCTGAAGGTGAATTTGAACTTTCTTTTAAACAAGGCGATAGAATCAAATTATTAGAAAAGCATAACGATGATTGGTAAACATTCACTCCATCTTATTAGATTAAAAAAAAAAAAAAAGTTATTCATCTCTCTCATTCACTCATACTCACACTCCTTTTTTTTCTACATTCTTTGTAGGTGGGAAGGTAATTAAAAATAGTAGATAAATAACAGGGCTTTTAAAACGAAAATAAAAAACATTTGCAATTTCAACTATAGGTGAATTAAATGACGAGATTGGCTTTTTTCCTGCAAATAGAATTCGTTTAGAAACGCCTGAAAACTTGAGTAAATATATAAATTGACTTTATTTTTTTTTAAAAAAATAAGAAAACCAATAGATATTAACTTTCTTTAAAAGCGCACGAAACTGTAAAGTGTAACGTTTTTTATATATTTATAGAGAGAGAGAGAGAAAGAGTTGAAAAAAGAAATTAGCTTATCATCGATATAATGTTTACCCCCTCTTTTTCTTTCCAAAAAAAAAAAAAAAAAAAAAAAAAAAAAAAAAAAAAACATTAGGAATCAACTAAAATTAAACCATCAGCAATAGCACTCGAAGATGTACCTCCTGCCTTACCTTCAAGAACACAGCCACTTCCAGAATCACGTCCTATTTCAAGTCCACTGGTATCTGAATTTACGGAATCTCCTTTACCAGAAGGTTGGGAGCACGCTTATGGTAAATGCCATGAAAAAATAAAATAAAATAAAAACAATGTATTAACAACTGTAAATATTTACATACATACCTTGTAAAGATCAGGATGGTACTATTTATTATTTTAACGAATCAACAGGTGAATCTCGATGGGATAGACCAACTACTACTGCTATTACTCCGCAACTCACAGGACTCCAACGTGAAGAAAATAATAGTGTAGATACAATTCTTCAAGTTTTAAAACCTGAAGAGTTACAAAGATTGGTATTATATATAAAGTCAAGGGGTAAGGTTCAATTTAATTTTTTTATACTTAACAAAATTTTACAAATAGGAATTCGATAAATTACAACCAGAATGGATTCGACATAAAGGATATATTCAAATGAAAATAATATCTGGAAAGGAAGATGGTAGTAAGTTAAGCTCCTGGAAAGTATACTATGCTGTATTATCCAATGGATTTTTGTTACTATATAAGGAAGGACATGCTAGAAGCAAGGTAAAGGATTTGATAGAGATCATAAGTTACCCCCCCTTTTTTTTTTGCTCTAAAACCCATCCATAGAAATCCTCTAGAACACATGTACCTATAGGAAGCTTTGATCTTGAATCTTGTACAATTGATCCTGCAGGAAAACAGGATACAAGACGCAAACATGTTTTTATTATTTCTACACCTAGAAAAGTAAAGCTTTATGTTCAGACGACAAGTAATAAAGAATTCTCTGCATGGCTTGATGCTATTATGAGAGAGTTAATTGCACGTAAAGAAGGTCAAAACGATGACACAGGTAAAGTACTCTATTTGTATGTATTTATGTATTTTATTCATTTAATTCATTTAATTCTTGGGATTAGAGATTATGAGACTATTAAAATCATTAACCATTGATGAAAGTCAAATGAAAGTAAACCGAAAAATAACTCAAGAACATGTAGAAGATAAGAAAAGTTTGGGTCATTGGTTCTCTTCTAAGCCAAATAGTAGTGATAATAATTTTGCACAAAAATATCAATATGCTCAATCACAATCGTCTAATGGTAAAATAGTATAGATTATGATAGTTAAAGATACAAAAAATAGAACTATTAATATTATTATTAGATCATGATGTCTTTGGAGGATATTTAAATATGGAAGAAAATGGAGATATACCACATGTAGTGTCTCTATGTATTAAAGAAGTAGAAGCAAGAGGTTTGAAATCAGTAGGTATTTATAGATTATCAGGTCCTGCATCTACTATACAAAAGTATAAACTTGCATTTAATAAAGGTAAGAGAAGTTTGTATGTGATTATAGGGGAACAAAAAAAAATTAAGCCCATAACTTATATAGGAGAACATGTCAGTTTTAGAGAGGAACATGATATTAATACTGTAACTGGTTTACTTAAACTGTATTTCCGTGAACTTAAACAGCCTTTAATGACATATGAATATTATGGATGGTTTATTGAAGCTGCCAGTAAGTAAAGCATATACTAAGTATATGTATATGTATATATATATATAGAGAGAGAGAGATTCATCTATAAATATTTCAAATAGAAATTTCTGATTACGAAGAGAGAATGTATCAAATTAAATCAATTATACATAGTCTACCCAGACCTAATTACACTGTATTAGAATATTTAATGCGACATCTTCATTTAGTTGCTTCCTATTCAGAAATTAACAAGATGGAAGCCTCCAATTTAGCTCTGATATTTTCAGTGGGATTATTAAGAACATCACAAGAAGATGATCTGAGTAGTTTTATTATGTCTGATCTTCAAAGTAAAATCATAGAAGCCATTATTCAACAAGCAGATTGGTTCTTTGAAGAAGATAATGAAGAAGAACAAGAAATTGATTCACATGATAGAAGTCAAACATCAGACCTTATATATGTAGATAATCATTTTAATACTAGTAACAGTGAATATATCCATAAAGGACATTCAAAAACTGAAAGGTCTTAGTTTATTATAACAATCATTACAAATACATGAAAAAAAAAAAAATAAAGGGAAAATTTTCTAAAAAAAAAAAGGGAGAGGGAGAATTTGCAATAAATATAATATCATTCTATATTCACATATATTATCAATAATCAGTAAAAATATATACAATTATGTTTTCTAGATGTTCATCGTAAATACTATAAATTTGAAAGAAAAGGAAGAAAAAAAAAATTGAGTATACAGTTTGTAATTTACACTAAATATACTTTACTGCTCCAATTGCTCCTAAATGACCTTCATGTCGAAGAAACAATGCTTTCATTTCGCCATTTGACCAAAATTTAATAGCATAAGATAAAGAATTCATTGTGATTGGATGACCTATATACATATATACAGGATAAGTCAGTATGTTTTTATGTTTTTGTTTTTTTCTTAAAATAAAAAAATAAAATAAAAGACATATAAATAGGCGCACATTTACCCCGAATAAAGCATCCACCAAAATAGATTCGTTTTATACCATGTTGTTGTGCATTTAAATAAGCAATTTGACCAATATTGTTACTTACCATGTATAATAAACTCTTTGAAATATCAGCTGATTCAAATTTCTCTTTATTCTGACGTGCGCCTTTCCTGAAGACTTTTCCAAAACTAGAAGCAATTCTTGAAGACTTTAAACCAAGCTTACTATAATCTGTTCCGTATATATCACCTACTAATAAATCCACGTTTCTATTGTCTCCTTTTTTTGATATTTCCAACATATCTGCAAATATTCTTATTTAGTTTTATGATATACATAAATAAACTGTGTGTCTATATACCATCAAATGAGGAAGCATCTGTTAATAAAGATAATAATCCCCAAAGAGTACCACCGCCTAGCTTTAAATGTAGATGAGTATACATCCTGTCCTTTTTATTTATTTATTTATTTATTTTTTCATTACTTACAGAAGTTCCACTTATACGAGAAAAATCGTTTGGTCCTGGACCATCTACTTTAAGTATACTAACACCAGAACCAATATTTACAAGCTACAAGTGAATTAATTAATTACACGATCATAAAGAAAACATATCGATAGATAGATAGATAGATAGATTACCATATATGGATATATATTCTTTGATCGCTCTTCAAAACAAATAGGATTTGCATCAAGTTCATTATAAGTAAACACTTCAAAAGGTATTTCTGTAATAAAGAAATTGAGGCCTAAATAAATAAATAAATAAACATAGAAATGCAGAAAAACGAAAAAATTATATTTACCGGTAATTAAACATTCCATTTCATCTTCTTTTTGTATAATTACACCAGGTAATCGAGATTTTAATTTGTTATAATATAAATAAGCACCGCCTCCTGTTGCTTTAAGGATTTGCTGAGTAGTACCACTATAAGGTTGTTGTGCAACATTCTTTAATAATGTTACAATATAGTCAATACATTCATCTACTTTCTCTGTTTCAAACGTTTTAAAATGAAGGCGACCTCCTTTACAGTCTGCTGATAAAGTAAAATAAGTTATCTTCGCCAATGTTCCGCCTATCTAATAGTATTTAATATCTAATTAGTTTTTGTTTTGTTTTGCTTAATATGTAGAACAGCATTTGTGTGTATTTTTTTCTATTTACATCAATAGCTATTTGAGACACATGTTCCGTTTGATTAGGTAAAAAGATATCTCTTGTCTCGTGTGCAGAATGAAATGTTTCTGATACATATGCACCAACAATATTCATAATCTATTTTTATTTTATTTATTTTTAAAAGAGAAAAGAAGACAAAGGAAGAAGAAGAAAGTAACAAGGAATAGAATAGGATGAAAAAAAAAAAAAAAAAAAAAAAAAAAAAAAAAAAGATATTATTTGATCGGAGCCAACAAAAAAAAAAGCAGCAATATGTGTAATAATCCTTCTGATGGTGAGTCTATTTTTTTTTTATTTTTGGGGGAAAAAAGAAAGAAAAGGCAAGAAGGTAGAAGCGAGGAGGGGAAAAAAATAAATTAAATAAAATAAAAGACAGTGGTTTCATATAAGAAATTTAGATATTATGTGTGTGCATTGTTTATTAATTATTACAAAGACATTTTGTACTTCCTCTTCGAACCGCCTCCCCCCGCCCCTAACTTTAACCTTCCCTTGTTGAGTCGTAATACTAACTAAAATTAAACAGATAGACAAGAAAATAAGATGTGGTAATATGATTTAAAGTATGAGAAAAATAATAAGGGTGAGACATCGAATTATCAAAATTTATTAACAGTCTTTTTTTTAAAAAAAAAAAAAAAAAAAAAAAAAAAAAAAAAAAAAAAAAAGTTGCGGAAATTTAAAGCCCTTTGTTATCTAAAATAATAAAGATAATGCGATTTTATTAACTCGCCATCTTTTTTTCGTAGTTGAGCATACATATATCCTTCTTCTTATCTTTGGAGCATTGTGTCTAAAGTGACACCAATATAACTGGGGGGTTTTTTTTTCGTAATGTCTAAGAGGGCTAGAGTTTATAATGAATCAATTATCGTTCTATTATCGTTGCAATCAAACAAGTCTTTTGTTATTACTATTTCACCTCTTCCCCTTTTTTTTGTAGATAGTAGGGCACACTATCCGTCAGCCACCTTATCAACGTTCTTTTATCTCAGATACATCCAACACTATATTGGCTATTAGGGAAAAAAAAACTTATCGAATTACTGTATTAACCTCTAAATTCGAATACTTTATTTTTTAAACTTGTATATAGCTTAAGTATACATGAAAAAAAAAAGTAGTAACAAAAAGATAAAAATATAAGATTGAAGTTGTGTAATGGACAATCTGTTAAAATAAAAAAGTGAACAAATACTTTTTTTGATTTTAATATGTATTTGCATATATAAGTTTCATTGCCAAGTTTACATCCTATAAGTAGTATGACATGTGCCTGAAACTTTTCTTCTTCCTGGATGGTGTATTCATCGTACTACAAGATCATAATAATATATTACACGTTATCTATCTCTATATTTTACACAGACATATGCACGGCAAAACAATAAATTATAGTATGTATGTACGATAAAGAGTAGTGCTAATTATAATGAACATGAGTTCATTTAAGATATAACCCTTTTATTATTGTTATTTGTTATAATAATGACAAAAGTATATGTAAAATAGATATATAAAATTAAAAGGGAATAATAATAAGCTATCCGATAAATGTACTGACTTTTTTTTTTTCAATATAAATGCACATATATAAATGCGTAGACTATAAAGTATGATAATTATTCAATGAGGAAGAGATTTGGAGATTGGTGATAGGTGGTAGCAATAGATTATAAAAATCTTCTTCTATCTCCTCTTTTTCACTCATGTTATTTTTGATGGCTATTCTCGGGTCATTATTATGATTATTACTGGTATTAGATAACGGTAACAAATTTTTATTGTACACTTCATTTGAGGAAAATAGAGGATGAATGATTCTTAATTTTTCTAGCCAGTTTTCTGCTCGTTGAATTGTATCCTCAAATATAGTAGAGATAGAATTTAACATAGTGCTTGATTCTTGTCCAAACGCTAATAAACGAAGTGCAATATCTTCTTGTTTATATGGAATAACTTTTTTTGTTTGTTGTTGTATTTTACTGTCTTTTTGTTTATTACCTGTCTTGATATAATCATCATCATCATATAAAGAAGCCTAAAGTTATGATAACAAGATAGAGAGAGAGAGAGAGGAGTATTAAAAAAAAGGTAATTGTATATATCATATGTGTATATAAATAAGTTTTTTTTTTTTTCCTTTTCTTTACCCATCTAATAGGTAAGTTGAGAATAGCTCCTCGTATAGTTGCTTTTGTTTGATATGGCAGCGCATTAGTTGCATAGCATGTAATAATATCTATCACCTTTCGTAATGTTGATACCATATCCTGTTTAATTGATGAAAGTAGTGTTGCTGACTGTTCTTTATTTTTATTATTATTTGTTGCAAGTGAAACTAGAAAGCCTCGAATAACATTCATTTGCTCAGTTATATGTTGGATGGCATATTGTAGCCAATTTAGACAATATTTTAAACATTTCATGGATTCCTCACTAACAACAGCGACTGTTGAACCTGCTGCTGATCCGGCACCTAATACAAACTGCTGCCATGTTGTTGAACTGTTATTTTGATTATAACATTGTCTTGAAAACGATTCTGAGTTTGCTGCTGAATCTTCCGACGACGTATAACTCATCTTTCTCTATTACTTGTTTCCTAATATAAAATAATAAAAAGAATGAAAGAAAAAAAAAGCTCCTGATACACGACAAAACAACGAGAAGAGAAAAAGAGAGAAAAAAAATAGATATTTGAATATTTTTATATTTGTTCTTAGTTGTACAAATGATTTTATTTTTATTTTTTTATATGCGTCTATTTTCACATGCTTTTTTTTTATTTTTACTGCTAAACATGTTCTTATTACTTTGGTTATAAAAGATTCTTAATAAAAAGAAAAAAAAAAAGACGTGATATAAATTTTGCAATAAACATTCATTATCTTCATACTTGAAGTAGAATTTCCTATAAATAAGTTGAGAGAAGTTATTCAAAAAGAGACAAAGTAACAATAGCAAAGAAAATAAAAAGTAGTTGTATATACAATGGCAAAAAGTCCTATTATTGTAATCTGATATAATAAAGAAAAAAAAAGAGAGAGAGAGAAAGAGAAATAGTGAATGGTCAATGTTAAAGTAATAAAATCGTCTACTGTTTATAAATGTTTATGCTATTTTAGTTTTATAAAATCTATTATCTTTAAAAATGTATACTGCTTTGTATACAATTGCATATATCATAGTCTTTTGCTCACTATACTAATATACTAATAAAGTATCCATTTTTCAAGTCTTTGCATCATTTGTTAAATTTTGCCTTTTCTTTTTTGTTCTTTTCCTTTAACAAATGTATCTATATTGCGTACTGTCATTTGAATGGGTTAAGTATATTATTTATTTAATTTTGTTTTGAGTCTCAAGTAATAAAACTATACAATATGTTCTTTTCCTTCAAAGAAAATACTTATCATTAATTCATCTAATCAGATAGGGATTCTTGATAAACTGAATAACTTTGTAATATGAATTTCAAAGCTAAATTTAAATGTATTTTATAACTCTTTGACTTTTTATCTTTGCATTCTTTCACTGTATATGTTTTCACTAGCTCTTACTATAGAACATAAAGTAAATACACTAATAAATATCAATTTAAGGTACATAACTGTGTCAATTGTTTTTTCTTTTTTTCTCCACATGAATTACTTTAAAAAGTGTTATATCGTGCCTATAAAGGAATTCAAACTTACTTTATAAGATAATAGAAGATGTGATATTTTTCTTTCTCTATATATACATATCATATATAATTAATATGCTAATTTTCCTATTGACTGTCTCTTTTCATACTCATAATGATATAGAAATAAAATTCTACAAGCTTCATCTCTCATCTAAATATCAAGATTTGGATTTCTTTAACCATAGACACAAGTCCTTCTTACTCTTAAAGCTATTGGAATAATTCATATTTTTTTGTCTGAGTTATAATTTTTTTTTTCCTTTGATCCTCATAAAAGGAAAATTAAAGTAAGCAAATAGGTTAATTCTTCCTCTATTAGCCAGGTAAGAAAAAGAAAATAGAATAATTATGCATCCATCCATCTAAATAATGTATTGATTTATCATCTAACTAGTTCTTTAAAAACAGTCCTCGAACAGTTAATTATACAACATGTCGAAGAGAGAATCTAAGGCCATTTACTTCCAAAAGCTCAACGATTACTTGACTAACTATCAATCCATCTTCATTGTCAATGTTGATAATGTCAGCTCCAACCAAATGCACCAAATTCGTCACTCCCTTCGTGGTGAAGCTGTCGTTCTCATGGGTAAGAACACCATGGTTCGTCGTGCTTTGAAGGGTATGATCAACGAACGCCCCGAACTCGAAAAGCTTCTTAACTTCGTTAAGGGTAACATTGGTTTCGTTTTCACCAATGGTGATCTTAAGGATGTTCGTGAAAAGATCGTCTCTAACCGTGTTGCTGCTCCTGCTCGTGCTGGTGCTATTGCTCCTGTCGATGTCGTTGTCCCTGCTGGTAACACTGGTATGGAACCCGGTAAGACCTCCTTCTTCCAAGCTCTCGGTATCCCTACCAAGATTGCTCGTGGTACCATTGAAATCGTCTCTGACGTTAAGCTCGTTTACGAGGGTACTAAGGTCGGTCCTTCCGAAGCTGTCCTCTTGAACATGTTGAACATCTCTCCTTTCACCTATGGTATGTCCGTTGTTCAAGTCTATGATGCTGGATCTCTCTTCTCTCCCGAAGTTCTTGATGTTGAGGAATCCCAATTGGTTGGTAACCTCATGGCTGCTATCCGTGAAGTTGCTTCCATCTCTCTTGCTGTTGGTTATCCTACCTTGGCTTCCGTTCCTCACTCCGTTATCAACGGTTACAAGAACTTGTTGGCTGTCTCTGTCGCTTCCGACTACACTTTCCCTGGTTCTGAACAAATCAAGGAATTCATTGCCAACCCTGAAGCCTTCGCCGTTGCCGCTCCTGCTGCCGCTGCTGCCACTGATGCTCCTGCTGCTGAAGCTGCTCCTGCTGAAGAAGAAGAAGAAGAAGATGAAGATATGGGTTTCGGTCTCTTCGATTAAGTCAGTTAATCTAGCTTTCTAATACATATATGCATATACATTTATATACACATATATATTTTTTTTAAAAAAAAAAAATTGAGCAATCAATAAATTTTCTATTGTGCCCTTTTTTTTGTCAACAATAATATCATCTATTTGCAGCATTTTTGAGTTTTTCAATTGTCTGAGTTATATATTTAAGCTCTAATATTCTTGTCAATTACATTCTAGCCAATGATGAAAACAAGGCTTTAATTTTAAAGAATGGATTACTTATTTATTGCTCAACACTAAGATTGATTAAGCTTTTCGTTTATAGCAAAAGTCAAAGTTTCTTCTAGCTTGCATTCCCTTTTAATCATATTATTTCTTAAATGTGAATCTACTTGTTTTTTATTATTCAAAAAAAAAAAAAAAAAAGGAGAAATAATTACTGTTTCTAATGAATGTGATGCATTTCACTTTGAAGTTGGTGAATTAATCTATTTTTAACATGATTAGAATACATTTTTTTTTTTAAAAAAAAAAATAAAAAAAAAAATAAAAAAATCGTCGCAACAACAGTTTACATTGCAATTATAATAATCAAGATAATATACTTGCCTTAACATTTGTTCATTTTCTTCTTTATATTGTTGAATAGCTTGACGGAGTTTACCATTGTCATTTTCTAAATTTTGGAGTTTTATGCCCTGATCCTTTAATTTAGCCTAGTGTGTTTTTAAAATGTGAATTTCTTGAATTGCAATCCTAAAATTTTATAATTTTATACCTCTGAACTCTCAAATTCAGCAGTCATCCATCTCATTTCAAGTTCTTTTGATTTCAAAACTTCCTCCTTCTTCTGACATTCATCATCTAACGTTAATAATTTTTGTTTATATTCTTCATTTAATTTTTCGATATCCTTTTGCTGTGAGGCTGTAACGGTCTTTAAGCGATACGAAAAGCTTTCTAATTCTTTATCCTTCAAATCAAGCAACTGCTGGAATTGTGTTTGAAGTACATTGATCTCTTTTTGATGTTGGGATACAATAGATTGAACTCGGCTATCATCATTCTTTATAAAAGATGAATAAATACATTTGTATATAACTACACACACACACACATATATATATATATGTACCTTTAACTGTGATGCGGATACGACTTCTTCAAGTCTTTCTTCAGCTTCTTTGATTTCTTTATCTTTAACATTTAACATGTTTTCATACGCTATCTTGAGTGTTCGTAATTCCTCTGCAGTTTTGTCCGAATTTTGAACTTCTTTTTGAAGTTGCTGAACCTGATTATTCATAGAAGTCAACTCATCCTCCTTTTTCTTTAAAAGTTCCTTATTTGCAGTTTGTTCTTCCTCATGTCTAGATTTCATTTCGTTAACATAGTCTTCCTTTTCTGTCTTGACCTGTAATTTGTTTAATTAATAATTTCCTTGTCTACCTTTCTTTTTTTAATTATTTTTTTTTTTTTTTTTTTTTTTTTTTTTTTTTTTTTTACCTTTTCTAATTCTTTAATAGTATCTGCTAATTTTGACTCCAATAATTCAACAGCTTTTTTATTCTCAGCTTGAAGTACATTCATAGATTGATCATGTTCAGCATGAATCTCTGCCAACAGTTTTTGTTGTTCTTCTTGCCAAGTCAGTTGAATAGATTCTATTTCCTTTTGCATTTGTTCAGTAGCTTCTTCATTACTCTTTGCATGCCTTTCATCCTGTAATTGATACTCAGCTTGCAATAACGCAAGTTTCTCTCGATATTGTGATTCTAAATTCGCTTTCTCTGTAGCCAACTGAATTTTAACTAACTCTGTTGCCTCTGTAGCTTCCTTTAATTCTTTTTCCAATTGGTTTTTAGCGTTCGTATGATCATCTATCAATTGGCTAATTTGTAATTCAAAATTTTCTGCAAGTTCAGCCTATATAGATTGGTACATTTAGATAAGTAGTATACTATATAAAATAAAAATTACCTCTATTTCAGATCTTAATGATTCAGAATGCAACTCCATCTTGGATAATAACTTTTGTTGACTTTCTTCATGCTCCTTCTTCAAAGATTGAATAGCTGCTTCATTTACGGCTTTTAATTCCTGCAAAGTTGAATCATAATTGGCCTTCAGCTCGGTCTATACAATTTTTATATTGATAATTAATAATTAAAAAAAAAAGAAAAGACACACACAATATAATAAATATACTAAATTCTATCTATATCTTATACTTTACCTTTATTTTTTCAGTATCATCCATCGCTCGAGATTCATTCTCTTTCTTTAATAATTCTATGGCTTCGTTATGAGAAGACTTGATGGCTTCAATTAGATTTTCATGTGTTGAATTTAATTGTTGAAGCGTCATATCATGTTCGTTTTTTAAATTTTTAATATCATTCTCATGTTCCTTCTTGATCTCATTCAAGGATAATTCATGTCTTTCAATTAAAGATGAAAGCTCCTCTTTTAATTTGTTTTGATTTGACTCAACAACACTTTCGTATTCTTGATGTAACTTATCCAGTTCCTCCTGTTTAATCTGAATAGCTTGTACATGCGCTTCATTTAGAGTTTGGGTTTCAATAAAATGCTTTTCCTGAAGCATTTCTATTTCTTTATGCATCTCTTCCTGATATGATTTCATTTCTTGATCCATTGTAACCTTATACTCTTCCTTTAATGTCTCTATAGCCAATTCATGGTCCTTTGTAAGTTTCTCAAGCGCCTCTGTATGAAGCGCCTCGGCGGCCTCCATTTTCTTGTTATATTCTTCTACTAATGTCTTATTTGATTCTTTAAGTGTATTCATTTGTGACTCATATTGGTCCATCAGCTTCTCTAATTCTCCAGAACCAGATGATTTTAATGTCTCAATATGATTCATTAATTCTGTGCGTTGAGTTTCCAACTCTTCCAGGACCTTCTTCTGCTGTTCCATCCTTTCACTAAAATCTTTCTCAGCTTCAAGTAAAGCCTCCTTCTTAAGATCTAGTTCAGATTGTAAGGCTTCAATAGCCTCACGATGTTCCTTCTCCAATTCGGTAATAGCCTGATTGTGTTGTTCATGTTGTAATTGCATTTGCTGATCATGATCTGCTTTTAAAACAGATATTTGCTCATCTAATTGAACCTTATGAGAGGCTTCCAATTGTGTAAGAGCATCTTGAAGGTCTTTATCACTCTTTTCTTGATATTCTTTCAATTGTTGAAGATGCCCATCTTGGAGTCGTTCAAGGGCAATTCTATGATTCCTTTTCATTTCTTCTACAGAGGCCTCATTTTGAATTTGATTCTCCTGAACAAGTTGAGCATGATGTTCCTTTAAATCAAGAATCTCCTTTTCAAAACGACTTTTGATCTCTGTCAATCTTTCATCGTCCTGAGAAGCATCAGCAGCATCAGCAGCAGCAGCAGCAGCAGTCATCTTCCATTGCATCTCTGCTTCTTCTAATTGCTTTTTATGTGACATTTCTAATGTAGCAATCGAAACTTCAAGTTCCTGTTTAAGCCTATCATTGTCCTTCTGCAATGTCTCTATCTCTAAATCATGTCTCCTTTTCAATTCTTCAAGCTCTCTATCAAACTTGTTCTTCATGGTATTTAGTTCATCATTTGACTGACTGCTTATCGACATCTCTGCTTGATGTTGAGCCTCTTGTAATTGAAGTTGATATTTTTCTTTTATAGCCTTTAAGGCCTCATTATGTTGAGATTTTAATGTATCCAATTCCTCTTGATGCTTTTCCTCAATGCTCTCACGTTCACGATCACGCTGTAAGATGAGCTCCCGCTTTAATTCATTCATTTTAGAATCATTTTCAGCAACAAGACGAGTTATTTCGGCTTGATGTACAGCTTGTAAAGCATCCTCTACCTCTTTTCGAATATCTTCCAAATGACTATCACGTTCTGTAGCAAGGGATTCTAACTTTTGCTGATGTTGTAAGGCAATAGCAGATTGTTTTTCAATTTCTATTTTGAGTTCAGATTCCATTTGTTCCATACGACTCAAATGATGACTTTGAAGTTGCTCAATAGCTTGAGTATGACCTGATGTTAATTGCTCAATTCTGAGCTCAAATTCCTCACGAAGTTGACGTTCAGTTTCAGAGCGTGCATTCGCAAGTGTTGTGTTCTTTGCTTCCTTTAATGCATTTTCATGAACTTTTAAAAGATCTTGCAATTCTTGTTCATGTGAGGCCTTCAGAGCTTCAATTTCAACTTTTACTTGATCAAGTGCTTTCCTATTTTGTTCTTGAAGCGCTTTTTCATGAGCATCTTGCAATTCTGATAATTTATTTTTATACTCTGTCTCAATACGAGCCTATTCATCGAATAAATATATATATATTTATTTAGATACAATGTTTACATTTCCATATAAATAATTCTAAATTCATAATACCTTTTCATCTTCTTTTGCTTCTTTTATAAGTTTTTCAAAATTTTCTTTTAAAGCATTACTTTCTTCCTCATGAGCAGATTGCATGGATTGCATCTTCTTTTCAATGTTTTCTCTTTCTTCTTTTGCGGTTAATACTGCAACTTCATATTCAGCTTTAATAGCAGCTAAATCTTTCTCAAACTTTTCATGACACATTTTCTATACGTTGGGAGATGAGGGGGGAAAAATAAAAACGAAAAGCATGTTAACTTTTTTTCATTTTCCTTTTCCTTTTCAATATTATTTTAATCTTACTTCCGCCTCTCCTTGAACTTTCTTAATCTCAGTTTCAGTAATTGCTGCTTGTACTTGCTCAAGTTCTGCTTGATGAATTTCCTTTATGCTTTCAAGTTCTTTTTCGTGATTTGATTTTAATAATTCAATTTCATTCTAAATAATAAATAAATATGAATTGACCCTATTCTACTATTTCTTCTCTCTCTCTTATTTACCTTTAAAGAAGCAGTAACTTCATCGAGTTGCTTTTGACGAATAGCACTCAATTCTTCTAATTCGAGACTAGATTGAGTCTTTAAATGAGCTATTTCTTTTTCAAATTCGGCTTTCGACTCTACAGAAAGTGATTCAAGTTGATCAATTTTAGCCAAAAGGTCCATTTTCTGTTTTTCCATTTCTTGTTCAGCTTCAAGATCAGGCTCTTGCAATTTTTGAAGAGCTTCTTGAAGTTCACTTAATTGAGTTTCATACTCTTCTTTCATTTTTGTAATCTGTTGAGTATGTTGTTCACTTAGTTGATTACTTAAGCCTGTTAATCTTGTTTGATGCGATTTATGCATATCCTGATTCGTATAAATACAAAATATATATATATGTATATATATATATATATAGTTAATCGTAGAGAGTGGAATGTAAAGTGATATATGTACCTGAATACTTTCACGAAGTTCATCTATATCTTTCTTAAGTCGAGCTATCTCTGATTCCTTTTGAATAATACAATCTGCCAAATTTTGTTTTTCTGATTCTAATTTCTCTCTCAACTTTTCCATATTCTCACGTAATACTTCCTCTGCTTCTTCTTGTTGTTGAATCAAGATCGCCTTTTCCTCTTCCAAGACGGAGGCAGCTTCTTCCTTTGATTTTTCCAACATGTCATCACGATTTCGTTCTATCATCTGAATTTGCTCCTTGAGTTGTTTGATCTCTTCTTCTAATGATAATACTAACTCAGATTCTTTTGTTTCTACTCCATTATTACTGCTATTGGATTCCAGATATTTTTCTTCTTTCTCATCCTCTTTCTCCCCTTCTTCTTCTTCTTCTGTCATATTCATCTCGGATGTGGTATCATTCTCAGGAGTAACTAATCCAGTTTCAAGGCTTTCTAAACGTTGTTTTAATACATTTAATTCCGTTTCTTTAGTTTCAATTAAAGTTTGCTTTTCAGCTAATAAAGCTTCCATTTCTTCATTCTAAAGAAATATGAATATATATATTTATAAGATTATTAATCATAATTTTTTTTGGTAAAGCAAAACAAGTAAAATAAATAGAATCAATACCTTTTCTTTCAAAAGCTTCAATTCCGTTTTTAATTCATTTGATTTTGAAGCAGTCGTCGTAGAGGAACGAATCGGGGAAGTAGTAGCTGTCGTTGTTACTGCTCTACGAACCGAATTTGCTGGAATACGATTTGTACGAGAGGTAGACGCGGTTGGTGAAGCCGATTTTTTAGATGATGGGGATACAGCTGTTAAAGAAGAAGAAGAAGCTGCAGTGGATGAGCGAGTTAAAGGAACAGTTGATTTTCTTGATAATGGGGCCTTTGTTGTTGGGGTAGTAGTAGTAGTAGCAGTAGCAGTAGCAGTGGTCGATGAGGCATTCGATGTTATAGATGATCTTTTCGTCATGCTTGGTGCTGTTCCAACAGATGCTCGAGATGATCCCGTTGATGCAGCTCTAGTAGTCAGATTAGGTGTCTTTGAGGCTCTTAATGTAGTGGCTGCTTTTGTTGCCGTAGTGGAGCGAGCTGCATTTGTAGATGCTTTTGTGATGATGTTGGTACCTGACGGTGTCTTGGAAGCTCTAGTAGCAGTGGTAGGCCTTTTGGTAGAGTTTACAGTAGTACCTGTAAGACCTGCTGCTGCTAAAGAAGACAGTCTATTCCTTACAGTAGGTGTATTTTCAGTCATTCTCAAAAAAAGAAAAAAAGAAAAAAGAAGAAGAGAACAAGAAAGGTGTATATGTGGGGGCGAAATGAATTTATGAAAAATTTATATATTATATTAATATTATATTAATCGTCTGGGTTTCATATTAATTATACAAGTTACAAATCCAGTATAGTCGGATGATCTAAAAAGAACAAATAATCCAATTAAAAATGATTAAAAGATGAAGATACTTCTAACACCATGTTCACTAATCACCTGCCTTTTTCCTGTTACCAGTAAATAGAAGAAGCTGTGGTACAAGTCACGTCCTTCTATAATGAACTGATTTCTTTATTCTGTGATATGATGATTTCTTATGAATTATATTCACCTACGTGACTGTATATAAACATGTATACAAATATATAGATATAAATACATTTATATCCCAGATCTATTGTTATACAACAGCAATAACTCTGATTCGCGCTTAAACATTCATACGGATTTAAAACTAACCCAAGACATTGTATAAAATAATACCAAGACTTTTTTTTCTTTTTTATACACATATAATTCTCCTTTTTTTTTTATCTTTTATAACAAACAAACATATATAATAGAGATGAAGAAAAGAGAAACTTGTTGTTGGGTATTTCCTGCAAGATGGGCTATATTCTTTATATCATTATGTATAGCGGTAAATCAGTAATACTCTATTTTTATATATGGTAACACATTCTCACCATTTGAGTATTGTTTAGATATTTTCTGCTGCTTTAATTGTAGCCACTTTTAAGCATAGAAATGGTAAAGTAGTACAATATGTCAAATAGTCATTCATTTTTTTTGGAATTAACCTGATTTCAACTTTAGCAATGATGATTCATCTTTCAGTCATTAATAAAGTATTACCCTGGGTTTATATCATTATTCTAGGTAGTTTACAACACACACATATATACATATACATATACATATATATATATATATGTATATAAATATAAATATAAATATATAGTTTTATTTATATGTTCATGTATATTTATATATATATATATATAAACTGAATAGCCGTGAGTGGAGCAATAGGTGTATATGGTCTTTTAGCTACAGTAGCTGTAAAATCATTATATAATACATAAATATATATATATACATGTATTTATACTAACTTTATATGATAGGGAAACTATGGTTTTATGATTTTATATAGAGTCATGTATTGGTTGATGACTATATTTATTGTTCTCATTTGGCAAATTATTATATTTATTCTTGCCCTTGTGAATCGAACCAAGACAACAAATGCATGCAATGAAGCTAATCCACATCAAGACTATAATTCAACAAAAAATGCCACGCTTACCATTGATGGATATTCAACGACTTTATTAGGTCTAAAATTTGGTGAAACCTATGGCTTTGCTAATTGTGATCAAGCTGTTGAAGCAGGTATTATTGGCATAGCTATTTTATTATTTGCTGGAGGCCTTTTCATGGTAAACTATATAAATAATAAACTCTTTCTTTCTTTCTTTCTTTCTTTCTCATTGACTTGAGTTTATTTTCTAATAGACTTGGTTTGGTTTTACTGTGAATCGATATACAACAAGTACAAATGAAAATTATTTGGGATCAAGTGTAAGAAACGCTCATTGGGATGATCATTTAAGTGAATTACAGTCAAGTTATGCAAGAGATAGAAGAAGTGCACCTCAATATCCTTTAAACGATCTTAATAAAGAAAGGAGTCCATTTTCAAGAGGTTTAATGAAATTAAAATTAAAGAAAAATAATCGTAAATAAAATTATTCATCATCATCTGACATTAACAATTCTTCTAATTCACGTTCTTCATTTTCAGTTAAACTAATTTGTTTTTCTTCCTTCTTTTCTAATCTTAATCTTGACTCATTATAATGTTTCATAGAGTCTACTGTCAGACTCCATTTTCTAACTGAGCAATCTAATGATCCACTATAAAGGGTTGAACCCAAGATATCTAAACTGCTTACTTCATCAAAATGACCTTCAATGGTACATAACAGTTGACCTGATCCAATATCCCAAACACGGATCATATCATCACTTGAACCCGTGACGATATAAGGTCCTGCGAGAACAATTGACTTGACTCGATCTGGATGAGTTAGGACCATGTCTTGTTGACCTGTCTCTGTATGCCATCGTCTCACTGTTTTATCTGCAGAAGCCGTCCAGAGATCTTCTTCCCAGACTCGAACACAATACACACTTGTATCATGCCCTTGATAGGTTTGAAGTACTTGCATCGTATCTGCATCCCATTTTAATACATGTCCATCAGAGGAGGCTGAATAAATCCATTGACCTGATTCAGAGGCTGCTAAACTTTCAATCGCTCGTTTATGTTTCTTTTCAGCTGTTACACAATCTAAAGTGTTTCTATTCCATTTACGAAGGAAACCATCCGATGAGCCTGAATAAAGAAAATCACCTACAATCACAAGTGATTTAACAAAATCAGTATGTCCTTCCAAAGTGGCTAAACATTCGCCTGTCATCAAGTCCCATTGTTTAATTGTCTTATCCCAGGAACCAGTCCAAAGTCTGTCGTCTGATAATGCAATACTTGTCACAGGTCCTTGATGACCTTTAAAAAGTTTAACTGTTTTTGATGTCTAAAGAGAGAAAGATGAATGATTGAAAAAAAAAAAGAAAAGAAAAAAAAAAAACTTACAGTTAAAGAAATCTTTCTAACTAAGAAACCTGATTCAGCTACATACATGTATTTCTTATTTTTATCAAGCTGGATCTCTAATGCTTTAGAAGATAATTTGATGGCATCCCCTTTTGTATAGTTGTATTTAGCTTCCTTTTCTTTTAGTTTAGCAATTTCAGCATCAGTTTGAAAAAAAGCACTTGATTCTTGACTAATGTTGACCATTGTGTAAAGAAAATAAGTGAAAAATCAAATAAAATCAAATAAAAAAAAATTTATTAATTATAGAAAATCAATTATATTACTTGTAGCTGAGTTATGTCTTTGAAGTTTAGTATAAAAAGAAGGGTATTGTTCTGTTTGATGATGAAGATTGTTTATTTTAGTTGATTGACTTTGCTTTATCATAAAAGGAGGATTTACGGTACGTGCGTATTTTGGAAATGCAGGCTTTGTAGATTGATTAGGCACAGGTGGAGGAGGTATGTGATGTTTATTAGGCTTTTGATTATTCGATAATATGATCATCTCATCTTGATCATCGTCAAATGGACTCTTTAATTCTTCTTCTTCTTCTTTCTGCAATGTATTATAAAATGGATTATTAGTTGAAATGGTTAATGTATCTTGATGTGGAATAGTAGGGGATTGATATACAAATTTTTGTGTTAAAAGTAATCGTTTCCCATTGTTATTATTATTTAATTCATTTAAAGATAAAGAAGACTTTGATGATTGTAAATTAGCTTCTACTTCTGCTTCTCCTTCTTCCTGCTGATTTGTCATAAAGTATGGAATAAATTCATTTGCTGTTCCAGCAGAGCGAGACCTATTATGTTGTTTTTCATTCATAAATAACATGTGTTCATTATTATATGTTGTATTAAAATCTATGAAAGGTTGTTGTTGGTAAAGTAATGTATTTGGTATAGGTGTATGAGTAGTAAATGGTCCTATATAAGAACGTCTATTTTCAATATGTGATAATGAAGGCTTTTCATATCCTCCCCACCATGATTTTCGGTTTTCATCATGATGCGTACACTTGTTTTCTTCCGGTTCATTTGTAGATAACTGTTGTCGTTGAGGTAGTTCAGTTTTAATCAAAGTATCAAAAGCATTTGTACGAAGATGAGGTATAGGTGCTATATACATTATATGTTTATAAAATGATTTCAAAGAAGAAGAAGAAGAAAGAAAAAAAGGGTTATAAACAAACCTCCTAAATAAACAAGTGCTTGACTAATTTTACGTCCATTTTGAGCATGTGCAATTAATCTAAGCATAGCAAAGAATTGGAATTTATTTAGACCATCACCTGCTGTTTCAAACAATGTAAGGATCTATATATACATGTATTAAAAAGAAAAAAAAATAGAATAATAATCAATATGAACACATTCTGTGCAAGTTATTGATTAACCTCATTTTGCATACTTTCTCCAGTTTATCGTCAGGTAATTCACACCCATTCAAGAATTTTAATATAGTATGATTATCAATTTTTTGCAAATCAAAAGGATCCAAGTCTTTCCACCAAGATTCATATGTAGGTTTTTCTAATTCAGATAAATCTGAAAGTTGAATAGAAGGTGGAACACTTAGTTCCTGAGATGTCGTAGTCATAGTAGAAATGGAGGTAGAATTCGTATTGATTGAAGAATGCCGTTTTACAAACTGCTGTGATCTTCTGTTATCTTCTGTTTTAACTTTTTGTGAACGTTGAAATACAGTTTTTAACTTGTTCATATTTATTAAGAAAGAGTTAAAAGAAGGAAAGAGAAATATAAGACGCACACACACTCACACTCACACTCACACTCACACTCACACTCACAAAAAAAAAAAAAAAAAAAAAAAAAAAAAAAAAAAAGGATGCAAATAAAATAGAGTCTTCAGTTTACTTTTAACATAAAAAAAAAAAAGATACAAATTGGTTGTACTTGTATTTGGTAATTCCCTTATTTGTCCTCTTTACTGACTTTGTTCTATTTTCATCTTCATTATCATTTATTACCACTACTACCATCATTACTTTTTCGATAAGCATTCCCTATACTACACTTTACAAACATATCGTATTGATTTACCGCAATACATTATTATTGGCTTAGCTTTAAAAGTAAATAGCACGTTTTTTCTTATAATAATAAGAAAGTGATACAATGATAATAGGTATGAACTGATTTTCATTCAATTAATTAAAAAGAAAGAAATAATAATGCTTATAATAAATTCAGGGCATTTCTGTACCTTTTTTTTATTTTTTATTTTTTATTTATTTATTTATTTATTTGTTTATTTGTTTGTTTCTAATAGGCATAAATACTACTACTATTATTATTATTTTTTACCGAAATAATGCAAATAATAAATATGAAACAGATGGTATATTCATCATCATCCCGGTTTTTTCTACTAATAAAATCAGAACATTTTTTTTTTTTTTTTTTGTATAATGTGCTGCTATGCAAAAATCTTTACTTTCTTTGATCCGAAAGTAAGGTTAGTCTAAGGAGATAAGGGGAGGGGGGAGATTTCATAGTCTACTACTAGAATTAAGAACTATAATTGCTTATTCAGAGAATTTACTACAAAAGTGGCATACCATCCAACACATTCATATTCTCATCTTCACCATCTACAATTGGAGGAATTGGGACGTGGCGGATATTTGTAAATTTATAAGGGCAAAAAAAAAAAAAAAAAAAAAAAAAAAAAAAAAAAAAAAGTCCCTTCGTTGAAATATTCTTATCTGCCCTGGATATGAGTGCAAGTAATAATGATAATAAAGGATAAATTATAAATTTGATTATTAGTGGGAACTTGGACTCAGATGATTATATAATATACAAATACTCCATGAATAGTCTATAGATCAGAGTGTCTTGAATCAACAAAACATATATACTTATTTGGATATGAACATTGTTTCATGTCTCATATTCTTTAATAGATATCTATTTTTACTAATTCATGATTCATTCGTATAACTACAAGCAAAAGTTGTGCAGTAGACATAAAGGAATCTTTGACTTTATATTCTTTCGAAATTGAATAGATAGTCTTCTCTTTTGTCTTTATTACTATGAGCCATCATTCTTATTTTAGGGGGGGAAATATTGACATTTACTGATGCTTATGTCGGGAGGAAAATTAAATTATTAACCGTATTAATAATATCTTGTGTTGTATTTTTTTTTAAGGCTAGTAGGATAGTCGACATATAACAACAAATTGGACTATGAAAAAAAAAACTTTTATATTGTAGAAACGGGCGATGCTCCTTACTCACAGCTCAAGCGAGATTAATAATTTGATCTCTACAAAAAAAGGTATTTATTCGTCCTTAATTTATTTTAGTTAAAACCTCATTAAGCAGTCCTTGTTAATCGTTTAAAATATATAAATAAACCGAGCTATATGTAATAAGCTTGAAGAAATAAAGGATTTGATAATAAGAGCAATTACTGAGGTTCCAATTGTTCTTCCTAGGATTTTTTTTTTTTTTTTTTTGTGCAGCATTCTGTTAACCAATTTGAAAGGTATCTTAATAGCGAACCTTTTTAACAATTATAACCCCTTATTTTTTTATAGTAAAAGTAAGTAGTAGTAACAGTAGTAATAGTATTAGTAGTGGTAGTGGTAGTGGTCGTGGTAGTATATCGAGGATGATGTCCCCTTATTATTTCTGATTGATCAGAATTGAAAACATAGGTTAAAATGAAAACAAAAAAAAAAAAATAATACAATACTATTGGCTGTTAGGGCTTGTGTGTGTGTTTTTTGGAATAAAGCCACACAATTTACTAAAAAGTTTAAAACGATCATTGATATACAAATCATTTCTTTGTAAATCAGTGCAATAACCAAATCATACTACTTGTCATTTATTTATTTTATTTCTTTATAATAATAAATAATATTTATTTCCAAAGAAAACTTGAACATTTAGTAATGAAGGAATTTTATATATACTATTTGATACATGCAAGTTATACAATATAAAATACATTTAATTCTACAAAATACAATATTGAATAGAATTTTACGTATTAGCAATTTTTTTTTTAAATAAGTGATAAATATTGCATAGGTTGATTTATGATTCATAATAAGGATAGCTGAAAATAAAGTAAAAGAATCTTGATAAATAATCCTTCTATAGAGAATGTACTAGTTTCATTTTTTTTTTCAAATATATAAATGATTCATTACATTACCGCTTTCTTTTATTATTACTATCATCTTTCATATCTTCTTACAGGACTTTTTGAAGGCCTCCTTCTACTACTGACTCGATATGGACTATAATCAAAATATCTTCTTCTCTTTGAATAGTGTGGCCTCTGACGATAGTCATGATCACGTGGATAATAGTCTGGTTCATATCTTCTATAATATCGTATATTATTATCATAATATCGTATATTATCTCTTCTTGTATCATTAACTTGACGTGAATTTGAACATCTTGGTTGTTCGACAACGACGTCGTCATCATCATCATCAATCACGATAGGATTATCTAAAGATGTCCCACGTGAGGATGATGAACTCAAAGTATAATGACTCATATCATTAGATTGAGTTGATTTTTTAAGTTGAGGTAATAAAAAAAAATCACAAAGTTCACCCACCCATTTTGATAATCTATTTGATTTTCTAAACTTTAATTCACTCGTATTTTTCAAATATTGCACTTTATGTTGATAGAGTTCATCAATAGCCCACAAAGGCGAACTATTCGCTGTGTGGTAGCTATCTACAGAACTCCCTTCAGCACCATCAGAGTCGTCAATAACAAAGATCTCCTTGGCTTCAGGAATCATGTTATGGCGACTTGATGAGAACGATGCATCGTTCTGTGCGATGGGTTGAAGGGATGTTCCTTTTGAAACTACCTTTTGTGTAATATCACCATTTATTAAAAATGGTCTCGTGATTTCCTAATAATAATAAAAGATAAGCATTTTTTATATTACTAATTAAAAAAAAAAAAAAAAAAAAAAAAAAAAAAAAAAAAAAGTTACATATCATATACATACCTTTGTAGATGGATGGTTAATAGCTAGATTATTTGTTATTTCAACATCAGAGGACAGACTTATATAATCCTCATTAAGAGGCCAAGTATGGTTTGTCCTTACTGATGTGGTCATGTACTCCATCTATCTTTTATTTTATAAAAAAAAAAGGAAAAAGAAAAAAAAGAAAAAAAAAAGGAGAAAAAAAAAAAGAAATTAATAAAATAAAAAGGAGTAAAATATGCACAATTTGCATTGTTGTCGTCATCATTTTTATTTTTGAGTAACAAAAATGGTTTCACAAGCAGCAAAGAATTTTTTTTTTTTTTTTTTTTAAATTAATTCTTTTCAAAAAATTGATACATAATTTTTCGAACAAAAGAAGACAAGACATCCGCTTCTTCTTGATAAAATGACATGATGATACCCATAGCAAAACTAGTTATTAATACTTCAAAATGCTTCATTTTAAATACCCATTGATGTGAATAGGCTATTTGATAGAAGCTTTGAATTGCCTTGGGAAGCACGTAAAGAGCGAGTTCACTACGTCGCTTCTTATCTTCTAAGAAAATAGCTGGATAGGAACATAGAACACCTGCAGCATAGTAAATATATTTTGAATTCCATTGACCAATTAAACCTGTTTTAAGCAATTGACGGTGTAAGCAAATATAATATTGGTATAAAGTTACAAATGTAGCCATAAATGCACCCGATTTTAATGTTGCAATAGTAGTCTTTGATAACATAGTAACTGGACTATTATGTTAAAAGAAAAAAAAAAAGGGAGAACTATATCAGTATATATATATATATACACATATTTTACTATAAATGTCTATATAACGTTACTCTCTTTTAAAATGCTTTGCTCTTAGTAAAAGCATTGGAACAAAGTGAAGGGTGCCATAGATGGGTAAGAAACTTTTAAATACTTTAGTAAAACGGTCTAAAGCAGTTGCATGACAGCCAATGACCCAAGGATGAATAATTTCACTAAAATAAAGAGTATGAGTCATAAATCTATTGAAGGAAGGAAGGAAGGAATTATATACCAAGCAACAGGGTCTGTATTTGTTTTCATTCGTTTCACATAATCTATTGCATGTTGTGTAGGATGTAATTTCTTCACAACCTCTAAGGCTTCTTCTGAAGTAATAGGTATACCCCTTATCGTCTTTGCGTTTAATTGAATGGAACCTTTAGGACATCTTGCTGCTTTAATCATAAATGAATAAAAGTCAGGAGGTAAAGTTTCAGGCCTCATTGTATATGCATATAATACTTGTCCACAAGTTAATGCGAATAATAAAGCATCCCCATTTCTAAAGTAAAAAATATCACGAGCTTTCCCAGCATTATAAATAGCTTGAAGTGCTCTTATATAGTAGTAGAACAAAAATAAAATATATGAATATGTATACATATATACGTATATATGTATATAATTCAATGTAATATGAACCTCACTAATAACTGTTGTGAAATATCTATTCTACGTTCTTTCTTTTCAAATAAAATACTTAAACCAGCAATAGAACCACTTATTAATCCATTCAATCGATCATCTTTTCCTCGATAAAGTCGCATACCATTATTAATTAATTTCCAAAGGAAAGCAAATGAGCCAAACATGGCTCCAAACCTAAATGAATCCAAATTCTTGAAGGAAGCTTGTAGGATAGATGACCATTGAGCTCTAAGTTCAATTTTTTTTTTTTTTTTTTTTTTTTTTTTTTTTACATAAGTGAATAAGATAAATAGCATTATTATATCATAGATACATATATACATTACTTTCCCCTAATGATTCTTATTAAATATAAACAGAAGCTGACACTTGCTCGAACGCTATAAGCTAATACAAATGCCCCTATAAACGTATTGATGTAAGAAAATAAAAATAAAAAAAAGGGGGGGAAGGGAGACTACAACGTATATATGTATATTACTTGAACCGCCTTTTAGAGAGTGATGTATTATATCTTTTGGTGTATTTGGCTTTGACCAATCTTTTACATTTGTGAATTCAGAAGGATTCCTTTTTAATTTCTCAACTAGTCTTTGATAAGATGTTGTTCTGTATTTTAAAGGTTTAGACTCTAGATCAATTACATTCTCCATACTCTAAATATATATGAATGTATGTATGTCTGTTTGTCTGTATATCTGTATATATATATATATATATATATATTTATATTTATATATTTGTACGAATAAAGAAAAGAAAGAGAACAGGGAAAAAGATGATATTAATTATGATGATGTATAGTAACTTTGTCGACCTTTTCCTCTAATTTGATTCGTAGTTGGGGGAGGTGATGTGACTCGAATTTACCCCAGATTCGATAATTCACTTGAGGAAGAGTAACAGTGGTAATGATTTATTAAAGAGAATATACTAATTTATTGTTTTATAAAGTAGAATGCAAATAATAATAATAATAATACATATATAAAGGGAGAAGATGAATAGCAAGTATATCTAAATAAATATATTTCTAAGTATATAAATAATCAAGTCGTTTTTTTTTTTTTTTTTTTTTTTTTTTTTTTTTTTTTTGCATCTTCTTCTTTTATGCTAATGCTATAGTTGATAATGGTAAGCTTAATTCTGTGATTTGTAGGGTATAGGTTAATGGAGCAGGTGCCATTGATTTAATTGGTTGTTGAGGATATAATTCATTTTCAAATTTTAACTTTTGCTTGTTATTTTGCTGTAATTCATTCGCTGAAGAATGATGATGGCTGCTATTGATCATAGTAGTAGTAGTAGAGAGTGGTGGTAACCTCGTAAGTGCAGCATGCACTTGACACGTTTTATTTTCAATTTCAAATTCAATTGTTTTCCCTTCTTTCATTCCTTTCTCGACTGTAATCACAAAGCTATCTTCACCATTAAATGCTTGATATTTATTATTATTATTATTATTCATTTTTTTTCTAAGCAAAGAACAATGGATTGAACGACGATGATCAAACATTGTCTTGATCTTCACAGGATCCATTTTAATTGAATAATAAGCTCTTTTTGTCTTTGAATCAAATCGAATTGGGCAAGCTGTGGCTTGACTGAGATGAATCTATACGAAGAAAAAAAAAATTCATTCATATATTTATATTTTTGCTATATATGTATATAAAAGAAAAAAAAGGTACATAAATTATTATTACCAGAATTCCCCATTCATGCTTAGATGATTCTGATTTGATAATACGCTTTTCAATTTCATATAATGCATATGACTGAAATAGTCGACAAGTTCGCTCTAGTCGAACCAAGTCAATGATTGACATATAGCCAAGCATATTTGTAAATATTTCTGCAGGAAATAAATATTCCATATTGTATTCTAAAATAAAATAAAATAAAAAATAGAAGGAAAAAAACAAAAAAAAAACGGCAAAGAGCTTATTTATAAGCTACTTGAACGTTTAAATAGATGTTATAAATATGTATATGTTATTATCGTAAAGTAGTATTAAACCACTTTAGGTAGTAGATAAAGATCAAAACTCCGGTAAAAGTCTTTTATTTAGCCTTTAACCTAATCAAGATAAAATAAGTGGGACCACATAAAGTAATATGATGCATATATCCATTATCATTAAAATTCCATTTTTCTTTGTAAACCTTAATGATTGTAGTACTTTACTTTTTATTTAGTATAATAACAAATACTCCGACAATCTACTACCACCACTACTACTACTGCATACCTTATTATTATATAATACAGCGTTATTTTATTTATTACAACAATAACAGTCAGTTTATAATCTGGGAGATGGGAGTAGGTTCTTTGGGCTCTTTGTGGTAAAAGAAAAAAAAAGAAGAAGAAGAATATGATGATGATGAAAATGCTTTTACTATTACGATGCGCTATCCATGCAATATTTGTATGTCCAAAATTTGAATGGTTATCCTTGATAGTATAAAGAATTTTCTTTTGAATATAAAAGTATTTTTGAGTTATTATAGTAAATGAATAAATAGACTTGATTTTCTTTTTACATGCTAGATCAGCTATAATATTATATTGATTTGTATGTGTGTGTGTGTGTGTGTATGCCTTTACATGATAAGTATCAAAAAGTAACATAACTCGTGTAATCTAATTTTGGTGAATTTATATGCTCTTTTTAGTTGATCTATATATCAGTAAGGTGTTCTCTTATACGTCATATTACTATTCATTAATTATAATAATATTAAAAAAAAAAAAAAAATTAAATTTTCACCTGATATAACTATATAATATTAAATAAATAAAACTCATATATTGTTTATGTAAATGCACATGACGAATAAAAAGAAACAAAACAAAACAAAAAGATGATATTTTACTACTTTGTTAGTTAGCTATTTCAAGACCATAGACAACTTATCTTGTATTATGAAAACTAAACTATAAATTTAAACAGTTCCCTTTTAACTTTGACAGAAGATGATTACTACTTTTTTTTTGTGTAATGTAATTAAATATGTACAGTCGATTTTATTTTTAAGCGCCGATTGCGCCCGGTTCAGTTTTTACGAAGTCCGGTCCATGTCTTACGAAGTCCGGTTGCAATTTACTCTGGGTAACCTTATTACACATTCTGTAAGAGAAAATTCTTTGATAAAGAAGACAAAGAAATGATATCAACCTGTATAATGTATGAAGAGAGAAAAGACAATTGTTAAACAAAAGAAAAAGAAATTATAATTACTGTGGTTATCAAGTCTTGTCTGCAACCGTTTTATACTCTTAAGAGTCACTATTTTATTATAGTTAACAATAGTTTCTTTCAAAAGACACTAATTAATAATAACATATATATTTATGTGAGAGTTACAACAGTGAATACAGTAGTTTACTACTGCTACCAGTGTTATAAATAGTGAATATACATAGTAACAACACTAGTAGTAATAGTATATTTTTCAAAGTATATATCCTGATACAGTACATGCTCAACAAATCTTACTCTTCACGGTGTAAGAAAAGAAAAAATTGTAGTATGAATGAAACTTAATTTATATCACTTTCATACTCTAATTAGTATTGTTTTTGTTTTGTTTTTTCCTGTTTTGTTACCTAATAAATTTTCATACTTTGGATCAATAACTTGACTAAAATTCTTTAAACAGGTCTTTATATGGGTCAGACTACTTTTTATTCATAAAGTAGCTTTACAAGGAAAGCTTGCAAGTGTTTAAAGTTAATTAATAAAACCAAGTAACATAAATGGTAGACAATACATGTTATATAAAGACTTTAGATATTATTATGCTTATTGGGACAATGCACATGAAAGTATTCATTACAGCCTCAGTAAGAAGATCGTATTAAACATTGAAAATGAGCATAATACTAAGGGGGGAAGGATGTATTTATCTGATGCAATCAAATACTGATATATAAAAAAAACTCTTTTTCGCATATACAATCCTTCTTCTTAATATTCTTTTATCAAGAAAGCAAAAAAAATAAAATAAAATAAAATAAGATAAAATAAAATAAAATAAAATCCAACATTATTATTTACTGCTTTCGGTTGTTTTATTGACATTCTTAACAAAATATCTACTTTTTTTTTCTTGCACTTGTCGACTTTTATTTCAATTACATATGTTGTTATTTACATAGAATAAGGCAAAGCTTTTTTAAGCATTTTCTTTTGTGTTGTATTAACAAAAACAGTTTTTGAAAGTCGGTTTACTCTCTCTGCTGAAAAGCCTGAATTTAAGTGACGAATACCAGCTTGCCAACGTTTATAATTATTTGTTCCTGTAGGGAAAAACCTATATTTATTATATTTTAATTTGTAAAAAGAAAAAAAGAAAAGAAATAATATCTTTGTTTTATACCTTTTCTTTGCTCCTGAATGAGACTTCAATTTATATGCCATACCTCTTGAAGATTGACCAAAAGGTGAAATGGTCTTTACTAAACTACTTGTAGAATTTACTTTATATTCTTTTAATTCAGTCATTTATATTCTTTTTTGTTTTTGTTTTTTTTTTTTTAAATCTTGTTAAATAGTATACCTAATGAACGGAACATGTGATTGAGTTATATGGAGAAAATAATAAGAACAAGTATCAACCTAGTCCATCCACAACTAACCCCCCACATCTTTTTTTTTTTTTACATCTTTTTTCAGAAAAATTGAGTAGAGTTCAACAGTCACGATGTCAAATAATGGACTTCATTCTTGTTGCATTTTTTTTTTCTTCTTTTCTAAATCGCTTGTTTTTTTATGTTTATCCTAGATTTATAATGAATAATAATTCTAACAATGATAATACAACATTACTTAAAGAACAATTAAATTCGCTTCAAGAATTAAGGTAGAGATAATGGATTTATTTTTTTGTAAACAAGTTAAGATTTGAGTTTATATAATGTGTACATGCGTTTAGACAAAAAACGCAAGAATTGATTGATTGTAAAGCAGCATTGGTATCAAAATCAGAAATTTTAGACCATAAAAAAGATCTATTAGAAGAAGCCAATTCAGAAAGGCAAAGATTGCAAAAAGAAAAAACATTATTAAGAGAAATGTTGCAAAATATTAATCAAGATTTAAACTCGGTAAAAAAAAAAAAAGAAAAAGAAAAAAAAACAGGCATTGTTTACTTAAAAGTCTTGAGAATACTGTAGATTGTAGAAGTTGAGCGAACTTTAGCAAAAGAAAGTGAAGATCTTGAAAGATCTATAAATAAATTAAAAACCGAGCATTATGAGCCTTTACACGGTAAAAAAAAAAAAAAAATCAGACAAACCAAAAAATATTTATTAAATTAAATTAAAATAAATTAAAAACAAATAGACCAGGTGAATGAGATACGGTTAAAAAATGGGTTGACTAAACTACCTCATATCCAACAAGAATTAGAAGCAAGAATGGCAAAGTAAGTTTTTTTTTTTTTTTAAATTTATATTCTATTTTGAAAAAAAATTAATTCTATTATTTTCGTTTTTAAATAGAATACTAGAAGAGAGAAGAGTGAAATGGCAGCAAGAAGAAAATGCAACTTCATCTTTCTCGGCAAAGAGGAAGTTAAATTCACCAAATGCAAGTAACAGATCAAGGAGAAATTAAGTAAATAAAAAAAAAAAATAACATGTATATTTTTTTTTCAATTTATTTTTTTTCTATTTATTTCAATTTTTGTTTCCGTTTTTTTTTTTTTTATTATAAACAGATATATATATATATATATATATATATATTTTTTTTTTTATATAAAAACTAGGAAAAAATAATTTCTTTTATTCTTTTTTTCCAATTATTATGTAAAATGGGAAATGCGCCTTCAAAGAAGAAAGAAAGAAAGCTATTAGTAGAAAAATTGCATCATAAGCAACCATTTTATAATGAAGATGATATAATTTGTATTCATGATTCATGGATAGCACCACCACTACCATCATCGTCGTCAGCTTCATCATCATCAATTTCATCATCGCCTAAGACTATCTTTAATAAACCTATTCATAACCTATTTTCTCGAAACTTACTAAAAAAATCATCTCAAAGGAAATCAGCTTCTTCTGTAATAAACACATCCTATATAGACACAGTTACTCATTCAACAATATCTACATTTGCAAATGAGGACGATGTTAATAATACCTTTTATGAGAGTCCTATGGTGAAAACCGTGACTCGACTGTCTGCTCAATACGATCAAAAGAAGACAACTTCTCAATTTGAACTACTATTATCCTCTTCTTGTGCACCCTGCATCGTTTCACAACCTTTAAGGAGAATGACATATCTTCACAGTAGTAGCAGTAGTAATAGTAATAGTAATAATAATAGTAGCAGTAACAGTAACAATTATAATAATAATAGTAGTAGTAGTAGTAGTGGTAGAAGTAATAGTAGCAGTAGTATCAGTAGTAGAAGTAATAGTAGTAGTAGTATCAGTAGTAGTAACAACAACATGACAGTTACAAAAAATTCAATGTTATATCATAGTAATAATCATTCATTAACTTCTGTCAGTACTATAACAGCAACAGACGATAATGATGACAATGACAGTGTCGTTAGTATAAAAAAAAAGAATCAAAGAAAACCGGTGACGGGCCAAGAAATGAGACTGGAATTATTTTTGAATCCAAATGCTGAGGAACTTCGAAGGATAGAAAAGGATAGACAGCAAAGACTAGTAAGAAATGTAGTAAAATAGTATCATGACTGGTTCTCATGTGTCTTTTTATTATTATTATTATTATTTTATTAGCATTATGTATTAAAATATATCAGCAAAGGTAAAATTCATCAAGCAAAACTAGAATCACCTTCAGTGATTGTCAATTGGTGCTGTGGTATAGGCACATGGTGTATGGAAATGGCTACCATGTTTCCAAATACAAGAATTATTGGTGTTGATTATAAGGAAGTCATTACATCTTTCAATATGCAACATTCTTTACCCAATTTAAAATTCAAATACATTGCCGCTCATGATAAACTAACTGGCTTAGAGTCCTTTGAAGATAATTCTGTAGATTTCGTTATGATGAGAGATGTTTGGCTGATAAATATACCTATTTTAAAATGGGAATATGTTTTAAAACAAGTGTATCGGATATTAAAACCAGGCGGCTGGATAGAACTTCAAGAGCACAGTAAGTTCTTTTTTTTTTTTTTTTTTTTTAATATATACATGCATACATACATACATGCATATATATATGCTAATATACATAAAGCAACTCAGATTGGCACTATGGGTCCTTGTGGTGCAAAACTATTTCAATGGTACACTCGCTTCTTTACTGAAACCCAAATAGATAGAACGATCGCTAGAAAGTTAGGTGACTTTTTAGGATATGCGGGCTTTTCAAACATAGATCAGCAAACAACGATTAGCCCGGTAGGCGAGTGGTGTACGACACTAGGTATGTGTATTTTTATACAAATATATACATGTCTAATATTCCATATTTATAGAGTTAAAAGAATCAGGATTTCTGTTTAAAGACATTTTGGAGAGACATTTACGAGTTTTATCAAGATGGGTTGCTCAAGTATGTGATGTTGACGAAGGGTTAATAAATCAATTATTAACAAAAGTCGTAGAAGATGAAGCAGATGAACATAATACATCTGTTGATTGGATATTTTACACAGCAAGGAAACCAGCGAAAAATAGATAGAAGAATTTCATCCTCCACTGCAATAGACTTTTTTTTTAACATGTTATTAATTTTCAGTTTCATAAAAAAAAAACAAAAAAAAAACAAAATAATAATAATAATAATAATAATAAATTAAAAATAAATTACATATAATCTAATTTAGAGTATTAACTCTGCTCTTTGCATATCCTGTTCATTACTATCTTCTTCCATTGTTTTCATATGTTCAGCTATCTATTTTTTTTTTAAAAAAAAAAGAAAAAATTAGCTTTTGTATGTTTGTTTACATTAGGTTTCTTTTTTTTTTTTTTTTTTTTTTTTTTTTTTTTTTGTTACCTGTTCCAACTCGTTTAAATCCCAGCCTAAATCACTTTTATTCACTTTAAAATGATGAAGTTCATGTGCTAAAGTTCTCAACACGTTTTCGCTAAAAAAAAAAAAAAAAATGTTTGATATATGCTTCATGTAAATAGAATTGATTTACATTACTTTGAATGCTGAATCCATACACTATAGTCATCCAAGAATAGTTTACTGTATATATAGTACACATCATGATGATCAAATAAGTATTTTAATTCTAATAGAGCTTTTAAAATTGCTCTTTTGCCAAGTTTGAATAGAATATACACGTCTTGAAGTACTTTTTCACATAATTCAAAATTCCGATATAATGGATAAACTAATACTCTACGATAGCATGATATTATAACATCTTTTAATACATTAAATTGCTAAATTTATTGTTAGTAAAGAAAAAAAAAAAGAAAAACTCCCCTTCCCCCTTCTCTTCATTTTTTTATAGTCATATTTACCTCTAAGGATGATAAAGTAGGACTTATTTTACCTATACACCACACAGATTCTACGTTATTTTCTCCTTCAGTAATACGATGATTGTAACTGTATGCAAACATTAAGTCTACCAAACCGAGATAAGCGCTCTTCTCAAAAGATAAAAGATATTCTTTTCTTGGTAAGTCACGCATCATAGCTTCTTCATTAGTAGTAAACTTTAAAAGACTTTCTTTTTTGTCTTCAATTGATAAATGACTCAAGTCAATGTCTCTCGTTACATCTTTTGCTTCAATTTCTTCAATCAAAGGCTCTATTAAATAATAATGAATGAGATGTTGCCGTACTTTTCTTTTCTTTTTTTTTCTCTTAATTAATTAATTTACTTGTATCTGCTGCTTTAGCAATTTTTTGAAGTCGCTTTAATTCTTTTGCATAAATAGTTTTATATTTTATCAGTTCTTTAATTTCATCGTTATGAATGTAATCCATACAGTAGTGATCTTCATCAAAATGGTCATTTTCTGAGTTAATTCGCTCTTCTCGTACACTATCTGATGTTGACCTCTCTGGGTCTTGAATCTCATTAATTTCATTTAAAGTTTCGTGAACATGCGTAAAATAACCATGATATTGCTGATCGAACCCATAACGAGCTGTGATTGATAATGCTTCAGATTTAGGTACCTGTTGAGGTATCTCCCAATTAAAATCAATAGCCTCTTGAATTTCGTTTTCTTCTAATGCTGCTTCCCTTCCATCGTCTGCTGTTGAACTACTACCAATTACCTCAATCATTGGCTTCTTCGGTTGATCTTTAGTCTCTGCTTCACCTGTTCTTGCCAAGAGCTTTGTAAGCAAGTCAAGATCGGCGAATTCTTCTCCTTTTGTCTCTTTAGAAACACGAATGGTAAATTCACCAGCAGAGGGATCGTAGACTGCCTTTGAGTTGTCGTCCTCGATAATATTTCCTGGAAAATGAAGTCTATCATATACAAAAATATGAATTTTTTTTTTCATCTATAATGTAATATCTTATCTCATGGAAGAAGAGGTGTTGTTTATTTATTTTACCTTAAAAAATAGGGACGTAAATAAAATCTAAATTCACTGCCTTCTACATATAGATCTACATCTTGTACCTACAGAATTCAAGTTTTAATGATTTATAATCAACTAGAACGAGAGAAAAAAAAAAGTATTATCTTATTCACCTACTCTAACATAAGGAGTATGGATGACAATAGTGACTGAATCATCATCTTGATCTACTTTAAATGTTGGTGTAATCATGATGAATCTTGTTTTGTTTTTTGTTTTTTTAAAAAAAAAAAAAAATAAAAAAAAAATAAAAATAAAAATAAAAACAATATTAATAATAATAATAAAAAATAAAAATAAAATAAAAAATTAAAGCCACTTAATTATTCTTAAACAGCTCATATTATTTAAGCTTTTTTATGCTACTACGAGATGGCAGGAGGATGGAAGAGGACTGCTTGTTGGATATTAATTTTAGGCGGGGGAGGAGCAGCTCCGATACTTTTGACATATCTCTCTTTCTCTGTTACTAAAGGATACCCTAGTTTTCAACATGTTAAAAGCCATAATAAAACCACACTCTTATTTACGGTCAACACAAAGTGGCTATAACAACACAAGACTTTGTCTTCCTGCAATCATCCAGTTCCACACAAGTGCAATGATCCCACAAGAAGAAATGAACATACAAAGGAAATCAGTCCAGTATAAATTGCGGGGGAAGGTAATCCATCAAGATCACATTCAATTACAAAAGTTGATTTTTTTTTCTTTTCTTTTTTTTAACGAAACAAATGTAAATAGGGACGTCAATTTATTGATTTTGTTCGTGTAAAAGTAAAAGGAGGTGATGGTGGGGATGGCTGTGTCTCATTTCAGCGAGAGAAATTTCTTCCAAAGGGACCTCCTAATGGTGGTAACGGTGGCCGTGGAGGTAATGTTATTGTTCGTGCTAGTGCAGATGTTGGCACCTTGAAACGTCTAGGACGAGTTTGTTCAGCGAAAAGAGGAGAAAATGGAATGGGAGGTGGAAGACATGGGACGATTGGCGATCATTTGATTATTGAAGTACCTATAGGTACAGTGGTCAGAGAAGTAATTCCAGAAGAAGAAGAAGAAAAAAGAAAAAAAAGCGTAGAAGAATTAGAAGAGGAACGTGAGGCACGATGGGTGCTTTATCCTCGTTCTGAAGTTGATTCAGTGCCTGAAGGAAAAGTAAATTTTTTTAAACAAGCTGAAAGATTGATGGATGAGGAAGATCGATATTATCGATGGCGACTCTCTCAAGAAAGGAGAGAACAGATTAAGATCGATTTGACTCAAGATAAGCAGGAGGTCATGATATGTAGAGGTGGCGCAGGCGGTTATGGAAATCCTCATTTTTTAACAACAGAAAACCGATCTCCTAAATGGGCCACACGCGGGCGTAAAGGTGAAATAAAAGAAATCGAATTAGAACTTAAAACGATTGCTGATATAGGCCTAGTTGGTTTACCTAACGCTGGTAAATCAACCTTGCTGGGAGCAATTTCAAATGCTCATCCAAAACAAGGAAATTATGCATTCACTACTTTACATCCCTATGTTGGCACAGTGGATTATGCTGATCAATATCAGTTAACTGTGGCTGATATTCCTGGTTTGATTCAGGGTGCCCATCGTAATATCGGTTTAGGGCATGCATTTTTACGTCATGTTGAGCGTTCTAAAATTTTGGTTTATGTAATTGACGTGAGTGGTCCAAATCCATTCGAAGATTTAAAGACCTTACAATATGAATTGGAGGCTTATCGACCTGGACTTACTAAACGACAATCACTTATTGTAGCTAATAAGGCAGATAAAGTGGGTACAGCTAAAGAAAATCTTCGTTTATTACAAAACCAAGTCAATGAGTCTATCCCGATTATTCCTATATCTGCAAGATATGAAAAAAATATAGTCAAACTTACTTCTATTTTACGTAAACAAGTAGAAGCTATTCGTTTAAATGAAAATCAAAAATCAAAAGACGATGAAGAAGATGTGTAAAGACATCAAGCTTATTTATCCCCTTGCTATAATATTTAATTATTCTGTAGTATGCTTGTTTATTTTTTTGGGAGGTTTTCCTTTTTATGGTTTACTTGTATATATTTACATATATTATAGTGTATCTATTACTTTTTTTTTTAAGCAGTAAACATTAATATAGATATATATGTATGTGAAGAAAACTTCTTCAAATATAAACATGTGTTTTGATATCCTGTTTTATTGTTAATTTATTGTGATGCAAGTTCTTCTGCACGGGCTCTATTTTTTATCATAACTTCCTTTTTAGCAGCAATAAGAGCTGTTTGTCTTTCTTGCACATTATAAATAAAATAACCAAATGAACCGAAAACACCTGCAGCTATTAAATGTCCACTAGGATCTAAGAGTGGGTAAGATTTTCATTAAAAATGTCTTTTTTTTTTTTTCATAATTCAAATTAATTTACTTACTAGAGAAAAGTGGGCGCTTTTGTAAACCAAGGGCGTATGTACGGACAAGAACACCAAAAGCAGCAAATCCAGAAACACTACTGATTAAGCTCATTGAAGATTTAAAGAGTGGGGGAGAGAAAATATAATGTCAGTTTATTGACCCTGTTTTTTTTTCCCCCAATTTACTCCACAACTGCAGAAATATAGCATGACTACTAGACTACTTCAAATAAAAAAAAAAGAAAAAGATGACGTTGAAGTAGTATATCCAATTATATTTGGACTGACTTTAAATAGTTTGTAACATTAAAAAAAATGAGATAAGGGAAATTGACTAATAGATCAATAATGATATGCATGTTTGGGTGATATACATTGCCTATCTGCAGAAGAGCATACATACAGCAATCTTATATTTTTCCCTTCCAAAGTAGATTTCAAAACCTTTAATAAAAGTATAATTTACTTCAGTTTAATCTTATTATGTTCTAAAGCTAAATATATAAATACAATAGATACTGATATATTTTGAAGGAAAATAATGAATACTAATATACAGCAATATGTATACTCTAACACAAATATAACATTAAATCTAACATTAATCGTCTTTTGTGAAGTTAGTTTTTCTTTTGTTTATATCTGAGTTATCTCTATAGAAATCTCTACTACAGTTATTTTGCTTGATAAAATGAGCATTCATTTTTAATTGTATTATTACTCTATTTATGTTATAGTAAATCAAACAACTTATTTTGATTTTATAACAGAACCATTTATTGACCTTTTGCTGTTTACTGTCTGCGTTAATCGTTGAGTAGAAATAAATACTCTTAAGCCGTAGTTAAATAGGGAGAAAATAAAGTTTGATTTGTCTTTTTAGTCCTTTGCTTTGAACAGTAGGCAAACTAAAAATATTAGCCTGGTACTTGAACAAATTTGCTTTTGCAAACCAAAATAAAATAAATAAACGTCAATACTGTTATTCTTTAAAATGAATTATAACCAACTTTTTTCGCGATTTTACATAAAACCTATCTACATGTCAGTTTTTATTTTATTTTATTTTTTATTTTATTTTTTTACTAATCTTATTAAAGTAAGTGGAGAGAGAATAGATTTACCTACTAATCCGTTAAGGGATTGGCTTTTGAATTTTATAATGTTATATGTTCTAATAAAGTAGTTTCTTCTAAAAGTGCATTTATTTATTTTGCTAATAATAAGTCTACCAAAAATTAAGATTATTTTACTCAAAAGTGGTTTTATAACGAAGTAGTCTTCTGTATTATTATAGAAGATATCTTTAATTCGATATCTACATTATGTCCCTTGATTTATTTCAAGAAATAAGCATAAGCAGCTTCCATTGTAAAAAGAAAAAAAAATGGATATAGTATTCATTTTTCTACTATAAAAATCATTTAACAATTATTTTCTTTAAAAGTGTATATTGCCAAATTTCTAATACTTTTTTTAATGTCCCGCAAATTAGAATAAGAAAAAAAAAAAAAAAAAAAAAAAAAAAAAAAAAAAAAAAGACGATTTTTTTAATTTTTATTTTTTGTTCCTTTTTTCCCCCTTTTTTTTTTCAAAATTTAAAAGAACAATTTTGTTTGTATTATATTATAGCAAAAGCTATAAAATGACAAAATTATCAAAAAGATGGTGCCATTAATATTAATCTATTTATTTACTATTGTAAAAGCACAATCGCCAATTACTTTTACTGACAGCAGCAACACTACTAGTACTACTACTACTACTATACCAACAACAAATACAACTATTACTACTACTACCTCTTTACCTATTACCACCACCATCACCACCACCACTACTACTGCTGCTGCTGCTTCTGCTACTATTACTACTACACCTCCTATTATTACCACTAATGTTACCGCTATTACTATATTACCTATTGATACTACTACTACACCATCTATCACTACCACTATACCTACTACAATTATAACTCGTCCAATTGCATTACCAACAGTGCAGAGCACAGATTGGGATTCTAGCGGAAATCAACAAAGCAAAAACCAGCAGAGCTGGCTTAAAGAACACAATAGATTTATCTTTATTATTATTATCGGCCTTGCAATCTTAGCATTATTAATCTGGTATATTATTCGAAGTATAAAAGGAATGCGTAAAAGACTTGAAGAAGAAAATCAGGCACAATTATATATGATACAACAAGTCTCATCATCACCACAACCAGCAACAATGTCACCTTATCCGAATTTTGTTTCTGGATTTACACCACAATCTCCTCCACCTGCTTACAAAACACAAGAAAATACTCCAGTTATCATCCCTTCAACAGCAACTGAACATCGTAATTAATGATCCCTCCTTTTTTTTTTGGTCTTGGTTTCTCCTTCATTCTTTGATGTAATATATAATTTGTGTAAAGTTTAAAGTTGATCATGAATAAAGTACTATGTGAAACAACAATAGCGGACCGATAAATTTTTTTTTCTTTGTCTAACAAACTATTCAACTACTAACTCCCAGATCAATAGAAAGGCCCCCCATTCAGGTTACAGTATTTTTTTTTTTTAAAACTACGATACATATTATAATGGGCTGGCATCTTTTATTTTTGCTACATATTATATCAATTTTAGAGATAAATATTATTGAAAACAAAAAAAAAGGGAAGCTAATAAGAACTTTGAGATTTTTTTTTTATTTTTTTTATTTTTTTTGCTTATTAACCAAATTCTGTCAATATGCTTAAAACCATTCAATTTAGACCCGATAGAGATTAAACGTCGAAATCGCCATAGCTTGGTTGGTAATAACAATAATAATTGGATTAGAGTTTTATAGATTTAAAGGGGAAACTGTAATGGAATTTGAAAATAATGATCAGCACCAATAGGTATCTGAACTGTTCAGACTGCTGTAGATCTACAACTTTTGGCGATTTAATTTGAATGCTGAGGAGGAGCAGAATACTCAAAGGAGCGTATTCTACTTGAAGTTGTAGCTATTCTTTTATTTTTTTTCCTCCCTCTCTGACTATTTAATAAGAAAATCTTTACTTTTATAATTTCCTTTCCTCCCTTGAATTATGCTATTGTTCTCTTCAAATATACATACAAACATGTATATGTAATGCAGATTTATCAATGAAACTATATATTTTATAAGCATTTATTTGTTTCAGTTGATTTAATGATAGCTTTATCAATGTCGATCAGGGTACTTTTCTCCTTACAACACGCATAAAAGATAAAAATAAAAGATGCATACTTTTACTGTTATAATTTTACGTACAGTAGCCTTGAAGATTTTAATTACTCATATGTTAAATAATCGAGAGTTTCATTGTTGATTGCTTTAGAAATAATAAGTATACATTTATATATCAATAATACAAAAGAAGATCAGAGACATTAATTGTCTTTTTTTTTTTTTTTTTTTTTTTTTTTTTTTTTTTTTATTTCTGTCCTACCATTAATTATAGTCTCGACACATTTTTTATATTGTAATAATAAAAGTCGAGAACATGTATATTTTTTTTTATGCTACACTTAGTAAGTTCTTTGGCGCCAGTAGTAGGATTATAACCAATCCAATTATTTATTATAGACAATCAATTTCGTGCAACAGATATTTGGACACCAAAATTTTACGTGTTGTGCAGAAGGTTTTCATGTTATTTTTCGACACTGATCTAATTGTTCTATAATACAAGCTTTCTCACTCACTCTCTCTCTCTTTTTTTTTTATTGTTGTTGTTGTTGGCAGATGAGGGTGATATGCTTCCCAAGGATATATATATATATCAAAAATAAGAATGAATTGTTTGTTATACGATGTGTTTGTATGATATAATAATAGAATTAGAGTTATTTTCATTAAACCTCAAGTCAGTTATTTAACATGAGTTTATAAGAGACAACAATGATAAAAAAAAAGAGGGGGCTTACATAATACATTTTAATTTGTCATTTTTTTTTGGGGGGGAGAGGATTTATTATGAAGTTAGTAACTATAGTAGCATTATTTTGTTTTCATGGTAAAGAACTCTAAATTTCATCTAACCAAATAAAGCAGCATAGAGATGATTTAAACTTTATCTCCTTTCTCTTCTGCTTAAAAAAAAAAGGGTCTCTGGTTGAGTAGCCCAGAAGATAAGACAAGCTTTTATGATTATTATTTGTCAGAATGTAATTCAGGATATGGGGGAAAAAAATACTAGTAATAATAAAGGAAATGTAAAGCTTAAGAGAGACCTTGTATTATATATACATGTATAATTATTAAAATGAATTAGGTACTTTATACCATAAAAAATTTTGTTTCTCCAGACAGAGTTTAGACACAAATAAATTCCTATTATAATACTTTTGTTTTTTTTTTCAACTTTTTGAATGAATTATATATGTTTTTGAAAAAAATTGCATGGTATTAAAATATGCATACATCTCAGAGATTTAATGAAGAGATGCGTCTTGAAAATAAGGTTCAGCTGTTAAGTAATTTTCGAGAAAAAATGACCATATTAACTGTATATTTAATTCTATTGTGATATATTCTCTCTCTTTTCTATTATATAATAATCCAAAGTACTTTTTTCTTTGCCCTCCCCCCCCTCGCCCCTACTACATCTTTCTATACTATTATATGAATTATACTATTTTTGAATTGTCCTCCTTTCAATGGCTTCATGTCATGATTTATAATGCTTCTCTATAGGAAATACATTTTATTATTAATCTCTATAGCTTCATTTCATTCTTTATCTATTTCTATTTCATAACCATCAGCATAATTGAATTTGTTCAAAAAAAATAAATAAATAAATAAAAAGTAGGTCAATAATTTTTAATATATAGGATAGGTTTTGAAGCGCGTCAACTAATTCGAACAAAAAAAAAAAAAAAAAAGGCAATAGCGGAATTTGAATTATGTGACATGTTGCTGACTTCTAGTCAACATCAAATACTCAAATTGTATTGAGACAATATTGAAATCCTCCTCTTACTACATACATATTAACACGTATGTAAACCCATCCATTATCCATCCAACTAGAATAATAATATAAATCAGTCTAATCTAATCTAAAAAATAAAATAAATTATGTTTTATTAGTATGTCTGCCGAACTCGCTGTTGTCTATGCTGCTCTCATCCTTGAGGATGACAATATTGAAATTACCGTAAGTAGTGTGTCCCATTCAATTCACATGTTTTTTTTTTGGAACAAATTACTAATTTTAACACTACATTTTATATAAATATATAGGCTGACAAGCTCCAAGCTCTTGTCTCTGCTGCTGGTGTTGAAGTTGAACCTATCTGGTTCTCTCTCTATGCTAAGGCCCTTGCCGGTCAAGACCTCAAGGCTCTTCTCTTGAACGTTGGTGCCCCTGGTGCCGCTCCTGCTGGTGCCGCTGCTGCTGGTGGTGGTGCTGCTGCTGCTGATGCTCCTGCTGAAGAAGAAAAGGCTGAAGAGAAGGAAGAGTCTGATGAAGATATGGGTTTCGGTAATGTCACAAATGATTTAAATGTATAAATGAAAACAAGTATTAATTTATTTATTTATTTATTTTAAAAAAAAATTAGGTCTCTTTGATTAAGTCATTTAATCATCCATTTTTTTTTTTTTGCTCATAAAGTATTAAAAAAAAAATAAACTTCTAATTTCGAAAAAAAAACACATTCAACACTTTATGATTTTATTTGGATATTTATATATTGTAGTAATTTATATAGCCATTCTGTAGTGATTAAATTGCATTCAGTTGAATATTTTCAATTTGTTTTATTCTTATAACTGTAATCAAGCTACTTCAGAAAATTAGGTTTGGGGAAATAATAAGATATACTATCTCTAAAGTTGACCGGATCTACGAAGTGCACGTCTGCTTTCCATCTGTCATAAAAAAAAGAATTAGCATAATGTATTAAATTTTTGTTCATTCCTTTTTTTCTCGTTACCCATTTCTTTTTACATTCTTTATATTGCATAAAAAAATAATCGCATTTCCTTTTATCATAATTATTTTCATCAAGACATTTCATGCTTTGCTTTTCTTCTATTGCACAAGGATTCATGTACTTTGTTGTTTCTTTTACTTTAAATTTTTCATTAAAATCAGTTGGGGTTGATGGTTCATCGAATGTTGGTTTTGGAGGTGGAGGTGGAGGCTTTGTAAGAGGCATTTATAATACAAGGAATCTTTTATTCCATGAAAGGAGGGAAGGGTGAGGAAAAAAAAAAATAAAGCACCAAATGGCCCTGTATTCCTGAGTTTGAATAATAAGTTATTGCTGCAGATGAAATTCAACCAAATCAAGGATAACCGCCTTATTCTAGTCAATAGCGAATACGATTAAGGAATTTTATTTATTAAAAGAAAAGAAAGAGAAAAAGATTTTAATGTAACGTCAGGTATACTTTTTTTCAAAGTTTCTGTTGGCTGTTAAAAAAAAAAAAAAAAAAAAACTGCAGAGGTTGGATTGATCATTCCCAAATACAATTTCCAAAACGTCGCAATATGGACAGATAGTTAAATTATTTTGGTATCTATTTCAATAAAACACTTTTTACACTAATTCGATGCATTTTTATATTTTGACAATAAAATTCTCTTGACCAGACTAAAAAAAAATTCTAATTTTTATTTCCTTAAAATTTTATTTTTCAAACGTAAATCACTGTAATACCATTATTACTAGTGATATAAATAAAAAGAGGAAGGGGAGGAAGAAACATAAGTTGTTTAGCTTTCAGTATTTGAAAAAAAGCAGTTATGTGACTATTTCCCAGCTATAGTTAAGCCACAATAATTTACAGAATGAAACAAAGTATTCAATGTCACAGTTGATTTTTTTGCTGAGAAATAAAGCATTTTTTTTTTGACATAAACCATCTTTTAACCTACTCTAACAAAAAAAAAAAAAAATAAATAAATAAATGGTGAAAGCATATCTTCGTTATGAGCCATTAGCCACCTTTGGTGTAATTGCATCATCATCATCTAATATTATTTATGATCATACTGGCAAATTAGCTGTTGCTCCTTCACTTGAGGAAGTTATTCTTTGGGATCTTAAAAAAGGTGTTGAGGTAAAAGCATTAAATTAGTGTTCATTATATAATTGTTCAAGTCAAATTTTAATTAGGAGATTTCAATTAGGTTGGCAAATGGCGAGAATTTGGAAATAAGTCAGAGGTAACATGTATTGCTAAAAGTCCAAATAACAAGGATTATGCTATTGGGTAATATATTATTAAAAATAAAGGCAAATCTTTATACGTGTATACACATATATATATACATATTAAACTTTTGTTTTATAGCTATGCTGATGGTTCAATTCGCTTGTGGAATACAAATTCATCAACTTCTTCAGTTACTTTAAGTGGTCATCGAGCTGCAGTAACTGCCTTGGCATTTGACAGCAACGGTACCCGACTTGCTTCTGGATCTCGAGATACCGATCTGATTATATGGGACATCATTTCAGAATCAGGTTTATATAGATTAAAAGGACATAAAGATCAAATTACGTGTTTAGCCTTTTTAGATCCTAAAAAAGTTGACATGGAAGACAATGAAGTCGGTGTTTCTAGTGAAGGTTATGTTTTATCTTCTTCTAAAGATACATTGATCAAATTATGGGATTTATCTGCACAATTTTGTCGTGAGACGATCGTTAGTCATCGAAGTGAAGTTTGGTCTTTTGCAGTATCTAATGACCAGAAAATGATTATTTCAGGTGGTGCTGAGCCTCATTTAAAGGCATGGAAAATCGATTGGAAGATTTTAGGTTTACCATTAGAAGCACTTGGAGAACAAGAAAAGACAGATCATCAAATGGAGATTGATTCGACTAAACCAGCTACATTACAAAAGGCTATTAATATATATGGTCAGATTCCCCGTCAATCACGAGATCGCGTCGTGACAATTCAATTTCATCCATCTGGAAAATATGTAGGTGCACAAGCCAATGATAGATCAATTGAAATATATAAAGTGCGTGATCATGAGCAGATTCGTAAGAAAATTCAACGTAGAAAGAAGAGAGCAAGAGAGAAGGGAAAGGATGAATCGGAAGTGAGTAATGAAATTCAAGCAGAAGATGAATTTACAACTGAAACTGTAGTACGTACACCCGCTAAAGTGCGTAGTTTTGATTTTGCACCTGTTACGACGGATGTGGAAAAGGCAGGAGAGATTCAATTTGTCGCATCACTTAGTAATAATACGATTGAAGCATATACAATACCTGTGACAAAGGACAAAAAAGATGAAATTGTAGAACCATCACGTCTGTATTCAATTGATGTACCTGGACATCGTTCTGATATTCGTACTTTAGCACTTAGTTCTGATGATGAATTATTAGCTTCAGCATCAAGTAATTTATTAAAAGTATGGAACATGAAGACAAGATCTTGTATTCGTACTATTGAATGCGGCTTCGCACTTTGTAGCTCATTCTTGCCCGGTAACAAACATATTTTGGTTGGTACAAAGACGGGTGAGTTAGAATTATACGACATTGGTTCTTCATCGTTAGTAGAGTCTGTTAAGGCACATGATGGTGCTATCTATTCTCTTCAAGTTCGTCCAGACAAACGTGGGTTTGTTACGGGTAGTGCAGATAAAGATGTCAAGTTCTGGGATTTTGATATGAAACAAGACAAAAATAATGTAGCAAAGCGCTTAACCTTTATTCATATGAGAACATTAAAGATGTCAGACGAGGTACTTTGTGTTCGATATAGCCCTAATCAAAACCTGTTGGCGGTTTCCCTTTTGGATTCTACAGTGAAGGTCTTTTATCACGATACACTTAAATTCTTTTTATCTTTGTACGGACATAAATTGCCAGTATTATCGATGGATATCTCTTCTGATAATACATTAATTGCTACTTGTTCTGCCGATAAAAATGTGAAACTATGGGGTCTTGACTTTGGTGACTGTCATAAGTCATTGTTTGCACATCAAGAAAGCGTCATGTCTATTCAATTTGTTTGGGGCACACATTACTTCTTTACTGTCAGTAAAGATAAGACAGTCAAATATTGGGATGGTGATAAGTTTGAAAATATTATGAAATTGGAAGGACATCACGGTGAAGTATGGGCACTTGCTGTCTCAAAGCATGGTTCCTTTGTTGTGACAGGCTCACACGATCGTTCGATGCGTATTTGGGAAAAAACCGATGAACAGTTATTCCTTGAAGAAGAAAGAGAAAAAGAACTTGAAGAATTATATGAGAATACGTTGATAAGTCAAATGGAAAAAACCAATATGGATGGAGATGATATGGAAGTTGATTCCGCTGGTAAACAAACGATGGAATCCTTAAAAGCTGGCGAAAGATTGATGGAAGCGATGGAAATTGGAGATGAAGAAAAGAATGGATGGCTTGCCTATGAGGCAGCTAAAGCACGTGGATTAGATGCACAACCACCTCAACGAAATGCTATTTTGATGGCTATGGGAGATATTGAACCTGATCGATATGTCTTGGATGTTCTCAAGAAGATTAAGGCAAATGATCTTGAAGAAGCACTTATGATTTTACCCTTTTCTAAAGTGATTTCATTATTTTCATATATTGAAAGCTGGGCAAAAAAGGTATATTAATATAAATACATGATCCTATTTGCCTAACTTTTACTAACGTCTCTTCCTATATCCATCATCTAGAATTGGAGTATTGTCTTGGTTTCACGTGTATTATTTTCAGTTGTAAAAACACATCATAATCAAATTGTAGCAAACCGAATGATGCGACCTATGCTTGATTCTATTCGTTTCCATCTTCGTACTCAATTACAACGTCAAAAAGATATCATGGGCTATAATAGAGCAGCATTAACATATCTTCAACGTGATTATAAAGCAAGGAACACCTCTAACTTCCTTGATGAAAATGTTGATAAGCCTGTTGATGACGAAAAGAAACGTAAATTCGTTCAACTAGCGAGTTAAGAAAAAAAAAAAGAACCTGCCTGTAATAATAAAAGTAGACATTTATTTAATTTATAGACTATTATAGATTTATTTTATTATTAATAATTAGCTGTATTAGCTTTTCCTTGTCGATTTTTTTTTTATTATTGCTGTTCTTTTGGAACTCACACTTTCAGTATGAGTACAATGATAAAAAAATGTCACTTTCTTCAAGTCAGTTGGATAAAATCAATATCATAACATTATATTTGTATAATTATAAACATACGTTAAATATATTTCAGGATTTATACATGTATACATCAATATAGTAATTTGATCAAGTATACTGGATAACTATACAATAAGAAAAAAAAAAAGGGGGGAGGGTTGGGGGAGCAGGGAAAGAAGGAATTGGATATTTTGTACGTACTAGCAACAATAAAATAGTATATATAAGAAAGAATGTCGCTTCTTTTTTTTTTTTTTTTGTTAGTATATTTTCTATAAGGATACCTATAAATGTATAAATAAATAAAGTCCATGTAGATTGAATTTTTTTTTTATACTATATACAATACAGATGCAGTAGATTCTGTCGTTTTGATATTTTCTATAGTAGATGCTGTCATTGATGAAATTGATATCAATGCTAACTCTGAACGCTTTTTCATTATTTTTATTGGCATTGAATCATGATCATGATCATCATTCTTATTACCACCTCTCATCCTTTTTCGAGAGGATGAAGAAGATAGAGTAGTATGAGATGCGTCTATTGTTGTAGTCGAAGGTGATATCATACTACGATTTCTCTGCTGTTTTTTAATTGCATGTGCTAATAGTTGATTTCCATAAGCTTGTACTTCTTCCAGTTTAATATATAGATTAAAATCACACAAAAAGAGAAAATCCAATTCTAATTGATTCAACTCATCTAATCGAATACCTCCCACCTTTATGCATAAATAGGATGTTAGTATGATGGATGATAGTCAAATAAGGCAAATAACTATATTACTACTCTACTTTTGCATATCTAATGTTTGGATAAAATATATCTGAGGTAAACTTGGTAGCAATAATAATACTGAAAGAAGCAAAGGTGATGATATAAATATGTATGTATATATATATATATATAAATGGCTTGATAAAGTTACCTTGTTATTAATAATCTATGTACAGTTGAAGAACTTAATATATAATTTTTATCATTTGAAATACGATCGAAATAGATTAGTAAATAAATTAAGACTTCATTCGTAAAGGGAGTGTATTTCAATATACGTAAAATATATGAATAGATATCCATATTAGTTGCAGCACGAGAATGAAATCGAGTTAATATTGTTGTATTATTGATAAGTTTATCATTGGCTTCAATAACTGAATTTAGTAAATCAGCCACTATTTTAGCTAATATAAGAGTTGGATACTGAGCAATATTTAAATGATAATTCATTAAAATAAATGAAAGAAGAAGAAGGAGAGCTTTATCTTTTTCGAGTTTATGCTTTTTATTAGCATCAGGGACAACAATAAAGTCTATTTTTTTTTTTGTGGCGGAGACGAAAAGGAAGAATAATAAAAGCATTTTCAGATAAGAGTTGAACTTGAAAGAAAAAAAAGACAAAGTAGACTTGTGGATGTTAAGACTATTTCAAGCTGATCTCAATACTAATCAGTTTTAGCTCTCTGAATCCTCATCTAAATGGCATGTTATCCTTACAGTTTTTTTTTTTTTTTTTTTTTTTTTTTTTTTTTTTTTTATCAATTTAACGTTAAATAATCTTTACGAATAACAGTCATGTATGTTTTTCAGTGCAGGGCGTACTGTCATTGTTGTCTTATTGTTGTTGTTGTTGTTTTTTAAAGAGCGCCTCTGACAGAAATAGAGTCAACTTTGAGTATGTAACATGTAAAGCGTATCCTTAAAAAGGATATGAAATATGTATATCCTCAATTTTTGTCTGATTGAATTCACCTAGTGATCATAAATAGTCATGTAAAAAAAGCATATACCCATACCCATATCCATATCCATATCTATCTATATCCATATCCATATCTATATTTGCGTACATATCTATATACATATACAAATATTTTCATCGAATCTCTAATGGGATATTAACTGCTCCAGATTGCTCCTCTATTCTCTCTCGCCAGAAACAATAATATCGCTGTCTCGAATACAATTTTTTTTTTCTTTTTCTTAACGGAAAATTTAGGTTTTTACAGGTAAACTAGTTAATTGATTTAAAAAAAAAAATTTTTTTTTCTGTAACCAAGTAAACAATAATGAATAATAGGTCTTTCTTTTTTATTCATCTTTTTGTTACCAATCCTCTGTTTTATTTTGAGCATATGTTAGATTTTTTTTTTTTTAAAAAAAAAAAAAATAATCGCATGCTATATAATTCATATTTGGTTGGATAGAAAAAAAAAATCCTCTCCTTTTATGGTTTTATTCAAGCTTTTTTTTTAATTTTCCTCTTATTCATAACAATTTTCCATTCTGGTGTCTTTAATAGTTTTTCAAATTCTGACCCGTTCTTAGATGTCTTTACATTAACTTCATGTCTATATTTCCTTTTCTTAGTTCTAACGATAGGAGTCACTTCTTCTTCTAGTCTTGGTCTAGGACTAACTTCGAAATCTGCATCAGGATCGGGTTTTACAGTTAAAATAGAATGATATTTTTTGAGAATTGATCTTAAAGATTGTGATTTGAGATCCTTTTCCGTAAAGAGTGTACTTAATGAAGGCTCGTTTTCTAAAGCACGTTTTTCGTCAATAATATTCAGATTTTGATAACGAACATATTCTTGAACAGCAATTCCTAAACAATATATTGCTGATAGATCTATATCGGGGAAATTGGATTGTCTTCGTAATAGATTTGCTGCTTTTATCCTTAGTGATTCTAGTAGATTCTACATGGTATCATTAGTGTTTATTATAGTATATGCAAATATATTAAGATTTACAATAAAACATATCTGATCATTACGCCATGCATCTATAGATTCATAAAAAAAATTAATCTTTTTTCTTTACTTTTAAAAATGAAATAAATTTACCATGGTTGCTTATAATTGTTTGTGGGAAATTAGAATGTGTTGATGATGAAACTTCAGGATCATTTTCTTTTAAATATAATTGTCTTTTTACAGATCCTTTCAATTTATTGTTTGATGACATTTTAGTTAAAATAATAATAATAATAAAAAAGTAAAAAAGATATGCAACATAAAAAAAAAGGGAGCCAATCAAAAGAAAAAGACTATGATACACATAAAAAAAAAAAAATTCCTATCCGTTTATTGCTATTATTATTTTTTTCAGCGTCATGACCATAAATGGTTCAAACTCTTGTAGAGCTTCCCGTCTAATAGACAAAATATGTATAGAATAGTATATGAAACCGCTTCTTCTTGGCCTCAGCAGAAGGTGTAGATAAAGGATCTTTTAAGTTAATTTATATATAGCTATGAATAAACGAATTCATGTGTATTATACAACGACTACATGTATGGTTGAATCTTATAGTAAAGAATAAATATACGTGTTTTATATCTTGGGGTTTGGGCTAAGCATCTTTAGCGATAGACCCTACTAGTAATACTGTAGTCTTCCTCTAAAAGAATAATATGAATACATAATAATAACACATATTATGGCCTTTTTATAAATATATACGTATATATTCATGTGCATTTATCTAAAGACCAGTACCAGTTACTCAAGCATGTTCATATTAACCCCTCACTGTTTTGAAGCTATCTACAATAGAAATGAACAGATAAAAAAAAAGAACAAAAAAAAAAAGAGGAAAAGAGAGACAGGAAAAGAATAACAAAACAACAACAAAAACTAAATGATTATTAAAGCCATTGACATGCATAGTTTTCTATTATTAAATATGAATATCTCTTTAATTAAAGCAAGTGCTAGATTTTATATTTCGACATTTTAATTGGCTCATTCTTACATTTTATTTTTATTTTCATTTGCGTAATCAGAGACAAAAAAAAAAAAAAAAAAAAAAAAACTTGGAGAAAACAGCACTCATCTTTTTCTTCTATAAAAAGCTCATATTACTCATGTCTCATCAAAGTGGTATTCAAGGTGATGATAAAATAAAATAAATAAATAAACAATAAAGCTTCCAACTAAACTCGTTTCAATCAATTTTTTTTTAATCCTAACGTATTATAGTGTCTGAAGAGCTATCCAATGTCTTTACAAATGCTGTTTCTACAGGCAGCATTCGTTTCCTTCGCGTTTCTATAAAGAATGGTAATTAAACACATGTGCATGTAATATACTATACAACAAAAATATGATATTTACTTGTATAACTATTAGAATCCCTTGTACCTGATGGCACCTCATCTGTACAGAATGATTTCGAGTCAGGTAAAAAAAAAATGGATAAAGTATATTGAACTTGTTAATTTATTGTTACTTGTAGATTATAAAAAGTACATTAATGAGTATATTGAGACAAATTCACCCGCATATATTTTTGTTCGTTTGGATGAAAAGTCATCCTCAGGTGAATACAAATGGCTATTCCTGTGTTATGTACCTGATAATGCCAAAGTTAGAGATAAAATGATTTATGCTTCTACTCGAGTCACTTTAACAAAGGAATTGGGAGACTATAGATTCGATGACAGTATTTATGGAACTGAGAAGGTACAGTAACATGTAGATAAACCTATAATAATAGGGCATGCACTTAAAGTGAAATAATATAGTCGGAGTTTACTTGGGAAGGATATAAAAAGCATTTAGCACATAAGGCAGCAGGCGCCCCTTTGACAAAACGTGAGCAAGAGTTAGCAGAAATCAAGGCAGCAGAGGTATATTAGAAAAAGAAAGAAAGAGAGAGAAAGTAAAAAGAAAAAAAAACGAAACTCATGGATTAATTTTTGTGTTATTTAGGCTAAAACAGTATCTGATTACCAAGGCATTTCTGCAAGAAAAAGCTATGCTCCTGGTGTTGCATTTCCTTTAACTGATAAAGCTGTCAATGCACTTTCTGAATTATCAAAGACTAAAGAAAACAGATCCCATAACTTTGTTTCATTGGTGAGATATTTAAATGTAATATTAAGCAACATAACTTATAGTTTTATGTATAGTGCTTAGATAGCGAAAAGATAGACTTGGATAAAACTGCCAATATTTGTGTTGATGAATTACGTAAAACAATAACAGAAAATGCTCCACGATTTACTTTCTATGTTTATGAATATCAGCCCTCTACAGAATCTCTTAGTAAGACGGATATCCCTAATTCATTATTAAATATTAGCTCACATATATAATTTAGTATTTATTTATACGTGTCCACCAAGCTCAAAAATCAGAGAGCGTATGTTATACTCTTCTTCAAAGGCAAATGTAATTACAGCAGCTGAAAATGATGCTTCAATTAAAGTTATTAAGAAGGTATGAAGTAGAATTAGTAAAAAAAAACAAACAAACAAACACATATTAACAAATTCTAGCTTAGTTCGAAACAAGTGATTTAAGTGATTTAAACAAGTCATATTTCGATGAAGAATTATTAGAAAATAGTAACTATTCTGACTCTAATAACAGTGGATCTGGCTCTAGTACACCTACTGGTAGTATTGTCAGTGAAAGAATCCAAATGTTAGGTGGTACTCGACAAGGCTTCAAACGACCTGTAGCTCCTGGTAGAAGAAGACCTCAAACTACCCAATCTTCCTCTTCAACCAATACAAATTCCTCTTTTTAAATTAATATTTTTTTTTGACCTGAATTAAACAATTCATGATTAGAAGTATTACTTTTAACTTGCTACTACTTCTAGCTGAACTGTCTCTTTATGATTCAAACATTATTATGTAATCTCAGTACCTTGATAGTAACAACTCATCATTATAATTCTTTCGTTTTATTTGTATACGCAAACTTTATTATTATTTTATTTTCGAAGACGTAAACAATTTTTTATGCGCGTAGATCATAGTCTAAATGCCATTTATAGCCAATAAGAGCCGGGCTTAAAGTATTTTTTTAGAAGTGCTATTTAATTGGATAATTTATCACAAGAAAAAAAAAAACTTCAGATTTTTATTATTTTTAGTCCCCTCCCCTCCACCCCCCATTATAGTGTATATATTTATACATGTATACATGTATATAGACAAATATACATTTATTTATTTTTGTGAAAAATGTCACTTATACAATGCATACAAGATCAGGCTTCATACTACAAAAAACTAACCATCGAACTTGAAAGTGAATTCAATGTGGATAAAGAATTGTCGATTGTTAAGCAAGAAAAAGAACAACTTTCTGAAGCTATTCGTTCAAAAAAATCCGAAATAAATTCACTAGAAAAATACTCGTAAGTTTTTTTTTTTGTATTGTATATAACATATATATATATATATGTATATAAAGTAAGAGAGAGGCAGGAAAAAAAAAAGAAAGGATTAAATTGTTATACCTGTATAGGAAAAAGGAATTTCAAGATGTACGTAAGATGCGACATTTATCATTTCGATCAGCTGCAGCCACAATATCTGGTAAGAAGAAAGAATTAATGGCAAAGGAGGAAGCAAAGTATCAACTTGCTTTCGAAAATGAACAACGCTCGAGAAGAGAATTAGAAGAGCTCCATGCCAATTATGATTCTGCTGTTGCTAAAGTAAGACAAAATTTATGATATCCACAATAATAATAATGTTGTTTATATTTTCAAAAATAGGAAGCGGAACTTATTTCACAAAAGAGCCATTTTAAAGACGCAAGACATCAATATGAATCATTATTAAAACAGGTATATAAACTTATTTAGTAAGATGGAGATTTTTTTTTCTTTTCTTAAGGTATATTTACATTTATATAGATTTTTCAATATGAAGACCCTAATTTTCCTATGGAATCTCAGTTAAAAGCAGAATTAACGAATTATATTGAACAAAGACGTCTAGTAAAGAAATATTATATATATATGTATATGCATATACAAATAAACTTATTGTATGTATTATGTATAAATATATAGGCCAAAAGAGATAGGGATCGTTTTGTAAACGCTGAGCGAGCACTTTCAACGACATTAGTAGATACGAAGAAAGTAATACGTTTATTAGATACAGTGATTAACTATGTACCGTTTGAGATATTTGGTGGCCCTATTATTGACGAAGAACAAGTTGCTTACTTGGAAGGTAAATTTTACAAAGAAAAATATGTATATAGATGTGTGTATTTACATATCTCTGTTCTATATTTTATGATAGCTTCTAAAAGAAGAATTTGGGAAATTCAACGTTTATTAAATTCAGTACGCACTACATTACCAGAGATACCATATCCACAAACACTTGATGTCGTTACTAATAATACATTATTATCTATGCAATTTAATACAAACTATATTGATATAGCATGGAAAGGTATATTATAACCTGTATTCGTGTATGCTGTACTAAACATATTCATGTATTTAACAGCGAAAAGTTCACAATGTTTTGGAATTTTAGCAACTGCTTATCGAAATATACAAAATTCATTAACTTGGGTTAAACAATACAAAGAATATGCAGTTGGAGCGATAAGTCGATTAGAAACAGCAGTGAATGTAACAAAAAAATCGTTAGAAGCAGAACGAAAAAGAATTATGGATACTGTATTAGAAGGATATGTGGATCCATCTGCATCTTCAAGTACTGCTGCTGCACCGCATAATTTATTTGATACTCCAAATAATGACTTACCTCCTCCTGTTTACGAGGCCCCACCTTCTATGAATACTCGAGAAAATAGTCAACGTCAAGAGCAACATTCATTACCCATTATTCCTGATAATTTAACACCTATATCACGTTTATCTGAAGTGTCAATCAATACTATGGATGACGCCAATGGCTTATTGTCTACCACTAGTATATCAGCTAATAATAATAATAATAATATAACCGCACCGCCTCAGCCGATAACACCTGTAATTAATAGTGACAATGTACTTGCTAATAATAATAATAATAACACTCCTACATATATATCACATAATGTAAATAATCCATTTGTTCAATAAATTAATAATTACGCTAAGCTTAGAGTATTATGAATACTGTATTCTAAACCTTATAAATTTATTTATATATTTAATAAAAGATGTTTTTTTTTCCTTTTACACAAGAGAAGCATATGCTTGAAACGACTCTAACACAATAATAATAATATTATGTGCATCTTTCTCAGTAAATCACAAACAAGTCTGATTGAATTGAAGTGGTTTATGATAATTGTTGTATTCTTTCCTAGTTATGCTTGATAGAATAAAGTAAATCAATCCAAGTGATGTCTATGAGAGGATACACATTTAAGCGATAATAATTTTAATACATACTACTTGTGCATTATAATCTAACTCAATATAATTCGAAAAGACTTTGGTTTTAAAATTCTTAAACTTGGCTGTATTGTCGATATTATTCAAAAAAAAAAAAAATCCCCCGTATTGACATATTGTCTGTTCTTATCAATAATTGCATTTTAGTTGGACACATGTTGACGTGGCTTATCATGACTCACTTGAGGCACTCCTTACTATATTTAATATTATGTGCTGCACATATTCAGCACAGCCTTCACATACTTTATTGTATTTTTAGGTTTTTTTTTTTTTTTTTTTTTTTTTTTTTTTGTGGTAACTTATGACAATGTATAACATGCCCCAATATGACTTAAAATAGAATAGAATTTGTATAAGCTAGTGCACCCTGCTCGTTAGTTGTGATGCTAGTGTTACAAATCAAACTTAGCAATAGCCACTCAATTTTTTTTTTTTTTTTATAAAAAAAAAAAATATAAATTATGTCTTTTACTATAAACATATGTTTTATCTATATATAAATAAAAATTGCTGTAACCTCTAGTTTTATTGTTTATACTTGTTCAAAGAAAAAAGCTTCAATGTTATCTTTAAGATTAAAATAAAGTTCTATACTAAACAATTTATTTTTGGAAATACACGAACTTTTATTTTTATTTTTTTTTTTTTGGTAATACTTTATTCTAAGCCACGAATCATAAGAATGATAAATGTATATTATAGGATGCTTATATAATACACATAGATTGCTTTGTTTTTTTTTATCATCAAGTAGAAGCATATCCAATAACAGCACAAGCCAAACGAGCACCAGAGTTACCAGTTGTGTTAGATAATGGAGTGCCACCTAAGCCAAGATCATCTTTACCAGTATGAATAACAATACCACGACTACAAGAAAAAAAAAAAAAAGAGTGTGTGTGTGTAAGTAAATAAACTGGATATAGTATTTATCTATATAAGTACTTACCCAATAATAGAGTGTGGGCCAGATAAGCGAAGAGTAGAAATATTAAGATTAAGCATAGCTTGTCCTTCGGCGTTAGCGACAATATTACCAAAGTCACCAACATGTCTATTTTTACCGGTAGGGCCACCATGTGTCTTATTGAAAGGGTTATAATGGGCACCTAAAGAGGTACAGCCTAAATAGATATACATGTATATATTTATATATTGTAAAAATAAAAAAAAAATTTTAAATATATGTGTATATTATTATATATATATATATTTTCTTTTGGTTACCATCAGAAAGGTCGCCATATTGATGAACATGAATACCATGATCACCTTGAGGTAATCCAGAAATATTAGCAATTACTTCAGTAGGACCATTATGTTTATGCTGAATGAAAGTAACAGAACCACTAACACCAACAGAGGTATCATTCAAGTAAGCAATGGCTTTAATGGAAGTGTTACAAGCAGTGGCAACGAGTGCAGAAGCAAGAATAGCAAGAGCAGTAAATCGCATTATTTTATTTATAAACTGATATGAAGAAAGTAAAGAAATGAGAAGAAGAAAAATAAAGTATTTTTTTTTTTCGTTTTTAAATACATATTTATATATTTTTTGTGTTGTATTTAGCTTGTTTCTCTATACGTTTTCACTTATGACATAAGTGGCACAGGGGATTAAAAAAAAAACACACACACACACACATATAATAATCCCTGCCTATTATCTTCCTTCTTCCCTCCCGACCCTCAAACAATGTGTCAAATAAAGGGTAAATTATTACAACTTAATATGAATGGATCTTCTTTCTTTTCTGTTACTCGCACAAAATAATATTTTTTGTGTATTTAATCAGATAATAATTTGATGTGGAGATATAAAAAAAAAAAAATAGCTTGTATTTATAAACAAATAAAAATCTGATAAATAGTGTTGTGTCATTACAATTATTGAAGATAACATGTCACAAAATAATATCAAGACATGCACCTTTTATATATAGATAGATATATATTACTAATAAGTATTGTATTTGATATGCTTTTTTAGATTGGATCACACCAATTGTACACTGGTAAACAAGATAAATATTTACAATTTGGACATATCTATAAAAAATATATATACAAATATATATATAAAAAGGTTAGTCTGACATGTACAACAAGACGGAAATCAATTATAACATTTACTTTGCTCGGATCTTTGGCTGAGTAAAATTCACGAATAGATACAATATATAGAACTGCTACTATAGCTAAAGCCACTAATCTTAATATCCAAGTAACAATTTTTCTTCTTTTAGAAGCCAATGGCCGCATGGGCGCAATCATCATACCCATAGAAAGACCAACTGCAAATCCGCCTATAAAATAGATATATATATATATTTTAGTATCCTAATTTCATCTTTCATAGTTTATATTACCAATATGAGCAAAATTATCAAGACCGGGTAATAGACCAAGGGCAAGTGAAATAATGGTAGAGATGAATAAGCTTATCAAATCACGTACGGGATGCGGTAATAATTTCCAATTTACTAAAACATCAATAAACATGTATCCAATCAAACCAAATAAAGCACCTGAACAACCCATAGAGGCAGTTAAATTTGGGGAAAACATAGCTGATAGCACGAAGCCCCAAATACCTGAAGCCATATAGAGGACCATATAACGTACAGTACCCAATGATCTTTCTAAATCAACGCCAAGCCTTAGATGAGTAAGCATATTGATAAGATAATGAATAACGCCCGCATGTAAAAATATAGGTAAAACAAAACGAAAGCTTTGGTCAGGTGTATCACCATGACTAAAGCCATTAAAACCACATAATTGCTCTAACGTACAGGTATCACTCTGAAGTTTATAACAATTTCCGATAGTTGTTGTTGATGGAAAACTTGGTATAGATCGAATACATGGAGTAAATCGTGCGCCTATATTGACTAACACTTGAAAACTAGGACCTATCATTGGATTAAATGGATTTGTTTCGATTATTCTGCCTGTTAATTGATGATATCGTACGAATTCAAAAATTAAGGCACCAGCCATAGCCATAGCTGATATATAACTAAAATAAGCAGATCGAACAGGTCCAATAAAGAACCTTAAAAATAGATTTCGATTAGTATAAAGTTGATTTTGTTCTATTGATTGGGTTTGTATTAACGGATACTGTTGTCCTATCATAGGTTGTGAATCATGATATTGTTGAGTTGGAGGTGATGTTAATCCGATATTATTATTATTGTTGTTGTTGTTGTAGTAGTAATAAGGCTGCTGTCCAGTGTTAGGATAATAAGGCTGTTGTCCAGTGTTATAATAAGGTTGTTGTCCTGTATTATAATAAGGGGAAACTGCTGGTGCTGGTGTTGGTGCTGGTGAATAATATGCTTCATTATTAGTAGTAGGTATATTTATAGGTGGGGAATCGGCTGAATGCGCTTTTTGAAAACCATGTACATGACGTTGATGCATTTCATGTGAATCCCACTCATTTAAATGTTCTTGAAATGGAGTATTTGAAGATGGCATTGAGTTATTATTTAAAGATGGTGAGCTAACAAAATAAGATTGAGCATGAGTATCATCCGTATTTGTCTTATTTATCATTTATTATATAAAAGAAAAGTACTTTTTTTTTTTTTTATTTTATTAATACAAAAAAAAAAAAAAAGGAGGTTTGATGTATGATAATAATAATTCATACAATAGAGTTCTATTTTTGGAGTAATCTTAGTTTTAAATAATAAACACGTTTTTTTTTCTTTGTAAACTTATAAAACAGGTATATATCTGATAAGTGGTAGATGCTATTAAGAAAACATTGCGTGTATTGTATATTATCAGATCCATAGGCATGCGTGTATATAATTCGATATAAACTGTTATTGTAAATACAACAGAATTAAATACGCTTATCATCTAGAGTGCTTTGATTAACCATAAGATGCAGTTGAAAATTGATTACAGCTAAATATAATAGACTAACGTTACATATTTCAATGCATAATATGAATCCTTATGTAAGCATACATCATTAAGTCGTAGTAGTTTTTGTAAGTTTTCGTTTCTTTTAATTTCACTACATGTCTTTAACAAAGTTATTATTGCAACACTATTGAGACAATGCAAAAACAATGTTGAAACAGAAAAGATGATTCTGAAACAAATAAAATAGAAATCAATACTAAACGAAAGAGAGATTATTTTATTTTGTAAGAAAAAACACATTTTTCTTAAAGAGTCCTATTTCTACCATAAAGTTCATTCACCTAGGTTTAAAACAAACATGTCTTGTATCGTATTTCATTGTAAATTTTGTATGAAAATTGGTAATAATCAATATTCACCATTTAATAATAGAGAGTGTACTTTTCTTTTTTTTTTTTCTTTTTTATTGTTATTATTAAAATGTTCCTGTTCTAAAAGAAAAAAAAAATTTCCTGGAAACTATTTTGGTTTCAGATTTATAGAATCAGAAATGAAAAATAGAAAACACTACCAACTGAGATAAGGAGTAAAAACTAGTCTCATTTATTTTACATATTTTGTTTTACAATTTTTATTAAGGTGCTTACAATGATAGTATGCGTCAAATCAAGACCACCACAATGAAGCCCTATATAGGTCGCTATATCAAGCATAAGAAAAGAATCCTTTTCATTAAAACTATACCAGATTCCCTTTATTCAACATCTGCTTGTTTTATTTGATATCGTCACAAACAAATATATCAGAAATAGACTTTTTTTTTTCGTTATTTCTTAAAATTAATGTTATTAAGATAGCAATGAACACAAAAGTATTAAGAAGAAGCATGAGAGGTCATACTACTATCTCTAGAGTCTATAGGTGATATATATATTTCCTATTGATCTGTTCCCAAAGTAGCCCAAACCATGATTGAGATTCTATCGAAATAATTACTTTATAGTAAAGTATTTATCTCTAGCTATTAATTAAGCTTCAGAGAGAAACTATTCCTTATTTCTAATTATCCTTATAGCTTTTGAAGATGAAACATATTTAGAGCATTTTGGTATAAAATTATTGCAAAAGAGGATGAATATTCTATGGCTACACTAGTTTTAATGTGTCTACTAGGTCTTACATTAAAGATACCAAAGCTAAATTACAAAAAGTAAATATCAAACGACAAAAGGAAACATAAAACCAATTCTTTTATCAAAAAAAAAAAAGTAGAATTTTAATGTAAAGATAGTTGACGGTTCAAGTACATTTCTTATTAGAGTGATACTACAACTAATAAAGCCCAAAATATATGTAAAATACTGTGTATTCTACAGACACAGCTTTTTTTTTTTTATTTTATTTATTTATTTAAATTTAACTGAAGATATTCTGTTATTTCGACTATCATCATTCCTGCACACTATTTTATTGGTATAAGACTTGTACTATATTCATTTGAAAATAATACCACTCTAAGATATACTGTTCAACAATTTAACAAAAACACGAACAAAAGTATTAGGTCCTATATCTAATAAAAGTTAGACTAATGTAGTAACGTATCTAACAAGTTCGAAGTATTAGTCCATTGCGGATAATTTATATTGTTACATCATATCCTCTTAATATACATATTATCATTCGTTGAACGTAATATATATATACACATACTGGCACTCTGAAGAACTCAATGGTGGTTATTTAACTTGCTCTCTTGAGTGTCTTACACGACTAGTAGATATATCAATAGAGCCAAATATCTGAACCAATTAAAGATCCCTTATATTATCTTTTAAATACATTTTCTTTTTTGTTTTGTTTTGTTTCTTTTTACAGATGAGCAATGTCCCTACTCTAAATTGTATCCTTATCTTGGTCTGTGTTGTCCTTTATAGAACCTGATTGCTCCTTATACCATGAAAGTCTATTTAAAATGCCGTCACAACCCAGGCATTATTATCAATAAAAACTCCAATAAGAACTGCTTTTAATCATCTTTTCTTTCATTGATAATCCCAGCTTAAGAAGTACCTGATGTATTCAATGTTCCGTATCCAACTAGGATTTCTTTTAAAAAATAGTCATGTAAAATTGATCAAAGTATCAGTCAGCGGGAGTCATAATATTTTTAAAATTAAAAATAAATCTGTTTCACAAAGTGGTCGTTTCTTTTCCACATCAAAGATGGTACATCCTTTAGACGACCAAACAGTCGAATCCTTTTCTATTCCAGGAGCTAAGGTTTTTGACAGATATTTTGACTGTCCTTTAGGTATTCGTTTTTTTTTCTTTTCTTTCTCTTTGTTTGAGCAATATTACTATTTTTTTTTGAAATTTATGTTATTAATAGTATACATTTGTAGATTATTCAAATGAGACAACAAGCCCTAAAATTAAGGTCTTTGTTCGACATCTAATTCCAGTTGACAAAGTCTCATCCATGAAAAAATTGCCTTTTTTCCTTTACCTTCAGGTAAAATTATTATATTATGAAAGTAATATTAAAACACTTATTTTTTTTTTAAAAAAAAGGGTGGTCCTGGTTTTGAATGCGCTTTACCAGGAAATGGTACATCAGGCTGGATTAAAGTTGCTTTTGAAAAGGGTTATCAGGTTCTTTTACTTGACCAACGGGGCACAGGATTTTCATCTCAAGTTTCTTCTGAATCACTTGATAAATTATTCAAGACAGATGAAGAAAAAGCAGATTATTTGTCCCATTTCCGTGCCGATAGTATTGTAAGAGATTGCGAAACCATTCGTAAGCAATTAACAGCTGGTAGATCTGGTACAAATGAAGAAGAAACTCGTATTACTTTACTAGGCCAAAGTTTTGGAGGCTTCTGTATTACAACTTATCTTTCTTTATTGTAAGTTAATGACTATTCATTTGAAGATTACCTAACTTTTTTTTTTTTTCCTTTAAAAAAAAACAGTCCAAAGTCTATTCAGAATGCATACATTACAGGTGGAATTCCTCCATTAGTTAATAATCCAGATGAAGTATATAGAGCTTTATATCCTCGTATATTAAAAAAGAACAAACTTTATTACAAAAAATTTTCTCGAGATATGACACGAGTTCGCCAAATTCATGCATATTTAACAAGCAACAAAGTCACTTTACCCAACGGCGGAAATCTGTCTTCTCGTCGTTTTCTTCAATTAGGTTTATTATTTGGTGGTGCGGGTGGATATGATACAGTTCATGGGATTGTACAAGCTGCTGCAAATGATCTTGATCGTTTAGGAAAATTAAGCTATCGTACACTAAACAGGATTCAAGAAGTCCAAAGCTGGGATACAAATGTTATCTATGCTATTTTACATGAGGCAATCTATTGTCAGTCAAATCAATCCAGTCGCTGGTCTGCTGAACGCTTATTAAGTGAGGAACCATTTGCTACGGATTTTGAATGGCGTTTACAGAACTTGAAGGAAGATCAGCCTGTTTACTTTACTGGAGAAACAATTTATCCATTCATGTTTGATGACTTTGCCGAATTGAGACCACTCAAAAAGGTTGCAAACTTATTAGCTGATAAAAGTTGGGGGCAACTTTATGACACTCAAGTCTTGAATAAGGTTGAAAATATCCAAGTTGCAGGTGTTAGTTATTACGATGATATGTAAATATTAGATTAGAGAAACAATTCAAGCGTAGGGTTTGTTTGCTTTAACTCTTTTTTTTTCTAATTTAGGTACGTTGACCTTAAATTGTCAGAAAAGACAGCTAGTGAAATTAATGGTTTTGAACAATGGATTACAAATGAATATGCTCACAAGTAAATTTTTTATTTCAAGTATATATTTATTATTGTATTTTATTTATATTATTTATACATAGTGGTCTCCGGGTGGATGGTGAAAGGATTTTAGCTTACTTGATGAAACTTGCTAGAGGAGATGAAGCTTATAATCGTTAGTATTTTACTATTCAATCTTTTTAGAGATTACACAAGTTTCTTTACATGTACTTTTTTAAATTAACTTTTAAACTGATGATGACATGCTCAATAAGATAACATCTTTTTTTTTGAAAATAAAGGACTCTGCTCTCAATTTGAAAAATAAAATAAAATAAAAAAATAAAGGCGGCTTATTGCTATTAGTAAAGATACTTTCATTACATTATTTCGCACTAGATAAATGAGTGGTATATGTTCATTCTTTTTTCTTTTTTTACCATTCGCAGATATAATTGTAAGCTCTATTGAACGTAAAAGAAGAGTAATACTACACAAATACATTGATACAAGAATAACAATTCTAAATTCAGATATTATTTAACTATGCCATCTGATGAACTCATTATTGTCTTGAGCAATGTTTTCAACTGATGATGTTCTTCTGTCTTGAAGCATTAATTCGACTTGCAAAGATTTTTTTTTTTAAATATTGTATAATTTTGAAACTTTTTTTTTACATATTCTGAAACGAGTTCTTTTACATTATATTCTTTTATATCTTATTTAATACAGGTAATCTTGATGTGTCAAATAGCATCTATTTTTGTGCTCATCACTAGAATAAAAAAAATCATATTTGACCAAGTTAACATAATTTAATCGTACATTTATTTATTTATTTTAAAAAAAAAATCCGCGTTATTTATTGAACCCGCCATTTTGAAGCCCTTTTTTTCCCCCCTTTTTCCTATTGAATGCATCTAACCATCTTTCATGACCAATCCATCAATATTGCAAGAACGTAGTATTGTCGTTATATGTGAACATGTATCGAATTACTGTGAACAATATATAAATTCTGCTACCAATCTTTCTCCTCATTATTTGAGATCATTTCATTCCTTTTTACCTGATTTTCTTGTACATGTATTTGGTTCACCAACTACTAGGTAAACGTAGTAAACTGCCTACTATTTTATACATCTAGAAAATAATAATAAATAAACTTAATTCGATTAAAAATATTTAGAGGTTGGATACAAACCGAAATACAGCCAGTCCAAGAGGAAGCTATTAAAAAGTTACTTTCTATTAATGGCCCTTTCTTTCAAGCTTTATTAAAACTAAGTTTGTACCCTGAATATTCTTATATTCTTGTGCAAGAAAGTTTACCAGTAAGTGTAAATCCTAATTATAATAGATACCATACCATATCCTATCTCATAGACTGACATAAATTATAGGTTGATATACGACAGATACTTTCAACAGGAGCTATTCATCTTTTGCCACCCGTATATAAAGATTGTACAGATATAGGCACTTCTGCAACGACACCCACAAATCCATTAGACATAAAAGCCGCAGCAACACGACAGTCTACACTCATATCTTCAAATGTTGGAGGAAATAGGAAAATTAAGCTGAATATACTTCAGTTTTATTTGTATTACTTTGTAAGTGTTCCTACATGGCCACCTTTATCCCCTCCCTCTCCTTCATTCCCTTCTACTTCTTCTCAGCCTACATTTACAACTTCATTTACAAATTTTACAAAAGGTGGAACGACAACGACAACGACAACGACAGCAACAAATACAACAGTAAACAACTCAAAGATGTATTCCTATGGGACCATCAGTAATACTTCATCCACCCTAAATTCTTCGCTCTCTTCTAATAACACAAACACAAATCCACCCCATTTAATACCAGGCAAACTAAGAACAATGATATATAGTGTATATGACAGTGTGCTAGAGGAGTATTTGACTCAACTTATCCCTATTGGCACAAGTAACTCATTCCCTAACATTGTAAATACATTCCTCTTTGATGCGTGTATGGAACTTTGGATTCGTACAACATGGGTTTCTTCAGGTCAACGACTTAGTAATGAGATTATGCATTATATCACAACCTTTGTAAAATACATTGTTAAACATAACCTTCGTGATTGTGTTTTAAATGAAAGATCATTATTTTATCAAGTCTACTCAACTCTTAGGGACGAATTATATACTCTTATATCTCGATTAGCATTAAATTGGTGTAAACAAGATGATTATTTACAAGTGGTTGAATTGTGGTCTATATGGGCTGCACCATGGAGATTTGGTGCTACTCCACGCAGTTCAGAGAAGCAAGATTACACGCCTATCTTACATGGATGGTCACCTTTTATATTAGATAATATTTTATATTATACTTCATTGGTTAATATTCTCTTACAACGTACTAGTACATTTCCATACAAAGACAATTCAATACAACAGCAGCAGCAACAACAACAACAGAAGACATATACGTCGGGATATAATGATGGAGGTACAATGGGTGGGCATTTGCGAATTTTGTATAGAATCATTAATGTGATTAAGGCACGAGAACTTGTTGAACTTTTGGCCTCTATTGAAAAAGGATTAGAAAAGTTTCAAACAGGATCAGTAGGCATAATGACTGGATCACCTTTGTCAAACAAGCCATTTAAACGTTTATCATTAATAGCTTATGGAACTGATAAGTTTGATTCTGTGATTGAAGAAAAATTAAAAAGGGCATATGATATGCTAGTATTACTGGAAGGTCAGACAGGAGGTATTTGGAAGCCAAAGGGTTTATATACGAACGATATCCAACCTCGTTCTGAGGCACTTTTAAAGACATTAAATGCTATTTATAATGCTATTCTGGTGCGCGAGGGTAAAAATTTGAACATTGTCAATTCGCAAAAAGCAGCTGAACAATTAAATCAGTTAAAAGAAGTTTACAGGATTTTAACTACACTTTTTAATGTATAGTAATCGTATTTTTTTTTGTATTCTGTATACAAAGATATCAATTAGTAATGCATTTATTTAATAATATTCTTACAGGTAACGGATACAAGTCATTTAGTACTAAATACATCAACCACACACACTTCACAGCCAAAGTCAATAACGCCAACCACAAATACATCAACAGCTGAATATAAACAAAAGTTAGCAGGCCTAAGTAATGGAGGATTCTTGACAGAAAAAGAGATTGAACTTGTTCGACAAGGAAAAATGATATGTGCTGAAGATAATGTTCCTACTGTAGGAAATCGTTCACAGAATATCGCTCGTTCTTATGAACTTTCTATTCTTGTACATTGGACACTGTTGATTGATCAGAAACTTAACTTTTATGTAAGTCAATTTAGAGAACCTTTAATTTAATATTAGCTAATGAAAAAAAAAGTATAATAATCTATTATCAGAAAATATCAGACCCAGCTTTTTACCTAAACGATTAACGACTAGACCACTTGCTAATCCAGTAGATATAATATACATAGTGATACTATTGTATATATTCTGGAGTTTTATCAGATTTGTCTTTTAAGGGTTTACATCTATATTCATATATAAAAGAAAAAGAGTTTGCAAGCATTCATGGTTTACCTTATAGAATATTACACACTGTAAATATTATATAATAATAATATTATTATTATTATTTTTTTTCTTTCTTTCTTTCTAATTAATGTATATGCGTATTTGTAATTAAAGTATGTTATTATCAATTTCTATAATTCTTGCTCTGTATATTTGTTTTGAATATCATTTGTTTGAAAATTAACTATGATTTTCTCTTAATTTTCAGACATAGATTACCTCTGTTTCACTTATAACAGGAGGAACCAGTAATAGAGTATATATTAATATGAATAAGGACAATGCTCAAGATAATACCACACCTACATCTGAAGGTACAACAACTACTCACTTACTTTACAAAAATTCATTCATGGTCTGCTTGAATAGTCATGGATCCTAAAGGAAAACTACTTGGTGATCGATATATCGTACCATCCCATAAATCAAGATCAATGATCAGGAAGATTGAAAAGTCGCGATTATAAGAGTAATGTATCCCTCCCTTATTAGCCTGAAAATAAATTTAATGGGTCAGTTCTGGGCAACTATAAAAGGAAGATTGAAGCATCACAAATCATTCATTATTATAATAAAACCTCATTTTAAATATTCTAACTGTCTAAAAAAGAAAAAGAAAAAGAAAAAGCAAAAGAAAAAGGAAAAAAGGCAGTATATTAATCGTAAACTTATAAAAATGATACAATAATTCTTTCGACATTGGCAAATATATATATATACATGTATTTTTTTTTAAAAAAGGACAGTTCAATTTTACTTGGCAAAGTGGCATTTATAGTATTCCTACTTTAATTCCAATCCTACACCTTAAAAATACCACCTCTACAATAATGAATTGCCCAATGAAGATTTCTTCCCGTACCTCCGTGTTCCTATTAAATCTGGTGCTGTCGTACATAAATCAGCACTTTTACAACAAAACATTAATAAAGCACTTGGAGCGATGAGATAGCTTATTACCCTTGGTGTAAATAAAAATGATTTTGACTACCTTCTTTCAGCTTGTTTTTACGCCCAAATAGTTCGACCACAATTAGAATATGGATTAGCAATCACAACCTTCAACCTACGGGAAATCTGCTCTCTAGAAAACTGCCAAAATCAATGTATGCGTCAAATTTTTGGGTGGGCGGCCTTTCACCTCAACCAAAGTAATGTTACACCTAACAAATTTACCTAGCATGAAAGATCATATTTCAATACTCCAAGTACGATTTCTTTTTAAATCCTCCTTTCTACCAAACGATGTATTATTGACGAAATTGCTACCATACATATAGTCTCAAACTAAATCAAAATGGTCCCAACTATCCAAATCTCCTCTATGAATATCAGTTTACAATGAAAATCTTAATACTACGTCTCAAAGATTTTAGTAGAAAACGAAGACGATTCCTGCTTGACAGCTACCGCTCAAAACTACAAGAAAAATATTCAAAACTTTTATCTCATTGCCATAATAATCTAATTGTCGACCCTATTCTCACGATACCAATGACAAGAAGTGAACGGTTTCGTTGCGTGCGATGGTGACTTGGTTGGTTACCTCTTGGTAAACCTCCCCAAGCCTGCCCCTTCCATCCAAATGAACTCTTTACACGCTCACATAATTTTTCTTGTTTGCATATGCATAACCGCCTTCAGATGCCCCAAATCGATTGAAGATCCACTCACTCTCTTATCTCTTGAACCTCCTATTACCATCAACATTCCTTAATAAGAAAGTGAGAAAATCAATTGATGCCCGGCTCATACGCTGGCCTTCTATATGTGCAATTCTGCTTGGAGATGGACTATCTAGCTTCACTCCCAAATCCTCGAACCCACTGACCATCATCTTCTTTCAATACAACAACGATTTTCTGATAGTTAATTGTCATCACTTATACATATACTTTAACATTTTCCCTTTTATCTCAAAAGGGGTTTTCTTTCCTTTTTTTCATAGCGATCTGACCTGGGCAAAACAGCATATAAAAGTAATGTGTTCATTGGTCATTTTTTTAATTTTTAAATAAAATTCTTTAATCGTATTTTTTAGTAACGGACATTTAATTTTCGCAGTGACATTATTTACTGTTCTCATTAAAACTAAAATCTGCGCTTATAAAAAAAAAATTTGACATTATTGGCCTTTCTTAGGTTGCTTTTTTTTTTTTTTTCGTTCTCTTTTTTTTTTTTTTTTTTGTAAAATAATTTGATGAACTCTCAAGAAATTCCTGATCCAGTCCAAGATTTTAAAGCTTTCCAAAGTTCACTATTTAAATCATTAGTTTCAGCTACTGCAGCTGTAAACAGCATTCCTGTCGAGGAAGTTGGTTTTTTTAGATCACTTGATAGAGGTTTTGCCAAAGATCTTGAGCAAGCTGGATCTAATTCTTTATCTATTGGTAATGCTTTATTACAACAATGTGCTATCGACTGTGGTCTTTTAGTCAAAAGCTTTGAAGATACGGACGATGTTGTTGAACGATATGGATCAGTCACTGATGTTTGCGATAGTTTATTAGAGAAAGCTGTGAGTTTGATTACTATAGATTTCAAAAAAAAAAACTAATGGAGAAATTCATTTGAATCATATTTCTAGGATATATGCTTGGATCAACTTGGTGGTAAAATAAAACAAGATGATTTTAAACAAGCCACTCCTGAAGTAACTCAAATTGCAACAAAAGTAAGAAAATGAGTCCTTTTTTTATGTTTTTTATCTCTTTTTTTTTTATCTTTTTAACTTATTTAACATGAATATAGGATAAACTGGATTATAAATTTTTACATGCTAATAATGTTATACGTCCTCAGATGAAATTCAAAGATAAAATCGATAATTCGAATACAACACCATTTCAAAGAAAAATTAAATACAAGCCTCATGCTCTTGTTCCTCTTGATTTTACTGTAACATCTGAAGATAAATCACTTCCTCATCCGTATGCATATGAAATCAATAATATTGAATATCCTGAACGTATGTTTCAAGTTCAAGAACCTGAAATGTATAAAGCTTACGATACCACCTCAGCTACCTGGGTTAATACAGAAGAAGGGTTAATAGAAATGATGAAAGACTTTGAAGGAGTTGAGGAATTGGCAGTTGATTTAGAACATCATAATTATCGTAGCTATCAGGGCTTTACATGTCTCATGCAAATTAGTACTCGTGATAAAGATTTTATTATTGACACATTAGAGCTCAGAGATAAATTATGGATGTTGAACGAATATTTTGCTGATCCCAATATTACGAAGGTACTTCATGGTGCTGAGTCAGATATTATATGGCTTCAACGTGATTTTGGACTTTATATTGTGAACTTATTTGATACTTACTTCCCAACTAAAGTACTTGATTTCCCTCATCACGGTCTTGCCTATCTCTTAAAGAAATATTGTAATTATGACGCTGATAAAAAATACCAATTGGCTGACTGGAGAATTAGACCTTTACCTGAAGAAATGTTGAATTATGCTCGTTCTGATACGCACTTTCTTCTTTACATTTATGATTGTCTTCGTAATGAACTGGTAAATAAATCTACCTCTGAGGATGGTAATCTTGTTCGTTTCTGTCTTCAAAAATCAAACGAAGTAGCACTTCAAAAGTATGACAAGGAAGTATATGATCATCTTCACGGTCTTGGACCTAATGGTTGGAAGAATATGTTATCGAAATGGAAATATGCTATCAATCCCCAACAATTAGCTGTCTTTAAGGCTCTTCATAGTTGGAGAGATCATACAGCAAGAGAAGAAGATGAATCTTGTCGATATGTTTTACCTAATCATATGCTTATGGCTTTAGTTGAACGTATGCCTACTGACTCTAGTGGCGTTATTGGCTGTTGTAATCCTTGTCCTACTTTAGTGCGTATGAATGCACAAGAGATTAGTTACATCATTCAAAAGGCAAAGATGGAAGCCTTATTAGCTCCTAAAGAAAATGCTTTCAATGAAGAAGCTAAACCTGTTACTGTAGAAGTCAAATCAACACATGGCAATAATAATGGTACAATTACAACAACTATGAAAGTACAACAAATTAGAAAGAAACGACCTCATCTTGATTCTGATGTATTTGATTTAAAGAAAGCCAAGAAGCTTAGAACAGAAATAGCTTCAAAATTAGAGAAGGAGACTTCTGCATTATTTGGTTCCTGTTTTTGATAAAATAATATAGCGACCATTTTTTTTCTTTTTTGTTTTTTTTTTTTACAAAGTAGAAAGAATGAAAGAAAAGAAAAGAAAAAACATGTAAATAGAATGCCTTGTTTATAGACTCTATTCTTTAAATTGAGGTGGCTTTGCACTGTTTAATAAAATAAATAAATACAAATGAATACATAATACAAATGAATATTATATATCTGTATACATATATATTTTTTTTTATAAAAATAATAAGTATCTACATTCATAAGTTATAGGTAAGATGATTAAATTATTTTACTTTCCTTCTTCTTCTTTATTGATGTATAAAATGTTCATATCTTTAGTTATCATTTTATACCAAATTTATCAAGTCAATTAACTTTATATCGTTAGTTGTTGTTTGAATAACTCAAGAATCTAAAATCTATAGTATTATACCACTATAGTATTACAATTCTTTGACGCGGTAGGTTTTGTTTGGATGCAAAAAAAATAAAATAAATAATAATAACAGATGAGCAGTTTAACTTTGGAAGAATGACTACTGTCATTTAGTTATCAGTTATTCAAATGAAGTTTTATATTATATATAACATAAGAGAATGTGCATAACAATGTCGAAATTCTCATTGCTAGGATCTAAATTGTAAGGACTCAATGACTTGTGTCTACTTAATGTCATTAAGCTCTCGGTGTTGAAAGAGTCATATTCTTCATCAATGTCCATTGCTTTATTTTTCTATCTTCATCGTAGACGGTGCCTTGTCCATTTTCATAAAAAAAAAAAAAAAAAAGGTTTATTTTATTTAAATCAAGTGAATAGAGTTGCGTGCAAGACGGAAAATAAAATCTCAATGAACGGTTTTTGATTTGCCAACGGGCGGTACCTTTATTCCCAAAGAACGGTTCTTTTTCCCATCCGCTGAATAGAGTAGAAATAATAACAGTTCCATCCTTTACGCACACAGCAGCAAACTTAATTAAATAATTAAATCTGCAACATTATATAATGGTGAGTTGAATTAAATGATTAATCTGAAACGATGATTATATTAAAAATATGTTAATTATATTCATCAAGTTATTGTTATACAATGTGGTTGTTCATGATATAATATGACTTAGTTCATTAAACTTTGCTGCATTAGTGACAAAGAGTTTATTATTGAGTTCTCTATAAAATATTATATTAACAATTTCAATTAACAAGGGTTTCTGAAATCCTTAAAACCGTATAATAGAAAACTTGATTTTGGCACCAACACAAGATAGAGGTGGCATTGTAATATTAAAAATTTAGATAGTATTTCATACAAGAGTCGTAGTAACTTTTGAAATGAGATTTTTTTTTCATTTTCTTTGATTTTTATAAAAAAATGTCCCCTAGAAAATTAAGGGACAAAACCTCCTAGAAAATTAAGAGGGTGCCCCTAGAAAATTAAGAGACTTTGATGCTCCTAGAAAATTAAGAGACTTTGGTGCTCCTAGAAAATTAAGAGACTTTTTTTATGCTCCTAGAAAATTAAGAGCAATAATTGAAAAAGAAAGAGAAAAAGAAAAGAAAATTATTAAAAAAAACAAATCGTAACTATTCATAGTTTTTCAAAAAAAAAAAAAAAACGTGACTCGTTCTTTTAAAATTATGTAGCAGTCATTTTCAAAACGTGGCATTGTAGAGAATTAGCGAATCAACACTATTTCCGGAAATTATTCATTCATAAAAAAAGTGTAATTTTATGAACTTATTAATTATAATCGTTTTTTTTTAATGTTTCAACTCTTGCTAAAAAGGAATTAGAACATTTAGAAAATGTTTAGATGATGTACACAGAACATTTATCAGATTTAACAGCGTAGATTCTGGTTCTTCTAGAATAGTTGCTACGAACAAAAAAAAAAAAAAAAAAAAAAAAAGACGTCAAGCGTCCTTTTGAGAGATGGCATTGAAGAAATGGAGTAAGTTGATTAAAAGTTGATCCTTCAAGCTGAAAAACTCATAAAACATTCTTATTAAATTAGAGGAAGTACAAGGTAACAAAAATCAAACTAAAGTGCTTTGGAACGTTGTCTTTGATACTATTAAGGACCCTCTTCAGCAAGATAACTAACAGGAAGTACAATGATGAACAGATAGATCTTTTCATTGATTTACTTGCTACAGGATCAGATGTCTAAATCCGCCTGTATGACTACAGGCATTAGTCAATCATCTGAATACAAACATAGAAAAACTTATAGAGAGAATCCTGAAAGGAGTCCCGTTCGCTATAGTTTTTTATGCGAACATTCAATTCTTACAGTGTCTCTTCTTCCCCTTCTGGCTCTTTTTCTATATCTTTTGCACCGCTAGTGAGCCCCAGCTCATCGACTAATTCCTCATCACACTCTATTGACGTGTCCACATCCTCAATTGTGGGTTTATTATACGTCTATTATAGGCTAACATAAACCTCTTCAAGGGACATCTTCTTCATCAGTACGACAATAGTCATTTTGTAGCTTGGGGAAATTACGAACTACAGTTTTTCCACTTGATATTGAGACAAATCAAAATGATATTAAAAGAAAAAATTTAAGAGGTGTTGCTTAGCATAAATTGAGTTCTTTTGCAGGGCAACCATCTGAAGATGTCTCTGTATGTCTCTGCTCCATTCTTGACAGTCTTTAGCAGCAATTCTTTTTTTTTTGGCAAGCAGTACTAATTATTGGAATTAATGTACCCATTGTCGTCTAAAGTTAGAAATGAAAACAAATTCTTCAGGGTTTTTTTTTTACATGAAAAGAATATTAAGCAAAGTGGAAGAAAAAAGAGTTTATTTGATTCATTTTAGTTGTGGTATATGAAAGTAGACCTTTAGTATAAGAAGGGGCATTTGAACTATTTTATTAGTGGCATTATTATTATTTGTAGTGAGGGAAATAGGATATTTTACCGTACTATTACCATTCGTTCTTAATCTTATTTCGATAATAATTTTTTTTTTTTTTGTAAATTTTTTATTTAAGAAATTACTATATCCAATCAGTCAAGGCAAGTTCAAGACTGTTGCAAGTCCTTAAGCTGTAGCAATAAACTGATCTTCTTTTTTTTCATTTGAATCCTCAGTTCATCTTGTTCAATTTCTCGTTTCTTAGCCAATTTTAATTCTTCTTCTTTGACTTCTTTAATTTTTTGTAATTCCTGTTCATATAATTCCACCACTGAATACTGCTCATTAGCAGTAGTGGTAATGGCTGCTGTTGTACTTGTACTTGTAGATGGTGTATATGCGTTATTGTTATTTGTACTATAATTTTCGGCAGCTGTAGTAATGTTAGTGCAGCGACACCAAGTAGAAACACGATTCAAAGTAGTTTGAATGGTATCACAGCTCTATCCTCAATATTAGTCAGTGTTCTGTTTATCAATAAATTGCACATCTTACTTACATATTATGCAACAGGCTGATCTTTAAATATAGCAGGCTTAACGAACAAGGGAGACAAAGATCGGCATAATGTACATTTTTTTTTTATTATAATAATAAAAGAAAGTTGCTGCATTCTGTTTGGTTTTAAATTTTGGAAGACAAAAGCTAAAAAGAAAATTATAAATGAAACTTATTTTATACTACAAATATTGAGACAGCACTTACCCAGCCACTTTTTGACTTTTTATAATACTAATAGGCTTTACAAAGGAGCATTTCTTCATAATTTCCATAATATCATTTGCAGTCTTTCCTTTGATTGTTGTTTTCTAATTCTTCAGTTGACATTTTTAAATTATTGGTTTTTGTGTATGTGTTTTTTTTTAAGAAAAAAAGGAAAGAATGCGTTGAGTCCACCTTGTCATGATTGTAAAATTTATAACTTAATTCAATAAGATAAATAGTCAAAATAGAACATATAGTGCACTTTTATAATAATTCTGTCTATAGACATATTAAGAATATTTTTACTCTTGTGTAAAAAAAATGACAACATTTTAAAATTTATCTTGTTCAGCTGAATATAAATTTATAAGATAAACTGGGGTAATACAAGTACGCGTAATATCTGATTCCACTCAGAGTTATAAAAATAAATAGATGGAGATATATCTATGATCATTCTCTTCCATGATTACGTCATGAAATACAATTTGTTATATTATTACTCATCATCCTTAACCACAAAATATATAAATGCTCTTACGTAATTAATCATTTTTTTTTTATGTTTACCATAATAAAACTTATTGGCAACTCTCAACGTACTTCTTCTGTCTGTTTTCTTTTTATTTCTCTTTTTATTCTTTTCTTTTTATTAATATTTTATTATATTCGTACATGTGAACCACGATACACCTAGGAGTCCACAAACGAAAAAGTTGGAAATAAAGATACCGTTCATTGACAAATCAAAAACCGTTCTTTGAGATTTTATTCTCCGCCATGCATGCAACTCTATTCACTTGATTTAAATAAAATAAACTTACTTTTTCTTTTTTTTATGAAAATGGACAAGGTACCGTCTACGATGAAGATGGAAAAATAGAGCAATGGACATTGATGAAGAATATGTCCCTTTCAACACCGAGAGCTTAATGACATTAAGTAGATACAAGTCATTGAGTCCTTATAATTTAGATCCTAGCAATGAGAATTTCGACATTGTTATGCATGACTTGGAGGCAAAAAAAAAAAAAAAAAATACGTTAGGAACAATCAGCCAAAAAGTACAATGTCTATACTGCTGACGATCAAACATCATTTGTATACTTCAGAAAAATAAAGCTTTTGAGTGCAGCTGTGGCAGGTAGAGGTAGCTGGTATTGTTGAACGTACCGCTCAAACTTGGACTACGAGACTGGACAATGATCCTATATTGGGATATATTTGGGAAGGAAACCAAGAAGATCAACCGACCTAAGGCGCAACTACGAGAAGAGAACAAGCATCGTTCATTAGAGTTCTTTGATGAATACACTCAAGCTACAAGAAATGATGCCATGGACAGTTTAACAGAAAAAGAAAAATTTGAAGGGCTAAATATAAAAGGATTCTCTTTTGGTAGTTTTATACTGCATGAGTGCAACTTGACTGTTAAAACAGTTACTCGTCATCCAGCTGCAAAGAAATAATGACAATAATTTTCGATTAGACGCCTACGCCTACGCCTAAAGTGGGTGGAAAAAATGGAGTAAAATGGATATCGACTTCTTAAGTAGTTGCGCTTCTGTTGATGACATTAATAAGAAAAGTTCTTATGCACGTTCAGCTCGAGGTACATCGGCAACAACCATTAAAGCAATTTATCCACACTGGTTTAGGAGCTAACACATACTCCATTGGATCGTAAACTTTTTTTCTCCTTCTTCATTAAGAAATGTTTTCATGTTCATCTTTATAAAAGAAAAAGGTATTCATCATTATGTTATATTTTTATTAGGAAGAGAGAGAGAGAGAGACAAATACAGGTGCAGAAGATATGCGACAATTTGGTGCAATCTTCCTGCCAATTTTAGTTAGCCAGTCCTGACACTTGTTTTTAACCAAAGTGACAAAAACAATTTAAACTCATGATCCAACATTTATTTTTGTCTTCGTTATTTTTTTTTTAGAAAACGCTAAATTGCATAAGTTTGACTGTGTATGCTATAATTTTAAAAGAATTAGTTTGTTTGGTTGCTTGTTTTTGAGACATAATAAAACTTGTTTTTTTTTCTTTTAAATCTTACAGTCACTTTACGCCTTGTACAGATGCATATGTAGTAGAAGATTGATAATTTAATTTGGGGGGGGGTACAGCAGCATCTTTGAATTTATATTATAAATTTTTCTCAAGAAGATCTGATTTAAAGCAGTATACTGATTCATATTAGTCATAAGATTCTTATTTCCTTTAGACTAAATATTTTTTTTTTTGGTGAAACAAAGTATCCATTGAATAAAGTAGTAGTCGTATATAACTTTCGTGAAACATCTTTAATATCAAAAGTATTTATTACTTGACCCCCTCTCCTCCTTTATGTACATCTGTTATCATTCAAGGTAGATAGTAACAGATTCTATTATTTGTTGAGATAGTGAAGTATGAAAATAAATTTACTATAAATGGTATATTTTACTTCCCCCACACAAACATAAAAGGAAATTTAATCGGCCCTTTTTTTTCTTTTTTTTTTTTTTTTTTTTTTTTTTTTTTTTTTTTTTTCATTGAAAATGTACATTCTAAAGAGTTTGCTTCAAAATAGATGGAATTGACTTTTTTTTTAAGTTATTTTCTTCTTCTGTCTATTACATAAATAGGTTGTGAAATTTCATGTAATTTTGATTCAATGAAATAAACAGGCTATACATATATTTCCTGCTACTACTGTCTATAATTGGCTATATTTTCTAAAATTACATAATCTCACATCAATCATATGTACACAGTGGTGACACAATGAGCATACAATGATCTGCTAAAATAAGTCTTCTTTGATCTATAAAGTTTAATAACGGGTTTTAAACAAATCATTATTTTCCTTTTATGCATCCAAGCTACCTTTATGCTTTTCTTCAAACATAAATTACTAATGTGGAAAAAAAAAGGAAGAAGATAGAACAGGGAGTAACAATAAAAGATGTGCATATATTTTTGCATAAGCTTTTATTTATTATAAATTCCTTTTCTTTACACATTTCTCTTAAAAAAAAATTAAAAAAAATAGATGATTATGTCACATAAAACATACACAATGATAAATAAACTTGTACTTATTAGCTTCTCGGTACAAACCGAGTTATTTAAATAAACGTATACAAATTTAAGTGTGGGGAAAATTGAATACATGCTAGATTGATGCACAAGCCTATAACCTAATACAAATAAGAACTTTTTTTTTTTTTTTCTAATTTTTATAAATTTGAGGATCAGCAAAGTGATTTGCATTTCGTGTTTTCTTTTTTTTTTTTCATTTTAATATATATTTATTTTAAAAAGAAAAAATACTAATAATGCCAGATCAGGTAGAAGAAAAATCAAATAATAAAGGTGAAATCGAGCAAGTTGAAGCAGTTCAGTCGAATGAACAACGACGAGATGATTCGATTTTTGAAGAATTTTCAGAAAAGGAAGAAAATAAAAAAAAGAATATATTTATTCGATTTAAAGAGTCAATATATTCTAAACCTGAAAAAAGAGAAAATGCATGGAAACTATTAACAAATCTTACTAATACTCAAAGAATAACATTCGCTGCGGGTAAATATTTATATATATATATATATATATATAATACATGCACTGTTTATGTTTATATATTTTCTTTATAATAGCTTTCTTTGGCTGGACTTTAGACGCCTTTGATTTTTTTTCCGTTTCTTTATCAGCGACAAGAATAGGTATTTACCTTTGTTTTATGATCTCTAGACTGTATATACTCATCACATATAACTTTTCCTATTTTAAGCTGAAACTTATGGTGTTCAGCCATCTGATGTAACAAGTAAGTCAAATTTAGAATCATGTTTACATAGTTATTTATTCTAAATTGGCTAATTTTTTTTTTTATTTATCCAAAATAGGTGCAATTACTACTACTTTGGTATAAATAATCTAAAATACTACATAAATTATTTTCTCACTATTATTTTTAACTTTAGATGTTGCGTCCTATTGGTGCTTTAATTTTCGGGTAAGCTTTTTCTTTTCTTTTTGCAGTATCTTGAAGAATTTAATTTAATTTAATTTAATCAAAATTGATAATAGTGCTTTGGCCGATAAATTTGGACGTCGTTGGCCGCTTATGATTGATATAGTTTTATTTTCTGTTATTAATATGGCAAGTGGTTTTGCACCCAATCTTCAGACTTTTATTGGGCTCCGAGCTATTTTCGGTATTGCTATGGGTGGTGAATGGGTAATAATAATATAAGATAGAGAATATATTAAAGATTTTTAAAACAAATTTTCTCTTTTCTATTCTTTATATGTATATATATTTATATATATAGGGCTTAGGTGCTAGTTTAGCCTTGGAATCATTACCGATCGAAGCTCGAGGCTTATTTTCGGGAATTTATCAACAAGGATATGCATGTGGGTATCTTTTAGCGACATTAGTGAATTATGCTGTTGTTCAAACAAATTCATCTTGGCGTATTCTCTTTTGGGTGGGTGCTGCCTTTGCAATATTGGCTATCGTCATTCGAATTTGGGTCCCTGAGTCTGATACGTTTGAGAAACAAAAGGAAGCACGAAAAATTCTTGGACGTTCTTTATTAACCGAAATAAAATTGGCTTTAAAGCATCATTGGTTACGCTTAATTTACATGGTTATCTTGATGGCCTTTATGAATTTCTTTTCTCATGGTTCTCAAGATCTTTATCCCACCTTTTTAACTACTCAGTTAGGATATACGCCTACAGAACAAACTGTAACAAGTGTGATTATGAATCTTGGTGCAATTTGTGGTGGTATCCTTTTTGGTTATCTCTCTAATTACTTTGGTCGACGTTTGATTTTATCTGTTTGTGCTATTTGTGCAGGTGCTTTTATACCTTTATGGATATATGGTCCTAATATCCATACCCTTCAATTTGGTGCCTTTGTAATGCAATTCTTTGTTCAAGGTGGATGGGGGTAAATAATAATAATAATAATAACGCGTTACTTTACCTATATATTAAATATTAACTGCCCCCCCCTTTTTTTTCCTTTTTTCTTTCTTTCCACCCATTATAGTGTTATTCCTGCTCATATTAATGAATTATCACCTCCATCATTTAGAGGTCTTCTACCAGGTCTTAGTTACCAGCTTGGTAATTTGGTAAGGATTATTATCAAGCTTATTTTAAAATAAAATCACTCTATTCATATTCTGGAATTAGATCAGTGCCGCATCAAGTCAAATTGAAGCCACTATTGGTGAAAAATATCCAGTTCGTAATGCGGATGGAAGTTTCAAGTTAAATACAAAAGGAGAAACTATTGCTGATTATGGTTTAACTCAAGCTATTTTTATGGGATGTGTTTGTGGATGCTTATTAATTACAGGTAATATAATAATACAATATACTACTACAAGTCCATTTATATATATATATATGTATATTTATTTTGTTTCTATAGCCTTGATTGGCAAAGAAGAACGTAACCGAGACTTCTCTGCAGATCTTGCAGAAGGTCAAACTAGTCATGCCATAAGTCCTGGTGACATTAAAGCAGAAGAAATTGAGCAAGGTCATGAAGGAACCTCTCGAGTATCTAACTAGAATTTATTATCTTTATTACTTTATATATCTTCTTTATTATTGTTATTAGCATTTGATTTATCATCGCTATATGTATATTCGTTCTTTTTATTCGAATATTATAATTATCAGTAAATAAAAAAAAATGAATTATAATTACAGTTGGTTAATTCATGTATAGTGATAACTGTTAACTGTTTTATCTTATATGTGAGCATACAGCAACTACCAGTGCGATAATTTCAAAATTGAACTAAAAAGAGCCAAATTAAAAATGCTTGTCATATATATTATGCTTATACTCAAACATCGAAACACACATTTTTTTTAAAAAAAAAAGAAAAAAAAAAAAAAAAACTTTGTTTTGCCCGAATTTTGGGGAGTCGCTTTTTCAAATAACAATGATTTTATTTATTAATTGAACCCTTTTTTTTTTTACCAAAATTATTCTTTTTTTTTTTTTTTTTTTCCTTAAAGTAAAATGAATCTGGCACAACTTCTAGAAAGTGGCCTATCAAGAACACCACTTAATACTTCATACTACCTTGGATGTGTTTTTGGTTTAGTTCTTGCACAAAATGTTTTGGCAGAAATTAAACCATCCACAATATCAACACCTGTCAAACAAATAATGGCTACTCCTATGGTGATTGCTGATTTAATGTTTCCAGTATTTTTTAGAAATGATGGTTGTAAGTAGTCCCACCCCCTTTTCTCTCTCTCTCTCTCTCTCTCTTTAAGCTTTTACTATATGAATTATAACTAAACAATGCTGAATATAGCATGGAACTTACTTGGTGCTACCATCTTATTTATGGCATTTCTTCGATTTTGTGATCTCTTTTTGCTTGCTCCTGCTATTCAAGGTGTAGAAGCATACGCTTCTATGAAATTCTTACGTGATGAGTTTTGGAGTTGTTTACGTACCTTCCCTAAAAACAAAGAAGAAGAAAAAAAATTTGTAAAAGACAAAGTAAGGAGATCAACAAATAGTTTCTTACAAAAAAAAAAAAAAAAATAACTTTTTTATTTTATTTTCTTCAGAAATTTTATCATCTTATACCTTATTTCATTTTTCATGCTCTTGTTTCTGATATTATTGTTGCTTGGTTTTCAACTTTTACAAATGAAGAGCTTATGAATACATATCATCAGAGACCTGTTTTCTTTTTCTTCTTCTTTTGCATGGTTTTGATCGCTATGCCTGCCGGATTTACAGCTAATGGTTATTTATTACAGATTTTATATGTTCTTATTTTTGAGAAAGGTTCATACTGTGAAGGTATGTATGTAGATATCAAGGACAGAGTTGCATTTATAAAGTACTTTTTTTTTAAAAAAAATAATTTCTATATACAGCTCAATGGCGTACTTTGATGAAGCACCCAATTTGCGCAACATCACTTGGACAAATTTGGTCTGATCGTTGGCATCAGGCACTTAAATCAACTTGGCTTCAATTGCCTTTCAATGAAACACGTATTTTAACAGAACGTCTATTGACTAAACGTCGTGTAAAGAGTGCTAAAAGATTAGCTATTATGGCTGGGGCACTTTCTGTGTTTATGATGTCAGGATTATTACATGAATACTTGGCTTACGTGAATATAGGCTATCATCAATATAAGCAATATATGGGAGAGGAGATGTGTTTCTTTACTATTCATGGTGTCGCTGTGATGATCGAGAAATTTGTTGCTAAAGCATGTAAAGGACAAAAATGGGCAACTAGCAGCCCCGTTATTCTCATTCTTAGACGTGTCTGGACCTTGGGTTTTGCTTGTTATACCATTCCTCTTTTCTTAAGGGCTTTCATGTACTGGGATTCATGGCATTCTGCCCCTTTCTTCCCTTTACAACCCTACATTCTAAACATAATGCGACAAATTCCTGGAATGCATCACATCTGTGGCAGCTTATTTTAATTTTATAGATATAGATATATATATACATGTATATATTAAGCTCGACTTTTTTTTTTCTTTATTGAACATATATAATGTATTACTATTTTAGAATAGATTCTCAACAATTGTAATTATTACTACTACCCTCTTTTTTTTTCTTCTTCTTTTCTTCGGTAAAATTATGTTTTATAGTTTGGCTTCCTCCATATACATGTATATAAATAAGCTTTTTTAGTTCTATTTTGTCTTGATTTTGCTATTCACTTTATTTTGTGTTTCCTAAAACTTCTTCTCCACCTTTATAAATATGCTGCTGATAGCAAAGCAGGACAAGCCATTAGATCAGCGTTCTTCCTATATTGAAAAGCTCTATACATACATGTTTATCATTTTTATTCTAGAATCATGCCGTTCCAACCAGTATTAAACTTGCATAAAGTGAAATTATATATGAGAGAATAACAGGGCAGAAAAATAAGAAATGATTTATCTCAAGAATCCTTTACTAATATCGAAAAAAAAAATAACCATCGAGACAGAACTGGGATAATTGCACAAAGTCTTCTTTTCATTGCTATATATTAGCCTCTTGCAATGTGCAAACTTTTTCTACATGCAGAATGCGTAAAAGATAAATTAGCAGCTTTCAAATGTGTCAATGCATTCCCTGTACACTACACCATTTCGAGGATCAACGTTCTAAAGTAGTCATTTTAGTTAGCTATTTTGATGATCCTTATTATTTGCTAGTATATTATGCATTTGCTATAGAAAAAAAAAAGGGGGGAGAGGGGGAAGAGTGGGATTCATTTTTACTAACTTGTTTCAGCATTACATTTCTTTTTTTAAAAAAAAAAAGTTAGAAAAACGATTTCGTTCTCATTTGCTAGAATTTCACATTACTCGCATTGTTTTGTTTAAGCATTGTAAAGCTTTTGATAACCTAATGTACATGGCTGTTTGGTTTATAACATGTGGTCCATAAAAATGAAAGAAAAAAAATTTTTTTTATAAGATTAGATGTACTTTTAACTTCTCATGGTTAATAATCCCATTACTATTAAAGCTTCATTATTCAATGAGAAAAAAAAAGATATTATTAACAATAAGAATGCAAACAATAATACAAAATAACTAAAGTGCTTATTATAATTTACTGTAAAAAAAAAAAAAATAATAATACATGTACATTTACATTTTAATGTAGATGTTTTACATTGATCATCAATTTTTAAGATGTCTATAAATGGATTATCACGTAAGAAAAAGTATAAATTTAAATAAAGCTCTTTCTTAGATGAAACATTGTTAAACAAATGAGCATATATAAAACAATATGTAATAATAATAATCGAAAACAAAACAAGATGCAAATGGGATGGGGTTATTGTGACTTATTAGACTTTAGAGCAATAAGAAGATCATTTTTGTTATATTATTATATTTACACATCATGATTTTTAAACCAAAGCTAAAAAATAAAATAAAAGTTACATGTAAAGATTACAGACAAATGAAGAGAAATGAGTTTTAAGAAAGGCTTTATTATCAAGATAATACGCAGTATAAATATAGAGAAAAAGAAAAGTAGATTAAACAGAATGATCTCAGAATAAATATACTTTATTATATTATACAAAATTACATGTTTTTCGAAAAATTAGGTTTATAATAATAATATATTTCCATAGCACAAACAATTTTTTATTCTAATTATGCAACTTTAAAATACAGGTATTCTCATAGGCTCTGAAATTTAGGAAAAAAATAAATAAAAAAAAACAAAAAAAAAAAAATATTATAGAGGACTGTATCCATCACAAATATTTCGTCATCATCCTATTCATAGTACAATATTGCTTTAGTAATAGTCGTTCAAAGCACTCTCTCTTTCCTTTTCTTTTTTGAAGCTTTACTGCAGTATTTTGTACAAATTGATTATAGCTATAAATAAATGAATACTTTGATCGACATGAAGGTTTAATAAGTCATGCTTAAAACGCTTGTTGATGAACTTTCATTATGTTGTATACAGATGCTAATAGCTAAAACAGAAGTTTATTTTTTTTTGTTTCCTCCCCGTTAATAGCAAACATTTAATTCAATTTGAAGGCACAGTTCATGAATCAATAGTTGGAGAATACAAGTGCTCTGTTGTATAATTACTTCATTGATACAAACTTATTGATAATATTAACAAAACTGCTTTTATAAAAGAGTTTTACTTAAAATAAGTCTTTATTTTATCTCATCTCATTCTCTGTTGTGAAATATCCATTTTTAATAAAAGTTAAAGTAAACATTAGTCTTGATATTGTTAAATAATAAAAAATATCTTTGGCGGGTGAGTCAATAGAAAAAGAAAAAAAAAAGAAGTGAAGAATAAACAGCAAGTGAATAAACAAATGCTTTTTGAAATCATTTAGTGATAGTTAAACAGGATAGAATAATAGAAAACACACACACACACACACAAATAATAGATTTCATAGTTACATGTATAATAAAGGTACTACGTGGTAGTAAATAGTTTACAGATATAAGCATATAATAATAATAATGTTGACATTACTGAACAGCAATTTGTTAAAGATGTGCTATATTATACTTGATGTCTTTAAATTGCATTCTATTTTGTTACCACTAGAGAATAGTCTTGCAGTTTAGATTCTTTCTACAATATATTTATATCTCTACTAAAGTTGTTCCTAATTATGATATTATATACGTACTTTGCATAAAAAAAAAGAATTTTTTTATTTCTTGATAGAACAGTTCTAAAAGTATATAATGACATATTAATTACCGTCATTATATAGAGGATTTGAAGTACATGCAATAATAAGGTTTATATGTACATATATGTATATATTTAGGGGCGATTTTAGTATAGGTTTAAATCTCATATATAGACTATAACACTCTCTGTATCAAGAACTTGAAAGATCAGGTTAGTCGATAATAATAATTTAAAAGCTTAATGATAGTTAATAAAGATGTTCACAAACATAAATCTGACTTTCTTAATCTAAATTGTAATAAGCGCTTCTTTGGCTTCGGTAGAATAAATTCCTTTTTTTTTTTTTTTTTTTTTTTTTTTTTACATGTGCATGCTCACAAGCTGATTAAATAATCTTGTACTATTCATTGCAATAATTATATATGATACAACATGCTACAAATCACGAGTTTTATTCTAGGTCAGCATAATTTGTGAATTCTCTTATCTTTTTCTCTACTGCTGCTGCTGCTGCTTCAGGATAATATAAAAATAAGAAAAAGTACCTTTCTTATCTATTTTAATATATTGTTTAGTGTTCCAAATTGTTCTTGGCAAATTAAGTGAATAAAATATCCGGGATCAATTATCTACCAGTAAATACAAACAACCGGGGCGTCGTAGTAGGAAAAAAAAAAGGGTTAGTAAGTAGATTCATTATCATAAGAAAAAAAAAAAAGAAGACCAATACAATCAATCGAAATAGAATAATAGGGAACTAAAGACATGAAACAAGGCCAATTATAATGGATAAATTGAAATATTTATATACTTTACAGTTTAGTGTTACATTTAAGCTTCTAACCTGTCCCCCTTAAAATATATAACAATCAATTGGGATCAAAAAAAAACACCCCCTTCAATGTAACATTTTAAAGAGGATTTATAAAAATAAAAATAATGATATTACAGAGCTAAACACTATTATTATTATTATTATTTTGCCGATGAGTTTTTCTTCGTTTTTGATGACAAGAAAGAAATATATCTTATAGCAACAAAGTCGGGAATTTTTTCTGAGTGCAAGTTAATTAAGCATCAGACAAGTTTAACTTCAATTTTTCAGTGATAACTGATGAGTTGATGATATGTTTGCGTAGCCTAGAGGATAGAATACATTTATAATTAAATCCTTATGTGAATAATCCTAAGAAAGTAGTTTAATATTATATTCTCGGTCATTGTTACTTCTTGTTTAAAATGGATGCATATTATACTTTGATTTTGATTTTTTTTTAAAAAAAAAAGAAATTGCTGTAGCATATTTCAGAATAAAACACATCTACATGAGAGTATACGTAAGAGAAAGCTCGAGAAATTAATAGTATAACTTATTCCAGTTTTGTATTTTTTTGTATACTGTATTGGTAAATTCTTTATTTTAATAGTCGAAAGATTCTATAATCTCGCTAACAAACTAGACTAGGTAAGTAATAGTTGAGAGCCAATAATGCTAGATCAAGTATTCTATTTCTTCTATATATATTACAAAAGGCGCTTAATGCTTATGGCAATACTTTAAATCAAAATCAGGAGAAAATTCAAATTGTAAAAAAAAAAAAAAAGCAAAAAAAAAAAAAAAAAAACAAAAGACTTCTACCAAAATTATTTACTCCATGCTATCAAGATATTATGTAGTTATTCATTGTCATAAATCAATTCAGGTACATAGCTTTTTTCGAAAGAAAAATAAAATAAAATAAAAAGGGATAACAATTGTTTATTTAAAATCGGGGCATAGAAAAAATAAGAAAAAAAAAAAAAGCTTTAAGGTAAGGTGGGATTAATGATTAATGAAAAAAAAAAAAAGATATTTTTTTTATACCTCCTTCTTTTTTGTGCTTTGTTTCTTTTTCTTCTTCCTTTTTTTTTTTTTTTTTTTTTTTTTTTTTAACAGAGGGATAGTTGGCCCTTGCGTACTATATTAAATATAGCAAAAAACTTTTTTTTTTCGTACCTGAATTAGTTAGATAAATAAAAAATAAAGAGAGAGAGAAAGAGAGAAAGAAAGAGAGGTTGATTGATAGAATATACGGCGAAGGAAGTGCAAATAAAACTTAAAGTTAAATTAGCCTTCTTTATTTTATTTTATTTTTTTGCCAATAAACTTGAATAATATATATGTGCATGCATGCATACATATATTAAATATTATACGCACATACACACACGCACACAGCTTATTTGTAGCCTTCAAAAATGTCAAAGAGTATTAGAAATTTTTCTGAACCAAACAACCCAGTCATAACTCAAGATCATAGTCCAAATAAACCCTTTTATTCTGTATGGCATATCTATTTTTTTTTCTTTTTTTTTTTAGGCTACTTATTAACTTTAATATTATGTATGTAGCTAATTGCATTCTATGATATATTATTATCAAAAACTTTTCAATCACATCAAGAAGCTATAGCATTTTGTAGAGAATTATGCTCGAATTATGGATTCACCGTCAAACAGGAACAAAGTACACATAAGGTAATTAAAATTTTATTTTATTTTATTTTTTTTTAAAAATAAAAAAATTAAGCTCAACTTATACATGTATATACATATACAAGAGTATTTATATTTATTGCTCTAGAGAAGGTTTACCAGATTCTCATAGAAATCCAAAAGTTAATCCACAAAGGAATCGACAATCACAACGTTGTGAATGTCGATGGCGCATTGTGTTATTTGAAAATAGTCAAGGAGTTTGGGAATTTCGAAAATCTCAGAATGTCGATGCTTTCATTCATAATCATTCATTATTAAAGCCAGACGAAATAAAAAAGGAATGGCCACGCGAAGTTTCTGAAAAAATATTTGAATTAGCAAGACAAAGATTGCCAACGAATGAGATTAGACAGCAAGTACGTGAATTATATCCTGACATTTATTGGGACGATAGACGCTTTTATAATCGCCTATCAGAGGAACGTCAAAAGATGAAGCAACGTGATACTATCGAAAGAGCCTTACGACTTGTTAACCTGAGCGCACGAATCTGTATGGTGAATGCTGGTAGTGAAGATTTATCTCATTATGTTGAAAGAAAATTAAACTACTTGCTAGAGACTACGTGTAAATTTGCTAATATGGATTGTAATTCAATTACTGATACACCTGTTTTTAATACAATAACAGCAGAATCGGGTATTTTTGAATCTTCTCAATTGCCTTTTTCTGTATCAAATGATATTGATACTTTAAAGAAAACTTCTATAATGAAATCCGAAAATTCGAAGAATAATAATAACAGCAATATAAATAAGCTAGCAGCAAAACAAGTTGATGATAATAATGTAACTATACATAATAATGCATATAACCTGTACATACATATATAATTATCTGTATCTTACAAACTTTAATTATTTATATGTGTTTTTTCTTTTTTATAATAATAGATAAAAGAAATCAAACGCCCATCTTCAGACAATCAAAATAAATCCTTGGAAACATTACCAAAGGGATATATAGCCATTCCAGTTTCGGACTATACATTATACGTAAAGATGTATAGTCAAGGCTCAGTAGGAGATATCAGACGCGCTATTTTTGAAGGGCAAAAATCAAATTCGAATATCATCCATACTAGCTCTGCTCATTCTCAGTATAGTGACTTACCCAGAAGACGATCACGAGCATTATTTGTTTCTGAAGAACACAATGATTTAATGGAGTTAGATACTCCTGCGAAAAAGGTATCAAAACAATTTAGTTCTATTCTTTTGGATGATGAATTAGATGGCATGTCTGCTCATTCTTCTCCTTCAACTTCTCAAACGACCCTGTTTACACCTACTCCAATACCAAGCACAGCTCATGCACAAAGTAGTCATCCTAGACAGCAATCAGATTTACTACTAAATACTCAATTTAATACACGTGTTTCATCTGTTCCTGTTCCATTAGTTGCAGAATCTGCGAATCATTTGTTATACGAAAGTAACGATGGAATTTTACCAACTAATAACAGAGCAAGTAGTTATTTACGACAAACTCAGTCCCATATTCCTTCTGCTACAGATAATGTATACCCTATAATTAATCTAAATGCCTCTATAAATACTCTAAGGAGAGAACAGCCTCAGCGACTACAGCAACAGCAACAGCAACAACAACAACAACAACAACAACAACAGCATAATCTTACCTTTAACCCTATCTCTTTTATACCTGCTGCTGCTGCTGCTGAACAACAGAGTTCAAATACCGAAACAGGGATTCCTACTTTGCCTCATCATGTTCAACATGAAAGAGCCTATCCTTTGTCTTTTGGACCTACATCACCTCCAACCCTGCTGTTAAGACCTCAATCTAACACTTTTCCTCAAAAAGCGTCTACCATTGAGCCACCTGCTACACGAGCTACTACTTCATATCCTTTGGAGTTCCCTTCTCAAATACAAAATATGTTTGATGAATCAAGTAGAAGATATTATAGTTACCAGGGACAATCTTCTACAATTCCTCCTCGACCAGTCCTAGACACTGCTATGCCAACCATCACTTTATCCTCCCAAAAACAAGTTGAACATCGCCATTATCTATCTCAGCAACAGCAACATGGAGATACTCTATTTTCTTATAATTTAAATCCTTCGCAGCAGCAGCAGCAACAGCAACAGCAACAGCAACAGCATCATATAACCCCACAAGATGTATATTCAATGCCGTATATGATAAATGAACAACAAGCTGTTAGTTCAACAGACGAAAGAAACATAAATCATCCTCAATACTAACAACCTTTGCAATGAAGAGTTCGTGGTCCAAACTAAACCAGGTTTTTCCTTTTTTCTTTTTATACTTTTTTTTCTTCTTATTATAATTTTAGAAGAGCTGAAGCTTTAATTCTAGTAGTTTTATTACGTAATGTTTTTTTTTCCTTATTTTTATTTTAGTTTTTTAATCAAAATATATAGTACGATTTTTCTTTGTTTTTAACCCTTATATAAAATAAACTGTTTACTCTGTTTTATCTACCTTTTTCTTTTTGTAGATGATTTATGTACCACTGTATCTTCTACATGTAGCAAATCATTATCTATGAACCACCTATCACGCTTGTTCTCGACAAAAAAAAAAAAAAAAAAAAAAAAAAAAAAAAAAAAAAAAGAGGGGAGGAGAGAGAGAGGGATAACTTTATAATATATTTTTTTTTTCTTGATATGTTCACTACTGTATCTTTAACTAAACATCATATAATATGATAGGTAGATTTTATAAGTATGATAATGTTCGTTAAGGATAAAATATATATATGCACATTGAATATACACACGAATTAATACTTGGAATTTTGGATTTAGTTATATTTTATTTATTTCTAGTTGCCTACTTGCAAGTTATTAAAAAGTACCATGTAGACTTTAGTAGCAAGTATATTTTTTTCTTCTTTTAATCTCTATCTAAATGTGATACATAAAAAGTATCAATGGCTATTCTATAACATACTGCATTATATGCAAGCTTTTTATTGCTACATCCTTTTCTTTTCTTTTTTTTTTTTTTTTTTTTTTTTTTTTTTTTTTTTGCATACATATCTATTCAATAATATCTTTCTAATATTTTAGTGTACGTAAAAAAAAAGAGAACTTGATATGTTTTAGAATGAATAAATATATATGCTTGAGTTATGTAAATCTATTAACAATATTAAAAATATCCCTTATATTTAGTGTTTGTTGATTAGGATAGATTGTCGACTATAACGCTGTCTCTCTTTCTTTTCTTTTTTTTATTTTTATTTTTCTTGATATAAGCTTATTCCTTATTCTTAGGGTTATGTACAAGATAATTACATTCGTAAGGTATTCATCTCTGTTATCTTCTTTACAATTTTGTGATAATACGAATAGTTACGTAGACTCCTTTTATAAATATCTAAAAGAATAAGAATATAAGTGTGTAGATATTATATAATTTCGGGTGTGTGTGTGTGTGTGGTGGTGGTGGTTCTGTTTAGATCTACCATGAGTATCATACATATTGAATTATATGCTGGGTTAGTCAGTCAGCCAGTCTACTTTTTTTTTAAGAAAAAAAAAATAGTGTAGAATGATGAAGAATGATATTTTATAAATCTACATATTCAGAAGCTTAATCAGCCATTTAAAATCTGGATTTGATGTTTCTACTTTCCCCCTCCCCTCTTTCTTCCCCTTCCCCTTAGAACTAGGAGTTCATACCACTTGTAATTCAGTAGAAATAAAATAAAAAAAAAAACGTGTTCAATTATCTTTAAGCTTTTTTCTTTTCTTTTCCTTTTTTTTTTAAAAAAAAAAACTAAAGTATATTTATTATATATATAAATAAATAAATGACTTTTGATTTTGAAGAAATACCAAGGGATTTACTTAGTTCTATTGCACCAACAGATAGTATTGTTATAGGCATAAGTGAAGACGTTAAGCTACCATGTAAAGGTATATACACACATATATATAAGTCTTCTATACCTTTGTACATCAACTTTTGCTTATATATATTTATAAAGGAGTATCTGCTATATTTCGCCAAAGATATGCAAACCATCTACTTCAAGTTCAAGCTCAAAGAAAGACACTTGGACAAATTGCCATGACTATACACGAACAACGTCATATATTTTATTTAATTATGCGACACAAGCTTTATAATAAGCCTAGATTTATAGATCTTGAAACTTGTCTGATCGAATTACGTAAAAGTTGTGAAAGAAACGGTATCAAAACCTTAGCTCTTTCTCGTGAACAGGGTACAGGATTTGAAGGGTTTCCAGAGAAACACATGAAGGAATTACTCTTTACTGTATTTGATGGTAAATAAGTGTTATTCTATTGAAGATGAAGAAGAAGAAAAAAAAAAAAGGGGGAAGGTGTATTCTCATAGATATTTATTATAGGTTGGCATGGTAAACTAATGATGTATACAGGTTCATAAATATAAACTATTATCCGATTAGTGTGGAAAAAAAAAAAAAAAAAAAAAAAAAAAACGATAAAATATCCTATCATTCATATTATGCATGACTCTATTTTTTATTATTATCGTAACCCCATCCCCCCTTTTTTCTTATTTTTTTTTATATTATAAACAATAATAATAAAAAAATGGTTACAGAAGAGGAGCATGCACCTCTGTTGAAAAGATCTAACCACAATGTCAGTCATTGGAATCGACTGAAAAAGAGCACCATGGTAAAAAAATAAATAATAAAAAATAAAAAAATAAAAATAAAACAAATGCAGAGATTTTGACGCATAATTCTATTCATTTCAAACAACTACATTATGTTCAGCTTATTCGCGCATTTATTGCATTCTCTATATTATTACTCTTTACTGGAGGGATTTCGATGCTCCAGCGCTATTGGAAAAAAAACAATACGTTTGATTTTGGTGATTTAAAAGGATATTGTTCACATGTTCAACCCATTCAACCTCATGAATACATTATTCGATATAAGAAATTAGCCAAGGCATTAAAGGAGGAAGATGCCAGTGCCTTCATTATGGAAGGCGGGGCAACCATGCTTTATTATACAAACATTGACTGGGAATTGACTGAACGTCCTTTTATGGTCGTTCTTCAGTTGAATGAGAGTGAGCCTACTGGTATTCACACGACGATTGTCACACCTGCCTTTGAAGCAACACGTGCAGTTAAGAGTGTAAAGGAAGCAAACTTACCTAACGAAATTCAACCTAAATTTGTAGAATGGCTTGAGGATCGTTCTCCCTTTGATGTTCTCAAGACTATTCTTATTCAACCTACCACCACAATTGACGACGACGACGACAACAACAACAACAACAGAAGAAGAAAAAGACAGCAACCTATTATTTTCGTTGAACAAAATGTCCGTTTATTCGTTTTCCAAGGCATCTCAGACGCTTTGTTGACGGGAAAAGTCATGATGGCGCCTCGATTCATCCGTATGTTGCGCATGGTGAAATCAAATTCTGAGCTTGAAATAATGCGATGTGCTAACAAGGTGACTGAATTAGCCATTCGTACCGTTCGTCCACATGTCAAGATAGGCATGACAGAATTGGATATCCAACGTTTAATGGAAAACGCGCTTCATACTGCTGGATTGACAAAGACTTGGGTTTTAGCTCTTATTGATGAAAATGCAGCGCTTCCGCATGGATCTTCTAGTATGAAAAAGGTGACTGGACATAGTAGTGTTTTAATTGATACAGGAGGAGAATTATTAGGTATGTTCCAAAGCCCCCATTTAGTATTATTATGAGTAATGAATGCTATTATCTCTTCTAGGATATCAATCTGATTGTACAAGGACTTTCTTTATGGGGGCAAGAGGATATAATCAGACAATTGAAGATGCTTGGTATCTCGTTCGTCGTGCTCAGGAAAATGTATTGAATCATACAGAGGCCAACATGACCTGTGCCCAAGTTGATTTAACTGCACGTCATATTATTGATAAAGCTGGATATGGACTTTATTTTACACATCGTCTTGGTCATGGTATTGGTAGAGAAATGCATGAAGAACCTTATATGAATCAAGGCAATAAAGCACAACATTTAGTGCCGGGAATTACCTTCAGTGTCGAGTAAGTTTTTTATAGAAACGTTTACTGTTGTTACAAAAAAAAAAAAAAAAAAAAAAAAAAAAAAAAAAAAAAAAAAAACTAATAATTCTTATTTTTACATAGACCTGGAATATATGTGCCACAAGAGTTTGGTATTCGTCTTGAGGATATTGTTTTCGTAAGAGAAGATGGTAAACTGGAACTACTAACAAGCGGCTTGGCTCAAAATCCTTGGACACTTTAAAATGAAAAAACTAATATTTATAAAATTTTATACATATTACTTGTCATATCTTGCATCTTCAAACCTTATTTCTAATTGCTAAAAAAAAAAAAAAAAAAAAAAAAATGCACCTTAAGCTTTTTACTTTTTTTTTTTTTCAGTGGCTTATCCATTTTAATTTTTATATATTTATGTGTGTGTGTGTGTGTGTGTATTAAAAAATAGACTTTACAATATCTTTGTGTGATTATAATGTCTGATTTGGAAGATCAAAAAGTTTTGTTGAAAAAGAAACAATGAATAAAGAAGAAGAGGAAGATTATACAGAGGACTATGATGATTATGATGATTACGATGATTATCTCGATGATGAGCTTAATGATGCTGATATGTGGGATACTGCTACTGGAGGTAAAATTAGAAAAAAAAAAAAATAGCTTCAAAGTTTTTTTTTTTTTTTTTTTTGTTTAATTCCATGTTTATATACTACAAAATTGTATACTGACTTGAAGTGTTTTTTTTTTCTTAAAAAAAAAATAGATTTTACTAAACAATACAATAAACTACGACAACAGATTGCGCCTTCTCCCAATACAGATAAGCCTGCACCCGTAGTCAATAGAAAGATAGCTCCTATAGCAGTACGTAGTAAAGCTGGCAATGCTCAAACTAATTCAAGCACAGCTGATAAAAAGCAAATGTTAGAAAGCCAAATTGACAGTTTAGGACATTTTGCTAGTCGTATTCATATTGATGATTATAATCCTAGTAAGATATCCTCCTCTGTTGCAAGTGATATTAAATTAAGTTCTAAAAAAGCCAGTGGAGACAAGTAAGATATGGTTTCGAATAGACAATGAACCCTGCTATTTATGCTTAACATGTCATATTTAGGACAATTCAAAAAGATAAAGCAGATCGTGCTACAGTTGAACAAGTACTTGATCCTCGTACACGTATCATTCTTTTTAAAATGTTAAATAGAGGGATATTTTATGAAATTAATGGATGTATAAGTACTGGCAAAGAAGCGAATGTATACCATGCAATGACAGAGGATGGACAACATAGAGCTATTAAAGTCTACAAGACCTCTATCCTAACTTTCAAGGATCGAGATAGATATGTTACAGGAGAATTTCGTTTTAGACATGGCTATTCTAAATCAAATCCAAGAAAGATGGTTAAAGTATGGGCAGAAAAGGAAATGCGTAATTTAAGACGTCTTCAACAAGCAGGCATTCCTTCACCTAATGCACTTGTGTTAAGAATGCATGTATTAGTGATGGAATTTTTGGGTGATAAAAATGGATGGGCTTATCCTAGATTAAAAGATGCAAATATTGAAGCGTCAAGATATCCAGCACTTTATTATCAACTTGTAAAGAATATTCGTACAATGTATCAAGTTTGTAAATTAGTTCATGCTGATTTAAGTGAATATAACATCTTGTAAGTAAGTTTTAATGTATTTAATTTTTTTTATACAGCTTCTTTTCTCAATTTTTTATTTTTTTTAACAGATATCATTCACGTAAATTATATATTATTGATGTATCGCAGTCTGTTGAACATGATCATCCTCATGCTTCAGAATTCTTGAGAAAAGATCTTTCAAATGTGACAGATTATTTTGCAAAGAAAGATGTTCGAGTGATGAGTGTAGTCGATCTTTTCAAGTTTGTTACTGACATGTCATTTGGTAATGAAGAAGAAGAAGTAGATGCAAGACTAGAAAAGGTAATCGAAAATTTATACATGTATTAATGAGATGATAATAAACTAATATATAAATATATACATATAGATTCAAGAAGAGATGAATAATAATCCAAATAAAGAAATTAACAAAACTGAAGATGAGATTTTTGTAAAATCTTATATACCAACTACATTAGAAGAAGTGATTGATATTGAAAGAGATACTTTAATAGTTGAACAAGGAAAAGCAAAGAATCTAGTCTATGCTGATTTACTCGGTACAGGCGTCACTTCCACCCTAGAAAAGTTAAATATCAGTGATGATGAAGAAAAAGATCAAGATGATCCCATCTCAGAAGAAGAAGAAGGAAATGAAGATGAAAGTGAATCTTCTTCAGAGGAAGATGATGAAGAAGAAGATAAAAAGATGAAAAAGCCAAGAGGGAAAAAGAATGAAGATAAAGATGAGAAAAGAGAAAGAAAACAAAAGGCAAAAGAAGAAGCTAGAGAACGTAGAAAACATAAGATTCCAAAAGCAGAGAAAAAGAGAAAGATCAAAACTAGTAGTAAAAAGAAGAAATAAAGGATTTCCTTTCTATTTGTTATTGTGCCACCAAAGAAATAAAATAGAAATAAAAATGAGAAAAACCAGTCTTGTTATTTGTTGAATAAATAAGCTTTTTTTTTTTTTTTTTTTTTTTTGGTTATAGGCTACACAATTATTATATTTCTTATTGTGCAACTAAAACTAAAACAAACGTACATAATTTCATCCCTTTTATCTTCTCCTTGGGCGACTATGAATAAAACGACAATGACGATGTAAAAAGGGAAATCACTTGAATATACTTTTTTGAAACTAAAAAAAAAAAAAAAAAAAAAAAAAAAAAGAATTACATAAATCTCGGCAAATAAGCTGAGTTATTTTATTCTTAAATCAAAGAGTTACACAGAAATTTGAAAATAAGTCTTTATTTATTTATTTTATTTTATTTTATTTTTTTTCGGCTTTTTCTTTTTCTTTCTCTTTATTGGTTTCTTTGTATTATTATTATTATTATCATGAAAAAAGTCTCTCTGTTGAATTATCCCTTCGAACTAGTTGCGCCTATGGTGGCTATTGGATCTGTTCTTTTATTACCTTTAGGCCCGCTTTTGATCCCTCGTATCTATATCTTGTTTTTATTGATTTATTTTACTGTATTCTTATACACTCAAGTAAATCATCTTTTCAAATTTTATCTTACTGCAACTAAAATGACAAGAACGATTCGTAATTATAACAATCAACGTAATAATAACCAAGAGCTTGACAACTCATCACTTACCATTACTACTAAATCTATTACATCTACTACTCGTGAAAGAATTCTTTCAGTTGAAGAACTTGAAGAAATGGAAACTAGTTTAAATTTTTATAATAATACTCAACTGATTCATGCTTTTATTATACCAAACTATGCGGAACCAGAAGCTCTTTTAAGAGATACTATTAAACGTCTAGCCAATCATAAGTAAGCATTTTTTTTTTATATACATGTATTAAAAAAGCGGAGAAAGAGAGAGAGAGAGAGCCATTCATTGATGATATTTAATTTTATTATATTATATTATATTAGAAATGCTCAAACAAATTATGTTATTATTTTAGCTATGGAAGCATCAGAATTAAATTATGAACAAAAGGCAATTAATTTAGAAAATTACTTTAAAGACAGTTTTCTTCAGTTTATTATCACTGCTCATCCTGCTGATATACCCGGTGAATCGCGTGGTAAGGGATCTAACGTTGCTTATGCTGCAAGACATGGCTGTGCTCAAATGCTACAACATGGAATTGATAGAAGACAAATTATTTTAACTATATCTGATTCAGATTCTTCCATTTCTGAGCTATATATTAGTGAGGTTAATATATAAATATATACACATATATCATACTATTTATATAGATATACATTTATATATTAATCTTATTTCTTGATTTAGGTTGAAAAATCTTTTAATCATGCTGAAGATCCTTATTACTTGTTATTTGCACCACCTATCTTCTTTTCTCGTAATTGCTTTGAAGTTCCTGCCGCTGTTAGAATGACGGATATTACTTGGTCTGCTATGGTCATGTCTAGTTTAAGTAATAGTCGTGGTCTTTCTTTCCCTTGTTCAACTTATAGTTTAAGCATGATATTAGCAGAAAGAGTTGGCTATTGGGATACAGATGCTGATTCAGTAGGAGAAGATATGCATATGATGTTGAAATGTTTCTTTAAAACCGATGGACTCGCTCGCTGTTGTCCTATCTTTGTACCTATCAATTTAACAAATGTTCAAACATCAGGTTATCTAGCAAATATGAATGCAAGATTCGTTCAAGCAAAGCGACACTATAATGGTATTGCTGATTTGGCCTATACACTTCGAAATTCATTTGGAGTAAAAGATACAAGTAAATTAGATAACTTGGCATTCACAAAAAAGACAAGTTTACTTTATAGTTCTCATTCATTTTGGCTTGATAAATTAATTATGTGTACAAAGGTAATGGAAGCTCATCTTATTCCTGTTAGTTCTGGTTGGCTTATGTTTGCTGCTGTACCTTTGATGCAATTCATCTTATTTCCTCCTCATTCTATGATTGCCTTCGTTGACCCTTCAGATAATCCAATTCTTACTTCAGAGTTTTATTCAACTTTGTGGAACATTGTTAAGATCATCACTGTCTTTTTACCACTTCCTTTATTTGGAACTTTGGCTATCTATGAGCGCCTTCACCGAATCGTTGATCGGGAACTGTATCGCAAATCAGAATCTCGTAATTGGCGTAACACATTTGATTATATCTCTTTACCTATTGCTGCTTGGGCTTTTATGACAATTCCAGCTACTATTGCTTGTATCAAAAGACTCTACAAAACAAATGATAAATATATTGTAGCAGAAAAGTTTTTTGAAGCAGTAGATAACGAACCATAATAATAATAATAATAATAATATATACACCTATATGCATCATATATTTATATATCTTAATACTCACTAATTATAATACAAGTAATTTTTTTTTTATTATTATTATTTCATCTATACTAATATGTATAATTCATATAGATAGATAGATATATAGATAGATATATTTTAGCTTATAATAAATGTAATCATCATTTATACACAATTCTATTTTTTTTTATAGTAGAATATGTATGCAATGCATGACATAATACTGTATGCATAATTATACATAAAGAATATTTCATTATTTGTAAAAAAAGTTACACTGAATTTGTGATATATACACACTATAAATAAAGATGTTGAATCATGAAAAAAAAACGTCACAACAAACGAATAAAGAAGGATTACAATATTTTATATGCATTATTATAAATCTCTTTTGCTACTTCTTTTCTCAAGAATTCTATTAAAGATGAAGGTTCTTTAAATTCAATACTACCAAAAAAAAAATTAATATTTATAATTTGTCTTTTGCATCATGTGTAGTACCTTTCATGTTGAAAATAAATGGTTTCTATTGGTAATAATAATCGTGAAGTACTTGTAAGAAAACATCCTTCCCATTTCCCTTCTTTAGCATCTTGAAGTTTAGGGAAATCCCATTTAATTGGGATCTGATTCTTTTCACAAACATCAATAACAATTTTTAGAATAGATCCTAAAAGAATATGATCTAATGATGCACAGTAAACAGCCTTATCAATGACTGCTAAAAAGTTGGATGCCATTCCTTCATATATGTGTCCTTTATCATCAATTAAAACGACTTCATTTACATCTTTAGCTTTATTCCTTTCTGATTCTTGTCTATCTCTCACCCATTGAGAATTCTTTATTTCAGGCGAATTTCGCATCCTTTGCTCTATTTCAACTTTGATACGCATTTGAGGTGGTAATGAAGGTAGAGATACAAAATGGGCAGCAAAATAAGCTTTGTGTGTCTTTTCAAGTAAAAACAAATAAATAAATAAATATATTGACTTTTATTATTATTACCTGGAATGAATAGGTTGCCATTAAAGATACTTTGGCTTCTAAAGGATGTTCACTATTGGATGTTGGGTCCACTTGTTTATAGAATGTTTTTAACCCTTTTCTTAATAAAGGAATCAACTTGTTCTCAAATTGAATAGGATCTCTAAGAGATGCCAGGGATTCACTAGCTTCATGGGTCTCCTCAACTGTATTTCCTTCAAATTTTATATTTGCAAGTGCTTTTGTCATTCGTTTCATGTGTGTATTTAGCTCCACAATCGCATCTCTGTGCACTGTACGCATTCCTGTATAAGCCCCTAAATTAAAAAAAAAAATACATACATACATACTTGGTTAACTATGTTGTAATTTCTTCGCTCCTTTTTTTTTTCTTTTCTTTACCGCTTGGATAAGAAAGAATAAATTCATTAAATGTCTTGTTTCCTAATTGAATATCATATTGTATCTTTTCTTCATCGTTTTCGTTGACATTAACTTGTTCAATTATAACTTGTTTTGTATAGAAAAAATAACAGTTTAATTTATATTTATATTTTATTTTATTTTTAGGGTTGATGAGAGAGATAATTACGTGTGGTAGGTTTCAACATGGTAGAATAATTTTTTAATTTGTATCGAGAAAAACGTCTTAATTTAGTTACAAGAGAATAACTATGAAATAAAGACCGCATTAAAAAAAGAAAAAAAAAAAGAAATTATGCCTGAAAAGCAATGATTATTATATAGTGTTGGCTTTATTCAATGATTGGTTAGTTACCAAGATATTTAAGCTGAGTAGTAGTAGTAGTAGTAGTAGTAGTAGTAGTAGTAGTAGTAGTAACCGTTACATAACCTTTTTAAGAGTGTTCTATAAATGTGTTCATCCATAGTAATTAAAAAAAAATGATAAACTTTGTCGGTTAGAATTTAAAGAGTACATAACTTGGAATCTATTTCTATGCAAGAAATAAATACTAGCACATAGTAAGAATAATAAAAAAAAAGGTTTTACAATTTGATTGTTTCACTCTATATTCTTCTTAGATACTAAGAGTCAAACAAACGTCAAAATATGAATAAAAGTCATTATATAAGAACTGTTCATTCCTTGTACTAAAGAATACGAGTTTTTTTTTCTTTTCTTTTTTTCTTTTCAAATTATTAATTAAACATAATGATAATAATAATATCAAAGAATGCTTTATTGAAGGTCATTACGCTATTATCAATTGTGAATATACATTATTGTCAACCTGTAACTACTAGAGGAAAAGGATATTTTAAATTACCTATACAAAAGTTTCAATCTTCATCAGTCACTGGACATGATATTTTTACTGCTACCAATAGTACCTCTGTTGTCTCCTTTATGACAAAGAAGCAAAAGCAACTCTCTTACAATCATGGAACTGGTAAGGAAATTAAATAAAATTAAATTAAAAAAAAAAAAAAAAAGTATTACATATTTGCTTACTTGTATGAATAGGTTATTATGGTGAAATAAGTGTGGGGACACCGCCTCAAAAGTTTAACGTAGTGTTTGATACAGGAAGCGCTGATCTTTGGATTGTATCGACACAATGTAAAAGTGATATTTGTAAAAATCACGGAAAGTTTGATTATGATGCCTCTGAGACTTATAATACGCTAGAGGATGATGATAGCAGCATTCATATTTTTTATGGAACTGGAAACATGCACGGACATTTAGGTGAAGACACCGTACGGTTATGCAATAATCAGATTATTATAAAAAATCAAGTTATTGCAGACGCTGTAACGATATCACGAGAGTTTATTGGCTCTCCCTTTCAGGGCATCTTTGGTCTTGGGTTTCAGAAACTAAGTAGTTCTCCAGACTATAGCCCACCTCTTCAATCTATCGTTGAGCAGAATCTCATGGATGAACCTATCTTTGCTATTTATTCTCAACAGAAGGCAGGTGAAATTGATTTCGGCGGAATCGATACAACCCGCTTCATGGGCACTTTAAGTTATGAAAAAGTAATTGATTCTAGTTATTGGATGATTAAAATAAATAACATTAGGTTTGGTTCTACCTATTTTGGAGAACGAAAAGCAATTGTAGATAGTGGTATAATCTGTGTTATTTAACTAACTAACCAACCAACTAACTAACATATCTTATTATAATAATCTAGGTTCTACTTTAATTATCATGTCTCGTAAAGATGCAACTGTGTATCATAGTCAAATTCCAGATGCTATCTTTAATGGCGATGGAACTTGGTCATTTCCTTGCGCAAATATAAATAAAGTGAAACCTCTTATGATTAAAACGTCAACTGCACTACTTACAATTCCAATGAGCAAATTATTTATAACTCCTGTAAGCTCAACAAGTAAAACTTGTCTATCAGGTATTTCAACAGATAATGAAGAAGAAGGAAACACATGGATACTAGGAGATATCTTTCTACGAAATTTTTACACAGTAAGTTTCATATATTGTAAATATGTATACATTTATAAAAGTGTAATTATACAAAATTTTATTTTCTATCAAGGTATTTGACTTTGGAGAAAATCGATTAGGATTTGCACCTGCTATAGAAGACATTGCCATGTCTGATCCTACTTATAAGCAAATAGGACTCTAGCCCTTTATATTATTATTTTTTAAACATGCTGGTTTTCTTTTTCTATTTCATTTGAAATCTTTTCAAATAAAGCTTCTATTTCTTTCGTATGTACGTCAGGAACAAATTTAACCGAAATCGGTTGCCTTAGTTGACGTTGAATCATCATGTTTAGTAAATGGGTATAATGTTTTAAAGCTCTATGTACATTTCCTCTTTCTCCTTTTTTAGTTGAAATGGGTTCATATAAAATTTGACATTTTCTCAGATTCCTTGAGACTTTTACACCATGTATATTCACTTGACTAGGTGTAATCCATTGAGTGGGAAAATCTTCAGTCGAATAAACGGTTAAAATAGCCCTCTGTATACGCTTTGCAAGACGATCTTGGGCTATTGTCGGTGTAGCATCAAATTCATTAAAAGAGATGGGCTTAGCTGGAGTTGTATATAGATTCTTAATAGTACTTGCTCTTTCCGCAATCTATATCATTCATAAACTCAGTTTATTTAAAGAAAAAATAAAAAAAAAAATAAAAATAAAAAAAGGCTCTTTTAATTCATTTAATTTTTATTTACCGTCTTATTATCATCACCTTGTCTCCTCTTATCGGCTTTTGTTTTAAAATATTTCAATGCAGGACCAGGGATCATAAAGTTATCCAATATATGCTGATTCTCTGAACTATACCGAGAAGGTTTTGTCCATTTATTTGGAATTCTAGCACTGACCGAGATGAATCGCTTTGTACATGGGGACAAGCAAATTTTTGAAAAGTAATGTGTTAATTGCATTATTTAACTTGACATTCAACTGAAAGAAAGATGTTGAAATAATTGTGGGAGGAAAGTTTCTTTATCCAATAATATTTAATTAGAAGAAGGGATAAAAAAAAAAAATTTACGAACAATCTGAGCTTTAAAATATAGAAAAGACAAAATTTGATTTGGTAGTGCAGCAAGAGATATGCGATCATGTGTATATTTCAAGCTTAATTATTTATTATTAGTAGCCTATTTCACGAATATAGTTCACAGAGATTTATTATCCAAACTTAAACAGTTTTCAAATGTAATGCTTTGATGAGCTTCAGTTATAGAAGACGGCAAGCATGACGCTTTTATTCAGAAAAGATCTCTTCTCTCGATATTTGTCTTAGTCTTCGATTAGCATCATTTTAAATAATTCAATATGTATATGTATATACATGTATTATAGTGCAAATCAATGGCTTATACTCTCTCCTCCTGATAAATACAGTATGATGGATATTAAAATTATACATATAATATTAATAGGTTATAATTGCCTCAAGTTGATTAAACTACACAGTAGCCTTTAATTCTCTCTTTCTAAGGGCTTTTTTTCTTATTTATTTCTTTTTTCAAGTTAATCTTTTACTTTCTCTCTTTTTTTTTAATTGAGATTTAGAGTAAGGTTTCTCGAGTTTCTTTACACAGAGTTTTTTTACTTTTGAAAAAAAAAAGTGATGCTAAAAGGAAAAACAACAGTATACAATGCTTATAACAACTTCTTTCTCTTTCTAGCAAATATGTTTTTATAACGAAAATAAACTGCTGCCTATTTTAAGATAATATATATTCTTTGGCTAGACAATACTACAAAGCATGAGGTGAAATTATTCTACTATTAAGATAAATTACTAAAGCTTCTTTCACTATAGCTAACATTGATAATAAAAAGATAGTTATCACAATTAGCTAATAAAAAAAATCGTGTATGCCTGGTAGTATACCTTCTTTAAAAAAAAACCTTATCATTTTCTGAGAAGACTACAAGGTAATACAATATGATTCACTCATGTTAAATAAATGAAAATAACTTATTATAAGCTGTATAGGATAGTAACATCGCTTTTAGTCGTGAGTCTCTTGAATTTTGTCTATTCATTCTATTCCTATTCTATCTTTTAAATCTCAGATTATTCATAAAAATTTTCTTATTTCAGGTTAAAATTCTACACTAGAGTCGGAAAAAATGGGTTCGATCCGGAACTCTTCGATAACTACCAAATTTAGAAACTACCTTACTTAGCCAACTGGCCCGAGGATCAAGTTGGAATCAAGGCAACGAGATTACTTTGGTAAAGTGTAATACTTCCTCTTTCGACATACATCTATTCATTAAAGATGAAGTAAATAGACATATAAAAAATCCATCCAAGTAATAATCAACTAACCTTATCTGTATCTGTTATCTATATAAATTATTAGGCTTGAGATTTGTTCTTTCTCTGGCCACAAGATCTACCCCGCCAAGGGTAAGACTTACGTTCGTGTTGACAGCAGGTAAATTGAATTGTTCATTTGATGAAGAATATGTAAAGTTAACACCCTTTCCTTTTTTTTTTACTTGATCTTTTATTCAAAATTTATAGAGTAAGTGTTTTAAATTCATTAAAAAAAAAGCGAATGACTTTATTATGGATTTCAGTGAATCAGCCATTATTATAAGATAGTCGATTTTCGTCTGACGTTTTTCTTTTTTTTTTTTTATTCGTTCATTTATAGACTTTCCGTTTCATCAACGGTAAAGCTGCTTCTTACTTCCTTCAACGTTTGAACCCCCGTAAGATCAGATGGACTCAAATCTACCGTCGTTTGAACAAGAAGGGTATTACTGAGGAAGTCCGTAAGAAGCGTTCTCGTCGTACCGTCAAGCACGAACGTGCTATTGCCGGCGCCTCTTGGGAAGCTATTCGTGCCAAGCGTAACCAAAAGCCTGATGCTCGTGCTGCTGCTCGTCAAGCTGCTATTGCCAAGTCTAAGGAAGTTAAGAAGGCTGCCGCTGCTGCCAAGAAGGCTGCTAACCCTAATGTAAGTTACTCAATCGAACAATGCTCGATTATACATATACTAATCATATATGTATATATATATATATTATAGGTCAATCACTCTAAGGTTAGCAAGCAACAAGCCAAGGGTTTCGCTCCTAAGGCTGCTGCCACCTCCCGTTAAATAACTTATTTTATCATACGAAAATAAAATATAAGCTTCATTAAAAAAAAAAGCCTAATTTACATGTAAACTTGAAGTAACTATAATAATTATGTGTAATTACACTTCTTGAATTTATAGTGTGTTTTCATTCAATGGGAACTTATATATAAATATGTGCACATATGTATTTTTTTTTTTTATTATGTCATTTACTCTAAAAATGAGAATTGATCATCCTTTTTTAGTAGTGTATAGTTATAGTATGATTTAAGTAAAGAATCTTATTCAATCTATTTTTTTTTTAATTTCATAATTTATTCTGAGCATTATTAACTAACAAGTTTATGTTTGGCTTATTTGAGAAAAAAAAAATACAAGTAAACTTAATTACAAACCGTTTTCTGTGACTATAATTATTTCCATTCTTCCTTGCAGAAATACAGCAACATAGTAAACTTTAAATTACTTTAAAGTCCCAACAATAGTATTCATGATTAAATTTAGCAAACAAGAATATTCTATTGGTTTGTATTATGGATTGACATCAGCAAACTATACATTTCACAAGATTGCAAGTATAATTTACTCATTAGTGAAAAAAAAAAAAGAAAGCTCCCTATTATATAATAACCGTCACACTAGATTACCACATATGCATAAGAAAAACGTTTAAAATATACATTTTTAAACCCAATGAGCACACTGATAAACTACATATCAATGTTACCCAGGGGAATTCTTTAAAAAAGAAGTGAAGGAATTAAAAAGAAAAAATGGGTTCAAGAGGAACAAAGTGAAAGGAGATTTAAATAGCAAAACGAGGGTTTAGCGGGACAATTGTTCAATTGGCTGTTAAAAGCGCATACCTCCAGTCGAGGAGCTATTGATGTGACCTACGGATGCAAAACACCTGGACCACCAGAGCCTTTAATAGGCTGATTACTTGCTTCCAGTCTCTTTCTCTGGGGAAGTTTTTTTTTTTTTTTTTTTTTTTTTTTTTTTTTTTTTTTTTTCACTTTCTCTTTTTTGGAACTGGCCAAGGCAATACAGCATAAAAATTGCGATATGCTCATTGGTCATTTTAATTTAAATAAATAAATTCTTTTAATTATATTAAGCATAGAAAAATTTCCGATTTCCCCCTCCCCTTTTTTTTTCCCTCTCTCTTTTTTATTTTTTATTTTTAATTTATAATAAAAGATTATATATTGTGAGAAACAATTATGGTGAAGAAAGAGATAGTATTAGAGTTAGATTTAACTGATACAAAAATGAATGTAAGTTTGTCATGCTTTTATACAATTTATATTTTAATGAAAGAATAAATAAATAGACATCTTCCACAACAGAAGATTTAAACAATGCAGAGGATACAAATCAAGAAAAATCTTCTTTAAAGACAAAAAGTAAAAAAGAATTGAAAACACAAAAATCTTTAAAAAAGACAAAGTCATTGCCTGAGCTTGGAAACATGAATAACAAAAAAGAAGAAAAGGATTCTAAAAAGAAAAAAAAGACCTCCAGAAAAAAGACTATTAAAAAGGAAGGTAATAAAGAAGATGCAGTTACTGATACTGCGAAAACCCTTAATAAGAAGAAATCTAAGGAAGAAAACGGTACTGCGGAACATCAACAACAGAAAAGTGAGATTATTTCTCAGCAAACTCTAAATGAGGATAGTACTAAACCTGAAAAGCGCAGCAATCACAATGAAAAAAGAAAGATGCCGTCCAAGAAGGTTTCCAGTAATGACGATGAAATAACATACACGGTTGATTATAATAGTATAAGGGAAGCTCTATCTGAATCATTTAGCTTAGATGATAGGCATAAATCTGTACATTTTGCTCCGCTAATTATAAAGTCTAAAAAGAAGAAACAACTACCCTTACCTCAAGTTTCTAAATCTGCTTCACCATCAATACCTGTAGATCAGTCTCCAAGGACCTCAAATACTTCTTCACCTTCTGCTAAGAGTAATTTATTATTATCATCTATTAATTTAGCTTAATATGTCTAACTTTAGTTCATAATAGATCGACATGCTGAGGTTCCTCCTCCTCCTAGTTTGACTACCAATAATACTGCGGACAAAAAGAAAAAATCTTTAAAAACTACGCATAATGAAAAATCAATTATTAAAAGAATCAAAGAGAAAAAGGCTTTGGCTAATAAGAATACTGTTACTACTGAAAAGCAAGATCAAGAAATGACTGGTAAAAAGAAATTGCTCAGTAATCAAAAAATTGAACGATCTATTAAATCTACTGATAAAAAAAGAAGCTCTGCAATTACTTTGGGTACGCCAGTTAAGCCAGTTGTTTTTGTAAAAGAGAAAAGTCACAAAAAAAAGAAGAGTTTGGATAAACAAGGTATAGGTGAATCTGTTAAGCCTGTAGTTTTTGTAAAAGAAGGAAAAAATCAGTCAATGGTTATCTTGGCCAAAAAGGCAAATAAAATCACCCATGATGAAAAAAGGCGTGAAATCAAGGAAATTAAAAAAGGAATGAAAACGATTGATAAAGTAGACTATTGCCATCCAAATGATATTATTCACAGTAATAGGTCTGGTAGAATTCGATATGATCGTTATGTTGATCCTAAAATATGTGAAGAGAAAATTAAACAAGGAATATATTATCAGGGTGTACTTCGAATTAATAAACGATCTCGTTTAGATGCTTATGTAACTAGCGACAATTTGGATGCTGATATTTTTATTAATGGTCAACGTGATCGTAATCGTGCACTAGATGGTGACAATGTTGTTGTTGAATTATTGGATTTAGATACTGTGTGGGAAAAGAAGAAGGAATCAATGACTCAAAAGCGTGAGCAAAGACATGGCACTGTTGAAAGGCCCCCACAAGAAGAAGGCGAAGAAGATAAAGGAAAACCAAAATATGCTGGCAAGGTTGTTGCTATTACCAAACCCGGTAATAATCAAAACTGTGCTGGTATTCTTACAGTTTATCGTAATAACTCAACTGAACAACCATCTCAAGAAGATGAAGTTGTATTAGCTTCTAATGAGGATGATAATGAAGACATTCAAATTGATGCCAGTACTACTACTACAGTTACAACAAAAAATAATAATAAAGATATTCGCCTTGTATGGTTCAAACCTATCGATAAACGAAAGCCTTTGATTGCAATTCAACTTAAATATGCGCCAAATGATATTCTTACAAATGAAGAAAAGTATAAACGTTTACTAATGGTAGCTAAAATTACTCGCTGGCCAATTGATTCTATGTATCCCTTTGGTGCTGTATTGCGTGAATTAGGCCATATTGGTAATATTCCTGCTGAAACTCGAGCAATTTTAGAGGATAACAATATTGATGAAAAAGCATTTAGTAAAAAAGCGCTTAAAGGTTTGCCTAAATTGCCTTGGTCTATTCCTCAATCAGAAATTGACAATCGTCGAGATCTTCGTGATATACGTATTTTTACTATTGATCCATCTACTGCAAAGGATTTAGATGATGCCGTTCATGTAACCAAGCTTAGCGAGAATGAATATGAAGTAGGCGTTCATATTGCTGATGTGTCTCATTTTGTTCATCAACATACAGCCTTGGATCATGAAGCGTTTGATAGAGGCACGAGCACTTATCTTTGCGATCGTGTGATCCCTATGTTACCTTCTTTGTTATGTGAAGAGTTATGTAGTTTAAATCCTGGAGTTGAAAGATTAGCCTTTTCAGTCATATGGAAAATGGATGATGCTGGTAATATTAAAGAGACATGGTTTGGAAAAACTATTATCAAGTAAGTTTATTTTACTACGTAAATAGCTATTTTAGTATCTAACTTCTTCTTAATAGATCTTGTGCTAAGTTGGCTTATGATGATGCTCAACATGTAATTGAAGGTCATGGTTTACCTAAAACTGCTAATGTAAAATTCTTTACAGTTCCTGAAGTTGAACAGGACATTATTTATTTATTCAACCTATCTAAACAAATGCGCCAACGCCGATTTGCTAATGGTGCTTTATCAATGAATTCAATTCGACTTTCTTTTGAACTTAATGAACTGGGTGAACCTTGTAATGTTTCCATATATGAGCAAAAGGATGCTAATCGTCTTATTGAAGAATTTATGCTTTGTGCCAATATGAGTGTAGCACAAAAAATTAGTAAGCATTATCCTAATGAAGCTTTACTTCGTCAACATTCACCTCCACATGAAAAAACCTTGGTAAGCTTATTTTACAGACAGTTTATATATATGCATAAATAATATTAATTTTACATTTATAGAATGAATTTATCAAAATTGCCGAGAGTTGGGGATACTCCTTTGATGGTTCATCTGCTGGCTCATTACAGAAATCTTTTGATGCAATTGATTCTGAAGATATTAAAACAGTTTTGAGACTTATAGCTATTAAACCAATGCAACGTGCCAAGTACTTTTGCACAGGTGCATATGATATTAGCGAATATAGACATTATGCACTGAATGTTCCTCTCTATACTCATTTCACATCACCTATTCGACGTTATGCTGATATTATTGTTCATCGTCAATTAGAAGCAGCCCTTAACGATAAACCCTCATGCGGCTATAAAAAGAATACAGTACAAAAGGCTGCAGGCCATTGCAATGAGCGAAAAGAAGCAGCCAAGAATGCTCAAGACATGAATATTCAACTTTATCTCTCTCATTATCTTCATATGGTTGAGGCTAAAACGGAGAAACCTATTATTTGTTCTGCTATTGTAACACAAGTATTAAGAGACTCCTTTGATATTTTAGTGCCTGATTATGGTCTTGAAAAGCGTATCCATGTTGACGCATTACCAATTGAGAAATTTGTTGCTGACCCCCAGAAAAATAATCTCTTTGTATATTGGAAAGAAGGTATCGAATCTAATTGGGAATGGGATGAACGGCGTAGATTAAATGAAAATTATGTTGGTCCTTCTGGCTCATTACTGAATTATGATACAGTTGATGACTCAACCGAAGATGACAATGATGAATCAATTGCTACAAAGAAGTGTATCAAGATTCCAGAAGAATTAATAAGTGATAATTTGATAGATCAGAAAACTAGAATGCAACGTTTTGAACCTTTATCTAAATTATCTGTTCGTATTCAGGTTAATGTTGATCGTTCACCCCCAATTATTAATATTTATCCTGTTAACCCTTTTATATAAGACTAAGTAATAAATATTTATTTTTATAATAACGAAGTTTTAATGTATCTGCCTAATATGAGAGTACCTTATTTATGCAGCTAAATTATAATTTACGCAGTCTCAATAAGCCACAAAATTTTATGATATTTTGTAATGAACTTTTATTTGCTTTCTAATTCAAGTGTATTTTAATTTTCTAATTTTGTAGAATTTAGAAATATATAAATATACAAATATTCATTCATATACATATAAAAAAAAGAAATGAATAGCAATACAGCTCAATTGGAGGATTATTATGTAACTCCAAAAGAGATTGCTGATGCTTTAAAAGTAAAAGATCTTCCTAATTTAATTCGAGGTAACAATTTTATGCTTTTTCTTTTTCTTTTTTTTTTCTTTTATTCCTTTTAAAGAAAAAAAAAAGTATAGTTGCAATGAACTTGGATGTTAATGCTAACATGATTTAGGTTTATCCAAATTAAGATCACAACTTTCAATTGCAGTTAAAATTCGAGTAGATCCTACCGAAAAATATACAAGACCTCTCGTTGAATATTGTCAATCATGTACAGATAGTCAAGATCTTAATAATTTATGGGATTATCAAGCTTCCGTAAATATAAACAAGAATGTATTGGCAGAGAATTTAACTAATCACTTATTATAATTTCAACATGTTATTAGTCTAATTTACAGGATTTAGAATGCATGTTACCCGACATTATAGGATTATTCATAAAACTCTGCACAACGCCTGTTATCCGTTCTTACGGTATCCAACTGATTCAAACCATTTTACAAAGACAAATGAAGTACATTTATCGCGGCATCTCTTCCTTACGTATTCCTCATTGTCAATCCACCTTCCGTTTATTGACTTCAATAGTATCTTTTAATGAATCAACAGCAAGGGATCTATTCACAGTATTTAATTTCCAAGCTGAAGTAAGCATTATCCTTTTTTTTTTATGATTATTGATGAAGATAATTAGTTCTCATTTTTATTATTTTTTTTAGGGCTTTTTAAGAGCTTCAAGATACCGACAAAACAAAAAAAATAAAAAACCTCAAAGCTATATATATGGTAAAATTCTTAAAAGGATTTTTTTTTTAAAAAAAAAGAGCCGTTCTTTTTTAACCTTTCTTTTCTTTTTTTTTTCCCCTTAAGATTTAAGGACCAATTATGTCCAATTCGTCCTAGCATTTTTTAAATATGGTGACTCGGAATTAAAAAAGCAAGTGCTAAGTGTAAAAAGTCTTGTAAGCAGTATATTTATGGGAATAGAAGAAGACGCATATCCAGTAAATATTTATTTGTTTTCAACTGATTTATATAATATGGAAGCAATTAACCCAATTTAATTAGTTATTGGAGCAAATTCTCGCAGTCATGTATGAAAATTTGATTTTGGATAATAATGTGCCTAGAAGCAACAAAGTATTCTTCTTTTCATCTTATATCTTGGAAAAAATTGCTAAAATTTACTCACGAACTGAAGAAGAAGAGACGAATAAGGGAGAAGCAGGTATTCCTGCCGATTTGATCCACCATTTTTTGATTTCAATCTGTAGTGTGCCTAATGTTGGTGTTTGCTTCCGTGATACATCATGGTATAATGCTCAGTTAAATCCCGACGAGACTATATCATCTAATGGCAAGAGTCCGCATATTATGAATCAAGTATTAGCCAAATTTATTAAAACACTTAAGCCTTCAGATGATATGCGTCAACAGGAGCTTGTTTTGAAAATTTTAAAAGCGTGTCCTGAACTTGTTCAAGTGTAAGAATAATATTTTATATATTTTTTTTTATTTTTTTTTTTAAAAAAAAAGAAGAGATGTCTAAATCCTATAATTTGATGATAGATTTTGGAACAATACAGTTCTAATGCTTGAACCACGTATTTCAAGTAAATGGCTGGCTAATATGACTGTTTTACAGAAAATTATTCAATTGCCTGTTCCATCTTTATATTATGGATCAACAGAGCTTTATCCAGCAGAGCCTCCCAGTCCAGAGACAATCCTCGACAATATTTTACCAAATGTTTTTAATCGTTCAGCTTCTAGTAAAGGACTTCAACATGCTAGCCCTCTTGTTAGATATACAACTATGCTTGTTTTATCTGCTGCTTTCCAAAAATATGATAAAGTAGCTCAATCTATTAAAAATGTCATTATGTCTCTTGAAAATTTGGAAATGGAACAAAATCGAGTAAATAATACATCTAATGAAGATCAGAATAAACCATTTGAAAATTGGAAGCGATGTCTTGAAAATGTTCGTGAAGGATTACGTCGTCGAGTTCCCGATATTTTAATCTTAGTTGCACTACATAAACGTACAACAAATATTACTGTTTTGGAGGGTATGGATGAGGAAGAAATAAAATGTCAAAATCAATTATTACAAGATACTGCTTTTAGAATTATTCGCTACTATCAAGAATTTATACCAGAAACATTAATGGAATCAAATATTGATCCAGGAAACTTTATTCCTTCTGATATTTTGAATGTAAAGCCTGGAACTTTAATTCATATTTTGACTCTATTCTTGAACATGCCAAACTTTAATTGGACTAACAAATCATGTAAGTAGAATATATATATTCATTTTAGAAGCGATAACAATATTAATAATACATGCATAATTAAATTAGCTGGATCATCTGTTTCACATATTACAACGTTACTAACTTTGTATATGCAAACACCTTATAAATATATTCGTGAATTGACTGGCAAATTACTGAATCAAACTTTATCTGGCTCATTTATGTTTGTTCATGATCCTGATGAAGTAAAGCTTTGGCTGATGGCTTTACCCCGGAACTTTTCTTCAACATCTAACAATTTAATCATGTCGGAAACGCAGCAAGCTATTCTTCAGTTCTTGGATAATTGTATTAATAGATTTATAAAGGCCCAATACAAGTATACAGATCAATTGGTAGAGCTTGTTAATACAGTAAATTCGAATATTATTTCGAAGGAGAGTAATAATGCTTTAATGCGTGCTTTGATTGTATCCAGTACAACTTCTGATGCTACAACAGATTACAAACATCCTTTCAGTCCACTTTTATTAACATTATGTGAGAATTTAAATTTTATCAAAGCAGAAAGACGACCAGCTGTATTATACTTGACAAATTTAATTTCATTGTTACTTACAAAACAGAACATTCCCTTTTATCTTCAAGCCATATGTGCAAAATTAGATAATGAAGTTGATGATTCCATAAAGATACTTCCTTACGATGTAAGCGAATGGAGCAAAAATGAAATGATCCATCAAGCAAGATTATGTTTGGGTCAAGAAGCATTAGATTCTACTTCAAGCAATACCAGTCATAAAAATATCGAAAACAAATTAGTTTCATTGATTAAACGTAAGTTTTGCAACTAGGATCTCTTATTTTCTTTATACATGTATTCACATTATTCTTATTATAGAAAATGACATTAAGGATATCAATGAATGTAAAAACGAATTTCTCTATATTTTGAACCAACTACCTGTTAAAGTATTTCATCAACATTTAGAAAATATAGCAGCATTTTGTAGCCAACAGTTAAATTGGACTTTATATGAACCACTTGTAGACTATATTCATACTCGACATCCTTTATCAGGAAGTATTTTTTCGTATAATGATGTGGCTCATATGAAGTCATTAATCTCTACGGAACAGTAAGTATCTATATATATATATATATATATATATATTGCCCTTCAAAAATATATTAGGACTTCTAATTATTCAATTATTTATTTAGTGAGCATACGTTATCATTATTAAAGCAAATTCCTTTTAATGTTCTATTTTACAATACAGTTATTTTTAAAAAGTATGACCAGGAAATTTCCATGATCTTATTGAAGCATGCACTTGACACAATGAGGTCTAGCGAGTTGATGAATGCAACATCATTTATCTTTCAACATTTGAATACGATTTTGACGAGCACCAGCAATAATGATCAGAGCTTGGATGCACTGAAATTTTGCTTCACCCTTTTAAGCCATATTGTAAATTTAATGAATCAAATTCAAGATATTAAGCTACGTTCAGAACTAAATACCTTTATCTTTAATCATCCAACTCTAAGATACCTTATATCCGAAATCACAAGAGACATTCGATCTTTCGAGAATATAGACACTTTCCCTACTAAAATTAGTTCAACAGTATGTATTTTTTTTTATTTTTTTTATTTTTTTTTTTTGAGAAATGGCGGTTAAATGGGACGAACTAACTTTTTATCTTTTGTCATAGTATCTTCAATTGACTATTTTATTTATCAACATTTTTGGAAAAGGGTCTAATGGACAAACATTATTAGACTGTATAATTCGAGTTGATTTTGATGGTCTTCATAGATATTGTGAAGAAGTCTTGAAAAGCAACCATATTAACGAAATTATGAAAAAATTGTTAATTATACTTGTAGAATATGTGTATAACTCCAGCACAACCGAGAATTATACTATTCCTTTCAAAGCATTCGAAATTATTACACACCTTTGGAAGTTAGGCACAACTGAAGAATTTCATTTAGAAGTGTTATCCTTATTAGAATTAAGCATGTCTCGAGAACAATTAGCGACCAAGAATGAAGTTGAACATAATGCCATTCATGTGCTTTTAGATGCATGTTGTGAGCCTATCATTAAGTATATTTTGGCTGGTAACAAATGCTCAATTGATCTAGACGCTCTTCGTACATCCTGTGTTGCATCTTCTATAGAAGTCGCTTCAATAGTTCTTAGCTATATCAACAAGCAATGTCCGTTAACACCTAACCTTGTAGATATTATACATATTGGTTATGATCTTTTATTGGACAAAATGGACGACCGAAATGAATATCTTACAAGAGTGATTGAATATCTCCTGAAACAATTGACTTTAGCAGCTGATGTCAATACATTATCTGTAGAAATGCCAGAGGATGCATTTTTTGACAAATTTGTTCAATTTTTCAAAGCCATCCCCGAAAATTTCGACTGGTCTAATTATGTAAACCTGGAAATTGTACGTGATTTTATATTAACAACGTTAATGGATGCCATCTCTAATGCTGCAGCCATTCGCTTTGTGAGCACATTAGTTGAACGTATCTATGATGGCTATGAGAAGCTTGAACCTATAGAAACTTATCTTCGTCGTATTCTGGATCATGATCAATATCAAAGTTTAACTTCACCTGATGTAGCTAAATTGCTTGCACATCAAATACCAGCCAATGATGAACAACGTTTTGCAATTATACAATTAGTTTATATCTTAAACAGAATACAACCTGCGATTTTGGGTAAAAACCATGGTTTACTTGATCCTCTTCTAACTAGCTATAGTGCAACTATAACAACTACTGATAAGCTTATCCTTCATATTTTGATGACTTGTGAAAAGCAAGGTCATGAAACAATCCTTCCTAAATTACTCATGTGGGGGCCAGGCTCTGATCGTACACGTCAAGCACATGCACAAGCAGGTACTCTACTACAAATTAGTACTATTTCTATTGAAACATTTAGTTTAATTGATCCTGCCTTGATGAAATATACCTTCACTCATTTCCCTGCTGAGCGTACACTTGAGATGGATGCTGATTTTACCGATCATTCTTCCTCTGTCGTTTATGATCCTTCATTTTTCTTTCCATTATTTGCAAATATGATATCCTCTGGCGCGATTGAATGTCGTAAGTTTATCGAATGTAATGGATTAGGGTTTGTCATTGTAGGAATGTCATCCACAAATGATATGATTCGACATATTGCTTATCAAATGATGGACCAATTTTATGTCATGATACAGCACGCACGCTTTAAAGAGCAACCTTCTATCTTATTTGTTTTGGATATCTTTAAGAATTCTATTCATGACCGCTCTAACAATGATGTACCTCCTCGTATTCCCGCTGCTATCAGTGTCTGTATTGCGCATGCAATGTCTATCTTACTTCATCCTGAACACTATATGCATCCTCATATTACCAATTGGATTATGCAAAGCTCAACCTTTGATTTCAATGTAAGTTTAGTATATTATATATGAAACAAGCTTAAAAAAAAGAGAGAGAGAGAGAGAGAGACTAATACTTTGTATATTTAGTATGTTCCAATGTTTAACTCCTTATTTAATTCAACTTCACCCAATCATAAAAAGGAGCGTCTTTGGCTACTTTATGTGCTATCATCATCTATAAAAACATTTGAAGACTATAAAATATTTTCAAGACAAAGTATTTTTGATCTAATTGCTGTATTTTATAACTCTTCATGTGCTGACAAATTAAGTAAAAAAGTGATTATTGAGGTAAGTATTTATATTCATATAAAGAAATAGAAAGAGAGAGAGAGAGAGATTCATTAATTTCTTATCATAGATTATGGAACAAGCAACAGCCATTCCCAGTGTTACATCTAACTTAATACAATATAATGGATTACTAGCCTGGATACATCAAGCAATGGCTTTTGCCTCAGATGACGAAGAATTTAAAGCATGGGAAGGCATATTAAAATCAACAATGGATAGTGTTCATAGAATTGAAAGAGTACCTGAAAAAGTAAAGTCAATATTATCTGATGAAGCTCTTGTATTATCAGAATTAAGATAAATATTATGTAAGATATTTAATCGCGCAAGATTTTAAGTTTAATTACATAATTATACACACCTAATAAATTTGTATATTTATAATTAGAAACATTGTCTTGGTATATTTTCTCTACTTTAATATCTAATACATTAGACATTCAGTTTGCTTGTTAAAATATATGTATATATTTGTATAAGATATATTTTGAAATATGTATTATGTTTGTTTTCGTTTTTGTTTTCGTTTTTTTTTTTCGTTTTTTTTTTCGTTTTTTTTTTTTGTGTAATTATATTATGTACAAATAGATAAAGAAAATTGCTATAGATTAAGCATTCGTATATACACAAACATACACATATATATAGATATACATATAAATATGTATGTATATATAGTTATATTAGTCCTTTTTTTTTGTTTTTTGTTTTTTTGGTCATGTATAAAAAAATAAAATAAAATAAAAAATGATACTAGGGAGAAGTAGAAGGAGAGTGCATAGTAAAGAGATTATAATAGTAGTTTTACAGTTGATTATAAAAGGGTAAAAGTTAGAAATGTAATATATAAAATATGCTTATATATGTGTATATATAAAAAGTGTTATGTAAATATAGGGGAGGGGGGAGGTTTTTTTTTTTTTTTGTTATATAAATGTACGCTGTTAAAGGTCTTCAATAAAAATACCAGAAGATTCATTTGATCCTATAGAAAGATTCTCTAGGTCTCCATCTTCATCGTCAATGACAATCGACTCAACTTCATCTTCTTCTTCATCTGAAATAATAGTTTTTCTATTCTCAATTTGTTGTGATATATCATCGCTTTGAGTGTATAATTTTTTCTCAGAGCCTCTACGTTCCATATTAATCAAAATAGCAGCAGCCTCAAGCATCTGGACTTGTTGATGCTTTGTTAAAGGTAATTTTTTTGTAATTTCCCATTCCTCTGAATGCTCCCAACGATGCTTTTGTAAACAATTGGGGCTTTTATATGACTTTCCACAGTCATTGCATCGGTATTGTCCACTAAATGATTCCGAAAGACCTCGATTAATAGTAAAAGTACTCTTTCTTCTACCTGCAGAACTACTAATATTTATTTCTGATTGGCGACGGTTACGGATAGTTAGTCCTCCAGTAGCTGCTGCTGTAGCAGTTGCTGTAGTACTTGTAGAAGAAGTTGCGTGTAGACTTCGTTTATGACTTACGGGTAATGGTATTAATGAATGATCAATTGTATAGTTTTCTGGCATAGAAGTTGAATAGTCTTTAATAGACATATCATTAAAGACTGTTTGGAGTGAGTCTCTTCGTTTTTTCTGTTCGTTAATTAGGACAACAGGAGCTGCAGATGTAGATGACTCTTCACCACAAAAGGAATTTGGAGGTGAAGGAAGTCCATTTGCTGTACTAGTTTGATGACCTTTTTCAACAATAAGCATCCTTTGCTGCTGTTCTTTCTCTTGTCGAAGTTGGAAGCTAAGTAAGGACGACATGATGTTTGTCTTATTCAAAAAAAATAAAATAAAATAATAAATATGTAATGTAAAATTGCTAAATGGTATATGTATATTTATATGTATTAAAAAAAAAAAAAAAAAAAAAAAAAAAAAAAAAAAAAAAAAGAGGTTCCAGGGCGCAAATTAAAAGGAAATAAAAGAAGTTCGGCGATTAAATTAAGAAAAGCCATGTTTTTCACAAGTGTATGCTGCAATTAAATAAAACCTAAATAAGCATATAGTAATAAACTTTACTGCACTGTCCGAGTCGGTTTAAAAAGAAAAAGGAAAAAAAAAAAAAAAGGAAAAAAGAGGAAGAAGAGATGGTCTCAAATGTGAATAAGGAAGAAAAGAAACTATTTTGTTTGAATAGGAAGAAATGTAAATATTTTTATTTAAGGCTCGAGTTTTATGGAAACTATTTTCAAGATTAGGATAAAATATCATCATTCTCAAAGAAATATCTTGCGAATGCATTTTGGATATGGACTCAAAATTTGGAAAGAACTTCCATTTGAGTGGTTATATTGGACTCTGATGGCTTTATTGTCTTTATCTGTTCTGGATAATCATGCTATAGTATTTCTGCTTAAATTATGGACGTTTACAATTATTTCTTAGATGATAATATTAACCAGCAGCTGTTGTTTCGGACTTATTCAATTAGCATAGATAGTAGTCTTTGCAATGATTATATGTGATTATTTTATTTTATGCTATTAGAGTATATAATAATGCAATTTGTATACATTTATTATTAGTAATTTTACTTTAAAAGCCTGTTTTAGGCATTTCATTTTTTTTCTTCTTTCTTCTTTGAGACTTTGAACTTTTATATTGAGATATTGATGATCATATTCGGCTAATTGCTTAAAAAAAATAGTCAAAATCACTCTTTAAGTTGATACTACTTCAATGTTCATATACAATATATCTATGGAAGATTATTTAATTCACCTTACGATACGCAAGTCAAGTCCAGTTTTGTTAATGAAAACAAAAGTCTTAAGATTATCTTTCTGTTTTAACTTTTGTTTTTATCATAGAAATTTGTATCTGTGGCGTATTTTTATACTGTATCATACTATTTATAAAAGTAGAAAGAAAGCCCTTGGGATTTTTGTATACAAAAAATCGTTTTGCACTTTATTACTAGTTAAAAGTATGGCGTATTTGATTAAAAATCATTCGAAACCTATAAATCAGTTTTTGAATCTTTAATAATATATTTTTTTTTTGTTAAAGTAAGTTAAATATGAAATATCTCATAATATTAATAGATAATATGCTTATGGATAACAATCGTCAAATAGTTTTTTTTTTATCAAACTAAAGATTTCTATATACTTAGTATAAATTAAGAAGGGAATCACATTTATAATGACATAATTACATACATAATATAAAGTTAGAACTTAAAACTTCGATACATAAGAACTATAATGCTATATTGTCGGGACGCTTTTCATAAATAGGATTAAAAAATCTTTAAAGTATAGCCTTCAGAGTTTTTAGATACTAGAGCCGAAGATTTAAAACATATATAGACGCATTGTAATTGTTATGTTTGATGTATTAAAAGGAGAGTAAAAAAATGCTTCTGTGACAAAATAAAAAATAAATAAATACATGTTATACACAAGCATTGTGATTATACGCCAAATACAAAACTTATTCATAAATAATTAGACTAACAGTACTATGCTTCAAAGTTGATAAGGTTTTCTTGCTTTCTGTATTTTAATACAATAATGTGCATATTAGGATCAATACTTTGAATATAAATGTTCGTATTATAAACAAGGAGTTGTGATTCATCTTTTATCATCTACTAATAACTACTTGTGGATTTATAATTAGCTTTTCTAAAGTAGCTATTATATAAAAGTAGTATAGCAGTAGATATAAATATACATAAAATAAATTATAGCAGCTGTTTCTAAAATCAAGTAATAGTTTGTTAGCTTTAAACAATAACTGATTATTCAATCCTATAGTTTTATTATTATTATTATTATTATATGGATATATAAGCTATAAAGATGATTAATACTTGTATGATATATAGTCTTAGCCATTTGTAGCATCAAAGAATACATCATTTCCTTCTCGTGTAGGCAACTTGTTTACTTGTTGATCGTTAACTTTAGTATATCCAAGCCGAGTTGAACGGTTATTCGTTGGTGTAATAACTGAACTATCGCTAATACCGGAGTTAGATAAACTAGTGTTACGGATACCTGATGAAGATTTACTATACCTATAATCATTGTTATTTCTTTCATAATCAGTTGTAGTAGTAGGAGAAGAAGTATTCATAGAAGAGATATTTCTAGTATTCTCATAATTAAGATTTTTAATCTGAGGATTATAATTCTGACCCTTTTCAGTGTAAGTATTATAGGGCTGTGATACGTTGTTATGATTGAACATGGACGAGTTATTAATAAGGTGGTTATCATTTCCAGTAGATTCTTCTTTATTATTTGGCACAGTCATTGGCTTCATATCTAAAGCTTCATTTTGGTGCGGCTGTTCTCTGGTATCACCTCCAGCAGTAACAGCTTTACTATTATAAGGTGTATTTTGATGTTTACTATTATACATACAAGTATTTTGGTCAAATAATCCATTTAAGTTTTGTGGTTGATTTTTATCATTTGTAGGTATCGCCTGATTTTGATTTGTTTGCTTGGATGAATTATTATTATAATTATTATTGTTACTTTCTTTAGCTTGTTGGGGAGATGATTTAGTAGTTTTAACAGGAGCATTTTGCTGAGAATATGAACTATGATCAATAATATTATTTGCTGCTTGTTGATTTGGTGAATTCATACTAACTTCTTCATGTTTAATAACCATAGAACGTATAATTTGGATCCATTGTTGAATATGATTAGGATCAGTAGAAGATAATTGGAGTACTCTTCTACTTTTAAATAACCCATTTATTATTTTCCCCTTCAACTTGAATAAGTGGGTTAAAGGGTCAATAAACGCTTCAGATTGAGGTAAAAATATGGATAACTCAGGATTCATAGGTAATTCCATCAGGCCATCTTCAGAAGCGAAACGATACAATATACCCACTATACATATATATATATATATATATATACAGATAATATAGTTAGAAAGCTTTTGTAGATATATTAACTTTCTCATATAAATATATATATATATCATTACCTGGACTTATGATATAGTACCCTCGACTCCAACCCTTTCCATTTAATCTTTGCAAATATCCTGCAATCAATGGTTGAGCAAGCCGATGGTTAGCATTTGGGAAATCAAGATGATTCATGTCTTTAAAAGCAGCTGTTTGTTTAACTAGTTCATTATCATGATGATGAACAAAATCCATCCATTCAGAGTCTGTTTCAATGGCATTAAAAATATTAGCTGCTTTAGTGATTCCTTCCAAGTTTTCTAAATGTTTTTGACAACGATATTCTTCAAAACTTTGAAACACATTACGATAAACATTAATAATTTTTTGTTGCTCAAACTGACGATAAGCATCCTGTGTATGGAGGAACTCTTGATGTAAGCGGTTTTCTTGCTTATACATGTTTCTGATTGTATGAATTACAGCTAATATAAAGTAAATATATATATGTGTATATGTATGTATTTAGTCATTTATCTTTTTCCATATTTAGTATATTAGTGTATATTATACCATATTTGACTAACAAAGGATCTCTTTTAGGTATGACATAATAATCGTTTGCCTTTTCTTGCTTATTAAGGGTAGAATGAATATCGAAATTATAGCGGGTAATGATCTTATCTACTTTTTCACGACAGTTATAAAGTACAGTTGTTCTTAATGCTTTATTTTTTCTTAAAGATCGCATTTTTTGATCAATATCCTTTAACATATTGTGCAATGATGGTATAATAGCGTTCTCAATAAATTCGACAAAGTCTTCATGAATTAAACTATTTTCACGACTATATTGTCTAAAGGACATCCATGCATCCTGTACACCATTTGATGATTTGAATTGATTTTTAATTTTAGTAGGGAACTTGAAGTTAGCATCAATTTTTTGATAACCTTTCCCTGTATTAGTTTCAACTTTTTTAATACTGCGAAACAGGCTAATCTATAAATACGTTTGTTAAACAAACAAAAAAAAAAAAAAGAAAAGAAATGGTTAATATTCATTGATAAATATTAATGCATTCCGTCAATAATGTACCAAATATTTAATTGAAACCTGCCAATCTAACAATCGTTTGCATAAAGTATTGACAGGGTCTATCCCATCTTTCATACTATAAATCTGCTTTTGAATAGTTCTCTTTCGTGTCGGAAGCCTAATGATAGAAGCCTTTCGAGGAGGACGTGCTGTAAATTTTGGAGGTGGAGAAACTAACGGCACATCAGTACGACTATTACTCTGTTGATTTAATCCTCTCCTTGAGTTTTCTATATTATTTGTTATTTCTGAAGATACTGTAGTGTTATGCGTTACAGTTGGTGTAAAATCTTCAGCATTAGCATCATGAGCTAACCAAGGTAAGCCAGATTGACCAGGCACGACATTAAATGAATTTTTATTACTTGTTTGTACAGGTGAGATGGGTGGAGTAATAATGCTTTGGACTGGCTGTTGTTGCTCTGTTTTTTCAACGAAATTATTCATATTTTCTCAAGTAAATTAATAAGAAAAAGAAATAAAGTTATTATTTAAATCCATTTACGTATTTATACTTTATGATATTATCAGTAAGAAGATATAGTCTGCATTATATAATGACGCTAGTTAAGGGTAATGATTTATTATTATATCCAATAATATTTTTACGTTGGCGTATTTTAAGTTACAAGCCTTTTTTTTTTTCAGAGTCAAAGCTGATTATGCTATGGTTCTATACGGCGCTTTTTAACTAGTTCATCATCATCTTCTAATTCATCTTCATCGCCGTCTTCATCTATTTCATCTTCTTCATCTTCATCCTCTTCCAATACGGATATATCTCTTTTTAATGCATTGTTTTGTTCTTCACCTTCCTCTGATTCCTCACTATCACTAGTTTCGTGTATTGTTGTACTACTATTAGTTTGTTCCTCCTCTTCGTCATTCTCTTCTTCAGCCTCATCATTATCATCAAGAACTGCCTCTTCCTCCTCCTCCTCCTCCTCCTCCTCCTCCTCTTCTTCTTCTTCTTCTTCTTCTCCACCAGTATCTTCTTCTAAATCCACTTCTTCTTCTTCTTCACCATCTTCTTCTTGTTCACCATCTTCTTGTTCACCATCTTCTTCTTCGCCATCTTCTTCTTCCTCTTCTTCCTCCTCATCGTCACTATTCCCTAAATCTTCTTCTTCTATATCTGATTTCGCCTGGAACTTGTCTAGGAAATTTTGTACTTTTGTTTTAAAGATGGATTCATTTATTGATTGCGATAATAGATCATTATTATTCTGAATAGATAAAACTAAAAGATGAGTATATTGAAGATCTTTAAATAGTTGAGTGCATTTTTTCGTCATGTATATGAATCGTTCTTTATATGTATTTGATTTATCTTTTAAAACTTGACATAAATCAGTAATTTGTTCTTGTCTTTCAAAAATATTATCTTTTAGCCATTTTTCTGAACTATGTTCGATTGATTGCATCTGGTTGATAATAGCTGCTGCATATGCATCCTCTTCATTCTTATATCTATTTACAATAATAAGGTAAGACTACATGTTCTTTTTATTTAAGGAAATGTGTAAACAAATACAGTACATTCCAATGGCTTTATGAACTAGGTTTTTATCGTTCGCATCATCATAACTTATTAAAATAAAGTCTGTAACACAATTATTTAAATGTTGTTCTTCTTTTGATTGAACCATGCTAACTTAAATGCTTATGTAATATTTATATATATTTATATTTATATGCTGTCAAGTGAATAATTATATATATCAAGCGTATTATACAAATCCAAAAAAAAAAAGATAATGATAATAAAATAAAATAAAACTAGACCGCGTAAAGTTATAAATAATTATTTATTGATTTTCCCTCCCTTTATTTCTAAACCCAGTAATAAAAATTGTTTCCTTTTTCTTTTTTTTTATATATGAACAAGACTAGTAAACTACTAAAGCCTTATTTGAGAAAATTTGTTTTAGAAACTCATCCAGACTTTTTTCAATATAATTCATTAAGAAAACAAACCAATGCCACTTCCTTACAAAAATTATATAATATACTTCAACCAGACAAAGATACAAAATTTGATACAGAAACAATTAAGCTAAAATTCTTTATAAAGAGTCAAAAGAAGCATAATAAAGAATTGCCAGCAGCTGTTGCTACATTTAACTATCGTGATTCAGAATGGAATAAAGCAAATACATTTCTTAACCTATGTCAGCAACTTAATATACCCATTTTACAGTCTGATGTAGACATTGTTAAGGAAATGATATCAAAGGAACTAAATAAGGCTATTAAATCCAAGCCATATAAATCTTTAACGCAAGAATTTGCAGAGAAACTGCATCAGAAATACAATGCATACACAAATAAGAAATGGGAGCCCGATGATATACTAAAGCAAAAGATGATCATGTTTGATCCACTTGTAAATCAGACATTAATAGCTAAGAAATTATGTCAATGGCTACCTCAATTACAACCTCAGCTATGGTGGGGTAAAATACCTATGCTAATAATCTCATCTAATTCTGATTTACCTCCTAAAGAATTAACTAAAGATTTATTAATCTTTAAAAGTAATATGGAATTCGAAGGTAATGAAAAAAAAAAAAAAAAAAGCATACAATAATTAAATTCAATCTATTAATTAAATATAAGTTAGATTTGAAGAATTACCTAGACGTACGTTTGAAGAATATAACAAAATAAAACCATTATTAGCAGAAGTAAATGATGATCATATTGTATTGTTTAATATTATGAAACTTTCCGTTTCTCTTTTCTTTTTTTGCCCCTGGTTATTGTTGTATTTCCTTGTCGTCGTAAATTGCTTTAAGAAGAAGCATTAATATGATTGGACAAAACTTAAAAGCGGGGCTTTTTTTTGACAATGACAAAAAAAATACCGTTTTTTTTTTTTTTTTTTTTTTTCTTATTTACCTGACATCAATTAAATTTTGAACAACATTACTTACAAAAGACAATTTCAATTAAATAAATCCTTTTTATTTTTATACATGTATATATTTATAAATGGGGAAAGATAATCATCAACAAAAGTCAATATACCAGGCTAATCTTAGACAGGCTTTAGTAGCAGGTGCCTTGGCTGGGACTGCTGCTGATTCAGTTTTATTTCCTTTAGGTATAATTAAATAAGCAAATTTTGAAATAAAGAAATTACATGTAATAATGGTTTATATATATATATATATAACGATAAACAAAAATAATAGATACCATTAAAACACGATTGCAGTCAAGAGCTGGGCTTGCTATATCAGGCGGATTTCGTAGTGTTTATTCTGGTTTATTGTCTGCATTTGTTGGAAGTGCTCCAAATGGTAATGCTAAGCAATATATATATATTTACAATGTAATTTATATATTTCTCTACTAATACAGAATACTTGTAGCTGCTTTATTTTTTGTTACTTATGAAGCAATTAAAAGGTTGCTAGGTGCTTCTACAGATGGTTTATCAGATTCACCCTATATTTTTATGACAGCCGCTACATGTGGTGAAATAGTATGTATGCATTTTTTATTTTTATTTTTGTGTGTGCATGGGTGCTAATTTGACAGTATATAGTCTGCATGTACAGTTCGTGTCCCCACAGAAGTTATTAAACAACGTATGCAAATTAAGCAATACAATACAACATTGGGAGCAGTCACTAGCGTATTAAGGACAGAGGGATTATTAGGATTTTATCGAGGTTTTTTACCCACTGTAGCTCGAGAGATTCCTTTTACTTGTATTCAATTTCCTGTTTATGAATATTTAAAAAGAAAATACAGCGATCATAAAGGCGATAATGTAGAACCTCTTGAAGCTGCTGTTATGGGTTCTTTAGCAGGTGGATTTGGTGCGGCTATTACAACACCATTAGATGTTTGTAAGACTAGAATTATGCTTTCATCCAAGGTTTGTAAATAGTATGAATTATGGAAATAGATGACTTGAGGAAATTTAATTATTATTTATATCATAATAATAGACAACAGAATTTGGTATCAAGCCATATACAGGCATTATAGAAACGATTAAGAGAATAGTTCAAGAAGAAGGCGCAAAGAAATTATTTGCAGGTCTTGGACCTCGTGTTTTATGGATATCTATTGGCGGCGGTATTTTCTTAGGTGTATATGAAAAGGGATTAAAGACTTTTACACAATTACAATTATTGGAGAAATAATATAGAGTTGAATTATTTACACATGTAACCATTAGAGGAAGAGGAAGAAGGAGAAGAAGAAAAACTATATATATAGCACACAATCACTTTTTGTACATATACATATACATTGTAATATTTAATAAAACCTGTAGTATGCATCTTTATAAGAAAATCGTGATGCTTTTTTCTAACAGGCTTAAGAAAAACTGGTGCAACACTGAGAAGAGATTGAACTAATATGAATCTATTTCAAAGCCATTGAGATCCTTGTAGCTGAGACGATTTTTATTTTTTTCTTCAATTCATTTTAACTTTATTAAACAATATCGACTTAATAATGTCATTTATCCCATACTGACCAGACCAGCAAGAGCAATTTGTAGATGAATACATTACTTCCGATAAAGAAATGGAAAAAAGAGACTTGTGATTGTAAACATACATTCTCATATACTTACATACGACATATTATTTATTTTATACAAATTGTTAAATCCAATAATATGAATAAAAGTAAGTAGAGAGACAAAATAAGTGAACCGTCTAAACAAAGTATGATTTTTGATTATGGTTGGCTCTACAGGCCAGTATCTAACCAGGTTAACCATCAGGCTAACCTCTATGTCGTGTATATAATGATGTATTACACAGTATCTTATAATATACAGATTAGAGTCATGAATATTATTTGATTTCAGTTTATAAGACATTCTTGTAATGAGAAAAATAATAATATTATAATAAATACTAACGTTACGAAATAATGACAAGCCAAACAATAGTATAAAGAGTTATAAATGATAAAGACATATATGAATTATAGACTGTACCTATTAGTCATATATACACATTATTGTTATAATATTATCTAGTATACTATCTATACAATATACAATATAATGACATTCATTCAAGTAGTACATTGAAGAATGAATATAGAACACAAAGAAATCTATATCAAAAAGCATCTTTCCTATATCATTCACAGGTATGAACAAATGAGATCTCATTATTTCATTTCAAGGAAAATAACCAAACCTGCTAGATCGAGCACGAATAATTTAATATTTATTAGAGTGAGTTAACTGAGATTAATTCTTCATTCTGTTCCTGTTGCAAAGTAACCCGTTCTCCACAAGTTATAAATAAGCACTCCTTTTTTAGAGCTTAGCTTTTTTAATTTATTCTTATTTAATTTCTTCATAAAAAATCATTTAGCATTTATAATAAATTTAGAGATGTTATCTTAGTTCTTTTTAGAACTGTCATGAGCTGATTTATAATGTCATGTTTCTTGATTAAACATTCGGATCAAGAAATTCATCATCTATAACATAACTTATTCGATCGTAACTAACACTTTTCTGACTCACATCTTATGTCAGGCCTCTTTAACAATTCTTATAAATACTCTCATCAATTTAAATTCATAAATAAAATCATTGACACTAGAACCATTGTTCAGTCTCGTTGACTTTCTCTTGTCTTTTTATTATTTTTATTTGATATTTTACAAGTAATATCACACATATTTCGATGTTAGAACAGTATATAGAATAAAATGCATTGTATACTATATAAAGGGGGAGGGGAAAGATTACTGTGAATGCAAGTCAAAGATACTTAAACTGGTTTTCATAGCATGCATCAACGAAGCTAAAATCGTTAATCTTTACAACATCATTTTGGCAAAAGAATGATTTTAAGCACAACACAAGAGAGACTAGACTTATCAAATACCCCTTGTTAGAAAATAGTAGTATATTGTACAAATGAGATGCAAATTAGTTGCCTAAATAGGAAAAAGAAAGTTGATGAGAATATAAACAAAAAAGTGAAAACAAAAGACATTTATTTTATTTACTTTTCTTTTCTTTAGCATAAACACATTTCATATAGTCATAAAGAAGATATAAAATTGACAACATTTTACTATTTTACACATTGTTACTTTTTATAAGAAAGAAAGAAAATTAAATAATGTAACTGTGTGTATTAAATGTGGGGTAACACATATTCTTATCGATTTCATATGATTGTGACTGTAATTTACAACAACGACCTCCTTATTCTTATAAAAAAGTAGATATTCAAAGTTATTTTTTCTTCTTTTTCTTCTTTATTATTACTATTTCTTTTGTAGGTAAGTCATTAAATAATACTATTTTATTCTTCTTCTTCTTCCCTGCCCTAGGAGGAAATTCTTTTTCTCATAGTTACCACTTATGTAACGCCTTGTGAATCAACAAGACACCCTATCTTGCCCTCCTTGAATTAGGAGGACATTGTAGGGTATCTTGTTGATTCAGAGGGCATTACATATTGTGCTAGCTATGGGTTTTTTCTAACCTCCTAGTAAAAATAAAAAATACAAGAACAAAGAAGGTGCAACGAATCCTAGCCTCCACGCGGCCACCTTTGGACTGCAGTAAATATTATTATTTTTACTGTTGACGAATTGGGGATTCACTTTTTTATATATGAAATAAAAATGAAAATAAAATACAATAAATATCTTTTTTTTTACGCGTCTTTTAATAATCTTGTGCCTTTTCTTTTTTCTCTAAGAAAAAATATCTATTTTTCTTTAACTAAATTGTCTTGGCCAATTTTTCATTTCGTCTCAACTAGATTCACTGAAAATTTGGCCATCCCACTAGAAAGAAATTGTGTCCAAATATTTATTCAAAACCCAATATATTAAATAATTATTATTATTATTATTATTTTCTTTTTGGTATAGAAAGAAAAGCTATAAAGTCTTGTTATTGATTATACATTTACAAATTTCTAATTATGATGAACTCTTCTTGGTAATACGCTTTTTATTAAGACGTTTATCATCGTGTAATTCCTATTTCAAGAAGTTAGTCATGTTTATTTAAGGAAAAAAAACACTCATTTCATAATTTACCATGCTAGCTGCACGTTTTGCTGCAGTGACTTCACCTAATTCATCAATAATATCATTTTCATTCACTTCATATTTTTCCATTTGTTTATCTGAAAAAAATCATATGTCAATCAAACCTTCACTATGAACAAATTGATAATAACTTACTTATACGTGCTTCAATGTTTTGAATAAGTTGAATATCTCTTTCAGTCACAATCGAAATAGCTTTACCTCCTCTACCAGCACGAGCTGTACGACCTACACGATGAATATAATCTGTAGGATCTCGAGGAATATCGTAATTTAATACACATTCCACTGAGGGAATATCTAAACCACTATATAATACAATCATGGTTAAATATCATAATAAAATTTATTTAATTTAATTTTTTTTTTGTATCTTACCGAGAACCAACATCAGTTGAAATTAGGATCTTTATAACTTCAGCTCTAAATTTACCGAGTGAATTTAAACGTTCCTGTTGTGTCATTTTGGAGTGAAGTCCTGTACATCGAATACCCAATTCTTTTAACATATTTGTTATTAATTCAGCTGTTGAGCATCTTCCACAGAAAATAATAATAGACTTGTCATTTAAATCATCTGAACGTAATAAATGTGTTAAATAGACTATTTTTACTTGTGATGGTACAAACAAATAGAATTGATCCAAAGTACTGACAGTAGAGATAGACATATCGCAAACATGAACAAAGGGACGTTTTTTAGGATCTTCTTCAGCATCACGTAACGCTAAAATCGAATCTGTCATTGTAGCTGTGAAAAGAAGGGTATGTCTGTCTTTGGGTAGTAAAGGTAAAATGACTTCAAGTTCAGGTGCAAAAGTGGAAGATAACATTCGATCAGCTTCATCCATAACTAAAAATTTACAACGTCTCAAATCTACTGCGCCTGAACTGCTTCTGATATGATCTCGAAGTCGACCTGGTGTTGCAATAATAACATGTGGTTTTTTTGAAAGTTCAATAGCTTGTTTCATCATATCTAATCATGTTTAAATTAAGATAAAAGATGAGTGTTAACTTGAATATAATATGTATATATATATATATATAATAAGCTTACCCATGCCACCAACAACAACACATTCTTTTAGGCCAACTCCTTTACCAAGAACTCGAAATTGTTCCGCAATTTGAAATGCAAGTTCTCTTGTAGGTGTTAAAACGAGAGCAAATACACCGTAAGGATCTTCTGATAATTTTTGTAAAATCGGAAGTGCAAATGCAGCAGTTTTACCTGAACCTGTCTTTGCTCCACCAATAACATCTTTACCAGCAAGAATAGGTGGTATACAAGCTCTTTGAATCTCTGTAGGCTCTTTGATTGACATGGCTTTTAAAGTTTCACAAAGCCAATCATCAATTCCAAGATCAGCAAAGGTGGAGCCTTGAGGCGCAATTGTTTGTTTCTTTTTCTCGACTGCTTTTTTTTGTGAGGCAGCAACTCTACTTAATGTTCTACTTTCTGTCATTACTTGATATATACAAATTAAGGGAAAAAAAAAGCTATGTAATTTTTTTTTTTTAAAAAAAAAAAAAAAAAAAAAAAAAGAATTGAAATGAAATGAAAAAAAAAGAGAACTATATGACGATGGTCACAAACCGAGTCACAATAGTCACCTTTGATTTTTATTGTGTTTGTTCCTGGAATATAGAAGCGGAGTTTTATTCAAAAAAGAATTGCCAGATTATTATGTAAATGTATTTTTATTTTATCAAATTTTTGTTGTATAATATTTATAAAATCTCATAACAAATAAAGTAAAGGGGGGAAAAGTAAACAGCGAAATACATGATACAAATATATTATTATTCTTGACTGTTCCCTCCTTAATAATTCTTCATCGAATTCTCAAAGATAGAAGCAAGTTGTTCACGAGCTGGCTCACGAGTGGGGGCAAGTTTAGTAACACGATGCTGAGGTAAAGCACCTTCAACCAAAGCAGGAATATAAGATGAATCATAGCCAAGTGCACTCAAACCATTTGGAACTCCTAAATCTTCAAGGAATCGAGTTAATCTTTCGGCAAGAACCTCACCAGCCATAGCTTCCTTAATTTGAGTAGGATCGGCACCAAAGGCGGTAGCAGCATCAATATGACGATCGGGGCATGCAGCAGATGTAAAGCGGAAAACGGATGGTGCAGTTAAAGCAACAGAGACACCATGAGGCTAAGTAGAAACAATGTTAATTAGTGTGTGTGTGTGTGTGCATTTTTCACATTAAAAAAAAAAAGAGGGGGGAGAGGGGAGCGTTGAAAAATTAAACTTACAACAATAGCATGATCGACATTATAGCCAGGATGCTTATAGTTCTTGTTCAAACCACTAATAGGATAACTCAAACCATGACAAAGATGTACACCAGCATTACCAAAACCAATACCAGCAAAAGTAGCAGCTAAAAGCATCTGGCCTTGTGCTTCATGATCCTCAGGGTCCTTAACGGCTCGGGGTAAATAATCAACAACCATCTTCAAAGCATGAAGAGACCAAACATCACTAATAGGGTTAGAACCTTGATAAGCAGGTCTCTCAATAGGATCTTTAGGACGAGGAGAACGTTGGTTATATGGCAAGGCAGTATAGGATTCGAGAGCATGACTTTATATTAAAAAAAAAAGATGAGTTTTATGTTCCTTTTTTTTTCCCAAAGTATAATTACCATAAAACATCTAAACCACTAGCCAAATGAACTTGAGAAGGCATACTACGAGTATTTAAAGGGTCAACAATACCAAGTAAAGGCTTGAGTGCACGATGAGCAATACCAGTTTTTGTGTGAAGGGGCTCATAATCAAAAATGGCAGTACCAGTTGTTTCTGAACCAGTACCAGCAGTAGTAGGAACTATTATAAATTAATAAGAAAAAAAAGAAAGTAAGATATAATAGTACGCCAAAAAAAAAATTATGTATTGATGACTCTTACCAGCAATTAAAGGATTTAACTTCTTTCTGATAGGTAAGCCTTTACCAATAGGAGCATTGACGAAATCTAAAAAGTCAGCTTCTGGATGAGCGCTGTAAAGACTTGCAGCCTTCGTAGTATCAATAACAGAACCACCACCAACAGCAACAAATGCATCAGGATTATGCTTACGTGCAAAATCAATAGCAGATTTAAAACTTCCATCTGTAGGCTCTACACGACATGTATCATAAAGAACATAATTGACCTTATGTCTTTCTAGTGATTCAATAACTGCTTTAACTGGATGAAGCTTGGCAATCTGAACGAGACAAATAAATAAATAAAGTTGTATAACACTCATATTTAAGATTAAACTTACATTGCTATCAGTATAAACAGCAACTTTCTTTGCTTTAATGTTATTTAAATCCATACCGATTTCACTTGTAATAATAAAAATATTTGAATTGACAGTTTTTTTTTAACATAATATTTTTTTTTTATTTTTACCTAGTAACACCAGGACCAAAACGAATATTACTAGCAGCCATTTCAAAGGCATAGTCTGTAGTTTCTTTGGCACTGGCATAGTTACGACCATATTTTAACAAACTGGAAAAGGCACCCAGATTAGCATTATGGGAGTGTGCGTGAGAGTGACAAGGACAACTGCTAGCCCCAGATTGAATTAAGCTTAAAAGACGTGTAGCGTTTGTACGTGAAGCTGCTGCTGCCATTGCAACTATATTATTGAAATAAGTTATAGAGAAAAGAAAAGGTGAGCATATAAGTGTGTGTATTTTTTTTTCTTTTTTGTACACAATAATACACTTCTTTTTTGGAAAGTAAGGTTTCTATTTCACCACGGTCACATGATTCATACTATGTTTAACCGACTCATCATCTTCTAGCAAGTAGGACAGAATTGTCAAGGAGGTATTTATAGAGCAGTATATTTATCAAACTAAACAACCTATAAAAAGGTTTTTAATAGCATATTGATATTGGCCTTAAAAAAAAACACATGAATATAAACAAAAAATCAAAGAACAATTTCACAGTTTCATTAAACGCATAAAGCATTTACCGTTCATTTTCGAGCTTTATTTTCTCAAGGTTTTATAGTGTGGGACTAAAAAAAAATAAAAAAAAAATATCCTTAAATTAACATTAATTATAAAATAAAAAGTCTATTGTTAGCGTATTATTTTAAATCAAAGGAGAAGGAAGTGTGAATAGTGCGGGGCGGGGAAATAGAGTAATAATATATTGAGGAGACGATTTATATTCTTATGTTTTTTTTTCTTTAGGCAAGTTTGTTTGTATAAGCAAGCCAAGAACCTGGTGGATATTGATAAGTGGTTCTACTACGTGTGGTACGACGACTCATTTCATATTTATTTAAGTTTTGTTGATCCTATTATTACATAAAGGCATAAACATATAACCTAAAAAGTTACACTAAAATGTATTCTTGCTTACCAAGGTACGCTTTTTCATTCCATTTAACAAATTATGAAACTGCTTTTCTAATTCTCGTTTTAGTCTAAATTCACGAACACCTTTAGGATTTAACCAGTCTAATAACCGTTGTATCTACAAAATAAATGAAAATGTAAGTTTTTTCTTTTTTTCTTTCTTTCTTTCATATAAAAGCTTTACATCTTCTGGCTCATCATAAGATTGCCACCATTCTTCACTCGTATAAGAATCATCTTTCTTTGTCAATGCTTCAATACGCTTTTCAAAAAATTCCACTTCTTTGATTAAGCCTTGCTCCTTCATTAACTGAGATACAAACTTAACACCTCCTCCACGCCCGCATGGTAGAGATACATCCAAATCTATTGATTCAATCGAATCACGCTCTTGCAAAACCATCAAATCTGTATCACTAGGACTTTGAACAAATAACCTTCCAGAACCATGCAATAATGTGCCTCCAATATCATCCAAGTAATAATAACGATTATAAAATTTATCTCGACCAAGAGGTTTAATACGATGATTATTATATTTACGCATATCACGTTCAATCTGTTCTTCCTTTTTGTGCATAACTCGTTCCTCTTCATCAAGTCGTTTACGAGTTGCATTTCGAATTTTAAGCTCTTGATTTCGTATACGTGCTTCCTCACGTTGAAGATGATGTAATTTCAATCGTTTAGCTTCTCTTTCTTCTCGTTCTTGTTGGCGTCGTTTCAGGGCTTCCAGTCTTAATTCATGACGAGAAAGCTGTTCTGCTTTACGTTGTGCTTTTAGAAGTTCATTATCCTCATTATCACTCGTGTCATCATCAGATTCACTTTCTTCAGTTTCATGTATTTCCGGTAATTGGTTATTTTCTTCATTTTGTTTATTTTCCAATTCACGTCTTTCAGCATGACTTTAATATAAATAAATGCATTAATATTCTTGTAAGCTGTATGTATCGATATACTTACATTCTTCTACGCTCACGACTCAAGTCAATTTTTTGTTTACGAAGTTCAGTTAATTGATCTTGGCATTCATCCATATAATTCCTAAGTTTTAGATGTAAGTATATACATAAAAGAATTATTATCAACATTAGTTTACTTGATAACATAGGATTCATTGGCAACATTGAGTAAAAGTTCAAAGACGATAAGCTTATCACGTAAACTTAAAGATATATATGCTTGTTCACGCTCTTGTAAAGTAGATGTTGCACTTGGTACAAGATGACTTAAAATACGATCAATATCAGGTAAAAGTTCTAATGGTGCAAGCTACATAAAAGAGTAAAATTTGAATATACAAATGTAAGCTACTGACTTTACATACGATGCCACTTTCTTATTGTCATTATTGATATATACCTGATTAATAAAACCTATTAATATATCTTCCCATCCTATTCGTTCTTCTTCTGTATCAACAGTACCATTATCCCAATTATGACCAATAGCTTCGACCTCTGCACTACCACATCCTCTCTCAACTACTAACTCTCTTCGTTGAACTGGTGGTCGTACTTTCCAAATGTGTTCATCATCTTCATTTTCATTATCACTACTATACTGACTACGCGATTCTTGTTGAAGGAGTTGTTGTGGAAGTGGTGCAATTGTTCTAGAAGCTTGATAACCAGATCCATATAACGAAATTGCAGCAGCCATAGCAGTTGACCCATGTCCTAAACTTTCTTTTTTTAAACGCTCTCTTTGTTTAATGATTGCATTCAGTAGGGCAACATTGCTCTCTGTCATGATAGTTGAAGATGCATGATGATGTAAAGCACTTTCAAAGTCATTCAAACTAAAAGGGGATAATTTTAAGGGCTGTGAGAAAACACTTAAGAAGGACCAGACCATTAAAAATGTTCCAAAGCTATCATTTGGAATTGTATGTTGATAATTAGGTTGGGGTCGTAAAGGCATACCACCTGTAGGGTTTTCTGCTTCTGTGTTTGCCCCTTTTGTGCCTGGTGTCATATCAACTATTTGACCTGAACCATCTGGATCTCTTCTATAGACAGGTACATTTAAATCTTCCATTGGGTACTTTAAGGTACTTTCGATTCTCCTAGCATCCAACATGATCTGCTTTGGTTCTTCATTAGAATTAACATCTGCAGCTGCTTCAGCAACTGCTGCTGCTACAGCGGCAGCGGCTTCACTTCTCTTCTTCCGAGATTTTGAATATGCAAGGTCTTTTGCTGCTTGTAAATCTTTTGGTAGCTTGGTATCGATACTAAACTTTTTAGCAATATCTCCCTATATAAAAACAAACAAACAAACAAACAAAAAATAAAATAATAATAATAATTAAATAATGAATAGCTTGTAAAAAAAAAATTATATTTAATAGCTTACACGAACAACCCAAGGGGCACCAATATATGTATCCTTTTCTGTATATTCTTTAATAAATTTCTTGAGCAAATTCTTAGAGAACGCATATCGCTCACGTCTAATTAGACCCCTTGTTAGTATAAAATAATAATATACCTTTAAAATTTACCTTAATTTAGTTCCGGGTACAATCTTGACAGTATCTTTTTTAATAAATCCTTTAGGGGATATAACTCGAATCTTATAATATTCCTGATCTTCCTTATCATTGTTCTCCTTCTGATCCTCCAAATCTTCATTAAAATCAGGTTTTTTAATGATATTTAAAACTTTAACGGCAACTCTGTACAATAGTTATAGTGAATAATAATGTATTAATATAAATCCCTTTAACAGTATAATAATAATAAATACTTTACGTGTGACGATTGTCCCAATTACAATAAAGAATTTCTCCTTCAACATAGTGACTAGCAAAACGTTGATATGTATTATCCACAATAGTATCCAGACGTGCAGTTTCTAGCAAATTTACTTAGGTCTGCATACCCCCTTTCCCTTTTTGTTTTTTGTTTTTTTGTGGATATTAAATTACTTACGAAATTGAACATGAAGTAAAACATTCTTTTGAAGTTGTTCTGGAAATTTATCTTGAACACGTTCTTTTTCAGTCTTTTCACTTTCTAATGCTTGTTTATAAGTTAAGTTTGATTTGCCAGTAGATTCACACTGCCAAATGGGTTTTCTGTACAGTGAAATTCGTTTGATATATTCTCTATTTTCAATATATAAAAAAAAGAAAGAGGATGAAGTTAAGGAATAACATATGCTATTTGAGGACATAAATATTTTTTTTAAAAAAAAAAACGTATGCAGATACGCGAGCACTTTATGATTGAATGTTAATAGTGCGCGCGTTTTACAAAAAAAAAAAAAAAAAAAAAAAAAAAAAAAAGGATACGAATAGTCTGTAAAAATTTCGTTTGTCAAAGTTGAATACCAAACTAAAGTATTTTTGGAATCTTTTTTGTGTTCATCGTATGGAGGTGGTTTAATGAGCTCAAGTTTTTTACGTCTAAGTAAAGGCATATTGATCTAAATCTATGGTAGTTGCTAAAGGTCCAATATAAAAAGTAAATAAAAAGTCATAATAATACTACACATGAATAAGAAGAAAAAAAAAATCTCTTCCCCCTTCTTAAGAAGCTCATACGTGGCTTATCTTTTCTTGGGCATATTTTTTTCAGTTAGATCGTACCTTTTATGCTACTGTGGAATTCAAAGAAAGATATTTGAAATCAATAAAGGTTAAGCCTGATTAAAGAATGAAATCGTAAGTATTTCTCTTGAAATTCCTTTTTATGTGATAAAAGAAAGAGATGTCTATTTTACAATCTAGTCTGTTATTTCAGATTTAAGCAAAGAGATTTGAGAAACAAACACAGAGAGTCAGATAGAGCAAATAAAGAATGATTTTTTTTTAAAAAAAAAAATTGTAAATCGACTCATCCTAAAATGGGAAGTATTTGACTGTCTTTTATTTATTTTTTTCATTTTATTTTTTTTTTAATTTTTGCTTGTCAAGTAGCATCATTATGCCTTAGAAGTTATAGGTATAGATATGTGATAGTGAATATATTCTTAACATAGATGATGCAAACAAAGTATAACACGGGTTAAGGTTATTATAAGAAAAGAAGTACATAAATATGCTATTTTCATGAGAATATGAACTGACTTTTATTTTACACTTTTCAGTTTATACGATGTACATGATAACAGCTTTAGTAAAGGATAGGGAAAATAAATAATGATTACTTAAATCAAAGTTGATTTGCAAACACTATAGTATTATAAATTATAATCTATTTATAATATTTAAAGCTTCTAGAATGACAGATTAATAAAATAAAATAGATAGAAGCTAAACTTGCTATTAAATTATTGGTTGAGGCTCAATAAGTTAATGAAAAAAAAAAAAGTCCTTATAGAGGATTTATAGATAAAGAGAATTAGTATTAATTTAAGCTTGTTAGTTCATCAAAGTTTGGGACTTGAAGTAGCTGAAGCCACAAGTAAACATGTTATAACTCTACAGACCACTCAGGGATGGCGCAATATAGATAAGAAAGACTTATATAGCATTATCAATGAAACTTATTTTTTATAATGGTTAAGAAAAAAAAGGAACATTCACTTAGTTTAAGAGTAACAATTGCATCGTATTACTTTGTTGATTTGGGAGGTGATAAAGTTAAAAGCTATTAATCAAAATTAGAATAGAAAGATGAAAGACAGTAGAAGCAATAACTGCCACAGGTTATCGCTTCAATTTTATATGCAGCACCATAGATGTCTTAGACAAACATAAGAGCTTTAAGGTTTTTTACCTAGTAATAAAGAAAAAAAACAAAAGATGCTTTTAATTAACATGATCTAGCAAAAGAAAGTTACTGATGAGTACTGAAAATAATGTGTTTCTACGATTCATGCACTTGTATCTAGTTCCCTTTCTTAAACACTGTTTTCACCTATGTTTCTATATTTATGACTACTCCGAGCGAAAAGCAAAATTAAACAGCACGTGCTCATTTGAGAGTTAAGATATTTATAAATGATATATATATGAGTGTAGCATAGGAAAGGGAAAAAAATAGATTATCAGACTACAAAGTTCTATTCGAATAAAGAAAAATCCCTTAAGGGGACTATGTTGATCAGAAAGTACTGAACTGGCCATGTTTAAATAAACAAATATATAAACTGTTCATAACAAACAAATCCTTTATTACACATTATTTTCCTGATTGCTTTATATTATATTCGTCAATAAATAAAGATCATTGTTCGGGTCAAACCTTATTAGTAACAATGAACATTCCCAAAGTCAAGCATTTCGGAGAAATTCCGGAAGATACATAATAATGCAAATATATGGATCTGCAGAATGATTTGCAGTAAATTCCTTTTTTGAATTAATTTGATTTAAAGATATAGCGTATTGAAGCAATACAGCAGTAAACTCGATCAGCATCTAATAGATAAAGAAGTATATCAAATCTTTTACAAGAGTCCTAAAAATACGAAAGCTCTGATGAACATAGTGAATATTGGATCGAAGAACACCGTATAAGATGTACAATTTGGATGTAAAAACGTGAATTAAAAGCTATTCTAAAGAACCTGACACATTTAATCATATGTTTATCATTCAACTGTACAATGTCCTCTAGTAATGTAATAAATAGTTTTCTTTTTGGAAATGCTTTCTTTGTGTAATATTCAATGTATTCTAGCTGTTGGATTAGTATGTATCCTCTTAAATATGCTCTTATTTTAGATTAGTAAGAATGTATGATAAACGTTACAAATATAACTCTATGAAGATAAATATCAATTTATTTAGAAGAATATAAACGTATAAAACTATATTTTGATACATAATATGGAATTAAATAAATTAAAGTATAAATTTGTGCTATCATATTAAGATCCACTTTATACGTAAAGAGTATCAGAGTATAAGAATAAGATATCTTTTTATATGTATATCATTAGAAGTTATTCTTCTATACAAACACCTACATATATACATACGCATCTCTATGTATACTACAATAAACCACACTATAATTCAGTCTGTAAACTATATTTCATAATTTATTTTTATATTGCTAATAATACGTTTATTTATTTATTCCTACAGTTCATTTATTATCAAAGTATAAAGTCTACAAACCTCAGTTTATTACAAAGTGCTTTCTATAGAATACTCTTTTTGAAAAGAAAATGACGTGATGTGAAAAAAAAAGTCGTTAAAACGCATAGCGCATGCTTGGTGTCAATTCTTTGCGCCATCGATGAGAGTATAAAGGAAGGTATGAGTTGACCGACATTTGTCGCTCAGGGTATCGACATTCTGGACAGAAGCAGTCTTACACATGCGCCAAAACATTTCAGAGATCCGCATCAGCGTGTTCAAGTTTTTTAAAGAGATAAAGCCAGGCAATTCCTCCAGAGAACGAGGGAATGTTAACTTGCCAAGTTCAGATAAACATTATATTCCATCATGACGCAACCGTATTAAGAAAAAGACCACTGAAAATCCATTTATTTGAAAGGCCAACGAAGTATTCAACTGATTATTGTCAATAGTTTCTTTGCAAAATAATGCCAAGCAAAGCAGGTCATGGCAGAGGTTAAACTTGTCAAGTGTGGGTTGAGTAACCTTTGCTTGTCCAAATCCTAGACTGTGCCCAAACACCAACTGATTCAGCTTAGTAATCGTTGCGTCGGATCTTTTTTTTTTTTTTTTTTTTTTTTTTTTTTTTTTTTTTTGCGTTACTATCGGTTTCAATATTTCTCCACCCTAAAAGAACATGTTTTTCGGGGTTGGATAATATACTGGACAATATAGGATGGAAATAGGTGGTGGTAAGTTCGTACTCAGCAATTGATGTTTTGTCCTTAATAGCTTGCAGAGGCAGCTCATTCATGGCTTTGATTATCCCACAAACCACTGAGGAAGCGTGTTCATCTAAATTAATACAAAGTTGTGATAATAGGGTAGTTGCCTCATCTTTAGATTGAACCTTCTGCTCAACTGAATCGATAATACGGGCAACATTTGCGCAGATTCCATCCGTAATGTCTATATTTTTGTCTATCGATTATTGTATAAAGTTCTGATGAATGCCACATAATGTTTCCTTGGAGAAGACATCGACCATTTTTTCACTATGCTGGCTAAGGTATGACAGAAAAATGTGTGATAAAGCGAGGATCTCATGAATGGATGTTTCAATTTGGAGTAAGTTTGCTCTTGATAATGCCACTACATTTTATTGGAATATTTGAAATAATTTGGCCACATTTGGATCATTAAACATACAGGGGACAACTGGTATGGCGTTGATATCTATTGATGGGGAAGTAAAAGCTGCTGGTGAAGGTGGATAGAGGATATCATCTTCCCTCTCTACGGTCGGTGTTCGAAGAGTGGTTATAGGTAAAGGCATGAATTCTACACTATTAGAAGCAACAGATTGTGTATCAACTGTATGCGTCAGAGCTGTTGACCGGAAGTTGGTGGTTAGGGTTGTTGTTTGTTCCTTTAATATATTTTCTGCGTAGTCTGAGCAAGACTCTTGTGTGTCTAATTGGGTTCTAAGCTGCTTCCTTTCCAACCAATATAGCGTAAAATCACTTGTTCGTTTCCAATTGTTGAAGCCTTCCATTAAACTGATTTTGTATTGCGGAATGTAATGAGAAATGATGCTCTGGTATCAACTTATGGTATACTGTTTGTCCAGTAAAGTATGATGCTCAGCAAATGTCTTGCATATGAGATTATCTTTGTTATCAATACACCATTGGACATCATTCAAGATGGTCCTTTGTCGTTTTTGTCGTCTGCTCATCAGATCAATAGGAAAAGTAGTGAAAGAACTTGAGTGTGGTATGAGCTCTGTTACGCAGTGGTAGAGTTTAAACAGTTATTTTATTAAATAGAACCACCTTTATTAAAGCGAGCAATTGAATTTATAGATACAATAGTAAGAAAGTATACTTATTATGTTGGCTTTGGTAATTTAACAATATAATATGTTTTACATGAAGAGAGTGGAAAGAGGGGATAAACAAATATAAGTAAAATAATACGATTAAATAATACATTTATTAAAGAAAAAAAAAGTGATCATAATGAGCACAATAGTTTAAATAACTGCATTGTCCGAACCAGTTCGCGAAGTTAAGAGTAAAAAAAAAAAAATCTCTTAAGAGTCAAGAGGGAAAATGAAAAAAGTATTGAAGAATAATGAAAAATAAAAGGGAAGAAAGTAAAACGAAAGAAAGATAGAGAAAAAATTCAGAAACAAGATAGAGACATCAGCATTTTTATCATTACAACCATCTCATCAAACTAGCACCGATATCAGCTGGAGGAGGAGGGAGATCTTCACCATGGAAAATATGATCCAATTCATGTAGGATCAGGCAAATTTCAGGCCAACGTACAGACCAGGAAGAGACAGATAGGACTTTTTTTTTGGTTTTTTTTGCGGTAATGAATTTAGTAAGAAAGAAAGAGGGTCTTTGATGGATCTGGGCATTTGTAGATGACGGTGTATGTGCAGACATTCGGTAGCATGAATACGAGAATAATTAACTGCAGGATGGAAAAGACAGGTACAAGGTTTTCCACCAGGGAGCCAACCAAGATGCCAGCGGACCATTTGGCTGCGTTCTGCATTTGACATAGGTAACTAGAGGATAGGATCGATACCTAGGGTAGGGCAGCAGCCCAGGTCTTAACACATGTTCTCTCAATATTTATTAATGGCCCACCAGACTACTCTACCGAAGGCAGCTATGTCCATGGTTATCTTTCACCATTATTGACCACTGTCTTTGGTTCTGATCCCCTGTTGAATATGAAATGGGCTAATGGCCAATTAAAAACAATGATTCCAAAGCATACAAACCAGACTTTTTGGTTTGCAATCTTTCAGGTAGTGTGAAGCATGTTGTGTTGAATTCCGTATTTAAATCTGTAGATCAAAATTCTTATGTAGAATCTGACTTGGTAAAGCTTGCCAAGCAAATGAGATTTACTATGACAATTTGGTTTCGAGCGGTATTGTTGAACCAAAGGTGTACGGTATTCATTGTGAAGGCAATGATTTACATACGTATGTCATGAATCTCGATTCTCCCAAGGTCTACAGAATGATCAGTATTACCAAGTTGAAGCTCTTTGGAAAATTGGACCAGATCACTTTCCTCCATAGCATCCTTACACATTTGATTTGTCTAAAGAACGTTGCTCATGAAAGTGCGCTAAAAATTGAAACTGCTGTTATATCTAGCTGCGCTACTTTGAAACGCCCTGCTCCCTGCCCACTTTTGCATTGGTTGTTCAACGATTCTTTTGTTCTGTCCCGTGCAACCAAGATACAGAAGAAATGAATGCTCTTGTTTTTTTATTCACGGCCATTATTCAAAACTGACTTTTTGTATGGATACTGCTCACTCTCCTTATACTCTCTTCACCATCGTTATACAACACGTTCATTTACTCCAAGTTTTCTACCGACTTTGGCTGTAATCCCCCTTTGTCTTCCACTTTCAATCAGAATATTGATAAACTTCTCCCTTAAACTGTCATCGTAATGATTGTATTGCAACTTAGGTTCTGCAACCACAAATCTTGCAGAGGTCCTTTTATTATTTGTTGAATATTTGGGCTGCCCATTACCGTCAAGTTTTCCGGCATGTACCGTTTAACTCTGAACATATTTTATTATCTATTCACCGGCTCATATCTAATTTATCCTCCCAACTTTCTTTTGACCCCACTAATTAACCCCTATATATCTCTCTATATATCATCTTCTTTTCCTCTCCCTCTATAAAAGGTGACGTTTTAAGGACATTAAATAAAAACTAGAGTTTACTCCCCTATAAAAAAAAAATTATTTGTTGAATCGAATAGCTTCGATTTTAAGGTAGATATCTCGACTAGTTATTGTCTCCAAGACTATATTGGAGTCGGTCATATCTGTTAATACACCTTCCATCGGGTCATAAACTTCAGTTCCATTGTCATTGAAGATATTATCATTTCCATCTTCATAGTAGAAAATAAATGTCATGGTAAAACTTTAGAAATAAAAGTGTAATAGTAAAAACTCGAAAAACCCGGACACTGTTTATCAGCCGGACTGTAATATAAAACAAAAAAAAATAGATCGTGCTTGTGAAATAAATACAGTGCATAATAATATTGTATAAAGTTACAATATAAATAATTTATAATAGACTATTTTGACGGGAAGTTTAATATAAAATGTAGCTTTAAAAGGGAATTCCGGAACTATTGTACATAACATATAAAATGCATCTATTTCTTTCTTCTTTCTTCTTCTCCTTGATACACATCTCTTCTTTATCTTTCCCCTCAATGACACACAGTAGTAAAAAGAAACAAGATAGCCAAGTTCAACGTCTATATCAGTGTGACTTTTGTTTAAAATCATTTTATAGACTAGAACATAAAGTACGTCATGTTCGCACTCATACAGGAGAAAAGCCTCATGCATGTACCTTTGAGCACTGTGATAAAAGATTTGCTCGTTCTGACGAATTAAGTAGACATATTCGTGTTCATACTGCGTCACCTGCTATATTATTACAACGATGTAAAAAAGTACGTAGATTGAATTATGCATCAAAGTCAAGATCCATAGATGATGAAGAGGCTTATTTAAAGCAACAACAATTTTGTTCCATTCTTCGTTTTGTTCATCCATCTAATACTACTACAAGAAATAATAATAATAATAAACAACAAACTAGTTATAATAACAAAATTCGTGGAAGTCCGTATAAGCAATCAACTAATTCAAAATTAAATCATTGTCCCATTTCTAATTGCTATAAATCCTTTTGGAGAAAGGGTCAATTAGCACGTCATATTGAAAAGCAACATCAAGCTAGATTCACTTTTGAAGAATTAAATAATTCAGAGAAATTGTCTGCTTTATTGAATTCACCCTCCTTACCTTACTCTAGTAGTAGTTCAGAGGAAGAATCAAATAGATGTATTTGGTCTTCTAAGGAAGAAGACAAAGGAAATACAACCGTTGTAGTGGATTTACCTCCTATTTTCATGAGTCATACTTCCTCATCATCTGTGATATGGGATAATGATAAACGCTGTCAATTACCTTCTATAAAGTCATTATTATCACATTTATATCATCATACTAATAATCAAATAATGTAATTTCACCTTCATCATCTACACACTATATTTTCATTGTAACTATTTGAAATAAAGCATAAATGGTCATAAATGACAAAATTCTATTGAAGGAGATGCTTTCAGTGCGACCTTATTTTGAAGAAAATAAATAGCACTCCTTTATTTATATTGAATAAAATCACGATATTCGTTTCAATATGTATGCCTTCAACATTCTTTTACAATAAATAATATCTCTTTATTAGATACTTTTCCTAATGACCAAGACACTAGTATCTATTGACGTACTTTAACAGCAAATATATTAAAGAAAACAACTACAATCTGTAGCAGAAAAATACAAAAAAAGTGAAGGCTCAATTACTTGCTGTAGCAGAGAAGAGGAAAGGAAATAATTCTATTTCTTTTTTTTTTTTTTTTTTTTTTTTTTTTTTTTTTATTCTTTTACTTTTTTTTTTCTTAAGGTTAATAAACTGTACTATTGTTATTAGAAGAAGTAGAGTTGACTATATTCGAATTTGCATTCATAGAATTAGGCGAATTGTTACTATTCATGGATATTTTGTTTCTATTGTCTTCTTCCCTTGCACTTGCTTTTAACTCTTTCCATAGAGTTTCTTTTTGCATACTTGCTTTACATAATTTATTGCGCGCTCCCTGAAGACGAGCTATATATTCATTGCTATGATTAATATTTTCCTATTTTTAACCGTATTAGATGAATGAATGATTCCTTGTTGTATCTTTAAAATGTACGTTACCAACAATAATTCTTTTACTCTTTTAACAACTTCTCTTGCTTCAACATCCGCGTCTATGTCTATATTTTTATTATTCTCATCGTCTTCTTCGTGATCATGTTGCTCTTTAATTTTAGTTTCAACTTCTGAATCAAGTTCTTTTGGGTCTAAAGGTTCAACCGTACTAGATTGACATTTTTGACCTGATTCTTGTTTCACTTTATTCACATTAGTAGTACTACCAGCAGCAGAGCTTAATGTTGTTGCTGCAGCTTTAGCAGCTTCCATATCTTCTTTATATTTTCGGCGTTGTTCTGCTGTACGTTCAAATGTCAAGTCAAGATAACGTGGATCATCTTGATGCATAATAGCTGATAAACGACATAAAATTTTATTAAAATTCTTCTCATTTTCAATAAATTCCATGGATGTCTTTGCAAGTGCATCGATTTGATTAGATAATAAAATTCTTCTTAATGCTGGTCTACGTACAATATCGGTTGGGACCTCGATAGGACTTAAAATATCTATTGAATCCTCCACACTTAATTACACTTATATATTATAATATGCGAATAACTTTACCTTCAATATTAATAAGTGTATACGGATCTTCATCATCATCAGAAACTCCATCTTCCATTCTTCTACGTTTTCTTTTTACAATAGTGTGCTTTTTATCTCCTTTTGTAAACTAAATGAAAAAAAATAAAATAAATTAGTAAAACATTAATCATCGTGTTTAATCTTATAATTTACCTCTGTTTCTTCAGCAATTGTTTTTGGTGCACGTAATTTATTTCCTCCAAATTGGGAATCTGATGCTGCCCATCTCTTCAGTGTTTTATAGTTAAAGATAAATAGTAATAATAATAATAAAAATCAGTAGAATTTAAACGTGGTTAGCATTTATATTTATATGTATATAAAAAGGATATATTTATAGCCTCTATTATGAGGAACTAAATCAACTTGATCAACGTCACTATCATCATTATCATTCTGTATCCATTTAGCTGCAGGAGGTTGTGCTGATGGAATAGGCTGTGACATGCTAAATAATAAATAATGAATTCAATAGAATAATTCACTCTTAAAAAGGAGAAGGGAAAAAAGGTTTCTCTCTTTCCCTCTCTCTCTTTTTTTTTTTCTATCCTCGTCTTTATATGTTTTAAATCACAGATTAAAGTCACGTGCTGTATAAAGAACTACGTAGTTGTAAATTTTTTTTTTATTATTATTTTTTTCTAAAAACTTATGTTTACATCAAATCAAATGGACTATCAATGTCCAATTGACGATGAGGGATCGGACATGGATGTGTCTTCTGGTGATGAAGACTATACCACAAACAATGTAACTACAAATATTCAACCTGCTACAGTAAAGACAAAATATTTTTTATTTTTATTCTCCTAAATAATTAAATAAACATGTATATATTACTTTTTTTTTTTTTCTTTTCTTTTTAGATGAGTGGTGGAAGTTTATATGGAATTTCAAATAATCATCGCCAACAAAGATCAGTACAAACCAGAAACACTACAGTTAACTCTTATAGTCAAAATTTCTCCCGTTCTGAGATTGATTCATCTCGTTTTATAAGTGTTGATGATTCAGATGATAGCGATGATTCCTATCACACTGCACCAAGCTCGCCCATGACTATTTCAGAAGAAATAGAAATGGAAACACCAAAGAAAATAAAACAGGCTGTAGAAAAAAGGGATGATCATGATGCCCTAGATAGAGAGTTTGCTCGATTAACAAAAATGTATGAAGACGTACTAAAACAAGAAGAAGAGATTAAAAATTTGATTGAAGAGAAAAAGAAAAAATTGCAAGTACAGCAATTAGAGATTCAGGTCCGTAGATCTATCAAGCGCAATAGAGAAATACCAAAGAAATCGGAACAAGCTGAGTCATCTACATTAGCATTGAAGAAGAAAACAAAGTTGGATAATACTCCTTTAAAAAATGTTAATTCTTCTCCATTAGTAAATGCATCAGTTTCACACACACCAAGTCCAATGGCCATTGTATTAGATGCGCACGCTTCAAATCCAATGGTGAGTACATCAACTGCATCTACGTCAAATCCGATGGTAAATACATCAATTGCATCCATGTCAAACTCAATATCAAATTCTCTTAGAAGTGAAAACAAACAGAAATCTACTACTAGAAAAGAGAATTTAAATTGTATATATAAGCAACAAAATGAGCATAGCAACAATGGACGGTCGAATGTATCCAATTCACAATCTACTAGTATAACCCAGAGCCCACTTATCGTTGATCTTACAAAGGATGATATGGAAATAGACTCTAATAAGCCATACCGTTCGAGACTTGAAACAGCAAAAATTGATGTACCTTTTTCTGATGTGTATCAAGGAGAAAAATATAAAAATATCCAAAACCAACTTCCATCAACAAGCACTAGTGAATCTCAAAGAGGTCTCCAAAATAAACTTAAAAGAGGAAAAAGCCCTGATATCCAACAATTTAGTATGCGTGTCTTAGATGGAATGACAGAAAAGGAGATACGATCAATGATTCGTAGATCACATATTATTGGTCATGTAAGTCTTAAACAAATGCATATCCAATTATGTGATTTAAGACAAAGAGCCCTAGAGAGCCCTTTAACTTATGTGCAAAAGGTACATGCTGAAGTACTAGTTGCACTTATTATGTCACTCTGTCATGAGAAAGGGGAACATATACCTCGCAAAAATAAAGGCGTTGGTCGACACATGAGACCTTCATCTAAACTTGTTCTTGGTCCCGAATTTTATGGTCATCCAGATACATTAGATTATGAAACATATCCTTTGTCTAAAGGAAAACTCAATGATGCTATTACTTATTTTAGAAATATGGAAGTTAATCCTTTTATGCCTCCAGCAAGACTTAATACTCTTCCAGATAATATTAAAAAAAAAGTCATGAAATATTTTGTAAGTACATACACATAAAAAAAAGTAGATGAATATATTAATATATCTTTTATAGGACAATGTAGGATATTGGAAAGACTCGGTAACAAAAAAGGATAAGAAAAAGATTAAGAAACTTGTTGAAAAACATCAGTGTGACCTTCTTGATGTAAGAAAGTAGAAATACTAATTTATGCTAGTTTGCTTATTTATTTATTTTTTTAAAGAAAAAGAAAAAAGTTTACTCTATCATATCATCTAATTCTAGTTCATCAACAGAGTTTACTGCACAATCATCAAGTACAGCCTCTTCGACTTTGAATCATCAATTAGAAGGAACATCAACCGATTTTGCAACTGCTAATACCAATCCTGCTTCTCCTATTAAACCCAATGAACAAATATCTGAGGCAGCAGTAACATCAACGCGACAAGATACAGTCATCAATAGTCCTTTATCCTCCGTTAAAAATGCTTCTCATAATAAATCGAATGAAGCAGAGTCATCAAATAAAGTTGCATGTGCTAATCAGTCTTCATCTTCCATTACTCCTTATATTAAATCTCAAGAAACGGTATCTAAATCAGATGTAAATAAGGCAAGTAACTTTCAACCGTATCATTCTGCACTTTCTTCACTTGGTATATCTTTTAATCAACAGCAAGAAACACAAGCTTATAACAAAAATACCACAGAATTTAACCGGGAGTCTACTCATCAAAGAAACTCTTCCAAAGGCAAAAACAAACAAAAAATGATCACTACAGATATATTGTGTGAAGCCGAAAGTAGTGGTGGTATTTGCAGAGATAAAAATTGTATGTTTGTACACTTTTCAGACTTTATGTAATCCACAATATGTATTATTTTTTTTTCTTCTTTTTATAAAACATGATTTATATAAATATGTATATGAGTGTGTATGTGTTTGTATGTGTGTGTAAATATATAAATAAATAAAAAAGGAATTTATGTTAACTTATGCACAAAAAAAAAAAAAGCAATACTAGTATTCCTTTATTATTTTTCTGTTCGCCATGCATTCTCTAATTGATTTAATTCCTTTAGATATTCAGGACTTGGTAATGACGTCGTTTGCCAATCTGATGATTCAAGAAAGCTACTAACTGAGCCATGTACTTTACCTTCCATTTTCATTAATTCAGTTATGAAACCAATATTGGGTGACATATTGGGTCTAGCTTTTATCACATGTTGATAGGCTCTTTTTAACGTCCAGCGTTCTGACGTTACCAAATAAGCCAAAATAGCCGTAATTGAACGTGATTTCCCTGCTTTACAATGAACATATATAGGTTCATGATTCTTTTTAGCTTCCTCTAATAGTATAATATGTTATAGACACACACAAAAAAAAAAAAAAAAGATATAAGCATGCATATAAAGCTTTACGTTTTATATATTTATTTACCTATGAAGCTGACTGCTTCCATCATGACATGTTCAATGTTCTTCATTTCTAAAGTATCGCGAGCAGCAATTTTATGATATATTAAACGATCACGAACTAACATTAAACCTTTATCATCACATTCTTCTGCCATATTGAGGACACGTTTAATTTGACGTACTTGAACCAATTGATTTGCTTGCTCATCTGTCTCAATTTCAGGTCCCACAAACAAAAACCCTGGGATCACGTCTGAAATGACAAAATCAAAATCAGTTTCTGTACATGGGGAAATATCCGCTGTCAAAATCTCATCATCTTCTGCAACTTGATTAAGACTAGAATGAGCCCTTATCGAGTTCTTGTATACTTGACCTTCCTCTTGTTGTAAAAAAGAATAAGTCTGAGTTGTTGTTGTTGTTGTTGTTGGTTTGGTGATTGTTGAGTTTGTATGATAATTAGAAGAGGGAAGAAGACTATTGTTATTATTTAAAAGTAGTTTCTGGGACCTTCTTTTGGCTTTACGCGCCAGCGCGTTTGCATTATTAATACGAGCAGCTTGGGTATCTAACGTAAACAGACTTGCCCTTTTGTTATCTACATCATTTTTAGACTCACCAAGAGTATAGCTGATAGATCGTCTGGGTCCATAATTATTATCAGTGTTAGGTCTTAATGTTCCTGTAAGAGGCTCATGTAAATTGGAAGAGATAATCCAAGATTCATGAAGGGGAGCCTTCTGAAACTCCTGAAATCCACCATATAAATAATAGACTTTACTTTTACCATCTAAACATAATCGTTCTAAAACACTCAACAAAGTCCAAGCCTGAGAAGACTGATCGTTTTCTGGCATGTCTTGATCATAGACAACCCAAATTTTCATTCTATTATTGCTTTTATTTTTCTTTGTTTTCATCTGAAGCTCAGCTTCTAATGCCTTTTGTTCTAATAGAGTCGAAAACGAATGTTCGTGAAGGGTAGACAGTAACGATGAGGTTATATCCTTTGTCTGTTGCTTATGCAGCTGATAAGTTTCTCTTCCCTCAACTGTCGTAATGAAGTTTTCAAGATTGAAATTCGACACTGTACCTCGTTGATATCGTTTGATAAGTAATGAAGGTAAATTGACGTTAATGGAATTTCGTATACGTTGCTTTTGATAATCAACAAGATTTCGAACATCAATCAGGAGAACATTTTTGTTGCTGTCACTGTCACCGTCGTCTGATAACATCTGAATTAATTCCTCTGGTTTTAAACGAATTTTATTCAAGTCTATCCGCTTTTTATGAGATTCTGAATGAGTACGATTTAACATTTTACGTTGAAAAGATGAGGATATTGACAAATGCTGATGACTTATTGATCGATGAGGCACAAGTGAGTTTTGGTTAGTTGTACTCCCGAGCCTAGCTAACAACTCCTCATCTGTTATACTTGAATGATTTGCAATGAGTTTTTCAAGTGTAGCAAGTTGTTCTAAAGGCAAGAATAAATTTTCCAATGTTAAGTTCTTTGTTGAAGGTAAATGACCGAAAGTGAATGAATGACGGTTTACTTCTTGTACGGATACCCATTGGTGACGATGCTGATGACGTTGCTCTGCTGAATAACGTTTTCTTTGTTTTATATTTAGTTGCGATGATGCTATATTATGTGGAGTAGATATAGAAGATGATATCGGAGCGCAAGCATGTTTATCAGGTGTAACTATTGGAGGACGATTTTCGGTATTCTTTGTGGAAACAATATTAGGTAAAGATATAGAACTTCTTGGAGGCTGGTGAGTACTTGTAATATTCTTTGTATCATACTTTTTTGATTGATACTTCTTTTTATCATGATTATTGTTGTTAGAATTAAAAGTAGAATAGAAATTAAATGGAAGCCTTTTAAATAAACTATTTGCTAAACTTAATTTCTTTGTTGGAATAGATTTTTCATTCTTCGTTGACTTTGATTTATTAGTGTTACTATTATTATTTTTATAACGGTCAAAAAGCATTCTTTATTTTATAGTCTTTTTTTTTTATTTATTTATTTAAAGAAAAAGGAAGAAGATAAGTTCTATTCCTTCTGTAAATACAAGAAGAAAGGAAGAAAGAAAGAAAGAAAGAAAAAGAATATAATAATAAAATACTTTATGTATAAAAATATATTTTAATAAACTTATTTTTATATTCTTTGTGAGACAATAATTATTTGCTTCCTTTGGTAGTAGTCAAAAATAGATACAAAGTTTTTTTTTTTTTTTTTTTTTTTTTTTTTTTTTTAAATAAATTAGCATCTTTTCGCGTAAACAACTTTTTTTTTTTTTTTTAAATTAGCGCTAAATGATTTTCAAATTAGTACATTTTTCCATTTAAGTTAGTGTATTAGCTTATTTAATTTGGCATATCATAAAAGGTATTTTGTGAAAATATATCCCCATAAATTAGAGTATTGGTTCCTGATTCATACATTTATAAATAACTATATAAAAAAAAAAGACTTTATAATTCATCTTTTGAAGTTGTTGAAAATAACTTTTTAAGCCAACACAAAAATTGTTGAAATTTAAACGGACAATTAAACAGTCTCTTATAATACCGGCCTTCAACTTTGATCAAACCATTTTAATAGAGTAATATAAAAAATACAAAGGATAAAGATAAATAGATACTGTTTATAGCCTCAGCCCTTGATTTACTATTAAAATCCTATATTCCTTATAAACTGAAATACTATTCCTGATAAGATGACTAGCATTCATTTCATGATAAGCATCCAATATATTCAAAACATCACATATAAAGTTCAAAGAATGCTCAAACTGAATAATAACTAATATATTCGCAGTCTCCTATTCATTGCTCCTTTTGTGTTTTTTTTTACATCTAAAATAGTTTCTAGTTAGCTTTTTTTTTATTTTTTATTTTCTTAGTGTCAAATTAACGTTTTCTTTATTCAAGATTAGTATCCATAATAGTAAATAGCGACCCCTCTATTTGAAGGAATTATTAATTTAGCTTAAGCTTCCCTTATTCGATATGCCAGAAAGAGGGTGAAAATGCTCACTAAAACTTGCTTCCTCTATAAAAAGAACGGAATCACGAGTCCAATGTATGTCCTCATCACTTTTTTAGTTAATTATTGTATTCTTATGAATATCTGAAATATCTTTACATAATCTTGCAGTTGCAAGTATCTATTTTTTTTCTTTTCAGCGTAAGTATGGCATACTAGATAAGATGATAATACAGTATAGAAGTATATTTCAAAAAAAAAAAAAATACTGAGTAAGGCTTCTCCTCCCTCTTCTACTTTTTAAAGAACTATAGCAGGACACTTTTCGTAATGATCATAAAGAAAGTTAGTATAGTTGCATTCCGGGAAGGTTTTTTTTTTCTTGTATCAATTATTACATTTAAATAATTCGATAAAATCGAATAAATCATCAAACGAAGATGCAAGTTGCTGTTTAAAATTTTGCTTCTATTATATACATTAACTCAATAAAGCAAAAAATATGCTAATCTCCCCCCCCCCTTTTTTTTTGAGACTCTGTATATATGAAGAATTAAATAGCTTTACAATTCTTATTTTTTAAGAGTGGAACGTCTATAACTTAAATATTAATAAAAAAGGGGGGGATTTTTGTATATATCAAAAGAGTTAAAATTCAGTTCATGTTGTTACAATAATTAAAAGTGAATATCGTTAATTACTTTTTACTGTTTAAATAGATTTTTATATATAAACTATATATGCATATACATCTATATTTTTATCATTCTTTTGTACGGCCCTGTCCTTCTAATATATTTCATAACTTCCATGTATGTTGAATTTAACTTCGAACAGCTCGTCTACGACCACCAACTTTAGAGCCCATTACATTCATCTTTTCTCCACCACCTCTTTTACGAAGTGTCTTCTTTGTGGTACCAGTTGTTGTTTTCGTGTTGTCTTTTTCCCCTTCATTGTTGTCGCTACTCTCTTGTTCTTCATGAATAACCATTGTTTCTTCTTGTTTTTTATTCAAAATTTTGTATATCAAACGTTTTGGCCATTGAACGATAAAAAGATTGCTAATAGTAGGTTTAGCTACCCATTCAGTATTTAAATGTACAGGCTCTTTTGTTTGTTCATCAGGATACACAATTATATAATGATCGTTCTTGACTTCACAGCGCATCGTTCTATCACCTACTTCGATAAAGCTACGACCTAAAGTAGGCGCACGACCCTTAGGCGCGTCTTGAAGCATTCCATTTCTAGCATCATTTACAAATTGGATAATTCTACGCTTTTCTTGATGATAATTTATTTGACCCGCAATATATTGCATGCCGGCACTAATTAATAAAAGTACAATTACCACTGTACCTAATCCAGGTCTAAAACGACTATACAAATAGCCTGTACCACGCCAGCGAGGCACACCATTTTTATAGAAGAAGTTGTAACGTTCACGGCTTTTAGGATCACGCAAAATAGATGCTATAACACCTAAGCGTGCAAATTTTTCCTTGGCTTTAGGGTCATTTTTGTTTTTGTCAGGACTAGAAATAAATTTATTTAAGAAAAAGAAATATTTACGAGAGAGGGAAATGTTTTTTTTTAAAAAACACACACACACACACACTTACTGCCATTTTAATGAGAGTTTACGATAAGCTTTACTAATTTCAGCCTGACTTGCAGATGGCTATATATGTCAATATTGTTAGTTATTTTTTTTTTTTAATTCATCAAGTATGTTCGAAAGTTAACACGAAAATAAATACTTACACTAACACCCAACCAGTTGTAAAAGTTTGTGTCCTTTCCTTCTGCTTTTTCCAAAGCATCAACAAGATCAAAAATTTCGAAGTCGGCTAATAATTATGATGAGATTCTAACATCTCTATTTTTTTAATGAGATTTGGCTAAATAGTACCTTCAGTCCAAGCCTTCACCTTAGGCACTATGGTTAAGATGACAACCGTAAAAACTAATAGCAGACTGCAAATGCTTTGATTCCCAAAGAGTTTTACACGTACCATGTAAATGAGATTTATACAGTTAAGGAAAAAAAGTAAAAAATAAAAAAATCAAACAATTATTATTATTTTTTTTTTTTTAAATAATTATGATAAAAAATGAATGACCGCCGCCATAATGTCTTTACAATATTGAATTGCTCTATTCAGTTTATGAAGATTGAATATTGTATTTAAAAGCCTTTTTAATGAATAAAAGAGAAAAGGGGGAAAGTAGAAGTTAAACTAACAGATTATCAATTAAATAGCTGTCTTCCTGACACATATATCTCTGTGGAAAGTATCAACAGTAAAACAGTTAAACGTGCAAAGAACGATGTATCCTCTTATCGCTTAAAACAGTATTTTTGTCGGATTATTCTGTGATTTATACAGTGAGAAATAGAAAATATAATTTAATACATAAGTATTACTACTACTACTACTACTACTACTACTACTACTACTACTAACTACTAACTACTACTAACTACTAACTACTAACTACTACTAACTACTAACTACTAACTACTAACTACTAACTACTAACTACTAACTACTAACTACTAACTACTAACTACTAACTACTACTAGCTACTACTACTACTAGCTACTACAATTGTTAATAATTACATTTCTTGGATATTATGTCTAATATATAAAGAAGCTATGCTAAATAATTGTGTAAACACACATAAGCAGATTTTATTATCTGTATAAGAAAACACCAAGTTATTTACAGAATGCACAAAAAGTTAGTATCCACTAGCAAAGATAGTCATCTAGAAGATGATAATCGCTTTTAGAAATAATAAACTTTCAGGTACCTGCCATGAAGGAAGAACAGACAGCATCTACAGTTTAATCCTGATACTTTCAAGTTTATAAGCACTAAAAACATTTATATATCTTTCTTATAACTAGAAGTACAAGATCATGTTACACATAAATAGTAGCTATCATAACAATATACACTATATCTTTGTTTATATAAATTCAACTTTCCCATCATGATAGATGAATATTATATATCAGAAACTAAGCTTTGATTCAAGTTTTCTTTACTTGATAATAAAGTAAAGATGTCGTTTTAAACTTGCTAAATAATTAATACCCATTTAACTACTTGTAATCTTTTTATTTCTGATGATACTCTGGAAGTCTATTATCTTCTTTGTTGTGATGCTCGAATACTCTAACAATGAATGTTGTATAATGAACATTATGCTGTGACGTACAATACACTAGTCTTATTTGAATAACCTCTTTATTATGTAAATAAATGATGGTTTATTTCCATTAACTTAGTTGTAAGGACGACTACAATCATAACAGATTCCACTCACAGTACACATATTATTTATAAAATAAATAGATACAAAAGATCTATAATCATTCTCTTCCACGGTTACGTCATCAAATATAATGCATTATACTATTACTCATTATCCTTAACCACAAAATATATAAATACTTTTACGTTATTAACTTTTATTTTATATTAATCCTTAACTCATAAAACTTATTGTCGACTCTCAACGTACTTCTTCTGTCTGTTTTCTTTTATTTCTCTTTTTATTCTTTTATTTTATTTATATTTATATTTTATGGCATTCTTACCAGTAAACCACAACATGCGGTTATACCATGGTTATTATGACTGTGGTTACGGCTATGTTTTTTTTATGTTGAAACGAAAACTTACGTATTTTCATGCTCTTTTTTCTCTCTCTCCTCATAAAAAATCATGGTTTTCATCAGTCGCAATCACGCGCTCTGTATCTACTACCCAACTAAAGTTCAACCAAGAAAACGTTGCTAAGGCTCTAGAAAAATTTCAGGCATTAAGCGATGAACACGAAGTGTGCTACTTGAATGATTCCACAGTTCCTGTACTTGTATTAAAACCAAGACTATATGGTAATTCTTTCTTTTTCAAGGAATATTTCACAGAAGAAAAACCAAAAGTAAATGTTCCAAATAAATCTGTCATAAAACTTGGTATGCTGTTGATTTTTTTTTTTTTAATTGTGGTAGTTTCACTAACTTGTAGTTTAAATTAATTAGAAACGAAAGCCCAAGTTTTAAAATTTATAAATGAAATATCCTCTACTGAACCTGCTCTTGATGATATGTATACGCTAAAAATAGTATTACTCTCAGATATTTTCGTTAAAATGTTACATTATTCAACATTTTTCAACAAGAAAACATTGAACAGTTTCAGCTCGTTTTGTGGGAAAATCAAATTAAACTTTATGGCGGACGTGCCCTCAAAAAAAAAAAAAAAAAAAAAAAAAAAAAAGAAAAATGAAAAAAAAAAAGATCCAAGAATGAAACTGGCTCATACATATACGATATTGGAATCTTTATGTTTTACAAGATAAATACCAAGGTAAAATGAAGGTGTTTTGTTCTGATTTCCTTATTGACTTTTCATTTGTAGTAAACGTGCTAAACAATATAGTGGAATACAAAGGATTTTTAGAGACACAAAAAGAATTAGGTTTAGATTCCACAAAAAAAGCAGTAATATGGGTCGTCCTGGATTATGCTGGTTTATCAACAAATGTTGAAGATTTAAAAGAGTTTCTCAGGTAAATACTAGATTAATTGACATATGATTAACCTATATGTTATCAGGCAAAGGAATATTAAAAAAATAATAATTGATAGACTCCCTATCACATCTGAAGTAGAAATTTATGAAACAGAGGTGTTGCTTCAAGACCAAAAGGCAATAAAGAAGTTCGATTGCAGAACACGACCTATACAAAGATCCTTATGAAAATATATCATTGCTCAATAAATTATTTTATAAATACTCTCTTGAATTAATATACTCCTTTTTTTATGATAGTTTATCTTTACTCACAATATAATTGTTGTATATCGATCTGCAATTACATTAATAGCTTACTCTTTTATTGTATACAGGCTCTGGTTTAGCTACTACCACCAAGTCCTCTCAGTTGGCTATCCGCAACATATTTAATTAAGTGCATCATGTTCTTACAAATAGACTTATAATAAATAAAACCATTTTAGTATTTCCTAACTGCAGCATTAGTAATCGATTCATAACATTACATAATTATCTAGCTGACATCATATCTAAAAAGATATAATGAACAATGGCGTTGGTTCATAGTGGATTGGATAACAGAATAAGTTATTCCGAATGTCTTGCTGATTAGTTATTACTAAATGCAATCGACTACCTAATCTCAATGATTACTCGGTTTCGAAGCACATTAGAAAACTATATAAAGCCTAATGTGTGTTTTTTTTTTAGCTGTAAATAAAGATAACTTTTTTCAATAATCAGCTAGTCTGATCACATACTGGTTTTTATTTTATCCTTTTTTTTTTTTTTTTTGAAAAGCACGACGCTATTTTTCAACATTTTTCAGATGATTTGCTTACCTTTTTCGGATACAAATAAAGAAAACTTCTTCAAACACTTTAACAACATTTCTTTTTTTTCTTCAAGATTCTGTAGTATATAATGAAGCAAAAGCGTGAAAAGAATCCAATTGACGATTTAACGATATCAAAAGGAAAGAAGGCTTTATCGAGTTAGTATCAAAAACATACATAGCGAGAGAGTATGTGCCATACTTTTTTTTTAAGATGTGGATCATGATACATCTACTTTGACGACGTTTGTTTCAACTTCACTTACTTTGACGCCACCTGCTTCTACTGATTTCACTTCGCTTACTTCTACTGCCTCTATATCACTTGCTTCTACAAGTTTTTCTTCTAGTAATTCACCTCATACTTCAAAGAAGATACAAAAAAAAAATAGAAAAAAAGCGTGCCTTGATCAATTTTAGAATGGAAACAGCAAGCAGTACAGTGGAAGAAACGGATACAGTAAAACATAAAGTAAAACAGTGTAAATGCGGCTCAACCACCCATCTAAGAGTAAACAGCAATGCATCCCCCCTAAAAAAGCAAAAAGAACCAACGCACGGTCCCAGACGAGAAAAAAGAGATCTTCGTGATCAAATGCTCTTTGAAAAATATTTGTAGAAACGCTAAGCTTGTTGATCAAATATCTCTTGACACGGCACACACAACAAAAGTGATGTGGGTAAGATCGTTGTTTATCAACTATCTTTTTTTAAAGCTCTTAACGAAGGGTGAAGAAGTTCCGATTATGAGTCAGAATGATGTCTACTTCATCTTTACCGTAGTTACTGGTAAGGGCAAAAAGTCTCCCAGTTATATTCAACGATACTTTGTTGAGTTTTGCAATGAATGTGAAATTGATGACACAATCTTACGATCCCTCAAGAGTATTGGATGTTCTTCTATTTTATCCATTGTATATAAACAACACGATGTGCTCATACGCAACCACGTATGTTAGAACCACGAAAGGAGAACAATTCGCTTCTTTATAGAATCCTTGTCCGATAAAGACTCCACATTTTTCGTTTGTAAGGGCTTATCTGTTAGCGAAAGAAAATCTCTAGCTAACTATATCTATTCGCTAAAGCTGAAGCAGAAATCCGTATGGCCGTCATCTGTCGAAAAAAATCAACATTTTGAAGAGATTGTACAAAAGATGGAGTCGTTATGGTCTAGCTATCAAGCATTAAGCTGTAACTCGGAAGATGGGTTCGTCTATAACAGCAGCAAATATCATCAGAAGTCATCTACTGGTGAAAAGTCAGTTATTAATAATGTAAGCAAATTCTATCCACCTACCCCGACCGACCATAAAGAAAGGTCAGTAAAAACGATCATTGCTTTGGGCAATGGTGTGTTTAATACTAGTTCACAAGGCAACAGGTCGTCGCCCGGTCAGAACTATTACACAAGCGTTGAAGAGGTATTGTGGGCAACAGTTAGAAGTAGTAATGGTTGATGAATACCTCACCAGCTAAATCTGCAACAAGTTCAAGATCAGAAATATTAAGATTGTGGTGACCAAAAAATCAAAGCGAAGAGAACACACGATATTACAGTGTCAAAAAAAAACACTTGTAATATTATATGGAATCGCGACATTATGGCAACTCACAACATATTGGACTTGTTTTTATTTGCTTTGAAAAATAATAATCAATGTCTGAGCCAATTCAAGCGTAAAGACGCAACCACCGATGAACCATCCCCGTGTGGCTGATATGACTCTCTCATACGTCCGTACAGCGTAAGTTCTATATAAATATTTTTTTTTAAAAAAAAAAAAAGTTTACAAGTTTATTAATTATTATTTTTTTTTAACAGTCTTTACATTTTTAAAGGTTTGAATGATTTCTTGTTGGAACTCGTCTAAAACTAACTTTTTTTTTATCTGAATTTCCTTTTTTATTTTATCCGAAAAAGGTAAGCAAATCGTCCAACTAACGTCGTTTGAATTCAAAGTGTAAAAACAGTATTCTTGTGACCTTGTTTTGGCAAAAGATGTAAAGAAAGAAAATTACAAATAAATCATCTGAGTTCATAAGTTGTATTCATTCAATATTGGTAATTGTAATAAAATATTTGGATAATTCAGTGTTCATGAAATATTATAGCAGTTACTACTACTACATTAAGACTTTAATTATTTAAATTTGCACTATTTTGTTCTATATTTAGATATATAATTATCATTATTATTATATTATGCCCCTGAAACAATGGAACAGAAGTTTATTCTAAAAATAGTTAATGTTTGCTTTTTTTTCAAGTACGTATTATTCGTAATAACCAGCAATGAAATGACCGCATGTTCACTATCACTACTACTACTACTACCACTACTACTACTATTATTATAACTTTCACTTGTATTATGTAATACACAGTAGTAATAATAAAAAGAAACTTTTTGTTAAACTCATTTAAAGAACAAATATAATATCTTTATTTAAAAAAAAAATTTTTTTTTCATCTTGGAATATATTTCAACTTATCAAAAGTAAAGAAGAACCTTTCGTTACTTGTTGTATTTAAATCCTTTAAATTATTAATTTAATATGATGAAATACACCAAAATAATTATTTCCTTTAAAGCAATACACTTTGTTTATTGGTCGTGAAATAATGAAAAGACTCTTTCTTTTTCCTTTTTTCGGAATCATAATCGATAAATTTAAAGTCAGTTTATAAAAAGAAAAAATAAGGGCAACAACAACAACCAATTTTTTTAATAATTTATTTTTTATTTTTATTTTCTATCTCCCCTTTTTTATTTTCAATATCATAAAGTAAATAGTTTTTCTTTTTCTTTTTTTTTTTTTTTTTTTTTTTTTTTTGATTAATCTAAATTACTTTAATAGTCATGTCCGCTGAAATTAGAAGAAAGTTAGTCATTGTTGGTGATGGTGCTTGTGGTAAAACTTGTTTATTAATTGTATTTTCAAAGGGTACTTTTCCTGAGGTAAATAATAGTTTTATATTTTATATTCTTAAAGAAAACAAAAAAAAAAAGTCAATGTGCTCAAATGTATATTAGTTCTATGTCCCTACTGTGTTTGAAAATTATGTTGCTGATGTTGAAGTAGATGGAAAGCATGTTGAATTGGCTTTATGGGATACAGCAGGTAGGAAAAAGAAAAAGAGAGAGAATGATTATTAGGAATAATTTTGTTATTAATACTAATAATAATAAATAGGCCAAGAAGATTATGACCGTCTTCGTCCTCTTTCTTATCCAGATTCACATGTCATTTTAATTTGTTTTGCAATTGATTCACCTGATTCCTTAGAAAACGTACAAGAAAAAGTAAAGTATACACACACACACATATATATATATATGTCCTATTATTTTATTTATAATAACACATCATTTATAATACATAGTGGATTTCTGAAGTACTTCATTTTTGTCAAGGACTTCCAATTATTTTAGTTGGTTGTAAGAAAGACTTACGTAATGATCCTGCTACAATAGAGGAATTGAGAAAGAATTCACAAAGACCAGTTACAAGTGCAGAAGGTTCAGCTGTTGCTCAAAAAATTAGTGCTTATAAATATCTCGAATGTTCTGCAAAATCAGGAGAAGGTGTTCGTGAAGTATTTGAACAAGCAACTCGTGCTGCTTTGATGGTAAATAAAAAGAAGAAGTCTAAGATGTGCAATCTTTTGTAAGAGATGTGTACATGTAAAAAAGAAAGAAAGAAAAAAAAAGCAACTTTTTTGTTTTACTTTTAATACTTTTATATACACACATATAAAGATTTATTATTATTATTATTATTATTATTACAACTTGAATTATATGTTTTAATATACAATGCTTTATGATATAAGTAAGAATACATGTGTTATTTAATACTATGCATATCTTAATATCATACATACTTTTTTTCTTTTCTGTACATCTTTTCTCGCATATTAAAAATTTATTACGCCACATCTTTTGGAAAAAAAAAAAAAAAAAAAAAAAAAAAAAAAAAAAAAACTATTCATGATTCCTGTCTCTTTTCTCCCCTTTTTTCAGTGAAGCGATCTATACTTACAACCTATTTGTATACTATACTTGGACATGAAAATAAAAAATAAGAAATATTAGTTGCTTAATCTTCTTTTTATTAATAAAGTCAATGATCTTTTCTTTTTCTTTTTTGTTAACTCTCGTCTGTAAATTTATCATCTACATCAAAATAAATATCCGAGTCAGTCTCGTCCAAAGAAGGAAGAATGAGTGTGTTGGTAAAGTCAAAATGAGGCAAGTGTTATCGGCGATAATGATGCTCAACGATACGAGGAGGCCTAATTACCGATTGTAATAATATCTTCCTTGAGGATTCCAGCCTGTTATGCAGGAGAAGAGGCAAATAGAACGTACAGAAACCCTTACTTCAGTAGTCGGTAAACGTAACAGTTTCGAAATCTAGGATAGAATTATACAAATGCTAATAGGCTTATCAAGTTGCAAGGCGTTGACAAACATAGAAATAACCCTATAATTCAGGACTTTTAGTCAAGTAGTAGGATAAGGTTGACACTGAACATAAATGTGGATTTATATGAGCTCTAACTTTGAAAGTTTTAATAATAAAACGATGAGAACGTTTTTCTTTTTGAGTAGTGGACTTCAAAGAAAATAAACCGAGCATCATCAAAATAATAATAATAATAATAATAATAATAAGGAAAAAATATGAAAGAAATTAATAAGACTAGGGCAAAAGAATTATATATAGAATCATATTTAATAAACTCCTTTTTCTATTCTTTTGATTTTAAAAAGGATCATTTATACCATTATTCAATCAAATCATATCATTATATCCTCCATTAAAGTGAATCAGGGGAAGATTTGAAACTATTCTTTCTTCCATTTTGTTCAGTTACAGTATTCATGATGGTTGTTATCTTATATAAAAAAAGAGTGTCCCCATTATGACAATGCTTATAAAAGTTTTCAAAAATGAAAACTACATGTTTTTTTTTCAAGCATATGACAAGCGCGTTACGCCACATCAGGCGAAAGCTCATTGTTTTGATGCTCGCGTTTACAATTGTAGCAATAGAGAAAGATATACTCACGCTCAACCCAAATATGAGTGTACTTCTTATGTTGAATCCTTTGATATCAAAGAGAAATTTGCTGAACATGCGGATAATATGCATCTATTGTAAATGATAGACCGCTTTACAATTGTAGCTTCTTTTTTATTTTTATTTTTTCGATCTAGTATTTATTTTTGTATAGTGTTGAAAGAGCCTCTGAGATCTCAGCAGAAGAATAGATGATAATGGCATCTCCAAGAAATTCAACAGCTTTTTTACTCCTTGCCAAGTACAAGAAAAAAATTGGATAAAAGTCAGATAGTAACTTTAGTGAGATTCTGTAGAATCCTCATTTATGATATTATCTAGAAAGTATTAATACTTCTCATCTAGTGTATTACCCGGTATCTTTATATTGCAGGAACGAAATAACTTCATAATTTTACTAGAGAATATTTTCCCCTTAGATCTATTTCAAAAAAAAAAAAAAATGTGGGCAAGACTTAACACAAAAGTATTATTCCCATGTCTCCTGTACAACTTTACTTTCCAAAATAGAAAGTGTTATGATTGTTATGATTGTAGTCGTCCTTATAACTAGGTTAATAGAAATAAACCACTATTTATTAACTAATAAAGAGGTCATTCGAATAAAATTAGTATATTGTACTTTACAGCATAATATTCATTCTATATTCAGTTTTAACAATAGTTATTGTCAATGTATTCGAGCATTAACAACAATTATATACATCTTATTATGTAATAATAATAAGGATAAAAGAGCCTTAGTGTTTCATTTGTATTGCGTCTATGATAAAATCAATATCAGATATAGAAAAACTTCAATTTTGCAACGTTTTATTTCGGGAAAATGAAAACGGAAGAATTTCGGGGGCTACAATCCATTTTCGAGAATCTAAGGAAACACAATTAAAAACAATTCAATTTAAGAGTCTTACTGATTAAGAAATATATGCAGTAAAAACGTTATTCACCCTTGCGGAAGCAACGAAGATTATTAGAGAGAAACTACATATGGATCACATGTTTTTTTTTCTAGCATACTTAAAAGAGGTTACTAAAACCAAATCAGTATAACCATCAACTATAGCTTTATGACTTAAGTGAATAATGTATGTAGAAAGAGCTGATTTGCAGATATACAAACCTCATTTCGTACGGATAACATCTAGTACAAAAACGATAGACATTAATCAAGTGAAACAACATGCAAACTGAAGTCTTGGTGCAAACATCTTTGAAACATACTATTATAAACCTCGATTACAAGAACATAACTCTGCTAGCATCATTAATTCAACTCATTGCTTTTCTGAGGACTGTACCACATTGGATGCCGAAGGTGAGCCAACTAATGTGTCCAAACCAATCCTTGTTGACTCGCCTTCGACATCCAATGTAGTACAGATCCACCATTCATATTCATCCAAACTATTTACAAGATATTAATCAAGATACACGGTAATTATCATATTTCTCTTCATATCATACATCACTTTATTTTTTTTTTCCTCTTTTACAAACTATGTTTTTTTTTGTAAGAAGAGAATATTGAGGGGGAGTTCCTTTTAACAAAGCAAGTATCTCTTTTAAATATATAAATATCCTAGCGCATTTTATCTTATTCTTTATTAAGTAAAATTTAACCTTTAAGAGTAGAGAGACAATAGTATAAAACAAAACTCTTTGATTAGGATATGTAATTCTACTGTATGATTCATACCTTCTTTAGAAAGTCATTTTGTTGTTGATAAAAGTACAAAAATGAATGCTGTAGAGTAAATAGTTTATTATCTGTAAATAAATAATAAGCCACCGTACATAAATATTTTCATTCCTGCAATAAAACAAAGTTTGTAGGAAATCACTCAAAAAAAAAAAAAAAAAAAAAAAAAAAAAAAAAGTATTGTTGTACATCATATGAATATATAAAAAGTAGAAAGGCATATATTAAATTTTCTTTTTCTCTTCTTCTCTTCTCTATTTATTATTATTATTATTATTCTAGTAAATCTATGGTGAATAAAAGAAAACTAAGTTCATTACTTTCATTAAATAATGATGTTCAAAGATCTGTAAATTTCTTTTTTCTTTTATTATTATTTGATTCTTTTTAAACTTTAATTCGTATTTCAATTATAGAGTATTGAAAAGCTGATAAGTTTTTGGGATATTGATAATAAAGGTTATGTTTCTCCATATGATTTAATTGCAGGTAAGAAAAAAAAAGAAAGAAAGATAGAGAGTGTATGTATGTATAGATAATTTAATCCTTCCTTGCATGATAAAGGTTTTATGGAACTTGGCTATAACGTAGTATTTAGTGTTTTCTTTGGTGCTAGTATAGGAGTTCTCTTATCTACTCATGTTCATACTGGATGGAAGATAGACCCTCTATCGCGTACTAATTTGAAAGGTTTGATACGATATAAGAAAAGAACTCAAAATAACAGAGGTGCCTTTGATGAAGAGGGAATATTCAACCTTGAAAAGTTCAATACTTTCATTGACAAGTATGCAAAATATGATCCTTCTGGAAAAACAATTAGGGTGACTGAATTTATAAAAATGACGAAAGAACAAGAACAATTGGAGAATAATATGAACTCCTGGTATAAATAGATCATCATGTATGAAATATTTATTTATATCTTACATTTTCATCAATAGGTTCAAGTTAATATTGGAAATAGGAATGGTTTATTTTTTTATAGGACATTATGGTTATTTTACAAGAGAAAACATCTGCTCTTTTTATGATGTAAGCATATAGATAAATAGATAATAATCTTTTTTCTCCTCACCCCCCCTTTTTTTTTTAAAAAAAAAAAAAAAAAAAAAAACTTTAGGGTTCAATATTCTATCGTCTTAGAAATGACTATATAAGTACTCTGAAAGATAAAAGGCAAAGAGTCTATCTGTCTGAAATGGATGGATTAAGAGGCCCATATATTTCAAAATCTTATTTCGGATTAGATCCTAGAGAAATGGAATATAAAATACAAGCTATGTTTAATTCGTGGCAATCTAAAGTCCAAATTGTACAGAATTTAAATTTGGATAAATGGTCTAATCCAATTAAAAAAACTGCGCATAAGATGAAAGAGTATACAGTCTCACATGTATTCAAACAACCCACTTCTGTTATTAATGGTGTTCCTGAACCTACACAAATTATTCATTCTCCTTCTGAAAGTCCCGATGAGGATGCTAATTTGGAAGAAAACTTGAATCTTACAGGAGTTGCTAGTAAACCTGCTTCAGAGACATCGTTGACAGATGATGACTTCTTTAGTGCCCTCTTAAGTCCAGATCAAACTTCAGCATCAACAAGTTTGAATGGTAGTAGTCTCTTTGGTGAGCAATATAATGGTGATACTCATATGAATCGAGAGGAACCCATCATTTTCAACTATGATTCAAATCATAGTACTGATATGCCTCTTGATGATTCTACCACATTTGAACGTGTACCTTCCCATTTGTCTTCAAAACCTGATTCTTCATTGGATACAACAACAGCTTCAATGAGTAGTTTTCTTCGATATGATGAAGTTGACTATAAGAATTGGCTTACTGAAACTTTAACAGGCGTTCAATACGATCATGTTGAAGACACGATCGAAAATACACCCAATTTATCTATTGATCAACAGCAACTTAAACTGGATGAAGAAGTTAAACAAGAAAAAATTATGGATAAAGCTGAAGATAAAACAGAACTAATCGTTACAACTCCTCTTCCTGATGAAAAAATTATCTTCTGCTTTGAAGACCCTTTAAAAGAAGAACAACCTCCCATTATTCCTTCTCCCAAGGTCATTCATCATATAAATAAGCTATCTTCTGATAACAAGGTAAAAAGAAGAAAAAAAAAGGAAAAGGAAAAAAGAAATAATGCTAATTTATTTTATTTTATTTTATTTTTATCCTTTTTTTTCTTTTTTTTTTTCCTTTTTTTTTTTAAAGTAATTTCTACATTTGTTTGATATGGATATATACATCTTCAAATCTCATTTTACAATTCTTTTCCTTAAGGAAAAAAAAATAACATTTTTACATGCACTATCACATTTATATAAAGCATATATAATGATAACAACAATAAAAATAAAATAATAATAAGAAAAAAGTTTTATAGTTTAATATAGCCATATATATATGTGCATGTGTGTCCATGGACATTATATATATTTATATAAATATATATAAACATATATGAAGTAATAGTATTCTCTATAAAATAAGTTACTTCTTAAGCTGACGAGAAGAAGGATAAAGATGAAAAAATAACTAATATAAAGAATTTGGATTAGACATACGTCTATCTATACAAAAGAGAATTTTATCTTCACAAGATAACACTACAATACCTTTTTCTTCACACTCTTAGATGATATCTCATAATCACCCGTATTAAGTGACTCTGACATAAGAGATGAATTATTAGATGTCAAGATTTTAGAAGGCGGAGGAGAAAGTTTAAGTTGAGTCTTTATTCCTTTAGATGGTTTCTTTAAATTGATTTTTTGCGCCATTTTCTCCAAGAAAGTAGGGGAGCGTTCAGAGGAATCGATTGTATTAGTAGGGTTAGGAGTATTCCTTCTTGAAGAACGAAGAAGATTGACATGATAAGCAAGTGATGAATGACGTTCCATCGGCTCTTCTGATTGATGATGTAATTTTAAGGGGCCATGAGGAATGGTTGAATTTCGTTTGGCTTTATTAAATGGCATACGAGGAGATCGAACCTTGTGTATAGATAAAGATGAAATATTGGGTATTTCAAGACTTGGTCTATTAGAGAATAAAGCAGATGCCGAATACCGATAATTGTCAAAGATACTTCTACGTTTCTTATCATAATGATAGAAACTACTCCTGGCTCGAGCTTTCATAATAGGTGTTGTACAGACATCCTTAAACTTCATATCAACAACTTTACATCGTGCCTGATAGTTTTCAACATTAAAATTCGGTCTACTATAAGAAGCCATATCACTTGCCACGGACAAGGGGCGCTTCATGGATGATGTGAGACTGTGCAAGGAAGTATAGCTATTATCTGGTTTAATTTTATGAAAACTGAGAGGACTAAAAGAAGATCGGGATAAATACTTGTTTTGGTTTACAACACTATCGAGGAAGCTACTAGTCTGTGACGTAAAAGATGTGGAATGACTACGATATTTTTCTTTTTTATGTTTTCTTTGTGCCATTAATTCAAAACTAGAAATAAATACATGTTCCAATTCATGTTGTTTTGTATCAGAAGATTGATTCACTGAATCCTTTTCCTTTGAATCTTTAATTGCTTTATCTAACTTTTCTATCCAAACTTTCTTTTCTGATTCGCAAATAGCACAAAACTCTAATATATGTTGACTATTCTCTAATCGCCAAGGATAAAATAAAAAATCTATTATATAGGTTTTTAGATTTTAAGATATAAAAGAATGTATATATATATATATGTATGTATTCAAACCTTTATCATTTGGTAAATCAACCAAATTAAATTCAAATAAAGAAAACCAATGCTTTGGTATATATTGTTCGCGTTTCTTGGCTTCTGTGATAATCATATAATCTTTAAATAAAGCACATCCGACTCTATCACTTGTTTTACTTTCGATGTTAGGTCGAACTATTAAAGTGCCAATCAATAAGCAACTGCCTAAAGATTCAAACCATCGTTTATCCATATGATACTCAGGCACCAAACGTGATAAAAATAATTTACTCTTTCGATTTGTTTCCATAACTGATTTTGCTATATCAATCTTTTTAACTATGGCATGAATAATTTTCTGTGCCTCTAATAAAAGTAAATATTCCTCTGTATCCTTTAAGGTTGAATTTTCAATAGTCTGAAGAAGAACTTCATATTTAAAAATTCTTTGAAAAGGCTATACATACATATTAGTTAATAAATTAATATATATATATATATATATAATACAATTACTTTACAATAGCAAAATAGTCTTGGAATTTGAGTTTACTTAACCCAAGGGATTCACTATGAAAATGAAATATACTATCCATTTCTTCTTTAAATTTAGGGTTTGACTGGAGTAAACAACTAAATGCGGATACAGCATAATCGTATTTTACACAATAATCATGATAAATATCAAGTTTTGGTGCCTAAATATTAAATATATATATATATATATATATATATATATGCTTAGAATTATATACATATGTACATACATATACATGCAATTTTACCCATTCAATAAAAGAAAGAAGAACACTTTTTAGTTTAGTTGAATAAGGAATTGTATTTTGTTGATTTTTATCGCCATCATGTGCCAAAAGTAATGCGTTTGTAAACTTGATGTGAAATGAAGCTATATCGAGTGCATTACAAACAATATTCATACGTTGTTCTTTTGTTATATCTGCCATTTTATAAATCTCTTGAAAGAAATACTAAAAGTGAATCCCATCCACAATATAAATGGATAATTAATAAAATTATTTGAAAGAAAAAAAAAAAAAGAAAAGGCATGAGTGCAACTTACGGTACACAGCATACTAAGATTGGAACTATAACTCTTTTCAGTCATAATCAATTCATGAAGGGAACTCATCTGCTTGATAATTCTTTTTTCTTCTGATGAAAGGGATTCAAAATCTAATGGAAAATCAGGTTGCTCTTTTATTTCCATAGGAAGACAAATGGCATGTTGATTACCATTCACATATTCTTTATAGAGTTTACGAGATACAACAAGGTATAGATCATCCAAGTTGAGATTCCTAATAGTTTGTACCATGGAACGATGGGAGCTCATGATTGAAGGTGAAGGTAAAACATCAGGTTCTCTTTGTTCATTTTGCAAGGTCTTTTGACCAACAGTTAGCATAGTATCAGCACTAGCCAATGAGAGAGGTCTACTGGGGTCTTTTTGTTCTATCAAGGAAGATAGAACAACATCATCATCATTATCATCATTATTGTCAAAGGAGTTTTGAACAGTTTCTTCTTCTTCTTCATCTTTTGATTCTCTTCGACGCTCATAATGTGCTGTTACTTTCTTTAGACGTGAAGGAGAGGGAGGTGATGGAGGATCATCATCAAAGGTAGTAATTTGTTTTGGAGAGAAATCATCGGACTCATAAGCAAAATAGGATTCCACTTTATGCCTTGCTGCTTGTCCTGCAGATAGACTTATATCCTCAGGTGTTTGAATATTTACCTTTAACACATCTTTTAAATCCTTATGAGATTTTGTATGATCTTTAAAATGGTCATAGTCAATTGCATGAAGTTTTGCCAGTTTATGTGTTATTCCCTTAAGTGAGGCACTCTCCTGAGGTATAGGTTCCGAAAAAACTTTTGTAAAGACATTCATGACTGGGATAAGTGAAGAATCATCACCTGGTGGTGTTTTAGGACCATGAATCACTATCTTGTTTAATATACTCACTTTCTGACGATCAGAAAAAGCATCGCAATTTAAACCAGCTGGGTCAGGAACAAATTCTAGATATTTCCCGGTATTTAATGTATTGTATTTCAAAGCTGCATTATTTAAAGCCTCAGCGATAGTAGCAATGACTTGAAGATTAGAATCATAATCATCTTGCTTTTCTTTTGGAATATCGATGACTTCAGAAGTTGTTTCTATCACTGATTGAGACTCATTCTTTATATCATCACTCATTGATTCTGGCGGAATATTATTCTTTTCATTCTCATCTGATACCAAATATCCAGCAGAATCATCCAAAAATGTATCTGCCATAATTATTCTATCCACTTGGTCTTTTAAAATTCAGTAAAAAAGAATAGAAAGAGAGAGAGAGAGAAAAGAATAATAAAATAATATGTATATCTATATATTAAGAAGAAAAAAAAATAATAAAATAAAATAAAAATCAAAATAAAATAATACGTTTTCGTACGTAACTATAATGTTTTATATTGCTATATTAACTGATTTAATATAGAACCATTATCCTTAATTAGATCCCATTCTTTTGACTTATATTTCAATCAACTATAACAAAGTTATTATTATCTAATAATACTTCTTACTCTTTATATACTTGGTACCAACTTATATTAAAGACTGTCATTCTATAACAGTTGTTGATCTAATAATAACATGCATAATTGAAATATGTTTAAATAAAACCCAGCAATAGGAATGAGATCGACATTCAAATTTTAATTCATCTGTATTATGTAATCAAAGAAATCGATTTGTTCAAATATAAAAGCCAATTTTCTAGTAGCCTTTTTTTTTTATGATATAATTTCCTTTCCTTGTTCATAAGCAGTAAAGAAGTGACTAAGTAAAACTCATACTAAAAATTGTATTTTTTTTTTTTTTTATTTTTAGTTTAAACTATATTATTCATTACTAACAAATTAGTAGGTGCATAGGCTGTTGTTCAATAATAATTCGTTTCAATGACCGCCATATTTAAGAAAGATAGTTGGCCTCTTTTCCCTTTTCTTTTTCTTTTGTTTAAAGCATTCAAATGAGGTCAGAAATTCATATTTTAAATCAAGGTAGTAAATAAAAGATAAACCTGAATAAAGTCGTTTTTTTTTTAAAAAATTACTTGCTTTTATGTAATAGAGGATTGGGTTCAAAAGTTTCATCTTGAAAATAAAATTGATAGTAAAATGAAGAAGCTCTTTTATTATGTTATATCAATAACCTTTTTTTTTTTTTTTTTTTGGCTTCATAGTAAATTTACAAGTCGTTGTAGAAAACGAATCTACTAAAATTGAAATAGATGAAATTCCAAAGTAAGCATTATAAAAGAAACAAGTTGTACAACATATGATAATAATATGTATTGTGTAGCATGAATAATAGCAGTAATAAAAGGGATTCTTATTTACAGTCTATCATGTTATCTTCAGAACCCGCAACAATATGCACGAGTCCAATTTCTTGTACGGGTATTGAGACATGTACTTGCTATAAATGTCAAAGACAGAAAAGACGAATAGTGAACCATTCTACAGCCATAAAATCATTACCAAATCCAAATTCTACTTTTGTCATTTCAGAGGCTTATACACCCTTAAAGAGAATAACAAAAGATCAAAAGCCGATCGAAAGAAGGGAAACTGCTTCAGAGAGTATTTCTTACATACAGCAATCAAAACCTACAGTCCCATCACCGAAATCGACAACGAAAAGATCGAATACGTTGAGAAAGAGACCTACATTAAAATCTTATGAGAAGCATTTACCAAAGCCTGCTTATTCACAAGATGATTGTATTTATAGAATGCAACAAAATGAAGAAGAACCAAAGGGGAAAAAAGTAAACGATAAGAATGAAAGGAAAGTCGATCAAAGTGTCGACAACTATCAAATTGCATGGAAAGATGATCAAATGGGTCATGATATCTTGACTTCATTTGTCACTTTTCAAGCTATTTTTGAAGAAGAAGGAAATGATAATAAAGGGTTATCAGATTTGTTAGAACGACGTACAAAGGAATTAAAATATCAAAAACAACAGCTACATGATGATAAATCCTTCCTAGAGAAAGAAATAGATTCATTGCCACCAAGATTACATGATTGTTTAACCATGAGTTATCGTCAAGGGCCCAAACATAATCCTTTGACTCTTTATCATACTATGAAAATGCGAAATGAAAAAGAAAGATTAGCTGCATATAGTAAATATTTTTTTTTCTTCTTCTTTGGAATATATCATGTGTAAAAAAAAAAAAAAAAAAAAAAAAAAAAAATAGAATGCTAGTTTTTAAGATTTATTTGCATAATAGATCTTGCATTTGAACATTGTATCAATGCAAACAGTGGAATGAAAAAATGGGTTAAACGAACAAGAGTAGCACCTACAAGACAAGATTCAAAATTAATTCGCCCTATTCGAGCTTCCACTATCAAACGAACTTTACTTAATCCACTATCCTCGAAAAGGAATAAAAGAGAGGAATTATCAAATAATGTATTATTACCAGATACAACCGAAAATTATAAAAAGACTAAGAAATCAGCAAAAATAAGCATGAATACATATCATCTGCCATTTATTTCAGAATATCAAGATGATCCTAGTCATCCGCCCATGAGAGATGTTTTATCTGCTGCATATGCTTTTTTACCAACTACTAGTAATGATGATCATCCTTCTCTAAAGAATATATCCGATTATTCTAATAAAATACAATATGAGCATATAGATATACCAGGTCGTCCACGACACATATTGACCTCTGAAGTAAGTCTTTATCTTAGTGTGATAAATATATATATATATATATATATGTGTGTGTGTGTATATTGATATACATATATTGATATAATATATACATATGTTATAGGTTAATGATAATGCTAGTATTTCATCTTCAGATTCAGGACATGGTGAATCCTCATCTTTTAAATTGATAAAGAGTAGACCAGGTCGTTTACTGTACTCACTAGGAAGAAAGGCTTCCATTCGATCCTCTAATAAATCAATTTCCATTTTGTAACTAGGAAAAAGAGTATAATATTTGATTCTATCCTTCCACTATTCACATCTTTTATTATAAAGTAGATAAAAAGAAACAATGAGTAGAAATAATATACATCTAATCTTTATATTTATACAATTGATCAGTTTATTAATTATTAACTCGTTTTATCTTTTTTTTTCTTCTTCCCTTTTCTATATAATATACTCTTTTATATCTATTATTTTTATAATCTATCGTCTAATTAAGTTAAGGAATTCTTCTCTTGTTCTAGGGCTACTTCTAAATACACCCAACATACAACTTGTAACAGTTGAACTACCAGGTTTCTATTTTTTTTTTTTTTTTTTTTTTTTTAGATTAAATAAATTTAAAAATATGAATTGTACACAAAACATGTTACCTGTACACCTCTAATAATAATTAAAAAAAAAAAAAGGGTGAGAAAATAGGTCACTTAAAATTGATGAATGTATTTACCTTGAACACATACAAAGATGTGAACATTCCATAACAACAGCTACACCTTGTGGTTGAAGTATTTCCATTAATGCAGTAGCTATTTGTTTTGTCATACGTTCCTGAACTTGCAATCTTTTTATTTTATTAATAATCATAATATAAAATCAAATTCCTTGGTTTACCTTCTAGCAAACATTTCTGCAATACGAGCAAGCTTACTAAGACCAACCACTCGGCGATTAGGAATATAAGCAATATTAATTTTACCCATAAAAGGCACCATATGATGTTCACATAATGAAAAAACATCCACGTCTTTAACTAAAACCATTTCATCATGATCTATTTTTGTAATACGACAATTTTAATCGTAAGCATGCATCTCCGATCTTTTCTTTCCTTTTTTTTTTTTTCTACCTTCTTCAAATATAGCATCATTGATCACCTCTAAAAACCATTCAAGTAAGTTATGAGAATATATATATATTATTGCATCCATTATAAAGGAAGGAAGTAGAAGAGGTGAAGATATTTACCATAAATATTTCTTTCATAGCCTTGTGTAAAGAACATTAAAGCCTTTGCATAACGCTCTGGTGTTTTTAATAATCCTTCTCTATTAGGATCCTCACCAATACATGTCAAAATTGTTTTAACGGCTTCAGCCAATTTATTTTCTCTTTCTTCCCTTTGTTCAGGTGTTTCATCTCGACGTTCCCGAGCACCTAAACCTTTTATATGCTATTAGTATTCACTTGTACTTCAAAGTATGAAAGAAAAAAAAAAAAGGAACTTACTTGGCCAACTCATGCCATCATTTTCTACTGGTGTTGCTACACGGGGTATCTTTAATTTATCTTCTTTTAAATCTGACATCTTGTACCTTTTTTTTTTTTTTTTTTTTTTTTCAAGGATACAATGAAAGAAAAAAAAAAAAGAAATAAATTATTACCATTCATAAAGTATATGGGGCTTTTTTTTTTTGCAGATGTTGATATTTCATTAACCGAAAAACTTCGTGACTGCTGCCGTATTACAGGATTTTTAAAAAAAAAATCGGGACCAGAGAATTTTATTGGACGAATTTCAATTTTATTAGAGATAATTGCAAACTTTGAAAACATTATTGAGAGATATGTGGAGTCTAATAGAAACACATATTCCTTTATCTGAGACTGATTTCCTTGTTGATACAACTATACTAGTAATTCTCAGAATGTCTAATGCAATTTAAGTAATAACCAATAGTAACTTTCTGGCAGACTTCCACAATACGAGGCATAAAAGCAAAATTCCCATCGAGAGAAATCTCCTTGGTATTGCTTTTGATTTTTGACCAACATGATACAATTGAAGTTGAGGAAAAGGCAAATAAAGAGACATAACTAGTTGGTTATATCCCTTACTGCAGAAACGGTATGATACATTTTACAGTTATTCAAGACAATATAAACTCTATTCTTATCATGCCTATTAAGTACATCCATGAAAACTTGGTCAAATTTAACAATATGATATAATATAGTGTTCTTCTTCAAATATTTCTTCTTGGTATCCGTTTTCTTTTTTTTATTTTTTTTTTTTTTACCTTGATTAAGGAAAATGTTTTTTCAAGTTTATCGACATCGTTTTGTTTAAGAGATTCAACGTCTGAGAAGTTAATGGTACTGAAATGTGAGATACATCCAGTAACACTAATATTGACACCCTCCCCCTTTTTTTTTTTTTTTTTTTTTTGCTATGAACTTACTTTGACTTTGACTAACTCACCAAGTCTTGACCAAGCTAAACCATGTATCATTTGAGTATTAAGGCCTGGTTTATTGATAAAAAAAACACTTTTTTTTTTCTCTGCAAGTCAGTGCTTGTATCTTTCTATTTGCTGACAAGTTTATGTCGAAGGTGAAGAGTTCATTTTGAGTCCCTCTTAGTATTATATTTGGAAGCTTGTTTTAAAGTAAAGAAATATTATTTTGATAAATGTTTACACAATGATGAAAGGAAAATTGTAAAGCCTTTGAGCTGACTAATAAGTATCCCTTGTACTATCACCAGAGTAGATGAAGGATGTCTGTCAATGTAAGATACAAGGAATCGAGAATACTCGGGTAAAATCCCTTCTTTTTCTTTTTGTAGTTATCTTCAAAAAAAATAATTTGTAACTGTCTCTTTTTAGGATAAAATCCTGTAAGAAAAGAAGTGACCAATTTATATACATATATTTATTCCCTTTTTTAAGGAACAATAATAACAAACATTTCATTTTAATAATTTTGAAACCGAATCAATAAACTTATTGTCTATGATAATCAGATCTTTTTTTTTCTCACGTACATTTTCATTGGTCAATCAAATCTAAGATTTTACAAATTTTTTTTTATGGAGATTGAGATAACTATATACATAGATATATAAAAAAAAAGGCATTTTTTTTCAGTCCGTACAATGTATCATTTCTTTAATAGTGTTTAATAAATAAAAAGAGGTTTCTGTCTCAGATAAGATAAATAACACAGTTTAATTAAACTTGCATGTTTTAAGTATAGAACAAGAATATATATAATGAAATATGTATGCTATATATGCTTAAATAATAAATTAGATAGTCTACTTATTATTGCTACTTTACTTCTTAATCAATAACTCCGTATTTGACATTGTTTCCTCTTTTTATATATGCTTTTTTGTTTTCTTCCAAATGTAATTACTTTTGAGACCTTTAAGCTATTACTTGAATAATAGAAGACTTCAAGTATGTAAATTGAGTGAAATAAAGAGCATGCAATAGAAAGCACAATAGGGCTAAATGTTTGTAATTGATAAAAAAAAGCATTTAGGAGTTCTATATGGAATATACTTTTATACAAATGGTAGATACATGACTGAGGTTCTCTTTCAAAAAAAAAAAAAAAAGGAAGTAGTATAACAAAAGTAATTGTATCCTCTAATAGATTGAACGACATGAAAAAAGAGACTTCTCTTTATAAGATAGCATGTTAAGAATGAGTTATGTATTCAGTAGATGCTTCTTTCTATTCACTTTGTTATATAGACAATTACAATTATAACAGAATACACGATCATCTCATAAAAATGACTAAATATTTACGAGCAAATTCATACCATTTGTCCTAGAAAGGTAAATATACAAATACTATAAAATAATTCAGCTTTAAAATTGAAATTATGTTATTAATAGATAACGCTTGTATCAAGAAATCCATAGCTTGTGTAAAAATGTTGAATTGAGTAGAATTTATACTTATAAAAGATATAAAGAATCGTAGTTTTTTTTTATAAAACATTATCCCTTTGTCTCCTATAAAGCTCTATATTAAACTATTGAACAACATTATATTCTTAAAGATCTATAGAATGCCTCCTTCTAGAGTGGAGTACAATTAGCTTCTATTTCATGCAACGTAGCATTCATTTTTATTATTATTATAAACCTAAACATTGTACAAACAGTTCTGCCTCATACAAATATATGTGCGTATAAGTAAATACATGTATTATATATTGTGAAAAATGTGAACAATCCTTTTTCTTTTTTCCCTTTTTTTTTTTTTTTTTTTTATTACTAACTATTAAAAATTTCCTTCATAAAACTTTTCTAAAAAGGTTGTTGGCTTGGGTGGCATATTATCTTTAGCAAAGTAGTTCATAATATGGTTTGTTTGTTTCCAGACATTCATCACTTCCTGATATTCCATCTCTCCTTTTGCATATAAAATATCACGAGCTTCGAGTGTTTCAACATATCGATGTCTTTCGAATTCTTCACGAATTTTAGCACGAATTGCTGAAGAAGGTATACTGATCTCATGAAGCTTCATCATTTCAGGAACCTACCAATATATAGAGTATAATTAGTTTATTTTATTTTTTTTTTTTTTGAATGTTTTGTGAATTTCAAATCCTTGAATTTTAATGTCGAAATTGTGGGGTAACATACAGATTTTTGCCATTTTCTATAGAGTGCTAATGCACGAGTTCTAGCTGCTTCAGCTGACGGAGCAGATGCTGTAGTAACAGCAAGGTGGGCAACGCCATAAACTTGAGACATTACAAATTAATAAAGAGTGCGGGGGAAGAAGTATAAGAGAACAATTATTTTTTTTTTTAATACACATATAAAAAAAAAAAAAATAGGCACATCTTTAACCCCAGAAACCATGATAATTTGCGATTCCTTATGTAGCCTCCAGAATTATTTAATTGGATAAAGAGAAATGACGTAAGCATATCATGTTCCTATCTTTACTATAATATTCATAGTGAAGTAATGCAAGCCAAAAAAAAAAAGAAGCTAATAAAGTATTATTATTATTTAATGGTCTTCTTCTCATGTTTTACATAGTGTTGAATTAAAATTGAATTCACCTGTTGCAATATAGTTGACAGGGATCATTAGCAAGTAGGGAGTAGTTGTATTTATATCCTAAGTTCTAATACGACTATGAATTTTTATGTCTTCAGTATATAACCGAAGGGTTTTTATAAATCATGAAGCACTAGAAAATTAACAGTCTGATAGTTTCCATAGAAAGCAATTAATAAAGAAATATACATGTATTCATTTTATCCGGTAGAGATTAGTCTGTATCTTTCTCCCTCCTCTCTCTCTTTCTCTATATATATATGTATATTCATATACATATACTAGTTTTATATAAAATATAATTTCATCATCAAGATACTTCAAATATAGCTAATTTTCTTCTTCTCTACCTAAAACTGTATTGAATAAATAATAAGCAATTTAGATTTCTAGATTTTAGTGCTTTTTTTTTCTTTATGAATCTAATGCAGATCCTTCTTTTCTTTAATATATTTATATTACGTTTTTATTAAGCCCTAATGGAGTAGTAAAAAAAAAACCCCTACTTTAAGTGTAATCAAACAAAGTTGAACAGCACATAAATGCATTCAAAACATATACATGTTATTAAAGCTATTAATAAGTACGCCAATATACATGCAAGTACCCATAACGCGTTTTTTTTTCATAGTATAAAACAGAGATATTTGTGCCTTATATTTTAGTATTATTAAAAAGTACTATATTGTTTCGATCAATTTATAATTAAGAGCGATTCATTACACTTTATATTATATGTATGTTATAAATCACTTTTTAACCATTGAAATCTTTGTAGCATACAATTCAAAAAAAAAAGCATAATGTATGATACATTCAAGTCAACAAGTAAAGTAAGATCAAATAATAAAATTAACCTGACTTGCGCTTTTGGTTAAAGAATGATAAAGTTCGCCTTCTATTTCTACTATATGCTCTATCAATGCAGTTTGAGCAGATATAATTCCAGACTCGGCTAAAAAGATAACATACTTAGCTGAAGACCATAATAACGTCAACTTTCAAGTGTCGTAATTGGATTACTAGGAATAATTATCATTGGTTTATTCGTGTTGGGCGGTGGTCTTGACTATAAACGTTATTACTTCAGGTGTAATTCTCACTACATCAGATAGAACTGTTCGTTACTTGAGGTACAGTTGCCGTAACTTCAAATATAATTGTCGTTCAATCAGTTGCAGTTGATAATACAGATGCAGCTGATGTAAGTACAGACAAAGCAGATAAAATAATTTTCATTCCTGAAGAAATTATAGATTCTACAGATAAAATGATTGCCTCTTCTAAGGAAATAATAGAGTCAACAGATGATACTACTTAGTCAAATGATGATACTACTTCCCCCCTCCCCGCAATTGATGATTATAATACTGTTAAGCTCTTACTGTTGAGAAGGCGTTAAATCTAGAAGGGTAAGTAAATTATTAGAGTGGGTCCCCTTTTAGGAAGATTTGGCATGATGCTTTTAGAAATAGAGCTTAAAGTGGGATCACTACCAGTGTAAGGATTGGTATAATCAACATCAAAGTACAAGTAGAGACAGTATAATGACGTGTTTCTTTTCTATGACTGTGGGAAGATATTGTTCGTGTTACAGAATCTATTTTCTACCCAAGTTATTGTATACATCAATATTTATATATAAACAAAGCTTGTACAACTTCATTAAGCTAGATGTTTGTATACAATTAAACAAATTATATGTATAAAGTAATTAAAATGTCTATTGTAGTATAATGATTGATTAAATGAATTTCTAATAAAAATTGTAAAGAAAAAAAAAAAGAAGCCACATATAGTGAAATGTAAAATAAATTAGACTTGAGGAGCAGCAACTGCAGTAGTTGTAGTTGTAGTAGAGGTATTATTATTTGATTTTTTATCTTGAAGTAAATCATAATATAATTTAAATCGCTCAAGAACAACAAACGTAATGATTGTTTGAGGACCTAAACGAATAAATGCTGGAGTCCAACCTTTAAAGAATGAAGAGATACCTTCTGCTTTAAACATTTGTTTCATTATTGTTATAGATGACATTCTACTATTACTATGGTCAGCAGAAGCTGTTGCAGACATAATACGGGTTTTAATGACATCAACAGGAGAACATACAGTGGTAGCCACAAGTCCCTATAAAATAATAAGCATTAATATAATAATAGTCATATTAATAGCAATCTTACAGCAAGTATACTAGATGCTAAATGAATAGGAACACCATCCTCCATCGAAGTGTGTTTTAGTAAAATATGCTTAAACATATCATAAGAGACACATTGCGAGGAAGTCATTAAGATGGCTCTATTCATATTAGGACCTACGCCACGAAATAATGCTGAAACTCCCTCTTCTTTTGTGATACGAATAACACCATCAATAGCATGTTTGTAGTTACGACGTTGTTCATAAGGTAGTTGACCATCATTCTGCATACGAACATTGATTACATCTCCAGGGTTACCACATGCTCCTCCTAAAGCACCAGCAATACTGGAACAAATTAATAACTGACCAAGGCTGGCTTCTATTAATAATTTAATTGGATGAGTCATTTTACGTTATAGTTTTATAATCTCCTTTTTTTTTTTTTTTTTTTTTTTTTCTCCCCAAACTTTTTTTTTTTTTTTTAATAATTACTTTGATGAGTGGTAGAAGTAATAAAATCTTTTAATTTTTCATAGACGCCAAAACGAACAGTTGAATAAGTAGCTTGTCTAAGTATAGATGCAGATAAGCCTGCATAAAGTCTAAAAAATCCCTCATTTTTGGCAATCTTGACCATTGTTGAGAACATGCCTAGCTTCAGATTACCTTTCGTAGTTTGAAGTCGAACTTTAGTTAAATCAAATGGATGAACAACGATGGCAGCAACGCAAGAAGCAGTTCCACCAAAATAGAATGGGTATGTTTTCTTTACCGTTGCCATGATATTATGTAATCAATGGATCGTTAATAGAAAGAAAAGTATGAACAACTTTGAGGAGAAAAAAAAAAGCTGGAGTATTTAAGACTGTTTTTTTTTTTTTTTTTTTTTTTTTTTTTTTTTTTTGAATCCAGTTCATTCACCTGATTTAAACAATAAGAGTATTGAAACTAACTTTTGTACTTTCTGTTTTTCATTTCAAATATGTGTAAATGGAGTCGAAAACTATAAATATTATAGCACTTTAAATGATCAATTTACTACCTTAGTTTAGCATATAAGATGAATGTATAAAAAGAGTCTTTTTGAAATATATCTATTATATATGATTGAGCATATATCAACAGATTAATCAATTCTTCTATAATACATATATACATGATTACATATAATGACAAACTATCAATAATTCATAAGAGCATAATACAACATAGCTAATAACGGTAAAGAGCACAGAGTATAAGAAGTAGAGTGTCACACAGTTATTTGTTGATATGTCTCAATTAGGTATACTTTTAGTAATTATATCAATTGAATGTATTATCTATCCTTCATGGATGTAGTAATAAATCCTTATTAACTGGGTTTAAAGCTTGATTCTCAAGAAGATGAGCAAAAAAAAAAAAAAAAAAAAAAAAAAAAAAAAAAAAAAAAAAAAAAAAAAAAAAGAAAAAAAAAGTAAAATGTTTCAACTTCACTTTTAGTTAGTATTTTTATTCAACAAATTTGGCTTTCGTTTTCTTGTCAAATCAAAGACATATTGCAATCTTTATTCATTCTTTCTTTTTACATTTGAGCTTATATCTGTGTAAAGCAAATATATTTATTATTTTGTGCTAAAGGATCGTTCAAGTATTGCTCATATAAACTATTTATTAAAAAAAAAACAAATATACATGAACCTAGAGCATTATTCATTGAAATAGAGTGAACTATAGGTTTGAGCTTCAGAAGAACTACTATTTTTTTTTAAAGAAAAAAAAAGAGCTTAGTTAGCTGATTAAATAAATGTTTTCTGCCTATATCGTTTGATATTTGCTGGCAAGATATTAATGATGATTGAATATTCATTACACAAAATATCAGCTATGAGTTAATGTTAAAGAGTAATAACTAAAGATATTTCTTACAAGTATTCATAAATTTAATTTATCCCCTCTCTTCTCCCTTTTTTTATAGCTTCTTATTTGTGCTAAACAACTATTTTATTAATTAGATACCAAGAGATGCTGTTTTGAATATAGTCATTCCTATACAGTATTAGTTTATAAAACAATAAATTCAAGTCTACTAACTAACTATGTGAACTAAGAACTTATATATAAACTCAAAAGTTATGTAGCTTACAGTGAATTAAAATCTTATTGATAAATAAGTAGTATCGATAACAAAAAAAAGATTACTGCCTAGAGATGATAATATAAAGTCTTTATCTAACAATTTTTAGTAAATAATTAAGATAATAATCATTCTATTTCTGAAATTAGTATATATTGTGAATAAAAGACTTAATGTTAATAAATTTAGGATCGCTTGTTCTATATTAAAATAAAAAATTTTACCGAAATTTTAAGGGCAATAACACATAATAGGATAGTAAACCTTTCATGTATTAATATCGTCTGTATGTTTCAGGTAGTTAACTCGAAGAAAGATGCCGCAACAGCATTTAAAAGCATCAAAATTTATATTGAACCTCTAAGATAAAATAAATAAAATCACAATATTAGATGTTATATAGGCAAAGAAAATGAGATAAATAAAATATATATAAATATATTTTTTTATTTACAATATTTGTCTTGGAGAGTTATATAATTTCCCTAAAGGCATTAAAGTTAATACGGCTTGTAAAACTAAAAATCATAGGATATTATTTGCTAATTCTATCATAGATAATAAATAAAGTACATATTCAATTAATAGTCTGTCGCTAGATGGATATTAAACTGTGGGCTAACTGCATTTTAAGCTTTAAAATAATTATGTAAACCCATTTGGTTATATTTCCAAACAGGATACATAAATTAACTATTGTATTCGCTACTGTTCATGATACTGTTCCTCATGATCCTAGAAAAAAAAAAAAAAAGCCTTTTCTTGAATTTCATTAATTTATTATGTTACCGATGTTAAGATGTTCAAGAAATAAGTAAATTTTTATAATAGCCTTAATTTTGTTATTATTATTATTATCCTACTAATCTTTCATACATATAACATATAAGAAATCGAGAATCTCTTTTTTATTATACAAACCAGTTGTCTTATAGTGTTCAAAATAAATTTAGGCAATAATAAGGAATAAAGTAGTTCTCAGTACAAATAAGGATTTATAAAATGATGGTGAAGGAAGGAAATCAAGTGTATAAGTGATCATAAGAAATGTTCCTAGTTATATCTCTATATTCTAAAGAAAACTTTGATGATGATATAATTGCTGTATTAGGGGATATTTAAATGAATTCAGTAGAGAATGCTACATTATATTAATAGTTTCCTTTTATTTTCATTCTTTTTTTTTATTACGTCCACATACCTATTGATGATAAGGAAGAAAAGATTTATTGTATGTACATATACATTTATATTTTTACTATATATAACAAACTAAATTATCCTTATTTCTTCAGATAGCATTATATAAAGTAAAGAAACTTGGTATCTTATCTATGTATTTAGAATATTATTACAGAAATAAGATAAGTGATGTAACTAATAAACGAAATGATGGGTATATAAATTATCCTATTCTTCATACCTTGCTTTTATTTTAATCTAAAAGTTGAGTGTAATACAGACGCGGTTTAATCTTTTAACCCAAGTGACACTGATTATTTTAAATGCGGGGTAAATTAGGATGAAGGATTTGATACTTGATTTAAAAGTGTCATTGACTTATTCATTTTCTTTCTTTTTTTTTATTTTTAATAAAGAAAAAATATGATCTCTCCTATCTTAATTCGTAAATCTGATAATATCTTTACTACTCAGAAAGTAAATTCAACTAAATAACTAAAATAAATAAATAAATAAATTCACTGTTAAATTCTATATGCTGTACAGTTAATTCCCTTTTTTTTTTAAAAAAAAAAATTAGATTAATACATGTTCACTTGCTACCACAGCTCCTATTATTCCTACTCCTGATGAGCAAAATACTGTAAGGTTTTCAACTATAAATCAATCAATCAATCAATAAAAATGATAAATAATCTTATATACATACATTTAGACTTTCCCTAGAAAATATGGAGATAAACTTATAATAACACTTATTCCTGGCGATGGTGTTGGACAAGAGGTCTCTGCCTCTGTAAAGGATGTTTTCAAAGCAGCAAATGTTCCTGTTGAATTTGAACAATTTAATATCACCGGATTGACTCCTCTAGATGATCCTCTCCTCCAAGAATCTATGAAATCTCTTCGTCGTAATAAAGTTGGTTTAAAAGGTGCTCTTTTCACTTCCACCTCTAGTTTAGATCATAAATCTCTCAATGTTAGCATACGTAAAGAACTTGATTTATATGCTTCTCTTTCTATTTGTAAGAATGTTCCTGGTGTCAAGTCCCGTTTGAATAATATTGATATAGCTATCATCCGTGAAGGTACCGAAGGTGAATATTTGGGATTAGAACATCAGGTTTGTATTTTTGTTTATTCAAACATGCAAAAATAAAAATAATAACATTTGCAATATTATACTCAAGTCTGTACCTGGTGTTGTTGAATCTCTTAAAGTTATTACTCGCACTAATACTAAACGCTTGGCCCATTTTGCATTTGATTTTGCTGTCAAGAATAATAGGAAAAAAGTTACAATTATTCACAAAGCTAATATTATGTAAACATAGATTTAAAGAGAAGAAATAATATGTAAGTAAAAAGTAAATATTAACTGCTTCCAATTATATAGGAAACTAGCTGATGGACTCTTTTTAAAGACCTGCCGTGAAGTTGCCAAGGAATATGCTCATCATAATATTGAAGTGAATGACATGATTATTGATAATACGGCTATGCAACTTGTTTCTCGTCCTCAGCAATTTGATGTTATGGTTATGCCAAACTTGTATGGTAGTATTGTATCCAACATTGTAAGTAAATGTATATTATATACTCAAGACATCATATTATTTATTACTAATCTGCATATAGGGTGCTGGTTTGATTGGTAGTCCTAGTTTGGTTCCAGGTTGTAATATTGGTCCAGAATATGCTTTATTTGAACCTGTATGTTGCTATTATATAACTATTATTAATTATGACTCATTTATTCTACTTGTCTAGAGCTGTCATCATGTTGATCTTAATATTCAAAATCAAGATATAGCTAACCCTACCGCTATGCTTTTATCTGCTGTTATGATGTTAAGATACTTAAAACTAGATGAATATGCCAATAGAATTTCGACTGCTATCTACGAAACAATCCGTAATGACAAGTTTAGGACTTTAGATATTGGTGGTAATAGCAGTACCAAGGAGTTTACGAATGCTGTTATCAGCTACCTCCTATAGAAAGCATATTAAATAAATTGTTTTTGTCTTTAATTTCACTTATTTTATTATATTTTATTTTATTTATTTTATTTTAATTTTAATTTTTTTTTTTTTTTTTTTTTTTTTAACTTGTATATAATGGCAACTCTACCTCAATTTGCATCATCAGCTACGTCAACACCAAGATCAGTTTTACTACAAATAGAAGATCAATACAATAAACGTATTGATGATGATATTGCTAAGCTTGTCGATTGTTTTACAGATATTGTTAAAGTGGGAGAAGTACGTAAACATCGTTAATAGTCAAAATTCATCTGCAAGACTAATTTCTTTTCTTTTTTTTTTTTTTTTTTTTTTTTTTTTTTTTTTTTTCATTTGCAAAGAACAAAGATAAAGACAAGTTTAAAGTGGCCCAAGAAGGGTATCAAATAGAAAGTCAAGCTGCTCAAATTGTAAGTTATTATCCAAAGCATATATAACATGCCAACTCACTTTTCTCTCTCCCCCCTCCTTATTTTTAGGTTCGATCTTGTGAATCTTTATTATCATTAATTGGAGAATTAAAACAAAACTTGTTACTTAATGACACAAAGACATTGACCACTTTACGGCAAAAAAAATCAGAACAATTAGTAGAAAATACTACAGCAATTAAAGAAAGATTAACACTTATGAAAAAAGAATTGGCAGACACCGTTTATGACTTGGAATCTGTCTACTATCGCTCCTTATCAGACCCTTAACCAATATTTATATGTATTTGTATTTTTTTTTTACAAGATAATTAAAACAAATTTAATAAGAAAAAAAAATAGACATTTTATTTTTTAATTATTATATAATGTAATTTCTTAATTAAAAGAGAAGGGAAAAAGCATTATTATTTTATATATACATGTATATACATATATATATATATATATATATATAAACTACAAGGGAATAAAATTAATTTTCTAAAGGTTCCTCCAAGTCTTCTTCATTTTCATCTCTTTGACCAACAAATGACTGCAATTCAACCAACTTACGGAATACACCATTTTCTCTACTTAATAATTCATCATATGTTCCTAACTCGGCGACAATTCCATCACTTAAACATGCAACCAAATCAGCAGAACGGATAGTAGAAAGACGGTGAGCAATAGTCAAAACAGTACGACCTTGCATCAAGCGATTTAAAGCATCTTGGACCAAGACTTCAGAAGCTGAATCAAGTGCACTTGTAGCTTCATCCAAGATTAGAATCTTGGGATCTTTTAATAATGCACGAGCAATTGCAATCCTTTGCTTTTGACCACCACTTAAACTGACACCACGTTCACCAACGAGTGTATCATATTTATCAGCGAATGTATTAATAAAGGAAGCACAATTGGCTTTGATAGCAGCATCTTCAATTTCTTCCATCGTTGCATTCTCACGTCCGTAGGCGATATTTTCAGCAATTGTACCAGCAAATAAAGTAGGTTCTTGAGAGACAATACCTACTTGCTCGCGCCACCAATGTAAATTAATATCCTTCATATTTGTGTCGTCAATGAAGATATTACCAGCAATAGGATCATAATAACGAAGCAAAAGGGAACCAATCGTAGATTTGCCAGATCCAGAAGATCCAACAACAGCAATAACTGTACCTGGCTCAACTGTCAAATTGAGGTTTTTAAAGATGTGTGAATGAGGACGAGTCGGATAACTAAAGTTGATATTCTCAAATTTGATCTTTCCTTTCACTTCACTTAGTATTTTACCACTGTCCAAGAGGATTGGACTTTGACGTTCCAATAAAGCAAAGATACGATCAGATGCGCCTACGCCCTTCATAATCTCAGAATAGAAAGATGTCAAACCGCCTAGGGATGTACCTACGTAGGCAGTATAGAGCATAAAGGAAGTCAATTGGCCAATAGAAATGACATCTTCCATCACCATTTTGCCACCATACCAAAGAACGGCTAAAACGGCTAAATTGCCTGCTAAACCTGAACCACCAAAGAAGAGACCACTAGCGAGGGCTTCTTTTCTAGCCAATCTAAAGACATCCTGTACACGAATACTATATCGTTTTTGTTCCTCTTCTTCTTTTGCAAATGCTTGTACAGTACGTATATTACCAATACGCTCCTCTGCAACCTTTGTAACTTCACTTATTGCGCTTTGTGTCTTTCTGGATAAAGTTTTTACATAACGACCGTAGACGATACCAAATAAAGCAATAGGAGGAACAATCACCATCATAATACCAGTCAGTTTAGGACTAATGACTAACATCATTGTAGACCCTACAGAGGCCGTAGCTAAAGCTCTATCATGTATTTATAATCAGATATACTCACTGATATATATATATAAAAATATCTAAACTAGTTCGCTTGTCTTTTTTTTGTGTTACCTTAATCCATCACTCACATTATTTGTCAAGCTTCTACCGACAATTGCTGTATCTGTTGATAATCTTGAAATCAATTCCCCAGTTCTGTTTTTATCAAAGAATGCCATATCTTGTCTTAAAACTGATTTAAACAAGTTATTACGAAGTCTTTGAATAATTCTTTCACCAGAGATTCTAAAGAGCAATACACGTCCCATGTTTGCTGTTGCACCTACTGCAAATACCAATGATAATACACCTGCAAACTGTGGCATAGTTAAACCTAAATAACCTTCCATAGATGGGTGTGTGACTATATCGATGATTTTACCCATTGAGAACGGGATTGACTATGTATGTATATGTATATAAGTATATATATATAATCATCGGTAAATATACAAATGTATTTATTTTCTTTTACACAGGTATCTGCTTACCATTGTAATTGCCGAGGATACTACTAGTAAGCCAGTAGCAGCTAGAAGCATATATATATATGTATAAATCAACTTAGACTTCTTTTATATATGTATATATATATATATATATATAAAGGGTATAATTACCGGTTAAGTTCCTTAACTCGGGTCTAGCCAAACGAAACAACTTTTTTACTTCGCCCAAATCCTCAGGTTTTTTTGGTGATTTAATCTCTTTATTAGCAGTCGTCTGTCGACAAATATGGGTTGTAGTAAACGAACGTCGTATGATTGGCCTTTTAAAGGCTAAAATCTGGGGATGAGAAATTAACAACGCAGGTGGTTTCCTTTTACATAAAGGTGTTAACTTAATATTTGAAGACAGACATCTAAACAATAGCATATTGTTTTATTTAACAAAAAAAAAAAAAAAAAAAAAAAAAAGGATAAAAGAGATGAATAATGATGGTAAATTAATATTCTATAAATTTTAATCTCAGGGGGGAAAGAATAAAAGGTTTTTTTTTTTTTTTTTTTTCAGCATTTGACAGTGTTGCGGCGTTTAGACAAAAAAAAAAAAAAAAAAAAAAATGACAGCAATAATTATACAGTCAAAAATTGTGTCTTTTTTTTTTTTTTTTTTTTTTCCTTTTTTTTTTTTTAATACATACTTTAGTTTTTTTATTCCCTTAAAATTAAATTATACATAAATGCATCAATCAGAAAATTTAGATTCGATACCACAACCTAATTTACGTTTAGTTGAGACAAAGTCACACGCGCTTCACTATGGCTGGGTATTTTGGTTCATGCATCGATCTCCAGGAGAGAAGATTGTAAATTATGAAGGCGCAATGAAAAAAATTGCCACTTTTAATACGGTATTTATAAAATAAAAAATAGGATACATTATTTAAAGTAGAATCATATTATTCTAAATAAATTTCGGATTTTTTTTTTTAAAAAAAAAATAAATAAATAAAGATCGAAGAATTTTGGGCAGTTTATAGTCGTCTTCGTCGTCCAAATGAATTACCAAATATTAGTGATTATCACTTATTTAAAGAAGGGGTTAGACCCGTATGGGAAGTAAGTGTTTCTTATTTATTCATGTGAATAATTTGTACATTTACTTGACTTTTTTTTTCTTTCTTTTTTGTTAAAAAAAAAAGGATGAGGCAAATATTAATGGTGGAAAATGGATAGTTCGAGTGAAGAAAGGATTAGCTAATCGATACTGGGAATCGTTAGTATTGGCTATAATTGGGGATCAATTTGATGTTCAAGATGAAATTTGTGGTGCAGTTTTATCTATAAGAGGTTCAGAAGATATTATTTCTGTGTGGAATAAAACTTCTTTTGATGGAAAGATTAATCTCAAAATTAGGTAAAATTTATACACATCGATCTAAAAAAAAAAAAAAAAATTTTTTTAACTTTAAACAACTGATTAGGGATACCATTAAGAAACACTTAAATTTACCAGCAGAAACGACAATGGAATATAAAACACATAATGATGCTCTAAGAGACAATTCTAGTTTTCGTAATACGGATGTTTTCCGATAAAGATAATATATTAAATCGAATACGTTGTAATCTTGCTTCTAAGGGAAGAGAAAGTAAAGAAAAAAAAAAGATATTATTTCTATTGTATATAAATGTGTTCAATAAGAGTGATAAAAGTATAACAGAATTCTTCTAATGTTTAAAGAAAAAAAAAGGCGTTCATTAAGCTATACATATATGCTCTATGTATTCAAGTAAAGGAAATGGATAAGATAAATTATATCACGATACATAGAGTCATGTTAAAGATAAACGTATTATATGATAGATGGGTCTTATATATTAAATGACTATAAATTATAGCCTCTTTAACAATGGATACGTAGTGCATATAGTTTATGAAAGAAACTACAAGTACACTACTAACTAATGCTAGTATAGTTATAAACGTAATAATAAAACAAAATGTAGTAGTATAAAATCATCATTCCTTTTCATTGTAGTTTATTTTAATTTATATGCGTTTACATTTATACAAGTGATATAAATGTAAACGTATACAAATATATGTATTGTCTTGTATGTATTATATGTATATGTGTTATGTGATATATTAAACTTTTTTTTTTTTTTTTTTTTTTTTTTATTCTTCTTATTTTCTTGTTTTTTCTTCTTCTTCTTTCTTTTCTATATCTGATAATAGAGAAGATGTAAGATTAGGAGCATTCTTTAATTCATTAATAGAATAGAGTCTAGACCCAGATGTTATACCTTCTTTACTACTACTACTACTACTATCTTCTACTTGCTTCGCATTAATACTGTTAACAACCTCTGTCGGATATAGTTCAGCTACAGAATCCCTAATCTTTGCATACCATTCTTCCTCAGTTTTGCCATTTAAAAATGCAATAATCTCAACTGTCATATTATCACAGCCTACTCCCCCTGTGTTGGATGAATCAGCAAGACAATTATCCATTAATCTTTCACATATTTCTTTTAAAGGAACATTATTAGCTACATGTTTTCGAACAAAAGTAGCTACTTCTTGATTTGTCATGCAATCCCAAATACCATCACAAGCTAATACAATAAATTCATCTTTATCTGTCATTTTGTGTACTGTAATATCAGGATCAGCTATAAATGTATATTAGTGAGTAAAAAGTATACATACAATACTTAAATTTATTTCTTATTGTTACCTGTAACAGCTTGTTTCTCAGGTGGTAAATCGGTTGCATTTTTAAATTCAAAATCACCTAAAGCTCTTGATAATGCAAGGTTACCTATTTATTTATTTATTTATTTTCTCCATTAAAACCGAATTATATGTATATATCTACTTGATATGTAAAATTACCATTAACACGCCCCATTTCAACATATCCTCCAGCATTCTTAATACGCTCAGTTTCTTTAGGATTTGTTGGCTTATGGTCTTGAGATAATGCAACAGCTATGCCATTAGCACAGATAATAGCACGAGAATCACCAGCATTACTCTACATAAAAAAAAAAAAGGTTCATAAATTATACTCTTTATAAAACATGATATAAACTTCTTACAATGTATAAAACATTATCCTTTGTTAATAATGCAACAATCGCAGTACATCCAGAAGGCTCATGTTCATATTCAGGATCTTAATAAAAAAAATAAAATAAAGTGTGTCATTATTGTGTCATTTTTTTTTCTTCCATGGAAATTGAAAAAAGAAATACCTTCACGTAAATTTGCATCAATTTGAAAAAAGCCTTTTCGTAGACTATCCTTATACTCTCCCTTTTTAAAGTCTTCTGAATTTATGACAAGTTCCGGAAGTTGTTGGCTGCTATATTTTGCTATGTTAGCACCTAATGAATATCAAATTATGTAAACATTCAACATATATAAATTGACACACTTTTATTTATTTATCTTTTTTGCTTTACCTCCATGTCCATCAAATACAGCAAAAAAAGCAGTGCCTGTATTTTCATAGTCCAAGATATGTGTATGTGCATCTTCCATACCTAAACAAGAAATTGAATATAAGAAAAAAAAAGAAATACTTTCCATTTATACACTTACTTATTCTCCAGCCTTGCATGGAAGAAGCACCAAATAGGAGCCTACTATTTTTTCCCTCGGTTGTATGCTTTGTTGTAATGGGCGAAGCTAATATTTGGCCCATGTCGTTTCCTTTAAAAATCGTAAACACGTTTGTGAAAAAATAAATAAATGAATGGCTTGGTAAGTGAACTTCTTTTTTTTTGTTTACTTTTTAACTTTCTATTTTTTTGTTACTTTGATAATAAAAATAATAAAAAAAGTCAATAAGCTATAAACAAAAAATTTTTTTTTCTCTTGAAATACACTCACAAAAAAAGAAAAATAAAAATAAAAAATAAAATGAAATGGAATAAAACAATGACAATGTATTTACTAAATATTAATAATAGAGTTTTTACATTTCAAAATCAAACAATGTTAGTATTTTTCCGGACGAATCAAAATTAATTTTAAGACATTTAGCTTACCTTTTTTGGAAAAAGTAAAAATGGAAATTAGATGCATGTTTAGACTTTTTTACCTACTAGACATCCAATAATGTTAGAATGCTAATTAATAATTGCCAAATAATAATTTCTAGTCCTGCGCGCCGAGAGACAGTAGATGCAGGTGGCTCTTTGAGACTGAATTTATTTGAAGAAAGCTTGAAAGCTTAGCTTGGAGGGCAAGTAGGTGTGCCTAATTTTATAATCATAAGCCAAATAATCCTTTATAAACATTTTGCTTACAACACAACTAGTGATAGCCTCAAGCGTTTGAACCATAAGCAAAGGTCGAAAAAAAAAAATGACAACCTCCGCTCGGCGAGATCCCACACCACACCCACCACCAGTAATAAGATAAATGTTGTCCGTATAATCACCTTTTTTCTTAAAAAAAAAAATCTTAGATAAACTGGTTTTCTTTCACTTTCTTACTTTATTGAACATGTCTAATGAATATCGGTCTGGCATTATTAAAATAAAGAAAGAAACGGTTTTCAACAATCGACTGGTATTTAATGAAGGTCAGAACTTAATAAAAAATGTATATAAAAGTTTTTACTAACTGATATTATAGCAAACGCCAAGTGTACCGACTGTGAAGAAGTAGGACATTTCAATAAAAACTACTACAAGTGCAAGTTTTACAAAGAAGCAGCCGCTGATGATGGTACGGCAATTTAATATTATACTATTTATATATAATAATGATTATGTATAGTTGGAACTTCAAGCAAGAAAAGAAAGCAAAGCAAAAGTTTGAAGCAAGCTAAACAAACAGCAAAACGACAAAAGACCACAAATGATAATGTGACCAATCTTCATTGTAAGAAATGCTGTGGTGATAATCATTCTACAACAAGATCTCCCCTATGTCCATACAATATAACACCTAAAGCTAAAGTATTAGAACAGAACCTTGGCACTAATTACAAGGCGTTCACAAGAAAATTACTTTTTGATAGTTGTATCAATCAAGCTCACCGCCATATTAAATCTAACATCATACAGACATGTGCTGCCGTGAGGGATATCACAGTTAGAGCCAAAATTTTTGTGAATTACTATGTCTTGTTGAACCCAAGTGGACAAGTCCACAATGGTATCTTTAAGAAAAACTTTTGGTACAGCATGTGTCAACTGATAAACAGCCAAAGAATCACAAACCAGAAAGACATACCAGCCGAATTAATTAATATTTGGAACGATTTTCATAACAGATACAGACATGCCAAAGTGAATATCACACTTCTTCCAGGTGCCAGTCAGTGTATCTCAGAAGCATGCACTGAAATCGAAACGCTGTATAATAACATGATTGTCGAAACATTCGAGCTTAAGCTTCTGTCTTTTCTTCGCTACAAGGTCCAAATGCTATTACCGGTAAGTGTAACATTTCATTTTTCTTTTTTTATGACAATCACTTACATAACAAATCAATAGAATGTCACAAAACGCTCTGTAATTGATTCAATCTCTCGTGAATACTGCTACCAATTCATTTGCCAAGGGAACTCTATCTGGCCTGAAGATGACTGCATAAATGAAGGAGTAAAAACAGTCATCCGCGATATGTGCATACCTTTCAAGCAGGCACTAAACAGAAAAGTTACCTTGAACGAACTTGCAAAAGATCCAGGTGCATTTGTCCAATTTTTATTATTTCTCAATGCCGGATTGGAGCGCGAAATCGAAGAACATAATCCTTACGATGTGAGGCGACTCCCACTGCCAAAGCTCATTTCGGTGTTACCAAAAGCATCAGCACATTGGAGATCAATCACAATAAGTGTGAACGCTTTATCATGTTTTACAAAAACGTCACTGCCACGGGGATTTCAAAGACAGCTAAGATTGTTTTATGATGTTTTCAATTTTGGGAAACTGCGATACAGAGAGTGAGTATAGATAGAGATTGTATCAAATCAGACTTATGTATTTCTTACTTTTATATTTGATACGGACTGATGGGTTTGTTGTGGATTTTTTGTTTTACAAAAGATGTCAAGCCAGTTACGGTCCTTCTTTGCAACGCTTTGAGTTGACTCTTCGCGACTTCACTTTACCAGAAGTAGCAAAGGATTATCATCCAATTTTTGTTGACCCTGGGAGAAAGTCTGTATTCACTGCTGTAAGTGGTTTAAACGAGTCTAGGCACCCAATAATCCGCTGCAGTACTAAGGAGTATTATCATCTTACTGGTTCGACTGTTTTTTCTGCCCAGCAGCAATTTTTGAAAAGTCAAAACGGAATAGAGGATATTGAATCAAGAATCCCCACAACCAAGACATCAAACCCGGAGCGTTTTTTAGACTATGTTCAATATCTGTTTGATAACATAAATACTTTATTCAACTTTTACAATTCCAGTACTGCAAAAAAACGCTTCCAACTTTATCAAGGGAGGCAAAAAGCACAAGAAACTATGGTCAATATGCTTATAAATGGCGACACCAAATATAATCGAAGTAGGAGAAACAAGAAGAGGCAGAAAAAGAAGAAACAAAAGAAGAAAAGAAAGAAGAAACCAAATAAGAACGATACTATCAAGTATAAATATTTTCTACTTGAATATATTCAAACAGTTATTAATTCAATTTTTTTTCTTTAGAGAAAAACTGAACAAATGGAGACCCATCAAATACAAAGAAGACAAGACAAAGGTTCCTCTGATAGTATTTGGAAGTGGAATGTTCAATAAGGACACCAATAAGATCAGGACGCTCAGATGTGGGGTGACGGGTATTTTATGGCGCGCGCTGAAAAGGCGAGAAGCGGCTGGACAACTTATCACAATCACAATTGACGAGTTCCGAACATCCAAAGTATGCAGTAAATGCCAAACTCTAACCTTGATGCCAGCCTCGCCTGTTACTAGATTGAGTGTACTGGTCTGTTCTTCTTGTCATACTCTTTGGCAAAGAGACATTAATGCCTCCCGAAACATGATGACAATCTCTATCAGCATTTGGCAGGGACGAGAAAGACCAACACCTTTTCAACGCACTACCACCACCACCACTACCACCACCACCACCACACCGCCACAGTCATCGCTGTAATAAACACAGCTTACCTAGTGTATTTAGATGACCACATTCACTCAACTTCTGTTGTTTGGATGCTTTACAGGTAAGCGTCTGAAAATTATGTTTACTTTGTTTAAAAACTAATCTCACTTCTTCTTCGTTTGTCTAAAAAAGGTAAACTAAATATTTAAAAACTTATTTTGATTCGTCCAGAAAAAAACTAACTTCGTCCAAATTTAAAGCGTAAAAACTGTAGACGAATTAAACGCCCCACTCTTGAATTGGATCCCATCCTTTACTTACCAATGACTACCTCAGAACGTAGCCGAGTGCTTCGATGGCGACTTGGCTGGCTACCGGGTGGTAAACCTAAAGAGTGTGTCTTTCATCCGTCCCATAATTGGAGCCGACAACATGCTATTGAGTGCTTACATGTACATCATCGTCTCTACATGCCTACTTCAGTCGAAGATCCCATCTCGTTCCTCCTCAACTTGCTTCCACTACATAAACCTCGTCGTCCTTCTGATTGTACGAGCTGGTATACTTTATGGCCTATTCTTTGTACAATTCTACATGAACTTGATTACTACTTCCATGATGAATTTCCTCCTGATCCTATCGACCCTGGTCTCAAGCTGTTGAATTGGTTATCCAAGTAATAGTGTGTGTCTTCCTGATCACTTTAATCTGGTTTGTATTTAAATTGTTTCTTCTCACTTTCTCACTTTTTCGCTTTTTCCTCCTTATATTTTCTCTTAATTCCAAAATACTGCTCTTTTCTTTTTCCTTCTCGTTTTCCTTTTTCCCTTCTTGTCCTTTAGGAAGGTTTTTATTCTTATTTCCCCTCTATAACTGGCTCGGGCAATATTGCGCATTTATTTCGTCGCTACATGCTCATTGCCAAAAAATTTAAAAAAAAAAAAAAAATAATAATAATAATAATAATAAAACTCAGAATTTAATCGTAGACGAATTAAAATTAAATTTCAGACTCAATGATTACCATTTTTGGACAGACCACAAAGGAATTAATTTTTGAACCAAGTGTAATTTCATACGTTACCAGTAGCTATCTCTAAATATCTAAAAGAGAAAAAGGTTGTTTACTGCAATGTAACAATGAGAAAATACTGTTGTTTTTTTGGGGGTATTTTTTTTTCTTACCAGCACCATCTTTCCATATCGAAATGGATATGGCTAATATATATATATATATATATATATTTTTTTTGGCTCCATAACATCAATAAACGACAGTAGATTTAAGGGCATTTAAATATCATCTTTATACAAATAAAATCACTTGATGAGTTCAATTAAAGTAAATAATCCATCAAAAAGGGGTTACCATTTTTTTTTCTATATAAAGAACTTTTAGGATAATAAAAAAAGAAAAGAATCAAGTAATATATAAATATACATATATATATATATATACATATAAAGGTTTAGTGCTTCATGTAGAAGGGCATATATATTTGAGATAACAAAAGATTAAATTTTATTAGAGGTATATTGAGGAGAAAAGAGAGGAAAGGGTGTTGTGTAATGAGAGAGAGAGAGAAAAAAAAAGAAAAAGGGAATAAGTAAAGGAAACAATAATTATTGGATTAGCTTATGACTGCTCAGTAATGTCTTAAGGAGGAGCAACGGTACCCATAGTCTCAGTAGCAACAGTAAGAGTACTAAGAGCAGAAGCAGCTTCACTAGCAGCAGAAGCGGCTTCACTAGCAGCAGAAGCGGCTTCACTAGCAGCAGAAGAGGCTTCACTAGCAGCAGAAGAGACTTCACTAGCAATAGATGAAAGATCTTCACTTGACATTGGTTCTTCCAAGTCATCAAAAAGATCAGAGAAAGCGCTTTGTAGTCTAGAAATAATGGAAGAATTATCACCAGAGTAAGTGAAAACATAACTAGCATCAGTAAAGGTTTGAGTATCAGTGTAGGAAGCTGTAACGGTTTCGGTAACAGTAACTTCGTATGCATCAGTTAATTCAACATAGGTACTGGAACCAGAAACGATAGTTTGAGTAGCAATGATAGCACGTTTAGCTAAACTGTATAAAGAAAAAGATAAGATTAATATTTAATTATCAACTGACATGATAATAATAATATATACTCTAAATGACCGATAGGATTAGCAGTAACAACAGCAACAAGAGCAGTAATAGCAGTAGAGAGAGTGAAGAGCTTCATTTTATAATAATTTAATTTATATTCTAAGTAATTTCTAAAGTAGAAAAAAAAATAAAAAAAAAGGAAGAAGCAAGAACTCAATAGCTGTATTTATATAATATTTTGAACAATACGTTTATCTTATTTAAGATTTAACTTTGCAAACAGATTGTTTTTGTATTTTCATAAATAAATAAAATAAATAATAATAAAAAAACAACAACAATAATAACTTGCAAGTAAATATATAAATTTGTAGACATATACAAAGCAAAGGGAAAAAAATGTAGTTTTTTTTCAATCTATTTATTAGTGTTATATATTATCTTTATAAATCTAAAGCCTTATAAATTCTATCATTTGCGTTAAAATCAAGAAATTAAAAATTGAACTTAAGGGCTGTCCAATGGAATGTTAGCGTAAACAAAAAAAAGACCCTTTTTTTTTTTTGGTTGAAGATTATGCAGTTCGATTTAATTCGATCTGAATAATAAACAACGATAAAGTTCAGCAACAACCCAACAATTCAAACTGTTTCCAAGAAGTCGATATTGTTGCATTTGTGTAATATCTTCAGGGAATATAAGATGAGGTAAGCAGTGAGCAGGGCTAAACGGTTGAATATCGTGACTTGAATATTGTTCTTTAGATACAAGAGAATCTAATTGATATTTTGGCCCAGGGAATGCATGTAAACGAGATATTTCAGTCGGTGAAAGGAAACGTAGCCCAAACGATAATAATGATTGCATATCATCCCAATTATATTCTACATTCTGGGTAAATAGACAGTATTTTTATTTATTTATTTATTAGCTAATTATTTATACTTTTTTCCCCTTCAAGTAATATAATATAAATATATACCTCTAAATCTTTAGTTTGTATTAAAGAGCCACTTGTCTGAATATGATGTGATCCATATGCCTGTAAAATATATACATTTTAATGTTAAAAGGAAAAAATAATAAATGTCACTTTTGATTTGCCTTTGTAATACATGATGTTAATTTATCTGTTGGCCTAACGATATCTAAACGAAATTTGTATAGTCTTAAAATATATTTATCCGGCACAAGTAATCTTTCACTTTCATCTTTTCTATCAGAAAAATCTTCCAAAAAATAAGATAATGGAGGAATGTTGATTTCTACTTGTTGACTAAACGGTGGCCATGTAGTATTTATTGTATTTTCAAATAAAGGCATATCATTTTCTTCTTCTTTTAGATAAGCCACTAAATAATACCTTACACGATTATTAGGAATACCAAACTGAGTGGGTGTTAAGAGGTTTTCAATCAAGTGGTATTTTAATTCTTTCAACTGCTTTATAAGTTGGAGTCTTGTCTTTGATGTCTAAATACATAATATATATATATATGTGTGTGTGTAAATCTCAATTTGAATATTTCTTCTCATTGTTTACCTCAAAATTCTTCACATTCTCTAAAAATAGATATTTTGGAAGATTACATAATGTTGGTAACAGATCAACTAAATGTAATAATGGCTTTGCTCGAGGATCTTCAATATCTTTTTGTAGCCCACCTGAGGTATAAGGTTGACAAGGAGGACTAAGTAACCAGCATTCAGCTTTATAAGCATCAATGTCTTTGGCTGTTAATCGATCAATAGGTTTCTATTATAGAGTAATGTAATTTACATTTTAAAAATAAAATATGTTTATAAAAGATAAAAAACAACAACAACAACAACAACTTACTGTTATAGGAGATATGCCAAAGTTATGCTTATATACTTTATTAGCAATTAAATTAACATCAAAAGCACCAACTACTTGAGCATTAATGTTTGCTATTTTTAAAGCATAATGCTATTATATCAATTTAGCAATCTAAAAATTAACAAGTATATATAATTGCTTTTACGAATTAACTATACCAAACCACCAATTCCACTAAAGAACTCTAAACAGCGAATAGGTTCTTTAGACATTGTGAAATGAAAAGAAGTTTAAATAAAGAAATTTGTTTTCGCCATTTTATTAAAAATATCTAGCTGGATAATATGTGTGAACAATAATTTTTATTTACAGTGAGAACAGTGCCAAAGAGCAGTTTTATTTTTATTTTTTTTTTCATTGGTTGGATTGTTTCCCCCCTTTTATTCATATCTAAAACTTGACAAAAGAACAAAATGAGTGCTATTTTTTCTTTACAAGGACAAATAAGGGAAAATAGATGACCAAAGTAGAAGTAACGCTATAAATGATGTTGATTCACATCATCTGAAAACTTTGATTAATAGTTGATGTTACTGCAAACCTCGGAGACCAGAATAAGGAATTGCTTATTAAAGACTCAGACACTAGAATGGAAGATATGACCAGACTTGTAGGAACAGTAATGAAGCAGCATACTTTATGTAATAATTACAATAGTGAAAAATGGCTCAAAGAGAATAAAGATTGGAACATTCTTGAAAAAAAAAAAAGCAAATTGAGAAAATGTAAACAGCAATATACGAGAAATTTTAAGATTTTGGATCACATACTTTTGAAAAAAAAAAAAAAAAAAAAAGCTGAGAACTACTTCTATAGATCAAAAGATAAATAAAAATTTATTATATGCTTATTGCATTAAAGAATTTAGTGCTTATGGATTTGAAACAATTGTAAAGCTGTGTTAGCCATCCATTTCATATTATACTAAGAAGCAAAAAGATAGACTTTCTATAGACTAATAAATAAAAGTATTTATTGAGAAAAATATGTAACACATGAAGAGAACTTTATTTATGAAGAAATAATATAAAGTCCTTTTATTTCATTTTGTTTTATTTTTGTTAACAAATATAGCATTTAAAATGTCTTTTTCTCGAGAGTCATTAACTGAAGATGTCAGTAAAAAAAGTAAAGGCATAATCTCCAGAATGAAAAGGTCATTTTCAACAAGTGATAGCAGGCCTCAGTAAATATTGTTCAAATATCTAATACTTACATATTGTTAACTTCATATTATAAATATAGGTTAAATTCAACTATTGCTAATAATATAATAGAGGGGAAAGAAAATAGGAGTTCTTCCACTGATACAATAATCCAACATGGTTTTACCGTTAATAGTAATTCTTTACCCATAAATAGTACATCTTCTAGTCCAATACCTGCTGCTTTTAAAATATACCAAAATAAGGGTGACAATGTTAATTATTTTAGTGCTTTATCGACAAGGACGCTTTGTTATGAAGCATCTAATTCATCTACTTTTAACCTATCAACTCAATTCTCTCCTTTTTTGATTAAGAGCAATAGTAATTCATCTCAATTAAATGATGATACACCACACTCGTTAACAGTAACAAGCCAAAAGTATAAACATATATAATACACACACACACACACATACATATATATATATATTCATCCTTATAATTTAGAAAGGGCGACAGAAAGAATATTTCAACAGTTAATGAAGAATTACAAGCTAAAAGCATATTTGAAAGAAAAATAGCATCGATAACAAGTGATAATGACAAAGTAGGCTATGCACCAACGCCTGCTATGTATTGGTCTCGTCCTGAAGTTTATGGAATTAAGCCATCTTGTGTTAGGGCACATGCTAGTGTTGTTTATGGTGATAAAATGTATGTTTATGGGGGTATGAATAACAATTCAGTTTGTTCAGATAAGCTTTATGTGTTAGAGCTAGGTAAGCTAAAAAAAAAAAGATGAGTATATAATAAATGAAAAAAAGTAGCTTACATAAAATAAAGATACATTTACATGGTCTATTCCTAAAGTATTTGGAACACTACCGCCACCATGTCGAGCTCATTCATTAACAGTAGATCCCAATAATGGTAAAATTTATTTATTTGGAGGTGGAGATGGGCAAATTTATTACAATCATCTTTACGTCTTGGACATTTATACTATGACATGGTCTCAACTAAAAACAAATAAGTCATTATCAGATAGAAGAGCACATTCTACAATTATTTGGAATGAAGGTTTATATGTATTTGGTGGAGGAAATGGAACAAATGCACTAAATGATATGTACAGATTTGATTTAAAGACTGAAGAATGGACAGAAATTAAGACTATTAATAATACAACAGCAAGAGGATATCATTCAGGAACAGTTGTTAACGATAAATTAATTATTTTTGGCGGTAACGATGGAAAAAGGTGTCTTCGTGATTTTCATATTTTGGATTTGGAGAGCCTTGTATGGGAGCATATGGAAGATATTGGAATACCAAGCTTTGCACACTCAGCTATCTGTTTAGGGTCATTCTTGTTTATAATTGCTGGTCGTAATGAAAGACAATATTCTAACAATTTATTAATGTTAAATTTAGGTATAAATAATATTCATATCAGTCTTTATGTCTTTACTTAATCGTTGTATATTACATTACATTTATAGTCAATATGAATTGGGAAACAAAAATAATTTATGGACAGGCGCCATCCCCAAGAGGATACCATACCTCTGTATTGCACGACAGTAGAATTATTTTATTCGCTGGCTATGATGGGTCAGTTTTCTTGAATGATATTCACATACTTGATTTGAGCTCATATTCTTATTTACCTCAAATTACTAATTTTACAATTAATATGCATAAAAAAAATGGGGTGTGCATTTAATCCAACAATTTTTTTTTTTATACATATTTGTATTTACTTGTATTTACATTTATTCATTTTTATATATTTATATATTTATATACACATATACATATACATGTACATTCTTCATTGAAATCTATTTACACATGTTCCGTTTTGATTCTTTTAAGAAAGAGTATAATGCAACTACAAATGATGCAATTCAAAAAGAATCCGTAGTACATACTAATGGTAGTTTACTACAACGTATTACAGCATCAGGTTTAGATAATGCTAAAACCAACTCAACTTCTTTTTCTATACCTATACCAAGTAATTCTTGGGGAATGATAACATTAACTCGTTTACAGAATGCTGATGATACTGAATTGGATGACATTGTTGACTTATTACTTAATCAAAACAAGGTAAAACAAATGGTACCTACTCTTTTTTTTTTTATCATAAAATAATTATAAATCCTAATTATATATTGTAATATAGACTATATTATTGTTACCAGTATCTATACCATCTCATACTTCTACGATTGTAGATCGTAGTTTTATTATGGATCATGTCGTTGTATATAATCAAGATAGAAATCAAGTTTTCACTCTTAGTGGCATTCGTGGTATATTTCAAAGGTAAGAAAGAAAAAAGGGGGTGTATAATTTAGATGTTAATATTAAGAAAAAAAAATAATAGAGATCAGCTCATTCCATTAGAGCTTTTGTCTTTAGAGAATGAAACAGCTAATTCAGTAATAGATGCATATAACAAAAAGTAAAATTATGATTATAAATAATATTATCGACTAGTAGCTTATATGTTATATTGTATAGGACTTTATTCGATACTTTTGATTTAGATCCTTCTTCAATAATAACAGATGATCATCTTAAATATAATATTCTTGCTAGTCATGTTCAACTTCCACTCCGAGACAATCAATTTATCACTGTTATGTTAATACAAAAACCTATTTTAAAGAAAGATGTAATAGACTGGATAGCATCAGAAGCAAAAGTTGAAAAATGTATTAATGAGCCATTAACACTGGAAGATTCAGCAAGTCCTAAAGTGAATGAGTACAGTACCGTAAAGAAATAGAATGATAAATGAATACTTATTTATGTAAAATACAGGTTTATTAAAAACTATAGAAAGACCTCACACAGAACAGCAGAGATATCAAGTAATAAGTTATTAGACTTTTTGGATGATTTACAAGAGGAAATGATGCAAGAGGAAAATGATAAAACAGTAATTAAGCAGAGACTTGATGTGATAGAAACGTATATTTGTAGCCAGCTTTATGATCAACTATTTGCTCACCCAGATACGGATGAGGCAATGCAGGATGAAGCAATTGAATCACGTATTGCAGCGCTTAACTTATTAGATCTTGACCTAAAGCATCTAGGTGTCTCTATTGTATATGATGATAATACCAATTCAACATTAACGGATGCCATTAAAGAATCAGGGAAGCAGTTACAACTATTGAATAAAATCAGAGGAGCTAAAGAAAAACTCAAAGTGCTTATAAAAACACACGAAATTATTGCAGAGGCTATTGAGTTACTTGCGAGTCAACAAGCTCAATTAAAAAGGGAAGAGAATGCTGAAGAGGTAGTGGAAGTTGTTCAACAAGAAATGAAACAAGCTATTTTATCAACTACTACTGCAAATGATAAAGCAATCACAAAACCTACTTCGTCAGTTAACGCAGACATTTTATTGCCCATTTTGATTTTTACCATTGTAAAATCAAATCCAACTCATCTCTTATCCAATCTTAAGTTTATTCAACGCTATCGTCGACCTGATGAATTGACTGGAAGAGCAGGTTATTGTTTAACTAATATATTAGCGGCTGTTTCATTCTTGGAGACAACAAATTTAGTTGGATTGGGCTTATCAGCAGACAAAGTATTTAGGTAAAGAAAGCAAATTATCCATGAGTACAAAAAAAAAAAAAAAAAAAAAAAAATACTAATACTAATAAAAACATATATAAATAAAAAAAAGTCATATTACAGATTTGAATGCAACGACTAATAAATCTACACAAGCTTCCTCAGTCACCAAGTCAATGATGAAATCTCCAAATCAACAACCATCTAATAATTCTGGTCTAAAGATGGTATCTGATGTATTTGATGGATTAGGTAAATTTTGGCAAAGAAATACTCAAGACTTAGAAGGTAATAAGACAGTTTCTGGTATCATGGAGCGAGTTAGAAAAGTGAGTGATGCAGCTCAACCAATTCTTAAAGAGGGTTTAAGTGAATTAAAAGAAATTACTACAAAGTCTTCTTCACCTTCCGTCAATAATAAGCTTACTACAAAACATAGTAGTTCATCATCCTCCTTATCTTCTTTACCAAGTTTTATTGAAGATCGTAAAAATCGTACTAAACAGCAGAAGGTAATAGATATAAATATATATGCATATATGTTTGAAAAAAAAAGGTATTCATTTGTACACTTTTATATAGTCAACAGGAATAGCGTTAAATGAAGGCCCTATAGTGAAATTCTTGGAAATGAAGTCAGTAGATGAACTTAAAATAGGAGAAGTGACAGAATTATTAGTAGATTATAAGCGATTAGCTGCTATTATAAAACAAGCAGGACTTGCATAGTAAAATACATGCTTTATTTGAATAAATGAGCCTTATTAAACACAGTCTATGTAATATGCCTTCGTTACGCTTTATATATTTATACAAGCAGAGATAAAATATACAATAAGAGTTGGAGTATGTATTGAAGCATAGCGATTTATAAAGCATGTCACGTTCCAAAAAAGCTTTAGAATTAGTTAAATTATATATTTAGAGTGAACTAAAGTTTATTGTTATTATTATTGACAGTATAGTTATGAAGCTATGATTAACTTGGAAAGTTCGCAATATAATTGTTCATAGTAAACTATTCAAATCAAGCTGTAAAAGAGTCCGCATATTTCATTATTATCAAATGTTATCTAACTTCTTTTTATTTCCAGTATAGCACAAAAGTAAAATCTTTACTTTTAAGGTATCATTACCAATATTATTTATGCTGCTTTTACCAACATAAAATATTCACTCTTTTCCCACAAAAAGCAATATTACAAACTTAACTTTAACTGTTTGTAAAAGTGAAAGAAGAGACTTAAATCTTCAAAATATTAACAAAAAAAAAGTGTGAGGGGAGGGGGAGCAAGTATGCAACAAGCTCTTTGTTAAAGACTTCAAGTCATAAGGTCAAAGACGTAAAATAAATGGAGAAATTTAATAGAACTGATATTTCCCTTTTTAGATAAAATTTTATTCTATGAAGACGCAATTAAAAAAAAAAAAAAAAAAAAGAAAAGATGCTTTTGTATATTTTACCTTTTATATATCATATTGGAAAAAAAAAAAAGGAAAAGAAAAAAAAATGAATCCAGATAATTTAACAGTAGTCTCACCTATAATGAAACGAATTGTTGATGGAGTTCTTAATAATACAGTAGATCTAACTACAGATGCGTCTTTTCAGTTAGACGATGATTCGCCTTTTGAACGTTCTTTATGTGCAGCTTGGGATGTTTGCACAGTTGAAGATTACGCCTTAGCAATGAATGATTCGCAATTCCATAGAGTTCTTTTAAAAGTATTATTGAAGAGACCGAATTCAACACATGTATAGTTAATTTTATATATCTCTATTTAGGTTATTACAATGACGAAAAGGCCTAGAACAAGAGAATTGGCCATGGGCACATTAGCTAACATGGCTTGTCATTGGAATTGTGGTATTGGTCCTTCATTAATTAATGATATGGATGTATTAAGGTTATGTCGATCTATATTATGGAATGAAAATGATTCTAGAGTATTATTAGAGACGACTCGGTAAGCAAATGCATATACATATATATATATATTTGTATGTATATATGTATATGATATGTATACATGTATCATATCATGTAATATATTTCTTATGTTAATATAATTTAATATATAGACTCTTAAATACATTTTTATCTTGCTCTATTGATACAAGTCATCAAACAGTGATTGAGCATGATAACTTGACAGAATTTCTAACACCTATTCCTATGGCACCTTCAATATTTCATCAATGTACAATTATTATTTGTAATACGCTTTATTCTGAGTTATTATTAAAAAGTCTAGAGCTAATGACTCGCATCGTTGTATATACTAACGCTATCACACATAGTATTAGTAAACGTAGAGAAAGACTAATAAAGCAGCAGCCAGAAGAAGATGATGAATATAAATTTATGGATAAATCAGATACGCTTAAACTTGTACAATGGGGAGCAGAAAGACTAGAGGAAGAGAGTCGGGGTGTTGGTATAGGAATGGGATTTCATCGGGGTATAGCTAAGAATGTGATGCATTTATTATGGGCATTAATGGCATATGAATGTGGTAAGTATTAAATAATAATAATAGGAACTAGTAGTAATGTTTGTTAATCTATCTTTTATTGGCTTTTTTTTTCTTTAAAAAAAAAAATAAAAAAAAATAAAAAAAAATAAAAATAAAATAAAATAACAGTGATAGGGCCAGAAATGACACAAGGTTTAGGACAGTCAGTATCTAGAATAGTCTCTTATATTCAAGAAGATGAAATAGATACAAGAGTTGAAGACGAAGATATCCAAAACCTAGCACAAGCATTAAGCACAAAATTATCCATGGCTAGTTAGTTAATATACATACATATTTTTAGTTGTAAATTTTATTAAGTACATAAAAACAGTGATTATTTTCTTGAACAAGTTGATGTATTTATAACATGAAAGCCTTTATTATTGACCAAGTAATTTCGGATGATAGATTCATCGAGTCGTATATTAATAGCTTTTTTAGGTGTACCATTATTATCTGCTGTAGATATCATGCCCATACCATGTTGATCATCTTCAATTTTAAAATTCTTTATTTGATTATTTGCATTTAAAAAGTTATCAATTCGAATATAACATTCAGCTATTGTCATATCATTAGGTGCAGCTGGAGTAGTTACTGGTTTAGAATTTGAAGGCATGATAATATAATATTAATAAAGAAGAAGAAGAAAGGAGAAAGGCAGAGAATATGGTAATGATGACAAAATATATAAAGTCAGAAGATTACTAAAAAGCAGTACATTCCTCTTCTTTCATAATTTACTAAGTCAATTTGCTTTTTTTCTTCTTACTATGTCATTATTTATCATACGTCAATTTATTATGTCCTTTTTTATTATTATCCAATCAAAATGTTTTCTTTTAATTTTGAATTGTCCACTGATCGATATATTTTACCAATGAATTATACTTTGTTGTATCTTTCATTGAATGTAACTTTTTTTTTTGAGATATTTATTATCGTGATTGATAGAATAATTATATTAATGGTACGTATTATATATCAAATTTACTAGAAAGATTCGTGGTGGATAAAATATACATATATAAATATATAGATAGTCATGTATGTATTTATGTCTATTATATAATAATAGCACTGTATAGCTAAGCAATAATGTGCTATGCTAAAAATCTGTATTATTAGGAGGTAGGTTAGTAGGTTTTTGTATCAATAGGCCAGAGCATTTAGTTAGTTGTTAACTATATCGAATAAAAATTAGAAATCATCAAATAAATTTCAGAAAGTATACTTTTTGTATTTGAATAAAAACGATTACTTTGTGAAGTTAAATCTTGAATGGGAGGAGTGTATCGTTTGTTATGTTATATTAAATAAAACAAGAAATAAAAAAAAAAGAAGTTTATTACTCTTACTTCTATGGCTTTTTCCATTACTGCTTTTAATGATTCGGCTAGTCATATGGAGTGAATATCAGCATGTCGTGTCATGATAAGATATAAATCTTTTCGGTTTTTTTTTGTTTTTCCTACAATATGACTAAACGTGCTGTTATTGCTACTGAGACAGTTGTTGAAAACTGTTTTATCTATGTTGAATTAATCAACACTTTTCAAGCTATTGCTGTTGATACTACTACAGTTACCCTTACTAATATTATAACTGAATTTGATGTTGATTATACCAATTCTTACACTGGTAGTGATCCCACTTTAAGCTCTATTTCTAAAAGTATCATGCCAAATCTTCCTAAAAGGGGACCCACCCTAATAATTTACTCACCCTTCTAGATTTAACGCCTTCTCAACAGTAAGAGCTTAACAGTATTATAATCATCAATTGCGGGGAGGGGGGAAGTAGTATCATCATTTGACTAAGTAGTATCATCTGTTGACTCTATTATTTCCTTAGAAGAGGCAATCATTTTATCTGTAGAATCTATAATTTCTTCATAAATGAAAATTATTTTATCTGCTTTGTCTGTACTTACATCAGCTGCATCTGTATTATCAACTGCAACTGATTGAACGACAATTATATTTGAAGTTACGGCAACTGTACCTCAAGTAACAAACAGTTCTATCTGATGTAGTGAGAATTACACCTGAAGTAATAACATTTATAGTCGAAACCGCCGCCCAACACGAATAAACCAATAATAACTATTCTTAGTCTAGTAATCCAATTACGGCACTTGAAAGTTGACGTTATTATGATCTTCAGCTAAGTCTGTTATTTTTTTAGCCGAGTCTGTAATTATATCTGCTCAAACTGTATTGATAGAGCATATAGTAGAAATAGAAGGCGAACTTTATCATTCTTTAACCAAAAGCGTAAGCCAGGTTAATTTTATTATTTGATCTTACTTTACTTGTTGAATATATCATACATTATACTAATTTTTTTTTTCAATAACCATCATCAACTCTACAGGTACTCCTATATCAAGATACTTTCTTTAAGGATATTGTACATGTAAAGCTTATTTAAAAAAGAAGACCATTTGATTTATACAAAATGCTCTGATTGAATTTGCTTGTAATATATAATATAAACATATTTATTTATTTATCTATTTACATACTAATAAATGAATAACATAATCAAAGAGTATGTTATGATTGTAGTCGTCCTTATAACTAAGTTAATAGAAATGAACCATCATTTATTACATAATAAAGAGGTTATTCATATAAAACTAGTATATTGAACTTCACAGCATAATATTCATTCTACACTCAGTTTTAATAATAGTCATTGTTAGAATGTTCGAGCAATAATAATAATTATATACATACTTCAAACAGGATTATGACTGGTATATTCAATTACGTAATTGTTCTTGAGTGATACATATCAGATATACATTAATAATATTGAATATTGTTAAGTAATAAAATCTTATACAATAATAATGATAGTAACTCATAAATAATTGATATTGTTGCAGCTAGACATATTCATTGAGAATTAATATTGATGTGTCGCAGTTCAATAATAATGATTCGTTATGTTTCTAGGAACAGCGACAACTCAGGGAGAAAAAAAAGAATAAAGAAATATCTTATTGATCGCAGAACTATTCGGAGACAATGCTTTATGTAAAACATTTTATCATAGTAAAACTTGCTTATCTGAATCATATTTCCATTGATAACACTTACCTTGTAAAAACATATAAATAACCCTCAATTTTTCATATGATTTTCGTGGTACAATTTTGTATTATCTTTAATAAACTATACAAAGTTTTCACAGACTTGTCTTCTGTTCATTTTTCTTCCATTGTCTTTTTGCTAATCAAAACACATATAAATTTTGGTTGTACAATTTTTGTATTATCTTTAGTAAACTATACGAAGATTTCACAGACTTGTCTTTTGTTCATTTCTTTTTTGCTAATTAAAACAGCTGTTATAAGGTGATATATTACGGACATGATCATTTCTATAGTGGTGGATCAAGGTAAATCATGGTAGATCAGCCCAGAGGGTCATTTCTACACTGATGGATCAAGATAGATCAAGGTAGATCAGTCTAGGGGATCATTTCCAATACGAGGGTAGATCAACCGACAGGGCCATTTCCACAGGGGTAGAACAGTTGAGGGCACCATCTCTACGACGGAGTAGTATGGTGGCTAAGCCCAGAAGACCATCATGGCACTAGATAATATTTTTAGACAAGTATTGCATGATACTCCGGTGTGGAAATGACCCTCTAGACTGATCTACCATGATCTATCTTGGTCTACCAGTGTAGAAATGACCCTCTGGACTGATTTACTATGACCCACTATAAATTTTATTATATTAGTACTTTTTACTTCACTATACCATATAAATTTAGTAGAGTCTGCTTCATTAAAGTCCAAAAAAGATATTATTTTGAAAGTTGAATGAACTCAGAAGTTATACAAGTTTCATTGTATTTATACTACTTTATTATTAAAACATAATATATTGTATTCATTACAAACAGATAGAATTATATACATGAAAATATTTAAACATTACATGAGTTAGGAGGTAAAAAACGAGAGAAATCGATAAAATAAACAATAAAAGGCTTATAAGGTGATATTATCGGTGTTGCCTTACAAGTGAGATGAAACGATATTAAATGGCAATTATTAGATGTTTTTTTGCCAGATTCAAGAACATAATATGTTAGTCGTTGCATATCAATGCTGTTTAAGTGCAATCTTTATATTCTTTACAATTTCCTTATTCGCTTTTGTAATAGAAGGTGCCAGCACATTCGTTAACTTTACGAGCACTCTATTTAATTCTTGGTTGTATAAAATACGAATTTTTTCAACGCCTGTAACATTATAAATATCCAATATCTCTTCAATGATTTGTGGTATCTTCTTTGATTTATCCTTGAATTTAAGCATAATAGATTCAATAATATCCTTTTCAAGCTGAGCTTTGTATTTCTTATTAAATCTTTCAGTTGCAATTTTCATAAATAACTTTGAACCAAGGGTGTAATTATAATATGGCTCTCCATCATCTGAGGGTATTGCTTTTGGAAAGTCACATAAGGTAAATATGGTTACTGGCTGGTCAGTTACTATATTTAAAATGTCAAATGTCGCTCTTAATTTATCGTAAGTTTCTATTTCGGTTAACTTGGATCGAATCTGTCTAACTTGGTATAAGGAATGCGAGATTTCAATTCTACTACATTCAAGATTTTCACCGAGAAGCTTTGCCTCTTCATATACATTTCGATCTAGAAATATCTGGGTGTTTTTAGAGGATTCAACAGAGTTTAGAAGAAAAGATTTTGTTGATGGTCTCACCTCTGGCAAATGAATTGAATCCACTCTAATGCTGGCAGTAATGAGATAGTTGAATTCCATAGTTCTAATGATTAATTTTGTTCCTTCATTTGTCTTGTTTGTCATTGGCCACATATTTTGATATTTTATATCGCTTGGAGGAAATGACACTTGTGGATTTTCAAAATGTGGATCAACAGAAGGCGTTCTTCCATACATTTCGAGACTTGTAATCAAAAGTGTTTGCCCAGTTTCAAAATTATATAAGATAGCACCTGCCATGACCTTTGCCGCAAAATACTTCATGTTTGGGCTGGATAGCCAACAGGTATTTAACAATGTGCAAATATTCTTCGTCAACTCAAAGTAATGACGCTTGCTAAGTGTCTTTGCATAAGGACCGTTTAAAATTCTCGAGCTGAACCCATTGTCATTTGAAAATTGTCTCATGACTTTCTTTTCCTATTTGATATATCGTCGTTATCTTCTTTAGCAACTTCGATGTCCCGTCTCTTCCTAGAGATGAACACCTTTTCTCCATGATATTTCTCAATAAGGATATCAATATTGTTTTTACTGGTCAGCGCTGACATTTCACCATCATTTTCATTGTATATGCCAAAGGGTTCCAGATTCAATGAACTCACAATACCCACTATCCTCTTTTCCATAGAATATTTCTCTTCTGTCAATTCAAATGAAGAAATCACCGAATCTTCATATGCTACTAGAGTACTGCATTTCATGACTGACTTATTTAGCTCAGGAAAAGTGGGTTATCTGATTTTAAAGTTTTTAGTGTCAAATGATATGTAAATGCCATAATAAAAAAAAGAGTTCTTTTTTTCAACTTTTACCTTTTGAACGCGTGCTCAGTTTTTTGTAGATGGGAATTTCACAGGTCTTACTGCTATTGATATGTTTCAATAGCGAGTTCTTTGAAACAAAGTTGTTTTTGCAAGAAAAAGGACAAGAATATCCTTTATCAGTAGATTTAAACTCAAATTCAACAATGCCATCATCTAATAAAGTATTAATTGGGTTGCATTTGGCTTGATTAACTTTCTAATTTAAAAAAACAAACCTTCAGCCACCAGAGTCAAAGTAAAGTCGCAGTGGTAGTCTTTGTAATGGATCGGTAGTTTTGGAGGAAGTAATTGGTCACATATTTTGCAACCTTCCTTTTTTCCATCTTTGTTGGATGACGACAAATCTATTCTTAGCGAAGAATAATTTACAGACCAAAAACAGAAGTTATTGGGCTGACCTTTTTTTTAAAAAAAAAAGTGTCTAGTCATGTGATTTGTGTTACAGGACAAGCTCTGGATATAATCATAAGTAATATTATAGTAGATGAATTACATAATAAAGGATAAATTATAAGCCTGAATATGAAATAAAACTCTGTATATAACATCTTGTAAATAATATAAAACTTATTGACATCCAATCGTCTAGATGTATCGATTATAAGACATCGTATCATTTCTAAATATTTATTTTTATAACTTTGACAAAGGATTCAAGTCGTCTTTGATCTACTGAAATAGACACCAGGAACCTAAGTTCAGATCAAACAATCTACAACCTTAATCAAATCATTATAACACCCAATAGATAATCCATATAAATCAGTCTCTTGAATCAACAAGATGTATATCCGAATACTAACACTGTGTCATGACTTATGTTCTTTGACGATCATTTTTATTTCTTTGATTCAGGATTCATTAGTATAAATACAAGCAGTCGTGTAGACATAAAATAATCTTTAATCTTTAATTCTTTCATTTCATTCTATTTTTTATTTTATTCTTCTTTTCATTGAATAAGCAAAGTCTCAAATTATGCTTCCTTTTGTTTTCTTTCTTTTTCTTTTTTTCTTTGTTTCTATCACGAACTATCACAATATTTACCCTTCTCAATTATATATTTATAAATATCTACCTAAATTCCTATTTATTTTTACTTCAGACTTTTATATTATTATATTTTCAAAAATAAAGCTTAATGTTCAAAGACTTGTTTGTTTTTATTTTATTCTATTATAACTTACATTTATTCACAGGGAGGGGATTGGGATCAGTGCACACATACACAATTAAACACACACCACCACCACCATACACACATACCCTGTTATTCCGTTTCGGCGGCTCCTGAATAGCAGGAACGGCAAGGATCGGTAAAAAAAACATAGAGGCACACACACTTAATGGGGAGGTAATATATATATATATATATATATATTATGAGTTGGGTTAGACTTTGTGAATTCGTTGAAAGTCTTAACAAAGTTATAAAAACCGAGCTAAGTTATTTTATTTGTATTTTACAGATATTTATAATATACTAAAATGAAAGTAGGCGGTGAATGAAGCATTAAACAATTTGTATTGAAGAAGTTGCAGAATTAGCGAGAGTGCTGTCGGAAAGAGGAGATAGAGCTCTTGAGTAATTGGATAAGTAATAATTAGATACTGAGATAAGTTTATTATGAATGAATGGTCGGATATATACAGGATGAGAATCTTAGTCTGTGATTAAACAGTAATACTTGTTGTGAATCAACATGGTTAAACTTTATGTAATTAATATACTGAGCTATTTTATTATTATAAGTATAACAATGGGCATTTTCAAATAAAAGATGCAAAAGCAGTCAGTTAAATAGTAATCAAAGAGAAGACATATAGGTTGTATATATCAATGATAATAACGAAAGCAGTGTACAAGATAGTTAAGAATCGAGATCAAAAGGTACGATAACTGCGCACTTTATCAAATTCATGAATGTTCCGCTTGGTATCTTGGATTTTAATGAAGATCTAAAAGGGAGTTATTTGGTGATGGATAACTGCACTATACATAAATCAAAACCAATGATGAGGAAAATCAAAAGCCGTAGCTATAAGCTGATGTATCTGCCTCCATATTCGCCTGAATTGAACCCAATTGAGCAGTTTTGGGGCAATCTTAAAAGGAATATTGAAACGCCACAAACTGTTGACTGAAGGAAAATTGTCTGATAGAATTGCTGAGGCATGTGATGCCATACCTGCTGAAATTCTATACAACTTTGCCAGTCATTCTAAACGACAAATTATTCAATATTATCATGAAACTCCATTCTAATCATTTTGAAGTCAAAAAATACATATCATTTTCAAGTCAATTCAAAAGGAAAAAATTTCTGGACATACAGGGACAATCATTTGTGGGCTAGTGCCATTAATTTTTTGGAAAGTGACATATAATTTTTTCAAAGTGACAAAATTTACCATTCTCCTTGTATTAAAATTAAACGTTTTATTTATGTCGGACTTTTTATTTTATATTATATGTTTTAATTCACCCGTCGTCACATTTTTTTTTCGACTTTTTTTTTCCTTCACTATTGTTATAAAAGAAAGAAAAATAAGCATAGACTTATACATTTATATACAATTCGTCAGTAAACAATAACTAATTAAATAATAGATTTATAAAAAATATATTGTTTCTTTTTTTTTTTTCAAAAAAATAAGAAATGGATACAACAGCAGATGTAAAAACTCCATCCTCAACTTCAAGACATTACTTTTACAGAAAGGCGACACAACCTGATCAGGCCATCTTTCCTAATAATATCAATAATGTCTTTTTAAATGGAATAGATACTGCAAATGCGTTTGAAAGTAGAATTAATGATTTTTTACAAAAAGACTTGATACAACATGCAGTTGAAAAAATTAGAAAAGATGCAACTCATGACTTGATTCGCCGTAAAGCAGATAGAAAAGCAAGAAAAGAACGAGAGGAACATAATGCCAACCATCATTCGAAATCAGATAAATCAACAAATACAGTAAATGAGAATGCAAAAATAGCTATAGAGACTGATATTCCCTCAGAAGAGGATAACAATTTAAAAAAATCTACGCCTCTTTTCGAAAAGTTAAATATTTTATCAAATATTGAACAAAGTGCCTGGTTAGCAAACATTCATGATGATGCTTTATTAATGAATCCTCATCAATGGCTCAAATTAGCTAGTTTATTTAATGTCAATTCAAAAGTTTCTAGACAACAGACTTTATTAGACATTGCAGGCTTGGATGAAGTACTTAAAGACAGGTCTATTAATGAAGACAACATTGGACGTTTAGAGAATTATTTAGAATTACGTGACATTCAAAATAGAAATTATGCAAGAGATGCGTAAGTTTAATCCTTAAATAATAATAATATATTATTTTAACTAAGTGAATTCAATTAGTGTGGCGGAAGGTGTAAAGCTTATTAAGCAAAATCGAGTGAAAGAAGCAATGGAATTTTATAAAAGAGCATTAGATATGGATCCTAAATATGCTGAAGGATGGTTCCATGTTGCTGAAGGGTAAATTTCCTTGTATTTTTTTTTTCTTTTTTCTTTTAAGAGATAACCTTGGCTGAAAAAAATTATATAGACTTGTACAACAAAGAAAACTGACAGAAGCAGCCGATCATTTGGAACGCGTATTAAAATTAGACCCTATACATGAGGGAGCAAAGGCTCTATTAGCTAGTATTCATCATACAACAAATACTAAAAAAGTAACAGTAGGCGATGAATGGGATCTTGTAGATGAGCGTGGAGAATCAATTAATAAAAAGGCATCAAAGAAAAAATCATCTAAAAAACATAATGATTCGGATATTTCAGATAATGAATCAGAATCAAGCACTCGAAAAAAGAAAAAATCATCCTCTAGAAGATCACGATCAAGGGAAGATTCAAGTCGAAGAAAACGAGATCGAGATGATAGACGACGCTATCACTCTAAAGATGGACGAAGAAGTAGGACATCGAGAAGCCCACGTGTATCAAATCGCGAGCATAGTAGTAGAAGGAATGAATCCATAAAAAGGCATCATTCAAGCGATAATCATGTTGAAAATGATAAAAATAAGATTAAAACTAAAGATGATCATAGACACAGATCAAGAAGCTCTCATGACAACCATACATCAACTAGATATTCCAGAGATCGTAGTCAATCTTATGAGCGTAGATCTAGCAAAGATAAAGCTCGTAATAGTCAACGTCGTTATAGAGATTCCAGTCGTCGTCGACATTATAGTGAAGATTCTGAACGTAGTTCTTCTCGTACTCGTAGACGTCGAGATGATAAAAGAGAAGAACGCATCGATAAACATGAATCAGAAGATACAAAGGAAAATAATAAAACAAATAAAAGTGTGACATCAAATGATAATGATCACAAAGAGAACATAGCAAAACAAAATGATAAAGAAAGGGAGAGGGAAAGGAGAAAGGACAGCTCTAAATTAGAAAAAGCGACTAATGATTTGAAAAACACGAATGAAAAAGCAGTAAAGGATGAGCATAAATCAAGGTCACCAAGCCGTAATCATAGACGAAGAAGATCGTTAACTCCTAAAAAAAGTAGCCATAGAAAACGTTCTAATTCACCAAAACGTGATCATAGAAGACGCTCAAATTCACCATCAACTAGAAGAAGAGATAGTAAAAGAAAACGTTCTCCATCTCCCAGGAAAAGACAAGATGAGAATAAAAAGAGGAGACATACAGAATCACCTTCTATAGATGAAAATAAAAGAAGAGAGAGATATAAAGACCCAAGAGATGAACATAGTAGTAGGAGTAGCAGAACAAAACTAATAGATGAAAAGCATTTATCAATGACTAAGAGCTCTAGTAAAAGAAATGAGGAATCTAGAAAAGATACATCCTCTCCAAAAAAACAAAAGGAAAAAGATATGATATTAACAAATTAAAGGACTTTTTTTTTTCTAATGAAAAATAATTTTCAAGCTCTTTACACTGTACAGTGTAATGTATATTTTAACACATGTCTTTTTTTTTTAATATTTATATATATTTGTATATGGTAGATTTATTATTATTATTATTGCAAGTGTGTGCTATACATATAATTATATGCATTTGTAAAATATATATATCGATATATACAAATATATAAAATACGCTTTGTTTGTTTATTCATAATACTAAATATTAAAGCATAGAAGACAAATAATGATTAGTAAGAATATAAATATTTATTTATATATTATTCAAAATAAAACACAACACACTTTATTCATGATAAAGATGATCATTATTATATAGTTTGGGCTAAGCTTCATTATTAAATAAAGGACATAAGTGTATGTAAAAGGTTAGAAAGCATAATAGAAAATAAAACTTAATTTAAATATTACTGAAAACAATAATGCAGAAGACCATAAAAACAGATAACGATAAATATAAATATATATATATTACATTTGTATAAATAATGAATGAATATGCACAAATTAAAACAAAAAGTATTAAATAAGAAGGAATAATAGTAATAAAACAAGTCTCACAAGATAAATAAGATCATAGTGTGGTTTAAAATGGAATAATTTGATATACATATATAAACATACAATGTACGCTGGTAAAGGAAATAAAAGAAATGTATGTGTGTGTGTGTGTTTTGTTTAAATAAATCCCCTATAAGTGCTCATTATAGCTTCTCGAGTACTCAAAACATTTGATAGTTGTTTTCCCTCTCCGTTATTTTGTAAAGAATTTGATAAGATTGGAGATGAATAGGTGGATTCTGTATTATTTAATATCTGATCCTGTTCATTCTGTTGTTGTGGTAACGATTGAGTTTGATAAGATGACAGCGGCCTACTAGAGACAAACTGAGAAAATCGATTCATAAGTGAACTTATACGTGTAGCAGTTGATGTTGTGGACGATGCATTAGAAGAAATAGAATTCTGTCTTAAATGAAATGTATTGTTCTCTGCTGCACTTAATTGGTTAGCCAGTAACCAATCTTTTTGAATTTGTTCGTCTATAGGTTGCTGTTGAGATGAATAGGTTGTATTTACAGAGTGTACTGATGAAGTACGTTTCACTTTAGCAGTCAAACTGTTTGCAAATCCTAGCTTCTGAGACAGGTTCCTAGCTATATTTCCTGTAGATGCTCTCTTTCTATTTATATCTTCATTGGTTACTCGTGTAAGTGATAATCCTCGCTTAAAAATATCATCTAATGATTCTTTTGACCCTCTTCTAAAAGAATCTAAACTTACACGTGCCATATCAGTAGTGAATCTTTTAAATCTACCGGAATTAGTAGACGAGATAGATGATGTGTCACTGAAATCACCACTAAATAATCCACTGCTCCTCTTATCATTTACTCCTGGTATTATTTTTCCTGATGCCATTGCTTGTAGTCGTGTTTCTCGTATGGAATACGCTCTACTTAACACAATTTGTATGTCACTTAATGGATAATTCTATTAATTAAAAAATTTAGTATATCAATGGTCCATTATATTAAAATCATTAGTCCTAAACTTTACTTGTAAAATACGCATATTATTAGCGAAATCACCATCAATAAGCTCTTGTCGAATACATCTAAAAAAAAATTAGAGAAATGGTTTAATTCTATATATTAAAAGACAAATCATCTCTTTTTTTTTTTTTTTTTTTTACTTCTATTCCATTTCCTTTTTTTCCTTTTTCTTCTAATATTTGAAAAAAAAAACTTACATAAGCATCGCTACAGTAAAATCTAATAAAAATTCAAAGTGGCCTTCTTCTTGTCCTTCTTGAATTCCTCGATCTGCCAGAATAGAATCCCACAAACGAATGACATCAGGTAAATCGAATTCTTGTGAGCAAAGAACAGTAATCCAGCGGAACGCATAATATTGTTCCTTAATATCCTTTTTACTTAAATCTCTAAACAATGGTCTATCAAACCATGCTAATCGTTGACTCATACGCCACATAGTTGCATTAATACCTGTACTAGCATCTTGGTCAAGTGAACGAACAAAATGATCTCTAACGTCTGCCATTAAAGTTGTAAATACAAAAAAGGAATCTGCCTCGGCATATGCTTGAGACTCTTGGTCCTCTTCAGAAGCCTTTGCGGTGAAAACATAATAGATGGGTGCTAATAATTCATTCATTCCTTGAACATAACCCACACCAGGATTTAATTTGGCATATATAAACAAAATACGTTCAATTACTTCCCAATGATAATCCATAATAGATACATCTGCTTCAATAGCTTTCTGACCTATATGATGCTCTGTACCATTATTTTGATGTTCTCTATTTCCAATTTCTTCGTTTAAATGTGCAATACGTCTAAATAGAGATCTACGTGATGGGATATAAGGACAAATTGGTTCTAAATGATCTGGCTCCACTTTTTTATTAGAATTTCCAAATTTAGGTACAAAACTTGAATAATTATTGCTTTTTGAAGTAAAAGCCGTTGATAGTTTTCTAACGATACTTCGAGGGGTAGAGATGATGTCTGATCCACTATCTAAGATACCTGAAGAAAATGATCTTGCTGAACTTCTAGAGTTTGAGCGTGCTCTTGTATCTATTTTATTTCCCGCTGCTGTTGACACATTAAGTGATGAAGCTACTGTATTTAGTTGAGGATTCAATATCGTATTATTTGTGTTGATCGTTTTAAGTGACTTTTTTGAGGTAGCAGATACTGATCGGGGCCGACCTTTTAGTCCAAAAGAAAAGCGTCTCGATTTTGATTCTTTTTCAAATGGCGATTCTTCAGCAATCAATATTGACAAAGGATCCTGTTCAAATTGTGTTGCTGTTTGTTGATGGGAGTTAAGTGATTCTTCTGATGTATCATTTATTGTTGCTGATAGTGGATTTAGTGGATTGATAGGTACATATTGTTGAAAAAATGCAAAATCCGGTAAAGTACGTCGGACATCTTTATCTATTTGCTCTAAAATCAAGTTATCTTGAAAATAAGCAGCCCATTTGGATCCTGGTTCAGCATTTAAAGGCTAATAAAATAATGTTAAGTCAAGCTTGAAAAAAAAAAAAAAGCATTTTTTTTGGACTTTTACATGATCATTTGTTGGAGGCTCTTCTCCAGGTTCTTCTAATAAATCTTTAACCCAATTCTACATGTAAATAATAATAATAATAATAATTGGATGTGAATAGTTTTAAAAAAAAAAAAGAAGGTTGGGTCTTTAATATTTACATAATAGTTTAGTCTTTGCTTCTTTAAAGTTGTTTCCCACATCCTTTTATCAGGTGGCAAATATCCCATAAGGACTTTCCAAGCAGTTGAACGAAGACCAGGTTCGTCAGGTATACCTATTTTTTTTCATTTAATTTGTTAGCTAAAATTACTTGACATATTTATAGTTTATTTACCATGGAAACAAGCTTCCCGAAAAGATTTCATGTCAATTATAGGTGACCATTTCTCTTTAGTGTCTTCATTATGATCTTCAGTGCTTAATACTGATCGAAAATATTTTAATCTATTTTAATTAATTTAAACAATAATCAAATCAAATTAATTCCAAATTATCAAATATAAAACCGACCTTTCTTTGTATGTTGATTCCATTTCAAATAAAACTACAACAACAAAAATAGCCTAGTGTAGGGGAAAATTAAATAGAAATGATATTATTTAGCTTACAAAAAAAAAAAAAAAAAAAAAAAAAAAGGCTGAATTTTAATATACATTAAAGTTCGAAATGTTTCAGTACAACGAAGTATTATAGAATAAAACCAATCATGAGGTTTTATAACAATAAATGGCTACAGCACATAATTCTACTAAGAATATCTTCCAACTAATGACGTGTAAGAGGGCTTTTTCTGAATACTGTATTCTATAATGATAGTAGATAATAATGAACTTTTCATTTAAGCTATGATATGATATCTATACCACTCATTTATTCCGAATAAAGACTTCAAATAAGATATATTTAGCATTATTCTGTCTGTATAAATATATACAAATATAAATATAAATATATAAATACATATACATATATGTATATCAGTCATAATACGTATTTTAGATCTATTTGCTATTTATTATAAATATAGATTCTTTATTTAATGTTTTACACTACCTTCTTTATTTCTCTATGTTATTAGTAATAAACTATTATAGACTAACATACGTTTTTTTTTTATTTAAAAAAAAACGATTACTAATAATACCATAGGATAGACCGAAAAGAAACGTCATCTTTATTGTTGATCAAATTAAAGTAAACTTTAGAGAGAAAAGCGTTAGGTGTATATAATAGATAAAACACGAATATGAAAAAAAGTAAATTACTGATTAAATATGTAAACTTTAAATGTGTTTCCCAGCTAATACTTAATCGTATATATTATAAAAGAGAAGGTTATTGTTACAACTTGAATCATTCTTTCTTCTTGTAGCGGTAAAATGATTTATTTATAGATATGTTATAATGGACAGCACAAAGATTATATCATACTACTTGTTGCTTTTCTAAGATATCTCATCAATATTTATAACTGAATAATTACAAGAAGAAGAATGATTTATATCTTTACTAAACACATCTCAAAGCAATGATTCTTTATAGCTATAGAGAATAGACTACTACTACTGGCAACTACATATAATGTTTATAATACATAAATAGAAAGAGTATTCGCATGTTTATTATAATAATACTGCACTTTCAATAAGCTCGTAAAAATGCTCTTTTTTTCTCATTATTGAAGACTTGTTTCTATCAATTGTATTTCTTCTTCTTGATCTATTCCATTCAATTGATCGTTTGTTAGCATTCTCTTCTTTCAAAGGTATTAATAATTCAACATTCAGTTCATGAAATAAGTCGTCTTTCACTTTCTGACAGGCAACAGTCATCCTTGTTACTCTACCTGTAATCATGCTATTTGTAAAGTTATCATTATTGTACCATTTAGCATTTGATTGATCATATACAAATGTATTTAAATGTAAAGTCATCGTATTTAGATCAGTAGTGGCAGAAATAGATTTTAATAAATCAGCGTTTGATTTACTAATGCGTCCACTTAAAATTAAATGTGTTGAGTTTGAACAGGAAATCAGTCTTGATAAAACAGCTGCTACCTCAAATGATTTTATTATTCTATGTTGCTCTAAAAGAGTCTGTTGCTGTAGTGGCTGAATTTTTATATCTGAAGATATCTCGAATGCTGGACTAGTAGTTATTTCGTAAATATAGCCTAAGAGTCATTTTTAATTATAAATAAATAACTAAACATATCTTATTTACTATGCATTTATATATAAACATATAAATATTTTTTTTTACCAAATGATACATGATTGTTTAAATTTGGATTTATTCCTTGATTTATGTCAAACTCTTGTTGTTGAATTGCATTTAAACAGTCCCCATTTAAATAAAAGACTTTACACGTTATTAATCGAAATATATTATATATAAGAAAGTAAATAATTTGAATCATATTCTAACAAAAAAAGAATGAAATAAATAAATTGAAAGAAATTGTTATGTTCAAAGCATAAAAATATGCACATTTTGTTTTGATTCAAATGCCAACCGAGATTGAACTCCGAATCTTTTTTTTTTCTTCTCGTGACTTGATTTATAGTTGAAGCCTTGAAGCTTATCCGGGGTAAAGAGAAAAAGGGAAATCTATCAGGGATACTCCTTTTTTTTTTTTTTTTTTTTTTTATCCTAATATTTATTTATATATCAACAGTATGCCATTTTATGAATTAGTCTGTATAGCTCGCCATAATATGGTTGAGGTAAAATAAAGTAATATATTTATATATATATACATGTATGTATATTTCTTTGAAATTTTAAAAAAAAAATTCTTATTGAACATTAGAGTAATTTAAAAGATTTATTAAAAACTTCAGCTAAACAAGTCATTAATCGTGGTGGTGTCGTTCGAGGTTTTGTAAACTGGGGTGATATGAAGATTCCACATAGAATTAAAAGACATCAAGAATACTTTACAGACGGAAGGTAATTGTTTAAATAGTATAATCTGAATGGAGAGAAAAAATAAATAAATAAATGCAATTTTAACATGTCAAAAATATATGTATTGTAGATATTGGGCAATGCATTTTGACGCTAATCCTTTAATTGTTCAAGAGCTTGGAAAGAAGCTTTCAGTTGATACACGTGTGTTGCGTCATACATTTATTAAGCTCGGTGATAAACTCGAAACTATTATTGATAGACCAGATAAGACATAAAGCAATCTTTTACAACATGTATATATACACATCATCATCTAGCAAATTGATATAAACAAACCCCTTTTTTTTTTTCTTATGTGGCATTTATAGAAAGAAGTGTTATTCTTATTATTACTATTAATTTACATCTTTTTTTTTTTCTATTTGATTTGGATTCTTCTTTTGTAAATATATCGAGAGCTTATATAAAATGAATAAATATGATTTTATTCTGGTTGAATTTACTTGAAGAAAATAGCTCGTAATTTTCTTATGACATGAAAGCCTTGATAATAAGAAGCTCATAAAATATAAATACATTTTTAATATAAATAGTTTTACGATAATATTTATTTATTGAAGTTAATTTATACATATAAGATTCGAATTAAAAAGTAAAGAAAAGAAGGGAAAAAAAAATCAAGGACAAATTAAGCAAAGGCATCTTCAATATCAGCTTCTGTTGATGCTTCTGTTTCACTACTAAAGTTCATAAAGTGTGCACCACGATGAGATTCATGATAGAATTCCTTTGGTACATCCAAAACAAGTCTATAATTCATGTTTGCACTAAATTGGGCACCCATAACTATATAAAGGAGTAATCACTTTTAGTTCACAAAATTCATTTTAATGTGTCATATCATATTAAATACTACTTACAGTTATAATTCCAAATTTCAGTGGGTACCATAAAGTAACCAAGGAAACGATCAGATAACAAAATTTGTACCTTTTCACCATGAGTAGGTAAATAGCCCTGAGGTTGATTTCCAGGATCAATATTACCCTTACCCCATTCAAAACCAGCAGGTGACAATTTATAAGCAGTAAGAGAACATGAACCAGGTGTAAAGGAACAGGTTAAGGTGATTGTCTTTTCACCATCCCATGTTTTATGATTGGCCATAAGTTTAGCATGTGTAGTAACATCCTGAGGAGAAATATTCATTAATTCTTGGGGTTGAGTATGAATCCAACCTAAAGGTTCCAAATCATTCAAATATTCATGTTCAGGGAGGTTATTTGGCAAATGAACTGTTTGATGTGTACCCCATTGTGGAGGAATAACAACACAACGAATTTCCTTTACATTTGGTGCATCAGGGGGACTGACACCATAAAGGAAACCAGCAATTTGAGTACGCAAATCAGAGATAGTAATAAATCGTTTCAAGATGTTCTTAGGCATAACATAGGTATAGGTATTTTCCTTAATATCATCCGAATTTACATAGATATGGTTGGTTCTCAAATACAAGTTAGTGGCTGAAATGGCACGGATACGCCATTCTGTCTTACTTGAGAAGGTAGCTTGTTCATAATTACTTGTAGTAGTAACAATCATCTCATCACCATGAATGTTACGAGTCTTGGTTGTAACAGCAGTCAATTGTGATTGTTCCTTAGTTTGCTTCTCAATTTCAGCAATTTGTTGACGTTGAAGAGAAGGTGCTTGAATTTCCATACCCAAAATAATATCTCTGATTTCAGATTGTGTAAGAGAAGCAACGTTTACGTTGTTCTTCTTACCATAATCGGCTAAAATCAAATCCTTCATTTGAACTTCTACCTTTGCCCATTCTTCATCAGTAAGTGTTGGCCAGATATGATGAGGCTCAGTAATTGTGCTTCTGTCAGGACGTAAAATCATCTTTGTCTTATCTGTATTCACATGAAGTGCACGTAAAATGAGTACTAAACGAGAGAAAGCAGTGTATGAAGAGAAGGTCTTCAACCAATCGTCGTACAAATTGAATAAGACCATCTGAGGTTCAGTAGCCTTAAGAATCAAATCACCAAACTTCTCAATCTTAAGACAAGCTTGGAACGGTAATTGAAGTTCAGAACCCTTAATGACAATATTAGGGAAATCAAGCAAGTGTACTTCCAAGGGATCTAACATACCCTTTCTAGTAACAATAATTTGCTTGGGTTGCTCTTCTACAGGAAGTGAACGAATCAAAGCGGCAACTTCTTCTGCAGTCTTCCACTTGGCTAATTGACCAAGACGCTTTTGACCGGCCCAAACAGATGTATGAATGATCTTCAAGAAGAGTTGACCAGTACGAGGGTTGAAAATGAAAATAGCACCATTAATAGGTTTAGTCGTTAAATTACCTTCAAAGGTCTTGTGAATAGTAACACGATACACATTAGTATCATCAACAAACCAAATAATTTGGTTACTGAATAATTCACCATAGTTAGTGGATGACAAGTAGGGTTCAGTAGGTTCAGATGAATACAATTGAAGAGCTTTACGAATACGTTCACGTAAGACATAAAGTGCAGGGTTAGCCTTCATGATCTTGCTCATGGCTTGTTGAATAAGAGGCTTCATACCAGGAATCCAATTACCGTAAGCAGAATACATATTATAAGCCAAGTCGACACCAATCATAAGACCAGTAGGAGAAGGATAGATACTCATGTTATCAGTAGTGTAATCCAAGAATTTGGCACGAGTATATCTTTCAATATCATGAGAATCGTAATCACCCCATCTCAATTGAATATCAAGCCAGTACTTGGTCGTAGTAGGACCTTCCATAACATCCTTAGGATCACTTAAAAGAGAAGGACGAGAAACAGGCCACTTATAGGCAGCAAATAAAAGAATATCAGAAGCGGAAGAATTCATCTTGTAAGACTTTCTAGGGTGAATAGTTTCCTTTTGAACAGTTTCAATTTGAAGTGCTTCCAATTCACGATCAAATACTTGAGCAAAATCCATAGTTAAAGCTTCATGGATCTTTTGCCACAAGTGAGCACGGAAAATTTGGATAAGAGAAATCTTCAAGGTAGGGATTTTACCATGCATAAAGATACCAGTCAAATCAAGTTGTACTTGGAAACCAACATATACATTACTACGATTAATGGTAGGAGAAAACCATAATGTGAAACGACGATTGGGAATTTGGTTCAAACCAGATCTTTGAGCATTGGTCAATTTCTTATATTTCATACTTTCTTCAAAACCGGAGGCACGTTCCCAGAAAAGACCAACCCAGCTGGAATAAAGTGTAGCTTTGAATAAAGTATGTTCCAAAATACCTTCTACACCACCTAAAGCTTGAATCATATCTGTACGATAATTGTTCAAATTCCAAAGTTTACCATCATGACGTTGATGCGTCCACCAGAAAGGATTATTCTTTAATACTTGATATTGTTTGAAATCTGTACGTACACGCCAGCCCTTATCATAAGCAAGGGTATGTCTATCCTTTTGGAAAAGAGTGTTGATACGAGGAATACCACGATCCCAAGAATCTTCCAAATCTTCCAAGGTCAAACGTCTGTTTTGAGCATTTGCTTCTTGACGCTTCAGGGCATACTCAGCCCAAACACGTTGAGAATCAATAAATTCAGATTCCCAAGATTGAATGTAACGATACAAGTTAGGAATCATTGCATCTTCTTCATGACTCATACCAGCTCTAAAGTGAGTAATACCAGTTTCTGTTTGTTTAGACCAACGCAAATCGGATTGAGGAATCAAGATATGTCCCATAGATAACATACCTAAACCACCTAATTCTTTAGGAGCCATAAACACAACAGGGGGGAAACGAGAAGGCATTTTTGAGTTAAGACCAATTTTGACACGAGTTTGAATCTTATTTTCACACTTGACGAGCAAATCAAGCAATTCACGAGTATGGACAACAGCTTCACGGAAATAAGTCATTAAACCAATGAGAGCAGTGTTCCATTTATTAGCAATCTTACTGAAAGTGGTACTACCAGAAGCCATCAAAATTTGACGAATACGGTTATGGAATCTATCCATGGATTCTTGATCAACACGCAGATAAGCTTGAGCAGTTCTTTCCTTGGTTTGCTCATTAATTAAATTCCAGACACCATCCTTCAACGTAAATTCTTCATTCATACTTCTAATCTTGGGTAAGATACGGACTTCAAAACCACACATCGAGAAGAGCAAGTTTGGATTATCCTTAGAATATACACTAACAAAACTATTTTCCCATTCAATGGTAGTCAAAGATCGAGGCAAACGATTCTTAATATCCCAAAATACTGCACGGCCTAGGTTAACATCGTGCTTCATCAAACGCATACGACAATCACGAGGCCAGCATTTCTTATTATTATAGCCTACAATGTTTTCAAAATTAGGGTCAGGATGTTCTGTCAGATAACGCTGAATAAGATCACGTGCTTCATCTGCAGTGAAACGGAAAAAGATATGAATACGATCAATATATCTAGAATAGAGACGAATAGGATGACGAGATTCAGTCTCTACATCACGATATTGTAAGAAATCATTAGGAAGTTGGGGAGGACCAGCCATTTCACTAGCACGATGAAGACCTAAGACCAACAAATCTAAAACAAGACCATAGTATTGGAAGATGAAGGAAGCAAATTGAAGACCACGAATCAAACCATAGGCATTAACATGATTCATATCTTTGTAATTCAAAACAACATTGTTCTTTGCAGTAGCATAATCGGCTAAATTGTGGTCAAGAATAAGACGCAAAAGACGACCCAAGAGAGTGAGATCGATCTTTTCATAAACACGACTGAAGTTTGTTTCCATCATAACGTTACACTGTCCTTCTGAAGTATCCCATACATCGGTCAAGTTGTTAATGCCCTGACACCACTTGTAAACCAATAATGGTGGAGGCTCAGAATCAGAAGGTTTGATCCATGCAGGGAAGAGGTGACGCTTATCCGCTTCATACCAAAGATACTGATCAAGGTAAGCATCAGTGATCTTTTCAAGAGGCTCGATATCATATACAGGAATAAGATGAGAATAAAGATCCATAAATTCAATACCAACTTCCTTAAAAGCACGCTGGGTCAATAAGAGACGCTTAATACGTGAAAGGGCTTCATGAGGGTTATCATAAGCTTGCTCAATCAAACCTAATTCTTCTCTTTGACTTTGATTCAAACGACCTTGAACAGAGTAAGCTTCACGAAGACGTTCAAGAGCAAGGATAAGTAATTTAGTATCATGCTTATAAGAAAGAGGAGGGAAGGGAATAGGAGAGAACTTTCTGCTTTCAAGCCAGTGAACTGTAGAGGTGTAAATGGCAACAGCCTCTTCAGCTGTAATATAAGGACCATCCTTAAGATAATTATGTTGTCGCTCTTGTTCAGCCTTCAACCATAGACGTGTCAAACGGCCCAAGTTCTTACGACAGATGGTCTTATCAACAGTAGCACCTCTTCTAATACGTTCACGATTATAGTGTGCAACACTAGTCCACCAATCAGCCTTAGCTTTGATATAACGTAAAATCATATTTTCAATAGGAGCGGGCATACCAGGTACCTTCCAAGGAATATTAGCCTTCCAAGCTCTCCAAGCTTCAGAGAGATGTTGAAGGATAGTACGTGATTTATTGCCTTTAATACCTTCAGGCATGGCGTCCATAATATCGTGAAGTACAGCAGCTCTCAATTCCAAATCATAATGAGAATCAACACGTTGCTTAGTAACAGTTTTAGCGATACCCTTAGAATGTCTACCTTCAAATTGACGAGCAAGTAAATTACCTAACCAACGTTCGAGAAGAGGAACGATACCACGCATAAAGAAAAGCCAAACTCTCCAACCGGGAGCCCAGAAACCGACACCAGGACCTTTACCAACAGGACCTGTGTTGAAACGGTAATAGATCAAATGCTTCAAATCTTTACACATACGGATCTGTCTCATCAAACGGTATTTATAACGATACATACCGGTCAATTGGCCAACATGAGCAAAGATATATTGGAGACCATCAGCCAATTGGAAAGCATCCACATTACCAAGACGATATTGAACATGTGCATCAACAACCAACTTGGTTAAACGTAAAATTTCTCGACAAAGATGGAAAGCATTACCGAAACGTGACTTCTTTCTTTCTTTAGTTGTTAATGTCTTAACAGGCTTCAAGTTAAAGTTATAATCAAGATGTAGGTAGTTCAAATTCTTACGATGAATCAAGAGATTCAGCATATTATAACCCTGTCGACAAACTTGAAGACCTGCTTCAACCCAATCAATTTGTGTAGTTTGGAAGAATTTAGTAGCCTTCAAACTACGGAATAGATATTTCTTATTGAGGGCTTTTGGAGGGCGATGATGAAGAGCATTTAATACATAGCATTTAAGCAACTTTTGATATGAAACACGAACCTTGACAGGTTGGCCAGGGGGGCAATGTTCAAGATACCAATTTTTTACAAGAGGCACATCTTGAGCACGACGAGTGCGACCAGATCGTTTATCAAAAGGATGAGGTGCCCAGTAAAGAGCAATAGCATTTGCAGTATTGTCAGTATAAAGCTCAGTATCATCTAAGAAAGGAACAACAGTTTCGGGTAAAGTGAATTCAGCATCTTCTTCATTATCACCAAATATTTCATCTTCATGCTTTGTACCAGCACCAGCCACAGTACGAGAAGAAATGGGATTGATGATAGGATCAAAGTAAAATGCAGGAAGATCAGGATCTTCGGCACGAACATAGACAACTGTAGGAAAATGATACCAAGAAACTTTAACACTACGAGGAAGAGAATTATACAAGAAAGGGAAAGCGATCTTATACTCGGTACGAATGGGTTGACGAATAATGATTTTGTTGATATCGTTAAATTCATTCCAATCATCATCAGCGGTATCCATATCACGATACAAAGGCTCAAACTTAGGCCCACCAGGTATAGCCATACTTAATGCCTTTGCAGTGAAAAAGGAATTAAGATCAAAAAGATAAAAATAATTTTTATCATTGAGATCTGACAGAAGTTGATTTGCGATACGATATAGAGTGGACATAATGGGTAAATCTAAACGCCATTTGCGATAAGTTGAACCATTGACATATTTTGTATCTATCAAAGGTTTATTATCGTAGAACCATTCATAAATAGGAGCATCTTCCTCTTCATCTAATTCCATTTGAATAGCTTCAAGAGGTTCAACATCCATAATATTATCACCATAATCAAGAGGTGGTTCTTCGTCATCAAAAGGAGGGAAACGCATACGCTTAAAATGTCTTCTGTCACGCTTTTCTCTACGCATCATAATCCATTGAGAACCCCATTGAGCAATATAAATAGGTTCAATAACCCAAGGAATTTCATTGACAAAGGTAATTGCACCTGTAATATGATACAAAACACTTACTTCTCTTACTTGCTCCCAAGGCATAGGCATATTTTCCAATAACTTTAAAACAGCATGGGGAATATATTTAAGTGCACCAAGGTAAATACGTTTATCATGTCTAAACTTTTTTGCAGTCATGTCACCATGGTCTTTAATAATTTTACGAAGGTGCTCAGGAGGCATGTCAGATTTTTCATGCTCAATAAAGCCTAATTAGAAATTAAAAAAAATAAAATAGAATAAAATAAAATAAAATAATTAATTTTTTTTCTTTCTCTATCCAATGATCAACACATGTACATACCGAATTTTCTTTTTTCGCCATAACGTTTATTTTGCAATTGTTGCCATTTTCTTGATTTTTCTTTTAATTTTTCTTCGCTTTGAGGATTCGTTTCATACGCGTACTGATCATATTGATTTGAATAAAGGGAAGGCGCACCACCTACAGGGATGGGCATTCCCGGATCATTACTTGCCATTGTAAGATTTTCTAAATTAAAATAAACTGTAATCAATTAAATAAATAACTATCCTATAATGATATTTGTTTCTACAAAGATGTCTTTAATGTTGATAAATTATATTACCTTAACTACAGAAGTTTAGGTTTATTTGTATATTCTTTTCGTTGAAAATGAAAGGAAATAAACTGGTTATGTCAAATACGAAATAAAAATGAAATAAAGAAAACCTTGTTAAAGTGTTTATGTGCTTTGTAAATGAAGGAAAAAAAAAAAAATATGTAAAAAAATCAAGTTGCGCAGCCTGTGACTTGAACTCTTCGCCTTGTCAAATATTTGTAACTCAGCTGGCTTCTTCATTAAAGATTAAATAATATGTCTGCACTTAATAAAGTTGCCTTTTATTCTACTCATTTATTGTAACACATATTTTTCCACATTATACTTCATTACAGTCGAAGAAACTAGGTTGGGTCAATAAAAAAAATTTGATCATTTCCAAAATAAATTGGGACAGGGTTGCAGAATTGGGACACCAGTAGGAAAATAGGAAATCAGGGTGAAAATGGATCACATAAGAGAATATGGGACACGAACGCGAATGTGGGACTATACTGAACAAATTTAAAGATTTTTTTTTTGCCTTGATTTAAGGGTTGTAACCCTAAAAAACAGCCAGCCTCTATAGCGCTCGTATCATTTTAGTACTTTATGATCTAAGAGTCGAAGACAAAATTCATTTGTGTATAACTTTTTACTTAACCAACAAGGCCTTTATTGTTTAAATGATAGCTGAAGTAATTCTGCTCAGTTATAAAAATGAATTTAAATAATCAAAAGATATATTCTCTTCAATTATAATAACAAGACTTCACGCCATGGCTTTCATTACAATGTGATACGTTTTACACTGAGTATATTTTCTAGTTAGCAGACAAATGTTGTCTTGAACTCTTTCTACTTCTTTTTTCAATTCATCAATGCCACGCTCACCTATTTACCCTGAAGTGGAGCATTTAATTTTCCTCAAGAAACGTACAAAGCTAGAAAAGGTCAATTCTGAAAGTAAGAAGGACAACTCAATCACTCAAAACCCTAAGAGAACATGTAAGTAAAAAAAAAAAAAAATAGATTTCTTCGCAGGAGACAAAGGAATTTTTTTTGTCCACATAATGGACCAAAATACTAATATTACAAGTGGTTAACTGTTGTCCCAAATGGAATCTTCATTTCTGATTTACGTTTTGCTGCGAAAGACTTCTTTTATCAAAGATTGATTCGTTATTGGTGGTTCATTAGAATGAATAATCGAAAAAGAAGAAGAAAAAGCCGGAAGCAATCGACGAACGTAATGTGTTTTAGTGAGTGCTGCTAAACGTGCGATTGTATTGTAAAAAAAAATTTTTTTTTTACACTTTTTATGAATGTTAAGAAGGCAGTTGATCTTTACACTATGGGTCCTAATGATTCCCGTTCATTATTATATGGTTTCTGTTTAGATTATCTGATTTTATTGTTTAGAAATACGATTATTTACTTATCCAAGTTTATTTTATAACCAATTGTTGTAGATAATAGCCAAGCGGTAAGAGACTATTTCTTGCTGTACATTGCATCTCCTGCTGCTACTACAGAATTTGTTGGCATTGACCCATATATTGGAAGTTAGTGATTGTGTCTTGCTGCAAATATATCGATTTTTAGTTTCCCCCTCCCTCCCCTCTCCCTCTATTGTCGTTGTATGGTTTGGAACATTCTCTTCAATATCGATGTCTTGTAAAGTGATATCTTGATACGACTTAAATGGTTTGTTTGTATGTTCAGTATTCCAGGAATGTGCTCGTAGACTATTACTGTAATAATTGTATTGATTGCATAGTTCCTGAATTTGTATGGTTAGATTCTATAAGATTGCTAAAGTTGAACTTCTGGCGTAGGTTGTGTATTTTAACGCAGTTTTGGTGTCTGATTTTTTTTTTTTTTTTTTGAGTATCCGTTCTCTTCTTGGTTCCCGAAACTCTAATTTGGTAATCATCTTTGATACTATCCATTGTCTGATGAGTTCACATGAATCATTATTTTCGACTTCACTATTGAAGTTTTCTATATTGACAATCCGTTTCTCTATTATATAAATATATATAAACGTTTCCTACTATGTTAATTTGTCTAGATGTTTAGTGTTTTAATCCATCATAGTTATTCTACGATACACAGCTTGGAAAGATAAGGTGAAAAAAAAAGGGGGAAATTATTTTATTACATTATATTTAAAGGAAAATAATGCATAACTCAGAGAGCATGTATCAATCACATCTTCGGCAAAATTGGCATTTTGAAATAAATAGCAGTCGATTGTAACTCCTAATAAGTTGGCCTATACAAAAAAAAAGAAAAAAAAATTGTGTTATTGCACTTATGAAATGATTCTACTAAGTGACTTTTAAGAACCTTTAATGTAAACTAAATTTCTTGGTATATTTATCAGTAGTTTTCTAAAACTGATATCTTTTCAGCTGTACCTGTTATATATAGGAAGCGTTTTATTTTTTAATCTACAATTTGCCATAAATAATATTTACTTACAAATAGTATTTTGGATCAAAATCTCTAATAGTTATTGATACTTTAAAATTCATTTTATGAATCTTCGATACAATAAAAAAAATACATAAAAGGAGACAGTTCTGTTCAACAAAGAAGATATAAAAAGGAGAAGAATTGACATAATAAGAATAGAAAGCAATGATGATTATACAAAGCTCAGTCTCCGCTTTTTTTTTTTTTTTTTTTTTTTTTTATTGCAGCAGATCCTTTATTAGTGGTAAATATCATGACGTATTTGCTCATGTTCAATAATATTTTATTTTCAATCGTTTATTAAATTCCTATTCTCTCTATTTTTTTTTTTTTATATTCATTTATTTTTTTTTATATATATACACAGATATATAATTATATACACATTTTATTTTGTCTAACTTAATATACAATCATTCAATGCGAAAAACAAGCATTACTTCTAGTCCTAATACGATTAATACTACTACTAGTGCAACAAATAGAAGTAAAAGAATAATGTTTCAACAATTATATGAATTATTTACCTTTTTATTTAAATATGTTCAATCCATCTTATACAATAAACAGCAACAAACTCCTGCAAATAATAGCAATTCAACAAAGTCCTCAACACATAATTCAATAGCACTTCAATATTACAAAGGAAAAACGCTTGTACTCGATTTAGACGAGACACTTGTTCATTCTGTTAGACTAGGAACAACGGAAACAAAGGTTAATCCTTCCATTAAGAAAACAATTGAAGTTACAAATGATAGACAAAGTATACTTTATGAAGTATACAAAAGACCTCATGTTGATTTCTTTCTCTCTACTGTATGTAATATAGACAAAAATATACATGTATAACATATATGTATATATGTATATATATATGTATCTATGTATATATATAATAATTTTATTTTGGTTTAGATAAGTAAATGGTATAAGGTAGTCATATTTACGGCATCAATGTCAGAATATGCTGACCCTGTTATTGATTGGCTGGACCAAGACCATTCCTATATAAGTCAAAGATATTTTAGACAGGTGAGTTTTACATTTATTAAGAAAAAGAAAGAAAGAAAAGAAAAGAAAAAAAAAGAATTTGTATAGTGTTTTTAATTATATGAGACTTTTTATAGTCATGTATTTTAAAAGACGGAAATTTTTTAAAAGATATTTCCATAGCTGAATCTGATTTATCTAAAGTATGCTTGATTGATAATAGTCCTGCTGCATTTGCATTATACCAAGGTAATAAGAAAGAAAGAGAAAAAAAAAGTATTTTTATCTGTTTAGATTTACTTATTAAATATTTATTTATATAGAAAATGCAATTCCTTTACCAACTTGGATATCAAATCCTAAAGATGATTGCTTATTAGATTTATTACCTTTATTAGACGCACTTCGTTTTACTGCAGATGTTCGAAGTATTTTAAGTTTAAGAGACTCTAATCAAATTTAAATGAAAATACGCATTTTTTTTTTATACATGTAAATAATTATTAGTGATGATATTCTATTATATTTATTACTATTTAATGTTAATTTATTAATAACAAAATTCCCTTCTGAATATACAAGGGAGAAAACACACATGCTCACTGTAAATAATTACATTTATTCGAATTTTATATATTTGTGAATATATAAAAAGGTTTTGTTTAAAGCAATAAGCATGAAACTGTAATTGAGTATTATTACTATAAAGATGTATTGTCTATAGATATATAACATACACACATATTAGTAAAGGGGAAGAGGATATAAACAAACAAAAAAAAAAGAGAGAGAGAGAGACATAAAGAAGTCCCTTAATGTATCATTTGTATATGAAGGATAACCAAATACAGCTGTTTACTATGAATGCTATATTTATCTATTATTCATCTAATAAAAATAACTTTATTAACCGAATCTGGTCAATCGATTTTACTCCCTAAACCAAGTAAAAGAATTTAGGAAATATGAAATGAGTTCATTTTCATTATTTTAGTTAAGCTCAAAGAAAAAAAAAAAGAAAAGGAGATAAGCGTAGTGAAAAAAAAAAAGGAGACCCTTTTACAAAAGTATAAATATGAATATAATTTCTTTTTCTTTTCTTCTGTTTTTTTTATTTTTATTTTTTATTTCCTTCATTAAACTCTTACTGTCCTTAAAAGAAGACAAATCTATTTATTAACTGTCACTCATTTTATACAAAAAAAATATACAATATGAAGGTAAAGTAAAGGAATTTATGCATAAACATGGTTAAAATCTCGGTACACATATAAATATTAACTTTTAATAAATAATGGGATATAGTTCTCAACTATGGCTACTATGTTTATTGGCTTTGCAGCTTTGGTCGTTGCAGATGATGAAATTGTCTACTTTCTTTCTCCTACTATGGACTCTGAATTTACAACGGTAGATGAAATTACTTTCACTGCAAACGATATCACAAACGATGCAGATGAAAGAATTATTGCTAAATTATATAATGCTGGTGATAATACAGAGATTAAACAGATTGGCTCCTATACAGGCGAATCTATCGTACGCCCTGACGATCATAATTATTGGAGCTTTAATTGGGTTGTTGATGTACCTCCAGGGACTTATTATGTTCGTCTTTTTGAACAAGATGCTGATGGAGATATTGATGATGACGATGAATGGGATAACCAAGTTCGTAGTCATGACTTTCAAATTAAAGTACCTGTTAACAAGAAAAAGAGGGCTCATTTTAAGAGATCTCAAAAGTGGTTGAAGAGAGCCTCTACTGAAGCATGAAGGAAGAACTAGTAGTAGTAGTAGTAGTAGTAGTAGTAGTAGTCTATAAATTATCTATACTTTTTCTTGTGTTATTTTTAAATTATGAATATAACAGATATTTATGTGTATATTATATGCATACATATACTGCTTATATCTTTTTATTTATTTATTTATTTATTATATTTGGAATAAATTTTAGCATTTTTTATTATATAACGTGTTTAGGCTTATAATAGATACGCCTTTTTGCTAAAATGAAATCTCAACACATTATTCTTTAAAATAATTACTCGAAACCAACTTATCCAGTTCTTCTTTTGAAGGGTTTGCACGCGATTCTAATTCAAATAATTGGATGATTGCTCTGCAGTAGGCTGTTCTATTTTAATAAACGTTTATTTTTTATGCGGCATAAATATACATTTTTTTTTTTAGTAAAAGGTGTATAAGACTTTAAGGGAGATGCGTCTAATTTAGCTTGCATACAATTTATTCTCTTAGGAGAGAGAACATGTTTTTTTTTTTCATTTATTTATTTATAGACAACAACAACGAACATCTTGTTCTTATTACAGCCATTTTTCTCTAGTAAGTGTCAACGAAAATGCAATTAAAAACACACATACACACACACAACGTATTTTTCCTTTTATAGAAAATTTCAAGTATCCTACTTAAAAAAAAAAAAATAAAAAATGTTATTTATTATTATTTGCTGTTTCTCTCATTTATACTTTCTTTGCATAAAACGTGATGGTGAATAATAAAGTCCAATTACATGCATATGCTATTCCACTTCTTCATGCGGCAAAATATCCTGCATCTGACGTGTGTGGTGCATTATTAGGTAAAAACACAGCTAATGGTTTAGAAGTTCAAACAGCCGTACCTTTTTTCCATAATTGGACGACCCTTACACCCATGCTTGAAATTGCCTTGAAACAGGTAATCAAAAATAGAACAACATGTTATATTATGATATAAATAAGAAAAAAAAATAAAATAAAACAAGTTAAATGACTTTTGACAAATTAGACCGATTTATATGCGAAAAAGAACAATCTAGCTATTATTGGTTGGTATCATGGTAATGCACGTTTAGAAGATGATACTTTACCTGAAAGATCTATTAAAGTTGCAGAGACAATTAAAAAAAATAATGATGGGAAAGCAATTATTTTTCTGGTAACTTGATGGACACTATAAAATGTATATATTTCTTTAGTCATAATGAAAGTTAATATTATTGTTTTTTTTTAGTTGGACAATAAACGATTTTTAAAATTAGATGAGGATGAAACTGCGATTATGGTAAAGTAATCAGATTTGGATTTTATTCTAAATACATTAACAAAATTGTAGCCTTATGTAAACACAACAGATAATCAATGGAAAAAGATAAAAGAACCTTTTAAAGCTACTAAGAGTGAAATAGAGTTCAATGAAAATGATACTTATTCTAAAGTACGTGGTCTTTTCAATTCTTCAGCTTATAATAGAATTTATGACTTTGACGAGCATTTAGAAGATGTTTCATTAAATTGGTTAGATATCAGTAAAATGACTTTATAGATAATAATAAATAAATGTATTGTTATACAAATTTCTTCTCGTTACGTTCAACGCGTAATTTCCAATAGAGATAAGCAGCGATAGCAAATAAAAATTGAGTTAAAAGAGCATAAAAGATATACTTCAAGATACTAGAAATGGTCCCTTTTGTTTCTGCTGAATGTAAATTCACTTCATTCATCTTTGTCTGCATCATATTTGATTGTAACGAGATACGTTTCTATACAAAAAATAAAAAATAAAAGAGCTATATTAAACTGCAATTATGTTCCTTTGTTATAACTAACTTACATCCAACTTGCTAAGAGTTTGTTCTAATCGATTTAAAGATGATTGGATATCTTCTAATTTACGGTCTTGATCTTTACTTATTCTCTTATAGTGTTCAATATTGTTTTGAATTTGATTTGATACAATACGTTCTAATTCTCTAGAATTATATACAATAATTATCAATCTTTATAGCCGTACTACCCATTGGATCAACTTACGAGCTAATAATACTATTCGAACCAAGTGAGTTACTTGAATCTACTTTTTTATAATTACCACTGATAGCGTCGTCAGGACTGGGTGCACCCAAAGCTTCGATTTGTAATTGCACAAGTTGAATATGTTCGATTGCTCTACGTTGTGTATCATAGATAGCAGCCTACAGAATAGGAATAGAATAGAATAGAATTGAGTATGATGGCTAATTACACGTGTCTATTAACCTAATAAATACCAAAGTAGCAGTCGTTTCTCCTTGAAGATCTTCGTCTACTGTATTTCTTAATTTTCTCATTTGAAACTCGGCTTCTTCGATTTTCTTAATAATTGAATAAGTGTCATCATTTTTTTTTTTTTATCTTTATTTATTTATTTACCTTTTTCTGTTCTTCATCAATACCTGTGAACTCTTCGCCTCTTTTCTTTTTCTCTTCTTCCAAAGGACGCTTAGGATGCTTTATAATAATAATAAAAAAAAAGATTTTAATATAAAACTATTATCTTTTCTTTTTCTTTAAACATTTTACCTCTAGCTTTTGTGGTGGATTTAATTGTCTTGTTTCAAAAGAGATAATATCATGGTCATCTACAAAAATAGATACATATTTATAATAAATAAAGTGCAAACAAAAGGGTGTAAATTGGGAAGGGAAATTCTCCTTACCAGCAGGTGTATGTGATGCTGCCTTTTCTCATAATAATAATAAAGTTAATAAATGTTATGTGTTGGTGATCTTCTTTCACTTACAGATATACCAAAATAATACCCAACAGGTAATTCAATACCTGATTTTTGTACACAAATACGATAATCTTTTGCACCACTTCCAGTATCCATTGAAACCTAAAATAGAATCGTTTCAAGGAAAATGTGTATATAATCCTTAAACGATTGAAACTTACTGTTAACGTCTTTTCTTTATATGACACTTTAAGATAAGAAGGGTTTTCGGTATTTCTATAACTCATTGAACATGAACCAAGCATATGTTTTCTTGGATCTACATTTGCTGAAGCATAAGCAATAGTGCCATCATTTAATAATATCATTGTACTAGGTTTATGTGTCTATAACATGCAACATAAATTAAGTATACATGTATATATTATATAGCGATATGGGGTAATAATAATAAACTTACTATAGGGTTAGCAGAGTCTAGCCATATGCCAAGCCCATTCCAATTGTCTCTTGAACCAAAAATGGGTCCTACTTCCATACGCTCCTTTGTATACCAAAAGGCTAAACCACGGCCGCCATTCAAATGCTTACCTGAAACTTTAAAAGCAATCTCTATCTCCCATTCGTTGTATGAATTAGGAATCTCTGACCAAATCCATCCCTTTGTATTTGGTACAGAAGGCGATAAACGAATAAAGTCATCTGCCTTGAGAATGTCTAACAAAAGAAGAAGAAAAAAAAAGTGAAAAATAATAGTTCAGTCATATTTACGAGTTCTTTTTTTTCTTCTTCTTTTCTTACCTCCACCTGTTGTCCAAAAGGGAATACTACCGTTGTAATAAAAATTCTTTTTAAAAGAAAGCTTGTAATCAAATTTAGAAATAGGTGCAAAAGGTAGATTTGCCTCTGCTTTGATAGGATCTGCTTTGTTGCTACTACCCCATAGTCCAGCATAAGTTGACTGAAATAGAAATGTGGCGATGACTAAGATTCTTATTGGCTTCATTTACATAAAGTATATACGTATTATAGAGGAAATAAAAAGAGAGAGAAAAAAAAAAGAGAGAGAGAGAGAAAGGAAGGAAATGATGGAATTAGGGGATAATAAGGGGTATGCGCGATAGAGAGAGAATATCTATATATATTTGTGTGTGTGTGTGCGAATGAAAAACAGACAAACGTTATACACAATTAAGGACTTTCCCGCCACATGTTGTCTCCTTTGATTGCAACGTCGTGCTTTAAATTTTATTTACAGAAGTAGTAGCTTCTTTTTTTTTTGAAAAAGAAATAGAATTCTCTTTTATAATTGGCTAATATAGTTCGAGTATCCCATATACAAGGCTATAAATTCTTTTTGGGCTGAATAAATCAAAGTGTTAAGCTAGACTTCAACATTTGCAGTGAATGCATCATAATAGCTTATTTCTTTATTTATGTTTATGTTTATAGATATTAAAAGCAGTAAGTATAACAATTAAACAATTGTAATTCTTTCTACCTTTAAATATAATGTTCCTTACATCATTATCGTTGCTTAGCTAAGAATGTTTGAAAGCTGTATTTGTCTGTTCATAACACAGACTATTTCTTTAAATGATATTATAATAAATTGATTTCTTCTATGTCTTTAGCTGTATATTTAAACCCAATATCAAGACAAGAACACCTTTTTGTCAATGCATATTATATTATAGTCCTTTTCTCTCTCAGTCTTTTTTTTTTAAACTGTCAAAGTCAAAAAGGAAATAAATGATAAAGAAAGAAAGAAGGGATATATTTGTGTACATTATATGAACTCACATATGCATACATTAAAAAAAAATTTTTTTATTTTACCCTCAAGTAGTAGTAGACGACGAAGAGCCTTCACTACTACCATTTGGACTTTGAACACATAACTGTACAGAAGATGTTGTTGATAAAGTTGGTTTTGTTGATGAATTTTCGCCTCCCTCTATCCTTCTTTCTTCTTCAGTCTTTATATTCTTTTGTTTCATCATTGCTTCTTTTCTTTCCCTTTCCTCTTGCTCAGCAAGAGACAAGCGTATTGCTTCCATAACCATCCAATCTTCTAAATCCATATTGGCATCTCTCATGTTGGATAAGAATTGATTATATTCGGTAGCTGCTGCAGAAGAGGCTGATCGCCCTGACCGTGTCAAAAGTGAACCAACACCTGCTACTCTAAGCAAATTATTACGTCCTCTACTCTGTTGATTACCACTGCTGCTGCTATTATTATTATTACTGCTGCTACTACTGGTACTAATACTAATTCTTCCTCTTCCACCAGTACCTGCTGATGCTGAATTCCTTCTAGAAACTACTCTCGCTGCATTGGATAATGGTGGAGTCACTTTATTCCAATTTGGTCTAATATGATCTATAAAAAATATTATATTTAGCAAAAAAAAAAAAAAAAAAAAAAAAAAAAAAAAGGCTTGCTTCACTTTTTTTTTTATGTGTATGTACTAATCATATTTACCAACTAAGACAACATTTGGACTCTCATGACTTACACTTTCTCGTCTTGGCATATCAGATTCACCAATACCTGAAGTTGTATGTCGAGTTCCCGACACAGTACTATGAGAGCTACTTCTGGGACGACCCTATTTAATCCATTAAAGTATAAATACATGTGTGTCTATATTTATTTTAAAATACTTTACTTGAAATTTTTCACTCCATAATGGGGGTTCATAAAGTACGCCATAATTCTCTTGCATACAAAAGGGACAAGTGGCAGGAATGGAAGGAGTTTCGATAGGACGATGAATTTGAACAAAGCATTCTGTACAAATAGGTTGATCACAACAACGAGAATAATTAATATTAGCAGGATAATACTACCCTCCCCCGCCAAGAAAAAAATAAATATAAGTACATGTATATGGTCTATCTAATACGCATTGTTCTCATTCTAATTTACCAGAAAACAAATAGGACACTCTACGGCATCATTATAAAGCATTTTTTCTCTTTGTTTCATCTTTTCTACGTATGCCTTCTTTCTTTCAAGAAAAGGGTCATAATGAGTTGTGTTGTTGTTTTTATTATCTTTCATTGCTTTATTAAAGGATATACTACGAGGTCTACCTTGAGGCTTATTATTTTTAACAGAGATAGTTGATAATGAAGAAGATGACTGTGGAAGTGGTAAAGTAATAGTAGTAGTTGAAGGAGGAGATAATAATTCTTCTTCTATTTCTGTTACTACTGTTTCGGGAGCATCGGGTAAACCTTAGATAATTTATCATTTTGTTAGCAACTGTATAATTTTATATAATAAATAAATTCTTATTTACCTTTATAAAATGGTGCTATTTTCCTTGCCATAATTAAGTTACGAACAATACGAGGGTCATAATCTTGTTCAGTTGCCGTATAAAGTCCATTTGGAAATACGGCACCTAAATCTACAAGGTCATCATATTTTGATTCTTGACTACTAGGTCGACTAGCACTTTTTATATTAAGATTCTTAACTGAGGAACTACTTTTAGATGTGTTGGCACCCATTCTTTTTCTTTTTTTTTTTTCTTTTTCTTCTTTCTTCTGTAAATAAATAAAGATATTAAATATAGTATGTAAAAGAAAGAAGAAAAAATAGAAATAAATAAAAAGGAAATTTTCATATTTTAAATATGTATAATGAGTAACCAAATGTGGAATATCTGTAATAAAGACATGATACCAAATACGGTAAAACGTTTTCCTTCATTTTAATTCGTTGGTAAATAATATAGGAAAGAGTTTATTTTCCAAACACGAATAAAATAAAAATAAAATAAAAATAAAAATAAAATAGAATGAATTTATTATGTAGTAGTAGGAAGAGTGGTGGTTGCTGGGAATATATCAGTCACTGCATTAGGTGGAGCTCGTCCTTGAATATCCGTTAAGGCACCTTCCAAGATGTAAGTATATGGTAAAGATTTTCGATTTTCATTCATTTCATAAGCAACTGTCAAACTACATCCTATGATTAATCAATTAATAATAATGTACACTTCATTTTAAAACAAATTCTATTTTACTTGGACATTGATATCTATATTGTTTTTCGTAACCATCACGTCTATTGAATGGAAGAGATGCATAAAATTAATAAAAATTATTTTTCATCCATTTCTGCTCTTCTTTCTATCTATCTATCTATCTCTCTCTCTCTCTCTCCCTCTTTTTTGTTATATATATATACCTTTTTAATAATACGCATTCACCTGCTTCGGCTGTTAATTTATATGTTCTTCTAACATTTGAAATAATAATGGCATTATCTGTTCTTCTTATTGGTAGTTGTCGCAGATCAGCGTCAATCACTAATAAAAATTCGGAACAAAGACAGTAATAGACATGAAGTTTTTTTGATGGATCATCATTAGTTAGTGCATGATCTGAAGAAGAAACTACAGATGAAGAAACGATCTTTGGCATTAGACTAATGTTTTAATGGTAATAATAAACACATTACGACACAGAGGAGGAAATAGTCTAATAATTAAATTATTTTGCCATTTGTGACCTTTTTTTTAACCATATTCAAATTAAAGTACTGCTTTTTTTTTTTTTTTTTTTATGATCTATGCCATCTAATTTGTATCTTCTCAATTAAGATTGCTGTCTTCTGACCCTTAAGGTTATGGTCATTGGCAAATAATTCATAGTGAATGGCAAGCGCAAGCCATTATTACAGTATTAAAACGACATGGAAAAAGCTCATGGTACTCTCTGCTAACTCTAGTCACTTGCCCAATAAAGCAATTTCGTCCGTCTATCTACTTGTGTCGGATGTTTTTCTTGCTTATCACCATTCTATGAGAACATCCTTATTTCATCGTTTTGTATACTTGGAAATAGTCGTCAACCTCCACTGATAATCCTTTTATAAATGGCACTTTTCCAGATTCGGTTTTCATGGTTAGAGCACTTTTTATAGAATTTTTCTTCTTTCTAAGGACGTTAAAGAAGCGATCTGTACGAATGAAATTCAGCTTCCTGTCTTTATCAGTTGATTAGAAAGTGATTAAACTTTTTCTTTTTCCCCGTTGTCTCCCTTTTCGGATCTTCATAATCCTGGCTTTTCTGAACTCAAGGACCATCTTCTATTCAATTTGACACTATCGTTGATTGGCGGATATGACACTAGTGTTGCTGGATCATTCTTTGGCCATGATTATGAGGTACCTTCAGCTATCTATCGCTACCTTTACGAGGCATCCCGTTAATGTCTTTTCCCTACTAGAAGTGCATACACTTTTTTTTTTATAATCTTAGAAATGAGTTAGTCCATCACAAATGGAAGTTGATAAAGAGCAATTTCTTCTTGCAAATATTACAAATTATAATTTTTATGTTAATTTTTAAGAAAGAAGAGGGAAAATAATAATAAAAAAAAAGGCAGTTATGAGCAATCAAAATATTATGATGGCCCCTGAGACGACAAAAACACTCTTTTTTTTTTTCCTCGACTTATTAGTTTACTATAAAGATATAACTAGTGGTAAGGCAACAAAGGAATTGAGAGAGAGGGGTCGAACTGGTTACAACTAGTTGGAGAAAGATTAACGAAAAATAAATCTTAATAAATCAGACAGAGCGTCACTTAGTTGAAAAGGATAAATCAGAAAAAAAAAAAGGCCTTATAATATCCAAAAAGATATTTTTTTTTTATTTGTGCGGGATTTTTTTTTTTTATTAAAACGTGTAAAATTCTTGAAAGAATGATGTGAATTAATATTATTACATCATTTTATGTTGATGATAGATTCATTATTTAATTGCGGATTTACAATTATTTTGATGGCATAAAATCCTGTAGCTATTCTAACACATTATGTTGAAGAATGGCTTCTTCTATTTAACGTTCGCTTCTGTCTATCGTTACAAAGATAAAATAAAATACGCAAGGGTTCTTTCTTTCTTTCTTTCTTTCTTTCTATTTGACACTATGACTTGTACAAATCAATTACACTTGCCAAACACTACAAATTATTTGACAATGACGACTGTAAAGTTTTAGACTAAAAGTGGAGTGTTGTTATATTTCAAAGGCCGCCAATCAGATGGCAAAAGGAGGAGAAGGAAAAGGAGGCTTTAAAGAAATAAATGAATACTTTTTTTTTTCTTTTTTTCTTCTCTCTTTTTTCATATAAATAAATACATATAGACATACAATAAAAAAGAAGGAAAAAAAATGGAACTTACACCTAAGCAGTTACATTATTTTAAACGAGAATTAATTACACAGCAACTTGAAAAAGAAATCAATTTAATTTCTACAAATCCTAATATTATAAACGATGAAGGACAAGAGGTATTAGAATCAAGGACACTTCCATTTCTATCTTATATTTTTCATCATATTATTGTTGAATTTCCTTTATTGAAACATCATACGAGTGATCAACAATTTTGGTCAAAATGTAGACTCTTTCTAAATGAAATGAATAAAGTTCAATTATCTTCATTTTATACACCTCGTACGACTGAGGGAAATTTACAAAGAAAATCGATGCAGTCCAAGATCCAAAAGTCACTCGTCTTTGCCTTCTGTGCGAGCATCAAGACAAAGCAAGGTAAAGAAGAAAATATTCGAATTCATGACGGTATGCTACAAGAAGATCTTCCGAGGACTACGTTGCCTATCCACTCCCCTTCTTTATTCAAAGTAAATATTGTTGCTGTGCGAGAGATCAAGACGAGGAGGACCCTGCGAGAGGTCTCTCATGCCGAGTTCATTATCGAGACCTTATTCGTGGATGCATCAGAACCCATCTATGTCGCTCGTCGTCATGGTGATTTTCGTCATCTTAGAGATCAGCTCAGACATCATTTTAAACACCTCGATCTTCCATTGGTCCCTACAAAATCGAGTTCAAATCAAGTTTCATCTTCTCTGTATCGAGAGAATGATAGGCTCCTATTAAGAGCCTTTCTGTATCATCTTATAGGTGATCCAATACGTAACGAAGAAGGGATCAGTCATCAACAACAACAAATTCGAAGGAGTTCTATGATGAGAAAATTCTTAACCAAGGATCCGATTGTGTTTACATTAGAAGAAGAGGAGGATATATTAAGACGAGAAGAGGCAGATGAGGAAAGATGGATTCAAAAAGAAAGGCTTCAGCAAGAATTAAACAAACGTGTATACGAATTAAATGACACGTTAGAGCTGATGAAGAAGGATATCATGAAAAGAGGAGGATTAAAGAGACTATTTGAGATTATTAAGAACACAAAATCCATTGAAGATTTACCACCTTCTTTAAAGAAAGTGTTTGAATGGGGTAGAATCAAGTAAGAAGGGTTAAAAGAAGAAGAAGAAGAAAATATATATGATGTGTGTGTGTGTAGTATCATTACCCTGACTGTTTATTTGTTTTACATAGTTTTGCATTTGCCTTACATAAGCAATTTATAACTTCAGATACAGCCACAGAGAATTTAAATAATTTGAAAAGGACACATAGTTTAATGCCTTATAGAACCATGTCACTCCTTCTTCGATTTTCTAATCCAATGTCAATGATTAAAGGTATATTAGATTTATTTTTAGCCCAACCGTTTGGAGGAAGAAGTCTATTTCAAAGGTATGGATGATAAATAATAGGTTAAGAGATTGGCTATGATGCTTATTTATTTTTTTTTCTTTTTCATTTTTCCTTCTTTCCTTTTTTTCCTTTTTCATATATAATGTATTATGTAATAACATATACACTATTATTTAGATTGATTATATCAAATATGAATGAAGAGGTTAAAGCACTTGAAAAACAAATTGATTTACTTGAAAAGAAAGTAAACGATAAAGAGATTTGTCAAAAATTATATAATGCAGTTAGAACACCTTTACCAAAAGAATCTGATTTGAAAAGTAAGTAGTGGTAAATTGGAGCTATTTAAGTTACATTCATCTTATTTCCCTCCCCCTCCTCTCCCTTCGTTTGATATATAGCTTATAAGACCCGTATTATGGAACTAACTTCAATACTTGGTAATCATGAAATAAAGCCTATCCTTTCAAATGAACAATTAATAAAGGTAGCTACATTGGATGAGACAGATGAAAAGAAGAAATGGATGAAATATATAAATCACCTGTGGGAGCTCTATACAAATCAATATGAACAAGAACTAATGATTCATTTAGTCTTTCAAGGCATTACAGGAGATTTACTTAAAGAGCTTATTTCGATCTTTTATCAGCCATTAGCTCAAGTGTATAAAGCAGCTGATATTAGTACGACTATTAAACATGTCTCTTCTTTTATTGATGATTTAATTCATGTTATTATGGATGATCAAAAAGGAGTTGAGACGAATAAGAGAATTCAATCATTTATTGATCTTGTACAACGACATGAACATCACTTTTATGAGTTTGTTCATAACGTCCATACACAAGAGGCTTCCTCTGTCTTTGATGAATTAATTCAGTATCTTGATACTCTATTTGATTTTATCTCTCAAGGAATCCCTGGCCAGATTGATCTTGATGAATGCATAGAGAAAGCAGCTATTTCATCTTTCCCTCAAGGACTTGAGCTTTTAAGAAAAGAGATTGATGCTATCTGTGAATATCGATATAAGCAAAAGATGCATCATTTTGAAAGACAGAAATGTAGGATGACAGCACAACATGGCTTCCATGATTATTCAACTAAGGAAGATCATGATACTAATTTCCTTCAATATGTATTTAAATCAAATGAAATTATTATTAGTGATTTAGAAGAATTTGAATATGAAGATACAGAAAGTGATTACAGTTATAACAGTAGTAGTAATAATAGTGGTAGTGGTAGTAGTAGAAGTAGTAGTAGAAGAAGTAGTAAAAGTTATCCTCCTAGTTTTACTACAAATAGTAGTGGATCCTTTCTAGAATCCAGAAGAAATAGTATAGGAATTCAAAAGCCTATGTTAGAAATGATACCAAAGATTACACCCGTTTTTGTAGAACAAGTTATTTATTTAATGAATCAATAAAAATAATAAGTATATGTAATTATATATGTGTATATAAATATGTATATATATATATATGTATGTATATATGCGAATGTGTGTGTGTGTGTGTGTGTGTGTGTGTACAAATATATACATATACATATATATATGTGTATTATATTTGAGTTTACCATCCTCTTGTGCCTGACTTTTGAGTACTACGAATTAATAAATTTCTTAATAATTCCCACCTTTTCTCACAAAGTTCAGCACTATGTCTTCCTTTTAATTTGGCTTCAGCTTCTTTCCATCGACATTTACTTAATCTTGTTAAAACATGAGTTAATAGTATTCTATCATCTTCTATTGTCCATGCTTCAAATCCTTTAATTATCATGTCATCCTTATGTTTAGGTGATTTTGAGGGTTCACTTAAAGGAGGTGAAAATGTAGAAGTTCTTGTTGATGATGATTCAAAGGGATCAAGTTGTATACTGTTTCTTTGCAAAGAAATATCACGTGGTGGAGTAGGTGGACGCCAATTATCGTTACAAGGTATTATTTTTTCACGTTGTTCCTAATTATATACAGATAAATAAAGAAGGAATCTATTTTTTTTTTGCGTGCTATATTCACCTTTTGTTCCATTTTTTGAGCTTTATTTAATACATAAGTTATTAAATCTTTTGCTGATGGCCTTCTTGCTCTTATTTTTTCTTTTAAAGAAGATATCACTTCAGAATCATCCTGCATAAGAATTTTTTTTTTTTGGTTTGTTTATCATCTAAAAACTATGAATTGGATTATGATTTTTATTACTTTTTGTTCTTCATCTTCACTATCAATTATATTTCCATGTTCATCATATTCAATAATCAGTTTTGATTTCTCTATCCTCATCTATGTTAAGACTTTAAATTTGAAGGAATTAAAATAGTTACCTCGTTTAGTTGGGCTTTTAGGAATACTAGGTGAGCCTGTTCTTTTAAAATTTAAAATGATACGACGAACACTTTGTTGACTAATTCCGCACATTTTGGCTATCCTTCTATTCGATGCTCCTGCTTGATATGCTCCTATAATAAGCCATCGTTTTGCTTCATTTTTATCTACACTTGAATTATTGTTATATTTGTTGTTAGAATTCATTTTTATTATAAGGAAAAAAAAAGAAAGAAAGAGAGAGAGAAAGAAAGAGAGAAAGAGAGAGAGAGAGAGAGAAAGGGAAACAACTAGTTTTGTTGAGATTGAAAATGTATTTTTATTATATGCATTAGTATAATGCTTCAACCAATTATTTTGAATGGAATTTAATTTTAGAAAAAATAAGAAATAGTTTCTTATAATTCGTTGGAAAAATAATCAGGACTTTCCACCTACTTTTAATTAAATCTCTTCTTTTATTGGACAATAACGATAGCCATTATAAATTACTTTAAGAACCAAGGTTCCAACAAAGACATATTTATTTATTTTTTTTTCATTTTACAAGGTACATGACTTGAGATTTCAAATTTTACAGCAACAGTAACTACTAGTCTTTTATGAAATTATGATTTTTTTTTTTTTTTTAAAAAAAAAAAGCTAACATTGACTTATAAAATGTTAATTCCATCAAGTTTAATACTACTACTTGCGATAGATGATTTTAGTATGAATACTCCCCCTTTCTTTTCTCTATTGAGCTTGTTTAAATTCAAGTGAAATGGATCTTAATTATACTATAAATAAGTGTCTATAATAAAGATATATAAATAGTCTCTTCTTATTATTTATCAATTGACCTATTAAAAAGGTAAAAGGAATTTCTCGCAAGAATAATATACCTCATTTTATGGTTTTATGTATTCTTTTATTTATTTTCCTTTTTTTTTCCTTTTCTTTTGTTCTTTTTAATATGTATAAAATCCTTCCCTTTTTTTTTTTTTTTTTTTTTTTTAAACATATTGAGAGAGCCAACGGAAACCATCGCCATAGCCTTGTCTCATAACAACAGAACACATGAAAACTTCAATAGGACGAATATCATTCAAAACTACTTTGCCCTAAATCATTTGTAATGTAAATATAAATAGATCCTGTATCATCAGATATAACCTACCTTGCCAGTTGTCTGGAATAAGCCTAATTCTTGTCGAAGTGCTTCTTCACTAACAGCTCCAGGAGCATCAATCTTATTACCGAGAATTAAGAATGGAACTTTTGAAAGTTGTTCAATAGCCAAAAGTGCCTAAAAATAGAATGATATATATTTATATATAAAAAAGATATACATGTAGGTATATTTTTGTCGTAAAATAGAATTATTTAAATATTCAATTTACATCTAATTCGGCCTTTGCCTCCGGGAAACGAGCATGATCAGCACAATCAACTAAAAAGACAATACCACCGACTTCAGGAAAGTAATCTCTCCATAATCTACGGGCTTGTTGGTGACCACCCAAATCATAAGTAGTAAATCGAACATTACCAATCGAAAGTTCTTCTGAAGCTATTTTAAATTCAATATAAATTAAATTTTACCGTCTCCATTAAAATGTGTATTTAAGTAACTTACTGGGATGAAGAGTAGGTTGTAAAGTAGCTAAACGGTCATTCTTCAACATGTGTAATAAAGTAGTTTTACCAGCATTATCAAGACCCAAAAAAAGAATCTTCGCATTCTTATTCATAAGACCTTTAAATAAAACGCGAAAATAATACCTCATCTCCGTTAGTTTTATTTTTATTTCATTTCATTTTATTTTTTTTTATTAATTATACACTTTTTATTTTATTTTCCCATACCTAAAGAGGCCAAAACATCCCAAAACCAATTAACAAGAAACATAATTTGTAGATTAAAGATTTATCTATTTATTTTTTTTTAAAGAAAATAAAAACTAAGAAAAAGATATTCAAATTTTTTTTTTTTTTTTTCATAAATGTAATCATCATTATTTATTGTTGAAGAACTCAGTCAATACTATAAATCATATGATTGGCTTAAAAATATTTATTTTGAATAAAGAATGATCACCATATTCAAAGCATATTATTATTATTATTATGATATGATTTTATTTTTCATTGAATAGTGTGAAATAACATAATTGATTACTTTTTTTTTTAAAAAAATTACGTAAGATTTTATACAAGATAAAATTTCACTTTGTTACAGTTGATCCAATAAATTATGTCTTCCAGTGAGAACAAAATGTTGCCCAATCAGAAATAAAGTTTCGCTGCCATAGGAGTAAAACGTTGCCCTCTTAGTTCTCCTGAGAAAGCCTTTGATTATAATATCTATTACAGTCCTGACAAGATGAAGAACTCTTCTTCTCCTTTTTTTTTATTAAGATAGATAAAACAATAAATAATATAGATCAAACGTAAATAAACGTTATCTATTCCTCAAAAAAAAACAATGAGGGTTCATGTTTTTCAAAGAAATAGCCAATCAAATGTAAAAAGTTATACGTTGTATGTGTGGAGTACTATATGGCGTACGCGCATATACCATATAGTACTCTATACGTACAACGGACGAATGTTTTGCAGTGACTATCTTTGCATGGCTTGTTCGCACGTAAACGTTATCGTCTATCAATTTTAAACTTTCAAATCGTAATTTTGATTGGTGAAAGAATACGATGAAGACAGTTGGGATTTGACTCTTCTTTGTTTTAGCGGCCAATTCATTGATTATACGGCATGCATTTCTGTGCACTTTGACAGTATCGTTTTCAGTCTTCTTACCATCACAGAGTGAACCGCCAAATTCAGCCAGAATAATTGGTCCCTTGAGCTTTTTTATAAAATACAATACCATCAAACCGATGATTATTTGTATAGTTGGATTGTATCTCAAACCATTTTGATGACAATTCGGGCATGCCTCATAAGCAAAGCCCGAAGAACTGGTACAACAACCGAAGCAGCGCAGATACACTCCTAGTATTCCTTTGTTGTCAATGGACCACCAAATTCCAAAATATTCAAGCTAAGATAACGAAAGAATAAAAAATTAATTTATGAAAAATATCCTGCATATGACATGAATAATAATATCTTACAAATTCGTCAAGATAGACTCCATGGCTAATATATCATAGTGTATACAGGCATCAAATTGGTCGAGCGGGACAGAGGATGTGCAGCTCACCATTCTTAAAGAACGGTAGGAAGGGGGACAATCTTTAATTGCTGAAGATCCCATCTCGTTCCTCCACTACATAAACCTTGTTGTCCTTCTAATTGTAAGAGCTGGTATACTTTATGGCCTATTCTTTGTACAATTCTACATGAACTTGATTACTGCTTCCATGATGAATTTCCTCCTAATCCCGTCAATCCCGGTCTCAAGCTGTTGAATTGGTTGTCCGTAATCAACTGATTTGTATTTAAATTGTTTCTTCTCACTTTTTTTCGCTTTATCCTCATTATATTTTCTCTTAATTCCGAAATGCTGCTCTTTTCTTTTTCTATAATTGGCTCGAACAATACTGTACAATTATTTCGTCGCCAAAAAAAAAAAAAAAAAAAAAAAAAAAAAAAAAAAAATAAAAAAATAAAATAAAATAAAATAATAATAATAATAATAATAATAAAGCTCAGAATTTAATCGTATTATATAATACAAAGTCATATTTTCCTTTTCCTGACACCCCCTATTTTTTTTTTTTTTTTTGGCTTGAATTAAAAAAAAAAAAAAAAAAAAAAAAAAGACTACTTTAAGTTATTGAATAATATCTGAGGACCCTTGTTTTTTTTGGCTTAATTTTTTTCATATTATTATTTTTTTTTTTTTTTTTTTTTTTTTGCATGTCTATATTAACTCGATTAAATAAACGACTATTATTACCAACGACTACTCGGCATGCACATAAATGGATACACACATCAGCTTATCTAAGAATACCAGTAAAGCCAGAAATAGATCCTATGGTTAATACTTCCAATTGTTCAACTCAGACCATTAAACTAGGTCGTCATCGATCAATAGGTAAATTAAAACGAAATAAAAGGATCTTGTCCACTTTACCTGGTAAATAATAATAATAAAGAATGTATAGCAGTAGAAGAGTATATACATATATATAGTCCGTATTATTTTATTCATTTATATTTATCTTTGATATAATAGAATCGGTTCTGTCAACAAACTATATTCGACATACAGCAATAAAACCTTCACCTAATAGCGACATTTATTCTTCATTTATACCCTCCTATGTATGGAAAGAACTTGACTATAGTATTCAAGCTGGACTTGCACCAAAAGGGGTGATGGCCGCTTATAATCACACAGATCATTTAATACTTCATGTTCCAAATCCCGGAGCTTGTTATTTTCAAGATCATATCGTGCATAAGCTTGCCGCTAAAAATAAAACAAATTTACTTGTTTTGGATTCACAAGATTTTATCTTTTTAGCCCAACATTGCTTTCATCATGATGGTAATCATTATTTACAAATATATATATATAAGGAGTTGGTGGAAAGTGTATATAAAACTAAATAGAATCCCACTCACATCATACATATATATTAGCTGCTACTTTATTACCAATGCTTTCAGCTATAGATCCTGATTCAAATGTTTTACTTGCTTTAAAACAAGCCAATTTTAATTTAAAAAGTAACGAGAATGAGGATAATAAAGGTTTGATCGGTCGAGGAAAAGTTGGGGACGCAGTAGAGGTGTACAAGAAAGACGAAGAGAATGAAGAAGACTTGATAGATGATGAAGACGTTGAGAATGCAAATAAATTAAAGATTAAAGTAAACTCGAAACCAGTAGAAATTGACCTTAATGAAATAATGAATCATCAACATCATCATCATCATCCTATTTCACTAGAAGAAGGCAAGGATATACATCAAATATCAAAATCATTGTTAACTCGAGTATCTACGAAATACATGGAAATGTTTAGACAATTCTTATCGGAGCCTGATGGCCTTACAGCAGGGGATGCAGGAAAAATAATCTATTTAAGAGATTATGGAAATATGCAGGATGCCTTTACGAGAATTATGTTGAAATCATTGGTAATGGCTGTGGAGGGTTTAAAACAAAAGGGACATCGTCTTATGATAGTTGCTTCTTATTGTGAAAGATCTGAATCATGGTTATCAGATTATCATCAAGAAGAAGACGAAGAGAGAGAAGGAGAAAGTAGTATGACAACTGCGATCTCTAATATGCGTCCAATCTCTATACTTCCTTCATTAGAGACTGAAGATCAAATCAATCAATGGAAATCTTTAATGAAACAGGATGAAGCAAAACGTATCGCTGAGATTAATATGAAACAACTTTTAGCCATGACTAGTCAAAAGAGTAGTTTAGAGATAAAGCCTAAAGAGCCTACTTCATTACTCAAGGAGCTTCTCAACTTATTAGATTATGAAAGTATATCAAAGGCAATTTGGTCTCCAATTGAGGTAGATCGACGTGTGATGATAGCGATAGGTCACGCATTAAATCGAAATAAGAAGGTGGTAGATGTAAATGATTTCAAAATAGCGCATGATATTGTTCAACACACTTTCAAGTTGAGAGAGAAAAATACAAAAGATGTCATAGAAGCTATCACACCTACTACTGTACGTTTGACTAAAGATGGAAGTTTAGATATTGACTATTTAAAAAAAAATTGCAATGATTATGAAAGAAAGATGATTTCAAGAATTGTAGATCCATGTAAGTCATATACATGTATATTTATATATATTTTTATATATTTATTTAATTTATATATATTTACATACATATATGTATAGCCAAAGTCCAAGGATCCTTTAAAGATGTACGTGCTCCGATCACTACGATAGATACCCTTCAATCATTAGTTTCTTTACCTTTAAAACGTCCAGACTTGTTTAATAAAGGTATCTTGAAACGAAATTTTATTCCTGGTGTATTATTATTTGGTCCTCCCGGTACTGGCAAGGTTTGTCTTTAAATAGGAATATATATATACATATACTCATAAACTGACTTTTTTATCATTACTACAATAGACTATGTTAGCTAAAGCAGTAGCAAAAGATAGTGGAAGTCGAATGTTAGATATCCAAGCAAGTGATGTGTAAGTATATTGAAATAAAGTATCAATAGATAAAATAATTAATATATTTGGTATGTATTAGATATGATATGTATGTTGGTCAGGGAGAAAAAAATGTCAAGGTATTTTAGTAAATAATACAATTCTTTTTTTTTCTTTTAAGGAAAAAAAAAAGTCCAACATTTTATATTAGGCCATCTTTTCCCTTGCAAGGAAACTTTCGCCTTGTGTAATATTTATAGATGAAGTAGATAGTTTAATGAATAAGCGAGGAGGAGATTTTGCATCCAATTCACATCGAGAGATTATTAACCAACTTATGGTTGAATGGGATGGTCTATCAAGCAATAATCAAGGTGTTATTGTAATGGCAGCAACAAATCGTCCTTATGATTTGGATGATGCTGTTCTGAGACGTATGCCTCGACGAATTTTAGGTAAAAAAAAAAAAAAAAAAAAAAAAAAAAAAAAAAAAAAAAAAAAAAAAAAAAAACTAGAAAAGATAATTATAAATTACTTACTTTATAAATATATATATATCAAAGTTGATTTGCCAAATGAAGAAGATCGTATAGAGATCTTAAAGATATTATTACGAGATGAAGACCATCAAGTATCAGTGAAAGAATTAGCCAAAATGACTGAACATTATTCAGGTTCAGATTTGAAAAATGTGTGTGTATCAGCTGCACTTAAAGCTGTTCAACAAGAAGCACAGAGTAAGATACCTCAAGTGCTAACAATGGAACACTTTAGAGAAGCTCTCAAGATGGTTCCTCCTAGTTCAAATGAAGATATGGATAGTTTGGTTGAAATTAGAAAATGGGATAGTAAATTTGGTGATGGAAAGAAAAAGAAGAAGACATCTATTGGCTTTTCGTCATCCTAAGAAAAAAAAACAAAGGAAAAGCAACATAAGCTTTTTTTAGTATCCTTTCATAGGATTGTATAGATAATTTATCAGCATGTATATTAGAACCAAAGGGAAGAAGAAGAAAAAAAAAAAGATACAAAAGGGAGAAATTTTAGAGAGTCTTTTTTTTCTTCTTCTTCTTCTTTTTACAGACTAATAAAATAAAAGCTGTATTTGATATTAAAGTAATTTTGAATTTAAGTTATCAAGATAAGAATTGTGATTTACTTAATAATGAATAGTCTTGAAATATTAATAATGAAAATAAAAACTAAATAATAAAACAGATCGAGATAAATTGCCTTCAAGTACTATCTTAATAAACTAACAAAAGTGGGTATACTTGTCAGATAAAAGACTATACACTAAATCATCGCAAGTAGTAGTCCAACATGTTTTGTCAGTTACTACATCTTACCTCCCTAAATTTTATTTATTCGCTTTCTAGTTCTAAAAGTCGAATTGTTTCAATTCATATGAGTATTAATATGAATTGTTAAAGAAGTGGTCTGAGATAAGATGTAAGTTAGAAAAATGCTAGTTAATAACAAAATAAAGTATGTTGAAGATAATGAAGTGTTAGATACAGTCAAGACTAAACAGAATCAATTATAAAGTCGCTAAATTATATAAACAGTAGAGTGGGGGGGGGAAAGAGGGCTATTCATTCTATGATAATCTATCTAAAGAATAACAAAATTATATCCTAATTATACTGCTAAATATCTCTTTTATGCATCTAATAATAAGCTACAATAAAATGCTGTCATCTTTTTGTATCTGTTAGAACGTTTGGTTATGTGAAAAAAAAGTTTTTTTTTTCTCTATTTATTTACAATATTAAAGATGCAAGTAGTAGTCACTTGTGTAACATTTCATTATGAAAAGATATAAAAGGCACGCATGTTTAATTTCCCTCTTTTTTTTTTCTCTTTTCCTTTTTTTTTTTTCAGGAAATATGGGGAGCCTGTTTTAGGCCGGGCTATGAATAGCACTGTAAATTGCCCCGTCTGTATAGTGCCTCCCATGGCTGATGGAAGGTAACACAGGCTTATAGAATAGTGAATTTATGTTTATCGATAATAAGAGTAGTTGTTAAAAAAAAACATTAACTACAAACAATATTGGTTCATCATATACAAAAGTGTTAGACATCTGAAGATTGTTTGGTTAAATAGCCCTTCTTATTACAGTAAACATTAAAGAAGTTAAAACGATATATGCATTATGAATGATGCTTTCAATTATAATAAAAGTGTAAAATATCAAATGAAAAATATTATAAAATAAAAATAATATAAAGAAAAAAGAAGTCGATGAGACTGAACAATAGTTCTATAGTCAATCACTTTATTTATGAATTTATATTGATGGTATTTATAAGAATTGTTAAAGAGGTTTCAGTTAAGATGTGAATCAGAAAAGTATTAGTTACAACCGAATAAGCTATGTTATAGATAATGAAGTGTTAGAAGTTTTAATATTATTTGATAAAGTGGATCAAGAGGGTTTCAGGGGGAATCAAGACAGAATTCCTTGAATAATTTTCTAATCCACATGTTTAACCAAGAAACATGACATTATAAATCAGCTCATGACAAAAAGACATTTAGAGTCTGCTTATTGTCATTGTAATTAAAACCATCAAATATGCTCAAAGTTAATAGTTCACATATAAACGGCATCCTTGTTCTTTATCATTAGAAAATGATATTTTTGGGCTGATTTATAATGATATGTTTCTTGGTTAAATAAGTGGATCATAAAAGTTGTTTTTTTTTTACATTACTGAAAATAAATCATAAAACAGCAATAGTCATTAAGCGTAATTCAAAATAGATGCAGGATACAATTCTTATAAAGATTTGTACCATACCATATATACTGTTTTATACCAGCTATTATACTATATTTAAAACGAATTACATTGTTAATATGTTCGAGTGATCTAACTCTCATGCTTAGATATATTATTTAGGCATAGGCACTAATGATTATTTGTAGCTTCCTTTAAATAATATCAAGAAAAGTATCATCACTAACTATAACAGTATTCTCAAATCAAGATAAGATAAATAAGAACAATAACTATAGGGGCAATATTTAACTAGATAAAGCTATATTTAAACTTCTTTAATTAACAAACAAGGTTAAAAGATTCATGTATTTCTTTTGAAACTTTGTGTATGAAGAGCGAAGCTTTAATTTGAACTATTTTTTATTTACTACCACAGTAATCAAGCAAAACATGCTTAAAAGTATTTAAACACTTTTTATCAAATACTAAATAAATAGCTTTTAACTATCTTATTGAGCAGTCAGTATCTATGATCTTTTCTATATTTTTATTACACCTTTATTTTCATTGTTGTGAATACATCAACAATGGTATCATTTATAATAATCAGATGAGTTCCGTTACATGCCTATTATCTTTAGAAGGATCTAGCCAAGATTTTAAAAGTTAATTCTTGATAAAAGGAAAAAAAAAGTGAGAAGGCTCGTTTCACCTAATACTCAAGGAATTAGAGGAACTTCAAAGGTAGTTTAATTGTTTGACAGAGACATATAGAATATTCACATGCATAATTTACTTCAGAGCAAAATAAAGCAATATACATGGATACGTAAGACTTACGGTATCAATAAATATGAGAACATTTTATTCGTTTTACAACTTGACACCAGAACTTTTTTTATTCCACGTCTTTATTCGAATAAGCAATTATTAGAGAATTTTCTTTTTTAAAATTAATGGTGAACCCATGGTGTGATATTGAGCAATTGTAATGAAGCGATATTGTATTATTCAAGTATAAAAATAAAGGTAATATTTTAGCCATAATGTTATACTTCAGAAAAATTAAGGGAATACAAGTTAGAATCACTCAATTAAAGTCTGTTAGTGACAATGAAGTTTGTACAGTAAATATATTACATATTTTTACTAAACGAACAAATTTTCTTCACAAATTATATCTATGTAGAATACACTCAGATAGACACATTTGATAATGTTATCAAATGTACCTCTATGGCTTCGAAGTATACTTTATACAACATGGATAAATATAAATATTAACAAAAAAAAAACTCGTTCCATAATCTTGAAAGATATAAAGGAAAAAATATTTAATTTTATTAATATGTATAATCAGACGCGGTAAGAAAGATACATATTACATTATCACGAGCTAATATATTTGCTTTTCAAAAACCGCCTTTTTTTTTTATAAAAAAAACCTCAAATTGAGTGTTGAATGATTGTATAAGGCACATATTTTTTTTATTATATTGAATACTTTGTATTTACTATGTGTGATTTAAACTGGTGTCCTATGTGTGATTGCGCTATTTCTTACGAATCTGTGATGATAAGTACTTAAATAATTAATCTATATACTAATAAGCATTTTATTATTAGGACTCTTTATATTGCTCTCTTATTTGTCTGTTGAAGGATACTGACTGTTATTATAATGCGATATTAAATAAAGACCCACAAATGTTTATACCGATGCCTGACATATATAATTCAACACATATAAACGATATGAATGACTCCTCCAATATGTTATTGTCTTCATCACCGCTTAGTCTATCAAAATCTGTTGATACATCAGCTTCATTTACACCAGCGTATATTAATCTAGATCAATCAATAGAAAAACTTAATAAAGCTACTATTTAAGATCAACTAAGTCTATCATCTATAGGCTTTTCATATTGTGATTATAATGAAAATGCCTTATCAAATCAAGACAAGTACTATATCAATGATTATTCTACATCATATTTTAATGAAGCATTAATATCTTTTTTTATTTAATTAAAAACACAATAAAATAAGACATACATTTGTCCCCTCTTTTTTTTTATTTCTCTTCATTAAATAAGGTGATATTTTTACTCAAATATATGTAACAATAGAAACAAATAGGAAAAAATGATTGATTGAAATTTTATAGCCACATAAAATGTTCAGGGACAGAATTTTAATAAAAAAAACATAATGTGATTTTTATAACACGTATAAACAGCAATTAAACTAGATCTTTCACTCATAAAAAAGTAAAGATTAATAGCGACTGCTTAAATACATAGCACTTGAATATACTGTATTGCCCTAATCAATCAAGATGAGCAACACTCTATAATAAGTAAAAAGGAAAAAAAAAGCAAATATATGAACAAACTGCAAGAGGTATAAATATATTAACGTTACTATGAAAATAACTATTTCAACAATTGGGCTTCAGGGGTAATTAAAGAATGAGTGAATGCACTACAAAGTAAACAGTTTATTTTTTATGTATTATAACATATACAGTAAATCAATGGGAAAATCTATAAAGAGACAGCTTTAAAGACCTTTGTATTTATACTAGAAAACTCGTTTAATATGTACGAGTTTTTAATATGGAGAGATAGCTGAAGGTAGCAGTATATATAGGGAGACATTCAAACGAACTTAGTCGAATCAGGTTTATGATTAGATGATAACTGTACAACTTAGGTTTATTATTATAAGGCAAACCTTTACTTGTTTTTATAATTACTCAGAATTCTCTTTTCCTGTTGCTCATATCAGCATCGTAAAGAATAAAGTATTGAAATATAGCATTTCATTCTACAATTAATTTTTTGTCATCAAATAAGCGCTATAAACATTTAAATCTTTAAATTTAAGAAGGTCTTCTTTTTTCTTAGCAAATCTTATTGTTTCATTTACATTTTCGTCAGAATCATATCATTCACCTATCTCAAAGCAAAGTCGAAAATCTATCTAATAAAGCATATAAAATAAAATATTAGTATATGTTTACGTGTATTATTCAGTTATAATATTAAAGATACAAATAGTAGTCACTCGTGTAACAATTCATTATAAAACGATATAAAAGGTACGCATGTTTAATTTCCCTCTTTTTTTTTCTTTTTTCCCTTTTTTTTTTCAGGAAATGTGGGGAGCCTGTTTTAGGCCGGGCTATGAATAGCACTGTAAATTGCCCCGTCTGTATAGTGCCTCCCATGGCTGATGGAAGGTAACACAGACTCATAGAATGTTTATTGATAATAAGAGCAGTTGTTTAAAAAAAAACCATAAACTACAAACAATATTAGTTCATCATATACAAAAGTGTTAGACATCTGAAGATTGTTTAGTTAAATAGCCCTTCTTATTACAGTAAACATTAAAGAAGTTAAAACGATATATGCATTATAGATGATACTATTATCTTTAACAAAAACGAGTAGGCCTTAGTAGATTCATTAACAGTGTCTGCTCATTGTCATTGTAAATAAAACCATTGAATAAGCTCAAAACTGGCAGTTTATATATAAATTATATCCCTATTCATTATCATTAGAAAAAGATCTTTTGATCTGATTTATAATGATATGTTTCTTTATTAAATAAGCGAATCATAATTTAGATTCTTATACTCTATTTTGACAAATAATAACACTTCTTCCGGTTCATACACCTTTAACAATTTTTATAAGAAGTACTTATTAATTTAAGTTCAAGTTCATAAATGAAAATAGCTAACTATTGTTCAATTTTATTTTGGTCTTTGACACACAGAAATTAGTTACAATTCAATTATTTGTTTTCTATTTACATATCTTCTTCTTCAATAAATAGACGTAAATACTTGAATTCCTAGGAATACTCCATATCATGTCATTCAAATAATATATATTAAAAGTTTCTTAACGCCTTTTATTATTATTTTCGTTATCAGATGAAGAAGATAACCAGCAGCAGCAGCAGTTTGATAGAACTTCTGATATTTTATCTAATCTTATTCAAGAAGCCAATGAAGCTGTTCATAAAGGCAAATCCCTGAAAACATATGGTATTTCGCTATCATCTTTATTCTTTGAGCGTAGTTAAAAAAAAAAAAGAAGCAACATTCACAACTCTTGTCATAGAAAAGATTAATAAAAGACAACAACAAGAGTATCATTTTTTTTATTCTTATCTTTCAATGAAAGAAGAAACTCATTCTAACTATTTTTCTTTTCATTATCTCTTGTACAACAAATATCGATTATTATTATATGTATATCAATAAAATAGACTTGTTTAATTAAAAAAAAAGAAAGAGGTAAGAAAGAAAGGGAAAAACAATAGAATAAACAAAAGGTGATAAAATGGGAGTATACATTAATATCTATATTACATGGTGAAGTTGAGACAAAATATAAGAAATATGAGATTAGACTTCTTCTTCTTCTTCTTTCATAACAGAGTCGTCAGCTTCTGTTTTGAAATTATTATTATTATTATCATTATTATTATTAGTTTCTTCTGATCGTATCTCATTTGGTTGATATTCAGCTTCTTGTATTTCTTCCATAGTAGTCTCACCTATTGTAACAGGTTCTTTTATATCAGGATGCATGTTTCCTTTCTCTTGTTGGAATACTCCATTTAAATCAATATCAGCAGCATGGATCGATTGTTGTGGATTTTCCTCATCCTCTACATCAGCATCGTCATAAACTTCCTCATCAATTAAATCATTCATTACCGTCTGATCATCTCTATCTTTTTTATCTTCTCTTAATTTCTTTACAGGATCTTCATGATGTGTAGTCTCTAAAGTACGTTTTCTGCTTTGTCGAATAGCTAGTGGCTTGGGATTTAATACCAGTTCGCAAAGTGAAGCTATGCGACGAGAGATAACAAGATCTCTTGGCCAGACAAACTTTGAATTGTTTGAGTCTCCTCCTCCTCTTTCTTCTTCTTCTTCCTCTTCTTCTTCTTCCTCTATGTTTTCTGTAAGAGCTTGTTTAACATGATAAAATGGTAAATCAGGATCATCAATGATTAAATCATTACGGCCAATACCGTGTTTACAAATGCCTTCTAATAAAGCTTTATCATGTTTAGGTACCTCCCACCAGCTAATATTTTTATGTATAAAAAAAGAGTAATTAGGTAATAATTAAAAAAAAATTAATATAAACTATAAATGTACCTTGGTAGACCTGAAGTTTTTCTTGCTTTAGTTAATATAATATCCAAGTCAGGATGAACTAGAACCTTTTCACGAATGGCATTCATTTGTTCAATACGTTTTAAAGAACGGCGAGCCTTATCATAAGGAATTAAATCGCTATTTTCATTATTATCGTTGGGCTCCATACTCGATTCGCGGCTAGCAGCATCCGCAGTATCTTTAGGTGATGAAGCAGGTGTATCTATATCTGCTCCTCCTACAGCAGCAGCAGCAGTAACAGCAGAAGCAGAAGAAACAGTGGCCGAATTATCATTTTCAGCTAAATGACGTTTTACAGCTTCTTCACAGGCAGCATAAGTCTCTTTATAATGAAGTGTAAGTGCTTCGTCCGATTTTTTATCAAGTCCCGCAATTTCTTTAAAACGATCCCATTTAAAGTCATCATTATCACGTTCAACACCAAATGACATAAGTGTCTTGATGAAATCACTCTTGTTTTTCTTTGTCCAGCGATTAGCATCACCTGCTCTAGCTCTTTGTCTTGGAGGAGCACGTGTATCTTTTTGACGTTGTTGTCGACCTTGGAGTCTACGTTTACGTGTGCTGCTTGCCTTTTCTCTTAAGAATGCAGCAATAATACGACGAAGACGCATACCAATATCAGCTTTAGAAGGCCAAATATATATTTTAGGTTTGATTTCATATTCTTCATCATCAGTGGATTCATCATCATCCTTTCTATCTTCATAGTCACTATCTTCATCTTTTTTACCAAATGTTCTTTTCGACATCCTATTAGGTGATTTTACAGGCTCCATCGAAGTTTGTCGACTGCTATCTGCATCATCATTCTTATCGTTGGTATTGGTATCATCATCTTCCAAACCACCAGAGAGACTATCATCATATTTTCTACCATAAAAGCAGAACTCAGGATCATTACGCATTGCAAGATATTGTTGATAACCATGTTTGCAAATACCCAACAACAAGCAACGATCTTCATCTTCGCCCCACCATTTAGCTGGTGGCGATCCAGTCACTTTAGGGATTTCTAAAACTTTAGCTTCTTCCCAATCTGTCGGTACAATTCTATCTCGAATTAAATAAAGCATTTGAATACGAAGTAAGAAATTACGACCTATAAAAAATAAGTATATAAATAATTAGTGATACTTTTTTTTTCTTTTCTATTTTTTTTTTTTTTTACCTTTTCTTTCAATATGTTCGATATAATCTTCAGGTGCCTGAAGCAAGAAAGATTTGAATTCAGTAATTTGCTTCTTAGTGGCACCAGAATAAGGAATGGAATCATTTTTCTTAACTTCATCACTAGCATCATTAGCTAAAATAGTCTCGATATCTTCGATCAATTTACGATCTTCTTCTGTCACCTTCTTCACATTCTTTATAATAGGAAGTACTTTTCGCATTAAAGCTCTTGTTACAGCCTTCAAATCTTTTTCAGAACGACGAGGGAAATGAGTAGCCATTAAATCCCATCTACCATAGCCATAAATCATCAATTTACGTTCGTATTTAGTTTTTTCTGAAAGTGTCCAAGGACGAGCCTGATCACGACCACGACGGGATTTTGACTCCATTTCATCTTCATAAGCATCCGAGTCATCTGCATTATCGTTGGATGAATAAGATCCATCTATAGGTCGAGAGCCAAATCGTTGTACTTGACGTCTTCTACGAGGCATAGAAACAATCAGCGGATTTTCCTCACGTGTTTCTGTAGTATCAATTTGCGCTTTAGCAGCCCATTTTTCCCAGAAATCGGGATCATCTAAATCAACACCTGCATTATCTTCATCAGCAGTAGAAAAAGTGGCCTTGGAAAAGACGGAGCCTTTTTCATTACCCTCATGTCGAATAACAGTTGTACGACGCTCAAGAATTTGGTCAATATCTTCTTCACAAAACTTTGTACTAGCTTCATCATCTAACATGGCACCATAAGCACCCTTTTTCAAGAGATCTTCGATTTCTTTTCTATTTAATTCAGCAGTCTTATTGGTGCTACCATCGTCATGAGTTCCCATAACAGCCTTATCAAGGCCAAGCTTCATACCAGCACGATCAAACATATCCTTTTCATATGTATTTGCACAAATCAAACGATAAATTTGAACTGGCTTCGTTTGTCCAATACGATGGCATCTGGCTTGTGCTTGAAGATCATTCTGGGGATTCCAATCACTGTCAAAAATAATACAAGTATCCGCAGCCTGCACAAAAATAAATAAATAAATAAATAAAAATAGTTCATTAGATATAGTATTTATTTAATGATTTCACTTACCGTTAAATTGATGCCAACACCACCTGCTCTTGTACAAAGTAAAAAGACAAAAGATTCTTCAATAGGAAGAGTAGAAAATCTGTCAATAGCTGCTTGACGTTGATCACCTGGGATACTGCCATCAATACGTTCATAAGCATAATTTCTACCACGAAGATAATCTGCAAGAATATCCAAACAACTAAAAATAAAATAAAAAAGATGAATATAAATCTAGTATATAATTTATAGATATATTCTTTTAAATTACCTTGTAAACTGAGAAAATATCAACACCTTATGATTACCTTGAATTAACTTCTTCAAAAGCTTATCGATAAGAACCAATTTACCGGAAGATTGAACAAGACAGTTAAACTGCTCTTGAGGTCCAGTAGCATTACATTCACTTACTATAACATCTTCAGCACCTTCAAGAAGATATGGATGTATACAACATTTACGAAGTTGCATCATAATATTACGAAGATGAGGCATATCCTTATTAGCTATAGTATTAAAAAAAAAAGATGTGTTAAATACATGTGTTATTTTTTTTTCTTTCAAAAAATCATTTCTTCAAAAAAAAAAAAAAAAAAAAAAAAAAAAAAAAAAAACTTTACATTTTGATCCTTTTCTTAAAAAGCTGAAATTTTTCTCAAGTATAGCACGATACCATTTCTTTTGAGGATTGGTTAATTCAACTTCAATTACCGTTTCTTCTTTAACAGGAATAGTCTTTTCTACATCTTCCTTAAAACGTCTCAACATAATTGGTTTTAATAAAAACTGTAACTTTTCTACTTCTTGAGCAGAGTTTAATGAACCATATTCAGCAAAGAATCGGTCTTCATCATTAAAGACATCAGGCTGCATAAAGTTTAGTAAACTGAATAATTCACCCAAATTGTTTTGTAATGGTGTACCCGTTAATAACAATTTATGATCCATATAAAATGTTTTCAGAACTTCCAGTACTTTGGAGTTTTTGTTTTTAAGACGATGTGCTTCATCAAAGACACCACAACGCCAAGGAATATCTCTTAAGGTCATAGCACTGGCGGAGGCCATTTCATATGTCGTTATAAGGACATCAAATTTAAATTTGTTTGGGACAGGTTTTCCTTCTAGATCTTGATAATAAAATTCGGTCTCTATAATCAAATTACGAGCCAATGTGCTACCACGAAAATCAACGACATTTAAATCTGTCCAAGCTTTAAAAGCACGAGTCCAGTGAGGAATAGCTATTTCAACAAAATATTAGTTATCAAGTATAGAGTTATATTATAAAAATAGTGCCATACTTGAAAGAGGAGCAACGATTAAAAACGGGCCACGAATACGAATTGTATTGTAAATATCGTTTAATAGCGCGACTGATTGAACTGTTTTACCCAAACCCATTTCATCCGCTAAAATACAGGATCTGAAAGTGTAGTAACAAAATCTTAACCAATTTAAACCTTCAAGCTGATAAGGACGCAATTTGTTGCCATATTTATAGGGTGGTGAATCAGCGTATTCAATAAATCGAGTTGCATCAGGACGAGGTGGGGGAGGAGCTAACTTTTCAGGAGGTATTTGTTTTCTGGCCAAAAACTCATCAAGTGAAATGCCATTTACTTTGCGAACATCTTCTTCTGTCTCCCAGGTAGATGCATCGTAAAATGTAGAATTCCATTTTACAAGATAATATATTTTTCGCTCGCCTGTAGATGGATCCTCTAATTCACCATCATCAATAATACGTTCAATCTATTTTAGCAAGATAAGTACAATGAGACAAACACAATTATATATAAAAGGTGGTTTACCTTTAGATATTCAGAAAAATCTTCACCTTTGTTTCCATCTTGATGATATTTCTGTAAAAACTTCTTAACACGATGTTTACCCAAATGTTCACCTTCAACTTGTTCAACAGGAACCCATTCAACATGAAGGAAACTAGTATTCTTGTATTTAATTAGTAATTCTTCTTCTCCTGTTTCTTCATTCTTTCTATAATCTAAAATTCTTTCAAAAACTTTAGTGCCCATTGGAATCATAACAGGTTCATCTGCTTCTGCAGATGTCTGTTTTTTCTTTGGGCGCCTTTCTTCATCACTATCTTCAAATTCACTATCGCGTCCATCCGATTCTTCGGATTCAAGATCCTAATTATAATAATAATAATAATGAGATTTATAAACACGTAATTATAGATACAAATTAATACTTTACAAAATCCTCTTCATCCTCTGAAGATAAATCATAAGCGCGTTTTTTCTTGGCCGCGTTTCTTACAGGACGTTTTGGACGTTCTGGCATTTGATGTTGTTGTTGGTACATTTGTTGATGATACTGCTGTTGTGATTGTTGCATATGAAGTTGATATTGCATCTGTTGCATCATTAACTGTTGATGAGGCGGCAATTGTTGCACGCGAGGATCAAAGCCTGGTTGTAACATCATTTGTTGTTGACGTTGCATTTGTTGTTGACGTTGTATTTGCTGCTGATAAGCTTGCAATTGCTGGGGAGAGAGTTGTTGTAACTGCTGGGGAGGTAATGGTTGCATGATAGGATAACCATTAGGAAGTGAGCGTGACTGAAGTAATTGCTGATGTTGGTTGGGATACGTATTCATGAATTGTGAATTAGGAGGCCTTATAGCTTGCTGTTGTTGAGGAGGCACTTGTTGTTGTTGTTGTTGTTGTTGTTGTTGCTGTTGCTGTTGTTGTTGCTGTTGACGTGGCATTTGTTGCTGTTGCTGTAACCCTGGATGATTCATCATTGGATTTTGATACATCATATTAGGCATACCTCCTTGTGGTGATTGCTGCTGAGGAAGAGATGGCCTATTCATGATAGATGTATTCATTGACATGGGGGATGCGTTTTGTGGTTGTCGTTGTTGCTGCTGTGAATAATTATTAAATCCACCCATCATATTGAAATTCATTTGCTGTTGTGGTTGCTGCTGTGGCTGCTGTTGCGGTTGTTGTGGCTGCTGTGATTGTGGCTGCTGTGCTCTTAGGTAATTGAATTGTTGTTGTTGTTGTTGTTGTTGGAACATTTGAGGAGAAGCTTGATTAGGTAGATGTTGTTGATGCATCATTTGAGATGGCTGCGGCTGTTGGTTAAACTGCTGTTGCTGGTAATAAAAATTAGGATCAACAGATTGTTGACCAAAGTTCTGTCCAGACTGTAAAGCCATCCTATTACCTTGAGGCTGTTGCTGAGCCTGATTAGGATTATTCATTAAATAAACTGGATTAGACATGAAGTTTTGATAAACATCCCTTTGTTGTGACATCTGTTGTATATTCGTGACAAGAAGTCTCCGGTTAATTCAAAGATTTTCCTATTATGTTCCCTTTTCTTTTTTTTATTTCTAATTTGCTTCCAATCTTTTTTTTTTTAAAAAGAAAAAATAATAATAATAATAAATTGGGAAACGGAAATCTCTCCTAAATCAATATAATAAAAGAGAATTAATAAAGAAAAAAAAAATTTGTTTTGTTTTATTTTATTTTTTTTTATTTTTTTTTTATTTTTTATTTTTTTTGTGAACCAGCGTTTTTATTATTGGTTCGTAATTGGCTTCGCGTCTGAAGGAGTAGTTGACGTGTTGGAAGGACAGCCAATTTATTTATTTTTTTTTTCACTTTTTACTAATTCTTTTCTTTTCATTTATTTTATCTTTCCAATCCAACTTATCCTTTTTATTTATAAATTTCAAAATGTAATAATCCGTCTTTACTTACCAATCTAGTTAATATTCAATTTACAAGACGAATAAAGAATAAAACTTTTTATAAAAAAAAAATTCTTCTATAATGATTATTAAAAAAGAAGGGGGGAAATAGTAACAACGATTTTATCGCTTTATTTGTTATTATATTAATCCCAGTCAGTCAATTTTTTTATGAATATTTTTATTTGTTGGTGAACATTATTAGGATTTTGGACAGTTTAGTTTCTTATTTTATTTTATTTTATTTTTTTTGAACCCCTTTTTTTTAAGTTTCCATGGTGATCCCTTAAGGGGCTCTATATTTAAATGAAATAGATCTTTGTTAATAAAGTAAGTTTATTTTGATTATGATTTGTTAATTCTTATCTTGAGATCAGATTTTATGAGCATTCTATTCCTATCTCTAAAAAGATATATACAAATGTGTATATGTCAGAAGATTTAATATCCTAGATTTCTGTCAGAAAAAACAACAACAACAACAAGAAAAATGGCACACTCATGTAGTGTATGGATATTCATCTATTATATATACTGAATGGGGGGGTTTTTTTTTATCCATCAGTTAGGCTTTATATATAAGAAAGATAATCTTTACCCTATGAACCAATTAGAATATAGCAAAATTTTGAAAAGTTTAGCATTTATTGTAAATTATGTTTCAAAAAAAAAAAAAAAAAAAAAAAAAAAAAAAAAAAAAACGTAAAACATGGGAAAACAGTATATAAAAGAGTAAAGACACTTTCAATATCATTCATGTTTGCGCTAGATAAAAAGAAAATAAAGTTATCTTTTGGTTCCTGAAAATTTTTAATTTAAAAGTAGATCAAGTCATCAAATATATACAATCAATGCATAATAACGGCAACCAACTCTTTCTCTCAAATATAAATAATCTAACTATGATGTAAAATAGTCTCTTGAAAAGAAGATATGCTTTCTTTATAACAGAATGCAATCAGAAGTGCCTACTCAATTAACCTATTACTATAAAATACAGAAAAGCATTTTTTTTATATAAATATTAAATAGTAAGAAAAGAAAATTCTTTTTTACGTACAGTATAATAATTTATAGTTGAATAAAAAAAAAGGTACTTATTCTACCTGCTATCTTCCCAAGTCAACTATTACTAAAATTTACAAGTTATACAAATCTATTTAGCAGATCTTTTTTTTTTATTGTAATGGACAATGATAGAGGAGTAATTTCACTACATGTCATAACATATATTCATATATAGTATGGATATATAATTCTTTAAAGATTAATGAATATTTATATATACAAATATATATATATATATATATTTATTGCTTACAAATAAATGAATGCTGACAAATCCAGCTTGTCAGATTTAACAAACAAATCCAAGTTTCATGGAGTCAAATAATATGTTACTATTGGATGGCGGTAGTTGATTTCGGGGAGTTGTAAAAAGCATCACCGAGAATTTTGGAAATGAGTATAAATCAAATTTCATTAAAAATTTTCCCTCTTTTTATTTTTTTATTTTTATTTTTGATAGCACCTACATTCTATACCTTTCCCCCTACTCTTTATCCTCATATACATTAAAATAAATAAAGTAAAAAAGAAATGGTTGAAGCATTGCAAAATGAAGCTATTCTATTTACAGCACCTATGACAGTAAATGAAAATGATTTTGTCAAAGTTAAAAAAGAAACTGAAGAAAAAGTAGGTCCAGCTGGCAAAGTACTATTTGAAGTGATTGATAGAGTAGCCAATGGTAAAAATAAAATAAAATAAAAAGTGATACACACACATATATATACACACATGTATATACATATATACAATAAATTCATATCCTGACTTACCCTTTCTTTTTTTTTTTTTTTTTTTTTTTTGTAAAAGCTCCCCTTCGCAACAATAGTCTTGATCGAATCTATTCCAATTTATTTTTACCTACCGTTTCAACTCATACTCCCGTCATCTTTTCACGCTACTTGGCAACTCTTAAGAATGAGGGTCAATTAGTATTAAAAGAATCTGTTTTATTAGAGGAGTTAAGTAATACAGTCTGTCCTATCTCTCGTAAAGAAGATGAAATCGTTTCTCTTTTGAAGTTAGCTGGTTTTGTGGATGTGGCTGTAAAGGAAACAACACCTATTGCAGATCATCAATTACTTTCTTTCTTTCAACTTTGGGGTGTCCCTGAGAAGAAAATCGATCAGGCTATCGTTACACGTCTCTCTGGTAAATTTGCAATGACAGAAATTCATGCAAGAAAACCCTCTTATAATGTGGGACAAAAGATTTCCTTAAATTTTAAAAAGAAAAATAATACAACAACAACATCATCAGCTGAAAAGAAAAAAAATATTTGGTTAATTCATACAAATGATGATGAGAATAATAATATGGAATTAGAAGATGAAGATGCTTTACTAGATGAACAAGATAAAATTAAGCCTAGTAAAGAATCTTTAACACGTAAGTTAAGCTATTGTTATAATTCAGATTAGTAATCTAATTTTTTTTTTTTTTTTAAATATAATATAATTTATTTAGGACCTGATGATTGTGACTTATCAGATGGAAAGCGTAAAGCATGTAAGGGCTGTACTTGTGGTCGTGAAGAAGGAGACGAAGAAGAGGATGGCAATGTAGTGGCTCTAGACCTTATGGATGATATACAGGAAGAAGTCATCGAAGTAGATCCTACACCTAAAGCAAACTCAGGTTGTGGTAGTTGCTCTTTAGGTGATGCCTTTAGATGTTCTACATGTCCTTATATGGGTATGCCTGCTTTTAATGAAGGAGATAAAATTAAATTAGGTGGCATGTTTGAAGTTGATGATATTGACGATTTTTAAAAAATATATTTTTTTTTACATGTGTAAATATTGACTATAGATAATTATTAATTGATAATAATAATAAAATTAAAGAAAGGATAATAAAAAATAAATGTATTTTTTATCAACAATTTAATAACAATAATAATAAATTTCTTATTTTTTCTTAGTTGAAAGAAAGTCTTTCACCGCCATGAATTTTAGCAGCAACAATGATACGAGAGCCGGTATGTTCTTTCTTATAGTAACCAGACTTAAGATGAGGTCTGTACATGGTAACATGGATATCTTCAGGATTAGGAGCTTGAATAGTTGAAGGCTCACCGAGAAGATTAAACAAGGTAAAGTCACCCTCATAGCTATCAGCAGGCTAATATAATGAATTAAAATGTTAGAGTGAAAACCAACACTATATGTTTATCTATATAACTTACAATGTCAACACTAGCTGGACCAAAAGTAGAGGAGGCAGTAATATTAATCTTATCACTAGTAGGTTCAATGTTAACCTTAGTAGCACCATGAACAGTACCTGCAGCAAATCTCTCACTTGGTTGGTAAGTACCCATAACTACACCACGAAGTACACCCAATAATAATTTTTTGGCTTTTAAGCTCTAAAATAAAATAAAATAAAAAGGTTAGGTTAAAAAAAAAATGTTTAAAATAATAATAATAACGCTTACGTCAAACTTGATTGCACCACGGTCAAGACCTGCCTTAAGAGTACCAAATTCAATTTCTTCAAGACCTTCGCTACCAGTAATACGACGAGCTTCTCTAACTTTGAGTTCGAGATCTTCATAATATTTAAGATTGGCAGGGAAGACAATATCAACATTATAAAGAAGACAGTTTTCTTTTTTGTCTTCATCAGGGTGATGAGGAGGCTTCTCTGGACGATCAGAGTCTTCTTCTTCATATCTTTGAATCTCTCTATCCAATATATTATGGAAGCGACCCCGTTCAACTTGAACAGCATATTGTCCTTTATGATCAAAGGCAGAAATCTTGACCTCCTTTTGAAGTTCATTACGACCACTGTAAAGAGTAACATTCACCTTGATATCTTCAAGAGACTTATCAACAGACTTTGAAAGACGAACATGACTGCCAAAAGAGAAATGACCATCTAAGAAAAGACCAGCGCGAGCAAACTTCTCGGGTGAAAATAAAAAGACGGTAGAAGTAGCTTCGAGTTCATCCATCTTACAGAAGGGCTCTGATGGGTGACCATGAGGATGATGATGACGAGGCCTGCCTTCAATTTTAGCAAGACTAAGGCCTTCGGGAAGCACTTGAGCATTATTATGATGATGAGGATGGCCCTTATGGCCATGATGATGGTGGTGGTGGTGTTGAGGCTCTTCCATAGTGGCAGGCTCATCATCTTTAGGTTGATCCTTATGATGAGGATGATGAGGATGATGAGGATGATGTGGGTAGTCTTCCTGATTCATATGATAGCCATGATGTTCAGGTTGATCCAAAGTACGAAGATTCCGGTAATTTTCTTCAGGAATAATATAAGTATCTTCCAAATTTTGCAAATGTTGTTTCAATTCCTGATAAGGCTCAAAATGATTTAAAGTACAGGGTTCAGGAGCATCTTGAGGACGTAATTCCTAAATAAAACATGATATATAATGATAAAAAAAAGATTAATATTAATATTTCTTCTAATTTTTATTCTTTTTTCTATCTTTATGCTATTTTACCAAATCATATTTTTCCTATAATTTATAATGATTATTTATAAATTAGTACTACGTAAAATTAATTATTATTATAAAAAGAGCTTACAGAAAATGCTTTCATAGCAGGACCGCCACAGAGGTGAGTCAAACCCAAAAGAGCGATTGCACCCCCAATGAATAATAAACCAAAACGTTTACAACCTATATAACATGCATTAGTATTGTATAATTCTATAAAGAATAAAAATAAAAGCTATTTATTTTACGTCTTGGAGAGTTTTGAGTCATTAATTGATGTTCCTCATAAGCAGGTAAACCAGCTTCCTGATCAACATCACTGGTAGGAACAGCAACGTATTCAGCTTTATTGTTAGTTGGCTTTTCCATTGTATATAATATAATAAAGAAAAAGAGAAAAGAACAATATTTATCCACATATATTTTAGATTGGATAATATACGTCAATGCCAAGCAAAAAATATTGACTGGGTTTTTTAAAATTTAAGTTTTTTTTTTTTTTTTTTTTTTTGTAATCCATGAAAACTATTAGCCAATTAACAGATAAATTCTTTATGTTTACATTCAATTTGTCAAAACAATTGCAGAAAAAGACTCCTTCTTTGTTTATATACCACATGTTATTTAATAATCAGCAAGAAAGGACACACAGAAAATTATTATTATATGTTATTTCTTTTGATAATAATGACATATGTTCGGAGTTCACTTCATTGCTGTTATAGCAAGCTTGACTGCTTTTGCTGCTGCCAATAAGCATACAGGTATAACAATTTCTGTTGAACCCATTGATCCTGTAGCTTGTCAGTTAGATAGTGCTTTAGTGCTTTCTTTTAGTAGAACTGTTTAGCATTATTATATTTGTATTTAAAAAAAGCTTATTATCAGATTATTCCTCTTTTACTTTCTCTTTCTCTTATCTCTTAATATTTGGCTAAAGATAATTTCTGGAATTACTTTTGTATTTTTTACGGTTTGGTTTTCTCTTTAGAAGGTACCTTTCCACTTGCTAGATTTTATTTTTATTTTTATTTTTAGAATTTACTTTTCTTAGGACACAAATTCCCTTTCTTTCTGTCATTATCTCATTATACATCTTCTCTCAAAATGATATTGCACTTGAAAAAAAAAATTATGTTAATGTGAAAAAAAAAAAAATATGCTATCGCATTTATGGAAATTCAAGTGTCAAAATAGATTCTAGTAGAATTGGTCGAGACACTCAAATACCAAATAAGAAACTTTCTGCTAGCTATAGTAATATCTTGATCTTTTTTTTTAAAAAAAAAAAGCAGGGAAGATTATATTCCTTATTTGATATTTTCATGCCTAATTGATTAATTCCTATTCTCCATCAATATTCCTGGGGTAAGTATTCGATACAATTATTTTATCTTATGACTATCATTACCATAAAAGTTATATCTTATGTTATTACCCCTCAGATTAAGCCGATATTTGTATATATATACATATATACTTACTGCTATACTGTCTGGGATATATAACATCTGATTATAATCCAACATGTAATTGGTTGTCTACACTCTGTCATCACATAAAGAATAAAATGTTTATTTATATACTCTTATTTAACAATGTTTATTAATGAATTTTGTATATTGAGTAATAGCATAACGTGCAGTTAAATATGTTAAGCTTTATTGAATAACCTCTTAATATTTGTTATGTAATAAATAATAGTTTATTTCTGCAGTCTTAGCTATATTGAAAACTACTATAATGATAACATATATTGTAATCATAATATGAATATTTAATGCCAATATTTCGTTTTAACTTTTATATATAAATATATATACATATATACTTTTAATTCTTAATAAACATATTAAAAGGTTCTGAAGTATTTTATCTTGTTGTATTCTCTTTTCTTTTTAAAAGCTCACCTAAACCACTACACTTATTACGATTGATTATTTTTCTATCAGTATTTTGTAGCCTCTACTACTGGTAAGAATTTTTTTTTTTTTAATAACCATTTATTTTTCTCGAAGCTGCTATCCTCCCACTAAAATAGATATTGATTCTTTTTCCTGGTACTTTAGCAAGTTTTATGATTATCGGTAGTTCTTTGGTATCAAGTGATCGTATTTTGTCTGTAAAGTCATCTATTTCTAGTAATGGTTGTAGAGAAAAGCATCTTCAAACGTTGGGAAGACTTTGTAAAAATTGGACATACTTTAATTATGCAAACTTATTCTTTTAACTAAAAATATATGTTTCTTCGAACGTTTGCAGATGATGATATCACAAGATGTCTTAACAAGATTTTTTTTTTTTTTAAACGAAAGCCAGACTTTTGCAAAAAAAAAAAAAAAAAAAAAAAAAAAAAAAAAAAAAAAAAAGATCTAGTGTTCTGATTGTAGAAAGACGTAAGCTCATCAATCAACACCTTCAAGATTACTTTAACTTGTCGAACTATGAATCTGTATATCTGTTATACCTACGGACAACACACTTTGTTAATTGAAGGAATTAAAATATATACAGCATACACAAATAATATAATAATTTGGCCATTTGGCAAACATTCTTGACATGTAGTCAATATTCTTGTGGGAGATTCAAGTGAGAATAATCAAGCTAAAATAGAGAAGATGAGCCCGAAGGTGTAAGTATAGAAACAATATTAAATGAAATCTGTAAAATATATCATTCCTCTTGTTGCTAACTTTAAGTAAGCTTTGATCCTAAAGAAAGAAGAATAATAGCAACTGACAGGATTAAGGTCCAATTTTCTAACTTTAATTATAATCTTGTCATAGATGCTCTTTTCATCTATATTAGTGTCGTATCCGAGATCATATCGATTCCGGAGAAACACTATTTATTATTATATGAAAGCAAATCCAATTAAACATTTTAAGACCTTCTTTTTTTTTTTTAAGTTTGCTCAATTTATTCAACAATTTAGATATGCCTGTCTTTAATTGATTTCCACTTCGTTTATTATGAGCTCCCCCCCCCGTTATGTGGCGGTGGATTCAGAAAACTTATGCTAAATTATTCTTGATCGTTCCTGGACTCACCATCTATTCTGGTGATAAACTCGCTCTATGGGCAACTGCCATGAATATGAACTTTCCTACGCTTCGCTTAGACCACAAGAGGAAGGTGCATTAAGTTTTAGAGGAGGGATTCAGACAAATGGTGTGGGAGTTTGCGATAATGATAGAAAAAGAATAGGTAAATAAGGCAGGTACACAACACAACATAGTGTTCAGGTGGAGCAGACTCAGCATATGAGTGAAATAAATATATATAGCAACATGTGGATCTTGTTGGCAGTTGCGTTACTGTAGACCCTGAACGTCGAGACTTTATGTATTTTGTACATGAAAAAATTTTACTTTTAAAAGAACTCATAAAGTAGAGGGTAGACCAAGTCATTCTTAAACAAATCATCGTACTGCACGCCCTATACATCGTAGGATGAAGTTTTCTTGCTACATAAAGAAACAAAAGGAATAGCAGTTGCTAGTTAAAACTTTGAGATGTGTTCTTGGAAATAATGCTGTTTTTCGTGATGGGGTAACTAGGCTACTCCAAATGCTCGATATTATGAACCAACAAGAGGTATTGGTTTTCAAGATTTATTAAAAAAAAAAAAAAAAAAAAAAAAAAAAAAAAAGCAAAAACAAAACGCAAGTACTCGATAGCATTTGATGACATAAACCTATTATTACATTAATAAAATAAGCTTTGCCTCCATTCAAAGAAATGTAATTGTATCTGTAAAAAAATCCAAGACCTTTATAAGTTATGTATAAATTGCAATATATTACAAAGTATTATTTGATTTTGTTAAATTGTCTGTTTTTCCTTTTCTTTTATTTATGTATTTATTTATTTATAGTAGCAAAAAGCAGCTTTAGACTTGTATTATTTATATAACTTTTCTCTTTGCAAGATAAATATTTTATGTTAATACATGACTTTATTATATAAAAGATTTTAGATGAGAGAGTGAGTTACTGAAGTATTAGTACTATAACGATATGGTTAACAAATTGCTGAGAGAGAGAGAAAAGAGGAGGTTTTACTATCAAATAAAAGTATTTGGCATGACCACGATGTTATAATGAACGTATTAATATATTTTATTTAGAGACCACTCTTTATTGTCTATTTTATGTATTATTAAATCATCTTTTTTTTTTTCGCGTTTAGTAATAAAGGAGTGATCAAACTGAGTTAAATAAATCACAAGTATTCAGCAGTTTATTATTATTATTATTATTATCATAAAAAAAAGCTATACCGCAAATAATTCCTTTTTTAATTTGAATAATACTGTAAATAACTTCCCACAGTAGAGGTGGGGGGAGGGTTTTTTCATTTCATAAAACAAACGTATATATGATGCATATGTATCATTACTTACATAATAAACGCGTCTTTCTGTTAATGCATATAATATACGCATAAATTTAATAGTAAATCATTCAAGAATTCTATGATAGGTTTTATATACGCATACATACATATGTGGCGTTTTATTTGATTTTATTGTATCCAAAGAGAGTGTGGATGAATAAATGTTTTTTTTCGTTTCTTTGTTTGTTTAGGCTTTGTATATTTTATGCATACTAGGAAATACTAAACCAATCAACCGCAATTTTACTTTAAAAGGTACTAAACCCGAGAAATTAAGCCGAAGAGAAACTTTCTTTATTAGTTAAATTTTCTTTTTTTTCTCTTTTTTTTTTTATATGTATATCTTTCTATCGTATGATATCTTCTCGTACATACAACTTTTATAATGTAGATTTTTTTTTCTATTTTTTTTTTCTTTTTTAATCAAGATATTTTATTATTATTATTATTATTAATAATGATAATCTAGTTTTTTTTTTTTTTTTTTTCTATATTCTTATTCCGAAACATGGCAAAAGACTTAATCTTTTATGTCAAGTTTTAGTTTGATTTCCCGTTACTGAAAAAAAGGAATAGAGAAAAAAAATATACATATATATATAAATACACATAAGTCTAGTTGCTTTTTTTTTTTGTTTTTTTTTCTTTCTTTCTTTCTTCGCTTATTATCTTTTAACACTTGTAATTTAATAATGAATCGATTAAGAGTTCTTGGTTTAACATCTTTTACTCAACAAGCTCGTATAACAGCAAGTTTTGCTCTTAGACAGCAACCACGTATTATACCTCGTGTAGTAGCAGCAACTACAACTAGTACTTTCTTTAATCATCGTACTTATACAACTACTCCTTCACAAACATTGAATGGTTGGGCATGTTTTGGTAAAGATAAGCCCCTGGTTAAATCTGAATTTCCTTTAACTGAATTTGGTGATGATTCAGTTGATATGGATATTATCTGTTGTGGTATTTGTGGCACTGACATTGTAAAGTGATGCAAAATATATACATATATGCACATTGGATTAACAACGCCTTATTATTATTATTATTATTAGCATACAATTGATTCAGGATGGGGTCCAACAAATTATCCAGTTGTAGCAGGTCATGAAATCATTGGACGTGTAACACGTATAGGAAAGAATGTAAAGCATCTCAAGGTAGGAGATCGTGTTGGTGTAGGTTGTCAATGTGATTCTTGTAGGCAATGTAAGAACTGTAAAGATCATAAAGAGAACTTGTGTGAGGATCATGCTATTTGGACATTCAATGATCACTGGAAGAATGGAGATACAACCTATGGTGGATTTGCTGACCGTTGGAGAGGTAATAAGGACTTTGTATTCAAGATCCCCGATGCACTTCCTAGTGTAGATGCTGCCTCTATTATGTGTGGGGGTGTGACAACGTATGCACCTATGAAGCGTTATGGTGTCGGTAAAGGAAGTAAGATAGCTGTACTAGGCTTAGGTGGTTTAGGTCATTTTGGTGTTCAATGGGCAAAGGCAATGGGTGCAGAGGTGGTAGCCTATGATGTTGTACCTGAAAAGATAAAGGATGCAAAGGCACTTGGTTGTGATGATTATGTCCTCGTACAGGAGCCTGATCAAATGAAACGACATATGAATTCATTTACACATATCCTTGCTACAAAAGTGATTAACAAAGCTTGGAGTGATTACTTTAATATGTTGAAGAAAGATGGTATCTTTATTCTTTGTGATATTCCTGAAGTTCCTTTGTCTGGTTTAAATGCACTTGAAATGGCAGCCAAACAAATCACCGTTGCAGGATCATTTATCGGTTCTCCTGATGATATTCGTGAAGCCCTTGATGTTGCTGCCAAGAATGGTATTCGTACCTGGGCTAACGAATTCCCAATGGATAAAATCAATGATGCTATTCAATTCGTTAGAGACGGACAACCAAGATACAGAGCTGTTCTTGTAAATCAAGCTTAGCTTAAAAAAAAAAAAAAAGAAAACAAAAATAGAAAATAGACATATTGTCGTTGTTATATATATATATAAATATATCCATTTAATTTCATTATTATTATTATTTTTTTTTTACTCATTACTATTACTACTGTATTTAAAGAAAAAAATAAATAAATAAAGCTATATTATTATTCTAGGCTCAAAGACATATTGTATACTACTACTATTACTATTGTTACTGTATCATCATTTAAACAAATTTTATTCTGAGCTTTAATCTTCATTATCTTATGCCCCAGGATAGATACGCGCTCCTTAAAATTAGAATGTATTAAACAAACAAAGGAGAAAGATTTTTTGTGACGATGGCGGCTAGTCGTTATCTTTAGCAGAATATTCTTTCTAGAATAAATATTTATTTAGAGTCAAAGATATACTTTAAATGGTATAGAGCCGTTTAATCTAAAATTAGACAATTTATTATAAGATAAATGCGAATACTAATATGAGACATTTTTAAACATGCATACATGCACACACACACACACACACATGTATCTGTATATTTGTATATATTTGTATATATTTTTATAGTCTTTACTATAGTTAATAATACATTTTATAAATAAGAGTAATGTATATTTTTTTTTCCTTTTCAGATAAGAGTAAATGTACCTGAAAAAAAAAGAGAGTCCTTTTTTATGTACGTATTAAAAAAAGTACCGAATATAATTTAGTTTCAACTTTAAGTTTGTTTGTTATCTATCTTAGTATGTTTAATTCAATCAAGCAGTAAAAAATACTGATTAGTATTTAAAATGTATAATACCCCCTAAATCTACCTACTCTCTAAATCCATTCCTATATGTCATAATCAAGCATAAAGAACCGGACCAGTACTTTTTTTTTTCTTCCTTTCTAATTTTATTATTATTTTCTTCTTTTTCTTTAATAAGCCTTATTATCGAAAACAAAATTGATGCTGTTGTGTTTTTTTATTTTTCATTATCAGTAAATTTGATACATATTTGAAGGGAGATTTGACGTTTTTTTTTTTTTTTATTAAAAAATTGATAATCTATTAGAGCTAGATTGATAATCACTTTTATTAGCATTAAATTGATTGGAAGAAGAAAACTGAGAGAGTTAAGGAAGTCTATATTTTTCCTTATATTCTATATAAATAATAAGCATTCAGTTCAAAATGAATTAGTCAAGTCCTTGATGTAAAAGAGTTAAATAACAATTTGAAGGAAGGGAATAAAGCGACTGGATACAATAAGTATATATTCAATGGCAGAATAAATGAATTCATTGTTAACAAATATCTAAGAAAGTCTAAATAGAAAAGAAAGTAGCTTTTACACAAGGCTAGTATTATTTTAAGTACACTCTATTGTTTCAGAAAGTAGTATGCCGAGGATAGATTTTTTTATTATTATTTAGAAAAAAAAACGAGAGAAAGAGAGAGAAAGACAGGAGAGACATATTATTAAGATTGTTTCTGACCTGAAGGAAGAGTATACATCATTAGAAATAAGTTTACAGATACACTGCTAGTAGGATCAAACAATTGGCTATCAAAAGATTAGATGAAAAAAAAAAAAAAAAAAAAAAAAAAAAAAAGCTCTAAAGATTTCATCTAAAAGGAGAGAAGAATTACTGTTCTGGAATGGATAATAGGTAAGTAATTCGATGCCGAGAACGAAATATTTTTATATAACTCTACTAGTAACTAATTTAAATTAAACACTCTCAGACATAACAAACAAAATTTAAAGTTAAAAAAAAAAAGAAAAAAAAAAGCAATAATGTAAATATTTATAAAGAAACTCCTTTCTAAGGCACGAATGACTATTAATCTATTCTTGCTACTTTCATTTTTAGTACACATATAGAAAAAAAATTTTTTCTTGCTTATTATAATCAGCTATTTTTCTTTTCTTTTCTTTTCAAAAGAAAAAAAAACATTGCTTAAAAAAGTCTCGAGTGTTCGTTGCTAGCTTTAAATCTTCTTTTTTAAATGCTATGTTATCATTTATTCTTCGGTAATAAACCAATATAAGGAAATATAACCGTGCAAAAATTAATCACTGAGTGTTAATTTCGAACTATAACGAAAAAATCACCTTCAAGACAATTTTTTTTTTATTTTTTTTTTGGAACATTAATCTCTATAATGTCATCAAATAAATTAAGAATCCTTTGTCTTCATGGCTATAAACAAAATGCCATCATGTATCGAAAAAAGACTGCTGCTGTACGGAAAAGCATTGAAGACATTGCTGAATTGGGTATAATTGAAACATACACAAAGTAAAGATCATCATAGTTAAATAGATGAATTTTTTTTTCCTTTTTAGTTTACATTACGGGACCTCATTACATTAGCCCACCTACTTTTCTAGATATTGCTGAACGTGAAGCCGCGGCAAAAGAATATACTTCAGAAGGTTTCCTTAAAGAAAAAAGAAAAAGGAGAAAAAGAAAAAAAAATTCATTAAACATTATTTTCTATTATACTCTATAGAACATGAGCCCTTTGGGTGGTGGTATGCACCAAGCTATAAGCCAACTCAAAATGGTTTTTTTGTCGGATTTAAAGAATCCGTTGAATACTTTAAAAATATTTTACTAAAGGAGGTATTTATTATGTAATGATATTCAATATTTTATAATTGCATATTCTTAAATACACACATACACACACACAAAAGGGGCCTTTTGATGGTATATTAGGGTTTTCTCAAGGTAGATTTATTTTGTATTTTATAGATAATATATATTTATATTCATATTCATATTTCTATTTTTATATATATCTTATCTTTCTAGGAGCATGCTTCGCTGCTCTTTTGACCGAAATGTTAGAAAATAGATCTAGTTTCCCTGAACTCATTTCCCCAGAGTTTAATCATGCCCCTTTTAAATTTTCGATTCTTGTTGCTGGTTTTAAACCTACGATGCAAGAAGCTACGAATGTATTGTTGAACAAAGAGTCCAAAGTGAAGACACCCAGTATGCATTTTATTGGAGATTTGGATACGCTTGTTTTGCCTGAAGCCATGATGTCTTTAACTGAAGCATTTGAAAATCCAAAGATATTCCGTCATTCAGGAGGGTAATATTTAAACAAGCCCCATTATGAATGTCTATTATGAAATCATACTTAAATTTTTAATTATAGTCATTATCTACCATCAAATACCTCGAGTCGAAAGGAATTGAAAGACTTTATTTCACAATTTGTAAATTAGTTTATAATAGAGAGTGGGAGAAAAATTAGATATTTATCTAATAACTAGAAAGGTAATAATGTCTATGTTGTTCATACATAGGACTAGAATTTATTACCAGGTAATACACAAAATTGTTCCTATAATCATGTCATATTTATCTTGCATTACTTGAAATTATAATAGTGTGAAGAAACATGCCATTGTATAATAAAGGATTTCACGGAAAAAAAAATATACATGTATCTATATAAAATAATGGAATAGATATTTCAAGAATATGTTGATGGCCTTTACTCTCAAATGACATTGCTTCATATCACAAAGTGATAGTTAGCTGCATAAAAGTTAAACTTCTTTAGACTCAGTTTGTTACTCAACTTGTTCATACTAGTAAAGTTGATGACAGTAAAAGAAGATAGGACAACGTATCTTGAAGGAGTACAAATAATTATAAAGAAGACTATATCAGAGAGTTAAATATATGTGTATATACATATGTGTATGTGTGTCTATTTGTGTGTCTGTATACATACATATATATATATAGAGAGAGAGAGAGAGAGATTTTTTTTTCTTATATTGTATAAGAACGATGAATATATCATTTCATTTTATATTCTGTATACACATACAAATTTATATATTAAAAAAAAACCTTATTAGACACAACACGTACAAAGATTTAAATAATTCTAATTGTACCCATAAATCCTTCAAATTATATTTTTTTTTTAGAGGAATGTTAAACATAATACAAATACTGTATCTTTTTATTAAAAAATAGGTTCAAAATTATTTTAAATCTTTTGTTTGTATTTAATACATGCTCTCTTTTCCTCAAAGAAGCAATCATATATCAGATACATAGTCTACTCTATTTCGACAATAAAAGTTACTAACAAAAAAAAATATGTATTATTTTTTCATAATTAGAAAATATATCATTTTATTTTCTTCTAAGCTCTTTGTGTAAATGTTCTTCGAGTCTCATTCTCATTAACTGTGACAAATGAAAGTTGTCTTTTTTATCCAATCAATTTGTAACAGTCACATCATCGATTATTAACATGATGCGATGGCTTTGAAAAAAAAAAAAAAATATAAAAATTTTTTTTTTCCTTTATAATCAATTTTTTTTTCCCTTTGCTGTTATTAAACAGAGTTTCCTTTGGTGCTCCGATAACACTTGAAAAATAAGAGACTCCGTTTCTTCTTTTAGTCAAATAGAGTACATCCTAACTTAACACTTGCTGTATATTTAAAGCCCTTTTGACGCATCTATATATTCGTATATTCCCCATATTTCTTATAACTTAAAAAGAAAACCCTCTCACGCTACCATCTTTATTTCCAAAAAAAAAGATCCTTTTTCTTGTGAACACTTATAAAAGAGAAATCTAGTTTATTCTAATTTAGATTTCTTAACCAAGTTACGAAGCGCCCTTTTTTTTTTAAAGTATATAGAATGTAAGTATTTTAGTATATATGCACGTATATAAACATACATATATTTATATATATATATGTTTATGCTTTTATATACAAACATATTTCGTAACTCAGAATTTTTTTCAATTAACATCAAGTAGAATGCAACCATTTACACCCTATTTTGCTGGCTATGAAAACCAGCAACAACCTCAAACAAGTCAACCTCAGCAACAACCACAAACAAATCAACCTCAAGATCATCAGCAACCTCAACAGCCTCAACCTCCTCAACCCTTGAGTATGAATGGTCCTAATCTTGCTATTTATAGCCCTGCTGCAATGCAGCCTTTATCTGTCTTGACAGCTCCTCAAACTAAACCTGATCAATCACAACCTCCTATGGGTACCCCTCCTGTTGACCTTGGTGCTCATGGTAAACCAAAAAGAAAGCAAGTAAAGAATGCCTGTGGTAAAATATAATATTATTATTATTATTATTTTACGTGTAAATTTGTTAATTGTTCTTTATCAATTAGTCAACTGTCAAAAAGCTTGTAAGAAATGTGATGAAGGTAGACCTTGTCAAAGATGTATTAAATATGGGATTACGGATACTTGTGTTAATTCTGTTCGTAAAGAACGTAAGAAGGGTATTAAACGTGGTCCTTATAAGAAGAGAAATAAGAATGGTATTTTTTTTTTTTGTTTTCAATAAAACGAAAAAATCAAGTGATACTAAAATAAGCCTTTTTCTTTATATATATACATATACATGTACATGTACATATTTGTATTCATATAATAGGTGTTGATAGCGCAACTTCATCTGGTACCTCTACACCTAATATGGCTTCTCCTATGACAAGTGCAAATATTTATGCTCCAAATAATAGTATGCGTGCTCCTAATACAATGCCAATTCATTATCAGCCATTTACTCAACCAGCTTATGATCCTTATGGTTATGCTAATAATGGTCAAATGATGCCTCAAGCATATATGGTTCCAGCTGCCACTATTCAGCAAATGTATCCAACAAATCCACCTGTTTTGTCTTATCAAGCTGCTATGAACATTATTTCTCCACAGCAACAGCAGCAACAGCATCATCAACAACAGCAACAACAACAACAAGCACCTTCTCTTATCAGTGGCAATTATAGACCTCAAGAACAACAACCACAACCACCACAACAACAGCAACAGCCTTCTACTGATCCATCTGTTAATGCAGCTAACACGAGTGCCACTGGTACACCTACTAATTCGACACCCGCTCATGGTGGTGATAACTTAAATGGAATCAAAGCTGAAGATGATGACGATGAAGGTTCCAAATTAACTATCTTATCTCAACTGTGTAGTGCTGTTTTAGATCGTAATGATGCACCTAAACAGGACACAATGACACTTCCTACTACTACTACCACAGAAGAGATTAAACAAGAAGAGGCGCATCAAAACACACCTCCTCCAAGTCGCCCTCATTCTCGTGAAACTTCCCATGACAATAACACGAATAATGTAACAATGCCTACCACAAGTGGACCTAATTTCGGAGCTGATTCTCCTCATACCTATGTTAATGGTCATTTAGCTCATCGTGGCCCCACTACTGCTGCTGGTAACAGTCCTGTTGGTACACCTCATGTTGCTTATGGAACTCCTGGTTCTTCTCCTTCTGAGTCACCTGTGGGTTCACTTCATTTCAATCATGTTCCTAAGCCTCAACCTTGGATGCAACAAGCAACCGCAAATATCACTTCCACTACTACACCTGATCCATCTCAACAACAACAACAACAACAACCTCAATAATAATAATAATAATAATAATGAATTTTTTTGATAAAAATAAAATATTCTTAAGACGAATTAATTTTACTGCCTAGCTTTTTTTTTTTTTTTCTTAAAGAAGCACTGATATATATATAATAAGTCCTATTATTCATCTTGTATCAGACAAGTGTTTTATTTATTTATTTATTTATTTATTTATTTATTTATTTACATAATAAGGGTTATATATATATAAATATGTATATGTATCTATATTTATTTAACTTGCTTAAACAACGTTTCCCTCAGAATAATACGATATAATAAAAACGATCGATTGAAGAAGAAAAGAAAAAGAAAAATAAATAAATATTAAGATCTAAGAGGGAGGTGCAGTTGTGGTAACATCTGAAACAACAGGATTGTTCTTTAAGGAAGGAAGATAACCAGCGCCTACGATGGGTTTCGTGCCACGATCGACCATTTCAACCTTGACGGGTAACTTGTAGGAGGCTAAACGGAAGGCGTCCTTGGCGATTTCCTTACGCATCCCGGCAATTTCAAAAATGATACGATTGATAGGGACACGACAGGCCCAATATTCAAACGCACCTTTACCTTTACCCATACGTACTTCATTCCCTTTACTGGTGACTGGAATATCTGGGAAGACTCGCATCCAGATCTGTGAGCCCTTGATGGTCTTCAACTTTCTTTTAAGTAAGTTATGAACCGCTGTCAACTGTCGTCCTGTCAAACGTGCCCCTTCCTTTATACGTAGACCAAAATCGCCAAATTCAACTGTCGTCCCCTTTGTCGATCCACCGACAGGAATAGGAATCTTGCCCTTCTGTGCCTTTCGGTATTTAGTACGTTTGGGTGAAAAGTTGGATGCCAAGCGAACAGATTGTGTCAGGGCTGCAGGGGGGTTCAGTAGTGTTGTCTTGCTTGACAATGGTTGAAAAAGACGAGTGACAATGTCAGATGTTGTGTTGATTGTGCCCAACATATTTCTTCTAACTGTTGTAAACATCCTGTATCTATGTCTTTGTTGTTGTTGTTTTTCTTTTAAGCTAAATGTTTCTATTAACAAAGGATATAATAGGTCTAAAAATAATAATAATAAAAAAAAAAAAATAAATTAAAAAAATAAAATGGACTGATGGGAGCCTTGTTTGGCTTTAAAGTGTACAAATATACGCACATATTCACTTATTATGGCGGGGAGGAGCTTTTAAACTCCGTACAATAAAATCGACTACTGCTGTTTATATAAATGATAACTCTTGATAAACTTTTGCTTAGAATGAACAAAACTTGTTGAAACAATGTTAGCGTATTTTTTTTTTATGAATATTAGAATAAAGAGGAGTGCAAACATAAATTATATATATAAGAATAGACTAAATAATGAATATTACTTTTCTTTATTGAATTATTCATACTTGCTAAACTTATCATTTTTATTTCTACGTATACAGGGAAATTCTATATTTATTAAAAAGTGCATTGTGTCATTTAGTTTGTTCTACTAGTTTTTTTTTTTTTTTTTTTTTTTTTTTTTTTTTTTTTTTTTTTTTTTTTTTTTTTTTTTTTTTTACAAGAAAAAAAATGAAGTTATGATGAATATGATGCTTTATTTAGAGTTGGGAGTAAATAATAGGGGATCTTTTATATACAAATGTAACGTCCTATTTATATAGTAATAAATAGATCAAATGGAACAATTTAAGCAAGTTTAAGGGAATGCATATTTTGAGGATGAGAACCAAGACCATTAGCATATTGTAATTCACCACTATTATTATTTTTTATAAGCAAAGATTAGACTCAAGTTAAAATTTTAAATGTACTTTTTTTTTTTCCTGTTTTACCTAGTCTCATACTCATACATATCAAGTGCAACAACACAACTTTCACGCACAACTCTTTCATGATCTTCTTTATATTGACTTAAAATTTCAAGTACTTCTGGTGTAGCTATAGATCCTAAAGCTTCAGCTGCTTCATGACGAACCATATCAATCTCAGATTCATCTTGAAGACATTCAGTTAAAGCAGGGACAGAGGCAGGATGTTGTAATTGACCAAAGACATAAGCAACTAAAAAAAAAAAAATTATTTAAAATGAAAAAAAGACAAAAAAAAAAAAGACCTCTTCTCATTTTTACCTTCATGACGGAACAAAGCACTCTTATCTTTTAAGCCTTTAGCTAAAGCAAGAACAGCTTCTACACTACCAATTTCACGCAAAGCAAACATGGCTCGATAACGTTTAAATAATTTAAAATCAGGGTTAGTTAAGATAGCTTCTAATTCTTCTACTGATTTTGTTTCAGTTGCAGGTGGAGCAGGATCTACTGAGCTATAGGCACTTTTATTTGTTTCTCTTTCAGCCTTTGTCTTTGGATCATTTTCATATTTGATTCTATCAATCGCAAGTTCACAGGTTTCTACAACTGCAACACTTTTATCATTCAAGTATTTTTCAAGCACAGGAAGTGATTCTACAGATCCAATAGCACCTAAAGCTTCAGCAGACTAATAAGGATGATATGACACCGTGTTAATATATATATATGTCTATTTATATAGTATCAACTATATATTTATATACATGTATACCTCATGACGAACAATTTCAGGCTCATTCAAGTCTTCTAATATTTGAGTAAGAATACCATTAGCACGAGGATTACCAATCTGACCAAGACAATAAGCAAGTTCATGTTTTAAAAGTTCGGAATCATCATTGAATGCTAATCATTATTATTATTAAAAATAGGCTTACTTTATTCCCATATATTTCAAAAGTTAGTTTACCTTTAGCTATAATGTCAATAGCTTGGTCCGTAGCTATATTCTTGAGAGTAAATAATGTTCTAAAGCGTTCAGCAAGTTGAACTTTGCCAGAAGTATTACAAAGTGAGTCTTCAAGTTTCTTATAATCCACATTAGCAAAATTGGTCATTTTTTTTTTGTGTTTTTGTTTTTGTCTTGTTTTATAGACAGACAAAAATAAAACAACTTTTTATATCTTTTAGATCTTATTTAAAAAAAAAAAAAAAAAAAAAAAAAGGATTTAAGCCACCTTGTAATTTTAATCTCTCACTCCACACAAAAGGTGAATACATAATCAGATTATTTTCCCCGCGGATAATGATGAAAACAATAAAAAAAAATTATGATTGCGTTAATTTAAATCTGACACAAGTTATCGTCATGAAAGGTAATTAAATAAGGAACAATGTTCTAGAGACTTACTTTATCATCACAGATAGTAATAATAGAATTGACAAGTTAATAACACACGTCATCCATAACATGTATATTTGGGATGGATTATAAATAAATACATCAAATAATGATAAACTAGAGATCATTAGGATGGATAGCCAGTAACAATCATAATGAAATATTCAGCTTCTTTGATTACATAAAGAAGAGATAGGATAGCAGTTAATTGATAATATGAAAAAAGAAAAAGTCAGGTTAAAGATGATCATTACCTGTTACAAACATCAGATAATAAATAACGATGATTGTTGTTGTACTGCTGTAATTTTAAAAATTATTTGATAAACACTCGGATTTTTAAAAATAAGAAGCTACTTGTAGTGACATATAAAAATCTTTTTTTTTTCTCTTCTTTTCCTTTCTCTTCTTTTAATTTGCAAATAAAAATGAATGACCTCTTGGGCGATGAAATACTTGGTCATCCTGGATTAACTATTGAACAACAGAAAAAGATTGCTGAACTTCAATCACAAGCTGCTAATCGATCCTTATCTACACCATCTGCAGAACGTTTCTCTATGAAACAACCCACATGTTCCCTTTATGTAGGTGAATTAGATCCTGAAATTGACGATAATGTTTTAAGAGAACACTTTAAAACTGCTAAAAGTATACATATCTGTCGTGATCATGTTACTGGAAGAAGTTTAGGCTATGCTTATATCAACTTTTACAAAGCAGAAGACTGTAAATAGATTATACAAATTAAATAATGATCAAAATAATAATCCATTTTTACTTAGGTTCTGATGCTTTGAAAAATATGAATTATTCATTAATTAATGGTAGACCTTGTCGTTTGATGATGGATGAAAAAGATCCAAATAAAAGAACTACTGGAACAGGAAATTTAGTTATTAAGAATTTACCCATCTCAGTAGATGAAAAATCTTTATATGATACATTTGCTCAATGGGGTAATGTTGTTTCTTGTAAAGTTATAAAGAACCCTAATGCAATTCGCTGTTATGGCTATGTCAATTATGATTCAATTAGTGCTGCTTCAAGAGCTATTCATTTAGTGAATGGGACATTTCTTTTTGGTAGACAAATGTAAACAGGAAAAAAAAAAGAAAAGAAAAAAAAAGAAAGAGAAAATAACCCATATTCATGAATGGATATTTATATACATTTATATATTTTTCCTTTTAATAGTGAAGTCAGTCATCAGGTTCCCAAGTCTGAAAGAGAAGCTTTAGCGAATGAGCAGAATATGAAATCACAAAAATTTACAAATATTTATATCAAGAATATTGCTCTAGATGTAACAGAGAACGAATTGCGCGAATTGTTTGGTTCAATTGGCCCTGTATCTTCCTTATTAATTCAACGTGATGAAATTAATATTTCAAAAGGGTTTGGATTTGCTAATTATGAATCTCCTGAAGACGCAGAAAAGGCGATTGAAAAATTCCATAATTATGATTTTTATGGGAAAAAACTATTTGTCACTCGAGCACAGAAAAAGTCTGAACGTGAGGATGAATTGAGACGTCAACATGATTATCAATCACGTATAGAGAAAACACCAAAATACCAAGGGGTTAACTTATACGTAAAGAATCTAGCTGATGATGTGGATGATGAACGATTAAAGAAAGAATTTGCTCGTTATGGACAAATCACAAGTGCCAAAGTGATGAGGGATGAAAGAACAGGTATGTCTAGAGGATTTGGATTTGTTTGCTTTGCATCACCAGAGGAAGCAACTGAAGCAGTTGTGCAAATGAATGGTTGTCAAATTTCTTCAAAAGAAATTTATGTTGCTGTTGCACAGCGTAAAGAAGATCGTCGTCAGTTTCTTGAGTCACAGCTTGCACAGCAGAAGAATTTCCTAGTTCCTCTTTCACCACGTCCATATCATCCACAACAAAACTCTTCATCTGGACAAGATGCCAAGTATTCCAGTGATAACACTATTTCTACCCTTAACTCAAATGATACAAGTAACCCATATGAATTAACATTAGCTGGTTTAGAAGCCTATTCACCGGAAGTCCAAAGTCAAATTTTAGGTGGACGAATTTATTCAATCATGTAAGTATTTTTTTTTATGCGAAACTTTAAAACTAAAAAAAGAAATTAACCTCATTTATGTCTAAAAAAAAAAAAAAAGATCTAATACATATCCTCAAGAAGCAAATGAATTAACAAATGTATTGCTAGAACAGGATAAAGCTAAGCTAATCCAGCTTATCAATGATCCGTCTAAATTAAAAGAAAAAGCAAAGGAAACCATTCTATTACTGTATTAGAGGAAACATGGCTAAAAATGGACCAATAAGCAACTATAGTCTATATTTGCATATTGTGACCTGTAATTCTACTTCTAGCCACACACACACACACATACGCACACAAAAGAAAAAGGAAAAGAAAAAAGGAAAAAAAAAAAAAGAGACATATCATACATGTGTATATTTTAAATTTCTTTTGTTAAGGTTATTATTATTGCTAAACATAACATATAGTATACCATATAACATTATATTGTTTCATTTAATATATTTATATATTATACAATAAAAAATATTAATAATGTATATCAAGCTTAAAATTTCTTTCTTTCTTTCTTTCTTTCTTTCATTTTTTTGGACTCTTTTTTATTATTATTATGACGTCAAATAAACCTATATCGTTCACAACTACAAACGAAGGTATTCAAACAAACAGACAACAACCATCTATACCTACCACCTCTACTTCAACTTTACCTGTCTTTTCTACCGCTTGTAATACAACTGTCAAGATCATTCCTCCTAGAACAGCAAAAGAACCGAAAACATCCACTAGTCATCCCATTAAGTAAAGAGATGACATTTTATTTATTTATTTATTTTTTATTTTTTTTCCACCACTTGCTGAATATGTTATATATTTATTTATATAGTATTAGTTGGGTCATTCCTATTGATATTTTGAATTATTTGTCGACTACAAAAGGATTTCCCAATAATCTTGATCTATATGATTTTCTCGATCCTAATGTAAAAGAGAAATGGCTTAAGCATGATGAACAACAAAAACAACTACATTCAGAGTCAACGAATCGACATGGGAGAGGCAATTTATGCCTAAGTTCCTGTCCTGGTAAGAAAGTGAGATTGACTGGACCTGTAGGTGGTAGAGCAGCTATCAATCGTGATTTAGATATGGATTTTGAACGTATGAGAACGGTCGGGATTACAATGATTATTTGGTAATGCATATAGATGATACTATTTTATATTATATATGCCAGCCATGTATCGTAATGACATTTTATGATAGCTGTCTAGGCGATGATGAATTAGCATTCTTGGGCGCACCTTGGCCAAAATATATCAAATCAGCAAAAGAACATGGTATGGAAGTTATAAGATTACCCATGTTGGAAGGACGTTGTCCGAATACACTATTTGAAGTGAAAGAGATAGTGAAAAGAGTGAATATAGAAATATATAAAGGAAACAATGTACTAGCGCATTGTAGAGGTGGTAATGTATACAACATGATCATCATCCCCTCCTCTTTACTTATGTGTCTATATTAGGTGTTGGTAGAGCTGGATTATTTGCAGGATGTTGGTTATTAGAAAACTTATTATGTAAAGATGCAGAAAGGACAGTGGCAGTTTTAAGACAAAGACGAAGCTCAAAAGCAATTGAAACTTATATTCAAGCAGAATATTTAATTCGTTATTCGATCACTGTGAGGCATCCATTAGGGATATCATCGATGGTTACTGAAGGGGCAATAGTACCCTTTGAATTCGAAGTAGGCCCTCCTTCTCTATCGCTTATTGCCGAGCTGGAAAAATTCATATTAACTCATGATTCATCACAACAACAAAATGATGAAATCATAACTGCTACCACAGAGATATCACCACCGACTGTAATCATTCCCAACACTATCTCTTCAGATTCTTCTTCTTCTTCACCTACTCAAATTCGTAATACAGCAAAGTTATTATATTCACCAAGATATTAACAAAAAGTATCATGCATACATCGTATATAATACAAAATCTTACTTTTTTCTATTATTAGTTTCATATATAACATGCCTTGTATAATAGAGATTAATATAATTACACCGTATGACATTTTTGAATACTGAATTAAATAAAAAAAAGAAAAAAAAACTGTTAAATTACATGGTAATTATTATCAAACTATTTCAAATGTTAGTAAGAAGAACATTAGCCAGTATCTTTATTCTTTCATTCCAAAGCAATTATTTATCTTTTCAATTTTTTTTTTTTTTTTGCTGTATTAACACATTACACTAAGATTGTTATCAAGCAAGATAGCTAAACAAAATCCAAGGAGATGAGGTCAAATACATATAGGCAAGCCCTTCAATTTAATTGGCCAAGCATGACAGCTTTGATCTTATCATCCAAGTACTTACCTTTCTTTGCCAAGTTTTAATTTATATCGCTTTGCCACATCACTGCCAACTGTTATATACATGATGATGTAATAATTGTATTAAAGTCAAGAATGACTAGATGATATAATGATTATTAGTTGTATACTTTAGGTATACAATATTATTTGATTTTAGTTTATAAGACATTCTTGTGTTATGAATAAAAATAACAAATATTGATGTTATAAAATAGCGAATTAATCAAACATAGAATAAAGAATGACTAATGATAAGGATCCATGTATTGAATACATTAGTTAACTATATACAATAGTGTTATTGATCTATGCTAAACTATCTATAATAACTCTATCCATGTTGAGTACTACATTGTTATACGTGTAATAATATTTATACATGTATATATTTTTTGAGGGGGAATTACGAATAAAAGAATGTTTGACACATACTATATGCTTTCCTTACTAAGTTATTCGCAAGTATAGACAATATTTGATTCTGAGGGAAAAGAACAAACACTTAATATGATCTTGCTGACTGAGATTCATTTCCAGTCAGGGGAAAAATAATAAATGTCGCTATTCTTCTTTTAACCTTTCCTCATCATGCAAATGCTGCAAAATTTATCTGTTCTTCAGAAGATCTATTTTGTACTTGTTTTGAACTCATTGATAGAAGGTTTGAATATACATATTTTGTTCTGTCTTCTTTGACTTTTTACCTGATTAACAACATGATTTTAGTTAATGCATATTATTTTTTCATTTGCATTTGTATCTTTTTTTTTTGTGAAACTCAAAAAGTGAGGAGATAAACATGTTAGCCACCTTTTGGAAAAAACTACAATTTGATACGCAAACAGATAGAATGTGTAACATTTCAGTTTTTATTGTTTATTCTATGTCTCCCTTTTTTTTTTTTTTTTTCAAAGGGAATGATAAGACTTCTTTAGAAATTTTATAATACGTAAAATTCATTTATAAGAAATAAAAAGGAAAAATAAAAAAAATACAACAAAAAGTAAAAGGAGAAAAGAAAAGTCATACACTTGTATATTGCAAATTAAAGGAGTAAACAATAATAGATGCATGTGTGTGAAAAAAAAAAGAGGTCTAATATGTTCTTCTTTTTTTTTTTTAAAGTAAAAAAAAAAGAGAAATAAAATACTTTTTCATGTTTTTCTTTTCTTTATTATTATTTAGCACAAGAATATTCGTATACGTTGCCTTTTCTTTTCTTTTTTTTTCCTAAAGTTAGAGAAAGTCAGGGTTATGAAGTGTGCTCAAGTCACATAGCTTGGCTTACTTGAGAGTGTAGAACTGTCCGTTTATAACATGGCTAAAGGAGAGGGCCTAGACTCTCTTTTGGTTACTACATGCATATCCGCCTTCACCTTGGGTTATTGCAACCTTAGATAATTGATGGGACCTTATCGAATTTTGACTGCTCAAGTTTGATTTATTTCCAAAGGAGGAGGGAAATAAAAAGGATACTTGGGGTTGGAAATTGTAAACCTGTTCCTTTTTTAGGGAGATTAGCGTACTCTTTGTCTGCACCATTGAAAGGGCTTATCTCAAGGTTTAGTTTTTCTGTTTTTCTTTTTGGAGGTTTTTCCTTCTTTTTATTTTTATCTAGTTGCTGTTTATAAAATAAAAATAGATAAGGATGCACAGCTTACGTTTCTGACCGTGGTTTTTTCATCTATTTATTTAGTTGAAGAATCCCAACTTGTATTTACTGTTAAGTCAAAAGTAGATGCTAGGGGTCAAAGAAGGGACATTCTCAGGTAAACAATAGTCAAGTCGTGCACTTCATATATCTGGATTTCTTCCACTTCGCCACGCTACAGGTCAGAATGTTTAGCCCGGCTTCCAATGAAACTTACATCCAACTGTATTTTTTTATTGGGTTATGGGGTGAGGAATCCTATCTTTTTCTTCTAGCAAGGCTTGGGCCAGGTTGGACTTTGCCAAGTGTCTACTAGTCGAAATTGGTCTATCTTTCTTGAAGAGGAAAAAGAAAAAGAAGAGATCAACCTCTATACAAGGGGGATTGGTTATAATTTTATTTTTGGGATTAGATATGCTTTCACCTTCTCGTGGTTAATCCTGTTAGTATCAACTCTCTTCTACTAAAGAGATTTGAGAACTAAGAAAAGCATAAATGCGTAGTAATTTATTATTATTATTAAAAGTTATTCATACAATTCAATTTTTCCTTTTTTTTTTTTTTTTTTTTTTTTTTTTTTTTTGGAAACACGAACAAGCATGTTCTGGGCTCATTAATTAATTAATTTGTCTAATAACAAAACATTAAACTCAATTTCTTTTTCCAAAAATAACATTCTAACTACAAAATATTTATAGAATACGACATTTAAGTACAACAAACTACAGCGGATAATGTTTTGCAGATTGTAAAAACTAAATCTTAACTTTATCCCTTTGTAGACTATAGAATGTAATGAAATAAAAAAAGGAATTTTTTCTTTTTATTACTATTACGATGACAGGATAACATGAGTAAATAAATATAGTATCTGTAAATATAAATACAATGGATATAATAATAAATAAAAAAAAGGATATATAATAAATAAAAAAATGCTAAAAAAAATGAATGGATAATTAATAATAGACCTAAATTAATCGTGTATTGTAGTTCTTTCAAGTATAAAAGAAAGATGCTCTTGTGCGGCATAGCTTCCTTTACTAGCAGCAAGTCGATACAAATCATCTGCTTTCTTTATATCTACTTTATCGACAAGACCTCTTCGATAAAATTCCGCTAATTTAAACATAGCTGTAGCTTCATCTTCTTCAATTTCTTCATCCAAAAGCATCATCATAGTAGAAAAGATTTCTTTTTGTTGGTCTGCTAATGAATACGACTTATTTATTAACTCACTATACCAATAGAAGGCTTGATTCAAATCTTGTTCAACTCCAAGACCATTTTCATAGCATTGAGCAACATCAAGATAAACACGATATCCAAAGTCTTCATCTTTGGCAAATTGGATAAGAGTAGCAGCGGCTTCTTCTTTACTGGCTTGAATAGAAGTTATATCATCATTGGCCCAACCATAAAGATGGTATCGTGCAATCATCATTTTTGATAAATATTGAAATTCGAGTGGCGCATGCTGATGTGCAGCTTGAAATAATTTATAGGCTCGAGTACGACTATCGATGTCATGATGTAATATACGTCCAAGGTTGTATTCTGCTTGCCAACGATAAGGTGCATTCTTATAAATTTCAAACAACTGAACAGCAATTTCATACTGCTCTAATGCAATTATTGGATCTGGAGGAACAAAGATACCATGCTGGTGATAGATACCAAGGTAATAAGTTGCTGTAGGATGTCTCTGTGCTGCAGATCTACAAAATAGATCATATGCTTTTTCGAAATCTTGTTGGATAATGATATATTCATCATCATCATCATCATCTTTATTCTCTTTTTGATGAGTGTCATCTCTTTCTTCTATATTTGCTTCTTTACCACGATGATAGAAAAGCCCGAGCTCAAATTGAGCCTCACGTAAACCAAGTTCTGCAGCAAGTTGAAGTTTAGCAAAGCCTTCTTCTTGTTCCTCTATACAAAAATTTTCATTCAAAAACAATGTTCCTAATTGAAGCATAGCCTCTGGAACATTCAAGTCGGATGCAGTTCGCAGGTATTCAATTGACATGCATATATCAGGTGATAATAGAAATGAATGAAGGTCATCGTCCTCCTTTGGAATACCCTTCAAATAGTATAATCCTAGATAATAACAAGACAGTCCATGATTTTCAGGATTTGCATTAACAGCCAAATCATAAAACTTGAAGGCCTCAATATCTTTATTTGATGCTGAAATACGTCCCTGTGCATACATTTGCGCAATACGGTAGTAAGCTTCAGCATCGTGTGTCATCTCAGCAGAGCGGATGTACCATTCATATGCAAGTTGATCATCTTTATCAGTGCCAATCCCATTTTCGTAACATTGACCCAATGTGTTATAAGCGTGAACACAATTTAATTCATTAGCACATATTAAAAGTTCCTAATAAATAATAATAAAAGAGAGAGAAAAAAAAACCCCCCAGAAGTTTAGCAATTAGAAATTGAATTATGTATGCTAAATCAATTTTTATTTTTTATTTACCTGAAAACCTTTTTCTGGATTTAACTCAATGCCACCATAACCCTCTATACAATAACGTGCACAAAAGAAGCGGGCAAGAACACTACCTTGACTTGCAGCCTTTTCAAAATACTCTAATGCTGCGGCGTATTGCTTTTGTTCATACCAAGCCTCTGCAGCGTATAAAGTGGCATTCATATCACCCAAGTGTGATGCTCTTTCAAAACATTGAATTGCTAAATTTTTCTCATCCTCTTCACTCTGGAATCGAGATTCATTCTCTTCGTTATCTTCACAAAGACTAGTTTGCGTGCTACTTGGGGTAGGCGGCAATTGATGTGTTTCGTTTGTAACAAGAGGAGGAGAAAACTTAATTTTTGTTTTAATACAATTATTATAGGCCTTCCCCAGGATAATAAGAGATTCTGTATCACCCGCATCTCCTGCTAGATGTAAATACCTCAGGGCCTCCTCAAGACATTCTTGTTGTTGCATTGGTGCATTCAAAAAGGGAGCATCTAGCTGTTCAAGATATTTTTGTCCTATAACACGCATGGCGAATACATGGCCTAAGGAGGCAGCCTTCCTTTGATAGTGTAGTTCCAACTCATGATCATGGTTCATGCTAGCCATTTGCGCTAGCATCCATGCACTTTCAGGATGTGATTTGGATTCAGCCAATTTAAACCAATCAGTAGCTTTATGCTTATCGACTTGTATCTCATCATATTCACCGTGAAGATAAATCATGCCCATACGATATTGAGCTTCTGTATATCCTAATTCGGCACTCCTTTCAAGATAAGTCAGTGCTAAACGAATATTAACAGAGATACCCTCAATAAGTCCACTCCCATATATATCGGCTAGGTTAAAATAAGCAATACGATCGTTGAATTCTTCAGCTGATTTTCGAAACCAGAAAACGGCCTGAAGGGCATTTGCTTTAGTACCAGTACCGTTCAAATAACAGACACCCAAGGGTTGAAATGCATCAGAGAATTGATATTGAATAGCCAGCTCAGATAGTATATTAAATGCAACCTCAGGACAAATAGTTTTCTTGGTATCAAGTAATTCTTGAAGACCTCTAGCATTAGTTTGTACAGAAGGAATATAGCCTAAAGCTAATCTAGCTACCATCATTCGAGCAGTCATTCCCGTCTTGTTCTGTTCAATCTTTGGTTCTTTAGATGCTAATAGATAATAGTCATAGGCAAGGGTTAAATTGTCTATTTCATAATATAATTCAGCAGTTGCGGAATAAGCACTAAAAGAGTGGAAATAAAAAGGAGCAAGTAAAGAAAGAAAGAAAAAAAAAGAGAGAGAGAGAGGGAACAAGAGTTACGTGAGTATATCATCATTAAATAAAATAAATAAAAATAAATAAAAATAAATAAAAAAAATAAATAAAAAAAATAAATAAAAAAAATAAATAAAAAAATAAAATTAACAATAGTTATACTTACTAAGGGTAACCTAACTTTGCAGCCTTTAAATAATATTCTACAGCGATATCTAAATTTCTTTCTGTGCCAGTTCCTTTATGGTAACAATCTCCTAAAAATGCCATTGCTTCAGCATCATTTTTTGCAGCAGCTTTTGAAAGTAAATCGATTGCCATATGGAAATCAGTGTTTAGACCGTGTCCAGTTAAATACATCTTGCCTAATTCACGTTGAGCATAAGTATTATCTCTTTCAGCTGACTGTTTTAGGCATTGAATAGCACTTGTCCTATCTTGTTGAGCTAGTTGAGTAAGACCTTCATAATGATGAGTTACCATGAACTGTAAATAGATACGAGCCATGTAAGAGATAGACTCATGGATACCAAGGCGTGCTGCCTTTTGAAACCATTCTAAGGCTGTTTCTAAATTAGGCTTATTATCTTCTTGGCCAATTCCTTTATAATAGCAAAGACCCAAAGAATGCATAGACATAGGATGACCCTTAATTGCAGCCTTTTGATACCATGGAAATGCGTCCTCTGGCCCCTTAAGTGGTATTACCTGATTAGACATCATATATGCAACCTATTTCATCATATTTAATATATATATAATGTAAATTAATATAAATATATATTAATTACCAAAAATGTGGCATCATTATCACCACCTTCTGCAGCGATCATAAAATGTTGAAATGCCTTTAGACGATCGATATCGAAAAGTTCTGGGATACCTTCATCATAGATTGACCCTAGCCAATAATGAGCATGGGGATTACTTGATGTCTCCACCAAGTTTAAGAGCATTTTATGTGCTAATACAGGATCATACTGAATACCTTCTATAGCCTCCCGACAAAGATGATATCTTGCTACAGATAAATGTGCAGTTTGAATAGATTGTTTATCTTTAACAGGATCACCATATTTGAGAACATGGCTATAAAGACGGAAGGCATCCGTGTGTCTGGCAAGTTTTTGTAGTAAAAGCGCCTGATCAATTTGTACATTGTACATATATGGACTGTCTATCTCAGCGGCCTTGGCATAGAATGCTAATGCCTTCTCCAGATCAATATCAACCCCGATACCGTACTCATAGCATTTCCCAAGAAGGGCCATAGCAGGAACATCTTTACCAGTAGTAGCAGCACGTTTATACCATCGAATTGCCTCACGTTCATTTTTCTTAGTCCTTTGTCGACTGTCAATTGAGATGGTTGTGTCCTGGGGTGGTAAAATGACATTCCCTTGTTGATAGAGTTGACCAAGCACTCGCTGAGCGTAAGGAAAGCCTGCCATAGCAGATTGCTTGATGAGTCGAATTGCTTCCTTATGATTCCTTTGTCTATCAAGACGACCGAAATAATAGACAAGACCAAGAATATATTGCGCTGCGTGATTATTATTTTCAACGGCAGCCTTATAATGAAATAATGCCATGTCATTGTTTTGTGGAATACCTTCTCCCTTATCGTACAAGATCCCCAACTGAACATGTGCACGGCTATTTCCCTAAATAATATATTGATAAATTAAATTTTTTTTTAAAAAAAAAAAAAAAAATACTAATATATACATATATGTATGTATTTTACTTTTTGTATGGCTTTCTCCAGCCATTCAATTCCTTGTACATAATCATGTTCTATTATTAGTCTGTCACCTAAAGCAGCCTGAGCATCTGGAAACCCTTGTTGAGCACTCTTTTTATAATATTCTTTTGCCTTTTTTAAATCCTGTGGAATATCAAACCCTCTTTCATAATGAACACCGATAAGGAACTGAGCATACCTAAATATATATATATATATATATATATATATATATATATTGTATATATTCAAATATAATATTTAGTATTAAATAATAATAATAATAATAAATAGCAGAACTATATACGTATATACATATATATTTATATTTATCTATTTACATGTTATTATTCTTGGCACTTTTATGTAAATAATTTAATGCTTCATTTGTATTTTGTTCAACACCCTCACCTTGAAAAAGCATTCGAGCTAATGCGCATTGTGCTTCAGCAATTGTAGTTAGAGTAGACTCATTGATTTGCATGCATTCACTCGCTCTTCTAAAACATTCAAAGGCTGCTGTTTTATCTACCTTTTTCCCAATTTGAATACCATTTAGATAACATTGGCCAAGGGTATAGTAAGCCTCACATGATGGATTTGATTTCAATAAATCGAATCCACGGTCTATATCTGTAGTCACGCCTAGGCCAGAGATAAGACATTTAGCAAGATAAACAATGGCTATATGATTACTGTCATTTATTAAAGAGAATGAAGTGTATTGTTCAAGAGCATTATAAAACTGAGTCCAATCGAAAGGATCATTCTGTTGTTGAGCTCTTTGATATGCTTCCTTTATGATGAGATGTGATTGTTGAGGATATGTGTTTAACATATTTAAAATATCCTCGGTTGAGATTGCATTTATTAAATGCTTTCTATTATTATGGCTGTTATTGTTTTGATTAAAGAACTGATGAAAAGGAGATGAAGATGCTGTTTGTGTAATGGAATCTGAGACAGGATACAAAGATTTTCTAGAGATAGTCGATTGGTCAGTGATGTCGGTGAATGCGGATGTATTTACTTCAATTTGAGAGAATGGATCGTTCGATAAGGTTGTCCAAGCAACACTACTGATATTACTTTTATTTGAATAAAGACCTGCATCGCTAGTTGAGTTACTACTAATGACAGATAAATGCTTTGTGGTAATTCCACTATGACTGTTTAATACACTAGAGGGTGAATTTATACGTCGAGGTCTTTTTAATTTTAATGGGTCGTAATAAGGTGAAGGAGAGAGAGATGAAGGTTTATTAAAGCTTGAAGGACTCGATTGCATACTTAATGGCTGAGTGATACGATGACTATTATTTTTACTTTTTAAGTTTGTTGTTGTTTCCATTGTTGTTGTTGTAACTTGGTTTTCAATTATTTTATCTTTAGGTAATTCGTGTTCAGTTGTCGTACAGGAAGACGGAGTTGAGAGATAGTTATCTGTTACTGTAGTAGTAGTAGTAGTAGTAGTCAACTTCTTCTTCCTATTTGACCTTAACACTGCTTTTAGATGGTTCTTTCTTTTCTTGTTATGATTAAGAGATAAGTCATTATGATAATTGGTATTGACTAACCGAGAATTTGGATCGTTACTGCTTTTACTATGTTTTGCTCCCATTTAATTAAAGTTTTTTTTTTGTTATACTAAAAAAAAATAAAATAAAAATATAAAGGTTGGGTAGGGGTAGAGAGAAGCCTTATTGTTTTTTGTTTGTTTGTTTGTTTAAATAGATATTATATAGAATCAAAATAAACGAAAGAAAGAAGAAATGAGTAAAAGAAAAGCTGATTTTCTTCTTGAATTTTTATGCTGTAATATATTAAAAGTTGAGATCAGGTGTATCTCTGCAACTTGAAAAAAAAATGAAATTTAAGGGGGTGAATTTATTGTATGTAAATGTAATAATGAAGTAATTAATATATATGCTTAAGCATATATAATTGTTATATATAATGAAGGGAGATTAAAAATAGGCTGTTTTAAAAAGAAAGGACAAAAAGAAAAAAAAAAGGAAAAAACAAGAAATGAAAGAGAAAGAAAAAAAGAGAATAAATAAATAAATAAATAAATCTTCCCTAATTTGATTAAAAAGGTTCCTAAAATGTATATTTGAGAATAATAAGCATAAAAAAAAATACAACTTCCTTCAATAAATTAGAATTCGTCTAACCTCAATAGAGCCCATTATTTTTGTGTTCAACAATTCTAGTTCGCTATTGTAGGCTTAATTTTGTGTTCATTATTATTATTTTTGGAGATGAAATAGGGTACTTTTATTAAAAGAAAAAGGTAAGAATCCAATCCTTTTGATTAGCTTATTAACTTCTTCTGTAGACAATAAACTCTGCTTATTGATACAAGCCTATCTAAAATGGACCCTAAATTTATTTTAATATCTATACTTCTCCGTTCTTGTGTTATGCTGTACGTATCATCTTTTTTTTTCCTCTTCTTCTTCTGGGATGCTACTCTGTGATCATAAAATAGTAGTAATGGATCATGTCATTATTGTTTTTTGTTTTTTATTTTTATTTTTGCGAGTTGTCAGACCATTTTTTTTTATTGTTATACACGTCCTAAAGAATAGAGTACACTTTTAAAGAAGAGATCAAATAATTAGGGTTTAGAAATATCAATAATACTGTTAAAAGGCAAATAGTCACTTAAATTGATAGCTTTTTAGAGCCTTTTTTTTTTCCTATTTCTTAACAAACATGTCTGTGTAAAAAGCGTAATTTCTTAATATTATTTATATGCACAGATCTTTTTTTTTTATTATTATTACTATTAAATACAGATATGATTTAACGTAGTTTATTGCTACGAATCTTCATTACTACTACTACTACTAGTATCTTCAACCCTTGTTCTATGACCTTTTAAGTTATATAAGACTGCAACATCATTAAAAGAACGTTTTACTTCATTTGTTAACTATTTATATATTAAGAAGGATTTTAATCAGTTTATGATTACATAAACAGGTATCTACAATTACCTTTTTTATATGCCCCTCTTCAACTAATCTATTAAAAACAATCTTACTTTGTGATTGTTCTCCATAGTCAAACATCAAACTAGAGCGTACTTTTTCAACAAGGTTTTTTACATTATTATACATGTGTGACGAAAAATGTTTATAATAGTGATACATCTCGCCTTTTCTACTACATTCACTACCAAGATAAAATGTAACTGAGCTCGGTAAATCGTCCGAAGAAAGTTTTATTTGAATCTTTGCTGGCTTATTATTTCGGCATGCTTCACATTTTATAATATCATAACAATCAAATAGTGTAGAAGAATCTTTTTGTTTCCATATTGAATATGTATCGATTGCTTTCTATTATTTGATTATGTTGTATTAATTGTATGCATATACATATATATATATATATAGTTGCCTTATTGTTGTATTATACCTTAAATTCAGGAAGCCAGACGTCACTAGTTACCATTGAATCTTTATAACCTTGTATTCTTTTCATGACCGTATTTTTAGCTATACTATATTGAGCATGTGTTGCTAATATATTGAGATTTACTTAGATAAAGAGAGAGAGAATAATAATAATAATAGTAGTAGTAGTAGTAAATATACTTACAAATATCGAATGTAGGGTTCAATATTAATTCTATCAAGTATTGTATATAAATTTCAAGCTGTCTTCTAAAAGATAAGAGTCTTCTCTTACTGAACTCAGCTACACAATACAATGTAAATTAGTTATCATTTGATTATAATTAAAACGTGTTGTGTAATTTACGTGGCATTTCCATTATAGCTAATTCGGAATCTTGAACAGTGGCTTTCTCACCATCAATGATATCGTCATCTACAATAAATTCATCATTGTCCTCATCCTCATCAGTACATGTGTCACTATCAGTATTCATATGAATTGAATATTTTTCAATAGGGCCCTTCTCTACTACATCATATTCTGATAATTTAGATTTTCGATCTATAGTAATAATAATATAAGAATATTACTTGTCCTTTTTTTTTGTTAATAATAAAAGACCTTTTAACTTCTTTAAGGCTTCACTATAGCGTGATGTTCGTCTACCTCGTGTTCTGCTTTGTAATATGTCTATAGATACATTAAGTATATATGAATATATACATATTTATATATTATTTTTGCTTTTGCTTTTGCTTTTTTTTTTCTGTACCTGATTTATCAAGAAAATTTAAATCATCTTGAATATCATCCTCTTTGATAAAAGATATGCATGTATCAGTGATTTAATATAATATAGGCGTTATTGTATAACTACCTGATCCTGATACATTATCTTGTTTGGAATACTTTTCATTTTCTTCCTCTTCGTCGCTATCAATAATAAGTCTTTTTCTTGTTGGTCGTTTTTTCTTGTGACTCAAAACATCTTCTTCTTCTTCTGATATAATTAATGATGGTTCATCTTTATTGCCTTCAGAGATCGTATCTAATTCAAGATTATCATCATCGATCTCGAATACTTTTTCTAACATTGCTACATCATCAATATACTTGTTATTAATCTCGATTGCTTTTTCTGACATTATTGATTTATTACAATTGTCTTTATTTGACGTTTGCGCACTAAATAATAATAATAATAAAAAGAAAAGAATAGGGTTGCCATAATTGTACATTAATTATAAACATGTCTGTTTTTGATAAAATTGCAATTATATTTTGTTTGTTTGTCTGTTTGCTTGCTTTCATTTTACTTTTCCTCATTCTGGATAGATAATACTTCTAAACTACTCGAGATATCTTCATTTTTCTGTTCATTTTTTTCTTGTACTTTAAAGTAATTCAATAAAGTCTTTTGTCTTTTTTGACTTGGTTGTTTATTTTTTGACATTACTTGAAATAATAAGTAAAATAAAATAAAAAATAAAATAAACTAAAATAAAATTAAAATAAATTTAAATTTAAAATTAAGCTTAAGCTTATTATCTCTCCTTATTGTTTTATATAATAGAATAATAAATAGTTTTTTTTTTCTTTTTCTTTTTTAGGCTTCTTTAAACATCCAACCACCTTTGCCCATGGTATCTATAAATTTGGAATCAGCCTTTTCAATCATCTTTTTACGCAAGTCACCATAAATTTCTTCTCCAGCAACAGAAACAAAATATTTAGGAACCCATTTCTCTTTCCTTTCTTCGCGCTCCTTTCGTAGGACGCGTTGTTGATTTTCAATTGCAGATTTTTCACTTGAAGCAGTAGCATAATCTCCTGATTTAAGCGCTTGAGATACCTTTTGCCAAATACGACGAGATTCTAATTCGTCTTGTTCTTCTACAGGTCTAACATAAGGCTTGGGTTTCTCAAGTATATTTAAATCAAGAAAATTCTCTGTCTTTTTATTCTTTGTGATTGTAGATTTACCCGTCCATTGTCCTTCAATAATGGTAGGACTTGTGAGTGATTCATGAGAAATAGTTGCCTTGAAGTGATGAATTTCTCCAGAAATCCATCCTTTTGTAGTATATTCAATAGAAGCAAAGAAACCACTTGTAGAATGAACAAATGATGTACCATGTAATTCAACATAAGGAGCTACACATACACACACACATATATGTATATATGTATATATGTATATATGTAATAGATTGTAAGATATTTTGTATGTATTTTTATCCTATTATACACACATATACACACACAAATATATATATATACATATATATTCATATACTACTTTACCAGCATACCAAATACCATTGACTGATACGGATGGTAACGTAAATAAATAAGTTTCATCAAGTTGAGTTAATTTAAGTGTACAATAACCAATTTGATCTACCAACATTTGTGTTCCAGAGAAACGGGTCTTTTGTCCATCATGACCATTAACACTAATGCCTGCTTCTTTATTCTCAATGTAAAATCCTGATACAGGAGGGTGATGAGATACTTGTTCACAAACAATACGTGTATGATCATCCCATTTACAATGAAATTGTTCACCAAGAATAGGATTAAAGGGCTTCTTCTCCCATTCTCCTTTAGGTACACGACTAGAGAATGATCCATTTAAAGAAGAAATAAACCATTTAATAGCTGCATAGAAGCGCTCCTCTGCACTATTTGATTTTCCAATTTCACACAGCTATCATCATAATAATGTATGTTTAATATTTTATTAAGAGAGTCAATAAACACAACTTACAAGTCCTGGTTGATCAGCCCAAAAGGAACTATATAAAAAATGGAATAATATAGATTAAGGACAATCCTTACATGTACATGTATATTTAAATGAAAGAAAAAAAAAACTTACGAATATTCTAATAAAGAGATGGGGGCCAATAAGAATGAAGGACATGTTAAATTAGAGAGGTCACCAGTAAAAGAAGCTAAAGTCTTTAAGAAAGAAGAAAAACTGCCTTGTTGATCAGCAGGAATGCTTTCAAGTGTATTATCTGATGCAGTCATGATGAAGTGAAAAAAATAAAATAAAATAAATAAATAAATAAAATAAATAAGTTTAGGGGGTTACAACATATTCACTGTAATCTATCTCCTTTTTTTTTTTTGTGTATGTGTGTGTGTGTGTATTCATGTGTAACTAACAATTTTAATTCGTCATTAAAATAAGTTTAAATAGTAACAACCCCGGATTCCCTTCATAATATCAAGATTTTCCCGCCCAGTCCAATGATGGGGATGTCAGCGGGGTATTCAACAGTGTTATTGATCGCATAGGAGACTATTCACTGCTTATTTGCTAGGGGGAACCTTTTATTATTTTTCTTTCATGTTTTCCTGTATTTAATTTATATTATGAAGCTCTACAAAAAGTACTCTTGCTACTTATATCCAAAAGAAACAAACTACATAGAAGTGTATTTCCTTTCCTACCTTCACTTTATTATAATCAAAAAAAAAATACTCATCAATATATTATTATGATTTTCTATTACCTGTTTCCCATAAGACAATACATTAACCGTTGTAGCTAAGCAACATTAAGTTATATTTATTAAATACTTAATCATTAATACTCTAAATTTAGGCTTTTAACTGTATAAGTCTTCCTATTTAAGCAACTTTGAGTGATTGCAAGCGTCTTATATGATGAAGTTAATTAAAAAAAAAAAGAAGATTCACTTTAACTTGACTTTTTTTTTATACCCTTTCAAAGGTTGATACTTCATAATTATTTTTATTTTTATTCTTTTTGCTTCTGCAGCTAATTCAATTCTATCTAATCACTGATAACAATAAACATTTGCAATAGTAATTTACACGTTTTGTTAGGATAAAGTTGAAGAGATTTTTATCCAGTAAAATAATAAAACATAATAAAAGATGATATCGAATTGCTGATAATCATCTTTTTTTTTTTAATGATGAATATATGCTACATGAGAGGTACTACTATTTACTCTTTTCAATACAAGCCAATTCAGCAAAAAAAAAAAAAAAAAAAAAAATATACATATACACTATCTAGCTTAAATTCGCCTAATAAATTAAAAAAAAAAATATTTATGTTTGATAATAATAATAATTGTGACTTTATATATTATCATATATGACTCCAAAGATAACTGCTTTTCTTTTCTTTTTTGACATTATAAAAATCATGACAGATTCTGCAGAGCTAGAAGAAATTGTTAAAGTAATTCTCCCTTTTTTTTTTATTTATTTCATTCTATTTTGTCCATGAGATTTTAAGTTTTGTCGATTAAGACTATAGGAGAACATCTTTCAAAATTGTCAGATACTAGCACTAAAGATCGACCTGTGAAAAGGCGATCTATCGAATCTGTCAAAAATATAATTATCAGCATTAAAAATAGAAATGATACATCCATAGCGGCGATTTTTTTACTTGAGAAGACATTGGATGCTTTACTCATTTCCTCTGAAAGTGAAATTGAGATGGTTAGAGAGCAAACAGTTGATTCATTAAATAGGTAAATAATAATAAAAAGAGAGAGGGAGAAAAAAAAAAGAAAAGAAAAGAAATAGATTAAGGGGGAGCGAAGGTGAATGCTTATTTCTTTTTTGATTTCATGATCAAAGATTGATCAGCTATTGTGAGAAGGGAGAAATAAAAAATAATTTGATGGAAAAATTGCTTGATCACATGACACAACGTATTAAAAAAGAAACAACTGAAGAAATTCGTGTTGCTTGGATGGAATTGTGCGTTAAATTATCAAAACAATCAGATTCTAAAATTTCAATAAAAATAAGTGAATTATTCATGGATATAATGCAAATAGCCGGTGAGGATCTCTTTGCTGATGTACAAAAGGAATGTGCAAAGCTTATTGTATTGTACTCCAACACTCAGTCTAAATCTGTGGATTATGCCTGTGAACGAATGATTCGCTTAACAATGCCTATTCTTACACATAAGCATGCAGCTGTTCGAGTTTCTGGCATTAAGGTATATATATATATATTTATAATTTGGGTATATGGGCAATAATGATGAATATCTTACTGTTTATATACATAAAGGCTATGGAGGCAGTATTAATGGCATCACCAAAAGGCTTGCATTCATTATTTGAATATAATGAAAAATTAGACAAACAGCCAATCATTCCAGGATTAATTTATGATACATCTGCATTTGTACGAGATAATTTATTTACCGTATTAGGCAACTTATTATGCCAATGGCCGCCTCGTGAAAGATATCAATATGGGGAAATGATATTACCTATTATTTTATCAGGTACATTTGATGAACTACCTACTGTACAGACAACATGTCAAACAAGTTTATCTAAAGTTGCTAAAAGCTGTACACAAGATTTATATGATGCTGGAATTTTACAAGAGATACCCACAGATGAAAAAATAGTTGAAAATACAGGTGATTGCTAAAGAAGTTTATATATAAAAAAATTACTAAATTTGTTTTGTATGATAATTAGGTTTAAAGCATCTTGTTCACATGTGTTTCGAACATAGTCTAGACTATTTACTTCATAGTATCACTGACTTTATCAAGATTAGACAAGAAACTGCCCTTGATTCACTTAAATTATTTTTAGAATATGTGGCCTTGGATGACCTTGTTCGACGAATTAAAAAGATAATACATTATTTGTTTATTGCATATGCTAACCAAATGGAAATAAGCACCCGTGATAGAATTCTTGGTATTATTAATCTGTTATTGACTCAGCTGCCATCCCCTGAATTGTACTTGGATGTTCTACTGCTCAAATTAGAAAAAAGTTATTTGGCTAAAGAAAGTAACGGCTATCCAGGTAACATAACTATTGCTGTTGTTATGGACTTTTTAGAGTATCTATGTAACAAGCCCAATATGACATTATCAGAATCAACACAACAACGTATTCTTAATGCTATCAATAAGCCTTATCTAAAGGAATATGCAGAGGAAGATAAATTAGCTTATTCAGTAAATTTGATAAAAGCTTCCCTTAATAAAACAATTAACTTATAAACTATCAATTATTACTCTTGGCTAAATTCTAAAAATAGTCAAATACAAGTAGTAACATGGATACTTGTATCATAATGATGCTTAAAAACAAATACTTTATTTAAATAAAGAAATATTAAAAGGAAATACTATATATAGTATAATTATCTTTTTATAGACGAATCAAAAGTGCTGCGTAGGTATGACGTTTTGTAATCAAGTTTTAAACGTAAGCAATGATATGTAAACAAGCTTTTATGCACAAGCTGATATTCAAACTATGAACGGCGATTTAAAGTGAAATTCTACCTTGAAGAATTATAGCTGAAATTTTGGAATTTGGAATTAGATTCATGTAATTCTTTTTTTTTTTTCTTTTTTGATGATGATACTGATAATGATGATGTATAGATAGCGGAGTGTAAATTATGCTCCATCTTTTTTTTTTTCCTCTGCTTACTCAATTGCTCACTCACTCTTACTTATACAGCTCATTAAGGAAATGACTACTTCCATCACTCTTCCTTCTGCATGCGATTTTCATATCCATCTTCGTCAAGATGATATGATGCGTATGGTGACACCCAAAGTTGAAGAAGGTGGTGTTTCTCTTGCATATGTTATGGTAAACGATCTATAAATCAGTTTAAAAAAAAAAGAAAATAAATGTATTTTGATCTAACTTTTTTTTTTTTTTTGGTTTCGTTTCCCACATACATACACATAAAAGCCTAATTTACAACCACCTATTAAAACAACAGAGCAAGCAATTAGTTATAAAGCAAAATTAGAAGCACTTGCACCTAATGTCACTTTTTACATGACTTTGTATTTGTCACCTGAATTAACTGTTAACGAAATTCGTAAAGCTGCTAAAGCAGGTATTGCTGGTGTCAAATCTTATCCACGTGGTGTAACAACAAATAGTGAGAACGGTATTGAAAACTATGAAGTTTATTATCCTGTATTTAAAGCAATGGAAGAGGAAGGTATGGTTTTAAACTTGCATGGTGAAATACCTAGTGACGCACAAAAAGATATATGTGTGATGAATGCTGAAGAGAGATTTTTACCGGAACTTGAAAAGATTCATAAAGCCTTTCCCAAATTAAAGATTGTTTTGGAACATGCTACGACAAAGGCTGCAGTTGAGATGGTAAAGAGGTTAGGTGATACAGTAGCCTGTAGTATCACTGTTCATCATTTACAGTTGATTGTTGATGATTGGGCAGGACAGGCACATCATTTCTGTAAACCAGTTGCTAAATATCCTCATGACCGTGAGGCCTTGAGAGAGGTGATCAGATCAGGTCATCCCCGTTTCTTTTTAGGAACTGATTCTGCTCCACATCCTATCTCAACCAAGGAGGGCCCTCGTTCTAATGCCGGCGTTTTTACTACCCCTCTTGTTTTACCTTATCTTGCAAAAATCTTTGAAGATATGGGCTGTCTTGATCGACTTGAGAACTTTGCTTGTCATTATGGCAAACAATTTTATCGTCTTTCTCAAAAGCCAGGATTTGTGGATAAGAAAGTTACGTTAGTTAAAGAAACAAATGTCATTGTCCCTTCATCTTATCAAATTTCTACTACAAAGACTGAATTAGGCTCTGTTGTTCCTTTCTATGCTAACAAAGATATTGGATGGAAGATTGCTTCGAATTTTGTTTAATGTAATATACATTTTAAAATAAAATCATTGTAATAAAATGTTTTATTATAGTCTACATCATGTATTCTTGTTAATACATATATATCATTATTTAAAATAATAAAGTTCTCTTTTTCTTTAAATGAACACCTAATGATTCAGTATCTTCTTCGTCTTCATGGTTTTTCATATCATCGCCTTCTTTTACATGACTATAATGCTTCATGAAAGTCTCTTTGTCTTGTTCAAATCGATTGTTTTCAATACTTTTCCTAATAGAAGTCATGAATTGATTCAATTGATAAACATTATGACTCATCAACAAAATAGGACCTAGCATTTCATGAGCATTAAGCAAATGATGAATATAAGCCTTTGTATGGGGGCGAGAACAGGCATCACATTTACAAGTAGTATCTAAAGGCTCAAAGGCATGAGCTAATTGAGTATCCCATAAGCTTAATGTCTTTGGTTGATTTGATTCTGTACTAATGGTGTCTTTAGATGCTAACTCTTCACCAAATTTAAATATAATCGCACGTCCTTTCTCTGTAGCTTTATATGCATAGCTTCCATCAAATAAATCAATACCATTTGAGATACCTTCCAATATGCCTTCAGGTGAAGATAAACCATAAGCAATTCTAGGCTTCTCTTGAGGCAAATTGTCAATAGATGCTCTAATATGTTTATTTAACTCATCTCTCTGCAATCCAAGTAAATTGAGAATGAACCCTTGCACGTCACGTTCAGCTGTTGCTATAGCAGAACGAGCACGTTCATTTATATCTGTGTGTCCCATCACATGAGCAAATACTGGAATATCTAATTCCTAATAACCTATTTATATCCTAATTCTCCACACATTTTATTTATTTATTTATGTTACCTTGGATTTGATCAAATTTTCATCCAACCATTTTAATGATCTATCTACAGACTTTTTAATACGTTTTGTTCTTGCTTCCATATCAGTAATATTGTCTGCCATAGGAGAAATAACATCCGGTCGATAATGAGTCAATGCTTCTGCCCACATATCAGAAGTAACTTGACGAACACCACCATGCGAATCAACAGAAAGATATTTATCCGTATTGAAAGAGACAGGTGATAATTTTAAAGGATCACGTATATCACAGAATAAAAGATAATTCTATATAAGAATATATAAAAAGGGGGATAGTTATTTTTAATAATAAAAGATGGTTTTTTTTTATTTTATTTTTTTACCTCAAGATGCAAATATTTATGAAGACCATGAGGGTATTGAAAAGATGAAGGCACTTTTTGTTCTAAGCTAAATGTAGAAACATGCACATAATTAGATGTCACTATAATCCTTTAATTCTTTTCTCAATCTCTCTTTTTCCCTCTCTCTCTCTCCCCCCCTTTTTTTTACGTTAAAAAAAAATCTTTACAATTGTTCTAAAGAGACTTGAACTAGTTCAATGGGTAATGATTTCAAATTATCTGCAACAAGATGGGGTACTGAGCCACGAAGAGTATAAGTCATACATGCTGGTGTTTGAATTGTTTTATTCTTTTTAATAAATTGTAATGCTCCTCTACGAATCAAATTGGAGTCTGTTTGTTGTAATTTAAAGTTAATTGCACTAGCCATCTTTTGCATTCGAACAATAAAAATGTCAAAAAAGTGGCTTTTATTTATAACAAAAAAAAAAAAAGGACTGATATTAAAATTAAAAAAAAAAAAAAAAAAAAGACAGCTTATTATTATGTGATTTTTATTTGAGATTTTTTTAAAAAAAAATGAATTACTACATATTATATTGTTATTTATTCAATTGTATTATTAGATATCGAAGATTTCTTTGAACGACGTTTACGCAAAGTACCATTTGCTACTTTTTCTTGACGAGTAACTCTCCTTGAGCGCATTTCAGCATGTCGATTACGATAAGAGTCAACTGCACGTTGAATAAGACCTCTTCTGCCAACTAATTGCTCGCTATTTAACCAACAAAGTCTCCAACCCAACTCATTACAACTTGTCTCGTAGTCCCATCGATTACCGTCATATTCATCTCTATGTACATTGGCTCTTGGATAAATCTATAATATATATATATATATATTTTAATTGAAATATACATATACATATATTTATATACTTACAGCATTTTGCATACGAAATTCAGCCCCAATATCATTTATATTTACATTATGCACATCTGTACGAACTGTATATTCTCTTACAAGACGATCATGCGAGTATAGAAAAGTGATATGCTCAATACCATTGATTATTTTTGCTACAGGTTCGTGAGCTGTCAGTGAAACAACTGAAGCAACTGAAGGATGAGATGAATTTCTCTTGCCATAAGTACGTTGAGGTTGACACATGTCATTAGAAGAATTACGACGGTTTTTACGTACAGTTGCCTTATGATGATCAACAGACATCGACATCATACTTGTGTTCATCATAGTTGGTAAACTATGTCTAGGCATAAAATAATTCGGTACAGGCGGTGTCATTAATCCACTATTAGGTGTTGAATAGGCTGTATTCACCATTGAGGGTGGCTCTGTAGTCATATTTGTTGAAGTGAAACTACCGCCGTAACCAAAACCTTCCATAGGAATTATATGACTGTAATCATTTGTAGTTGGATCTTGTGGTATTATGTTATTCAACATGTAATGAGTATTGTTATTATTAGGGATAGAGGGATTAATGATAGTATTGTTGTTGTTATTATTATTGTTATTATTGTTAGTATTATTATTATTTGTAGTAGTAGTAGAAGAAGTAGAAGTAGTAATAGTGGCTGTATTAGAATTAGTAGAATTATTAGTAGTAATCGAGGTAAAGGTAGGTGTGGAAATTGTATTAGCTGTATAAGTAGCATTGATGGAGGTAGAAGATGAAGGATTTGTTAAAAACGGTATATTATGCTGAGGCTGTAGTTCTTGTAGATTCCATTCTCCTTGTTTCATTTGTTGAGCAGAGAAAGAAGTTGAATTCCAGTTTTGGAACATTAGATTTGAATCTAATGGATGAATGATGGAATTAGGTTGGGAAGCACAAAAAGTGTCATGTCCTATATTTACGGTAGTATTACTAGATGTAGTAGGGACAGACCAAAAAGTAGAGTTAATAAAGTTATCATGACTTATGGATGCATTTGTAGTTGAGCTAGTTACTGCAGTAGAAAAAGAGCTGTAATTGGTTAACTCGCCAGTTGCAGTAGTTGCTGAAGAATATGAATTCTTTCGACTATTACTGTTACTATTGACATTTTGTGCAACATAAGATTCCTCCAAAATGTCAGATGGCCTTCTTTGCTGTAATACAATAGTATTTTCTGCATTTGTTAATATCGATGTATTCATCTCGATTCTATTTTCTGGGAAAAAAAACAAAAATAGAGAAAAAGTAAAGCTACTAATAAATAAATAAACAACCAAGTGAAAAGAAGAGAACGAAAAACGAAAAACGAAAAACGAAAAAAAATGTATAACATGTTTAAAAAAAAAAAAAAAAAAAAAAAAAAAAAAAAAAAAAAAAAAAAAAAATAAAGTACTTATCACTAGTAAATTAACCGCGTACAAGAAAAGAATTTTTCTTGTTTTACCCAATAAAATTTATTACATTTCTCAGATATGGATTGAAACCGACTCTCTTTTTTTATTTTTTATTTTTTATTTTTTTTTTTTACGACTTAAAGCTACTATTGAAATAATAGTAAGCATCATTTTTCGATTTCGCGTATTTTAATATGAAATGTAAACGTTATTGATGTCATTGTTTTAAATTGTATTAAAATTTTATGCAAATTTGGTTATTATTGTCGTTGTTCTGAAATCTTATTTTGTCATAATAAGTAATCGATTCAATGATAGCTAAAATGCTTTGTAAAACTTGCCATCATGAAATTCTGACAAATCATTTTTCATTTTATTTTATTTTTTCATAGAATTTGAAAAAAAAAGATGTTTTTTCTATATTTATTTTTCGTCTATTTTTAATTCAGTGTATAATAAGACCATATTTGGTTTATTTATTTTTAACCGGAGTCGGTAGGAATAGATGCCAAGATACAAAGTAGCATATAAAAATATACTGCCACCGCTCGATTGTGATCAAGTATATAAATAAAGACGAAAACATGAGAAGGATCAAGTTCAACATTCCCATTTTATTTATTATATTAAGAATAATGGTGTACTTTCTTTCTCTTATGCTCTCTGCAGCATTAGTATCTGCAGATACAATAGATTATTGGAAGAGTTTCACCTCGAAGACAAATCCTTTGAATGTATCTATTCCTTCTATTACACAAACAACCAGTCTTGATCCCTTCAAGGAATGTGTTTATTACAATCCTGACCCAGCTGTGATCAACATTAATCCTGCTGAATGGCCCACCGTTTGGGTAAAAGCTACTTCAAACGGTATGAACGAAACAGAAGAATTCAGAAACTTGTATAACTCTATTGACTGGTCTAAGGCTCCTGATATTCCTGTCCGTACAGCTGTTGATGGTGTCTTGGACATGAGTGGCTACAATGCTACAGCTGATCCTGACTGTTGGTGGTCTGCCTCTGGCTGTGTTACTCCTAAGCTCCCCGATGTCAACAAAGATATTTACTATTGTCCTGAACCCGAGACTTGGGGTTTGACTTACGATGATGGACCCAACTGTTCTCATAATGCATTCTATGATTTCCTTCAAGAAAAGGAATTAAAAGCTACTTTATTCTACATTGGTTCTAACGTTATTGACTGGCCTTATGGTGCTATGCGTGGTATTAAGGATGGTCATCAAATCGCTTGTCACACTTGGTCTCATCCCTTAATGACTACCTTTACAAATGAAGAAGTTCTTGCTGAATTTTACTATGCTCAAAAGGCTATCAAGCTTGCCACTGGTCTTACTCCTCGTTTCTGGCGTCCTCCTTATGGTGATATTGATAACCGTGTCCGTTGGATTGCTACTCAATTAGGTTTGACTGCTGTTGTCTGGAGTGAAGATACTAATGACTGGAGTGCTGTTAGCCCTGCTACTATTCCTCCTGTTGAACAAAACTACGAAGCATTTATTGAAATGGGAAAGAATGGTACCTTTGCTGAAACTGGTAACATTGTCTTGTCTCACGAACTTACTAACATTACTATGTCCTTGGCTATGAAATACTTACCTGATATCATGTCTTCATACAAGCATGTTGTTAACGTCGCTACCTGTCACAACATCAGTTACCCTTACTTTGAAGACTTTGAATGGACTCCTGTTATGAACGGTACTTCTAAGAGCACTATTGAAACCTCCAAGTCTACTACTACTACTACTGATGCTTCCAAGTCTACTACTACTGATGCTTCCAAGTCTGACTCTGATTCTTCCAAGTCCGACTCCAATTCTTCTACGTCTGACAATGACAAATCTGATACCACTGCCTCTAAACACAACGCTATTGTAAGCGCTGGTAATGCTGTTCGCGGCTCTAGTATGGCTTTACTTGGTGCCCTTGCTGCTGCCATTTATCTCATTTAAATAACCGTTTATATTGATTTATTTTAGCATTTTGTTTTCTCTTTTTCTTTTCTTTTTTTTTTAAAAAAAAAATTCTTATTTCATTAAAATTATTTGCGTTAATAATAAAAGTTCAGTTTAATTTTCTCTCTCTCCCTCTCTTTTGTGCTTATTTATAATATGCTCTAGAATGCTACATTGTCTTTATCTTTTTTATTAATATTGCATTGTTACTTATGTGTCACATCCTGCTGAAAAAGGCTTATTTAACTTAAAATGGTTCTTTTTTTTATTATTATTATTTGATTCTGATAAAACATTCTTCCAATAAGCTTAAAATATAGCATAATGTCAAGTTTAAATGTAAGAAAATGGAACTCCCTTCCTCCCATGGCTTATATATAAATTAAAAAGTCTATTTAAAATAATATGTATTAGACTTTATATTAGTTTTGAATAATCGAAATTAATATGTATATCATAAATAAAACGCAGCCAAATGTTTGATGTTTATTAACTAAATAGCAACACGTGTAATTTATAAGGTAATATATTGATATAAATTTTTTTTTAAATAGCCATATAATAGTATGCATTCTTAATGCCTTATAGCAATAGACATATATATATATATTTATATATATACTATTATTTACATTTAATGTTTTATAATTCATATTGATGTGTTTAACTTGAAAAAAAAAACATTTAGTAAATAAGGTTATACTAGACAAATTTTCGATTATTATTATTATTGTTTCTTACAAATATTGTTATAACGACATTTCTGCATTCAGAAATATCTAACTGAGTTATTAAACGATCTATCAAAGTTTATATTGCTGGATATAAATGCAAGGAGACAAAAAGGTCGTTATAAAAACACTTGTATAAGACAATCTAAGCCTTGTTTTATAGAACACTTTGTTTGTATGCCTACCATTTTAATTAACTATAGCATTAAAAAAAATAAGTACATTAAATGAGGCATTTCTTTAGAAAGAGAAAAAAATTATTAACTAAGCATCTTATCATTTAATTATCAAAATCAATATTAATGATTTTGATGAATAAATAGTAAATAATTCTATTATATGCCAACCAAGTTTATCAAGTAACATAATAGTTTTTTTTTTATTTTATTTTTTCATAATTTAAACCTATATATGGAGCTATCTTGCTTTAAAGAACTCCTTTTACATCAAGTTCAAAGATGCCTTGTGTTATGTATGTTTATGTGTTTGTATACATAATACATACCTATGAATGTATATGTACAATAAGTTATATTCGTTACGCGTTTTGTCGTGTATAGAAATTAGGCCACATTCTTATATATTTTGATAAATTCCAAATGAAATGAAATAATAAAACATGCTCTTTCCCCTCCCTCATATGTTATTGTTGTTGAAAGAAGCAGTTATTAATACATTAAGCCAAATATGAGAATAATAATAATAAAAAAAAAAACCTTATTTTATGTTAGAGAATGTAAAATAATAATAATTGATTATTGATTTAATAGGAATTTATTTATCATCACCCATTCATTAAAAACCTCTTTTTTTTTTTTTTTTTTTTTTTTCTAGAATACTGTTAATCCTTAATTTAAATCTACTACTTTACCTATAAAATCTCGTGTTTTTTACAAAATCAGCTTCGTTCCTTGTAGATAAAATTACTCTATACAGTACAGAATACTGACTTTTACGCGTTTAATTTAGAAAAAAAGAAAATGACAGCTTCGGTAATACTTGGAAATATTGAGAGCTCAGTTCAAGTAGCATATTAATAGAACATCTATTTATAAAACGATCTACGACAAGTAACAGCAGCAACTGAAACTTAAGCAATCAATAATATTATATTTATATATATATATATGTATATGTATATACAAACTTATATATTTTGAAACCGGTAAAATTTACCAAACTTTTATTTTTTTTTACTTTAAAAACTATATATTAAGTTATTTTTAGATGACACCCGGAAACAAAAAAATATATAAATAAGAGAAAACAATAACATAAGATCACTCTTTTTTTATTTTATTTTCTTTCTTTCTTTATTAGCTTTACTTTTTCTTTTCTTAAAATACTATTCAAAATGGTATTAATCCTTCCTTCGTTGATTCTTTCTGCAGCATTAGCTTCTGCACAAACTATAGATTACTACAAGAATTTTAAATCACAAATCGACCCTCATAACGTAACCGTTCCTTCCATTAAACAAACAACTAGTCATGATCCCTCAGTAGAATGTACTTACTATAACCCTGATACATCTTTGATCAACATTAATCCTGCTGAATGGCCTACTGTTTGGGAGAAAGCTACTTCAAATGGAGTGACAGAATCAGAGGAATTCAAAAAAGTGTATAGCTCTATTGACTGGACTAAGGCTCCTAATATCCCTGTCCGTAAACTTAATCCTGATGGTTCTTTAGATACTTCTCACTATCCAGATAGTGATCCTGACTGTTGGTGGTCTGCCTCTGGTTGTGTTACTCCTAAGCTCCCCGATGTCAACAAAGATATTTACTATTGTCCTGAACCCGAGACTTGGGGTTTGACTTACGATGATGGACCCAACTGTTCTCATAATGCATTCTATGATTACCTTGAAGAACAGAAATTGAAGGCCACTATGTTCTATATTGGTTCTAACGTTATTGACTGGCCTTATGGTGCTATGCGTGGTATTAGGGATGGTCATCATATCGCTTGTCACACTTGGTCTCATCCTTCAATAACTACCTTTACCAATCAAGAAGTTTTTGCTGAATTCTATTATTCCTTAAAGGCCATTAAGCTTGCCACTGGTCTTACCCCTCGTTACTGGCGTCCTCCTTATGGTGATATTGATGATCGTGTTCGTTGGATTGCTACTCAATTAGGTTTGACTGCTGTTATTTGGAATGAAGATACTGATGACTGGAGTGCTGATAGTCCTGCCACTCTTCAAGCTGTTGAACAAAATTATGAAGATTTCATTAGAATGGGTACAAATGGTACTTTTGCTGAGAGCGGTAACATTGTCTTGACTCACGAGATCAATAACACAACCATGTCTTTGGCTCTTAAGTACTTGCCTGATATTATGTCTTCATACAAACAAGTTATCAGTGTTGCTACCTGTCACAACATTAGCTATCCTTACTTTGAAGACTTTGAATGGACTGATGTCTTGAACCGTACTATTCCATCTAATACCTCTACTACTATTGCCCCTGCTTCTACTACTGCTTCTGCTTCTGCTACTACTATGTCTACTATTACTACTGCTACTGATTCCAAATCCTCCTCTATTGCTACTAGCAGCCCTGCCGCTTCTGGTTCCAAAGATGATACTAAACCCTCTGCTACTGCAGCTAAAGCTGATGCTTCTATTAGTGCTGGTGTCACATTTGCCCCCAATATTGCCTTACTCATCGGTTTCCTTGCTTTCTTGTTCATTTAAATTTATGCATACGTATTCTAGACTTTATTTTAACTAATTATTATATTTATATCAAATAAAATCAGACTTGCTTTCTTTAATTATAACATAAACTCATTTAATCTACTTGTTCTTTTTTTTTTTCTTCCTTGAATATAAAATATTTTTTCCTAAAATAGCTATTTTTAATTTTGTGGATTCCCAAAAAAAAAAATTTTAGTGAAACCTAAAAAAAAGTCCATGCACATACTGCAGTAGTAACAAAAAAAAAATCACCGCCAAACAAAAAAGAAAAAATAGCATCACGCATTCATGACTTCATTTATTATTACTCTATTACTGCAAAATCTTTATTTATATACAGATATTTATAAATATATATAAAAGATTTACATACCTTATTTCATAAACTCATTCCAGGTATTACTTACATGTGATATCAAGACTTATCATTGTTTTCCCAACAATACTTGAACTTGCAATTTATTAAAGAAAAAAACATCTTGACTTTAAACACGCACACATTATAAAGCAAAAATGAATACGACGTGTTTCCTCAATTCTAAACTTCCACAGCATGTTTCAGAATTTTATAGAAAATAAAAACAAGCATAAACAAAACTTACTTGCATTTTGATTTATGAGCATTAATTTTAGTTATGTTATCATACTGAAGTTACACGCCCAAAAGACAGTAACACCGTCGTCGTCGTCTATTTTTTTTTTTTTTTTTTTTTGTTCTTGGCATTCTTTCTTTATCTCCCGCTCTGGATCTGTTTAAACTATAATTACTAGTGAATAGAATAAAAGAAAGGATGGGGGGAGGAGGAGCTTCTATTTCAAGAAATTATATTATTTTTTGATTTAAAAAAAAAAAAAAAAGTCGTAGTAGTTTTTATTTATAGAAAAGTATGTATGTGTATACATAGTTAACAAAAAAAAAAAAAGGCCAACCTAGAATACCTTAAACAGACACTTTATTATATCTTTTAAATGCCAGTTTTTTGCCTTTTTGATTAATGACCAATCACTAGTCAGAAAAAAGACACATAATAAACAATGTTATTTCTCCTCCATTAACGACGTATTGTTAGAAAATCTATTATCCTACTTTGTTTATTCATATTTTTTTTGTATCAGAAATGCTATAATAGCTTTTTTCAATTGATAACTGTTTACCCGACCATATTTGTTAGAATTTATTCTGAAACATTTTTGAGTAAATAAAATTCTAATTTAATTGAAAAAAAAAAAATCATATTATTTTACTGAATTGTAGTGGTGGTATTATATTAACTATGAAGGTATACACAACTTTTCTCCCCTCCCCCTTTATATAGTATTTACAATACTAATTTAGTTTGGTAAACGAATACAAAGCCAACAATTCTCGGAATGGAGTTCACACTACTTGGATTACAAAGGCCTTAAAAAATGTATTAGTCTTTTGTTAGAAGATCAAGCATCTTCTGCTGAAGCAAAAAAAGCTTCATTCTTTTTTAAACTTGAAAGAGAATTAGAAAAGGTAATATATATATACTCATTAATGTTTTTTTTTTTTTTTTTTTTTTTTTTGTTTTTCTTTGATCTGATTAATAATGATGAACAGATCAACTTGTTTTATCTTCAAAAGGAAAATGATCTAAAAGTTCGATTAAAAACCTTGATTGATAAAAAAAAATTGATACAATTAGATTCTAATCGATTGAGACAATTTTCACCTCAATTAACTTCATTAGAAGAAGCATTTGTTCAATTTGAAAGGGATTTAAACAAATTGCTGGTAAAGTAATATTTCATTTGTGCTATTTTTTTTCAACTTATACAGTATTGAATAGAAATATGTCGAATTAAATAATGAAGGATTTAAGAAAATATTGAAAAAATGGGACAAACATTCAAAGTCGAATACAAAAGAACTTTATTTATCTCGTCAAATTGATATCCAGCCTTGCTTTAATCATCAGATTTTAGCTGAATTGGCTGATAGTGCATCAACAAGTCGTATAGAAATAAGCCATTTAATTATGACTACTACTACTAAAAGCCACGATGAAAATATAAGATTTCAACAACAAACGAGTCTATTATCTACGAATAGCATTATCAACAATAGTCATAATTTACCAGCAGATGATATTGAGTTTGGACTCTTACAAGCTTTATCAGCTAATCAATTATCACTTGTTCAAAGCGAATTGAATAAATTGACTCTAGATGAACATACTGACTCTATTACACGAGCCTTTTTTCATGCTTGCCGTTCTGATACTTTTATTGAAATTATAGAATTACTTGTCAACACAAATAAGGTGCAATTTGATTATATGGATGATATTAATGAACGAACCTTCTTGCATATTGCTTCTATGAATGGTCGATTTGATATTTTAAAGCTTGCATTTGCTCATTTTGGAAAGAATGGGGGTTGTGATATCAATGTAAGAGATATTTATGGTCGTACAGGTCTTCATTATGCAACTATGAAAGGCTTTGATGACTGTGTTTCGCTTTTGTTAGATCAGCATGCAGATATCGAAGCAAGAGACTTGGACGGATTTAGTCCTTTGTTGTATGCTATCTCTAATGGTCATACAACGTCTGTGCAAATTTTACTTGATGCGGGAGCTAATATCGAGCCAGAAAATGAAACAGATCATATTCCATTTTCAGTAGCCTGTTTTTATGGCTATACTGACATTGCCTTGAGTCTCTATTATAAGGGAGCTAAAAATTTACCGAATTTAGAGTTACTTTATCCTTTACATCTTGTTGCTCAGAAGGGACATGTTGAATTATGTCGTATTCTTTCTAAAAATCATGAATATTTAGATAAGCCTGATATCTATTATAATTGGACACCTCTCTTTTGGGCTGCTACTTATGGTCATATTGAATGTGTCAAGATTTTGATTAGTGAAGGATGTGAACTGAATCTAATAGACGAAAATGGAAAGACAGCATTGCATTATGCTGCTTGGGAGGGACATACAAGATGTGCGCAGTTAATGATAGAGGCTGGATGTCAAGTTATTATCGATCCACCTTTATCTAGAAGAAGAAGAATAAGAAATGGGGATCATTCACACATAACGCAGCCACCTTCTTTACTGTCTACTGAAGAAGAAGAAGATAATAATAATAGGAAATTTGAATCTGAATTAGAAAATATACCATCCTTAGAACTTCCACCACCTATCATACCTTTTCGTATTTATGGACATAATTATTTAGACAAGAAATATCAAGTACACATCGTGCTTAAACAACCTCCTATCAAACTTTATGATACTACACCTATATCTTCAATCAAACTAGTGATCTCCTTGAATCCTAATAACGGCATTATTCCTCATAGTCTTATTTTACCAATGGCACATCAACGTGAGGTACTTCAATTTCAACTTGACTCACTTGATCATGTTTTACTAGAGATGGATGTATTACCTACCTTTGGTACACATGCATTAGGTCGAGGAATTATAGCGCTCTCTGATTTTATAGTCTCTGAAGGTCATCGTACTGTACTGTTATTAGATAATTATCTTAAACCGATAGGAGAGGTTGTGTTTGATTATCTCTTAGTGAAACCCTTCTTAGGTAGTCAACTTGAAGTAGGCGGTCGTATTGAAACTTATTGGAAGTCCAAGATGACAGGAGCTACGTTATTAACAGGTGTTACAGACGCTATCTTACCAGCCACAGTTGTATCTTCATTTGTAATCGCTTCATCACTCTCAGGGGACTATTCACGTATTGTCGTACAACTCACGAAAGATGGTGTACCAGTTGTATTTACAAATTGGATGATACCCCTTGATCATTTAGATTTAGCTGTCTCAGACTTGACCTTTCATCAATTATGTCTCTTGGCAGAGAATTATGAAAATAACGATGGTCAATCTCTAATGACTTTTACAGGGAATCTAAATCTTGTTCAAGAATTGAAAGAAAAAAAGACAATATTGACACTTACAGAAGCATTAAAGGTATACACTTAAATTAGACGCCACACACACACACACACACATACATACCTTTTTTTTTTTTTTTTTTTAATCATTATGAACTTTAGCTACTACCATCTACTGTGGGCATCTTATTGGAAATTAAATATCCAAATATAAATGAATTAAATATTCATTCATTCTCAAATATCATAGACGAAAATAATTATGTTGATATTATTTTACAATGTATCCACGATCATATTAGTTCTTTATCATTAGATACACCTTCAACACGTATCATCTTTACTTCCTTTAATCCTGCTATCTGTACTCTTGTTAACTGGAAGCAACCCAATTGTAAGTAAATCAGTTTAATATATGTATGTGTGCATGTATCTTTTTTTTTTTAAAAAAAAAAAAAAACTTGAATTTTAGTTGCTGTCTTCTTTAGCACTTATTGCAAGATGAATAAACAAGAAGAATCAAAATATAAATCAACAATTTGTAATTCAAAGTTTAATATGTTTTCAAGCGAATATTCTGAAACAATCAGAACTTCATTAAAAGAAGCCGTTCGATTTGCAAAGCGTAACAATTTACTTGGAATTATAGCTGATGCTGCTACTGTAGTAAGTAGAAGAATGACTTTATAACAAAGAAAGACACACTCACTCACTCACTAAATAATAATTATGTTTTAATAAGGTTCAAATTCCTTCTCTTATTTCAAATATTAAAGAAAGTGGTCTTGTTTTGGTTACATTTGGTGACATAAATGATAGAAATGATTCTGAATCTATTTCAATACAGCATAAACAAGGTGTAGATGCTATTATGATGCATGATATTGTTCATTTCAATACAGAAATGGCTGTAGGATTTTAAATAAATAAATAAATAAATAAATAAATAAATAAATAAATAAATAATAATACAATAAGAGTCGTCACGAGAAGGAGTTTGAATATGTTGAGTCAATCTTTGGTCCTTGTCATGGATTCAATTTGAAATTCTAGTAAGCACTCGGAAAAAAAGACCCTCCTCTCTAATCCGTATCTCTGCGCAATGCCTAAAGGTGTGTTATCAATATAAAAAATTATAGACAGATAGACTAGGGGAGAAGGAGGAGGAAGATGACAAAGGAAGCAGTATAATAGAAATGGAAAGAAGGAAAATGGATGCGACCACCAACATGTTGGATGGATGCATTATTTATTTATTAGACTATTGTAAAATTAGAAGAGAAGGTAGTGCATCCATCCATCCATCCATCCAACAATCGATGGATGCTATCATTCAAATAGAGTCAAATGAGATGATATGATATGCTCAACTTGATACGAAAAAGATAGATGGGATTATGTTCAATGTTTATTCAACGTATAAAAGAAGGAATGATATATCGTGAAAAAGATAACATGATGAAAGAGGGATATATATACATATACACATACATATGCATATTTCAAAAAAAAGGTGCAAATTAGATTCGATTGACGATACACACACACAATGGACGATTATGAATAATTCCGCATCTCTTAATGTCCATTCAATTAAATTTTGTCATTTTCCTATATACCTAGAATTGCTTCCAATGTTACTTTCTTCACTTCCTCCAGACATTTATATTCATATTCTCAATATTAACATTCTCTTTAGTTAGCGTTTCCGGTACTAAGTTCCGTATGACCCTCGGTCTCCCTGTCGGCGCTGTCATGAACTGTGCTGATAATTCTGGTGCCAAGAACTTGTATGTCATTGCTGTTCGTAACATCAAGGGTCACTTGAACAGACTCCCCGCTGCTGGTTGTGGTGACATGGTTGTTGCCACTGTTAAGAAGGGTAAGCCTGAATTGAGAAAGAAGGTCATGGCTGCCGTCGTTGTTCGTCAACGTAAGGCCTGGCGCCGTAGAGATGGTGTTTTCCTCTACTTTGAGGATAACGCTGGTGTCATTGTTAACCCCAAGGGTGAAATGAAGGGTAAATTTTTGTCTTTTATATTTGTTTTCTCTTTATTTTTTTTTTGAAGAAGAAGAAATTACCATTACTAACTTTCATCTTTTTTATTTTTATTAGGTTCTGCCATCACTGGTCCCGTTGCCAAGGAATGTGCTGATTTGTGGCCTCGTATTGCCTCTGCTTCTGGTACCGTCGTCTAAGCGAATTCTCTTCCTTATCAATTTGACCATTAAAAAATAATAAAAATAAATATGTTTTACTGCAACATAAAATGTGTTGAATTCGAAGAAAAATATAATATTTCTATGAGAATTGCAGATTGAAATTAGAAATTGTGCATTTAAAAAAAAAAAAACAAATTGATCATTTAATAATTTACTAGGCATTTTTATTCTTATTTTTAATGATAAAATCAATGTCTACTTAATAATAATTAAAAAAAAAAAAGAGAGAATTAATTTAAACTTGAATATACATAAAAATTAGTTGATGAATCTTGATGAAAGGAAATTACACTGTTATTCTTTATTTTATTTTTTTTAACTTGTTTATATATTTAAATCAAATCGGTAACTAAATTACAAGAAAGTTGGGAAAGAAAAAATAAATACAACGAAATCAGTTTACTATGACTCGAATAATAAATATTTTATGAAACTTACCATTCATGGGCATTTCATCAATTTGTGTACTATAGTATTGTTCAATATCACGTAAAATCTTAAGATCATCATTTTTGACAAAATTGATTGCTACACCCTTACGTCCAAAACGACCTGATCTACCAATACGATGGATATAGTTTTCACGATTGGAAGGTAAATCATAATTAATAACCAATGAAACTTGTTGTACATCAATACCACGAGCCCAAACATCTGTTGTAATCAATACTCGACTATACAATTAAATCAAATGTTATTACAAAATTTATTTGAAATATTTATATAAATATTCTCCAACCTCCTACCCCGACCCCTTACTAACTTACCTAGCACCTTGACGGAACTCTTGCATAATAGCATCACGTTCTTTTTGAGGCATTTCACCATGCATGGCTGATACTGTAAAGTTTGCTTCTCTCATCTTTTCAGTCAACCAATCGACCTATATGATATAAATAGGATTGAACATACTGATCAACTACGAAATAACTATAATATATATATATGTATGTATATATAGACTTATACCTTTCTTCTAGTATTACAGAAAATAACAGCTTGTGTAATTGTCAAAGTATCATACAAATCACATAGAGTATCAAATTTCCATTCTTCACGTTCAACAGCAACAAAGAATTGCTTGATGCCTTCTAAAGTTAATTCATCACGTTTGACAAGAATACGAATGGGATCTGTCATGAAATTATTAGTCATTTCTAAAACGTCATTTGGAAGTGTAGCAGACAAAAGGACAACTTGTGTTCCAGGTGGAAGATAACGATAGACGTCATAAATTTGATCTTTAAAACCACGATTTAAAAGTTCATCGGCTTCATCAAGAACGAGCATCTTGATATTACGTGTACGTAAAGTACGACGACGGATCATGTCATAAACACGACCAGGTGTACCAGAAACGACTTGAACACCAGCTTCTAACTTACGAATATCTTCACCCACATTAGTGCCACCAATACAAGCATGGCATTGCACGTTCATGTAGTCACCGAGAGCCAATACAACACTTTGAATCTGTGTGGCTAATTCACGAGTTGGTGATAAGATTAATGCTTGTGTTTCTTTAATGGTGGTATCGATAACTTGCAAAGCTGAAATAGAAAAGGTAGCTGTTTTACCAGTACCTGACTGGGCTTGAGCAATGACATCACGTCCTTTGATGATGGGAACAATAGCTATAAAAAAAAAAATAAACAATTATTTAATCTTTATGCATCCACTTATTTTTTTTTTCATTTTGCACACATCACATACCTCTTTGTTGAATTGCAGAAGGCTTTTCAAAGTTATAAGCATAAATACCACGAAGTAAATCTTCTTTCAGTCCAATAGAGTCAAAAGTAGGTACAACTTTAACCTTTAATTGACAATGGAGAAAACGAAAAAAAAAAAATTAGTAAAGCAAAAGTAATGGAAGAGACAATAGCATTAAAAATGTTAAATAAACTATTTACACTTTCCGAGGTTTCGAAATTAAGCTTATCATCAGAGGCGTGATCAAACGACATGATGTTAGATATTATATATTGAAAATTGTTATTTGGCAGCTATTTTGAAAAGCTTTTTTTTTTCCTTCTATTTTTTTTTTTTTTTTTCCACTGACTCGTATTACGGAGAAAACGTGACGTTTGATTAACAGTCACACATTATTTTGAATTTTTTCTTTTTATTCACCAAAGAGGTACCTGAAACGTCACTAATTAACTTGAAAGTGTAAACTCGCTTAGTATTTTGATTTGTTAAAAAAAAAAAGTTTTGTTTTACAATCACATAGTATCTATTTATAAGAATAGTAGAAGAAAGTTTGAAAAATAATGAAAATGGCATTATATAATATATAAATATATTCATTAAATAGTCTTATAAATCCGAGTTATTTTTTTTTTTGAAGAAAGCGTTTTATAAGGAATAATTGATAGATTATATAAAGCCAAAATTCGGAGATAAAAGCAAAATGTGACTTGAAGCAAATCATCTAGAGTCATTTTTTATTCGAGATTCTTCTGAATGTCCAATCTTTTTCTTTTTCCTTTTTTTTTTTTTTTCATTATTATTATTATCAAGTGTATAAAAAATGACTACGGAATCTCTTACTGTTGGTGTTCTTGGTAGGTAAAATGATACAAAAAGAAAAAGAGGAGGGTATTTTCTTTTTCGATATTATATAGAAAAGATGGCTTATAAATGATATTAGCTTTACAAGGTGCTTTCATAGAACATATTCACATGTTAAAGAGAATTCCTGAAGTGAAAGAAGTGATTCCAGTCCGTACTGAAGAACAGTTGAATTCTGTCGATTGTCTTATTATTCCTGGTGGTGAATCCACGGCAATGGCTCTTATTGCCGAACGTTGTAACATGTTGGAACCTTTGCGTAAGTTTGTTCAGAAAAAGCCTACTTGGGGCACATGTGCAGGTATGATTATGTTGGCAAAGGAAGCCACAGGAGCTAAGAAAGGAGGACAGCAACTATTTAATGCATTAGATGTTGTTGTAAACCGTAATCAATTTGGATCTCAAAAGGAAAGTTTCCAGACTATGTTACATTTACCTGAGTTGGTAGGTGAAGAACCCTTTGCTGCTGTATTTATTCGTGCCCCTGTTATCAAGGAGATCAAGTCACCTAAAGTTAAGATTGTGGGTCGTTTAGAACAAAAACATGGCCAAACAGAGGCTGAGACGGCTATTGCTGTCCTTGAGGATCATCTTTTTGCTACTGCTTTCCATCCTGAATTAACAAGTGACGATCGTCTTCATAGGTTTTTTGTTAATATGTCTCTTAAATACAAACAACAAAATTAATGATTATAGAATACAATAGAAAAATACCCATTTTTTATAAAATTAATATAATATGCATACATATACAAATAATGTATATTTGATTATAATTTTTAACTGGAATAAAGACATTTTATATATATGTATTTATAATAATTATTAACAATAAAAAAAATAGTTGAATTATTTACTCTATATCTATTATTTTTCATTTGCGTTATTTGCATCAGAATGATTTTGACTTGAAGTTGATAAAACTGTATAATTTGACATGTTTTTCGAATTTTGATTTGGGAAAGCTTTAGCATATGAATAAACTAAGCCTGCAATAAATCCTATTATATAACAAAGATGAATACATGTATATAAATAAATATATATATATATATATATATATATATATTGGGCTAAAAAAAAATGATATTACCAATCATGATTGCAGAGACATTTCCGAAGGTTGCTGGATCACCGAAAAAGATGATACCAGAGATGGCAATGGGTAGTTTATTTAGTGATCCAACCATTGAATATGTAGTAGAAGAAGTTGTACGAACACACCAAGATGATGCATAGGACATACCAAATGCTGATATACCCGAGAATATCATGGCCCAAATACGTATCTGACATTGTTCAGGAGGACTAATAATAATAATAATAATAATAATAAAAACGAGTTTTTTTTTTTTTTTTTTTTTTTTTTTTTTTTTTTTTTATAAGTAGGCCTTACAAGTTTAATAGTAGATTTTGAGATGACCAATCTTCTAATAATAAGCTGGGAATCATAAGTAATGGAATTGATAAGATGTTATTGTAATAAACAGTGTCAAAATCTTTGAAATTTGTCAATTTGATACGTTTTCGCATGTATAACACAAAAGAAGCAGATGAAAAACAGTTTATAATCATCCAAATATAACCAAGGACAGCAGATGTACTTGTAGTTAACGGTATAGCTCTTACATCCAGTAGAGATTTAATTACACTAGATACATCATTCCAGCCAGCAATAACAGATGATAATGTCTATTTCAATCATTAGTTTGATGTTGATTGTAGTGTACTCTTTTATATCTTACCATTAATAAAAACGAAACTAACATCATGGATGTAATATTACTTCCAAACCAAAGAACTTCACCATATGCAATTAAAATAATTGTCAAATTCTTAAAAATGGTATACACTGGAATAGGTAAATATTGTAAAGCCTTAGATCCTGTATAAATCATGACAGCCAAAAAAATAACAATTGGATACCATTTCTTAACTGTTTCTATTTCCAATTCACGATATTGAATCAAGTTTAAGAATTTAAATATCTGTAAAAAGATGACCGTTACGATACTTTGAATTGTTAGCAAGAGAAAGAACATGTTGAAATCACCACCACTAACGACATATTTGTTTGTTACAGTCATAACAATACTGACTATACAATACGTAAAGATAGGTAAACTTCCTTGAAGATAAGGAGGTATAATAGTGGATGTTTTCTTTTTATATTTTAAATCCATAGTAGGCATGTTCGGTATCTTGCTGGGCAATCGTAATACATTATTTGTGTTAATGGCTAACGATATGTGATGAAGCTTTGTATCGTCCTGATTATGCCCCATCCTTTAGTTTTATATTCAAACTTACAAGAGAGAGAGAAAAAAAAAGAAAAAAAAAAGGAAAACTTGCCTGTAGAGTATTTATTTATTCATTTACTTTGTCCTAGATCTGCTGTATGTTTACATAAATAATGCATACCAATAAAAACAAAATGCATACCGTAATTAATTATACAGACACGCTATTATACTATTAATTAATAGTGTGTGTATGTGTGTGTGTATGTGTTTTTTACATACAATACTATTATCTCTTATAAGAAGAGAGAGATAGAGAAACTGACCAGCTGTATTAGACATACAAGGATGAAAAAAAAAAATTCTTCGAGATCAAATAAAAACAAAACAATGATTACGTAGTTTTATTATGCAGTATTCATCTGGTCGTTGAGAGCTGTTATTTAACAGCTAATGTTCATATTTTGAATCTATAATTAAATATTTTTATAGTTGAAATATATTTTCTAACTCTACTACTGGCTATTTTGAAAGAAGGTCACTAAGGACGCCTCTCCTAGTGGAGGACAGCAAGTCAAACTACTTGAGATTTAAGCTCAGTAAAACATCAAAAGATTGCATAAAAAGAAGCAGAAAAAAAGCCTTATTTAACTTTATTATGACTCATTTATCTTTTTCAAATAATTGTTTCATTATCATATGTAGTACCATTTTTCTTTTCTTTTCTTTTCCCCTTTATAATAATTAAATGTCAATATTTCAATTACCAACAGAAATTTGGAAAGAAATTTTTAAACATTTGAAAAAGGATGATCTCAAGAAATGTCTACCTGTTTCCAAATCATGGCATCATATGATTAATCCTTTATTAGGAGACAATTTATATATCAATTTACACGATCTTAACTTCCCTTCACTTCTTACTGACTTGACAATATATCCTACTTTTGGTCCTAAAATCACACATATTACAATTTCCTCTGAATCATCAGATCTTGGTCGCCCAGAGATGTTAAGATCGATAATTAATCATTGTCCGAATCTAATTGAATTACAGTTTGACAACTTGAATCCGTACGAATATCTTAAAATCCTTAATAGTAGAGAGACATTGATGCCTCATATTCAAGCGATCAAACTTCTTAATCATTTAGTATGTAGTCCCGCAGTAAGAAGATTTCATCTTTGGGTCAACTACAGATTTCGTGCTACCATCCAATCTATTGATATTATGGATATAGATGATAATGGAGCCTTAAAGAATTATGGTGGACTTGTGATGTTTATCTCTGACTTTCCCAACTTGATAGAATTAAGAGCATGCTGCGATTTCATACTAAGAGAGGAGGTCAATGTGATCAATTTAACGAGTTTGCTGAACAACAGCAAGAAACTTAAAGTGCTTCATTTAAATCATTTTAGCAAAATTATAGATACACCTGAGGATGTGCCTTCTGATGATGTAATAAGAGAATCCCCTTTAACAAATCTTCAATTAGGAGTATTACGGCTTGATATTAAGCCTCTCCAGTATGTGATGGCAAGATTCCAGAATTTATCTAGTTTCTGTCTAACTGCAAATAACATTGAACCAGATCATGTTATGGGCTTTGAAGCATCTGATAAAGTTGTTTGTGATTTTCATACTTATTTCAAAAATATTGACCGTTATGCTGTTAACTATACCTATAAAGGCGAGCACTTCTTTGATAGAAATATCATAGAGACATCTTCAATTGTTGATGCTAATGATATCTTGCTTGAAGATTTAGTGAATTATTTTGAAGATGATATGGGACGACTTTACACGTGGACAGATGAAGGAAACAGTGCTTATGAATATTTTAATCATTTAGATCATGAAGATATGATGTATTACGACGATGAGTTAGATATTGATCCATATTTTACAGATGAAGATCCTACAAGTAGTAACTTGGGATATGAGTTTGAGTTTGATGAAGAGGAAGAGGAAGTGGAAGCGGAAGTGGAAGTGGAGGAGGAGGAGGAAATGGAGGAAGAAGAAGAATCTTTACAAGGACTTTGGGAGTCTGTTGATGAACTTTTTATAAACTCTCAATATGCTATGCAAACCTTTATGGCTCATGATGATATCCTTTATAATATAAATGATAACTTTGAAGACGACGAACCTATTTGGTAAAGGAGATTAATGTAATTTTGTACTATATAAAAAGACTATAAGCAATAAAATGAATCTTTCTTTCACTCACTGACACACACATACTCTCTCTCTCTCTTTCTCTCTTTCTTTCTTTCTTTCTTTTTTTTTTTCTATCAATACTGACAAGAGAGCATAGAAGACTGTTCCTTATATAGAAATATTATTATAAGCTTGAATTCATCTATACTACTGATGTATAAATTGACGTTAGTATATATATATATAAATATTTGTATACACTATTTTAATATTAGGAAATAATTTATCATTGATATAATAGCCATTCTCCAATTAGCAGTTCACAATTGATTTGGCACATCTTTTTATAATGATCATAAAGAATCATTACAGTAGTAATCCTTTTGAATATATACATTTATATACGTATATATATATATTGCACACTTATGAGTCAAAAAAAAAAGTAAATAAATATATACTACTACTACCACTAATAGAATTATATATCACACTACAATTTATACATGTTTGTGGACCCTGTTTATTACATAAAAGTGTTATATCGATATTCTTTTTATTATAAATAATGTGTTTTGCTATTCATCATATTCTTCTTCTATATTTTGTATATGTTTCCAATACCTTGTTATGTTTTTATAATTCTTTCAAGTGCAGCTTGGAGTGATGCAGAATTATATTTAGGTTCTTCACTTGTTGGATCTGCTTCCACCACCATACATTGGATACCTAAGGATTCAATAGCTTCCACGTCTACAGGAATAAGTGAATTTGAAAGGTAAATTAAATGAGTAATATAGGTCGATGGAGGCTGATCAGGAATCAATTCAGAAGGGATATCGAAAGACTGCGAAAAATTAAAATAACCATTCGAGGGATAACCTTCCTCTTGACCGCCAACGATGCTAGGTGCTCGGGATATTTGAAGTTGACCAAGGGATGGCGTTAGTGGCCAACGTTTGGAATTAAAATCAGCGACTGGTCTGCGATAAGAGTCATTTGATAAATGGCCATTTTGACATAACGCGTCCTCTTCAATATGCGTATCATAAAATTGACGACGTGCATCAATCAGCTGACTTTCATTCAATGCATCTGTAATTGTTCTTATAAAATCAAGGGCAGTGTAACCGTCTGTTTCACGATCTGTGGAACCATTCAGGATAAGGATTTTATGGTGTAATGAAGGTGAATGAGAGATAGCATATCCAACCTTTCGTAATATTAAGCAAGGTAAGATGGAAGTATAAAGGGAACCAATAGAATAAACAAGTTCTGTACGATTCTTTAAATGATCTAGAATCTTTGGATTGGGTAATGGATAAATCTCCTGACCATATTCATTTATATAATAGATACGTGATATGGGTGCTGGTAATTTCTCTTCTGTTGTTTTACTAAAGATTAAGTTGCCATTCATTACATCATCGTTATCTAACAATGGTGAATTTGGCAACGCTAGTCTAGAAAAGGCATCAATAGGATTCATAGATCTCGTATCTACCTTCTTTTGCCCTGGATGACTAATTTCACATTGACCATGTAATATCTGTCCATCCTCTAATAATGCAGCAATAGCCGCTGTATGATTCGTATTAATGATTGGTAAAACATACGTAGGTTCTCGAATAGCAGTAATCGATGAGAAAAGAAAAATAGCCGCTTCAAGTGAACCAAAAAACAAGCGTGCGCCTGTTAAAAAAAAGTTACCAATCGACCCATGGCAAAAATTGAAATGTTTATGAGCTCTTTTTAATATTTCAAAGTTAAACAAGACTAAAAAGCCCCTGATCGTCTCCTTTTTCTCAATAGGGATCTTTTCCCATAATCTATTTTTTTTTTTTGGATGATTTATGAGTTGGGTTATAAGAATGGAATAGAAATTCAGTTTTAATACTTTACTTGTGTCGTCCCTCAACAATTAAGGACCATTCATCACGAACGGCATGCTCATCACCCATCGAAGATAAGCGATAACTGAGTAATTCTTTAATAGCTGATTGTTCTTCTACATTATGTCCATCAATATTAATTAAACGTGTAAGTCTTGATCTTAAATCGCCAATACTAGGTCCACCTAAAACCCTCAATAATTCACTCTAAAAAAGAAAGAAAAAAAACAAAAAAAAGAAAGGAAGATAATTTAATTAAATATAGTTGTTGATGATAATGGATAGTATTGTTATTATTATTATTTTCTTTACAGTTGAACCGCCATTGTCAGAAATACCTAACGCATAACAAACACTAGGTGTAATTGCTTGAAATGCATTAACTAGAAATAATTTTAAGAATATACAAAAAAAAACCTCAATGTCTTATATATTATTCAAGTACCAATATGATTGCAGGCAGATCCACCTGAAAATACAACGAATGAAGGTTCTGATGTCATGTTTATGATTTAAGAAAAACAAAAAAAAAAAAAAACATGATTTCTATATTGATAATTCCTTTTATATGCTAATTTCAAGCTCAGTAACAATTTATTATTTACATAAGCAAAACACGTATTTCATTTTGATAAGATTACTATATTTATCTTATCTAATAGAAAATGCTATTTTTTCAGCCAAACATATCATTATAGCCACCCTAAATATTTATAAGGAAAAGTTAATATTAATATTTTTTTTAAACAAGTTAAATATAATTTACGGGAGGTAATAATTCATCATTATCAGGTTCACCACTAAAAGGTCTTCTTGGTCTACTGTTATTACCTCCTCTTCCAGGCGGTCTAACTGGTAATCTTCCAAAAGGCCCTATAGGATCAAATCGTGCTCCAGGAGGAACAGAACCTCTAAAAAAAAAGTAAGAATTAATAGCTGTGTATATGATTTTTATTAATTTACCTTGGCAAAGGTTCAGGGCCACCAAATAAGCCAGATGGGTCGTCTAAGCTACTACGATTGCCACTTCGATTACCAAAGATAGGATGATCAGGACCAACGAACATGCCATCACCACTTCTATGAACCAAAAGTATGTTAAATATTTATATACATGTACAATATTTTCTTTTTTGTGCTATTTACCCTGGCATACGTATTCCACTACGAACACCTCCTAAAGGACGTAGATCAGATCCACCTACATCAGGGTAAGCTGGATCATCAAAATCTGCTGAGCCTGGAATAGGAACTCTCGTAGTAGGATTTCTTTCTGTATTTGGATTAGGCTCATTTGTAATTGCCGCAGTATTAGTAACAGAACTATTAAGAAAGTATTAACATTTGTTTGCATATTTGCATATTTATTTTATCTGAAACCTATTATCCTCATATCCAGGCTTATTTAACCCAGGTATTAAGCGTTGAATTATATTCAATTTAAATGCTTTAATAAAATCTTCAAATCGATTGGAAGAAATAAAACCATGCACTAAAGGCCTATCAGTAGAAGAAGTATTATAAGGAAAGAAAGAGGCAGATGTATAATCTTCTGTTGATATATCCAATATTGCCGTCTTATTATCCTATATTAATTATTGTATAAGTAACCAATAATGGATGACATCTATATAATTATTACTTACACCAATACCTAAGCCTAAAATAATGCATTTGCCTCCTAACCTCACAATTTTAATTACAAACGTCAGACTTGATTGCGGATGACTATATCTAAAATTATAATTATGAGGTCCGTTGGCATTCCATTCTTCTGGTAACTTCCTTACATTACCATCTCCCTCTAATTTTAAATAATGTTAATAGTTTCATATACATTTGTATATGTATATATTGAACATGCGTATATACCTTGGCGTGCGTCATCACCTAATCCTGCAAAACGGAAACCAACACTCAGCATAATGGCGTGAGTAGCAGCAGCAATGGCGTCATAAGGATCCTTTAATTCAGTCGCAATCTGGGAAGTTGAATGTAATATAACTGAAGGATCTAAAATGTTTTCTTTATGTTTTTCTGACATGACTTTCTTCTTTTTTTTTTTTTTTTTTTTTTGAGAGAGAAAAAAAAACTGTATTTCCTAGTTTTGTTTCTATTATAATATTAATACTATTCAGTCTTGTGACAAGTCATTTTTTTTTTATGCAATACTTGATTTTATATTTCTATTCGTTTATTTATGTATCATCATGTATTATTATACTTTTTATTGACTTTAAGCTTGATATTTTCTAAAGAAGAGTATACTTCACCCCCCTTAAAAAAAAACTCTTTCCAGGGAAACTATAGACAAAAATTACGCGACAGGAGATTTTTTTGTAATTTTATTTTTTTTAGGGAGAAGTAGGTAAAAGTTATATTTACATCTTAAATTCTCTCCTATACACTCTTGTATAACCTTTGTTTTCACTAGGATTCCTTCCCCTTATGTATGACTAAATTAAGTAAATAGACCTCTCCCTTCATACCTTTAATCATCTCTTAGGGATAATTTACACATAAAACAATAAACTACAGTCTTGCACTTACTAATTCAATTTACTAGCATAATAGAACTATTGCTTTTCTTTTTTTTTTCTCTCTCTTTCTCCCTCTCTCCCTTTCTTTTTTTTTTTTTTTTTTTTTTTTTTTTTTTTTTTTTTAAAAAAAAGAGAAAAATGGAAGATAAGAATAAAAATACACCCTTCTCTTATTCAGATGCAACCATATCTTCACAAAAAGACATTAAAACAAACTTATTTGATGATACACTTATGCAATCACATTTAGATCCTTCAAATCCATTCGCCTTTTCTCGTGAACAAATGATATCTATCGTAGATCAAGCGCGACTTGATTTAATAGAATACATGGGGGGCGTCGATACTATTGCAAAGGGATTACATTCAGACATCACTAAAGGTATCGAATGGAATGAAGGAAATTTGTCGTATATCCGCATGTTTGATCTTCTTCAACAACAACAACAACAACAAGAGGATGAATTTTATAATCCTCAGCTCCCACTTTCACCAAATGACTCGAATACATTTGTGCAAAGGAAACAAGTGTTTGGGTCTAATACTCTACCTAAAGTAGAGGAAGTCGTATTGTGGCAACTCATGTGGAATACGTTTCAAGATAAGATTTTAGTAAGTAATAAAAAAAAATACAGACATGTATATATTCATATGTATGTATGCATGTATGTATGTATGTATGTATGTATGTATATGTAATATTAAACTCTCTATTACAAAAAAAAAAAAAAAAGTTACTTCTGACTGGTTCAGCTATAATTTCATTATCAATAGGTATTTATGAAGACATTTATACGGTAGAGTATGATAGTTCAGGTAATAAAGTACCTAGCGTAAAATGGATAGAAGGCGTAGCTATTATTATTGCCATCTTATTAGTGGTGATTGTTACTAGTGTAAATGATTATCGGAAAGAAAAGCAATTTCGTTCATTAAATGCTAAAAAAGAAGACCGAGATGTATATGTAACTAATTCTACATGAAATAAATAAAAAAAAAATGAGGGGGAGGAAGAAGAGGAAGAGGAGGGGAAAGGGATTAGTTTTCTTTTTTTTTTCTTTCTTTCTTTCTTATGACTATACATAGGCTATTCGTTCTGGTAAACAAGTGCTTATATCTGTTTATGATGTACAAGTGGGAGACGTATTAAAGCTACAGCCAGGAGAAATTGTCTGCGCAGATGGTATCTTTATAGAGGGGAATAATTTAAAATGTGATGAATCCAGTGCTACTGGAGAGTCAGATGCAGTTCTCAAATTATCATGGAAGGAAGGTTATAAAAAAAGAAAAAGGGGATCTCTAGACTCTGTTCATTTCTTTACATGCATATCTGAAAGTGAATTCCAAGAAATTATTAATAAAAGAAAAGAGAATGAGGGGCAAGCGCCAAATCCATTTTTAATTTCAGGATCTAAAGTAATTGAAGGTATAGGCACTTATTTAGTGACAGCAGTTGGGCCCTATTCCTTTCATGGACGTTCATTGATGACACTCCGCATAAAGAATGAAAATACACCTTTACAAGATAAACTGGATATTTTGGCGACTCAGATTGCGAAATATGGATTATTTGCTACTGTCTTTTTAATGTTTTTGCTTATTTCCCGTTCTGTTATTGGTTACACCACCGGGAGCCTTTCTACTCTACCATCGGATATTATTTCTCATGTTATGCAAATATTAATTACTACCATCACTGTCATTGTCATTGCTGTTCCAGAAGGCTTACCGCTTGCCGTCACTTTAGGTATATAATATATTTATTTTTTTTAAAAAAAACACATGATCTAAATTATTATTATTATTATTATTGTTATTATTATTATTATTATTATTGCTATTGTTATTGTTACTATTATTAGCTTTAGCTTATGCAACACAAAGAATGTTAAAGGATAACAACCTTGTACGAGTATTAGCAGCTTGTGAAACTGCAGGAAATGCTACAACCATTTGCTCAGATAAAACAGGTACTTTAACAGAAAATCGAATGGAAGTTGTGGCAGGAACATTTGGATCTTCGTTTCGGTTTCTTAAAAATCCTCCTATTTCGCGTTACCATGATTTAATCAATATAGATCATATCAAGAATAAAGTCCCTATTGCAGTAAAAAATGTCATAAATCAATCTATTGCCGTTAATTCAACTTCATTTGAAAATATGAACATGATGGGCGATAAATCATTAGTAGGTAATAAAACAGAAACTGCTATGCTTTGTTTTGCAAGGGATTGTTTAGGTTCAGAACCCTTTGAGTTGCTAAGATCGTCTTGGCATCTTGAGACCCTTTTTCCTTTTAGCTCATCTCAAAAGGCAATGGCAGCTGTAATTCGTATTTACGATGAAGATGGGAAACCTATTTACCGTGCCCATCTGAAAGGTGGATCAGAGTTCTTATTAAATAGTTGTAGCTCGATTCTATCTATGCATGATCCATGTTATGAAACTCAGAAGGATAGCTATCCTATCTCTATTCGAGCTATGACAGATGAAAATCGAATAAGAATAGATAAGATCATTCAAAGTTATGCAACGCGTTGTCTAAGAACGATTGCTTTATGTTATCAAGATTTTGACAATTGGCCATCAGATAGAACATTAGAAGAAATGATTGAAGAGAAGAAGTTAACGTTATTAGGCATTATTGGTATTGAAGACCCTTTAAGAGAGGGCGTAGCAGATGCCGTTTCTATCTGTCAACGCGCTGGCATATATGTTCGAATGGTGACAGGTGATAATATATCAACAGCTAAAAGTATTGCACGTCAATGTGGTATCTATACAAAGGGAACGATTGCAATGGATGGAGCTACATTTAGAAAGTTAAATGAATGTGAACGAATAAAGATACTTCCTCAGTTAAGTGTGTTGGCGAGATCAAGTCCTGAAGATAAAAGACTATTAGTCAATACCTTACGTGAAACAGGAGAAATAGTAGCAGTAACTGGAGATGGTACGAATGATGGGCCAGCACTGAAAGCAGCTGATGTTGGATTTAGTATGGGAATATCAGGAACAGAAGTAGCTAAAGAGGCATCAAGTATAATTCTTATGGATGATAATTTTTCAAGTATTGTTCGAGCTATCGCCTGGGGGAGATGCGTAAATGATTCTATTAAAAAATTTATACAATTTCAGTTAACAATCAATATTACAGCAGTTACATTAATAATGATATCTAGTATAATGAACGATAAACAAAAATCAATTTTATCTACAGTTCAACTTTTATGGGTTAATTTGATTATGGATACATTTGCAGCTCTTGCACTTGCCACAGATTCTCCTTCTTCTGATTTATTAAATCGATTACCAGAAAGAAGAACAGCACCGCTTATAAACTATAGTATGTGGAAAATGATTATTGGACAATCTGTATATCAATTGAGTATTACCTTAATACTTATCTATACAGATATATTAAACTTATCCGACAATGAAGCCACTTTACAAACTGTTATCTTTACAGCCTTTGTATTTTGTCAAATATTTAATGAAATCAAGTAAGAAGATGTTGATTACACACAAACATACATACATACATACATACATACATACAAACCTTTTCTTTTCTTTTTTTTTAATTAATTATGTATATCATTAGCTGCAGAAGAATTGATAATGACTTGAATGTGTTCAAAGGAATAGATAAAAATAAGTTGTTTATATTTATTATTTCAATTAGTTCAGTTGGACAAGTTTTTATCGTTCAATATGGTGGAGCAGCTTTTCAAACAAAGCCGCTTAATATAAACTTATGGGCTATATGTATTTTAATTGGTCTAATTTCATTACCAGTGGGCATTATTATACGTTTAATTCCAGATAGATGGGTTTCACTCTCCCTAAATTGTCCAAGTCAACAACAAAAACAAGAAGCTACAAATCAAAATGAAGAAGAATATCATCCACTTGAAGAAGCCATTAAAATGAAATAAACGTTATTTATTTTGAAGTAAAAGGGGAGAAAATATGTATTTTTATTGGCTATATGTATGATGCATAAAAGAATTTTTTTTTAATAAATAATAGGAATACATGAATATTTATAAAAAAAAAAAAAAAGTTTTCGACGAGTGACGTCTTACATCTCCTATTTATTGAATTTTCTCAATTCATTTTGTATTTTATATTTTTTTCTTCTTTTTATTTATTTATTTATTTTTTATTTTTATTTTTTATTTTTTATTTTTTTATTTTTTTTTTTTAAAAAAATTATTGTTTAACAAATGTCTCTTGAATTAACTGAACTTGTTAAAAGACCTGGTGCTGGTAGAGCTGGTAAGCCAGTTCGTGTCAGAGCCAACTTTTTTGAAGTAACTGCATTCCCTACTCAGAACATTCATCATTATGATGTTACTTTTGACCCTGCTGGTATGCCTGCTGTTTTGTATCGTAAGATTTGGAAAGCTTTTGAAGACACTAATGGCCAAGGTATTTTAAATGGCATTAAGGCCGTTTTTGATGGTCGTAAGAATGTTTTCTCTCCTAAGCCCCTTAACTTGGGTGAAGAGCAAGCTAAACAATTTGAGGTATGATTTTTTTTTATAATGAATATGTTTATTATTTAAAAAAAAAAAAAAAAAATTAAGAAATTTTATATAGATTGAACTTGAACCCGGAAATTCTAAACGCGCCAGCAATAACATCAAGCTTCGTATTAAGAAAGCTGGTGAAGTTAATATGGAAGAACTTCGTCGTTTCTTGATTGGTCAGTCTGCTTGTACTTCTAACTGTCTTACTGGTATGTTACAATTTCATTGACAACAATGAAACAAGAAAAGAAACACTGTGATTAATTTTTATTGTATTTTTAGCTATTATGGTTCTTGATGTTCTTATTCGTCATCTTCCTTCTAGCCTTCATACTACCGTCGGTCGTTCCTTCTTTACTCCTGAGGGTAAGCGTCCCCTCCCTAATGGTGCTGAGGTATGGCAAGGTTACTATCAATCTGCTCGTCCCACTGTTGGTAAGTTTTTTTTTTTCTAACAAAAAAATAGAATTGATAACTTCTAGCTTCATACTTGGAAAATATATACTAAATGTTGATAACAATTATTTTTTTTATAGGCAAGATGATGATTAATATTGATGTTAGCGCTACTGCCTTCTATGAATCTGGTCCTTTACCTGAAGTTGTTGCCAAGATTTTAGGTCGTCGTTCTCTCGATGAACTTAGACGCGGCATTCCTGATCGTGAATTAACTAAACTTGAAAAGATTCTTAAATCTCTTAGAATCATGGCTGTTCATCGTGGTGATAAAAAACTCAAGTATAAGATTACTAAACTTACTCCTTCTTCTGCTGATAGAACTGCTTTTAAGGATGATGCTGGCAATGAAATCACTGTTGCTAATTACTTTGCCAAGCAGTATAACACTCGTCTTAACTTCCCCTTCTTGCCTTGTGTTGTTGTTAAGAAAGATATTTACTTGCCTATGGAAGTCTGTGAAGTTATCCCTGGTCAACGTCATATGAAGAAGCTTAATGAAAAGCAAACAGCTGAAATGATCAAATTTACTTGTCAAAAACCTAATGTTCGTGCTAACAAGATCAAGCAAGGTCTTAATCTTTTGCAATACAGAGATAACCCATACATGCAACAATTTGGTATGGCTGTTAAGCCCGATATGGCCGTCATTAATGCTCGTGTTTTACCTACTCCCAAGATTTCTTATAATGTTTCTTCTCAAGAACCAGAATTTGCTCCTCAAGGTGGTGCCTGGAACTTGAAAGGTAAGAAGGTTGCTCATGGTGCTACTCTTGGCTCTTGGTCTGTTGTTAACTTTGCTGGTAATGTTCCCATGCCTGCTATTCAAAGATTTATTCGTGAATTATGTCAAACTTTTATTGATACTGGTTTGAATGTCATTAACCGTCAACCTCCTATTTCTTCCGCTGACCCTCAAGGTAACATTGAACGTACCTTGAAGGAAGCTTGGTTGAAGGCTGGTAATGCTGCTAAGGCTAACCCTCAACTTATCGTTTGTATTTTGCCTAATACTGGTGTTCCTTTGTATGCTGAAATTAAGAGAATCTCTGATACTATCATTGGTGTTCCTACTCAATGTGTTCAATCTAAGCATATTGCTGATGCTAAGAAGCAATACTGTGCTAACGTTTGTCTTAAGGTTAATATGAAGTTGGGTGGTATGAACTTGTTCTTGACCCCTCCTTATATTCCCTTCATTGCTCAACGCCCCACTATTATTATTGGTGCTGATGTCACCCATCCTGCTCCTGGTGATATGAATCGTCCTTCTATTGCTGCTCTTTCTGCATCTATGGATGCCCGTGCTTCAAGATACTCTTCATCTATTCGTGTTCAAGCCAATCGTACTGAAATTATTGCTGATCTTGCTAACATGATCAAGGAGGTCCTTAAGAATTTCTATCAATCCTGTGGTCAAAAGCCTGAACGTATTCTTTTCTATCGTGATGGTGTTTCTGAAGGTCAATTCAAGCAAGTTATGGACTCTGAAGTTGCTGCCATTCGTGCTGCTTGTGCTTCATTAGATAAGACCTACAAGCCCACTCTTACCTTTGTCGTTGTTCAAAAGCGTCATCATGCTCGTTTCTTCCCTATTGAAATGCGTGATGCTGATCGTACTGGCAACTGTATGCCTGGTACCGTTGTCGATACTGATATTGTACATCCATTTGAATTCGACTTCTACCTTCAATCTCATGCTGGTCTTCAAGGTACTTCACGTCCTACTCACTACCATGTCCTCTATGATGAGAACAAGTTCACTTCTGATTCACTTCAAGAATTGACTTATAACCTCTGTTATATTTATGGTCGTGCCACTCGTGCTGTCTCCATTGTTCCTGCTGCTTATTATGCAGATTTGATTGCTGCTCGTGCTCGCTTCCATCGTCGCGGTGAGAACTGGTCTGATACTGATGCTACATCTGAATCTCTTGATTCTGATGCTCAAATGGCCAGCTTTGCTGTTGTTAAGCCCGAGCTTCAAAAGGTGATGTATTTCATGTAAAAAGCTCTTCGTTTTTTTTTTCAATTGTAAACGCTCAGCTATATTATTACATTGCTTTAAAAAAGAAATTCAATTAATTAATGGAAATTATATCTAACAATATATTATTATACATAAAATTTGTGTATAACTTTAAATAATAAACACATATAAAACTTATACTTTTTTTTTTTTTTTTTTTTTTTTTTTTTTTTTTTTTTTTTTCTTTTTTCATTAATACGTTAAAGCTGCATTGATATGCGTACGAATATTTGTAACTTAATATTTCTGGTACATTTTAAAATAATGTCTTTGTGCATAATGCTATACTTCAATAATGGAATACATCAGCAACTATTCCATTCGTGGATATAAAGACAACAGTGATAAATAAATGACAGTAATAACAATAAAAAATTTTATTCTATTAATAACACTAATTCTACTCAATGTATTTATAAACTGTGTTGGTATGATGTGGATTTACATTGTTGTATTTACTTTACATTGATCGTATTTATGACAAATTTAGCTTTTGATATCTACTTTCTTTTACCAGGAATCTTCTTATATGTCTTTTTACCAGAAAAGAGATCAACATAATCAGGTAATTCAGGTTCTATTTCTTTCTTTTCCTTTGATATTTTCTTTCCTTCTTCCTTTTCTGTCATTTCAACATCAGAATCAGCCGACTTTTCATTTCCAACCGATTTCTTTTTGTTGTTTTGAGTTAAAGATGTAGGAACAGCGATCTTTTGTGCATCTTTAGATCCCTTCTTTGTAATGACTTTAGGTTCTACTAATTTCTTTAATGCAACAGCTTCTTTTTCTTTCTTTGTAGGTCGTTTGTAAAACTTTGCACTTTTGCCCATATTATTATGAGGTCTTTCAAGATATAAATTTTATTTTTTTCTTTAAAAAAAACATAAAAATGGAAATTATACTGAACACTAAGCCACATAATATTTATGAGTGGTTTGTAAATCAAATCTTTATTGGATCTGGTAGTGAAATAAAAGTTGCATGAGAAGGTCCTTCATAACAACAACTTATCCTACTTGATTTATAAAAATAATCTTCCTAATTTATCTGACAGCTATACACGCATATAATATCTTTTTTAATTTGATCATCTGCAAGATAATAAGGGTTTACTCTTAACACTCCTTTTAAGGACAAAAGCATTTATTAGTCAGTACGCTTCTCCATTTAGACTGCTACTAGTCTATTTATTAGTATCAAGATATAAATTACATTAAAATTACCCGGGTTTAGATTATCAATGAAAAATATATATATGCATATTTATTAGTAAATCCCTTTTTTTTTCTTGAAAAAAAAAAAGAAAAGAAAAGAAAAAGGAGGAAAAGAGTTAAAAGCAGTAGTTATGACACTACACTATTTATGGGAGAAGGTAGCAAATGAAGGAATTGCTGTTATTAAAGTATTCTAACTTGAAATTGATTTAAGATAAAATAAGATAAAGCAATCTTTTTCTTCTTTCCTTAATGGAATGTGAAATATCAAAGACATTTCTACTGGTATTAGTATCCCTCTGTTCCACAATATACTGCAGATTTTGTTTATGAGTTGAGTTGTGGTTTAGTTATACTGTGTAAAAGTATGTGTCATTTGGGAGGGGGTAGTTCTGGCGTTTTCAAGTCCTTGAAGCTATTGCATATCTAATATTCATATTTTAAAGTTAACACAAATGCTTAGGCTTTATGAAATATAATATTTTAAAATTCATTCATATTCATCACCATAAGGCCTAAGCAACTTTGAGAGTTGTTTGTATAATATACCAGGTCGTTCTATAATCATTCCTCTTATTGGTACTACATTCTTGGTTTTCATACCATTACCAAATACAAGTAAAGGGATCCGACTTTGATCATTTAAACGAATATCTTTGGTCGTCACTGTCACTTTTTATGTTCATGGCTTCTTTTTTTTTTTTCCACGTATTTTCTTTCTCCAAACGAGCATAACATATTAAGTAAATTAAAATTACCTAGACTATTTCAGCTGGATTATTGAAGAAGTAAAATTATTTAGACATACAGTTGGTTTTAGTGTGTCACTTGAACCTCAATTAGTTATCATGTCTAACCCGGTTCTTGTTTACTTGACTTTGTATTCTAATATGGTGCAACTCATAATGAATCAAAAAAAAAAAAAAATAATAAAGAGTTTGTAAGCTTTATAATCGATATCTATAGTGGTAAGTTACAACAGTTCTAAAAGCCTAAATTCCATTATCAGTTTATATATGACAAAGACTTTCAAATATAAAGTTTAGGACGAGATATATATGTATATATATATATATATATACCATGTCAGATATTGAATTCAAGTCAATAAGAATTGATTTAGTCACGAAAACCTATTTTGGTTTAATAAATCTATCAATTGACGCTGAAACAACTATATAATGCAATATTGTAACAATATTCACTCTTATTGAAACCCAGTGTTAAAAAAAAAACAAGTATGCAGTTAAAATTCTTTCTTTCCTTTTCAAAATATATAATAATTATAGTGGGGGGTATGCCTACAGCTCCAAACAGTATTCTTTCTCGAGAATTTTTATTATCCCAAAAACCTATCATATTATGGATACATGATCCTGGTGCGATTTATAATCATGATGCTGTAGTTAACCCAGACATGTTTCCTAATTTTAATGATGGTCAACTTTTAAGGATTCATTGTCCACACAATTCTCAGCAAACACAGCAACAGACACAAAATAATAAGCAAGATCAGCAAGATCAGAAAAAAGTTCACGATCCTCAAAAGCAAAGTCAGCAGACTCAAAAGCAACAGCAAATGGATCAATTTGAACAACCACAACATTCTTCTGATGAACATGCTGAACACGGTCTTAACCAGAATTTTGATTTTATAATAGTCAAAGGTCATGCTGTTGATAGGGAGAGTCTAGCAAAGCAACAACAACTACAAGTATGTTTCTTTAAATATATCCATATTTATGCGTTCTCTATATTCATATATTTATATATAAACATGTATATATTGATTTACATGTATCTATTTTATCAAGCTCTCAATTTCAAAGGATATAGCTGATAGGTTTAACTTACGATCAAGACAAGAAGTTTATGTTGAATTGGTAATATGAATAGTACAGTTGATTTAATACCCCACAACATATTTTCTTACTTTCCTTTTTAATAGATAACTAATCCTTATCAAGTCGCATTAGATCATGTGGAACTAGCCTTTAAAGAGCAATATTTGGGGAGAAGTGATATGTGGAGGCTTCAACAAAGCTTGAGTGGAACATGTGTTTATCATGAAAAAAAGATATTGTTTGCCGGGTCAATTAAAGCAACTATTAAGCGATTATTTGCCAACGATGAGCAAGTTACCTCTGGTTATATTACGCCAGCAACTCGAATGATTTTTAGATCAGCATCAGCAAAATATTTTTTATTTATTCAAATGTCAAGAGAAATGTGGGAATTTGATGAGGATGGTGAGCTTTATTTTGAAAAGGCGATAAGTAATTTTTTGCCTCATTTATTCAGTCGATGGAAGGAAGAAGGGACAAATCATGTTGTATCTATCGTTTTGTTTACAAGAGTATTTTATGAAACTAAAATCGATGACCCACTTATCAATCAATCATCAGATGGTCGATATTATAAGGATTTCTATAAGGTATTGGCAGATTGGGAGACGACAGATGACTGGATGTCTGTTATTGGACTCTTAAAGAAGGAACAGCTTAATTTCCAACCCGATGTCTTATTACGATATGAAAATCAACGTCAGGTAGTGAGTGGACAAATTTCTATGGCCTATGAAGGAAATGTGTTGGAGGCAGTCAATTTGGCACTTAATCCATTTGATAAACATTTTGTAGATAGAGATCTAATGAGAACAGGTCTTTCCATCATCTTGATTACTCCAGGTGTTGGCAAATTCTTTGTAAATAAAAAGCTATTAAGATTGACAAATGAACGTATGACGGACAATGGTATTGCTATGGATTTGGTATGCTTGTCACCTCTACCATTACATATTACTCCACTTATGTGTTACATGGATGCACCATTGACATTTGATATAGAGGCTATGGCATCTAATGCAGATATAATGGCACCGCGAGGGGGTTTAGGAAAGCCACCTATTTATCCAGGAAACTCACCAGAGAAGGCAGCTTTGTATATTAACTCAAATCAAAAAATAGGTTATATCGATCCTCTCTATCGTGATTCTAATGATGCTCCTACTCAGAAATACTATGCTGTTCCACATTGGATAGATTGTAGTTTTTACCATCATGAAACAGGTCGATTCCTTAAACAGGATAAATTTAAAACAAGATGTAAAATGTATGAACTTCAGATGATGGGTATTATGGAGCATGATATTCGTGGTATTTCTATACCATATTTAACAGAAGATTCAATTGTTGAAAATAACAACACCAAAGAAGCATCTCAGGTGCGCACAATCAGACAACAAAGAAGCTGTGGTAGTCTTAGTGATAAGTCAAGGCTATGTGATGAAAACAAATCAAGTTCTTATGTAAAGAATGGCGAAACCTATCTTTCTCGATCAGCAAACTTATCAAGTAGTGTTAGGCGCACTTCTTTTTTTGGAATAACAGAGATAACACCTACTCAACCTCAAAAAAATAATAGTAGTCTACTTGAAAAGGCTCTTAGAAGCTATGATAATTACGATAGTATGCTCTTCAAAACTTCACCAGAGCCTAGATTTAATAAGCGTATAACACCTGGACCAACTTCAACTTCTGCAAAGTCAACCAAGATTCCCCATTCTTCTAAAAATTCATTTGATATCCCTGATACAAGCAATAATAATGATTTATGGCAAAATACAAATGCAAGGTATAAAGCTACAACTGTAAGTCATCTGTTTATTAATTTTACTAAGCAATAATACTAAATCTGACTCAAAATATATATATATAAAACTATAAAAAATATAAAAAATAGACATGGCATCATACTGGTGATCAACGTCGTTATCCATCTATTTTATCTCATTCACAGCAAACTGGGGGGAAAGGACCATTTGATAGTCATCCTTTACCTCCTCGTAAGGAAGACAAAAATATTTTAGATCCTTTTAAAGCATCACCAACTTTTAATGGTAGAGATGATAATAATGGAAAGATTCGGCCTTTTCGAAGAGGCACGGTAAATAGTAGCGAGGTGAAGTATACATCAACCGTAACTGGTACAAGTAACCAGCAACCACAGCAGCAACATCAACAACAGCAACGATATTTACAAATAAGTAATCAGCCAAACAATGATGAAGAGGAATTTACTGTTGTTAGTTCAAGTACGGTTGATCCGGTACCAATTAATAATAAGGGCTCAGGAAGTCGTTCAGATAGTGGTCGTAAAGCACTTAACCACTCGCCTCGTCAGGGAATAGCTTCTGGTAGCCTTCCATCAATTCATAAACAATCCGGAAATAGTGATATAATGCGTACAAGCTTTGGTACAAATGTAGTTAACAATCTAAATCGATCTTCGCCATCATATAATTCAAATCGACATAATCCTTATAAAAATACTTTGATAAATCCATGCAATCCTTCTGATAACCAAAATTTATTCACTTCACATTTACGTCGTTGGCAGCATGCATTACCTACAGTTAAAGAATGTGATGGTCCAAAAGTACATTGGAAATCATTAACAACACCTGCTTGTTTACCATTAACTACAGATTATTTCCCCTCACATGAAGAACTAACGTTTCGATATAATCATTACATGTATACTGTCTCTGCAAGCGAGGATACTAATCTATATCAAGCAGGTGATCGTAATTTATCTGAGCATAAAAAGACAGAAAATCTTTTAATAGAAATGTTAAGTCAAAGACTTGCACAAGGGTTTCAAATTATTGTTGATAACACAGGTAGTTCAAATTATGCTAAGCCTGCCTTGATGAAAGGTGATGGGCTCATATCTGCTCTCAATAATCTTAACAAAAATAAAGATAATTTTGGAACACCTACAGCAGCTAATACTAATGTGGGGAAAGAATCAGAAAATAACAACATAACAATGACTCGTGCTAGTGGAAGTCCTACAAATAATAATAATAATACAACGAATACTGTGGGGGTAACAGGAAATACAAAATTAGCACCATTCGGTTCTAATGTAGCTGTTCCAATTGTTGGAAAAGGAGCGCTGGATGATAACGAGAAGATAGCATGGAAACATATGGTTTGGTGGTTATCGATGGGACACCAAGTTCATCAATTAACCTTTGACTCTTCTGGTCAAAATGTAGAAGTTCGCCGTTATGTACGTATGATCGAATTTGATGTGAGCAAGGTCAATTATAAATGCGCTATTTGGCCAAAAAACATGATCACATACCGTCCTAAAAACGTTGCTTTTAGTTATCCAAGTTTAATGTATCAGTGGAATTATTTGGATCATCTTGTTGCCGGATATCAGGAAGAATTGACTGACAATTTACGTTTCTGGCGTGCCCGTTTTATTGTAATTCCTCGTGAGACATTACCTACAAATATTATCCTTACTGGTGCCTTACATGATAATTTAGATGAGGAAGAAAAGAGGATAGCTTTATTTGAAACTTGGATTCAAAATATTCGTAAAGCAAAATGGCTTACTCCTGAAGAAAAAGAAGAACTACAAAAGAGACGAAAAAAGGAAATAGGATTTTCTGATTTAGGCATTAAGCTCACTACGATGGATCCCTCTGCATACGTTGCAAGTGATGCTATGGGAACATCTATGACTTCTCCTGTTGAATCAAAGAGCCATAGTAATATTTTATCATCCATTATCACCGGACAACTATTGACTCGTGATTCAAAATCAAAAGATATTGCTATAGCAATGCAGGATCCCAAAGGAGGAGTAAAAATTATGGATCGCCGTTGGCACTTTAGAATGTATTATGATGTTTTCACTGGTACTGAACTTGTTGACTGGCTTATAAATCAAATCGAAGATATAACAACGAGAGAGCAAGCTGTTCAATTTGGTAATTTACTAATGCAAAGGAGACCTCCTTTATTTCATTCTGCTACCAATAGACATAGCTTTTTGGATGGTAATTATTTCTATACTCTACATGATGAATTTGCCGTAAAGAAACAGACAAAGGCCTCCTATCGTAAGGTTTTTGGAAGTAGTGATTCTGCAGTAACAGCAATATCTGTAAAAGAAAAAGATAATACCTCTAATGATATAAATTCACTTCGACAGATCCCTAGTACCACTTCTAATACTTCCATAAAACGCATAGAATTTCAAATGTCAAAATCCATGATTATTGATATAGATCCTTATAAAAAGAGTGATCGACGTGAAACAGCCATTTTGCATTATGATACAATCCATAATCCTCGTAACTGTTATCACTTTCAATTAAATTGGCTTGGTTGCACAGCACAACTTGTTCAAGAATTACTACAAAATTGGAGTAGACAAGCAGAGAGATGCGGATTAAAACTCGTGGAAGGCTCTGTAGATCAAGCATATGAAGATTTAGAAAATAATAACCCATTTCAATGTCCAGTACCTATTTCAATGGTTGTACCTCCACCTCCAGTAGACGAACTTATCATAAAAACAAAAATTGATATCCCCGCGCAATTTTACGAAATTGCGCTTGTTCGTCATCTTGGTTTTGTTCTTGATGTTGAGTCCGACTATAATTTTGATCGTGCGAAATCAGAAGGTGTTGACCTTTCCTATTCATATATTAAAGAAGTCTATAAATTTGATCAGTATATACATCAATCCGGTGTATCGTTTGTGCAAATTCGTCCTGAAGGGAAAGGCTTTTATTGGGTTAACAATCGACTCTATACTAATCATACGCCAGCTTTGATTGCTAATAGAAGACAGCCTTCCTCACAACAGTTTTGCCATCCAGATGTTTTTCGCACAAAGTTTCAAAATCATTGTAATGATACTAAATGGCTTTCAGATTTCTGGGAAACAACAAGAACAAACTTCCTAAAGGGGATAACTCCTGATAGCTCAGATGCCTGGGTATTTGAAAACTCTGGAGCTGTTGTTGAAACTAATCTGTATCGACCAGTCATAAATACAAATATAACAGAAAATACAAATGATACTGCGAGTGCGATCGTTTCTCCAGCAAACGAAAAAGGGTTAAATATCTCCCCTAGTGGCAATATCAGTAGTGCATCAACCTTGGTAGAAGCTCCTATAGTTCAAGGTACTACTGCTCATTCCCAACATAATAATATTACTGTAACTATTTCTACAGCTTCTCCATCTCTTTACGACCCTCAATTAGTTAACCTAGCGAATAATAATACTACTAGTACAAGTAATAGTTCCCTTAATTCACCTGAATCTCATAATATTTAATCTTGCTGCGCATAATCAGTTACTTTTATGTATTTTTATTTCACCATTAATACCATTATTCATGTTTTACATGTATTATTATTATTATTATTATTATTATTTACAAAATAAATAAATGTATGTACTTATAAAATGAATGAAAAAGAAAAGGTTTATGGATATAATTTATTTTGCCAAGTTGTAATGAACTAGTTAAAAAGAAAAAATAAATAAATAAATATTACATCTCTTTTTTTTTTATTGTATTGTAGGTTCATTGGGTTTGGATTTAATGATACAATGAAAGTAAAATAATCTCTGCGATATCCACATACAGTCTGTATAAAGTTAGATATTATATTTCTATATGTATTTGGCTGAATATATTTGATTAATTTTAATATTATTTCTATACGTAGTAATGATTTTTTTTTCCCTAGTTGTTGATTACTTCTCGAGCATTATTATGATTCTATAAGATGTCCCTGATAAATAGAGTTATTAAATAGTGAACACATGTAGCTTAAAATGGTATCTGATTATTATTTCATTACAGTTCAATATACAATCACTTGATATCACATAAGGATATTAATGTAAAGACTAGAGTACACCGGATCAGACTTTATATATTGCTGAATTTTGATATTTACTAAATTAGCAATATGAGATCAAATTTGCTTTTTAACTTTGCTAACGCTAAGTCAGCACCAGGATTTACTACTATATGCTAAATCCTTATTGATTGAATATTTGGAACTTAAGGATACCTATCTCACTGACCCTCCTACGATAATATTATATACAAGTTTCTTGTAATAAATTTAGTATTATTCATGTAGATTTATTCCAAAAAAAACAAGAGTTATATAGGGTCCCCTTCTTTTGTCATTTCTATATTTTAATTGTTTCAATAGTCATCCTCCTTTAACTTGGCCAAAAGCGCACTCTTATTTATACTTACAATACGATAGAGTACAATCCATTTAATATCCTTAATATCCACTATCAATTGTTCGTCTAATATACCAATGAAATGCGAGTATTACAATACAAATCTTGGGTCAAAGTACACCGTGCTAGTGTAACAAGCATTGTGTATAAGGCTTTTATAGATAGATAATAGTCAAAACATATTATTGTTGTATGTGTAGATGAATTTCACACATCAAGGATTATTATAACATAAATGATCCGGTCCGAGCGGAAGTAAAAAATTTTAGTCCAGCGCTCATTATGAACTTGTAAATCAAAAACTACAATACGAACATCTAGTTCCCTATCAATCTCTCTCTCTCCTTTTTTTTTTTTACATTTCTACAATCGTTCCTTTTTTTTTCAAATTACTGTATAATAATTACATTCGTTTATCTGTAAATTGAAGTCATTCCCTCATGGATTCACCTAAAATATCTAATCTAAACATGTCGAAGCCAACGATTGCATCTCGTAGAACTACATTATCTTCTCAAAGATCAATTTCAGTTTTATCTATTAACACAAGCGCTGCACATCATGATTCGGTAAGAAAAAATAAATCGACCAGTAACGTTAATCGATTATACCAACGATCTCTAACTGGATACTGCATCCCACCGTATTCTGCTGAAATTGTTCAGAATAGTATGAGTCCCGAAGAACTTTCAACAAAGATTGCTGATAATTTTCAACAGTTTTCTAATATCCTTACTCAGCTCTCAAGTAAATCAACAACAAAACCAAATAATAATAATAATAATAGTTGCCATTTGCCCTTAATAGTAAATCAAAATGATACCATATATAATACACCGAGCACATCCCCTCATCTCACTAATAGCATGTTCCCTCAAACTTATTATAGCAGTGTAACATTTAGTCCTTTATTCTCACCTCCTCCTACATCTCAAGAACCACGGAAAAAGGAGTTTTTTCAAAGTAGTCACGATTCATTGTCCATAACAAAAGGCATATGCTCTTCACAATTAAATTTGGAAAATAGCGAGGCATCATCATTAAAACTAGTAAGCAGTATCTTGAATAATGAAGAAGGATCTAACAACGATGCATTGGATAATTATGCAGTTTATTTTAAGAATGCTTTGGACAATGTAGGGAACACAACAAGACTCCGACTTATTGCCAAATGGTTCAATCACGCCGCCTCAACTGGTAATATTCAAACCATGCAACAAATGTTGGTAGATATCAAAGTAGATGTAAATTCTTCTGATGATGAAAGAACTAAGATCAATCCACTCATGTATATCTCATATTTTGGATATATTGATTGTCTTAATTTACTATTAAACTATCCATCAATCGAAATAGATCAACAGGATAAAAGTAAGTTGACCTTATACATCTGTCATTGTCGTACGGATTTAAAATTCCGTTCATATTATATGTGTGAAAAAAAAAAAGAAAAAAGAAAGAAAGACTCATTTATATTTGTATATAGAGGGATGGACAGCCTTGATATGGGCAGTTCATGGAGAAAAAGAGGAAGCTGTGCGGATACTGTTAAAGCATAGTGCTAATACTATGTTATTAACAAAGCAAGGCAGGACTGCTGTTGATTATTCAACATCAGAATCCATCAAAAAACTTTTAGGAAAAATAACCGTTACCGTACCTGCATCTAAGATTAATTCTTTTATACAAGAGGATACATCAAGTGAAATAGTTTCTGTACCATATTTGAAGAAAGATGTTGACTTGTATTACAAAATTGGAATCGATGGTTATGATTATTTCTTGGCTCACCAAAAAAAAACCCGAAGCAATATTGATGCTTATTCAAAACCTATCTCTAATGAACTTCAATGTATTCCATCAAGGCCAGACTTTAATCAGCTAATAGAATATAGCCCAAAGTCATCACGACTACAAGAAAATAAAAATTTAGCTACTAAGGCATACATATCACAAGAAGAAGAACAAGATATAAAGCAATGGGAAGATTGTATAAAGTCTTCGTATATATTTTCATGGAACCAATGCTTACCTGATCAAATGCTTGTATTTAGTCAAGATGATGTATATATTATTGTAGAAAGTGCCTTTTATATGGCTGATCCCAAATTGCTAATAAATGAAGGCCCTTTAAGTAATAGACTTTGGCAACCTGCTAACATTATCTTTTTAAGTGCAAGATTTGCTCATTACTGTCATAGTAAAGAATTACTTAATTCATTACTAATGGCAGTTATTAGTAAACTTACCAAGATAATTAAGGTAAGGTTGTTATATATACATCAACAAACATAAACAAACTTATTTTCTTTTCTTTTTTTTTTAAAAAAAAAAATAAAATAAATAAATTATAGACTACTTCTCGTGATATACAATCATTGGCTTTCTGGGTAGCAAATATGTTACAATTATTAAACTATTTAAAAAAAGATCCCGGATTATCAGTGTCAACTCAAGATTCACAAGCAGATATTTCTGATCTTGTTTCGAATGCTTATACGGAACTTCTTACTGAGCTAAAAAGAAAGTTTGACAAGATTTTGGAGCCATCATTGATGGATTATGACTCAATTGAGGAAATGGAACAAATATCGTTTGTCGATAACTGGCAAAGGTTCTTCAAAAGAAGAAATAGTAATAAACGACAATCAGTCTCAAATACTGATGTCAAAACACCTACAGACGAAACGATAGGAAAATTAAATTCATCCATTAATAATACAACGACAAACACTAATCCTTCCGAACAAACGATATCATCTATTGCATCACCTCACTCTATTACAAATTTACTTCAGCAAGTACAATCTATTCTTCAGTCCTATTACATTCCTTCTGCTATCATAATTCAAATCATAAATCAAATCTTTCATTATTTATCAGATGAAGTTTTTAATAGAATTTTAACATACAAAAAATATCTTTGTCGTTCAAAGGCGTTACAGATTCGAATGAATATATCTATATTAGAAGATTGGGTTCATAAAAACAAGCTTCCTACAAATTTAAATTATTGTTTTGAACCTCTCATCCAGTTATTACAGTTACTTCAATGTCTATCACAAATGAATGACGTTACACTCTTTAGCTCTACAGTTGAAACCTTTGACAAACTGAATGCATTGCAAGTTAAAAGATGTGTCCAAAGTTATCGCTATGAAGTCTCGGAAACTAGATTATCGGAACAAATAGAAAAAATGGTGAATAAGGAAGAAAAAAAATATCAAGTTCAATCAAGAACATCTGTCGAAAGCTATAAAAACAACAATATAAATCAAAAACAAAGATCACCAAGTACTTCAAGTTTAAATAGTCTAATTGACGCAGCAATACCTCTGAATAAAAAAATGTCAATAGAAGACAATATATCATTTGCTACCATTAATAATCAACAATTATATAGTAATAACTTGGAAGATAAACAAAGTTCTAGTTTTAAATATATGCTTCCCTCTTGTACAACACCTTCACAAGATTTGACATATAAGCAGGACAAGAATAAAATGATTATTCAAACAGAAGACAATATTATGCTATATTTTGACACAATTTACAAGGAAATTAAGCTAAAAAAACAAGAAGAATTTGATCAGTTAGATAAAATTTTTCCTAGCATTTCTGAAGAATGGCTTTACTATGTGGATAAAAAGATACATGCACGATGATGATAGAATAATATTTGTATGCCAAGTTTAGTAATACATTTATATACAAATATGTATATAAAGCAATTTATTCAAATTTTGCCTTTTTTATTTTATTCTTCATAGTATACAATTAAATAAAAAATAAAATAAAATCAACAAGTACATAGCGATTTAATTATGCTGTAATTGCCCTTGTCATTTCATATGGGAGAAGGTAATGAGACCCCTTTATGAGTCAGAAGAAAAGAGGGAATCAGAAATAGTATGAGTATACTAGTTCACTACGGGGACAATTAATTCATTAATTTTGACACCAGAAGGAGGAAGAGTTTGATGAAATAAATAATTTATTTTATGTAAAATTATACAAATCGTTAAACAACAAACTAACCAAGAAGAAGCTGATTATGAAGACTTTGGTTTCTTTAGAATTAGTTAGTTGAGGGAAGAGGAAAACGGAATGGTAAACATGAATAGTATTTGGAGTTGATGGTGCATATGGAGACATTTAATAGAGTGATTGAGAAGAATGTAAACCGAAATTGGATCAATTTTGTGTCTTATCATTGCCTGGGCAATAATCCTTCGATTAGCTCCCCTTTTCTCCTTCCCCTTGCTTACTATAGTTACCTTTAATTCTAAGGTATTTTTTTAGTATCCTTTTTCATTGATGAACTAAACTAGGAAATCTTGATGTAATTCATATCTTGTATCCAACTTGGGAGTTTTTAAAGGTTAAATAAAATTATTGTCTATTTGTAATGTTAATTTTTTTCCTCTTTTTTTTTAGAAACAAACAAACAAGCAAAAAAAAAAAAAAAAAAAAAAAAAATGCTACGACTTTATGCTAAAATTCTACTAAACATATACAACAGAAAGGCAGCATAAGAAGGCTACTTCAAACATTAAGTAAAACTATCATGTTGCACCTTACAATATAAGGCACACTATATAACAACATTATAATAGTTTTATCATCCTCTTACATTGCACAATGAAGTTATAAGCTTATAAAATTGTGAGATGTATTACCTAAGCTTAATTGTATAAAGATAAACGTCTTTTTTTTTTAAAAAAAAACAAGATAACTATCCTAGCAAGCTAGATGGCCAAAGCATAAAGTGAATCTGTGTATTTGAGATATATTTAAACTAATAAACTCATTAGTTTCTATCCATTTTTTTTGTAAATATTAGAATGAGGTTTAATTTGAAACGATGTTATAATAAATAAGCTTAGAATGCGACGATTTAGTTAATACATATCCTTACCAATGAATATAATCATTTATAATTAAATTTTTTTGCATGATTATATCTTTTTTAAACTTAAATTAAGATTCAAAAGCATATCCATGCATAAAATATGCTGCCATCATATATAATTCCTTTTTTATATTTGTTATTTCTGAAATGGACGTACCTGAACGACAGCCACACACTCCATCACACCTCCAAGGGAAATATGAGGTCTGAAGAGACACTCCAGGCGCTTGGGGCCCAGCCATCTCACGGCCGTGGAATGGCCGGTTGATGAGCATAAAGAAAAAATATATAAATTGCAATTTTTTGCAGCCCTTTTTATACCTTTTTTTTTTAAGGAGTAAGGAGTTCTTTATTTAAGGAGTATTATTTTATCCAATTAATTTGCTCGTATTAATTGCGTCTTCTTTTATTTATGAACATGTGCGTAGTACAATAAGTGTAACATCAATGGGCAATTCCTTTAAATAAAGGCTCAGTTTTTAAAAATTCTGAAAGGGAGGCCTTTTTTTTTTTCTTTTTTTTTTAAAAAAAAGAACTCTATAAGGGTGACTTTTATTTTCTCAAAATGCGATTTTAGATAAACCAAAGGGCAGATATTATTCTTTACTTACCAAAGTTAAATGAGTACATATTTTTTTTATGAGGATGGGTAGGGGAAAATTATTAATGAAGAAGAACGCGATGTAATGGAATGGGAAGAATAAATAAACCCCTTCCATTTAGAAACGTTAGAACCCGCCTTAGGTTTTAATGTGAAAAAGCAAAACTTAGAGCTAAAGTCGACTAACAAAGGTTTGGATACTGAAATAGGGGAAAATGCTGTCAAAGTAAAGAACAAAAGTAAACACTATAAAAACTACTCCTATGATCGGAAGCTACTTTTTGTCTATTACAACAGGATAAAATTGTTTAAATCTAAAAGGACAGCACAAAAATGGACTAAGAAATTCAAAGATTGGATCATCTTTGAAAAACGAACCAATACCGTTAATAAACCAGCGGGACAGCTTGAAAAGAGGCACAAGATCTATCTTTTCAGTTTTTATGATAGCCATCCTCAAGCCAAAGTCACAGATGTAGTTGTTTCGATTACTGAGAAATTTGAAGGGCTTACACTGAAAGAAACAAGTGTCAAGAGCTTCTTGAAAACTAAATGCTACCTTTTATCCAAAAAAAAAACATTCATTATCCAGCTCCTAGAAATGATCCAACCAAAATTGCAAACTGCAATAATAGCATGGGTAGAAAAGTGGAATAAAATAGATATGAATTACCTCAAAAGTTGTATTTTTTTTTTGATGAATCATGTTTCAATATCAATATAAGATCTCCAGGATGATGGTTTATTAAAGATATACTAGCTATTGTGGTCACTCCTAGTACCAGGGAAGTATCGCATACGGTTTTGAGGGATGTAATTTTAGCAAAATATGACGTGCCAATGGAGCTTCGGAATCCTCAGAATCACTCATTAGAAAGAATAAAAATTGATATCTGTAATCGCAAAAAAGGAAAGCGCCATATAAACTAAAGAAGCCTATCTCCAAAGGTACTATCACAGACCACTATATGAATTTTATTCAAAAAAAAAAAAATGGATAAAATAGATTGCATCCTGGAAATGGAACGATACGGTATAGTAAAGAATAATGCACCCATTCATACCATTAATGAAATTGACGTTATGGTAACAGAGAAAAGATATAAGCGCGTTTATTTCCTTCCTTATTCATCTGAGCGTAACCCTATTGAGTAATTTAAGTCCATAGTTAAAATAAGGCCAAACGTAATCGATTTCAGAACAAGAAAGATTTATTTATAAGAATAACTAAGACACATAATACTGTTCCTCCCAAGCGTTTGTTTAGTACTCAGTAAATATATTTAAAGAATGATTGAAGGATAATCTAATTTAATAAAATTCTCTATACTTTTGGAAAAAAAAAAAGAGAAAAAAAATACCAATTAGGATTTAAAGAAGCCGCCCTTTGAGACTTCAAAAAAAAAAAGCCGATTCAAAGAACAATTCACCTCTAGTAACTCTTATTATTATGAATTAATGAAGTATTTTTTTTCTTAAATTTTAATTCTAGATAGATTTACTCAAGGAAAACAAACACAAATAATTTCTTGATATTTCGTACAAACTCAAACTTATAAATGTTTTTGTTTGATTCTTCAATGTGTTCCACTATTTTCTAGAAATAGCATAATATTAATATTTAATTGTAAGCATTATATTTTAAATAGAATTATTTCTCTGTAATAATTTTATTAATAAGAAAGAGGATATATGTTTATGATTATAATAGTAAGTATTAAATAGTTTTTTTTTTTTTTTTTTTTTTTTTTTTTTTTTTTTTTTTTTTTAGCTTTATATTAAAATAAATAATGTTTGATTTTGTTTTTTCTTTTTTGATAAAATTTTAATATCTCTTAAATAAATAATGGTTACTGTTATCTATACGACTTGTTTGCTCTAACTTAACCGGTTTAATATAAAATTTTGATGATTCAGTATCAAGAGATTGTCTATTTGCATCATTTTTTAATAATGCTATCGGTTTTGTCACTATATTCGACACATCAGGCTTATGTAATGGCTTAGGGAATTGTTTACATTTGAGAAATTTATAGCCAAGTGACAGATCCTTTTGTAAAGCATCCTGTCGAAGACATTTTTCAGAGCAATATAGAGAATCCTACGTAGAGTATTGTAACATAAGCTTATTATATGGTAAGCATACTTTGAAAAGGCCTTACTGAATTTTCCGTAATAGCATTATCACAATAAGTACACCAATTTAGATCAGTCATTATATATGTTTATAATAATTTTACAAAAAAAAAAAAAAAAAAAAAAAAAAGGGAGAGAGAGAGATAAAAAATGAAAATAAAAGGAAAGAATATATTATAAATTGCATAATTTTTTTTTTTTTTTTTTACATGATATTAACACAGGACCAATAATCATGTCAAATGCCCTGAATGTCAGCTTTAGGAAATATGTTTCACATATAAACAACGCTTTTTTTTTATAATTCCGAATCGTCACCTTCGTCAATTTCCATTAAGATATGCTCTAATGTTATTCCATCGCTATCACTAATATTATCCAAATCGTCGTCATTTTCTTCATCATTGTCTTCTGATAGACCTCTGTATGTCTCTTGATTATGATTTAATCTACGCATTCGACGTGCCCTACCCCATCTCGATAAGGAAGCAATCATACTTCTTGTAATGTAGATGTTCTCTTCAATGCTTTCGTTATTTTCATTATTATTTTCTACAATACGTTGTATATCATACATAAGCGATGAGCTTGAATAGGATAATGGATTATTTGGTTCTAGTTTAGCAGAAGTCAGCCTTGGTCTAGAGGTTGGTGTATATATTTTAGCTGTTGAATCAATGCCTGATATTGCTAAAATTGGTAATTTTGGATGACCCTAAATCAAAGATATTTATATTCTATTTATATTAATTATAGCTATTTGTATAATACCTTTGCTACATTAACAATTTCATTATCCGCTTTTAATATTTGAACTATTTTTGATGTATCTTTATCCCAAATAAATAAATGACCACCATCACTACCAGATATTATATATTCATCACGGAGTCCGTAAAAATCAACATCTTTAATGGTCTGTTTATTCGAAAAAAAAAGAAAGAGAGAGTGACAGATTAGTCATATCTTGATTATACACACACACACACACATGTATATATATATTTCTGTATACCTCAATATTACAATGCCCCTTATATTGCTTCCTTGGCTTTACAACGCCTACATGGGTCTCGAAATTTTGTCTCATAATTTCTTGAAAGACTGTTAATTCTTCTAAATCTAAATCATAATTATCATTATCTTCGCTCATCATTCTTCTTCGATAAAGATTCATAATATGTCTATCCATAAAATTTGTATACATTACAAATCCATTGCTTTCACTACTACTAGAACTAGTATTTATACTATTATCATCTTCTTCTTCTTCTTCATTTTCTTCTTGTTGAAAATTTAAGAATTGCCTCAGATCATTAGGACTGTATAAAGTTATATACAATAATTGGATCCATGTATGACGAATAGTGTGTGCTGATAAATCTTCAGTAAAATTCGAATTATAATTTGGTATAGCTATTCCTTCACATGTAAATGTACTATCCAAATCGGCTTTAAAAGTTTTCATCATTATTAAATATATTTCATCTAACTGATATGAATGCATGCTATTTGTCTGTAAGGGAGCATTTGATGTTGAAGCCTCAGCTTCTTGTGATGACAGCTGATGTGAAAATAATTCTATAGCCTTATTTAAATAATAAGAAGCCTTTTGTAAACACAGTTTACGATGTGAGAATGAATTTCTAGTCTCTCTTAATATCCAATATGCTATAGATAAACACCAGAAAGCTTGCCATGTTTTCACATGCTCTAATAGCTGTTCAGCTTTGCTCATATTTTCTTTGGACGTGTTTAAGATTTTAACTACAGGGATAAGATGATTATCACCTGTTATTTGTTCTTCGTCTTCATTCACGGTACCATCTTGGTCAGTATTATTATTATCTTCAGATGTATGGCGTTGATAGGAATAAAGTACAGCACGTATAATTAATATGCATGCATCACCTATAGCAGCATCAATAGAGTTATCTGATTTATTATTTTCAAGGTAATTCTCTAAATCTTTAATAACTCTTGAAGTTTGTTGAAAATTATGTTCAAAGTAAAACTGAGTAATAATGTCAGTCCATAAGGATTTCTTTTGCTTTGTGTTTGATAATTCATAAGTCTCGCAAGTCGTATGATCTGCATTTTGTACATTATTCTCATTATTTAACCTATTTTGTGCTACATCAGAAGCGAAAGTTGTGCTTGATACGTAGGAAGATTCTTCTGGAGAATCATGAATGTTGAATAGAAAGATACCATTTGAAGACCAACTTCCAATGAGCTATGAATAATATATGTATCAATAAGAGACTACATGTTTACTATGATAAATCATATTTACCTCAGAGCTATTATATCTACTAAATTGACAAGCTGTAATGTGTTTACTTGTTCGGTTAATACCATCCACTGAATGCGAAAATCTTTTTACGCATCTTAAAGAACCCATGACATTTGTCGTGTTATTTGTTCTTACTGTCTGTTGTGACCAAGAAGAGCCCAGCATTCTTCTATCATGAAGATAGATATAATCATTTAAACCGGCCACTGCAAAATAATGAGGAAATAGCTTATTAATTGACATACTATTCAATTCAATATTGTATTTGCTATAATCAACAATTGGAGGGGGACATCCTTTCAGTACATTATCACCTTTTGGAAGTGGAAATTGACGTGCAGGTCTACTTTGTGCATAAATAAATGATCTTATATTATGTTTGGAGCATTCATGTGGTACTCTTCGATCAAAATGTCTTACGGTACCTATAAGAAAAGAAAAGAAAAAGTCATTTTAATTATTGTTCAACTATTTTGCTTATATATATATATGTATAAAAAGTAAAATAAAGAATATAAATGTATGCAAATGTAAAGCAACCTTTATTTCATTTTTTTCATTATTTTATTTTATTTTTTTATTTTATTTTTTATTTTATTTTTTTATTTTATTTTTTTATTTTATTTTTTTACCTTACCATCTTGAGAGCAAGTAAGAAATTCAAATGGGTTATTTTCATAAACACATACTTTTTTTAGTTGGTCACTATGACAAACATACATTGAATCTAAGGGTAAACTAGGATTGTTTAAGTCAAAAATACGAATTTCTGAATCTCCAGCGCCAGATATAATGATATTATCTGATGTCTCTGGCATAAACTTGGCAGAAAAAATATTTGCAGTATGACCTATTATAAATAGTGTTAAACTGTCAAATTCATGATAAGCATATTTGTATTTTTATATGAATATTTATACCTGTATTTATTGAATGTACAAGCTTATAATCCTCATATGTAAAATAGATATTCAGTTTTGTATCATCTGAGCCTGTTAATAGCTTATCTCCATCTTTTGACCAACTTTAATAAAATGGTTAGTTAAATAATAAATTATGATATACATATATGTCCATGCTTTATTTTATTTTATTTTATTTTACTATAATGTATTGATACAGCCTGTATGTCCCGGTAATTCTTTTGCAAGTGCCATTTTTGCCATTAGAAATCTGTCTGAATATACATCGGCATCTTTTATTACATTAACAAAAAAATAGAACGAGAAATGAGATGTTTAGTATACACTTTAACAAAATGAAACGAACCTGTTAATCGTCTGTTTATTCTATTCACCTTTTCTGTTCCATAAATTCTTCTTTCATACAAATATCTATTAATATTTAATGCCATAATATCTTTTGTTATAAAAAAAAAAAAAAAAAAAAAAATATAAAAAAGAAATTTGCATAAAACAAAGTTTCACTAGGCTTTTCTCTTTTTTTTTTTATCACAACTGTGTTTGAATTCTATTAGAAGTAGAGTGGTCCGTTTTTCCTGCTCTTTTTTTTTTGGGTTTTTGTTTTTATTTTAACATCTTATTTTACATAAAATGTCCTTAGCACAATGGAGACAATTTAATTTTTTTGATAAACAACAAGCTACTGACCCTAATGACAAAACTAAAACACCCGCTATTTTTCAAGTAAGCTAAGTTATATAAATACATACACATATATATATATATATATTTTTTTTTCATCATCAAGAACTAAAAATTATAAAGAAACAAGACATTTCAGTATTTGCAACGGGACATGGATATATTGCTTTGTCTGATATCCTTTTATTATTATCTAAATCAAACTTTAAATAGTTTTTCTTTTTAATTAATAACTTCTGCATTTGTCCTTAACTCCCCTTTTTTATATTTTTACATTCTACAGGTAGCATTTATATAGTTGATCGCTCCTTTAAAACACAAAAATTCCTTGCATATGATGGAGGAAGAGTAACTCATTTGAAGCAATTAAAACAAAAAAATATACTTCTATCTGTTGGTGTATGTATTTTTATAGAAAAAAAAACACACAGAAAACAAAAAGTTGCTGACTTGTTTTATGATTAGGAAGAAGATACTGTTTCAGGTACTCCCATTGTTAAGTTTTGGGATATGGATGCTTTAAAGCCTATTGCAAGTAATGATGATATTATTGCACCCACCTTAATTCGAACAATCAAGATTCAACATGGAGGGAAACCATATCCAGTAAATTATATATTGATATATGTATACGTATATATTACTGTAATGAATAACGTAACATATTTTGATTATATAAGGTATCTACATTTGCTATATTGGAAAATATGTCACAATTGGCCATCGGTTTAGCCAACGGGGTAGTTATTTTAATTCGTGGAGATTTATCTAAAGATAAAGCAATAAAACAAAAAGTTGTTTATGAAGGAGAAGAACCGATTACAGGACTTGGATTTAGAGAGCAAACAAAATCGACTATCCTATTTATTGTTACTACAAGTAATATCATGTCTTATAATACAACAGCTGTCAAACCTACTGTAGTAAAGTATATTATAAAGAGGAATAATAATAATAAAGATGGTTTACTGATATATAATACGTGTAAAAAAAAGACAATTTTGGATGAGCAAGGATGCGGCTTAGGATGTGCTGTAATGAATGATCAACAAGAAATGGTTGTAGGCAGAGATGAAGCTATCTACTTGTATGATCCAACAGGAAGAGGACCTTGTTTTGCCTATGATTCGCCCAAATTTTCACTTACTTGGTTTAAGTCAAATTATTTAATTATTGTTTCACCACCTATAACTACTTCAACTCATTTCTCAACTGGAAATCGGTCTCCATTCAATTTTAGTTCAAAGAGAATCTCTGCTAACGAATTAACTAAAATTGCTATCTTTGATACAGCAAATAAGTTTGTAGCCTATGTTGGTACTTTTGTAGGAGGAATCCGTGGAGTATTTTGTGAATGGAATTCTATTTGGGTTGTTGGCATGGATGGCAAGGTAAAAAAAAAAAACATTATGGTTTTATTTAACCTACCTTCTTCTCTATTTTATAGCTTTATTGTTTAGAGGAGAAAGACACACCCACAAAATTAGAAATATTGTTCAAATTAAATCTATATGTTTTAGCTATTAATTTGGCTCATATGCAAAAATATGATGATAGTAGTATTGCGGAAATATTTAAAAAGTATGGTGATCATTTATATAATAAAGGTGACTATGATGGATCTATGGAACAGTATATTAGAACTATTGGCCAATTAGAACCCTCTTATGTCATTCGAAAGGTATGAATGTAGATATATATTTGTTATATAAAAATGTTTAACAGTAGTATATATGAATGTAGTTTTTGGACGCTCAAAGAATATACAATTTAACAAATTATCTTCAAGAATTGCATTCTAAAGGCTTAGCAAATGCAGATCACACCACACTTTTGTTGAACTGTTATACCAAGCTTAAAGATGTTTCTCGACTAGATCAATTTATTAAGGTATGTGTATACAAGTACACAAATATAAGTAATAATAATAATAATAATAACAATAAAGCAATATAATGTCAATAGGCCGATACAGATTTAAACTTTGATTTGGAAACTGCTATCAATGTATGTCGACAGGCTGGATACTTTGAACATGCAGTCTATCTTGCAGAAAAGTTTCAAGAGCATGATATGTACTTGGATATAATGATTGAAGATATAAAAAATTATGATATGTCTTTAGCCTATATTAAAAAATTAGGCCCTTATGAAGCAGATAAAAATCTTCAAAAGTATAGCAAGATATTACTAACTCATTTGCCTAAGGAGACAACTCAATTATTGATTGAACTTTGTACGGGTATATTACCATTAGCAGCTTCTAATAATCCAGCTACAACTTCTGGAACAAAATCTCCTGCACCTAGTGACAATACAAGAGCACTTTCCAACTTGCCCTTTAGCGGTCCTAGCGCAACAGATACAGCTTCTATATTTTCTAATCATAGCACCCCTAATGGTACTCTATTGTCATCTGCTCTAGGAAAAACACTTTCAACTAAAAATGTATCGAATCGACTTGGATATTCTCCTCCTTCACCTCGCAAATTTATGTCAGCCTTTGTTGATCATCCTGACTGTTTGAAAGTATTTTTAGAAGCAGTATTTAAAAGGCTATGGGGCGCACATATAACTTCTTCTCCAACAACAATCTCTTCTCCCACTTCTAATGATACAGCAGTGACATCTACAAAAGGAGATCAAGGAGAAAGACAATGGTCTGCTCAAGAGCAAGAAGAACGTAAAATGATTTGGAACACTTTATTGGAACTTTATCTAATGGATGATGATGAGTCTCTATCAGCTCAGGACAGACAACGTCGTAGAAGAGAATGCCACCAAAAGGCTTTAGCTTTATTACATGATGATAGCGTACAGTATGATACCAACCAGGCATTAGTTCTTTGTCAATTGAAACAGTTTGATGAGGGTATTGTTTATTTATATGAAAAGACAGAAATGTATACAGATATATTACGTTATTGGATGGATAAAAATAATACAGATTGTGTTATTGAATGTGTTAGAAAATATGGGTAAAGAGGGGAAAAAAAAGAATAAGAACATAATAACTAGATGTAGTAACTTACTATTTTTTTTTTTTTTTTTAGTCCTAAAGATTCATCATTATATCCAATGGTCTTGACTTACTTTTCTTCTACACCTGAAGTATTAGGGAGATCAACTCCAGAATTATTATCTGTTATGAAGCATATTGATGAACAGGATTTACTACCACCTATTCAAGTTGTGCAAGCTTTATCAAGATCTAATGTTGCAACAATTGGCTTATTAAAGGAGTATATTGGAAGAAAAATCGAGCGTGAGCACCAGGAGTTAAAGCAGGTATAAATCTTAGTCATTAAATATAATATATGCATATATGTAGTTATTGTTTTATATTATAGAATGAAGAACTGATTGAAAGTTATCGTGAAGAGACTGCAAAGAGAAGAAAAGAAATAGAAGAACTTCAGACAAGGTATAACAAATTCAATCTCATAATATTCAAATTATTTATATATTATATAGTGCTCGTATCTTCCAAGTACAAAAATGTTCCGGATGTGAAGGTAATTTGGATCTTCCAGCTATTCACTTTTTATGTAAGCATTCATATCATCAACGGTAAGTAATCCGTCTTGTAAATCAGAAAACAAATAGAAGTTAATGTTGAATGTTTAGTTGTCTTGGCTATGATGATAAAGAGTGTCCTCAGTGCGCTATTCAGCATCGTATGATTACTGAAATAAGAAGAACACAAGAAGCTAATGCTGATAGACATGATCTTTTCTTTGATCAATTAGATCATGAAGAAGATGGATTTGAAGTGATTGCAGACTACTTTTCAAAGAATACCATGACTTTTGCAAAGCTTATTGATTAAATAATAAAACAACTTCTTCCCTGACCCTGTCATTTCCATCAATTAAATTTCAGCCCTTGTGAGTGTTACACGCCTTAATTATTAGAAGTTTTGTTAAAAGAAAAAAAAAAACCCCCACTAGTATTACCATTTTCCTATAACTGCTTCCTCCTCTCAGCTCTTTTTTTTTTTCTTATTGTTTAAAGTTTCACTTTTATATATATATATATATATATATATATATGATTCGTTCAACATTACAACGATCTATACTTGGATTGAGTCGCATGATTCGTCCATGTCAACAATCCCGAACTTTTTTAACTAGCCATCATCATGCTTACATGAATCATTCATGTTTAAGTAATCACACTCGATCTTTCCAGTTATCATTCCAACAGTTGCGACAGCCTCAACGTTATTTGACTACGACAGTTGCTACGACAGCTACTACTGTCACGAAGCCTGCTGTTGCTTATTGGCTTTATTTTAATGCCAGTATGGTCTTTACGATTGTTGTTGTAGGTGGTTTAACCCGTTTAACTGAAAGTGGGTTATCTATTACAGAATGGAACGTTATCTCGGGTATGAAACCTCCTAGATCAGAAATGGAATGGAATGAAGAATTTGAAAAATACAAGCAATTTCCTGAATATAAACTGTAAGGATATATGTATATAGTATGATGTTTGATCATTTAATGCAACTTTTTTTTTCTTCTTCTTCTTTAAAAAAAAAATGAATAGATTAAATCGACATATGACTTTGGAAGAATTTAAGAATATCTTTTATTGGGAATGGTCTCATCGTATGATTGGCCGATTTATCGGCGTTTCTTTCATTCTGCCTGGTCTTTATTTTGCTTCTAAGGGGCATATGTCAAGACGAGTTGCCAAGCAAACTTTGGGAATTACTTGTTTATTAGGATTTCAGGTAAGCTTAAAAGCTTTATTAATATTATTATTATTATTATTTACTATGTATGTTACGTACATCGTACATATACATATATGAATAGGGTTTTATGGGTTGGTATATGGTAAAATCAGGACTTTCAGAGGCATTGATGAAGGAGCCAGGCACAGTACCACGTGTAAGTCAATATAGACTGACAGCACATTTAGCTACAGCCATTGCTATCTATGCTAGCACCATCTTTGTTGCAGCCGATATAATACGTGAAAATAAATTAGTCTCTGGAAGATATGGTCAACAGACTGCTTCCATGTTAAACAATCCCGTCTTGAAACGCTTTAGAATCGCAACACATACTTTAGGTGCCCTTATGCTTGTGACGGTATTATCGGGAGGTCTAGTAGCTGGTTTAGACGCGGGCTTGATCTATAATGAATTCCCCTTTATGGGTGAAACTATCATCCCACCACTTAAGGAACTTTGGTCAGATGATTATGTAAAGCCTCAGGATCATGGGAAATGGAGAAATTTGCTTGAGAACCCTACTACCGTACAATTTGATCATCGTACCTTGGCAGAGACAACGGCTACATTCACTACAGTTTTGTGGTTGTACTCTAAAAAGATTCCTTTACCCAAGAATGCAAGAATAGCTGTCAATATAATGATGGGTGCTCTTCTCTTGCAGGTCTCCCTCGGTATCTCCACTCTTCTCTATATGGTACCTATTGAATTAGCAGCTGCTCATCAAGCAGGTGCACTTGCTCTATTAACTTCAAATTTCTGGTTAATTCATGCATTACGTCGTGTTCCTCTTTAAAAAAAAAAAAAAAAAAAAAAAAAAAAAAAAAAAAAAAAAGAATAATATGGATAATTTATTTCACAAAAAGTATAATTACAGAGAAAAATAATAATAAAAGCAAAATATTACATGCATGTACACAGAACAACATATAATAAACATGATTATTATATAAAATGATTTCTTTTTTTTTTTTTTGTTTGGATATTACAAGAAACGTGCCAAGTCGCTGGAAGCAATATTTAACTCTGGTGACTGAGCGTTCAGATGACGAATGAGTTCAATCAAATGATTACGAGTATTTTCCTTTAATTGTTCATTATCGGCAAGGACAAGGGTGAAGATATGAAGGAATTGAGGCAAATGACCAAGGACAAAGGCATTATTAGTAGAGAATAATTGGAAGATACAATCAAAGACAGGTTGATTTTCTTCATAATCAGCTTTCAATGGCAAAGCATTCACAAAGGTAGGTAAAACTTGGTCTAAAGGTACAGCCTCAGGATGTGCTAAAATTAAACGAGCAACTGCACCAGCGGCATTGTCCACTGTATTAGGTAAAGTTTGGTTGCTAAAGAGGGGCGAAAGAGCAGTCAAGAGTTGACCATAATGAGGACTCAAGTCAATTTGTGTATGAAGAGTGAGACAACCTAAGGCAAAGGCAGCGTTACTACGTACAAGTTCATCTTCATCACCACAGGCCTTTACAAAGATGGGCAATAAACGTTCAGTGTAAGATGTGACAGCAGACTTGATTCCAGCAATGCATTCACCTAGACAGCCAATAGCCATCGATCTTTCAGACTGTGTCTTGGTAGGTTTATAATATTTAATCATAAGAGGCATGTAGACTTCAAAGTACTTGGCGAAATTAGGACCCACTGTCTCACAGAGAGCAGCAACAAGGTCACCTGCAGATGTAATCAAGAGTGACTCGGATTCAATTTCGTCATCCTCTTCCTCATAGTCGCCATCATCAAAGGTCTGTTGGCAGAGAGACTTCTTTTGGAAGATTTCTAAAAGGATTTGCGCAACATCTTCAAGACAACCTGAAACAATAAATGGACCCATTAAACGAAGGGCAGTAACGAATTCTTGACAAATTTGAGCAACGACAGAACGATCATCCTCTTCCTTCCATAATTCTAATGTCATGGGAATAACGGTGCTGGCTAGACTTTTGATATTATCGTGAACAGGGTAAGTAGCAGAGACACCGACAGTCCAAGGAACAGGATTAGACATGGTATAAAAAGTCTTGAGGAAAGTAAACATACTTTGAATAGCGCATTTACGAACGTTATCATATAAATGAGCAGCAAGTTTCTGAAGTTCGACAAGGGATTCTTCAATATAAGGTAAGAAATGAGATTTTGTGTTGGCAAAGAGTTCACCTAAGGCGTCAACAGCAAATTCTTTTTCATCAGCAATAGCAGAGTTGAAATTAAAGTTTTCAAAGTCCTCATCGATATCATCATCCATGTCACCTGTAGTCAAATCAACCTCTTCATCCAACACGGTTTCATTCTTTTCTTCAGCCTTACAGGACTTTAAGATTTCAGGAACAATAGTGGGCAAATAAGGAGCAAACTCTTCACCAAAGACACGTGCAAGATTAGAAAACAAAGCAAATGAACATTCACGAAGACTAGGAGAATCTAAATGAAGTTGCTCAACTGCTAAGGCCATCAAGTTTTGTACATAAGGACGGAAAATATCAGCACCAACTGCTTCTGCAATTGAACCAATTGTATCAGTAGCAACGCCACGAAGCATTTGGTCATCAGAAGATTCCTTAAGTGACATAAATTGAACAATTCGGGGTAAAACTTGGTTAAAGTAAGGATGAAAGACTTCACCTGCGGCATGAGCAGCACTGCCGATGGCAGCTATGACAGTAGCACGAGTCTCGGTCTCTACACCGTTATCCAATAAAAATAAAAGTTTTTCCATCAATAATTGAAGGTATTGAACAATATCTGAACCAAGACCCTCAAGAATAGCATCAAGAGCATTGCATGCATGCTTTGTAACTTCAGGATTATTATCATTCATCAAATTGAAAACAAGAGGTAATAAAACTTGGTGATGTTCAGAAATATCGGCAGGCATTTCCTCGGCAAGACATCCAAGAGCCATACAAGCAGCACGACGAACGATAATTTCAGAATCTTGAAGACCAGTGCAAACAAGAGGAAGAAGTTCATTTAATTTGTTGGCGATAATATCTGTACAACCTTCAACTGTTACAGCAAATGCCATCATGGAAGCTTTACGATAATTTGGGTTGGGATTTTGGATATAATTAAGAACAAAAGGCATTACGATTGGGAATACTTGTTGAGGAGGGATGTTTGTTGCTAAAGCATTTAAAACTTTATATGATAACTAATATAATACAATAAGTACTCTTTTTTTTTGTTATTACTCCAAACATGTATGATAAATATACTTACGCGAGATGCAGAATCTTCATCAATATCTTCAGGATCCTCTTCAGTACCAATAGGCATTAATCTTTCCACAATATGACCCACTAATTTCAAATGTCTGATCTTATTTTGTTTGCTAGTGTAATGCAAGTACAATTAATATATTTAATATAGCTGATATACAGATGTCTATGTTAACTTACTAAACAGCTGCCCACATTAAGAAGGATAGAGCAAAAACACGAATACTATCATCTAACTCAGTATTGGCACCGATTGTCAAGAAAAAGTCGATTAAATTAGCAAGATGTTCGCTCAATAAAGGTGCATCCTAAATATATATATATATATATGTTAAAGTTGTTCCATTTTTATGCTATGTACATAACAAAATTATGTCATTTACCAGCATTAACATTGTATCAAAAACTTCAAAGATTTTTGCAGCGTTTTCTTCATCACCGTCCTTAATACATTGTTCTAAAACATTAACCATGTTGGGCAGAATGGCTCTGAACATTTTCTACATCAAAAGTAATATTTAGCTGTGCGCACTTTTTTTTTTTACTTAATAAATAAACATCCCAAGTCTCTATTCACTTACAATAGTAGATTTATCTTCACTATCGACAAATTCTGAAAGTTTACCAAGGACTAAGACTGTAGTAATTCTAACAGATTTACTTTCAGCGTCAACAATTAATTTATTGAAAAGTTGAAACAAACTAGCTGTATTGTTCATAAAAAGATCAGCAATCACTTCGAATAAGGTATATAAACAATAAATGCCTACTTCACGATGAGCGGCGTTTTGGCTGGCACATGATTCCTGTAAAAAGTTTAACAGTGTTGGCCATTTCTCATCAGGCATGTCAATACTAGCTACAGAAGATATAACTCTAGCAATGGAGTGACGAACAGTTTCACTATAGAAAATTGGTCAGTGTATATAGACATTTAGATAGTTAGGTTTTTATTATTATTATTTCTCGACTTACTTTTGCTCATTAAGGGCAATAGATAATAGTTGAGAGCGTAAATTAACCTTCAAGGCTTCTTGAATTTGAGGCCACCATTTTGTAATTCTCTTACGGAGTTCAACTGCGGCTAATTGACGTACTTGAAAATGAGGTGAACGTGAGATAATCTCTACAAGAGCAGGGACACAGTCAGCTGAAGCATAATATTGTGTATTCAAAATAGATGTAGCCTATTGTTTAATAAACTAGTATGAGTATTTATATCCATTTTACAAAAAAAAAAATAGTTAAATAAAAAGTACATTTCTGATAGTCTCTGAATCTTGTGCCTGAGCTAACTTTGTTAAAAGATCATCGAGACCTGCAAGAAATTGCTACAAAAGAAATTATAGAAAATTTCAGTACAATCGTTATTAAAAGTAATCACTCTGCTTCTTTATTTTCAAAGTTTACCTCCATATTTATGATAAAGAAGGTTAATATGAACTAACTATGAAAGCAAAGCAAAGAAGAAAAAAAAAAAATAAATAAATAAGAAAATTTTTTTATCAACAAGAAAAAAAAAAAAAAAAAATTTGTGTTTCCGAAATTCGTGTTTGGCGAAAACGCCAAAATAGAGTTGTGAACGAGTTCTTCTGTGACTGTAGTAGCTGTCTTTTTTATTTTGAAATAATGCCACCCCTGGGAACACCAGATTTTCCCCCTCCCAATTTACAAAAAAAAAAATAAAATAAAAAAATAAAATAGCTCTTTTCATACATTATTTTAATTGAATCATGGCCAAGAAAGCAAAAGCAAGGGTTATTCTCGTAAAATTATTATCCACTGCTGGTACAGGTTACAACTATATTAAAAGTCGACCTAGAATTGCACCTAAATTGTCAATGATGAAATATGATCCTGTTGGTAATGGAATATATACATACATGCATCTACATTACGAAAATGATGACAGTCAATACTAAATAATGTTCATTTTTACTTTTGATATATAGTCAAGCAGCATGTTTTATTTACTGAAACTAAAATGAAAAAATAAGCAGCAATAGTTGATGAATTGTTTTGTACATAATATATAAAGGAAACTACTCGCCATTATTTTATATACATATATATAGATGTATGTATTTATATATGTATATGAATATATTATTTAATTAGCGTTTATACCAAAGAGCAGAATGAATATTTACGTCTACATGTGTCATAAATGAATTTATATATACTGTGTAATATAATTACATAATATAATCGAATTTCCCTTTCACTTGTTATTAAAAGTAATACACAGAAATGAATGGATCGCTTGTATTAAGCACACATGATTTATGCATAGAAATTTTTAACTATCATACGTCTTAAATGAAACCTTGTCACATTTGCATATGCTTTGTACACCAAGTTGTTCTTCAGAAATGTCCATTAGGAAAAAAAAAGGGGGAGGGGAGAACAAAGAGAGAGAAAAGATGTGTGTATAATAAATAAAGATAGGAGAAAAATTAAGTTAAGGATCAATATTTTATTCTTTATTTTTTTTTTCTTTTTTTGACTAAAACAATAGACTATTTATAAGCTAATAACGAGTTTTTTCTTTTTTTTTTTTTTTGTATTATGTGTTTATATCATAAAAGCATATATAAGCTAAAATCATTGATAATGATTCAAATCATGTATTCATGATATACTATATTGACATTAAACGATCCACTAAACGTATTTAGTTCTCCTGTACATTCTTTCCCCCCTGATTATTTAAATTATATAAATACTAGGAAATATAAGGATAGTGAATAATGTTTCTTTTCTCTCTTCATTATTACACTATCAAATGCTATATAATAGAGTTTCTTATTGTGCTACTCTAATTGCATGTTTCGCAATAATAACAGAAGCTGCTGACAGTTATGAACAAATCGTATCTCAATGTCAATCGCTGAATGAAAGATCGAATAGCATTAGGGATTCGTTTATCTTTGCTTATAATGGCTATAAAAAATATGCCTATGGACATGACGAGATTTTACCTATATCAAATAAATCCTATGATTCAAGGTAATACTTTTTTTTTCTTATTGTTATAATAATATACTATATTGACCATGATAATGATAGGAATGGTTGGGGAGGTTTGTTATAGCCATAGCAACATAATTCGTTTATCTTTAACTCTTTCTTTCTAAAAATAAATAAATACACACACACACATATATATATATATATAGCTACTATCATTGACTCTTTAGATACACTGCTTATTATGAATCTTGAAGAAGATTATCAACGTGCATTAGAGTTTGTAAGTAAAGTTGATTTCTCAAAATCAAGCGTAGTTTCTAAAGGATTTGAAACAAACATACGTTATCTTGGTGGTTTACTTGCTGCTAATGACTTGAGACCGAATCCGATTCTTGTTCAAAAAGCAATTGAGGTTGCAGATAAGACATTGCTTCCATTGTTTACTGATACTACTTCTATGAATGTAAAATTAAAAGTTCCTTATGGCTATATGGATTTAATAAGGTAATTTTAAAGAAAGAAAGAAATGTATATAATAGTTAATCCATTGATGAACTTTTAACATGTTCAACTTGTGTGTCAATAGAAATCAACCTCAAATAGTTGATTCAATTCTTCTTGCTGAATTCGGTTCTTACTCTATGGAGTTCACTCGATTGTCACAAGTTACTGGTGATCCTAAATATGAAAAATTGACTAATGATTTAACTGATGTTATTATTAAAAATCCTACTTCTATGCCTGGTCTTTATCCTGCTTTTTGGACAGTAAATCCCTTTGCTCCTATTAATTCAAGTAAATAGATTAAATATATCTTATAATAGATTTGCATATGAATCAGATTTTTTTTTTTTTTTTTTAGGTCTAATTACAGTAGCCGGCGGTACTGATAGTTTTTATGAATACTTGATCAAAAATTATCTTTTGCAGAATAAAGAAAATGGTGATTTATTAAATACATGGCAAAAGTCTGTAGAGAGTATTGAAAAATACTTGCTCTCTCCTACTGTAGAAGATCCACAAATACAATTTGTTGCCTCAGTTAGAAATAGTACCATTTATGCTATGTCGAATGAATTGGTAATATATATATATATATACATATATGTATATAATAACGTTAACTTACCATATATATATATATATATATATATATATATATCTATTAGATTTGCTTCTGGCCTGGTAATATTTTGCTTGGTATTTCTCAAATAAGCGATCAAGTCAAAAGAAATCAATATAGAAACTTTGCAGATATATTTTTCAAATCATGTATAGAAATTTGGCAAAAGACAAACACAGGTATTGCACCTGAAAGTTGGACATGGCACCCTAGAGAAAATACAATAGAAAGAACATTAAACAACTTACTCGGAGGAAATTTTAAATTTTACACAAAGCAGGAAAAACAAAAAAGAGCAGTTGGAAGAACATTTGAAATAACTAGTGCATTTTATGATTTAAGACCAGGTAATGTATAAAAAAAATAGAATCCTTATAAAACTACACAAATGTATATTGATATAGTAATATATTTATTTAGAAACGATTGAAAGTATATTCTATTATTATCGTTTAACTGGAGATAAACAATATCAGGATCTTGCTTGGGAATTATATTTAGCTATTGATAAATATGCAAAAACTGGCTCAGGATATGCAAGAGTAGATCATGTAGATATAGTTCCTGCAAAGTTACAAGACTTTCAAGAAAGGTAATCATGAATATTAAGAAATTAATTTATGCTATACGTCTCTAATAATATCTTAAAAAAAAATAGTTTCTTTTTTGCAGAAACATTAAAGTACTTGTATCTAATTTTTGCTGATAAAAACTGTATATCCTTAAATGATTATATTTTTAATACTGAAGCACATCCTTTTAAATTACCAAGCCCCATTCAATTCCAATAATAATACTTATTATAATAAAGTTATCTTTTTTTTTCCCCTTTTATTCTCTCTATAAAAATAAAATAAAATAATGATACATGTACACAAAAAAGAGTAATAATATATATACATACACATACACATACACATACACATACACATACACATACACATACACATACACATACACATACACATACACATACATATATATAGTAGCCTCCGTCATTCTTTATTTACCCAACTTCTTTCTTAAAGCACGAGTTCTTTTTCGCAATTTTTTATGTTTATGTTTATTCATCTTCAGGCGACGTTTTCGAAGCACACTGGTTAATTCAAGTTTTTCAACTGCTTTTGTTGTAGATGAAGTTCTATTGATCATGGGTGATGGAGGAGCAGGTGCGCTAAAAGGAAGAAGACGAGAAACATGTTCAGACACTTTTGACATAGATACTGGTTCTTTAGAAGCTAAATAAAACAAACAGAACTTAATAATTCATATATATACAATGACCTTCAATACTTACGAGAATATGATAATAGAGCCTTGTTAAATACATGTGGGGTTATGTTGGATGAAACATTATGTGTTGAGATAAAACGCTGTGATCTCCATAAACTAGAGTATTGTGTAATTTGAGCACGATTAGTAGCTGTCAAGAATCGTTGAAATATTTCTTTTGAAAACGTGTTCAACAACATGCTGACTTGTAAAGAAATATTTATATTTATATATTTGTGTATATTTATATATATATATATATATTTTTTTTTTGTTCTTTCTTTATAGGGAAAGGAAATAAATAAAAGAGAAATTCAAATTCACTGTAGAAGGGAGGGGGGTGGATCTATACTGAGTCAGTCAAGTAATTGCTTATTATCAATTACAGAAAGAAACCCTGGTCCCTTTTTTTTTTTTTACCAACCAGTGATCATTCCGGAGATATCAAATGTCCCGGACCGGATATTTAAAAATACTCTGTCATTTCAGAATGAGTTGAGAAGAATGAATTTTGACCAAAAAGGCTCAATTAGTTGCATACAGTAAGGTCCTCCTTTTTTCGTTGTAAACTCCATAGCATGGTATGTTTGTCAAAAAGGGAATCATACAAATAGATATGGATGATGAATGGATTTAAACTGTTTAAAGGAGAGAGAGGGGATAAACAAAATATTGGATGGATGATATATATATACATCTTTATGTGAATCATATTTCAGAAATGATGACTAACCTGCATTTTCTTTTTTTTTTTTCTTTCGCATTAGTCTCTCGTCGTTCCCGAAAGATCTACTGTATGTTTATTATTATTAATTTTTAGCAACAAAGAATTCAAGTTTATTCGTTTTTTATTAATTTCATTTTATTTTTTTTTATTTTTTTTTCTTTAGTTCCAACACATTATTCGTCTTCTTAACACTAACGTTGACGGTCGTGTCAAGATCCAAATCGCCTTGACCTCTATTAAGGGTGTTGGTCGTCGTTTCGCCAACATTGCCTGTAAGAAGGCTGATGTTGATCTCACCAAGAGAGCTGGTGAACTTTCTTCTGAAGAATTAGAACGTATTGTCACTATCCTTCAAAACCCTGCTCAATACAAGATCCCTGCTTGGTTCCTTAACAGACAAAAGGATATTGTTGATGGTAAATCTTCTCAAGCTATCTCTAACGTTCTTGATACCAAGTACCGTGAAGATCTTGAACGTTTGAAGAAGATCCGTGCTCACCGTGGTCTCCGTCACTATTGGGGTGTCCGTGTTCGTGGTCAACACACCAAGACCACTGGTCGTCGTGGTCGTACCGTTGGTGTCTCCAAGAAGAAATAGTAAGTTTACACAAGTAATGAAGAGATTATTATTATTCAACAGTTAACTAATGAACTACATTTAAATAGAATTCATTTCTTCATTCGACACTTTTTTTTTATTTCCTTTTTTTTTTCTTTTAATAGGAAGCAAATGCTATGGATATTTTAAAACAGTTATTTTTTGATTTGAATTTGGCGGGTTTCTTTTATTAAAGAAAAAAGGAATAAAAAAAAATTACAAATGTATGCATATATTATTTACTTTTTGAATTGTTTTTTTTTTTATTTGCTGGCTTAAATAATTTTCTAGCTTCATTTCATAAATTTCTGAAATTTGGAGATCATCTTTCAGTTCGATAAAAACATATAAAAAAAATTGATTTCTTTAACAGCACAACATATGCAATAGAGTGAGTAATTGGAATTAATAAAGGAGGCCAGTCAATACATGATACCAGTAAACAAGATCAAATTTATATTGTGCCATTAAAGGTTATTTAGGATTTGAATGTACTTGTTGTAGAGAGAATTATTTTGCTAATATTTTGATATATTATGTCAGCACATTAATTTCTGCTGTCAGGAATTATTTCAAATGATTACAAAACCAGTGAATCTTAGGTAAAGCTTAATAAGACTGTAAGCTCCTTTCATTATTGAAAGATGTTGTTTTTATAGCAGTTGTATATATATATATATATAGATGCTCATACTATATGATGCTCTATGCTGTTTGTGTTAAGTTAATTAAAAGCACTGCTCTCAATGTGCTACTATTAACTACAAAAGAGCTTTATCTTCATAAACAAAAATAATAATTGTATTTGACGCATACGCATAAAGAACTATTCTCATCATTACTATTTGTTTTGTTTTTTCAGTGACTATTATATGTACATTTAGTAGATAATAAAATGAGTATTTTGTATTTTTATATGAACTGACTTTATCACAAACTCTTTTACTCAAATGGTTTTTAATGCTCTTGTTCCTTTCAAAAAAAAAAAAAAAAAAAAAAAAAAAATTACGTAATAATTTTAGTTGAATAGAATTTGAACCATAACGCAATAAATTATTGTTTTAAATGTGAATTTTTAATATGCGAGAAACAGGAAGAATATAATAAAGTTTAATATTAGCTATTAAAGAATTCCCAGTTGGAAGGTATAATAGTATTGACTTATAATAATAGCATGTTGTTATATTTTTATCTTCAATTATTTTCATCCAAATAAGTATTCCAAGCAGCTGTTTGACATACTTTTAAGGAATACAAATCTACTATACAACGACGATCTTTTTTTTTTTTTACATGTAATCCTTTCCTTTCTATTCTATTTTGCCCTGCTTTATCTATAGATTTTATTTTTTATTTAGATTATACGGGGGAAAAAAATTATATTTTTTTGATATATAAAACATACAAATAGTCCAAATAATCTTAACTATACAGTAGTAATTAATTTTTTTTTTATTGAACAACGTTTCACTATAATTAAAACATCACATTTTATTAAATATCGTGTTTTATTCTTTTTTCTTTTTTCTTTTTTTTTCCTCTTATAACATATTCTTCTATCCTTTATTCCTTCTCTAAAATAAAAATATAAATCGTCATGTTCCTTCGTTCACGCAATAGGTCTTCAAAGGAAAGTGTTACATCTTCACTTTCATCGGGAAATGCATCAATTATCACACCATTATCGTCAACAGCAAGTCTTTATCAAAAAGTAGAAGTCTATAATATTCAAAAGGATGAAATTATAGACTTACAGCAAGAGCCACGCAATAAAAATGATTTAACTATTGAAACTATGTCTGCTGTAATTGCTGCAGCCGTTCAACTCTCATCTACAAATGGTTCACCTTCTTCTCTTTCACTCGGTAATGCTTCTATCGTAAAATCCTCGACTACAACTACAAAAAAGAAGAAGAAGAGATTCTCTTCACTTTTATCTTTTTCTTCATCCTCTTCCTCTCAGAATAAAAAACAGCAAAGCAATTATTGTTCCACTTCTCCTCTATCTTCATCGTCACCTACAACTCCTGATCATTTATTTGAAGGTTCTTCAATTACTTTATCAGATGATGAAGATCCACTTTCTTCTCCTCGTATCAGTTCTACTACTTTTAATAGCCATATCATGATTGATGATGGTCGTGATGAACTTTTATACCGAGGAATTCAAATTAAAGAAATCAAAACTACCCTTAAACCTTTAGTAATTTCAAATGAAACACGTTTCCCTTTACCTGAAGTTAAACTCGAAAGACCAAGTTTTGCTCGGATTAGTTATTAATCACACCACATGTAATGTATACATCCATTTTATACCCTTTCTCTCTTTTATATAAATAAATAAATACATATATACATATACATTTAATAAAGTCTGTCATATATCATTTTTTTTTGAATTGCTTGTATAGCTTTATCTGTTAAATGAAGATTATTATTTTATTTTATTTTTACAAGTTCAGACTATGTTAAATGCATTAAATATTTTAAGATTTTTTTTTTACAGTGGATTATATGAGATCTGTTATGCCTCCTTTTCTAAACGTTGCTTGTTGCTATCATGGTTAATTCCTCATTATACTAATGTTGTTGGCTCTATTCAGTTGTATCAAGTAGTGGGCTCTTATTGGTGTGCTAGTATGAAGCTTCTTTCCTTATCAGTAGCACTTTCCTGCATATTATTAGAGGATTGATGGCGGGCATTAGGAAAACTTTCTTAAATTCAGTCAGATCCGTAAAAAAAAAAAAAAAAAAAAAAAAAAAATCGCTCTGTTAAATTAGCCCTTTTCGACCACAGACGGACCTTAACACTCCAGCTAATACCACCATAACTCAACTAGTTGTAGGAACAAATATTATGCGGGTTAATTTTTAATGCCCTAATCACGTTCCTGTACCATTGCCAATGAGACCGATCTACCTTTTGATAATAACTTCAGTTCAATTTCTATCGGCCATATTAATAAAGCATTTCAATAACTTTTTTTTTTCGAAATAAATAAAAGACACCTGGTGTTCGACCTACCTTACCATTAAAAAAAACAATATCATTTCTTATAGGATTTAATAGAGTCCACTACTACACTATTATTTGTTCAATCTCTATTGGTAGTGGTGTTTATACACCTCTTTTCCTCATTGCTGTGGTACACAAGCTGTTTTTTTTTTTTTTTTTTTTTTTTTTTTTTTTTTTTTTGCTTAAGCATGTATATGAAAATAATTTTATTGAGTTTAAAATAACCCTCCTGATTGACTTTGGTTTCAAAATGACCACTGAATTTCACTCTCACAAAAGATTGCTGAAGTGGAATCTGATCTTATTTTCAATTTACGCTTGAGTAGGACATGCAAATTAAGAAAAGAGAGGGGAGGGGCGGGTACTAACGATGATAATGATGATGATGATGATTAGACTTTTGATTTTCATGTGGCTTGAAACATACTATAGGATTTAAAAATAAAGAAACCAAAACAGCTAAAAGCATCCTTAACAAGAAACAGAAGAAGATGTATTCTTAAACACTTAATAAATTCAATATTATTGACACGTGTTTCTTTTTCTTTTGCAAATTCATAGACTGCAGTAGTAATCGATACACTTGAAAAGCTCTATGATTCATTTAAATATAAAGAGCCTCAATCGGACAAGGAAATAGTATACTTCCACTATTAAGCTAAATTTCACTGTTTACATGCTGAAATATATGTGAATTTATGACTTTACAGTTGAATTCTTCTTTTTTTTTTGGTACAATCAAATACAATATGGTATCTCTATAAAAATATTAGAATTAAAATGAATATAGTAATTACAACAAGTCAACGAGACTGAACAATAGTTCTAAAAGCTGATTATTTTAAATAGTGGGCTATTTACAATATAAAAAAAAAATCCCTTAATATCTTCCTCTCTGAAGATGCGAGTTGATGTAAAGTATTCGAATAATTGAACACTATCTTTATTGAAACTTTATTGCAGTTAAAGAACCAGATCTTCTTCTGTTTCAACTGCCTTTTTCTTTATAAGCCAGCGGGGGGGGGGGGAAACTGGTATCATTCACAAACGTATTACTGCCAGACAATATTTTCCTCCTAATTAATAAGGGGAGTTGCAACGTGTTGTGAGTAAAGATTTTATATAGCACGTACGATTCATTCATTCATGTCTAAACGTGTACAGCTCCTTCAGTCATGTTAATCATATGTATTGAGAAAATTATCACCAATATCATAATATAGCAGCAGTAGTTTTATGCAACAAAAATCTTTCCAAGTTCAATTGCGAGCAATACACCACCCTATCTTTTGTCAACCACGAAGAAACAGATTTGAATCTGCTTATGGCTTTCATTTCTTTTCTTTTCTTTTTTTTTTCATTTTTTCAAGCAAAGCTGCTTAATAAATGTTGAAAGATGGAGAGACCTTGTTACGACGATTCAAAACTTGTGCAGATATGCACGAGATGTCATCGAAGGTATCACACTACGGGAAAAAAAAAAAAAAGTGGTATGATAAGAGAGAATAATATGTTCCACGTTGGAGGTTGTTCATGATGAGATAACGGGGATTGGCCGTCAAATAACAATCTTACAAATGTCTAAAGACTCTTTGTTAAAAGAAGGTTAGACAATCATATTTTTTTTTTTTTTTTTTTGAATTTGACGCAATTTTAGTGGAATTTTATGAGACAGTTTGAATCATCAATAATAAGCTTATTATTCATTTTTCATAGTTTATAGAACAAAAAGTTAGAATTATATAATATAATACACATGTTGAATGCCAGTTTTTTATTTAATAAATTATGTGCAGTTACTAGCATACACATATCTAAAGAACATGTTGAAACGTTCAGATTTTTTTAACAAAAAAAAAGATTCTTTTGTCTTTCTTTTTTTTTTTTTCTTTTTACAAGAACATTATATGTTGATATACAAAAGGAAAAGGGAAGTTACTAACTTTTCTAATAACGGTAGTGTTCAGGCTTGTAAGGACCTTCAACAGGGATACCAAGGTATTCAGATTGGACAGGAGTAAGTTGAGTAAGTTCAACATCGAGCTTGCTCAAGTGAGAACGAGCAACTTCTTCATCCAACTTCTTGGGGAGAGTGTGAACACCGACAGACCACTTCTCAGATTCAGTCCAGAGAGTAATTTGAGCCAAGACTTGGTTAGAGAAGGAGTTAGACATGACGAAAGAGGGATGACCAGTAGCACAACCCAAGTTGACAAGACGACCTTCAGCAAGAAGGATGATGTGACGACCATTCTTCATAGTGAAACGATCAACTTGAGGCTTAATGTTAGATACAGAGGCAGCGTTGGCCTTCAACCAAGCAACATCGATTTCAACATCAAAGTGACCAATGTTACAGACAATGGCATCATCCTTCATTTCTTCAAAGTGACGACCAACAATAATATCACGACAACCAGTGGTGGTGACGAAAATTTGACCTTCCTTAACAGCTTTTTCCATGGTGGTAACTTCATAACCTTCCATAGAAGCTTGAAGAGCGTTGATAGGATCGACTTCAGTAATGATAACACGAGAACCGAAAGCACGGAGAGCGGCAGCACAACCCTTACCAACATCACCATAACCAGCAACAACAGAGACCTTACCGGCAATCATGACATCAGTGGCACGCTTGATACCATCAACAAGAGATTCACGACAACCGTAAAGGTTATCGAACTTGGACTTGGTGACAGAGTCGTTGACATTGATAGCAGGGAGCTTAAGTTCGTTGTTCTTGAACATCTTGTACAAGTTGTGAACACCAGTGGTGGTTTCTTCAGAGAGACCCTTGATGCCAGGAAGCAATTGAGGGTACTTTTGATGAACAAGGTTGGTCAAATCACCACCATCATCCAAGATCATGTTAAGAGGTTGACCGTCAGGGAAAAAGAGAGTTTGTTCAATACACCAGATGAATTCTGTTAAAGAAAAAAGGACAATATTAGATCTTTTTTTTCCCCTCTATATTATATAACTCCTAATTTATATCGTATATCTTACCCTCATCAGTTTCACCCTTCCAAGCGTAGACAGGAATACCAGAGGCAGCAATGGCAGCAGCAGCGTGGTCTTGAGTAGAGAAAATGTTACAAGAAGACCAAGTAACTTGAGCACCAAGAGCAACCAAGGTACGGATAAGGACGGCAGTTTGAATGGTCATGTGCAAACAACCAGCAATTCTGGCACCCTTAAGAGGTTGAGAAGGACCATACTTACGGGCAATTTCCATCAAACCAGGCATTTCATTTTCACTAAATATAAAAAAATAAAATAATGAGTTAAGTATTACATTCTAGATAACAAAGATAAGGCTGCTTACGCAATTTCGATTTCCTAATGGTAGATTATAAATAATTTGAAAAGAAATAAAATAAAATAAAAGTTAAGTATATGATGTCGAATAGTATAAATTCCTATTTATTAATTTGTCATCTAACCTTCAAACCGAAAGCAGCTATACACGTAAACAAATAGAATTAGTTTATCTTATTATTAAACATAAAAAAAAAGAATAAAAGTACTTACCGAGAGAGATATCAGCAACCTTATAGTTAGTAGCCATGTTTGATGTTTAGTTGAGAAAAAAAAAAGGAGAAGTTCCTAAAAGCTACACGTTCATTGAAGTTTTTAATAAGATTTTTTTTTTAGGTTTGAAAATTTTTCTTCAAATCCATCCAATCAGAAAAGAATAAGTAAAGGCTGTCCCATGTTCCGCTTAATTTCATTTACAGCAGTTACACTTTACGAATTCATATCTCCTTACTAGAGCTTGTGTAACTGATAGATCATATAAACATGGTATAGTGATGGTGAGCACACAGTCATTTAGAACAGGTTCTATTGACTCTGGTGTTATATTGAAGAAAGAATTCAAAAGCCAGTTAAATATTTATATTTCCGAATTATGTTATACAAAAAGCTGCTTCTTTTCATTTAGTAAAAATACCATTAAAGCCATCTTTTTTTTTATAATCATGCAATGGAAAATAATTAATAGTTGGCACTTATGAAGCGTTTTGACAAGCTTAGAGAGATAGAAACAAATCTTTTACTTCCTATTCGTGTTCTGTTAAGGACTTTTTAGAGAACGACGGAATAGATAGTAAGTTAATAAAGTACAAGCAATTAAGTTTATGGCTTAGATAAAGTAAAGCCTCAATTAATTTATGTATTTTTCAATAGAAACATGAGTATATTTTTTTTTCTTGCATAAATCAGAATAGAATGGTAGAAAGAGGAAGATAGCTTTTATGAGCCAATACCTTGAATTATCAGTAAGAAACTAACTGGAGGTAATATCATAATTATTTACCGAGTCAATAAAATATCTCAATATATTTTACCTGTTAATATTTTGAATGACATTATTGTCTGAATAACTACTATTGTTTTTTTTTAACTTTAGATTAAGACTATTGTCAAAAAAAAAAAAAATAGGTGCCATAGAAAGAAATTTAGACACTCTGGAATCGTTTTTTAGACGTTTCTGCATTTTTTATTGGACAAATATTACTAGTTTCCAAATTGTCTTGGTTTTACAGACGAGCTAAATCTTTTGCCTGTAAATAATACCTAAGGTAATGTTTGAATTAAATGCTATAAGAGTTGTTGGTCTTTGCTTTCTTAAAAAAAAAAAAATGGCATGCCATCTTGATCACTTGTACCACTCGAAGCGACGGCTTTAGTGTTTGCTTTGGGTTTGCTAGAAAAGCCAAAGATGCGAAAGAAGAAGTACAATTAGAGTTGGAAGATTTTTGCGATGAAGAAGTACAAAAGTATTTTCAGCCTTGTGCTGTCGACCCAGGCAGAGATCATATATTTACAGCGACAGTACGCCATGAAGAAGATTAACAAGAAATAAGAAGATGTAGCATTAAAGAGCGACATTGTTATACAGGTTCCAAGAGAAGGACTTGGCATGTAGGAAAACTTAAATAAAAAGCATCGAGACAGATTTCCCTTCAGCAAAAACTGTAGGCATTGAAAAATGGAGCAATTATATAGAGTATGCTCTCAAACATGTGCCCCAAATCTTCAGGTTCTACAATGAAAGGTATACAACCCTTTCGTTTCAATGATAATTCAAGGCAGACAAAGGTCAAATAAAGAGATAACCAACATCTTATTTAATGGAGGAAAAAAAGTACAAGAAAGCCAAAAGACTGAATACAAGGAAGAACAGAAAGAAAAGAAAAGAAAAAAAAAAGAGATAAGAAGAAACAAGAGGACAAAAAGAATTTATACGGTAATAAATGTAAAACTACACCAAGAAAAAAGCCGAATCCAAGCCTTCTCTTTGTGTACCTCTCGTTGTGTTTGGTGATAGAATGAAAAGTTTGGATACGGTTAGAATAAAAGGCCAGATGTCAGTTGTCAGATGCCATAGCAATACTTGGGAGAGAAATCAAGCTTAGATCAAAAACTACATTTTGATCGGCTATTGTCAGCATTAACGAGTTTAAAACCTCGAAAATATATAGCTTCTGTAGGGAAACAAGCTTAAAGGCAACAAAGCTTCCGAATGATAAATATACTAAAAGTATTCTAGGTTGCAAAAACTGTTGTATACTTTGGAATAGAGATGTCAATGCAAGCAAAAATATGTTAGATATTTTGCAGTCTATTTAGGAAGAAAAAGGAAGACCTGCTGTCTTTCATAGAAAAATCACCGTAGAGGAAACGGTTTCGCTAGCAATAGTGATTTAAATATCTACACATTTTTGAACAAAATTGTAACACGCATTTGTCCAAAAACTAACAGTAATTCGCATCATTTTTTTTTTTTTTTTTTTTTTTTTTTTTTTTTTTTTTTTTTTTTTTTGTAATCAAGTTAAATCACTGTATATAGGACCCTTTTTTGATTTTCATTATTGTTATCAGTGACTTATTTTCTTTTAACAACCGCCAACAAAGCCTCATTTTTTTTCTTTATTGTATAATACAATACTACTACGCATAATGCTCATACTAGTACTTTAGTCTAAAAATCTTCCATCAAAACTTTATTTTTTAAATACCAATAGCTTAGCTACGAAGCTGATACTAGGTTTAGAATGGGAACTGGGTAACCTATCACAAAAATTTTAACAAACTTTCTATCAAGTAATCTTTTACTAAAGTATTTCTTCCTGTATCTATTTTTATTTTAATCTATTTTAAACAAGACAGATTGGCATAAAAACTTGACTAATCATAAAATACGAGTTTTGAACTTATATTCAAGCGCTTTTTTAATATTTCCTTATAAAAAAAAATACAATATTGAAGCTAGGGAAGTATCAAAGCAAAATGTTAATGAAGAAAAGGCTCTTTATAACAAATTATAAACTCTTAGAAAAGGTAAATCTTTTCATTTTGAATTATATATCTTCACAACTGCCACAAATGTAGTGGCTTAAAGATAAAAATAATTGCCCTTTATTGAAAGAAATAAAGAATGAAATATTCACCGTAAAAGCTAAAATTGCTGAGACAGTTAAACAGTTAGAGTTGAAGAGTTTAGAAAACAAGAACGATGAGTGGTTTATTCTATTAGACCAGAATTGCTGTCTTTGTACTTAATTTTACATGCATAATAGTCGCATGTATTACTTTTATATGAAAGATATTTACGTTTCTTTAAACAAAAAGTTTAAATCATTTGTCATACCATTAATAACAAAGTAAAGCTCTAAGATCTTTGAACCCTATATTGGATACATTATTAAGTAATTAATTAGTGCACTATTTTTCTGTTTTCTCATATTTGTCTTGAGCCTATTGTTAGAAACCTTTATTGTAAAACGAAAATCGTTATTTTGATAGCAAAGACCAATTGGCACACTCTAAATACTTCATTACACTTCTTGAAGGAGTTTTACTATTAAATATAATAAATATCAACTATAAAAAAAAATGAAGCCTTGTTTCTTTCTTTTTCTTCCATATTCCATTAAGAATTTTTATAAGTAACAATAACTTCTTCAATTTCATTTAATGCAGAGAAAATATCTACATTATTTGTGTCAGTTTCGTGTTCATCTTTTTTTTTTGAGCTTCATATTCTTCTCTATTATCAAATCATAAATTAAATTCATATCCATGTGAAAAACTGTATGGTTTGAAGTTCGTAGGTATATTTAGTTTCTAAAATGGTGCAATTTAATAAGACCAATTCGTTCTAAGATGAAATTACTACTACTAATAAGCTGGCAAATGAGGCAGTATGTGTTTCAACTTTAGACATAATGTACATCTCTTTTATATATGTAATGTTCTGTTTTTTTTTTCTTTTTGAAATATGTTTCGTCGCAAATACCATAAGTTTTATCCATTGTCAAGTTATAACTTCAAATTCTTCCATAATATTTACACTACTGAGTCACCTTGGTTCATTTATTAAGCATCAGCTTTTGTAGTATTTTTTCCATTACCATTAGTGATATTTGACATATGAAAAGACAAAGACATAAAAGATACGTCTTCTTGAAAATCCTATGTTAATATGATGCAATCAAAAAATGATTTTTCATTATTTATAACAAGAAACTGAATAATAGAAAATAAACGAAAAGCAGCCTATGTAATATTGTCTAGTATACAACGTATAAGCAACTATTATTACTATAAATAAATATCTATTATAATCTTCTTTTACCTATTTTTACATTAATCTGATTTGATACAATGTAGAAATAAGGCTAAATACGACACCAGTATCTTCTTTTTACACCTTTCAATGTTGGTTTTTCTTTAGTTGATAAGTGGTCAGCATTGTCATTTATATTACATAATAATAATAATAATCAAACCGCTGGTTACTGACGTTATCGAATTCTTTAGTTATATTGGAATAAAGATTGGCTCTTTTAGATCTAAACTTCTTGTTGTAGAGAGATGCATTGTCCCAAACTGTTAAATAGATATGAGTTCTGTACCATAATTCGTTATGATCGTTTTGTAAGAGCTGACCTGAAAACCAAAGTTCAATTGATATTTTTCTGATGTAGCGATATAGCTGGTGTTCTAATAGTCTTATTAGCATAAAGTTAGGATAATAACTCGTCAATTTTACACTGTGACTTTTTGTTGTAATTTGTGTACAATATAATACACGAATAGTAAATATTTATTTCACAATAATGCTGTATAAACAATATCATCACGTCAAATATAAAATATGTAATCATCAAATTTAAAGCCTCTAAATAAAACTCTTATTGAGTTTGCAATCTATCAAATACAATACCATATCATGACTGTTGGTAATATCTTGAAGAAGTCAATGTATAGCACAACGCCAATGAAATAAAGCATCTATAATTGCTATTATCATTTATAGCCACAAGGAAAAGTATAAATAGACGGGGTAGTTTGTACAAGAAGAAGAAGTCTTTTCCATATATTCTAACTTCACGAATTATTTTTGCCTTTTATTCTCTCTTTTCTTGCTGTAAATGGCTATAGTTGGATCGAAAAAAAAAATGGCTCATGAGTTGTGGAAGATATGGCTGAAAACGGGCTGCATTTTTGTCAATCATAAAACCAAGTTGTCTTTCTTTTCCAAACTTTATTTCGCATACGTGCTTTATTTTACTAATATCCTTCAGTTGGCAGAACTTAGTTCAGGCCGGTTGCTTGTCGATAGTTTTTTTTTTTTTTTTTTTTTTTTTTTTTTTTTTTTTTTTTTTTTTTGTTCTTCCAAATCCATCCATAACTTGATGTAGGAAGAATATCTTTCTAATTTAAATGGATACATCACTATTTCGTATTTCTACTGTGAAAGAGGGATTTCTATCAAATAAACAGACATAATTTCTCTGATTTTAGATTTATCTTCAATTAAATTGAGAAGAAATGTTTGTAATATTGAATATATAGTAGGAAAATGTACATGTATATACAAATATATAAAAAAGATGTTGATATATATTAAAATCTTGAATATATTTAAACAAAAGGGACGGTTAAAAAGGAGAGTAATAGATGACTGATGTTTTATAGATAAGGTATTTATATAAAATATATTCAATTATAAGTTAAGATATAATAATGATTATTACTGCATAAGCATCATAGTATTAATTGATTCATATATGAGGAGACTTCTCAGTTAAGGCTGGCATAAAACAAAATTATAGTAAAAGAACGAGTATATTCTGATCGGCTAATAGTAAAGGAATAATTTGAGATCGTAAAGAGGGCAACATCCCTTTGGTTCTATGTGAGGCTTGAAAGTATTTTTAATTAATTAAAAAAAAAAGGTATCTTTGGATAGTGTATGTTGATAGTCAAAATAATGCTTTAAAGAAACAACTGGTTGTTTATATGGCCTAATTGAGATAGTATGACTAAGGTAGCTAACACTATTTTTTATTCAATCCTTTGTGTTAAACCCTGTATTATGGCCATGACTAATGTTTGAGATATAGGCTCATTAATACAACTTCTAAGGTCTAATTGAAGCAGTTATTAATCATATTTGCTTACTTGGTATGGTATTCTCTCTGGCGTGGTGCATTTAATTATTCCGGTTTGAAGTTTTAGTAGTCATACATCTTCTGTCTCAATAGATGATTGCCAACATTCTTTTATTTATATCTTATTTCATTATATACAGCATACTAATTTCATATGGTTAGATATTTTACATCATAGCCTTTGTAAAAGATTGCAATAATTAAAGCTTATGAAACTGGGTGAAAAGAGTTCCTGTCTACGTGCTGTCTCAAATTTCCATTCATACAATCTGACTTTTTTTTTTTTTTTTTTTTTTTTCATGCATGCAAAAAAATATTTATTTTTGTATAAGACTTGTACAAAAGAAAAAAAAAAAGTACTTTTATTTTAAATCGCTTTTTTTTTTCCTGACATGTATAAAAGTAGAAATAAAATAAAATAAAATAAAATAAATAAATAAATAATGTATGCATCATGTAATGGTGGCTGCTGCTGGCATTAAAAAAATATGCTTAATACTAATATGAAATCTTACTTGCCAGTAGTAAAGCATCTATACATCATCATATCCACTAATATTTAATTTATCAATTACAAGACTAAAAAAAAAAAAATGTATATTTTATTTTTCGTTTCCTCCTTTCTAAAACAAAGTTTGCTTAATGTACTTCTTTAAGCAATGTCTCATTTCAGTTTTAATTTGCTTACATTCTCCCTTGTTGAATGCTTGTGGAATGTAATTCATTACAAACGTGGTTCTATTAAATACACACACACATATACACATATATAATTATTAATACTATTTTATTTGTACAGTGCTGTTCACAATGAAATTACTTACCGTTCTATAGAAAATTTTATTCCTGAAAATGATATACAACAATCTTATAAGAATGATATACTTGACTCAGTGGGTTTTGTTCAAGCTGGCTCATTCTTTCCTGACTGGTAAAAAATGGAGTATTACCTTCTATTTGTGTGATATAATAGACACCTATTCACTTACACACATATATAATGTATATTAGGGGATATCAATGTTTGGGTAATAATCAGCAATCAGAAGATGGTAACATATCAAAATTATTCATGTATTTTTTTTTTAAAAAAATATATATATGTATATACAAATATTAATTTTATATATGAATGAATATAATACATTATTAGCGCACTGGCCAACTTTCATAAAAGTAGCTGTCAATTATGTTCGAGAAGTTTATCCTATAAACCAATTTCATTCAAATAAACATGTTAAAGTAAATAAGAGAATCTTTCCTCTTCCTATATTTTTTTGTTTGTTTGTTTATTTGCTTATGAATAAAAATTTATCGTATGATACTTTTTTTTTTCTATAGGGACTAATATCATTCATCTTTGCCATCATGTCGCATGATATGGCGGATATAAAATGGCATAGCTTAGGAGGTTTATCTGATTATTTTATTGTTGCTATGGCAAATTCCGATTTCCATAGTAATGATGAAGAAGCCCATTTAGCAGCAGACGCAGGAGGAGAATTCACATTACGACATTCAAGCGAGTTATCCTATCTTAATGAGACCTGGCAAGTGCCTATCAAAGATATAATTGAGATTTATAAAAGACTTTATATAAATACTACTACAGTAAAGGTACCTTTAGAATCGCATCTTCGTTATTGTATGGCAACTGCCTTTGCCGCTTCAAAAATCGATGTTGAATTTGGACAGCTGATGTTTGGTTATTATGGATCTAGAAGTCCATTTTTAATTGAAGAATTTTATGATTATTACAGGGGAGGTAATGTTTTACTTATATATATATATATTTATATACATGTATATGATTATCAACTTTATAGTTTTAACTATATCATATTAGGTATTGAAGATATATCAGGAAGTGTAACTGATTGTTATCCGCAAATGATTGATGCCTTTGAGAATGGAGCAATCCACAGCGATCCAGATATTTTATGTGCTAATTATTTTTCAACTATGGGCAGTAGTCATCATAATAAAAAAAGAAAAAAGAAGAGACAAATCACATGCCCACTAATTCAATCCCAGTGCAAATCCTCATCATTATTACACAATAAAATGTATGAAAGTTATGATTCTGTATCAGGTGTCTTAACTATTACATTAGATAAACGATATACCAAAAATCAATATACCACCAAGAAGATAACTGATAAAGAATCATTATTACCTATAGTAGAAGAAACAACGGTGATTGATAAGCAGCGATATGGAATTAGAAACAAGAACGATCAATACCAATTCCAAGTCCCACTAGGTCCAAAAAAAATGAATAATAATAATAATTCAATGAATGAAAATATAAAGTATAGTGCCACTAATACAATAAATAACGAGATTAACCAGCAGCAATGTCTATCACTCGACAATAATTTGATTTCAGGTATTACTTTAACTTTATCCACGTCCTTTGCTAGATTAGGCCATCAGGTCATTATAGGAGACTTTAATGGTAATGGACAACTTGATATGGCTATTTCAGCACCTTATTATTATAATCACAACCGTCATATTCAAACAGGTGCAGTATTTATTTTACAAACAGTTTCTGAAATCCTTCTAAATGAGAACCAATATCAAAAGCCTTATGATATACGAAATTTTACACAAAACCAATTACTTGAAGGAGATGTAAACCATGGACGATTTGGCTGGTCTATGTTATCGATTGATATGAATCAAGATGGTATTGACGACTTGGTAGTTTCAACCCCTTTCCTTGAAGGAGGAGGAAGTGGGTGGGTTGATGTTTATTTTGGTCGAGTTTTGGTCGGACTTTCTTCTTCCTCACAACCAGACATTCGAATTTTTTTGTCCCAAGAATCATTACTAGGAACGGTTTTAGTGGGGATTGATGTGAATCAGGACGGTTTCAAAGACCTGATTATAGGCTGTCCATTATGTTCTATTGACAATCAATCACAAGTAAGTTTTTTTTTTTTATCCTCTTGACCATTAATATAATACTACTAAAATAATGATACAATTTTTTTTTTATTTTTTAATAAAAATATCTATATCTATACGATAGACGGGAAGAGTTTACATTATTAAAAGTTCATCAAGTTTAGCTCGTTATCCTGCAACTATAACGCAAGCTGACTGGATTATTGATAATCCTAATATACAAGAGGATGTATCAAGATCTGCGTATGACCATTTTGGTGAATCAATCCTACTAGTCAAAGATACTCTATTAATTGGAGCTCCAGGTTATTGTATTAATATGAAACAAAAAGTAGGTCGAGTTTATGCTTTTGATATAAAAACAAAAAAGTTGAAATGGATCATGTCTGGTTCCAAAGAATTTCAACAATATGGGAAGTAAGTCAAAAAAAAAAAAAAAACGTTTCAGCTGAGATTAAAACTTAATTTCAAAAAAAAAAAAAAACTAACAAAATTAAATAATTATTTTTTATATGTAGAAGGCTTGCTACAGACAATAAAGGTAGTTTATTAGCTATATCAAGTCCATCAGAAGTAAGTTACGAAAAAAGAATAAGAAAAGAGAATAAATATATATGAATTCAATAATGATAGTAAAAAAAAGAAACTAAAGAAAAAGCTTATCTTTTTTTTCGCATAATGTAATACAATAGGAAACATCTATTGGATTAAGAAAGTTCTGGCAAGGAGGAACTGTAAGAATTTATGATTGGGATAAAATACAATCTAATAAGGGTACAGCTTTAATACCACGATTTGAAATGGAAAATGGTATGATAAGTATTATTAAAGGCCGTACAAATGCAGGTCATTTAGGACAATCTATTTTATTTGTAAATGATGATAACAATCATAATATATCGAGTATATGGATAGGCGAACCCTTATCTGAACAAGGTAGATATCTTTCTTTTTTTTATTATTTCTAGTCATATATCATTTATTTTTTTACTTGTCATTAATTGAATTTTATTAAAGAAAAGGGACGTATTTATCATTGGTCTTTTAATAATAGAAATAGCCAAGTTAGATGTATTAGAAATAATCAGTTAATCTTAGTAAGTCTTGTCAAAATAATTTGCACTGAGTTTTAATTTGCTCGTGCCTGAAATAACCGCGACGGAGTTAATAAAAAATTATAGGCACGGTTTGGGTCACAAATCGGGCAATTAGGTACAAATGCTATTTGTATCACTTCACAACATTATGGTCAAAATGCATTGTAAGAATGAAATACAAATGTTTAAATTAATATCAAATATTTATGCATAACTCTATTTAGGTATTCTGGAGCTGTCACTTTATTGAAAGGGAAAATCATATAATATTTTAAATAGCAGGAGGTAATAAAATAGATAAAAAAAAATTTGAAACATAAATTTTAAACATAGATGAATAAATATAACTATTTATTTACAGGAGAAGAAGTCTATTTACTACAAAGTATAAAAAAGAAAGAAAAAAGTAACTTTGAACTTACTTAAGTGAGACATTTTTCATACTTTTGTTCCCGATTGTCTTGGAAAAAATTTTTTTTTTCTTTTTTAAAACGCCAATATTTGCCCTGGACTAACTGCATGACTGTATTGAACCACTGAAAAAAAAAAAAAAAAAAAAAATAGCCATATATTAATAGTAAAAAAAAAAAAGAAATATAAATATATACTTATTTTTTTTAGACTTTTTTCTGTTGTTGTATTTTGTCATTTTATTATTATCTTTTTTTCAAATTTCCTTTTTTTTTTCTTTTTCTTCATTGTTTCTTCCTTTTTATTATTTATATACATTATTTATATTTATTTATAATACAATAAAAAATAATAATATATTTAATTTAATTATTTTTCTTTTTTTTTTTCATTTATTTATATTTTAATTATGCCACAAAAGAAAAAAGCAACTGGACGTAGATCTGAACCTAAGCTATTTCGTTGTACAGGATTTGGTAACTGTGATATGGTCTTTACTCGCAGTGAGCATTTAGCTAGACATGCAAGAAAGCATACAGGAGAGGTTAGAGAATATAATCATAAAAAGAGAAGAAAAAAGCTAACTTGAATAACATATAAATAAATAGAAACCATTTAAATGTGTTGTACCTAATTGTGATCGAATGTTTAGTAGATTTGATAATATGATGCAGCATACACATACTCATAATCGTACAAAAAAGAAAGATAGCCATGGCTCAGATAATAATCACAAAAAGATTGTACCTGAAAATAAAGCCAATAATATGCATTTACCTTCTATGCCTAATTCACCAAAGACTTATAATAGCCAAAAGCCTCATATGATTGATAACCATATAATTTTACCCGGTCCACGTCCAGTAAATGATCCTAATAATAAACCAGCTACAGTTATCTATCCACATCCAATGTATTATCAGCAACAACAACAACAACAACAACAAACTTACCCTCATCCTCCTCCATCTCCTAATTCTCAACAAGAGGAGGATTATATCAAATATCAACAGCAGTATTATAGTCATTATCCTATTCAACAACAGCAAGCTTGGGGTACTCCTACTATCTATTATACATCTACAACTCCATCCCAATTCCCTTCCACAAACATGATGATGCCTCCTCCACACTCGCATCATCATCCACCACCTCCTCTTTCTCAACACCCTCCCCCTCCCTCACTATCTCAACAACAGCAACCGTCTTTTGTATCATCTAATATGACTGATTATTTTGGAAGTAAGCATGAGGTTCAACAACAACAACAACAACAACAACAACAACAGCAGCAGCAGCAGCAGCAGCAGCATCAACAAGAACAAGAACAGCAAGAACAGCAACAGCAAGAACAACAACAGCGTAAAAATTCAATTCATAGCGAATCAACGACAATTACAATGTCAAAAAGAAAACTTTCGTATATTGAATTGTCTACACCTATTCAAGAATTAGGATTAAAAAATCATTATTATCCCATTATGGCCTTAGCTAATAATCGTGCTTCTTCTGATTCAACTACAACAACAATGATAGAAGACGACGACGACGACGATGAAAGGCAAATGTCGCCATTATCTATCAATGATTTAGAAATGAATAGTGATAATAGCAACAAATCTTCACCGATATCATCCCGTTTCAAGCCAGATGGTATTGATATCACACTAGATGAATATGAAGCACTTCAAGGTTTTGGTAAATTCTGTACCGAACCTATAGTTCGAGAACCTATCTTAATGACCCGTATTACGACTTCACCTTCTTCTTGTATTTCTTTGCCTATTGAACTACCTCCTTTACACAATATATCACCTGCTGCCGTTTTATCGAATACAGTCAGTTTATCTTCTCGAATCCAGGCTTTCCGTCAACACGTCTTAACTGCACATGAATCCTTTCAAAGACCAGTACGAAATGGCGTCATCTAAAAAAAAAAAAAAAAAAAAAAAAAAAAAAAAAAAAAAATTCATACACATAGCAGCATTGTAATAGCCAATGATCTTCATATCTAACTACTATCGATTTTTTTTTTTTGGCAAAACATTCCCCCCAAAAAAAATTTTTTATAATTTTTCTGACACAAAAAAAAAAAAAAAAAAAAAAATTGAAAACCTTGATAAGAGGACAAAAAATATATATAAATATTTATACACGCATATATGTATAGCATTATATATCCATTATTTACGTTATACTCATATATTGCATTCCCCTCAATTAATTATTTTTTTTTTTATTAATAGTATTATATTTATTTATAAAAAGATTTTATATACATATACATATATATTTTTTTACAAGTTATTTTCTATAAAAATGTGATAAAAAAAAGAACTCGTTATATAGTGTAGAATAAATAATAATCATAGTCATAGAAACTATTATCCGACTGATAAATGTAGACTCTTTTAATACAGTACACTACTGCTTTATGATAACATATTTATCTATAATGTGAGTTGAGTTTAATGTGCGCCCCCTTTTTTTTTTTTTACTTAACTTGGCTTGAAGTCTGCACAACAAAACATATAATAGCTAGAATCCTCAATCATTGAATATGATAAGCATTTAATTTCCCTTAGGATAAACATATTCCAACGATAATTTTATTTCATAGCTTGGTAAAATCAGAAATATACTAATGAATATTTTTATTCATTATTAGTACGTATTTTTTTTTTTTTTAATAATTCCAAATATTTCATAATATGTAATATAAAGTAGAGTTAAAACAAGTAAATTGATTTAAAGGCATATTTATGCTAAGATAATAGATATACATATTTTTAAAGCTGTTGATTTATAGCATCATTACAAGTGCTTGAGCTTATTTGTATCAAGTGTGTTTAGAATAGAGATTGCACACATCATTATTAGATGAGGTTCCTTTTTTTTTTTTTTTTTTCTTTACAATGATTTGTGTGTAGAATAAAGTTGATTTTGTTATTTTCATATGTTTCTTTAGTTTGCAAGTTGTTTATGACAAAGAAGTTGTACAAACAATCTTTTGTCATACTGCATGCATATTTTATAAAAAAAAAACATTTTCTCTCATATTAAAATCTATTATGATTGTATCTGTACCACAGTAGACTATGAATACTATTTTTGTTGATTATTATGTAATATTCTTCAGTTATACAAGCAGCACGTGTTATGCAAGAATAAAATAATATTTTTGTTCTTTCAACGAATCAAAAATAGTTGTGACAAGGAAAATTCAATGAGTTCTTTAATTGATTACTTTTTTTTTTTTCTTCTTTTATTTTTTTAAACAAAATGGCAATATTTAAACAATCAAGTCATTGTTGCTTTTTAATCCCCATAAAAACAGGTTATTTTTTTTTTATTTCATTTTATATTTTGTCGTTATTAAAAAAAAAAAAAGACAATTCATTTTAAATTAACAATACTAATTATTTGTTTTGTTATTTTGCATAAATAAAAAAAAAAGGTGTCTATCTTATAACTATTTTTGGACTAGTAAATGTCGACAATAAAACAATCAAAAACAATACATGATTCTTATAGATTATTTATTAATTTAGCTTAATAAATTATCTGGATTCTATGGTCTCATAGCGTTAGATTACAGCGATCCTATTGTTGTTTGTGTACATATTTATTCACTTATAGCGTTAGGCTTATTTTCTCTTGGCCTATACGGTATTCATAATGTATGTAAATAATGAACATGATATAAATATATTGATATTGTGTATAGGACAAATACACGTATATTCGCTATTTCACCTTATTTTATTGGTTTGACTTTTTAATTAGTACAGCCACAACAATCTATTTTGCTATTCAATGGTTTGTTTATACAGATCATAATTTGCTTGAATTACAAGATGATCCAGTAAAGAAGCAGCAACATGACGACGCCTTCAGAATTGAAAGCACTGTTAGCATTATATGGCTATGTCTTATTCGAGTAATTCATGTAAGCATTCAAGTTGATGAGATTATATATTGTTATTTTAACTTGTTTCTTTTTTAGCTTTATTTTGCTTATACTCTAACTTGTTATTATGTCTCATTGGGTAAAGCGCATTATTCCAAAATAACCGCTTCTGTGGATGAAGAATTGAATTTCTCTGGTTATAATGAATTGGAAGAAGAGGAAGAAGAAGAAGATAAAAATGATAATGATACAAGTCCATTAGCTGGAAGAAGAAGACAAGCTTAACTTATGTAAAACAAAATAAATAAAATGTGTATTTTATATAAATGTGTATATTAGTTTATTTTCTTTTTTTTTTAAATGTTATTCAAATGACTAAAACAAATTGTATGTTAGATATATATTTATGTATACACGTATTTCTTTACCTCTTATAAATACTCATAACATTAGCCACAAATGCTTCTAAATGAAAGATATCTTTTCTGCCAATATGTAATCGATGCTCCTATATTTTATATAAATAAATTAACATTTGAATTATTATAAAGATGAAGATTATTTACATGAAAAGCTGCTTGTTCAATAATTTGAAGTTTAATTGATTCTGGTACTTTTTCTATTAAATAAAAAGATAATCGTTTCAAAATAATACTAGGCTGAATACATTTAGTAATAAGGTCATATAAATATCCACGAATTTGAAGTAGTTTAGTAGCTGATTGTTCTGTTATAATGGCATCTGCTATTTTTGCAATCGCTTTTTCCCAATCCAAATCCTCAGGTCGTGTCACATTGGTTAAATCAGGACTTTTTATAAAGTTAATAATTTGTTATAAATACATATATAATATACTTACTATCGAACTGCTGTACTTTCTAATGATAACATAGCAGCACGGAGATTTCTTTCTGCATGTTCAGCAATATGTGTAGCTAATTGTTTTGGTAATACAAATCCTTCCTTGCTTGCAACATCTTGCAGAATACGAACAATTTCTGGTGTTTCAGGCCTACCCACTCGCATCAATAAACAACGAGATCGAACAGGAGCAATAATTTTACTTAAACTATTACAGCAAAGAATCAAACGCATAGAAGATGTGTATTTTTCCATTGTTCTACGAAGTGCTGCTTGTGCTTCTCTTGTCAACTCATCTGCCTGATCAATAATAACAACTACAGTAATAATAAATTGCAATTAAAACATACGTTCCTTCCCTTCCACACACACACACACATTCTCTGTATCGGTATTTCTATCTTTTTTTTCATCTTACTTTTAAATTGGTGTTTGGCGTTAGCATCAATTTGCTGTGATTGTGCAATGCTTTTAATGACATCTTGAACAATGACACGATCATACATGCCTAAATCACTATCATAGTGTTAGATTTAAAAAAAAAGGCTCTATTAGTGCATTGATAAAAAAATTACCTTGGATTTAATTCCAAATGAAAATTACTTGATACTACTGTAAATAGCATTTTACGATTAGAAGTAGTGACAAATTGACGTTGATCTACTTTAAGCTATGTATAAATTAATGATCAAATGTTTGCTATACAACATATTATATATATACTTTATCAACAGCAGGGCCATATATCTCTCTCAAAACAGCAGTAAGTCGAGTCTTTTTACCAGCACCTGAAGGCCCATAAAATAATAAATGAGGAAAGTTATCAGAATGGGCCTTAAAATACAAAAAAAAAAAAAAAAAAAAAAAAAAAATTAGATATCGATATATAAAAGAACCTCATTTTACTGCTACAATAACTTTACCAACTTTTTCAGATGAGTAGACAAGTCTTTATGATATGAAAGTTGATCAAGTGTTTTTGGTTTATATTTATCTGCCCAAAGACTCATGATATATTATATTTTCTTTAAAAAAAAATAAAAAAAAATAAAAGAATAAAAGAGGTTTCAACGCGTTTATTTAATTTGAAGAGCGCGTTTTGTTGTATACATTTATTTTATTTTTATTTTTTTTTATACAAATGTATAAAAGCCTATTTGTTTTTTTTTTGTGACTCAATTTTATTTGGTATCTTTTGGAGGAGGAAGGTAGAATTCGAGTCGTTTTTCATAAAAATAAATCAGCTTTTATAAAGACTTTTTAGTTTACAAATAGTTTAAAACTTGTATTAGTATAAATTACCTTTAAAGGATTATGCTTTTTAAGAATTCGTGTTGGAATGTACGTATTTTTTTGTTCATCTTGAGACCATTTCACCTCTGCAAAATAAACATTGGGCTCATTATAAAAGACGTTAACAACTGAATCTATATCTGACCATAAATATCCAGCAGGTGGCGTAGAAGAGATTTGAGAAGCTTTTATTTCTTGAATAATCTGCTTACGATCTACTTTGGTCGAGTTATGTGATGAGCTTACTTTTCTTTTCAAGCTGTTAGATTCTTTACTCTTGTTTTTATTTTTACTATTCAACTTTTCATTATTAGGGTGTTTTTTTCTAAATTCAGTCAATGTATAAGGTTGATTAGCCCAGTATTGATTGATTAATCCTTTTGCATAACTATTAAAAATAAAATGAGCACATTGTTTTTATGATTAATATTATAAATATATGTATTTTTTTTTTATCAAAGGAGATTTTTACACATTGGATTCTCTTTCCCATGTATTGAACTCTTCGTCATAGCCTTTCCATTTAATTAAATATTCTACAGCATTCTAAAATAAAATAAAAGAAAATTATAGATCAAATAATGAAAAAAAAAATGCTATTTTTTACTTGTTCTCTTTGTGAATGTCTATGTCCAACAATTTTTTCAACCTCAAATATAGCATCGGTAAGATCAGTTTGTGATTGTGTCGTTGATTTGCTCATTTATTTCGGGTATACGTGAAATGTAGAATGTATCTTGAAAAGAAAAAAAGACAATTTATTTCTTTTCTGTATCGCGCATTTTTTTTTAAAAAAAAATCTGTTAGTCTTTTTTTATTTACCACTATCATTATTTAAGAATGTATCCATCGCTTAATCCAGTCCGGAATGGATCTCGTTGGTATGCAAAAAAGCAGACTCAACAAGAGAAAATAGATGAAATATCTTTCTATGAAGAGAGATTGGCAGAAAAAAGATCGGAAGAAATCCAAGTTACAATACCCATTTGGGTAAATGGTGAATATATTATACCAACCAAGATAATGGATAAGAATGAAATAGAAGAAGAAGAGGAAGATAATTTAGACGAGTTTTTCACTCGTGATGAAGAGCATTACGCTTCAAATGAGTCCTTAGAAGAGGATGAATATAATAACAACTTTAATAATAACTCATCACCTTCTAATCAGTTTGCAAACGAATTATACCATGACATGTATAGTCCTTATGCGGATGTACCTGATCAATATGAGACTCCAGATTCACCCGAAGAATATGAAGCTCATCATAGTACCGAATACCCCTTTTAAATCTATTACACATAATTTTGTACATAGTAATATACATTTGTCATGACAATAAAGACCATTTTACTTGTATCATTGTATATAAGTCACAATTCTTTTTTTCTTTTTATCAACTCTTTTGAATTAACAATTAGATACTATTTGATAATTTATGTTGTTTGCCAATCATAATTTTTTGATGTTGAAGCTGTTTTCAGCTGCAATAGTAACAATCGAATCATGTAATAATCAAAGACTTTCTGAATAAGTATAACATGTTGTTAAGATACACCTTATTGTGTTACTAATATTATCTTGATATTTATTGATAATTATTAGTTACTAAAATACACACTTTTAGTATTCCCTTTGAAAGTTATTTGTTTATACAAAAAAAAAAATACCATTATCGATTGAGCTACCCAGTTTCGTTTGTCTCTTTGATATTACCTATTTCAGGCATAATTGTCATGATATTAAAGAGTCATTAAAGTGTATGCATTTTAGAGTACATGGTATTCGTAGTGCTATAAATATCAATAAAATAAAATGAAGCAGTAAAATGGTATTAATGATAGAGTAGTAAATCACAGCTGTATATGGTAGGTAATTTTCAAACATGTACAGTATGATATGCTGCAGATGGAATCGATTTAACTTTACTAAGCCTTACTCTAGATTGAGATGGCAAACATAAATCTTATACTTGACTTGACTTGATATACTCATATACTTTATTTAGTAGGAAGTTTTTATAAAATCTTTCATATATCCTCACGATCATATACGTTTCAAGAAAAGCGCCTAGTACATTTAACGTCTTACTTGACGGGACTATACTGGTTTGAAAAAAAAAAAGGAGAAGTAATAATAGCAGCTTTTTAAGTTATCATTTCATAAAGAATACTGGGATAGGTTTTTTTTTTCAAGGCAAAATAATAGAATGAATGATAATGAAGATGGATTATGACCACAAGAAATCACTATCTACTCTATCATTTATTTGAATTTGATTTGCCATTTAAAATCAACGTCATCATTTTTTTATCCAATCAAAAGATAAAAAAAATATAAAAAAAAATAAGGTGTGAAATAAGGCTGTATATTATTCCAAGTTGCTTCATCACCCCACATTATGGCCGCTGTTTAAATTATCTCCATACACCTTGGATTTGTTTTTTTTTATTTTTTTTTATTTTAATACAGTTATATTACATTATGTCGATACCAGGTTCAACAGCTCATCGCTTACATGTTCAATCACTTTATAAACGTTCATTAAAGCTTTCACTTGATTGGTACATTCAACGAGATTTATGGCGTCAAAAGGCTTTGCAAATTAGAGCACGATTTGATCAAAATAAAAACATCACCAATCCCAAACAAATTCAAGCTCTTGTTCAAAACACAGAAAAGGAACTTCAAGAATGGGCTCATCCTGATCCTTATAAATGTAGGGTTTATATGCATTGTTTAATTTTTATATGGAACTCGAGATTAATTATTATCATTATTTTTTTTTTTTTCTTTTCTAGTGCCTATGGGTCCTGACGGTACTAAATGGGAACGTAACCTTCCTCCTATTGTTGTAAGTTGAAGCCTATCTGTATATACATATATCAAACTTATACACCAGTTTTAACTTTTTACCAATTTAAATATAGCATGGTGAAACTGTCCATCATCACTAAATCTATTTACTGAATATGTGTGAGCATTTTTTTTTTATTAGCAATAAAATGACAATAATACATGTAGATGGATGAAACTGAAAACTTTACAGCAGTTTATAGATTAAAAAAAAAAGAAAAGAAAAAAAGCACGCATATATACAATAAAAAAATCAATATAATAGATGCAAATAAGGGAAACTTTTATATTTAAAAAAAAAAGGCTGACAACGATATTATTACTATGGCCGAAACTTTAGCATTATCGTTAAATGACTATTACTTTAAAAAGAAAATGTAGCTTTTAAATCGTGCTAATTATTACTGTTATTCTGAGGTTTATAGTTTATTTTTCCTTTACAGTTTCCTCAAGATATAAACAAATTGCATATATTTATTGTATTCTACTCTTTAATAATACGACCGGATAGATTATTGCGAGTTTTTTTTTCTTTTCTTTTTTTAGTGATATTATAAACAAGTTATCATGACCCAGACTGCCTAATAGGGACACATTTAGGAGAATAAATGGGTAAAGACAAATACTTGTATTTTCTACAATATAATATCTCTGATTAAATAATACCTGTAGTCAAGACTGTAAGTTATTGAATAAATATTATACTGTAAAGTTTGATATGTTAATGTTAACCTCTTTGTTACATAATAGATCCTATTTTATTTCTATCGATCTGTACATGTTTCTCTTTTGTTCCAAGAATTAAAAAAAAAAAAGGTTAATAATACACAGTATTGCAAGTGTTTGGTTGGCTTTACTGGTTGTGTGTGTAGAAAACCTTATCTGCTTACCTTAAATGATATATTTTAATATCACACTTTTTTTTTTATCATTTTCATTTTCATTTTTATTTCTTTTCCTTATTCTTTGTTTCTTTCCAACTTGACTCTATTAAAGAGGACCTGAAGGTATAAAAATCAAGAGAGGGATAATGTGATATACAGTATTAAATTACTCTGTATAGCCTAATACAATCATGTCAATCCACAACACTAAAAGTAGCCCTTTCACTTGTCATGTCCTTATTGCATCTACAGGTCTACCCGGACAACATATTGATGTTAGAATCGAAAGATTAAATCAACAATCAAACGAGTTTCTATTGCTATCCACTGGGTAAGAAAACAAAGTTATATTATGATGTGTGCTTACATCTTTTCTTTCTTAAAAGACAAACAAATAATGACGGCCGTTGTCCTGCATTATTACCAACAAACTACAAAGTAGAAAAAGGTATTTATCGTGTCACATTTGAGACAAAGGCTTATTTTTCTAAACTTGGGCAAGCATGTTTCTATCCTTATGTTCAGGTAAATGATATTATCTTTAATAAAATGAAATAAAATAAAATAGAATAGACCTTTCATATATGTTTTATAGATCGCATTTGAGGTTTCTGATCCTAATCAGCATTATCATATTCCCTTATTAATTAGTCCTTATTCTTATACAACCTATCGTGGAAGTTGAAGGTATATATGTATTATACATACATTTATTTGCATGCATGCATAACTTGAATATAAAGCCTCTTTCCTATAAATCCTTTCTAATTGCCTTTTTTTTTTTTAGCTTTTTAGCTTTAATGGCTAGTTACTTTGCTTTCCTATATTTGAATATACAACCCCTTTAATAAAAAAAAAGGTACCACTATTGGTCTATTTAAGCATTTTAAATATCTAAGCGTTTTTTCTTTTGTTAATTATATTTATTCAAAACAAGTGTATATGTATAGTACGTTGAAGAAAAAAAAAGATACATAAAAATCATTTTTCTCCATCTCATGATACAACAGAAACACCAATTTAAGCGACCATAGCAGAAGCAGTAGCAGACTCACTATTAAAAAAGAAACATATGGGTTAAGGAGGACTATTACTGAGCTCGCTTCCCATCATAAGAGAAGTCGTTGACTCAAATAATGTCCAATATAGGCAGGCAAAATAAAAATGTTTCACACACACACACACACACACACACACACACACACAAAATAAAATAGTTAGTATATAATAAACTAAAAAAAAGGATACTATTTCCAAGTGGGAGGAAGTTGACCAGAAGTCTTGTAGTAACGAGCAAGACGGTGAATACGAGATTCAATAAGAATCAAACGGTACTTAGAGTCCTTATCCTTTCTGTTACGTTCCAAGTGCTTACGGATAGAGACAGCCTTCTTGATAAGGTGGTACAAATCTTCAGGAACTTCAGGAGCAAGACCGTTCGTCTTAAGAATACGAAGGATCTTGTTACCAGTGATGGACTTGACTTGAGGGATGCCATGAGAATCACGAAGGACAACACCAATTTGAGAAGGAGAAAGACCCTTCTTAGCATTCTTACAGATCATGTCAACAACTTCTTCAGAAGAAGTCTTAACCCAAGTAGGGGGAGTGCGACGATAAGGGAGGGCACTACCAGAGATACCCTTACCAGAAGTATACATACGACCCATTTTGAATAATCTGTTTTTTTTTATTGAATATAAAGATGAGAAGGAATTTTTTTTTTTTTTTTTTTTTTTTTTGATAATTGTATCAAACTTCTTAAAGTCACAATGTAATTAATACCCAGCAACCAATGAATCAAGTTTTTCTTTTTTTTTCCTTTATAGCACATCAGCCATCAAATATAATACTTTCTCTGTACTAAGATATCTTATTCTATAAAGTCAAATATATTTCAAGCAAATTCCCCCCTTTTTAACTAGATAAAACTTTCTCTATAACTCGAAAAAAAAAGAGAGAATTGCTTCTACTATATCCAATAAGGGCTCTCTTATTTATTGGTCCATGTTCTTCGAATAATGTTCAAAGCAGGCAACCTAAATCAAGACCACTTATGTCCTTGTTCATTTGATATAACTATAATAATAATAATAAGTTAATAGATTATGCAGCTATTTGCCGATAGATTTTATAAGGCTTCAGAGCATAGCAAGCTATTTATTTTCCTTTATTTATTTATTTATTTATTTATTTTAAACAGAAACTCTTGTTAAACTATCCTTTTTTTTTAATTAAATTACTAAAATAAAACTTAAAAAAGAGATAAAGTTATCCTTTATTTGTAAAAGAAAAGAGAAGAAAAACTAAAGCTTATTTTTATTTTTGTTTTTATTTTTGTTTTTAAACAAGATGCAATAATTCTTTTTATGAAATTTTTTTTTTTTTATTCATGTTCCGGTCAACAAAACCATTTTACTGTTTATTTTCCAAAGTTGGCAAAAGGTTTATTAGGATGAACGGCAAGACGTATGGTGTAGCTAAGAATGGAGTTACGATGAAGATAGAATTGACTAAAAAGGAAGCTAAAATTTGTCAAGCCCTTAAGGGCGTTTCTACTCTTATTGCAAATGAAAGACCTGAAATGCCTCTAATTGAATCTAGAATTGCTGGTGGTTGGGTTCGTGACAAGGTAAATAAAAGAAAAGAAAGAAAAAAGAGTAGTAACATTATATGCATTGTTCATTCTTCTTATTTGAAACACACACACACATATATATATATATACAGTTACTTGGAAATGAATGTCATGATCTCGATATTGCCATCAACGATATGATGGGTTATGAATTCGCTACATATGTTAATAAATACCTTGAAAGTCAAGGTGTACCTACAAAATCAATTGCAAAGATCGAAAGTAATCCTGATAAATCAAAACATTTAGAGACAGCTACAACTAGAATATTTAATCAAGAAGTTGATTTTTGTAATTTGCGCACAGAGATCTATGAAGAAGGCAGTCGTATTCCTACACAAATTGTAAATATATATATAAAAAAAAGAGATATATTATGTAATATATACATGTTTTTTTTAAAAAAACAGTCATTATTAGACATTTGGCACACCTGAAGAAGATGCATATAGACGTGATATTACAATTAATAGTTTGTTTTATAATGTTAATACACGTAGTGTTGAAGATTTTACAGGGAAGGTTAGTTGAATATAATAATAAAATAATAGGTGATAATAATTGTATTGAACATGTATAAATTAGGGTATTCCTGACTTAATTAATGGTTTGATTCGTACACCTCTTGAGCCATTTGAGACTTTCCGTGACGATCCACTTCGTGTTATTCGTTGTATTCGTTTCTCAAGTCGTTTTAATTTTGAGATGGTACCAGAATTATGTAAAGCAGCCAAACACACTGAAATTAAAAATGCATTGATTAATAAAATCAGCAGAGAACGTATTGGCATTGAATTCGACAAGATGATTAAGGGACCCCATCCTTTGTTATCTCTTCAACTTATTCACCAGTTAGAACTTTATCCTATCATCATGGCTCCTCCTGAAAATATCAAAAGTGGCACTATTGATAACCCTATTGTGGCCGTGAAAGCAGTTGGTATTGTTCAATGGTTATTTTTAAATAATCATCCATATTATAGACATTTGATGCCTGTATCAGAGAACGAAAGAAGAACACTTGTTTTAGCAGCAAGTGTTTTGCCTTATTTAAATGTGGTTTCTGAAGTCAAAAAGAAAGAAATTCCTACTGTTCAATTAGTTTTACGTGATTCAATCAAGGTAGGCGCATGCATACATACAGGATATAGTATTATTATTGTTTGAAATAGTTATATAGAGTCTTTTTTTTTTTTTTTTTTTTTTTTTTTTTTTCCTAGACCACAAATGCTGATATGAACACTGTCTCAACTATTTTCCGTGGTCTGAAAGGAATTCAAGATTTAGCTAATAACAATAAAAAAGAAACTGTGAAAAGATCTGAGTTAGGTATGCTAATTCGAGATTTAGGCGCTTTATGGCAAACTGCTGTCAAGCTGGCCATTGTTAAAGAATGCCTAGATACTTATCCTGAAGTTGCATGGACACATCTCAAGGAGGTTCATTTAGAGACAGGCAAAGAAATTTGTGAAAAATACAATGCATTAATTGAACAAGCAAATCAATATGGTATCAGTGAATGCTATACTTGGAAACATATTGTGGATGGTAAAACAGCAGCACACATAGTTGGGGTAAAACCTGGGCCAGTTGTAAGTGAATTATTAACGGTACAAATGAAATGGCAATTAGAACATCCTGAAGGAACAAAAGAAGAATGTGAACAAGCCATCAAAGCATATTGGGAAAATAAATAAATAAATAAACAAATATATACATTTTTATTAAGAAGTTGAATTGTGTTTAGTAGTAGATTTTTGAAACGTCACTCTGACATTAACCTTATTTAAAGGCTGATATCGAGGTCTTCTTTGAATAGTTTCTTTTGATTCAATATCTTGTTTTGATATAGTTTCATTATCTCCAAATTCTGATTTCATGATTGCTTCAAGCTCCAATTCCATCCTTTCTGAATACGTTAATTCAGGTGAAACGCTTGAGTCTCTATCTTTGCTACTAACAACATGATTCACTCTATCTTGTAAAGTCTTTTCATTTTGTTTTGGTTGCTCTGGTATATCATCTTCGTCAGATAAGAAATCAAACTCTTTATTTAATAATGATGTTTTGTCATGATTTTCTTTTTCTCCGTTGGCTGCTTTAAGATGAGCTACTAGGTTTAACTTTTTGCGTTTCTTGTCTGCTGTTGCCCTTTTGATTTGATTATCATACTGAACAGTAGTAGCATGATTAGTTGAGTCATTTAATAAGCTATTGATAGATAATGTGTTATAGCTATTATTTACTAATGGAGTGGGAGTATTCATATTATAGGATTGTTGTAAATAAGATGACAACTGGTTATTATTATTATAAATAGTTGCATTATTGTAAGTTGTATTAAAATAGTAATTTTGTTGAAAGGATGTTGTAGGCATAAAGGTACTGGAAGAAGAAGGAAGAGCAAAGGCAGTAGAAGTAGCAGCAGCAGCTTGTGCATTCATATTGTATGTTATATGTGAGATAGGGTCAGGATCAAATGCAAATATATCAAATGGTTGCACTTGTTGTTGTCGATTATAATTATCTATAAAGGAGGTTTCTAAGAAATCATGACTATTATTATGCGCAAGTGAATTTTCTATAGCAGTATAATAGAGTGTATTTGTTGCTGTAAATACTACCGGTGAAGTAGGTCTTTTATTTAAACCTGCTACTCTCCTTTTAGAAGAAGAGTAGGCTGCTTCTATTGACTTACTTTGATTAGCTACTGCTCTTTTCTTATTGTTATAGGTCATATTATTTCCAGTTGATTTAGGTATATTTACTGTTTGTGTTTTATCTTTTGACTTTGATCGTTTCCTTGTTAGCTTCGGTGTTTCTGGTATAGTCCTTGTAGATGCAACCATCACTTTTACTTCAGAGAAATTGTCTAAAGAATCTGGAAAATCAAATATAGTATCGTCTTCACCTTTTGTTATTCGTTCCTCATCTTTTTTTTCTTCTTGCTTTGGCTGACAAGTTTTGGTATGAATATTTCTTTGACTATTTGTAGTAGTAATCTTAGGGAGTTCAAATAGAGTTGCAGAAGTAGAAGATGCAGTGGATGATGATGATGATGATGACGATGATGATGAAGGTGAAATAGAAGATTGAATAGCAGATATTGTTGTTATTAATTTGGTATGTCCATTCAAATTTAATTGTTTGTCATGCTCTTGTGTTAAAGGCTTCTTTAGAGACTCGTCAACTAGTGGAAAAAATATTTTCCTTTTAAATGTAAAGACAGGTTCCCTTTTCTTTACTCCACCCAGAGTTGAAAACATTTTTAAAAGATATAAGAAAAGGAACAATTTATTAAAAAAAAAAAAAAAAAAAAAGGGTTCCAAAATCAAATATTATTGTGGTTTCATTAAAAAGAAACGCGAGCAATAAAATCACGCGAAAGATTTTTTTTTTGCGCGATCTAAATTATTATGAATTTTTGTTTTTTTTTACTATACACACACCCTTTTATGTAATATTAGCAATACAGCCATTCAATTCGATACTACTCGTTTATTATTATGCATCTGGTTGTATTAATATGAATTATATTAATTTCATCGATCGTCTTGTACAGTATGTATTATAGATATACATGTAAGAATGTATTTATACAAACTTCATCTTTTACATGTAGATTACAGCATTGTCATCGTCTATGTATATTAAGATCAATACTACTTCAATGATTAGACTATGAAAATGAAATGTTGGATTTAGAATATTTCCCCAACTTGAAACGCAAATATACCTTATCCGAAAGGCAATATTTAATAAATCAAAATGGAGTCTTATATTGTACATGTATACAAATTATTTGTATTTAAACCAAATACTAACATCTTTTCTCATATTTATTTAGTAAAACTCTTTAAGAATAGACATCCTTCCTAGTACAATGTAACGTCATATTTATTTATTAGCTATTTGAACAATACTTATTCCGTCTATAATTTGTAGAAATAGATTGAATTTTCCCTTCTAATGATTATAAAGTTCCTTTACTAGTATCAAATAATAATGATTTATTGACTGAATCAGAAACATTGGGTCCCTTTATTCACCACTATGTCATAACCAAGGTAAGTAACAAAATCAAAAAAAAAAATCTCTCTGTTTTAAGTAAAAGATCAGTATCACAGGAAGAAAGTAACACCTCTAGTAATAGTAAATATTTTTCAACATTTTTGCCCCATTCAAATCCCGTTGGAAGATAATAAAGATGATGAAAACAGCCGTACTATCTCATTCCCTACCAGACATTCACTTTTATCAGGAAAATCATATATTAAATTATTGATGCGAGCAAACTACTTCAATATACACAACTTTACAGGAAAAGGGATAAAAATGTAAGTATTGCTTCCCCTCCCCCCCCTCTTACTACATTCATAATATCAATTTTAATGAATATTTATACATATAACAGGATATAAATAATATGTCTACTGAATTCCATAATTCTGTTGAGGAACCTTTAATATACTGTCTAGATTCTACAATTAACTCGTATGGATGAAGACTCTACTCATTCTCCTATTGCGGCTGAATCAATTACGCTTTCATATGACCTCTTCACAGATTCTGTGGAAGAAGATTTACCGGATACATTGTCTTTAAACAATAATAATACCACATTATTGTAACTCAAGAGGGGGGGGGAAGAAAGAAAATGGGTTGTTTATAAATAATAATGTTATGCAAAGAAAAATTAAAGACATTTAGCTTCATTCATACTAATAGCCTGAACAAATATGATAACTTTATTCGACTTCATATATAATTCTTAGAAAATAAAACTATTGAACTTTGAAAGTATTCATGTTTTTTTACTAAAAACACATTGTTCATTTAAAATATTAAAGAGTGAATTGATATTTTGTATCACAAAGTTATTGTTAGTTATATATTCTGCATAGACAAGTGCTGCAGTAGGCAAAAATTTATATGAACGATATATTCCTTCAACGTCTGTATTTTACAAAGTATCTATTTAATTGGACAGTTTAAAATAGTTTATTTATTTCTAAGACTAAGTAATGCTGTAATACATAATACACAAATATGCAAACAAAACTATTTCTTGTTACATAATATAATTCTAAAATATTCGTGTTGCAAACAATAAGCCACAATTAAATATCTATTTAAAAAAAAAAAAAAAGAGATAAAGCTAATGGACTTTCGAAATTCATGGAAATTTGTGTGACTTGTTTTAAAAAATTAATAGGATGATCCAGTTAAAATTTTTTTTTTAAGTTTTTCGGTGCTTTAATTAAAAATTTTTTTTTGTCTATAAATAAAGGCTCAATCCATGATATAATTTTCTTTTTTTTCCTTAGCTTGCGATTTCTCTGAATATCAATGTTACCAAACTAGGGCGTAGGAAGTAATCCGTTTATGCGAAAGTATCTTTTTTAAGGTATCAGTAGTGTAGGGAAGGGTTATTTCATCAATTATCTGCGTATATCCTTAGGTAACTCAAGCTCGATTGAGTGATTGTCGAATTATGGGCTGTTGTTGTTCGATCCTTGAGTTAACGCTTCGGCGGGCGCTCGGTGAGAATGCTTCAGTTCTCGACTTTCTGGGTGATATATTCCTAAGCCTAAAGTAGATACTATGTGTCTGTGACTCCAGGCATAACCATATCCCCACCATTTTTTATATAATGTAATAATAAAAATGAAAAAAGAAGAGTGTGATTTTTGTAATAATGATAATAATGTTAATAAAGAAGATGCTTATATGTATGTGTATATAAAAGTAATCTATTTTTGTATGTACGAATGGCAAATGCAGTCAGGTGTTTGTCAATATTGAATTAGACAGACTTCTGCTATAAAAAAAAGCATTAAAAAAAATAAAAAAAAAATAATCTTCATTATTTCTTTTGCATAAAATCTTATGTCATAGATCCTTTATTGTAAGTATAATACTGCTAGCTCTACTAGAAATTCATTTTATATACACCCCATAACTTAAGTTTCCTCTGTCTAAAAGGATGTTATTATTTCATTTTATTTTATTTTTATTTTTTCTTACCCCAGAAGAATAAACATATTTATAAAATTTTCTTCAATCTATTATGAGCAGCATTTTAAGATCTCGTGGATTAAATGCTTCAAGAAAAGTGTTATCTACTTTCAGCACACAAGCTATCAGAGTAAATTATTCTTCATCATGTATTGTTATAATAAAGTACTTTAACAATTATATTTATTTTAGTCAACCCCTATAATGCGTAGAAGCATTGCATTTAACGGAGGGTATAATTATAATAATGACTATGATAATGCTTATGGAGGCTCTCAAGCTGGTATTGGAAGTTCTTGGGGCGGTAGTTCTGAGCGTCAATCTTTACCTCGAAATACGGTAAGATATCATAGGGTGACGAGAGACTTAATAAACCAGCTCATTGACACAATTTCAATAGATAATCAAATTTGTTCCTCAACAAGAAGCGTGGATTGTTGAACGCATGGGAAGATTTCATAGATTATTGGAACCTGGTTTAAATATTTTAGTTCCATTTATTGATCGCATTAAATATGTGAAGAGTTTAAAAGAAACAGCTATTGAAGTTCCTAGTCAAAGTGCGATTACTCATGGTACGGGAAATTTAGATTTTTTTTTTTATTTTTTATATTCTTTTTTATTTTTTTTATTTCCAAGCATTAATGTATTATAATGTTAGATAACGTTACGTTGGAATTAGATGGTGTTTTATATTTCAAATGCGTAGATCCATATAAGGTAATGAGAAATCTACTTTGAAAATAATGCATTTAATAAACTGATATGAGTAAAGGCTTCATATGGTGTTGAAGACGCAGAATTTGCTATTACACAACTAGCACAAACGACAATGCGTGCAGAAATTGGTCAAATGACTTTAGACCGAACACTGGCAGAACGTGCTCATTTAAACGCAAACATTGTTGATGCTATTAACTCTGCTGCTGAAGATTGGGGTATTCGTTGCTTACGTTATGAAATTCGTAAGGAGCGATTTAGATAATAAAAATATTTAGATACATTTACTAAAATAGCTGTCATGTTTATATAATAGGTGATATTCATCCACCTACAAAAGTGGTTGAATCTATGCATCAACAGGTTTCAGCAGAAAGAACAAAGAGAGCTCAAATTCTTGAATCTGAAGGTGCTAGACAAGCAGCTATTAATGTTGCTGAAGGTCGTAAGCAAGCAACCATTTTGGCATCCGAAGCAGAAAAAGCAGAGAAAATTAATATGGCTGCAGGTGAAGCTGAAGCCATCATTTTACGTGCCAAAGCTTCTGCAGAGGGAATTGAGAGAGTAGCTCGTGCGATCGCCATTAACCATGGTAATGATGCTGTATCAATGACTGTTGCAGAAAAATATGTGGAAGCGTTTGGTAGGATGGCCAAGGAAGGAACTACATTGATTGTACCTACAGCAGCAAATGATGCTGCATCTATGGTGACACAAGTAATAAAGATATATGCATACTTTAGATGTATAATTCATACTCACTTTATTTCTATCTAGGCATTGGCAATTTACAATACAATTAATAATAAGAAGAGTTCCGTTAACAACATACCAACACCTTCTCTTTCAATGAATGAGAGCATAACAGAAAAAGGAGAAAAGGTTATAAATACTATGGAAAACAATAATCAGAAAAAATAGATAATAAACAATCTAATTTTCAAAAAAAAACAAGTAAAATATGTTCGTAGAAGAAAGAAACATTAAGCTTCATACATGTGTCACATAATGATAAAATATTGATGTAGTATGGATACTTGATGGTTATTCTTTTATAATATTCTTACAGTTCTTTCTTAAAAAAGAAAGAAAGACTATTTAAGCATGTAGTGTATTTAAATACATTATAAAAAGAAATATATAAGAGTTACTTGTTATGAGTTAATCCTTTAAGTAATTAGTTACCAGGAGATAAAACTTGATTATAGTAAGTGTGAAGAGTATTTACGACAGGGAAAGTGTTTCGAGAAAACAAGTTGCTAGGAAGAAACTGAAAAAAAAAGAGTGGTAGCTTTCATTACCACAAAGTAATTATAAGGAAATTAAATTGTATATTTTATTATTATTTCCTGCAATTTTATCAAAAGATGACACTTTGGATATAAATATATGAAACAATGGGCCATCAAAACTTATTATGAATAACATACAACTCATATATTATATTTCTGTTGCAGTAACTGTAAAATTGTCTGTTTGTCTGTCTGTCGGCCCCCCCTTTTTTTAACACATGCTATATAAGCAGCTTTAATCAATAACTAATACTAGAGTAAAGAAAGACGGTCTGTCTACTTTTATGGTCTACAAATGGGATACAAAGCACGAGAATATATTTACAGATCTAATCAGTATTCATGTAAATATCATAGTGAGAAATATAATTGATTTTCTTTATTTCTCTTGGAATTATATTTGTATATTTTGAGAATATTATATATTTTATTATTTGACATTGATACATTCTTCCACTTTGGTTTATTGTAATTGGCCGGCGGCAGGTGCCAACAAACATAAACTAGCCATTCATACTCATAAAAATAACCATGTTATATTAACAAATTATTTAATGGTCTAATTGTTCTGGAGAAAAGGTAAGATAAAGGTAAAAAGTTTTTACGTAAACAAATAAGTGAAGATATACTAAAATAGAATTTCGGATTTTAATTATATTTGTTATGTATTCACTTAATAAATCAAATCCTTTCTTAGTAGAAAAATAAAATAAAATGTGGGGTAAGGAAAAAAAAAAAAGGGTGCAGCAACTTAAAATTATTTGAAATAATGAACGGGTATTAATATAAATTTTAACTATTGTAATTTGTGTCATTTTTAACTCTATAGAAGATAAGCCTAATAATCTCAGGAAATGTTACTTTATATCTTTCATTTTTTAACGCGTTTTTATATAATTGCTGACTTAAAAATAGTAATATGACTCAATACACGTATTCATTAACACGGTCACAGTTGAGTTAGTTTATTACCTTAATTGGAATCACATATTGCTACTATCATATTTTAGACTATATTGATTTATTCTAACAATTTACGCTAAATAGAATTAGAAATACTCCTGGTAAAACATATTTCATACTGTGGTCGTTTTTCTCCTTTTCTTAATCATAATAAAAAAGAGTGGGTTTTTATTTTATTTTATTTTTGTATTTCTTTTTATAAATCCAGCCCGAGCAAATTTGATATATTAAATAAAACCTAGTACTCATTGAGTCTTTCGAATTTATTCATTATTTTAAACGTACTACAATGTATTAAACATTCCCCGCTATTTAATAAACTTTCTGCACAATTTTTAAATTGCGGGTAATAATCAACCAAACTTTTTTCTTTAGTCATTTGTTTTATAGGTAAGTAGTGAGTATTCGGAGTTTGACCTAAAAAAAAAACATTCGTATCATTTCACTTTCTTTTATTTGTCCCAGAATAATATTTCTTTCTTTTTCTCTTTTACTGCTGCATTTTCTTTCTTTCTTTTTTTATTACTTATAATATAAAATGCTTAGATCATTTTTAAAGTCAACAAAGAATAAGAATCTAAATTTAAATCAATGTAGGTCTCAGTCCATTTCAACAAAACCTGGTAAGGAAAAGAGGATAGCAAAATAAGATTATGTAATGAAATTAATTTAATTCCTCACCTCTTTCTCTCTCTCTCTGAATTAATAATAGGTAAAGTCTTAACAATGAAAACTATTCATCCTCTAGTTAAGAATGTAGAATACGCCGTTCGTGGTGCTTTACCTATTCGTGCTGAAGCTTTAAGTGAGGTATTATAATATATTTGATCACAAAACATAATGTGTTCCAGGGAACTTAGATTTATATATGTAGAAACTAAGAAAAGATCCTTCTAAACTAAACTTTGATAAAGTTATTTTCTGTAATATTGGGAATCCACAGCAATTAAATCAAAAGCCTATTACGTTCTTCAGACAGGTAATAATTGTGAAAACAGTAAAAAGAAAAAAAAAAGAAAAAAAAAGAGAAATATAGTAAAGAGAATCAGAAATTAAATAATGTTCTTAAATAGGTTGCATCTCTTTGTGAGAATCCAGATTTATTAAAAGCAGAAAATAGATTACTTGTTTCAAAATTATACCCAGCTGATGCTATTGCACGCGCAGAAGTTCTTTTAAAACATATTGGTAGTGTGGGCGCTTATTCTCATTCAAAAGGCATCGCTCATATTCGTGAAAATGTTGCAAAATTTATTGAACAGCGTGATGGTTATCCTTCAAACCCAGATGATATTTTCTTGACACAGGGCGCATCAGAAGGTGTTCAGAGAGTGATTCATCTTTTAACACAAGATAAGCAGGTAGGAATCATGATTCCTATTCCACAATACCCTCTTTATTCTGCCACTGTTTCTTTAGTAGACGCTGCACCTGTACCTTATTATCTTAATGAAAAGGAAGATTGGGGTCTAGATCGTGATGATCTTGAAAAGTCTTTAGAAGAAGCTCAAAAAAAGGATATAAATGTTCGTGCTCTTGTTATTATTAATCCTGGTAATCCAACAGGTCAATGTCTTTCAGAAGAAAATATTCGTGAAATTATTCGTTTTTGTCATGAAAAGCGTATTGTATTATTAGCAGATGAGGTATACCAAAGTAATATCTACCAACCTCAACATCGTCCTTTCCATAGTTTTAAAAAGGTACTCAGGTCTATGGGTCCTGAATATCAGGATCAAGAGCTTTTCTCATTTCATTCAACTTCAAAGGGTATGATTGGTGAATGTGGTCGACGTGGGGGTTACTTTGAATGCGTTAATATTGATACGGAAGTAATGGATCAACTCTATAAAATTGCTTCTATTTCATTATGTCCTAATGTACATGGTCAGATTATGGTAGATCTCATGACAAATCCTCCTGTTGAAGGTGACCCTTCATATCCCCAGTATAAGGCCGAAATCGAAGCTATTTATCAATCACTTACACGTAGAGCCGAAAAGCTTGCTAAATGCTTTAATAATCTAGAAGGTGTAACTTGTAATGATGCTGAAGGAGCTATGTATTTATTCCCTAGAATTAGATTGTCTAAAAAAGCAATCAAGGCTGCTGAGGATGCAGGTATGACTCCTGATAGTTTCTATTCTATGGCTATGTTGGATACTACAGGTGTTTGCGTAGTCCCAGGTTCTGGATTTGGCCAAGAACCTGGAACATATCATTTCCGATCTACTTTCCTTCCTGAAGAAAACCTTTTTGAAGACTTTTGTCATAGTCTTAAACAATTCCACAGTAATTTTATGGATAAATATAGAGATTAAACACGATAAATACTTTTAACTTATCCTCTTTACTATATACATATATGTATATGTATTTATATATGTGGTATGTAATATTCTTATATTAAATACCATGTATTTTATTTATTTTCCTTTTTATAATAAAGCCATAATTTGTATTATTATTTTTTTTTATGCCGATTTAAAGGTAACAATCTTCTTCTCCTTGAACAAATTGTAAATTGTGACTGTTTTCATGGGAGAAAGGCAAAAAGTGCAACAACGCGCAGACTGATATCCGCGTAAAGTAATTTGAACGCGCTAAACCTTTATTTTTTTTTTTCATTTTTCATTTTTGCTTTTTTTTTTATTAAAGTTTCTTAATTTACCATGCCGAGAGCAAAGAAAACCAACTTGGTAATTAAAGATGATATAACCCCCCCTTTTTTTTAAAAAAAAAGAAAAAAAAAAAAAAGAAAAGAAAACTGATTATATATTACTGTAGAATAATTCGTCCTCACAAAGATCTCTTCGTACTGCAACAGTACCTGATATGTTTATGAAACAAAAAAATGGTAATGATAATAAACAGGAACATCAATTATGCCTTCACTAATCTATTTAATTTAAAAAGCTGCAAATAAGAGAAGAATAATTCAACAGGATGAGTCTAGTGAAGAAGAAGATGAGTTAAATCCATCTGAAAATGAATCAGAGAGCGAATATGAGACGAGCACTCAACAGACTTCAAAAAAAGTTTCTCGCAGAAAGAGGGCTAATACTAAAAATGTTGCATCTAATATTGTTCTAAATACTAGCAGTCAATTATTAGAACAAGTTAGCCAAAATCTTACTCAAGCAAGTTTATATGGTTAAGTATTTGATTTAAATGTTGCAAAAAATTATGTAATAAGCTTCAAACTAATATACAAATATTTATAGATAAAGCATTAATACCTGAATGCAGTATAGATGAAGTTGTGGAAGGTTGGGTAAAGCAATATAAAGTCAGTCAAGCTGCTGCTTTAAAAGACTTGATCAATTTTGTCATTCGTGTAAGTTGACAATTTATTTTTTTATTTTATTTCTTAAAATAAAAACTAAACTCTCCCCCCCCTTTTTTTTATAAAAAAAATAAATAAATAAATAAAAATAGAGCTCTGGCTGCTCGATGGCAATAACATCTGAAGCTTTAGAACAAGATGATGGCTCATTTAATGCTCTCCAAGAACTCCAAGAGGAGTTAGCCAAGGTAAATGGTATTAACATATATAAATGTGAAAAAAGTTCAAGTTAATATTTATAAACATATACAGCTTCCCCACACAGAATACCCAATTGTTTCTAAATTAAAAGAATTCAAGACTTTGAGACGAAATTTACTGGTGTTTTTCCAAGAATTGATTGATCAATGCCAACATGACCTTATCTATGATGGTGTATTAATTGAAACTTTACAAAACTGGTTAACAACTATGTCAAGGTAAGCATTATTTTACGTATAATATTTTTACTTATTTAACTCTTTTCTATTAGCTCTACTTATCGTCCTTTTCGTCATACTGCAACTCTTATTGCTCTCAAAATTATAAATCAATTATGTGTTGTAGGAGAAAAAACAAGGGATGAGTTATCAATTGCCAATCGACAATTAAATGCAGAAAAGAAAAAGAGAACTCCAAATAGAGATAGAATGAATGGCTTGAAACAAAAATGTACAGTAGCTCAACGCAAATGCAAAGATCTGGAAGAGTACCTTACTGAGTTTTTTGAAAGTATCTTTGTTCATCGTTCACGTGATGTTGAATCTGTAATTCGTACAGAATGTTTCAAAGAGTTATGTAATTGGATGCAAAACTACCAAAGTTTTTTTGTAGACAATCTTTATCTTCGATTCTTTGGCTGGGCTTTTAATGATCAAAGTGCCAGTGTTCGTTCTGAAGCCATTAAATCAATTACTAAATTATACAAGATTGAAGATATTGCTAGTAAACTTTCAACTTTCACAAACCGTTTTAAGGGTCGTATTGAAGAAATGGCACTTCAAGATATCGATGTATCTGTTCGTGTCAATGCAATTCAATTGTGTAGTACCCTCTTCAAGTTGAAGATTAATATCTTGAGTAAAAAAGGCCATAGCCAATTATCAAGTATGATTGCCTCTGATGTACCTCGCGTTCGTAAATCTGCTGCACCTTTTGTTAAAGTCTTGATAGATACCAATATGATTGATCCATTACTCAAGGAAGTTACAAAATCTTTATCTGGAACCAATAAAGGGGGTCGTCGTTCTGGCACTTCTACTACTAATTCAGTCCCAGCTGTCAACAAATCGTGGGTTACGTTTAAAGCTATATCCTCATTCCTTGTTGAACAGTGTAGTAATATTATTGAAAAAGGAAATAATGAGGAAATGCAAGTAGACTTTGAGACCTTAACAAGTGCATTAGCTGAAAAGCGTAATTTTATTGTTAATAATATTGTTGAAGCTCTTTGGGAACAAATACCAGAATTACAAGATTATGAAGCTATGTCTGATTATCTACGTCGCGATCATTCTCAATCTCAACAACAACAATCTAAAGATAATGATGAGATGGATACTGGAGCTGATATTGAAGACTGCTATAGACTTTCTGAAGATGAAGAGACTATCTTGATTAATGTATTTGTTGCATGCATTCGTACAGCTATGAACAAGGGGCTTGATAAGAATTTACCCGAAAATAAAGATAGAAAGAAACTCGATGATGTGTTCTGGGAAGAGAACAAGAATGAACTTTCTCGTCATTTGGTACAAGTCTTGCCCAAGTTATTGTCTAAACATTTAGATGACAGCAACAGACTCACACAGCTTGTTACTCTTCCTAGCCTTATGAATCTTAATGTTTACTTGGAATTGCGTGCTGAAAAGGAATATGAAGATTTATTACAAATACTTGTTAGAGTCTATCTAGGTGCTATTTCGACTGATCTTTTAACTAACTGTGCCGATTCTTTGCAATATATGACTAAGAATACAAGTCTTTCAGAATTCAATCATATTCATTTAAGCGATTTGAAAGAAGCAGTTGTAAATCAAGTTAGAGAAGCTTGTAACGGCAAAGATCTGGTTACTTCTAATTATACACCTGCACTTATTCATTCAATTTCTGTTAGCATGCTTCGTTTAGCATGTTTAATCAACTTTTGTGATGCTACAACAGCAATGGATGATTTCCATGGTATGAGTATGAATACCATTGAGTATGTTGGTGCTCTTGTTGATCGTGCTGCTTTTGGCAATGAAAAGGAAAAGGATATTAGTTTATCAGCTATGACTGTTTTGTCTCGTTATATGATGTGGAAATGTCATGCGCTTTCAACTACAGCCAATACAAGTGATATAACCCCTTTTATTGAGCGTCGTCGTGATTGGGTTCTTGATAAATTTACCGAGCTTGTAAAAGGTGTTGATGTTAGCCCTCTACCTGAAGTTCGTATTGCAGCTTTTGGATATTTAGTTGACATGTACTGGTTATTCAATAGTGATATCTTTGATTCATTTGGTTTAACTCGCTTAAAGACAAGATGTCCTAATGATTTGCAAAAAGCTTGTGCTAATATTGTAACTGAGCAAGTCAAAAAAGTCAACTCTGCCCTTGAAGATTTTGATATCGATGATGAAGCATCTAAAAAGGTACTTACCTCTGAAAGAGATTTACTATACAAATTATTCACAAACTTTTCACGTGGTGTTCTTATAAATGTTTTTGATATGAGTTACGCTGTCCTTATCTTGGAACAATATGGGTTAAATAATACCGAATTAGATGATATTATCAAGGCTTTGATATCCGAATTCCAACTAGATTTGATTACAGGTGAAATTGCAGCAGATGGCATTTGTAGAGCTTATCTCGAAGCATTAAAGAATGTAAGTTTTTTTTTTCTTTTAAAATTAATACTGTTCTGTACTAAATACTCTATTAGTCTTTCAATGCAAATGTAACAGATTCAGGTCGTTCTACAGATAAGACAATGAAATTAGCTCGTCTCGAAGCAAACTCATTAAAGCAAGCAGATCAACAAGATCCTGTCAAGAAAGTTCCTCCTCAAGTAATTTGTGAACGTATTCATATTGATGGTATTTCATTTGCTCTTTCCAAAGCTGCTGATGCACATAAAAATAACAGATATGACGAACGAGATAACGCCCTCAAGTTTTTCAAAATACTTTCCATCTTTGGTAAAGAGCTTACTCGTGCAAGAGATATTGCAAGAATGTAAGTATTATGTATTTAAAACAGTGAATTTTTTTCTTTTCTAAGATTTGACTTTTTTTTTTTTTTTTTTTTTTTTTTTTTTTTTTTTTTTTTAATTCTATAATAGACACAATCATTTAGAAGATTGTTTACAACAAAATGGATTGGTCGTTGATGAAAATAATAAGGAATGGGAACACTATGTTGCTTATGTTCAATCAATTGACCAAGTATTAAAGAAGAAGGGCCTTAGATATGGTAAATAATAATATTCAAATACATATGTATTGTATTAACTCCCTTTTTCTCTTTGTATGTATAGATGCAACTAAGAGAGCAAATAATGCAGAAACACCAGCAGCACACGTATTTACTGATGTTAATTTAGAAGAAACAATGGAAGAAGCTGAAGAGGCTCCTGTACGAGAAACAAACAAGCGTGCATTAACGGAAGTAGATATGGATATGGATATTGATGATGAAATAGCTTCTAAGAGAAGACGTTAACATGTGTAAATACAAGGATAATACCATTGCTATATTGAAATTGAGCAAATATCTATAAGTTATTATCGCAATCGAACCATATATTATATATACGTATCTATGTATATGTGTATAAATTTCATTTATTACAAAACATTGGTAAATAATAATAATAAAAAAAATATCCCTATTTAATTATCCTTATTGAAAGGACGGCGGTAAACAGTGGTTGCTGCTGCTTGTGCTGTTGGAAATACTACAACGTACATTCATATATGTAATTAGCACTTTTATAAAATTTAAACTTTTTTTTTTTTTTTTTTTTTTTTTTTTTTTTTTTTTTGCATTACCCAACATATCGCAAATATTAACATGAGGTGGTCTTGAGGCGGTAAACACTACTAATTCAGCTGATATATTTAAATAATTGGTAATAAATAAATAAGTTAGCTTCAACCTATCTTTTAAACACGGCACATATACATATATACCTATATCTTGTCCAACTAAAGGGTCTAATCCTTTATAGACATTATCTGCTTTTTCTTTATCTCCTCTAAAACGAACGGTTGAAAACTCCGTATTAACAAGACCAGGGGAAACTTGACTAACGCGAATTGGAGTATCTATAAGCTCAAATAACAAGGAACGAGTAATTGCATCCACAGCATGTTTTGATCCTATTTACAAAATACAAATTATATATATATATATATATATATATATATCTTGATGAATGGGAACAAATGTATTATATTACCACAATAAATACTTCCTCCAGGATAACTTTCTTTTCCAGCAACGGAGCCGATGTTAATAATATGCCCTTTCTTATTTAGTTTCATTCCATGAAGAACAGCTTGAGTCATAAAGACAAGACCCTTCACGTTCGTTTCGAACATTGTATCAAATGAATCTTCAGTTACCTCAGAAAGGTGATCTAACCCAATAACTAAACCTGCATTGTTTACTAAAATATCAATGTCATCTTTTACGGCTAATCTTTGTACAGCATCGTCAATATTCTTCTTTTCTCGAATATTTAAAGGCATTGTATGTATTTTTATATTTGAATAAGATTGTGTAAGTTCATTTTTTAATTCTTCTAATCTTTCCAAACGTCGAGCTGCCAAAATCTTTGGAAAAAAAAAGAAGATATATGTGTATAGAATGAATATTCGTATGTAAACTGCTGATACTAATAATTTACCAGATTTGATCCTTGTTTTGCAAATTCTACAGCACACGCCTTACCAATACCAGAAGAAGCTCCAGTACTATATATTAATTGATGTACATGTGAATATATGTTATAGGAATAAGTTTATATACAACAACAACAACAAAATCTATTTCTCGAAAATAATAATAATAATAACTTACATGAGTACATTTTTACCCTTTAATCGAGCATGATAAAATCGTTTTTGTATAAAAGTTAGAGATTGTGTAAATATCATCAATATACTAAGCGGAATAACAGTAGGCAATATATGAAGTGGGAAAATTTCATACATATAAAAAGAAAATGCAGTAAACCTTATTTGAGGATGAATAATGACTGCTATTTGGTAAGTAAATAAATTTGGGTCAGATCATAATCAATGACAAAAAAAAAAGAAAAAAATAACCTAAAAACCTCTTTTTAGGAGCAAGGGTAGGGTAAAAAAAAAAAAAAAAAAAAGAAGTTAAAAACGGAACAAAGTATAGTTATAACACTATTATTGAGAGGAGAGCTAACTGGGGCATTGTTGACCATGCTGTGATGGCAGTGAAGGTGAGTTTCTGTTGTGGTGAAAAAAAAATAATTAAATGTGTAAAAGATTTAACAAATAACTGACCAACAGACAAACCAAGGGAAGGTACAAAAAATATACACAGTTATTTTGTAGGAAGCTTATTCAAGAAAGGTGATTCTCAATGGTCTAAGGCATTAAAAATAGATAGTGTATTTAGAGACAGTAAATGGTATGCTGCTTTGTCAAAAGTAGTGTACTGTGCTTTGGGCAATAAGATCAATTTACCACTAGACAGTCACTCAAGTCGTCAACAAATCGATCTATTACATTTAATAAAGGTCATAGGAAGCTAAAGGATAGGATCGAATGATATAAACGATCCACATTGAATTATTAGTTTTGATTCGTTAAAAGTGTCTAAATCGTGTTACTGATAGAATTTATTTTATTGTTTAAATTCTTCAGGTGTTAAGGAATGCATTTCAATTTGACAGCTTCTGTACCTTATTTACCTTATCCTAAACTATAAAAAAAGCAATTGATAAAAAATGTCTAAAGAATTATGAGTTTGCAGGCATGTAAATAAACTGCAAGTCTCGTAATATACCAAAAAAAAAAATGAAAGGGATAACAACTTTGCTAAATACAAACCAAAAGCGCTCATGATTGTAAAGATTTGGCCCAACTGAAGGCTTGAAATGTGGTGCTACCGGTCTTTTCTATAAAGCTTTGGAGAAAGAAGAGAAGAATGGTAATTTTATGGTTGTCACTATTGATAGGTAAATGCCTTTGCATTTCTGCTGTAGATAATGTATGACTAGAACTTTGGGTAAAGTAAGCAGCCTTCTTAGTCATATTGTTTTCGTTTAAAAGACATGTCGAACACTTTGGCAGAGGGATATTAACGCCTCGTTAAATATAATGAAGATTGCTCAATCAGTATGGAAAAGTAATAGTCTCCCATTACCTTTTAAAAGAGGCTTAAACAAAAAAACCAATAAACGCCGTAATGAACAAGATTTGTCCCAACAGGCTCAAGATTTTTACAGGTAAATCGTCAAAAAGTTATTAGGTAAGCATTAGCATAATTCGTCTCATTTTTTCATTGGCCTAAAAAATATCCCATTTATCTCATCTGAATTTTAAATACTATAATGTCATGTGAAAAAAAAAAAAAAAAAAGATTTTATACAGCAATAAGCATTATTCATACTATTTATTTTTTATCCCCACATATACACATCGCTTTTTTATTTCTTTTTCTTTTTATTTCTTTTTTTTTTTTTTAAAAAAAAGTATAATTCATATATATTCATACATACTTAAATAGAATTCGTATTTTTAACTAGTCAAAGAAGAAAAAAGAAAACAATGCGCGAAGATCTTATTTCATCTGCTGTTTCTTTTTTGTCTGATCCCAAAGTACAGTCAGCTCCTTTAGCAAAGAAAATTTCCTTTTTGGAATCAAAAGGAATGACGTCGGATGAAATTGAAGAGGCAATGGCACGTTCGAATGGAAAGTCTACTAGCGCAATCTCTGCTACAACAGCAAATACAAATATACCTCAGGGCGGTATGATGGTGCAGCAACAACCTGGTATGGCCCTTCAACATGTGCCTCCACCTATTCCTCCTAGGTTAGGATATGATTGGAGAGATATTTTTATTGCTGCTGTATTAGCCGGTGGTGTAGGTTATGGTGTATGGACTTTAGCAAAGGTAATTGAACAATATAAAAGAAAGGGTATAGAATACTTAAAAAGCAGAATTATAATAGCGTCTTTTTGGTCCATGGTTTAAAGTTCCTACACAAAAAGAATTAGAAGAAGATAAAGAAAAATTAGATGCCCAATTCCAAGCAGGTATAAAATAGATTCAATGAATACTGTTAAAGATAATTATTATCTAACACTAAATAATAGTGGAAGATTCATTGAAAGAAATCAAAGATCAAACAAACACAGCACTTACAACTGTAACATCACAAGCCAAAAAAGTTGATGACTCTCTTGCCAATCTTGAAACTGTCCTTAAAGAACTTAAAGAAGGTGATGAAAAGAGAGATGATGAGTTTACAAATGTCAAACGTGATATTGATGCATTAAAGGAGTTAGTCCCAAAGGTAGGAATTGGAATGTAATATTTGTAAATACTTTTATTAATGTCAAATATAGGCTTTAGAACGTAATAAGGAATCACAAAATGCTGTTTTGGTAGATCTTCAGAATGAAATGAAATCCCTAAAATCACTTTTAGTAAGTCGTCGTACTGCAACATCTACTGTACTCGATCAAATATCAAGCGCACCTACTTCACCTGCTCTTAGTAATACGCCTGTTGGTATTTCTTCGCCTATTGATGGACTATCTTCTCGTCTTGCTGCAACAATTAATAGTAGTGGTACTCGTGCAGGAATTCCTGCCTGGCAAATGGCTAACAATTCTATAAACGACAATAAAACCTCTGATCCTAACGATAAGGAATCTATAGTAACTACTACTAATACTACTACAACGAAATCTGAAGCCTCTGGGTCTTCATCAACAAATTAAATGTGCTTAATCATTACATAAAAGTAAATCCTTTAATGCTTTCTTGTATACATATACATATACATATAATGTATTATTATTTTGTATTATTATCTCGATATAATACTATATTTATATACATATTTCCTTCTTTTATCATTACTTATTTTATTATATAGAAATCTTACTAGTAATATTTATAACCGTATTTACTTTATATGTTTATATAAAATAGGCTTTATTTATAATAGTATTAAATACGACTTTCCATCTGTACCATTTAATAACTACTTTCAATGATATTTAATATCCCATTATGAGTTATAGTAATACTCTTAACAGAACCTCAATATGATTATAATTTACTGTGTTAATATCAAAGCTTTTAATTTATAATTATCTTGGCTGTCTGCGCATTAATTTACTATAATTATTACTTTTAGTAACAAATAGCTCAAATAAGCACGAGGTATTGAACGATTTAAAACTGCTACTCTAATAGATTAACAAATAAGACTGGATAATGATATTCGTTATGTTTGTCAAAAAACGCAATAGATCTAACTCCTTTACCTGGGGTAGTGGCTTAGAGGTTCGTAGCTTCATTATTTATTTATTTTTTTTTTTTTTTTTAAAAAAATACATATTGCAACTATTTTATTCTTCTTTCAAATAGATATAATAATGGAGAAAGACCCTTCAACTACCTCAGAACAAATCAAGAAGCCTAGAAAACGTTTTGTTGGTCGTGCTAAGAAAAATGCCAACATAGCAAATAACGAGGCTGGCGCTATTGAAGATGGCGCTGTGGGTTTTGCAAGTAAAATTTAACAAATTCCTATTTATTTTATTTTTTCCTTATTTTGAAATTATTCATTATAGGAGCACCAAGAGCACGTAGTGGTCGAGTTGCTAATCAAGTGCCTGATGAGATTTTGAATGATCCTTTACTAAATAAAGCAATTGAAGCAGTAAGAATTATATTTGTTTTGACAGGAGTTTATAAATTTTATGCAAATTGATTATTAATCATTCAACTAGATCCCTTCAAATTACAACTTTGAAATCCATAAAACTGTTTGGAGAGTAAGAAAGTCTAATGCTAAACGAGGTAACATATATGCAAATATTCTGTTATTTTTTTTTTTTTTTTTTTTTTTTTTTTGTTTAGCTAATGTGCGTTTCATTGTTAGTTGCTCTTCAGTTACCAGAAGGTCTTTTAATGTTTGCTTGTCTAATTGCAGATATTCTTGAAGTGTAAGTCTTATTTTATAGAAGCTTTAGATTTAAAATAATACATATATATATATTTACAGTCTTACAATAATAGCTTTTGTAATGCTGAAACTTTAATTATGGGAGATGTCACATATGGCGCTTGTTGTGTTGACGATTATACAGCTCGAGCTCTTGGATGTGATTTCTTAGTTCATTATGGTCATAGTTGTTTAGTGCCAGTTGATGTAACTACTATTGAAACACTATACGTATTTGTGGATATTGGAATTGATACGCAACACTTTATTAATACAGTAAAGAAAAATTTTGAAAAAGGAAAAAGACTTTGTTTAGTGGGTACAATTCAATTTGCAGCTGCTTTACAAGCATCTAAGGTACCTTTAGAAGAAGATTTTTCAGTTATTATTCCACAATCGAAGCCATTATCACCAGGTGAAATTTTGGGATGTACATCACCCAAGCTAACAGATGTTGATTATATTGTATGTATTGGTGATGGTCGATTTCATTTAGAATCTATTATGATTCATAATCCTGACATACCAGCTTTCCAGTTAGTATAAAGTACATCTATTAGCATATAATAGGTCATTCTAATATATGTATATATTCTCTGAATAATTTTTGTAGATATAATCCTTATGGTAAAACATTTACTAGAGAAAGATATGATCATAACGAAATGCACTCACTTCGCAAGCATGCTATTTCACAAGCAAAAGAAGCCAAGAAATATGGTCTTGTATTGGGAACGCTAGGCCGACAGGGTAAACCACAAATTTTAGAATATCTTGAACAAGCTATTAAAGAGCAAGGAAAAGATTCAGTTAATGTATTGTTATCTGAAATTTTTCCTGGTAAATTAGAACAATTCCAAGATGTGGATGCGTAAGTTTTTACTCAAAAGATTTTAAGCTGTAAGATGCTAACGATTTTTTTTTTATACAAGTTGGATTCAAATTGCATGTCCCAGACTTTCTATCGATTGGGGATATGCGTTCCCCAAACCTTTACTCACACCTTATGAAGCTTCTGTTGCACTTGGAAAAAGTACTTGGCAAGAAGTGTATCCTATGGATTTTTATGCTAATGATAGCTTAGGACCATGGACTCCTAATCATGGTAGAGGCGCACCACGAAAGAGAAGAACAGCATTATCACAAAATTAAAATGAAAGAAAAAAAAGTAATACAATTTGTATATATGTATTAAAATAAATAGAGACTATTTGTATAAAATTGTTATTTTGGATGTTGAGTATATTTATATAAGAGTATCTTAGATTAGAGAAGTATTAAAGAGGTGTTCAATTATGACCGAATCATATTTAATATCGTTAATGAAGTATGCAAACACATCTTTAGATCATGAAGAAGTATATATAAATAAGTTCAAATCCCTTCTTTTATACAATTTGTCCAAGCACTATTAATCCTCTGAATCCTTGATCAATTATTTGCTTCATTAATGTCATTACATTAAGATACAACCTTTGAGCTATACATCTGATGTTATCTATGGAATAGATGCTAAAACTCATTATCTCGTCCCAAGCCGAGCTTTCTTTATTTATACCAATAGTATAGTTTGCAGGACATTAGACATGAAATTAATCGCTATTTCTCTTACTATACTTATATTTAAACAAAGTAATCATGGCAATGCTGTTGATGTCTTTATAAGCCCCTCAAGTACATTGATAAACTGCTTATATATCTTTGATTACATTAGAAAGCAAAAGTCTTATTGAAATGACTCATATTACAGGACGCATAAGGAATACAAAATGCTTCCTCATAAAAATAATTTATTAGAAAATATCGTCTAGACTGTTAAAAATTGTTTGCCAAATATATTTGCTAGAATAATAATATGTATACATATACAAATATATATTTTGCTGGTATCAATGTATCTTATTCTAACAGCTTTAGTTTTACATTTTTATACATTTTAATAACTTTTGCTTTTATTTTCTTTCTTTTTTTAGTTGAATAGTTGTCTTTGACGTCGTAATGTCTTCTGATAATTCTTCATCAAATAAAGTATGTCCTGTATGATATATAGATGAAGCTTTCGTGATACTATTATTAGTATTAATGTTATATTTATTTGTATAATTTCCAGGAGCAGGTACACTACTTCGAGACCATGTTGTGGTAGAAGATTCCGGCTGATTATGTATGCTGTGTGTTTCCATTTGATTTTGTCTTAAACGTTGTCGTTGTGCTTCATGAGCATTTGTAATTTCATTTATACCGTATTCTAATTCTGTTAAAAAAGGTCTATTATAATAGCAGTTGACTAATGTTGAAACAGTTGTCGTGCTTCCTCTTCTATACTCGCATTCTTCTTCAATATCACTTTCTTCATCAACTTGACTTTGGAATAATAATTGTTCTGTTATGTCCGAATCGAATTTATTGTGTATGGTTTCATTCTTTGATAAGGAATTGGATTTTCGATTATTATCAATATCGCCCAGTTTGTTATAAATTCTGTCATCTTTTTCTCTAGTTCGATATGCGGATTTATCATTATTATTATTATTTTTTGCAGAGGAGAATACTTGATCAGCTACTGTAGTTACTTTATTATTAAATAAGGAAGATAATGAGTCTGTTGAAGATGATTGTCTCTTAATGTTAAACCATTTGTTCCATTGAATTAGCTCTATTTCTGTTTCTACTTGCATGATAACATTAAATAAACTATATCCATGAACCTTAAGCACATATTCATTAGGTCGAGCCATTAGAATACTTGATCCTGAGTAAGAAAAAACTTTCCCCTTCCTTAATTTTTCCTATGTTTGTTAAAGTTAATTTTATTCATCTATTTCCCAATAAGTAAATAGCTTACGGAATAAAAGCTAAAATAGGATATACTAGGCATTAATACAACTGATACCATTTCCCAAGGCGTTAAAAACGGGAAATATTTAAAGACATATTGAACTGATACTTTAGCCTAATAAGCAAATATTTATTTATATTAAGCCAATTTAATTTTGTAAATATGTATAAACATATAAATATATACATATATATGTATGTGTGTGTGTGTGCGTACTTACCTCGTGTATTTCTACTAATGCACCATTTATTCCTCCTATTTGAGTTAATTTGTTCAGTTTCATTTTTGAATTATCTATTATACTGCTAGAACTATAGAGCATATTGTTCAAACTTGTTAAATTTGTATTATTATTATTAAAATCAAAACAGGAGCGTGCCAAATAATTTCGAGTTTCACTACAGGTTGTTTCGTCATTACCATTATTAATTGCACCCATAGCATCATTACTAGCATCGTTTCTTTTTCTCCCGCTTAAGTCAGAGACTTTTCCAGAAAATTCTCCAATATCTTTTTTAGGCGACAAAAATGCATGCAATTTAGGTACAAATAAAGTTAATAGTGAAAAGGTAGTAGCCCAAACAATCATAGTTGCAGTTAAATAATGTCTTGTATAGTAATCTGAAGTTGGTGTAAAGAATATGATGAAGCCGATTAACACTGAAAAGAATATGTTACTATAGTAAGTATATATATATGTAAATATGATAATATGCTTGTTTAGTTTTATGTTTTAAAAACCATACTATACACATAAGCCTATTTGCTTATATTCGCTATATTTAGTGTAGCTTTTTCCTATTGCTCTGGTCTTAAATGCTAGGAATGTAGCGAAAAGTAGTTGAAGTGCTCCAAAAAGCGCTAATAATATAACAAAAACAGTATGATTAACTCCATCAAATGAACATTCGATATAATACGCGCTCCTTGAGACTGGTATATTAATAGTTGAAACTTGATTAGATGAAAACCATATTATTAAAATTGCCTATGATCGTTCATTATAAGAAAAAAAAATAAATAAATAAATATAGAAAACATACATATATATATATTCCTTACTGCTGTAATAGCAAATATTGATCCTGATACTTTTAATAGTTGCCTATCTGTTACAGCTGTTTTTGTTATAAAAATGTTATTAAATATGCGATATATTCGATAATTTTTTGCAATCAAATTTCTGTTGATAATTAAATGTCATTCATGTAAATCATTAAAAAATATATGCATATGATTACCCTAAAACAAGTGAATATCCTAAATGAAAAGATATAGGTATAATTGTACAATTAAGTTTTGTTCGGTGGCCAACATAGAAAAATAAAGATACATAAGATAGAAGGAACCCTATTAATTCGAGAACACAAAATAATGGGCTAAAAAAAAAAAAATATTATATAATGTATTCGTTTACTTGATAAAACTATATTCATCAAACCTTGAAGCTTTAAAAATATCTTGCTTTCTATAAACAAGAACTAGGATTATACTAGATAATGCAATACATGCCCCTAATGATGATATAGATAATATAGCGATTGTAACTGGTGCAGTATAACCAGGGTTTAATAATTGTCTATCAGGAACACCTGTAGGAATCTATACAGTACGATATATGCAAATGAAGAAAAAAAAATGAATAGGCTCTACTACATTACTTTTAAACAATAATATTTACTTTTGTAGTTCCATCATGATATATAGGTAATGATGTTAGATTCATTTTCCCAGTAATAATTCTTCCAATTTCAATTTGTGAACCATTTTGGATATTATATAATTTAAAGTTTCTATTAAAATAATTATGTAACTAAAAATACAAAAAATAAAATAAAATAAACTAAATCTATACCCTGAAGCAATATCACCATTTTGATCAAATACAACAGGTCCTTCGGGTCCAATAAACGAATTATTAAATGCAGATGGTGTCAAATACTGTCCATATTGCCCAGAGGCTAATTTCTTTAGCATTTCAATTGTATTCGATGTTTCTACTGAAGAATTATAAATCGCATTTTTGAACCCATTAGCCATAACCATGACACATGAATAAGCTAAAGCTTCATTACCACTAATATTTCTTTGTCCTCCATATGGATAACTAATAATATCAAAATACACACACACACACACACACACACAATATTAATACGTTTTCTTATGATATATTCATTTTCAACATCTTACATTGTAGGGTCTAAATGGGACCATCTGTCTAAAAAATCATCAAAAGGAGGATAGCCTGGCAATTCTTTTAGAGTGTCAAACATGAACACGCCTCCCGAAAATGTTGCATTAAAGTTTATTGGCCTCAAATCAGTCGTACTTCTTGCAGCATACTCTACTGGATCAATTAAATCAATAAGAGACTGCTTCTTTACTGCTCTACTTATCTTGGATGATTTTGATGCAAGTTCATCTATAAAGGATGTATTATATAATTCTGGAATTACATCTGTATTATTTGCTCTTCTTGCTAAGATCGAATTATAATCGTTAACAGCAGCAAATAGAGTATTTGTATCAGCCTCGATTGTAATCCAAATTGTGTTATCATTAATATAACCGCTATGTCCCGCTACTGTAAGTACAGCCAACTGAGCCACGCCTTCTGCTGCTATAAAAATAACACGAACACCTGTTGCCATTAATAAATCGAGCGATTTTTTGATATCACTTTTAGGCCCATTTTCATAAAATGACTGATATGATTTTACATGTATACCATTCAACCGAGCTGTCATCACAACATTTTCAGACACTATTATTCCAAAAAAAAAAAAAAAATGTCATTGATTATTACATAACGAACATATTTGCAAAAAAAAAAAAAAAAAAAAAAAAAAAAAAAAAAAAAAAAAAAAGTACATTGTTGACCAAAACCATCATTTGAATATAGTATGCCTAATTGCGGCCAACCTTGACTTATGATAAATGTTATTGCTGCATCTGAATATAATAAGTTAGTAGGTGCAGTTCTGAAGAAATATCCAAATTGTGATTTATCAGATAATGAAGCTAAAAAAAAAAAAAAAAAAAAAAAAAAAAAAAAAAAAAAAAAAAAAAAAAAAAAAAAAAAAAAAAAAAAAAAAAATTAATATAATCATCTATTTTATACCAATTTTTATTATATTCATACTTGCAATTGCTGAGAATGAGCATTGAGGAATTTGCAAAGTACTTGTCATTAAAGCTGATAATGAAGTCCAAGATGATGATATATCACCGATGACGCCCACAACGCCCTCCTGAATTAATGAAATTGCAGAGAAAACAGCTTGAGTAATAGCGGCCTGTCCTTCTACAGCCTTAGGATATGAATCCTTTTCTACCAATGTAATATACGCTCCAGGTATTATTTTTTGTGCATTAATTTCTGCCACAGCAAATCGAATTGCAGAAATACCACTATAATTTTTTTTTTTTTTTATATACTATGTTTGTAGGCTTAGATTCAAACATGAATATACCTTATAGTCATTACTCTCGTCCAACCATTATTATTTTGATGAAATGGAAGCAGAACTCCAAGTTTTAATTCAACTAAAGATTGATTGTTAATGACTGGACTAATAAATGTTGTTCCCTTTTGTCTTGAAACCGAAAAAGTGTAATTATTAAATTTATCATAGATAGGAAAAGGATCGAAATCATGTGTTTCAATATTATTTAAAATGGCTGTATCGTTCCATTTGCTGTAGCTTAAATGATTTAATTGTTGTAACGTTATTCCATTTTCCATATTAAAACTTCAAAGATATTAGTTGGATTTTGTTTTATTAAGAGAAAGACAATAAATTAATAAGGTAAAAAAAAAAAAAAAAAAAAAAAAAAGATATTGGTAATAAAGAAGCCCTAATTTAATGTATGATATTTGATGTATATCTCGAATTAAAATTATAAAAAGGAGATAAAATATAAATGGGAGAGAGTATGGAAACATAATAAAAAGGGAAACACTTAGACATTAGATAGTATTAACTATATGTAATGTAATTTGAATTTAGACATAAGGAGAAAAGAAAGAGAATATTTTACCGTTATTAAACTAATAAGTCATTTTTTGCTCATGTTAGATGAATACATAAAAAGAAAAATGGGGGTAACAAGATACTGAAATGGGGAGGCTTATGACAGGCAAGGAGGATGGAAAGGGGGTAAGTTGTTCTTTTTTATCTATAATGGATATAAAGTAAGCTTTCAATAGTCTATAAACTATCCTGTATAGAACATGACTGTTGTGATAAAGTTAGAAAAAGAAAAAAAGTGAATTTTTGTTAAAATCTTTCAGCATGTTCTGTTCTATAGCATAAATGTATAAATGTATATATTTATAGATATGTATTTTATACACTTACCTCAAAATAGTACCGCGCTCTGCATATTTTGTAAAAAAAAAAAAAAAAAAAAAAAAAAAAAAAAAAAAAAAAAAAAAACTTACACAGCAGCAAAGAGCTCTTTATTGGAATGAACCTATAGTGATAATAATGCATTTTCATCTGACACAGTAAGGCTATTCTTGACCTTTGATTTAAAAGAAGATATTGCTTTCTGCAAGAAAAATTAAATTATGTATTTCAAGCATGACAATGAATTACACTTTCTAGCACAAGATCAATATATGAACGTAAGTGTCCATCCAAAGCATAGACCTTTTCATCTCTGAGCTTTAGCTTTTTGTAGCTGACAAAATTATCTCTAGAGAGAGGAGGAAAAAAGGACGCGGTAGCATTTCTTTTTCACAACAGAAGGTGCTATGCTTTGCAGAACTATGCACGATTAGGAACAAGAAACGTGGCTCACATAATTCCAATTGTAAATATTGTTACTTATGTTTGTGGGTAGTATCATAAGCTAATTTATAATAACATATCTGATACTAAATAACACATACACACACACACATATATATATATATATATATATATATATATCCATATTTAGTACACAATCATTCGCTTTGATGTTCGCTAGATGGTCCTAACGAAAACAAAAACTATATAAATATCATCTACAAAAACAAACCGTCGAAAGTTAAAAAAAAACAGTTATTACATAAAATTGACAAGTTTGACGAAATTGTCTTATCTGCTATTCATAAGAAAATAAAAATATCACAAGAAGCTGCTCAAGACAAGCTCAATCAAATTCATTCAATTTTAACCGAAATATTTACTAGTAGTCAAGGATGTTAACCATATTACTAAAAATGATCCTCTTTATATTGATAACTACTCTGTTAAAAGAAAAAACTATAGGTGGAAGTTATGTATTGGTTAATGGTAGAGGAGCACTTTTACAAAGAGACATCCCTCCTTCCCATATTAAAATTATGTAGCTTGAGGTTAAGTTGACTAATATTGAAACTGAATCTTATAGTTGGAGCTGTAATTAAAACATGAAGATACTCCTAGTAATTACTTGTAGTAAGGCAGATGGAAAGGTTATGATGAAAGTGATAAAACTTGAAAGCCTACTAATAAGTTTCATAACTACATTCCTATAGGAAAATATAGACCACGCCGTAATAAACAAGAATCTACAAATGAAGCTAGTCTTGATAGATCTAGTAATAATAATAAAAGAAGATATCATCATAATAATGTTATTCACTATTCTAAAGGTATTAAAAATTAGACATTAGCATTCATCAATTATATATAATAATAAAAAAATCGCTAAGAAACTTCTAATATATTATTTAGACGATATGATATGAGCTATTCGGTCATATATTCCTAGGAATTCAACTACTTATGTCTACTATTCATTAAAGAAGAAGATACATAAATAAAACCAAATAATTGAATTGTAACCAACTTCTGCGTTATTAATACTGTATCAAAGACGACATGAATCCTTTATCAAGTTTATAAAAATAAATATTTAGGAATGATACAATGTTTTATAGTTGACACATTTAGATGATTGGATGTCAATAAGGTGTATATTATTTATAGGGTATTATATACAGTATAATATGATATCCTTTATTATGTTCAGGCTTATATTTTGTCCTGTATTGTATAATTCATCTTTTATAATATTAATTATGCTTATATTCAGAGCTTGTTCTATAACAAATCTCATAAAAAGATTCATATATACTATAACCCAAGCGATATAACAAAGTATATTATTTGATGTTCCAATATAGCTTATTTATAATAATAATAGTAAATGCTAATATTAAAAGAAGTAGTTTTTTTTTTTTTTTTTTTTTTTTTTCTGTTCATACAAATATATTATAAACTGTTCCATAATCCAACGATAAGGATTACAAAAAAAAAAAAAAAAAAAAAAAACGAAAGGAAGTCAAAGTAGTAGTAGTAATAGTAGTAGTGGTAGTGGTAGTGGTAGTAGGTAATACTAGTATTGTGTAGTGATCATTAACATTAGTAAGGACGTGTTGGTAGTAGTGTTGTAGTTGTAGATATAAATGGCGGTGGTGGTATAAATGGTGTGTTTATAGTAAACATAGCCCTATGTGTATCCTCTATTTCTGATGAAAGTAACACGGGTGTTTGGAGAGTGACTAGAATTCGCAGCATATTTAGCCCAAGCCTAGGCTGTGGAATCGAATCACTTCAAGGGTTCCCCACCAAATCAAATGAACCCTTAATTTTTTTAATTATTCTTGTTTTTTGTACTACACCAGCGACTCCTTTTTTTTTTTTACAGTAGTAGTAGCAGCAGCAACATGAATAATGATGTGTTATAGTTATATTCTACCAAGCAACGGTAGTAGATACAGGAAGAACAGTGTTATTCTTATTATGTGATACTATTATAGTCAGATCGTATATCAGAAACAACAATCTTTAAACGCTCCCCTCCCTTTTATATATATTATATGAATGTATATTATGTACCTTGGTATTATTATGGTCCTCAAGCCATAGAAAGAAAAATAGAGTGTCTAAAAAGCCTTATTTTATGTATATAAAGATACAAATGTATAGTTGCTATGTTTGATCATAATCACAAGTAAACATAATATAGACTCTTTTAATTGATTAGTAAGCTTCTCTAGTTAATATTATACATTATGTTATGGCTTACTTAGGAATAAAGACTTAAAAAAAAAAAACTCCACCAGGAATATTGTAATAACAATCAATATCACTCTATAAATTAGTGTAAAGAAGAATGTTCTTGATTACTTTAAAAAAGAAGATATTGATATATATAACAATTCTGTCACTGTAACAGTAATAAATGCAAGGATATTTCTTTTCTGAGAATATTCAACATTTTTTTTTTTTTTTTTTTTTTTTTTTTTTTTTTTTTTTTTTTTTTTACTTTATTTTACTGAAACGTTATCTAGATATTGTATAAACAAAATGAATAATCTTAACTCTTCCTTTATCTAATTTTACATTCAAAGCTAATATTTTGCCTCATCAAAAAAAAAAAGTTGAAATGGATTACCTAATAAATCCCTTGTTCTGTGTAATATATTATCTAATACTTGTCAATGTCTACGAACTTGAAGGCCAAAAAAGGTCAAGAATTATATTTCAAAAGCCGTAGATCATACAGGGAAAATAGCTCTAATGAAAAGACAGCAATAATATAAACATTATTGCTATGGATTATTATTATTTTTTTAAGGAAAAAATAGGCATCATCAGAACAAATTATTCTAATTGATATCTTCGTTACAAAAAAGAGATATTTATACTGTTCCTGAGCTAAAATGTAGCAACAGTAGAGATTTGAAAAAAAAAGATATTTTTGTTGTTGTTATAAAAATATATTTCCTCTTTTATATTTAGTATATAGTAACATGTTATATATCATTCTTCTTATCTCCCTTTTAGTCTTTATAAGAGTTCTTTACAGCTATTGTAATCATTGGAATAGAACCGATTTATTTTAATGTACGTTAAATAAAATAAATAATAATAATTATATTACAGCAAATCTAAAGTTTCTTGATCATGATATGATCTGTATCTTCTTGGGAACCTAATTTGAATGTATGGCTTCCCACTTTATAGAAACCTTGACGTGTATAAAAGTTAATAGCTGGAGGGTTATGCTTCCAAACACCTGATCACACCACATTATTTGTTTGCCTAATTGACGGGCTTTTTCAAGACTTGATGTCGTGAGCTGACTTATAATGTCATATTCCTTGATTAAACAAGCGGATCAAGGAATTCTATCTAGACTCCCCTGAAAAACTCTCTTGATCCACTCCATCAAATAATATTAAAACTTCTAACACTTCATTATCTTTAACATATCTTATTCGGTCGTAACTAACATTTTTCCTTATTCACATCTTATCTGAGACCTCTTTAACAATTCTTATAAATACCCATCAATTTAAATTCATAAATAAAATCATTGACTTTAGAACTATTGTTCGCTCTCCTTGACTTTCTTTTGTCTTTATATTATTTTTATTTTATAATATTTTTTTATTTGATATTTTACAATAAATATCACACTTTTATTATAAATGAAAGCATATATCGTTTTAACCTCTTGAATGTTCTATTGTAAAACAAGAAGTGCTATTTTACGAAACAATCTTCAAATGTCTAACGCTTTTGTATATGAAGAACTAAATATTGTTTGTAGTTAATAACTACTCTTATTATCAGTAAACATGAATTCACTATTCTATGAGTCTGTGTTACCTTCCATCAGCCATGGGAGGTACTATACAGACGGGGCGATTTTCAGTGCTATTCATAGCTCGGCCTAAAACAGGCTCCCCACATTTCCTGAAAAAAAAAGGGAAAAAAGAAAAAAAGAGGGAAATTAAACATGCGTACCTTTTATATCGTTTTATAATGAAATGTTACACGAGTGACTACTACTTGCATCTTTAATATTATAAATGAATAATACACGTAAACATATTCTAATATTTTATTTTATATGTTTTATTAGATAGATTTTCGACTTTGTTTTGAAATAGATGAATGATATGATTTTGACAAAAATGTAAATGAAACAATAAGATTTGCTAAGAATAAAGAAGACCTTCTTAAATTTAAAGATTTAGATGTTTATAGCGCTTATTTGATGACAAAAAAATTAATTGTAGAATGAAATGCTATATTTCAATACTTTATTCTTTACGATGCTGATATGAGCAACAGGAAAAGAGAATTCTGAGTAATTATAAAAACAAGTAAAGGTTTGCCTTATAATAATAAACCTAAGTTGTACAGTTATCATCTAATCATAAACCTGATTCGACTAAGTTCGTTTGAATGTCTCCCTATATATACTGCTACCTTCAGCTATCTCTCCATATTAAAAACTCGTACATATTAAACGAGTTTTCTAGTATAAATACAAAGGTCTCTAAAGCTGTCTCTTTATAGATTTTCCCATTGATTTACTGTATATGTTATAATACATAAAAAATAAACTGTTTACTTTGTGCATTCACTCATTCTTTAATTACCCCTGAAGCCCAATTGTTGAAATAGTTATTTTCATAGTAACGTTAATAAATTTATACCCTTTTGCAGTTTGTTTATACATTTGCATTTTTTTTTTTAATTTTGATCCTAAAGGGACCCATTTTCTTCTTATTGATTTAACTCGGGTAATTATGATGTATCTAGTATTTTAAAATTAAATAAGTGTATTTATACTACATGATGACACATAGATATACATGCACACATATAAATATTATGTAATATAAACTGAAATGATTAGCATTGAGAGAAAATTTTATAGTAACTATTTATTCCTCCATTTTATCTTCATTTACAACAGCATTTTCTTGTGTAAATGAGGAGGATTGGGTTATTATATTTGTTTGTGGAGAAGAACTTGCCAATGATGTAGTGGAAACATCATTATTAGCATTAATATCATTAGCTGCGGTTTCAGCATTCGTATTCAAGTTATTAACATCAGAGGTGGTCGTTAAAGTATGTTCCACAGATGTGGATCCAGCAGAAGTAGTAGAAGGTGAAGAAATAGGGTGAGATGATGAGCTTATTTCAGCCGTATTATTTGTAACAGAAGGCTTGCTATTATCGGTTGTAGCAAAATTCTCTTCATTTACTTCAAGTGTACTATCCTGATGTTCTTCTACTACTTGTTGACGAGGATTATAAATAGAATTAGCCATCTCCCAAACTTGTACAATATTATCATCAGCAGTACTAGCTAAAACCCAAGGTTCAACTGGATTCCATCCAAAATCAGATATTTTATTTGTATGTCCACCATGCATAAACTAATAACATGTTAGTTTCTATATTTGTGTGTAATATAATTTATCTTTACCAAAAGTTCAGGAGGTCCATCTTCTGCTTCTTCAGGGAGTTGTGGGGCATCAATTCTAGAAAGGTCCCAAACAAGTATCCTTCTATCACTACTGGCAGTTGCTAAAATAGAGTCATGGTGTGGTGACCAAGATAATTGAAGAATTTCTGATTGATGAGCTCTCAACGTATGTAAAGATGATTTAAGGTTACGTAAGTCCCATAATGCTGCAGTCTACATGATATTCTTTGTTAAATCTATGAAATTATATAGATATATTTTTTTTATACAATAATTACCTTATCCCCTGAACCAGTAGCAAGTACCCATTCACTACCAGAGGCGAAAGATACACAATTAACTTCAGCTTCATGTGCACGAATATTGTGAATAGGCTTGCTTGAATCATTTCGTGTGTCCCAGCTTTATAAATATGTATATACATGTCAATATTTTCTTTATATGTATGTATATATAAAATAACTTACATCATTAATCTGGCATCATCACCTACTGAAGCAAATATGGAATCAAATTTAGTATGCCAAGCGACATCCTATCATTATATTTGAGTAAATATATAATATAAATAATCATAATATACCTCAACTCCAGATGTATGTGCTGTGTAAATACGAATAGGCTCTAGTATATTGTTCTCTTTGACTGTTCCTGCAACATCCCATTGACAAATCTTGAAATCAAAACCAGCACTTAATAAGTGACTTGACTTTTGTTTATGAGGATTCCAAGCCAAACCATAACTATAAAAATAATCAGTGATCATAGATTTATATTGTTATCTTTTTTTTTTTTTTTTTTTTTTTTTTTTTTTTTTTTTTTTTTTTTTTTTTTTTTTTTTACCCCTCCTTATCATGACCAGTTAATCTTAACGTAGGATTAAATTTTTCATTTTCTTTAGGAAAGGGATCATAAGTAGCACGATCAAAAATATAAACATCACCCGTACATGACTTGGTTGCAATTAAATCAGGATTGTCAACTTTATAACGTGCACGATTAACTTCTCCATCATGAGGTATTTTTTGAGTTATCTTTATAAAGGTTTCATTGTCTTCTTTATCGTCTTCATTAAAAGAAAAAAACAAATAAACAAATAAATACGTATTTTATATAATAAATATAAAATAAACCTACCTCCGTTTGCATCTTCCATGGTTACGTCTTCATAATTATTGCTGTTTTTTTCATCATTATTATGTCCTTTTGGGATTTTGACGGAAGCAATTTGTAAAAAATTAGGCTCGTTGTCATTAGTATGTGTGCCTAATAACAATCGTTGTATTTTATAATTTTTGCCTGGTACACTAATATAGGCATGTATTCATGTTAGCGAATCTAATGAATTTGCACACACACACACACACATATATATATATATGTATCTTTTATATCCTTACTCTTCCACATCAGGAAACCATTGACAAGTTAAACTTGGCCATTCAAGCGCGTGTGTGACAACAAGATCATAAAGAAAAGGTGAATTCTTTTTCCACATTTTATATTCTTCATTTATGATTTTTTCATTTTCCTCTTCCGTCCGATTATTTTCAAGCTCTATGAGAATGATATATAATTAATTTCATCTTTGAAAATTTGTATGGTAAGTCTATCATACCGTAATTCATATTGCTTAAACTTTATTTTAGAAAAAGGAAGAAAAGAAAATTTAACCTAAACTGTGAAAATGTTAATGAGCGAATCCTTCTTGAAACGGAATTTTAAAAATTGAACTGCTTTTTCGTTCCTCCAAGTCACAAACATTCATCCTCTTCTTTCGTTGCGCGCGTAAAATTTTAAGAAAAAAAAAAAGAAGTTTGATTAGTCGCGCCCCTCCTTTTTTTTTTTTTTCCAAAAAATAGCTTCAATAACATACACAATGATTTCAACTAAACGTAGAATATCAGATGTTATAGATGTAGAAAATGTCAGTAATAATAATAATAAAATTCTCAAAACTGAGTCAAAAAATGACATACCCTCACTTGATGTCCGTTTAGAACAAGTGTTTAACAACATGAGATTAAGAAGAATTGTCAAGGAGAATCATGGTTGCGATATTAATCAACTTTCTTTCTTTTTTAACAATAAAAACTTTACAGCTCCTTTTAGTTTGGAGCATAATAAGACATTTGATAAGCGTGGTTCTGTTCAACGTGATAGCACAGATACAAGTAATATATTAGCTACAGTAGGTGGTTGTGAGGTAAATTATATATATAAAGGAATGAAAAAAAAATGGGTATATAAAACTTTAATTCCTTTTTTTTTTTTTAGTTAAGTGTATATGATAATGAACATTGTGGTGATCATTTGGATATTATGTCAAATTTTGATATTACACCATCGGAAGAGAGTAAAGAACCAAAGAATAAACACCAGTTAGAAACCTTTTGTTGGTTATATAAGGAAGGTGATGCTTTATTAGCAACTGCAGGAGCTGATGGCATTATTCATATTCTCAGTCTAGCTCATTCCGAAGAAATTAAGCAATTAGAAGGACATACAAGTAAATGGGGGAGGGGTTTTATATAACTTTTGTTAATATTTATTTTCTAATTATTTTCCATCATTAGAATTAATTTATGATTTACAGTCCCATCCTCAAAACGATCATATTATCTTATCCACTTCTAAAGATGGTACTATTCGACTATGGGATGTAGATAGTGGTAAATGCCTTGTTATCTTTGAAGTGGATGCTACTGTTTCTGTAAGATAAAGAGACAGCTTATAGAATTATATATTTAATGCGTTATTTTCTTTTTTATTAGTGTTTCCACCCATCAGGCACCAAATTTATTTCAGGTAACTCTCGTGGTGAGCTTCGAGTCTGGGATATTCCATCTATCGTAAGCTTAATGGATGATGAGCCAATAACAGTCGAAAAGAGTCATTCACGACTTTTAAAAAAGTTCCATAGCGATAGTTATATTGGTAATGAAAAAAAAAATAAAAGACAAAAAATAATGATATTGGACTAAAGAAGTATAATGTGTAGATTGTATTCGATTTGTAAATAATAATGTATTATCAAAATCAACTAATGGCAGAATGGAATATTGGGAATTAGATACAGAAAAATCAATCCGATCTTTTAGAATTCGATCAGGCGAAAATTATTGTAGATTTGATGTGAGTTTGGACGAACTTTTCTTTTGTGTTGGATCAAGCCAAGGGTCTATTTATATTTATAATTTACAAACTGGTAAAATGGTAGCTGAATTAGGTCACAGAAGATCTACAAAAGCAGTCCGATGTTGTGTCTTCTCTCGTGATTGTCGGTAAATATTATTTAGGCCCATGTTCGTTTATATAATAATTGATTTGTGTTATTTTTATTTAATTTATTAGCCAAGTTATAGCTGCTGGTGAAGATGGTTTCATTATAAGATACGATTATGTGGATGACGAAACGCTTAAAGAGTGGGCAAATCATAAAATGAATTAAAGCTAAATGGTTATGTATGTAAGACAAGAAGAAGTACTCGTTTTAATTTATTCATCAGCTTAATAGTAAATAAATGATCAGTAGTCTTTTTTTTTTTTTTGTACAGAGTTGTTGGTATATTATTATTACATTACGCCCGATATTATTTGTATTTATTATCTGTAGAAGGATAAAATATATATCCATGAATGTTAAATAATTACAAAAATTAAGCATATATTTACTTTGTAATCAAAAGAAAAAAAAACTATTCAAACTTAAGAAACAATACATATTAAATCATTAAGGTGTGCAGTTGAAAAAAAAAAGAAAGGATTTCTACGTATGCTTGTGTATAGATGAAGGATTTTAAAAATCCCAAAGCATGTTTTTAATCTGTTCATATTAAATTTTACCAGAGTATTTGAAAAAGTTTTTTGTTTTTTTTCTTTTTTCGAGCTGTAAATCTGATAACTATACAATACATAAATTTCTTTACTTTAATAAACAAATATGGAAACCAATTATAAACACAAATACTTGGAATTTAAAGAAAGAAATGAGCAGCAATTACTAGAAATAAGAAAAATTGGTATATAATAGAATACAAGAGTTAATATGGATAGCTTAATGATTTTAATTAATCTTTTCTTTTTTGTCGCTTTAGAATCGCAAATCGCTAAAGTGCAACATCAAATTGACAGTAAACGAAAATCGATATTAAGGATAAAAGAAACTGAGTCTTATTACGGCAAACTGTTACATGAACATAAAATAAAGTATCAAAAGAAAACTATTAATAAAGAAATAACGTCAGATCTTGCTACAGTAGAGGAACCTGTTTTTTATACAGGTAAACGTGATCTCCTTCAGGTTTTATCAGCTACACCTGAGGTAATCCTTAAAAAGATAATAGCTTTGATTGAACAACAATACAGTACACAAAATTTAGCCTCTTCAGAAGAAATTACTCAGATCAAAATTCTTCTTGATCGATTATCTGATGAGCATAGCACATTTTGGAACAAATATATTGATGAATGGATCAAAGAAATGAAAGAAGTTACTGTAATTGATAAAGACGAAATCAAAAATATGGTTTATAGCCCTGAGCAGCAACAAGAACGACAAAAGATTTTAAGATACTTTTCAGAACAATTGAAAAGAATACAAGAACTCTCAAAAAGAAAAAAGAATTGGAGCTTGAAACAAGAGAGGCAGAAATGAATATTGTTCGACGTATTAAAGAACTTCATTCAGATCCTAATGTTCAAGCAGCATTAATGTAAATTTTAATATATTATATGCTTATAAAGTATATCAGCTTAATTTGCTTCATACTTTAGAAAGAATATTAGAATAAAAGCAGCAAATCAGCAAGCTAATGTTGAATTACAATCAACAATCAATCAAATTGAAGATATAAAAAAAAGTATTGATTTGGCGAAGAAAAGCCTTAATATGGATACATTAAAGGCTCATATTGATAACTTGCTGAATGATTTAGTAAATATCCATAACATCTTTATTTGAGTAAACTTAACATTACTTTTATTTAGGATAAAAGACAATCAGAAGTGCAATCTTTATTGGCGACGAATGACGAGTTTCGTAAGGTTTTAATCAAAAAAAGTCTTCAGGTAAACTATAACTATTTTTTTATTCGACGTATAACAGTTTATAATATGTGTATATTAGCGGCAAGAAGAGGCTCAAAGTGACTCAAAGGAGCTAATTGATAGAATTAAAAAAATCAAATCAAATGTTCATATTAAAACTTCAAGTTCAAGTTCAACTTCAGCAAATCAGTCTATTATTAGCGATACTTTAGGCGATATTTGTAATCTTATTAATCCTTATTCTTCAATAGTAAGTGAAAAAAAAAAGATACATACATATTTATTAGATTAATTTACATAATGTTAGTCAATAAATCAAGCTCTTTTAGAAATTTCAAATACAATAGATTTAGGTAAGCATATAGATATGGTCTTGCTAACTAAGATTATCTAATATATTATTCAAGTAAATGATTTGTCAAAGGAAAATGTATCAGAAATATGTGTAGATATTAGACTAAAATTAGAAAACTTATTCAACAAATGGTGTCTTTTGCTTGAAAAACAAAATATTTCTGTACCAGAAGATGTAGCTGAAAATCATGATGGCATTGATAAAATAATACAATCTGTAGATGCATTACGAAGTAAGAATCCTATAATTATGTATATTTTACTTGGAAGACATATAAATAAATATGCATATATGTATATTCATATTATAATAGTGCATATTCAAAATGAAGAGCAAAATTATATACAAAAACAGGAGCACATAATAGAGGCTAAATTGAGTGAAGCTGATGAAATACAGGAAGAAATCAAGCATACAAAAGAGTCATTAAAAGAAAGGTAATCTATATAAGTCTAGTTTTTTCTTTTTTCTTTTTATATATACAAGTATTAAACTATATTATTTTATAAGGGAATTACTGAAGCATATTGGTAGCAATTATATACTTCAATCTAAAAATTTTAATCAATGGCTGCAAGCACTTCAAATAAAAGATAACAAGTATACATAGTTGAAAATATTCTTTAATCAAAAATGCTACCGCCTTTAATTTCGGCTTTATCTTTTCTTTTTCCTTTATGTTTAAGATTATTCCTACGAGCACCTCTATTGTTTTGTCTATTTGATTGACTCTTAAGGCTGCGTGCAACTCTGTCTTTAACTTCTTCTTCTTTCGACTTCTTCACTGATTTTTTAACTTTTACATCGCGGAACGCTTTGAAATCACGATTATTTAATTTTTCAATCTTTTCACTTCGTTTTGCTAATTCTGCTTCTTCATTTAACTCTTCACTATTGGAGGATTCATATTCTTCTTCCTCTTCTTCTTCTTCTTCTTCTTCAGTCTCTATTTCAGATCCATAAGGTTCTGTATTTCCAAGTCGAATATTTCTTAACTTTTCTTCTAACTTTTCTTCTTCGGTCATAATTCGTGGTGTATCATTCTTTTGCTCTCCTTCTTCATCCTCTTCCTCTCCTTCACTACTCTCTGTTTCATCCTCTTCTTCAGAAGACATATTTTTAATCTCTTCTTGATATTCTTCCAACTCCTTTTGCATTTTTTTACTAAAACCACTTGCAGCAACTTGAACATCTAAGCTGAACTCACGATTTACATCTTGAGTAAATCGAGGGTATAATGCACTTTCGTATCCAAAACGACGACGGAAAAAGGTACGAATACATTCCACATCACGATTAAAATAGCTTGATTAAATATAAAATGAATGTTAATATATTTGATCAGGTATACTATGGAAATTTAGTTATACTTTACTATTCAGCATTCACATGAGACGTAGATACCATTTGAGGAAAATCGATTAAAATAGGTGATCCATCACTTTTAATCAAAATGTTAAACTCGTTGAAATCACCATGAATTAAACCATATTGTGCCAATTTGACAATCAAACTCATTAATTCTGAATAAAGTTTACCAGGATTACCTACTTTTTCAATTTGACGACTATCATTAAGATGAGTGGGTGAGTGAATACAGTTTAAAAATACAAAAAGACAAAACAAACTTTACAGAGGATAAGCATCAATTAAACCCATAACAACACAATGTCTATTTTGATCGATAGGCTCAGGGACAGGAAATCCATTCTCATAAAGTACTTTCATGAAAGCATATTCTTTCATAGCAGCCAAACGAGACATATACATCCATGAGGCTGACTTTCGGTTTTGAAGATAGTCACGTTTTGATTTAATTGTACGGAAAGACATACGTCCAAGTCTAATAAAAGTACACTTTAGTTTTTTTTTTTTTTTTGCTATATTTTTTATATATACATAAATCTTTGATCTATTTACCTTTGAAGTTTTAAAACATGTTGATTTTCATCCTCATCAGCAACTAAATAAATATCGGATTCTTTACCAACACCAATTTGATTACCTACAGAGTAAACAGACCCTCTCTTAGCAAAGGTCTTTAAAGCAAGATAATCATAACCACCATAGGTTAAACGATATCCATCATCTATATGCAGATAATAAACAGTTACAATCTTTTTTTTGATAAATTTGACTTAATTTTATAGTACTTTACAACTCATATTTTGTACACGAGCAATTAATTTTCGTTTAGCTAAATCTCCTACAATCTTATGTGCACCACCATGTCTTAATTGAGCAATTTGAGCAATAAGCGCACTAGGAACAACTTCATGATTTTTTGAACCCATTTCAACCTATATATATAATAATTAAATACAAAACAGTATGGATTGACAGGTATTGTCTACTTTACAGCTGTCAAGACCCGGAATTCTTCCGTTGACATGTAACGAAGTGCTTTGGCATCTAATTTCATTCTGGAAATATAATAATCGATCGAAGATGAACAATTCAAGCACTTTTTTTTTTTGTTTTTGTTTTTGTAAAATTGGTAATAAAAAAAAAGAAGAGAAAATGTATGTGACTGTTATTTATTATAACAACAGTCATAGACTCCTGAAGTTGTTTGAAGAAAAGGGAGGAAAATATTCAATGAACAGATATTTTTGTATTATTAAAGAAAATAAATCATATTAACAATATTGGTTTTATTTTTCTTTATTGCTTTTTCTTTTCCAATGATTGTATGAAGAACTTTTTTTTTCTCTCTCTTTTTTCTATAGTATAAAGCCCAGAATCTATGATTCACATTTACCAATGAAGTTCATACAGTTGCTTCCCCCATATTTAATTTAAAAAGAAATAAAAAAAAAATACTTTATTTAATTTTATTTTTTTTTTTGTAATTTGCTGTTTAGTCTATACATTAACAACTATTTTCAAAATTTATGCATAAAAAATTACATAATAACAAAAAAGGGAATTCAAATTCTGTGGCTTGTGTCAATTTTCATTTGTATTTATCTGTGTGTTAAAATAAGTTACTAACATTCTTAATTAACTCTTTTACAATCAAAAGCGTACAATAGTATTATTAACAATGAATTTGCAAATATTATCACCTGTACCAACTGTTATTAAAAAATCAAACATGGATGTAGACGATGAGTCAATCCACTTGGTTAATCCTGGTGAAACAGTAACAACTGATCAGCAATTTATGAGGTAAAAAAATAAAAAAAAAAAATAAAATAAAATGAAATAAAAAAAAAAAAAATAGCATCATCTTCTTTTGCACATGTTAAAAGTCTTTGTTTTTCATTATATTCACTTAAATATATCTATTTGAATTTTAGAGGTCATGGTACTTATACAGATGGTGAAGGAACTGTTCTTTCTTCAGTTGCTGGTGCAGTTGAAAGAGTTAATAAATTGTTATCAGTTAGACCTTTGAAAACCCGTTATACTGCTGAAATTGGCGATATTGTCGTTGGTCGAGTGACTGAAGTAAGTGCTCATTTTATGCATGCTTATACATGTATTCAAATAGGATATTAGGTTGCTATGAGAAGATGGAAGGTGGATGTTAATGCTAGACAAGATGCTAATCTTTTATTGAGTTCAGTCAGTCTTCCCGGTGGTGTGCAAGTAAATAAATAGAGTTACAAATAAGTTCATGATAGATAGATATTTATTTTATTTTTCTTATTAGAGACGTAAAAATGAAGCTGATGAACTTCAAATGAGACACTTTTTTGCTGAAGGTGATATGTTGGTGGTAAGAAAGATAACATGTGTTTTTTTTTTTTTTTTTTTTTTTTTTTTTTTTTTTTTAGAAAAAGAAAGAAGAAGTATAATCTTAAATCTTATGTCATATTTAGGCTGAAGTTCAAGCATTTTACAGCGATGGTACAATGGGTCTTCATACCCGTGGCTTCAAGTTTTGTAAATTGAGAAATGGTTCCTTTGTTTGTGTTCCACCTGTTCTTGTTCAGCGCTGTAAATCACAATTCCATTCACTTCCTTGTGGTATTGACGTCATTCTTGGTTTGAATGGTTATATTTGGGTTCATAAAAAGTTTGCAGGTATTACAGGTGATGAAACAGATCCTAGTGTCTATTATTCCAGTATGAATGATGTAAGTGTTTTAATCTTGTTAATAAAAGTGTTCAACTTATTAATACTGTCTCATAGCCCATTACTGCAGAAGAAAGACAAGAAATTGCTCGAGTTTCAAACTGTATTTCTGCATTAGCTAAACAGTATATGCATATTAATGATACAATTATTGTATATACATATGAAGCTTCATTAGAATATACTATTAAAGATTTACTCAAATTGGATGTCATCGAAGCTATCACTACAGAGGCCAGTTTAAGGATGCACGCAAACTAGAAAAAAAAATGAATCATTTATTCTTTTTGTAAATATTTATAGTGTAGTAGAATAAATCTTTATATGTATATGTATATGTATATATATGTATATATGTATACATATTTTCTGTCTTTCTTCATTGTTATAATTGTTGATATTAGGTATCAAGGGTCAGTGGGTTTCCATGAACTAGGAGATATGGAACCAGAAGCAGTGTCTTCAACCATAGTCCAGTCTTGGTCTTCTTCTCCAAAAGGTAAAGTATCAACATTTACTCTTGCTGTCTTTTTAATTGAAGATAATGTCCTTGCCTTTGCTAACTCCATATCTCTATAAATACATTGTATAGCTGTTTCTACACCTGTTTCCTATAATATTTGTAGATTGATGTTAAAACATTTGTATAATTAATGCTTATTAAAAAAAAAAAAAAAGAAAAGAAAAGAAAAAGAAAAAGAAAAAAACATTTTACTTCTCGGATTTTCTGGCCTACTTGATTGGCCATTTTAAGCATATTTTCATCTGTAGAAATAACTCTAAGAGCTGCAGAGAGGTTTTCTACAGTCAGATTCTTGATGCATCTTCCTAATCCCATTTCTTCCACTCGTTCTCCCCAGAAAAATTGATCGGCGAAAAAGGGTTTGATAATTGTTGGTCTACCTGCCCTTAAGCCTGCTGCTGTCGTTCCTGCACCACCATGATGAACGACAGCTCTTATTTTAGGAAATAGCCAGTCATGAGGTACGGAATGGACACTCAAGATGGTACCTGGATATTTCTTAAGCATCTTTTCCTCATTATAGCTTGTACCTTGTTTCAACCTCGATGACCATCCACGTGATACAATAGCTCTGACATTAGATAGCAAGACAGATTCAATAATGATCCGTGTGATTTCTTCAGGATCAGAGACGATAATAGAGCCAAATCCAATATAAACTATCGGACGACTATCTTGTGCATTAATAAAGGACTTGAGTTCAGGATCTGGTGTCCATCCTGTTTGTGGGTTATCTAAAAACCAATAACCTGTGCAGTGAATCCAGTCTAACCAATCCAACGGGCTAGGAACAATACTTGGACTAAATGAATAGAGATAGGGTATCTTCCATATTTCAAGTTTCTCATAGCTTGTAGAAGGTAAGCCAAGGATGGATTGTCGAAATGAATTAGTACGATTTGCAATAGCTCTCCAAATAGCATAATCAAATAAAACATATGTCATATCATTATAAAGCCTTCCTTTAGGACTATTCGGTGTCGCGAAAGGATGTGGAAAAGAACGTGTTCGTGTCATTGGCATAGGGAAAGATCTAAAATAAGGTACACCAAGTGCTTCTGCCATATGCACACCTACCATTGCGCTTGGACTTTCGATAATAATATCTGTTCCTTGTACTGCCTTCCACGTTAAATGAAGTAATTCATCAATCCAATCCTTAAACTATTATAATAATAAAATAAATTAATATCTATTTTTTTTTATAAATAATTTATTTACAAGTTCTATAATACATACTAAGCGAAGTCCTTCTACTACAAAATTAACACTAAAGAAATTATTTTCTACACATATTCTCTAACAAAGAAATAAGGGATTTAGAGTATGTATAGAATAGGAAAAAAAAAAGAAAACTTTACCATTAGTTCTCCTGGATCACCCCCTACTGTTCGAAATTCTATTCCATGTTCTTCTATCCAATCTTTAAACTCATCATGAGTTGCAATACGACATCTATGCCCTTCCTTCATTAAACCTTTGCATAAAGCAATATATGGTTGTACATCTCCTCGAGTACCGATTGTAATACAAGTGAAATGCAATGGTTTATCTGGTTTTTTATAAACAATAGGTTCTGTGGGTATACGAGATAAAACAGGTAGATTTGCATTTTTGGGGATAATTCGATTGATGTTTTCTTTTAATTCATCTTCTATTAACTTTGTTTCCCAGTCTTTAATCTTTCTATTATCAGAGCATATATAAAAAGAGAGAATAAATTATATGCATTCTATTCAATAATATTCAATTTTACTGTTCGGTTTTGTCAGGCTCATTATAAGGTTCCAACACACGTTTATGTTGTAAAAATAATTTTGCAAAGCAACTGTTACGTCGAGTAATGGAGGAAAATTCTAAATAAATCTCTTTCTTTGTTCGTGTAAGGATACTTAGTGAATGAAATATATAACCTCGACTTGGAAGCTTTTGTATTCTTATCACATCTTCAAAAGGTATAATCATCTATATAAACATTAATACAATATAAAAGAAAAAACTCCCCCTTCTTTATATGTACATATAAAGTGAGAGAGATGGTTTGAGTAACAACTTACTTTTGCTTTTGTTGCAAAACCTTTTGAATTAAATGAAATATAACTGGGTGATATGTATAATTTACCATAACAAGGTAAAGTTTTCAAGAGTGAGCATCGATACACTTTTTTTTTCAAAAAATAAAATAAAATAAAAATAAGTCAATTTTAATATATTCACCTACGACTACTTATTAAGTTCACCTGCTAATAATGTTTCTGATTCAGGTAAAACAAAGTATTTTTTGAAATTGGTCATAGTACGATCATTCAATACCTCTTCTTCATTTGTATGTGTGCTGATGGCAGGATTTGTTTTCAAATATCCGGTTTCATCATCATCATCATCTTCTTCTTCTTCTTCTTCTTGCTGTAGAGCTGTAGCTTCACTTCCTGTAGCTCCATTCCCTCTTAATAAACCATATACTAGCCTCATACCCGATCGCCTTTTTTCATTTAGCCAACCTACTGACTCTTCATTGTCATCTGAGCTCGATATGTCATTATCTTCTTGGGAATTAAAATCTCGATCAGATGTTACTATTGATTTTTTATTAAAAGTTGCTGAAGGATAAAGGTAATCTTTCAGAGCTAAAGCATTTGTAATAACTGAGTTTGATCTTCTTGATGTATTTGGTCGATGACTCTGATTTGGAGTAGCAGCTGAAATAGTAATAGGCTGAGAGTCCACATCGTATAAATCAGAAATAGACAGTGAGGGTGAATCAGGATTACTGTTTATACTGTAGTCTGAGTTTTTTGGTGATGTCGGTGATATATGCCTAGAATCACAATATGTTTCCCAAGCAAAATGTAAACTCTTAAATGTATTTTCAATATTTGAGAAATAAGCAAAATAGTACTACAAATCCTATGTTAAAAAAAGATGCCCCCCTTTTTTTTTCTATTCCTTTTTTGTTTGTTTGGCATACTTCATCCATAACAAAATTATCATCTATACCAACTGCTCGTATTTTTAAAAATTTTTGAAATTCAAATGCTTCGGTTAATTCAATATCTAAAATCTTTTCAAAAGGTAATGTAATTTTCAAACTATTTCCACCATGTTTGGCTCTAAATATAGCCTTTTGAAGAGCATTTGTCCTACATCAATGACTCAATTAATTAGAAAAAAAAAAGATAAACAATATTGTAATATATCTTCTTTTTTTTTTTTATTCGTATGTACCATTCTATCATAGCTGCATTTGTATCTGTTTGAAGGTACCATGTTTTATCCATTGTTACTATCCTTAATCCATATCTTCTCCGTGTTGATTGTTTTATAGAAATGACACTTTTTAAATCTATTTTACCTAAAGGTGAATATGAGTCGGTAGAGCTTTCAAACCAAGTCAAGGCATCTTCATTTAAATCAAAATAATAGCGCTCATAAGTCGCTTTCATCGGCCCTGTCTTTTTTAATAATAAATAGCCAGATTTATTAAAGACAAGCTTTTTTTTTTAAGACGATGTTAATAACAGCATAAAATATACTTGTATATTTGTATATATATTGGTTACTTTATTTTTTGGCAATGAAGCATAAAAACAGATATATTTTTCTGTTAAATACATGAATCCAGATACAATGGCTGATTGGACAATATAACAAGGCCATTCTATACATTAAATATTTAATATGCGCATATATACACACACACACACATATATATATATATATACATATATGTATTTGTATATGTATTTATATACCTCCTTTTAGTGATTCTTTAACTGGTAAATGAAAAACAATTTTCAGTTTTTCTTCTATGCTTTGATCATTTAATATAACAAATTCTTCTTTCTTTTCATCCTCTTTTTCTATGTTTGCACCTGCTGCTTCTGCTAGCAATTCTCGAATTTGGGCTGACTTTCCATGCATTAAAAAAGCTTTATTATTTTCAGCAGTTATCGGTTCTGGAATATCCCAAGTACTACTATTATTTGTTGACATGTCTTCTACAGAATGTCGAAGATCTTTTTGTTAACAAGTTAAATTTAGTGATCTGTGATCATCAGTTTGAATTTTATATATTTATATACATATATGTATTTTTTAAAAAAAAAATAAAATAAAATAAAAAAACCTTACCGCTTTCAGAGCCTATTTATAAACGGTATGTTAACGATTACATAAACAAAAAAAAATAGCTAGAGTGTGATATTCTTAGTTACCTTTCATATCTTCAACGTCTTGAATTTCAAACTATTCATATTTAGAAATGAGATTAAGAAATGAGCATCTATATACATGTATTATATTATGCGTATATACACAGATACTTTACAACTTGAGCAGCAGCAGAAACAAATTGTAATACATTATGACTATTTGAATCCATCTTATAAATAAAGATAAAGGGAAAAAAATAATGAAGAAGAAAAGGGAAATGATGATTTCTTATGCAATTAAGTTAATTAAAATCATTTTTTGATTGGTTAAGAAATAATGTATTTCTTTTTTTTTTTCCTTTTCCTCCTTTATTTGGCGCATGATCTCAGCAGCATCATTATACCTAATAATTTATACATGTGATATATAAATACATATATACCATGTGTATATTTTTTAATTAATAGTAAATGTGGACGATCGAAGTAATCCTTCATATTTAAATCCAATGCGTTTATACATGCGTTGAGCATGATGAAGGTCATCATATACTTCTAAATAAATTTTCTTGTTGTTTTGTTTCGTTAAAGCGGTCAATAAACAATCTGCAGCATAACCATGACGTTGATGATCTGGATGAGTAGCAACTGCATTCACATGACCTAAATGGGGTAATCCTAGAGGAGTATGAAGAATAACGGCACAATAACAGGTACCGTCTTTTATATGTTCCCCATAAGTGATTGGAAATGTGTCTGGATCTGCAAGCTGTGTCTTTAGTTTATAACGAAGCCAATCGATATCACCACTGTAGTTATACGCTGCTGCAAATATCTCTGTCAGATTTTCTAATTGATGCATAGTTGCCGTTTTGAATTCGATCATGGTTGCATTTCTTATTATTACCGTTTGCTGTTCTTGATTATGGTAATCCCAGGACATAATCACATCTGTATCTATCTCTACTTTTGTATGATATAATTTTGAAAATTCATTACAAATATCTTCCAAAGGAGGTCTGGATAGTTCATCAATAAAATATCTTGGCTCTAAGGATAGAGTATAAAATATTTTAGTTGTTTCATCAAACAAATCCTTTAAATCCTCTATAGTTTCTATTCTAATTCTAAAACAAAGATTAGATTGCTGATGTTCTTTATTCCGAGGATTAAGAGCTACTATACAATCATCTCTGAGTAGTGTTGTACCTGTTAAACTTAAATATAAGCAATAATTAAGCTCAAGGATAATATGCTTGTAATCGTTTGCAGGCATATTATTATTATTAAAAAAAAAAAAAAAAAAAATAGAAAGAAAACAAGCGAATAGTTTTATTATCACGACTACCAACTTGTAATTTTAAAACAGCAGTAATTGCATGTGTGGTTTTGTATTTACACCCTTTTTTTTTTCTTTTTCTTTTTCTTTTTTTTTTTATAAAATAATAATAATAATAATAATAATAATAACAAGGAGGGAGCTATTCAGGTCTAATAAAGGTATCTTCGCCAGTGATGGGATTGTGATAATAGATATCACCCATATCACTCATTTTCACTTTCCATGGAGAAGGTAATCGTTTTTTCTTTACTGGTCTTAAACCAACATTAGACTTCTCCATGAAAAGGGAGGAATTAGGATTACTGGGAGTAATGATAGCACTGTCTGCTGAATTATCAAGCCTTTTGGCTATAACAGATGAAGATGATAAAATCAGGCTATCATTATTATTACTTAAATTAGGAGAATTATGCATCTCATTGTTAATGAGATGCTGTTGATCGATTTCGTTGATTGCGTTTTTCTTAGTTATTGAAGCATTACTAGTCATAGTAACAGGTAAATGAGTACTATGGGTAGTAGCTTGGTTCGAGGTTGAATTTAGAGTGACATTTTCGATTTGAGTTATGGGATGGGAGATACTAGATAAGCTATCAATAGATGTTGGTGATACCATGACCAAATCTGTATCTTTAGACTGTTGTTCATGAATATCAGTAGAGGAAGTGGTTTCTGTCGTTAACTGTTGACTCGTACTAATTGTGTTAGATAAATTATTATTATTACATACAATATCAGAGTTATCCTTTTCCATGGCTACTGACATTATGGGTTGCTGATTAGTCAGTTTTGAGGAAGCAGCAATGGCTTTTGCCGCTGTAGAACAATTTTTTTCACTACTATCAGTAGCAGTAGAAATAAGTGTAGCATTGTTTTTCATTACATTATCATTACAAGTAGTATGTGAATCCTGAGTCTCTCTAGAACTATCAATAATAACAGTTGATGATGAAGATGATGGTTGAATTTTTTTCGTTAGATTGTTAGTATTATTCAATTGCTTGTGTGATGTAATAGTAGTTGAAGGGGTAATGGATGTATTATTTACATCTTGAGATTGATTATATAAATGTCCATTTGTAAGATGCTGAGACTTTTCTTCAGTCATCACGTTGTTATTAACGTCTTTTTGGCGGGTATGATAATTATCAGCAAATGTGTTTGTGGTAATGTCGGTATTTACAGATAAATGTGTTTGTGACTTTTGTTGAGATGGTTTTGTTGTAGATGAGCCCCTTTGATCATTGTTAATAATAGGTAATTCAGATTCTTGTTGGGGAACAGAAATGGGTATGTTTGTAATTTTAACATTGGAAATATTTGGTTTATGATCTTTAATATTCAAAGTTCCTTGTTTGATTATCTGCTTTTTAGTTTCAGTATTAGCAATAGGCTGCTGATGAGGAAGAGTAGTATTATTTTTTGATGTAGTAGAAAGAGAATGAGTGTTAATCTCATTTACAGGCTCAACTGTTGTTTCTGGACTGATTGTAATTTTAGATGTGGAAGTAGGAGTGACAGCAGATTTTTTTGCTGTAGGTTGTAGATTATCTTTGTGTCTATTGGTGCAACTGTTCTTTGCTCCCAGAGGAGAGCAAGAACTCAATTCTTTAGATGTAGATGTTCCTAAAGGGGGTAATTTCTTAATTCTTTTTTGGGAGTTGAAGGTAATGAAGAAGATGATCCCATCTCCTTTTTATTTATCGTGTCGTTATGGAGAGAATTAGGAATCTCTTTAGTAGAAGTAGGTGATGATGATGATGATGATAGATTAATTGAAGAAGAACGGTGATGACGAGCTTGAGGCGGCAAGGGTCTTTTATCATAGTTGGGTACATAACGATCAGGTTTTAATCGAAAGAAAGGAGCTTTCTCTTCATCGCAACTACTAGTAGTGGGTGAATTATCCCTTTTTCTCTTTGAGCGTTGCCTACTATTACTACGACTTCTAGAAGACGAAGAACGTAAACGCCCACGAATTCTTATCCTACTTTTATCTTCTTCAAAATCACTTTCATCACTACTATGGGAGCTAACTAATTTTCTTTGTTTTTTGCGAGATGGGGGATGAGAATTATTTGAACGAGTTTGCACTGATGGAGATCGATCACGACGACGAAAATGAAGGTCTTTGTTATCACTCTTAGGAATAGTACCCGATTTAGAAGATAGAATGACTTTTCGATTTATATGTGATGGGCTTTTATCAAGATCCATATCAGTATCAGTATCACTATTATAGTTATTATCACTCGAAGAATCAGTATAACGATGCATTCTTTCCTTTTTACTAATCAGTTTTTTGTCAAAATTGAGTGGACGAGGAGCAGTTATCTGAATAGACTTGGCAAGCCTATCACGTTCGGAAATGGGGTTATTCTCTTGGATTAAAATGTCATTTTGATTTTTAGCCCTTTGATTTTTCCTGGATATTATTTGAATTTCCATGTCATTCATACTTTCTTTTTTATTATCATTTCCAGGACCAGACTGGCTCTTTTTCTTGATAGTAATAAAGCGATAAGTACTGCCATCATCTGTGTCTATTTTTTGTTCAGTATTATGTATTATAGAGGTAGGGGAAGTGACTGATGTAAAGGTAGAAATCGGAGTAGATGGGGAAACATTGAAATGGGTATTTACTGAATTATGGAGGTTAAACAATTGTTGATGAAAAGGAAGAGAAGAGTTGGGATTATGGTCATGAGCAAAAGAGATTACAGGATGATTCTCGTTCTGTTGTTGAGAATGTAAGAAACTAAAATTGGCTTTTGTATTTGAAGGAGATGGAGTTGATGTTTGAAATGAATTTATAAGATGAGCAGCAACAGGATTATTCATATTCAAAGATGATAAGTTATCAGTATAATTTAAACTGGTATTATGAGGAACATCCAAGTTATGAGTAGAAAGAGGACGTGAAATTGTAAAATTAACTTTGTCATTATGATTACTTGGCGCAGTAAAAGACCTTTTTTTTCGGGAAAGTGTATTATTATTGAATATTACTTGTTTACCCAAACGCTGAAATACAGTTGGTAAATGTTGTTCCTCATTTTGTTGTGGCATTATTATTATAAAAAAAAAAAAAGAAATGAATAAAAAGGAATAAAAAAATGCCCAATTTATACTAGTTTCAAGTTTTTTTTTTTTTTTTTTTGCTTTTTTTTTTTTTTTTTTTCTGCTTCAAACCTCGAAATATCCAATAAGAATAATTCTTTGTAATGTTTGTTTACAGTAATGTTCATTCCACATGCATGGATATAAATAAAAATAAAAAATAAAAAAGAACTTCAAATTACAATAATTTGCTAAAAGAAGTTCCATGTTCACAGTCCAAATGAATATCATTTTTTCACTGTGATAGTAAAGAAGAAAAAAGGAGAAGTTCTTCTTTATTGATGTGATTAACAAAGATGGTTTAATCTCCTTTAAATAAAATTATGAGAATATATAAATAAAGTTGCACAAACTTGGAAAAAAAAGAAAAATACATTTTTTTTTTTCCATTGACATGTGAAAAATAATACTGAATACACTATAAAATCCACATTTTACTTCTACCCTTTCTTTCTTTTTTTTTTTTTTTAATATTATTTATATAAAAAATGGTTTCAACTCAAGTAGCAGGATTTACAGTATTGAAGGTATGTATAGGTTATTAAATACTTTTCTTTTTCTATAGTGTATCTAATCCTATTTGTATCTATTAGGACACTCCTTTAAATTTGAATCTGGAAGAAGCTATCATGAATTCAAAAAAATCTGGTTCATTTCTTTTACATATGCTTATCATGATAGATCCTGAGCAAATCAAGACAAATGAAATTGCAAAAGTAATCATTATCCTAGTCGTTCTCCTTTTATTGTATACTCATTGATACATAATATATTTTATATGTAGGATGCTTATGAAGAATGTTTACAGTTAAAGGAATATCTTTCTGAGCAACTTTGGTCAGTAGTCGATACAGAGTGTATTGCATCTGTTCAATCTGCTCTTGATGAACTTACTCTGGCCTTGAATAAATATGAAATGATAAATGATATGATTGATGGTGAATGGTATGTTTATGAATAATACACTGTATCTACTATTACATTCTAAAATACTGTTGAATGGTAGGGAATTCATAGAATCATCAAATTGTCACCACAATAGTATAACTACTTTTTAATAATCTATATACCTTATTTTATAATAAAATAATAATAATGAAAGTCGTCTGTAATTTACTGCATTAATATACTTCATAGTATATATTTATGTACATACATGTATATGTATTTATGTACGTACGTATGTATGTATGTATGTATGTATGTATATATGTGTATATATATATATCCATGTATATACAGTAGAAATAGTATACGTATTTATATACGGGGATATATTAGATTATATTATATTAATAATAAAAAAAAAATTCTAAATAAACAAAAATACATTTAACTCCAGACATCTTCTTGATAACGTCCATTGGTTCTTAAACCTTTAATAAACTCATGAGCCTTAGTATCATCCATACCTCCAAATTCAATAGCACAGTTAACAAATGTTTGATTAACGTCACGTGCCATATTCTTTGCATCACCACACACATAAATATAAGCTCCTGATTGTAATAAATTCCAAATTTCTTGTCCATGTTCTTGAAGACGATGTTGAACATAAATCTTTTCGGGTTGATCACGAGAAAATGCTGTAATAATACGTGAATCTCCTCCTAATGTCTCAAAGAGTTCAGGCCATTCTTCTGCATATAAAAAGTCTTTGGATTGATTACGACTACCATAGAATAAAAGTGTTGTACCAATAGGTTTTCCTTGTTTCTTTTCATAAGCACGTTCACGAATAAATCCACGGAAAGGTGCAACACCTGTGCCAGGTCCAATCATAATAACAGGTACATTAGGATTACGAGGCAATTTAAATTGAGATTGTCTAATATGAACAGGCACTTTATGACAGATTCCATCAGATCCTAAATAAGCTTGACGAGGTCCTGCTAAATCATATGGGGGATAGTCTTGATTATCATTGATAATACCATGTTGTTGCATTTGAATCTTGTATAAAAAGTTGGTATTCACACCATATACAGTACAGTCAGGTCTAGTGGCAGGTTGGTAAGATAAAGTAACAATTGTAGCTGAAATGATATTAGGGCTTTCCTTTGAAGAACTAGAGATAGAATAGAAACGAGGTTGCATACGTGCTAAAGTTTCAATAATTAAATCAAATGGAACATTAGAGAATAAACCTGGACGTGTATCTTGACCGGTAACTAATTGAAGCACTTCACCTAAATTACGGCAAGCATCTCCTACTTGTAAACGGAATTCATCTTTATCTGTCGCTAAGCGAGTTAAATAGCCTTTGGCTTCTTCAGAAGGTGCAAATTCAACAAAGGATGTCAACACTTGACGAGAAACAGGTGCACAAATTTCTAAATAATATCTAAAAACGGCACGATAAGTAGTAGGTACAGGGAAAGGATATTTCTTTGAAGCAGTAGGATCCATTGCTTTAACCATAATAACTGTATCTAATTTATCTGTTAAACCCAAGACAGAAGCAAGACGATTCACCTCAATTTCATTATTTGTAGGCCAAATAGCGATATGATCGCCTGTTTTATAGCTTAGATTGGTATTACTAATATCAATTTCAACATGCATGCAATGACGATCTGCTCCATGGAAGAGTTCTCGAGAAGTCATATTAGCATTATAAGGACGTTTAGCATCGTACATCATTTTACTATATCCAGAAGAAGATAAATTTAAGCATCTATTATTATTATCTTGATACATTTTTACTTACGCTCCAACTTTAGCTTTTTCGGCCAATTCACCAAAGTAAACAGCATCTTTCTCGTAATCCATTAATTCTTCAACAGAGTAAACAGGCTCTCTAGGTCCAGATCTAGCAGAGCTTTCATCAACACCTAAAAATTCACAAAAAGCTGGCCACATCCTTTCTTTCCAAGCTAAATAATCTTCTTCCATTGAGCCATCATCATCACCTTCACCTGCTTCACCAACAAGATGAGCACCCAATCTTCGAAGATGTTTATTGACACCACGGGATACACTGTTGTAATGTTCATATGTCTTATTACCTAAACCAAAGCTAACATAATGTAAATTGGATAAAGGCTTATCGTCTGTACTTTCAGAAAATGTAGGTTCTGAATCTGTGATAAGATCCCAAAATTCAATAGCATTATCAGTTGGGTCGCCTTCACCATAAGTAGCCATAACAAAGATAACAAGTTTATCTTCTGGTACTTGATCCAAATAAGTCAAGTCATATAATTCCAAATCAGCAGTCATACAACTTACACCAAAACGTTGATGACATTCTTTAGCAATTCGAGCAGCATAGCCTTCAGCTGTACCTGTTTGAGAACCATAAAATATAATTACTCGACGACCCTATTATTAACAATTTGGTTTTTAGTTTATAACAGATATATACAAAAAGAAAAAAAAAAGAGGGTGAGGGAAGGGAAGGAAGACAATTCAAAATATCAAAGTTTTTTTTACCTGTTCTTGCATAACCTTAACAAAGTTAGTTTCTCTCTTTGGTATAGTATTGACGTTTGAATCTTTAACTTTATTATTCTTTTTATAACTGAATAATAAGTTAGAAATCTGACGTCTACTAAACCAAGCTATTGTACCTAAACCAATGGCTGTCAATAAAACAACATCGGTAGTATCAAACAAAGTGGCCGATGTTGATGACTCCATCTTTCTTTCTTTCTTTCTTTTTTTTTTGAAATTTAAGAGAAAAAAGAAAAGAAAAATTAATTAAAATTAATGGTACACATATAAAAAAGGAGGATATGAAACGGCATTCGAAAATGAGTTGGTTTAATTTCTTTTTTTTTTTTTTTTTTTTTTTTTTTTCTTTTTGATAAGAAAAAAGCTTATTTATAAAAACAAAAAAAAAAATCATAATATCTTGTAAAATCGCAAGTGCTGATATAATAGTCAACATCGTTTTTAATCGTTATAATTTGCAATCATAGAAGCTTATTGCACATGTATTTATAAGGCAGTAAAATATTCATTGTTTTATTAGATGGCCGGAGTAGGAGACCGCATTAAAATTTTTTTTTTTTTTTTTTGTTGGTGCTAGACAAAATTTCTTTTTTTATTATTATGTAATCAACAAGATAAAATAATGGTTTTGATGGCAGTAGTCTAGATCTATTCTATAGCATATTCTTTTCTTTTCTTTTTTCACGCGTTATTTTTATTTTATTTTTTATTTGTTTTTTTATATATTTATATAATGTAAACAAGAACAATGTTTTCTTTATTAGTATTAGTATCATTATTATTACTATTATAATACAATAATTTCTTATTGTATTGTTAGATCATTCTACTTTCATATTCTCAATCTATATATATATATATATATATATATATAAGCCACAATAACCGTATTTATTTACATATCATCCTTAAGAGAAGTGATATCTTCACCTTGTTGAATTCTTTCTGCTATTTCGAGACCATTCAGTACAGCAGGGCTTGGACATTTATCTGGGGCATAATGAACAATAAAATCACCAGAGACATAGCGAGAAGGAAGGGTATTAAAGGTATGATCGTCATTATCAAGTAAAAGCACGTGTTCCTTGTAACCAGGTAATTGAATTAAATCCCACATAGCACCCTGTTCGTAAGATGGGCCCTTATTATACCACTCCTTTGATTCTTGAACAGCATTTAAAAATTTTTGTGCCCAAGCTGTATTACGTAAAAGAAAGACACCTGCATTAATCATTTTATCTCTTGTAGGCTTTGCGATCACCAAATCAATTTCTTCTTCAAATCCACGAGGTCCCTTGGGATATTTGACTCTTAAATCATCCAAGATACCATGTATAGTTTGATTGGGATTCATGATGACAGCATCCATATCCATCCAGAATAACCAATCATATCTCGGCAATACTTTTTGCACAGCATCTATCTTACCCCATACAGTACGTCTCTTTGGAGAACGCAATGCTTGTTGAGCAAACTCATTTGAACGAGCAACAAAGGCATAATTATGTGAAAGTGCATACTGTCGTTTATTATTGGCTGCAAGTGCAGCAGAAGGCTCCATACAACTATCAGGATAAATAAAAGAAGAGGTAATGACAGCAATAATTGCCTTTTCTAAAGGTTTGCAGATCAAAGTGGTACCGATGTTTAACACTTTAGCAATAGAGATAAAATCAGCATCTTGATAAATATTTGAGACTGTGATTGTCATATCTGGAATAGATTCGACATGATTATCCCATGTTTGAAACCGACCCTCTGCCGAAATAAATACCGGTGCCTCCGATGTGAGAGATTTAAGTTGTTCTATCTCCTTTGGATCTGTAACGAAATTAAGTTGAATTTGAATAGATCGATAAAACTCATGATAGTTAATCATGAGAGTGGAATCTAGATTTTCAGGAGTGATATTTTCAAATTCAGTTTGACGTGCCATAAGTTTCTTAACTGCATCTGAACCTGCTACAAGGAATTGTAGATTCTTGGGGGAGACCCAAACAAGATCAGTCGCCGTCTTTTCCTTCTCCCACATCTTTCCTACTTCAGATTGAATTTGCTGCTGAATATAGTTGAATTGTATTAAGGAATAACTATCTTGAATAATTAAATAATCATAAGTAACGCCACGTTCATTCACTAAGGTGCTTTCCACCCATTTTAAAATATCATCTTGTTGGAAAGATTTTGTATCGTTTACTTTTTCTAAATCATTCCATTCCATTTTCTCAGTTTCATATAAACGACTTTCAGGTGTCTTACTAGCTGGTTCATCGCCATAAATCCAAAACATATAATTTATACCTTTATCTCGTTTCATACAAGGTTCAATATTATCGTTCAATCCAAAATAAGTATTACGAATTAATTGACGTCGACTTGAATGTGAGGCCCTTGAAGCGATTATGATAAAATACTTAAAATGTTGTGGTTGCATTTGTATTGTAGTTGATTTCGACAGAGTCTTCTTTGGTGATGAAGTAAATTTAGTATTTATAGTAGTAGGCTCAGAAATACTGGTAGTAGTAGTAGTAGTAGTAGTAGTAGCAATAGTAGTAACTACCTCAACTGATTGTTCAAATTCAATCTCCTCCTTTAAAGTCTGCTCTTCATCTGCTTCTGCTTCTTCTGCTTCTTCTTCTTCTTCCTCGATGACAATAGGATTAGATAAATTATCAACATCATTTTTTATTCTCTGGTTTTCAGGATTGAGACCTGTAGCATCATCGGGAACATAAATATTAATGGAATTATCATTAGAACGACCCAAGTCAATATTAAACCATAAAAAGAAAAAAATAGCAACAAGTAATAAGATAAGAATCATCCTTTTTCGACGTCCAAATCGAGCATTTCCAAAAAAGGAGCCATTATCTACTCTAACATTATTTGGAAAAGGCAAATCAGAGCTTGCCATCTTATAAATAACTATATAAAAAGGAAAGAAAAAAAAAAGTGAAGAAAGAAAGGTTATTCTTTTTTTTTGCGGGGCTGTCCTTATTGTTTTTTTTTATTATTATTATAATTATTATTTTTAGTTTCTTTTTATTTTTAAACTCAGTATTCTGCTTTTTTTTTTTTTTTTTTTTTTTTGTAATCTTTAAAGAAAGAAAATGGGCTTAGTTGTTAACAAAATACAAATAAGCCTTCTCTCTTCTTTATTTCTTTTACATGTTAACATGTTTTATAAAATTATTAAATTTAATACAAATAAGGGCTCTCTATATAAAAATGCGATTTTGTCATAAATAGTAAATTTCTATTTATATACATGTTTAATTTTTATACTTCTTTGTGTAAATATTATGTGTTATCAAGATAAAAGATAATAATAGAAAAAAGAAATATAGGCATTATTAACCGATTACTATAAGGAATTACATTATCTTAGAATAAGCATCCTTTTTACCTCTTGAAGTAGGGGAAGGCAAGCTTGATAATAATGATAAAAAAAAAGATGTAGTGCGGTCAATGAAATGAAGTGTGATATTATTCTTTATTATTAATAAAATTGGATCTGTGCATCGCTATTGGGTAAGTGATTTTTAATATTGACAAGAAGATTAGCTGAATCTAACTATCATTGTTATGTTTAGAAGAATTTATTTATATCTGATAATACAATACATTTCATTTTTCAGAGCTTGAGCTTTGTAGGAGGGTTTTTCATATTTAAATGAAGAAGAGGAGAAAGATAAAAGTTGGCTTAGTAGAGAGATATTTTATAAAGTGACTCTCTTATAAACAAAATATCATTACTAGCATTGTATACAATATTCTGCTTTAATACCATTCTTGAAACTCTTATACTTGTGTACTGATTAAGTCGAGCATACTATATGTGTCAAATAGCTTATAGAAGCCCCTATCTATCTTTTTCTAACCAAGCATTGGAAGTTTCGAAAATGGGCAAATATATACATGTAAATATAATATTTAGAATCACCTTTTCTGAAGCAATTAAACTGTTTAAGATGAGATGATGCTTATTGTTATCAAAACAATATCGATGTGTTTCTATTTATTTAACTGCACACAGTACAAAAGCTTTTTATTAGAAATGTCCCAAGTTTGTTATTAGATACATCCTTATTTATAATTTTTATAATCATTATTAAGCCTATTAATACTTATTTCATTTTATGATTTTGCAAACAGTATGAAAGTTATGATACAGTAAAGCTGGGAAATATTGGTTAATTAAGAAATTGGTCGTTTTTAAAAAAGTTGTTTTGAGCGTTTCTGATAACTAAAATGAAGCTAAAAGTAGCTACGAAATCCATGAAGGTCACTAACACGTACATTGTTGCAAGCATCAGCGATTCTCTCGGATAAATTTTCTTCAACCATCAGATTCTCGCACTTCATCTTCCTTTTTTACAAGAGCCTAGGATTTTTCAATTGCATTTAATTCATTAGTAAATATATGGAGGTAAATACATGAATCTGTAGCCTCTTCTCAACACACGGTTTCTATCAAAATTTAGGTCCGAATCCTTCATTTCATGAACCATTCATATTTTGTTTGCATATTGAGTATTCATACTTGATATCGCACAAATGTAGGCTTATGTTGACTTCGAAGCAACGGGGTCAAATAAAAAAAACACAAATAGCAAAACAAACAGATACAGTAAATTAATTAGCTTTGCTGAACAGGGAACATATCAGAGAATAAATAAAATTACAAGTGTTACACACATTCTCTAGTTTTTTATTTATTTATTAGAGAGCATATACAGAGAGATAAATAGCAGTTACTCGATTCAATACTCGATTTAAAACACACAGATCCAATAGATTGAATTGATCAACTCTTTCAAAGACAATAGACGCTAAGATCATGTAAAGCACCAATGAAAGAGTAACAGAAGTTTTGTTTAATAATGATATACTAATAAAGAATCAATAACACTGAAGCAATTTCATGTAATTATATAGATTAAAAGTTGTCAAAATCCACACCTGTTATCAGAGAACTTCCTTTTCAGGAACAATGATTAATCCGTAGTAGCTCGTATATATCAATCGGTTTGGAACCTGTATTTCTTTCCAACGTCTTTTTTTCCTCTTTATCTACATAATCTACACTTAGCTTACTCATGAAATCTAACGTAAAAATTAAAGGGAAACAAAGAGGCACTTCAATCTCTTCAAAACAAGACGGAACAGTCTACTGAAGGTAAAGACAGTAGGTGTCATATATATCTATATATGATTCAGTAGCTCAAAAATTCCAATGAACACGAAGATAAAAGAAGAATATGGAATCGAGATCTGATGGCAATACTAAATTTTAAAAAGATATCGACAAGCCTTAGAAATAATGGCAAGAAACATCTTTTGTTTTCATGTCAAAAACAACATCAACAATTATGATTATCCGCGTTAGTTATCGCTTTCGCTATTTCATGCAGGTAAATATTGCTCTGAGCTTACTTGAAAATATTGGTGAGCCAATCGTTTTTCGGTCTTCCACCAATCATTTTTTTTATAATCACCATTCAAATTTCTAAATTAACCAATATTTCCCAGCTTCACTGTAGTCCTGTTAATATCCTCTTTGAGATATTCGATCTATATTTATGAAATATACTATTCATGTGCATAATAAAGACAGAACTTACATATTATAAACGTAATTTGAATAAAACTGTTAGTAAAGATACACTTATATATGTAATGTATTAAGTAACATTAAGCATTTTGTTTAGGAAGTTATTTGAAGTCTATAAGGATTACATTACATCGTGTAAATAGACATGATGACTGATAAATATAAATGTACACTAATCATAAAGGCTTTCTCCATAATTTATTTGTATGTCTCCCCTGCAAGCCAAAAAAGATAATTTCAGTAAATTAAATAAATATACAGAATATATAAAGTTATTTTAAGGTGTATGTAATAGGACAGCCATTTTGCTATTTTATAACGTTATCAAATGTGTTTAAAAGCATGAATTCTTACATAATAATGAAAACAGGTGTCTACTACTGTCTATTCTGTCATATTTTTTTTTTTGTAATAATAGAGGAGGTTCAAATTCTCGAAGAATACGGAAATTAAAAAATCTCCAAAAAACCGGATATTAGGGATTTTTTTTTTCTCGCTTATTATGCGTAGACAAGAAAAACTTTGTGTGTGAGATTAATTATGAATCCATAAATACATATATAAAAAAAATAAACTTCTCTTTCCTTCTCTCTTTTCTTTAATTCTATACATACATAAAAAAAAAGGGTAAATTTCTGAAGGGGGTTTCTCACTTTCACAAAATAAATAAATAGACAAAATGACTTCTCTTGGACGTGGGGTATTTATTCCTGTACCTACATTTTTTAAGGAAAATGAAGATCTTGATTTAGAAGCCTTTGATCAACATATTAAATATTTGGCCAATTCTGGTATTGCAGGTATTGTCGTGTTAGGATCAATGGGTGAAGCTGTTCATTTATCAGAACAAGAAAGAATTCAAGTTATCGAGCAATGTTCAGTCTCTGTAAAGAAATATAATCCTAAATTAAAAATTATTGCCGGTACCTCAGCTCAAAGCGCTAAAGTGACAGTTGAATACGTGGAACAGGCAAAGAAAGTAGGAGCTGAGTTCAGTCTTATTTTACCCCCTTCATTCTATAAAGGATCTATTGATGATGATGCCCTAGTTCAATTCTATACAACAGTTGCTGATCGTTCGCCTTTACCTATTATCATCTATAATTATCCTGGTGTATGTCAGGGAATTGATATTCTTATCTCCGTCTTAGTTAAGCTATCAAAGCATAAAAACATCATTGGTATAAAAGGAACAGATGGTAATGTTGGAAAAATGGCTAATTTGGTTAATAAAACAACTCCTGAAGGTAAGAAATGAGAAAGAGGGGGAGTGATTATGTATTGTTACTTATTTTATTGTTATTTTGTAGAGGTGACTTTATTGGCAGGATCAGTTGACTTTTTCTTATCCGAATTAATCCTTGGAGCAGTTGGGTTGATTCCAGGTGCAGGTAATGTCTTTCCTTCACTTTGCGTACAAATTCAAAAATTATACGAAGGAGGAAAAATGCAAGACGCAATTGCTTTACAAAGAAAGCTTGTAGAAGCAGATGATGCTCTTTGCAGGTGGTATGGTATTCCAGGAATTAAGAGCTTTATTCATGCAAAATTGGGATATGGACATAATATTTGCCGTAATCCACTCGAAAAAATATCAGAAGCAAAGGCACGTCAAATTCAAGAAGCTGTAGAAGAAGCTTTTCAGCTTGAACAATCTTTCCATTCATCATTTAAAAACTAAGAAATAAATTAATAAACTTAATAATTGATTACGTCATCCAGATTTTTTTTTTTTTTTTATTCATTTTACAAAAGAAAATTTTTTTTCCAATTTCTCTTTTGTCCGGACAGTTTTTCTCAGAAAAAAAAATTTCTTACTCTTTTATTTTCTTCTCTTTTATCCCTTTTTATTTAAAGATATTCGATATTATTACTATATTACGTCCGGGCTGGAACTGTTCGAATTTTTATTTAAAAAAAAAAAAGATACGGACCAGTAATAAAAAAGATAGTACAAATAAATATCAAGTATGGACTCTGGATCTACTCAAGACAGTTATGTGCAATCATCTGTTCAACAACACAATGATCATCAATCACAACCTCAAGAAGAAGTTGTACAGTCACAGCAACCAATTCAAGAACAACAACCAAAACAGCAGGAGCAACAACAACATCATCATCACCATCATCAGCAACAACAAGAGTTGCAACCTCAACAGCCTGAACAACAGCCACAATTTCAAATAGCTCAACTTCAACAACAGGCACAATTCCAACAGCCACAGTTTCAACAACAGCCACAGTTCCAGCATCCACAACTTCAACAACACCCACCACCACCACCACCTCCTCCTCAGCAGCAGCAGCAGCAGCAGCAACAAGATGACTGCAGTATTTTATCACCAACTTTAGCTGATATTTTAAGTGATGACCGTATATTAAGGTTTTATCAATGTGTTAAGGATATTAAAACGCAAGGTTCACCAAAGCAAACAGCCGCTATGTTTTTCGCTCTTTGTCATGCCCTTGGTGACTCTGTATCTTTCTTAAAGGTACCCAATATGTCCAAAATTATGTTCCGTCAAGAACAGCAAATTTTTGCTGTTAACGTGGCTGGTACTCAACAAGAGGCAGTACAAATGTTTCAAAATAACCACCAAGAACATCATACACCTACTTTACATACAGCTCCTGCTCCAACTAATATGATTGACCCATATAAGGGGATCACTGCAACTACAGGCTTGATGCATGACGTTGATTCTACCCATACCTCTAATCTTTTTTCTGCTACTGCAGCAGATGGTTCTCCTCAGCATTTACTTCAAGCTGCTTTGGCTTCTGTTACATCACAAGTTGGCCATCACCAACCACTTCCTCCTCAACCTGTTACTACCTCTAAAAGAAAGAATAATCATGACAATAAAGATACTACAAAAAGAGCGAAAAAGGCTTCTCCTAGAGATAAAGAATATGCTGTTCGTCGTAAGTATAAACTGTATATATATATATATATATATATATATATATTGGACTATTAATATCTAATTATTAAACTGAAACATATATATATAGGTAATGAAATAATTCAAGACTTGTTAAAAGTATCAGAAGCAGATTTATTACATCAAGCTAATATAGTAGATAGTGAAGTTAAACTCATTATTCAAGGGCATGAAAGGTCCACGAAATTCGGCATGCTTGCTCCTCTTCATCGTTTTGCTGCATTTGCCAATTTACCTGCTCATTATGACTGTGATTTTGCACCCAAAAATGCAGGCGTGTATTACAACTACGAGTACTTTCAACTCTATTTGGCTTATCGTGATTTAGAAGCTGAACGCCAGCAACAACAACAAATGGAAGGAGGTGATCCTCGATCAATCTTGTCACAATGTCGTGCTGATATTGAAAAGGTATTGGTCAGTACAAATTGGGAAGCTATTCGTCGTCGTTTGACGATTGGTGAACGTATCTGCCAAGTGTGTGGTATAGTTGGACGTGGTTTCTTACTGTTAAGTAAACAGGTCTCTGGACGTAAATTGTTACACAATTTTAACACAGGTGAATGGGGTGAATTTATGCGCGAATTTGAAAAGCAAGAGAATCAGCCTTTATTACAAACTCTTCAAACAAAATATAATCCTGAGAGATTTTATGGTCCCCGTCAAGAATTACTTATTGTTCCCGCTAGTGCAGCTGAAATGTCTCATATGACTGGACTCCCTGATACTGCTGCTACTGCTACTACTGCTACTGCTACTGCTACTGCTACTACCACCACCACCACCACCATCAAAACTGATATGATAAATACCACACCAGAACCATCGACATCAACGGTGGCAACTGCCCCCGATAGTACTGTCTCAGTTGGCTTAACTACTCCTACAATCACGTCGGATAATATAAATGCTACACCAACAGATAATACTGCAAATAATAATAATAATAATATTGTTGCAACTGTTGAATCGGCCCCCGCTTCTCCAGATCATGTTGCAGCTGTTGCAGCAGCTGTTGCAGCAGCCGTTGGTACACCTGTCACTGACACCGCCACACCTTTATCCACTTCTACTGAAACTAAAGAATAATAATAGTATTCTATATACGTTTTATTTCCTTTTTATATATTTATTATATTGTCATGAAAAGAAATATCCAACAAAAAAAAATGCTTATTTTACACATATTATAATAAAACTCATCTATATTGATTTTTATCACATTGTTAGTCATTTCTTCCATCACAATATCAATTTTTTTTTTTCGACATTTTTCGTATAAATATAAATACATATATAAAAGCAAAAATGTAAAGGTATTGTATACACGGCAATTTCTAAATACAGTCTTCTTTCTCTTGTTTATTAATTTAAAGAATACCTTGTCTTTTAAGGTCTTCATAAGTCTTTTTGTTATACACATTTCCTTCTGCATCTTCATATTCTTCAATTGTGTCAGCTCTAGCTGCTTCATTCATATTTTCCCTCTTTTGTTTTTCATACACTTTGATAAAAAAAAATATACATAGATAAGAAAGAATATCTAATATTATATTACATTGTTACTTACATGCATATGCATCTTCAATCTTTGTAATTTCATGGAATTGACGAGTGTTTGGAATACCTAAACAACGCATGCCATGCGCATGTCTCCATTCTTGAAAGTGTTTATCAAAAGCCTTTCTGCCCATATACACATAGTTACCACAAATCTCACATGGATATTCTACTCCCAAACCATGTAATTTATAAAGCCAATATGGAATAGGCTTGCCATCCCAACCAAGTGGTAATTTAAGAGGATTATAGATTCTTTCATCGTCTTCATCATCAGATTCTTGGTCGATAATCTCAATTTGTTCTTGCTCTTGTTCCAACTAATAACAAAGATAAGAAAAAAAAGATATTATATTATTAATTAAAACTTACCGCACGTTCTCTGTCTGTTAATGCTTGTTTTCTTTCTACATTAGATCGAGTTTCTTCTCTATAATCATTTAATGCTTGAGCATATTTTGAAATCAACCATTCCTTCCAAGCAATAGCTTTTCTTTTATCATCTTTTGAGCCAACAACACCATTTGTTTGTTGTTTCTCTTCATCTAATTTCTTTTGTGCTTTGATGTGTTTTTTAGCTGTTAAATGTGCGTCATAGACTGTTTGTTTTGTAAACTGCTTTTGACAAGCTTGACAAAACAGATTATTATCTTGATTATCCATATCTTCCCAGCCTTTCACTTGTCCTTCGCTCCATGCCTCGTTAAATTCTTTCAAGGCCTTTTCTTCCAGTTCACCGAGATCATATAAAGGCTTTGCACGATGAAAAAAGCTTTCAAGATAGTCAAAAAGCTCATTTAAGTAGTGTTTATAATCTTCACTTGATTTGGTTGATTTCGGATAAATTGTTGCAAAGTCATCAAACTCGCTTAAGAACTGAAGATAGTCTAATTTTTTAACTCCCTTCAAGTTAATATAAAGTATATGAACTGCATTCAAATCAAGGTATCTTCCAAGACTCTCTTCACCAGAAAATAGTTTTTCCAATTCTATATACATACATACATTGACATTTGTAAGTACTTTGGAAATAAAATAATACAACATTTACCTTCAAAATCTTCTTCTTCTTTTCTCTTTACCATATTGGTGAATTCTATTTCTGGTAGTTCAACGGGTTCATTTGGGTATTTACGATGATGTTCTTTAATAACTTTGAGACGTTCATAAAACTCATTAAAATCTGAAGATCCAGAAAGTGATTCCATTTCTGATTGACGAAGACTAATAGAAAAATAATTAAAAAGAAAAAAAAAAAGAAATGAAAAGATCGCGTTCAGTATTTTTACATTTGATGAATGACATTGTATTGATAATTACCCATCTTTATCTTCATAGAGTTCAGCAAGATAGGCACTCTTTTCGGAAATACGAGTTAAAAATTTATTAACAGCATGTTCATTAAATAATCTTTCACGATGAGTTTTTGCATCTTCCATGTATTGATCAACAATAGCTTGTTCAAGTTGTTCAATGACTTCATGGGCACTTTTTTTTTATTATTTTAATAAGTAAAAAAAAACAGTTACTGTTGTATATTACTAATATTATGTTTTTTACCTTCTTTGTTTTTCAAGTATGTTATCCATTGTAATTAGATTTATATAAAAAAAAAAAATATTATAAAAAGAAAAAGAAAGAGAAAAAAACGGGAACAGTATTCTACTGTAAGCAACAATTTCTTTAATAAAACTCAGCCACACAAGCATGGTTTATAGGCAGTGTAAAGCATTTGTTTTTGTTTTTTTTTCTTCTTTTTGTTTTTAAGAAAAACAAAGGCTCACAAGTTAATGCAACAATCATTTGATAGTTTACAAGGTAAAAAAAAAAAAAAAAGAAAATAAAAAGAAAATAAAATAAAAAATAGCACTATATATATATATGTATATATATAAAGAAGGGATAGTGGTATTTTTTTTTTTTGGAACGATTATATAATATGTAATAGACATCTTCACTCAATTAAATATTAACTTATCTACTGAAGAGGAACAACAGGTACAATATCTTTTACCTCAATGGAAAGATATTACTTCATTCTTAGATGAAGCAACAAAAGGTATATTTTATAAAGCATTCAACATTCATCTCTTTTTTTTTTTTTTTTTTTTCTTACGATTTGTGTTAACATGCATGTAATAGATTTTGACGTTGGGCAATTAGTTCATTTACAGTCATTTACTTTATTTGATGCAATGAGTGCAATTGAAATTATGGATCCACGCATGGATACAGGCATAGCTGTAGAGCAAACATTTACTCAATTTGACATTCAAAAACGTCTTACAGCTGAACAAGTGTTAGGGATTATGGATCGATTAGTTACTTGTGAAATGGCCTGGATCTCTGGTCATTCATTAGCACAAACAGTTTATACGTGTATTTATTTTCATCATACTGAAACTCTTAATAAGCTTCATATGCCCAAGTTGACATCAAAGGTAGAAGATATTATCTATGGAGTCTTGAGAACATATATTCTTGCCACTGTTAAATGCTGTCAGTATATTTGGACCGAGATGACACAGGGCAATGTATATGAGGTTAGTTTTGTTATAGAGAGTATTGATTACAAAAACGAGTGGTATTTATTTATTTATCTACTTAGGAAGAAGATTTTACAAGCAATTTGTTTGGATTGAACTTTAATGATCAAAATCCAGATGTTATTATTTTTAATGATTTAGATACTTCACTCATGTTATTAAAACATGTATTAACTACGGAATTATCAGGTAAAATAAAATTATATGAACATCAATACAAATAGAATAAGTTTTGATTGATCATGGTTGTCTAGATGAATATAAAAATACTATAAGAGCCATTCTAAATCGTGTAGAAATTTGTAAATCATTCTTGTTATCACTTACATATTTATCAATGCCAGAAGGAAGTCATTTGATGCAAGCTAAAAATGAATTAAGCAAGATGATTAAATTGTTAGATCAAGTTGATTTATCACTTGGACAAGAATACCCTGAAGCATTCGATCCCAACATTAATCGTAAATTAACCTCACAAACACCTCCTCGACCCATTGAATTAGCATCCGATGCAGAGTCTTTGAAGGAATATGGATTATTAATAAAAAGATTATTATCTATTTGTTCTGTCATTGAATTCCCTTCAGTTACTTCATTAATGGTAAAAAAGAAAAAAAAAATTCAGGTCTTTTTATTTAATAACACATTTATTAGAATTATTTTTTAACTTTTGGATCACGTCGACCTTATGCTGATGCATTTTCGAGATCAAAATTAAATGTAAGTTATTTCAAAAAAATGTACAAATTAACTGATAAATAAAAAAATTAAGGTGGAAAAAAAAACAAATAGACATTATTTTTTCATCAACAACAAATATTCGGTAAAATACCAGTTCCTCAAATGATTTTAGCATCAATTAAAGAAACTGTTTATCCACCTTCTTGGTGGTTATATCCTCTTAAAAGCTCTGCGATTCCTTTCAATATTAATCCAGCCGAATATATGAATGCACATGATATTTTGAAGGCACATTTGGATAGAATTTCAATGGTAAAGATTAGATCAATGTTTTTTATTTATTTCATTTATTTATTTGTTTAGGTATTTGTTGAGCTGTTTAGAGTCAATTGTCATAATCGATCACGTCAAAGAAGAATATTATGTAAAATAGTAAATGAATGGGAAATCTTACAAGAAGAAGCAGCAGGTGTAGATGAAGTATTCCATGCATTACAAAAAGATAAAGATGGAAATCCACTCGATACGCCATATTATTTCTCTTCATGGGCATACAATATTAAACTAATGATGATTGAAAAGATTTTATTTTTGGGATTTGAATTAGATTTATATGGAGCTCATGAATATATCATGATTTATTGGTAATTCGAAGCTATACTATCTATAATACATACATGTATTTAACATTCTTCTTTATAAGGTATATTCAATGTGTTTTAGGCAGTCGAGCCTATTTATTAGATAGGATTTATAATTATCTCGACCAGAGAACGGCTACAGATACTACTGAATCTCATCATGTCTATCATGGTTTACGTAAAGATCAATTGTTAAATCACAGTCGAAAAAAATTATCAGAAGCCATGTTGAAAATTTTCTTGGCAGCTAAATATACGCATCAATTTGATCAAAGAAAACTTGTATTTGATGATGAAAAGACAAGATATTTACAACGCTTCAAGCCCTTTGCAAAGTTAATGTCACCTCCTCATCCAACTTATGACATGTTTTTAGAAACAATACAAGTGGATAATCTTGATATTCCTAGTCTTTTGAATGTCATCAAAGACGACCTTACAGAAACAAAGAAAACGTTAGAGGCTCTGTTAAGTATGAAACAAGAAGAGACAAATACAGAAATGTGTTATGATTACTTTAAAGAAGTAAGTATAATCATTTTAAGTCATCACATCTAGAGATATTTAATATGTATATTATTATTAGGAAATCAAGAATATAATTCGTACCATTGTAGCCAATAGCATTGGTTTAAGCTATATTGTCCCTGACAAGCAAGATCATAAGCCAATGATTGACATAGATTTTAAATATCATCCTTATTTCCCTATCATTAAGAAAATGTAAAATCAAATATATACATATACGCATATAGAACAATAAGCATATAATTATAGAATAAGAGTCTATATATGTATATTATTATTATATAACGACCTTTCTACATCTGGTATGTAATTCAATAGTGTATTTTTTTTTATTAGACCCAGAAAGAAATTACTCTCTAAATTATAAAAAAAAAAGAAAAAAAAAAGAAAAAAAAAAAAAAAAAAAAAAAAAAAAAAAAGAGAATGTGTGTACATGTGCAAATTCTTTATATATCTATATACAAAAATGAATTATATTTGATACATTAACATTTCATTTCTTCTTGCTTTTCTTTTCCTTCTGTTTCTTCTTCTTCTTGGTTTTTTGTGTGGTATTGTATTTTTCTGTTTTTGACTTTTTTTGTATTTTTGTTCTCTGTATCTTTCTTTTCGTTCTTTTCGATCTTTTTGTATTATGTTTTTCTCTCTTAGTTTTTCGTTTCTTATTTTCATTTTCAGTTTTTGGTATTGTAATTTCTGATATTCGTCAATGGCGTCGTCTTTTAATAAACATTCCCTCGCTATTTCACCAATTTTATCAATGTCTTTTCTATCAATGTGGGATCTTAGCATTGACTTCAAGAGGTATCTCCAAGTGACAGCATTGGGTTGAATTTGCTGTTCGGACATATGCTGATAAATAATGACAGCAGTTTTAGCATCTTTAAATATGGCACAACCTTGGATGAGAGCAGTATAGACTTCGACAGTGGGTTTAACGTGATGTTCACACATGTGATCAAAGATAGCGATAGCCTGTTTTAGATCATGTTTAGCAAAACAGGAAATGAGGGTGGTATAGGTATAGATATGAGGCTGTGTAAAACCTGTAAGACGACGAAAGATATTCATGGCCTCTGTCGTGGCAGGCACGGAGGAATGAAAGAAATCTGCTTGAGAATGAATACCTGCATCCCGCAATATATCAGAACTTAGATGACTTGAGGGGGAACTATATTTGGCCTTCCTCAGGTCTGAATCACGATGCGCTAGGGCCTTTATGATACTGGTATAAGCACGTTGATTAGGCTCGATCCCTTCTGATTGAAGCGACTTGAAGAGTTGCCAAGCTAAATTTCCTTCATTATTCATCACTAGACCTTGAATGACCATCGCCAATGTAATGGAATCCGGTATATACTCTGACCTCAGAGAGGCAAAGACACTGAGTGCGGCAGGTACATCACGACATTGAAAGAGAGCATGTGTTAAATAATGTTTCGCTCGTCCCTTTATAACCTGATCTGGTTCCAGTTGGCGATGTAAATCAAAGGCCTCCACCACTTTAGCTTTATCTCCTTTAGCACCATACCCCCCTACTAAATGATTCACCATGATACTATTGACCCATGATGTATCGTGTTGATACAGTCTATCAAACTCCTCTCGTGCTTTCTCTACGTCTTGTTTTGTTTTGTACCATATTAAGGCTGTTCTCAGTCTCGTGTCTTGATCTTCAAGCTTGATATCCTTAAAGATCATCTCGGCCGTCTCTTCAGCTATCTTGAATTGTCGATGTCGGATCGCGTTTACTAACAGGGAAGTCGCAATCGGATTCGATAGCCTTTCATGTCTCCTTCGATATTCCTTTAATAACCCTTTGGCTCCTACAAAATCCCCTGATATCCCATAGGCCTCCATCATGGCCCCAAACGTAATTTCAGTCGGCTCTATCTTGTACTTTCGCATCTCTTTAAATAAATTCTTAGCCACCTCCAGGTTCCCCTGCCGTGCAAACCCGATGATGAGTGAGGTATAGACATAGACGTTGAAATGATGATGATGACGACGTTGATGATGATGATGATGATGATCATCATCATGTTTTGATGCTGCGTTGTTGACCTCCTCTACTTGGTTCAAGAACTCAAGAGTGAGTCCCTCAAACTGTTTAAAATGGTTCCGTGAGGTCAAGAGGTGGACGACAAGGGTGACTGTGATGTCGTCAAGGGCTGTAGATCGTTCCTTCATGCCTTCGATGATGAAACGTGTTATCCTTTTAATCCAAACAGGGTGCTTAACGTAATAACTGTTCTTCAAAGCGGTAGCAAGTGAATGATAATGATTTGTGGTGGGGAAATAATCGGTGCGGTTCGTTGATTGAGCTGTGGCAGTAATGGCCCGAATCAAATCATACGCTTCCTTCACACGCCCCTGTTGTCCCATCCCATACAAGACCTGTGTGATGTGGTAGACGGTTGGATAGACCTTCTCCCCCGTCGTCCCTTCCTGTGCATGATGTGTCTTCATGTTTTCAAGGACAGTTAGCATCTCGACTGCAAACGGCTGTTTACTATGCTTTAATATATCCAACAAATGACCATATTGATGCTCGTTCAAGTACATGTCCACCTTGTGTTCCACCATAGCTTGATAGATACTCCAGGCCTGCTGAGCATCATATTTGTATGTATTGTAGAGTGCCGTTCGTAAGGTCTTGAATATTTTCTTTTCACCAAGTGTGTCCTTGGCCATTTGAAGATAATTAAGCAGACCATCTAAATCGATACATTTGCTCATTGTACGTGGATGAAATTGACGACCTAGTTCCACGAGATCACTCTCATTCTTTTCTTCTTCTTCTTCTTCCCTTTTAGGTGGTTGTGTACTGAGAGGTCTTGTTACGAGATACCATAAAATAGGTCGTAGTCGAGGTCCGTGGCTGGTGAGTGGTAGTCGTTTCGATGACACGATAGAGGTTGTCATGAATAATCGTTTATGAAAGCGTTCTAATTCAAAGCAACGTTGTTTTAATAAACATTGAGAAGATTTCGCTCTCCTTGTTGATAATGTAAGAGCAGATCGCATGTCTTTAATCTATCTATATTATAATCAAATTCTATACTATAATCAAATTCTATTTTTTTTTTTGAGGATAAGGAAGAGGACGAAGATGAAGATGAAGATGAGGACAAGGGATGTGGGATAAGGGGAAAAAAAAGCTGAATTGGTATCTATCCCTACACACACAAACGCACGTACACAATTTTTTATTTATTATTGTTAAAACAGCTTTTTATTATTATTATTATTATTATTATTATTATTATTTGACAGATTTTGACCCCCCTCAGGCAAAAAGAAAAAGGAGGGGTTCATTTGAGTTTTAATTTGACAAGGAAAAAAAAAAAAAAAAAAAAAAAAAAAAAAGAGTTTCAGTAAATAACCCCAGGTCTAATCGGAGAGAAGCAAGTAATGGTTAGTAACGAGTGTCTGTAGTTCTATTTTATATGGCAAGATTTTAGTAAATAATGTTATAAATTACAAGCAATGTAACAATGAGTCTTTGCATGGTAGAATTGATGGTTGTTTACTTGATGAAAGACATTGATAAGGGAGAGGAGTTGTTCCTTTTATTAAGTTCGAGTACATGTACAAGTGAATTTTTTTTTTATTCAAATAATGATGGCTTTTTTCTTTTTTTTTTTTATTTAATTAAGCAGTTGCTTTCCATGCACTATAAATTTGAAAAATAGAAGCGAATCCACCAAATACACCTACCAAGACATCTGGGAAATTTGATTTCTCCAAAGACCAATGAATAGTTAATGGCAAATAACTAATGATAGTAAATGAGCAAATGAATATATATATATATATAACATCCGTTTATTTTCTTACCCTGTATTAATACATGTATTCACGAACATTGTTATTCTCTCTGCTTTAATAGAAGCCATCTCAGCTTCAGGGTCTTCACATGTCTCAATATCACCCGCTTTAATACGTTTTAATAAACCAGTCTCCCTTCTCTTTAAATCTTTGTATTGTTCCATCAATCTACCATATTCCAAAATAACATAAGCAGCCCAGAAACGACAACTCCAGATGCCAATCTTATTCGTCTTTTCTTCACTCAATGGGATCACGTCATGAGCACCTAACCAATAGATATGTTCTAAGGGGTAATAGATGATATTAGCCCAATTCTGAAGTCGTTCGATTGTTAAAGCCAATTTGGTTGAAGGTGGATGATATTCGAGATAATTCATATATTGTATCATAGGTAATAGACCATAATAACGTAATAAGATTCTAAAATCACTTACGGGGCCAGCCAAGTTTTTTATACGTTGTATTAAAGAAGCTGTTGTCTTTAATGAACCCTTCTTCTTCCTGTATATAAACCAAATAATCACTTTTGACCAATATTGAATAAACTACATATGAAACATGCTAAAAGATTAGGTATACATACATAAATTATCATTATTATTATTTACCATAAGCACTTTATCTGTGCCTCGAACAGAGTTTAGGAAACGAACAAGATGGTCTAACTTTGGGTTAGAAGAACCTAACAGTTTAGCAATAGCTAAAGGATTTATTAATTCTTTTTGCTTTTCAGTCATGAAGGAAACAAAAAAAAAAAAAAAAAAGAAAAGAAAAATAAAAAAAAGAAAAAGAAAAAAAAAGAAAAAAAAAAAAGAAAAGAAAAGAAAAAAAAGAAATTGAATTTTCATGTGAAATAATCTGGAAATTACATAATAAATGTGGAGAATTTTTCTACTCGTTACACACTGAATTAAAATAGATTATAATTATTACAAATATTTATTGTTATTTTACTCAAGACCATGACTCTTGGGCAAGAAAGATAAATCATTGAAATTATTAAAACCTGAAACAAAGCTTAATTTCCTAAAGTTATTAGTAAATGTACTATTTTATTATGTAAATAAAATAAGGGGAAACATTTATTCCCGTTACATATTTAAATTAAGGGGGAAAGAAATATGTATAGTAGGAAGGGAAAAAAAAAAAAAAAGGAGAAAAAGTAATAACATAGAATACCAAATAGATATTATTTTGCTTGTTTGTCTTTACAGGGTAAAAAATGATAAAATAACGTGTAAATATATATATTTTTTTTCTTTAAGAAAAGCTTTTTTTTTTAAACAAGAAAAAAAAAAAGGGGGGGTGGAAAGGGGGAGGATAGAAAAGGGCTATTTATATATAATAAAAAAAAGGGGGGATAAGGAAGAAGAAGGTAAAGAAATATATATGCAAATATGAAAATATGATACAAATAAGGTTTCTTTTTTTTTCTTTTTGTAACCTTTTTGCTTTGTTTTTTTCATGAATGAAAGAGGAGTAGGGTGATATAGGGTTTAAGCTTTTTTTTTTTGTCTTTTTTTTTTCGTCAGTATATATAAATATATATGTATATAGGAATTAAAAGTTGATTATTTACAAAGTGAATGAATTAAAGAAGTGGTTCCCAGAATGGCCCTGAATCAAATGAGAATTCTGTGAGATCTTGTGAACAAATAGTAGAAGGAGGAACATTCGCAGCATATCGATGTACTGCTTGAGGAGACATCATGTCAGGTACAATTGAATTATTGCTTCTAATAAAGTTAAATATCATATTAGTATTATTATTTTCTTTTAATGTACATCTTTACTTACAAGTTTTCACCAAGAAAAACGTCAGTTGCATTAGGAGCAAATAAACCTTTTCTAACTGATTCAAGAGATTGGAGAAGAGCTAAGCGAGATAAAATTTCTAAACTTTCAGGATCCAAAATAAGCATGTTTTCATCTTTAAATTCAAAAGGTTCGTTTGAATTCAAGTTTTCATTAGGCGTTGTTACTTCACTTGTTTCTTGACTACTTGTACTACTATATCTTGACTCAGACAAAACGTCTGGCCAATCTGTAGGTGTCTCAGGACCAGGTAAATCAGTTGAATAGCCATCATCATCCAAAGGAGGAGGAGAAGAAGAAGAAGATAGAGCGGATTCTGATGATAGAATAGATGAAGTAGGAATAATCTCTGTTGAAGTTGTAATCATAGTGGGTGATAGTTGTTCTTTTTCAAAATATGAAATAGGTTTATCATCAATTTCCATATGATCTTCTTCTACTACTTCTTCCTCAAATTCATCATCATCAAATTCATCATCAGTTGTACTTGAGTTTAAGGCAGCAATACGCTGACTCTTCCATTGAGCAGCATATCTCCAAGTAATTGAACTAAGTAATTTTGAATTTTTATCATTTGTAGATGAACCAAGTGATAAGAAACAGGAAGGACAACGAAAGGTTTCTTCTTCTAAAGATTCTTGACTTAATTCAAGACATTCTAAATGAAGCCAACGATAACAATCGTCGCATTGTACCATGGATCCAAATTCTTCATGAGGTACATCACAAATACAATCAATAGCTTCTTTCTTCTTTCTTAAAGGAGGACGCTGTTGAAGAATAGATTTACGTTTCATTTGTATACGTTGTTGTTCTATTTTATCGTTATTTAATACAAGCTGTACTTTAGGAGGTCTTCCAGGACGTCTCTTATCAGTATTAGTATGATTTGTTTTATGTGTTGCAGCATAACGACCTATATAAATAATATATATTTAAAAAAAAATAGTTATATCAAAGACATTATAAATTACTTTACCATGCTGACAATAATGAAGGTATTTATGATGATAAAGTTCTTTCTCCATTCGAACAGATGAATCATGAACTAAAGATTCAATTAGTGTCGCTCCTAAACGAGCTGATTTCTCGTCTTCATTGTTGGGTTCAATTGGTTTTGTATCTGTGGAAAGTGTGAGTTGAATGGATTGATCTTCTTTATTAAAAGAAATTTGTTTTGTTTCACGAGAAATAAATGTAAGATATTGTTTAAGTAATCGAAGGTTGCGCAAAGATGAAGAAGATGATGGTGTTGATGATGAATTTATTGTATTTGACCAATCAGAGTTAGACAACGAGTTATCCATGTTCGTAGTAGTATGTGGTAATAAAGAGAGTGATTGTAAAGATGAAGTGATTGAATTAGTGACATTATGAACAGGGTCGTTATTGCTAGGTTTCTGTTTAGGTTGTTTGGTTAAGAATCGAGTAGCTTCTGATAAGCGATATCTAAATTGCTTAGCAATAGAATGAATATCATTTGAAGAATTATCATTCTTTTTAGTAGCCGTATTTGATGATCGACGCTTTAATTTGATAGAAACAACTTCAGATAATTTTGATTTTTGTTTGTTGGAAAGCTTTGTTACTTTCTTTGTATGATTTTTATTATTGCTATTATAAAAAAAAAAGATTGATGTCAAAATTGTGTATCGTTAAACAAAAAGACTTGCAATAACAAAAAAGATACTATCATACATGTATTTGATGTTCTTTACTTTATCTTTCCCCTTATATTTGATCCTTTATGAATAAGTTTATAAAGGATACAAGAAGATCAAATAAAATAAAAGGAAATAAAAGGAAAATGGGAGAAAGTAAAAGAACAAAAAATAAATCAAGAAATATGATAGGCTCTGTTGCAAGGCAATAATAATAATGTTAAAAAATATAAATATGTAAAAATAAAACTCACAGTGATTTCATGATGTTGACTAATTATTATTATTTATGATTATTTTTCCTCTCTTTCTTTTTATTCTTTTTTATATTTTATTTTTTGTTTGGATGGGGAGGGAATCTGCCTAACTACCTTTTGTGGAATAATATGTAAAATAAAATATATATCTTTATCTTGTTTTTTTTTCTTAGAGAAAAAAAAAGTAGGTAAAAGAAAATATAAATAAAGAAGAAAAAGGAATATATAAAATTAAAAATAAAAAAAAGGTATAAAAATAAAATAAAATAAAATAATAAAAAAAAAAAAAAAAAAAAAAGTGGAGGAAAGCGAAAAGAAAGAAAAAAGAAGTTTATAGTTTAATTTTTTTTTTCTATTTTTTTTAATAGGGTGTGCGAATATATTGACCGTCTAAAAAAAAAAAATAATAAAAAAAAAATTGAAAAAGAGCGATCTCTTTTTCTCTTTTGTGACCGATTAAAGTTTCGGTATTGCTTTTTATTTGTTTCCGATTTTCACTTAATAATATCCTCCGAATGAAGAAATGGAATAAAAGTCGATTACTTTATATAATAATGTCGTGTTATAAATACACACATATGAATTTATAATATTTGGGATACAAATGCGTATATATCTTGGTGATTATATAAACCATTTATATACGCTACAATGACGTCACATTAGTTTTGTAATTTATGCTTTTTTTTGGATCTCCTTTATCTTATTAATTGCTGCATGTCATTCATACAAATAAATATAAATGAATATTATATTATAAAGCTATATACGTATACATATCAATTTATTCTCTTATTATTTTATTTTTTTGGAAGAAAGAGAAAAAGAAAAAGAAGATAAGCAACTATAGTTATAAATGAATAAACGCCAAGTAATAGTAAAACATTGTCATATTTATATAAATGCATAAAATAAGATTTAGCTCTAATATGTTTCTTTGTGTTATCTTTCATTATTATGTTATTCTACCTGTTACAAAACTAAGAATGAATCTTCCTTTTATAATAAAAATAGCGTTATTTATTCTCACTTCCTTATTATAAATACGACCCCACTTGTCTTTTTTTTTTTTTTCTTCTTCTTCTTTAAAAAGAAGGAAAAAGAAAGTAAGTTTATTATTATGGGTTGTTATTATGAATCTCCGCTGATCTTTGAATAGATAATAATTATATACTTTTTTTTTTTTTTTTTGCTTTACAAAATAGTACGATCGTCATTCATATATAATACTATAAAAAAAGAACTAGGCTATTTTTAATCCCATTTCTGCTATTACTATAGCTACTGTTGCTACAACAACAACAACAATAATAACTATTGCTACAAGCCTCGTATCGGAGTACAAATTGATAATGTGTGTTTTATTCTAATTTTTTCGCTATCAAATAACATTCCATTTGATATATTTTTTTTTTATAAAATATAAAAGTGATACATGAATATAATAATAGCCGTTTATCTATATTTTTATGTATATTTTTCTTTTTCTTTTTTATTATTTACTACAATTAGTCTATTTAGTCGTGTAACCCGCAAGCATGCAATGCTGGTCAATGTAACCAATTTTATGCGATTTTTTTTAAGAAAAAAAAAAGAGCCCTAATGAATTCTAGAACTTATTTAAAAGTAAATCATTCGATATTTTATTATAAGAAAAGGAAAAGAAAAAAAAAAGCTTTAGATGATACAGGTATATTTTCATGTGTATATGCAAAAAAAAAAAAAAAAAAAAAAAAAAAAAATAAGAATATCAATATATCATATAAGAAGAAGCATTACTATTTGTTTGTTTTTATATATAAAAAAAAAGATGAAGCAAAATAGAGCAATTGTATATAATGAATGTTACACACCTATGTACGGAATAAGTATAAATGGGCATATTATGCATCTATTTACTGTCTATGATATGCACATGTGGTGTGTTCAAGTAAATGTAATGGCTCATATAACCTTTAGCGGTCATTGAAACTAGATAAGTAATACTCTTGGACCTTATCACATACTATGCCTCCCATGCTTCCCCCCCCCTTTTTTTTTTTTTTTTGACAGCCAACGATTATTTTGTAGAATTTGTCATCTGCTCTTCAAGAAATTGTAATTTTCATAAATTATGATAGCGTTGGTTAAAATATCCCACAATAATAGAATCTGATGTCTGCTGCGTTCAATTATTTGCTGCTTGAGAGATTTACTTGAATTATGTTCATTCTTATACGCTATAAAGGATGAAATAAACAAAATGCAGATCATTGTCATCCCCTTTCTTTTCTTTTCTTTTGTGATTTAGATAAATAAGACTAGAGGAAGTAACACGTTGTTGAGATATCATTAATATGGATGTATCAAAAGATATAAATTCGAATCTAAAGCTATCATTATGAGATATCGTAGAGCCTTTACCCCTCAAATGTGTCGAGAATAGGTATGAAGATAGTGGTTTAATTTTTATACTCAGTAGAACAATAAATGTATAATGATAATAATGTAAAATTGTATAATTTATCTTACAACAACTATGATCATGCAACCTGTTTTTTTTTAGCATAAATACTCTTACAACTCATGCCGTAGAGCTTAAAACATACTTTTTTTTCTTACTTGAAAGAAACGTCCCTCTCTTGCCTCAAGGGCTTCTTTTTACTTAATTGTTAACATGGAACAGTATAGGCCGCTTTAGCCCAATCTAATGGAGGGAAAGAGAGAGAGAGCGATAAAGAACCTCTTTTTATGTTAAACAGTAACATGCTATAAAGGTCTTAAATGAACAACAATGTCTGGTTTCCTAGTTCTATTTCGCTGTGCTTTATCCTCCTTTCTATTTATTATTGTAAATGTGTATATATTCGTAGCGTTAAGGAAATTTTTAAATAAGCTTTAAAGTCTCTATTCTTTATTGTACTAGAATGTATATCATATTTTGTAATAAAGTACTTTATACACGATTTTTACTATCTAGAATATGTGTAGCATTGTATATACCACATGGGAACTTTATAATGTGCGTATTCTAAAATAATAATAATTGGATGTTTATTATCTCCCCCCTAACAATATCCCTTTACTTCTTGTACTATTATATATAAATAGGTGTATACATATTTGCGGGTATCATCCCTGGGATTTATAAACTGAAACTGTTTGGAGTATTTATTAAGCAAACCTACAAAACAATGCAGATTGTCAATCGTTTATGCATCACGTGTACTCTTAACTAAACTTTAACATATCTATTATTACACATAGTTATCAAGAATAACAAAAGAAACATGTCTTCAGTGTTATTTATTTGTTCCTATTCTACTAACGTCCTTTCTTGATGTATCAATCATTCGTATTACCTTTTGAAAATTCTATTATTACTTATTTCGGTATAAAGATCTGTCCTCTTCATTACTATGATTGTATGCTGCTATTACGACTTGTATGAATAACATAATCTGTATACTTTATATTTTTTTTTCTTTATCATTGATCCCTAAAGACCTATTTTTTAATTTTTTTTTTATCTTATCATTAAAACAGATTGGGACAGTTTTAATATCATTAACATAGTGTGTCCAATAAGGTTTCATAAAAAAAAAAAAGAACGAGGGGTGTGTACGTGCTAAGCAATAATAGTAACGCTTACTATATTTATCTATTTGTTATTCATTCATTTATTTATTTATTTTACTTGCTTATTTATTATCTTTACTATTATGCCTGTCCCAATCCGTACATTAACAGCAGCAGCTGGTCTTGGTTTAACAGGCGTAGGTGGTTATTATTACATACATACAAAGCAGGCAATCAAAGAAGCTGCCACGCCTATCACTGTAAAAGAATCTTTTGTACCTAAACATTATGATTCGCGTCCTTTTACTTTACTCACAAGTCAAGAGATTGATGAACGATTACGTGCAGGTCAATTTATAACCAAAACTAAGAATATAAATAATGTGAAAGCTGTTTATACAAACCAATTGCCTTCCAATAATCCTGTTGAAGATAATTATAGTATTCATACTTTTCAAAATGGTTTAATTGCTGGTGTTTATGACGGTAAATTATTATTATTATTATTAGTAAAAAAATTCTTTACGTTTAACTTTTTGTAGTATAGGTCATATTGGTCCTCAATGTTCTCGATTGATCAAAAAGCAACTCCCTATTTATATGGCTCGTGAATTAGAGCTTAATTATAATAATGAATCTCAGGAGAAGGCTATCTCTGATGCATTTGAATATTTAGATCAAGACATTCAACAACGTTTTTATGATCTCTTTCCTAAAAACATAAAACGTGTGACTGAAAGAGATATTCGCGCTGCTATTGAACGCCAACCTGATCAAGCAGCTACACATGCTATTATTAGTGAAGCCATTCATGGTTCATGTGCTTGCACTGTGTATCTAAAGGATGGTATTGTTTACTCTGCTAACACAGGCGATTCTCGTGTTGTCAGTAAGTTTTATACATGCATATATATATAAAGGAAATCATATTGATATAAATCAATCTTTATATAAAAGTCGTAAGTCAAGAAGAAGATGGTACTTGGAAGGGTAGACGATTAGTTGAAGAACAATCTCCTGCTAACCCCGAATGGCGTGCTCATATGCTCTCTCAACATCCTTCAAATGAATCTGATGTACTTGTGATGAGAAAACGTATATTTGGTTTGATTGCGGTTGGTGGATGTAAGTGTCTATGTCTATAGCATGCATATAAAATACACACTATATTTACATTTTTATCTATTTCAAAAAAAAATATAGCATTTGGTGATATCATGTATAAAGTCCCTGTGGAATACCAAATGAAAGTATTTCCGTACATTCCTTATGACATTTATAAAACATTTGCACGATATCATCATCGTATTGTTGCCAATTATCGTACGCCTCCTTATCTTCAATCTAAGCCACTTGTTTCTCAACATAGGTTAGAAAAGAAGGATCGATTTATTATTTTGGGTACAGATGGATTATGGGACGAATTAAGTTGGACTGATGTGCGTAGTAGTGACGGAGATGAAGCAGCAGCCAAGATCATGAGTCAATGGAAGAAGAGCACCGAAGCTAATCCTGCAACCCATCTTATACGACAGGCTCTGTTATTAGATGCCGTATATAAAAATATAGGAATAAAAGAAAAAGTAGAAGATGAAAGCTATGAATTATCAAAACGATTGACAAGAAAGCCCTCTCGTAATTATCGAGATGACATTACTGTTACTGTGATTGAATTAACAAATAAAGAGGATCAATCTGACATTGTAACTGATACAGCAGCACTAGGGCCTATGTATGAAGCAGAAGAAGTAGATATCAATGTTCCAAGATTAGTTGATCCAAATAGAAAATCTTCATGGTTTTCTGGTTGGATTTGGTCTAGGCTTTAAAAAGTCAAACTCTCAATAATAATAAATAACACGATAGGATATTTAATTGGAAAACAAAGGGAGTACAAATAAAACTTCAAATATTGTAAATTTATTAGAAGCACACTATTTATATATTATTATGATTACTATTATTATTATTATTATTATTATTACTATTACTATTATTACTATTAAAAGGAAATTAAATAAATATACGTAAGCTGTATAATATTAAAGAATTTATACTGTACAAATCTATATTATAAATAATAAGGCTTTAAATTGTTATTACACTGGGATCACCATTCTATGAAAGAAATAAATGAATATCTTTTCTTTTTCCAAATAAAAAAAAAATTAAAACATTATCATATACACACTTACAAAAGGATGACGCCAGCCACATTGAAATTCATCTTTTTTATAAACTCTATCTGCACTAGTAGAAGTATTATAACCAATATGATACATGAGTAAAGTTTTACTTGTAATTAATGAATCAGTACAAAAGGAACATTCTGGTAATTGACCCCTTAAACATTTCTGAATAATAATATCAGGTGGCATATCTGCATATTTTAATAATAATTTTGACGTTAAACGTGCTACATCTGGTTTCAAGAAAAGACCGCTAATAATAATAATAATAATAGAAAGTTTTAGTTGAATTGCCTTTATGTATATATGTATGTATATATGTGTATACATACCTTCCACCTGTTCCAACAAATATCCCACAATGATTTGGTCTCGTTTGATGTGCTTGGTAAATAATATTTTCAATTTCATGCCATTCACGTTGACCACACACAGGGAAATCATCTTCCATTAATGCATAATAGGTACTTTGATATGTATTTGTTACATAATCTAAAGCCTTTGAGACATGAAGTCGTTGATTCCAATCTTTACCTTCTTCTTGTATCCATCTTAAATAACGTTGACCTTTAGTCGTCTTTGAAAAATAATCTTGGGCGAGATCATATTGAGAATGATTTGAGAAATGAGTATAGATGATAGCTTGCATATGACTATAAGGTGAATCTGGGGAAGGGTCCTCTGGCCAATTGGCCAGATAGGTTTCAATGGTTCTTGTCAGATAAGCTGGATCACCTCGTCGAGGTGCGGTCATGAAGACAAGGGTGAAGAGATATTGATCATCATTGGACATAATCGTACTCAACTCACTCGACGTAACTAAAGTCTCTTGTGTATAATAAGAATTCAAGGCCATCAAGACGGGTAAAGTTAGGGTGACTACCATGACTGATTTTTTCATACTGGACCAAATCAATCTCCAAAGTGGAGTACGTCGATATCTTTCAAGGGTAATAAACTCCATTACGTCTTTTACTTTACCTGAATCTTCTCGTTTTTCATGAGCCAAGAGCGTTTGAAGGGCAATCGTAGCCAGGAAGCCTGTTATCAAACCAGATAAAGACCACCAAAGAATATTTCGAACTGTATAGTTGATGAGACACATGAACAGTTGTAATGTCACTTTACGTACTGTTACTTTATGATTAGAATCTTCTTGTCCATAAATTAATATATATTTATCGTCAATACAGAGTGACTGAACTACCAACAAAGCAAATAAGAACGGAGATAGACCTATTCATGAATATTGAAATAAAAAAAAAATATAAGTATAAATGTATACAAATCGATAGAATGATGATTCATTCGTTCATTCATTCATTCATTCTCTCTTTCACTCTTATTAGGATGCTTTTTTTTCTTTTCTTTTTTTTTTTTTTTTTTTTTTTTTTTTTTTGTTTACCTTGGCTACACTCATGCATAGAATCACTAAAAAATAAAGAAGGAAAAGCCCAACCTGTCGATTTTGAAAATAAAAAACCTAACAAGACACGTAAACTAGATACAGACGTAAACAAAACGACAAGTAATTCTATAAATCGTCGCGTCCCACTCACGATATGAGATAATGATTCCTCAAAGAGACCTAAAATTAAGACATTCCAACCATAGAGCATGATACTCGGTAAGGTCCAATCAAATAAAAAAGGAGAAAATACCAAATTTTTTATGTCCAGACGATAAAGGACAAAAGAAGGTGAAGAACATGATAAATTCAAGATGTTTAGAGAATTAAGAGTAGAAACAAGAAGAGCAATAAGAATCATATATCTTGTTACGATAGGCAAAGGCCATAAGCAAAGAATTTTATGAGATTTACTCTTTTGTTGGTCTTCTAGTTGCAGATTGGCTGTGTGACCATGACTGCTACCATAAGTGGTATGATGTTTACGTATAGAGGTACTAGAACAAAAACTGGCATTACTGGAATTAAAAGAAAGTTGACGAGTACGATGATGACGAATGATGTATTTAGAATTTCTTCGAGTATGAGGTTTAACTATAGTTGTTAATGTTGTTGTTGATGAAGGAGTAGTAGATGAAGGCATGTTTAACAAGAAATTTCTAACATTACGAGGTGATACTACATTAGGTGTTGAAAAAGTACTAAAAGTAATGGGTATAGGTTGCGAGACAGACCAACGAGTTAATTGTTGTGATAAGAGAGAAGAAGAAGTAGGATGTATAAGCGGTTGTGTATGTGTTTGAGAGGTTAACTTTTGATTTTTTTGTTCCTTTTGATTTTGTATTGGTTCTATATGATGTTCTTGTTTTTGCTCTTGTGGTTCTAATGTTGTATTTTGTTGATTTTCATTAACATTATTTTCTTTTATTGACTCATTAGATATTAGATTATTAATGTTAACATTATTGGCATCATTATCTGAATTAGCAATAGGCATGGGGGTATTATCTTCAAGAAGAGCAGAATCTGAATGATGAGATGGTGAATCCCGATTTGACCTTGTTACTTCTTGTATAAGTCTGATAGAGCCAAATAGTTTAAAAAGAGAATCTCGCATATCCTCTTTTTTTTTTGTTTTTTTTTTCTATTTCTTTTTTGGCCTATTAAAGAATGATTTTATTGATTTGTTACTAGGTTATCGAGGAAGAAAAAAAAAACTTTTTGAAAGACAAAATAAAAAAATTTTAAGAGAGAAAAAAAAAAAAAAAGAAAGAAATAGGTCAATGAATAGAAAAATAGGAGTGAAAAAAAAAACGAGTGGAAAGAATAAAAATAAAAAAAAATAAAGAAAGGGGGAAAAATAGAAAAAAAAAAAATTAAAAATTAAAACAAATAAAAAGGGTTTATTTTATAACAGTGGATATTTCCTTTTTAAATAAAAAAAAGTTTATTCACAGCCCTCCACACAGAATAAGTTGTTATTGTCAACTTTCTTTTTAGGCTTTCAGTACTGCTGCTATTTTATTCCCGGATGATCTTCAAAGTACTGAATTTGGTAACTCAGCCTGCTTAGACTTCTTCTTAATTGAAATACAGAATTAACTACTTATTTGTGAAACATGGCATATATTAAAACAAAATTGTTCATATATCAGCCTTTTCTTTGATGATAAAGTCATTTTTCTTCTTGAACAAGCATGGCGTCATTTTAAATTTAGTCAACGTGCAATAAATAGTAGCTCTCTCTATTCATATTCATCAAAGAAAAAGGGAATTTATTAGAACCAATTGAACTGGATATGACGTTATAGACTGAGTATGACGTATAATAGTATAATAAAGAAATCAATCGTTCGGCTTATCCTACTTTCTTTATTCTTTATTCCCCTTATATGACATGACAAATGTTCTTGTTATACATGTCAATAGATTGTTCTATAAATATGACATATAAAAAAAATCAGGTTACAATGTAATAAAGTCCTTTTACTGTTAAATATCAAATAGAATGAATAATTATTTTATTATTATCGTTGTTGTTTCATTAGTAATTAAATTTGCTATTGTGGAGAATGCATTCAAGAAGAGATATGTTTCACAAAGAACATGATTTGTTGTTGTAGACAAAAAAAAAAGGAGAATTAGTAAAAAAATTGACTAGATTTAATTCCAAATACGACTACACTATTAGGGAAGGGGAGGGGGGAAATTAAAGTATTTTGCTTATTTGAATACAAATCTTTAAGCAGAAGAACTTGAAATATTATAGATTTTTTGTTGGAAATACATATATATACATATAACATATGTAAAGGCACGTGCATATATATAAATCTATTGCTGAATTATTATCTACAAAGAAAGTCACGATTTATTCTTTATGTTTCTAAACAAAAGTACTATAGCTTCAATGTGCTTTTCTGTTTCTCTCTCTTTCTGTCTTTTCTTTTCTTTTTTTTTTTAATAATCATTATAACTCATATTAGATAACATAAGAATATATATGTATATATTCTTATATAAAGATCATATAATACTATCTTTTATATACACACGTATATATATATATCTAAATTAAAGATGAATCCCTCAACATTATTTATTTACAGGTATTTTTTTTTAACTTTATATTAAATATGTATGCATATTCACATATATAGAAAAGCTTGTGCGTTGTATTAGTAGCAGTATAATATTATGCTGTGTTATTTACCTGTCAAAAGCATGCTTAATAAGATTAAGATTCAGTTACTGTCTGCATTTAAAAAAAAAAGTCAAAAAAAAAAGTGAAAAAAAAAACTTTTCTTTTCTATCGGCTTCTCTTCCCTATACATATATATATATATATATTATCTTTTAGAATCAATGCGTTTAAAGGCATTTTTAGAAAGAAAGGGGCTTTTAGCCATTGGATTTATGATCACTATCATAACACTATTCAGATTAACTAGTCATCCATTCGTTGAAAAAATTATGCAACCATTACCGTATTACAAAAATAATGATGTACCTGTATGTTTACCTGAAAAATATTTTATAAAACAAAAGCCTGTGATAAGAAAGGCAAAGGCAGCTATCGTTATCTTGACACATAATGATGAAAGAGACAGAATCGTTGAGACAATCATCAATTTTGAGGATAAGTTTAACAAAAATTTCCATTATCCATATGTCTTTTTAAATAATGAACCTTTTAATGAAGATTTTAAAGATGCAATGCGTCTTGTTGTATCATCAGAAACTGACTTGAACTTTGGTCTTGTTCCAAGAGAACATTGGGGATATCCGGAATGGGTCGATGAAGAAAGGACAACTAAAACTAGACAAGAAATGAATGATGCTAAAAAAGGTGGATTAGAAAGCAATCGATATTATTCAGGCTTCTTTTTTATGCATCATTTACTAGATGAGTAAAGTGAATAATATATACATGATATGATTTATGTCTGACATATATAAATATATATACATATATATACATATACATATACATATACATATACATATACATATACATATACATATACATATACATATACATATACATATACATATACATATACATATACATATACATATACATATACATATACATATACATATACATATACATATACATATACATATACATATACATATACATATACATATACATATACATATACATATACATATACATATACATATACATATACATATACATATACATATACATATACATATACATATACATATACATATACATATACATATACATATACATATACATATACATATACATATACATATACATATACATATACACACACATACACATACACATATAATAGTTATGATTGGTATTGGAGATTGGATTCAGGTGTAAAGTTGGACTGTGATATCACATACGATCCTTTCCTTTATATGGAAACATATAATAAGCAATATGGATTTGTAATGACTTTGAAGGAATATCAAGATACAAGAAGAATCTCTACTTTATGGAATAGTGTCCTTGATTATCTAAAAACGCGTCATATAAATGTAACAAGCAATAAGCATCATCATCATCATCATCACCATCTTGCATTTCCTTATTTCCTTGACGAGGAAGGTAATTATAACGCATGTTATTTTTCATCTCATATTGAAATAGCCTCTTTAAATCTTTGGAGAAGTCCTCAATATCGTGATTTCTTTCGTTATCTTGATCAAACTGGTAATTTCTTTTATGAAAGATGGGAGGATGCTCCTGTCCATTCAATAGCAGCTGGTCTTTTCCTTGATACAAATCAAATTCATTATTTTGAAGACATTGGATACCAATATCATCTCTATCGTCACTGTCCAACAAAAGAGAGTAAATTAGGTTGTCGTTGTCAATGTTCTGAAGAAGCGACCATGATGGATCATGATCAGAATTCGAAGACGTGTTTAACCATGTGGCAGGAATGGATAAAGACAGATAAATCTCGTAAAGCAGAATGGAATTTTAGTTATTTAGAAGATTATATACCTTTATAAATAGATATATTTCACTTGTATAATTCTTATATATATATAAAAAAAAAGGTCATAAACCATATTACAAATCATGAATAAATAAATTTAATATATTAATGGTAGACGACAGAAAGATGAAATAATGATAATAAAAAAAAGGGAGGGTGAGGGAAGAAAGGGATATCAAGGAAGGTAAATATAAGGGTATTATTATATAAAAAAAAAAAAAAATACACAACTACATGCTAAGAAAGTCTTGTTATTAGTCAAGCGATAAAGTACGACCACCGTCTACTTCTGAACTATCATTAGGATCATCTATTTTCCTCATAACTTTGTAATAGAATTAGGGTTACTCTATTTTTGTAGCTATACATCTGTTGTCTTTATAAATTATTAACTTACAATGACGTTTTAATCCTTTACCAAAGTTAGACCAGCAGATAGCTGCAATGATAGTGGTTAAAACTAGTAAAACCAATGTAACACAGGCTATGATTGAATATAACATTAATAACTATACACACCCCACATTCTCTCTTTTTTTTTTTTTTTTTTTTTTTTTCTTCTTTGATTATGTACCAAAAAAAGTAAGCACGCCTTTGACATAGACATATTTTGCTTGTTGTGATTTATCGTAAATTCGATATATTTTAAATATAAAATAACCAACGCCAGCTGCTAAACCGACAAAAAATAATACAATTAAATATTTTGATTCGTGCCTGACCTACAAATTTAAAGTTAATAAATAAATAAATAAATAACGATATACATATGTAGGTTTCATGACGACTTACAGCATAAACTGCTAATACCAAGATGATGCAAGTTATAGGTAAGGCAACTATAGTTAATGGATATTCAGAATCAGCTTTTCGCAGTACAAGAACTAAATATTGGATAGAGAAGCCTAAAAAGAAGAAAATATCTAATTTGAGCACAGTCAAAAAGATCTGATACCAACGATACATGTCTATATATGAAAGATAAAATCAGTCAATTTACTTTTTTTTTTCTTTTTCTTTTTTTTTCTTTTTCTTTTTCTTTTTCTTTACTTCTTATATCTGGATCAGCCCCGATTTTCTTGTAAATTCTCCAACTATATTATATTTAAAAAAGTAAATCAATCTGATAAAGTAAACGTGAATCCACTCTTTTACCCAAACTCAAGATATAATCTTGCTCCTAAATAAAAATAAACAAGTTGACAAAAGCAAATGATAATAGGATTTGCAATCATAATTTTTTGTAGGCTCCAAACGAGAGGTGAATTAGCCATTTGTTGATTTAAAGCTTCTGCAATTTGTTTAAATTGAAACACAGCGTAACCCAAGCAACAAAGATTAAATAAGATGAAGGCAATGATTTGAATTGTATTCTTATTATAAACCTATGATACTTGTATAACTTAATATTTTTTTTTTAAAAAAAAAACATGTTTATTTTTTAATTTACCGCATCCCAAACAAGTGCAACTTGAAATACTTGTGAGAAAATAAATAACATTAAATAGATTGGAATACCCTTCGTTAATCCATCCCAAATATCTATATTAGGTGAAACACTTGAAAAAAAAAAATTATATGAATTTTAATTTTATCAGGATACAGAAAAAAAAAATTTGGTACCTTTGTTTAAATTTAGCAAATAAAATAGATTCAAGTATAATGACAGCAATGGCTTCAATAATAGTCGTTAACACAAGATAATGTGAATTTTGTATTTTCCAAAAAGACTATTTTAAGTCAAAGAAAAGAAAAGAAATTAACAGTGTTGATCTCGAAATGTTAAAACATGTTCTAAATAATACAATTTTACAGCAAAGATGTTTGATTTTCGTTTTTCCATTTTCAATTCATTTTCAAATTCATCGTTATTATTTTCACTAAAGAAACTTGTTGAAGAACTCGAACGATATGGCATCTTTATATATATATAAATATATATTTATATATTTATATATGATTGTATATATCTATATATCTATATGAATATGTATGTTTATATGTTTATTTTTTTTTTAAAAAAAAAAAAAAAAAAAAAGAAAATAATAAAAAAAAAAAGAGAGAGAGAGACAGAGAGAGAAACTTAATTTTTGTTATTATGATACCTGTGCACCACTATATTACAGTCACCTTTCTTCTTTCGTATTATAATTAACCTTTTTGGTGTTCACAATAGCATAGAAATTTTAATGGCCGCAAAAAAAACATCATATCATATCAAGTAAAACTGCTTCTTCTTCTTGTTGTTATTAAGAGAAAAAAAAATGTAATGATAGTAGTATAAAATTCAATTTATTCATTGAATATCCCCTCTAGTCATCATTATATTCTTGATTTTTATACTGCTACATCTTAGTTGCTAGAAATGGGCTGTTCCTTATCTTATTATATATTTAGAAAATAAGTATGATCTGCTGAACTATGAGAAAGCCAGTCATCAAATCCTCTGATCTAGTATCTGCTTTTTTCCCTCTTCTTTATTTTTTCCTCTATCTCATCTTTTTCTTCTACTATCAAATGTGTCCATTATTAAAATAACTCGTGCCATTTCCTTAATAAAGAAATTATATTCAAATTATTGAGCTCTGTGAAATTGTATTGTATTAGTTCTAGAGATCCTATTATTTTGTGAAGTATTCTCATTAAAGCTTATGGTAGCAAACTATATCCTAGAAGTATATTTTTTATTCTTATATATATATACATGTATCTTATTCTATTTCCATTATGGATTACTACTGCTGATTTATTAATACATATTGTATTATATATTTCATTCTTATGATTTATTTTATGTAACTATTACAATTATTATGATGATATATTTATATTTATAAAGGATAAGGAAAATGATATGCATAATTCGATACCTATACAACCAAAGAGCTTATATATATATATATATATATTGTTTTTCTTTATAAAAAGAAATGTGTATTCATTCTACTATAGTCATGAACTTTCATTTCATGTAATTTGTAAATATTCAGTTCATTTTTGATTTTCTGTGCAATCTCTGGCGTAAGTCGAGTGCAAGTAGCATTAGGATCTGATGTTCGATCATAATCCATCTTTGAATATGTTTCCTTCACTGATATAAATTCAATAAATTGTACTTTACGCTGACCATCACCACGACCTTTCACAGACTGCTTCACTGTGATATAAGCGAATTGAGATGAAGCCTGTTGTTGAAGTGGTTTAAGATGGTAGCCTCTATTGGAATGGGGGCTACAGACAGCAGGTAAGGCATATGTAAACTGAGTTTGTTGTTTATTCTTGAGAGCTCTCTGGCTTGACTTGCGATACAATCGATGGGATGAGATTGACTTTGTAAGTGATAAGGATGCAGAAGGTAAATGTGTACTCTTCCTTGTTGATATCCCTTTATTATCAGCTAATAAGAATGGATAGGTGTTTGACAGAGAAGTGGATAGAGAGGATATCGGATGTGTCTCTGATGACATATGAAGAGCTTCATCTAGTGTAGGCTGTTGTGGTTGCTTCTTTGAATGAAATGATCTAGGTTGCCCTGCAATAAGTAATGATGGCCAATTTGTTATATCAGAGGCTGGCATGGTAAATCCCAAGACAGAGGGTCCATCCTTGTTGAAGGATTCAATTGTCATTTGACTTGCTTTAGGATACCTGTTAAGCTGAAGTTTACTTTTAATCCTTTCTGTCAACGAATTTTTGGGGGATGGAGATTTGATTGAAAAAAGGGATTTGAATATTTCAGCAGGCACAACTGTTGTATGAGAGACTGTCATCATTGTTTCTTGTGCGGGGCAATGAGGGGTTTGATTATTTGCTGATTTATTTTTTATTTTTTCAAGTGCATTTAAGAAACGAGAGGAAGCAAACGGTCTTTGTTGTAAATTGTCTATACTGTCCATTCCTTTAATAGAATTCAGGGTTTTTATAGATTTATTTGAATAAGATCGTAATAGGTGGTGGTGGGGGTCTGTACATGGTAATGTAGTGTCTAAGATGGATCTTGTATTGGCGATATCATTTGTTATTACTACTGGAGTCATTGAAGGATGATGCATATTGCTTTTGCTATCACAAAGACTTGTAACAGATGAAGAAGGTGAATATAAATTTAAACAGAGTTGAGGAGAATAACCTTGTAATAGAGATGGTGAATTATTCAGAGGAGAGGAAGTAGTTGTAGAAGGCTGATCTGAGGCTTCTTGATCCATTTTAGAGAATGTAGAAATACTTGCCTCTCGTCTAGGATGGATAAAGGGTATGCAACTACTGCTATTATTATTGTTATTCTCTGATTCATTATTCTTTATCTCTTCTTCCTTATTTTGCTTATTCACATATAATACTGACAATGAGGGTTTGGTTAATGAATCTTCTTTATTAAGAAAGGCCATTGCTATTAATGAGCAATGCCTTAGAAAATCTTTATCATTGTCCTTATTTTGATTCATTTCAACAGTATCCTTAATAAAAATAGTATGAATTATAATATATAGAAGCTTCTTGTTCCCTTTTTTTTTTTTACCTCTTTATTAATAATAGAATTAAATAATGATGATGATGATTTTGAAGAGATAATAGAAGCCATATTTAATAAAAATGAAAAGGAAGAACTATTTTATTAAAAGAAAAGAAAGAAAGAGAGATATATAAATTTAGTTCGAGGCTGACTCCAAGGAGACAAACAAATTATGTAAAGAAAAAGTAAAATGACTCTAACAAAAGGGAGTTGTGTGATTATTATTTAAATAAATAAATAAATACCATTTAAGAATGGCATAGGGGAAACTACTTATTTTTTAACGATAATAATAATAATAATAATAATAATAATAATAATTAATAATTATGCTTCATCACTAGGCCATTCACAACTGTCAATAATTATAGCTGCAATTGCTTCCAAACCTTCTCTATCTTCATCATTAAAACCTTCAACCTTTTCACAATCAATATCCAAGACACCCAAAACACACTATAGAGAAGAAGATATAATTTAGAATTTTTTTTTTTTAATAATTAAACTAACTTGTACATACATTATTTTTAATTAAAGGAATAACTATTTCCGAATTAGAAGCTGAATCACAGGCAATATGACCGGGAAACTCATGAACATCACGAACGACCTGTGTCTTTTTGGTTTGTGCTGCTGTACCGCAAACTCCTTTACCAAAAGGAATAGCAGTACAAGCGACCTATCGAAGAAATTTATTCAGCAAAATAAGTATTTTTATTATTTATTTATTTATTTATACCTTTCCTTGGAATGGTCCAAGAATGAGCAATTGATCATTCTTTGGATCAGTAATATAAAAACCACACCAATTAATAGGCTTCTCTTGGAAATGTTTTAATGAAATTAAACCATGGTAAATAACAGTAGAAGCATTTGAAAGATTGGTAACCTTTTCACACAAAGCACAATTAGTTTACTTTTATCCCTTCCCCCCTTTTTTTTTTTAAAAAAAAAAAAAAAAAAAAAAAAAAAGTTACCCAAAAAGTTTGATCTTCACAAATGCATTTCACTTGTTCTAAAAGCTCAGTGTAAAACTCTTTCTTGGAACAATTAGGATCTGTGTTCGAGACAATTTCCTTCATCTTTTGAAATGTAAATGAAAGAAAGAAAAAAAAAGCGTCTATTTTGTTTTAATTGTCGTTAGTGGTTATCAATCAAATATTAAAATGCAGCTATTCACTTTTTTTTTTTTTTTTTTTTTTTTGGACATTAGACTAACTTTCAGACATTCTCAAATTGCTTATTATTAAACATTTTATTGTTGAGAAGGACTTTAGCGTATTAATTAAAATAAAATAGCAGTCATTAGACATAATGGCTGTACCATAAAAAACAAACGTTATTAACTAGAGAGTTCGACAAAAAAAAAAAAAGATTTTTTTTTATATTCTAATACAAGCGTAACTTATATGTTGACTCTATATTATCATATATGATATTTATTCAATGATATGAGTTTTTTAGTCAAAGGCGTTGAGAGAGGCAAAAAAAAATCTAAATAAAGTATATACTATCCGATTTTGTGATACGTACTATTCTCAAAGAATTGTTTGACAATGATGGATGAATCTACCCTCTTCTATGTATCATAATATACCAATCAATAGGGCTTTATTTTTGGCTGAATCAGTATAAATCAAATATTAGGAATATATTAATATGTTACTTTATTTTTGTTTTTATTTATTTATTTTATTTTTTATAAATAAATAAAAAAGTATGTGGTGGTATCATGATTCCTTATGTAAAGGCTTACTCATTATGAACTATTAACAAACGATTTTGCCGTTACATGTATTGATGCTTTTCTTAATGGAGGGGTGCCACTATGATGAACATTAGCAGTTTGGTTTATTGTAATAGATTGCTCTTTTTGACAAATAGCTAAAGACGTCATGTTTATTGGCGGCTTTTTATAAGAATGATTCTCACTACTATCTGTTTTTCGAGACCTTTCCTTTTCTTGTAATGTCAATGCTCTATGTAAGTTTTTTAATGGATATGTATTTGAACTAGAAGCAAGATTATACTGAAGATTTTCTGCTGCTGCTGCTGCTGCTGCTGCTGCTGTTGTTGTTGAAAATTGGTATTGGCTTGAAGAACAAGTATTATGATGAGGAAGAGAAGACTGCTGCTTATCATTGTCATCTTGTTCCTCTTCTAGTAATTTTATTGATGAATACAACTGTAATTCATGCACTTCTTCTTTTGTTAAATTAACTACACAAAGAAGTGGGAAAAAGCCTCTCAGATCAGATGCATAATTATCGCCTATAATATACTTATAAATAAGTGAAAAAAGAAAAAAAATGAACTAAAATAAATAGATTCAATTAAATATTTACCAAATGCCCAACCATCATCGAAATAATAATACATGCGAAGAATATCATTTTCCACTAGTTCGAGTTCATCAGGGTTGACAGGCGCATTATAGGCATAAACAGCTCTAACAAATTGTTTCTCTAGTGAATTCACTTTAAATACTTGTCCCGCAATACTATCTTCTTTTTCTTTATTCATCGTGTTTTCAGGTATTATCATTCCCATAGAGCTATCGTCCTTCTCCTCCTCCTTATTATGAGTTGTCAAATTTATTTTAGCAGGCTGTATTCTACTATTATCTATTTCAGAAGCTTGTTGTACTATTGAATGATTAGTACAAGTGATGACAGAGCTCAGATGAGTAGATAAAGAAGGTGAGTTCGTAGTCTGATAGTGTATGAGCGAGTACTCAGAGGAGTCCTCCATCTTTTTTTGATTATATATAAATTTAGATGAACTGCATTTTTTCGTCTTCATCCTCTTCTTCTTTTTCCTATTGCAACAAAATAAAAAGAAGCCATACAAAGATAATAAACTACTTAGAGCACCAGCTATGACTCCACTACTACTTGAAATTGTCTTTTGATTAGATTGCTTTTGAGTATGACTATTATTTATTACAGTGCTGCAATCATGTTTTGAACAACAGATTAGTTTGGAATTATTTTGTTCACAATGAGAGCATAATGAATATATATCATTTCCAAATCCTATATACATATATAAAAATGAACAAGTTAACTTATTGTCATAATATATATGTATGTATGTATGTATATTACCACAGGTATCAGAAAACTCATGGTCTGATAATGATATACATCCTGTAGAACGTTGCCCCTTAAATAATGAATTTGTATTACATTGCTCAGATAAACTTGCTGTGTTATTACGAGCTAATGCATCATTAACAAAAGGATGCTGACAGATATTATTATGTTCTGAGGATAAAGTCTTTAGAATAAGCTGTATTGAATTTAAATAATCCTTACAGGTGGATTGACAAATAACTGTCTCAGAAGGATCATGATGATAACATGAATAGTTAAAGACGAGTGTTGCACAGATAAGACTAACAGCATAACGTGCCTGACGAGTATGAAGACTTGATGATGTTTTGCAGCCTAATTCCAAGTTCCAAAAGTTGGAAGAATTGACATAGTTTAAGAGTTGATGATCAAATTCTACTGGTGTTGTAACGTTATTTAACCATGCATACCGTACAGAAGCACTTTGTATGTTTATAAATGCGGTTGAAAATATATGACAAGTGTTTGAACTATTCAATGATAAACACTCTTGTAGTTGAGAAGTGATAATTGTAGTAGGATAACATAAAAATAGGAACAATAATTTAATAAAGGTAGATGATAGCCGTCGTATTAAATAAGCATATTTTCTGTTTAGCATTTAATTATGTGTGTGTATGAATATATATATGTATATTTATATATATATACAAATTATATTTACAATATACAAAGCAGAAGAAAAAGAATAAAGAAATGAAAGAAAAAAAAAGAGTTTGTATATAAGGCAATTTTGGTATATTACTACTATTGACTAAAAAAGGAGAAACGTAAAAGGAGAAGTAATAAAAAGGTAATAATGTAATAATGAAAACTGTATTTCATAACAGGGAGAAGAAAGCGATTTAAATATATTTTTGTGAGATTATATAATTATTTTTGTTGAACATGTTTATCCAAATGTTTAAAGTGGACACATGAAACTAAGAAGAAGAACGTTTTCTTTTATCTAAAAGTTTACTTGCTTCATAAGAGTTATTTATCTAACTGTGTCTTGTATTCAAGTTACTGTAAGCTTCCTTTATATAAATATAAAAAAAAAAAGTTTGTTTATACATCCTATTTACATGTGTACATACTGAATATTCTTTACTTATCACTACAAAGGTTAAAGTTTCAAATCATAATTGTTCTGAATTCATGAAAAGGTCTCTTTTTATTTTTCTTATTATGATATAATATTTGGTTATAGTTGCTAGATATAAGGAAGAGATAATGACTCTGAGGCTTAGAATTTACTTACAGAAAAAAAAAAAAAAGAAAAAAGAAAAAAAGGAAATGATTCCTGCAATATCCCTTCCCCTTTCCCATTACTTATATCATAATATAACGCGACCATCACTGAAAAAAAAAGCTTTTTCTCTTTACCTTAAAACCACATTTTATTAAGAGTAAGACACATGAAAAAATACAAAATAAAAGTTCAAGAGTTAATTCAATTTATTTTTTTTTTGTAGAAAAAAAAAAAGAAAGCGCCAAATAAACTCTTTATATTTAGTGTTGGTAAGAGAAGACGTTCTTCAAGTCTGTCGAGAAAAAATAAAATAAAGCATTAACGTAAGAACTTAATATCCCGAAAAAAATTTTTTTCTTTTAATAAAATACTTACAGCCATCTTCTTGGGCGAGACGGTTAAGGGAGTCATCAGATTCAGCTTCCTTACGGACGAAACCACAGAAAGCATAGGTGGAGAAGGTGTTAGTGGCACGACCCTCAGCATCAACATCAGCAACGTTGATTTGAACAGAAGCGTGATCCTTAGCAGTGATGAGACGGTTGGTGGCAGAACTATAAAATAAAAAAAAAACACATTTTTTTTTAATAAATGCTTGCAACAAAAAACACGTGCTCTTCTTTTTTTTATATAAAGAAATATAATAACTCTGCTTAGTTAGAATAACTTTACCACTTGCGAGGAATGTAAAGATCGATGAGTTGGCCTTCAGAGTTCTCCATGATGAATGTGTATAGTTCGGAAAAGAGGAAGAAACTTAACCTTCTGCCCTTTGGCAAACAAATTTTTTATTGAATCTAAGCCACATAAAAAAATAATCCCTGGGACTGCGAACATTTCAGCTTCAACCAATTAAATTTGTGGTTTTTAAGAAATAAATTTCTAACCACAACACTATTTATTGTTGCTACCATAGACTCATTAAAATCAAACTTCAAGTTTATATTTTAATTTAGCTGTATGCAATATGTTCAAATAGATGGATTTTATATATGTCTAATATAGTATTGGATATATCTTATTAAACATTTGTTACAATATGTTTAAATTCTATCTATTTTGAGCGAATTGAAATAGATAAGTCAACACCGACAATTAAAAATGGCATAATACTATAAACACACTCTATTACACACTTTTTGTTTCAGTGATGATAAGGAGAAAGAAAGGCACATACATGCACTACACATAAAATGAAAACACACCACTCCACTTATTTTTTTTTTCTCTTTCTTTTTTTGTTATATATTTATATCCTATTTATAGCCTCTTCTCCCCCCTTCTTTTACTTCAAAAATGGTAAATTTAAATAGAAAAAAAAAGGATTTCTAGTTGTTTTAAGTCAACTCTTTCTTTAAATATTTAGAATGATCAATTTGATTGCGCTTTAGACTTAATGCGACGTTTACCTCCACAAAATGTGGAAGAGAACTTGGCTAGGCTTCTTGAATTAGTTCATCCCGACTTAGTAGACGAGTTATTATCAGCTATTGATCAGCCTTTAAAAGTAAGACGCTGTAAAAAGACTGGAAAAGACTATCTTATATGTGATTATAACCGAGATGGTGATTCATATAGGTAAACTTTATAGTAATAATTATATAATTAAATTGACTTTTTTTTATTTTATTTTTTTTTATAGATCTCCATGGAGTAATGAATATGAACCAGAGCTACCAGATGGAGCTCTCCCTTCTCCTGCTCTTCGTAAATTAGAAATTGCGGCTAATGAAGCGTTTGATACTTACCGTGAAATGTATTATGAAGGTGGTATTTCATCTGTCTATGCATTTGATATCGATGATAAATTTGCTGTTGTAGTATTAATTAAGAAAGGTAATCCTACAATTGACATCTATATAGCTCGTATTAACTTTAATTTTTTAACAGTGGGTGATGGAGCTAGACGTATGAAAGGGGCCTGGGACTCTATTCATGTATTTGAGGTTCAAGAACGCGGTCGCAACGCACAATACAAACTCACATCTACTATTATGCTTTATATGATTACAAATAATCAAGATCTTGGTGATATGAGTCTAAGTGGAAGTATGACTAGACAGATAGAGCAAGACTTTCATGTTGATGACCCTTCTGCTCATATTGCTAATATTGGACGTATGGTCGAAGATATGGAAATGAAGATGCGTAATTCATTACAAGAGGTCTATTTTGGAAAGACAAGGGATATTGTTAATGATTTAAGAAGCTTGGGTTCCTTAGAAGAGAGTAGAAATCAAGCAAGAATTCAAAAGGAACTTGTGGGACGTCTTATGGACAGAAATAAATAATAAATAAATGAAGTAATTTAAATTCCGCTATTTTGCTTAAAATCAACTACAACGCGCTTTTTTTTTTTTTTTTTTTTTTTTTCATTAACCTTTTTTTTTTAACTTCATTATAAATATGCGCTCCATTTTTGCAGTGCTTACAACTTTCATTACAGCATGTACTATTGTACTTGCACAAGGAACTGCGACTATGAGAACCCATTCCATTTCTATGCCCTATATTGGTAATAAAACAGATTATGTTGTTTTTATTTTATTTTTATTTTATTTTATTTTTTACCCCTTTTAACATTACTATTAGATGATGAACTTCAAAATAGATGGTTCGATTTCGGTGGAAACACTATTATCAATACTAACCAACATATTCGTTTGACTTCAACAAAACAATCCCAACTTGGTTATTTGTGGTCTCGTTTGGTAATTATGAATTTATTAATAAAGATATCCTTTTTGTTTTTTAATCGTTTCTTCTTTAAAATAACAATAACAAAAAAAAAAGCCTTTAATTGGTGATAATTTCCAAGTAGAGTTCGAATTTAAAGTGTTTGGTAATTCAGGTCATCTTTATGGTGATGGTTTTGCCAGTAAGTTCTTTTTTCAACGAAATATGCATGTTATAGATGATTAACAATTTTAATTAATTTTAAAGTGTGGCTCACAAAGCAAAGAATGACAGAAGGTCCTGTTTTCGGTTCTACAGATAGGTTTCAAGGTCTCGGTATCTTTTTCGATACTTATGATAATGAACGAGCTCATGTAAATATAAATAAGTAATATATAAATATATGAATATATGGTTTACATATTAATCTAATTTTATAATAGCGTCATACATTCCCTTATGTCATGGTAATGGTAGGCGATGGTGTAAAGTCCTATAATAACGATAAAGATGGTAGTGATAATGAACTTGCTGGCTGTGAGGTAAGAAAGATAGATAGATAAACACACACACACACATATATATATATATAGGATAACGTGTTAACATATAAGGGCCTTTGCTTATAAAAGGCTGATTTTAGAGCTAAAGGACATCCTACACGTGCACGCTTTACATATCATAAAAACAATTATATTCAATTAGAACTTATGTGGCGTCGAGAAGACGAATGGGATTTATGTTTCAAACAACATGATGTAAATCTTCCTGAACAAGTTTATCTTGGCTTCAGTGCTCATACAGGTGAAGTGACCGACAATCATGATATTATCTCAGTTGTTACAAAGTCACTTCCTCCTGCTGTTAAAGAGGCTGCTCCACAACTTAACAAATCAAAGAAAAATGCTAGCTCAGGCGGTTTCTTGTCAGTTTTGTTCAAGTTGATGTTGGCAATTGGCTTTGTTGGTGTCCTTTACGCTGGCTATCGCTTTTATGAACAAAAGAATAGATTGAAGCGTTTTTAAAGTTCAGCAGCTAAAGAAAAAAAAACATATTTCTATCCAATCAAAGTTAAAGAAGTGTACAATAAAATAATAATAAATCATTTACAGTAATGCGCTTTATTTTATTTTATTTTTATAGAGAGAATTTGCATCTTTTTGGAATAAAAATATTCTAGTCGTTTGTTAATATACTTTTTGCTTCTACTGCAAATTAGCTATTATAAAGCAATACTGGGTATCGGAAGCCTTTTTATAGCAGCAGTAAAGCCTTTCCCAATAAATGTCATTCACTCATAACACTAGATGAATTCGCTTGTGTTTTTTTTCTTTAATAAAGCTTTTTAGTAATCGTACATGCCTTTTACTACACAGACTAGTTTAATTAGATTGTATTAATTGATACATTATCTAAATAGAGCTCAGTCTAGTTATATACTATTGTTCCTATAAGCAATTGCTTTCCTTTATTAGTTTACCTTCTTTACCAAGTCTGAAATGAATTTTAAAATTTGCTAGTGTTTATTTAAGTTTGCATTGTTCAAATAGTAAGTATCATTACAATGAAGAGAAGCTAATACCAGTGATTTTATAATATCAAAATAAGAAAACAAAAAAGGTTACTTTAAGCTTCTAAAGGTGCAAAATGCCGTTTTGTTATCTAATATATTGTTATCTTAAAGCGTAATAAAAACTATGTATAGACATGAAGGACAGGATTCATTTGTTTATAAATACTTTGAATGAATTTACAGATAAAGATGGCTATTGCCATAAGTTAAATATTCAGAGCTAACATGATTTTTTTTTCCAAATTTTCAATTCCTTTAGTTATGCAAAACATATATTGCAAATAAGATAATGGATATGTAACTATGATATATAATTTATTCTGCATGTAGGAGAACATATTCTCTTGTACTATTACCAAACTTAAGAATATCTTTAGCCCTTAACTCAACAAAACGTGTCTGAGGAATCTGATCACCGTTAAGAAAAGTACCATTTGTTGCTTCAAGATCGATAATAAAGGGTCTATTAGAAATAATAAATTACATATTAGGATATATCCACTAAAAAAAAAAAAGAAAAAAAGAAAAGAAAAGAAAAAGAAAGAAAGAAAGAAAAAATTACTTTATAACTTTTTGAGGCTTCCCATTGCTATCTTCTTCTGTAATTATTCTATATTGCAATACTGCATGTTGCTTTGAACATGAAGGATGATCGACAGGAATGTCAGCTACCTATCAAGACATGGGAATTTTAAATTCGTAACAACAGAGAAAATAAACATATTCAACAAATAAATTACCGTTCGATCGCGACCGATCAAATATGAACTTTGTCTATGAATATGTAATATGTCTATATTGTTATACATCACAAAGTATAAGATCAAATGAGAATGCAATTTTTTCCTTCTTTTAAATTACCAATTTGTTCATCGCCTTTAAAAACATAAAGTCTCCATTTTAATTTGGGCTTTGCTGCTTCAGGAGGCTCATTATATTTAAGCTGTACACCATTTACTGTATTCGTTTCTGCTGCTAAATTTCCTGAAAGTCCAAAATTAGGTTCGATTTTTTGTACAGGTTCTTCTCTTTCTGTTTGTGCATTGTCTTCTGGTCGTCCCCATTCAAATCTTTTATTACTTCTTCTATCATTATTTGTTCTACGATTATCCTTTTCACGTCGTGGAGAACGAGACCGTGTTCGGTATCTTCTAGATGGTGAGCGAGATCTTCCTTCTCGTCGGTGAGATGGTGAACGAGAACGTGAAAATCGTTCGTGCTTTATTGAAGGTGATTTCGATCTAGAATGAGATTTTCTGGATGATCGACTATATCTTGATGGTGAGCCCATGGTGAAAAATAAAGTATGTAAAAAATATTAGTTAAAATTAAAAAAAAAAAAAATGCTGACTTTATTAATAAGCGATCTTATTTCTTATTTTGTATTTTCATGTCCAAACATATCCAATACTTTTGAAAATGTTTGTTTGAGCTAATATTATTTAATAATAATACTTTTATTTATTATATGTGAAGTATGACGCTAACTGGGCCATCATGTATTGTTATCGGTAAGCCTAAAGATATTTTTGTTGGCAAGGATGTGTGCATTACTGAAGCCATCAAGTTCCTATGTTGACAATGATATCTTGCTCAGTTAAGGGGTGATCCACTATTTCTTTACTAGTTACTTCTATCCTCTGCTCGACAGACATCAGCATGAGAATCTACATATATACTACATAAGTTGTCTTCAAACAACCCCCATATTTTTATTTTGTCAGATGAATTTTTGTATTATTCTTCTTAAATAAACCATACCGAGTCTTCATAGACCTATCTTTTTTTTTTATTCTTTTTTCTTTGTCTTTTTGCACTCAAAATAGAAGTAATGACTTTCAAGCATAGTTCAGTTGGACTATTGTACATATCCCTTCGTATTAAGATGTCTGAAAGTATAAGTGAAGTACCACTTCTCCTTACTCCTGTTTTAACGTTGGTATACAATTGTGTCTAAATGATTTAAAAACACAGTAAAATTTTAGAAAGAAAATGGTACTTCAATTAACTCGAACACTTTCAATAATATATATTACATTTTCCCTCCTAGCTATGTTCCTAAAAAGAATGACTCTAATAATAATAATAAAGGCATTGCCATGGTAGACTGTAGATATTTTCTGTTATCTCTGTTTTGCTTTACCTTCTAAGCATCTTACTCATATATCTCTTCAATTTATGTACATGTTATTCAATTATTACCTTTGTGAGGCAAATTTATTTTATTTAATGTGCTGTCGAAGGTAATGATGCCTTATTCAGTTTGATTCATTAAATTATAATCAATATAAACTTATTGTTTTATTAAATGAAAATCGACTGGATTATTATATGATTTATGGATATAAACTTGCATCGATGAATAAAAAGCCTTCTATTCTTATTTATTCTTATGTCAAGCATGTACTAAAGAATTATTTAAATATTGGCCATTTATACTTGTGTATTCATCAATGGTCAATGTAGCATAACGACCAATTTAGAAGCTATGGTAATCAATTTGTTGTTACTACACTTTTTTGATCTCCACAATTTATATTAAAAAGAGCATTAAGAACGCGTCTTTCACAAATGCTTCTGAAGTTTGTAAACAAATAAAAGAAGAACCTAAAGAACCCACCCACCCACCCCCCCTTTTTTTTTAAGAAAAAGAAGAAAACAAAAAATCATGTACTCTAATGCTGAAAAGGAAAGGCTTTTTCATATTTAGTAAACAAACCTATACTTACCAAAATACGGCAAAATTAATGAAATTATTGGAAATCAATTCTAGAATGGCCCAGATTGAGTAGCTAAATATGAAGAGGATGAATAAAATAAAATCCATTTTACCTTAAGCAATAGGCAATCATCTGCACTGGAAAAGAAGTTGAATAGAAAGCACACAATATTCATTAAAAAAAAATTCATTGTCTAAAAAGCCTCTTGTTGCTTATTCAACATCGTTGGACTCACTATGTTAAAAATTACTGAAGCAACTTTAAATAATTATATGAAAGGTATTTTTCTTGCTTTCTTTTAAGTGAAAAAAAAATGCGTCAGATTAATGAAAATCGTAATCATGATAGTAATTTGAATAGCAGATATCGGATTGGGATTTCACAACGCGGTACCGTTATCTCAAATATGAATTATCTTGAAAATTGTGTCTTCATCTGCAACTATTATAAAAAATTAACGATTAACCAACAAGAGATACACATCTGTAAATATTAAGGTTCGGATCCAATGTGGTATTTCTGTTGTTATTTTAGGTGTATTCTCTATTTTTAATAGAGTTATTAATGTTTCTATGTGTGAATTTAACCAGTACAAAAAAAAAGACATTAGTCAGCTCAAGTACTACAGAAACAAAAAAAAAAAAAAAAAAAAAAAAAAAAAAAAAAACAATTTTGGTAAAGGTACTAAAGCAACAGTGCACTTTTAAAAAAAATATTAACTACAGTCTTACAAATATGAATATATCTTATCATCGTGTACAATGCCTCTATACACGAAAAGAATTTAATGAAAGAATATCGAAGGGAAAGAAATTCTTCCGTTCCTGAATAATACAATCAGAAAGAATTTGGCAAAAAAAAAAAGTCTTCGAAAGTTATGTACTTATAAAAGAATGAAAAAAGCTACAAGACAGGATTGATAAAATTCCTAAACAAATCTCATCCAAATGATATTAAACACTCAACAGCAGCCTTTTTTTTTTTTTTCGGACCTTGCTTATTACTTGAAGAAAAAAATTTCTGTTTTTTGACAAACAAAAAATTTTTGTGCTAGTGTTTTTTTTTTTTTTTTTTTTTTTTTTTTTTTTTTTTTTTTTTTTTGCGTAGTACACCTTGTTGAAATGACTCATAATAACTGGGATATGTTTTAAATCCATTTTACCTTTATTCTGCTTAATATCAAATTTAGCAACAGAGAATATTTATATGTGTGTAATATATAGTATATAATGTATGATGTATGATGTATAATATATTATATAATATAATATATAATATAATACATAATATAATATATAATATATAATATTTAATTTATAAATATAACTATAAAAACTATCGTATAGAAATAAATACTGCCTGCTTGAAGATAAAAATGGATTGTACCTTTTATTTTTGTGAATAGATAATAATAAAAAATTGTTTCATTTTCATGTAATGAAAATAATAATGAAAAAAAAAAATGAAACATTATAGTGTCAATTATTGAGACTACTGCTATACTCACAAGCTACACAATTCACATGTTATATGTGTCAATATTTTTAATCTTACAGAACACATAAAAAATCATATAATTGCCAATGTCACCGTATTATGTTCATTGCAATAATGGTTCATTTCATGTATTAATATCAATTTTAAAAGGAAATGTAGTATACTTTAGACTGTTCCTTCAACTAGAAGTTGATTCTTCAAATAGTTAGATTTTATTTTTCAATAAAACAGAAGAAATGCTGTTTAATTGGCGTAACAAATAAAAAAAAAAAAAAAAGAAGGACCTCTTATTTATGGATTATCATCAAGAATAATGAATGTTAAATGACCTAAGAAATCAAACTTAAAATTAAACACAGTTTTCAAATGATAGAATGCTCGTTCTATTTAGAAATAAAACTAAACAAGTTTTCGAGACTTATTTCAATATTAGGCCAATTAAATAGTAGTTTTATAATTCTTTTTTTTTTTTTTTTTTTTTTTTTTTTTTTTTTTTATTTTCTTAAAAAAAATCTCCTATTTTTTTTTTTTTTTTTTTGTTTTTTGTTTTGTTTCTATTTATCATCGCTTTATAAATTTATTTATGTTAAAATTGATTTAATTCCTAATATCATTTCTTTTTGATGTTTATAGTAACCCTATAGACTATATATTCATATTCATATACATATACATATACATATACATATACATATACATATACATATACATATACATATACATATACATATACATATACATATACATATACATATACATATACATATACATATACATATACATATACATATACATATACATATACATATACATATACATATACATATACATATACATATACATATACATATACATATACATATACATATACATATACATATACATATACATACACATACACTTATACATAAAAAAAAAAGATATTAGATATTAGAGTAATTTACAGAAAAAAATGGCCGAAAGCGAGAAAAGTATAATTAAACAACCAGATTGGCATACAAAGTCAATTGAAGAGGTTACATACGAGTTTCAAACATCTTTAGATAATGGTCTTTCAACAAATGAAGTAACAACCAGACATGTATTATATGGCTTTAACGAATTATCAGCAAATGGAAGACCAGCATGGCTTAAAGTCATGATAGGTCAATGTTTAGACGTTATGAATTGGATTTTTATTGCATTAGCAGTTGCTTCTTATTGTTTGGCAGATTATGTCACTGGATCTTTGTTATTATTTATTGCTATTTCCAATTTATGTCTTGGCTTCTCTCAAGAGTATGCTGCCGAGCAAACATTAGCTGCGCTCAAGAATCTTTCTTCTCCTTCAGCTCAAGTTATTCGTGATGGTACTGAACAAACTATTTCTAGTCGTGAAATAGTGCCTGGTGATATTTTACTTGTCAAAGAAGGTGATTCTGTCGCTGCAGATGCTCGTTTAGTTTATACATCAAACCTTGAATGTGATGAGGCTTTATTAACTGGTGAATCTGTTCCTGTTGCTAAGCAATTGGTTGTTCTCGACAAACTTGGTAAAGATTTACATACGAATAAATTAACTAATTTATGTAATACTTATACCTTATCTCTTTATATATATATTAAATAGATGAGCCTTTAGGAGATCGTATCAATATGCTTTATTCTTCAACCATAGTCTCCAAGGGCAGAGGGAAAGCTATTGTTACATCAACTGGTATGCATACTGAAATTGGTAAAATAGCTTCAAAACTTAACGATGCAAGCGACTCCGATCGTACCCGTCTCCAAAAGAGTTTGGATAAAATGTATGTTATGTTACTTATTACTGCTGTGATTTGTGTCTTAATCGTACTTGCCTCGGTCAAATTTAAACCAGATTATGATACTGGCATGTATGCCATGACGGCAGCTCTCTCTGTCTTGCCAGCTGGTTTAACTACTGTCATGACCCTCACTCTAGTATTAGGTGGTAAAGAAATGGCTCGTCAAAAGGCTATTGTAAGAAAGTTAAAATGTTTGGAAACATTGGGATCTGTAACGAATATCTTTTCTGATAAGACGGGTACTTTAACTATGGCTAAGATGGTTGTTATTCGTTTCTGGACACCTATTCAAGGATTCTTTTACGTTACTCCTCATGGCCTTGCCCCTAAAGGGGATATCTATTACACACATGACGAATTATATGATAACGTGAATGGGAACGTAAATGCTGAGTATGTAGACAAGAGGAGCCTCCCACTTAATATTGCTCAATTAGTACGTTGTGCTGCCCTTTGTAATATGTCAAGTATTTATCCACGAGAAGAAAAAGCCATTCATATTACTACGGATGAGAAGAAAGTTCCCACGGATAATGATAATAATAATAATATCGAAGACACAGAATCCGATGATTGGATTGCAAGCGGAGCTCCTACTGAAGTCGCTTTACAAGTGTTCGCACATAAATTTGGGATGGGGAAACCTAGTTTATTTGAAAGTGGTTGGGAATTATTGGCTGAATATCAATTTGATTCTACTATTAAACGTATGACGACAATTTGTTTAGACAAAAATTCTGGCTTAGTTTTTGCTTTCACCAAGGGTGCTGCTGAACGTATTATCAAGCTTTGCTCTAGCATATCAACAGAGAATGAACTTCAAACTGTATTAGACAAAGTAGATAGCTTGGCTGCAAAGGGCCTTCGTGTGATGGCTATGGCTTATCGTAAACTTGATCTTACTGCTGATGTCTCAGCTGAAGAACTTCAACAAAAACCACGTGATGAAATCGAACAGGATTTGATTTTCTTGGGACTTACTGGTATCTATGATCCTCCTAGAAAGGAATCCAGACAGGCAGTCTGTGAGGCTCATCGTGCTGGTATCTCTGTTCATATGCTTACGGGTGATCATGAAAAGACAGCTACTGCTATTGCGAAAGAAATCAGTATCTTGAAGAAAAATATATCCCCTGAAGAACAGAGGCGACTTGTGATGACAGGTGCAGAATTTGATGCTATGACGGACGAAGAGATTGATGCCCTTCAAGATTTACCCCTTGTTGTTGCTCGTTGTTCACCCGAAACAAAGGTCAAAATGATTCAAGCCTCCTCACGTCGTAAGAATATCTCTGCCATGACAGGTGATGGTGTTAACGATTCCCCTTCACTTCGTATTGCCGACGTTGGTATTGCTATGGGTAAGAATGGTAGTGATGTAGCTAAACAAGCTTCAGATATCATCTTAACAGACGATAATTTCGCCACCATCATTCGTGCCATCGCTGAGGGCCGTCGTATTTACCAAAATATGCAACGTTTCCTTTTATACTATTGGATTTTCTTATTTGCCTTAGCACTCATTGTCTTGGTCTGCTTACCTATTCGTGATCCCGCTGGTCATCCTGCTGCTCCCATATCTACAATTCAAATGCTTTATATCTATGTAGCCATTACGCCTCCTGCGGGCTCTCTTAGTATGCAACCAGCGTCGGCAACAGTCATGAAGGAGCCTCCACGTCCTCCTACAGAAAGTGTCTTTAATCGAGAAATTATCATGGATACGATCGCTTACTCACTTGGCTCAACTATTGTTTGTTTGATTGCCTTCTTTGTTCCTCTTTATACGTTGGGTAATGGTGTAGGTGGTATCAACTGTGATACGGACTTTGTAGCAGGCGACTGTGACTCTTTCTTTCGCAGTCGCGGCTCCCTCTTGGTTACCTTGTCATTTTCATTATTAGTTGTTATGGTGCACTGTCGTAGCTACCGTCAAGTAGAATGGAATTGGATAGGTCTTCGTAAGACACTAAGTTCTTTTACTTTTGTTGGCACCTTTATTTTCATCGTCATCACTCTTTGTGTTTTTATGTATGTCCCTGTAATCGCTATCAAGGGCTTTCGTATGATGGGAATTACATGGGAATGGGGTCTTGATATTGGCTTAGTTCTAGCTCTACTTATTGGTGGTGAGGTCTATAAATGGGCAAAGCGCACATTTTTGAAACCTATGGATTCTGGAGCTGTCAATTTTGATGATGATAGTACTGCTGTTCAATAAGTATATATTTATAACATTAGAATAGTTTTACTTTTTTTTTTTCATCTTATCCTTTTTGTATATTATATACATATAATGAAACAAAGTCTTATGCCCCTCTTTATATTACGTACAAATATATAATTTAGAATAATTACACATATAAAATGCAATATGCCTTCTATTAAATAATAAACATTCTCTTAATACATAAACATATATTATATTAGTTTAATATCTATTTGAATATAAAAGTAGTCTGTGGAAGAAACATCTAATGAAATGTTCATCATATTAACGGTCAGTAATTCATTTTCTGCAGACCACGACCAATCTTTAGTACTATTTAACAATGTCCCATCCATAAATACTCGTTGAGGAATCATTCTTAAATGAGAATGACAATGCTTCGTTACTGACTTCTCTCTCCCAATCCAAAAGCCACATGAAGCACTCCGATGTGATAGCCACGCCTTGTAGATTGCATAATAACAACTACTGTTATTAGATGCTTTAACAAGATCTGTTTTAAGAATAGCCTTTGTACCGTTAAATTTATCCATCAGGCCCAAACAAGCTACAGAAAGATACCCAAGGGAACGGATAGGACTTATGGATACAAGACTAGTACCAAACCCATCTACCTTAACTGTGATTGCTCGGCTTGAGCTATTATTATATTTTTTATCACCTATTACTTGACGAGGCAAATACATAAGTTTACCTTGATCAGAGCCATAAACAACATACGCTATAGTAGGTGCCATACTGGTTTTCTTTATACCAAAGATATCATTTGTCACTACACCTAAACGTATATTAGGCCCTGTATTCCAAAAACCACAAACACCGTATTCAGGGATCCAGTAACATGGTGGTCTTTTTTGATTCTGGCCAAATGATGATTGCTCTCGATTTACGTTGTATAAACTAAGAAGAGATTGATTACTCATTGGGTTATTAAAAACGGTTTCAAACGTTGGTTGAGGCGCTTGTGCTGATCTTAAAATAGTATAACCTAAATGTCTATTTTGCCCTAGTAATTTATAAATGAGATCTGTATTATGTCTGTTGGGTAAATCAGTAATATAAATTGGCCCTCCTGATATAGCACGACTTTGAAAGAGAGAGAGAGAGAGAAAAAAAGATAAAAAAAATAAAATAAAAAAATGGATGCAAGTATATAAAAATGTATAGAAGTAAATAGTTGGCATCCTTTTTTTTTTTTTTTGTTTTTAAAAAAATAAAAAAATAAATAAAATCTTGAAATATACCTTGTTGCATGATATTCAGCAAATGGATGGTCAGATTGAAACATATCCCAGTCACCAATAGCAGGGTAATGAGTAGTCCATAATGTGTTGATAGCATTAGCATAGATATGCCATGGATGACTCTCCTTTTCATTAGGAAAGAAATCATCACTATTTCTATAATAAAAGAGAATATAACATTATCATACACACTATTTAAGTTTAAAGTTGTTTATTTACCGAAAAATAGAGCTATTTATGTCAGAAAGTACAGGGTTCAATAAGATGTGTGGTGTTAATGACATACAATTAATAACTTGACCCTTCAGGAATCTATCAGCATTTTCAACCATTGCTTGTCTATATTTATCCCATAAATCCATCTTCTCCTTATCTGTCGTTGTGACTAAATCTTGAAAACTGCCTTGATTATCTACTTTTACAAAATCGACACCTACTTGATTTAAAAATTTGTAAAAATCATAATAGAACACATCTGGATTTTTTAAAATGCCTATTGATTCTTCTAAGGAATTATTGTTCTTAATAGCTTGATAGGAACACCATTCGTCTTTATAATTGGTTGAAAATGATTTATCTATACCGTTCCAATATCCCCATAAGGTCTATAATGAGCGAAGAGAGAGAGAGAAAGAGAGAGAGCAAAGAATAAGTCGTGTTACCTGTAAATAAAGATCAGTGATGACTACTTACATGCCATACACCAATATATTGAATGAATGTATAATCCTGTTTTAACCTTTGAATTGTATACTCCAATCCTCCAGGAAATTTATTTTGACATGCATCTAAACCTATTAATTGTTGATTTGAATCTGAAACCTGCTGCCAACCATCATCTAAAAGTAGATAACCTACAGGAATCTGATTTGCCTTTAAGCTACTTAAAGCAGAATCCACTTTATTCATATCTACGTCCTTTCCAAATGCATTCCAAGTACAAAATCCTAGTCGATCTAATAGAATAGGAGGATCGATACGAGTGTTCACCGTCTTATTATCATCTTGCTTCTTTATTGAATGCTGATAATATTTAAGAGCTAATTGAATAAGTCGTGCAAATGATTCTGTCTTTGACGTAGAAAGAATTAATAAATGTGCAGCATCATCACTTTCTGGATTATAGTAAAAGTTGAATGTAGCATCACCTTGACTTGTGCTATTAGGTGCTAACCAACAAGTTGAATTTTGGCTTGTAACCATCCATAAATGTATATTTCCTCGATCACTATCTTGATATAAAAATAACTGCCATCTTTCTGTACTACTTCTATCTTTAAAATTATCCATTCCTGCTACAGGTGTTAGCCAAGTAGATCTGTTGTGATAAATAGAATAATTTTTGGAAGTTAGTTTTATCTTAGTGTAATTAAGGAACAAAAAAAAAGTACTTTATTAAATATCTCACCCTTTTCTTATGAATGCTATATAGGAATGAATAGGGTGATTGAGTCTTCCAAGTGAAAAACATGTATTATTAGAAGAATATTTCTGAGTTTTAAAATGCCAAAGATCTGTTGTTGTCATGCTAAAATGCTCCTTTGCAACAAATTTAAGTTGAGGGATAGCAGCAAAAGTAGGTGCTGTAATATAAGGAATCGTATTATCATGATGAACAATACGGATAATACCGTTTTCATTTGGTTTCCCAAGCCAACACCATTGCTTTGGATTATCATTAGTAATGGCGAATCTTAATGTAAACTCATAATCATCAAGAGGTAAATGAGTTGTATCAACTTTAAGATAATAATCATGGTTATTTGATTGAGTGAAAGGTATTCCAATCCAATATTTTTTAGGTGATAAGTTAGTCCATAACTCAATATAACATTCAATAGATGAATAGCAAAAAAAATGCAAATACTTTTCTTGATGTTGTTGGATAATAATCCTTGAGCATAAATTAGGTGCAAGTAAAATTGTTGGCTGCTCCTTATCAGTAACAGTCATTATTAAAAAAAAAAAAATAATAATATAGAAAAGAAAATTACAACAACAAATATTTAAACTATTATTTTTATTTATTTTTTAAGCATCCCTAATTTAGAATCAACGGTAAAAAAAAAAGAAAAAAAAAAGGAGAAAAGTGTGAATAGGACACAGTTAGTGATGAATGGGAAGAGAGAGTAATGACTAATCAGGGAATGGTTGAACATTCTGATGACAGTGAAGGTAGATTTTAATGATAAAAAAAAAGGCAAACAAGTTTATGAGATTAGAACTGTTTCTAAAGCAAATAGATTTTTCTTTATAAAAGTTATTTTCTGATTTATTTATTGGATGAATAAAGTCAAGTTTCCGAGAAACTGTTATCTATTTATTCATTGTGTACATTAGAAATGATCTTCAACTAAAAGTTAGTTAGTTATTTATACAGTACACTACTGGATATTTTTATTCTAAATATCAATTCTAAATTTCACTCACATCATTTAATACCGAAATTTTAAGCAATCATTATTTAGCTGGGAGAGACAGAAAGTCGGTCATAAATCATATACTGTAAAAATAAAAACCAGAATAGCATCCTTGCTGTACAGACCTTTCAGTAGTCCCTTTAAGATTATGTAGCTATCATCTTCACATTTCCCCTTTCGTAAATGCCTTTTTCTGTAAGTTTTCCTGTTGATACTAATAAAAAGATTTTATCTTACATAAATGTAATTATTCGTCAAGAGCTTAAAATAAGCAATTCAATATTGGATCGAAAAGAAAAAAAAAAGTGCTCTCAGCATAACAATGTTCTTATTACAGCTGTGACAGAGAAGATTGTCAATCTTTGTAATTTTTCTTAGAAATGTAATCTTCTGTGTCAAAACCTCCATCAACATCTATATTGGTGAATAACGCAATTGTAATAGTATTATAAGAAAATTATGTTTGCTGTTCAAGTATTGTATAAATCAAATAAAAAAGTACGATCATTATATCTCTAATCCTCACAGCAGAAGAGTGAAAGAGTTTTACCTATAATATTTCGTTTTAGAAAGGATGTTATGTGAGACTAGTCTAATGATTGTGAATAAAAAAAAACAAGATTCACAGAAAAGCTACTCTGACTAATGAGTAAAAAAGAAAAAAAAATGTGTAGTTTAACCATTTAAAGCTTTTTATTCCTTAAATACCAAATCAATTAACGTAAAGTCTTACAAGCTACTCTATAACTTTAAGACTTTCAAGACAATAGTTTACAAGTTTGTCGACCTTGAAAAAAGAAAAAACGAGTTCTTTCTATAAGATTATATCCAACAGAATAATGGTATTAAAAACTTACTTGAGTCAGGCTATGAATATGTACTAAAATGAATAAACAATTTTATAGGTTTTCCTGTGTAAGGCAGTTTGCTGAATAAGCTTAGATCAAATGAGTAATATATTCTATATTTTTTTTTGTAACAGAGGAATAAACAAGAAATTTCGAATTTGTATATGAAATAGATCACCACATTAAAATAAGATTTAAAGGATATCAGTATGTGTTAATATTATTAAAAGACTTGAGATAATTTCGTTTAAGAAATACTGTTTACTGATAAATAATATACCACCAATATCTATCTAATGTTAAAATAGGTGAGACATTCAATATTATATTCCTTGATGAATCTAGATTTAAATAGTAGATATTATGTTTAAAAACCTATTCAATGATCTATAATAATGCATTATGAGCTAAATTTTTATTTAAAAGTGCGTCAAATTTTCTGCCAATAACAGGTAATGATAATGTATTCATATAATTGGATAGTTACATAGTGTTAGTTACGTATGACTCAATAAAAAGCACAACTATAAATCAACAAAAATAAAGTAAAAAATAAAAAAAAATAAATAAAAATAAAAATAAAAATAAAATTAAATAAAAATACCTTAGAGAATAATGATGAGCTTATTTATCATATATAAAAAAAATACATAAATTGAATAAGCGTAGACTTTGTTATATTCCTTCTTCTTCTGCTTAAATATACAGAAATGATTTCACAATACTGTAAGACAAGGTTTCCAAAAAAGAAAATATAAACAAAAATGAAGTCACCCTACTATTATTATTATTATTATTATTATTACTATTATTATTATTATTATTTCTACCATTATTGTTTCTTTTCTTTATATTATATACGTACATACATACACACACACACACACACACACACACACACATACAGTTATATATACATATACATAATATATATATACTCATATATATTTACAGCATTGCTCACTTTTGTACTTATATGACAAGAGATGCTTTATTAAGAGCAAAAACTCTTTCAACTACCAATACTTTTACAATTACATCATCATCTACAACGAGTAATAATAATAAAAAATTTATACCATGCCTCGACCATATATTTTCATTTTTAAGTCGGTCAGATATAAGAACTACACTTTTAGTTTCAAGAGTTTGGCAAATAGAAGCAGTTAAAAGGTTATGGTCAAGCTTTAAATTTGTAAGAGAACGAGGTTTTGAAGAAATATTTCATATATTATCTAGACGAACAACTACATTACAATATGGCGATTACATCACTTCAATTGAACTTGTTCATTCCGATAGTTTCGCTTTAAACTCGAATCATATATACTTGATCACCTCATTATGTCCAAATTTATTATCTATTACAATTACTTTTCATCATACCCGTTTAGTTGCTCCTCCTACTGCTGCACATTTAGTAATGAGACAACAGCAACAAAATATACAAAACAATCCGTCTTCTTTTTATTCTCAACATTCACAAAAACCTCCTTTACCTTTGCCAATGTTAATAAGACAACGCCAACAAAGACAACAGCAACAGCAACAGCAGCAACAGCAACAGCAACAGCAGCAGCCCCAGCAGCAACAGCAGCAGCAGCAGCAGCAACAGCAACAACAACAACAACAACAACAAGAAACAAAATATTCACCGTTTCTTCCTTTAGCCCACTTTGCTTATAATTGTCCAAAATTAAAATCTATAACACTTGTTTCTTATACACCTAGAACAGATGACTCAGTTTATGAAATGGCCAAATATTTAACCTCAGGAAGTCTAGAATCTATCGTCCTAAATAATTGCTTAACTATTCAAAGTTCTACATTATGTAAATTAGCTATAACAAATCCACAGCTAAAACGAATTGAAATCATAGGGAATACACCTATTAATGATTCAAGTCTAGCTGCTCTCGTTGATCGATGTGGTGCAACACTAGAGAAACTCAGTATTGGTAACGCTCGTCAATTAACAGATAAATCTATGCAATTTATTGCACTAAGATGCAAAAGGATACGACAAATATGCATATTTAATAATAACACAGAACGTATTTCTGAAGATACCCTAACTGCTATCGTAACTCATTGCCCTACTTTACAAACAATTAGTTTAAGTGACTCTCGATGCTTAGGTTCAACTTTCTTTGATTCTGTTGTACAACGTGTAAATATAGAAATGGCAAGCATTTATCGGCATCAAGCTAAAGTTGGTTCTGGTCTACAAAGGCTATGTTTAGGAGGTGTGAAAAGAGATATGATTCAAAGTCGATATATGAAAGAATTAATAGATAAAAGTGCATGTGAAAATGACGAAGATACAAATATGAATGATGATGACGATAGTGAACAGGAAGTTCAATTATCTCATATTTTGGATACAACAACAAAATTTAGACCTAAATCAACTGTAATTCGAGGAAGTACTGTTTGGTGGCAAAGACGTCGTATCCTTATTACAAGTTCAACTTGATAATAATAGAATTTTGTCAAATTAAAGTTCCTTAAACATTGTATATATTTATAAGAAAAAAAAGAAGAAGAAGAAGAAGCTCTTTCCTACTTTCCTTCCTTCCTTAGCCCTTTCTCTTCTTTATTTACCATTACCATTGTTACTATTACTATTATTACTATTACTACCTATTTATCTCTCTCTCTTTTTTTTTTCTTTCTCTCTCTCTTGTTTTGTATGTATGTTTTTTTTTTGGCATATAATAATAGCATTTACAGATTAATATAATATACTTTTTATACAAATAGTTTGCCTCCTTGAAAAAAAAAAAAGAAAAGAAAAGAAACGAATGAAAAGAAAACTTATTTATAAACAAGCATAACGAATAATTATATATTTTCTTTTTAAATTTCAAAGTTTGAGGGGTTACGTCCTTCTTCTCTTTGAGTATCCCACTTTTCAATCTATAGCAAGACATGAATTAGCTAACCTATATTTTATTCCTTTTTTTAACGCAATACATACCCATTCATTAGGACACAAAGAATGGAAAGCTCTGTAGAATTGCTTGCAGGGAGCAAACTCTTCACCACGAGCATTGATACATTTGTAATAATCGACATAATTTTGCCAGCAACTATTTGAAATTGAATGTTAATCATTTATCTAATTTATTTATTTATTTATTTATTTTTTCTTTTTTGCACATTAACGTACTGTTTGGTTTGATTAGTGTTTGGGAAACTAAAATAACAGGAATAGATTAATTTTACGTTTGACTTTATACATTTAATGTAATTCCGAAGTTACTTACCGAGCATCGAAGCCAGCTAAAAAAAATGAAAACAAAAAAAAAAAGGAGGGAAAAAGGAAGGAAATGAAAGGAAAGTATTTTGACATATTAGTTTTCCTTTTTCTTTTTTATTCTTCTCGTAAATTAATTTACGTGTCATTGAATAATTTACCGGTGGTTAACTTGATTTCATCAGTAGCTTCAGACATTGTTGATTATTGTAATTCAAATAAATAAAAACAAAGAAGGAAGGAGTTGAGTTTCTATTTTATTAATTTTTTTTTCTCCTGTATTTGTGGGGAGGGCCTGGCACAAATAAAACAAATAAAAAAAAAAAAAAAAAATACAACAATAATTTATTTTAAATTCAGTCAGGGCCTATGATGTCATCATGAAATATGATTGGTCAATGAAAAGAATATGATTTTTATTTATTAACAAATGCAACAAAATAGTAGCAATATAATATAGTATTGATAGATTTATACAAAGTAGCGTACGGGTAAAAAAAAAAAAAAAAAAAAAAGATTTCATTATTCTTTGTAAATTCCTGCCTCTTCATCACGCTTGATTTGTTCTTTGTCTACTTTATAGTTGTCTTTAAATGCTAAAACCATCCCTTTATTAAAGAGAGCGTCAATCTCTTCTAAGGAGCGGCCTCTTGTTTCCGGTAAAAAGATATAGGCAAATGTGCCCATAACGATAGCCATAGTTCCATAGAAGAAATAGGTACCATAGGTGATGTTGGCAAGCATGATAGGTGTAACTTTGGCAATAGTAGCATTCATAGCCCAATTAAAAGCAGTAGTTATTGAAAGAGAAATAGCGCGAACACGAGTTGGATAGATTTCAGAACAGACAATCCATACAATGGGTCCCCATGAAAATTCATAGCCCACAGCAAAGATATAGACGCAAACCATAGCAACGTAACCCTTTGCATCTATCTTTGATCCAGGTGCTAATATACCTCCATTATCCTTTTGGAGGCCCAAGATCATACCTCCCATGACATAAAATGAAACAAGCATGACTGCTGATCCAATAATCAATGTCTGTCGACGACCCAGTTTTGTATCTACCATAAAAAATGAAATCAAAACAAATACAACTTTAACGATTCCTACATCATTAAAATACAAGAAATAAATAAATAAACAACTTGGACTTCATTTTATAAAATATAGATATTAACCATAAACACCAGTTGCAAGGATATCAATTTCATTACTATTAAGCCCGATTGATCTAAAAATTTCTGGAGCATAGTAATTCTATACATACATTATTTAAACAAAAGAATTTTTATACACTATTCGATTTTCATGCATGACTACTTACAATCGCATTACTACCAGTCCATTGTTGAAAGATTTGAAGCATAACGCCAATGAAGAGACGATGACGATTGGTTCTTTCAAATATTTCTGTCCATTTACCTGATTTTGAGGCACGATCTAATTCAGCAGCAGTAGTAATCTCTTCAAGCTCTTCAGCGATTTCAGGATGATCTTTAGGTAAGTTGCGAAGTTGAATCAGATTCTTTTTGATTTCCTCGGTACGTCCCTTTGAAGCAAGCCATCTTAATGACTCTGGTAAGAAAAACATACCAATCAAAAGAAGTCCTCCAGGAACTATTTGAATACCAAGAGGAATTTGCCATTGCTTATTACTGACAGGAATATGTCGGATACAAGCATAATCAACCCAATAAGAGAGCATAATACCCACTACAATTAAGAATTGCCAAAGTGTGCCTAGTCTACCTCTTAATTTTCGTGGAGAGATTTCTGCAATGTACATCGGAACTAACATTGAACATGCACCAATACCAACTATATACATACATACATACATACATACATACATAAATAAATATGTAAGCTATTCCTATTGTCTGCATGCATATTGCATATAAAACTCACAGCCTCCAAAAAATCGCCCTGCCATCATTGTAGCAAGGTTTTTTGCTACAACTTGAAGAATAGAACCTATTATGAAAATAAAAGTACTGATAATAATTGACCATTTACGACCTGATCTGTCTGTATATAATTATTGTTATTTATTTATTTTTTGTTTTTTTAGAAATTAAAAAAAAAGAAAAAGCTTTCATATGATTCATTTACATGTCGAAATGAATATATATGAATATATACTTTATTTTATTTTACCTGCTAGAAAATTAATTAATAGAGCACCTGCACAGCAACCAGCTTGTAAAACAGATACAACATCACCTTTCATTTTAGCAACGGTAGATGGATCACCTTGGATACCAAAATAGGTTGGAAATGTTGGCATCGCAAGCACGCCTGATATAACACCTATAATATAAGGCATAACAATAAGTTGACTTGACCATTTATTTTTTTTTTATAGTAATATCTAACCAATGTCATATCCAAATAAGAAGCCTCCTATACATGCTATAGTTGTGGCTATAACCGAAAAATATTTCATTTGTCAATTAATTTAGATTTTTTAGTTTTAAATCTCTGTTCGGGATCAATTGTAAAAGTCAAAGATGAAAATAAAAGTAAATGATTATAATTAATTAACCTATGCAAGAAAAAAAAAAAGAAGAGAAAGAGAGAAAGAGAGAAAGAGAAAAAAAACACATTATATGCAGTCTTTATACACATCTCCCCCCCTCCTCTCTATATTAAAAAGAAAGAAGGTAATACACCCATTATATGCTTAACCCTAAACTCGATTTAAGTAAAGTCATACACACACACACACACACACACAGTTATAACATGTAAAATAAAAATTCTCCTAAAGGCGTGTGTTCCCAAAAGTACTAATTTCCGGAATGACAGTATAAAAAAAATTCCCAAAGTTAAATGAAGTAATTGAGTTTACTTTATAGTTACACCTTTTTCAGAAATAGTTCGCACATTTTTGGGAAAAAATTTCGTACTTGAAAAAAAAAAAGAAAAAAAGGTACATTTTTCGTATCATAGTTCCCCATACAAGCAATCTTAATTTTGACACAGAATATCGACAAAAGTCTTGTAGATTGCTCAAGTAGGTACTATTACAGGCTTTACCAATTCTAGATGTTAATGTTTCTTCTTTTAAAAGCTTCTCTCCTTATAGTTTACCCTTGCATATTGACCAAAATTGCGCAATGGGATTAAGCTCAGGAGAGTAAGGTGGAAGATAAACGCAGCCAATAACCTCTTTGCTCAATATATTTTTGAATATCCAGATGAGTATGAATGGGAGCATTATCCATGACGATATAGTACCCTTTAAATTGCTTATGCAAATCAAATACATCCAAGGTTGCAGTCACAAAGTTGAAGTAATAACCAGTGACAGTACCACCTTTACTGGTAGCTAGTGCAGCATCTCCTCCAATTTTTCTTTTCTTAAAAGGCTTGGTTCTTTTTGGGCACCTTAAACTTGTCTATATAAATATATATACATATAACGCCATACGAAGAAATAGTACCAAGGATAGTGATATTGCTTGCGTTTTTTTTTTGGCCCAAGCAATTGAACAATTCATGTTTATATTAAAACCAAAACCATCTGTATATATACAGTTACTCATGTATTCCATATCTTTTTGTTGCCAGCGTTGAAACCCATTCTTTTCTCCCTTAAAGCTTCTCCAAACTGTTTATTTCCATTGAATGAAAATAGGTACACTTTACGCTTATTTTGCACTTATTTTTGATAAAATCATATAGTGCCGTCTTGGAAACTTTAAGATCTTCAAATTAAAAAGTTAGACTTTCCATCATTTGGTCCAAGACTAGAGAAGGATTTTTATCGATCGATCAGTTCAATTAAATGCTTTTCATGATCTTCATTTAAAATAGTTGGTCTGCCTCTCGGTCTACCACTGCCTTCTTTTCTTTTGCAAAAAAAAAAAAAAAAAAAAAAAAAAAAAAAAGAAAAAGAAAAACATTATTTGCAGTGCCTCGAAATCATCGTTGAGGTCAAGTTGTACTTTAGAACGCGCCAGGGTTTTCACTGACCGGGTTGGCTGATCATCTAATGATGAAACACTCGATTGGGAACTATAGGTGTGCTCTATAATAGATATATTGAAGTAAAATGAATAGATTATGAAAATTGAATTAAAAAAATTTCTTACCGTTTACCTTGAGTAGATTCAGCTTTTTTGACAAAATCAACGGTTCCCCATTGGAACTGTTCTTTAACAGCGCCTTTCCGTACCTATTCCATATCCTTTAGTGCATGTGAATCCAATACACGCTGTCATATTTTACTCCAATCAATAACATTGGCATTATTGTCAAGTTAATGTAAGTAAGTTTTTTTTTTTATCAAAATAGTACATAATATAGCTGCTAAATTACTTGAATATAGAGGTTGAGAGCATGAGACGATATTAGAAGCTGTTCTTAGAAACGACAGCTACAAGCTGACCAAATCATCTTTATAATCCCTATCTGGATCTCATCACTCAGTTTTCTAGGACTCTCTTTTCTCTCTACCAAAACTGTGGAAAACATTCGATACGAGCTCTAACATCTTTCCTCACCTATGCTTTAAACAAGCCTACATATATGACTTTATTAGATAGTTTATGAAATTATGATAATTTGAAATTTCTACTTGGCACCATCTCTTGAATATAGTCATATTGTATATGGTAGAGCAAAAAATAAAGTAATTTAAAAAGATGTATTAGAAGCTGATCTTTCTTAAATACATGATAAGTTACACTTTTTTTTTTGCTAAAAAATTCTAAAATGTACGAATTTTTTTTTTCAAATTATGCAAACTATTTCCAAAAAAGGTGTGTATATATGTTAATTACTATAAATAGTATCAATGGGCCTCTAATTCTTCCATCTTAATAGCCTTCTTTTTTCTTTATTCAAATCAAGGAAACTTAGTTATACGATTGCTGTACGTATACACATAGATATTTGTGTGGCACGATAATTACCTCTTTTGTTAATTATTTGCAACAAACCCCTTTAGTTTTCCCACAGAAAAAAATAAGACATTAAGAATTTAGAGTGAGTCAATTAAAGGCATAATAATAGATGATATGTTGTTGTGTATTATTCTTTATACGATAATATGACAATTAACATAGATATTTAGTGGAGTAGCTGTATCTCACGTGACAAAATTCCTTATAATATAACGAATGCTCTTTCCATAAATGTATAACGAAAAGCAACTACCATTTTTTTTTCCATCTCCTTCAGTTAAACTCACGTGGCTTTGTTGATTACATGATGTATATTTAATGAACCATTATTAAACGTAATTATCAACATGCAAAAAGTCACTTATACAATTATAACTTAGATCGGATTAACATACAGCATATAAAGCTATGCAAAATTAATTTTATTGAACAAATTTTCATTTTTAAAGACGATGGAGAGAGTTACGATAAATTGCCTTCGGAGAAAATCAAAATTTTCCTACACGCACACTTATACACATGTGTATATATTTTATATAGTTATAATGTCACTAGTTGATATATTTCTCTACTTCTAAGAAGGGGATACTTTGCTCATACAAGCCAAATACAATATTTAGATTTTTATATTGTGTATATCAAGTTATCAAAATTTAGGGAATGATTAAGAGCATATATACATTCTTTTTTTTTTGTTAACATAGAAGTTTTAAGAATACTTGTTTATAACATTTAGTAGAGAGTGTCTATTACATTTTTTGTACAAAGAAATTATCATTGTATGGCATTATTTATAGAAATCGCGGTTATTTAATTATTTTTTTTTCTAAACTATGGCTAATGCTATTTTAGATTTCTTTTCCCTCTTTCTTTACCCTTTTTTTTTTTCTTCTTTCTTTTCTTTTTATAAATAAAATAAAGATGAGTGTATGTGTTTATAGGCTAATAAAATTATATAAATGGACTGATAGAATATATATGTATATTGATTAATAGAATCCAAAATTAACTGCAGTACAAACACGTATGTTCCAAGCTAAAGCCAAATTGAAATTAAGGCAAGTGCTCCCCAAAAAAAAAAGCGCAAATAAATAAAATAGCATCCGTATCATTTCAATAAAACCAAACAAAATTAAAACTCTTTAACTGTAATAATAGCTTTGAACAAATTGGTAAAGAATTAGGATGTGATGAAATATATGCAGCTGCTATCTTTTATGGACAGGTAATATACACATTGATAGAATAGAATAGCAAGTATCTTATCTATTTATCTCAAAGGCCAAACCTTCTGATGCAGAATTAATCAAATTATCACAAATATTGAATGTACCTACACAGCATTTATTGGAAGAAATGGGAGCGCATTATTTCCCATCAAGAGGAGGGTAAGCTAGAAATAATAATAATAAAAGAAGGGGCTTCCTAATGCTTTATCATAGTTTAATGTCAATTCCACCTCAAGACCCTACAATTTATCGATTCTTTGAAATTTTACAAGTTTATGGGTATCCTTTGAAAGCAGTTATTCACGAAAAGGTAACTAATAATCCTTATTTTTCTTAAAATAAAAGGGGATATATACATGTATTTTACTAACAAAATGAAATAATGAAAAAAAAAAAGTTTGGTGATGGTATTATGTCAGCTATTGACTTTAAAGCACATGTGGATAAGGTAGGTGATAAGAGGAAAACTATGTAAATGCGTGTATATTTTAATAATAAAATAAAATTGTGTTCTTGTTATAGGTCGAGGATCCAAATGGAGATCGAGTTAAGATTACCTTGGATGGTAAGTTTTTACCTTTCAAGAAAGGATGGTAATTACGTATATGAAATCTATTATGTCCATTCATCTATAAATGCATATATATATATATAAATATTTATGTGTATTTTAATTCAAATATATCTGTTTCATGTATAATTTCGATAATATAGAAGAGGAGGGCTGTAATAGGTTGAAATTTACATACGCCCCACGTTTTTATGCCCTATGTTACACACTAAAAATAGTAATTCATTTTATCTTATCAATCTCATAAACTGGCTTCTATTTTATTGAGTGAGTAATATTGTATAACCTGTATACAAAAAAGAATGAACATATATCTTTCATTAAAGTAATAGTAAAGTTATTCTTTCTATATGACGTCAAAAATAAAAAGGTTATAATATCTACCTCCGCCCTCCCCTCCCTTGAGCAAAACGATAGTAGAAAATAATTATCCAAAATGAATAGCCTTTAGTAATAATATTTACATGTGATGATCTATAATAACAAGTTTTGAATAGAGTAGAACAGAAGATATCTTCTTTTATGAGATTTTATTTTATTTTATTTTATTTTTTTTATTTTGCTAATTGTAAAATATACAGGGCATAATATAATAAAGGAGAGAGAATATTACATAAAATATTGGATTTATTTATTTACAAATTCGATAGCCTTAGTAACGCTCCCCTTTAAGAGAGGAATAGCCTCAGTGATAAGCTTCTTTTCATAGTCAGAAATTTCACCAATATCATGGATCTTTTCAATACCTTCAGGACCAAGTTCGAGATTAGTAGAAAAGTATTCAACACCTTCTTTAGCCAAAACATCAGACTTGACATAGGCAGGTTCAATGATACCCTTCTTACCACCTACAGTAGCCTCCAAGACAGCATTGGCCATACGAGCACCAGCAAAAGCCATGGAAAGAGTGGCAGAACCACTACCATCCTTAGCCACAACGACTTCATCACCACCAAATTGAATACGATGAGTCAAAGCATCTATTTCTTCTTGGCTAAATTTCAAACCGGTTTGAGAGAGAAGAGGGATAATCGTAACACCAGCGTGGCCACCAATGACATTCACCTTACAGTCACTAGCTTGGAGATGCTTCATTTCGGAAACGAAGCGAGAAGCACGAACAGAATCAAGTGTCGTAACACCATAGAGACGCTTAGGATTAAAGACACCGGCCTTCTTGAGTGTTTCAGCAAAGATAGGAACAGTAGAATTGACAGGGTTAGAAATGATAAGGAAGTGAGCATCAGGACAGTACCTAAATAAAATAAAAAAAAAAGGTATGTTTAGAAATTTAGTTTTGAAAAAAAAAAGTGTGTTAAATATATTATTTACTTATTCATCCATCCCCTCTTTTCTCACTTCCTTTGCCATATTTCCCCCCATCTCTTTTACCCATTCCATATCCCCCCTTTCCCTCTTTCTTTTTTTTAAAAAAAATATATATAAACATATAAATAATACTTTACTTGGCAGCAGCAACGGCAAGATCACGAACAATGCCAGCATTGGTATTAAAAAGATCATCACGAGTCATACCGGGCTTACGGGGAACACCAGCAGGAATAACGACAACATGTGCACCTTTAAGAGCAGCCTCTAAACCACCTTTTTTAGGAGTGTAACCGGTGACGGTGGAGTCAGTATTGATATGACTAACATCAGCAGCAACACCATGTGCGTTACCAATATCATAAAGTGAAAGTTCGCTAATACGAGGACTTTCCTTCAATAATAAAGACAAAGGTTGACCAATACCACCAGCAGCACCGATGACAGCGACCTTGGTAAGGTTAGCAGCAGAGGTAGAAAAGGCACGCTTGGCTGCGATAGAAGTGAAGAGGCGGGATGTAGCAAACATTTTTTTTTGTTTAGATAAAAAAAATAAATAAAATAAAATAAAAAAAAAGAAAGAAAAAATAAATAAATAAATAAATAAATAAACGCGGGGTTCTGACACAAATGTTATTTTATTTTGAATTATGTTCCTCCCTTCCCTTAAAAATATTAAACCTCCGGGGGTAGGTTGGTTGGTTGGTTGGTTGCACTCATAAGTCACATTATTGATAACAATTATTATTTATCCGCTGGGCTTTTTTTTTTTATTTTTTTATTTTATTTTTTTTTTTTTGTCTTTTAATTTAATAGTGGAGAAAGATTTATACGACTACAGTTAATAATAAATCTTTTGAAATCTCTTCACTCACTGCATTGTTTGACTTTAATGTTTTAATAGATGATAATTGAGATTTTTGAATCATTAATTTCAAAACATCAGTAGATATATTCCTGTTTGAAAATCTCTGTAAATTTGCTATTAATGTACCGACAAAACTATATAATAAAGTTACTATACACAAACAAAGGCACTACTTTTTAAAGCATTCACTTACCAATCTCCAGCCCCAGTTACACTCTTGATTTCATTTTTTTGAATAAATTCAGGAGGGAAATATTCAATGACTGAATTCTTTCCAACGTAGAGGCATCCGTCTTCACCTAATTTTGTTATAATATTTGGAATATAATTGGATAAATAGATAGCATAGGGTAAGACATGATTTGCTAATCGAGGGGCATCTAGTGTTGAAAGTAAGATCAGTCTATTATGGCTTTACTTTATTCCAAAAGGTAGTATTATTAATACTCTTTAATTGTATTGAAGAATCCAAGAAAGTTTTATTCTTATTTGATAAGATAGGTTGAGATTGAATTGTATCACACATCGCTTCAAGCTCATATTGATTCGGAGAAGTATATTGAATAGATTGGGTCTGAGTTGTTTCGATAAACTCAAATAGCTTCAAAGATTTTGGTACAGAAGTAGGTTCAAAAAAAGCTATAAGCAAAGCAAATAATAAGGAATACAGTAAGACAAACAAATACGTAAATACTCTTTACTATTTTATACCTGGTATCGAAAGTAACTTGCAAGTTTCTGCAATCGTTTTCATCATATTTGAACTTATATTTCCATCAAAACATACAAAATTTGGATTTTCACGCTTTAAAATCGAGATTATCTTGACAAATAAAGTTATAAAATAAATGATTGTTTTGATATAGGACAAGAAAAAAAAAACTTTTATATACTTTTGTGGTATCCATTGAATCAAAAATATTCATATCAGCTACAGCTGCTATTAATTGTCCATCATTAAAATGTAACGCATTATAAACCTATTAAAATATATTAAATATACTGTCACGTGCCATAGTTTCCTTTTATCTTACTGCTGTTGGCTTATTTTTCATGATTTTAATGTATTCAGTTGTCTATCATAATATTATATCATTCAAGTTAAGGTAATTAAAAAGATAAAAAAAAAAAAAAGATGATTAAGTATTATTAGATGTAATGATGAATACTCATTACCATGCCAACAGATTTCATTCCTTGTTGAATCGATTGACCAGCTAGATCATCACCAACAACAGACACTAATTTAACATTGGTTCCTCCTGTTCTCCAAGCTGCTTCTGCTACGTTGCGTCCAACACCTCCTAAACTTTGTTTAACGTGGCCTGGTGTTGATGTATGTAAAATGGAAGAAAAAGTAGAACCTAATGGCCCATTTTTTCCTATGGTAGCTGTAATATCAAGCGCAACGCCTCCAATTACAATTAGCTATTTGAGAATATTCATTTATAGATTATTAATATTGTTTCATACATCTATTGCTTTTTATACAAAAAAAGAAAACGAAATACTAACAGGTCTACTAATATTAGGAAAGGACATAACACTATATAATAGGTATTAAAAAAAAAAAATAAAAATAAATCTGATTGGATTAAAAAAAAAGAGGTACAAACAAAACTAAATACAGCAGCACAGCAGTAGTAGTGGCAAAATAATACCAATACTTAATAAAGGCCGACGCCCCTTCCCCCCTTTTTTTTATTTTATTTTTGTTGTTGCACTCCTTGCTTTTTTATTATTATTATTTTTCCTTTTCTTTCTTTAATAAACTCACATATACATATTTAAGTGACTGTAAGTTCGACTTCATCGCAAATACATGAAATGCCCTTTTGTTCGTTTTCTTTGCAAAGATGAATTTTTAACTGATTTTTTTTTAAATACATACATACATATATATATATATATATTTATATACATTCATGTATTTACTTTTAACTCATTATTTAGAAAGAATTTTTTTTTTTTAAAAAAAAAAGAAAAAAGAGAAAATAACATTGTTCAAACATTTTGTGATTAATTAATCATGATCAGGGGATGGAGAGAAGTCGTATGTTATATATTTATTATAGTAATAATAATGTTTTTTATGTTTAACATTATTTTATATAACTCAGCTTAGTAGAACAACTACTAGTAAAAATAATGAGAGATCAAACACACAGCAACAAACAGAAGCTCCTGTTACCACCCCTTTACCACCAGATTCGCCTAAACCAAATATTATTATTGATTCATCAAATGTGATAGCGGTAAGTTTGTAGATAAAAAAAAAAGAAATCGTTTGTCTATTTTTATATGTATGTTATATATCGACTAATAATGATTTTAGTCCCAAACAAAGATCAATATGAACAATAGTATGCCTTTTATGCATAATACTCATGTCAAATCGAGTGATGCTCCAAAGACAGGTCCTTTACATCATCGTTTGAAGAATGCCCCTATAGATCAAATTCCAATAAGTAAAACCCCACGACGACAAAAATCATCTCGTTTCTATGTAAAAGAAAAGATTAAGCTTGAACCTACACCAGCTTTTCATGGTACTCTATATAAAAAAAAGAAGGATAGTGACAATGTTTAATGTATATGCATATATAATTAGAGGTTCCAAGTCATATGCGGCCTGATTTATTCATTAAAAAGCTTAAGCAATGTACAGTAGTCTTTGATTTTAGTGATGCATCTGCAGAACTTCGAGAAAAAGAAATTAAACGTCAAACATTACAAGAAATTTTGGATCATATCTCTATGAATAGAGGAGTCTTGACTGAAAATGTATATCCAGAGATAATTAATATGGTAAGTCTATGATTCATTCCACTAGATAAATAGATATGCTTGAAGCTTATCTATGGGTTCAATTCTAGTTTGCTATTAATCTTTTTCGTCCAATCCCACCACAAGTAAATCCAGTAGGCGATGCGTTTGATCCAGAGGAAGATGAACCTGTATTAGAATTAGCTTGGCCTCACTTACAAACTGTATATGAATTCTTTTTAAGATTTTTAGAATCCCCTGAATTTAATATTAATTATGCAAAAAAACACATTGACCATAAATTTATACACCAGGTATATATACAATCCTATGGTTATATATTATTACTAACATATCTATAAATGTCAAGTTATTGGATCTCTTTGACTCTGAAGATCCTAGAGAACGTGACTATCTAAAGACAACGTTACACAGAATATACGGGAAGTTCTTGAATCTTCGTGCCTTTATTCGAAGATCCATCAATAATATCTTTTTTGAATTTATATATGAAACAGAGAGGCATAATGGAATTGCTGAATTTTTAGAAATTCTTGGAAGTATTATTAATGGATTTGCTTTACCTCTGAAGGAAGAACATAAGCTCTTTTTATTTCGTGTATTGATTCCATTACACAAAGCAAAATCATTAGCCTTATATCATCCTCAATTAGCTTATTGTGTAGTTCAATTTTTAGAGAAAGATAGAAATTTGACTTACGAGGTATACAATACATATATATACATATATACATACATACATGTATATACTCATCATACTTTCACTTGTACAGGTTGTTACTGGTATTTTACGTTATTGGCCAAAAGTGAACAGCCCTAAGGAAGTTATGTTTTTAAATGAAATGGAAGAAATTCTTGACATCATAGATCTACCAGAATTTCAGCAAGTGATGTGTCCCTTATTCACTAAAATTAGTCAATGTGTTGCAAGCTCTCATTTTCAAGTATCTGAAAGAGCATTGTATTATTGGAGTAATGATTATATTGTCAGTCTAATGGCCGAAAATATGAAGGCTATTATGCCAATTATATTCCCTACTTTATACAAGACATCAAAAACACATTGGAATAAGTAAGTCGTATAACAAGATATGATTTTTGTTTTATTTTATTTTATTTATTTATTTCGGTCTTATTTGAAAAAAAAAAAAAAAAAAAAAAAAAAAAGAACAATTCTTAGTCTAGTTTACACTGCATTAAAACTTTGTATCGATATTGACTCAGCCTTGTTTGATGAATGTGCTAATGAATACAAAAATCAAAGACAACTGTAAGTCTATAATGGAATACTATTATTCTGTAACATGTTAATGACAATAAATAAAAAAAAACATAGGGAACGTATACGTCAAAAAGAAAGAGAGGCAAATTGGAAACTTTTACAACATAAAATAGAAAGAATGAAAGAACCTAAACAATTAATTGAAAATCAAGAAGAAGCAAATAATGATGATACATCACTACAGCTTATTTTTTTAAATGGTATGACATCTATATTGACATTTTATAAATGACTATTCGTGACTCATTATTTAAAAAGATTTAGATACCTTAATTCTTAATGACCAATGTACTTTAGAAGAAGAAGAAGAAGAAAATATAGCTGTATCAGTAGTAGTCACTGAGCAAAAGGATGACATTCATCCTGATATGCAGCAATTTGATAGCAATACAAATATACAATATCAATCTTTCAGACGTAAATCAATTATACCAGTAGATGAAACTGTAAATTATATTAGTTTTTTTTTTTTTTTTTTTTTTTTTTTTTTTTTTTTTTTAGCATGTATTGCTCCTTTTTATTCATTCTTTGCTTTTTTTTTCTATTAGGTTTTTAATGAATTATCACGTCATATTAGCTTAGAAGAGATTCTTAGTCAGAAACCTGGTGCAGCAACAAGTAGTAGTCAGATAAATGACATTTCCTCTTCTTCTATTTAAAAATAAAAATAAAAATAAAAATACATTTGCAAGAATAAATTGTTATTGTCTATACGCATTTTGTATATAAATAATACAAGAAGGGATAATTTTACTTTAATTTGAGTTGTATATGTACTTTCAAGTAATAGCCTTCACTCCGTCAATGGACAGTATGAATATAAAGTACAGTGAGATATCAGCAAAGATAATCTTGAGTCCATAAAGACAGACTGTATTGAGTTCTATAATAGTTGAAGCATCATCAGTAAACATAAATGATACTATTTTAAGCGTTTGTGATTAGATAAAACTATACACATATATACCTTCAAAACTAAAATAGATACACTGCAGTCTTTAAAATGAGTTGACAATGTCCCCCCACCACTCTATTATCGCTATTGATCCTGGGAAGAAAATTGTCTTTATTGCAGCTACAGGTTCTGATAAGAAAGAGGAACGATGATGCTCTATAAAGAAATACTATGATACAAAGTACCGTAGTATACTAGACTAATTCAAAAAAAAAAAAAAAGACGGGAATCAAGTTTATTTAAAACTCGTATGCCAACTTTGAAGACAAATGATCATATTGTTTATAACAAGTTCGTAATATTATTTATGTGTCAACCTTCAACTTATTTTTTAAAATTTTATAATTATAAAACTGCTACTGCAAAGCATCGATTTTACTTGTATCAAGGGGAAACAACGGTAAGATAACAGCAACCGTAAGCTAATCAAGTGGCAAAGTAAGTGATATTATGATTATACACATATGAATATGTTTACATTGGTCAATTTGTCTATAGATTAAGATAAAACAAGTCAATATTAACCAGAATAAAAAAAAAAAAAGAATATTTCTAGTCGTCTTTGGAGTAAGGTCTATTTGGCAAGGACGATGCTGCTAGGCTAAAAGGAATTAAATGTGGTACTATCGGGATACTGTATATAGAGCAATCAAACAAACAAACATGAGGCAGAAGGTTAATAGTTGATCAATAAATATAAAAACTCCCCAAAAAAAAAAAAAAAAAAACATGCAGCTTTTATTATTTTATTTTTTTATGATGCGATGAAAAAAATTAGCACCCACAGTTTCATTAGTATATAAGTGTCCTTCCTTGTAAGAATTACAAGAAAAAAAAGTATTATGAGATGTAAAGGCGGCAATTGATATAATGAATATTGCTAAATTAATATGGCAAGGAAAGAGGAAGCTAAAAAGTGTTTACAAACAACAATTTACCTTTTCATAGACATAGGCAAAGATATTTAATAATTCTTCCAAAAACTAAATTCAGTAATGTTGAAGTGCCGTTTGAAATAAAAATCGTCACACAGTCAAATTTTATTGGCTAAAACTTCTCGCTGGAAATTGAGAGAGAGCGTGAGTGAACCTTTACTTTTTTTTTAACTTTTTTTTTTTCTATAATTATATATAACTCATATATTTATATATAATTTACAAACAAAATTTGAAATTAAGGAAAAGGGTAATTATTATTCAAGTTTTGTTTTTTTTTCTTTTACTTGTTTCTTTATATAAATGTGCATATGATTCTTTCTCTCCCTTTTTTTTTTTGTGAAAAAAAAAAACATTAGCTATAATTATATAAAATTTGTTAAACAAGCAAGGGAGAATTTATTTATTTATTCTTATTTAATTTTAATAATCTTTGTTGACCTTTTTTATTTCTTTTTTTATTTTTTTGTTTCTTTTTATATATATATATATCTGGGTTTTTCTATTTAGACTAATGACGAAGTCCATGCAGTTACCCACACAAGTGCCACAACAACAAAAAAACATACCCAACAACACCAGCGCCATAGAGAATAATATGAATAACAACACGAATACAGCAACTTCTGCATCCAAAAAGAAAAAAAAGCATAAAAAGAAATCCAAAAACTCAAAAAATATTCCTGATCTTAACATTACAAAGACACAGGTGGACATGGTAGACGCCATGATGAATCATCATGTTATTCGTCACGGTGATCATCTAGACGGTCATCGTAAGTCAGTGACTTCTTCTTCTTCTTTAAATAATAAAAAGAAAGCTAAAGAAGAAGACAGTTTTTGGTCAAGTTCTAATAATACAGAAGAGCGTCAAAAGATTCGAGAATTTTGGTTGCAATTAGGTGAAGAAGAAAGACGCTCCCTTGTTAAAGTCGAAAAAGAAGCTGTATTACGTAAGATGAAAGAACAACAAAAACATAGTTGTAATTGCTCTGTCTGTGGTAAAAAGAGGTAATAGACATGTCTATTTCATACAAATGGAGACATGTACATATTTTTGTTGACATTTCATGTCCATTTTTTAGAACTGCCATTGAAGATGAATTAGAAGTTTTATATGATGCTTATTATGAAGAACTTGAACAGTATGCTAATCATCAACAACAAACACGGGGTAGTATTAATCCTTTACACGCAAGCTATCTTCCTTCAGATCCAATGTATGACCACGATACGGATCCTTTAGAAGATGAAGATGAAGAAGATGAAGCGGATGAGGAGGATATTGACGAGGAAGATATAGAGGAAGAAGAAGTTGAGGACATTGAAGATAATGATGAAGAGGAAGAGGATGACGAAGAGGACGATGAAGATGACGAAGAGTATTCTGATGATGAACAAATCATTACTAGACCTGCCATGACTAATTACGCACAAAGAAGTCGGTTTGAAGAAATGGCTCATATTCGTCATAACACTCTATCAAGAGCATCAAATCATGGTGATCACTTCAGTTTTGGAAATAGTTTAACAGTAAAAGGTAAAACAAATTTATATATATATTTATATATATGCGTGTGTATGTATGTATGTGTTTGTTAAAAATGTGAACTTCAATTTTTTTTTTATAGGTGGTATTTTGACAGTTGCTGATGATTTATTAAAAAATGACGGTAAAAAGTTTTTGGATATGATGGAGCGACTTGCTGAACGTAGAATGCAAAAGGAGGATAGTGCATCAGACCAAAGTAATAACTATTTCCAGGAAGATGAAGAGGAAGAGGAAGTGTTTGAAGAAGACGATGATGAGGTAAATAGATTTCTATTTTTTATTTACCAAATTCTATTTTCTTATCTTCTTGTGTGGAATAGGATACACGAACTGAAGAACAACGTATGGAAGAAGGTCGTCGTATGTTTCAAATCTTTGCTGCCCGTATGTTTGAACAACGTGTACTTGCTGCTTATCGAGAAAAAGTGGCACAAGAGCGTCAGCAGCGTCTTTTAGAAGAATTAGAAGAAGAAGATCGTCTTCGTGAAGAAAGAGAGGCTAAAAAACAGAAAGAAAGGGAAAAAAAGAAAAAACAAAAAAGGTATTTTATAAACAGATACATAAGCGAATACAAAAAAAAAAAAAAAAAAAAAATAATAATAATAATAATAATATTAATAATCATAAACAAAAGACAGCAAAAAATGCAACAAGAGGCTGAACGTCTTGCACTTGAAGCTAAAAAGAAAGCAGAGGAAGAAGCTGCTAAACGCGAGAAAGAAAAAAAATTAGAATTGGAAAGACAAAAGCGTGAACAAGAAAGATTAAAGAAAGAAGAAGAGAAGCGACAGAGAGAAGAAGAACGATTAAAGAAAGAAGAGGAGAAGAAGCGTAGGTTAAAAGAAGAGAAAGAAAAAGAAAGAAAGCGCAAAGAGAAAGAGGAAAAAGAACGTGCTGAAAGAGAAAGGTTAGCTCAAAAAGCAAAAGCTGAAAGGGAAGAGAAAGCGCGTTTAGAAAGAGAAAGAATAGCAAAGGCTAAGGCTGAAGCAGAAGAAAAGGAGCGTCAAGAAAAAGCAGCAGCAGCAGCAGCAGCAGCAGCGGCAGCAGCGGCGGCGGCCAAAGCCAAATCTGAAAAGGAAGAAAAGGAACGTCAGGAGAAAATGGCTAAGGCTAAAGCTGAAAAAGAAGAAAAAGAACGTATTGAAAAAGAAAAAATGGTCAAGATGAAAGCTGAAAAAGAAAGAAAGGAGCGAGAAGCAGCTGCTATGTTGAAGTCATCTGCAAAGCCTGTTGGTGTTACCATTAAGAACCCCACTTCACCAATTGCGCCTGTATCATCTGCCAATACAGCCCATTTAAATGTTGTTATGAATAATAATAACGTCAATCATTTACCACCACGTCCTCCTCCAGGTATCTCTAATACATTAATACCTACTGATGATCATCAACAGTCTGAGAGTCGACAGCAGGTGTTAATTGAAGCACTTGTAGGTTCTTCAACACGTCCAAATTTTGTTGGGCCTACAGCTAATGCAGCATCACCTATTTGCCCTCCTCATCTTCAACATCCTCCATTTATGCCTTCACCTCTTGATATCTTACAGGGACCTAATGCATCCTCACTACTTCCTAATACCTCCTTACTTGATCACCCATCGCCTACTAGTCTAACTGATAGCTCTATTATGGGTATTTTTAATAATAATAGAGTAGCTCCCTCACTTGACTTTAATGGTTCTTCATTACGTCGATCCATTACACCCATTACACCCATTGGACAACCTGTGACAGGCCGACGTGTATCTACTATATCTAGCACTACAAGTAATAACCCATTATCATCATTACAACAAGACATATCCACTGATCCTATCTTTGCAGCCTCACATGCCGTGAAAAGAGCCTCTGTGACGAAAATATCCCCTTTTGATGGAGCAGAGCCACGTTCATTCTTTTCAAGTTTTTTATTTGGTGAACCAAGAAACAATACTAATAATAATAATACTAATAATACTAATAATAATAATGGTATAAGATTCTCACCACCAGCACCTGCACCAGCACCTGCATCATTACTATCAACCAACAATCCTACAAATGGATTTCCTGATAGACGATTTTCAAACGATACACAAAAACCACTGCCAAATAATAATATGAGTTGGTCTAATGGTTGGTCGGCGACATCTGTTCTTTCTGATAATGTACATGGAAAATTATTTGGAGATGCTTTAGTAAGTACATATTCTATGTATATATAAATATATATATATATATGTATATATATATAATTTATTATTATAATATAGCCTGATCGTACAAAGATGACATTAGAAAGAGCCAAAGTAGCTTACCAAAAACTAAACGAAATCACACAAACAAGTATTTTCCGAAGTAGTAGTCAACAATATCATACATTAGTTCAGTTACATTGTATGATGAATGATCTTTACTGTGACTTTCAAGTGGACATTCGTGAATTATACGAAGTACTTTTAAGCTCATCACCTTATAGTGGCTTCCAATGTATAAATCATGCACAACATGGTATGATTGTATTATATGAGCCTATGATAGGTGGTAGTTTAATAGCAGCTAATAACACATCAGTTACAACAGCAGTAGCACCAACAACATCTACCGCCACCGCCACCGCCACCGCCACCACTACCACCACAACAACAACAACTGCTACAACAACAACAACAACAATACCACCACCACCACCACCACAACAACAACAGCAGCAGCAGCAACCACAACCATTAGGTATGTCACCATTTACAACATCCGCTTCAGTCGTCATACCATTGTCACAACATCCTTTACATCAAGGAAATAATAATAATAATAATAATACTTTATTTGGAAGTATGTCATAAACAAACAATAATGGTAGTGATAATAGGAATGCTATAATAATAATAATAAAAAATTGTATAATAATAAGTTATAAACCTGAATAACAACAACAACAAAAAAAAAAAAAAAAAAAAAATTTATTATTATTATTCTATCCTCTTTTTTTTTTATTTTTTTTTTCCATTTATTTATTTATTGATTCCAATATTGTTGACGAGTAGGTTGTTGAGATTGTTGCTGTTGAGGAGGCATTTGTTGATAGGGATATTGACCATAAGAGAACATTTGAGGTTGACCAAAATAATTAGTACCCATATAAGGTTGATGATGTTGATGTTGTTGTTGTTGATGTTGTTGTTGTTGAGGAGTATTCACATTTGGATTCGTGTTGTTGTTAGTGGTAGTAGGGTTAGGGTTTGATGAAGTTGTTGTAGGATTATTAGATGCTTTTTGTCCTTGTTGTTGTGATGATGGTTGAGTTTGTTGTTGAGTTTGTTGTTGCTGATGCTGCTGTTGCTGTTGTTGTTGTTGTTGCTGCTGTTGTTGTTGTTGATGTTGCTGTTGTTGTTGTTGATTTAAATTACCAAGAAAACCCTGAAGTTGTTGTTGTTGTTGTCCACCACCAATGGTATTACCATACATGGATTTTTGATAATCATTTAAACCTCCCATGCCTCCTAATTGTTGAAGATCATCGTATTGATGATGGTTATAGAGTTGGGATTGTTGACCATAGGGTGATGCAGTAGCATAAGGAGAAGCAGCAGCAGCAGCGGTTGCTGTAGTAGGCTTATTATTATTAGGTTGTTGTTGTTGTTGTGCTTGTTGGTACATGCTAGTGGGATACATGCTCTTACTCATGAAATGTTGACTATAAGCAGATTGCTGATAGGCATTAAATTGGCTGGGCATATAATAGTATTGGTAATAAGGGAGATTTGCATACATTTGTTGTTGTGGTATACTTTGGCTTTGTCCTTGTCCGTGGAGTCCAGTAGCATCATGACCATACTTATCACGACTTTGATAAACACTAGCGGATGTAACAGAAGGAGAATGAGTAAAAGCAGTGGGATCATAATAACCCTTTTTTTTTAAAAAAAAAAAAAAAAAAAAAATTAGTATAAAAAAATAGAACAAAAATTTTATCCCCATAAAAAAATTTTTACACGCGTGTATATGCATATATGTATTATATATGAATACATATAATTTTTTTTTTTACCCACTATTCATCAATTTCCTATTTATTAACTTACCATAGCAGCAGCTCTTTGAGCTTCAGTACCATAAATACCATATTCGGGTAAGCTACCCATAGGATTCATACCGAAACCTGAAATACCAGTCGGAGGTTGATTGGGCAAATAAGAGCTATAGGCAGATGTAAGATGATCCATACCAAAATGCTGTTGAGGCATTGTTTGTTGTTGATGAAGCATGTGTTGTTGGGGAATACCAGTGGTGGAGGGAGCTGCAGTGGCTGTGCCAACAGCAGCAGCAGCAGTGGTGGTGGTAGTGGCGGCGGTGGTAGTAGTAGTAGTAGAAGTTGGATAAACGGATTGTTCTTGCTTAAGATAAGTAGAAGTTTGATTATAGCTATCATTAGTAGTGGGAGCAGCAGTAGCGGGTGTTGTTGTTGTTGTTGCTGTAGTAGTAGTGGGAGTGGTGGTTATAGCAACTGGAGCAGTAGGAGCTGAAGATGTGATAGTGGCTGTAGCAGGAGTAGAATTCTTATCAGTAGAGGTGGTTTGTGTAACGGGTTCTTCAGCAGTAAGTAAAGTGGTAGTAGCAGCATTTGTAATATCCTTTGCACTAATACTTGTGAAAAAAAATATATACATATATAAATAAACACGCTTTCCCCATAAATAAATAAATACATATTTACCTTTCTTCATTATTAGTATTAGATTCTTCGTCAACGTTTAATGAACCAAATTTGACATCTAAAGAAGAAACAGCTGAGGAAGAAGTATTAGGTAACACTACAGGTTCTTCTTGGTTAAGGAGACGGCTATTCATGCCAGATTCATTTGCAGTCTTTTCTTGACCTTGCTCTTCTTTCTTTTCTATACTTTCGGCCTTATTTTCATCTTCTTCTTTCTTTTCTGAAGATTCATCCCATCCACTAGTAGTTTTAGTAGGCTCAGCAGGAGTAGAATCATATTTAGGAGTAGACCATTCGTCCACCACAGGAGGTTCATTTGAAGTATTCCAGTTATCTGATCCGGCAGTAGTATTAAAATCATTTGTAGCATTTGTGTTAGATGTTTCCCATTCATTTAGAGTAGTATTATTTTCGGTTGTATTAGTAGTAGTAGTATCATGTTGAGTAGGTTCAGGTTCAGGTTTAGGCTTCGATCTTTTTTTTTTTTTTTTTTTTTTTTTTTTAAGGAGTAAAATAATAATAATAATAATAATAGAAAATAAATAATTAGTAATTTTTACACACACATATTTTTTTTTTTTTTTGTAATTTAACCCTTGTAAAACTTACTTGAGGAGACTTGCCCAAGTCTTTGGCTTATCTTCGGTATCATTATTAGAGTCAGTATGTGCAGTTGTTGATGATGAGGAAATAGGAGCCCAATCGTCAGTTACATTAGGTGCAGTTTCATTACTAGTAATCCAGCTGTCGTCATGAAGAAGACTATCTTGATTTTGCTTTGAAGATGCAATAGATGCCCAAGAGCCAGAGGACACTTCATGATGATTTGATTTAGGTTGAGTATCCCAAGACGCGGATGGAATAGAGTTTGACTTTGGTGTGCGTGTACGTGAAGTATTTGATGATACTATGATCGTTTTAATTTTTTTTATTTTGTTCATGTATGTACGTTTTATTTAGCTCGTGTTTTTAATTTACCTTTTCCGGGTCGAGTGACTCGGTCATTATTATATGGCCTTTGTTGTTGTGTAATTTTATTATCACGATATGTAGTAGTGGAAGTACTAATAGGTTGTTGTTGATGTGTACCACTGCTCGCAGCAGCTGCTTTTGCTTTTTGTGCTTCTTTTTTGGATTTCTTGGTTTTTACTTCACCCCATTGACTAGCGTGTCCTAAAATAATAATAAAAATTAAAAAAAAAAGAATATTTAAATAAACACAAAAAAAAGAAGCCCAAAAATATGCGCTTTTTTTCTTTACCTTCACTAATTCTGTCTATGGTTAAATCAAGATCACCATTAGCTTCTTCCAATACAAATAAAAGGTCATCGTCTGACCAGTCAGAGAATAGAACTTTAAGAGTAGGTAACTTTGAAGAATATTTTGACTTGAGTTTTTTAATATCGTTATTCTGTTCAAAAGAAGAGCTTTTGTTATTATTAGTCCTTGTGTTATATGAAGAGCGTGTTTCGTGTGAAGTCATTTTTATTATTTTTTGCAAATTTTTTTAAAAAAGTTCTATTTAAAAGAAAAAAAAAGCGTTAGAAAAAAAAAAGCGTTAGAAAAAAAAAAAGAAGGAAAAGAATAAGTTTTATTCTTTAATAAAAGCTTGCCTTTTCGAATCCTGGTTCTTAAAAAAATAAAAAAATACTTTGCTTTTTTTTTGTTCCTCGAATAATAAAAAAAAATAACCCTTGGTATACTTTTTTTTCTTAAAAATTTAAACAAAAAAAGAAAAAAAGAGAAAAAGAGAAAAAAAAAATATTAAATAAAATAGCAAGAGAGGCAAAAACAAAGCTGAGATTTAAAATTGCAAAATATACACCATTCGCAAATAAGACAAAAAAAAATGCACACAACGTCACCTCTTTTTTTTAAAAAAAAAAAATACATCATAAAATTAAATATTTATAGTTAAATAATTTTTGTTTTTTTTTTCCTTTTTGACCAGCAAGTGATTTGATCTATTGTTTGTAGTAGTTATACACTCTTATCACAGTGTCATTTTTTTGTAATGCTTCTTCTTCTTCTTGGTCTAGGATGAGAAAGCTTCTTTCAGTCTCCGATAAAAGCGCAATAGGTTCATAGTGGTCGTCAATTAAAAGATGATTCTCCGCATTTTTGTTAGTGGTTGTCATGCCTACCTTTGTGTCTTTTTTCTTCTGTTGTAACGACAATAAGATGACACCTAAAATAGTAAAACAAACACTCAATATAACATTTAATAATTGATACCAGCCAAATAAACTCCATTGACCATAATAGACAAGACCATTTAATAGACATGATAAATTAAAACTACAAAAGGAGACTGGTATTAATATCATGTTATCACATAATTTGAGGCCTTTATTTAAATAGTATAACTGATAATGACAATAATGATGGGTACTTTTTTTTTTTTAAAAAAAAATATATTTGTATATAAATATATATATGTTACACGACAAATTACCTGCATTGCACCTGTCAAAATCATCATGACAAGTAAAAACCAAGTTAAAGAATATTGTAACTGATTTTCACCATGGATAGTTATGATAATTAATTCGATACCACTCTTTGCAAATAACATACTTTGACTGCTAATATCACCAGAGAGTACACCCTAACTTTATAATATCATGAGCATCATGCTTGCTTGCTTGATTGATGACATAACCTATGATTTACCTTATACCAATCCATCTTTTGGCGTTTTCTCTATCATAATCACAATCACAATTGATTTTTGTATTAAAATAATGCGTTAAAATGATTGTGATGATTATAATTGTCTCCAGAATACTGAAATAAATCATAAAACTTGTTTTTTTTTATATAACTCAATAAGGTCATTTAAGTTATGATTTGTTTCAGGTATTACGCCGTAAAATCCAACCAGTAAAGCACCTATCATGATAAACCCTGTACCTAAAATAAATAAATAAAAATAAATAAAAAATTAATAAAAATTATACATATAAATATGTGTACATGTACCTAAAATACTCCTTCTTGTTAATGGTTCACCTAAAACAATATTCGCTGCAAAGGCATTCATCACTAAATTTATGGCACCAATTGGCGCTAATAGGATAACAGGTAAATATCCAATAGAAAAGATGGAGCCAATTCCATTTGCTATGATAAAGGATATAAACGCGATTAACCACATTGGTCTTTGATATGACTTCTTTTGTAATTCTTTTGGAAATATCCTGTCGTTTAGTAAATGTAATTTTCGTTGATAAGCTGTTGCAAATGCTTGTATTAAGTTTGTTATCACTGACATCCCTAAACCTATCCAAAATGTATTTGTGTAACCTTGATGATTGGTTTGTTCTTCATTATCTGAACTATTTGTTAATATAGCAGAATAAAGATAGATCATCTCTTTCTTCTTCCTTTGTTTAATATAAAGAAAAGAAAGAAAGAAAACAAGAATTAAACAATAGGTAAAAAAAGAAAAAAAAAAAAACCAACAATAATAATAACAATAACGAAGATCATCACGTGCTCATTCTTATTTTTATTCTATTTTTATTCTATTTTTTTTTTTCTTTTTTCTTTTTTTATTTTTCTTTTAAATGACAACTTTTGAACCTACTGTAAACCTTTTTCAAAAAATTATTACTCGTTCATATGCTAATGTTGAAGTTGATTCAGAAGGCATCAATACAGATCAATTCTTGGAAGCAACTGATGGTTTGATTAACATGTTTGGTACAGCCCATTTTTATTAAAAAAGAAAGATGGAATGATGACACTAAACTTCATGTATAAAAAGATTTATTTGGTAATAGCGCGTTTATGGTGGTGCAAAAAGACATGAGTAATAATGTTAAAAAGATTAGAACACGCTTCTTGGAGAATCCTATAGAATATAATACATTAGAAAAGTTAATGGCAAAAGAAGCCCATTTGAAGCGAAGATTGGCCACAGAAGCATTATTATGGTTAAAAAGGTATAGTAATATAAATATTACAGTACAATATGAATAAAATAAACAAAAAAAGAAATTGTTAGGGGACTTGAATTTACAGCATACTCATTAATGCATAATATTGATCACCCAACTGAAGAATTAACGGTTTCCTTTTCACTGGCATACGATAAAACATTAAAGGCTTATCATAGTTTCATTGTTCGACCCGTATTTAATGTAAGTAAACTAATAATAAATGATATTTATATGTAAAAAAAACTAATATGTGTGGTGTATAGCTTGCTATGAATGCTTGTCCTTGGAGAAAGGATTTTTATGAAAAAATTGGTATACAAGATGATAAATCAATAGAATTAATGAGAGAATGGTTAATGGCTTTATCTCATTTAATTGATATTTTAAATAAAGTATTTGAACAGAATCCAGGATATGTTAAACATTAAAAATAGGATAATAATGTTAAAACTTCATCTTTACGCCTGTCATATTCATTGAAACGAAGCACAGCATATTCCATATAATTAAAATCAATATCAGATACCATAGCTTGAATCATAGCCCATAAACCCCAATAAAAATGAGAAGCAAGAGAATAACCATTGACTTCTTTATATAATCTTTCTTTTTCTTCAATTGATGGTTTAACTAACATAAAAAACGGATTTTAAGAAATACACATGGTAAATAAAAGGATTCTTACCTCCATAATTAAATTCTGTTAAATACCATTCATACCATTTCATTTGAAATTCTTTTGCTGGATATCTCCAATATTCACATTCAAAGCCTGCAAATTCATTAAAATGATTACCAATATCGAATCCTCTAGAGGCATAGCAACCATACTCATAATCTATGAAACTTGCTTCTTCTAATAAAAGAAAATATACAAGTATATAGCTGTGTTTAATATTTCAATCATAGAATGATGATTGGTTCTTTTTACCTTTCTCTTCATCAAAAATGATATTTCCATAAAGTAAATCATTATGAGAAAATACTATGGGTGACTGTATTTTTTCTAATTCTTTTATTAAAGAGTCTAACTATAAATAATTAAAACATCATTACTATGTTATATTATTATTCTATAACATGCAAGATTAGAATACCTCTAATCTAATTTTGTTCATATCGAATCTCTTTTCAAATATGGATTGTATAGTTGGATTTTCATATCTTTGAGGAACTATGAATAACAAGAATGAATATGTATACAGAATAAAAACAAATAAAATAGGATATACCTTGTTCTAACCATTTATACATAGTCGACCATAGCTTTTGTTGTTTCTTATGATTATTATAAATCATTCTATTATTCTCTTCTTCTTCAAAAGGTAATTTTACTTGATGCCATCTTGCAAGTTTCTTTGCAATCCAGAATGCTTTCTTTTCTTGTCCCAAGTCTTCTACTGTAGATACTTTGCCTTTAATAAATCCATAGACTAATCCATTTTTAAATCTAGCATATAATGGTGGTGACATCTTTTGTGAAGATAAGGTAATGATATTCTATATGTATATATATATATATAACTGAGTATCTTTATATCATCGAATCCCGTCTTTCTACCTACCAAAATTTCTTGTTTACGGTCTATAATCAGTTCTGACCCTTTACCATAGGCTCGAACAAGAACTGAAAAATCAGTAGGTAAATAAGTAACTCTAACCACTATTAAAAAATGTTGTCAATTTAAATATTACTCATACTACTGTTATTTTTACACACGCACACACACACTTACATTGATTTGTAATGCCATCTTTACATTGTACAAATTTTATATCTTCATATTTCCATGTAGAAAATATTTTTGAAACAACTTTATAGGCCCCTTCAAAAAGTGCTCCATTGACAACTTCAATGTCAAAATAAGGAGTAGCTTCAATGAGTCGATTTAAATGATCATCAGTATGAATATTAGTATTATCATTATTAGATGTATTCGGTGGCATCTTTCTTTACTATTTGAAAGAGGGTATAAAGTGAACAAGTAACAAAAAAAAAAAAAATGAAATAAAAGGGGTAAAAAAAAAAAAAAAAAAATAAAATAAAATAAATAAAAAATCAAGATAAAACGGAAACACGGACCCAATCAAATCTTAAATAGCTGATGATCAAGTCACAAGAGGTACACAAAAATGGAAATCCTTTTTTTTTACACATGTGAAGAGGATATTTTATATGAAAAGTTTATTTTGTATTTATACAAAATGTATAGAAATATATAAACACTTGCTTAGTCATTCTATTTTATACATATGCATGTATACAAATATATGGACTTGGAATATGACGCCAGATTAAGTAATGATAACAAAAAAAAAATAATATCATATGCCCATTCTATAAAGAAAAGTAATAGTTGACTTATTTGCTAAAAAAAAACAATTTCTCTACTCATCAATCATGTTCTTCTACTGAACAATAGTAGAAATAGATAAAAATAAACAAGCACAAGTAGTACATATTATAAAAGAAAAGGGGGAGGGAAATGGGGGTGGTGGCATTACCATATTGTTTATTATCCAATAAGAATAATTACATAAACCTTATTAAACAAATAAATAATAAATATGTTATTCACCATTAGGGTTAGGGTATAATTTTAATAGCAAGTTTATTGTAAAGTAGAAAAAAAAAAGAAAAAAAAAGTGTTGTTTAAAAAAGATGTTGATTAGTATATTTTAAAATTACTGCCATTTAGACCACATAAGAATTGCCAATTGATTCTTTTTTTTTTTTTTTCTTTCTTTCTTTTCTACTTAGTTACATTCAATGTCATTTAAAACATCAAGAATCATTTTAAAACAGTTTTATTCTCAACAACATATAAAAAGGATAAAGAATCCTTATGAAATATTAAATTTAACTGAATCAGCAACACCAGCAGAAATAAAAAAGAAATACAAAGAGTTGGCAAAAGAATTACATCCGGATAAAAAATCAACTGGAAATTTAGCAAAATTTCAAGAGCTAGTAGAAGCTTATGAGATATTAATTCATCATCGTAACACCAGTAAATTCTATTATCATGCGTCTCCTAAAGAACATAATAGACCCCCTACTTCTTCTCATACAAACACTTATTACCGAGCATCATCTGCTACTACTACGATTAATAATAATATAAAATATACTAGTAATGCTACATTCTTATCTATATTAGCGGGTATTGTCGTTACTATTGGAGCTCTTAACCTCTTTTATTTTCATTCTTCTCATGAAGCATTTATCAATGCAGCCAATCAGCATCATATAAAAACAACTGAAGATCTGAAAAGGGCTCGTACAGAAGCAAAATTATTTGGAAATGATAGAGGTGTAAAACGAGTAATAGAGACAAGAATGAATTTATTTAGACATCATCATAATAATAATAAAGAGAACCCATAAACTTATTATTCCTTTCTTTTTTTTTTCTGTTAATCTAATAGCTGCTTTTCCGCTTTCTTTTCTTCGTTCTTCTTCTCCTTTTTGTTATCCATATTTTCTATTTCTAAAATATATCTTCGGGAAAATACTTCAATGTAATAATTAGCACCATTCCAAACACTGGCAGCAAACATGACGATTAAAAATAGGGTATGTAACCAGAAATGACGATATAAAAAGTAAGTAGGAATGGAGGTAAGAATGTTATAAATGAGTTGTAAGAGCATAAACATTTCTAGTTTATATTTAGGTCCAAATGCAAAGGCCATCTTTTGAATAAATCCTCTTTTGCCATGAGTATCATCCAATAACCAAGAGTAAGAAGTTAATCTTAAACCCGATTCTACTTTGCTTCTTCTTCCTACCATAATGAAAATATAATATAACGTTTGCCATACACCATAAGCTACAGTAGAATAGATCATGACAGTTGAAAATGGAGGAGATTCTAGATGATGAAGAGCAGGGAATCGTGTGTCACGGTACAAGGTCACGATAGCTGTGTTATCACAATAAATATCTTGTTGAAGCTCTGGCATCCATTTGATACAATACATGACTAATGGGGGGAAAATGTGAATAAAGACCGAGGTCACTTTATCTAACGAATGAAATACAAGAGAATTTCTCCATGTGATAATCGCCCAAGCAACGGGACCATTTGTTAAGCAATAAGAAGATAAGAATAAGATGGTTGAATGAGGATAGATCCATAAGAAGAGCATCGTCATCGTGTTTACAAAGTAACATATATCAAATATAAAATAATGCCATCGCTTAGATCGATAAATAACATAACGTAAGACAAGTAAAATAATAAATTGTACACTATAATAAGAGGGTATTAAACTTGGATAACGAAGGGCAAGAGCGGGTGCAACACAGGCGTTACCGACACCGAACATGAATGCTATCTTGTCCCGTAACTGAACTGTTTTCGCATCACGATTGATACGTTTATCTATCTTATGATATTGTCTTACAAGTAGTTCAAGGATACGTGCCTTTTGTAACTCTAATTTCTTAGTTTGTTGCTTAATACTATCTTTTGTCTTGCTTGTCCATTCTGATGATTTTGTAATAAATTCTTTTTGTTTGTCTTCTATTTGATTTGTTACTTGATCTAAAGCTGCAGATAACATATCAATCATATCAAAATCATTCTCGGATATAAATTCTGAAGTACTCCATTCATCTAGCGAAAATATATCTTCTTCTGAAGTAGGATTTGTAGTAGTAGTAGTAGTAGTAGTAGAAGAAGAAGAAGAAGAAGAAGTCTTTGCTACTTTTCTTGTATCTTTATCTTCTTTATTTGTTGTTGTTTCGTCGTTTATATTCATAATGATGTTGAGTTAAAGAAGAAGAAAAAAAAAAAAAAAAAGGGAAAAGAAAAAGAAAGCGGAAGAAATTTGTTACGTCTCATAATTGTCATTTTTTTTTTTTTTTAAATGAAATAATAGCAAAATGGAGTGGACGGGCTTTTAATTTTTTCTGCTTTATTTTAGGAAATCTGTTTTCGACTAAACTATTACTTGAAATTGTTTAAATCATATTTATATAGCTACCAAGATGTGATGCCTAATTGAAGGTACATTTATTGAATGTTTAGTCATTGTATGTTAACTTATTAAACACAAGTCAATAGATGAATCCTTAGGGTAAGATGATTAAAACAGAGATACGAACTATTTATACAATACAGTCATCTGATGACCTCCTGTAAAAAAAAAAAATAAAAAAATCACAATAGATAGAATATAGTTAACGTCTATTTCCAAGAATTTTACTTGTATATGTTAAACTATCTTTTTTTTTTGTTTATCCCATCTTTAAGTTCAAAAAATAAAATACGTCGATTATAGAACGAGGAGGAAAGATGATAGATACTTATACACAAATATGCATTATTTTATTAGGAATGAATATTAATAAGACTATTGATATAAATATATATAATCATATACATGAATGAATATGTATTTTAAAGGACATTATAGTATAGTGTTATATGCACTCTATTGCTCATTCTTTATTATTTACATATTATATATCATATTTAAAATATTTTAAGTATGTATCATAATAATAATAATAATAATAATATACACATATCTTAAATTTGACTTTATACAACATTCCACGTGGCGTATTATAGATGCTTCATAATTCTATAATTATACATATTAAGGGAAATAGATAAAATGTTAAAAGGGAGAAGGATTAAATAAGGATGGCGTCAATTATATACATATACATATATAACTCTTCAATATATGCATGTTAGACAAACTTTGTTACCAATTCTAATATTTTACTTTGTCTTATAATACGTACGCCGAAGGAGAAAAAGGTGTAAGGAGAGAAGGTTAAAAAAAGAAAGAAAAAAAGAAAAAAAAAACTAGTTTGTATCAAAATCAGTTGGAATTTGAGGGGAAAAATGTATACCTCAATGTAATGTAAATACGTTTTGAGGGGGGGAAGGGGAAGGGGGGGGGGGGGAAAAGAAGTTACTGTTGGTAAATTAAAAATAGAAATACGTTTTATATAAATCACAGTTTTTTATTTCTTTTCTTTTTCCTTCTCTTATCTTTTCTTTATATTATAACATGTCTTACTTACCCTTTGATAAACTAAAATTACCTTCTATACATCATGCTATTACTAAAAAACAGTATAAACCAGTAAAGAAGATGATAACTATTGAAAATAATCAAATGCAATTCAAAATACCACAAAATCATCATCATTCTCGTACTACTTCTGTACCTTCTGTATTGCCTAGTCAGCAGCAACAACAACAACAGCAGCAGCAACAACAGCAACAACAGCAGCAACAGCAACAACAAACAAATAAACTTTCTATGGATATTTTATTAGATGCCATTGATCTTGATCAACAAATGCGTCAATACTTTAAAACAGAGGTTATAAAATCCAAGAGTCGTAAAATAGTAGACAATTATTATAATTCACGTCATTCGATGATGGTAGCCGTTAGACGTAGATCAAGATCGGCTCCTGGTGCTCCACCTTCTTATCATCATCAACGTGCTTTTAATTCTCGTTGGACTTCACCTATTTTCAATAAGACCGTTACGTCTGATATTCAAGCACAAAAGGTGGCTCAACTTATTGTACAAAAACATCTCGAAACTGTCAAAAAGAGATAAAATAGAACATGTTGTAAAAAGGAAAGAAGTTGTGCGGAGGGAGGAAATCATATTTATGTATTATTGCTATTATTCATCTTTAACTACTATCATGATTTTTTATGATGTAAATATATACAAGTAGTTTATATAAACAGTTATTATTGTATAGCAGTCAATCTCTATTATATATAGTTACACTCTTTTCATTATTATGCAATAAATGTATACATTAAACATCATGATGCAGTAGTCTTCCTATTTAAGAAAATTATACTTTTTTTTTTTTTTTTTTTTTTTTCATTCGCTTACCCTTTATCTTTATGCAAAACCTATAATATAATATAATATAATATAATATAATATAATATAATATAATATATTTTATTTTATTTTATTTGTTTAGAAAAAAATTAATGATAAATTTGAACGGTTTCATTCATAATACGATCCAACTCCTACAAAAAAAAAACGTCTAATTTAGAATTTGATACATTCATTAGATTATTATTATTATTATTACAAACCTTTTCTAATTGTTCTAACCGAGTTTGACTATCCTTGAAAATTTCATAAATTTCATTTCTATGAGAAATTCGCTTATTTTGTTGTTGAATTGTTGCTGCTCCACGAACGATAATCATTAAATCATTCATACCAAAATCTTGACAAAATAATAAAGAATCTGTAGATTCAGGTCGTATTTGTGGTTGCTTTCCAAAAGTAGATGGGGTATCAATAGCTCTTGTATCATTATTATAGGAGATAATAGGTTGTTTCATACTATCAAACATAGCCTCTTCTGGACTACTACTTACATCATGAAGATCATTCACGATCACTTGTGGCTGATATTGAGGCATAGAAGGTAACTGAGGTTTGTCTTGAACTGTTGTTTCTTGTCGAGGTATAGGTGTATCTTGACGTGTTAAATGATGAGGTCTCTGTGCTATAAAAATGGTTGGTGTTAAGGACTTTACACATACATACATGTATGTATATATACAGAAATAATAATAATAATAATAATAAAAACCTACGCGGTAACTGTGATTGTGGCTCTTTTTCTTCTACTTCTTCTTCTTCTTTTTCGGGTTCGAGTTGTACTGATCTTGTTTCAATTGGCTTTAAAATAAAGTAAATTTCATCTTTTTCAGGACTTGTAATGTTCACAGTAATTGAAGTTCGATCAGGATTACTACTACGACGATATTGAATAGGAGGTACATCATCACGAAAGACATCCAATATTTTATCATTCAAATTTAACATAATCTCTTCTCCATCTTTTGTATTCATTGCAAGTCCATATTCAATAATCGTATCATTACCGTCTAAACGAAGTGATTTAATATCATCATTTGCTGCTGTTACAACTCCATTTAAGATATGAAATTTTTCGAGTAATAACTCAATCACATTCTTAACTAACATACGAGATGGAACCTTAACAAGTTTATCCACTCTCTTTTCATCTTCTGCTTTAATAGAGGACACTTTAATTTGAATTTCACCATCATCTACACGCTTTGTCTTGGAAAATAAAAAGAATTGAACTTGTTCTTCTTCATGAGCTGTATCCGATGAAGGCCCACCTATGTAAGTTTGACTCTCATGACCCATTAATTGAGAGATACGTTTTGCCTTTCTAAGTGAAGGCATAGGTGTATTTAAATGAGTAGTCAGTGAATGAAAGATCTCTAAGGGTTTATCTGACGGTATTAAAGTAAATTCATCTCCACCTAATGTTTTGACAATGATATAATAATCATGATATGCATTTTCTTCTAACATCGCCTCATTCTCATCTTCTTGAATCACTTGATGAATCAATTCTAAGGCGGTAGTCGAAGCATAAACTTGAACTAGCTTATAAGCTACATGATTACCTACATAGATCTTTAATAGTTGAGGTTCTTGTTGTGCATTCATGAGATTATCACGATCCAAAGTCATCTTCCCTGTTGTTGATTGAGGACTAATGGAAGCAACTTCCGTCGTCATTGAATTAGAACCATTTGAAGCCCTTTTTTCATGACTCTCCTTTTTATGACTTGTACGAGAAAAGAATTTACGAAGACCTAGAGATGATTTTTTTTTAGTGGGTTCATCAGATGAACCAAGTAATGTATCAAGTTTAGCTGCTTTTTTCAATTTAGATTGAATACTACTACTACTACTATTATCAGAATCTTCATCATTATCACGTGCGATAGAAGGCGTAAGTGAGATTTTAATCGTCTCTTCTTCTACTAAATCAAAAGATGTAATACGAACATCACTATCACTGTCACTATTGTTATCATTATCATTTATATTCTGATAATAATCAATAGGATCCTGTTGTTCATCATTTATATATTGGTTTAGAGACATCTCCTTAGTATAAGATAAATGTGATTGATCATAATAATGATAAGGATCATCACTATCTTCTTCTTCTTCGTCTTCTTCAGAATCATCTGAAAGCATTCGTTCATCCCATTCTTCAAATTCAGCTTTAAATTCTTCATCTTCTTCATCACTTGAACCATATATAATTTGTGATTGAAATTGAACTTCCTTTGCAAGCGTGACCTTTTTCTTTTTCTTTATTTTATTTGAAGGAGGTGTTGGGAAAGCATCTTGAATGTCCCCTCTCGTAAGTTCAATATTACGATGGGAGTTTAAACGAGCTAATCTTTCATAAGGTGTTTCAATATTTTCAGCAGGGATATAACCAATCTCTGACGTCTTTAAGATTTTAATCAACCACCAATATGAATTGGTATCGTCTAATAACGTTAATGCATCACCACGTACAACTGATGCCTGTCCTTCCACAGTAGCTGTAAACGTGTGTAAGGCATATACCATATCAAAATCAATATTTGGATCTGGAATACTTAATTCAGATCCAGAATCATCTTGTTCGAATTCATCTTCATTTTCGTCAAGATCTTCATCATATTCTTCATAAACATCTTCTTCATCATTTGAATAAAATGGTTGGTGTTGAATGTGGCCTATATTATCATTATAATCTGTAACATGTCTATCATCTATACTTGATATCATTATAAAAAAAAAAGAATGGAATGGGTAATAAAAAAAAAAAATAAAAATAAAAAAAAATAAAATAAAAGGAAAGTTATTTATTTGTTTAAAGGAGTGTTATAGAATAGTGGTAAAGAGAGGAAAAAAAAAATACACAAACACATTCACATACACACACACACATACATAAAAGTGTGCGGAGAAAAAAAAGATTTATTTAATGAATATACTAAAAAGAAACTTCAATTAAACTATAATTTTTTATTTTTTTTTTATTTGAAGAAAATTACATACATATTAAGATGACCCCTCCCCCTTCAATGAACAACTACTATAAAATGGCTTTTAAATACATTAAGTTTACCTGAGTTAGATTGATGAAGTGAATATGTTATGAAGAACCTCTTTGGAAGCAAGAGTAAGCGTGTTCTTCACAGTAAAGAATTATATAAATGATGAGGGCAAGTGGATTAGAGTGTTATTTAATAGTTTTGAGACCAATAAAAATATTTAAAGTTAGAATAAAAATAGACAAAGCAAGGAAAAAAGCAAATATAGAAACAAAGTACAGATACATTGTCATGATAATTATTTATATAGAGTATTTGCTTAAAAAAAAAAAAGAAAAAAAAAAAAAAAAAAAAAAAGACATAAATATCTAAATCAGAAAACAAAGAATTTCACTCCTTTTTCGTGTAGTAGAATTGATAATTAAAATGCGCATTTAAATTCGAATTAAATAATAATACTAAATCCCCATATCATATGCTATGCTAGTATCAATTACATGCACGTGATACAAATATAGATAGTTAAGTTAAATACTAATAATGCATGTACTTTATATTTACTCAACCTTAATGAGTAATACGATAGCAATAGCAATGAAGATAACAAACAGATATGTACATAACAATTGTGTCAGTAACACAACTACTATGAAACATTAGGACAGAGATCCTCATGTCATGATCTGATATCAAATAATAGTTCGACAATCATCAAAATAAGGTACACAATTACCCTTTATTTAACTCCAGATTTAAGGTACCTAGGTGGTGGACGAATAAGATACTTCTGTACTAAATTGACTAAGGACGTTGTAACTAAAATACTTCCCGAGTCTACTTTTCTGATCTCAAAAAATTCTTATATAAAATACACGCAACTTCCATTCTTTAATCTTGCTCACTTTATTAGTAGTCTTTCTATAATTCTCTTTCACTTTACATTCATCATTATTCTGATAGACATATCATGCCTTATTTTAATTCTTTAGTTTTATTTTTTTTTCTTTAATAAAAAAAAAACTCTCCAGTCTACTCATCCATTCTTCGTACCTTCATCTATCACCTCTCTCCCCTTCCCTCTTTTATTATTATTATTATTATTATCTTGTATTTTTCTACAATGTCGCGTTCAATAAGCTATATAGAAGCTGAAAGGTTGATTCAGGCAAAGCGTTCCATTCAAGAAAGAAATAATAACCCTAAAGTACAACTAGGAGAAGAAACAGGTTTCCATAAACAAACAATGAAAGTGTATTTATAACAGATATAGAACAAAAAGAAAAACCCAAGTAATTATAAGCAGATAGTAGCTGTTACTATATGTGGAATAAATATAACAATTATTAGGCTGGTGACTACTTTATATATATACATATACAAGTATATCGTTCGTAGTAATTTCATAGTTTCATATAGATACATACTTATTAGAAACTTAATTGAGGAGAGGGGGGGGATATCAGAAAAAAAATTGAGTTTACTATCACATTACTAGATCATGTATTGCTTCAAACTACTAAACAAATATAATTGACTAAAGATATGTTCCATAATACAGGCATCAAACTTGATAACAAGGTCTTTAAGTCTTACTCAAATTGGAATAGTTCTACTACTATTAACAGGATCCATCTTATCTTTTATTCAAGGATTTCTCCTTTATATATATATATATATATATATATATATATATATATATATACATGTATATATAAGCTGTTATATTTATTATATAATAACTATTTATATAATGGTTGCTAGAGTGCTTAAAATATCAGTTAAACTAATAACACCTTTCAGCTTAAAACTAGCATAATCCACCCACCAAAGTCTGTATGTTTTTCTCAAGACAAAGGCAGACATAACTTGAGAAAGTGTAAACTGATCATGACAGGTTAAAGGAGGATAAAGGTCACCGTGGCTTGCCTTTAAGAACATCACAACTGGTTTCATAAGAGTATCCCATCTATTTCGATTTAAACCCCGTAAATCCTGTGCACTAATTTCTCCAATCAAATCACCATTATCATCAAGAATAGGCAAGGCACTGATACGATCATCAGCTGCTAATTTTAAAAATCCTTCTGCTGCAGTCGAACGATAATTTAATGTTGATTTGATACCTGATGACTTGATATTTGAAACAGGAAGATCTAAAATATCCGATCCTAACTGATGATTATAAGCTTGGAAGAATCGAATCAAGTCCATTTGTGAAAGTAAAACAAGTTCTCCATTCGATTGTTGTTGAATTAAAACTCGATGTGTTTTTTCGAAACTAAAGCAATCAAGTAATTGGCGTAAACTGTCAGCTGAGTTAAGAATAGTTAATGGCTCTGTGACTCCAATAGCGTCCTTTAAGGGCATTAAAAGAGCACAACTATTGGTTTGTAAAGTTTCCATTGAAATCTAAACGATATTATGAATTTGTTTGTTTGTTTGTTTATTTGGGGGAAAAAAAAAGTAAAGAAACTTACCTTTGTACTTAATAATTTTAATAAATCTAAAGCACTTACAATAGCAATATATTTCTTATCTTTCGTTTTTTCATCAAGATAATATATAGGGACTGATAAAATATCTTCAGCTAAAAGTAAATCAAAGGCTTCTTCTATAGTAGAAGTATGAGGAAGATCCAGCAAATCACGACAAGTAGGTTTAACCTTATTTAAAACGTCGTTTATAGTTTTTGATTGAATAAATGATTGTAAAAGGGTATCTTGATTCTTATCGTTTGTATTTATACTATGTTCATTATTGGATAGAATAGATGTCATGTTGAAGACTTGATTTTAATTACTTGTTTTGTTGAAAATATTTATATATACAAAGTAAATAAAAAGGAACTTTTTTTCTTTCTTTTTTTCTCTTTTATGGATGAGAATATTAAAAAAAAAAAAAAATAAAGTGACGTTTTCTATTGTTCTATCCAATAAAAACTTTATTTGATCACGTCAAAATTTTACATGTCTTTAAAGAATGTATTTATTTATGCTTCATATAAACAATTACTGCCTTAGAATGCGTATAACTGTATATGCTCACACACACTCACAAGGGGATGAGGAGGAACAATATTAGGCAATTTACATGAGGCATATGTTTTTTTTTTTTTTTTTTTTTTTTTTTTTGGGAAGAAAAAAAAAACAATAAACATAGACTATTCCTTTTTTTTTTTCTTTTGAAACATAAAATTACTATATTAAGGATAATGATACACTAGTAGTAATAAAAGGTACAAAATAGGTTTGTATAAATTTATTATATTACAAATAAAGAAAGAAAGAAAGAAGGAAAAAAAAGGAAAAGAGAAATAATAGGTGCAATAAATTATATATTATTGTTTAAAGTATGCTGGATAAGTTGTTGATTGTTGCTGTTGCTGTTGCTGCTGCTGCTGTTGTTGTTGTTGTTGTTGTTGTTGTTGTTTATTAATAGATCCATCAAATGCCGAGAAACTGTTTTGAGGTGTCTTTAATGGGAACTTTCGACTTTGTCTATGTCCTGTACGTTCTGCTTCCCAGTCTTCCCATTTCTTCATAACAAGACGTTTAGAATCAAATTTACCATCTGCACTTCCATGTGCATCTCCCTTCTTTTCTCCCACTACGACACGAGTAGCACCCCATGAGAAATCATCAAAGTGCCAGTAAGAATAAATAGGTAGAACCATATTCCAAATAGGCAAAGAAATAAGATAAACTATATAAATAGATATATATATATTTGGAGAAAAATAAAAAAAAATGTAAGTAAATTCCTTGTACATACGTACATATATATATATATATCTTCTTACCAATCATCCATAAAATATAAATGTATTTTAATGTCGTAATAGCAATCAAGAATGCAGGTAGAGTTAAAATAGCAATTAATAAACCTAATGATTGCCATTGAGGATGAGGTGAAATAGCTGTTTCAATAATTAAATAAAGTGTCATCACGATAGCAGCAGGTAACACAAAGGCACTGATCAAATCAATAAAGACAGAGAATTGCATAGATAAGAAGGAGATACCACAAAGATCAGAGACGAGTACTAATTCCATTAAATTATGTACAGTTGAATTAATCCAACGACGACGTTGTGAGAGTAAGACACTAAATTCATCAGGGACAATCGTTCTACATCGTGCCTGTGGGACAAACATCATTTGTCGTTTAGGGAAGGTACGTAACATCAAGGTAGACAAGAAACGATCTTCACCGAGTAATAACAAATTCTTTTCATGTAATGTCGTAACTACATTTTGATTGTATTCAAGAATGATATCTGGATTAGCCAAGATCGGGACCCAGGCGCCATTCTTTGGAGCCTTGATACGGAACATACTGAAGCAACCAGGTAAACAAGTGACCATACCAAAGAGAGATTCAAATGCCTTGGCATAATGATGCGAGATATAATATTCAAATACTTGAATAGCCGAGACCCAAGAGGCTCGTTTATTAGCAATACGTGTTTCACCGCAGAGACCCATGATGGTGATATCATTGGCCATGGCTGCTACCATATAAGTTAACGCATCAGGTAAAACTTGTGTATCCGCATCGACCATCAGGACTAACTCAAACTTGTCGGGTGTTACGCCCTTCATTAACCACGTCATCTTCCAAAAGATCTCGTAATCCAATTCACAAAGACGATCGTTAAATAAGACGCGCTGGAAGAATGTCATGAGAATCACCTGTGAGTCTCGTTTACCTCGATTACCTGGCTTGGGTCCGTTTTGTTCCTCTTCTGTACCACACTTGACAATCGTGATACAAGGTGTGCCATTATAATGTCCTGCATACACTTTAGCCATATTCAATTGCTTTTCACCATCCGCGACAGCGAGATAAGAACAGGGCTTAGGATTCGCCATGGCAGGTGTTAGATCCATCATGTTCACGACAATATCAGGTGTCGACATCGTCTCACCAGCACCTGTAATTAACCCATCAGCAATCACGAAAAAGATTTTATGTTTGTTGGAGTAGGTTGTATTCGAGAGACTATCCATGGTCGTTCGAAGACCTTGTTCACCTTCAGAGTAACAGGTAACAAGCATAATCGTATAAAGCTCAGTCTCGACAATATCAGTGCGTTGTCCATTTAATCGCTGGTTAGAACTTTGAATACTCGAGGGGGATTGTTGTCCATTTGGATCTGAACCAAATGAATGAACAGAACCGTTGGCTACGGGATAGTTATTGTATGGACCTGGGATATGGTTAGCTGGGTCATCATTACCTCCCTTAATAGAACGCCAAGCTAACCAGTTCGATCTTCCACCTGGCTTCACTAGTCCACGAGAGATAAACCATTGGAAGAGAACAGCAAATGAATAACGAACGACGATAATGATGATGATCACAGCAAACATGGTGGTCATGATGATATTATCCGCTACACAACTTGCAACCTCCTGTGAGGCCGTGCCGACAGCATATCTAGCTGTGATACAACTTCGTGCCAATTTACCTTGTTCAGTATACAGGAGAGCATAGGTAAGATCATTACCTCGAGAAGATCTTAAGGCCACGTCTACCTCTTGACCAAAGATAGGTTCATTCTTTTCGAAATAAGTTGTCAAATTAACAATCGTATTGACGAGAACACCCATGTTGGAAGTTTTCATTTCTTGAATATTCGTACGAATATCTTTCCAGTCATAACTGAGATAATTACCATTATTACTATAAGCATGTAACCTTGATAAAGGAATGCAGGAACCATCTGCTTGTCTAATTACAGTGCCTAATTTTTTTTTTAAAAAAAAAAATAAAAAAATAAATAAAAACACAAAAAATGATTTATCAATTTGTAATATATAAAATGGAAATAGTATTACCATTGGGACTTGTAATAGAGCAACTAGGAAGAGTAGGATCTATATTACCCTTTTTGAAGGGAGCACACGCATCATGGATATCACCATTAAAGATGGAACTAATTTCCGTACCTTCGAAATCTTTTGTTAAATCAAGATTTAACGTCTTGAAAAAATTTTGCATTGTATCGAATTTATAAATTTGTCCAAAGACATATACATCGCTTCTCTGAATTGGAACAAGTACACCATTATGTTCCATTGAATAAGGATGATATGTTACATCCTTAGGACATAAGTTAATACGTAAACCATAAATAACATAAGCCAAAAGACAACATAAAAATGCTACTATATAGCATAAAGTGACCTTAAAAATAAATATGCTCATTTTAGTTCTTTGTTTTTTTTTGTTCCTCTAATGAATATAATTTTTTGTTACCTTTTCTCTCCAAGCTTGTTGCATACTTTTATTGGATTTACCAAATAAGACACGAATAATATAATTAGGGAAACAACATGTACAAATAAAGGCAGTCCAAGCCCACCAACTATTCAGTACACTTGGTTCCTTTTCTTCTTTTTCTTTGATATCATTTGATGACGATTGGCTTCTAACAGGTTCAGCATTTGCTTGTTGTTGCCTTTGTTGAGCAAGCTGCATTTGTAAATTATTTGACATGGGTTGATTATAGGTATGACTATTTCTTTCAATGTTGCGACGATGATTCATATTTGAAAGATGACGTTGTGGCGCGGTCCCTTGGGGATTAATTAAACCGGGACGAGGACGTTGTCGTTCTGGTCTTGTTAGTGACTTGGATCTATTTATGCTTGCGCCACGTTGAAATAAATGGGGTGGAGGTGGTTGAAAATGACCACCACCACCACCTCCTCCGCTCATGGGTCTATTGGGTTGAGGCATTCTATGATGATATGGCTGTTGCATGTTATTATACCCAGGAAAGTTCGGCGATGGTTGTTGTTGTTGTCTTTGATGATAAGAAGGGTATGGCCGAGCCTCAGTATGATAACGATGTCTATTCATATCCGGAGAAGAAGAAGATGACGATGAATAATTATACTGTAAATTTGGATTATAATTGTTCCTATAGTGACGATGGTCGCCATAGTTATTATTATTCGGCATATTTGACATTTTATTTTGGTATGTATAAATGATATGTCAAATCCCTTTGTAAAAAAAAAAAAAAAGAAACAAAAAACAAAAAACAAAAAAAAATTTTTTCCTAAAAAGAAAAAATGTAATAAATTATTTAAAAAATAAAAGAAAAAAAAAGGTATATACAAAAGTACGTATGTACAAAAAATAAAATAAAATAAAATAAAAGAAGAAATGAAAAAGAAAAAGAATAATAATAAAAAAAAAAAATTAAAAAAAAAAGAATAAAAAAATATACATATAAAAATAAGTTTTTTTTTTGTTTTGATTTGTTTTTAGTAACAGAATACATCTAAGCCCACACAAAACATAGATAGTTTCTATATTTACAATGTAGAAATATGGTAATTTATGTTTAACAACTTGAGTTCAAAAAACTCATATTTTTACTTTAAATGGTACATTTGTCTTGAAAGAATGATTATAAAATATCAAGATCAATATTGTTCCTGGGAATAAGGCGCCGAAAAAAATATCTTCCAATTTTGGTAAGTTTATTTTTATATACATAAATATTTTATTAAATGTCATACTTTAAATGCAAGTACACCAAACTTAATTTAATCTATTTTCTCTTTTAGACTAGTTAAAAATGCATCAATAAATGATAGAATGAGAGCAATTGCTACACTTGTAGTAAATTATCCTGATGATTTATATCTAAAACGGAGCTCTAATAAAAAAAAGAAACGTCTATAAAAAAAATATTATTTTTATACTGAAACATTTAATATAAACCTGAATTCTGAATTTTATTCAATTATTATAAAAGAGTTATACAGTAATGAAAAAAAAACACACACACACACACACACATACACACACACTTATTTAATTATCTGTTTTTGTATAAAAGAAATTAAAAAGGAAAGCCATATTGTGCAATAATAAAAGAGGCTGCATAATAAAAAAAAATCTTTAACAATTATTACTTCTCCTCCTCCTTCTGAAAAAAAGAAGGAAAACTAAAACATCAAATGAATAGCAATAATGGCTATAAAAGAAGTCCCAGTAAAGAAAAATTCCTTCTAATTCCCATTGTTCTTTTTGTTTTAAAAATCGAACAATTTTTTTTTTAAATAAAAAAAGAAGAATAAAAGAAAGAAAGAAAGGAAAGGAAAGAAAAAGAAAAAGAAAAAAGATCTTAGCGTAGAATTAAAAAAAATAATACTAAAAATACAGTTTTTCTTTATTATTCACGAGCTAAGCTAGTAGATGTAGCAAAATTTGTTAAAGAAGAAGGACGTATTAAATTTTGTTTCACGTGTTAACAATCTCTCATTTTGTTATTAATAATACGTAATGGATACGAATTGATATATAAAGTGTATATACACATAACAAAAAGAAGAAGAAGAGTAAAGAGAAAAGGCTTGTTATTTAATGTACATATATAGTATCCTTTTTTTTTTGGACAAATGTAAACAAGTGTCTTATTGTTTTCTTTTTCTTGTAAAAGGGTATGGATATTGACATAATCTGTGTTAAGGGTCTAACTAAGAGGTGTTTTATTTATTCGACAGCAGCAATTATGACCAATTATTTCTTTTGTTTTTCTTCAGTAGTAAATAAATGATACAGTAGTATCTTTAGACATATATATGTGTATATAGCATGTATAGAGTTATCATGAACATTACGTTTTAATATATTAATGAGTCTAGTGCAGTGTTCTTTTTCACAAGTCAAAATAAAGGGTCTACTTTCATTGCCCTATCCGTTTTACTTGTATATATTGTTTATTACTAATATGAACATCATCTATCACTATTTTAATAGTTTTTTTTTTTCAGTTGTACTTTATAATAGAACATAACATATCATCATAGAATAACTACTTTTGTTCGTATTTTTTGAGTAATAGAAATATTCGGTATCCTGTGTCACACATTTAATTTTTTTTATTATTTTTATTTTGGCGTATGTATTACGTTTCCCCAACTTTTTTTTTTTTTTCGGAAGTTCAAGTCTATTACTTTTAATCAGTAGACGAAACTAGTAATACTGTACAACTATTGTCTATAAAGAAGTTGCTAATCATAATGAAGCAAATAGCTCATCATCATTATAGACTGGGCAATATAATACATATTTCTTTCTTAGACTCTGATATACTTATTTATTAGTACTAGTAGGCCTTCAGGCAGATTATAATAACTTGACTTAAATTTACTGATTTTACATAATAGAAAAAAGGGGATACACTTTTATTCATTCTGAAACAGTCTATAAGTGATTTATCCTGTTGTATAATAAAGGCTATTATACTTGACTCACTGTTTATTCTTCTTTCCCTCTAATATCATTGATTTGCAAGTAATCATCATGACACCATTTATTTTTGTGATAACTGATCTCTATAACACGTTAAACAAAACGAAATACAAACGTTATGTATATATTTACATCTGTAGTTTTGAGAGAGGAATACTTGCTAGATAAGTTACCATAATAAACAGAACATAGACAGAGTATTATACAACATTTATTTTATACATATTTTATGCACATTATTACTTGTTCGGGATTAGTTAACTTGTACGTTTTCTTTTCAAAAGGGGGTTGACTCCATTATGTCATTTATAATATATACTATCTTCGAGTCAAGAATGATTACACTTCTTAACCTTTATCTATCAAAAGATAACACGTATTCTTATTTAAAAAGAATTTGTACTTCCTAACTAGTAGGAAACCTGAAAAAAAAAAGAATCATTGATTCATAACAGTAAATAAAATTCATTGATTCGTTGAATACGTTAAATAAGCCCGTATAAGTAGCTACTATTTAACTTGCTTTTCTAAACATCACATGCAACAGTCGATAAGATAATATCCTATTTACTACTACTGTCTCCAGATGCATTGTTGTTGGCTTTCAAGGAAAAAAAAATATATACATATTAGAAACAATTGAAGATCCCTTATCCTTTTAATTAAAGCTTCCCACACGTGAACAACAACAACGATGACGACTCCTATTTTAATTTTCTTGTTTAATTACCTGTTTCACCATGATCTTCATACCTTAGGCAAAGTCTCCTTTAATTAACTCCTTTTTCTCTCCTTCTCATCGCCAATAATATAATCAATGATGTTTTTCTTTAATTTTTTTTTTAAAAAAAAAAAAGAAAAAAAAGAAAAAATAGTCATTAGGTTTACTTTCTGCTTTCAGCGGGACAAGAAGTCTGATATATCCTTGTATCCAATAAGATTTCATATTATTTTTAAATAATAAAAAAAAAATATGAATGAAAGGCGGTTATTCAATCATCAGCGTGACTGTAAGCTAAACAGTATATGTTCATGATTGGCTATAAGCAATAATATTATGTATCAAGGACGAATAATATGCTCTTATTACCGGCATCCCTCACGTTATTTTTTTCTTAATTTTACACACCCGCTATTTTTTCTATCACAACTCACACATGCACACGCACACACTTTTTTTTACTCTCTCTCTCTCACTTACAACAATTTTTAAAGGTAAAGTATTGTATGATGAATAAGTCTATTACACTCTAGAGGCTACCACACTATACACATTTACATATACATCTATTTTTTTTTATTTTATTTTTTTTTGATTTTTTTATTTTTTTCTTCTTTCTTTTCACTCATTTTTCCAAAGTATTCTACATATATTGTTCATACATCCATTTTTTTTTTTTTTTTTTTACTCATCTTCATCTTGTGCCATCTTGTTTATACATATGTTTTTTTTAAAAAAAAAAAAAAAAAAATTTAAAAAAAGCCCTGTGTAAACACGACTTTTATTATTTAAAAAAAAAAAAAAAAAAAAAAAAGCATAATAATAGATAGTGTAAAACAGTTTACTAATTCAAAATCCGATTTTATTTTATTTTTTTTCAATTATTATTTTATTTTGCTTTAAAAGTAGATGCCTAAAGAAACTCAAAAGGATACTAAGCGTGCTACTGATAAAGGCGAAGATAAGAAGAGACGTAGTAAGAAGGATCCTTCTGCCCCTAAGCGTGGTTTATCTGCATACATGTTCTTTTCTCAAGAAAATCGTGCCAAGGTTAAGGAGGAAAATCCCACTGCCACTTTCGGTAAGTTTCTTCATTTTTTTTTCTTTTATTATTCTTACTAATAACTGGTCTTATTTCTTTAAGGTCAACTTGGTAAGCTTCTTGGTGAAAAATGGAAGGCTATGAGTGATGAAGAAAAGAAGGTAAGCTTTATATTAAAGATGGAAAAAAAAATGTATTTCTTATGCTTTCTTCTTTTTTTTTTTTAGCCTTATATTGAAAAAGCTGAAAAAGACAAGGAACGTTATGAAAAAGAAAAGGCTTCTCAAAAATAAAATACATATATATCGATTTCTCTTTCTTTCTTTTTTTTCTTTCTTTTTTTTTTATATCCTTTCTATTAAAGAAAATGCTAATAAAAAAAAATAAAATTTCTGATTATAATGAAACATGATTATTTCTCCCTTTTTCTTAAATAATTTTCATTGGTGCACAATCATTTATTCTTTTTTGTTACTACTAGTAGTAGTCTTTTTAAAATTTTCCATGCGTTCACCCATGGCTTTATATCTATTTCTTTCTTGACGTTCAGCTACAACTTGTGTTGGATTGTATCTTGATTTTAAAATACGTTTTACAGCCTCAAAAGATAATTTAAACTCTGTAGATATTTGTTTAACAGTATAGATTTCAGGTTGCTATAAATCTGATCAGTCCATCTTTTTCTTTTTGATCATTATTTTTTTTTTTATTTTTTATTTTTGGCTCTTACAAATCTCGCTAATGAACGAATCTTTTCCATTGTTTCTCTAGATACTCTTTTCTTTGGCAACCATGGTTCTTTAGAGGCAGTTGTAAATAATCGAATTGAGTTGAGATTATAACAAGACTTGCTGATAAAGAGTTTATTAAGCATGTATTTATTTACAGTTGTTATGAGGGGTATTATTATTATTGTATATAAAGAGAAGAAGAAAGAGAAGATTTGTAGCGGTTATTTAATAACTTGTGCAGCAGTTTTTTATTATTATTTCCACTAGTAATAATTCCGCACGCAATTTTAGTTTAATTGTTGAACTATAGTCAGTATAAAGAACTTTCACATAGTAGAGAGCAAAAAAAAAAAAAAAAAAAAAAAAAAAAAAAAAAAAAAAAAAAAACAATTGTTAATGACAAAAAGGGATTTGAAGGAATTGTTTACTTAAAAAGTGCAGTACCTATTTAAAATGGATATCTTTTTTTTTCTTTACTAATAATGGATGCATTATTTACTTTTTTCTATTAAACTTATTCACTTAAGAAGCACTTGTTAGCTTGGACACCATGCTTATATGTGTGTTTACATCATATCTGTTGAAGTTACAAAAAAAAAAAAAAACAAATGATATATTTATTTGTATTGAACTATTTTTCATGTTTTATCTATTCCTTTTACTTTTTTTTGCCATACAGAATTGTTTATTATATGAGCTTATTTGTGTAGTGTAAAAGAAAGTAATTGATCTATAGTATAGGCTTTTTTTTTTCTTTTTCTTTTAAAACTTGTCTCCTGAGGCGGTTCTTTAATTGTGTTGATCCTTTTTTTTTTTTTTGATTTTTTCCCCTCGACTTGTCCTTTTCTTTTCTTTCCTTGATATATTCATTTATTGTACTAGTTTAAAAAGGAATTTTATTTTTTTTGTATATGATAATAAAAAGAAACATTTTAATATTTATTACTTCTATTTCAATTAAAACTATTTTTGGTCTGCCTTTATCAACAATCATAAATGAAATAGATAATGGTAGTTCATCTACACTTATTGATTACAAGTCTCCAGAATTTTATGAAAGGTTATTTTTTATCGGACTCTTGGTATTATTAGGCGGTGTATTTGCAGGTAGTCTACAAATACACACATACATAATAGAATAACGCAATAATGTATTTTATCATTAGGACTTACAATCGGATTAATGGGATTAGACCAAACTAATCTTTATGTGTTAATAGAATCAGGTACACCGTTAGAAAGAGCAAATGCTAAAAAAGTATTGGCTCTTTTAGATAAGGGTAAACATTGGGTTTTAGTAACATTACTATTATCAAACGTGATTGCAAATGAAACATTACCTATCATTCTTGATGGTATCTTATCTGGTGGTTGGCAAGCTGTTGTGTTATCAACTGTTCTAATTGTTATATTTGGAGAGTAAATATGTATATAAATATATGATATATATGATATGTATAATAACATTTTTTTTTAATATGTTAGAATTATACCTCAATGTATGTATTAGATAAGAAACAGAAATATAAATTACAATCTTTTTTTTTTTTTTTTCTTTTTATGTATAGCCATTTGTGTTCGACATGGTTTAACAATTGGTGCAAAGACAGCTTGGTATGTATTGTACATAGATATGATAGATGTAACAATGATAAATACAAATGTACGACTCATAGAATAAATATGCTTTTAGGATTGTGCTTCTATTAATGTATGTTATGTATCCCATTGCTTATCCTATTGCACTCATCTTAGACTTCTTTCTCGGTGAATCTCATGGTACAGTTTATAAAAAGGCAGGACTAAAGACACTTGTTTCTTTACATCAAGCAAATCATGCGTCTGATGTGGATGCTCTAACTTCTGATGAAGTCACTATTATAGGTGCTGTACTAGACTTGAAATCAAAGCCTGTATCAATGATTATGACACCTATGAATGATGTGTTCACTCTTTCGACAAAAGATATTCTAAATGAAACATTAGTGAACAAGGTAAGTAACTCCCATTACAGTGAATTTATTAAATGAAATCATTGATATATATATATATTTGTGTAGATCTTAACTGCAGGTTATTCTCGTATTCCTATTCATACAGTAGAAGATAAAGAAGATTTTATAGGAATGCTTTTGACAAAACGGTTAATTACTTATGATCCAGAAGATGCTTTGCCAATAAAACAGTTTCCTTTGAATTCTTTACCAGAGACAAATCCTGATACAAGTTGTCTAGATATCCTTAACTTTTTTCAAGAAGGCAAAAGTAAATAACAAATATATACATATATATATTATATATTAAAACTTTATATGTATGTATTAGGCCATATGGCAATTGTTTCTAAAAATAATATGGATGGGTCTAATAGCGCTTTAGGTGTAATTACTCTGGAAGATGTAATCGAAGAACTTATTGGAGAGGTAAGTTTGTCTGTCTGTCTATCTATCTATGTATACATATTATTTGTATTACATAATCGTACTGTTGCTAATAACATTTTCATTAAAATAGGAAATTATAGACGAAACTGACGTATATGTAGATGGTAAAATAGATGAGTAAATACGTTTATTCAAACACTCAACTTTATTTTATAGTACGAAATAAAATACGTGTTGTCCGTCGACACATGGTAAATAAACGCAACACACACTTAACTGCTGCTGCTGTTGCTGCTGCTGCTGCTGCTGCTAAAAGAAGACACATGAATAAAGATACTGAGGAAAAAATGACAATATATGGAACTGTTTAATTTTTTTTTTTATATATCACTAACTACTACTAAAGCATTTCCTTCTCCCCTCCCAAATTATACATGTGTGTATACAACTATTATAAATGCTTGTTTTTTTTTCTTTTTTTTTTAAAAAAAAAAGAAAGATTTAATAACCTAAATACAATATAAATGTACATTTGTATATGGACAGTTAATCACTTGAATTTGTAATGTTTATTGTTCAATTTTTGAGGTTTTTTTTTTGTTCCATGCACACAGGTGGAATGAATCTAATTGGCCTTTCTACGGAAAGAACAACCTTCGGTCAAACGAGCACGACCACCGGTGGGTTGACAGAGGACAGTACCACAAGAAGAACACAAAACAACAGTTTGAGCATGGCTGAAAACAGTGCTAATGTTCAAACAACCTAAATAAAGAATATTGTGTTAAACAAAAAAAAGCACCATTATGAAATGCATTTAGTTTTTTTTTTTTTTTTTTTTTTTTAAAAAAAACGTACCAGGACACTTGACATCCATGAAGTAAGAGTTGGGAGATTGTACCAAGCGCTTGAGCTTGTGAGAACGCTTCTCGTGTTCAACAGAGGGGTTCAAGAGATCAACAGCCAACTAAGAAAAAAAAAAAAAGATTAAAATTGACTTTAATGCTTCCATTTCTAAATGTCATGTTGTTCCTCGATTTTATCTCTTCCAGTCCATCTTTTTTAATATGATCCATCGTATATAAATATATATCGATATATATATATAACGATCCATCTATTTATAATATCGTCTTTTCTTTTCTCTCTCTCTCTTTTTTTTTTTTTCCTTTATAATATACATTTATGTAGGTTGATGATACTTACAGTCATTGTTCAATAAGTGATCCTACGCAAAAAGAAGGAAGGATATTCAAATAGGAGCCTACTTCGAATCATTAACCCAATCCAAAACATGGAGTACAGCTGCCAAAAAACGATTTTTTTTCCTGTTCGGAGGAAAACGATTATATATATGTCCGGCTCGGATTTTTTTTTTTTTTTTTTTTTTTTGTATTCGTTATAAAAATTAAAATTTATAAAGCAGCCTATAGGCACATAATATCTTTATTATATTGGATTGCCCAGGTCAGTTCAAATTATGTGAAAAAAAAAAAAAGTATCTAAAAATCACTCTTATGGGACAAGAGATAAAAAAGGTAAAGGAAAGGAAAAAGAGAAGGTGAGAAAGAAAGGAGAGAATATTGCTAACAAGTTTAAAGAGACAACCAGTTGAGTCATTTCCTGCCTGGATCAAGAAGTGGAGGAGGTAGTTTATCGTGCATTAAGTAATCCATTTCCTGTAGAATGGTACACATAACTGGCCAGCGATAGAGCCAGGCAGAAACATCCTGAGAATTTCGGTACTTATGCTGAGGGAGATGATTTAAAAGAAAGGAAAGGAAAGGAAAGGGGATCTGTATTTGATCGTGGCAAGAATAAACGGGTGTGCATGTACAAGCATTCAGTGGCGTGTGACCGACTAAAAGTGTACATGAGGATGACATGGACAGGCTTTAGGTAATCCTCCGGGTAACCAAGTTTCTATATATTACGTGGAAAATTTCGAAAATATAGTTTCAAATTATTTTATATACATGCTCCGTGGTGCATTTTCTGTAAGTAAAAAAAAAATATGTGGTTATTTTTACTACAATGACTAAAACTAACTTTTAATAGGATATGAGAATGCCTTTGATCAAGTCTATCGTATATGACCATGTTTTAAATGTCTTGTTTTCTTCTGTACCAGTACATATAACGGCTGGCAATATCTCAAGTTCTTTAGACGAACAGACACAAAAGAGAGTTCGTACTTTTTTTGAACCCCCTGATGTTGGAGATCAGAAACAGGCTGCCTTCACTTCCTGTGACAAAAGAAACGTTGAATAGCGCTCCATTCAACATTATGCCAACTTTAAGGTATATTCTCGAAAAATATAAATCAGTAATTGCTGAAAATCAGCAGCAAGCATCTTCAGCACAGTCACCAATAGTTCAATATCAACAGCCTGTTTTACAAGAACCAGAGTCGTCAAATCAGCCACGAAGAAGACCCAAAAAGAAAAAAGAATTCAAAAAAGAACAAAGACTCAAAGAAAAAGACAGAAGCAATCATACACAGTTTCAGCCACCTAGAACATTTAGCTTGTTCTCTAATCCTAGTTTGAAATGGCGCTTTATAAAGATAGATAGTCAAAACCTGGTTGGTATATTTAACAAAAGAATTTCATCAACACAGCCTGAAGAAACGCTTTTTAATTATACCCAAAGAGCTTTCTTTGAATGTTTTGATTTTAAAAAGTTAAAAGTCAACAGGTAAGTTTATAACGGGTTATAATTGATATATGTGTATTAATTTTTGTCTCAAATAGTCTCCAAGGGTTGCAGAGCTTACCAGAGCAGAAAGGGAAGATGTTTCTCAATAGTCTGTATACAGATGGCTATACCTGTAGATTATCTTTCTGTCGCAAAAATTATCTTGGCTCAATTACGGATAAGGTTTCGCTTAAGTTGCATGACTTTACAAACGAAGAGGTTAATCATCATTTTCGCCCTTGCACTGTTGATCTCCAACAGAAAGGATGTATTTACTTCATACCATGGTGTTAATGACATAAGGCGCTTATCATCAGCTGAATATTACGATATGAATGGTAATATTAAACGCCAAAAACAAGAACAAGAGCGCAAGAGAAGATTGAATATTGAGCAAATTGAAACTAGTATACCTTCTCCAAAAACTGCAAGTCTGGAACGTTACAGTGTATACATATCATACATGTTACAGAGTTTTGATACACTGTCAAGTTTTTATAGTTTCCACACTGCGAGACTAAGATGGTGTAATTACTTTAGGTCTCAGCGAGCAATAGAAAATGCTGTCAATATTTTGATCAATGGATCAAAAAAATATAATAAAAATAGAAGAAAGAACACAAGAAGGAATAGACGGAAGAGAAAAAAGACTTCGATTAGATACTAAAGCAGTCAATCCGATTCCCATCATACAAAAATTGGGAAGAAAAAATTAAGGTACAACACACATTCTTTTTATTTTACTTCTGAAGCATTAACCATTTTTATGTTTTTTTTTTTTTTTTTTTTTTTTTTTTTTTTTTTTTTTTTTTTTTTTTTTTTTTTTTTGAAAGAAACTATAAAGAGAAATTTGAGGAAGGTGACCGCAAAAAAATGCCTATGGTTGTATTTGGCGATGGTTTGAAAAAACAAGTCTCAAGTGGAATTCAAAGGTTTAAGACATGGTGTTGTTGAAAAAATATACTGACAGTTAAAGTTGAGAGAAAAGCTCGGTGAGCTATTACTTCTGGATATTGATGAATATAACACATCAAAGGTAAAACACAAATGCATTCATATTACATGAGCAAGACTAACTTCTTTTATAGACTTGCAACAGTTGCTTACAAAAATCGGTTGAAAATTTCAAGCATGGCGAACGTAAAATCCATCAAGTATTAATATGCAAAAATTGTAATATCTATTGGAACCACGACGTCCTGGCTAGCAAAAGTATGTTCACCATTACTCAATCTATTTGGAATGGGAACGATCATCCTACTGTCTTTCAACGACAAAGCGCCACCTCAAATGTGGTTGCTGCACCTTTACCGGTGACAGCCTAAAGATACCTACCTACAGGTAAGAAGTCTTTACGAAAAAAAAATAGCATTTTTTTTTTTCTAACGTTCTGTCTCCATTTAATTTCTCCTTTGTCCCATTTTTGCATCTGTATCTGAATTTTCTTTTTTATTCATCCAAAAAAGGTAAACAACTATTAAAAAAGGGGTTTTCCTTCCTTTTTTTCCATAGCGATCTGACCAGGGCAAAACAGCATATATAAATGCTGTGTGCTCATTGGTCATTTTTTAATTTTTAAATAAAATTCTTTAATCGTATGCAAACTATTGTTCATAAAAAGATAGGTTATCCCTAACTAATTATTACTATAGTAATGTTTTATTTACAGAAATAGATAGTATAGTTGTATAGTAGCCATACACATAAGCTAACAAATATGTGTTGTATTTATGTATATTTTTTTTTTTAAAAAAAACAACTCCCTGAATAAACATAAGATATTGTCAAAATTCTTTTGGAATTAAGAGTAAAAAAGAAAGAAAGAAAGAGAGAGAGAAAGAGAGAAAGAGAGTGAGTGAGTGAGGTGGATCAAACAAATTCTATATTTTATTTATAGAAGAGATAGATTTCTAATATTTCGTTTTTGCAAGTTACATGCTACATCGTAAATTACATAAGGATGTGCCAACACAAAAGAGGCATAACTTTTTTTTTTTTTTCATCGTGTTATCTTTTGTATAGTCTTTGGTACTCTATCTCTTTCTTCTCTTTAAAGCCATTATTACTTTCAATCTGATCAAAATTTAAAGAGCCTTGTTATCATGATCATCATAAAAAAGAGCTCAATTGCCATAATACAGAAATAAGAAAGCTTACAGCCTAACTATTTAAAAGGCATAAATCGTCAAGAAGATCTTGTACAATTACAATTGAAAAAAGCGTTCCACAACAAAGCTAAAAGGGAACATCCTGTAAAATTGTAAGAAATAAAACCGCTGTATAAAATGACATTTTTTATATTGTTGATAGCTTATCTATTCTTATTCTTTTGGAGAATGTATGAACATCATGCTCTGTCGTGTAACCGCGTTTGACTAGTTTTGGCTTAATTACTTTACAAGAATGTTCAATATATTCACATGAATATAAATACATATAAAAAAAAGTAAACAAACTTCTTCTTTTCTTTTTCTTACTTTCTTGCTTACTTTCAAAGAAGACAGTAATGCTTTACTACATTCAAATAAAAGGCAAAACTTATCTCTAAAGTATTAAAAAGAAAAGAGAAAAAAAAAGACAAGGGGAAAGGCAGAAGAGAAGATTTAACGCAAAGTAAATTAAAAACAAAAAAAAATACACTAAAATTAAACTTTAATAACTTCTCCTTCTTTTCATTTATTTTTTTTTCTCCTGAATTTTACTATAAAAAAAAAGTACATTTTTCGTTTTTTTTTTTCCTTTTTTCTTCTTCTTTTTTCTTTAGCTTTTTTTTATTTTTCCTATTCTTCTTTATTTTTACTTGAAACCATGGGTAGACATTGTCAGGGTTATGAAGTGTGCTCAAGTCACATAGCTTGGCTTACTTGAGTTTGTAGAACTGTCCGTTTATAACATGGCTAAAGGAGAGGCCTAGACTCTCTTTTGGTTACTACATGCATATCCGCCTTCACCTTGGGTTATTGCAACCTTAGATAATTGATGGGACCTTATCGAATTTTGACTGCTCAAGTTTGATTTATTTCCAAAGGAGGAGGGAAATAAAAAGGATACTTGGGGTTGGAAATTGTAAACCTGTTCCTTTTTTAGGGAGATTAGCGTACTCTTTGTCTGCACCATTGAAAGGGCTTATCTCAAGGTTTAGTTTTTCTGTTTTTCTTTTTGGAGGTTTTCCTTCTTTTTATTTTTATCTAGTTGCTGTTTATAAAATAAAAATAGATAAGGATGCACAGCTTACGTTTCTGACCGTGGTTTTTTCATCTATTCATTTAGGTGAAGAATCCCAACTTGTATTTACTGTTAAGTCAAAAGTAGATGCTAGGGGTCAAAGAAGGGACATTCTCAGGTAAACAATAGTCAAGTCGTGCACTTCATATATCTGGATTTCTTCCACTTCGCCACGCTACAGGTCAGAATGTTTAGCCCGGCTTCCAATGAAACTTACATCCAACTGTATTTTTTATTGGGGTAGGAAGTGAGGAATCCTATCTTTTTCTTCTAGCAAGGCTTGGGTCAGGTTGGACTTTGCCAAGTGTCTACTAGTTGAAATTGGACGTTTATCTTTCAAGTAGAAATTTAGAGGGAGAAGAAAAAATTACAGCCCGTATCAATTTGTGTATGGGTTGTAATATTATTTTTGGGATTAGATATGCTTTCACCTTCTCGTGGTTAATCCTGTTAGTATCAACTCTCTTCTACTAAAGAGATTTGAGAACTAAGAAAAGCATCCTTTTTTTTTATAATATTAATAAAAATAAAAAATCAATTTAATAAAGTAGTGCTCCATAATAAAGTTGCTTCTCTAATAATATATAATAATTAAGCGTTTTTTTTTTTTTTTTTTTTTTTTTTTTTTTTTTTTTTTTTTTTTTTTGTGGGTCAACCTATTTTCTTCAACTGTACTATTGATAAAGTATTTTAAATATAATAACTTTATCGTCATACAATGATACTTTTACATCTATTTCCTAAATACATATTCTTGATCATTCATACCAAATCATAGATGAAAAAAGTAATTATCTAGAACTTTAACATAGTGAGTCTTGATTAGTGTTGAACAAAACCCAGAATAATAGAAAGTTTCTTCCAGGAGTTTTAGGAATGCTTTTTATTATCATCGTATTAAGTAAAAATTTATTAAGAACAACCTGTCGTTGGATATAGTTATTGTATAGTATTAACATTTGCGTATTTAGCTATTGTTGCTTACACTAATATAATTATCAAATATATTGAGCATAGGGAACATTATTATTATATGCCATATTTACCAAAAAGGCAGCAGACAATTATTCTTATCGAAAAGTTTGTAGTGCTACACCTATTTTTTTCAGCAAAGGATAATAAATATTTATTTATTTATTTTTTTTTCGCTTTTAATGAACAAAAAAGCTGATATTGATATTCTCTGTGCAGCGTTATTAATGATTCATACCTCAAAAACAGCTCCTCATATAAGTCTGTTTATATCCTCAGAAACATAAATTCTAATGCTCAATAAAATCATAAGGGAGCATAAATCCCAACAGTAAATACAGTAATAAGAATCCCCTTCTTTTACTTGATTGCTTTCTTCATGGGCTAAGTAGTTTTCAGCATGAATATTTTATTTTAACAAATCGAAACAAGAGTGAATTTTATTTTTTAAAAATAAAAATTCACTGATATAAATTTAAAAAGACATTCACAGAGATAAACTTGATGATGTATTTTTTAATAGTATGTCTTTGGTTTCAAAAGGTTGATCAGTTAGATAAGTAGCTCCTTCCCCTTTTTTTTTTCTCATTTAAAGACATAAATATACACTTAAACTGATTCATTTTTGAAACATCACAAATAGAATAATTCGAAAAAAAAGGTGATTGCTTAGTGATTTGATCAAGACTAATAGAATTGCAGCAAATTGTAATACTATTAAGATAATAACATATATTATTCGTATCATGCTCAACTATGTGACAATACTGTTTAAAGCCTCTATCATAAACAGAGTCTCTATTTACAAAATAGATCATGTTATCATTCTATTGAGCAAATAAAAAGATATCCTACTAAAGAACACCATGCTTCTATTAAACTGATAAGTATACATATATATATATATATATATATATAGGTATATGTATATAGGTATAGATATGTCAAAAAAAGAAAATGAAAAAAAGGGGAATGACCTAGAAAATTCAAGCAGGCAAAAATTTCCGCAAATATACCTTTCTCTTCTTGTCTAGGATATACAAATATAAGCAATTTATTTTATTGTATTCAAACCTTCTTGTATAAAAAGTAAATGGCCACAGTTGCTCTAATGCCTTCAATCAAGGAAAATATATAGCCCATACATGCTGAATATGTCCTTCCTTCTTAATTATTGCCGAGGAAATAATAATTAAAAAAATCCTTTTATAGGTAATATAAAATAAATAATATTAATTATTTTCATACTTTATCTGAAGACGATTTTTTTTTTTTTTTTTTTTTTTTGAGCAGTATAAAGCTAAACTACTCGTCTCCTAATGCCATTTATGATAGTAGCTTTTTTTTATGGATATACACAAGCGTACTTTAGTTTGGAAATGCCGTATATTCAATAGTAAATGAATATAAATATGGCTACGTCTTTTCTTTTTTTTTAAAAAAAAAAAAAAGATTTAAAAAATATAATGATTATTACGCTTCATTTCAAATAATGAAAGTTGGTACTTCATAGCAATCGATAATGCTGAAGTTGAATAAATAAATACAGGTAAATTTGCCTATAATGTTACTTATTTTATAGAACATGTGAAAAACTTGATTATTATAAAAAAAAAATAAAAAATAAAAACGGAAAAACTCATTGTATAAGAATAAGTAACTTCATTGGATATTGAAAAACTTTTAGCCCTAATTCTTTATTCCGTGATTAATGGATTTTATTTATATTTTAAAATGTTTCATTGATCTGATAAGAATGCTACTTCATTTCATTATTAAAGAAGAAATTATGCGTTTATCATAATTTCTTCAATATCAATACACGCACACCACATTTTAATAAATAAATAAACTCATGTGCTTATTTTTTTATTGTTTAACAAAAAGTAAAAAAGTAAAAAAGTAAAAAAAAAAAGAACATTTAAAATTACCTTTTCAACTTTTATCCATTAAAATAGGATAGTTCATAAGATCTCCGAAAACAAATAGTTCCTCTCTCCTCAATATACAAATGTTATATTATTGATCGGATATACCTTATTTCACAAACAATGGCAGTTATTTATATTAAGAAAAAACATGAATTTGCACATTTTTTTTTGACTTTCTAATGAAATAAGAATGACTTAATTTAATTTATTTATTTTTTTATTTTTATTTTTTCATAATTGAGTAAATTTTAACATGTTCATTTTCTTCTATTATGAAACACACGAAAAAAGATATTTGTGTTTATGTGTCAAAGAATTTTAAAATACAACAATCATTTTAATAACCGAAGAACAATAAGATAATATGCAGTAAATCATGAGTTGCTAATATAGAATCTAATATGGCATTTGTTTAACTTCCTTCATTTGATTATAAGAAAAAAAAACGAAGAGACCAATTGCATTATATAAAGTTTAGAACAATTACTGCCTTTCATTTTGCATTTGTTAAGTTTTAAAATGATTCAAAACTGAATAGTAATTATACATTTATTTGATATATTTATAAGGGAAATATTTTCTACCATTGTTATACGCCCGCTTATGATTTTCTTTGATAAGGTTTTTTTTTTTTTTTTTTTTTTTTTTTTTTTTTTTTTTTGGGGGGGGGGAAAGGGAGGAGAAGAGAAGAATAAAGAAGAGTGGAGGGAATGAGTCAGAAAAAAAAATAAAGAGCAGTTTTTAAGACATAATTGAAGATCACTACTATTTTTCTTAAACTTTCCCTTTTTTTTAATTTTTTTTTAAAAAAAAATAACTTTGCTCAGTCTTTTGTTATATTGAATTTACATCCTTATATCCCTTTTATTTTGTATATACGTGTTTAATATTTATTTAATTATGGGTAAAGGACAAAGATCACAATCTATTAACTCCTTAAATTTTCCAAGATCAGTGCTCGAAAATGGTGGGCTTTTAATACCACAAAAATTGGAACCTCTTCCTACTGTGTTAAGTACAACTGTAACAGCTAGAACCATTACAGCTGGTACCACACATTATTTTGCTACGACTATGAAAGATAATAAAAAGAAAGGTTCATGTCGATGGGATATTACAGGAAAGAAAAACTATGAAGAATTACGTCAAGAAATGGAAACAGCACCATTATATATCTTAGTTATTACATATCTAAATATCTTTACTTTAATATTATTTGGTCACTTAAGAGACTTTATTGGCAAATATTTTAAGCCTAAAGAATATGCCCATCTAAAAATGAATAAGGGTTATGCTCCACTTGTATCTGATTTTGATTCATTTTATACTCGTCGTATGTACATGCGTATTCGGTAAGTATATACATATATATTTGTTTTAACAGTTAATTAATTCAAACTAATCCACTTCTATACACATATTTATAGTGATTGTTGGAATAGACCTATTACAGGAGTTCCAGGAAGACAACTTAACGTATTAGAAAGATATACTCCTGATTATAATAAAACCTTCAAGTAAGTTTATTATTATTAGTTGTAGTTAGTATCATCAGTAATTCTCATAACAAAAATATATATATACATATTCTTCTATAGATTAACTGGAAAAGTCACAGAGAACTTGAATTTTTCTTCATACAATTATCTTGGTTTTGCACAGAGTTTTGGCCCTTGTGCGGATCATGTCGAAGCTTCTGTTAAGCAGCTAGGTATTTCATCCTATAGTACACGTGCTGAGGTTGGTACAACAGAATTACATAGAGAATTAGAACAAGTTGTGGCTAGATTTGTTGGAAAAGAAGATGCTATGGTGATTAGTATGGGTTTTGCTACTAATTCGACCACTATACCCGCTCTTGCTAGCAAGGTATATATTTTAAATAGGATATAAAATATATATTTTACTTATTTCTTTTTTTCCTTATTATTAGGGATGTCTTATTATTTCTGATGAGTTAAATCATTCCTCTATTATTTTTGGTGTTCGATTATCTGGTGCTTCTGTTAGGACATTTAAACACAATGATATGAATGATCTTCGTGAACTCTTAAGAGAGGCTATTTCACAGGGACAACCTAGAACGCATCGTTCATGGAAAAAGATAATTGTTATTGTTGAGGGACTCTATTCTATGGAAGGGACGATTGTGAACTTACCTGCACTCATTGAACTGAAAAAGGAATTCAAGTTTTATTTATACATAGATGAAGCTCATTCTATTGGTGCCCTTGGTGATGTAGGTGGTGGCGTTTGTAACTTTTATGGCATTGATCCATCTCATGTTGATATTTTAATGGGCACATTTACTAAATCTTTTGGCTCAGCAGGTGGTTATATCGCAGGGGATAAGGCTATCATTGACCATTTAAGAATTCATAATCACGCTTATAATTATTCAGAGCCTATGTCAGTTCCTGTTGCACAGCAGGTACTTACTAGTATGAGGATTATTAGGTAAGTTGTTAGAATAGTAAATATAATTCAAATTAAAAAGGTATATTATTATTATTATTGACACTTTTCCTATTATTAGTGGTGAGGATGGTACTAATGAAGGTCAAAGAAGGATTCAGCAACTTGCAAATAATAGTCTTTATTTTGCAACTCGATTACGTCAAATGGGATTTATTGTTTATGGCGATACTGGTAGCCCTGTTATTCCTTTATTACTATTTCAACCTGCAAAAATCCCGTAAGTGAATAAGCAAATTAAGAAAAAAAAATACAGGTATATATAAATTAATAGTCTTAATATCTATTAGCTGCTTTTCAAGAGAGCTTTTAAAAAGAGGCATTGCTGTTGTTGTAGTTGGCTATCCTGCTACACCAATTATTAGTTCAAGAGCAAGATTTTGCATTTCTGCTTCTCACACGAAGAATGATTTAGGTAAAAAAAAAAAAAAAGAAAAAAGAAAAGATTTACTTATTTTTTTTTTATGTTACATATAGATTTTGCTTTACAAGCTATTAGTGAAATTGGTGACAAGCTATCACTTAAAATGAAAAAGGAAGATGTTACTTTAAAACTTTTAGAAAATTAGAAGATACATACCTTAATAATAATAATTATTACGTAATAATATACAATATGTCTAGTCTTTTTTTTTTTTTTTTTTTTTTTTTTTTTTTTTTTTTTTTTTTTTTTTTTTAATCTGTATTTTAAAAATTGTAGTAAAAAAAAAAAAAAAAAAATATGTATATAAATTATCCTTTTGTCTATCTCTTTAATTTTAATGCTGAAACCCACTAAAAACATTACAATGGACGGTGATTTTGTAATGCGTGAACGCATATCTGGTGCAATTAACGCTTTGAGTATTTCGCCCGATAACACTTCAGTTGTTGTTGCTGGACGAGAAAGTAAACAATAAAAAAGTTTTCCCCCCTCCTCCTCCTACTAGCTCTTTAGATGTAATAAACTCTTTATTATTATATAGTATTAAAGGTATATAATCTTCAAAAGACAAAAATAGTAGAATCATTGAATTTAAGAGCGGGGAGTCACTTCAATTTGAATTATAGTAGTAATGATGTGAAATGGGGAAACAATGGTAGATGATGATTTTCTTTTTAACTTTTGCATAAAATTAACTTATTATTCCGTATTAAAGCAACAAAAACAAAAATCGCTACAGCGGCAACAAATGGTGCAATCATTCTATGGGATTTAAATAGAATTGGCCGTAAAGCAGGCAAGTCTTTTGTTACTTTATTAATAATAAAAAACAAAGAGATTAATAAGGGATCAAATATACTTTAGAACGAGTCATTACTGAACATTCCCGTGCTGTCAATCGAATTAGCTTTCAACCCGACAATGGTAATATCCTTTTAAGTGCATCACAAGATGGTACAATGAAATGTTGGGTAAATTGAATAGATGGAATAGCTTTTTTTTTTTTTTTTCGTAATTTGTAGGTATTAATTCAAATCATATATAATACTAGGATTTTAGAGATCCTAAAAATGCTGCTCGATATCGATTTGAAGGAAAGTCAGAGTCAGTACGTGATGTTCAATTCAATCCTGTTAACATTTATGAATTTGCTGCTGCTTTTGAAACAGGCACAATTCAGGTAAACAAAAGCAAGAGAGGCTTAGGCTTTTAACGACTTTCAATCATTAATTATTATTATTATTTTCAGAAATGGGATATGCGTAACCCAAAGGCATTGTATAATAGAAAAGTAAGTGCACATAATGGCCCATGTTTGACTGTAGATTGGCATCCAAATGGAAAGTTTGTTGCAAGTGGTGGAAGAGACAAAACAATTAAGGTAATAACAATGAAAAAAAAAAGATGGAAAGATTTTGTTTTTTACTCATATTATGTTTAGGTATGGGATATGACATCAGATAATAGACGACCTTTATATACAATTAGAACAATGGCATCAGTTTCACGTATTCAATGGCGACCTGGATTTGAAAATGAAATAGCATCTTGTGCATTACTTACAGATAGTAGAATTCATATATGGGACATAAGAAGACCTCACATAGCCAAATACACATTTGACGAGCATGATACAACACCGACAGGTAAAGTCTATACAAGTGTATAATAACTACCAGATTATCCTAAACTTTGTATATATGTATATATATATGAATATACAAAGGATTTCTATGGTTAAATTCTATTGAACTACTTTCTGTTTCAAAGGATAAATGGTTTATTCGACAAAATATTAAAGGAGCTCAGCGTCCGTTTGATCTTTTAAAACGAAATGGAGTAGGATGGAATATACAAGGTGATATTGCATTTGCTATCGATAACAGCTCTCGGAATTTGTTTGTAGATGAAAGTTTAATAACAAGGCCTCATAATAATGATTTATCCAAAAATTGGAAACGTTCTGTACCTAAGCATACATTAGAAGAAGAAGTAAGAAAAAGAAAAAGACCTATACAATTTAAATTACTTACAAACTGATTTTTATTAGATAAATCAATATATACCACCACAGAGTTGTGGAATTGTCCATATGCCTTTATTTGACTTTAAAGCGTTTTCTGTTTTTGCCGAAAATTATATTATTTCAAGTGATGATGTTCCATTAGCCTGTGCAATTAATGGAGAAGTAAAAGAAAGAGAGAGAGAGAGATACATGTTATACACTATATTTATATTTATTTGTTTCTTTGTAAATAGTTAGCATGGAAGATGGGTAGATATCGCACAGCTCAAACATGGAAAATTATAGGCATGTTTTATAGTGAAGAGCCTGATACAGAAGGGTCCATTCATGATTCTCAATTGGTAAAATATACATTTATAATAGAGTTGTTACAGAGCTTATTTCAAATTATGATGTATAGAGTGCTACGGAAAACATAGAAGGCATTAAAGAAGAAGAAGATAATGGAAGTAGTTTTCATATACATGAAGAAACCTCTCATTCATCAAACGAAGAAGATTTAGATAGTTCAAATACAAGTGAATCTTCATTTAATCAGGATTTATTAGTTAGTTTTAATACGAGACTTCCTTGGAGGCATGAGCCAGTTGTGATGGATTTATTAGAATATTATACAAACCAAGTATGTTTAAAATATCCTTTTTTTTAAAAAAAAAGAAAAGAAAAAAAGAAAAAAAGAAAGTTATATATTTAATTTTGTATAATAGGGGGACGTGCAAATGTGTGTTACTTTATATCTCGTATTAGAGAAATATTTAAATATTGATAATGAGAGGTTAGAAGATTGGTTTAATGCGTATATTGAGCTTTTACAGAGATTTAAACTTTGGTCTACTGCAACTGCTATTATTAAAGCATGTAAAATACAAAATGTCAGAGAGCGTAATGAGGTAATATATGATAGGAAAGAAAATGCCTTTATATGTATATTTTCGCTGATTTCTATTTTATTAGAATGCAACCACAATTAATGTTGCTTGTAATACTTGTTTTAAACTTGTCAATGGTACAAGTGGTGGATCTTGGGCATGTGACAAATGTCGCCGTTTATTAAATCCTTGTACTATATGGTAAAAAAAAAGAAAATTAATTTGCAATATAAATGTTTATATTTGAAATTATTTAGTCATCAAACAGTTCAAGGTCTGTATGTATGGTGTCAAGGATGCAATCATGGAGGGCATCTTACTCATATGAAAGAATGGTTTACTACTGAAAAGCAATGTGCAACTGGATGTGGGCATACATGTGTTTTACAACCTTTATTATCAATAACAACAACCAAACCTAGCATTTAATTAATTCTATTCGGCTATTTATACCAGTAAATATTATCTCTTTATAAAAAGTAAACATATGAAATCAGTTTTCATTTTCTTTAGCAGCTGCTCTAAAGAATATACTGCATTTATATTATTGTATATATCGAAGTTTTCTAAAAGCCCTTAGAGCTAAATTAATGACTAAGATCTAGTAGATCGCTTGATAAGCTTCTTTTGTAAATACTTGATGTAGTGTATAATTGTTTATATGGATATTGAACAGTCAAACCAATTTAATTAAATTCTCTATGATGATGTATTATAGGTTTTACTATTCTAAGAAAAAAAAGGAAAAGTCTAGTATATTATTTACGTAATTATTAATATTGTAGTAGTAATCTTGCTCTTAATTTATTTATTCAACACATATTTATTACTAACTTCCTGCCGCTACTATCACTGGCTGTCCATATAAAACATTCCAAAAAAAAAAGAGATAAGATAATGAGAAAAAAAAGAATAAATGAATTAAACACCGATATTCAGCTACTGCAACATTTTTCTCTTTTTTTTTCCCTTTCCCTTCTTCATTTATTTATTTTTTTTTCCTATTTAACCATAACTATTATATAATACTTTATGCTTGATATACAGAAAGACTCTTCTGTTTGGACATCGTCCTCCTCCTCTTCTTCTTCTTCTTTTTCTTCTGTTGAATTAGACGATCGTTCCATTCCAACCGAATTGCTTCAATCGCTTCGACAGCATTCTATTTTTCAACGTACCAATAATGAAAGCTTTATAGAAAAAATAGCTTGCTGTATGCATCTTCGAACGTATGGTCCTCGAGATATTATTATTGTAGAAGGTGAACCAGCAAAGGCTATGTTTTTCTTATTAAGAGGTTCAGTAGATGTTTGTAGCGCCGATTTTGAACGTATTTATGCAACTTTACCGAAGGGCTCTTGCTTTGGTGAAATTGGTATTTTGTATTCAATGCCTCGTACTGCAACTGTCATTGCCAGTACAAAATGTATTGTAGCATCCTTGACAGCGGAGGAAGTGAAGACGATTTTACCTCAGTATCCTAAAGTTGAAAAAATGCTTCGATTTGAAGCTGAAGAACGCTTAACTTTATTAAAGAAAAGTAAAAACTTGAATGAAACAAAAAAAATAAGCTACAAGCCTTTTACTGAACGCAACGTTGAAGATCTCACTAGCGCTCATAATTTATTAAAAAAGGTTTACTTGCTTTATCAATAATAATAATAATCATGACGAATTTTTTAAACACTAATAGTATTAATTTAAATTAGATTCCTTATTTTCAAAGTTGTCCAGAAGAATTTTTACATTATGTTTCTTTAAAAGTTGAACCACGTCATTATGCGCCCAATGATTTAATACTTAAAAAAGGAGATATTGGAAAAGAATTATTTTTTATTTTAAGCGGTTAGCTATTTATCTATATTTAGCTAGAAAACATATATATATGTACATAACTGACTTAACTTACTATATCAATATGATAGGTACAGTTGAAATAACAAATATGGACACAGTTTTATCAGACTCTTTGACTCCAATTGAGCATTTATCTACAGGTGATTATTTTGGTGACATAGCTGTCTTATTAGAGACTCCAAGAACAGCTAACGTAAGAGCTGTAACTCCAATCGAATTATATGTATTAAAAAAATCAGATTTCATGGATGTATTGAATCGCTTTCCCGACTTGCAAGCACATTTTAAAGCAATGGCAGAAAGCTCTTTAAACAATTTAAGATTAAAAGTAAGTAGTTAAAAAAAAAATACAAATACATAAAGAAACTAAATAGTTTATAATCATATCCTTATCTATATCATTTAGGCTTCTTTGATTTGCAAAGTGGATGCTGTGACAGGTTTATAAAAAAATTTTAATGTCATCAAACAATAATGGCGTTGAAGCTAATTTTATTATTATTATTATTATAGCGACACCTGTTATACCAACAGGTACGCCTGACGAATGTCTATCTTTTACAAACGCACCTGTCATAACCCCAGATTCAGTATGCAGTACAACAAGTGATCAAGATCCAACCTTATTACCTCCATCCACTACGAATATGCTTAAAATGACTGAAACAAGAAAAAGAAGAGCAAGTGTTGCTATTTGGTCTGATCCAAACCTTGTTGCACTTGCAAACCGAAATTTAAAATCCGTTGCTGTAAAAGGATCAAAATTAAAAGAAGAAGAAGCAAAAAAGAGTATAAAAGCACCAACTTCATCACTTATCTTTAGTGGAGATGGTCGAATTGCGTCGCTTAATGAAGAAATCTTAAGTTTAATAGTCAACAATCTGGATTTTTACTCTATTATTCAACTATCAGCTGTATCAAGAAAATTCCATGAATTTGTTCTTCATAACGATAAGATAATGCATATAGTTGATTTAAGTCATCTTAATAAGCGAGTGACAGATAATACAATTGCATCTATTGTGAAGATAACTGGTGTCCGTGCTCGTAAACTAAATCTATCTCAATGCTTTTATATTACGGATGAAGGCTTTAAGGCTTTAGTCGACTATATGCCTCACGTAGAAAGTATGGATTTGAACTCTTGTTGGCTTTTGACAGATAAAAGTCTAGCTTACCTTACAGTCGCTTGTCCTCATCTTACTGTATTGGACTTGTCTAATTGTAGAAAAATGAGTGATATCGGTCTCTTTAAATTACTAGATGAAAAGGTAAGTCGAAACTATCCTCAATTGACTCATCTTTCTTTATCCTATTGTAAAAAGTTATCTGACATGTCTATGGGTTACCTGGCTGAATTCTGCTCCGAGACACTTACTTCACTTAATATCCAACGCTGTACTCGAATTACAGATCAGGGGTTTCTTAAATGGTCGAACACTCAATTCCCATCATTAAGAAATCTTAATCTTACTGACTGTAGTTTCTTGACTGATCAAGCTATATCACATTTAATTCTTGCTGCTCCTCATCTAAAAAACTTATCTCTCAGCTTTTGCTGTGCCTTATCAGATAGCGCCATTGAGGGCCTAAACTCACTATCTGAATTAGAACATTTAGATGCTAGCTTTTGTGGTGCTGCCGTATCAGATATTTCAATCAAAGCTTTGCTTAGTTCTAATAAACTGAGAGATACAATACAATCACTAAATCTTAGAGGCTGTGTTCGTATTACGGATAAATGCGTAAAATCAATCTTGGAGTGGAGTCATTTAGAAACATTAAATATTAGTCAATGTCCCGGTATTAGCTTAAATACAAAACAGTTTGTTAAGGAATCTGGAAGTATTCATAACTTGGTTGCATAGTAAAACTGATAATGTGTGTGTATGTGTATGTATGTGTGTGTGTGTGTTTTTTAATTTTTGTACATTATTTTGTCGTATATATTTTTGTATATTATAAGTTAATAAAGTAGACCATATTATCCCCAACTACAATTAAATGATATCAGCTTTATATAAAATAAAATAAAATACGAGAATTTAAATAAGGGAAGGATATAGTCTAATCGTTATTTTCACTATACATACATATATGTATATATCATAGATAATATTTCCTTTGAGAGAAAGGCATTTATACATAGATGCATATTTAGCAACATTCCATTATCATAGTTAAAAGTTATTTACTATATAAAAATTATTTATATGTGTATATACAAGTTTCTTTCTTTTTTTCTTTTCTTTTCTTTTTTTTTTAAAAAAAAAATAATAAAATAAAAATAATTCATCAAAATGACATATCTACAAGATTATTAATAAGATTTAATAGAACTTTCAGATTCACGTCTCTGTGCTCTATCATAACCGGTATTGAAAAGCTTTTGTTGATGTTGTTTTTGAATAAATTTTGCTGCTTTACTGTCAGCACCTTTACTACTTTTTGTGATAAAAGTAGGAACAGCTGTGAATTCATGTCTTGACTTATCAGCAAATTTATCCCAAATAACGATTGTACCCACTTTGATCATGTCAATGATAAAAAATGTTCCCAATGAGATGGCGATAATGATCAATCCACGAGGCCATCCAATGCCTTCAATGTTTGCATCTGCACCAAATGCACCATAAACTGATAATATCAGAGCAATGATTTGAGTTCCAAGTACAATAATAGTGAAAGCGAGAGACGGTATACTCTTCCACCAAAACGTATTTGTACGTGTAGAGAAGATGACAAAATGAGGTGCTATATTATAAAATCATATAAACATGTCTGTGTGTATACAAATGCAATATATATATATATATATATTTTACCTGAAGATATGTGAAGATACATAATAGTTGAAAGTTCACCAGGTGTAACATGCAAGATATTACGGAAAATATAAAAATGAGCAAAAGAGAAACCAGATAAAACAATGGCAAGAACACAAGATAATACGAGTAACAAACGGAGACGCCACATATCAGGGGTATGTGAAATAGCAACATTATCTACGGCCATAATCAACGTAGCAGCATCATTCAGTAATGAAATTAAAATAAGAAACACAGGCGGCATCTTCCAATTTTCGACCATCGTGATTACGAAAAAAAAGAGTAAGAAATGAATAGTTGATGTAATACGATAAAGAGCATAAGATTGAAGTCTTTGGAAAATTACTCTCGACACTTTTATACCATCAATAATGGCTGATAATCCAGGTGCTAGCAAAACAATATCGGATGCTGAACGTGCAGCATCTGTTGAACCAGCCACAGCTATGCCGACATTTGCCTTTTTTAAAGCAGGAGCATCATTGACGCCATCACCTGTCATGGCAACAAAATAACCTCTTTCTTGTAATAACTCTACAACCCTATATTTGTGTTCTTTAAAAAGAGGAAGAAAAAAGAAAAAAAAAGAAAAGACATAGACAATAAGAAACACTTGAAACGTTTACATATATATATATATATATATATTTCATCCTTGTTTACCTGGCACAACACGAGAGAAGCCATCAGAATAGATGCAGGCATCAGAAATTTCTTCTTCAGATTTTGAGGGATCAATTAATTCATTGACATCCAAAATATTCTTGCCCATACCAAGTCTTCCAGCTACTTCTTTAGCTATAATTCCTTGATCACCAGTAATCATTTTGACGGAGATACCATATTGTTGACACTCAGCCAATGTAGCAGCAGAATCTTCACGAGGTGGATCAATTAAGCTTAATAAACCTACTAATTCCCATTGATTCAATCCATTTACTGTACGTGCAACCCCCAAGGACCGAAGACCACGACGAGCAAATGCTTCTACCATTTCCTCAGCTTGTTGGTGCCCCTGTACAAGACTTAAAATGACCTGTGGTGCACCTTTTGCTACACGAAACTTATTCTGTGTTGCGATTTCTTCAATCGTTGCTTCTGAAATTTTTTCAACAGGATTAAAAGGTTTAAATGATAAAACTTGATATCCTTGAACAGTATGACTACCATCATTACTAACTTGAGGATGTAACCTCTCAGCAGCATTTCGCACCGCAAATTCGATAGGATCATCCGTTGCTATCTCTGAAGCAAGATAAGAGTATAAAAGAATATCATTTTTATCATATGTCTCAGCTAAATAGGGCTCATCAAAGGCTAATTCATTCTTTGTTAATGTTCCAGTTTTATCACTACATAAAATAGACACAGAAGCGAATTCTTCAACAGCCGTTAATCTTTTAACGATGACTTGATGTTTTGCTAATTGTTTAGCACCGATAGCCATAGTGACAGACATTACAGTGGGTAAACCTACAGGTATCCTATTATTTATTATATGAATAAATGATGACATAATATGTATGTATGTATGCATATTATAATTTTTTTTTACGCTGCAATTGTTAAGACAACCATTTCATTAAGCGCTGACAACACTTGATCTTTAGTAATTTCACCCGTTTGAATTTTTTCTTCCACCAACTCATGTATAAAGATGATAAGAACAAGTAGAACAGATAGTATGATAAGGAAATTACCGATATAATTAATTACTTTCTGAAATCTACCTGATCCAGTAGTAACTGAAATGAGACTGGCTGTCTTGCCTATAAATGTATCAGGGCCTACACGTATCACTACAGCTTGTTGTTGGCCTTGCTTTACGACACAAGATGAATATACAATTGATCCAGGCTTCTTTTTAATAGCTAATGATTCACCTGTCAATGAACTTTGATCTATTTGAATGTCTGTTTCAATCGCTTCCCCTGATGCGCCTATTCCTAGTAAACGTGCATCTGCAGGGACAATATCACCTATTCTTAACACAATAATATCGCCGACAACAATATCTGATGATGCTACTTCAATTAACTTTCCATTTCGCCAGCATTTACTATGCAATGCAAGGCTATTCTTCAATGATGTTATTGAAGACTCTGCTCTAGATTCTTCTATATAACCGATTAATGCGTTGATAATAAGCATGCCTAAAATGATACCAAAATCAAGCCAATCTCCTGTTACTGCTGTCAATATCAGTGATAAAATCATCAAGTATGAAATGGCTCCTGTAACTACATGTACAACAATAGATAAAGTATTAGAAAAGAAATTATTAAAGATAAGTTATTAAAAAAAAAAAAAAAAAAAAAAAAAAAGCTCACAAAAGGAAAGAAAGTGCCACAGTTTATTTCTCTTTTTTTCTTGTAATTCATTTCTACCAAATCTATGCATTCTTTCTTGAACTTGATCATCAGTCAAACCAAAAGTTGGTTTTGTTTGAAGATAAGGCTCGAGATGAGTAGGTACATCATCCATGATGTTGTGATGCTGTTTTTCGTCATTAGATAAGGCTGAATTAGTTAAAGGTACTACTTCATCCAAGTCATTTATATATTGGTTGGTTATGTCTTCTTGATCTATCAGTTTCCGAAATCCCATAATCGCTATTTTGATATATGTGTGTGTGTATATGTATGATGGAAGAGAAGAAAAGAAAAAGAAAGAGTTAAAGTGGTATATTGTTATATGGATAATAATTCTGTTAATTAATAGAAAGTTATTTTAATTGGATTTAAAGTGACTTTTGTATGGTGGGGCTCAGGGCGGCATTTCTCCAGCCTTTTTTTTTTTTTTCTTGGCTTTCTATATTTGTAATATAACGTGGCTGAGTAAAATAATAATGAAGCTAATTAATGTATATTTGTAGTGGCTGTACAAAATAGTATGAGCATTTATTTGCAGTTGAGTGATATATATTCTGAAGTAAGACTAGTATACAAAACTAAGTTTTTTTTTCTTATTAAAATGCAAATACATAATTAATATAAAGGAATAAGTGTTGAGTTAACCTAGTCTTCTTTTTTTTTTACTACATATAACAAAATAATCGATGCTTATGTATATAGATGGTTATTAACTAACTAACTATGTTAAATATAAGACATAAGGAAGATTCAAAGAGACTAATATCAGTAGTGAATAATGATTCTTAAGAAAAACTAATATAAAGCTATCATGATATAGTATGGTCCGTTTTTTTTGCCATCAATACAAAAGAGGCCAAAAAATCAATATAAGTGTATGTGTAGTAAAAATTATTTACTATACATAATATGAATATAGGATAGTATTATGTGTATACGATAACATCTGAATATACAGTATTGTTATACATGTATAAATTCGTTATCTCACTCTAGTTTATTATACTTATTTTCTTGAGGTTTTATAGTCATATTTGTATATTTGTATGAAAACAGCAATGCTATATTTATTTAAATAAGAGAAAGATACAAAAGTAAATATAATGGGTATCTTTTAATACGTTCTTTATGTAAATAAACGAATGTGTCCTTAACTATTTGCATCAATATATATATATATATAAAACTACTAACAATATTCACTTTATTATACTTTACACTATTTAAAGGAATACACCAAGTAACCTTTTCCCAAATTAAATTTAAGGAGTAGTAGTGTTAAAATAAAAAGATTAGCAGAAGAGGAAAAAAAAAAACGCGTTTTATTTTTAGAACAAAAATATTAGTCTATGCTGCATAATCAATTGAGTATAAAAACAACGCTATGCGTCATGCTTATGATGTTAAAAAGTTCAACGAATTTATCTCAAGTATAATAAATATAAAAAACCATTATGCACTTAGAAAAATAATACGCGTTAACATATACGCCTTTATAAACTGTTCATTTGATATACAAACTAGAACCCGTCATTAAGAATATCCTTAATAAGAACATATAACAATAACCAATCTTATTGACTTAAACCCTTTCACTAAAATTATTTTAGTAGATTGTTTTTTTTCATATTAATAATAACTACTTAAAAACGTATACAATCAGGATTATCAAATAGAATTTCTAAAATGACGTTGGAGTGAAATCATTTTTTTTTTTTTTTTTGATAATAATAAGAATGAATATAAAACAAGAAGAGTTTACAAAAAAAAAATCAGTTTCTTTTACTATTTTCTTTTATATATAATAAATAATATGCCTACTAATCAAGCTACAAAAGTCGTCTATAAAGGTAATGGTAACAACGAATTTTTTGTCATTGCCAACCCTGGTATGGTCAGCAAATGGAGACATGATAAGACTATTCCATTGATTGATGTTGTTCAAAACTTTGAAGTCCATACTACTCCTACTGGAAGCAATACAGGTGGACCCATTCGACCTTCTACAGGTGTTTTAATGGATACTTTTGATACCACTAACGAAGATGAAATTGTAAAAAAAATTATATCTGAAGGTGAAGAAAAGGGTCTCTAAAGTTGTTGTTATTATCCTCATCCTTACATTTTTCACACCAGCTTTTTGTATAAACTAATTCAATATATAATACTGCACATACTTGTTTATATATAATTAAAAATAAACATCTTGACTTTTTTTTTTATATGTATATGTTAACTACGTTTTATTTTAAATGAAAAGGAATATGTAAAACAAATAATAGAGAAAATTTCTATTTAGCAGAAGGAAGGAAGAAGAGGGAAAAAATTATATAGGTCAAGGACAGGAAAAGGGTATAGTTAAAACAAGTGAATATAATACACAATAAATAATACAAAATAAATAGTAAAATTAGAGTTCATGGGTATTGATTATAGGAGCAACAGTTGCCCAACCAAAGGAACGTTTAACAGCTTGTTCCCAACCCTTATACATTTTTTTACGTCTTTCTTCTGATATAGTTGGAATAAAATGAGTTTTACCTTCTTGGTTAACTTTAGATAGTTCATCAAATGATTTCCAAATACCTACAGCGAAACCAGCTGCGATGGCTGAACCAAGTGCAGTCATTTCTCTCATAAGAGGTCTATCTACTTGAATACCTAATACATCTGCTTGAATTTGCATACAAAGATCTGAGTTAGACATGCCTCCATCTACTTTCAAAGAACGAAGAGGTGATTGAGCCTCTTTATTCATCACCTCTAAAATAGCACGAGTCTGATAACATACTGCCTCCAATATAGCACGACAGATATGTTCAAGCTTAGTATAATGCGTGATACCACAGAGTGTGCCACGAGCATCTGACCTCCAATAAGGAGCAAATAGACCAGCAAAGGCAGTAACAAAATAGACACCAGCGGTATTCTTTACACTAGATGCTAATAAATTCAACTCAACTACATCATTTATAACACAAAGATTATCTCGAAGCCAATTGATGGATGAACCAGCAACTGCGACTGACCCTTCTAATGCATAGACAGATTCACGATCACCAAATTTATAGGCAACTGTAGTTAACAATCCATTATCTGATTGTACTATCTTATTTCCTGTGTTGAACAACATGAAGCAGCCTGTACCATAGGTATTTTTGGCGTCACCAACTTGAAAACATTTTTGTCCAACAAGGGCTGCTTGTTGATCACCTAAACAACCTGCGATGGGTACACCTTTAAGTGAACCCTCACACATATATCCATAAATTTCAGATGAGGAAACAATTCTTGGTAATAAAACTTGATCAAATTCGAAAAAGCTATAAAAAAAAAATATTAGTATCCCTTGTCTTTTTTTTGTTTTTTTTTAATTTTTACTCACTCAATCGATTTTTGACTCCAGTTTAAAGTTTTAATATCCATCAACATTGTCCTACTAGCATTTGTTACATCAGTTATAATTACTCCACCATGATCTAATCCACCAGTAAGGTTCTATAAATATATTTTAGTATGGGAGCAGAATAATAATACTTTTGTAAATCTTTTTTTATTTTTATTTTTATTTTTATTTTTATTTTTATTTTTATTTTTATTTTTATTTTTATTTTTATTTTTATTTTTATTTTTATTTTTATTTTTATTTTTATTTTTATTTTTTTGGACAACTACTCACGTAAATCAACCAAGTATCAACTGTACCGATATGAAGTCTATTTTCTTTTTGAGCTTGTGATACAACAGGAATATTGTCTAGAAGCCATCTTAATTTTACAGCCGAAAAATAAGTGGCAAGAGGTAAACCACATATATCTTTTAAAACATTTACACCTTTTTTGGTCTTTTTCGATAATTGTTCAACAGTTTCAACTGTACGTGCATCACTCCAAACAATAGCTGGATATAAAGGACAACCAGTTAAACTATCCCACGTAATTAACGTTTCTCTTTGATTTGTTAAACCAATACATTCAATATCTGAAGCATCAAAACCCAATATTCCTAATTTATGGATTGTATGTTCTATACAAGTATGAACTGAATCTAATAACTCATAAGGATCATGTTCTACCCATCTTATGTATATAAAGAAAATGAAGAGACTATGAATATATAATACAAAAAAAAAATACAAATGTAATAATAACAAAAAAAAAAAAAAAAGAAAACATACCCAGGCTGAGGATAACTTTGTTCAAGTTCTATTTGATGAAAAGTAATAATTGATCCATTTTCATCGAAAATAACAAATCTAGTTGAAGTTGTTCCTTGATCGATAGAGCCTATAAGTTTGGGCATATTAATATTTCGTGGAGATAATATTAAAAAAAAAGAGAGAGAGATAAAGGAAAAAAAAAAAGGCAAATTAAAGCAAAATTTCTCCACTTTTTTCATTTTTTTTTTTTTTTCGTAATACAGTTTTTAAAATCCAGAGCTTTTGGTGAACCATACAAATATCTATTTATATGAAAAATACCTATTATCATGCTTTGTTTTTATATTTCTTTATTAATCAGTAGCACAAAAAATAAAAGAAAAAACTGTGTTACTTCTTATGAAAATCCATCTTTTTTTTTAGGAACAATAAAGTCATACAAAGATTAACAAAAAAAAATATATATTAGAGATCAAAATAGACGAGAAGAGTTATAATTATTCAATATTAGTTTACACGTTTATTTATTAGAGAAAGAGAAAAAGAGCTTTGCTTTTAACTATGCGTGTAATATCTTATACATATATTTATATATTTTTTTTTAAAAAAAAAAGGAATTTTATATTTCGAGTCTATAAAACGGGAAAAATCTGGATAATAGCTTTAACTGTCAAATTAGTGTCATTTATAGTAACATCACAAGTACAAAAGTAAATCTTATTGTCTGAATTTCAATCGTGTGTAGAACAAATTAGAAATTCAAGTTAAAAATAATATCTATGGTTACTAAGATTATGTAACAGTAAATCTATCTGATAATAACTGCCTTCTTTTTTTCTTCTAAGAAAAGAAGTAGTCTATTTATGATATGGGGTTTGTTTAACATATTATGTAAAGAATATCTATGCATACTTTTTTTTTTATCAAAATTCACCGTACTACCCTTAAGGACTGTGGTGATTATAGCATTAATCTCTTCTATTTACTATGTGTATGTAATACATATACATATACATATATTCATATTTGAATTTCAATCGAGGAAGAGTGTATCAAATATCTTCAAGTCAATTTACTTTCCATTTACCCACCCCCTTTTTTTTCTTTTAAAGCTGTCAAGAATAAAGTAGAGACTTTTATATGCTTGAATTAATAAAATTTCAATTTTACTTACTGTTACTATACACTGCCATCATGTATTATTTTGCTCGAAATAATTATATATATAAAGAATGATTGTTATCCAAGATATGATGAGCAGTAACTTAACTACTAAATATAATTCGATATGAAACGCTTCTATGATATAAAGAATAATCTTATTTTGTGCCTTGATTTAGTTTTTTGTTTCAAAACTTAGTTTTTGAGACAAACGAGTATAGTTTTTATTAAGAGTACAAATATACATTTACTATGAATTATATTTATAGTTGATTCTTCTTCTTATTATTACTAGTTAGAGAGTATCCTTGGATAAGAGGGAAAGAAAGAGTAGGATTTCTTTTTATTTTAGTGATTTGTAAATTTACAGCATATATCAGGTCTACAATGATTTGTGAAAATAGCTTTATTGGATTCTATTTGCAATGTTGAGTGTAGAATACCATAAACACTATAAATCATTTGTTGACTTTCTTTTAAAATGTTATTGTTACATTTTACATCTTCAAAAATTACAATATGAGCTGTAAGTAAACTGTTACCAGGACTTAGTTCCCAAATATGTAAATCATGAACTGAAACAACGTCTGATATTTGTAAAAGTGAATGTTCGATTGCTTCAGTTTCAATATGACCAGGTACGCCTTCCATCAAAACTATCATTGAATCTTTGATTAAATGAAAAGTAGTATATAAGACGATGAGAGAAAAGATAAATGTACATATAGGATCGACAATCGTATATTCTGGTTTGAAAATTAATACAATAGATGAAATAAGAACGCCTATTATTTGAATAGAATTATAAACATACTTGAACTTGTAAAAAAAAAAAGAAAAAGAAAAAGAAATAGGCGTTATTATTTACCAATAGCTGCTAATAAGTCTCCAAGTACATGTAACGCAGCTGCTCTAACATTGATATTTTCTTTCTGTTGAAAGAAACCACAAAAAATAAAATAAGTAATATAGTCTACTAACTTTAATCAGTTTATATTTGAAACAACCTATTTACCTTGTGAACCGTCTTTTGAGATGAATCTTCTGTTTCTTCATCATCATGACTATGCGCATGACTATGATGCCCACCCAATACAGATATCAATCTATATAGTATATGTATTTATTATGACTAAATTTAGTTTCTTTTTCCTTTTTTTTTTTTTTTATTTTCGTTTTTACATGATATTGACGAGTACACCAATAGAGGCTGTGACACACATCTATATGTAAATAATATTTTGAAACACATATTATAAACAATAAATGGAATAACTTACAAGTTTAGCATCAATAACTTGAGGTGATTGAATTCTATTTACAGCTTCCAGTATTAGAAAACCTGTTAAAACCCAAATAGTCAAAACGGATATGACAGCAGCAATTACTTCTGCTCGATGAAATCCAAATGTATGTTCTGTTATATATATATATAGATATTAGTAGTTATTGTTATTTTCATAAGGCCCTTTTATATTTACTTTTAGTAGGCGGTTTCTCGGCTAAATAGATAGCTATAAGAGCAACAATAAAACTAGCAACATCACTTAATAAATGAAAAGCATCCGACATCAGGGCTTTGAAATAATAATAATAATAATAATAGTTACAAATATAAATCTATAATTTGTATTATTCTAATCTACCTAATGAATTTGAAACATATCCTGCAATAAGTTCAATACCAAAAAACATGCAAGCAATAGTTGTTGCTATAATAAGTTTTCTCTTAATTGGACTTGATAGCGATGAATTATATTTATTTGATAAGCTTGTACATGAATATGAATTTGTTATACTTTGACCTTGAATCAATGATGTACATTCGTTGCCTTGGCTAACCATTCTTTATGTATATAAAACGAAGAAGAAAGAAAGAATAATAAACAAAAAAAAAAAAAAAAAAAAAAAAGGACTTATAATTGTTAGTATTAAATCACGGGGAGGAAAAATAAAATAAAACCGTATTCAATAAACATTTTATAATGTGTCTATTTATGACATATACATTTCTACTTTATTCCTTGGAATAAAAGTTCTTTTTCTTTATAATAAATTCTTTCATTTTCGTTGTTCCTTTCAAATATTTTAATATGTCGGATATTTAATTATTGATGAATAGTATGTATGTATGTATGTGTATAATAATTTATGTTTTACTGCACACGTTTTTTTTTTCTTTTATACATATTTTTTTTTTCCTTACTTTGCTGTCCATTATTATTCTTTCGCTTTAATGATGGCAACTACAATGAAGAGAAGGCACATTCCAAATGTGTCTGAAAAACATCAAGATTACACTGCTATCATTAACAATGATATGGATGACAGTTCAAAATTAAAAAACTATAAACATCTACCTCAACCACAACCAATTAAAACTTATTCTTCAAATAAGGTAAATACTAACTTGTTTAATTTAAATACATGTTAACCATTTAATTTATATTGTAATTTAGAACATTGCATTTTTACAAAAACATCAACATACCATCATTACTATTGTTTTAACTCTTTTATCATTTTGGACACGATTCAGAAAAATTGCTCTAAGTAAAAATGTTGTTTGGGATGAGGTATGTCTTTTATTATAAATACGTATATTTTTAACATGCTTACACACATATATATAACTACCTATTTTAGGCACATTTTGGCAAGGTATATTTTTGTATAGGGTTGCTGATAAGCATAAATTGTATTCTAATTATATTACTTTTGAATAGTTTGGATCACATTATTTAAATCACGATTTTTATTTCGATGTTCATCCTCCTCTTGGTAAGATTTTGGTAGGTTTCTCTGGCTGGTTAGCTGGCTACAATGGTTCTTTTGGATTTGAATCTGGTGCTGTTTATCCAGAACATGTCAATTTTGGTGCTATGCGTATATTTAACGCGTTTTTTGGTGCTATGATGGTTCCTATTGCTTATCTAACATGTGTTCAAATGAAAATGACATTAAAAGCTAGCCTTTTAGCTGCTACTATGGTATTACTTGGTAAATTATTTCATATTATATATATATATATCGACTTTTTTTATTTATTTATTTCATATTATATACATTTTTAGATAATGCCTATCTTACTATTAGTCGTTTTATTTTGTTGGATTCAATGCTTCTTTTCTTTACCTGTACTTCCCTTTTCACGTTAGCCACTTTTCATAATTTGCGTAACCAGTAAGTTTTAGTGAAGTAAGCAAATAACGTTTGACTTTTATCTTTCCTTTTTTTTTTCTAATTATACTTGATATATCATAGATCATTTTCAACAAAATGGTGGATCTGGCTTAATTTGACTGGTATTTCATTAGGATGTGTACTAAGTGTGAAATGGGTCGGCTTATTTGCTGTGGCTGTTGTTGGAGTATATACGATTGAAGATTTATGGAATATGTGGGGTGATTTACAGATGCCTAAAAAGACATACCTTAGTCATTGGATTGCCCGTATTATATGTTTAATCTGTATTCCTATTTCAATCTATATCTTTAGTTTTATTTTACATTTTAAACTTTTATATAAGAGTGGTCCTGGTGATGCTCAAATGAGTTCCCTATTTCAAGCAAACTTGGAAGGAAATTCTATGACTAGTAATCCTCTTGGTAAGTCATTTGATCTATACGACAATGATCAAATATTAACTTGTAATATATATACAGAAATTGCTTATGGTTCGAAATTAACTATCAAAAACGCTGGATTTGGAGGTGGCTTGTTACATTCTCATGTTCAAACCTATCCTGAAGGATCTAAGCAACAGCAAGTAACCTGTTATCATCATAAGGATGATAATAACAATTGGATTATTCGTCCACCTAGAAATTATGATTCGAATGAATATGAATCACCTGAAAATGAAGAGTTTATTCGTTTCGTTAAAGATGGCGATATAATTCGTCTTCAACATGAATTAACAGGTCGTAATTTACACAGTCACCCTGTGAATGCACCAGTCACGTCAAGTGAATGGGAAGTAAGCTGTTACGGTAATGAAACAGTTGGAGATAGTCAGGATAATTGGAAAGTTGAAATTGTAGATGATATGATTTATAAAGAAAAGGATCGTGTTCGTTCTTTAACTACACGTTTCCGTCTTCGTCATGAAAGATTAGGATGTTTATTAACAGCGGATGGAGGCACTTTACCTCAATGGGGCTTTAAGCAAACAGAAGTGTATTGTGATAAGAGTGATGATGTAGATAATCCACATGCTATGTGGAATGTAGAACAACATTGGAATCCTAAACTACCTCCTGCACCACCTAATGCATACAAGTCGCGTTTCTTCCGTGATTTTATTTCATTGAATGTTGCAATGTGGAATTCTAATAATGCTCTTATCCCAGATCCTGACAAGTATGATATACTGTCATCTAAACCTAGTGAATGGCCTTTTGTTTCTGTTGGTCTTCGTATGTGCGGTTGGGGTGATAATGATGTTAAATTTTATCTTTTGGGCAATCCTATTGTTTGGTGGTTATCCATTGGATCTATCTTTGTCTTTTGTTTCATTACTTGTATCTATATTGCTCGTATGCAAAGAAAGATTTATGATTTAACAAGAGGTATAAACAGCTTTCACATATACATCATTTTAATTTCTTTATATTCATTCATATTATATGTATACTTGTTTTATTTATTTAGCTCAATGGGATCATTTCTTTTATGTTGGTAAAACCTTATTCCTTGGTTGGTTCTTCCATTATATTCCCTTTTATATTATGGGTCGTGTCACTTATTTACATCACTATTTCCCTGCACTTTATTTCAGTATTCTTATGGTGCCTTTCTTAATGGATCATTTTACTCGTAATAGTCCTAAGCTAGTTCAATCTATTATTTTCGGTGTAGTTTATATTGCTGTTATAGCCACATTTATTCATTTTGCACCCATCTCTTTTGGTTTGACGGGTCCCATCACAGACTACAAGTCCCTACAATGGAGAGAAGGTTGGAATATTATTGAAGAAAAAAGAAATTAAATTATATAAAAGAGATACTATGTTAGTAGCATCAATCAAGATGATCTAATGATTTACAAAATTTTAAAGACAATGTCTCGTCTTTGTTTTCGCTTACTTTGCAAACTAAATAAGCTTCTTATTTGATGATAACTGTTTTTATTTGTCATACATAGACTGTAAGACAAACAAATTTTGTATTACATGTATTGTTCTCTTTAAAAAACCAAGTGATAGTTAGTCGTAGTAGTTGGTCGTAGTAGAGAAGGAGGGGTGGTGGTGGTGGTGTGTAGGATAAATAAGTACCCTGTCATACTAGTACACAACAATAGATAGCGCATACAACTATTCTTTTTTTTTTTCTTTCTTTCTTCTTCTTCTTCTTTGCTGCTTATTAATGGGAAATATAAAAAGTACTTCAAAAAGCAAGACTAGTAAAGATAGTTTAATAAATACTATGATTGTGACAAAGAATCGAATTATCGATCAACAAATAAAAGCGGATCAAAAGCGTATGAAAAAGGAAGTTAAACTGTTATTATTAGGTAAAAAATAAAATAAAATAAAATACCAAAACAGATATATGATAATAATCATAACAATAAATAGGTGCTGGTGAATCTGGGAAATCAACAGTTTTAAAACAAATGAGATTAATACATGCATCTGGTTTTAAAGCAAATGAAAGAGAAAAGTTTCGAAACATTATTTTTGTCAACATTCTTTCAACAATGCAGACTTTATTAAGTGCGATTGAAGATTTAGATTTACAAATGACTGATCCTTTATTAAAAGTACATTACTTGATACCATTATATATAAATATTTATATTTTAATTCATTGTTTTTTCATGTAGGAATATACCCATTTATTTGTTGAAATACCATCTTTAGAAGAGAATGAACCATTTCCCGAAATTTACTACAAGCCTTTAAAGCATTTATGGAAAAGTGAAAATGTTCAAATAGTACATAGAAATGGGCATATGTTTGCCATACATGATAATATCTCTTAGTAAGAAAGGAAACAAAAAAAAAAATCTCTTTGTACAAGCAATGATTTAGTATTTTATGTATTTTTTTTTTTTTTTTTGTTCTAAAATCTAAAATCTAAAAGCTTTTTCGAAAAGATGGATAAACTATGGGAACCCAATTATATCCCTTCAGATCAAGATATTTTAAGATGTAGGGCAAAAACTACAGGCATCGTCGAGACTACCTTTCATCTTGGTCCTTTAACATATCGAATGTTCGATGTGGGAGGTCAGAGAAGTGAACGAAAGAAATGGATCCATTGTTTTGAAAATGTCACAGCTATTTTATTCGTTGTTGCAATTAGTGGATATAATCAAAGTTTAGCAGAAGATAAAGATTCGGTAACTTGGATGTCTATACGTGTTTATACGTAATACTAACTAATTATATATGTATTTTAGAATCAAGTAAGATATTGATGTGTGCATATATTTACCTTTAATAGATGCTTACATTTATATAATAAATGCATGAAGCATTAATGCTCTTTGATACAATATGTAACGCAAATTGGTTTGTAAAGACTTCAATGATTTTATTACTAAACAAAATCGATATATTCAGAAAGAAAATTGCTTATTCTAATGTCTCTGATTATTTTCCTGATTATCAAGGTATATAATATAATGTATATGTGTATGTGTATGTGTACGCGTATATGTACGTGTATGTGTATGTGTATGTGTATGTGTATGTGTATGTGTATGTGTATGTGTATGTGTATGTGTATGTGTATGTGTATGTGTATGTGTATGTGTATGTGTATGTGTATGTGTATGTGTATGTGTATGTGTATGTGTATGTGTATGTGTATGTGTATGTGTATGTGTATGTGTATGTGTATGTGTATGTGTATGTGTATGTGTATGTGTATGTGTATGTGTATGTGTATGTGTATGTGTACACGTATATGTATATGTATCCATTTATATACATATTACTTTAGTCTATCATATTGATATGTTATCATAATAGGACCAGCCAATAATTATGATGTAGCAAAAAACTATTTTAAAGCAAGGTTTCAAAGGCTAAATCGGAGAGCAGACAAACGAGTCTATGTTCATTTTACGAATGCTACTGATACAAATTTATTACAACATGTCATGATGGCTGTTTCTGATATTATCTTGAGTGAGAACTTGAATAGCGTTATCATATAAATTATATACTAATACACCACATCTGTACATATATAAAATAATTACACTCGCAGAAGAAACCGAGTTGCTATTAGAATACTACTTTATCTTTTTATTACATCTTAATAATAAAGCAAGTTGAAGCTCTTAAACCAGATGAAATATATTACTCTAAATCATCAAAGATACTTGCTTCTTTCCTCTCTCTCTTTTTTTTTTTTTTTTTTTTTTTTTTTTTTTTTTTTTTTTTTTTTTTTGTATCTGTCTCCTGAGTGGTGGCTTGTATGATTTTTTTTTCTTTTTTTTTTCTTATTTTACATAAGCTAAGCATATTTTTTTTCTTCTCTTCTTTTTCTTGTACACTTATCAATAATGTCTTCTTTAGCAAGTTTAATTAGTAATGTGAAAGCAAATACCGCTAACAATGATCACATAAATAGAAGTTTAAAGAGAAAAGCAACATTTTCAAAGTAAATAATTAGTTTTAAAGAAATTATTAATATATTACTGACTTTCTCTAATGTTAGGGAAGAATTAAGACAACAGAAAAGAAAAGCCCTTCTTAAGAAGAAGGCAGATGATAAGAAAGAATCAAATGAGCCCAGTATTGTTGTGTTCGATGATTCAGCATTACAAAAGAAACCTGTTTATGAAGATAAAGCATCAAAAAAACAATTTATGGTATATTAATCAAAGCCTTTTTATATGTCTATATACATGTACATTATTCTAAATCCTTATATATAAAGAATTCAAAAATTACAACACCTGATCCATACAACATTACAACTCCCAAAAATAAACCTTCTGCAAAAGAACTTGAAGAAGAGGCGTAAGTGAGAGAGAGAGAGAAAGAAATACGATGCAATTCCCGAATAATTAAATTAATATTATGCATGTACTTGATAGTGAAAATCAAAAACATGATTTAGAATTACATCAACTCTTAAACACCTCAAATCTTTTAGAGGAACTCGGTAAATAATAGAGGAATTAAATGTTAATCTTAAAAGTCTCTTATTCATCTGAAAAAAAAATAATAATTATATAGCACAAGAAGAAATGACAGCAAGAGAAAAAAGAAAGAATACAATGAAAAAATTAGTGGACTTGGGTGCAAAGGTAAGCTTTAGGATATGACTTGGAATAATGTATTCATCTTAAATACACATATATATGTATATATAATCCAGCCAGCAGCAAATCAAAAGATGCCATTATCATTAAAATTAAGCTTAGATAAATCAAGAAAGGAAAGGGAACTTGCTAAACTACAAGAAGCAAAGGATTTAGGTATTTACGATAAATCATTAAAGCATCTATACATAAAAACAAAGCCAAAGAAGAGAAACCGTGATCCTGGCATTACAAATGGTATTGGCAGAATGAAGGGTGCTACCTTGACTATTAAACAATCAGATATTGAAAGAATTCAGAAACAAGGATCAAAGAAATCTTCCGGCAAGAAACGACGATAAAAACGAAGCTATAAGATTAAACTTATTTACATGTATACCATAATTTTAGACATTTAGTAAACTTCTTGTACTTTTGCATAAAGATGGTAATTCGAAAAGGAAAAAGGAACAAAAAAAAAAATTAGAGAGTAACAAGTTGACTTTTACTGTGCATAAGACATTACTTAATGACTATCATACTTTCCTTACACGAATAATATCTTAACATGAACAATGACCCATTTTATTGACAGTGTTTTTTTTTTTTTGATAACTGCATAAAATTGTTTTTTTTTAATTCTATATAGATATTATATCATTGATACTTTAATTAAAAGAAAGTGAACATTAAAAAAAAAGAGAGATAAAATCATGACAGTATATATTATATTACAAAAAAAAGGGGGGGAAAGGGAAGGGGCATATAAATTATCTATGCAAAATAAACATCTTAAAGGCTGGAAGAAAAAAAAAAGAATATACATGTATAAATCTAAAAACGTTCCTTCATACGAGCAGAAATAGTACGAAGAGTAGCATAAACTTTACCGGGAGGACTACCTAAAATAAGACTAACAACAGCATCACGAGCAATCTTGATGTTTTGGAATGAACCAAGAATATGAATTTTTCTATTATCAATATTTTTAATTTAGTATAAATCAATGAAGAAGAAAAAAAAAAGCCTTATCACTTACGTATCAGCCAAAACGATTCTAGTTTTGCTTGCATTTTCAATAGTAAATTTAGTTTTACCATCACGACCAGCGATACGACCAATAGCACGAGCTAAATGATCACCGTGTAATGTCTTCACATCTTTAATTTCAAATGTATCCATATAAATATCATCTAATCTTAATAAAGCCATAGCATCTTCTACTTCAAAACCTAAAGCAAAAGCTTTAACAAAATCTGCACCTTTTTGCAAAGCACCATCATCTTCAGTAGAAGGTGAAGTCTATGAAATAATAATAATAATAATAATATATTTATTAACATACATATGTCAAAAAAAATTTTTTTCCCAAGCCCTACAAACCTTAAGCTCAACCGTTTTTGATTTAATGTTCATTCTAACTTGGAGCTTCATATGTTCAACTAAGGGTGAATAAATTTCTAACCAATGTCTTTTTAAAGGAGCCATACGATGGGGTGGAATGGGAATTTTACGGAAACCTTTCGTCACACTCTTTTTTTTTTTAAAAAAAAAAGCAAAATTTGAATGATTATTATTTATCATTTCAGATTGATCAAACATTATTTAACACTTTTTCTACCTTTAATTCAGCTTTACTTGCAGGAGCAAAGTTAGGCTTATTCATTGAAGAAGAGCTTTCTTCCATTGCTACATCATCTTGACTTTGACGACTAGGTAAAGCATTGGCATCGATAATAATATCATCGTCTTCTCCTTGAATCTCTTTTTGAGTCTTTTTGCTAACTAATGTTGGTGCTTTTAATGACTGTAATGAAGCCATTTTATATATTTATATAATGTAGATAAAAAAAGAGATAACAGTAAGTTTGAATTCTGAACAAAAAGAAAAAATTTTTGATTTAAAACAGCATTTCCCATTATTTTTGAAAATATACGGAGTTCAAATAACAGTTTGTATAGACTTTAAATTGGAAAAAGGAAAAAATAGTCACGAAAGCAGTCATACCTCCTAAAATTGCAATGGGACTTTTGACAAACGTCTGCTTTATTCAAATTACCATTGTAAAAAAGGTATGTTCAGCCTACTTTTAAATATTTATGTTTCTTTAAGAGAGCTTCTATTACAGATATATGCTTACTATTATAATTAGAAATCATTTTATAAAAGTTGTATATGTATATATCTTAACTCAACTGTATAAATATTCTAATTATTTTGCATAAACCCCAATACTCTCAAAGCAAAAAAGAATATTATAGCGATTATTTTATCAATAATATTTTTAATAAAGTTAACAGTTTTGAAAAGAAAAAAAAAAGGAAAATGTAAAGGATAAACTAAAATGTACTATTTTGTATACAGAAGCTAGACATAGAGTGTATATAAAGCAAATGAATAAGATAAGAATATACAACAGTCTAGAGGGATACATTTCAAGTCCTTGCCTTTTTTTTTTTACGTAATATTGAAGTGAGATATTATTTTAGTGCATGCAGAAATTACCTTGCATTACTAGTTTTTTTTTTAACACATGGAAACGAATAAGCAATCTTTCGATTTTCCACATAACAAAGCTTAAATCTATTTAATTCTCAGCCAAGTTGAATTGATAAAATGAAAACCAATAAAATATTTAAATAATAATTTCTTAATAAAAAGCACAATTAAACTAGAATTGCCTATGTTAGTTTATCAATGGAAATAGGAAGATACTTAAACAAAACAAAACAAAAAATTCTTTGGGATCAAGGGCAAAAAAAAAGGGTTATGACACATTTCGTGATGAAGGGGAAGAAAAGGTAGCCAATCAAGAAGACATTATTGACCAGGCAGTGAAACTTGATAATCATAAAATATGATAGTTTGAACTTCTGTATTTTTTTTCCCGACTTTGTGTTACGATGAGTTCATTTTTCTTTTTTTTTAATGATTTCGGTAGTCGAATAAATAATAAGCATAACACATTCTTTTTATTATTATTACATTTTGTATAAAGAAGGACATTATATACAATAGATTCAATAATAGGGTCCTTGTAAAATACCTATAAAGAATTTTCGAGAATTTAAAATATATGGCGTGTTTCAAGAAAAAAAGAGAGGAGTTAATTTAAAAGGGGCATGATATAGTGCTACTAAACAGTTGATAAAAGGAAAATGGTCATAAATATAGATATATAACTTAGGCAGAATTTAAGAAAGGAACACGGTTTGAGGATTGCTTTTCACGAATCATTTGTAATATATGTTGCATTCCTTTACGAGCCTAGATAAAATAAAGTATTCTGTTATAAACTTGATGTCATAACCTTATTATTTTTACCTTTGCTGCATTAGCTATGAAGCTACTTTGACCAAATCCTTCAATACGACCAGTCATTCCCCAACCAAATTTGGAGATAATACGAGCTTCAGTTTTGCATGAAGTCCATTCTGGATTTTGTTCGTCTTGTTTAAAAGTTTGTGTTTCAACAATTTGCATTATACGAACATGATTCAAGTTTTTTGTACGAGTAACCATTGTTTTATTTTTCGGATCAACTTCTGATTCTTCAATAATAAATGCTTCCGAGTTTTTAAGAAACTAATTTAAAAATGGTTATTTAGCTTTTTTATGTTGTAATGTATATCTATAATTTACATGATCAGGAAACCATTTAGGTGCCTTTCCTTTCTTCAACACAAGTCTTGTTGTTTTTAAAACCCCATTCTCATCCACATAACGATCCAAAACATCTACAGCAAGGACTATTCAAAAACAACAGTATTAATATTTAAACAGACAACTCATATAAATATTTTAAAATTACCATGTGAAGCAAATGGATTAGGATATCTTAACCAGAAAGCAAGAGTTACATTTTGCCAAGGATAACTATAACAATGAATGTTAGTCCTTTCTGATTAATAAGCTTTTTTTTTTTTTCTCATAAAGTACTCATATTTAAATAAATGTTGGTAAAATTTAACCATATTTAATGTATAGAAGTAAATGTAAGAATATAGTAGAAAATAAAAAAAATAAAAATAAAAAAAAAATGAGGGGAAAATGAGGTGGTTTACATTTATTTCTTCTCGTAATTCATTGGTAGCAATGACAGCAAGGGTTGAGACTAAACAAATAGTAAATTAGAATATTATTGGTTTGTGACTGTTTGTTTCGGGAAAAATATCTGATTAGCTATTGGCTTCGTGTCTTCTGTTCTCGATTTATTCAAGTATACATTATTCAGCAGTTTACTGAAACATGAACTTTTTTCTTTTATCTTTTTTCATTATTATTATTTGACTGTATATACGAATATAAATATATATATATATATATTTTAAAAAAAACAAAACAAAATGTCATCCATAAATACCAATCCCAATACAACTTCTTCTGATGTACTTCAACTTAATTTGAATGATTCAGCACTGGAATTATTAAATGCAGCCATTGTCAGTCACCAGTTGAAAATCGATGACTTTGAACAACTAAATACAAGAAACAATAAAGAAAAAGCTCCTCCCTCCATTCAAAATGAGTCAACAAAGAAAGCTTTACCAGATAAATCAACTATAAATGGTATTATTTTTTTGTTATAATTTGCAAATATATGCTGCTGACTTTTATCTATTTTACAGCAATTCATTCAAAAAGAGAACTTGATAAAGGTAAAAAAAAAAAAAAAAAGAAAAGAAAAAAAAAAAGTCAAAGAAGAAGTTAAATGCAAGTTAATTTATCTCTTGTTTATATTAGATGAGCAAACATCAACTACTCCAAAACGAGTGGGTCGTAAACCGATAGATAATTCCGAGATTCCTGTAAGTAGTGCAATATAATATATTCACACATATACATATTCATTTTTTTGTGGCGCAGGATGTCCCACTTGATCCTAAACAAAAAAGAAAAGCTCAAAATAGAGCTGCTCAACGTGCATTCAGAGATCGTAAAGAAAAGCATTTAGCTGAGTTACAGGCACGTATTGAAGAATTAGAGGCTCTAAATGCAACAAAAAATGAAGATTTAATAAAAGAAAATCAACAATTAAGAGAGCAATTGAAGAGGCTTCAGGAGGAAAATTATGCTCTCAAAGGAGCACAATTTACTTTTGAGTTTCCTATATCTGGCTCTATTAATAAAATGCTAACTTCTACATTGCCCATCACTAATACTACTATGACTGCAGGGACTCCTTCTGGTATCCCTAGCACTCCTATTACTGTTTCTTCGAATAATACTTCTTCGGATATAAATTATGATGATTTGAATAATCTATATCCAATGACAACAAGTGGAAGTAGTATGAGCAGTTCAAATAGCTATAGTGGTGAAGATAATAGCTCTTCTACTGAACAACATTCACCAGACACAAATAATCAAACTCATGAAGATGATTCTACAAGTGCAGATACACCTATTACATCTAATCCTCTTTTTTCACCAGAACCAATTCAATTTGGCTTGATACAACCTCCTATGGCTTCTAATGCATTAGACTTTTTAGCTGTTACCGATGTTACAGATGGTATTGGCAATGGGCTTACTACTGTCAATAATTTCCCTACAGGTGATCTTTTCCACGGCAAAGATGATCTCTTTACCAGTTATACTCTACCTGCAAATAATACGAATGATAACTTTTTATTTACGAATGAAGACTTATCAGCATTATTTGGTGCCAATGAGGATTTATTTAATTTTAATACCAACATAAATGATAATAATAATAATAATAATAATAATGTATCATTATCGCTTAATACCCAGTTCGGGCTTCCGGAAACACCTACTACTCGTCGTCTTAATCTTACATCTGAGAAGAAACAATTACTGATTCAACAAATAAAGAAAGGACAAGAAGAAGGCAAATATGTACACCAAATACATCAAGAAATTAAAGAAAAATGTCCTGATTTCGATTTGGATGGTTTATGTGATGACCTTAAAAAGAAAGCGCAATGCAGTAGTGGTGCTTATCCGCTTACCGATCACGAAGTAGATGCCTTTGTCAAATTTTTAAGTCATTAAAAAAAGACTCCCCCTTTTTTCATCTTCTTCATATAATCAATCATATACAGATATACATATACATATACACATACATACACCTATGTATTTTTTCTTTTTTTTTAATAGCATTACATGTATTTTGAATTTTCCTATAACTTTCATCATTATTATTACTAAGACAAATAACAATATGTTTATAAATGCTCATTTAATAGTTGACAATATCTAAAGTAAGAAATAATAATAATAATAGAAAGGCTATATTATTTTCGATTTTTATTATTATACAAATATGTATTTATAAAAAAAAAAAAACGAAATTAAATATTGCATAATATTACATAAATCAAAAGGAATAGCTATTAGTAAATAACCCTCTTATCTACCTATAATTGAAGAGAGAGAAAGTAAATAAATTATTATCCAATTTTCCCAAAAAGAAAAGATATATATCTTACTTTGATTACAATGGGGGGCTCATGAGTATTTGGTCGAGAAATCTCTGCTAATTCTCTTCCTGCCTATTTTTTTTTTATATATATATGTATATACACATACATAGATAGAAAACTTTCAGTTTAAAACAATACATGTATACAAAGTTAATGTGTTTAAGTGTAACTTACACTCCATGTTCCCCCTTGAATAAGCTGACTTAAAGAAAGAAATTTTTTACTTAATCTCAACGTTTGACGAACACGATCAGCTATCAAATCCAAATAGGCTACAGTCAATGCACGCCATTCAGTCACGACTGGGTCCGACATATCAAACATCGGGGCCACCTCAACCTTGGGCTGATAAGGCAAAAGAGAATTGGCTTGATAATTTTTAATACCACGTTCGTAATCGACAGGCTTTAAAGTCAGAAAACCAGTATCGATAAGGAAGCCACCATTACAGTAATCAGGAAGGGGTGTTAACAGATCAGTGCCTTCAATGGTTGCTCCAAGTAATTTTTCCATAGGCTCAATCACGGAATAGATAATCCATTGAGAGAGCTTATGAAATGAGACAAGATTACTATCATCATGTATAGCTGTACAAGGCCAAACGTCACCTAATCCACTTGTACCACCTCTGTTTTCTTCAGCAGCCCATAATTCGCCCATCTCTTGAACAACAGGCCACAATGTCTCAATACTAATTAATGGTCCCTTTTTGGTTTTAATTGTAGTAGGATGATCGAGTAAATAGTCTAAATAAATATTATCAATTTCAGGAGTTTTCGAAAAAAAAAAATCAAACAACTATACTACTTGTTATTTTTGTATTTGTGCATTTTTTTTTTTTATACTTTTTCATTTATTTATTTATTTACCTATTAGGTTTCCGGGACGTCTTATATTATTACCAAAATAGTCTGTTCTATTTTGTAATACAGATCCAAGATTTTTCAGAGCTTCAAATCTTACCTCAATATCAACGAATGAATTATCATCATTGAATTGAAGTTCTTTACAGAGTGTATCAAATGAAAGATTCAATAACGCCTCAGCTGTGTAGTATGTATAAATATAAATATATATGTATATATAACATGTAGAAAAAAAATGATATATATACATATATGTATATATATATATATATGTGTGTGTGTATGTGTGTCTATATATACATCATTTTATGTGTAGTACTTACAGTCAACTCGATGAGGCTGAGCTGGATCATTTGAAAAAAAGCCTTTTATGAACATATCCAATATAGCAATAGCAATACCATCCTTTCTTTTGAACACTCTACCTGTAGAATGTTCAGTATAAGACCAAGCTTGACATGGCTTCATATCCATAAGACATGCAATAACCAATATATCAATTAGTTTTCTTGTTTGCTCTATTGTATCTTGACCAACACTAGCCCAAGTTTGGATTAGATTATCAAGACGGCGTCTTCCACCTATATCAAAGTGGCGCCAACGACCATAAAGAGGGATATCAGAAGGATTATCATAATCTCGTTTAATAATAGATACAACAAATTGAACCATTTCTTCCAACTTTGATTGATCAATATCAAAATGTTTCAACCTATTGCGTGTAGCCGCTTCATGTACTTTAAAACATCTTTCACGTACAGAGCCGAGACTAAGTAAGAAATCATTCTGATTATATGGAGCCATATTAGTATAGTTATTATTTATAATGATTGAAAGTAAAGTAATATGTAATATATATATTTTTTTATAGATTGTAAAAAGTAGTTAAAATTGTACTTGTATACAAGTATCAATTAAATTAAATAATATTTTGTAATAAAGTAAAGAAAGAAAAGAATGAATAATTATTATTAATTTTTTTCTTATTTTGATAAGCGGGTTAAATCATATTTATACATGTAAAGAGAAAAAAAAAATTATCATAGTCTGTGTATCTATTTTATTAGGGGGAGAAAGAGAGAGGAAAAAAAAAAAATACTGTTTTCACATTTCAGCTTTCTTCTTTAATTCTTTAAGTTTGAAAATACCGATCTGATTAATGTTATCGGATGTATTTATTTTATAATACTTTTTTATTCTTTTTTATTTTATTTTTTTTTAAAAAATCTATCTTCTTCTTTCTTTTTATTTTTAAGAGAAGGGAGAAGATGGGAGAGGTCTGACAAAGTAAGGGGGGGCGTAATATGAAGGGCACACAAAAAAAAAAAAAAAAAAAAAGCAAGAAATGCCAACTTTAAAAGAAACTTTCTTCTCCTTAAAACAATAATAACATAACACAAACATGAAATTATAATCCATCTAAGTAACTTTATATATAAAAATATTTATAAAAACATGTTTAAATAATACTATTCTTTCAAAGAAGAGAGAATATCTTTTATATATACACATATATACATGTATATATAAACTGCGCATTATTACTTACAGCCGCAAGTGATTGTATATTATATAGCTTAACTTCACTTTAATGTAGACTTTAGATTTATAAATATCATGAATATGTAATATATCTGTAATATACTCATTTTGCATTTTACTAAATATGTTTCTGAATAATGTGTAACATTTTATCAAATCTTTGGCAGGTGACTGTTAATTTCCCCTACAAAAAGGCTTTAATACTATTTTTTTTTTCCAGATCGAGAAATTAGTCATCAATTACTTCTTTGTTTAATATGAATAGTTTGGAGAAAGAAGTGACAAAATATATGATTACAGCAGATATAAATTCTGCAGAAGCCATAGAATCAGCTAAAAACTTAGTTCAAAGTATATAGATATTGATTTAAAGTTATGCAGAACTTGACAGAAACACTAACATAAAAAAAAATACTTGTCTTTTATTAATATAACATACACTTCCATTAAAAGTCATCAATGAAGGATCTGCTCAAGATAACTTGTTGCATTTGATACAATGTTTAGGAGAACATCTTACAAATGAAGATGAATTTATTCGTGCTAAAGGTTAGTAATAGAGCTCTTTTATATTCATGACTAATACACATGATCTTACATGTTACCAAATTCATTTAGCGACTGGACTTTTATCGATTACCTTGACCGATTGTGAACACGATGTTATCAATGAATCAGCTGGTAAAACAATGTGTTATAATGAAAAAAAAAAAAAAAGAGAGAGAGAGAGAGAGAGACTTAATTAACATTATAATTTATATATTCAAGTATCTGTCCTTGTTGATTTTTATTGTGAAAGATTAACTGATAAGACTTGTGTACAAAATCTATTGCAAGGGCTTGTGGCATTAACAACTTATTCCAACTTTACTGATAAGAATGCTGTATTTGTTTCAAAAAGGTTAATATAAGGAATCTGGAAGAGCTTGTATATATACGTTATTAATAATAGTTAAAAAAAAAACAAATTAGAATTGCACAAAAAGTTGACATGCAGCAATTTCCTCAAGCAGTGAGATACTCAGTTTATAACATTTACAGTAATTTAATTAATCGCCATGTTAACGCCTTAAGATCTATCAATAATGAGTTTGTATATGGGTTTACTCAAAAGTTAGATGGTGAAAAAGATCCTAGAAATTTGTTAATTGCTTTTCAAATTATGAAGAATATTGTGAATAGTTTTGATATTTCAGCTCATGTAGAGGTAATAATGGAAATACGAACTAATGGCATCAATGTGATTAAACACATTTGTAATAGGATATATTTGAAGTTACATGTTGTTACTTTCCAATCACCTTTAAACCACCCCCTGATGATCCATATGGCATCACAGCAGAAGACTTAAAGATCAGTCTTAGAGAATGTATATCTTCCTCTCCATTATTTGCAAAGTTCGCTTTACCTTTAATTTTGGAAAAGCTATCATCTACTGCTGGTAGTGCAAAGGTATAGTTTAGAATAAGAATAAAGAAAAGAAAAGGAAATAGGACTCATATAATTAAACACTTTATAGAAAGATTCAATGGAGACTTTGGCTGCCTGTGCGCCTGTATATGGAGCGGCCGCTATATTACCTCATATTGATGGAATCTTTAGTAGTCTTAAGTTGGAAGTGTTCCAGGCTGTTGAACCCTCTTTAGAAGACGCTGCTTTAAAGGCTATTCATGCTGTTGTAAATGCATTAAATACTACTGGTTTGAGCACATCAGAATCAGATCCTGTAGAAAAAGCATTACAGCCTTTGATTGAAGAATGTACTACAAACTTAAAAGATCCTGACATGAAGGATTCAAAGCAAACTGGCCGTATTCTAAGAGCTACTGCATCAGCTTCTGATCACTCTTGTCATTATATTGTAAATATTATTATTCCGCTAGTTTTAAAGCAATACCGTGAAACAAGTGTTGCTATATTAAAAAAGGCAAACGTGGATATTATAATTGATCTTTTGGAGGCTTGTAAGACACTTTATGGAACAGACGATGAAATCGAAAAAGGTTTGTATAAATATGAATAGAGGAGAAAAAGGCCAAAGATATTAATTATAATGTACTTTTAGTAGATGATAACTTTACTTCGCCTTTAATTCAGTATAAAGATCAATTTTTTGCGATTTTTGAATCTTCATTAAAAGCATCAAATGAATATAATCTTTTACGGCTTTCTGGATTAACAGGATTAAAGTTGATGATTATATCAAAAAGATTTTTAGAGGAAAATGAAGTGGGTATTGCTATTCAATCTATCAATAGTATCTTATTAGATGAACAAGACGAAGAACTACGGTAAAGTATATTATATATATTTAAAAAGAAATATGTGTATTTATCCTAACTGTATATTATAGTTCTGCGGCACTTAATGCTCTAAGTGTCACTTCACATATTAATAGCAAATATGTTAATGAAATCACTATACTATCTTTAGTAAATCGACTTCCTGATACTACGACAAATCTTAGTTCTAAGGCTTATTTATATATTCTTCATGCATTAGAAGTTTTGGCACCTGTAGCTGCGATTTACAAACAAGCAATGCCTCTATTAATCCAAAAATTTGATCATGTTTGTGAAAAAGGTTTGTTCTATAAAATAGCATGTGTTATTTTATTTTATATTTATATTTTCTTTTCCCCTCCGGGATTATTTCAAATAGACACAAATGCTTCATATGCACTCGCTATAGCTCAATGTATCTTGAGTATTCTTAATACAAAATCTGCGAAAAAGCATGATGATATAATAGGAAGCATTGATACTCTAGTATCTCACTTTATTACTAAAGCAATAGAGGCTTCTCTTTGTTCAGAAGATAACCTTATATTAGATTATGATGTTATGGAAACATTAGCGTTAATCACAATTACGGTTTTCTCGAAATTAAATAGCGAGTAAGTAAAAATATGACAATATATATATATATATATATAAAGAGATTAGTAATTCATACGTATATATAGGGCCCAAAAGGCTTATATAGATAAAGCTTACAAATTATTTGTTGAGGGTCAGTTATCTGAATTTGATATTATTTCCTCAACACAAGAATTCCAGCCTCTTAACCCTTCTTCATCACCTTTAAGAAATGAAAAACAAAAAAAGGTTTGCTTACTCTTTGCTGCTATTGTCTGCTGTTTAAGAAAAGATGTGAATTTGCCTGTTTCAAATCTAGAAAATTATCTGAACGAAATGGTTCAATTGGTATTAAGCACGGATAATGTTATTCAAGCCAATTGTGGTTCAAGGATGATTGGTTCTTTGATTAATAAATGGAAAGATAGTAAGTTTTTTTTTTTTTTTTTTTTTACTGGAGCATACGAGTACATGTAGATATAAATGCATATATTTAATTTATTTATTTATTTTAGATTCGGCCTTAATTGAATATGTTAAAACTACCACAATAATGTTAGAAAGCATAATCACACAACAAGCTCCAAATAGTAAATATGCTTTAATGGTCTATTTATGGATAGCTAAAGCGCTTATCTTACGTACACATGCTATGGGATACGAATTGACCAATAAAGTGATTGAATGGTGTGCTGATAACCCAACTAGCATACATGTTCCTCAAGGTTTTGACATCTTGATTGGTGACGATAAACTTGCATTAAACAAAAATACATTTGCTACAACTTCCGTAAGTATTTTTTTTTTCATAGAAAATTAACTTGACACTTACAAATATTACAACTGATTATAGATTTTGTTCAAGCAAAGATTCTTTGCATTTTGTTTGCCTAAACTGATCGATGGCTTCCGTTCGGCAGCAGACAGTAAGTTTTAATTTTCGGAAAAAAAAATAGTACAGAAAGTTCTTATGTTATTTTATATTAGATATCAAGCCAAATTATTTAATTGCACTTTCTTATGTATTAAAAAATGTCCCAAAGCAAATTTTATTGAACGAGTTACCTCCCCTTGTTCCACTTTTAATTCAATCATTAAGTCTACCTGATGCTGATTTGAAGGTATCAACGTTAGCCACCTTCAAATTAGCAGTTGCAGAGGCTTCTAATGTTGTAGCACCACAGGTTAGAACCATTTTACCTTCTTTATTAGCCTTGTTGCAAGAAACTGCTAATAATCCAATTCGTGTACGTGTCGGCGCTCTTGCTTGTCTTGCCGAGTTTCCTGGTTCAATCGCTAAGGATATCCTTAAACCTCATGTTAATTATGTTATTAGAGAGCTCAGGACATCATTAGATGATAAGAAGCGAATTGTAAGAAAAGAAGCAGTAGAATGCCGATCTCAATGGTACACAGTAATAAATTAGATAACATGTTAAAATAAAAAAGAAAAAGATATTTGTGTATACGTATAGTAAATTAGAAAAAAAAAAGATATACACATATATACACATATATAGTGAGATGAAGAAAAGCTTATATTATGCATAATTATGAAATAAATAGATGTATGTATGTATGTATGTACGTTATATAACTAAACAAAGGCTTTATGATGAGATAGCTACATTTGAAAGACTATCTGATAATTCATGAACGAGTTTCTTTTGTTGTTCACGTTTCTTTTTCGAAGCCAAGAAAGCAGCACGCATTTGAAAATAATCTTTATGTAAACCACATTCTGATTTCCCTTTGCCAGACCAACGACCACTACGTTCATCATCATGACTACTACTATTCGGCTTCCTTGTTGAATGCCAGTCACCAATCGATCGATACCCTTGATCAATTAAAAGATTATAGGGGACTTCATTTGCGCGAATATAAGTCCATACGCGTTGAAAATCCCAAAATGCGAGAGGGTTTAATTTGATGAGACCTGTACTGTCTACTTCAATGACAGGGATCTCACTTCGTTCACCCTTTTGGCTACGACGACGACCTGTAATGATCGATTTGACCTTCAGTTCCCTGTAGGCTCGATGAGCAGGCTCTACCTTAACAAGATAATCATATGCATCTTCATCTGTTTCCCAAAGTTGACTGCCATATTGATGCTCAAATTCTTCTTTAGTCTCTGCTTCCATTGGTTTATAGACTTTAAGACTGACACCGTATGTTTGCTCGCATCTCTTTGCAAGTTCTAGAGTTTCATCAAAATGATACAAGGTGTCCAAAAAAATAAGTGGGACAAGGTGAGATTTCCCTCTATCTATGCTGATCTTATTGATCATATCTAAAGCAACAAGGCCTTTTGGATACGTATATACAAGTTAATAACAAGTTGGTATGTCTTTTTCTTTTTTTTATCTTTCATTTAAATACCTGACAAACCAAATGCTGTTGTTTGATATAAAGTCGGTAAATGATCAATAGCCCATTCTAAAATTTCTTTAGGCTCTAGTTCTGATAGATATTTATTGACTTTTTCCAAATATTCTTTATCATTAAAAGTCAAATCAGAATTATATTGTTGTGTTGTACTAACTGGCATTGTTACAAGTATTTGTGTATAAATAACTTTCTAGGCTTTTTTATTATTATTATTATTATTAAAAATAAATAAATAAATAAATATGAATATGTATTACTTTTATAAGACTAATTTATAGTAATTGGAATCGATGGCGTGCTTTTTTCATCAAGTTATTCGCTACAATAGAAGAGTCCAAGGCATGAAAGAAGACGAAGATAAAAAAAAAAAATTTTTTTTCAGCATCAAACATTGGCCCAATCAAAACAAAAATTCATTACGAATTTATCTTCATCATATTGCTGTTTTCCTATTCTTATGATTTGCGTCCATCTATTTTTTTTTTTTTTTTTTTTTTTTTTCAGATTTTATATAGTACAAAAATTAGTATTTATGCTTTGAAATTAAGCACCAATAAGCGAAAAAAAAAAAAAAAATAGCAAAACATGATGACAGGATCCACAAATGACAACTGATATAAGTATAGTACAGGAAGATAGCATCTAAAAGGAATAAATTATAAATATGAAAATGGTTCTGTGATTTATGATTATATCTTCTAAACTCTGTTGTTCGTTGTCCTCTTATAAATGCATCATTAGTAAGAGAAGGTAGTAAGGGGAAGAGAGTATGTCGCTTAATATTATACTAAGAATTAAAAACTGTATTAAACACGACTCTTTAAATAAACTGTGATGTATAATAAAGCATTTTAGTGCTAAAGAATATCAAGAAATTTGGTGTAAATAAAGTTTTATTGAAATATAACAAAAAGTTAATTCATAGTAAACTGTATACAATAAGAAGAAGATTATTATTACAATTGGGTATTATTATGTTCAATTAGTATTTAGAAAAGATGCTCTCATCATTAGAATTGATATGAAGAATTAGGGTTACCAATAAATATATACAAATATGTATCTACTATCTTCTGGAAGCAAATAAATATTATTTTTGCAAAACCTAATAATACAGGCTGTCTGTATACCCCCTATTAAACGTAGTTAACTTTTACAATGATATCTAGTAGAAAACCTAAACTCTGTTCATATCAACTTATATGCGCTCATTGAATCTTATATTATGCGATCGTCTCAGCATATATGTATATGGGTGTTTTTTTTTTTATAGTGAACATACAAGATATTAACAATGTTTAGCATATATAAAAAAAGCAAAAGAACAATCCTATATAATTTATTTTATATTTGTATATTTGTTTATTTATTTATTAATTTATAAGAAAGAAAGTAATAATAGTAGGGATAAGGTAATGGATTTTTTTTTTTTTTTTTTTTTTGTATTTTTTTCTTTTTTTTTTTTTTAAAAAAAAAAAAAGTAATAAAGTAATATATTAGAGTGTGTCTTTAAAATGTATTAAAAAAAAAAGTAATAAAGAGGAGAAACAGTTTAATACTTGATGGATATATTGAGAAGCCAGTCTCTTGTTTTATGTTTCTTTTTTTTTTTTCCTTCTTTCTTCCTTTCAACATTTCCATGTAGAGTTTAAATTAAGCTTGTTCCTTCTCATCAACAAATTCGCTTTCGTTATCAGTTTGTTCTTTAGTAACTACAACGTTTTTGTTTCTCTTCATACTCTTATAAGCGAGAATACTACCAGAGAATACAAGATCCATTTCTTCAAGAGAATGACCTTTAGTCTCAGGATAAAAGAGCCAAACACAGATAGCCATGACAACACAACAACAACCAAAGAAGATATAAGTACCCCAAGTAATGGTAGTAAGCATAACGGGGACGAAAAGAGAGATGATAAAGTTCATGAGCCAGTTGGAAGCGGTTGTAATAGAGGTACCCTTAGCACGAATGGAAAGAGGATAGATTTCAGCAGGGTAAACCCAGCCAACAGGGCCCCATGAATAAGCAAAACCAGCAACAAATACGTAAACCATGACGATACAGAAATAGGAGGCATGGGAATTACCCGACATATCGACCTCCATTTGACCTGAGGCTTCGTTTCTAAAGACACGACCTGTAGCGCCCATGACGATACCACAGAGTAACATAGCAGCACCCATGATACAAGCACCAGAGATCAAGACAACACGACGACCAAGACGATCGAGATACAAGATGGGAGGAATGGTAGCAAGGACGTTAAGGACACCGTTGACACCAGAGGCAATTAAAGAAGCTGAACGACCGGGGATACCGGCTTGTTGGAAAATAACAGGAGCATAATACATGATCGAATTGATACCAGTAAATTGTTGGAAAACCTGAATAAGGACACCCAAGATGAGTCTTCTACGGACAGTACCTTTAAGGAGTTCGAAATAACTTGAGACTGACACAGTACGTTCATGCTCGACTTGAGCCACAATTTCTTCATATTCAGCAACGACATGAGGCGCCGTCTTATCGCCTTTTGAATGAAGACGGGCAAGGACGCCCAAGGCCTCATCATTACGTCCCTTGTTAACTAACCATCGAGGAGAGAAAGGAAGGAAGATGGAGCCGACACCAAGGATAAAGGCAGGAGCGATTTGAATACCAAGAGGAATCCTGTATGCAGCCTTGGTCTCAATATATTGAGTACCAGCACCAACCCAGAAGGCAACCATGAGACCAATTGTAATCATTAGTTGTTGAAGAGAGATGAGACGACCACGAATTTCCTTAGGTGCAAGTTCAGATAAGTAAACAGGGACAGCCATTGAAAGTGAACCGACACCAAGACCTGCGACAAAACGACCAGCAATCATCATATCATAGTTTTGAGCAGCTGTTTGAACGGCAGCACCAATACAAAAAACAGCCGAGGCAAGAATGATGGTATATTTACGAGAGATTATTTCACAAAGTTGACCTATAACATAATAGTAATTCAATTTAATATACACACATGTATATATAGTTAATTAAAAATTACCAGCAAAAAGAGAACCAACGAAACAACCAGCTAATAATAAACCTGTAATAACTGAAGTTTGGATCGCTTTAAGGTACTTTTCGCCACCCGTCATAGCTTCAATAAATGGTGGCATGGTCAAGACACCAGAAATGACACCAGAATCATAACCAAAACAAAAACCACCAATGGCTGCAAATGCACAAACAGTATAAAGTTGAAGAGAATATCCCATTCTATTAAAAAGATAAAATAGATATGTATGTATATGTATATTTGTTTCCCTTGTTTTTTTGTTTTTATAAACTATATGATTTATATATGTTTAATAAAAAGGCAGGATGTTAAACAGAATATCTATTGTTAATAAGAAAAAGAAACCAAAATATTTTGTCTCTTTATTTTATTTTATTTTTGATTCTCTTTTATAGAAGAATTCAACTTAAGCTATATCGACTGTGTGGAGTTAGTGCGACCATGAGTCCATTACATTAATAGTTAAATCTAGGGGATACAAGCCAACTGAAGAATTAATGGGAAAATTGAAATATGAAGACGATGTGTAACCCGTTTTATACCATTACCAATCAAATATGTACTCTTGAGGATTCATTTTCTCCACATTTTTGCAAGCCAATCATTGTATTCCTTTGTTCTTGTAGGAAAAAACGAAAAAAAAAATCATAATATAATAAATAAAGTTTATTTAAACGAAAATAGGTACATAAAAAGAGTGCTGACTAAGATTAGCTAAATGCATAATATATATTCATATTCTCCTTTTTTGATTTTATAATCTCATATAAAAGTGTATTCTTATTCAGAGCTGATCTTATAAAAAAAAAGACTTTTTTATACATAGAAAAACATTCCTACACATTTCTATAAAGTCCTTTTTTTTTTTTTAAAAAAAAAAAAAAAAAAAAAAAAAAAAAAAAAAAAAAACTATGTTAGGCTTCTATACAGGAGTTGTTATATAATTTGTACTCAAATAATAAGCTACGGTATAAAATCACTTGATGTTATTTTTCTTTTTTTTTTTTCAAGTTGCATGTCAAAATTATTCATATTTTATGATTTATTATAAAATCAGGTAAAACTGGAACAGTAATAAGAAAGGTATGATCCTTTTTTTTTTAAGTTAAACTATTCAGCATGATCTACTTTATTTTGACGATAACTATAATTTCATTCATTATAGAAATAGACAAATGCTTTCTTGATGAACACTTATTTTATTGTACAACAGTCCTTTTTAAAAAAGGCTAAAAATTCAGGTGTATACCATTATTTCATTATTTTGTCATTTTCATAGGTCAAATCAAAGATGGGTCATACAACCATTATTTACTACAGGGTATTTCTTATAACACGATGGAAGAATGAAAGTTTTTTTTCGAATGATTTCTAGTTTTTATTATTTTCCAGTTTTTTCATGACAAAAAAATAACATACGTGAAGCTTTATTTAAACAAAAAAAAGGGTATGATCTTGTAGTTCATAGAATTAATAAATTCATTCTCTTAGGTATAAACAAACATTGTAATAATTAAAAAGACTTCTTTTTTTTTCATTAAGAAGAATGCATGTCTTTTGAATACATGGGTTTTCGTTTATGATAATGATTTATTCTAAATTTGGATTATAAATACTTGTTTTCTAGTCATGAGAAATTTGGGAGAAATAGGAATCGCGGGCTTTTTTTTTTTTTCTTCTTTCTTTCTTCAAGTAACAAATAATCAGGGTCATTCTATTTCTTACCAAAACTGAATGAGTCGGTTTTCTTGTGTATCAATAAAATAGTCTTTCGTTTATTTTATATGCTTTTTTTTTTTTTGATAACAGTAAAGTGCATTCATTTCTTGAATTTTATTACTTATCCAGACTGCCGCGGATCAAATAGTGTTATTTATTTTCTCCACTTTACCCCACGTATTTTTTTGAATTTTAATTCGTTTTCAATACAGCAACTAAAATTAATGGTGTAACAGTTAGAGAAAAGTCCCTTCTTTTCAATTAATATTACGAATTATCTCAGGAATGGGATACTATTATTTCTTATTACACAAATTGAATGTATTACTATCTCTTTTATTTCTCTTCATACTCATGAATTTTTAGTTATTACAATTGGTATTAATAGTAGTAGGAGTAGTAGTAATAGAATGACTATGGTAGAATCGATTATTTCGGTAAAGATTACTTTCTAGAATTCATATGAATGGTAATAGAGATCTACAATAATAAGTTTGCTTTCTGTTTCATTTATGATCTATGATTAGGTAATATTTTCGATGTTTTTAACAAGATCATTATTGAGTATTGAACAATAGTATAGAATGACTATTATTTCTTTAATTTCGGTGACTGAGTAGTATTCCAACACTAGAGGTAAATAAGATCCATTTTTTTTTTTTTAGTATTCTATCAACTCCTTCATATTTATGGATTCGTACTCTAAAAATGATTCCTTAAAATGAATAGTTTTATATGTTTGTACTCAAACCACTACTGTAGTTAACAATAGTATAGTGTCCTCCATAATACGTGATAAATCTATATATAAAGAAAAATGCATTTAACAGATACTGATGAACTATTAGAAAGCTCCTTCATTGAAAAAAGAAAGTACTTTGCTACATTTACATGTTCTAGAAGATTGATACAGCATCACATCAACTCGTTGTATCAAAGATAGTTTTTGTTTAATGATATAATACTCATTCTCAGAACTATCTTATAAAGTTCTTCATGATTGATATTGTCTGATAATCAAGGGAAAAATAAATAAATAAATACTATTTCTCTAATAAACTAGCCCTTTTTATTATCATCATTTATAATTGAATACATCGCATGTTTTATTTGAAGTATTGCGTCGGCATGTGAAATTCTTGTATGCATCTACTAAAATAAATACATGAAAGAAACACCCTATTTTTTTAATATATCAATATTATTTTAGAGATCATGATTCATTTCTCTTTCTCTACCTCTGCCCCCCAGTCTCGACTCCTTTAAATCTCTTCATATATTTGAAGTCATTTCTTGAGTTTCAAGTAATTTTCGAAAAAATGATTCAAGAAGGTATTATAGACTGTTTTAAAATAGAAGAGAAGGATATAATTCATTTAAAGCAGACATAAAATTTACTATTTATAATATGTATATATTTATTAAAAAACAAACAAACAAACAAATACTACTACTATTATTATTATTACTAGTAATTTTCTATATTTACATGATAAAATATAAGTTGTGCATGTACAAGATTTATATTACAGATCAGAAAATATATATATATAAATACATATAAGCCAACTGCTGTGTGTAAGAAAAAGAAAAGAGGGAAGAAGGAGGGGGGGGACAGAAGGATCTTGCTGATTCTTGATGGATTTATGATATTTACAGAAATAATATAGACTAATGTAATGATGCTTTTATAGATGACATTGCTTTCGTTCCAATTCTATGTTCTTGTACATAATGCGGTACTTTTTGTTTTAATTGAGCTGCGGTGAATTTACGTAGTTGTCTTGCATATTCATTTTGAGCAAGTATTAATACATCCTCTCTTGACATAAATCCAGAAAGCGTATTTCGCTGCTGATTAATAGAAAATCTTGATTGTACAGAGGTCATTTAAAGTTAAATATTCGTTTGCTTATTTCTATAAATATAAATATATAGAAATATATATGTGTATAAAATATATAATAAAAGAATGACCAGTATTTATATATAATTTTTTTTTTTTTTACAATATGACATCATGTTTTACTCTTTTACTGGTTTACAATATATCCATGTCTAATAGAATTAGCAAAAAGGATATTTGTTTTAAGCATATAATAAAAGAAATATTCTTTTTAGTCTACTGTACTTTTTTTTTTTTTTTACACTAATGGTATTTACAATCCAATAAAATGTATGATCGTGTAACACGAGATAACTAATTTCCTAAACATTTACAGTAAATATTGACAGTTCTCATCTCTTTAAGCTTACTAAATTAGGTTATCATCAAACATTGAGTTGCATAATCGTATTAAGGATAACTAATAACTGCAGGTACGATAATATAGCCTTTTAAAGAAAAAAAAAAGAAAAAAAAAAAGAGGGAAGAAGGGGGGGCAGAGAGTGTAGATGTCTATTATTGATAAAAGGAATACTTTACTGCCCTCAGCTAAATCTATTATTACTGCTTATTATATAATAATCTTTTTTTTTATTTTACTTTTATTATCATTAAAAGAGAAAAAACCTCCCCACTAATAAGAGTCAAATATCAGATTCAGCAATACTAGAAAAACTTGACTAAAATTTAGTGTAAATCAGTCTTTATTGCTAAACTATTACCAAAAAAGAAACAAACAAAAAAAGGACTCTTTCTCAATGTAGTATAATAAAGAAATATAAAAGTTTAATTTTATTTATTTTATTTATTTTTTTATTTTTTTTTTTTTTTTTTTTTTTTTTGCATTATATTATTTGAATGTCATTGATTTAACAAACAACTGTTCTGTTTTGCTGCTTAAATAGTTTTAATAAATTATAGTTTATTTATAGAAATCACTCTTATTTTATATTAATTTAACTCGCTTTATAAGCTTTATTATATTCTATACTATTTTTCGTTAATCTTGCATCTACAATAGAATAAATCTATAACTCAATTTGGTAAAATGGAATTCATGATGTCACATCGTTCATGTCTAAAATGGGCCTTTCATTGTACTACGTCAAGGAATATTTCTTTTTACCTACTATAGAAAACTGCGATCATCAGTCCTAGTAGGCTGATAGTCCTATAAAAGTTAAAAAAATCATCATTGTACCTTCTTCCTCATATATAAACTTTATGATAATTTCAATATATCTAAAAGTTAAATGCATAATAATTTTGTATTTATCTATCATATATATTATGAAGCAATTCAATAATAATCTATATGACGTAGATTTTTTTATTTTTATTTTATTAAAAAAAAAAATCGCTTTGTCGATGAGAGCTAAATAAAAAATAAACAAAGGCACATTTGATAATTCCTTCCAGTATATACTTTTCTCAAATTCATATATCTAATTTTTATATCTATTTTTAAGGATGGGATACTATCATATAAACAGATTAATAAGGATCCCACACGATGAAATGTCTGTTTAAAGTAATAAAGAAAGCTGTTTGGATAAAGGTCAGTTTAAGCCTATAGATAGAAACAAGTCAAAATAGATCATGTATAGCGTTTTTACTCTAGTTGATTCAAATTTGCAACCCGTATTTTTCAAATAATGATATGTAACAAATGAATATAAATGTATGATATCAGCATCCATGATTCCTTCATAGTATCTAGCATCATGAAGTTGACACTGTGAAGCTTATCTTGTATTATTGCCGAATCACTATAAATGTAGTACTAACAAGAATCATGTATATCTACATAGTGTCCTTTGTGGTTAATTCTTGAGATATAATCATTTAATTTACATACATTCGTCATATGACTTTATATGTCTATGTTTCCCTTTATCATTGTATATTTCATTTCATTTTCATTATATCCGGGATTTTTCATATAGAGCATGCAGATGATATTATTAGTAAGTTGAGTTTGCTTAATTTGTCGAGTCAACATTATAATTACTCTCACTAATTTCTTGAAGCCTCCTTTTATCTGTCTCTTTTTTTTTTCTTTTTCTTTTTTCCTTTTACCTTTTATACATAATAGTGTGATACAATAGCAACTTTATTTGAACTTTCTCTCTCCCTCCCTTTTCTAACTCCTTTACTGGGCAGAATTGACTCCCTTCTTTACTAAACCAGTTTATCGTATTTACAACAGTTAATTTGTTGGTAGTACGATGGTTGATCTCTTCATTTATTTATCTACTTGCAAAATGTAAACAAATAAATTCAAAATAGTAATAACAATAAGAGTCTAATGCATTGTAGAATAATAATAATAATTCAAGATCAAAGAGTAAGGAGAACATAAATTATTGTCTATAAAATATATACACATATAAATATGTATAGATATATAAAAAAAAGAAAATAAAAAGAAAATAAAAATATAAAAAAAAGGGGTCAAAAAAAAAAAAACGTTTGCAAATTACTTGTTTTATATGTTTCTCCTTTCCTTTTCTTCTTTTTTTTTTTTATATACTATCCTCTTTCTTTTCTTTTATCTTTCGTTTGCAAATACTTCCTCTTTTTTTTTTTTTTTTTCTTTTAGATTTGAACTATACAGACAAGTAGATATTATATAATATCTTGATTTTATTCAGATAGACAGATATATAAATATAAATCAATTACATTTAGTGTAAAGGATATCAGTCAAATAATGGGTTGCTGTCAATCAAATGAAGTTCATGATGGAAAAGCTCGTAATGAGGAAATTGATAATCAAATCAAAAGAGATAAACTCAACATGAGAAATGAAGTAAAGATGTTATTGTTAGGTAAATAGTATAAAGGATATTGAAATAAATAAATATGTATATACATGATCTAACTAGCTCTGCTTAAATATAAAGGCGCTGGAGAATCAGGCAAATCAACCATTTTAAAACAAATGAAACTTATTCATGATGGTGGTTACTCTCGTGATGAAAGAGAGGCATTCAAAGAAATCATTTTTTCAAACACAGTTCAATCGATGCGTGTTATATTAGAGGCCATGGATAATATGGGTATCTCCTATGCTGTACCACAAAATAAGCTTCATTCAACTATCATACTTGATTTACCATCTCAAATAGAACGTGACTCCCTTCCTTCAGACGTCACTCAAGCTATAAAATCCTTGTGGAAAGATGAAAACCTTCAAAGCGTATTTGAAAGAAGTCGTGAATATCAATTAAATGATTCAGCGAAATAGTAAGATTTAATATCTAAATAATTATATTATATTTATTTATTTATTTATTTTATTTTGTTTTATTTTATTTTATTTTATTTTGTTTTATTTTATTTTATTTTATTTTGTTTAAAAAAAAAAAAAAAAAAAAAAAAAAAAAAAAAAAAAAAAAATTCGCTTTAAAATAGTTATTTTGACTCAATTGATCGGATTGGTGATGTTAATTATATTCCAACTGATCAGGACGTATTGCGTTCAAGAGTAAAGACTACAGGCATTACAGAAACAACGTTTGTTATTGGAGACCTTACTTATCGCATGTTTGATGTTGGTGGTCAAAGATCAGAACGTAAAAAATGGATTCATTGTTTTGAAAATGTGACAGCCATTATTTTCTTAGTCGCTATCTCTGAATATGACCAAGTTTTAATTGAAGACGAAACAGTAGTATGTTTTATGTATAATAAGCATTTTTTTTTTATTTCTATTCAGTTGATATAAATGTATAATATTGTAAATAGAATCGTATGCAAGAAGCTTTGACCTTATTTGATTCAATTTGTAATTCTCGTTGGTTTATCAAGACATCAATCATTCTTTTTTTAAACAAAATTGATATTTTTAAGGAAAAGTTGCCTAAGCATCCTTTAAAAGAAAGTTTCAATGATTTTGAAGGTAAATTTTGCACATTAGCACAATTTAGAAAGGGAGACAATAAATTCACATTCATATAATAATATAGGACCTGAAACATATGAAGTAGCAAGTGATTATATCTTAAATAGATTTGTATCATTGAATCAATCTGACTCTAAACAAATCTACACACACTTTACTTGTGCTACTGATACTCAGCAAATCAAGTTTGTAATGGCTGCAGTTAATGATATTATTATACAAAATAACCTGCGTGATGTTGGGCTTTTATAAATATATTATGATACACTTAATCATGTAGAAAACCTCCTCCTCCTCCCTCCCTCCACACACCCTCCCTTTTTTTTATTGTTAGTTATTATTGGCAGTATTTCTTCATACCTTTAATTTTATTTTATTTATAATATAAAGCACAAAAAAATACTTTTTTTTTATTGAAAAGAAAAAGAAAAAAAGAGAGAGAGCAAGATAGAAAATACTCTTCATTTATTATTTCAAAAGTTAATATAAAAAAGGGTTGATAGTTACAAGTTTAAAGTCTATTACTGTCAAAGAAACTAGGTTGGGTCAATAAAAAAATTTTTTGATCATTTCCAAAATAAATAAGGGACACCATAGGAAAATGGGACATTGGTACGAAAATAGTACACAGAAGGGAATATGGGACACCAGTATGAAAATGAGAAATCAGTGTGAAAACGGAACACATAAGAGAATATGGGACACGAACGCGAATGTGGGACTATATTGAACAAATTTAAAGATTTTTTTTTTTTTTTTTTTTTTGCTTTGATTTAAGGGTGTAACCCTAAAAAAAACAACCAGCCTCTATAGCGCTCATATCATTCTCTCTCTGTACCATTTGCAACTTTCTGCAAGAATACTCCCAAACAAAGCCAGTTCTTTGGAAAAGGTCAAGGCTGTATCAAGCTTTATCCGTGAAGTCATGTTCAAAACACAACTATTTATAAACTTTTTTTTTTATTCTGCAACACCCAAGCAAGTTGACAAATGACTTTTTTTGATCAAAATTTTTGGGTACACTATTTCAAGAGTGATTAGGGGCAGCTCAGATGATGTAGGGCCAATTCTACATGCTTACAAAGACACGAAAAAGGAAAGACCTGCAGAAACAGAATCTAGATGTGGTTCAACTTACAAGCTCTTTTGTTGAACTATCCGCCACTATAAATGGTAGCTTGTTTGTTCCAGAAAATAGATTAAAGAATTATGGACAATCTCTGTCAACTGCATGTGAAACTGTCGCAACAACATACAATAACTACTATGTTGAAAACTTTGAAAATATTATATGTAACTACTTTATCTATACATTAAGGACAAAGTATCCGGTAATCAACGAGAGATAAAAACAAACTCTTTAATATACATGTTCAGTTTCTCAAATTTTTTTTATACTAAAACTGTATAAACTAGAATGCGAAGGTTGGCTGTATCAAGAACTTGGATATATAATCATGTATATGATCAAGTGCTTACATATTCCCAGTCATCCTCTATACCTAATGATATTCTTGCCCTTTTTTGATCCGGATGTGGTCAATAATCTCCCAAGTTTCTTAAATTCTTTGATTTCAGAAGTGAAGAATCGCATGTCCAAGCTTCCAGTGTCTAAAGAAAGCTTAAACAATGAACCCTTCAAAATTCTATCCGCATTAAGGGCATATCCTTAAAAAAATCCGATGATATATACAAGGCCCAAACTCCTCAAAATGACAAAAGCGATTTGATTAAGTCCCTAACTTCCAAGACGTTTTAGTCTATTCCCAAATCCTGGATTGCACTGGCGATTCATAAAGATGAATGCTCAGAACCTAACCGGAATTTTCCCAGATGCTAAACAAGAAAAAAGCAAGCTAATGAATCATCTCCTTTCGATCATAAACAAAGATGCTTCTATCAAATGTTTGACTTTAAGAAGCTGGGCATTCAAAGGTATACATTACTATTACATATATCTATAAATCAACTTACTGACGAAAAAAAAAATATATATATATAGTTGTGAAAAGCTTCAAGTACTGCCTGAACAAAAAGGAAAGATGTTTCTCAATGGATTGTATACTGATGGCTACACGTACAGAGTTCTATTTGCTAGAAAAGTGCTTCCATCATCACCAGAAGACAATATCTGTCTAGAGTTGAACGATTTTACAAGCGAAGAGGTGGACAGGTATTTCCGTCCATGTACTGTAGACCCAGGAAGACGGGATCCTTTTGTCTCTTATCATGGTGACCACTGACATATGTCACTTATCCTCAATCGAATATTACAATATGGGTGGAAGTGTAAGACGAATGAAAGAGCAACAGAAGCGCAAACAGAGATTAGGTTTTGAAAAGATTGAAACAGACATTCTTTCGCCTAAAACTGCGTCTGTTTAACAATTTGTTTTGTACATAACTTACATGCTGCAGCACATGAATACTTTGCTTACTTTCTATGGCTTTGAAACTTCTAAGATTAAATGGTTGAACTACCTTAGTTCCCAAAAAGCCATCCAAGAAAGTGTCAACATCTTAATAAATGGTGTAAAGAAGTATAATAAAAGCAGGAGAAAGAAGACAAAGGAAAATAGAAAAAGAAGAAGTAAAACTCGCAAGCCCGGTACTGCTCAAGAAGAAAGAGCACTCACTACCATCCCAAAATCAAAAAGGTATACACTTTTTTTTTAATTATTATTTCAGTAAACTCGAACTATTATATCTGTAACTTACAGCAGAAACAACAAAGTTTGTTTTGAAAAGGGAAACAGCAGCAAGATGCCTCTAGTGGTCTTTGGTGAGGGACTAAAAAACAAGGATCATATCAAGTTCAAAGGTCTCCGTCATGCCGTATCTAACAAAATATATCAACAATTAAAAAACAAGGCAAAGGCTTGAAGAACTCTTGCTACTAGACATCAACGAATTTAATACATCAAAGGTCATTAAGAAAAAAACAACATATAGTTTACATATTGCACTTTCAGCTAAAACCAATTCTTCATAGATCTGCAATTCTTGCTTTAAAAATGATATAGAAAATCTGAAGTGTAGGGAAGATGACCATGATCCATCAAGTATTGAAGCGTAAAACTTGCAATATATCTTTTGGAATCGAGATGTAATGGCCAGCAAAAACATGTTTTACATAGCTCAGTCTATATGGAATGACAATGATCGCCCCACCATCTTCAAACGACAAACCGCCACCTCCAATGTGGTTGTCTCGGCTCACTCCGGTGAGCCGACGACTTAATGATGTTACAGGTAAGAAGTTGTAACAATTTTGATTTGACCAGACAAACTAAAATATCTTAATTTCCCATATTCCCTTCTATGTACTATTTTCGTACCAATGTCCCATTTTCCTATGGTGTCCCTTATTTATTTTGGAAATGATCAAAAAATTTTTTTATTGACTCAACCTAGTTTCTTCGACTGTACAAGGTTATAATTAGATTACTTCTTATTTTCAAGTATTTATCGAGAATAATGTAGAATGTAATAGAGAAAATAGGAGAATAAAGTAATGTTTTGTTGTACAATGATTAAAAATACTACTGTTAAACGATGAAGATTTTATTTTTAGATGTCATAGAAAGAAACTTAGACACTCTGGAATCTTTTGCCTGTAAATAATACCTAAGGTAATGTTTAAATTAAATGCTATAAGAGTTGTTGGTCTTTGCTTTCTTAAAAAAAAAAATTGGCATATCATCTTGATTTTCATGCTGATATGACGATGCCTATATATCACACTTTTTTTTTTGGTAATGTTAATATCTTGCTGCAAGAGTTAGTATATGCTCTCAAACACGTGTCCCCCAAATCTTCAGGTTCTACAATGAAAGGTCTGTACCCTGTCGTTTCAATGATTATCAAGGCAACAAAGCTTCTGAATGATAAATATACCAAAAGTATTCTAGATTACAAAAACTGCTGTATACTTTGGAAGAGAGATGCCAATGCAAGTAAATATATGTATTGTTCCTTCTCAAATTGAATTCTTATTTGTCTTAATTTTTTTTTTTTGTAATTTGTATAAATTACTGTAGTATAAGGAATTGGAACACCCTATCCATCCCTGGCAGTATTTTTCCTTTTATATATATGAATAAGGATCTAGATTACTTAATTTTACTTGTAATAAACCCAAAAGTCTATCATTTACACATTATAGGAGCACAGCATCTTTATTCTGTAAGGGGATTTTCTACTACACTACCTACAATAACAAAGCTAGTCACGTAGTCGTGCCCCCCCCCTCGCAAATCGCATTAACAGCATTTTTTTATTCCCCCCGGGTCCCTCCTATTTTTTTTTTTTTTTTTTTTGAAGCCCTTTAGTCTTTTCATATAATTCATACATGTCATATTTACAGAGAATCACACGAACTTTTAGTTGGAATACATTTAACCGTAAATTTAGTACTTCTAGAATTGCTTTATCTACAGAATCAACAAATATAGAAAATACAGCAAAACCAAAAGGCCTATACCAATTTTTTGAAAATAATGAAGCTTTACCAAAACAGATTTGGACAGGTAAAATAGAATGAAAGGGGGAAAAAAAAAAAAAAGACAGCAAAGTAATGTAATTTCGATTCTTATATACATGTATATATAAATTTATAAAAAGGACGTGCCTGGAAGACACAAGAGCTTCGACAAAAGTCATTTGAAGATCTTCATAAATTATGGTATGTTTTGTTAAAGGAACGTAATGTACTTGCAACACAAAAAGAAGAAGCGAGGCGATTAAGAGTGTTAAAGCAAATATGGACAAACCAAGGCCGCATGAAGAAGGTAAATTATGAAATGACATTTTGAATTTGGCCAAGAAACTTAGAAAGAAAGAAATAACTAAATAATCTGTCTATTCTCTCATTCTTATTACTAGTGTCAAAAATCAATGGCCAGAATTAAATGCGTATTATATGAAAGACAAAGGGAATACGAAAAGCAATTAATGAGCAAAGCAGCACAATAATCTGACCAACACTATACAATGTAATTTTAGAGTCTTGTATGTATTTACAGAAATTTGTTTCAAAAAAAAAAAAAAAAAAAAAAAAAAAAAAAAAAAAAAGAGAGAGAGAGAGAGAGAGAGAGAGAATAATAAATTGTATATTGATGAAGATTAACGATTTAGTTTGTTTCAATTCTTATTCTATGTGTATAACGCTTCTTCTTTTTTTCTTTTTCTTTTTAAAAACACACACACTTTTAGAAGATATTCGTGTATAATTCATACTCTTTTTTGGATCAAATTTTAAATATATCTGTTATATAATCTCTTCAAGTAAAGACTTTATTGACAAAAGTTTATACATAAGCAAATAGAATTTAAAATGTTAATTTTGTCATTTCGAGGGAAAGGATCCTTGGCATTTATTAAATTCGTTGCCAACATGCGTCTTGAATGTCATAATATTAGTGTAGGGATTCAAATTGATGTCATACACTATTCTTATTTCAGGTAATATAACGCAACTAATCCGACATAGTAGATAAGACACAATGATTACTGAGCGTTGAATTTTAGAAGCTATTTCCCTGATATTATCTTTAGTTGGAAAAGATAGATAATCGTTATTTAGAATTTAGTTATTGTAAAGGTACTTTATAAAATAAGACCTTTTAAATAACTCTTAAAGATGATAAATACCGAACAGCTTTTCCTTTCTCTCCCTAATATCCTAACTCAGTCTCTTGTAGAGAGTTTTGGTTCCTTTCTTTTCTTTTAAAATATATATATATATATATATATATAAAGAGTTTAATGATAAAAGATCAATTAGAAAGAAAAAAACACACATTTTGATTAGGCTCTTGATCAATTTTTTTTTTTTTATCAGCAAAGTTAAATCATTTCTACAATAATGCTTTAGTAAGTTCAAAGTATGTAAAGCTTCTAAAAGGGCTATGGATGTAAGGGAGAGAGACAAAAAAAAAAAAAAGGTAGTTTACAAAGCAATACAATCTTTGATAGAAGTATAGAAGAAGAGCTATGTTTAGAAAAAATAAAATTTTATTCTTTCATGATAATGGATTAATCATATAGAACATAGGGTTTGAAAGAATTGCCAAAAAATGAGTTAAAAACAGTTATTATTTTGATACAAACGCAATCATTTATCAGATCAAAAGATAGTGAGTTGAAGATAAAGTCATACTCTAGTTAAGTATAAAAAAAAAAGTAGAGTATCAAAACGAAAATCTGATAATCAACTAAAACCTACAAAGTGAGTATCTTTCGATTCTATTTGATATACTCTTTATTGATTTTAAATGATCTAGGTAATATTCCAGTTTAAACAACAGGAAACAATATTTTAATATGTTTTAATATTTCTATATAAGATATATTAACAAGAAGTATTATTATGATTTGGTATGGTATATTCTACTATATCGCAACAACAGTAAGAATAAGGTATTCAGGTGTTCTGTAAAATCTACCAAAGTCTATAATTACAAGAGAAATTTCATTGGCTGTAAGAAGAGTCATTATCTTTTTAACCTTGAATTGAAATTATTATTTTCGTATAAAATAGAGTTCAATTCCTTATCAAAATAAAACATGAAGATCGATTACATTCTGTATACATCTGTAAGGAATAAAGCTACAGCTGATATAAGAATAGCAAGATATGAAGCTAATTCAATGAAAAATGTATAAAATAAAGTTTTTTTTTCTCTCTCTCTTTCATTTTGAATAAATAGATTATAAGCTTGTAAGTATAAAAAAAAAGAGATTCGTAATCTCTAGCAGCTATAATGATTTCAGCCAAATAAATATATAAAAAAAAAATTTTTTAATACTATCTGATAATATAGCATAAAATAAGTGTATTTGTATTAATTAAGATTTATACATATACATATTAGTTGCCTAAATAGGAAAAAAGAAAGTTTATGAGAATATAAACAAAGAAGTGAAAAAGAAAAGACATTTATTTTATTTACTTTTCTTTTCTTTTTCTTTTCTTTAATGTTAATACATTTCATATAGTCATAAAGAAGAAGTAAAATTGACAACATTTTATTATTCTACACATTGTTACTTTTTATAAGAAAGAAAGAAAATTAAATAATGTAACTGTGTGTATTAAATGTGGGGTAACACATATTCCTATGGATTTCATATGATTGTGACTGTAATTTACAACAACGACCTCCTTGTTCTTATAAAAAAGTAGATATTCAAAGTTATTTTTTCTTCTTTTTCTTCTTTATTATTACTATTTCTTCTGTAGGTAAGTCATTAAATAATACTATTTTATTATTCTTCTTCTTCCCTGCCCTAGGAGGAAATTCTTTTTCTCATGGTTACCACTTATGTACCGGGCTCTTGATGAGGAAGACACCCTATCTTGCCCTCCTTGAATTAGGAGGACATTGTAGGGTATCTTGTTGATTCAGAGGGCGTTACATATTGTGATCGCTATGGTTTTTCTAACCTCCTAGTAAAAATAAAAAATACAAGAACAAAGAAGGTGCAAAGAATCCTAGCCTCCACGCGGCCACCTTTGGACTGCAGTAAATATTACTGTTGACGAATTGGGGATTCACTTTTTTTTATATATGAAATAAAAATGAAAATAAAATAAAATAAATATATCTTTTCTTACGCGTCTTTTATAAAAATAAATAAGTAAACATTTTAAATGTAGTCTCAAGTTTTATAATTTATTATCTTTAACTAATATTAGAATTAAAAATGGACTTAACTATTTATTTTAATAATTACTATAATATGACGATTAAAAGGTATTTTTTTTCTTTACTTGAAATAAAAAAAAACGATTTATACGCGTTATAAATCTATTTATAAGCTATAATAAGACGTATTTAAGAATAATAGAAAATGGCAGTCTTTATATATTTGAAGGAAACCAAAAAATAAAGATAGATGCTCTTTACTTCTAACTAAAAATGCATGTATGGTACTTCTTTAAGAATATTAAAGCAATCAAATGTAAATTACTAGAAATGCCTCATTTTAGATGTATTATTGCAAAATATTTTATATTATATTACAATGATATTCATTTGTCCTTATACAAAACATAAAAAAAATAAGAGCAAATGCTATATTTTATTTAACTACATAATACATTTGAAAGAATAATTATCTATCAAAGGTACAAACTATTCACTTTTTTTTTTTTAATCAATTTTTAATTCCAGTAATAGCAGTAAAAATAAAAAAGCTAAGCTGCTGCTGCTACTGCTACTGCTACTGCTATATTTAGTGCTGGTGTTCAGTATAATTTAATTTAATTTTTTTTTTCTTTAAATTTTATATATTATTTTGTTGGCGATGAAGTTTGATGGAAGAACCCCTTGGTTCAAATCTCTAACAACGGCTTCGACTTTTTTATTGTTGGCTTCAACAGTAGTTGCTGACATTCCATCTTCAATAATTACTGCATCTAACACGTCACTTTTATGGGGAACATATAGACCTAATCTTTATTTCGGTACAAGACCTCGTATACCTGAATCAGTAATGACTGGTTTAATGTGGTTTGATGCTAGTCATGTACAAGGATTTCAACGTAAATATAATTAATATATCAAAAGGATACATTGAGTGTAAAAGAAAAAAGAGAAAAAAATAACTGCTTGCAATTATTGTTAACTTCATTTTAAAATATAGACGTACGCCATGCATGTGATCAAAATGATGGTATAGAAGGATATGGTTATCATAAACACGATGGAAGAGAATTTGCTTCTCAAGAGATCAATGATAAACCAAGTAATATAAAAATAAAGACTGAATTTATCAAAGTTTTTAACGGAAAGGATGGCGGTGATTGGGGTGTTCGTATTCGAGGAACACCTATAAATGATATTATGGAGCCTATAACATCAGTTATGTTTTATATTGGTATTGAAGGAGAAGGGGGTATTGATATTATGAGTAAACTATCCAAGAAGGTATGATATGTTGTTGTTTTTTTCTATGTGGTAAATTGTCAGCATAATAAAGATATGAATAGGGTCTTCAATCACCTATTAGATTAGAAGGAGATACACCTGAATTAGGAGATTTTGAAATACAGATAGTAGATGGTAGTGTATTATATAACAGTATTATATAATAAATAATTTAATATGACTTGAATAGGTCCTTTAAATACATACCTTCAGGATGGTTTAAATCAAGATTTAAGTAAAACACAATGGTGGGGAAGAGAAATTCCAGAGGGTCAAGTTTGGAAATCAAAAGGTGATATATAATGTATCCATTCGTACTAAATCATATAATCTAATAATGAATGCATGTTTAGATTTCGTAATGGAGCATATTATATTGGGTGCAAGAGATCGTTTGAATATTGCTGAAGGCGGTCAGGAGGAAGCTTTAGCGAAACCATACAAATTTTTTACTTTAACTAATACCTTAACAGAAGATGAAGGCGAAGTAGCCAATTTCTATGTCTTTCAAAAGGTTTTTAAAGGAGAATTTCAGGTAAAAAAAAATTATCCTATATTTTGATATTGTATCTTTTTTTTTTAATGATTATTTTATTATTGTTAGTTTGATGTTCTTTTCCATTCCCAGAAATCTGATAAGTCTATAACAAGTATGATAGCTAAACATTAAATGTATACATGTTTACTAAATTATACATATTTATTTTATGTGTGTGTGCTTTTTTTTTTTTTTTTTTTTAGGCGAAAAGCTTAGTACTGATATAATCCAAAAGGAAGACGAATTTAATACTAGGTTTGAAAAGATATTTAATTTAAAGGGGAAGGGCTTCTCTAATGATGAAATCAAATTTGCACACTATTTATTGAGTAATTTAATTGGCGGTATTGGTTATTTCCATGGCTCATCTGTGCTTGATCGTTCTCATCCACCTATGCAGGATGAAGAAAGCTTTATGGGTGAGCCCGTAAGACCTGAATTATCTTCTCCACAAACTTTATTTACTGCAACACCCAGTCGTCCATTCTTCCCTAGAGGCTTTTACTGGTAAAAAATAAAAAAAAAAAAGAGAGAGAGAGAATATATAAAAGAATGCTCTCATTAATTATTTCTTCAAAATAGGGATGAAGGCTTTCATCAATTGTTAATTGGAGAATGGGATAATGATCTTAGTCTTGATATTATCAAACATTGGACTTCTATGATTGATGAGAATGGTTGGGTTGCTCGAGAGCAAATTTTAGGTGAAGAAGCACGCAGTAAAGTTCCTCCTGAATTTCAAACGCAATTCCATCATTATGCAAATCCACCTACTTTGTATCTCTCTATCAAACGTTATATTGATCGTTTGGAAAAATACAAGGAAAATAAATTTATTTTAGATGATACAGGAGACAAGAGTCAAATAAGAATGGGTGCATTAGATGATACAGATATTCTTCGAAATTTACATTTAGATAATACTGAGTTAGCAAATGAATGGCTTAAATCGATTTATCCTAAACTTCGTCAAAACTGGCTTTGGTTCCGATCTACTCAACGTGGGCATCTTAAACGATTCGGTCGCAAAGCTTTTAATGAGGAGGCCTACCGTTGGCGTGGACGAACCCCTAATCATACTTTGACATCTGGCTTAGATGATTATCCTCGTGGAGAACCTAATGTTGGTGAGCTTCATCTTGATCTTCATAGTTGGATGGCTTTTGCTACTGGTCTTTTGAAGGATATAGCCACTAAATTAGGACCGGAATATGAAAACCATAAGAATGAATATTCAAAGATTCAGCAAGATATGCTGGCAAATCTTGACGTACTTCATTGGAACGAAGAAAAGAACATGTACTGCGATCAATCCCTTAAGCATAATAAGCCTATTCATATCTGTCATAAAGGATATATTTCTCTTTTCCCTATGATGTTAGGTCTTTTGCCTGCAGATTCACCTAAATTAGGAGCTATCTTGGATATCATTGAAAAAGAAGATGAACTTTGGTCTCCATATGGTCTTCGTTCATTATCTGCCTCTGATCCATATTTCGGTACTGGAGAGGATTATTGGCGTGGTCCTATTTGGATTAATATTAATTATTTGACTCTTCAAAGTTTATATAAGGTAAATAGGATTTGAATCTAATTGAATAAGAGTTGACATACTAATTTATTTTATTTTTTTTTTTGGAATAGAACTATATGCATGTGAGTGGGCCTTATCAAACTCGTGCTCAAAACATTTATACAAAGTTAAGAAGTAACATTATTCGTAATGTGTATAAGGTATAATATCATCACAAATAGATTATTTGTACTGCCTATCATTAAGTTTTCTTTTTTTTTATGTACAGAATTATAAGAAGACAGGTTATGTTTGGGAGCAATATTCGGAAAAGGATGGAAAAGGTTTACGTAGTCATCCATTTACAGGATGGACTAGTTTAGTTTTGCTTATTATGGCAGAAAAATATTAGCATTACTATAAATCAAAAAGATAATGAAAGACCTTTTAATATATAGTATTGTTGATGTACGATAATAAAGAAGATATATTTGTTTATATATGTATACATATATATAATTGAAAATTTATATGAATACAAATATATAAATATTTGCCTGTCAATAATAAAAAAAAAATCTTTATAATACAAATTAAGAACGATAATCAGTATTGCCTCTTCCTCTTCCTCTAAATCCACCACGGCCGCGGCCACCCCTGAATCCTCTATTATTGCTACCATTACTACTACTACTACCACCACCACGTCCACCATGGCCGGAATCATGATTGTTACTATTACGGGTTGAGGTTGAATTATTGGTTCCTTTAAATGTATTTTGATGAGAAGGGTTACTAATATTGAGAAGACTAGAATAAGGAAGTGTTGCTCCACGGAAATTCGAACATCTATTCAATGATTCAATATTAAAAATCTGATTTCTATCTTATATAATATATAATATATACTTGCCTATCACCAAGTGTAGAGCCTCCCATGAACGTAGTATCAAAAATGACATCAACTGCCTTTTCTTGAACACCAACAACCGTTCCCTTATTTCCGAGAGGTACTGCACCAGAATCACAAACATAAATAACACGATCGCCCAATGAGAAGGTTTGATAATTAAGACGCATTCCAGCATCAGCAGGCTTCAATAAAACCTTACGAGGAACTCCCCGAATAATGCATTTTTTGATATCAAGTTCTTCATACATTTCATGGTATTGAATTGCAGCTTTTTCAATTTCATGACAATAAGGTGCCTCCAATTCTTCAGTTTCTAGGCTGGCTCTAATCAAATTATCTGCACCTTTTTGCTTTACAAATTCCTTCATTTGACGAAGCTCATTGGTGCCTTCTGTAGTCCAACCAAAGTCTTCAATGCTAAGCATACCATTTCCTTTTTGGGTTTTAAGTAAATTGATAAAGTTGGGAAACTTTTCACAGTATTCACGAATAAGACGAATAGCAGCATCTGAATATTCCCAATAGCCATTAGGATGCTTTCGAGTATACCCTAATACCTTCTCACCACGAGCATCAAACTTCAAGTTCAAACCAACATTAATACGTTGTCCAGAATTATCATTGATAGTCAAGGAGGATGTTAATTTAGATAGAGCTAAAGGTGTAAGATTAAGCTCACGAGCAACATTATTAGATGGTTCATAATGAATATCATGTTCTTGCTTTTGAACCCATTCATGACCAAATTCAGGTTCATATTGAAATCTTTCGTCCACTGGAATCGTCATTTCAATGTCCACATTATGATGGCTATGTCCTACAACTGTAGCTTGGGTACCTAAAAATTTGCTACCCAAAAAGAAGATGGTAGACTTGAGAGGGAAAGCCTTGTGTACAGGAGGAGCAGGCTTCTCGATAAAACGAGGATCAGGATTATTTACTTTAATAACAACTGTCTGAATAGGCACAAGGTCTTCCAAACTAGGATTAACGAACTCTTTAACTAAAGCGCCTTCTTCAGTTTGATGCATGCCATTCAAGACACAGACATGGAAGCCGATGTTAATTTCACCTACTAATAAACCAAAACGCTTACTAGGTAAGTATTCAGCACGGCCCATGCGTGTCTCCCATGATTCTCTTTCTTTTTCATCCCAATAATGTTCTAGAATTTGCTTTTTGCCATGACGGAAACTAACATAATATTTCTTTTCAGCATCAGAGACACCAATAACGACAGCCTCTTTTAAATAAGGGTAATGGACGTAGATACTGCGATAAAGGAAAAGCTTAGCAATCTCTTCAATATTAGCATGTTGATATTTGTTTTTAATTGAGATAATCATTGATTCATTACGACTATCTTGTTGGAATACGTGAACAGCGTGATGCTTGATTTCATGACTGAATGGAATTGTTTGAAGGGATGGGAAGCCTGCTAAAGCATCCTTTCCAACTTTAGCACCAGGAAGAAGACCCTTTCTCAATTTCAGATCGTTATCTGACAAATTAGGCAAATTAAAAATATCCTCTCGAGCAAGACAATTGTGAATGTCAGGGAAAACACCTGGCAAGGGACTAGGATAAACAGGTAAATTTTCAGGATCCTTCTTTGCTAATTCTTTGTCAAAGGTATATTTATAACTAGGGCCAAATTGGGACATGGATTTTTCCTCTCTAGTTAAACGATGCTCTCGATTCTTCATAGCGGCCAGAAGACGGTTTTCATCAATAAAAGGAATTTTAACAACAGCCTCCCAGTCTTGCTTCTTTCCATTCATATCGAGTTCAAAATCACGAGGATAGAAATCAATGATAGGTGAGTTAGCATCCACCATTAAATCCTGATAGGCAGCAGGTAAAAGCTTTCTACTCAAACTGGGCAAAACCCCCATTAATTGTTCAAAGGGTTTGAAAGGTTCACCGATAGTAAATTCATAATCTTGAAAACGAGTAATATTTTTGAGATCTGAAATCTTGGGAGCAAAATGATACGGATAAAACCAGCCCCATGAAGCGACACCTTCATAATAATACTTGAGCACCCATTGAATACCAACGACATAGGCACCGACAATAGCATCGATTTCCTTCTGATCATTATAATCAATATTCATCTTTTCTTTATAATAATTGGCTTTCCATTCTTTTAAACCTGCTTCATACTTTTCTTTTTCTTCACGTTCAATCTCTTCTTTAGTCAGATTATCCGAGATAATTTCAGCATTCTCATATTTCTTCAAGACACGATCACGAGCAGCAATTGCTTCTTCATCAACTTCTGATTCTTCATTATCATCATCCGAATCGTCCGAATCAAAAGAGAGCTCTACATATGTAGATTTGTCGGTCTCATCATAGTCAATGTGACATGTGATATTCAATTCTTGAGCAAGCTTAATAAGAAATCTTTTATCACGGGCTCTGAAAGGCATATCAAAATGAAGCGTAGTACCTTTGCCAGGTTTTTCACTTAACAAGTAGTTATTCACTTGACGGAAAATGATTTCTTGTCTATCTGTCATTACTAATTTGCCTTCTTTGGCCTTTTTTTTCTCCAATTCATGTAATAATTGACGTTCAGTTTGCCCATTTTCACGCTTACCAGCAAGGTACAATGAATCAACTAATTCAAGCTCAAATGCTTCTTTTTCTGCGACTTCAGAAATACCATCCAGAACTTTCTGAAGTCTAGACATATCCACACGTCCACCATCTTGAATATAGCCTTCAAATGTAGGTAAAACATCCTTGTATACTCTAAACACAAGACCCAATGCGCCTTCATTAACGTGAAGATTAGGTAGATTAGGTAAGAAATCATTACCAATAAAAAGAGCTAACAAGATAAAATCATCCAAAATACGTTCAAAATCATAAGGAAAAGATAAAGAATTGCTAATTGAATTAAATTCTAGATTCATATACTCTCTCATTAATGATAAGTGCATTAAATAAAAATTTTGGTTATCAAGGCTAATTAGTAGAGTGAGTGTTAGAAGCTTAGGTTAATGATTCATGGATAAAAAAAAAAGAAACTTACTTTTGTTTTCTTTTTTGTCCTTTTTTACCAAAAACAACTTCTTCACGTAATAAAGCAAAGTGAGGATCATGACTTAGTAACCCTAACATGATCAAATCAGCATCTAAACCATAAAGACAATGTCTAGTATTAGGATTGTAATCTGGCTGTGATTTAGTTAGACGGATATATTCCATGATTTTATGCTCGCCTTCTCCAGGTACTTCAGGGCCTGACAATACAATCTCAACGTTTCTCCAATTAGCATCCTCCGTCACCTTTTTAGAAATAAAATAACGTAACTCCAAACTTAGTCTTTTCATAAACTGAGTACCTGGTGTGATACAATTGGAATCAAAAGCTTCTTCTTCAGGTAATTCTTCACCTCTTTCAAGAGCTTTTTGCTTAAGCGTTTCTGCATCTCGTGCAGTACGAAAACGACGCGAACGTTGCTGATTCATTTTTGCTCTTGGCGCAACACCATCAATAGCTAAGAAAAATAGTTTCTTGGGCTTGATTTTGGAAAACAGATGATCAATATAATTAAACACTCCAATCCAAATTTGTTCTTCCGTAATTCGGAAGTGGGCATTCGTGTTGTTGTTATGTGAACAATTATGAATAATGCCATTCATATCCAGGTATAAATTATCTTTTGTTCAAATAAAAATAAGAGGGGGGGGAAGAACAGAGGTAAGCAAGAATGAACGACGATTTTTTAGAGGATGCATTAGAGTTCGTTTCATTCTCTTTAATTATTTTCATTTTATGTTATTTTTTAAGAAAAAAAAAAAAAAGACTAACCGAATTCTGGAATACTATTGTCAGTAATCAGTTGTGAGCACATGGGATAACGTTCACTATGCAATCAAGTTAATATAAACGCTGTCACTTAAATAGTGTAATTCTTTTGGTACCTAATCCATCTGAAAAACTTGGGAATACCCATACTGGAATATTTGTATTATTTAATAATCACTTAATAGAAAGAAAGAAAAAAGAAAGAAACGAAAATAAACGAAAATAAATAACTATAGATTACGACAGTAGTATAATTAATGTCATTATCGTGACTACGTATTTGCTAGAAGCAGCTTTATTTCTGAGAAAGTTTAAGATGAAAAGATTTTGGTCTACGTAAAAAATAAATAAATAAATAAAAAATAAAAAAGATGAATAAACGGAAGACTAGTATAAAAATAAATGAAAACAAGTTACCTAGTATACTGATTAAATCCTTGTTTACTCATAGAAAACCCTAATCCACTCTCTTTAGTTCCTACCCAGGCTAAAGCAGGATCGATATAGTCGCAACGATTCATAAACCAAGTACCGGTTTCAATTTGATCACCAATTTCTATAGCTTTTTCAACATCTGAAGTCCAAATACTAGCTGTCAACCCATATTGGGAATCATTCATTAAATGGACCGCTTCCTCATCAGACGACACTTTCATAATTGTCAATACTGGGCCAAATGTCTGCATAAATTAATATTTGTAACCAAGAAAAAAAAAAAAAAAAAAGGATTGTATTACCTCCTCCTTCATGACAAGCATATCATGATTTACATCCACTAAAATTTGAGGACTAACATATGCAGTTCCTTCCTTTATTATTATTATTATTATTACTAGTAAGATAATTTTTTTCTTTCAAATTATTTGTTTTTGACTTACTTTATCATTAGGGAATTCTTCTTTTGTATTGATGAGAGCTTTAGCATTTTTATCAATAGCATCTTGAATATGATGTCTGACAGTATTAGCGAATTTAATATTAGCCATTGGACCTAATGTTGTTTTTGAATCATTAGGATCACCTAAAATATAATTCTATAGTATATACAGGTGTATATATATATATATATATATGTGTGTGTGTATGTTAAGAATAAGCCTACTTTCGTACATGTAATAATAAGGGGGATTACCTTGGCAATTTTTACTGATTTCTCAACAAATTGATCATAGATACTTTCATGTACATAACAACGCTCAATAGAGCAGCAACATTGTCCAGAATTGAAGAATGCACCATCAACAATATTTTCAACAGCAAAATCCAAGTCAGTATCTGGTAATACATAAGCAGGATCTTTCCCACCTAATTCCATTGCAGAACCTGTTTGTTATATATATTAATTATGTTATTATTATTTAATTTATATTGATATCATATGATTATACAAATAGGTGTTGTTGTTTTTTGTTTTTATTTTATTTTTTTCTTTCTTTCTTTCTTTCTTTCTTCAATACCTATAAGATGTTGACTGTCACCAATAGCTTGTCTAATCTTCTTGCCTACAGCAACACTACCAGTAAAATTGACAAATTGAATGGAAGGATGTTGTACAAGATAATTAGCTTCCGTATCCTGAACATGAATAGCTTGAACTACATCATGAGGTATACCTGCTTCTCTTAAGGTTTCAACAAAGATATCAGCGCACTGAGGAGTTTGAGGTGATTGCTTCAAGAGAACTGTATTTCCAGCAAGTAAAGCAGGGATGATATTATTTACTGTTGTTAAATAAGGATAATTCCAAGCAGCAATCAAGAAAACAGGACCTAAAGGCTCCTTACGCTGGAACCTTTTAATAACCCCCGGAATAGATTCAATCATTTCATCCTTTAAACATTCTTCAGCAACTGAAATCATATAATTAGCTCTTTCAAGGACACCTTTCACTTCACCCTGACTATAACGAATTGGGCGACCCATTTGAGAAGTAATGGATGCGGCTATCTTGTCTTTCTTTTGTTCAAATAAAAGACAAAAGTTTTTCATGATAGAGACTCGGGCAGGAACAGGGACTTTCTTCCATTGAGAGAAAGCTATTACTGATTTTTGAACTGCTTCATTCACTTGATCCTTAGTTAAGGTAGGCACCTCAAAAAGAAGTTTCTGAGTACTTGGTGAAATGACTTGAATACTAGTCGACATATTTATTTATTTATGAATACGAGAAAAAAAAAATAAAGAAACAGAAAGAACAAAACAAAAAAAAAAAAAAAAAAAAAAAAAAAAAAAAAAAAGAGAGAGAGAGAGAGAGAGAGAGATGATTCTACATAATCATAACACATAATAAAGTTCACACAGTCATTCCTTGATTTTTGAGAAAAAGTTTTGAAAAAAAATGAGAAAATTTTTAAAATTATTTTGAGAAATAATAATAGTTGCAACTTGGCGTTTTTGGCTTTAGAGATATCTTATTTTATTCTATTTTATTCTATTTTTTGGTATATTAGGCATCTTTGAGATTCATCCATATCCTCTCAGCTACTATTTCAACATCAAATAATTTTTCAGTAGTAAGAGGAGAGTGATTAAATCTCGAATAAATATAATAAATAGTTTATTATTATAAGCTCTTTCAGACTTTATTGCTAGTAGCTCTGTTATCGAAGAGCATAAAGGAAAACCAAACAATAGATAAAACTATAGATGGTTCCTTATTTATAATGTTATCAAAGAAGATTCACTTATGATTATAAAAATCAATAGATTAAATTTATTTTACTACCAAATTAAAGCTTTTGAATAATAACAAGGATGCATCTTCGGGTCAGATGATGTTTATATTTATAAATATGTATATGTATGTATGTATGTACGTATGTATATAAAGAAAACAATGGAAGGATATGAAGAGAATACATTTCATAGCTCAAGTAGAGGCTATTACCAAAAGAAATAAAGAATTTTTATTTCATGTAGCTCATAATATGATAAATAATCGCATGTTAGTCAAACATTTTATACAAAGGAAAAAAAAATCCCTCAATCATTTGAAATAAGGGCCTTGTGGAATATTTGAATTGTATTTTCAACATAACATCATGCACAATATAAAATTAGTATTTGAAATCTCGATAGGCAAGGTGACTATATATTATCACTTCCTTTTTTTTTTCATAGTGTTATAGATGATTTTACATCGTTCTTAGTTAATAAAGACAATGATATTCTTATTATACAAATATAAAGATACATAATATTAAAGTATACAGTTAACATGAAACAGATTCAATTTCTTTTAAATTACAGGAAAAGCAATATGCATCTTATCGAAACGTATTTTAGTTTATTATAGTTTATTATATAATTGTTTCATGTTTATATACACAAATTTATGCAACTTTATATGCATCATAATCATACAGTAACTAACTATACCGGATACATCAATATTAGTGCTGGTTTCATTGCACATGTTGAAAATAAGTTAAATGTAGTATTTGTAATAAACTTTAACCGAAATATATACTTCATTCCATGAGACTTTGGATATTAAGATAAAGAAGATGGAGATAAGTATACCAAGTCAAGTTTGTAACTCTTGATTTCGTCAACCTAAATCTAATCCTATTATGCTTGATAAAAAATACATTTGAACAGTTAACAAGATCTATATTTGTCCATAAGCAATAAACAATATTTTTGTTTTCTCTTCACTTATGACTACTGTTTTAAGAGTATAACTGTAGAAGCTTTATTGTCAACCTCATCATGATAAGTTCCCAATCTTAGTAAAAGTGATAATAATATTAATAAAAACTAGGCCATTTTTACATTTATTAAGCTATAAGAGAGCGAAAGAAAAGTCATGATAAGTATCAAGATTAATTAAGAATAAATGATGAAAGATATTCTAATACATGACTAAAGTACTTTTATAATCTAGATAAGAATTTAAATATGAGTTTAAGATAAAACTGTTCATAACATGATGGTTTTAATTATTTCAAACAAACAAAACTACAGATAAAAAAGAAAATTATAATAAGAATTACTTGGACTATATCATTCATACATTTTATGGTGTAGCTAATGATATAAGCGTGAAGGAAATACATTAGTATTTTCTATCATTCTCTTTAATTTCTAAACAATGATAAGTTTGAAGTGTAGATGAAACAAAGTTATTTGCCTCTGGATTGCTCATCGTATCAGCTTAGCTTAGCTTTTAAATAGAAATAAATAACCCTTTTAAGAAAAAAAAAAAAAAAAAAAAAAAAAAAAAAAAAAAAAAAAACTTCCAAACAAAATTTTCTTTATTAATTGCTTTAAATAAATGTGTAGATGCCAAAAATTAAAAGCAAATTAGACACCAGCTAATTTTTTGATTCTATTTGACATGTGTAATTTTTTTTTTTATAAAAATATATACATTTAGGTGATGTTTGTTCCTTGATAGTTTTTTTTTTACAGTGCCTGAAAATTGGGAAATGCAAAGTTGTATAGGTCAAAAGTGAAATCATCCCTTGAAAATATTCAATTACAGATTAAATGTCTTTTATGTCTAAATTTAGACATTTAAAAACTTTTCATTCCAGGTGTTTATTGCTAGAAACCTAATATTTCTAACCATTGGCTGAAATAAATAAACAAGTCTATAAAAGACTATTTTTGTCTATCATTTATTCATACTCAGTTTCTTTTTTTTTTGTTAATCTCAATTTTTTCCCTTTTCTTTTCTTTCCTTTCTTTATTTCCTTTTTTTTTTCTTTTTTTTTTTATACATATACACATATACACATACATAAAGGAATAAGATAATAACACAACTGGTATGGGAGCAATTATATATAGTTTTGATGCCCTCAATTTTTATGGTATATGTAGAACAGTTGCTATCAGTCTATGTCCTTTAATCGGTGAACAAGATGGAATTGAACCTGTTTGTTATTCTCGTAACGTTGAATTAGCTGGAAATATTATATTTCAACCATGTATGTTACTTGTCAAAAAAATATATGTATAAATCAGCACAAGTTATCATTTATTTAACATGTTTGCTTGCTTTATAGCTACTTTAATTATGGATGTTGTTGCTATTATTATGACAATGATTATGATTTATCACATTCGCTCTAAATATACTGCAGTTGGTAAAGAGACAAAAAAAAAAAAGAATTATTTTGATTTAAATTTATTAATTAATTTTTTTTTTTTTTTTTTTGATAGGTCGCCAAGAAATTGTCATGTTTTTTTATATGTATATGCTTACTGCTTTACTTGATATGTTGTTAGTTACTGGTATTATTCCTATCTCATCATCTGCATATCCTGTAAGCTATTTTAAACTATATATTTATACATCTGCATATACATATACGTATTTAAAAAAAAATCATATAAATATGTATGTATTTTATAGTGGTTTACAGCGATTTACATCGGTTTAACTTGTTCAACATATTGGTGTCTATTATTAAATGGATTTGTTGGTTTTCAATTTGCTGAAGATGGTACACCTTTATCGCTTTGGGTAAATCTATGCATATAGTCTTTTTACTATTTATATGCAATATACATAGTCTAACTCTTATTTTATCAGTCAATTCGTATTAGTTCATTTATTTGGTTTATTGTAACTGGTTTCCTTGCTATTGGCACATTTAAAGGCATTGGAGCACTTTCTTATAAAAATCAAGCATTCTTATGGATATTTTATATTGTCTTGAATTATGTTATGTTCTTCATCTATATCGTTTCACAAATTATTTTGGTCATCAATACGTTAGATGATCGTTGGCCATTAGGTGATATTTTATTTGCTGCTGCTTTTTATGCTATCGGTCAAGTTTTGATGTATGTATTTTCAGTAGCTATCTGTGATAATACCAAACATTATGTAGATGGCATGTTCTTTGGTGTTATTTGTAATCTTTTAACTGTCATGATGATTTATAAATATTGGGATTCAATCACTAAAGAAGACCTTGAATTCTCTGTGGGTTCAAAACAAAATGTATGGGAAGTGAAAGAATTATTAGCTGAAGATGAATTGGCTCAATCTTATGCTAGCTATCAACAACCTATTCCCGCTACACCTCAGCATTATCAACCTTATGAACAACAACATCCTTATTAGAATATATTGCCTAATTTTCATATAAATATGTATTTGTATACACATATATTTATAAAAAAAAAAAAAAAAGAGGGGGGAAGCTCCTCCTTCCCTCACCCATTGTTAAATAGTATGCAAATATATTATAATATTTAAGACATAAAAATTGCTGCAGCCATTCTTTTCTATTTTTTTATTTTTTCTTTTCTTTTCTTTTTTTTTATTTTATACATATTTATAAACATTACATATTTAAAAAAAAATTATATATAAAAACTAATATCCTTTAGACTCTTTATTTTTTATGTACAATAGAAATGTTTAAAGCAGAGGAAATAGACAATTATAATCCATCTGCAAGTTTATATCAAACTTTAGAAAATGGTGCTGATGGTAAACCCGGAGGAATTTTGATCACAAGCGTCGGGCAAGAAGTTATCCCTCATATCTGGTTAGGAGGATATAAAGCATTAGAATCTATTCATTTTTTAAAAAAAAATAATATCACCCATATTCTTACTCTCGGTCATTTTAAACCTTGTTATAAATCTAACGAATTTATACATAAGGTAAAATGACATTTATATTACATCTATCTTATCTAACGTAATGATATAGATCATCCCTGTTGCAGATAATCCAGAAGCCAACATTATTCAATATTTTCCTGAAACGACTGAATTCATTGAAAATGCTCTAAAGAATGGACATAATAATATACTTGTTCATTGCCTAGCTGGTGTTTCTAGGAGTCCAACTATTCTTACAGCTTATTTAATGATGACACAAAAACTAAGATGGAAAGCTGCTTTGGCTCTCATTAAACGAACTAGACCTTTTGTAAACCCTAATCTAGGATTTATAAATCAGCTTCGATTATTTCAAGAAATGGATTGTAAATTTAATAAACGTCATCCTGCCTATTTGGAATATTTAAAGCAGCACCCAATTGATGCTGGACATATTGGTCATGAAGCAGAATATCATTAAATAATAATAAAAAAAAAATATATTTATTGATATGCATATATTATAGGTTAATATGTATATATTTATATTATTCTTAATTTCCTACCTATTATTTGATTATAGTGTTTATAACAAATAATGCTTATTTTGTCCTGTTTGTTCACATTAGTACATTTAAAAAAATAAGGAAGATAAAATAAAATAAAAAATAAACGTCTTTTCATGAAAAAGTGAAGTCAATGCTGCGTGACTACTACTACTACTATTACTATATTATTTAGCTTCTTAAAATCGTTCTCAATAAGAAAAAAAAAATAAAAAAAAAAAATAATAACAATAATAAAAATTATAAAAGTGCTTATACAAGTGCTTCTTTTTTTTTTCTTTTTCTTTTTTTTTTCCTGGAAAGTCTAAAACAAAAAAAAAAAATGTCAGATATTATTAAGAAATCAAGATGGGCTGTTGACGATGGTGAAGAACAAGAGGAAAAAAAAAGACATGAAAAGAGAGTTAAACATCATAATAAAAAGTACGAATCCATCGCTACATCGAGTGCAGTCAAGGCTGCTGAACGTGTTGTTATGCGCACAGAAAAACCCGTTCCAAAACTTTATCCTTATTTAAGAGAATGTCGTCACGTTGATTGCTATGAGCGACTTAATCACATTGAAGAAGGATCTTATGGTATCGTCTTTAGAGCACGTGATAAAGAAACAAACGATATTGTTGCTCTGAAGAAACTAAAGCTACAGCCTGAAAGTGGTGGATTTCCTGTTACAAGTTTACGAGAAATCCACGCATTAATGACTATTAAACATCCAAATATTGTTAATGTGAGAGAGATTGTTGTAGGGAATCATATGGATCAGTAAGTTTTATGCTCTTTCTTTTTTTTTTATTTTTCCTTGATTTGTGATAATAGCATATTAAACATATTTTCATAGAGTATTTATTGTCATGGATTTTATTGATCATGATTTGAAAGGATTAATGCAAGATATGCGGGCACCATTCCTGCAATCAGAAATCAAGACATTGATGTTACAGCTTTTATCTGCAGTAGCATTGTTACATGATAATTGGATTATTCATCGTGATTTAAAGACAAGTAATTTACTATTAAATAATCGAGGCGAGATTAAAGTGGCCGATTTTGGTTTAGCTAGAAAATATGGTAGTCCTTTGGGTAATATGACCCAATTGGTTGTTACATTATGGTATAGAGCACCAGAGTTATTATTAGGTGCAAAAGAATATACAACCGCTATCGATATGTGGTCAGTAGGATGTATCTTTGCAGAATTAATCAATAATGAGCCTTTATTTTCGGGTAGAAGTGAAATTGATCAATTAGATAAGGTAAAGTATGTAAATGTATGTATGTATGTGTAGGATGATGTAATAATATGCAATTAGATTTTCAAACTATTAGGTAGCCCAACAGAAGAAGTATGGCCTGGATATTCTCAGCTACCTCATGCAAAGAATATAGCGCCTATACATCAACCGTAAGTATGCCTTTCTTTTATATATATAAATATATCAATATAAACAAAGATATTAAATTATAGGTTATTTAAAGATATAGTTCATTAAGAAGTAAATTTACTACGTTGACTCAAGCAGGCTTGGATCTTCTCTCACGATTATTGACTTATGATCCTTCTAAACGAATTACAGCAGAAGAGGCATTAAATCATCCTTACTTTCATGAAAGCCCTGCTCCTAAAGATCCTTCTTTATTTCCTACCTGGCCTTCTAAAGGATCAGGGCACAAGTAAGCAAATATAAATACACATACTTTCCTCTTAATACATACAATTGCTAATGTTTCTTTTCTTTTTCTTTTTTTTTTTTTACAACTTAGGAAACGAGCTTTTAGTCCATCTGCACCTGCTGCAGCTCATGGAGAAAATGATGATTTGGCAGGTACAATATTCGGTGGGCAAACTGAATCAACAGGTTTTCGACTGAAACTTGCATGAAAAAAAAAATGATACTTTTTTTTTTTTCTTCTTTTTTATTGTTTAAAAAACAGTACGTTTATCAGTCATTACACGAACAATGCAACCATTTCCAGCAACCTCAGCTAACTAAATTAAATGGATTTAATTATTTTGTACACACACACAAACTCATTCACTCTCTTTTAAAAAAAAAAAAAAAAAAAAAAAAAAAAAAAAAAAGTACCTTTTCATGCCATGTTAATAAAACACTCGAATTATATAATTCTGGTTTGCTCATGCCTGCATATAAATACTTCATTAAAACATCTTGTTGTTCATGAGTAAGAGATTTGACAATTTGAGATATGTCACTTGCACGGAATAAGTTTAAGACTTCTGTAACTGTTTTTGTACTTTCGGTCTATAAAAGTGGAATTAATAATTTTAGAATTATTTTGTTTCTTCATTTCCATGTATATACCTTTGCTAATTCGAGATTTTGGCCATAAGGTGGGTCCTCCAAAGCACGTGTTAAAGCATTATTTAAATCGCCTCTGTATACAAATTAGACAATCAGAAGAAAAAGATAGAGCTTTATAAATAATATAAAGCAATATATATTTGTATATATGTATATATAATGGTTTATTTATTAATTACCTTGTAAGTAAATTACGAACATCAGTGCTTCGTGTTTGAGTAGCAGACATAACTTGCTCAGGTGTTAATCCTGTTTCAAATTCAGAAAGGAATTCGTTTTCTGTATATGCATCTTCATCATATTGGTCAATATCAATTCTACGCCACGACATTTAGGTTATATATAGATATAAATATAGATATATAAAAAAAAAGAAGAAGAAATGAAGTGAAGTGGGTATTTCAACGTCATGAGTTTTAATTTACTTTATGTGCTGGGTTTTAATTATAATTATCACAAATACACACAGTTTCAGCAGGCATCAATTTTAGCGATGTACGCGTCCCAAAATCTTATTGATCTTGGACCATTAATTTCGTACTATATCTCAAAAATATTAGATAATGTTGAAAAAGGATACTTTTGCTCCTGTATAGGCTAGTAGTTTTATTTAAAAAATATATATATGTATATGTACTAATAGAAAATACATTGTTTCTTGTAGATATATTCAGTGCTGCCACTTTTATATACACTTACAAAAATAAATATGAGTCTGTAAGTCGTATTTCTTTTTTTTTTTTTTTTTGAGCAATATCGTTATTTAAGTCACCTCCCTGAGATTTTTGAGTTGACATGTGTCATCCTTTGAAGACACGTTTTATAAAAATAAAGTTATCTTGTCAGAAATATAATTTTATACTAGAAATGCAACCACGTATTTAGTGTGCTCTTCAATAACTAAATTATTAAAATTTAAACAATAAATATTTGTTTTGCTCTTTTATTTTCAAATAAAAAAAAAAAAAAATAGTGCTATAAAAACGTTCAAAGTGATAAGCAAATTTTTATTTCTTAACTAATTATCAAGTAAATAATAATGAAATGTCCAATACTGGAATAGGGGATTCTGGCTTTCTGAATTCAAAAATATTTCAATGTCTTTACCTTTGGATGCTTTTTTTCCTTGAGCAAATAATGAAGAAAATGTTAAAACTACTAAAGAAGAAAAAGAAAAAGGATTGTATAATGTAGGTAAGATTAATTATTCTACTAATCAATTGTTTATTTCTAATAATCCTTCATAAACTTAAATTTATTTTCTTTACTGTTAAATAGATAATAAAAAGAGATTTATGTTTTATTCATCACTATTGTTATTCATAGAGGAAGGATATACAAAAAAGGATAAAATTAACGCGATCCCAGAGATACCAGCGCAAATATAAAAACATAGATTAGGCATCGTATTGACAGATGCACTATAAATAAAGTTAACTGTTAACTGTGCAATAACCACTATATAACATTAATATATATATAATATATATATATAGGTATATGTTAGTTAATTATATACATATATAAATACACATATAAAATTTACCTGAGAGACTTTCTAAAATAGCTAGAGCACCAAATAATCTACCCACTTCAGAACGAGGAACTAGCCTGGTCATGATTGATCGAAGTGAAGGTGAAGTAAGCAAAGCAAAACTTTGAAGGGCACCAGCCATCATAAATGTTGAAGTATTTTGGGCAAGAGCGTAAAGGACTAAGCAAATAGTATCAATGATTAAGCCAGTGCAAATTAGCCACGAATCAAATCGAATGGAATTATCAGAAACTTCATCACTCAATTCTTCATATTTTGTTTCATTATCATCATTTTCTTGTTGTTCCCCTTCAGTATGAAAAGATGAAGCTTCTTCAACATAAAGTATAAAAGAAGAGGAATTTGAATTCTTTGGTCTTAATTTTGTTCTTTCATCTTCTTGCCCTTCCGTCGTCTTTTCCGCTTTGAAAAATTTAGAAAGTAAAGGTAATACTAACAGCATGCTTATTAATCTTGTAAATGACGTTAAACTCACATAGATGCCGCCTTCATATGCAGTCCATCCAAAACTAAGCATAGCATAAAGAATAGCTGGTGGTAATGCAACAATATTATACAAAAAATCTATACATGCAATGATAGGCAACGTAAACCCCTTTGTGTTTTTTGAAGATGTTTTATAAAATATACTCAGTACTGAAAAAATATTGAGTCGTTGTAATAGTGTTTGTTGTTCTTTATGAGTGACAGATGTTTCATTACCACAGTTACGATTTGACTCGGGTAAAAACAACCAGGTATATAATATAAAAGCTATATTGGCAATCAATACCAATAAAAGAATAGTTGTAATAGAGTTTGTTTCTTTCATTATAAATGAAGCAGCAGAGGGGCCTAAAGTAGCACCTAAAAACACAACACCCATCATATTGCCGAATAGAGTTGTCCTGTATAAATAAATAAATATGTATATGTATATGCATAAAATTATTGCTTTCTTAATTGTATAAAATAATATACCTCTCTAGTGGAGTTGTGCAATCTGAAATATAAGCATGAGCTGTTGCAAACAAGACAGCATCGCCAGCTAAGATACCTCGCATAACAGGTGCAATGAAAAGTAACGAAACACCAAAGATATTAGTGTACTTAATAGTCACAATGTAGCTAAGTATTAAAATAGCATTTCCAAACCCAGATATAATAAAAACTAGGCGTCTTCCTTTTCGATCTGATAAGGTGCCATAATAATCAGCAAATAGCATAGCTGTTGTTTAAAATTTAGCGGAGACAATTTAACAAAAAAAAAAAAAAGTTATTAAAAAAAAAAAAAAAAAATAGCATTATATCACTATTATTTACTTGAGCCATAACCTAATAATACAATAATAGCTTGAGCCTTGGATACAACAGCCTGAACTTCGGGGATTGTACATTTCTCAAAGGGTATATCAATATCAATATTACCTAGTTGTTGTTGGTAATATCTTTTGTTTCATTATTATTATTATTATTATATTACTATTATAATATATAACTAACGCATAATATATACCTATAACAGAATACAACACTATAGAATTGGATTATCGGAGCATACAATGCACTTAAAAGCAAAGAGATGATTATCTTTTATTAACATAGTAATAATGCATTATATTATTACCTAAAACAAAATGTCAAGACAAACAGAGGTAAAATAATGTACCAGGGAGACACTTTCTTAATAAAATCATGATTTTTCTTTTGGCCTGCAAGTAGTGGTGCATCTTCTTCATTTGATGATGACGAACTTGTGTTTATCATTTCTGAAAAAAGAGAAAAGAAATGAAAAGAGAAGGAAAGAAAAGGAAAAAGAAAAGAAAATCAAAAGAAAAAAAAAAAAAAGGTAAAAACATTATTAGTAAGCTCGTTGTTTAAATATTTCAGTTTGTTACATTTTTTTTTCTTTTTTCTTTATTGTTTTTAGCTGACCTTTGTGTTTAAAATCAATGTACACGAATCTAATCCTCTTTAATATGATCAAAGGATAGTTTTATATACATGTATATAAAAGAGTAATTGACCAGTGGGCACATAGCTTGTGGAATTGCTAAATTACCCTAGTCAGTTTAAAAAATTAAAAGTGATTAAAAATACCTTTAGAACTAAAGGTAGAAAAGTAAAGGCAAAAGTAAAAGATTGACTTCTAGAAAGAAAGGAAGGCTGCTTTTTGAAGGATGAATTGATTAATCAGTCTATTATGAGTGAGCCTTGATTGGAAAGGGGATCTTCAGTTGTTTGTGGCATTTGCAATCTTTAATGTATATATAAATACTATATCAAATGAGTTCTATTAAACAATGAATCGAAGTGGAAAGGGCAATATGAGGATGACTGTGAGATAACCAAGCAAGGCTCCAAAGAAGACATTACCTTCGGCCAGATCGTGTCATAGATAACCAAAGAATAGGATCAACCATTATTATATTGCGACAGACAGGTAAATATTTGGAATAGCAAGTAGATTATCTTTCATTTAAGCTGTCAAAAAAGAAAAGTGGAATAAATATTTTAAAAAGACATAAGTCAAGACTTTCAATAGAAGAGATACATCGCTTTCAATGATGCATTTTGTAAAGTTTTAGTCATTATGAATAATCTTTATATTGAAGAATTTCTTATTTTAGATAAATTTACTATATTTTATAGACTAGCAGAAAAAAAAATTTGAGATACTCTTTTAATTTTTTTAAAGCCAAGTTAGGATACATAGGTTATATTTGATATAAACAAAAATTGAAAACAAAAGTGATAACGTTATGTATTATTTATAACTGAGTAATTCTAAAGTTTAGTAGCGATAAGTTACTAATAGATTAAAATAGCAAGAATCATATTCTGATAGACTGTATATGTCTATATCACTATCAATTATATAAATTCTGTTATTTATTATTATGTAAGCTATTGTTTTGTATAATTAGTGAAAAAAAAAGAGGTCACAGATTGTCCATTTTTTCTATAGCATATATTTATTTGATTTTTTAATAAAACAGACAAGTTAATTATACACGTACATATATGCAATGAGTTCTAACAATAATAATGAACAGCACAAGTAATCCAGTAGTTTAACAAAAAAAAAAAAAAAAAAAAAAGTGTCAAATTTTAATTATTTTTTTTTTCTTTAGGAATAAGGATGATCTTATGGAAGTAATAGGCTCAACAGTTTTGGGTGTTCAAAGCTCATTTGGCTCTGTATATGACGTACATATTTGAACACATTTAAAAAAGGAAGAACATACACCTTCTAATTTATAAGTATCAAAGTCTTTAGAAAAAAGCTTAAAACAGAATTTACAAATGAGTCAAAGCATGATTCACATGATTGAAGAGATTTATAAAGCGAATATTAAAATTGGTAAACTTTTTTTTAGAAGAAAAAGAGAGTTATTAAATACTGAAATATAATAAAGGTAGTTCATTGAAACCAGCAGGAAATGGTAATATTCATATGACTTTAACGATAAATAACAGAACAAAGCTTCCTGTAACATCTATGGTTGGATTATTAAAATTTGAGACAAAAGAAGAAGTAACTATTATTCATGTGTATAGACCAAAAAAGAAAAAAAAAAATTCACAATTTTACTTTAGGTTAATTTAACTTATTTTGATTCATATCAAAAAAGTGAAAATAATTCAAATCAACAACTCCCAAATATTTTTGAATCATTGTGTGATTTGACTCCACAAACACAATATGTACAAGAAATTGAAATAAAATTAAAGCATGTAGTTCAATGCAATGGCATTTTTACTTTACATTTTCAAAATCCAGTTGATAAAAGACAAATTGAATTAAAACATTCTTTTGGATTATACTTAATTGATCAGGTATGTCTATAAATTTATAAAAAAAATACTTACAACTTACGATATTTTATAGTTCAAAAAAGAAATCGTAAATAATAATGTGAAACTAGATCTAGAAATTATAGATCAGCTCTGCTATCCGGTTGCATTTTTACGTGAAATAATGGAGATACATCCTATAAAGGGTATAGAAGTTGATATGTGTATACAGTTAATCGCTTCAAATGTAAGTAGAAACGATTTTTTTCTTAAAAAAAAAAGGTAGTAATAGTATCAACTAAAACTTTTTGTTTACAGATACAAATAATATGTAGAATTATAAATATTGCTGATGATTATAATACAGTTGAAGTTGAGTTTTCTAGTAATTCGAAGGAATTAACAGCAAAATTGATCATGGAATTAAACATGCTTTGTAGTTCATCACTTTAAATATAACAAGCTAAGGTTAAAAAATTCATAAAACTGTAGAAGGGTCTTGATTGCTTAATGTAATTGTTTTATTTTAAAGTTGAATAATTAATATACTATGCGTGTAATTTGCAATAAGTATTCTTTATGAAGTGTGTTTCTATAGCTTTGATGGGTTATAATGTAATAATGAACAAATGAAAATTATGATAAATATTATGAATGTAAAAGATGGAAAAGAAGAAGTTGTATTGTGGATATAATTAGCTCTTTTATCTGTATTTAATGCAATATTATCATCCTCCTTAAGATAGTGCTGGTAGAAGAATAATGGATCCTCCTTTGAGGAGTGTATAAATATCATTTTACTATTATTATAAAATGATAATTTCTTCATTTTTGTTATTTCTTTTTCAAAATTTTCTTCGGCTAACTTTTCAATAATATCCTGACTATGAAGAAACTGCTCTAGTACGACATTAGAATATCTTGCTACACCTGTGTAATTTAGAAATGCTTCCATTAACTCTCGCCAAATACTTGTCCGTTCCTCTTCTATGAGAACTTCCTCTAATGCAGCTGTAGCTAGATCAAGGAAGTTATCTTTATCGATTTGAAATGAAGAGGTATTCTTTTGTTGATTTGTTTTATATGTTTTAGTAGTTTTTCTTGATACAAAATTAGGACAAGAGGATATTTTTCTTCTAATAAGTTCCATATTATTGTTAAATAAAAGATCATTTGTATAATTCATTACTTTAGTTGACATTTTATATATGTATATGAAAAGAAGGAAGAAAGGAAGAAAGAAGTTAAGTTTTAAAGTATATATGCAAATTGTAAGAATAAATCAACTCTGTCCCACATAAAGCTCTTTTTACGCTTTGAACAAAGTCCGATAGTGATGCTAAATAATAAAAGATATCCGGATTTATGTTATGTTGTATCTGATGATTATGTTTGTTATTACATAAATTTTAATGTATTCGAAATGATTTTTTTTAGACTAGCAGAAAAAAAGATCAACTGAAATTGATAATATCTCATAATATAACTCATAATCTTCTTCTTCTCCTTTTTTCTCTTATAGCTACTAGTTTAATATCTTCTCTGACATCGGATCTGATCGGCATAGAGAAAGTTATTTAAAACTATACATACCCCAGTTTCCATCATATGATGAATTTTTAATAGAAATCAATAGACTTTCATGTGTAAAAATAAATAAGTACAAAGAATGGGGAAATTTTATTAAAATAAGCAATGATTTCTTAAAGCTTGGTATACATTATAATTAAATCATTAATAATGTGAGTGAGTGTGTGTGTGTGTTTTATTATTACTAAAGTATTCTTTTTTTTTTTTTTTACTGTTATATATCTTTATTTGAATATATGTTCATATCTTTTAAGTAGAATAGAATAATAGAGTTTAACTCTTTTGTTTAGCATTCCTATTAAAATAAAAATAAGAAATTAAACAGAAATGCACTGTGTAGAGTATTTTTAATTTATAACTTACATAGCATCTAATTCAGCCTTGAATTTTTTAGTAATCTCTGGTCGTTTAATCTTTTGTGCTGCAGTCAATAATCCCTAAAAAGAAAAAAGAAAAAAAAAAAAGTCAGGCTACATATCATCACAATTATAATTTTGTTACCGAGTCAGTGGTCCATTCATCATCACATAAGTGTACATCAAAAAGAAGCTCGGACCCTTTTAGGCCGCCCTCTTTGGCTTGATTAATAAGTGATTTAAGAATCGTCTTCTTTATAGTCTCATCCTGGCATAATGCCTTGAAATCTGTCTCGGTCACTTTTTTTTCACTAGCTAATTTACGAATTACAGGTTCGGACACAACGGCTAAAGCAACTGGCTTAGGGAATAAAGAATCAGCGTATACACAGATATTAAGGACATAAATACAACTCTTATATATTGATTCCAGTTTTTCAAGTGCAATATATTCACCATTATTCAATTTAACTAAATTCTTTTTTCTGTCAATGATAGTCAGCGTTCCGTTTTCATTCCATTCAGCAATATCACCTGTTTGTAACCAGTTATCTTCAGTAATTGTTTCTTTAGTGATATCGTCACGTTTCCAATACCCTTTTGTGATAGCAGGACCTCGAACCCAGACTTCACCTTGAGGCTTTGTATTTGTTGAAAAATAATTTGCGTCAGGGACATCAACAAGCTTAATTTCACAGCACGGAACAGGTGCCCCAACTTCACCATAGGCGAATTGTTCAGGTGTCATCACGCAACACATACTGTATATATATAATATTAATACTAGCATCACATTATGATATATTTATGTTTCTTACCCACAACCTATGGAGAGCAATATGAATAAAATGCAACAATTATATAAGTCAAATATAAATTAAAATAAAATATTCTACTCACTTTCAGTCATGCCTTTAAAATAAAATAAAAAATTAGCATATCATGTTATCTTCTTTTAATAAGAACATACCAAAACCACCTAAAATTGGACAAAGCGTAACAGATAAGAATTTTTGGGTTTCTACAGAAACTGGTGCTCCTCCAGATAAAGCAAATCGAAGTCGACCTCCTACTTGGTCTTTGATCTTATTAAATACAACTTTATCTATAAATCCTGTAGGAAGATGGCGTTCTAGTAACCAAGCTTTAGTGGTGTATGCTTTGTGAAACATTTTTTGTGCTTTTGAAGAAGTTGTTGAGATTTTTGCAAGAATTCCTTTACGAATAGATTCCCATACAGCAGGTACACCAGTCATTAATGTTGGTCTAAACTCCTTAATATCACCTTTACAGTTACGAACTGATGTATCTGTTAATGTACGCACAGATGCATATCCAAGACTAAAAAAAAAAATGAAAATAAAAAAGATAATGTTTCAGAATAAAAAGATAGTATATATGTATATATATAAAAGGGATGTCCTTACGTTATTCCCCAGTATACACAAACATTTTCGACAACAAATTCTAATACATGCGCCAGTGGAAGGTAGGCTATCATACTATCATGATCTGTTACAAGATGTCCAAGAATGGTATGACAAGCAGCAACTAAGATACATAATTTAAAAATAAATAAGATATAATACTAAAACAGATTGTTACACTTTACTAGCAGCCACTATGTTTTTATGTGACAACATAACACCTTTAGGATTTCCTGTGCTTCCGGAAGTATACATAATACAGCAAAGATCTTCTGGTTCAGGCTGTCTAGCTTCTCTTGGATTTTCTCTACCTAACTTAGCAATCTCATCTAAAGAAAATATTCTTTGAGTTACAGCTGCTTTAATTTTATAAAACGCATCAGCTTTAATTTCCCCGCTATAAATAATGCACTTGAGTGAGGGACATTTGTTAGCAACTTTTTGAACAGTAGGTAATAGATCAGATGTGGTATAGATAGCTTCTACTTCGGTCTCATTCATTGAATGAAGTAAACCTTCCTCGCCTAAAGTATCATATGCAGTAACAATTGTCATGTTTTGAGTAAAAGCACTATGAGCAGTAAGAAGCCAATACATGCTAAATAATCATAACCATGATCATAAAAAAAAAATAGGTAAATATATAAAAATTAATACTAAATAATAAGCTTACTTTGTCGAAGAGAATATTTCTATTTTGGACTTTTCTTTAAGCCCAATTTGAAGAAGTCCAGCACCAATATCATGAGTTAAGCGTGAAGCTTCCTTATAAGTTAAATAATGGTATCCTGATAGTTGAAAATAATTCCATGTCTTATTCTCTTTAATTTCTTCTCCATCAACAAACTTTGATACCTCTTTCTCCTCCTCTACTATTTTTTCAACTCTACGAAATCCGAACCCTTTACGTTCAGGATATTTTTTAGCACTATGATATAGAACATCATAAAGTGTATGAACATTATTATTTGGAACTCGGGTTAACCCCTCAGGCGCAAAAATGGATCTTCTAATACGTCCACCATTAGGCTGTTCAGGACCAACTTCGATAGTAAAAGACTTCATTTAAAAAATATTATAAAAAGACTAAAAGAAATAAACAAAAAAATAAAATAAGAACTGTTATTTGGTGGTTTTTATTATTATCATTTTATGTTGCACAATAAAATTCTTTATAACAATAGTGATCTGTAACAGTAAAATTGTCACATTGTGAGTAAGGAATATTGTGTAAAAAAAAAAAAGAAAAGAAACAATGTCCCTTTTTTGACATGAAACATTATTAGACAAATATTTTAAAGTTAAAACTATATAACTTGTTGGCTACATATATATTGTTTAATAAATATATGTATATGCATATGTATATTCTTGTAGATTATATATCAGTGACTAAAATAAGAGTGACAAAATAAATAAATATTTATATATATATTTTACACACATAACGCTATTTTTTTTCTTTACTTCCCAATGAACATTAATCTTTTCCATGTATTATAATGAATTGGGAAAACTGACTCCATATGATATTCACCATAAGATGTGAGTATGTTCCTTAATTTCCTTTTCAGGATATTGCGTCCGTGCATTTTTTCATGATGATATTAAAAACTATTGTAGAGAACTGAAGATAATAATCTTCATTTTTTTTAAAAAAAAAAATATATACATAGCATCATTTAATTTTTTTGTTTTTTATCATGTATTCAGATTAATTATATATATTAAATTCATTCAAATGATCAACTTTCATAAAACTGAAACATGTAAATTAAATGTTATAGTGATTGTCGGCAACACACGTCTCATAATTTAAAGTTATGATATTCATATTTTCCAATCTTTAAACAAATGTTACAATAAGAATCTTGTACAAAAGTGCGCGCCGGACAGCCCGGGATTTTACAATTATCACGTGATCGAAAATCGAAAAATTTTTACAAACTGTATATAGTATATACAAAAATAAAATTCGCAAGTTATGGTTTCTTGGTGTAGTTGGTTATCACGTCTGCTTTACACGCAGACGGTCGCCAGTTCGAACCTGGCAGGAATCATATTTTTTTAGCATGATTACCTATTGCTAAAAATTTTTTTTTTTTTTTGTTTCAATAATACGATATATTTTCAAGTATATTGTTATACTTTGATAAATCCGTTACATAGAAACTTATTAAGCATTACCTAAATTTATCTATTGATATTCAACATTCTTTTCCTCTCACTTATGTAATAATAAGTACAATTATATAAGCCTTATATAAATACTATTATTATTACTTTGTTAGACATGCCAGCTTATTCTAGCATTGAATAGGAATCCACATTAAAAGAACATTATTTGTATAAGTCAGATAGTCTTTTCTTTTCTATCTCATCTGTTGAATGCACTCTTTTACTTAGCATCGGTCGAGCCTTTCCTATTGTGATAGAGAGAATAGGTCTACCTTAGTCGAGCTTTGCTAATATAAAGCATTTAATTAAAAAAAAAAAAAAAAATACCTATTATAGCTGCTAATATGTATAAGTAATGTATTACGATATCAAATGGATTGCCAACTGGTTACTATTGTGGATGAAGAAATAATATTCATATTTTTTTTTGCTAAGTAATAAAAAATGAAGAAAAAAAAAAGAGAGAAAAACCAAGTGATTTAAATATTAAATTATTGATATATTTTAACACTTGTATGTACATAAGCCTTTTATTGGTTTGATTTTCCATTATTAAAACTATCTGACACCTTATCTAAAAAATCTGATCTAACCCCTTTCATGGCCACTCATACAACATTTATGAAATCAATAATATAAAATGACTAACATCTATTCTACTATAATATGTTCCCTTTCTCCTTAAGAACAATAGCGTATTAATACATAAAACAGATTAATCAATTATGTTGTACACAGAATTAAGTTATCAGATTTAATTTATTTTTAGTTTAGGACTACGGCCACCATTTGGTATCTAATAAGATTGTTTGAAATAATATGTATGATAAAAAAAATAAAAGGATACTAAATTATGTGCATTGCTCCATCAAATATATTGATATATAATTAATAAATATATTTTACATTTGAACATTGATTATTTTTTCAATAAACCGAAAGTTGTAATTCTAATAACATTATTATTCTAAATATATTATTTAATAAGGCTTCCACTAGCTTCTTCATGCTCCTCTTCTTCTTCATAAATATGTACAACCTCCTCTCGGGCATGTGCAGTTTCATAATCATTTGGATCTAATCTTTTACTTAAACTAAAAGTTAATGCACCTATTGCTGCCAAAAGTATAAATGTGGTATTGATTCGAAGTTGATAAGGAAGAAATGTCAAAGATAAAGATCTAAAATAAGAATAAATATTATTATATAAACATAACGGTTTTACAAATTACATCAGATTACTTACGCTGACCAAATCGTACCACAGATAGCAGGTCCAATAGAGCGCATAGCGCTTGCACAGCCTAGTTAAATAAAAAATCAGTATATATATATATATATGTATATATTTGTATTATAAAAAATACATTGAGAGAATCCATTAACAGCTCCTAATTTATCCACACTGGGGCACGCATTGTTTACTAAAATAGTACATCCAGTAAAGCAAATTGTATGTCCAATTGTTTTAATTGTTAATGATATCAATAACCCTACCCACACCCATAATTTAGTATTCGTTTCACCGTGAAAATCAGGTACAAAATAGAGTATACGAATTATGCCTTGGGAAAGATAGAGGAAGATGAGGATGCTTAGTACTATTTGAAGCAATCGTAAGAGCCCAAACCTTTTGGTTAGAGTAGGCAAAACAAATATTTGGCCAATTAAGGTAACTACACCGGCATAGCTAAGAGCAACACCAATCTCATTTGGAGTGAATCCTAAGCCGCCACTGTCTCTACTACTAGCAGTGTAAAGAGGAAACAATTCTATAAAATTATTATAAGTCAAATGTATAGTAGAAATAAAAAATACATTAATCTACCATCCATGAATATAGCTTGAAGAGCAAAGAATGCATATGTAACACATATTGATAGTACAGATGGAGTAAGTGCTTCTTTCAATGTAGGAGATGTGGGTTTATCGTGTACAGTAGGTGTAGGGGAATGCTGAATTTTGACAGTACCAGTATTTGAGTTTGTTTTAAATGTAGAGTAATGTTGCTCATTATTAAATGAATCATTTGTTAACAATTCCTCCTCTTCATCACCTTTCATTGCATTTTCATTATGAACTACGTGTGTTTCTTCCAAGAAAAATATACCAAATATGAGACCCAAGGTACAAATAGATGCTGAAATAAAGCATGGTAAAAAGTAAGGATAATTAGTTAAAAAATCTGAAATAATCCCAAGATTACTAAATACGTTAGGATAATTGGAAACTGGATGTGATAAAAAGCCACCGAGCATGGGACCGATAATTGATCCAAGACCATACATTAATGGTAATAATGAGAAAGCTTGTGCTCTTTGATGAGGTAAATAATCCATAGTTAGCTCTGATACCATGCTTTTCAAAACGCCGATATTACCATTCTAATAAAATTAATAATACGTTAAAACTATCTAAAAAAAAAAATGATGTACTATAGTAATTAGCTCACAAGAAGACCACATAAACTTCGAGATAAAAGTGCCCATATAAATGATTTTGATAGACCAAACAATAAAATACTAGATATTGTACCAACTAAGCCCTGCAAAATAACCGGTCTTCTACCAATTCGATCAGATAATATTCCCCAATGTATGCCTATTAAAAAATAAATCTATGTTACTTTATTATTATATTATTTTTTGCCTGTTATTTCTACCAGTCAAAAGTTGAGCAAGAGCAAAACATGATGTTATAAGGCCAACATAATAGCCTACACCTTTTTCATCAGCAATATGAAAATCTCTTATCATCTAAAGATAATTATATAAACATAAGCAAACTTAATGATTAATTTAAATTACTTGTACTACCTGAACGACAAAAGGAAAAATAACAGTAAAACAAATTGGTTCCTAATAGAATCATACATGTCAGCGATCATGCTCATCTAACAATAAATCTATAAAATGTCAAAAAGGAATGCATAATACCTACAGCAAAACGACATACGCAAATGGCAAATAATTGTCTATACGGTAATGGCTTTGTTGTTTTTTGCAACATTTTTCTTTTTTTTTTTTATTTATTTATTGTTTGGTATATGTGCAAAATAAAAAGTTAAAAAAAAACTCATCTTTTGTTTAATTCTATCTTTTTTTTTTTTTTTTTTTTTTTTTTTTGTTTTATAAAACGGAATTAGATAGATATGATTCCTTCGGGATAACTTTAATCCAGAATCAATAAAAAAGGAACAGTGCTCTTTTCAAAAGGAACTAATTAAATAATCTTAATTTTTTTAACGAATAGAATACTCCTAATTTATGAAACAAAAGTTTTTTTTTATTGTTTGTATCAGTAATAGTGGTTTTTTAGTAATTATTATGCAGTAACTGGTTAACAATACATGAATGCCAGAATGAGTTACATTTATGCAAGGAAAATATACAATAATTTTATTTGAATATGCATAAAGTAAAAACGTCTTAAACGTTGTTATACTACTTAAACTATTCAACTGAAAAAAAAATAGTAATTTGTAGCTTAAAATTCTATCAGATTTTGAACTATTCTTTAATACTTCATGATTTACTGTTGAGCAAATTCAGAAAATTAAAATGCTTGCAATATATCTAATTAGCTTCCAAATTAAATACCATTATTACAATAAGCTCTTTATCTGATCGTCGAACATTTAACATTTGTTGCAGGTCTGACGATCGGATAGCAATATTATTAATGGAGTCATATTTATTTGTGAAATTAATGATTAGATTAATATAGATATTCAATTATGTAACTACGTTCAATAGGTAAATTATAAATATATGAATATATAAGACTTGAATTAAGTGACACTCCGATGGCTTCCATTTGTAAACTTTTGTTTGAGTTAGATTACTTCTATCATGGTAAACTTTCTTCTGAAACCCTCTCTCTTGACACCAAGCTGATAGCTTGGTTGTGTAATTCTTAGTCTAGTATTTAACGATATATTTCCCTTTCCGTCTTTTCTTCTTGGTCATTTTTACCCTTTTGACCAACAAAAGGTTTTTTAGCAGTCTTCCCACTTTTTTGATCTGACCCAGGTGAAACAATACAAACGTATTATGTGCTCACAAGTTTTTTTTTTCTTAAAAAAAAAAAAATTTTTTTTTTTACTCATACAAGACATCCAACCAGAAAAATGAAAAAATTCAAAAAATATGATTCCTGCCAGGTTCGAACTGGCGACCGTCTGCGTGTAAAGCAGACGTGATAACCAACTACACCAAGAAACCATAACTTGCAAATTTTATTTTTGTATATACTATATACAGTTTGGAAAAATTTTCGATTTTTGATCACGTGACTAGAGAAAAATTCCGGGCTGTCCGGCGCGCACTGTTATGTGTATCATTTTTACTTATATTTTGTCTATTGGGATCTTTGACAAGCGATATATAATCATAGAGATTGTTAGAAAGGATATTATGTTGTATTTAATTTAATAACGCTATGAAAAGGTGAAAGTATTGAATAGAGATGATAATTTTGTATATTTGATTGAATAAACATCTTATTTTATTTTATATGTAAGCTTGATATAATCTTTATTTAGCATACAGTTATATTAGAAAAGTGAGTTTGTCATTGAGATATATGGTTTAAATCTTATATTTGATATTTTCTAAAGCTACTTTATGATACAATATGTAATAAAATAAAATTGATATGAAGCTTATTCAATATAAATACAGTTTTAATATATGCCTTTTGTGTTAATGATATTGTTTATTATTATTTGTTATCTATATCGCAATTCATAAAATTAAATAATATAATGTTCAAAACTTAATATAAGCAAATAATAGTGAGCAGTTAAGCATATCTAAATAGAATAGCTATTTATAACATTTAATCAATAATATTATCATCAACATCAGATTAATAACAACTATTACTTGTTATTTTATCAGACTAATCTTAGAATGTTATGGTAAATTCTAACAAAAAGAAAATTATTAATTGTGTTAAAGCATGATATCTGAAGAAACAAGCTGTGTCAAATAATATTGCATACTAGTGTTTAATTCGGCTGAATCAAAGTTGTACCTTAGATGCCAAATTTAAATTGGTTACTGTCATATCCTTTGGATCAAACAGCCCTAATAATAGAATCAAAGGAAAATGATATTATCTTTATTATTACAAGTATATAATGCAGTTGGCTCTTTGGCTGTTAATTGCTATACTAGAGTTTCAAAGGTATATAAAAGTTACTTAAGTGAAGGGGAAACTAAAAAAACTATCTATAGAATCCCAAAGATATAAAAAAGGGGCGGATCAAGACATAGATAAAATATGCTTGTTAAAAACTATAAAAAGGGGCTGATTATTTTTAAAAAAGAGCTGAATTGTCAGATCTTACTTCAAAAGATAAACACAATATAATAGATTCTTATAGAATTTTCTTTATCTATCATTTCTTTCTTTCTTCTAACAGAGAGCATTGTATAAATAACTATCTAGACACTATTAAATAAGTTAATCACATAACAATTCTTAAAACAGGTAATAACAATTTATTAACCAACAACTTTATTAAGTCCACCTAGAATATGTCTATAGCAACAGTAAAATTACAATCTTTATTTAGTATAGAAATGCGAAGTTAAAGGAAGTTGTGATACCTTTCAAAATATGTAGATATTCTGTTCATTTATTCTTCTGCAGACTAGATAGTCATATTTATATAAGTGGATAATACTCTTTTTGAATAAAAATTAAACTTCAGGGATATAAATGATATAACGCAAACTGATACCAATATACCTTATATCACTCATCCAGACCGGGCATTATAAATTAGTCATCTACACTATAAAAAAAATGCAGATTATAAAAAACAAAACAATATATCGATTTACAGTTAGAAAGTGTATCGAATATAATGAATACAGTGAAATAATTGATTCTCTATAACTTGCTTTTTTTAATAATATTTTTTTGCCGAGTAAATTAGTAATATAAGTTTTGTTACTTGAAGAAATTATTAACGAAAAAAAAAAAAAAAGAAAGCTACTAGGTTTGTCATTAAAAAAATTTGTTAAAAATCTGAAAGTACTACTCTTAAGTTTATTAACTACTCGACATAAGTTTTTATAATAGAAATAATTATCTATCATCAAAAATAAGTAAGTAAAAAGCAATAAGAACAGTCTTGTAATAATGGTTTTTTTTTTTTTTTTTTTTTTTTTTTTTTTTTTTTCGGTGATGTGATCAATGCAATGAAGAACCATATCAAAGATTCAAATTTATTTTGCTTGTTTTTTTTTATTTAATAAATCAGGCTATTTCGGTCGTTTAAATATGAAAACTACAGTTATTTTGCTTGTAATAAATAAGTATACACATTCTTTTTTATTCATTTATTAAATTATACATTATTCAAAATTCTCTTTCCAAATAGATAGTCTAAAGTTAAATATCACAGGATGGATCAATCTAGTGATCCTCGTAAGTATTTATTTGGTTCCAGCTATTAAATTCTTAATTTTAATATTGGACTCACATGCTAATTCCTTTTTCTAAATCAACTTCATTCAGAGGATGGTCAAACGACGCCCATGAACGTAAAACGCCGCTCAGCAGTATGTTATTTTTCCTTTCAAAATTACATACATATTTTCAATAATCAAATGTAAAAAGCATACTAAAATAATATAAATATATACATATAAATATGTATGTATATATTTAGTGGATAGCTTGGTTTTGCTCTAGAAAACAAAATCGATATTATGCAGATGTAGACGAAAGTTTTATAGAAGATCCTTTTAATTTAATTGGACTGAATGCACATATTCCTTTATATAAAGAAACTCTTGAGATAATCTTGGATCTTGAACCTGTCGATGTTATGTATAATCGTGTTCCTGATTTAAGTCTACTAGAACCTTCAGCTGAGCTTTTATATGGACTTATCCATCAGCGATATATTATTACAAAACAAGGCATGATTCAAATGGTATTTTACCTTCTCCTTCCTCCCCTCTTTTTTTTATTTCTTTTTCTTTCGGATAAAAGTTAATGGGTTTTTTTTCTTTTGCACATAGTATCAAAAATACAGGATGGGAGATTTTGGAAAATGTCCTAGGGTATATTGTAATGATAGCTATGTGCTACCTTGCGGCCAACATGATACGCCTAAACTAAGTACAGTACGACTTTATTGTCCTAATTGTAAAGATATCTATATACCATCAAATCCTAGATATCAAAATATTGATGGTAAATATTTGATTTTGTTTTTATTATGTACATGTATACAATTTTAATTTCCCTTTTCCTTTTCCTTTCAGGTTCTCATTTTGGGACTACATTTCCTCATTTATTTATCCAAACATTTCCAGACTGCATCAAGCCTATTAAGCCAGAGATATATACCGCGAAATTATTTGGATTTCGAATTAATGAATTATCTGAATCAGGACCTCGTATGCAATGGCTAAGAATTTATAAAGATAATAATAAGCCATTCATAGTAGACCAAAAAGAAAAAGAAGAGGAGGATTAACACTACGTTGTAAATGCTAAGTAGTTTAATACTTATTATACATATAAATTTATATTTATGTGAATTAAATAAAAAGATGTGATTATTAAGAAGGAAAAAAAAAAGAAGGGGGGGTATTTTATTTATTTACTGACAGCAAAATTAAAATATATAATTATTAAAATAGACATTAAGAATATGGCGATTTTGAGTTATTGTTAGTTGGTGCTTGTCTATCTGCCTGTCTCTTTACAAGATAGTTTAATTTATCCATCACTTCCTCTAGTTTCATTTTACGTTCCTGTAAATCAAGGTGCTTTTGTATAGGCGGATTTTCTCTAGCAAATTGTTGAATTTGGCGTCGATCCATTTCATAAACTAAACGGTTATCTACTTCACGAGGGAATTGAAAGAAGAATTCATTTAATAATTCAACTTGAATAAACATGACAGCCTACATATATATATAAAACTTTAGGTTATTATGATATTCTAAATATATATAAATATTACCGTATAAGTTAATTTTTCTGCAATGACATTCAAAAAGGCTTCAGGGCAATATTGCTTATTTTCAGATGATTTACATTGTCTACTCTTTAAAGCAGCAATTCTATACTTGAGAATAATTGATCTATCTCTCAAATAGATCGCCTCTTTTGCTTTTTCAAGTAATTTAGGATTATAAAAAGATTTTATAACTTCTTCCTCTTCCTCTTCTTCATGATTTTCACTATTTTTTAAGTCTTGATTTTTTTTTTGACGTCGATCTTCTTCTTTTTCTGTATCTAAAAGATAATTTATAGCACTCTTTAACTTCTTTTTGCCAACAGAATTTTTGATTGAATTAGCCATATCATCGCACATCTCAAGTTCCTTTTCTAATAATGCAATCGTACGTTTGACACCATCATTCCATTCATTATCAGTAATTTCGACCTACAAAAAAAAGTTAATGAACAGATAAAAAAAAAAAAAAACGCTTTACTACCTCAAATTTGTATGGCTTAATTGTATTTTCTACTTGATCACTTGTAGTTAAAAATTTACTTCTTAATATTTCATTAGTAAAGTTCATAATTTGTTTTCTAGTCTCAGAATGATGGCTAAATGATTCAACGTTTGCTAGTCTTTCCATATTATACATCAAGACATCAACTACTAATTGAGTTGTTGCTCTTCCAATTCCACTTTTTGTTAAAGCAGCAGCGGCAAAGTCTATCTTATACAGCCAATAAATGTCATCTTGAGAAGCTTTAGGTAACTCAACAATCTTTGGATCACTCCAATATTGTTCTGCACAAATATCGAGTACTCTCTGCTCTAACATGGATCGTACTTCATGACGTACTTGAGGTTTACCAAAATTATTTGCAAAATTTTTAAAATCATGTTTTAAACAGTCCATTGTCTCGGCAACATAGGATTCAGCAGTAACTCTTCTATCATTATATTGAACCTTAAACTGATATTTGGCCTCTTCTAATTCACGTTGTACAGCATCAACAATGCTATATAAAGATTTACCCATACTTTGCTCCAAGACATTCATTAATTTGCGCCTTAAAGTAGAGGTACCTACGAGTATATCATGTTGATTAAAGATAAGATGAGATCTAAAATAAGCCTCTTCATTCTTCATTAAAGCATGAGACATATTGCTGTCATTATTATCCTGTGGCGCTTTACAGACCACACCAATATAACCTAGATGAAGTGGATAATCTGTATTACGAAGAATAGCAGCACCTACTTCTGGAGGTACAAGATCCATTTTAGTGATTACACCAATTGTACGAAGTCCAAGAGGATCCCATTTTCTGCTTGCTCTAAGAGCAGGTGAATTAGCAAGATCAACATTAGCACTACAAACGGCTAAAATGATATTGGGTCCTCGAATATATTTTTCACACAAGTCTTCAATCTTATTCTTAAGTGTCTCAGGTTGATTTCTATTTGATATTTGAATATAACCCGGTAAATCAATTAAAGTAAGATCAGGAACGTTAGGTGAATAAACACGAAGTTCAATAGGTTTATCTGACACACATTCAGATTCAGAGACAGCTAAATTCATATCTACTAAAGTCTTTTGAATCTTTTTAAAATCATGTATTTTTCCTAATCCAAGTTGAGGGAATTCTCCATATTCTTCATCTTGATTTGGTGTATGAATCAAAGTTAACTCAATAGGTCTTCGAGTAACCATATTTGTTCCCCTATACAAGACACAAAGATCAGTATTATTATTATTATTATTATTATTACCAACTTTACTTTGGAAGAAATTCATGTCCTACAATAGCTTCTAATACTGAACTTTTACCAGAACTTTGAGATCCAATGACTACTATACTAGGTAGCTTCAATGTTTCATTATGATCAATGGACATCAATATACTACGAATCTCGATTAATTTCTTTGTTAACATCATCAACTGTTCATCTTGTACACTAAATCCATATTCATTTTTCTTTCTTTTTTTATTCTTTTTTTTTCTTCCTTTTCCTCTTCGTCATCCTCATTTAAATACATAGCTATTCCTGCAGCAGCAGCAGCAGTAGCAGTAGCAGTAGCAGTAGCAGTAGCAGCAGTATCAGTATTATTATTATTTCTATCATTTCCGCTGTTATTATTTTGTTGTTGCTCATTGTTTATAGATTTAAGACTAGTGTTTTTTGTTTGTTTTGCCAGTAGTATTTTATGAAAAGAGACAGGGAGCGGTAATTGCAATTCAGATACAGATGTACCTAAACCATTAAACTTTGCATGAACATTTTGAAAAATAGAGTCAAGTAAATTCGAACTTTCTTGAATGAGTTCTTTACTTTTATCGGATAATTCTATCAAAAGAAATTTGTTAATATGTGCATTCTAATATTTTATGCGTTTGTACTTTGAAGTTTATTCGTTGCAATACTAGTCGTGCCTCTAACATGAATGGGCGTATGAATCGATCTTAGCGCCATTCGAGACATGGGCCATAAACGAATAGATCTGTTTTGAGAGTACAAGGTAAAAGGAGGAGGAGACGCATGGTAAGTATGAATACAAACTGTTTGATGCAGAAGTGAAAATGAGGTTTTAGAGTAAACAAAATCTCTGATTAGGTGAAATGAAGGCCTTGTTTGTGATGGAAATATCTTTGAATGAATAGTAAATTTATTTTTGTGAATAATTTTTGATATCATATGAAATAAATAAATTAAGGGAAGGGGACAGCCATAATTAAAAATAATAATAATAATAAAAAAAAATAATTTAACTGAGCAAAGTAACTTCAAGATTATGTAATATGGCTTAATCATTTTATTCGCAAATATAATAAAATAATTTACATTTCGAATAATGCTGATGACCTTAGAACAACCATTAGATGTAATATTTAATTTTATATTTGGAATAGATAATGAGACTTACCCATAAAAGACTTTAAATACAAAGATTTGAAGTTGTATTATTAGTACTTCATTAATAAAAAGACAAGGGAATTTACAGCCAGAATAATGTTATCAATCTATTAATCCTCAGCCATAACAATATGACCAACAAAATCAGCAAGACATAAAAAAAGAAAAAAAAGGCTTCCTTTAGTTAAAATTTAATTGTAGAACACAATTTATCGGTCTCATCGATTAAAGGATTATTATTATGTGAGGCGAGAAATGATTAGGTAGGAAATTTGCTAACTTCAAGCAAACTAGGACCTAAAAGAAATAGAACGTTTTTACGATTAAAGAAGAATTTTATTTAAAAGTTAGAAAATAACCAATGGGCACATAGCATTTATATATACTGTTTTGTCCTGGTTAGATCGCTATGGAAAAAAGGAAAGGAAAGAAAAACTCCTTTTGGGATATAAAAGGGAAAAAGTTGAAGTGTATGTATAAGTGATGATAATTAACTATCAGAAAATCGTTGTTGTATCGAAAAAAGATGATTGACAAACGGGTTCACCAAGATGGTCAGAGGGTTCAGGGATCTGGGAGTGAGTTAGATAGTCCATCCCCAAGCAGAATTGCACATATGGAAGGCCAGCGTATGAGCCAGGCATCAATTGATTTTCTCACTTTCTTAGTAGGTTCAAGAGATAAGAGGGTGGATCTTCAATAGATTTGGGGCATCTGAAGGCGGTTATGCGTATGCAAACAAGAAAAACTATATGAACGTGTGTGAGGAGTTCATTTGGATGGATATAGGAGCAAACTTGGGGCCTCGAGTTGTAGCTAGAGGATTTCTTTTGATGTTACAGTGCTCCCATCTCGAACTCTAATGAATTTTTTGAAAACACCCTCCACTTTTTCAAATGAAATTGTATAGAAAAAGGAGACTAGTTTGGTTAAATGTATGAAAGAAAAAAGAAATTGGCCACTGTTTTGACCAACTTTTGGCTAAAACGATTATAAAGGTAGATTCAATATGACTCTATATGTAAGCTTCAGATATAAATTTAAGCATATTGAAGAGTACATGATGCTATAAGCTTGCAAATTGTAAAATAAAGTGTATCACCTTCATAATATAAGTTCAAAGTTATTCCTATTAGGCATTTATTTGTATACGATTAAAATTTATAAAGCGACCTATGAGCACATAATATCTTTATTATATTGGATTGCCCAGGTCAGTTCAAATTATGTGAAAAAAAAAAGTATCTAAAAACCCTCTTACGGGACAAGAGGTAAGAAAGGTAAAGAAGAGAAGATAAGAAAGAAAGAGGAATATTGCTAACAAGTTTAAAGGGACAACCGGTTGAGTAATTTCTTGCCTGAGTCAAGAAGTGGAGGGGTTAGTTCGTCGTGTATTAAGTAATCCATTTCCTGTAGAATGATACACATAACTGGCCAGAGATAGAGCCAGACAGAGACATCCTGAGAATTTCGATACTTATGTTGATGGAGATGATTTAAAAGAAAGAAAAGGGGATCTGTGATTGATCATGGCAGGAATAAACGAGTGTGCATGTGCAAGCATTCAGTTTCATATGACCGACATTTATTTGTATACAAATATTTCGTTTCATTTGAAAAACCTTACTTGAATAATTTCGATAAATCACGTATCATAAAGAGCAATATAGGTTTTACATACATTCTTTTAATTTGTGTGATTTTGAAGAGAGAATAGGAGATCTAACCCTTTGGAGAATAAAACTCATTTTAAATCGTTTTAAACCATTTGATAATATGCTTACGTGCGCAAAGTTAACTAGTTTCTACGATTTATGGCTGACCACAGAGGGAATATCTAAATTTACTGTTCTTTGGACTGATTAAAAGCAATTATGTCTCTTTTCATGAATATCATAAAATCAAATATATTGTATCAGATTACATAAATTAAAGTTATCCATTTTATTACTCAAACTATAAGAAATAAAGAACTGTATATAGGCTAAATTATAATGGAAACAAGATCTATTCTATAGAGTAAATACAAGGAAAAGATTGGATATATGCATGGTAATTGTAAATGAGAATTATAAGAAGCACCAAATGTTATTTGGTTAACTTATTAAATAGTAATTATATTATCTAAATCCACAGCGTCATACAAACAAGATTTTATTATGAAGCTGTATTTTGAATAAACATTCAGATCTGTGGCTATTGTATGACTAATTTCAGATTGATTATATAATTGATGTATTGTTGTTATTAATAGTGGTTGTGTTGATCTGATGAATTTTCATGGTTGAATTTCTGATATAGTTTCTGGTTGATCAATGTTATTATGTATGAATTCGTATTATGTATGTGTTAGTTGGTATCTTTATATGACTGACCATAATATTGATTGATCACCATGTATACGAAAGTCTCAATTAGATGAAGGGAAGAAGGTTACGTGTCTTATCACAATATTATAATTTAAAACGATGTAAAATGAATATTTTAATGAAGAAATGAGTGTAAAAAAGGGGGTGGGTACTAGTTGTTTGAATTAAGTTTGCTCTTGATAATATTTTCATCAAACTTCTGGATCGAATACCTGCAGAACCCTTTCAAAACACTCTACAGTGCGCTGTTGCATGCATCCCTTATGCGACTGGTAAGGATTTCATTTTCCAAGAGCGGCTTGCTTTTACAGACGGACCAAAACTGTTCAATTGGGTTCAACTCAGGAGAGTATGGGGGGCAGATACAAACCAAAGTAATCGCGACTTTTGATATAATCCCTTATATATTGGTGCTTGTGGATTGAAACATTATCCATAACAAGATAATTCCCTTTAAATTCCTCGTACTGATCCAAGATATCAATAGTATTGGCGATAAAGTTGAAGTAATGGCCTATAACTGTGCAAACTGAACTTTTTTTTTCTTCTTTCTTCTTTCCAAGCTTTCTTTTTTTTTTTTTTTTTTTTTTTTTTTTTTTTTTTGGATGCTGTTACTTTTGGTATTTTAAACTTTACGTTTACAACTCCATAAGGAGAAATAGCGCCCAAAATAGTCGTCATTTTGGCCTTGGTTTTTGATGTCTTAACAATAGCACGATTGCCGACACGAGACCAAGAAAAAGAGCGTTTCATATTGATATGAATTCCTGCTTCGTCAATAAAAATACAGTTGAATTGATAATTAATATCAGTATTATCCAGCAGATTTTTAACCCACTTGTATATCTCCTCATTCTTTTCAGGGCTGTTTCTATCTTCAGGATAAAAACAAGATTTCTTACAGTTTATTCTGCACTTCTCCTTTACAAAAGTATGGAAAGCAGATTTTTTTTATCTCAAGCCCTTCAAAGTCCCTGGTTAATCTATCCATCATTTGATCCAGGATCATTCTCATCAACTAAATATATAAGATATTCGCGATTGGCATTGTTCAAGATAGGATGCCTTCCCACAGACCTTCCACTTTCAGGTTTTCTTTTGTAGACAAGTTCGTCTGGATCCTCAAGACTTTTTTTATACCATGAAGAAGCTGTACTAGCAGGAACATTTATTTATTTAGCCACAAAATAGGGCAAAATTTCCTCCGAAAACATATCGCCAAATTGGAATCCATGGTCACAGTCGATCAAAAGGAAGCATATGAAACCAATATCAGCACATTAAAACAATTTATACTTGTGGAACAACTGTTACAGCAAGCACTAAAGCAAGAAGTAGGCAATCTACCACCTTTTCTTTGGGGTAACAAAATTGTTGCTGACTCAGACAAACAAAAACTAATCAATGTCACAAAGTCTTTACTCGCTGCTTTTGCGGATACCTGTTCAAGAATAGCAATAAAGACAAGACCATATAAAGACTATGAGAGGATGTTCTGGATACAATACATTGTACCCATTTTTCGGATATTCGCAAATCAAACGGGTTTATTATCACTCAATCGGTGTGAAATTCCAACTATGCACCATTCCATTGAAGACTAAGATGCGACGCGATACGTAGATGGGATGGGATATGATGACAGAAGAAACGAACGGGTTGTCTTTGAAGCGTTTTCTGGTCAATGCAATGCCAGTATAGATAAGATAATTGACGATAGTACCAAGAAAATTAGTTCAACGATGTTAAAGCTGAAAGGCACTGCAAGTTTCCATCTGAATGCAAAATTTGACACCTTATTAAAGACAAAAGTTTTTGGCATCCAATCTATCAAAACAAATATCGTATTATCAGAAATGCTATTTCAAGAAGATGGAAGATATCACTACCGCAAAGTCCGCTCAACAGAAGTCCCTGCAGAATATGTCGAACGGAACAAGTAGATCAAAATTTTTGAGATCTTGTGTTACTTGTTTGTTGAGCTAAAAAAACCAAGAAGTATGTTATCAAGTCATAGAAGATGAAAAACATGGAGCTATATTGGTAATACCTGATTGCTTGGAACATAAACTGCTTTAAAAACTCAACACATTTCGTACATTTAGTACAATGAAAAATTGCACCAATAAAAAAAAACATTATGATGCCAATCTTCAGTGTTCTAGTGACTATTTCATTTTAACCAAAAGATTAGTATGCAAACTGTTTTTTTTTTTTTTTTGTTAAATTTTTCAAGTTCTTTAGTAAGAACAATATACTCATTAAAATTCCTTTATTTATATCAATATAACGTTTGTTATAAAGTTACTTTCTTGAATATCTTATATTGTGCACACACTAGCAAAGTGCTTCTTAAGGGGGGGGTAATACTGAAAAAAAACTAAAATTTATATGTATGTGTGTGTGTATAAAGAGTAATATATTAAAACCATTTTGATTTCAATAATGTTTGCTTAATTAAAATATATATCTTTTCGTGTTATAACCTAATGATTTTGACAATTATATATAACATATCAGTTCAAATTAAACCCAATAAAAAGAGAAGAATAAAAGATACATTACCTTCATAAAGAAGGAAAGATAAGAAATAGTTTGCTTTATATGATATGATTTCATTTTTCTAAAGTAATAAAGCGTGATAGTTTTTTACTGGTTAAAATGGCCTTTAAATAGTTTATTTCCATTCAATTTTTCAGTTAGGACAACCTCTACCATATAAGCTTTACTATGTTCAATTACTTATCCAGGGTCTGCCTTTCATGTATTTTATATTAAATTTAAATAACAGATTAGGAATCTTATTTTCTCTCCCCCCCTTTTTTTTTTTTTTTGTCAGAATACAATTAAACTTCCGTTATTATATTAATGATGATTTTCACTCTATTTCAAAACCTTTAACTCTCCCCCCCCTCTTTTTATAATAACAAAAACAACACAAATTATAATCCAGTCAGGATAATAATAATAATAATAATAAAAAGGCTGAAGTTTCAGAAATGAGTTCCTTGACACAATTTAACTTGGACCATTTTACTTTTTCTGTACCTGGAATTAATTCAGATTTCAGAATAACTCAATTATTACAAGTAATCAGCAAGGCTTCAATTGACTTGATCTTAATTTGTTAATTTGTTAATTAGTTTTGTTTTTTTATTTTTTTTATTTTGTTTTATTTTAGAGAGCAAGTTTCTTACAATCACTTGGTGCTACTGAAGAGAACAATTATGAATTAGCTCAAATTAGACAACATTTAAAACTCATGCAAAATGTTTCACATGGAGCAATGAATTACAAAGAACAAGAAATACAAAATGAACAAGGTAATAAAAGAAAAGGAAAAAAAAAGTAAATAAAATTGTGATTCCTGTATTTAGGCGTATCTATTGATATAATTCAAAAAGAAAAACAGCATTATAATAGTAGTAGTATATTTACACCTGATCGATTATCTGCTTTAAAACACCAAATTATGGCTTTTAAATTGTTGTCTAAAAATACACCTTTACCGCCAAATCTACAACAAGCTGTTTTAACTCCTTTGAACAATAACTCTATAACAAAGCATATTAATAATCCTAGCTCATCTGCTTCTAAAGATGCATATGTATCACCTTTAAGTTTGCTTGTTAAGCCTATATCATGCTATGCTCATTCTTCTCGACATCATAAAATACTTGTACCAAGTATTTTACCTATTGGCGTTGATCCAAAGGAACTTATTTCACAAAGAGAGCAAAGATTATTAGTACGTTTACAAGGATATCAAAAGAGAGGAAATACGATTAAAGATACCATTCAATTCAAATCAATCAAATTGCATGGTGTTCAAAAAAGGGTATTAAAAAATAAAGCATCTATGTATAAATTGAAGACTTATATATTGTTATATTGAAAAGCTACGAAATGAACTCGTTTCTGGTGTTATAAAATCTACAGTTTTAGCATTGTCCATGGATAGAGTCTCTTATAGACGTATGAAAAAAGTTTCTTTAAGAGATGCACGTCAAGTTGAATACATAGATAGACAACAATATCAGTCAAGACACCAGATGTTACAAGAGATGAAACAGAATCGTCTTTATGCTATCTGTGAGCATGGTTCTCAATTGATTACTCATGGTAAACTTAAAGAAAGTAAAGCCATCAAGTTAGGTCGTGCTGTTCTCCAATATCATCAACATATTGAAAAGGAAGAACAGAGACAGATAGAGAGGGTCTCAAAGGAGCGTATCTTAGCTCTCAAAAATGATGATGAAGAAGCTTATATGAAATTAATTGACAAAGCTAAAGATACTCGTTTAACTCAACTTTTGAAACAAACAGGACAATTCTTGGAATCTCTTACAAAGTCAGTAATTGATCAACAAAATGAGAATAAGAGGATGATTGCATATAAAGCCAGAAATGATATTGAAGTAGAGTTGTCTTATAATAATCTATTAGATGCCTGTATAAATATTTACTCTTTTTCTTTTTTTTTTAATAGTATGATATTGATACAGAAGATAATGCATCTACAGAAGATTATTTTCAAATATCCCATAAAGTGTATGAAGAAGTATATCAACCAAGTACTTTGGTGGGCGGTAGACTAAATGACTATCAAATAAAAGGCTTACAATGGATGGTTTCTCTTTTTAATAACAATTTAAATGGCATATTAGCTGATGAAATGGGCTTAGGAAAGACAATTCAAACAATAGGCCTTATTACTTATTTGGTTGAAGTAAAGAAACAAACAGGCCATTTTCTTATCATCGTTCCTTTATCGTAAGTATCGAACCAAAGAAAAAATAAATAAGTAAATAAATAAAAATAATATAAAATGACATTGAATAACTTGTGTATGTAGGACATTAACAAATTGGACATTGGAATTTGAAAAATGGGCCCCTTCTATAGAAAAGATCGTTTATAAAGGAACTCCTCCAGTTCGACGTGAATTAGCTAATTGTATTAAAGCAGGAAAATTTCAAGTCTTGCTAACAACATTTGAATATATTATTCGAGATAGATACATACTTAGTAAAGTGAAGTGGCTATATTTAATTATAGATGAAGGTCATCGTATGAAGAATTCTAATTCAAAACTTACGGTATGTCTTAGACAACATTATCGTACTCAATATCGTCTCATCTTAACTGGCACACCACTTCAGGTAAAAATATCTATCATCGTCGTCTTTTTTGTTTGTTTGTTTGTTTGTTTATTTATACTTTCACTTCTATATAGAATAACTTACCTGAGTTATGGGCTTTACTTAATTTTATTCTTCCAAAAATATTTAAAAGTGTAAAAACGTTTGAAGAATGGTTTAATACCCCTTTTTCACATCAGGGTGTACAAGATAAAGTACACTTAAATGAAGAAGAGCAACTACTCATTATTAAGCGACTTCATAAAGTACTCCGTCCTTTCTTATTAAGGCGTCTTAAATCAGATGTAGAAGCAGAATTACCTGATAAAATTGAGCATATTATCAAGTGCAAAATGTCTGTCCTACAGGCAAAATTATATCAACAAATTAAAAAACATAATGCTCTCTTCTTTAGCAATAATTACACAGATAATACAAAAGGGTACTTTTACGCGTATATATAGATGTACATATATGAAGGAAATAGAGATCTAATTTATCTCTTTCTAACTAGGTCTATACAAGTGAAGGGTTTAAATAATACAGTTATGCAACTTCGGAAAGTATGTAATCATCCATTTGTATTTGAAGAGGTAGAGAATGCTTTAAATCCTAGTGGAAAATCGAACGAATTACTCTACCGAACCTGTGGCAAATTTGAATTATTAGATCGAATGCTGCCCAAGTTAAAGAAGACAGGTCATCGTGTTTTAATGTTTTTCCAAATGACCTTTATCATGAGTATTATGGAAGATTATTTGAATTGGAGAAATTATAGTTACTTGCGTTTAGATGGTTCAACTAAAGCAGAAGACCGCTCAACTCTTTTACATGATTTTAATGAACCCAATTCCCCTTACTTTATCTTTCTATTAAGTACACGAGCTGGTGGTTTAGGTTTAAACTTACAAACTGCAGACACAGTCATCCTATTTGATTCAGATTGGTAACCATACATAATTTTTAACTATATACATACATACATATATATATATAAGGAGAGAGAGAGAGAGAGAAAGAGAGAAAAAGAGAGATTATATAATTAATGTTAATATGATAGGAATCCTCATCAAGACTTACAGGCTCAGGATCGAGCACATCGAATTGGTCAAACAAAAGAAGTTCGTATTTATCGATTAGTTACATCTAATTCAATTGAAGAACTTATTTTAGCAAGAGCTCAATATAAATTGGACATTGATGGTAAAGTTATCCAAGCAGGTAAATTTGATAATAGAAGTACAGAAGAAGATCGTGAAGCATTCTTGGTAGGTAGCAAAAAGAACAATAATAATAAAAAGAAAAGCCTTTGTTCACACACATACAATACAGAGAAGTTTATTAGAAGATAAAATGGATGAAAGTGAGGATAAGATAAATGAAGAAATAGATGATGAGGAATTGAACGAAATATTAAAGCGCTCAGATAAAGAACTTGCGATATTTAAGAAAATTGACAAGGAAAGAGTAAAAACAGAAGCACAGATGTATAAACGAAGAGGAATTTCTAAACCACTTGATCGATTAATACAAGAGAATGAGTTACCTGAAGAATTTTTACAAGAGAATAATGTATTAATTGAGCGAGAGACTTTAGTTGGTTTTGGACGAGGTCATAGGGCAAGAGATGATGTTCTTTATGACGATGGCTTATCAGATGAAGAATGGTTAAATGTAAGTTCTTTTTTTTTATGCATATAAATACATATTTATTTTTTTTTGACTTTGGTATAGGCCATTGAAAATGGAAAAAACTCATTACAAGAACTGCAATCTAATAGAGCTAAAAAACGAGGTCGTACAACTGATATTAATGATGAGCAAGATATAAATGTTTATAGCAGTAATAAAAAGAGCGGATTCAATAAAAAGATGCATGAGGTAAAAGATAATAGATTTCTATATATGCTTTTTTTTTAAATATTTATGATTATTAGATTGATCGAAAACGTGGAAAAAGCAAACAAATATCACCCTTGATACGACAGCAATTAACTCAAATTTTTCAAACATGCTATCAAGCAATAGAAAATGCTGTTGAAGAAGATAAAACAACATACAGACAACGATGTGAATTATTTATGGATCTTGTTAGTAAAAAAGAATACCCTTATTATTATACTCTGATAAAAAATCCAATTTCTATGAACATGATAAAAGAACGTATTCATACAGACTATTATAGTAACATACTAGAGTTTGAAAATGATTTTCATCTCATGTTTGAGAATGCACGTATATTTAACGAAGAAGGCTCAACAGTCTATAAGGATGCAGATGAAATGCAGGTACGTATCTTATTGTCTATTTTTAAGTGATCTATAATAAAAATAATTGGTTTAATAGAAAATCTTTGATAAAGAACTCGAAAAGCATTGTCCTAATGGAGTTTTACCAAATGTATACCAACAACAAAATTTATCATCCATCTATTTATCAAATACAACAACAAGATCCAAAATATCGAGAGCAAAAATGAATAAAATACAATAAAGTCGAAAAATGAAATAGTATGGCAATAAGTATGGATTTATCTTTATTAAGTATCTATTTTATATGCAATATCGGGTATAACAGGGCCTAAATTAGTCAATATAAAAATAAATTACAAGGATTATATTATGTAGTTATATATACATATACATATACGAATAAATATATAACATAAATCATAAGCTATTTTTTTTTTCTTTAAATAAACTATTTATTTCACCATACACTACTAATTTTTTTTTCGCTTTACAGCAATATATATTTATATTTATATATGTATATAATATGTGTCTATATGTGTGTATACATAGATAATGCCTCAATGTATAGTTGGCTCTATTTCATATTTATATAAAAATACGAAACTGAAACTAAACGAAAAAAAAAAAACTTTTCCTTTCCCTTGTTGTGCATTATGATACAGTTATCTTATTTTTTTTTCCTTTAAAAAAATAAATAAATAATATATTACTTTTATTTAATAATTCTTCTACATGTCAGAACATCCATATAACATAATAGATGCAAAAAATGGGCAAACAAGAATACAACAAAGTGCATTTCCAGCTTGGCATAACCGTAGATATTCATCTACAATTGATACTATTTTAGGTGGTGAAAGAAAATACGGAGGATTTGAAGCTTTACAAAATTTAGTTAAAAGACAAGAAGAAGACGAAATGAATCGAATTAATAATAGCAACGCTAATACAAACTTTGAAGAAAATGAAAAAGATTTAGTCAATAAAACGATTTCCATTCAGCAGAAGAACCCAGACAAGACTTATGATAATTCAGCTTTTAATAAAATGTATCAACGACAAAGAAAAGATAACAGTGTTAGTGTTATAACTAAGAAACGTCGTACTGTCAAATTCATAAACGAATAAATATGAGAATTATTATACAACTTGATAATAAAATGTAGTTGTAAACTTATTGTTCAAAACTACATGATGAATGTTCATATTTATTGATTTTTCTCTTTTTATTTTATGGGATTATAATTAGGAGGATTAAGAATAGTAGAATAACTTGCTCATACTGTTGAGTATTTTTAAATTATTCAGTTTATTTTCGAATATTTGTTCAAGTAGGACTAATGTATAAACTTTCTTCCAAACCAAAATAAATATACATGTATATTTTCTTCATCCCTTGATAAGCTTTATCTTTTTCTTTTCAGTTGTACTATAAGCAATAATCATACTTATCGACTCCATTTTATTATATTAATATATCCTATTTATTCCTACAATCCTTTACTAGTAGTTTACAACATGATTTAATCCTGTTAAATTATCTTAAGAAAATTTAAAAAATAATTATATGCCTCTCTCTCTCTCTCTCTCTCTCTCTCTTTTTTTTTTTTTTTTTTTTTTTTTTTTTTTTTTTTTTTTTACAGTAGAAATCTATTATAATGTATTTACTGATTTTGTATAACTAAATGACTTCCTCAATATGTAAGCATATGATCTAATGTATTATATAAGTAGCACTAATTATAGAAATTTTAGACTTGTTTATCAATGGTTTTTAGGAATTTCTATGGATATAACTAGTTTATACATAAAATAATCTTTCTCTCTCTTTAAATATACTAAAACTTGTGTCTTACAGATATATTTCATCCATAGTATTTGTCACTTAAAGAAGTAAAAGTAAATTGGCGGTCTGCTGTAGTATCATCGTTAACAGATATTTGTTAATTCCCGTCTTTACATTGTAGCGAAAATTTAATCGTGACTTTGAAATCTTCATACTCAATGCGCTATTTACTATACGAAAGCATAAAAGGTGAATTTTATTTTATTTTATTTATTATTTTTTTTAATACAAATATTTTTTTTTCTAAAAAAAAAAAAAAAAAAAAAAAAATGAATAAGCCTCACGAAGAAAGCAAATCGCCGCCTTCTTCACTTGAAACTCCTTCTATAGTCAAAGCACAAACTACACCTACAACAGTAAGTACAGAGACCAAATCAACCGATACGAACACAGCAACTATAAAGGGAAAGAAGGATAAACATAAGAAAAGCTTAAAGACTCAAAATGAAATGGAAGAATATTATGAACACTTGGACAAACATGTAACAGAAGTACGTCGACGTAGTAAAGTAAATAATCTTATTGCACCTAAATTATCTGATTTTCAAAATAAAGAATGTGATATTATGTCGACTCAATGGATAGACTTTATTGAAGCTGTAAGTAAGTGTAACTTATTTTGAAGGACATGATTTTAGTAACGACTCTCTCTCTCTCTATTTATATATATATATATATAAGTGGATTAAATATATCATTGATTCTGCTACTTATGATGATATTGATAGACCACTTGAACCATTATCTTTAAGCACTATGAAACATAATATGGATAGACTTTATCCCATGTTAGTTCCTTTAATCCAGATTGCTAAAAGAATCAGTTATGTCTATCGATGGGAGAATAAAGTTTTGACAGGTGGGATTGCCAGTGTAAGTTTTATATATATATTTATATATATATGATAAATAGATTAAAGTAGTATAAAAGCTGTACTTGTTGTTATGGTATTATGATATGATTTTGGCAGCTCTATGTATTTGGATAGCTTTAGGTATCATCTGGATTCGAATTGATATGTTTGCTCAATATGGCGTTGATGTCTTAGAAGAGCAGCCAGGAAATGATACCATGATGAAGTCTTTAAACCAACACTTTTGGAGAAAAATGAAAAGTACAATGTTAGCTCAATCTTATTATGGATCCACAGTCTTTGATGATGCTCTACTTGCTGAATGGCGTAATGATATTTACACTAAATATGGGCCAATGTTGCAACTAATTGTAAGGCAAAAAAAAAAAAAAAAAAAAAAAAAAAAACTTGTGTTTATTAATAATATATGCATGTGTATTTATATTATTAGCTGTCTGACACTATTGATTATCTTGAACGTATAAAAAAGTAGGTTATAAAGTAAAGTTATATGTTACAAGTAATAATCATGTTCTCTCCTCCCTTCCCTTTTTTCCTTTTAGCTTATTTACATGGAAAAGGCCTGCAAAAACTCGCATACTTCTTATCATCATCGCAAGTTCATCTTTTTGTTTATCATTCATTCCTCTTCGATTCATCGCTAAAATCATGTTTTTCTATATTGGATTTGAATTTTTGTATTACAAGCACTCCGTTCATATTATCCTAGACATCGTCGTTTATTTAATATATTGAATTTGTTATTATGGGATATTCCTAATGATGCTGAATATGCTATAGAAGTCATACATTTATCTCGTAAGAATGAAGTAGAAGGAAATACTAAAAAAATGAGAGTCGTGGTAATGATGATAGTAGTCAAACAGCAAAATCCCGTAACAAGTCATTATCTGCCTCTATGTCCGATCTGTCAGCAGTGAATGAATCAGCTACATCCACTACAACTACATTCGCCATGTTGGCAGCAGCTGCGGCTGTTAATAAAATTAAAAAGACAGTTGATAATCATGCAACTAAGAAAAAGAAGGAGATAGAAGAACTTATTCCTCCTGATAATCGTCCTGACTGTAAATTATTGTATTTATAGTTATAAGACTAGTTTACTCATGTTTGTATATAGGCTTTGGATGTATGTATAAAGGTAGTATTCCTGGACGTATTTATCTTAAAAGAAATGCATTTATATTTCAAACATCAAGAATGACGGGCAGTAAAGTTTTAGTTGAATGTGCATTTCGTGATGTTATAGGTGTCAAGAAAACAAAGCAGTATGATATGTTTGTATTACGTTCACATGGTATTGATATTAGTACAACTGATGGTATGATTCTTAAGTTTGAAAATGTACTTCATAGAGATGAATGTTTCAATCGCTTGGTATCTGCTTCTAGTAAAGATGGTGGTGAATGGAAGAAAATGTAATAAACTATTTTTTTACTCCATTTTGATTATTGTTGTGTTTATCGTTTTCTTTTTTTTTATACATTTTTATTAATATTATACCAGCATGTAAAAAAAAAAATGAAGAGGTTTTAAATTAATCCTAAAAGTAAAAAAGAAAGAATTACAAACATGTCAGTAAGAGGATATATTTAAATTTCACTTTTTCTGCTCTTTTACCTGGCGTGATTTGAGTGTACGAGTTATGATTTCAGTTGGGGTTCTAAATAAAATACAATAAAAAACATGTTAATTAAAATGACTTGTTCACATTATTTCTAACTTACATGACATGAACAACCGCACCCCAACCTGATAAAGCATCTCTGTCTTGTGCATTCAATAAAGCTTGAGAAATAGTTTCAAAAAGATCCTCAGGTTCAAGATCAGGCTCCCAAAGAGATTCACACATGCCGTATAAATTAGTTGATGCAGTACCACTAACAACAAAATCTTTTGCAAAATTAATGCATCCAATTAAATCCATAGCACAAATAAAAGGCTTATTGTCTTTTCCTAAGCCAGCAATAACGGGTTCAACAAAATATGGGCCGAATCTAATAAGCAAACAATAAGAATACATGTATATTATACTAAGATAATAATATTAACCTTCTTTCATATAAAGTAGAAGACACCATATGAGCAAGAGTTTTTGGTTCCATTTCTCTTTCTTCACGCATCTTGTACATGTTTGTCTTGAAGCGAAAACGATCCGCTCTAATATTAATATTGAAAAAAATAAAATAAACATCAGTTGATATTTGTTGATTCTAATTTTAATTAAATATTCAGGTCCTTATTGATTTGCTTACAATGTTAACACATCAGTAGCTAAACCGGGTAAGCCAATGAAAGTCTTTTCAGATGCTCTAAAGATTTTTTGAAATTCAGTTGACACTGTCATGAACTGGGCACCTAAACGTTTATCTGCTGCAATTGCAACACAATCCTTTCCAACCATGGCTACAACAGAGCCACCATTATATTGCATAATTGACTTTTTTGTTTTAAATTCATCAAGAAAAATTTATAGATTTTGATTAGAATAAATATAAAAAGTAAGTCTCTTTCTTTTTTTTTCTTTCTTTTTTTTTTTTTTTTGTTTATCTTTTTCCAAAACTATTACAAAATTAAACTTAGCATCTTACCATGATGAATTATATATTTTATATGTTAAAATAAGAAAAAAGTATAAAACGAAATAAAAATAATATACGAACTCGAAGTTTCGCCTATTTTTCTTCCTGAATATCTTTTTGACGCGTAACTGCTATAGACTGTTACTTTAAAACTATATTCAGATGACGTGGTGATTCAAATTATACTCCGCTATTCCTCTTTATTTTATTTATTTTATTTTATTTTTTAACACTGTTTCCAAAATAAATTAGACAGAATCATGCTTTACTTTTAGAAATTACCAACTTTTATTTGGAATTGCTTAATAGACACTGGATGAATAAGTCCAGTTTAAGAGTAAAATTATTATACAATATATTAGAAATGGTCTACAATAACTAAAGATCTGCCATTTATTAGGCATATTGGACGTTTTTATATAAATTTAACTTTCACTTACATAAGCTCAATCACATTAAAGATTTTAACAGCTATTATTTGGCTGAGAGAAGTAAAAGAAATACAAAAATACAAAAAAAAAGGACTCTGAAGAGTATGTAGTATAAAATATTCTTGTTATTAGTCTGTTAGTAGTTTCTTTGAGATTATGTGGCAATCCTCTTTAAAATTTTTCTCTTATAAACGCCTTTCTTTGTGAGCAAGATTTTCCTACTGATACTAATAAATAGATTCTATTATCATACATAAGTATAATTATTCGTCAAGAGCCTAAAATATTTCTTTACTTTTTTTTTTTTTATAAAATTAATGACTCAGTATTGGATTTCCATTAGATTGAGAAAAAAAAAGCTTTCAATATAGCAATATTCTGATTACACCTATGGAAGCCTTTAGAATCACTTTTATAAAAGAAAATATGACACAAAGATAAAACTGGAATTCCTTACATCATGAACTGTTTTTAAAAACGATCTTTTTACTCATATCAATTACATCTTGAACAGCCTAGAAGCATTATTAGTTTAAGGATAAAGCTTTTCTACAAAAATAGTTGCTTTTAAGTAATGAAATATATTAAGCAAAGTCGAAAATCTATCTAATAAAAAACTTAACATAAAATATTAGAATATGTATTTTTTTAAAGGTGCAAATAGTAGTCACTCGTGTAACATTTCATTATAAAACGATATAAAAGGCACGAATGTTTAATTTCCTTCTTTTTTTTCTTTTTTTTTCCCTTTTTTTTTTTTTTTCAGAAATGTGGGGAGCCTGTTTTATGCCGGGCTATGAATAGCACTGAAAATCGCCCCGTCTGTATAGTGCCTCCCATGGCTGATGGAAGGTAACACAGACCCATAGAATGTTTATTGATAATAAGAGTAGTAGATAACTACAAACAATATTAGTTCGTCATATACAAAAGTGTTAGGCTTCTAAAGATTGTTTCGTAAAATAGCCCTTCTTGTTATACAATAGAACATTCAAGAGGTTAAAACAATATATGCTTTCATTTATAATAAAAGACATTTAGTGTCTGCTTATCGTCATTGTAATTAAAACCAGCGAATATGCTTAAAGTTGATAGCTTATATATAAACAATATCCATGTGCCATATCATTAGAAGAAGATCTTTTGGGATGATTTATAATGATATGTTTCTTGGTTAAATAAGTGGATCATAAAGGTTTGTTTTTTTTTTTTTTTTTTTTTTTTTTTTTTTTTTTACAATCTTATTATAAAATCAGCTTCTTCAGAAAGAGATGTTTTGTGTTTATTTCTTTTCTATTTCATTATTGTATTGAACATAAGAAGGAAAGAGAAGATGGCAATTAAGAAAATGTCTAGCTTCTAACTAAAAAAAATATATATATATACATTTATAATACTTATACAATCAAGACGAGGACTCCTCTTCTTTCTCTACCTATTAATTGTGTCTATATGCTAAGCTGTTAATAAAGAGAAACCATATTTTTAACGCAATTACTAATAAAGTAAATACACACATTGATACATTATATGTGATTTAACTTTTGAATGAATGTATCAGTATGATTATATTGATTTCACCTCTGTTTTATCTGGATCTTTTAAATTTTTATAGCTCTAAAGCAACATAGGTGTGATTTTTTCAAACATGCCTGTATCATTGTGTCGGAGATTAAAGATATAAACTAACATTTCATTGCTGTAAAATTCATTTACTTTACTACATTATCTTCTTTCTCAAATATTTAAATACGATGGCCTTAGCTCCTCAATTTTCTGGACACCGTTTAGGTTCTGCTCTTGCACCTAATACTCTTGAAATTTACTTGGACTATGTTGTATGTTAATACTTTATGCGTATTTATCCTTTTTTTTTTTACTAACTTAGTTTAGTGTCCTTTTTCCGCAAAAATCTATAAAAAAATTCGCGAAGTATGTTGTTTTGTATATAGAAATGAACATAAAATGGTTAATTCACTATTTCTTCTTTTATGAATAGGATGTTTGGCCTTATATTGAACAAATCTATCCCAATAAGGTTCAACTCATCTTTCGTCAACAAGTTCAACCTTGGCATGCATCTTCAACTATTGTTCATGAGGCTGCTCTTGCTGTTGAAAAAATTGACAGTAAAAAATTTTTTGAGTTTTCTGATATTTTATTTGCCAACCAAAAAGAGTAAGTCTTTTGTTTATAAATATATAAAACATATTATACTAATCTCTTTTGTCAGTTATTTTGATGAATCTTTAGAAAACAAAACTCGTAGAGAGACTGCTAATAGTTTAGCTAAATTAGCTGAAAAAGTAGGTGTATCTGCAGATAAGGTCCTTGAGCTCTTAGTCAATGGTACAAACGAGCCAAAGAATGCAGGAAATAAAGTCACCAATGACTTGAAATTATGTATTCGTATTGGTCGTCAAAATGGTATTCATGTCAGTCCTACTCTTTTAGTTAATGGTATTCGTGATGATAGTGTTTCATCTAGTTGGGACCTTGATCAATGGAAGGATTATTTGAAAAACAAACTTTAAAGCAATAAATGCGTGTTTTTTTATTTTTTATTTTTTATTTTTATTTTTATTATTATCATTATCATTATTTATTTATTTATATTTTTTTTTTTTTTTTGAGGCTTCATATTTCAAATTTTGACTGATTGTGTACTTTTTTTATAAAAAGAAAGATTTTAGGATTACTTGAAAAAAAAAGTGTTTATTTCATGCATATTAGTATGTGTATAAAATGTTTATGAATGTGTAATAATTTAAAAAATATGAATGAAAAACTTTTTAAGCAAACATTTTAGCATAAGCATTCTTCTCCTTTTGTCTCTTGGCGGACAACTTGGATTTAGCATTAGCAAGCTCTTTCTTAATACCGGCATCATTAGGATCTAATTCTTGAGCTTTTGTAAAGTCCTCAACAGCACCTTCTAAATCTTTGCTGTTCAACTTGGCCATACCACGTCGGAAATAGGCCTTGGTGAAATCTGTATTCTTCAAATATTTTCTATCGTATTCTAATACCATTGTGGTCACCTTCAAACAGTCTGAATGATCACCCAACTTGAGATCGCACATAGCTCTATTAAGGAAACAAGGAATTTTAATAGAAGCGTATTTAACGCGAAGCTCTTCAGGATCCTCTTCATCAAAGGCAGGCTTAAAATTCAAATAACGAATAGCCTTAAGGTATTTTTTAGATGCCTTTTCAAAATCGCCCTTCTTAAAGTAGCTATTACCGATGTCCTTAAGTTTACTAGCGATTTCAATGATATCTCCGAGTTCCTTAGGTCCCTCATGATCATCTAAAAGAAAGAAAGAAAAAAAAGAAAAAAAGGGTTAAAATAGGAGAAACTAATAAAAACCTTTCTCTATTATCGCTTATATATCTTTACCAGGGAATTCTTCATAATTGTCACCATCTTCACTAACAGGAATACCATCGTCTTCACCTTCAGCCAACTCACCACAATTGGTAATGACGGCATCCTTCAAGGGTCTATCGTTACTAGTCTCTAAAAATTCAAGAGTGCGAACAATACCTTTACCCTTTAAAACTTTACCAAATACAACATGTTTACCATCTAAATGAGGAGTTGGAACAGTGGTAATAAAGAACTGAGAGCCATTTGTGCCTGGACCAGCATTGGCCATAGACAATAAGAAAGGTTTATCGTGCTTCAACTCGAAGTTTTCATCTGTTTAACATATGTATATGTATACGTGTGTGTGTGTGTGTGTTTGTAAATATATGAAATTAGCTCCCTTTTTTTTTTATTTTTTTTTTTGGCTTACCTTCAAACTTTTCGCCATAAATAGATTCACCACCAGTGCCATTACCAGCAGTGAAATCACCACCTTGACACATGAAATTCTATTAATGAAAATATGTTTAGTCATATACATCTATAGCATCAAGTATACACAGAAATCAGAACTCACTTTGATAATACGATGAAAAATGCTTCCTTTATAGCACAAAGGCTTACCACTTTTTCCAACACCCTTTTCACCTATGGTTAGCAAGAATCAAATAAATAAATATCTTAACTCTCTTCTATATTATGTACGCATGCATATATAACTACTTACCGGTACAGAGGGCGCGGAAGTTTTCTGCTGTCTTGGGTACAATATCCTTAAACTAATAAAATAAAATAAACAAGTTAATATACATGATTATCATTTAACATAATTAGATATTATTTTTACCAACTCAAAGACAATACGTCCTTCTGGCTTGCCACCAATAGAAATATCAAAGAAACTATATCAAATAATTCGTCATTAATTAGTTTCAGCAATTCAATTGAAAGAAGAAAGAAAAAAAAAAGCACATGAACACTATACACTCGAGGGTTAGACATGTTTACTAAAGTTATCTCTATGTGATAAAATTTGTTTAGAAAGTTTTAGAAAAAAAAAAATGAATAAATAAATAAATTTGGTGAATTTAAATCATACAAGTATACAAGTCACAACGACTTGCAGTGACAAAAAAGGTGCTTGTTTTTTCTCGAAAAATCCACAATAAAAGGTATATTGCTTGCATAAATTTTATTCTGAGATCTTTAATATTTTGTTTATTTATGGATACTTGAAAAAAAAAAAAGATAAGATTTTCGTTGATTAAACGGTTTAACATTCTAGTTAAAAACATGAAGATGCTTCGACAAAACTGTATTCAGTTGATGAAAGATATTATTTGGCCTCATATATATCAACTCTATATAAATGAGAGTCTATATACAAATATAATATTCAAGGAAAAAATATGATTAACAAAAACCAAGAGTCTAAATAATATAACACATACATATAAATAGATAGGATATGCATACAACAGAAAAATACGCTTATATTTCAAACTGTCATGAACTGGCTTATCATGTCATTCTTTATTTAATTAAAATAAACGGATCATAGATTCTTCTGTAATCCTCATGGTCTACTTGACGAATAATAACAAGATATTCAATGCTTCATTATCTATAACATATATCATTCTGTCGTAACTAATAATTCTCTGATTTATACTTTCTCTTTTAACCATTTTGTACTTTATATCTTATTAATTAGATATATTACTCAAATAGATACACTAACATATTATACATCCACGTCATAGTATATATATACACAGTTTATGGTGATCAAGATTCTTTACTGATATACTTATAACTTATGCTTGTGGCAAATCATACTATAGGATAGTAGTTTTTGTATTATTATTTTGAAGAATGATCTATTGAATTATCAATGAATAGTGTTATATTAGTTAGTTGATGAATAGTTATCTATGCTATTGAACAAGCACTGGATAATATAAGCATAAGTAAAATAATGTTATACATGAATTACATAATAAGCCTGAATATAAAGTAGATGCAAAAAGAATATTGAGTCTTTCTTTATATTCTCTTTTGCCTTCTTTTTCTTTTTCTTCTTTTATTGGTTATTCTTCTTAAATAAATAATATTGCTTTTACAAACAAAAAAAAAAAAAAATGGGAAAGGAATATAATAGAGTATTCAAAATGGTATATATGTATACAAATATGAATGTATAACTTCTTTTTTTTTTTTTTCTGGTTTCATTCACCAAATGTAAAAGTCACTATTTTCTGTAAGAGATAGAACTTTAATAGGTTCTCCTAATTGTGTTTCCATTCCAGCTTTAATTAAACGACTTGTGAAACGTGTCCTTTCTTTACGTTCTTTCTGGATAAACTGAGAAGGTACGATACCTGTTGTTAAAGAAAAATAATTAGGAGGTGATGGAGTAGTGGGAGAGATAGAGAAAGAGTTTGATAAGTCTAGATCATCATTATCATTATCATCATCATGACTCATTCTTCTTGGAGGCTCATCTAAGGAAGGATCAAAAAAGACAGGAGATTCTTTTGAATCAAGATAGGATTCAATTGATGTTAAATGAGGTATGTTTAATAAATGACTGTAAGGTAGATTGGTGATACCTATTGGAATAGACCATTTTTCACTATTGACATCATGCGTCGTTAATGCCTTTGTCTTTTTAAAATAAATACGAAGGACGATTGCATAATGAATACAGAGATAGCGAGATTGAAATGAAGGTGATACGAGTTTCGTGGGCAAAAGAAACTGAACAGGAATCTTGACTGATCCTGCGTTTCCTGTCACAGATGAGATAGTGTGACCTGTGATCTTTCTTGCTTTATATTTACGTGCAAGTCCATGTTGAAGTTGAAGCTGTCCAATATATCGTTTCTCAAGTAGGATATCGACACTTGCAACAACCAAATTAGGTTGAATACAATCCACTTGAAGGTCAAAATTGATTAGTTCGTCTATTATAATAATAGAATAGATGATATATATATATATTTATGTAAGGTTAAATGTATTCGTGGGTTATTATCAGCAGAGAATATATTACCTGGACAAAATGATTGTTGTGGGAAAGTGGCTGTGGCATGGGCAAGAGATAAGGTTGGTTGCCTTTTTTTATAGGATTGAAAAATGATTTGTTTAAATATCCATTGCTTTGAAGGAGAAGCGCAGATGATGGGTCTGTAAGGTACAATATAGTCCCTTGAACATAAGCCAGGATTATAAACAGGTCCATCCAGATGAGCTGACCAAATATAACGAATTGAGAATCCTACAAGATCATCTGTTGATGGAGGGAAATTCACATTTGGAAACTAAATAATCTATTTTAGTATTCATCAGAATAGGTCACGTTGCCCTTTCCTTTCCATTACCTTTAACGCAAAAGGATATTCATACTCGCCTATTTCAATTGTTTCCCAAAAGCTAGATAAATATGCTTTGTAATTATAAAAGAAAATGAACATTAATAATAATAATAAAAAAAAAGGACATTATACTGTCATCTTCTCTTACGTCTTGGTTCTATTCCCCAGATTTTAGTTACAATATCAAAATAACTTGTAATCACCTGATCTATTCGTTCAATTTTATTTTCTAATCCACCTTCTTTTACTTTGACTGTAGCGACTTCTTCTGCTCGAAACTGAAACAAAAATAAAATAATAGTAATAGTAATATGAGTATTGTTATCATTGTCAAGTTATATAAATGTATATCTATATGCACATACTCTAATTTTAATTTGACTGGCATGAATTGGTTTCACAACCTTCAAATGTACGGTTCCTATTATATATAAATATGTATATAAAGATAAGCATAATATACTCAAATAAGACAATGAATTTATACCTCGAATAATTCGATTAGGCCTTAGTATCATCTGTGCTTCATTTTCAAATTCAATAGAAAGCTTATTATTCAAAGAAACAGAAGAATCGACTTGATCTTGTTGAGTCAATATTAAATTATCTGTTGGAAGAAAAGAATGACTATTTGATGATTGACAATTGCTTCCAGTAGAAGAACTTGAAGAGCCTGAAACAATATCAGAAATAGCTTGTGATAATCTTCTTACTGCTATGGGCGAAGAGGAAGATAGCCAACTATGATTCATAACTTTTAATGTTGATATATTATGCATCCTATTTATTTTATTTTTTTTTGTTTACTGGAGAGAAAGAGTAAGAAAGTACGAAGTTATTTTATTTATTTATGTACTCTCTCTCTCTCTCTTTTTTTTTTTTTTTTTTTTTTTCTGGAAAAATAAGAAGAGCATACAAGTATATTAAATCTCACGACTTGCCTTTTTTTTTTTTCTTTTTTCTGTGTTTTGCTAATGCATGACGAAACATCTGGTACTACAGAAAGCTTATTGTAAAAAAGAAAGAAAGAAAGGTGCAGCATGTTTAAAATGACATGCACTTTTATTCAGGAACACAATGACAAATAAAAATCAAAGTTCCCCTTTTTGTTGTTATGCCATCATGTAAACGCTGTATAAAAGACGTCTCTTACTCATTTGATACATGACCTTTTCTTCTTTTTTTTTTTTTTTTTTTTTTTTTTTTTTTTTTTTTTTTTTAATTTAAGCATAGTAAAGTACAAATTATTTGTAAAAACAAAAGGGAATAGAAAATGCTTCGGTATCTGAATTTGAAAAATTCCCCCCATCATCATCATCCCAAGTGGATATATTTTATCAATTCTTTTTTTTTTTTTTTTTTTTCCTAAATGAAATGAATCATTAATAAGATGGCCTTATCTGATAAAGAAGGAGAAACACTCCCTTTGATTGTATTCATACCTATTATCATTTGTGTTGTCGCTATTTTTATTTTACTCGACATTCGACAAAGACAGAATAATTCTCAAACACACATCAATCGTACTTAACACATGTCCAATTTATTTTTTTTTTCTTTTTCTCCCCCACTCTCCTTTAAAATTAATTATTATTTATATTTCTGATTAGATATCGTTCTTAATCAACAAGCTGACATTTCAAATCAAGACGATGAAGAAGAAGAACAACAACAAGAAGAAGAAATAGAGGATGATAATCATGGAGAAGGTTCTTCAACTTCAGTTGCTCGCGTTAAGAAAGTAGGCAAGAAGAGAGGTGAAAGATTAAAGAGAAAGGAAGCGATGAGGCAATACAGAGAATATATGGATCAACAAAGAGAACTGAGGAGAGCCCAAGAAGAAGTGTATGAAGAAGAATTTAGACGTAGAAAAGTGGAAGAGTCCATAAAAAGAGCGGATGAATTGGAAAAACGTCGAAAAGAAAAAGAAAGAAAGGCTAGAGCTGATAAAAAGGAAGAAGAGAAGAGACAAAAGCAAGCAGAAAAGGAAAAGAAGAAGAGCCAGTCAAGATTTGATAAATATAGTGGAAAACTAAAAAAGATAGTCAAGGTTTAGAATCCATTCTTTCATTCATTCTTTTTATATTTATACATTTTATATTTAGGAAAAAAAATTATGTAATACAGATGAAATAGCTAAAACACTAGGCTTATCTAAAGAGGTATATACATGTATAATATAGGTTTTCATGACAATGCTTACTGTATTTATATATATATATAGGATACTGTATCTATTTTAAAGCAATTGTGTAAAGAAGATGTTGAATTTGAATTATGTTTATGGTCTGGAACCGACACATTTTTATTTATTACAGAGGAAGATTATGTACAATTTAATCAAACGATTAAACAAAAAGGAATCATGTCCATTCATGAAGGCATCATCTTTTAAAAAGTAATCTTTGATATAACATCCTTTAAACTTTTCATAACGAATATATCTTCTTTTTGTTGTTCCTGTTGCTGCTGCTGCTGCTCATCTCCAAGCTGTATAGTTGATATTTTGTTTGTTAATTCATTTATTTCATCCATCTCACTAGGCGGTAAAAAGTGCTTTAATAATTTAATGATCTATCATATACATATAAATTAGTCCATTTACAATAATAGTAATTCATAATGATTAACCTACCTGCATTACTTGTTGAATCGTCTCTGATTTTATTTTATAATCATTTTCAGATTGTTTGATAAGTAAGTCTAATCGTGATTGAGCAAGATCTAAAGGAGTTCTTCTTGCTGCTCTTAATCTTACTTGTAAAGGTAAACCATCGTCTGGACGAAGAGAAGTATTACTGTTTTCATAGGGTGTTATTTTAGCTCCTGCTTCTAACAATACCAACACAGTATCTACATCATTTGAAATAACAGCTAAATCTAACGGTTTATTTCCAACAATGTCGCCCATTGCGTTATTTACATCAGAACCCCATTTAATCAACTCTTTGACGATGGCTGCTTGACCTGCAGCGCAAGCTACTAATAAAGGGGTTCGTAATTTACTATCACGAATCATGTCAGGATTTAGTCCAGATTTTTTTTGTTCCAATAATTCAATAACTATAGTATAATTTAGTCTTATACATGTATATATTCATAGCCACATTACCCTTTTGTAAATTTCCTTTTGAGCAAGCTGTCATGAGCTCTTCATGTTGTTGACTATATAAAAAAACATCCTTCAAACGTGTAGATATCTTATTATTATGTGTTGAGTCAAAGTTCTTATTGATTCTATTACTATCTGTTCTTTTACGAAGTAAAACGTCATTAGGTGTTTTACTAGACATTTTGTTTATTCAACAACAGTAAAAAAAAAAAAAAAAAAAAAAATAAATAAATAAATAAAAAAGTTCACATACATTTCAACAGTTTATTATTTTTTTTCATGCCGTATTTTGCTTCCCGAAAAAAAAAAAAAAGAACAAGTCTTATTTATGACAGTACTGTACCTTAGCGTTTTAAACATGGATAACTCATAAAGAAAAAGAAAAAAAAAAGTGGATCAAGTACAAATGAATAAAGGCGCTGCATTCACTCTTATATTCATATATATATATATTTATTTAAAGAGGCTATTTATGTTAGTTGTATTGGTTTAAGAGACGTCATCTTCTTTAATAGTAACAACAACAATGAATAGAATAAAATAACTACATCTCTCTACTTTGTTAGAATTATAACGTAAATGCATTAAAAATGAATTATGTATAAATATCTCTCAAAATGATATACCATTCCAGTAAATAATAATAATAAAAAGTGGGTGTAAAACAGTCCTGTGAAAATATTTATGCATACTTTGTAAGTGATATATCATATATAAACGTGACATGTTCCTTTTTTATTAAAGTTTATTTGGTTCAATAAAGTTCCTCAATTGACCACATTCACATTTCTATTTTTTTTTTCTTCTTCTTCTTTGTCTTTTAAACATGTTTGTATTAATTTTGATTTATTTTCTAATTCCTGTCATTGCTGGTCAACAACAAATAGTATTACAGTCCTTACATAGACCTTTTACAATGGAATGGATACAATTGTTAGAATACTTGCATAATACTTTTGGTAACCATTCTAAAGATGACTCGATATGTTTATTTCCTATACCAGCATTTGAGTGTAAACCCTTTATTTGGAATGACGGCATTATTAAAAGGGATGCATACCATTTAAGACCTAATGTAAGTGCTTAAAAAAGATACATACACATATACACACACACACACACATATATATATATATATATATATTTGTATACACTGTACAATGAGCTTTCTAACGATAATCATGTCATAATCCAGGACATAAAATCAGTTGTAGCTATTGGAGATAGTATAAGTGCGGGATTTGGAATGATATCAGGTTACATATATGAAGAGTGTCTGATTATTATTATTCTACTACAGCTTACATGATTATATGATAGGAAGACCCCCATTTTCATCAACTATATTAGAATATCGGGGAAAAGTATTTTCAATTGGTGGAGATAGTGAAGAATATACTATACCTAATTTTTTGTCCAAATATAACCAAGAAATTAAAGGGTCGCCTATAGGATATACAATACCTCTTTCAAGAGGAAAAAAGTTAAATAATGCGGTAACATGATATTTGATATAAATGTATGTATGCATGCATGTACTCAGACTATTTATTATTTATCTTTATCAGATTAGTGGTGCTAAAAGTCAAGAAATAAATCAACAAGTAACTCGTTTGGTTAGATTATTAAATACAGCAGAATACAAGCCAATAAAAGATGAATGGAAGTTGATTACAATCTTTATTGGAGCAAATAATGTATGTGTATTATGTGAGCCACCTATAACAAAATTACCAAGTTTAGCAAATGCAGATATATTTGAAGCAAACCTTAGACATGTATTGGAAAGAATAAGAAATGAAGTTAAGAAATCATTTGTAAACCTTGTAGGACTATTTAATGTATGTAAATCAAAAAAAAAAAAAACTAGTATAATGACAAAAATACTCATGCTATTCTGGTCAGGTTTCTAGTGTATATGAAGCATCAAGAGGTGATCCTTATTGTGAATTTGTCTTGGATCCATCACATATGGTCATATGTTCGTGTATACAAGGCAATGAGAAGCAACGTAGAGGTTAGTCTAATAATGATTATAAAAAAATAGTGTAACTTGATTTATGGTGATTGTTTTTAGCTGCAGATCAGATAGTAAACGAATACAATGCAAGACTAGAAAAATTAGAAAAAGAATTTAAAGAGAAAGATAGAATGAATTTTGGTGTTAGTTATCAACCAGGATTCAAAGAATTTCCAGTAGGAAAATATAAGCAATCTTATTTTAGTGGTATTGATTGGTAAAAAAAAAAAAAAAAAAAAAAAAAAAATACACAGAGTTAGTTTATATTGAACACTTTTTTTTTTTTTTTTTTTTTTTTTTTTTTTTTTTTTTTTTTTTTACCTTAAGCTTCCATCCAAATAGATGTGCTAACCAATTAATGGCTATACTTTTATGGAATGTAAGTCTAAACATAGTAAATCTCTTTTTACTCGACGTCTCATATTTTATCTTTAGAATATGTTTTCGAATTATACAGAGAAAAGAACAGTTTTTGATATAGAAAATATACAATTGAAATGTCCAAGTTCAAATAACCCTTACATTCAATAGTATTGTATTTACACTGATTTATTCCCTTGTTCTTTATAATGAAATGAAAAAAGAAGGACGTTGTTTAGGTAAAAGATAATATAGCATCCATCGACACATTCTCGTCCTCTACAATCATAAATCTTCAATAAAAATAAAGAGCTAAAAACTAACTAACTTGTAACAAGAACTATATGCATGCATGCATACACATATACATAAAAGAAAAAAAAATTCTTAGACAGCAAGCAAAAGCTAACAGAAACAATTCTAGATTCACTTCTCCTTATCATTATTTACACTACTTATTATTTATCTAAAGTCTCTTTTTATGAAGGGAAAGGATATTCTTTTCTTGTATTAGTTTAATTCACATTTAATCCGTCTATTACGGTAATTGATGAATGTTTATCAAATGAAAGAGGCTAACAAAACGTATTCTTTAACCTTTGACCGTTTTCAAAATAAATGTGTATTTTTTTTTTCAGAGCAGTTGCTTGTGAACTCCGATTTTATATAACATTTACAAATAAATATAGGCAAAGACTATGCGAATAGAATAAATTTTCTTTTTTTTTTTTTTTTTTTTTTCTTTGTAATAAATTACATGTATTTTTAATTAATGGTGACATTAAGAGATATAATAAGGGCTATTACACAAGCTGTTCGTACTGCAACAAGTGATTCAGAAGGACAGTCAGCTCTTGATATTATTGAACAATACATTGATGAACAATCAAGTGCAAATATTGGAACTGCTGCAACACCATTAACCATCATAGACTCTACAGCTATTGATAAACTATCCCAAGAACTTATTACTTTATATGAGAATACAATTAACACAGATGGATCAGCTACCATCATTTCTAGTAGACCAGAAATCAAACGTATTCAAGCTCAACATTTTATTCTTTTGCGGTCATTAAGAGCTTTATTGCCCTTATTACGACCTACAAGACTATTTGAAGACTGGTGGAAACTATTGAAGCCTATTTTATCAATGTCATCTTTTACAAATCAGATCAAAAAGGAAACACGATTGATCGTTTCAGATGCATTGATTTTGGAACAGGAATTAGTACGCATGAAGGAAGTAGGCGATTGTGTTTATTTTCATAGATTAGTGAGCATGTATTTGGAATGGACAGAGAAGAAAAAGGAAGAAATGTTGGAAAGGGACGAAACAAGCAAACAACATCAGGCTTTATTGGATTTAGAACAAGATGAATGGTCAAAAAACTTGATGACCATATTATTATCTGTGGGTGCTTCAGAAACAAAGGTAATAACAAACACATTTGAATCTATAGATGGGCTAAATCTCTCTTTATGACAGAAATTCTTTTTTCTTTTAAATGGATATTTCTTGTCAAGTAAATATCGTTTACAAATTGTGTATTTATTAAGTGAGTTTATGAGAAGAAGGGTAACAACTTAAATCTCTCTTTTATTTTATTTTCTTTTTTTTTTCTTTTTCTTACAAAAACAAAAAGAAAAAAAAAAAAAAAAAAAGAAAAGCGTAAATACTAAAGGGTTATGTACTTTTAATAGAGAACACATTTACATGAAATTCTGGATACGCCATTATTTTATTCCATGTTAAAGTCATTAATGGTAAAATAGATAATATTTATACGTGTTTATATTAAAATTAATTCAATTTTAGTATGATAATTCAACTACTTTGATAGCTATTTCTGTTACAAACTTAATCATGTTATTGCCTCGTATGTGTACATCACTTCCTCAATTTTTACCTCAATTGTTCTATATTTTTGCTCGAGCTATTTGCTGGGATCAATTAAGAGACATGAGAAAGAAACAGAGTACAGACTCTTTTAGTTACAACAACTTACCACCTACTCGTACAATAGAAGATGGATGGGATTGTGTTGGTAAAGTAAAACTAGATTTTCTTTTTCTTCTGTTATTTTCTACTTTATTTTATATTCATATTTTATATAAATATATAGACTATACTTTTTCAAAATTATCAGCTCCACCTTCAAATCCTCAAACAGGAGCATTCTTTACTTCGTTATATGGCCTTTATCCATGTAATTTTCTTAAATTTTTGCATAGACCCTATGCTTACTTTAAAGAAAATGATTTCAAGTTACCAGAAGAATTTGATGAAGAAACATTCAAGTCAAGAACAATTGTAAAAAAAAAAAAAAAAATGGATAGTTTTAATGTAATATGTTTTATATACACATACACTAACTCTTTTCTCTTTCTCTCTCTCTCTCCTTTACCTTTTATTTTGTATAGCCTCAAGTAAAAAGACACATGTTACATCCAAACTTAGTCGTTATGGACGCTCAAACTGAATTGACAGATAAAACAAGATGGATGAAAATGGAGCCACCTGATGTTATTGCTCAAATAATGGGATTAGACTTAACAAATGCTGCTTCTCGTGTAGCTTTTTATGAAGAAGATCAACAACAAGAACAACCTGATTTATTGGATGAATCTTTATGGAATAATACATCCAAACTGGATGATAAATTAGAATTAAAACAAGACGAAAATCAGCCATCTCTTATGTCAAATATTGTTCTACTTCATAAGGCTCTCAAAAGTGGAGCAGAGGTATTAGTAGGAGATGATATTTGGAATGCTGGTTTAGAACCAACAAAGACAACAACCACTTGCTTACATTCAAATCCAGTAGCAAACGATGAAATGGAATCAGAGACACGACTTTTAGTAGCAGCATTAAAGAGAGAAGTTCTTTTACTTCGAAACGAATTAAACTTTGAATTGTTTTTAAAGCAACAACATCTTCAACATATAGGAAGACTTCATCGTGAACGTGTCTTGGACACATCTGTAGAAGCTGAAAGACAACAATTAGTAAGTAACCCAAGACCATATATGTTTAAAGTCATATAAACTTACGCCTTTTTTTTTCCTACAAGTATAATACGACACGTATGCTTAAAGCACAATTAAACCAAACTACATCCGCTCTAACAAAATTAAAAGCAGAGACAGCTCTAACAAAGCAAAAACATATTAAATGGGAGGATGAACAATCCAATAAACTACGTAGTTATCGTGAGCAACGAAAGGAATGGCAGAATCAAATGGCACGTGTTGAGCATCAAGTCCTTGATTATAAAAAACAATTAAGTGAACAAAAGATTGAATTAGAGAGAGCATGTCAGCGTATCTTTGAACTAGAGAATGAACTAAAGACATTAGAGCCTACATTAAAACAAGTGACAGAAAATGAACATCGAGTGAAGCAATTGACACAACAGATGTTATTATGGGAGGAAGATACGAGTCGTATGGAAGAACAAAAGAGTTATATTAAAGGGTTATTATCTCAATGGTGGAGTATGGAAGAATTAGTTGTGAGTTTACAAACAGAAAATAGAAGACTTCAAGAAGAACACATGCAAGTATAATGATTTGCGTCCATTTATATATTGATTAGGTTATTTATTTTATTTTATTTTTTTTTTTAGTCGCAAGGATGAATATCTTGAAAAATTAAAAGTTCAATGTACAAATTATCAAACAAAGATAGATAGTTTTAACACAACTTTTAGCAAAGAAAGTGAAACGAACGAAACAGAAAGATTACGCAACATATTGAATGAAATCAAGTCAAAATATGAACAATTGGAGGTAAAATAAAAATAAATTACATGATTTGAATTCTTCTTAACCTTTACTTTATCATTAGATGGAAAAATTGGAATGGAATGCCCAAATAGAAGCATTAAAATATAAAGCAAATCAACAAGCAGAGTTGACTTTACAAGCCGAATAGTATACAAGATTTCTATACCCTCTTTACATTGCTACTAAAGTATAAGATTTATTCTTGATTAAATAAAGTAAATAGATAATTATGTATTATTCATCTGTACTTTTATTATTATTATTATTCGTATTGAAGTACATGGTTTTCGCCTTTTTTTTTTTTTTTTTTATTACAAATATATTTAATGCCTTGCTTTATTATAATCAAGTTCTTTTCATTTATTTACTTATTCATTCATTTAAGCCTTATTGACAATACGAGGCTTACGAGCACCTAGAAGGACCAACATCCAAACAGACCAGTCAAACAAGACTTCTTTAGCAAGGAACAAGAAAGCAGCGGTCAGAACAGACTGTACAATCTTTGAGGAAATGCCCTTATAGAGACCAGGGATGCCCTCATGTGCAATGATCTTTTTGAAACCATCTAGGATGGAGGTATATCTTTCTTCACCTTGTTGATTGATCTGCATACGTGACTTGACTACAATGTAAGGATAGGTGATACCCGTAGCACATAATTTAGAGAGAGCTCCTAATAAAAAGAAATCAAGATTGCTTAATGTCTTGGTCTTGGATAACCTATTCTTCACTTGTTCAAATACAGTATATTGAATGATGGGGTTGATGACCAGCACCAAAGCTGCACGAACACCTGCATAAAGTCCTGCAATTCCCTCTCTTTGAAGGATTTGAAGACCTACTGAAAGTGCGCTACTGGTCTTTTTTTCTTTATCTTCTACACCTTTTTTCACAGTTAAACGAGTCTAAGTGTATAGAAGAGAGGCGAAACACACACACACACAGTTTAAGGTTAATATAAAATCTTTGATATCCATTTATATACATGTGTATATATTAATTTACATTGACAGTCCAAATAGGATGTGTAGCGAAAACAACAGCGCAACCAGCAATGGCACCAGAAAGCATGGATTCAGCAGTACTCATAGGTTTACCTTTACTCTTAGCCTTTTCAAATATTGCTTTAACAGCTTCATAACAATAATAGTAGACACCTATTGATGTAATATATATATAAGCGATATATTAGAAAGAAAGGTAAAACAAAAAAAAAGTGTATATTTATAGTTTATTTACCATTTGTAACTGCAATACCAAAGATACCGGAACTCAAGCCACTTTATTATTATTATTATTATTATTAAAAAAAAAGGGGGTCTACATTTATAAAAAAGAAAAGATTAAACTTACGAATACAATCCTTTAGGACCTTCTTTGGCGAGAATTTTAATAAAAGCATCCATTGTGTTCTATAATTTAAGTTTCCGTCAAAAAAAAAAAGGTACAGTTTTTTATTTATTTATTTAATCTTTTTATTTATTTTTTCTTTCTTACTTTGTAAGCATCTTTACTAGAATCATTCTTTTGAACTTGAAGACGAGAACTAATAGAAACAAGAGGATAGGTCAAGACCATGGAAACAATACCTCCACCAGCACCTTAATAAATGTAGTTTTTTTTTTGTGTTATTTATATACAGCATTAAAATCAGTTTTATTTATTTACCAGAAAGAGCATGAGCTACGTTATTAGACATTTTTTTTTTAAGTGCTTATATTTATAAAGAAAATAAAATAAAAGAAAAGAAGAAAAAGTAGTTTATAAATAAATGAATGTTATGCTGAGGAAAAATAAAAAAACTAAAAATATGGATTCATAACATCATATAAGATGAATCGTGACTTGAGGAAAAAGGAACAACAAGGGCATATGAAAATAGAAGTTTAACTTATTTTCGGACTTTTAAATCAAGTTACCCAATGAAACATAAGTGTGGAGAAAAGAAATCATTTTTGCTGACAGAGATAAATTACAAAAGTTGATGTTGTACATGAAGAAGATATCTTTTCTTTTACAATTGACTTTTCTTTCATCTTTTTTTTTACCAAAAAAGAAAGGATGTAGTTTATGTAGTTAATATGCATATTTTCATCTATTTTAAAATAAGGCTTTTTTTTTAATGAAAAAAAAAAAAGAAAAGATAATACATTTTATCTACCCATTTCACATGAATGAATTTAATACCGAGATTGTCATACATGAATTATTAATATTAATTCTGCCCTATAAGACTGGATAAATCGGATGTCAAAATTATCCATGTGAAATCAAAATTGATGTTTGCATTGGCAGTTGAAAACAGGCTCAGACACTAACAAAGTTTTTTTTTTTTTTTTTTTTTTTTTTTTTTTTTTTATTTTTATAAATCAAATCAATTCTTTTCTTTTCTTTTTTTTTACTCTTCTTTTATAACTTTGTTTTTTTTTGTTTAAAAAAAAAAATTCTTGCATTTTATGTCTACTACTCAAGTATCACCCGATAAATATACCCAAGTTAGAAACGATATCGCAAAAGCTTTTCCTGACGAAAATTATGATGATGGATCTTTTGCCCCTGTTGTGTAAATTATTTCATATTTTTTATTCAATATTTGTATCTATTTTACTAATATATATATTTTCTGCTATAGACTTCGTTTAGCATGGCATGCAAGTGGTACTTTTGATCGTAAATCAAAAGATGGTGGTAGTGATGGTGCCACAATGCGTTATAAAGCTGAAGCTGAGGATCCTGCTAATGCTGGTTTAGAACATGCTAGACACTTTCTTGAACCTATTAAAGCTAAATATGCTTGGATTTCATATGCTGATTTATGGACGTAAGTTATAGCACATATATATATGTATATACAGTTGCTTATCTCTTTACATAATATAGACTTGCGGGTTGTGTAGCTATTGAACATATGGGTGGTCCACATATCGATTGGACTGGTGGTCGACGTGATAAGGGAAATGAAATAGATTGTCCTCCTTTAGGTCGTTTACCTGATGCTGCATTAGGTAAAGACCATGTTCTTGATGTCTTTGTCTCTCGTATGGGATTCACTGTTCAAGAAACAGTGGCATTAATTGGTGCTCATACTGTGGGTCGTTGTCATACTGATCGTTCTGGATTTGATGGACCTTGGACATATAATCCAACTCGTTTTTCAAATCAATTGTAAAGTAATATAAATAGGAAGATATGACTTTATCTAATGCTTTCTTTCTTTCTTTCTTTCTTTTTTTTTTATTAGCTATAAACTCTTGCTTAATGTGAAATGGGTTGAAAAGAAATGGGATGGTCCTCGACAATTTGTTGATGAAGATGATGAAATCATGATGTTGCCTACTGATATGGCCTTATTAGAAGAGCCTTTTAGAGAATATGTTGAACTTTATGCTAAAGATCAACAAAGATTTTTTGATGATTTCGCAGCAGCTTTTCTAAAGTTAATTGAATTAGGTGTTGCTAAAAGAGCCAAGATATAAAAAAAAATGATTCAAATACAATCACATATTATTTGTATATAAAAGGGAGAAGTGTACGTACGTATGTATGTATGTATGTATATGTATTTATATATCAATTCTCTTCCATAATAATAAATTCAATATACACTTTACATTTCAACTTATTTAATTGCACATATATGTATTAACTATTATGATACTTTATTTGACGATCAACGACCATAAGGAAGCTACCAATAAATTTCAAATTCTAACAAAAAAAAAATGAGGCTCTCTTTTAGATCCTCAAATAGATTGTTGACACCCAGGTTCAATATTGAGACTGTTAAGCCAAAGAGTAAACATTCAAGATTCACCTTCATCATCAAAAAAAGGGTTCAATTTTAGTGGATTCCTCTTCAGTCAAGGATTCAAGCCCAGGATATAATATTAGATACATAAGCTAGAAAGCCAAGTTCAACTTGGGATTACCCGCTACCATGACCTTTGGTGTAAGATAGTTGCGACATCCAATTGTATCAGCATTTTCAAGTACCGTCTCTGCACGTTTCAGTAAACTATGTTCATTTAAAGGGGGGTGGCACGAGAACATGATTCAGGTTTAATTTAATAGAATGATATAATTTTCACTATCACATACATCTTTACTAAAGATGTCTATTCTACAATAAATAAAATCATTGAATAATTATATGTTACTATCCTCCCCCCTTTTTTTTTCTTATGACTATTAATGCGTGAGTTCATTCATTCATTCATTTGAATATGATGAAAAAGCAGTAAAAAAAAAAAAAAAAAAAAAAAATCCTACTCTTCTTCACTGTAAACACAGTATATAATCTATTCATTATTAATGACGAATACATAGTCACTATTAGTTATGTCTTTAAATTTTACTTTATCGAAATTGTGAATAACTATTAGATAATAGCATAGGATGGGACAAAGTAGCTTAGCCACAGAAGGATTAGAATCTAAGATTATTATAAAAAACTATAGAATTCATAGAACATGGGCTTTTCTTAATGGAAAATTTAAATTTGAACAGATAAACGTGTCTAAAAAAAAACTAGTTTTATTATTATTATATCGTCTAGATTTAAATACGACATAATTTAACAATATTTTTAACTAATCTCAATACTGCTTGAGAATGCTGTAAATGTAGAATTTCTCTACTGCTTATATAACCAGAACAGCAACAACTTATTCCTCTCTTCTTCTCACTACTACTCATTGTGTCATAATAGTCTTTCTTTCTTTCTCTCCTTTATTTAAATGACTTTCCACACTTTATTAATTTATCTTACCCGAGTAATCCTAATGTATTTTATATCTTGTATTTATTTAAGGTCTTAAAAGATTAGATTTTTTCTGCAATTTAATTTACTTTTTTTATGCTAATAGCAGTTTTACAAAAAAGGATATTTTTTCTTCTTGGTAAATGTGACGATGATTATTTATGACATCGTACTAAAAATATGTTGTTTTTTTTTATGAACATTATCTTCTTTTTTCTTTTTTCTTTCTTTCTCTCTTTATAATAAATAGTATCATGTCAAATCCCTTTGAACCAAATAATCCATGGCAAAATAATCCTCCACCATCACAACCAACGGGTGGACCACGTTATGGAAATGCATATGAGAGTAATCCACCTTATGGAAATGCATATGATAATAATCCACCTCATGGAAATGCATATGAACAATCATCAGTGCCTAGATTTAGTGCAACAGGATATAATAACGCCTGGGGTGAAGAGTCGAATAAGATTCAAGATGAATCTAGTTCATGGAATTCACCTACTCCTCAACCAATGTATCCACCTCAATCACCTTATGCTACTCATACAACTCCTCCTGCAACTAATAATGCTTATCAGTTTTCCGGCACTTCATATGGTAATCAGCCTCAAACCTTAGGTAATGCTTATAGTCCGCAATCTTTACATTCTTCTACACCACTACCACCTACAAAACCTGCAGAGCAAGTGGCATCTGCTGGACCAGAACCTTGGAATGGAGAAATTTATCATACACCTAATAAATGGAGATTTTGGTTCCGTTTTGGTATCTTATTAACCAGTATAGGTCATTTAGGATTTGCTGCGGGTGCTCGACCTGTAAGTGGTTTGTTGTTTACATAATGAATAATATACTTACTTTGCTTCTTTGTTTGTTTATTTCTTTGTTTCTTTTCTTTTAGTATTCTGGAGAAGACGTTCCATTTTCATCATCCTCATGCTTTTATTATTTATTTGCTGTGGTAAGATTTCTATACTATATACATATATTAAAAAATGGAAATAGTAACTTGAAAAAAAATGATGTATGTAGGCAATCATGTCGATTATTTGGACTGTATATCTTATTATATTCTACTTTTACAGAAGAATGCTCAAGAAACCCAAGATGAATCGACCTATCATGTTTGGTATTGATTTATTCTTAGCCATTTTATGGGGAATAGGTATTCTTGTAGAAATTATCAAGTTTCGATGTACTTCAGGAGGCAAATTTTGTGCATTTTACAATGTCAGTATCTTTTGGGGATTCCTCGCTTTTGTTGCTTATATTTTAGCTGTTATTTGGGATATTTATGGCGGTTGTTGTAGTAATCGAAGAAAGAATTAATCCTGCATGTAAATAATATCGTACTTAATAGTATATTTCTATAAAAATAATATATATAGTTTAATGGATAAAAGGAAAAAAAAAAAGTAATTTTCGATTATTCAAAACATAAAAATAAGGTCTTTAAAGACTACGACCCAATTGTTTAATAAAGACATGTATTATATATGTATATTTTAAGCAAGTATTCGGTTAAATCTATTAGCCTTAAACCTTTCTTTTTTATTAACAAAGAAAAATATATCAGTCATTTTATTGTATATAACACTACACATCCTCCAGTTACTTTCAAAGTAGTAGAGTTGCTCTGAATGAAGCAGTAAAAATTAGAGTATTTTCAAATAGGAAAAAAAAAATAATGTCAGCAACAAGCTAACATTTACTTTCTTTGTAAAATTAACAATATACTTTAGAAAAAAAAAACATGTTGTAAATGCTACTAAGAATAGGCTTTTTATACTTTCATTAACTGATTTGTCTACTTTTATTGCTTTATTTCATAACTTGTGGCTTAATAAACATAAGCCAAGCAAAATATTATCTTGATTTCGAAATAAAACAAACTCATACTATGAAATTCATAGTATGCTTCTACCATCAATTGGTCATTTGTTTGAAACCCAATTGGACACTTTTTGTAAACATTTATGTGGCCATTACTGTACACTGCTTTTTTGAACTGTTAAAGACAATACGACAGACGGCATCAAGAATAATTGGTACCAAAAAGCAGTGTACAGTAATGGCCACATAAAGGTTTACAAAAAGTGTCCAATTGATGGTGGAAGTACTATATAAGGTTCATTTATAGATAATAATACTATCAGCCAATAAGAGAAGATATAGTATCTTCAAATGATTACATAATATGACGTAAAATATCAAATCAATACAAGATGCATATGAATATATTTATTGTTGTTAATTCAATAATTACGATATTTACTACCCTCTCTATCTTTTGATCTAGATCTAGAAGAATAACGACGATCTCTTCTTCTATCAGGACTAATACTTCTTCTATCGTAATATTTACGACGACGTTCATAATCATCAAACTCATCCCTACGATAATCCCTACTTCTTGATCTGCTTCTATAACTTCTACTGCGATCCCTACTTCTTGATCTGCTTCTATAACTTCTACTACGGTCTCTACTTCTTGATCTATCTCTATTACGATCTCTTCTGGAATAATATCTATCATCATCGTCGTCGTTATCGTCGTCGTAGTCGTCATTGTTTCTTGAGCCTTTTCTTTTCTCTCTATCATAATCTTCTAATTTCTTTTCTAAATCTCTTGCAATAGGGATAGGGATACGTGGTAACATAGTTCCCTGAAACTTGGGTTCAGTAAGTAACATACGACATAATTGACCTATAGTGATCTTTGTTGGATTAATTCCACTTGATATCGTAATTTCTTCTTCGTCTTCAAGATAATATTGGAACCAATCCCAAAGTTGAGCAGGGACGCATACATAACGTAAATATAAAAAGCCGATAGCACGAATATATCTATACGAAAACAAAATAAAACGTTTTAACATATAATTTTAGTTTAACTTTGTCTTTATTTACGGTGAGTCAACGTGATCAATCAAGTTTTCGATTTGTTTTATGGTTAATCGAAGTGTCCACATCTTGAATAAGCAACAAAATGCAGTTGAAGGTTGTGTGCCTTTAATGAATGGAGCTAGAATGTAGTTAGACGCAAATCCAAGAGTTATTTAGTGCCATTAACATACTCACTTAATACATAAACTAATATGTTACATTTGTTTTTTTTTAAAAAAAAAGAAAAAAAAAAAAAAAAGATTAGTAATTACATTATAATAATCGATTAGTTAATTTTATTTTAAATTACCTTCATTATAAATTTCATCAACAATTTCGTGAAAAGTTTTTTTAGCACTAAATTTATTTTATTTTATATGTATATGTATATATAAAAAAAAAAAAGATAAATAAATAAACAATGTGATTGATTGAAATAAGCTTACTATAATGATCGAAAATATGGAGAGGAAAGAATATTTTGATAAATGATTGCATTTAAATTCATTGTTGCATCATTTCCCCAAGTCTCTAACACATTATTCGTTTTTTTTGTGTTTCTTTGACTCGTCGAATGACTCATTGTTTGTTATAAATTAAAAGAAATAAAAATAAGAGTCAAGTAATTTTTTTTTTTTTTCTTCTAAAAAATACGGACTACAATCAGAGTCAAATTTTTGAAAGAAACAGCGGCGAACAAAATAATGTCTTTGAGGTATTTTCATATTAAATAGTTTTGTTTTGTATACAACCTCCCCTCCGAACTTGCACTAATGAATCATTACTTTATTTATTCATATTCACGTACTGAGCTTGCAGATCATAAATTATTTAGTATTGATTTTCATCAAGCCCTTCTTGCTTCATCTAAGCTTTTGATTCTATAATCCCACTATTCAAAACATATTTAGTAGCAAGGGTCATATAGCACGTAACAGAGACTTATTTTAGAGTTAAATAATAAGGTAAATAGACTCTTAGTTGTTTTAAGCGTCTTTAAAGCAAACAGATAGACTGATATATATACAAACTATATAGATATAAAATAGTAGTAGAAAGCTGATTAGTTTTATAGTATCAAATATAACATACAATTTAATAAAGCTACAGTTATTAATATATTAGCTGTTTATAGCTATCATTTATAATCTTCTTTACTACTATCTCATTATACGTTGATTGCTACCACATTATTACTTCTTTAACATCATGAAATGTTATGAAGATTGATATTTCCCAAAGTTATTAGTAAGATAGTGTCTAACAAACTTGACTCGAATTATGTTCATTTACTAGTGGGTTATATTAAACAATAATACTCTTAAAGATCAGCATATTATCATTTGGCCAGATTCCACTCAATATAAAAATAATTCAGCCAAAAAAAAAGAAACAAAAGTAATAACACTTGCAATTCACGATACAGTATGATATCCACAACTAGTAGACGAATGAATGTCTACTTACAAAAAATAAATAAATAATACCCCATAGCTAAGACTTGACATAACCTTGTTCCCTTTTTAGCTTAAAGCCTTTAAATAATTAGCTTCAACAAAGTGCCTCCTCCCCTTCATCTTTCTATCATTTTAGGATGTTTTCTATTGAATAAAAGACTTTAGCAATCAATAGGCAACATTGAGAAAATCAAGGTAACTCACTTTGTTTACACTATTGACAAGTAAATATTTAACGATATAGTCAGTACTGAAGAATCATTTTCATGAATAACCAAACTACTCTTCAACTTGACTCGTGTTATAACAAAAAAAAAAGGGGGCAGTTATTAATTGAGAATAGATGTATCAAAGATACAGTATAAGGGTTTTCTCTGTACACGATACTGTCTTTTATTTTGATTTACATGTCAATGCATAAAATAATAATAATAAAAAAAAAAAGAAAACGGAGTCTTAATTTTCAAGTAAAATGAAATAAAATAAAATATAGACAGGCTTCTGCCCTTTTTTTTTTATTTTATGCCCTTGACATATGGAGGAATTTCTGAATTGGTCAAAGGAAAACGGCATTAATACAACTAATGTGATAGTTCAAAAAACTAAATATGCAGGATATGGATTATTCGCTAAAGACACCATTGCAGAAGGTTCTATCATTACACATGTTCCAGATGATTTGATCCTTACATCACAAAAAGTAATGCAACAATTGAATAATGAAGAGTTTCTTGGTAGTTTATATACAAAGGAGGATGCATGTGACGCAACATGTGAAAAGCAGATTCTACGTTTATTCCTTATTTATTGTTACTTTTTTACTGAGGACAATTATTGGAAGCCTTATATAAAGATATTACCCGATATTGAATTTTTCGAGCAGTATCATATCTTATTTAATAAATCTTATGTTGAAGGAACCAGTCTTGAAGGTGCGGTTCATGCAAAACGTGCCATCTTGGAACATGAATTGAATGATATTCAAGAGCGTGATGTATCATCAAGCTGGTTAACTAAGGTCGAACTAAAGATGTATCTATGGGCAGATTGCATCCTTTGGTCTCGAGCCTTAGGTTTCAATACAGTGAATGACGTGGAAGTAAAGTTGAATATAGCTCTAGTACCCTTTATTGACTTTGCAAATCATTCAATGAGTCATTCAAATATACGATGGCAACTAGATGCCACTCACGATCATCTCCTTTTGATATCCACTGCACCTATTATCCATGTTGGAGATGAACTGCTATTGTCGTATGGAACCGACAAATCTAACCAAGAATTACTTTTCATTCACGGCTTTTGTATCGAAGGGAACACGGAACGCTCCTGTCTGACGATTCCAATACTTCCCTTCTTGAGTCATGACCAACAGAAGGTAGCCTGGTTAAAGCAAATGAATATAAAGCCTGTTTTAAAATTAAAGCATCGTCATAGACGACGAGAGAATGATGATATGATGCAGACTGGATGGGATCCTACATTGATCCTACTTATGTATTTAGTAGCCTTAGATGAAGATTTTGGTCTTCAGTTTGTATCAAAGAAGGATGGATTAGAATTATTTCTAGAGGATAACTTGATAAAAACATTAGATGAATTGGAAAATACAGTTGTAAATCACAAAGATGGCATCATTTTACCCATTATTCAACTCAGAGTAGTACTGCTTTTAATAGATGCGTTAGAGTATCAACATAAGAGAATTACTTTGATTACATGTAATGATTCAAGTATATTGGCTCAACAGGCTTCGATCTACAGAAGAGAAGAAAAGGAATTAATAGAAACAAGTCTAGAGGATCTATTTAGTTTACAGAATCATTTAATGAAAGATCCTATTATTTTAGCTTATTTAGAAGAAAGTAATAAATGTTATTAGATATCATACGAAATTTTATATAAGAAGAAGAAGAAAGAAAGAAATAGAGAAGGAGGTGGTATTTACTCAAAAAAAAAAGGAAAAAAAAAAAAAAGCGAGAGAGAGAGAGAAAGAAATAAAGAAAAAAGAAATGAGGGAATTATCGACACTGCCAAATTTTGATTGTTTGATCAACACTACCTGTTGCAACAACAGGACTAGTATGACAATATCTACAATACAAATGTGTGAAATGAATTCATTTAGTTTAAGCCTATTTTCTTTTTTTCTTTTTTTTTTTCATAGAGAGGATATACTTACGCTATACATGTAACAAAATGAGAATGTGCATCCAATGTTTTTATACATCTTCCTGTCTTTAAATCCCACACTTTAATTGTTTTATCGTCAGATGCACTCAGTAAGTATTTGCCATTAGGATGAAAAACTAATCCTCTAATCCAATTATCATGTCCAATCTAAAATGAAATGGTTAATGGAGTAATTTATATTTCAACTCTTAAGCTTACCATTGTATGTAATAATTGTCCATTTGTATTCCATAATTTAATTGTTTTATCTCTAGAACCCGTAATAACATATTGACCCGGTAATTGATCTTTGGATTTATTCTATAAATAAATATATATGCATGCATGTATGTAGGTAGGTTAGTTTTCATTAGAAAGCATACATGATGAAATCTACCTACCTCATCACCAATCAATTCTTGAATATATGGGTATGAATTAACGGGTGCAAATATAGCGCATTCAATAACATGATCATGTCCACGGAATTCCATTTTTGTTTCTCCTGATTGAATATCCCAGAGTCGAGCAGTCTATTATTTACAGATTAATTTGAGTCAATAACATTCGAAAATACTTTTACTTACTTGATCATTAGATGCTGTAATCAAATATTTACCATCTTCACTTGGTGAAACTGACCTAACCCAATCTAAATGGCCTGCTAATGTTTTAATGCAATATCTAATATATATGTATATACGTATTTATATGATGAGTATACGTGTCAAAAAAGATATTTATACATATACATGTATATATATGTATGTACCCTGAAGCAGCATCCCATAATTTGATTGTTTTATCACGCGATGAAGAAATAATAGTATCTCCAGAAGGTAAATAGCTAACAGAAGATATACTATGATCATGGCCATATAATGTTTTTATACATTTATAATCATTATTAACATCCCATACTTTAATTGTCAGATCAGCTGAGCAAGATACTATGTACACAAAATAAATAAATAAATAAATAAATAAACAAGTATATATTCCATTTTACCCAAGAAATTCCCCTTTGGATCAAACGCTATATCTTGTACTGACTTTGTATGTCCTTTTAAGGTACGCTCAAATTCACCTGTCTCATAATCCCAAATTTTAATTGTTGTATCTTCAGAAGAAGAAGCTAATATTTGATAAACTGGATGAAAGACAACACAAGTAATAGGACTCCGATGACCTGTCATGCTTTGTCTTTCAGGGGGACGAGGAATCCAATCAACCGAGCTTGTTTGTTTCCTGATAGGTGCATTATTAATTTCTTCTTGCATTTGTGCTGACTTTGTTTCTAGTTCCATAATCTATGCGCAAAATGGATGATGAATATAGTTGTAAAGTCTAAATAGTACAGACTTACCTTCTTTTGTAATCGTATGACAGAAGTCCATTTTTTTTCTAATAAGCCATAATATTTTTGTTTAGGGTCAGAAATGAAGTCCTCATTATGTGTTTCAGATTTTAAAGTATTGAATGATTCAGTAAATCCACTTGTACTAAGATAATCTAAAATTGCTTTATGCCTACATCAAGTTAATAAATTTAATTATTGTAAAGCAAAAACAAAACAGATTAGAAAAAAAAGGGGAAAAAGTTCAAAAAAAAAAAAAAGATGAAATCTTTCTTTTTAAACCATGTAATACTTACAATTCATCTTTCTGTCGATCAGAAAGAATGCTAGTCATGATGTAAGTAAACTTTATAAATGTTTATAAAAAAAAAGAGAGAAATTAATGTACAATAGATGGAAGGCGCACCTTTGAAATGAAATGAAATGAAATAAAGTAAAATAAAATAAAATACTTTTTGAAGAAAGTTTATAATCTTAAAATCCAGAGTGCTAATTTTTTTTTTTTTTTTTTTTTTTTTTTTTTTTTTTTTTTTTTGTGGACATAATAAAATTAAAAATCAGATAAAATAAAGAATATTAGTATTGAGCTGATGTGTTCATCTTATTTGCAAAATACTGCATCCTTACCCAGCATTTATATCTCGATTCATACCTTTTTTTTTTTTATTCAAATTGAGAAATCCTTATCTTTGTGATTCACGCTTTTTCTTTTTGTTTGTAATTATTATTTTTTTTCTTCCCTTTTAAACTTCCCATCTTCTTTACTTTCACAATATTGCTTGTTATATTGTTAACGTTCCTATGTAATTAATAGAAGAACTATCTTATTAGCGACATACTTTCTTTCTTGATATAGGATATATCTTGCATCTATTCTAAATAATTCATAGGAAACAAAAAATGATTCATATTTGACAATTATACATTCAATATATGCTACATGCTTATCTGATTTTCCTTTTTTTTTCCTGAAGCTTTCACATATAAGTAATAGATCTTATTGATATATAGTATCACTTTATAAAGCAGTACTCAATTTCCAAGGAATATTCATTAACATAAAGCATTCATCATAAAATACATACATTCCTACAATCAATGAAAGAAAGAAAAAAAAAAGGAATAAATAGTCAACGACTTCATCGTACTTGCTTATTTTAAAGTATGTTCGAATTTCAAATTAAACAATTGGAGATATTTAAATGTATATGTATAATCCAGGTAGTGAAAATAGATGTTGAAATTATTAAGAGAGCACTTGATATTCTAAATTAATAAGATACAGCATATAATTAAATCTATTGTATCTGTATAGACAAACTAATTATCGGGAGGTGCTGAGATCACTCACATTTTTTTTTTATGTTGCTTTTGGATGACAAGATGTGTGAGCATTTGCTTTATAGTTTATACATTTGTTCTTACAAATTATATCAGCCTCGACATGAAATGACATCAAATAACCCCATTTTAAGAGATAGTGAATATTTTTGTCGATTGAATCCTATTATGGCTGGACACGGGTAAAGAGTCCTTATTGATTAGGCCAAATTTGATATATGTCATGAGTAAAGTCCACAGAGCATATATATGCAGTTTATTTCCTAGAGATATAAAAAAAAACTTATATTTTAGCTATTGATTACCAATTAGTTGGAAAGAATATACTTTAGTTGCTGCCTCAAGTTCCTTGTTGCTAAAGTCTATTAAGCTGATTAGCGATATGCTAAAGACAATTGTGAGACCCAAGGATCACACTTTAGCAGAAAGTCATGCCATCACTTCCAGTCAGATGCCTTTTAGTGGCTCAGCAAAGATCTTGGCAATTCGTACCTTGGGTTTATCGATTATTATTCTTCTTACTTTTTGAAAAAGTTTACCCGAGATAGAAAAATAAGTAATAAATTACTTTTCTATGCATGAAGAAGATAAACTACTAAATAATCCTTTAATATTAAATCAGGAATAAAGACATTGCTTAGTCTCGTTGATTCACCTTTGTCTTTTTATTTACTTTTTTATGATATTCAGAAGAAAATAGCATCTTGTGCCCAATTTAAGGAGAGAAGTTTTTTTTTTTTTTTTTTTTTTTTTTTTTTTAAAGATAAACAAAAAAAAGGATAGTTATACAATTTATTAAATAGATATATTATTATTATGATTACTGTTTGTAGATTCTTGATGTTGATGGAGCAATAAATGAGGAGCATTAGCAGTAGTTGTAATACCAGGTATAGGTTTGTTTAAAGCAGCTTGTACAGCGGACTGATTAACAGGACAATCTTTGTGTGCCATTAAAAGGGTCTTTAATTGAATTAATTCTTCTTTTAATGCGTTTGTTTGTAAATGAAGTTGCTCATTATCTGCTGTTAAATATTCAACTTTAGCTTGCAAGTTTTGTAACCATTGCTTTTTACGTTGTCTACATTTTAATGCAGCTAAAAATATACATTTATTTATTTATGCGAAAATTTATTCTTTTTTTTCTATTACCTATTCTATTTCGTTCTAAAAAGTTCCTTCGTTTTTCTTCATCTTCTGGACCATTTACTTTCTTTGATGTTCTTTTTTTAGTACTACTTGATGCAGAGTCATTCGCTTTTGGTCTTTTGTTATTTACAATGATTGTATTTTGATATTGAATAGGTGAAATGTTTAGATTATTACTTGACTCTATTGATTCGTATTTAATAATTGGCTTTGTAGGCAAAATTGGAATATTATTTTGTTGAACTAAATATAATAAATCATAAGAAGAACTATAAATAAATTATGTATCTTTTTTTTTTTTTAATGCTTACCACCATTATGATTATGATTCATAGTTTCTGTAGCAGGCCCATTTAACATAGAAGGTGATAAAATACCAGATCTTAAACTATTCCATTGATTATTTAACTCATCTAATCGATTTATGGGTGAATCCATTGTATTTACACTGGGTAAAATATGCTTTTTAATAGTAGTAGTTGCTCCCTTAAAACTTTGCTCAAAAGGATTAGGTTCTTCTTCTAGTTTTGTTGTCGGTAAGGCTGCATAAGTCGGGGGAAATATGCTTTCTTCGGCTGAACTTCCTGAGGATTCTTCTGAATTATTACCTGTGATACTAGTAGTAGCTGTTTCAATTAATAATTCTATGCAAAATAATCATATATTTAGAATAATGTACACTATTTAACACTATTTAAAGTACTAACCAGGTACAGAAGTTGTGCTTTGCATTAAAGCCGTTTTACTGTTGTTGTTGGCATATAATGTTGTTGCTGCATTATTTATTGTCGTTAACGGATTTTCGGTTGTCTGTTGTGATTGCTGCAATGGTAGAAGTTTGTTAAAGTCATTATTCATTGAAGTCATCATTCTACAAAAATAGAATAAAGCAAAATAAAAATTAAAGGAGTAGGCTTAAATATTAGAGTTTTATATGTATGTACTTGAGACAGTAATTAGAATAGATAAAAAAAAAAAGGGTTAAATAGAAACAATATCATCCTCCCTTTACACTTATTCAAAAAAAAAAAAAAAAAAAAAAAACAATCACGTGATACTTTTAATCATTCTTCAATTTACAAAATTTAGTAAAAAAAAAAACAAGTCTACTTCAAGTAGTCAGAAAAAAAAAATCGCAACCATTTTTTTTTATTATTATTGAATATGGAATCTGAGATCCCTCCTCATCCTTTAGCAACCAAAGTCATTGATTTTTCTGATTGGGCTTGCAATACAACAGAATGTACTGAAATTAGTTTAGGTAACATTTAAAAAAATAGATCAATATTCATCGATGAAAAGTATTAATGTTGGCAAATCTAGTTCAACCTGTAAAAGGCGATAGCACATCTTCAAAACCAGTTATTGAAACAAGCTTTCAGCCAGAATTTACTTATCCTATTTTTGGAGATCATGAAACTGCTTTTGGATATAAAAATCTGTTATTGAAGGTATATTATATGTTTTTTTTTTGATTGAATTATTATTTAATATTTGATAGATTAAATATACATCTGGATCATTACGTCCTTTTGTTGAAATTACATACTCTTCGCAATATTCATCACCTTCATCATCATCATCTATCAATGAACCTGTAGCAGCTGACGATTTATTAAAAACATTAGATCCTTATTTACCTCAACATTATTTAACAAATTACAATAATTTTATTGATGCTGTCATTGATGATTACACAGCTTTTAAACCCTTAGGTGAAAAAATACAAGAGTACAGTCAAGAAAATAATGATGGATCTGTGGAATACTTTGAAATTTACAAAGTAATTTTTTTTTTAAGCGTATATATAATGATTTATTTTTGTTGACTTGATTTGTAGAGCAACTTTTCAAATGAAAAGTTTAGAGAATATCATTCCCGTATGCAGCTATTTGTTTTATTATTTATTGAAGGATCAAGTTATATTGAAGATGATGATGACAAATGGGAAATCTACACAACGTAAGTAGCATTCCTTTTCCTTTTCCTCTCTTTTTTTTTTTTTTTTAAAAAAAAAACGACTAGATTTAAACGTGAAAAAATAAATGATTCGTATGCGTACCATTTTGTTGGATATTGTACAACCTATCCTTTTTATTGCTGGCCAGAAAACATTAGAATGAGAATTAGGTAAACTCTTCCTCCTAAAAAAAAAAAAAAAGAAAAAAAAAACTATTTTATTAATGGTTAAACAGTCAATTTTTAGTCCTTCCACCTTATAAAAAGAAGGGACATGGCAGTATGTATTGAAGACAATCAAATATAATATAAAAGTCTCACTTATTTCGATAGGTAAACTTTATCAAACAATTTATCAATTATTTAGATCAAGAAAAGAGATTTGTGAAATAACAGTGGAAGATCCCAATGAGGAGTTCTCAGATATGAGAGATAAAAATGATATACGTTATTTGGCAGAACATAACGCATTTAAAGATATACAAAAGGCACCTATTGCTGATGAAAAACTGAATGAGCTTTGCGAACAATTTAAGCTAACAAAGCGACAGACACAGAGATGTTTAGAAATGTATCTTTTGTCCAAATTAGACAAGTTAAATAAGGAAGAATACAAGGCATATCGATTACAGGTTAAAAAACGACTTTTTGCTTTTAACTATGTAAGTCTTGTAGACTATATAGAAATTAGTAACTATTTAACACATATATATTATAGGATATACTTCGTGATGTGGAAGACGAGGAAAGGAAGTTAAAACTTCATGAAACATATTTGGGAGTAGAAGAAGACTATTACAGGCTTTTAGAACTTATTTAATTAAAAAAAAAAAACTTTGCTAAACATTCTTTTGACTTGTCATAATACAAATAACGTTAATGTTAATTCTATACATTCTAAAAGTATTCTTTTCTTTTATTTTAGTTAGCAAATCGAGTCATGATTTTTCTTTTTAACATAAAATATGCTTCTTGATACATGCATAATGTAATATTTAAAATACTTGTTTGAAATAAATATATTGTATATGAAAATGCTTAAAATAATGATAATAATCCAATGTAAATTTTTACTTTTTTTTTTCCCTTCTTTCTCTTTTCTTTTCTTTTCTTTTTTTTTTTTTTTTTTTTTTTTTTTTTTTTTTTTTTTTTACCTCCATGACGCAATAAAATCAGGTAAACAATTAAAAGGTTCCAATTTAAAAAAGTATAAAGAAATTAACTTATAATAGACATGGACAAAGAATTAAACAACTTAATATCAAACTATAAATCGAGTCTTGAGAAATTAACCGATAAAATAAGTACAATTAACTCATCTCAACAACATGATCATTCAAGTAATGTCAATGAAGAACATTTGTCTGAAAAACTAAAGTTAAAGGATGAAGTCCAATCAAGTCAATTGGCTGTACAACTTTATATTGATAATATGATCTGGAACCTCTTTTCTCGAACAGAATTACAGCATAATACTTTATTATTTAATAATGATCAGAATAGAGTTAATGATAAAAAACACTTGATGAGACTCATTTTGACTTTGTTCGAGATTGATAAAAAAGATGAAGGAAAAAACACAAACGAGTTTTTGGCACAGTTGCACGAATGGATGCTTAATGTTATGAACATCTATCTTCGTATATGTACATTATCCGAGAAAAAGAAAATATTGCAATTATTAATAAGTACACGACACATTTCTTCTTGGGCTATTCCACTTATTCAATATAATATAAAGGACATTGCGAGAATAGATGATTATATTGAGATTTTGGATATGGTATTTTTTAATTATAGACCTCCAGATCAAAAATGGATTTGGACAGAAGAGGACTTTCTTTCAGTTTTAGATCAGCTCGCTATTGACTTTCATTACAGTAAACTATTAGAGACAGTTGAAGTCGATGAAGACCCTAAAGTTGTTTTCAGATTTACTCAAAGATTGGCTACTTCACTTATGGGAGCTATACGTCGATTTTCAGCAATGAATAACTTTAATAAACGTTTGTCACAAACTTTAATACAAATCTCGACTTTGCTTATCGACTCTGTAACTGAAAAAGGCTGGCATTGTCAAGATGAGATTGATATGTTCATAGCTCAGATTGTTTATGATTTATATAATTTACGAAAATCTGGATGGTTTTTCTTACCTAATATACCCTTTAAACATGTATCTATAAATAAGCTTTGGGAAATAACTATTCATCTTTTACAAATCAAATGGATAGAGAAGCCTACGACTATGAATGATGTCTTGGATGGCCATTTACCAAATATCACTCGATTTCAGTATGACTTGCATGATAATCAGATACAGGCAGTCTTCATGCTAACTTGTCTTACCAATATCGCTATTTGTATACCGTCTAGAATAGATCAAATTAGTTCTGTGAATAATTCATCTTCTTCAGATACTGTCATCTCTGCTTGTATCGTCAGTATTATTGCTTATACCCTTTTCGACGTAGCCTTTGTAGATAAAGAACTGCGTGAAATATTTTACAAAGATGTTCGTGATCATTTAAGTCTTATTTGTCAACATCATTCGTTCGTTGTATCCTTACTTTTCCGTTGGACTGTGGAGCAGATTGATGTGATGGGACGTATGGCATTATATCTGTTTCATTCGATTAATTTAGATAACTGGATCCTATTACATGATGATTTGAAATTATTGCATAAGCTCTTTTCTAATCATATATTTATGATACGAATTCAGTTTGGAAAATATATAATAGAGCATTTGAATTATGACTATAAATCATGCACAATTGATTCAAATATATCCAAATCGCAACCTTGGCGAAGTCGAAAGACACCTGTTCTTCCTTATGATATTCATGAAGAAATTGCCTTTATACTTTTAGATGCTTGCCAACAATTTCAACCTTTATTACCAGACAATAGAATGAAGAGTAATGAAAGTAAAAATTCGATTGAACTCATGAGTACAGCTGTCTCTACTTATCTGCCTCTTTCAGATCAAATTCAGTTATTAAAATCTGTCTCTACAAATTATCCTCAATCAAACAATCATCAACTAGCTTTTCATTTTATTCACTGGGCCTGGTCAATAGCCATTCGTCTCAAACTTTATGACAGTCCAGTTTCTTCACGAGCAAGTGAGCTTGAGGATTTGATCACGTTACCATTTTTAAAACTTGTGCTTCATCATCATCCTTCTGCCTCTGCTTTACATAGTGCATTACTTGTCTATATCTCCTTTATACTCTCAACTACTAGCCGCCACTTTTTGCGATTTGAGGCAAATCATGGATGGATAAAACTGCTCATCATTTTGAAACGCGGTAAAGCTGAAGCTATTTTGCAGATCTTTAGTGACATGATTCCTTCCTTTGTCTATATGCATGGCGATGATTTTTTTAACGATTCAAGCCTTGTCGATTTTTTGAAGCATATGATTGAATTAAAATCAGATCCCATGTTAAACAGGGCACTGGAACATGTCATGAAGCTCAAGGGAAGCCAACGGGGGCCATCAAGTGGTGTAGGTTATGTGATTGGTTCACATATTTGGCATGCACAAGTGATTGATTCTGCCAGTCATCTTCTAGAGGAAGACGGCAAAGGATTTTCATATGTGGATCTAATGTTACACTCATGGTTTAAAACGATCTTTCATAGAGATGATTGGATATGGCAGCATCATTACGTGAGTCTAGTAGACTTACTATGTAAATTTGCATTTCTACTTGGACGACATCATTTAATTCATCATATGTTGACTGAAGAACAAAAAGAGATGGAAGCTATTAAAGTCCAGAATACCTCCCCACGTCTAACACGTCTACTGAAGAATATCATTCCTGAGGTTCCCTTCAAAACTCTTTTAGTAGGTGAATGGTCTCTTTTAAAGGCAAATACGTTCAATAAACAACCTGGTGTTGAAGATGAGTTATACTGGTTTGCCTATGAGGTGCTCGTGATGGAAACCGTCATAGAGGCTCCATTACGGGATGAACTAAGCCAGATACTTGTAAATCAGTTCTCTAGATCACTTGCTACTGATCAACTTCGACAAAGGGAGCATCAAAGGGGACTCAAGGCATCCATTGATATTTTGCAAATACATAAACAAATCCCATCATCAAGTCAAAAGCCTCTTGATTTTTTCGTTATCTATCGATGGTTGCAGCATATGCTTATCATGCCTATGGATCATCCTTTGTTACCATTGTATTGTCAAATGTTCTTTAGTCTTTATTATCAACCCATTATTGATGATCAAGTGTCGATGGGTTATTTGTTTTTCAGTAAAAGACCTGAACTCATTATGAAGCTACGTGATTATATTGCTAATGTACAGACCTATTATGGGAAAAAGATAGCTCATGATTCAGGACTTAGCCATATCCTTCAGCAATTTTATTATTCCATATGGTTATGGCTTGGGAATGAAGATATGATTCACTTTGATATAAACATGACCGCTCTACCGTCACAATATAATGTGCATAGACTTAAACTTTGCTATGCGAAAAGGGAGTCAGAACAACCGTGGCATCATATTCAAACATGTTGGACAGAATTAGTAGATGTCAAGAAGTTGGAGCATGATTTTTTAGTGTTCCCCTGGGAAGGATCTGAAAAATTTATTGATGATGATGATCATAGCGGTTCTAACCCTATTCTTATTGCTGACGATTCCTTATCAATGGTCACAACTTTACGACATCGTTCAAGATTAATCACAAATGAGTCCACAATTATGCCTTTACCTCCTATTATCATAAATGAACCAAATGTCTCTACTTTTATTAAAAGAAGAAGTAATACGACTATAATAGAATAAATCTTTTTTTGTATAGTATTTTTTTTTTTCATCCTCCCTTTTCTTGAAGAAGAAAAAAAAAAAAATCAATCAAAATATCAATCAAAAAATCAATTTGGCTTAATGCGGTAATTAAAAAAAAAAATAACTGTCTGCTTTTTTTTTTTTTTTTTTTTTTTTTTTTTTTTTTTTTTTGTTTAGCGAATTTCTTTCTTAACCTTTAATACGAACTAAATGGCTGAAGACAGAAAGATCAAACAGTTGGCACCAAATAGAAATGGCGGCATTCGAAAACAAACAACAACAAGACCTGTTATTACAGCAACAAAAGCATCTATAGCTCGTGCCAAAGCAGTCAATGCCCAATTAACAGGTCAAGGATCTGTAGAAAAAAGAAAACGACCGATGAAAGAATCATTAACAAATTCATATAAAACAACAGCTGCAGGTCTTAAAGAGAGACCATCTTGGGATATAAGAGTAAGATATACGATAATTCAAAAATAAAAATAAAAAAAACAAAAAGTGATTTTAGTCTAAACATGTATATGATTAGGGAAAAATGAAAGATATGGCTGAGCTTTATGAAATGAATGCTCAAAGATGTAAATCTAAAAAGAATCATAATGCTATTCAGCTGTACTAACTTGAAGATTTTTTTTTGTAAGTGGAAGAATTAAACAAGCATAAAAGAGAACAAGAAATCTTGCGAGATGAAAAAGAATCACAAGAGAAAGAAACGTTACAAAAAGCGGCAGCGCTAAGAACACAAATCCAAGTATGAAAGTACAATCTAAATTTGCTTGTATACATGTATATATTAAAAATTGGATTATTAGGAAATGGAAAGACAACATTCAATAAATATTGAAAATCTACATTCTCAGCAACGTATTGAATATCAAAGATTAGAGGATGATAATTTAAATTTTTCAAGACGATTGACAACGATAGAAATTGAAGTTAGAGATGCAAAGAATCGATCGGATTATGAGCTTAAACGGTTAGATCAGATTAAAGAAGAGAATCAATCTTTGAAAGTAAGTAAATTTGATAAGGAGTTTTTTAGTGTTATAAATAATAATAATAATAAAATAGACAGCAATGAAGGCAATGAAGTTTAAATTTGATAATGTAGATAAAGAAAACAAAAAGCTGGATAAAGAAATAAAAGTAAGATTATAAAATAAAATAAAAAATACATAAATACAAGATGGCTAACTGTTTATTTTATTAGGATTTAAATGGGTTATTTTCAACCAAGAAAAAAGAATTAGAACATAAAGAAAATCAGGTTAAAAAACTAGATGTAAAAATAGAAGAATTAAAACATCGATTAACAGAAGGAAATAAAGTACATGAAAGAATATTGAATAAGATTAAGGAATTAGAAACAAAAAAGAAAAGGTAAAAGAAGATAGAGAAAGAGGCACGAAAAGGTTTATTAAATCAACCTGTTTAGCAAAAAGGGAACAGTGAAGAAAGAAACGACCATGGCAGCAGCAAATTAAAAGTTGAACTTTTATAGCCAAAAATGCATATATACAGTCTTTATTTATATCAAGTAGTAGTCATGAATAAAACCATTATTTGACACATTTGCGACTATCAATACACCTATTATATGTAACATATTTTATAAAGACAATAAACGTTAAATAGTGTGAGGAAAGTATAGCAATGAAAATTATAAATAACTAAAAGCCGAAAAGCAAAACCATTTTCACTTGAGGACGTATAGCAAATAGAAGGAAACATTCTCTACATATTCATTTATAACAGAAAACGAATATTTTCCTTGTATATAAATACATAAATTCATTCGTCTAACTCCCTTTTCTTCAAAAAATAAATAAATAAATTGATAAAAGAAGAAGACTAAGAAGTAAAAGTTAGTGTGTGTGTGTGTGTGTTTTAAGAGATTATTAAGACTAGGATTGAAAATGGGTCAATGGATTTTAATATCTGATCTAAAAGTCCAAATTAACCATTCAGTATATAAACCCTTTAACGTGGAGAATAGCTTACATAAAAAAAGAAGACAAACCTGTATGATAAAAGAAAGAGTCTTGGGTGATATTATCGATCTAAATAACTGCAACTTGGTTGAAGTTAGTCTACTGACGAGTGACACTTATAACGGATACGTTGCTATAATAGATGAAACCAAATCTCTCCCAAATTTAGTAAATAAACATGCATAAAATTCAGAGTATGGAGCGCTTGATGTAGGTTGTCTTATTCGAACCAATTAAATTAGAATTGGATTTACCTTTTACTGTCTTTTATTAATAAACGCTACTTGTCTATTCAGCTTTGTATATATCCTTTAAGCTCCTTATGATATAACAATTCCCTCACAACTATATAAAAGTAGCATTCTAATATATATATATATATATATAACTAAGTAAACAAAGATGGCAAATGTACTAAAAGTGCATAACGTACGTTTTGAGCAGAGACCTTTATTATAGTAATACCTTTGTATCAACTCAAGTGTCTTATGCAACAACGATAAAAGAAGATTTTGTAGCCTTGATTTCTTTCTACAATGTGTTCCTGATAACCTCAAAAAATAATGTAGTAGTTGTACCTGTCAAATACTGTAAATGATTAGCCAATCTATGCAGAGAGGAAAAGCAGGTATTATCTCAAAGGCCTTCAGATCCAATCGTAAAGACAGTTCAGTTAGAGTTTATAATTCATAAAGCGCAAACTTTTTTTTTTTCCTACAGACTGTGAAAGTCCGCGAAAATAAGAATACCTTACCTTAGCCAAAAAAAAAAAAAAAAAAAAAGTGGAGTGACATAAACTTATAGAAAACACTGCCAGGAGTAAAGACAATAAATATATGGATCGAATTAGAAACACGAAAAAATAAAATAAAAATAGATAAAAAAAGTGAAAATAAAAATAAAAATAAAAATAAAAATAAAAATAAAAATAAAAATAAAAATAAAAATAAAAATAAAAATAAAAATAAAAATAAACAATACTACAAGTATAAATATCCTCTAAGACCTAACATCAGACAGAATAGCCTCCGTGATTTAAAATCAAACAACTATAATTCATTTCCCTTTTTTTTTTTTCTTTCCCTTTTTTTTTTTGTTTTATTTTGTTAGCCTTCAGACTTATATATTTATTATTAAAAAGAAGATGGAGATCTCTTCTTATAACATGACACAACAGAGGACTAATAGTAGGTCACTAACGAACCTTTCAGTACCAGAATCATCTTCAGATATATCAATTATCACTGTAGAGCAACATTTACCTATTAAACGTGAATGCATATTAATTCCTTCTTATGCATTTAAGGATCCAGAAGGTAATGTAACTATCGTCTGGTAAAAAAAAAAAAAATCATTTCCCGATTTAATAAACTGAGTTTAGATCAAAATAAGTGGATAGTCCGAACGAAAGGATGGGCTTTATCTTTAAATAAGTCAGGTCCGAAACAGAAAATTTTAAAAGGTAAAATAGTGTGTATTATGATGCATGATACACTATTTTTTTTTTTTTATTCATTTATACATATATGTATATAAATATATATGTATATATTTACTTTTCTCTTTTCCTTTCTATAAGGAATCACGAAAACTGTTGCTGGTAAACATTCAAATTATGACCTAGCTAATAAGATATTTGATCAACGATTCAAGTATTTTATGGCTAAGGGTAAAAAAAATATAGAGTTTAGGATCGAAGCGATCAGCGCGGTCATGAACGCAGAATGGAGTACATATTACAATGAAGAGTCTAATGAGTTACAGACGCGAATAACTGCAACGCGCAAGCTTTCGAGTGACAAAATGACTTTGTCAAATTTGCATGATACATCTCTTTGTGGTCTAGAAGAAGACAGTTCTTCTATAGTAAATAATCTTGAATATAATTTAAACTCTGTGACCACGCATCATGTTTCGAGTAAAGATAAAGATTGCATTCATAATAATAATAATAATCAGAGTGAAAAGAAAGATGTAAATTGTATTGCTGCTTACAATAATAGCGGCTATAACAGATTTATCCCTCAGCCTATAACCCCTACCATTTCGTCGAGAAAAGGCATAGGCGTTACATTGAAATCTGCAGAAACTGGTGCTTTTACGGGTGAATTTCAAATTCTTGATGAACAAGTTCAATATTGGATTCAACATGCAAATAATAGATATGATAAAAGATGTATGTTACAAATTAGATCAGAATCAACCAGTAGTTCAAAAAAAGAAGATGTATTGTTCCCTCCTAGTTATTGTTTGGTTCAATTAATTGAGCCTAAAGGATTATCTGTCATCAGTGATATTGATGACACTATTAAAGTTACTGGTGTCTTAGCAGGTACTCGATCAATACTATCAAACACTTTTTTTAAACCTACACGTGCAGTATATGGTATGGCTGATGTTTATTCCCGTTGGGTAATAAAAATAAAAAAAAATTATATTTGTATTTTAAGCAAATTTCCTTAGTATTAATTGCTTTTTTTTTTGCAGTATAATCATGGTGTTGCGTTTCATTATGTTTCGAATAGTCCCTTTCAACTTATTCATGTGTTGCATCAATTCATGAGAAACCATAATTTTCCACCAGGAAGCTTTCATTTAAAAAATACGTTTACTTTTATTTCTAAATTTGTAGAGACCTCAGGAAGGTTTAAAGTAGGGACGATATGCCGTATTATACATGATTTCCCACATCGAATGTTTGTCCTTGTTGGGGATTCTAGTGAAATGGATTTAGAAATTTATACTCAAATTGCTATAAAATTCCCTAATCGAATACTGAAGATCTTTATTCGTGACATGACAAGTCAAGCAAATATGGAACAGATGAAGAAGAAGAAGAAAAACAAGAAGAAGAAGATTAACAACAAGCGAAGGTCATCTACTTCTCCGTCGCTTTTCTCCAATAGTACCAAAAAGCAAAAGGAAGATAATCAACGAAGCCAATCTGCGCCTATCCGGTCTAACTCTACACCTGTCTTTACCTTTTCACAATTATCAAAAAATAATAAGGTAGACGATGATAATGAGGAGGAGGAGGAGGACGACGACGACGACAACGACGAGCAAGTGGCTTCTAAATTAGCGAATTTAGGCTTCATATCTGAAGAAAACTCATCTACAAGTTATAATAACTTGTCTATAACTAAATCATCCCCAGATAATATCTCAAGCTTTACTGACTATCATCCTACGTCCTCGGACCCTCTACATCTATATACACGTGTTGCTCATGCACGAAAACTACTTAAGCATGTTGATATTGTCCTATTTAAAGATGCAAGTGAACTTTTGACAGATGAAGACATACTGGCTCACTTGTAAAACAGGTTTAAACACAGTTCTAGAATTGGTCCCCTCCCCTTTTTTTTTATACTTTGTATAACAATTATACGTACTTACAATTCATACATGTTTAATTTTATTTGCCAATATAATTTATTATCTTCATTAATGCAATATCTACTAATTACAAGTATTAATATATTAAACGTATACGAATATTTGTATATCTTTATATATATAATTTATATGCATGTATATGTTCCACTAAAATATATAAAGAGATATTAAATTATCTTTCGGATGTTAGGGCATGTATCCCATAAATTAACTGTAAGAGTTTGCCATAAAGTTGATAAACGGGGCCTATAACAAATATTAGAAATAGAAAGTGAAGACTAAATATAATTGCTTATGCCTTTTTGTTACCTTTTATCTGGAAGCATAGGATACTAGCAATAAAAAAAAATTAATTTTATATGTTACAGTATAAAAAAAAAAAAAAAATAGACATTACCTGTAATTTTGGAATAGGTTTGATAGATTCACCATAAAGTAAACACTTGAAAACATAAGCAGAAAAATAATGTGCACTTAATCTCTTCCAAAGAAGCATATATTGAAAAAAAATAGCGCCCATAGGAATTGGCATATTCTACATAAATAAAAGTAAATTCAATGATGAATGATTATAAAATGAAGGAAAATAGAATAACATACACGCATCCAAAGATAAGCTCCTTCAGCAGTAGCAGTGTGTGTTGGTATTTTGTGTTTTGTGGAAGAGCTGTTGCTGCTTGGAATATTAAACGTAACCATTTTTTTCTTTAATGACCTTTTGTTTATTTTATTTTCTTTCTTGGTTCTAACCCAAAACTGTTTAACTTTATAAGATATATTATGATGCTCTAATAGAAAATAATCATGCTTAAATATTTCAAACTTGAGCCCACCTTTTTTTTTTATTATTATCGTTAACATATGAGTTCTTTTCATTTTTTTTTAAAAAAAAAAAAAAAAAAAAAAAAAAAAAAAAAAAAAAAAAAAGTAGAGTGCATATATATTAAATATTTACCTGGTAATCTATGAGGATCTTTAATTCGTAACATGATTGCAAACAAAGGAAAGTGGTTAAAGAAAGCTAAAATAGTTTCCATAACAGCTTGAAGAAAAATAATACCAACTCGACCCTTTATGAAAAAGAAAAAAAAAATGAATACATGCCATAAAAAAAAATTGATTTGATATATAAAATATTACCAAAGCAAATGTTAGATAATAAACCAAAACGGTAGGAAACAAAAAAGTTAATAAAGTAAAAAGGCTCGTTCCCAATAAAAGCTGATCAAGATCATAATCGCACGAATCGATACGATTTCGTAATATATTTCGCTTTTTGCCTCTAAACAGATTAAATAAAGAACCCAAAATGACAAGCTGCCAGTTAAATATGCGTGCTGCAACTGTATAAAAGCAATAAATATGAAGTGTCATGAATGCAAGGAAATCAGAGGAAAGAGATATAACCATGGTTATGCCAAATATACCAGAAAGACCAATAGTATAAATAATTTGAGGAGTGTATGGTTCAATAGCTTTTAAACAATGCGTCCATAACCCGATAAGCCAAAGAAATAGTTCGCTAAGAAAACTTCCTAGTTCATGGTTAAGCTTAAGACCAGCTGGTGATTCTAAAAACCACAACATCATAGACTGAATCGATTCAACTGTGTATGTCTTTACAATAAAGAATATTAGATAATGTAAACTTTTCTTTTTCTTTTTCAACTATATTACATGAAGAATCTTGTGTAATTCATTAGCCATTACTGTATGATTTGCTTTTAAGAATGATCCAATAGCTAATCCAATGATAATATCATTTGCTACCAACCACATACTGTTATAGAAGCTAATATAATAGGCTCTTGCTTTTGCTGTATTTGCCCAATTATGTTTTCTGAGCATCATATATTGACGGGGCCAAAAGAAAAGCTGTTGTAATCTCAAATCTATTTGTTGCCCTGATAAAAAAAAAAAAAACGGTGAGTCGTATAGCCCTAAATGGTAATGCATATTTACCAGCTGCAAATAAGTCTTTAAGCCCTACACCGTTTAGTATAAACTTAGGTAACTTAAGATTAAGAAGATATAAAATAATCTCTGTTAATGTAAAAATTAAAAAAAGAAAAGACATAATAATTCTTTTGATATAATATCCGATTGGACTTGTGATGTGAATGAATGAATGTAATGATGATTGAATAAAGCTGATCATGAAAATTAATAATGGATGCCTTGGTATATTTTTATTCTTATAGTTTAGTATTAGTAATTGTATTCCATATTCAAGGTAATAGGATGAATTAATCTAGTAGTATAAATAAGTTAAGCAAATGTATTAGCCTATTTTTTTTTTTTTTTTTTTTTGTTATGCCTTTACTTGAGTGAGTATTGTTCCCAGCTCATCAAATGGTGGTTTATCCTTTCCATTTAATTTGTTTCCTAATTTGATAATTTCTTTGTAATGTTGGATGGTTTCAATGTTTTTTTTATCAACTTCAGTTTCAGGTATATCTTTTGAAGAAATGTCTAATTCTAATGGATCTAAAGCTAAAAACTGTAATCGTTTTGGATTCGGTTGCTCATAGAATATAACTTCATAATTATTAAAGTTCATACAAGTATTATTCATGGTAAAAGAAAATAAAACTGGTATATAGGATTCATTTAAAATTACTGTTAGCCAAACATTTCGATTGTTGTTGCCTTTAAATAAAAAATAATAATGAATAAAATTATAAAATATGATCTTCTCATTTATATACTTTGTTTTGAGAACTCATGCTGATTTTTTACTAGGACACCGATAATCTGTGGGCGTTTATCGCATACTTTATTTATATGAGTGAATTCTGGATGTTCACCTGAATCGCAAAATTGTGTCAATAAAGCTTCAAGCTCATTAAGCTATTAAAAAACAAAACAAAAAAAAAGTTTATATCTTATTATATTAAGGCGATGAATAAGAAAAATACCTGAATGTCAGAAATAACTGAAGCAATGCATATACTATTTGCTTTGCTAGTCCATCCTATTAGAAAACCTTGTCGAGTTTTGGGAGAGCAAAGATGTGATGGCCAATATATTTTAATGGCATCATCAGCTAAAGGCATTTTTTTCAAAAAAAAAAAAAAAAAAAAAAAAAAAAAAAAAAGGCATATCAAATAAAATAGTAGATATTTAAATATTTCCTTTTCTGAGATAATTATAAAAATATGAAAAAAAAAAAATGGGCACGTAGTTTATAGACATACTAAATTGCCCTAGTCAGTTCAAAAATAATGATAAAAAGTGACTAAAAATCCTTTTAGGGCAAAAAGTAAAAAAGCAAAGACAAAAGATGATAAATAGAAATGAAATATTAGAAAGGGAGGGTTTAGATAAGCAGTCTATCAGGAGTGAAGCTGAATTATGAAGAGGCAAAGGAATGGAGCTGTGAGTTATCTAAGCTATCTTATGTAATATAGAACATTTTGAGGGCAAACATATAAGCCATATAGTTGAAGACATTATCGTAGAAGAGGTTGTTTTTTTTTCTTTCAAAAATCACCTATTAATTTCTGAATAAAGTGTAAAGAACTTGCTTACCTTCACTAGGGTAAGATCCCCTCTTGAAATACGCTCTCTTGATACTGACTTGATCAAATAATTCTGCAGTAATTAATCTAATGTTTCAAGGTACAGTATTTTGCTCATTTTACCTGTTTTGCTTTTTTTTCTTTTCTTTTCTTTATTTCCTTTTTTTCGATCTGATCTGGGCAATACACAATATGTGCCCAAATACTTGAAAACTAAATAACATTAACTTGACCCTTCCAATTGGCTGTTTATTAATGACTAAAAAGTTTTTTTTTTCTCAAGCATATGATGCACATGTTCATAAATAAAAGAATGTATACGTAATATGTTCAAATTGATTGGATAAAAATATTTACTCCTTGAATGAATTTACTCCTTAAAAAAAAGGGAAAAAAAAGGTATAAAAAGGGGGTCAAAAAATTGTAAAATTCCCTTTTTTTTTTTCTTTTTTTCTTTATGATCATCAACCGGCTATTCCACGGCCGTGAAATGGCTGGGCCTGATCAGCCTGGAGTGTCTCTTCAGTTGCTTGTACGCCCTCGGGAGGTGTGAGGGGGTATACTTCTGTCGTTCAGATGCGTCCATTTCAGAAATAACAAACACAAATGAAAAAAAAAAAAAAAAAAAAAAAAAATATGATAGCAGCATATTTTATGCATAGACATGCGGAAATTTAATAGAAGCAGTCACATAGAAAACAGCTATTCACTCAACAGCAACAGTAACAATAATAAGTTGTTAATTAAAAAGATACGTTTTGACTATATAAAAAAAATTAGGTAATAGCTCGCTAAGACGATAGCAGAATAGCTGTTTTCTGATATTAAATCAATTTTTTTTTTTATAATTTTTCAGCATTATTAAAGAAAAATACCTTTTATAATGAAAAAATGAATTGGACTAGTATGCATTTTTTTAATAAATAACATTGTATTTAGCTTGTATATCTGATCTAGTTGTACCTCATTTTGATTTACCAAAAATGTAAAAGTAATTTTTCCAGCTAATAGAGATATTACGGTTACAGCTGTAGGAACAATATATTAAAAAAAAAGTATATATTAATAGCTCAACATTACGCGAATTTAAGGCTATTTTTAATAAAACTATCATTTAATAAGAAAAGAAAGACAATGATAAATCAGATAAGGAGATTATGGACTTCAACATAAAAGTTAAAGCATGTAGTAAGCATTTTTTTTAAGAGTTTATCAGTATTATTGTGTATATTTTATCAGATTTTGGGTTATGGGATATCATCAAACCTCTAAAATTCAGAAATTGGTTAAGAATTGAAAGTATATTAATATCTATTTTACTTTTTTTTTTCAAAATCTTTTAAAGTCATTTTGGTCAAAACTCAAGACTGGTATTTAAGACAAATAAATTTACCTTAACTGATTATATTAATAAACTCATTCAGTCAGCTTAAAAGGCTATGATTAAGGATTTACAAGGATAAACATTGTGTTAGGTCTTGATGCAAAATAAAAATAAAAATAAAAATAAAAATAAAAAAAAACCTAAAAATATCAGAACAACGAACCCTACATTTCAACTGGATCGGATTATCTCGGTCCATGAAATTCATATTACACAATGTTATTGTTAAATTTGGATTATTTTATTTCACGTCAATTTTATTATTTCACCCCACTTCTTTCTTTTTCTTATCACCACTCACACACCCCCTACTCTTTTATAGTTTTAAAAAAAATGTCTCTTGCTGTTTATTCCTTAGATGATGTATCAAAACACAATACTAGACAAAGTTTATGGTTAGCTATTCATGATAAAGTTTATGATATCACTGAGTTCATTTTAGAGGTAATATTTTCTCACTTTCTAAAATAATTAAATTCTAATTCCTTCAATATTCAAATTTATGGTAATAGCACCCTGGTGGTAAGATGATACATACTAGAAATTGATTTTAACAAGGCAGCATAAGCATGTGAACACTAATATTTTTATCCCCTCCCCTTACTTTTTTTTTTTTTTTTGTATATTAGGTGAAGAAGTCTTATTTGATGAAGCAGGTAAGGAAATGGAGGGGGGTTTTTTCTGAACAAATATATTAAACTAGTCATCGTATTAAATAGGTAAAGATGCTACTGAAGCATTCGAAGATATTGGTCACTCTGATGAAGCCCATGACATGTTGGAAAAATATTTAATTGGTACTTTGGACGAAGCCGTAAGTTGGAATAAAAAAAAATCGAGTAAAGATAAAATAGAGTCGTCTTACTATTATTATTTTAGTCTCAAAACAAAGAACGTAAATTCAATGTTATTCGCGCTGGTGAACTTCCCGAGACTAAAAAATCAGTCGCATCGTAAGTATGACTAACACTAAATGAAAGCAAAATATTTATGAGTATTATTATAGTTCTCTTCGTGTTATTTTGCCCGCTCTTGCAGTTGTTGGTATTATTGCTTACAAGTATTTATTTGCTCCTAAATCTCACTAATTTACGCAGAATGTAACTGAAATAATAATTATTACTTATTTATTACTATCTTCTTTTTTTTTCTCATTTTTGGAAAGACAAGTGTAGACGTGTACACACATTTATGGAATATACATTAAATTTTTTCTTCAAAATTCACAAGATTTTTTTGTTTTTTTAAGAATAATATCTTTGTTAAAAAAGGACTACATAGAATTTTTATAGAGTTCTACATTTTTTTTTATTAGATTCAGGAACGGCAGGTTAAGAGAAAAGTAAATAAACCTAAGACAATTACTTTCATTATATTCCTGAAGAATATCAATCGTGTGAATACTTGTATTATTCATTACTAATAAAACTTTTATATGCTACAATCATGAAGAACACCTGTCACCCTTTTTATAAGATTAAATCAAATTCAAATTTAGCATTTCTAAGCTGTGAGAATGGAGATTATCTGGCGCACTAAAAAAATTCTTTTCAGGAACAACTACAGAAACATCTCTTTAGATGAATGTCATGAAAATTTATAAGTATTCCCTTTTTCTTTAATATCTGTAATTTGTTTATTTGTATAATAACTCTGCACATTTATAAACTTGCAGTGTGCAAGATAAGGTACTATGCACCTACTGGACTAAGCCAAGTTCGTCAAAAAAAAAAAAAAATGACAGTCAATAGTTTACTTTCTAAAAGAAATAAATAATGCTAGTATTATCAATATATTATAATAATTGACAGACTACAAAAGTAATGATAAAACAGACAAAGTTATCGAATGTATATTTAAGTGCTTTTTCTCACAAAATTGAGCACTGCTTCGACCTTGTTCTTGTTTATAATAGATTAAAAGTAATAATAGTTAAAGAATTAGTGTCAAATCAATTGATGTTTTCTATGAAATCGAATATGTACAATATAACTTTACTTCCAGGTTTCTCACTTAACTCTTTATATGTATATATATATTATTGGTACTTAATATCTGTTTTCTGTTTCTTTACCTTATTACCTCTTCTTATATTTAGATTTTTATTCTATAATGATTGGTTAACATATTGATTTTCTTCTAAATCAGCTCTAACAAGCCGTGTATTTTGCTGTTATACTTTTGAGTAATAGAGCTTTCTTTAAATAAACTAAAACTTTGTAGTTTTGATTGCTATAAGGCTTAATCACCCTTTTACCAACTTTTAGATATAGGTTATTTATATGTATGTTAATTAAAAGATCTATCTTATACATCGTATAGGTAATATACCAGTAATAATACAAATAATTACTTCGAAAAAAAAAGGATAATACTTTAAGTGAAATAAAAATTATCACTAAAAGTTTAAATAATAACAAGAATACAAAGCATAAAAAAAACTTGCTTTTTTTTTTTCTAATTTTCATATTATGGTAATGTATCCAATAGAGAAGAAAACACCAAAATAGCAGTTAAATAAATCACACCAAATATAAATATGTTACACGTAGTTTTTTTATTTATTTATCTCTTTACTTTTTTTTTTCAACTTTGCTTTTGAAGCCAGATATAAAGCATAATGACAATATTAAATAATTACTATACAATTTCTATTGAAGATGGGTCTGAAAAATTCACAATTAATAAAAAGTACACGATTATTCGAAAAATAGGATCTGGATCATATGGATCTGTCTGTAGTGCTATTAATACGGATGTTAATGAAGGTAATTGTATTCATCGATTATATTAACTTATATTAATGAAAAGTTAATTTTATAGTGGTTGCCATTAAAAAGTGTAGACATGTGTTTGATAAAAAACTTATCACAAAGCGTTGTCTTCGTGAAATAAAATTATTGAAGCATTTCAATGGTCATCCACGCATCATTGATCTAAAGGCAATAGATATTGTGGATCCAAAAACTTTCAATGAAATTTATTTAATACAGACTTGCTGTGATACAACCATGGCTGATATCATTCACTCAAAAGTGGAATTAGAGCCTGTTCATTATCAATGGTTTATGTATCAATTATTATCTGGCTTAAAGTATATTCATAGCGCCAACGTCCTTCATCGTGACTTGAAACCAGGTACATATAATGGTAACAAACGGTATGATATCAATAACTAAACTATTTTCAATAAACAGCAAATATCCTTGTTAATGAAAATTGCGACTTAAGAATATGTGATTTTGGTATGGCTAGAGGTATTGCTCTACCTTCAAGTTCTATTGAATCACAATATATGTCACATTATGTCGTTACGCGTTGGTATCGCGCGCCAGAAATTATGCTTAGCCGTAATGCATATGGGAAGTCAAGTAAGCTTTATGATGATCTCACTAGATGATTAGAAATCTAAACATATTTTTTTTTTAAAAAAAAAAAAAAAAAAAAAAAAAAAAAAAAAAAAAAAAAAAAGTTGATATGTGGTCTCTTGGCTGTATATTGGCAGAACTATTAGGTCGTAAAGTGTTATTTAAAGGAACAGATTATGTTGATCAGCTTCATAAGATTGTCGGTATTCTTGGCTTACCAAATGAAACTTCATTTTGGGATAGTTCGTCATCTGTAACTGAATATATTAGAAGTTTGCGTGATGAAAATGGATTACCTCCTCCTAAAGAACCAATTGATTTTCATTTGTTATTTCCAAATGCGTCTTCGGATGCTATTCACTTACTTGAGAACTTACTTTGTCTGGATCCTTCAAAAAGGTTAACAGCAAGTGAAGCGTTAGAACATCCTTTTGTAGCTATCGTTAGAGATCCAACATCTACAGGAGATGAAACTGTATGTCCTTCCATTTTTGATTTTGAAAGCTTTGAAATGATTGAAAGTGAGCATGTTTTACGTCAATGTATTATTGAAGAAGTAATTCATAGTAAAGAGTTCATGAATAAGGATGACTGCTCTTATCAAAATAATTACATAACCTCGTCATTGTTATCTTCTACTAATTATATTCAAAAGTCTAACAGTCGAAGATATACGGGGGGATCTATTTCTACTACTTCATCTGCTTCTGCAGCAGAGGCTAGTTTAAATGCAATGAACTTTCTTGCTCAACAGCAGGGAAAATTAGAGTCTTACATCAATAGCAGTGGATGTTACATGCTTATGGGCAATAATCAATTAGTAGGTGAACCAGAAGATATGAATGAAGATGACATGAAAATGTTGGATAGCGATGATAGCCAAAATGAAATGGCTATTGTTGGTAAAGGACGAACACTTATGGGCCCAACTAATGCTGATTATCAAGCATTGGAACGACATTTAAGTCGGGATTGGTAAAAAAAAAGAAAAGAAAAGTAAAAAGAAAGAAAAAAAAAGAAAAAAAAAAAAAAGAGAGCTTTATATAGATTATACCCTTCTCTTTTCATTACTCTTACTGTTTATCTATAATGAGATATAATAATATAGTTTAACTGTATGCATCATATATACACTTATTTATTTTATCATTTTATTTTCTAATATATACATGTATAAAAAGAAACATCTCTACTGTTATTGTATTATTCTGGATTCTTTTTATCATGTATTACAGAGTAAAGTCATCTATTTTACATAATTGTACACTCAGAGTCCTTTGAATGGGCAGCGGTATTATGATCGTCACGAGTATATTGACGTCTTTGATGAGGTTTGGCACCACTGTATTTTAATTCAGTCAAACGTTGCATAGCTCTACGATAATTTTGAGCAGCAGCTCGCATGTACCAACGCTTTGCTTCCTCTAAACTCTGTCTTGTCCCTGTACCAGTTTCCGTATAATAACCCACTGCATATTCGGCTTTGGCACTACCTTTATCAGCTGCTTTACGAGCCCATAGGTAAGCCTCTGTATCATTTTGAGGCAAAATACCATCAGCACCTGTCAAGTACCAACCCGAGAGTGCAAATTCAGCTTCTATATTACCTTGCTCAGCAGCTCTTGAATACCATGCAATAGAGCGACGTGGATCGATAGGACAATTTAGGTAACCATTTTCATAAGCCCATCCTAGTTTATATTGAGAGGGAGCGTAACCATACTGAGCTGCCTGTGTAAATAGTTCACGAGAATAATTTGGATCAGGTATAACGGATGGTATACCTTCCTTTTCGTAGGCCAGCCCCAACTCATGTAAAGCATGTGGATGATCTTGATCTGCTTGTTGAGCTGCTCTTTTCAACCAAGAGATGCCTTCACGTGGCGCCTTTGGTAGCCCCAAATGGCCCTTTAACAAAATTATACCCAACTTATACATTGCCACTTGATTTCCCAGATTAGCTGCCTTTCGATAAAACTGAATTGCATGGTTCTTATCCCGTTTTGTACCTACACCTACCTCATAACATACAGCGGCTCGAAATGTGCAACCTGGATGACTCTGTTTAGACCCTTGAACGTACAATGCAAAGGCCTTTTCGCTATCCTGGTTTAGACCCATAGTACCTGAGCCGTAGCAATTGGCCAAGAAGAACTGTGCCTCTGCATAACCCTGTTTTCCCATTCCCGAATGAGCTGCTAATTTTTTAATCAACTTCTGTGCTTCTAAAATCATTGCATCTCGTGCTTTCTTAACATTTTGTTTATCTGACTGTTGTTGTTGTTGTTGTTGTTGTTGTTGTTGTTGTTGTTGTTGTTGTTGTTCTCCTAATTGATTCGCAGCTTCTAATAAAAACTTGGCTAAATCAAGAATGGCTTGAGGATCATTGCTATTCTTAGCTTTATCACGGTATTTGTCAATATTTTCTTTGGTTATGGACGGGAAAGGGTTTTGTTTACTAGGACGTTGTCCAGCTGTATTTGCCACAGATAGCGAACTATCCATTAAATAACTTGTATCGTCGTAGTTGTTTATTACGTTTTGTTGATTTGGAGTCCGCACCATCCTATTAGGCCACATCATACTGGGTTGTTTTGGAGGTCCATAATAGTTTGGATTATAATATTGACTATGGATAGGTGGTAGTGGTGGTGATGGACGATCATCATTATAATTTATTTGTAGTGGTTGTGTTAAGGAGACCATATTATATGGTTGGGATGATATCGTAGACTGTGGTGGTGGTGGTGCTGGCGCTGGTGCTGGTGCTGGTGGCGGTGGCGGTGGCGGTGGCAACAAAGAATATGCAGAGCTTTGGGGTCTATATTGAGATAGGGATCTTTCAGGATAATAAGCAGTGGATGGTTGTCTAGTCATATTTACATTTTGAACAAAGGAATAATTTCTTGATAATTGTTGCTGCTGTGCAGTTTGGAATGCTACAGATGAATGAATACTATTTGTATTTCGATGACCTTTATGGTTCATATCAGGAAAAAAAGACTGATTTTTTCTATTATTATTATTATTATTATATTGAATAGAAGGTGAATATTGCAAATGAGTAGTATTTATTGGTGTTGAATTACTGTTTGCAATAGGAGAAGAAACAGTAAGTGAAGTGGAACTACTATTAGAAAGATAAGATGATGAATTTCTATGCATTTTTAAGTCTGATGTAGATAAGGAAGACTGTATAGTTGCAACATCATCTGGCTTTTGAACAGTAGACGATACTGTATACATTGTTTGGTCTTTATCTTTTTCAGATAACGATTGTGGTTGTTGTGGTTGTTGTAGTTGAAAAATAGAATTACCATTATCTTTTGACTGATTTTCATTGATTAATAGTTTTTCAGTAGGAAGATGCTCAAAGTCAAAGGTCATAAAATAAGATGAAGCAGATTTACTATCATTTGAGATAATACCTTTATGTACGTTATCATTCTTAGGTACTGTTGCTGTCATAGATAATATATGTAGAAAGAAAGAAAGAAAGAAAGAAAAAAAGGAAAAAAAAAGGCCTATTCAATGAGTTACAATTTATATTATTGTCTGGCGTTTGTGTTACATCAGTTACGAATTTGCCTCACGTTTAAATAATAATCTTAAGAAATTCTAATTGAGTACTACATATTGAATATAGCAAAATTGCCTGAAAGGAAAACTCGCTAAAAAAAAAAAAAAAAAAAAAAAAAAAAAAAAAAAATAACCCCTTACAGTCAAGGATAAAAAAAAAAAGAAACAAGAGATATGAAAGGAACAAATGAAAAGAAAATAGTGCATCTATGACACTATTAATGAAAGGGAGAGAAAATAAGCCAGTTGAGGAATCTTTGCCCGAGTTATAGCAGTAATGGAAGCGGGTCTTTATGGTGAAAAAGGTAATTAAGCTCGTGAAGAACGGTACAAGTGACTGACGAACAGATATATCAAGAAAGCATATTGAAATATATATGCGATTAATGTGTATAAAGCTTCTTTAAAAAAAAAAAAAAAAAAAAAAAAAAAAAAAAAAAAGAAAAAAGAAAAAGAAAAATAAGGGGGATTGGAAAGGGGACTATTAATAGTTTCAGGTAATGAAAGCCGATATGACAGTTTTATAGGATGCTTGGGTAAGTAATTTAAATGGCCATTGGATAACCTTCCAAGGTATCAACAGTTACATCAACTATATTCAAGAAAAGACAGGGATAGCAGAAGAATTGGATCTATTAACATAAACAAGTAAACACTGTGTTCGTAATTTCAACTTATTAGGGGCGTTCCTATGTTGATTTCAAGAACTTATACTATTAAAGTAATTCTTGAATTGTGTCTTGTTTTGCGATAAAGGTTATATCGTTCGCTTAGAATGCATAGCCAATTCGCGATGCTATATAGACAGTTGTTATATTATCAGACAGTTGATGAGATCAGAATAATCACGACAAACTATGAATATGCATAAAAAAGAAAAGAGGTGATAAGGTAGAGTTCCAAAGAATACTAGTAATAGATGGAGAGTAAAAGGATAGTGCAGCGTTTAGGAGAACTTCAAACTGATCATCATAAAAAAAAATATTTATATGTAAAAATAAAAGTGAGTTAATAAGACTAAACAATCGTTCTAAAAATCGATTATTTTATTTATATTTTTAAATGAGGAGTATTATAAGAATACAAAAATATCTAAAATTAGAGAGGAATCGGCAAAGTATTCAGTTACGTGTACACTATTTATAGTAGATGTATTGGTTGCGAAAACGTATATGAATGCATTAGATCCATCCTTTCTTTGATATTATTTATCCATACATCTGGAGTCTGGATAAAGAGCAATCGATTTGAATTATTAATCTTTGGTGCGTAATGTTTGTAGAGATATACATAATATAAAAATATTTTTCTTTATTTAATTTAAAGATGTATGTTGATATAAGGAATTGTTTTTTGTTTATATTATTATAATGAAATCTACACTATGTATACAAATATAAAGAAGGAAAAGACAAAAGATAAACCAATAACTAACTATTCTATTACTAATTGCTGTTCTTAATTAGAAACGGGTTTATGAATCATATCTTCACGACCAGCACCAACACCAATCCATTCAATAGGAACACCAGTCTCCTTTTCAATAAATTCAATGTATTTCTTTGTATTTTCAGGAAGATCTTCATATTTTTTACATTTGGAGATATCCGTCATCCAACCAGGAAGTTCAACATATTCAACTTCAACCTTTTCAAGAAGATCAAGGTCAGATGGGAAAGAAGTCAATTTCTTACCATTCAAATTATATGCGACAGCAACTTTGATAGTAGGTAATTGATCAAGAATATCAAGCTTAGTCAAATTGAAACTTGTATATCCGTTAATCATTGTAGAGTATTTTAAGACAACTAAATCCAACCAGCCACAACGACGCTTACGACCTGTTGTGACACCGAATTCAAAACCTACAGTCTGAAGGTGTTCACCAATTTCATTCAATTGTTCAGTAGGGAAAGGACCACCACCAACACGAGTACAATAGGCTTTTACGACACCGATGATATTTGAGATCTTACTGGGGGGGACACCAAGACCGGTACAGACACCACCAACAGAAGTGTTGGAGGAAGTAACATAAGGATATGTACCAAAATCAATATCAAGCATTAAGGCATTTGCGCCTTCAACAAGGATACGCTTACCAGCTTTGATTTGTTCGTAAAGATAAGGAACAGTATCAATGACATAAGGTCTAACACGTTCAGCGAGTTCTTTATAACGTTCAAGTTCACCTTCAACATCGTATTCAAAGTTACCATAACGTTTACGCTTGTTTTCAACCATTGTTCTAAAACGAGCAGAGAATTCCTCAAATTCAAAAAGATGATGAACACGAATACCAGAACGAGAGGCCTTTGAGGAATAAGTAGGACCAATACCCTTACCAGTAGTACCAATACTACCACGACCTAATTCAATTTCTTTAAGACCATCAACCTTTTGGTGGAGATCGAAAACAAGATGAGCACGGTCGGAGAGAAGCAAACGGCCTTCACAATTGAGACCTAAAATTTTTTTTTTTTTTTTTTGAAAATTAATAAAGAATTTACTTCAAGCTAAATCATTTTTTTCTTTTTTTTCAATTTTTAAATTTTTTTCTTTTTAAATTTTTTAATCTTTAAAACTTACCCTTAGCTTCAAGTTTGGCTTTCTCTTCAAAGAAAGAAGGCAAATGGACTACAACACCATTACCAATCAAGGCAATACAGTTAGGATTAATCAAACCTATATACATATAAAAAAATATAAAATGAATAAATATGAACGCGTTTTTTTTACATGTATAAGAAAATCAAAAATATTTTTTTTTATAAAAATGACATACCAGAAGGCAACATATGGAAATCATATTTAACATCATTAACGACAATAGTATGACCAGCATTATTACCACCCTATATTAAAAGAAAATATGAATACAACAAGACGACACGATAAAGGCAAAAAATAAATAAGAATAACGTACAGCACAACGGGCACAGATGTCAGCTTCAGCACAAAGGATATCGGATAATTTACCCTTACCCTCGTCACCCCATTGTGAGCCAAGTACAACAGAAATACGACCTTCTTGCAAAGTGGACATTATGATTTAAAGATGAGGAAAACCAACAAGAACAAAAGCTCGACACTTTTCGGCTCATTAAATACGCAAAAACAAAACAAAAAAAAATTTTTTTTCCCTGTCATAAAAAAAAAGATGCTGGGACTTCCCTAATTTTATTTGTCCGGTTATATGACTCTTAGATGACTGGAATAAGTGTAAACAAATTTTTTTTTTTTATAAAAGCAGTTAGAATCAATATTATTGGATACATTTATCCGCAACCTTCCATTTAATCTGATATTCTGCGCTGATATGTCGAAGATATGAAGTTTTTTTTTTTTTTTTTTCTACTCAGATAGCTCCGTGTGACATTAAGACAAGAAGTTTGTTAAGTTATTACATTAAGAAAAAGCTACTAAAGACAAGTAAAGTAAAGAATGTTGCAATTATTATGTAAATTAGTATGAGGACGATTTCTTCTGAATTACTATTATTATTCTGCAAGTGGATATGTAAGATATTTTATAATATTAATGTTAAATATTGTTATTCCGAAATTGTATATCAAAGCCCACTTGGTTTTGATAATAATAGCAGCAGCAATTACTGTATTTGATAGGGCTTTTTTTTTTTTTGGTTCATATATTAACAATTTATTAAATGAATATTTGTAACAAGTCTATCTTATTTGTTTATTAAATATACATTAAGAGGCTTTACTCTTTTGTTGTTCTTTACGGAAATAGTCTTTACGACGTTCCTTCTCCTTTTTCTCGTTTATCTCAGCAATCTTTGCTCTCTTCTTTTCAACCATTTCACGTCGTTCGTTATTCTTAAGTTTACGCTTACGATCCTTTTCATTACGAAGTGTATTTAATTGTTGCATTAAGGTATAAATTTTCTTTTCTTCTGGCTCAAGAATAACTGCACGTTTACTCATATAAGATTGCTTTTTACTCTTTGTTGCATTCTTGGGTTTATTAGCAAATGGTAATTCAGCTTGAAGTGCTTTAGGAATCTTCAAGGCATTGAAGCGGCGCTCTTTTCTTTCAATAGGCTATTATAGAAATGTATAATTTAGTATACATGTTTATATTATTTTTTTTTTCTATCTTATAATTTTACCTTGTAAATAGAATCCACATTTTGAGGTGCATGCATATTCAATTCCTTTCTGACTTGGCCTGTTGTACGCATACCTTGCCATTTTTCTTTAGTAGATAATAAGAGTGATGTAACTGGGTTATAGAATTTACGTGGCTTAACAGGATACCAAGCTCTTAAGAAGACAATATCTAAAAAAATAAAATATGTATACAATTATTAAAAAAAAAAAAAAAAGTTCCTTGTTTCATATAAAAAACTTTACCACTCATTAAAATTTTATCCTCAAAAGTAGCACGGAAATGGCCATCGGGTTTAGGTAAAGCCTTTTTAACTTGACCACGAATACCAGATACAGTACGAATATTGGCACCTTCAAATTTAGCAACTTCTAATGCAGATGTAAACATGTCTCTGATAAATGCTGTGTTTTTATATATTTTAGTTGGAAAACCTGTTAATTTAAGTTTTTTAACTATTTCAGTAGATTGACTAATATCTACAATAACACCAGTTGCACTTATTCGGAAGTTTGCCTAATAAATAAAATATTAGCTTATGTTTAAAATAATTTAATTAGAGTCATAACTTACAGCTTTATTATCCGCTACATTTTGTACTGCACAGAAACCAGTATTGGGTGTATGCACAGGACCGTAAAAGGTACCCAAACAATGCATATGTTCTGGTGTATATTTAAGCATACGGTTACGTGTACCATCATTAAGTGAATAAATAGGGATACTTTGAAAGCGTCTCCAACCAATAGAGAAAATAAGAGGATCGTTTGTCTTGAGCGTCTTTGGGAACCAACGGTGGCGTTTAATTCTTACTTGAACCCAACCAAATTGATTTTCACTTGTTAAGAGACCACCAACAAGGACAGGATAAGTAGGATCAAAGTTCTGTACAAATTCACATGGCATATTTTTAAGCAAGATACGAACATAGCTTCCTGGACGATAACCTTCAACCATAGCTCGTGTTTGGGGATCATCATCCTCAAATTCGGCTCGATTCATTTGAAGCTGTTGTTCGATTTCTGCTTTCTTTTGCTCATAGAAATCCATTTTAGGTCCCTCATCATCATCTCCAAATTCTTCAATAAACTTTTTACGAAGTTCCTCTTTACGTTTTGCAATCTTTTCACGCTCAACCATAACAGGATCACGAATCATGCCTTCTTTATCTCTCTTCTTTTTATCTTTGTTCTCATCTTCTCCTTCTTCTTCTTCTTCATTTGCATCAGCTTCAAGGTCTTCAAAGTCACCCATCACTTCGTCTTCCTCTGCTGGGAAAGCACTTTCACCTTGAACAGCATCAATATCACCAGTAATGAAACGATTTCTAATAGAATCTAATGTATCTTCATCATCCCAATCTTCTAATTCTTCTAAATCAAAAGGATCGCGACTACTGTCAACTAGCTCTACTCTGTTTGTATTCTCTCTATTAATCTTGAAGAATTCTTCTTCTTCAGCATCTTCGACATCATCTTCATCCTTATTGTCATCACCATAATTACCGTTTAGAATATCTTCAGGAGTAAGCTCAGGGTGATTATAAATGAGCGAGATCAGGTTTGTTCGTCTGCGACTGGAAAACATATCACTTGCTTTTTCTTGAAGGTTAGCTTTCCAACGTAATTCACCAGCAAGCTCTTCATCATCAATTGAGTGTCTCTTTTTACGACCATCAACCATGACAAAATCTTCATTATCATCTACATCATCACCTAAATCACTATCACTATCTGCAAATTCATAATCAGGCTCATTGTCATCATTAGCTTCTTTATCTTCCTTTTCACCCTTCTTAGGAATATTTCTTGTATCAAATTTAGTTAAGGCTTTACCACGACGAGGAGCATCTTCTTCCTCATCCTCAAGATCCTCATCATCTCCGTCATCCATAACATCATCTTCATCATCTTCAACTTCATCCTCATCATCTATTTCTGCATCTTCATCACCAAACACAGCACGTCTACGGGTTCTACCATTTTCATCCTCTTCCAATAATTCTTTCACTTCACTTGCTTTCACAGGTGTAGATCCCGAGAAGATTCGTAATTCAGATTCTTCTAATTGAGCAGCAAGCGTATCTTGAGCGTCTTGAAGATCCATTACGAGTTTTTCACCTGTACCATAAGGTACGTTGGGTTCGTCATCAACATCATTCTCATCATCTTTATTAATTTCTGAAGGAGCATAGGCTGATTTCTTTGTAAAATGACCAGGCACATTAATATAGACAGCATCCTTATCATACATGACGCCACCCACATCAGACATGGGAGCATAGATTAATTTGTGTTTTTCATCTAATCTCTTACGTTCCTTATCAGGCAAAGGACAAGGATCAGGTAAAACAGAGACATCAGCTAGATCATGATCACCCGCTCCAGGAATATGAACACGCATGTTAGGCTTCAAATTCGTACCACGTAAATAGCCATATAGTGTAACTGTACGATCACAGTTTGGTTTACGGTGAAGTAGTTCAGGATCTGTCAAGTCTTCAATACGATCGGCTACTACATAAGGATGTGTATTACGCCAGACTAAAGGTCGAAACTTCATGACGGAAATAAAGCGAGAAAGATTTTGAATTTCCATATTAGGATATCTGCCGTTAATAATACCTGAAAGATAAAATAGTTTAGCACCCTGATAGATTTCTGTCCAGAAACGATGCTTTAATCTCTTTTTAGTTGTCTTTAATGTTTTGTTGTTACGAAACTTATCAAGATGGGTAAGAATACCCATAACTTTGGGAAAACCATGCGATTGTAAAATATTCAAAAATTCGAATGTTTCCTGTAGAAAAAAAAATGGTTATCATCAAGGCTATATAAATCTTTGAATGTGAAATTCTACCATTTCAAAACCAAAACTTGCATCGATCATCAGTAATACAAGATCAGCAACTTTAGCAATATCGATCATTGAATTTAAATCGTTGTTACATTCCATAAAGGTTAAACGTCTCTTTTTACCGCTTACAACGGTAATTGGACCTTTAATTTCATTCAAATTATGTTTTGTATAGCGTTTTACTAAAGATCGAATAAGTGTTGATTTACCAGTCTAATAATAATAATAAGATACATGAGCTATATTGTTGTATTTTATATATTTATCTACTTACACCAGGAGGACCAACGACAGCAACAACAACAGGAGGTGACTCCAAAGGAGTACGATCCACCATAGGTACATGAAGTTTCTTTTCACCAATATCAAAGTTTCTTCTTACTGTCTTTTCTGCTTTTCCAGCACTTTGGAAGGTGAATGCCTTGGGATTACTCGATTTCTTCGCATTGGCAAATTTATTTTCTTTTTTACGTTCAACTTTCTTTCCTGCCTTCTTTTTAATATGAGGCTTATGTGTTTTTTCCTCCATAATAATGAAAGCCTAATTCAAATAAAGAAAAAAAAAAAAAAAGCTTATAGTGTTCTTGTCAAATTTTTTTTTTTTATTATTATTATTTTTTACTTCCACTGTTGAATCAACATTACTTGAAAAGCAGTCATGAACCCAATTTGGAAATCATTATATTTCTCTTTAAAATTTAAGGAGGAAATAAAATAATAAGCATAGTAACACCTCCCAAGCTAAAAAATTTTTTAAAAAAAAAATATTTATTAGCAAGGTTTTTTTTTTGTTAATAAACTATTCGTATAAAAGTCTTTTAAAGGTTAATAATTTATATTACTATGTAGTATTAGGTATTTACTTACTTTTATGCCTATAAACAATAGGAAAGTACAGGTTATCCTTAGTAGCCGTGACTTGATTTCGTTCATAGTACTAAGCCATTGAAATATCCAGTATTATAATTTGTCGATTTCCCTTTTCTCTCCCCCCATAATCATCTAATATTTTTAAATTTAAAAATCAGTGTATTTAACTTAATTTTTGAGGACAATGGTAAGAACAACTGAATATCGACAGGAACCAAGTAAATGATTAGAATGAAGCTTCTAATGATTGTTCTAGAAAAAATATTGATAAAGAGCATTACTTTACACTTCCAATTTACTCTTGATAAAGTAGAGGCATTTTGCTGCTCCAACAGTCAAGCATTCTTATTGGAGTATATTCATTCTTTTGCTCTACAAACCCTTCCCCCAATTGTATAGAATGGATTTGTAGTGACTTCCAAAAATAACAATAAAAAGTGAGCACCTTTAAAGCATTCAAAAATACTGTTCTTAGTATGGGGATAATTTTTATTTTTTTTCAATAATCTAATTTTAAAAATGCTGACAAACTTTCCTGTAAGATATAAAATAAATACTGGATTTACATCTTCTTGACACTATCATTTTTCTTATTTTAACCTCTAGTAATAGCATTTACACATAGTTAAATATATTTTTTTTTGGTATTTAATCTTTCTTAACAGCAAATTAATGTAAATATACTAGTAAAGAGTTTAATGTCAGATCATAGAATTTGATTTTGTTAATTCTGCATCTCCTCTTAATAAAAGGGAACTTGTTTTATCCAGGAACTTTTATTATACGTCATTAAGACAATATTTGCTAAATGGTCAAGTTATAATAAATAAGAAAATTGGGGAGGGTCTTTTTTTTTCATTTTAAAAAAATCAGGGCCATTAATTTATTTATTGGTAAAATGGGGGGACGAAATATAATACTATCCAATCACATTAGAAATGATCTTAGTGGTTACCAAATCTGTGAACAAACAAATAAGTAAAATAGTTTTGCAGTCCAATGCCAAAGGGCGGTTTTTTTTTAAAGAAAAAAAAAGGGTGGGAAATAAATGTTTTCAGAAGACCAAAGGGCGGCTTTCATTTTTTCAAAATTCGTTTTTTTTTTTCGTTTTTTTTTTAAAAAGCTCGTTATTTTTAATAAGATATAAGATGACTACTCGTTTTTTTTATGAAGAAGGTCAAGGAAGAATGGTCGATGAGCAAGGAAATGATGCAATGGACTGGGTTGAAGAAGCTACCCGTTTCCATATAAAAACTTTGACTCGTATAAGAGAGTATTGTGAAAAGCAAGATGAACAGCTATTCTCTAAAGAGAACCTAGAAAATCTCAACACTGATATGGAGGATATTATAGTCACGGTTAAGAAGCAGTTAAAGAGTTAGTATAGATACTCTAATGAGCAAAAGCTTCTATTTGTATATTATAGTAGAATCCAGTTATTCAACGCAGCTAAATCCGGGTGCTTATCAGACAGCATAAACGAGCGAACAGCACAAAAATGGGCTGAAAAACTCAGGGAGGACAAAGATTGGAACATTTTTGAGAAGCAAACCAATCTAGTTAATAGAGAAAAACTACAATTGGATGATAGGCATAAGGTTTACCTTGTAGAGTTTTACGACAACTGGCCACAAGCACGAGTAGTTGATACAATGGATTCGCTCACTCAGAAATTCTCTGACCTTACTGTGAAAAAGAGCACTGCCCACAATTTTCTGAAAGCTGAGTGCAACCTTTTTTTTTTAAAAAAACTGACAACTCAACCAGCTGCTAGAAATAGTCCAAACAAAATTCAAGCTCGCAAGGATTGGGTTATCAAGTGGAGTGCAACAGATATGAACTATCTGGAAAATTGTATTTTTGTTAATGAATCCGGCTTTAACATCAACATGAAGCCACCTAGTGGATGGTCATTAAAAGGAAAGTCAGCTGTTACAGATACTCCTACCAGTAGATCTGTTTCCCACACCGTTTTAGGTGCTATCAGTGCAAAGTTTGTTGTCTCTATGAAACTTTGCAATCCTCAAGAAGAATCCTCAAAACGAATCAAAATTGACTTTAGTAATCGTAAAAGAATGGCACCATCTCAAAAAAAAAAGGAAGCCAGTCTCGAAAGGCACTGTTACTGGTCATTACATGAAGTTTCTTGAGAAAACCATGAATGAGATGGATCATTTTCCTGAGCTAAAAGGTCATTATATCGTAATGGATAAAGCACCCATTCATACAGCGGGCCAAATTGATGAGATGATAGTTGCAAGAGGGTGCAAGAGTATCTACTTTCCTCCTTACTCTCCTGAGCTTAATCCAATAGAGAATTTTTGGTCTATTATTAAAAATAAGGTTAAACGAAGTTCGTTTAGAGCTACTGAAGATTTAGCTACTCGGATTGCAGAAGATTGTAATTGTGTTTCTCCTAATCACCTACAAGCATTTGCTCAGCACTCTGTTGAGTATTTTGAGATTTGCTTATGTGGCGAACCATTATAAAGAAGGTTTGTTTCATATAATAATATTTTTTTCTTTACGCTTTAGAAATAAAAAAAGGATTGAACTTTGAGAAAATGAAAACCGCCCTTTGGCGTTGGAACGACTGTGTAACTCTGAATAGTGCCAATTTGACGACAATACCAATCATTTTCCAGCTGGCGCCATTTATTTTTCAGAAATCGCAAAATTTACCAGCTGCACTATACTTTTTGGAAGACGATTCAGTCTCATGACAAAATAGTTTCCCTAAAATATCCCAGATTTGTTTTTTTTTCTTTGTCAGTGTCATTCTTGTTTATCAAAGCCAGAAATTCTTGACATTAACATATTATTATAATCAAAATGTCTTATCCACAGAAATTCAAAGGCAAAAAGGTGGAGATTAAAGAAACAGTCAAGAATCAGAAGTTCTTCGCCAATCATACTATTGATAATTGGACCTTTGTGGAGTTTTTGATCTACAAAGAACAAAATACCCTGAAACGCGTGAAAGCGATATTACAGGAATATAAGAATAGTATCAATTCACTTATCAGTAAGCACAAAAAGCAAATTGATCCGGTTTTGCTAGGATATTTGATAGAGCTAAAAAATAAATTGGTAATAACTCAAACAGGCAAGAAGAAACGCGTATACTAACATGTTACTATAGTTTACCAATGAAGAGCTAAAAGATATGATTGAAGAACTAATGAAGGGAAACAAGGAAAACATTTCGATTGTTGATTCCACGATATCAAACTCGAAGATAATTGTTGGAAACGATAGTGGGTCCATAAACATTACCCAAATAAAGGTATTCTTGTTTCTGTTATGCTTTTATTGTAAATGCTCAATATTTCTTACACACACTCAAAAATAGGGAAAGAGGAAGCAAGGTCAAAATCAAGAGAGTAAGTCATATTTGTCTATAAAATAATAATGGGCTTACAATTCAATTTAAATTTAGATGATAGTGATATCGTTACGGTAAAAAGAAAGAAGGACTCCTTTGCATTACTAAAACCAATCACACCCAGCATCTCCTATCGCTTTAATACACCTAGTTTCAACGAACAAATGAAAGCAAAAGTGAACTCGATTGCATACATAAAGTTGGATGATAAAGATATCTGTGAAAACGAATCTATTACCAACGAATATGCCAGTAATATGAACGAGTCTTATAGCAACAAGTATATTAACAGTTATCCTATCGCTAAATCCTTTGCCTTGGATGGGCCAACATGGATTTGATAATACAAATTCTGAAGATACTAAAAAAGCAATACTCATGATTCGATTAACATTAATCGATTTTTAGGCCAATTGCTTGAAGTCCTCACCTGCTAACTCTTTGAATGAGCGTACACCATTTGTGGAATATGTTGTCTCCATATTCAAGCATTACAGCGCCGTTTATGGTGATTTAACATTTCAGTGGTAAAGACAAACTTTATTTTGTATATACTATCCAATCTGACTTTAATTGTATAATTTGAATGTAGGTGTGAGAAGGGTCTGGAAACAAACAAATGTGTTGTATACTATAACACAGATGGCAAAGCTAAAAGACGTTTAGCAGATGGTGTTGGTTATTTTGTCATGGATAACACGAAGAATTTATTGTTTGAATCATCGGGGTAATAATACTATAACAGATGATCTATAGATACAATGTGCTTATTTATATGTAAATATAGAGAAGAAAATGACGACCACACACAAGATGTTACTATAAAGCTACTAGAATGTAGCATCAGATCATTAAAGATGGAGATAGAAAATGTTAAGGATGCGTCATTCGAGTCCTATAAGAAGAGAAAGTTTTTCACCTATTTATACTCTGGTGACAAGTTGACAATGCTTAGCACTTCCGTTGTAAGCCAAGAAAAGTGGGGTTATACACTTGTTAGAGAGGCCATTGTTCCCAGAACATGGAATGTGCGTGTTAGATGGCTTAAGGTGATGGATCTCATCTTTTATACCAAGGTAGAGTTTGTGTTGATAGTAAAAAAGAAAAAACGAATTACTAACAATTAATTTGAAAAAGGCGATTCTTGAAGAGCAGAAAGAAGTTGCAGCAATTCTTGAAAGTGAACATAATGGTTGGACACAAGTGGCACAGGGTACAAGTATTAAGTATTTGTCTAAGCTATGTTAACTTTTAAAAGAACTCTCTCACATATATGTTCATATATACTTTATACCACCTATCAAATACTCGATGGAAATAATAGTATTTATTATAGAACAAGTTCTGGATATAAGCATAAGTAACATTATAGTAGATGAATTACATAATAAAGGATAAACTATAAGCCTGAGTATGAAATAAAACTCTGTATATAACATCTTGTAAATAATAGAAAACTTATTGACATCCAATCATCTAGATGTATCAATTATAAGGCATCGTATCATTTCTACATATTTATTTTTATAACCTTGATAAAGGATTCAGGTCGTCTTTGATCCATCCAATGAAATAAAAATATAAAAAAAATCAGGAACATACAATCAGATCATTATAACACGCAATAGATAATCTATAGATCAGTCTCTTGAATCAACACAATGTATATCTAAATACTAACACTGTTTCATGACTCATGTTCTTTGACGATTATTTTTACTTCTTTTATTCAGGATTCATTAGTATAAATACAAGCAGATGTGTAGACACAAAATAACCTTTAGCCTTTAATTCTTCTATTTCATTTTTATTTTATTTTTCTTTCATTGAATAAAAACAGTTTCAAACTATACTTCCTTTTGTTCTCTTTCTCTTTTCATTTTTCTTTATTATAATATGTACCATCACAGTACTAACAATAATTATGATCAATTCTTTATCTAAATATATTCATTTCTGTCATTGGTAGTTACGTGTTAAAATGTTTCCCCATATTTTACCTTTATGCAAAGCTCTCAAAAAACATTTTTGTTAACCCCCTCCCCTTCTTCAAAATAAAAGAAACAAATTATGTTTCTTTTTATCGCTTTTTTTATTAGAATCCAAAAACATCTAGTAATCATGCACCAGATCAAATCCATAGATCCTTCAATTCAACTTCTGTAACATATTTATGAACCAATTATTTTTATTCTTATTAAAAGCAGAGTATCATAGCGAGCTATCACAGCTTGGAAGTACAAAAGAACTTGTGCTTGTTGTAAAGAGTGAAGAAAACATCCGTCCCATGCCATTGTAGATTGCAAAGGAAGGCTTGCAAGAGTTTTAAAAAATCAAAGTGTGTATACAAACAACGGTCACTTGAGTCCACTATAAATATATTGCTAAAGTAGAGTATTCTACATTCTGAGTCATCTTAATTGTTTGATTTACTATGTCGGTTCAAACACGACCAGTGTACGGTAAAATGCTATTATTTATTTTCCTGGTAAATAGTTAATATGCTAGTTCCTTTTTTTTTTAACTTATCTTTAGACAGCTGTTTGTTGACTTGCAAAATCAAAGCTGCTTATACTCGATCGCTACTACGATGAAGCAACAAGAAAGCATATAAATGCAATCTTACCACAAGCACCCTAGAATTTGTCAAAGCCAAGGAAAGCTATCAAGCTCACGAGTTTATAAGCAAGAGGTGGCGTAACATTATACCTTATACAAAAATCCTTTAGTATAATCTCACCCAGTTCATCTTGTTATCGAAATAACCTCTGAATAATGATCAGTGATGTTTTATGTGAAAGAAAAAAATATGGCTAATGTTCCGCGCACCAAGGTTTCTATGAGCCATTTTTCCCTGCAAGAAGAATAAAGTACGAATTTTCCACTTTCACTATAAACCTTTTTTCACAACAGGGAACATTTTTTTCCTCCATTTGGCGTTGGAACAACTGTACGTCATTAAGACAATATTTGCTAAATGGCAATGACAAGTTATAATATATAAGAAAATTGGGGAGGAGTCTTTTTTTTTCATTTTAAAGAAATCAGGGCCGTTAATTTATTCATTGGTAAAATGGGGGGGGAAGAAAGAAATGATCTTAGTGGCTACCAAATCTGTGAAATAAAAAATCGTTTTAATTGTTTTAGTGGTAAGTGGGGGGGGAAGAGAAAAGCGCATGCACCTTTTATACCATACTGTGAAAGTTTATAGGGTCGTAACTTTTTTTTTATAAAATAATGTTGCATCATTCCATTATGCGTCAAAATTCTTTTCAATAATACGTCACTATTTTTCTAAAAAATATGATATTTCAAACTTTTACAGTAGTAGGACATAATTTTAATAAAAAGTGAATATGTATATTTTTTTTTGTACATAACATATTCATTCGTTTACACTTATAAAAATTATTTTACTTATCTAATTATAATAGAGACATTAATAGTAATAAAAGAAAAAAAGCTATCAATGACAGCAAAATCAATAAAAAAGACTAGACTTTTCCCTTCTTGGATATTAAAGCTAATTGGCATTACATCATTAGCATCGGCTGTAATTGGCTTTGCTATTTATTGGCTTAAAAAATATCCACCACGTCGTAAAATTAAGCAAGATGATCATGTAAAATAAAAACATATACATGTAAATATTTGTAACATGTTTCCCTGAATTAATCTATTATTATAGCCAATGAGTCAAACTAATAACTTTCTCAACAATTTAAAATCTACAGTTAGAAAGAGTAAAAAACGAATGACTATTTCTTTAAAAAATGCAAGTAAACGACGAAGGGGTCTTTTTTTTTTTAATTGTTATTATTTATCATACATATAAATTAATCTCTATTTTAGACTGTACTTTGGAATCCTTCGACTGATGTAGATACACCTATTTATGGATTTAGAGAAAACATTATTCATTTACTTGTACAACTTTCTTATTTATACGACATTTACATCATTGTGCATGTTAATTCAGAAGAAGAAAAGACAAGTATTCAAAGTTTATTAACAAATGGGTTATTGAGTATAGCGGATCATCATATTGATTCACGTAAAATCATTTATTGTTCAGAGGAAGAGGGCAAAATTCATATCGTTCGTCATCTTGAGCCGTTTATTCATATTGAAGGAGGCTGGGAAGTGGATGATGGTGAAGATATTGTAAAGAAATTGAAACCCTTTGTTCATAAAATCATTTGGATTTTAACAAAAAGAAGAAGAGATTCTTTTAAACCTGAAAATATTAGACAAGAAGATCGTCATATGTTGGGTCAAAATATTGAAATTTCTGAATCTTTAATTGATACTTCAGTTGCTCAAGAAGTTAAATAGTTTGTTCTACTTACTATATTCAGCATGTTATGTAAACATTTGAAATCTGAATACTACAATATATAAATGTGTATATTGTTCCCTTTGTTTTCTTTTATTATTATTATTATTATTCATATATTTATTTACTTAATATATAATCTTCTTTACCATCATGCTATTAAATAACAAGTTATATATCCTGATAATAGCTAATTTGTTCACTATAATAGCAGCTAAAACAAAAAAAGATACTATTAGCAGTAGTAATTCGCTGATAAAATTGCCTATTTATTATATAAATAATGAAGAACATTTAAATATGAATAAGAATAAAAGAGATGAAAAAACGATAGCGTCTGTTCCATTATTTAATGTAAATTCTAGAGAATATCTTATAGAAATCGGTATAGGTACTCCTCCACAAAAATTTAACCTTACATTAGACACTGGAAGGTATAGTATAATGTGAAAAATATATATATTTCTATACATATTGTAATATATTTTATTTCTAAATAAATATATAAAGTTCAGATATTTGGATTACTTCGTCAAAATGTAAAAAACCAAACTATTGTCCTGATATGAAATTTATTGAATCTGATTCTTCAACCTTGAATGAAACAAATAGCTTGTTTGAAATTCAATATGGAAGTGGATCGGCAAAAGGGAAAATAGCTTATGATACAATAGTTGTTAATGAAAATCAGCTTATTTTACCTGCACAAAGAATAGGTCTGGCTACCATCACTCAGGGCTTTTCTTCCCCTAATCGAATAACAAGTGGGGTTTTAGGCCTTGGCTTTTCAGGTCTCTCGAACGATCCAAATGAAAATACATTTATGATGAACTTGGTAAAAAAGAAAATTATAAATGAACCTGTATTTTCAATTTACCTCAATCGACAAAGTGAATACGGATATAAGGGTGAAATTATTCTTGGTGGATATGAAACAGACAAATTAATGGGTTTATTACAATTTTTACCCGTTGTTCCTTATGAAGCCAGCAATGGAAAACCTCTTGTTGGTCGGTATTATAACACCCAGAAAGGAATTTATAAATATTGGACCGTTCCTGGCCAAGCTTTGACTGTCTATGATCAAAATTCTCTCATTTATGAAACCAAATTTGAAGACGTCCAGGCTGCTATTCTAGATTCTGGTACGACATTATCTTATTTCCCAAAGGATATTGTGTTGGAAGTCTTAAAGACAATTACTGTAACAGATTATGAACCCTTAACATTAAATGGAGGAGAAATACAAGCTTATCAGATTAAAAATTGTAACCAACACATGACAAATAAAAAAAGTTTGAGTTTTGACTTTCAATTTTCGTCTTCAGCGTCAATGTTTAGTACAACAACAGCAATAGTAGTTATTCGAGTACCTCTAAATGAGCTCGTGTTGCCTCAAGATACAAACGATATTAATACAGCAGAAACGTGTTTATTTGGTCTAGCACCTCTTTCTAGCGGCTTTTCAACTTCAATTGGATCTTCAGGTAGTTGGATTCTCGGACAAACAGTACTTAGAAGTGCTTATATTATACACGATATGAAAGAATTACAAATAGGTATAGGCTCCATGTTTAATAATGATACTCTCAGTAGTAACACTATCTCTTCCTCCTTGATGAGAACAAAAAATGGCCTTCATAATAGTATGATTATATTCTCTTTGTTTCTTTTTTTTCTTTCATAATATTTTTTTTAAGCAGTAATTAAGTTTGTTTATTCTTAGTTGTGTAACACTTATGACAATGCTAATATGTAATTTAAATAAATGTCTCGAATTAATATACAAATTTGTTAGATGACAATAAATGCGTTATTCAATTTTATGCGTAACTAATAATATAAAAGATATCCAAAAGAAGAAGAAGTTAGTAGAAAATAAAAATAAATTATGTCTTGGCAAAGCTTACTAGTATTCTTTTCTTTTCCTTTTTTTTTTTAATATTTATGTGTCTATATTTCAACTCAGAATTAATTCCTTTCTTATCCAATAGCTTGTATTCTATTTTGTCATTAACAAAAAAAGAAAATGAAGAATACGAAATAAAGTCGCTTAATAAAAGAAGGTGTTCTTTCTTTCTCTCTCTCTCTTTATCTTTTTCTTTATTTTTTTCTTTATTTTTTTCCTTTTTTTTCTTTTCTTTTTTTTTTGTTTGTTTGTCTTTTAATACGTATTTGAACATATTATGAAAATTAATTCCATTTCAATTTATATAGCTAGTACTTTAGCTCTATTAAGTACTGCTAATGCCTCCTATATTACTAACAAAAAAGTGATTAAAGCACCAATTACTCGTATTAATAGACCTGACCCCATCATTTCTTCTATTCAAAAGAGAAATAATCTCGAGAAAAGAGATCCATTTACTGCTTCTTTATATAATGATGCTGGTTCACAATATCTGATAGAAGTGAATATCGGCACTCCTGCGCAAAGTTTTTATGTTACATTGGATACTGGAAGGTAGACAACGTTTTATATTCTAAATTTGAAACCAAAAAAAAAAAAAAAAAAAAATTAAATTAAATGTTTTATAGCGCTGATTTATGGGTTCCTGGAAGATTATGTTCGTCAACAGAATGTCCAAACGGCTTTTTTGATGCATCTCAATCAAGTACGTTCAAATCTTTGAATCGAACTTTCTCACTTACTTATGGTATTGGAAGTGTCAATGGAACATATGTCACTGATACAGTGTCTATTGCTGGTGCAACTGTAAACAAGCAACAATTTGGATTAGCTAGTAGCACACAACAAATCTTAACTAATCCAAATACAATTACTTCATCTTTAGCGAATACAAATACTAGCTCAACTTCATTTCAGAACATTAAATCATTTGCGTCTTCTGTAAGCGAAACCCCTGTAGCAAATGGTATCCTCGGAATGGGCTATCCAAAATTAACAGCTGCATCTAGTAAAGGTCAAGGTGCATATAATCCATTTGTCTTTAATTTAGTGTCTCAAAAAATCATAAGCGATCCTGTCTTTTCTATCTATCTTAATCGTGTTAAGGAAGAAGGTTGGGCAGGTGAAATCATTTTCGGTGGTGTTGACCCTTCAAAATACAAGGGTAATCTTACTTATCTTCCTGTTATGTCTTTGGCATCCGTTACTTCGAAAAAGAGAGACGGTCGTAGTAATAACTATTATTGGATGGTAGGCGCTCAAGGTATATCTGTCACTAGTACTACAAATACCACCAGTATAGATACCAACAACACTACATCATCATCATCATCAACAACAACAACAGCTAATAATAATAGCAGTTCTCCTTCCAATATTCTTGATATCGAATTTTCTTCTGTAGGTGCATTCATCTTGGATACCGGTACTACTCTTACTTATTTCCCATCTACTATAGCTCAACAAATTGTTGAAGCTATAGCTGGACCAGATGGCTACACCTTGGAAGCTGGCTCTAGTGCTTATCTTGTAGATTGTAATACAGCAAAATCACAAACACAACTTGAATTAAAAATGACACCTACTACTTCTCGAGTAACAAATCCAGTTACGCTCTCTATTCCTGCTTCACAGTTAGTTATTCCATTGAATGGTGCAACAGCTGATGATGCTAGTTATTGTTTATTTGGTATTGCTCCTTCTTCCAGTACCAGTACCTCTAGTGACAGTAATAATAATCTCCATTTGGTTGGTGACTCTATCTTGCGTAGTGCCTATTTAGTATTTGATATAGGAAATAATCAAATAGGTTTAGCCGCTGCTGTTGGTGTAGAAGGTTCTGTAAAAGGCATTTCATCAACATCATTTGAACAATCAACAAGCGGCGGTATTGGCAAATTAGATCAACACCCTACTATATTTGCTCTTATAAGCTGCTTATTCATCATTGCTCTAGCTTTCTAAAAAAGAAAAAAAAAAGGGAATATACATATAGATATACCACTTACACAGTTTACCATTCATTTAAAACTGTATATACAAATTAAGCTATTCTTCATTTCGTGTATAATAAAACCTTAGGTCTAATATTAGAAAATATAAGCTCTTCTGCTGTGTTTGTATTTCAGTGTTAGATGATTATTGAGATAACATTTGAATAATGGTTTCAGTTTCTTTTTTTTTTCCTGTTTTTTTCAAAAAAAAAAAAAAAAGCTCAAAATAGAATTTGATTTCATGATGAAAGAAGAGACCAAAGTAACCTATGCAGCTCCTCTTCTTCTTCTTCTTTCTTTTTCTTTTTTCCTTTTTTTGCTATAAATCAAAATCATAATGCAAGTATAAATTTAAAAAGTTAAAATACATGTTGATATATACCAACATGAAAATAAAACTTCTGAGACATAATGGTGAATATTTTTTTTTTTTCATAAAAGAAAAGCCAGCTTGTATAATAAGTAATTAAAAAAGGACAAATTTTATTTTTATTTTTCCCTTTATGTTACTGTTATTGTTCTAGCTCTTCTTAATTGTAGTAATTCGTTAAAGAATTTATTGTAATGAATTTATTCTCTGGTCATCAAGAATAAAAAAAGTTTATTTTCTCTTTTATTATAAAGGTTTTTTTTTCAAATCGGAGTTATCACCACTCTTTTTAAAATAGACATTTACATATTTTTAGATTTTTTTTTTCTTTTATATTTTCTTTCATGTTATCTTTTCATGCATAATGAAAAATTATTTCGTATTTGGATTTATAAATCTCCTTGCTGTTTCAGTGTTGGGCTCTAATAATCCAGACTCTTTTTCTATAAACAACTCTGTTATTAATATACCACTTTATAATGATTTGGGTCAAGTTTATCTTGCAAATATTAGTGTTGGAACACCATCTCAAACTTTTAGTGTCATTGTAGATACGCGAAGGTAAAAAAAAAAAAAAAAAAAAAAAAGAGTATTCTTTTTTATTGATTTTTATATAGTTCAAATATTTGGATACCCTCAGTTAAATGTGAACAAAAAATATGCCCAGACACAACTTTTAATCCATCAAATTCTTCTACATTTGAACTTATTGACTCGGCTTTTAATGCTGAATATGGAGATGCCACTATTAATGGTACTCTTGCACAGGATACAGTTATATTGGGTGGAGCTCAAATTGATAATCAAACGTTTGTTCTTGTTAATAAAGCAAGTAAATTACTCATAGCCGATGATTACAAACAACGTTTAAAATATCATACCAATGCATCAGTAGATGGTGTCCTGGGTTTAGGTTATAGTTCTTCGGTTGAAAACAACCAACATGTTTATAGTTCTCTTTTGCATTCTATGGTAGATCAGAATTTAATCCCTGAACCAGTCTTTTCGATCTTTACTAATTCAGTTATGGCCAACGGCTGGGCTGGTGAATTAACTTTAGGTGGTGTGAATGAGGAACGATATCAAGGGCAAATCAAATTTGCAGATGTGCCCGCTATTAGTACGAATAGCGATACTAACACATCCTCTCAAGTTGGTTTATGGTTAGTTCAAAGCAAGTCGATTTCTGTACTAGATGCAGCAACAGTTTATAATGCTAAAACTAAGCAATATGGCGTTGAAATGATACCCAAATTAATTTTACCCTTTCAATTAGATAATACAAAATATGTATTGTTTGATACTGGGACTTCATTATCTTATGTTGGAAAACTTTATGCTAAAATGCTAATCATGGGCTTACAAGAATCGACAAATGTAGATTTGGACGTGGAGAGTGGTTGTTATCTTATTGATTGTGCTTTTGCCAATTCTACTAAACAAATTGAATTTGAATTTGCACAGTTTAGTAATGGTACAGCAGGAAGTGTACGTGTCTCGATTCCTGTTAAATATCTTATACAACCTCAGCATGTAGGTAAAGCGATGACTGGAGAAGATGATACATGTATCTTTAGTATTTGCTCATGGATACCGGGAAAAGATAATGAAAATGAGGATGGTAACGAGACAACTGTTTTTGTATTTGGTGATTCAGTTATTCGCTCAATGTATCTTGTCTTTGATTCTGTTCGAAATAGGATTGGATTTGCAAGTCCTATTGATACAACTATAAAAGTTATATAAAAAAAATATTTATATATTTATATAAATACTATTTATAGAAAAAACATATATATAAAAAAAGCATCATTATTACTGCTTAATTTGTTTGAGATAGATCATTTAATGCCAAGAGTTAAAAATATCAATGAAATGAAAACTAAACAAAAAAACAATAATAATAATTTCGGGATGGCCATCGTCATTTGTCTTTTTATTATTATTATTATTTATATTATTTATCGTTATTATATTCGTGCTTTTCATAGATATTCTTTAATTGTATTATTTTATTTGTATAAACTTTATATTATTTAAGCTTATTTTGTATATAATTTCTTATCATGTATATGCTGTATATATTTCTATGGATATCTATACTTTCTGATATCATTTTTACAAAACCTATTAAATCAAGGAAAGTTGTATTACCGTTTCAAAAAAAAATTGTTAATTTCAGTAACTTGACGCTTGCAGAAAAATCCTATTGTGGATCAACCAATATTTATAATGATAATCAAGTCCAATATCTTTCAAATATACAAATTGGCACACCACCACAAAATTTTGTGGTAATTGTAGATACAGGAAGGTAAAACTTTTTTTTTTTATAGGAACGTTTATCTTCTTTAAAAAAGTGTTTAAAACTTAATATTTATATCCTCTTTTTTATAGTTCATTATTATGGATACCATCTACTTCGTGTCCAGAATCAAAATGCCCTTTAAAAAAATTTGATTTATCTCTATCTTCGACCTTCTCTAGTTATAATAGTGAGTTTGAGATTATTTATGATACAGGCTATACTAAAGGAATATTAGCAAAAGATGATGTAACTTTAGCTGGAATTACTATTTCAGGTCAACAAATTGGGCTAGCTACTGCAACCGAAGATACGATTGCGATAAATGCTAATTTGAATGATATTGCTGCAGACGGTATTCTTGGACTTGGTTTCCCTGATAAAGACTCATTTAATACACGATATCAAATTTCCTCGGTTCCTTTTCATATGGCTTCACGCAATATGCTTATTGAACCTATTTTTTCTATTTGTACAAACTCTATATATGAAAACGGCTGGTCAGGTGAAATTATGATAGGTGGTATGAATTCATCTCTCTTTGTAGGCAACATAACTTATTTACCTGTTGTTCCTGATCTTATTTCTGGAAATTATGTACTGTGGCAAGTCAATACAGAATCTGTTAAATTAAAATCAAACAACGACAATCAAATCCTGTTCTCATCCAATTTTTCATTGCCTGTCACAGCTGCATTTGACACAGGCACGACATTCACCTATTTAGAAGATCAATATGTCAAATCGATGTTAGTAGCGTTTACAGGCGAATATAATCCTATCTTGGACCCACAATCAGGTTGCTATCTTGTTGATTGTAGTTATGCTTTTAATACAGGACGAAGCAATAATATATCTGTTGAATTTGCCTTTTGGACGATGATGTCTAATAGTCAGCAGAAACAATTTGCGTTATTTTCGATTCCCATCTCTGAACTTGTAGAACCCTTAGATAATACAGATATACGATATGCAAAGAAATGTGCATTTTCTATTTGTCCTACTTCTTCTACTAATAGCATACTATTGGGTGATTCCGTTATCCGTGCGTTATACCTTGTATTTGATATGTCTAGATATTATGTAGGTATTGCCCCTTCATTACAAACAGCAAGTAAAGTTGAAATATCAAATTAATTTATTATGAATAGTATTGTAAATAAGTCTGTCTTTCTTTCTTTTTCTCTCTCTCTCTCTCTCTCTTTTTTTTCTTTTTTTTTTTTTTTTTACCATAATAAGTATGTGTTGATCATTTGTAGAAAAAAGGGGGAAAAAAGTATTATGTGTATGATTTTCTTTATTTCTCTTTCTTTCATTATAGTATGATTCTTAAACATAGAGAATATTTTATAATAACTCGTTTTTTATTTTTATTTTATATAAGCAAACTTTCTTGTTCTTTAATAACTTTATATAGAAACGTTTTAAGCAAAGCAGTCTTCTATAAAATAGTCATTGACGTATTACTTTGACAAGTTGAAGAGCCGCTACTAATCTACTCAAAATGTGATACAAATAAAGTATTTATTACTGTCAACATTATTCATTAATAAATCTGTTAGTCGAGAGTGTGTGTATGTATACACATATATGTATATATTTATAGATATGTCTATACATGTACACATATAAAAGAAAAGCAAATATGTAAGTTTTCCTAGCAAAAATAAAAAAAAACATTAGATGTATAATAATAAAGCTTATTAATTATGAAAAGCAATATCTGGAGCACTATTGTATTTTAGTCGTTTATTAAGAAAAGACCAATCAAATATTAAGACTGGTGGTTCATAGTAAACTATTTTTCCTTTTTTTTATTTTTTCTTTCTTTTTTCTTTCTCTGCCTTTTTTGCATTTTCTTTTTCTTTTCTTTTTCTTTAAAAAAAAATCATAATGCTTTATTTATTATTGTTCATATCACTGATTGCCAATGAAAATATAATATTTGGAAAACCAATTCTGAAGGAAAATGATATATTCAGCTTGTCTCTTATAAAAAGATACTCTTACTCTTCATCTATAAGGAAACGATCATCAATAAGCAATGTGTATCCACTTTACGATCAAGAGCAAATTGAATATTTAACAAAGATAAATATCGGAACACCACCACAAGAATTTCTTGTTTCAATCGATACTGGAAGGTAAATAATAATACTATTTTTTTTTTATTATATAGTTGACTGTATACTAATTTATGAATGTATACGTTGTTGTATAGTGCAGATACATGGATACCGTCTATATCATGTCCAGATAAGGAATGTCCATATAAAAAATTTAAAACAAACAACTCTAGAACATTGGAATGGATGAATTCCTCCTTTGTTATTCAATATGGAGCTGGCTCCATCACAGGCAATTATGCCAAGGATACGATTCGTTTAGTGAATAATAATAAGTTGGAAGATCAACAACAGATCAAGTCACAGATCTTTGGTCTAGCTGATTCTGCAAAAGACAACATTATCTCTCTTGCTACTCAATCGAATGGCATCTTGGGTCTTTCTTTTCCTGCTTTAGCTGCTAATAGTGATACAAAGGATGCCTATGATCCCATTTTGTTTGCCCTTGCTCGTCAAAAATTAATTTCGGAGCCAGTATTTTCGATTTCGCTTGATCAAGAGCAAATGATGATAGGTGGCAAAGATAAAAGCCTGTACAAGGGCGATATACATTATATGCCTGTTGTTAAAAATATAAATCCGAAAACAAATGAACTTGACTATACCTTTTGGTCGATTGGTTTGAAGAATATCGTCCTTAACAATCATACGGATGACTTATTTATTAATAAGAGTCAAAATGATGATACTTTAGTTATTTTGGATACAGGGACTACTTTAAGTTACTTGAATAAAGAATTGACAGATAAAATTGTTCGATGGGTAACTCAAAGGGAAAAACTTTCGATCAATCCTGATACATATCTATACACTGTCGATTGTAAACTTAGAGAAAATAAGGATAAACGGAAGCTGGTCTTTCTGTTTTCATCAATAAATCAAGCGATTGTAAGATTTGAAGTAGATATTCAAGATTTAATTTCACCACCTAAAAATGACAATGATAGTCAAGATTGTATCTTTGGTATAACTTACAATTATGATGAACAGAATACGTTTGTGTTTGGTGATTCTATCTTAAGGTCCACTTATCTTATTTTTGACATGGATCAAAAGCAAGTTGGTTTAGCTACGAACTCTAAGAGTCGTTCTTTTAGCAATGTGAATACCCCCCTTTTTATTAGTTAATTAAATAAAATGCAAAAAAAAAAGTGCTCGTTGTAACTCTATTTGCATGTGATAAAAATAATAGAAATAGTTATTTCTTTAATTAATTTTGAAAGAAAGAAAGAAAAAAAGAAAGAAAGCCTACTAAAACAGTTATTGTTTTCAATTAAGAAAAAGAATTAGGTAATGAGTCTCGATAATATTAAATATTGTAACAAGCTGTTTCATCAATACTTGTTTCTCTGATAAACGTGTTTTATATATTGAACTATACAAAGCCATCATCAGTTACTGCAGGGATATAGTCTATCAATTAGACCCTCGTTTACTACTAAGCCAAATTAAAGGAAGTTTTTGGTTTCATGTGCATAATTCATGAACATTTATTACTATAAATTTTTTTTTTTGAAAAAAAAAAAAAAAAAAAAAAAAATTTAATATTAAAAATTAAAAATATTAAAAAGAAAAAGAAAACGAAAAAGAAAACGAAAAGAAAATCAAAAAAAAAAAAACCAAAAAAAAGAGAATAAAAGAGAATAAAAGAGAAAAAAAAAGGAAGGGAAAAATAATTCACGTATTATATGTACATCAATATCGCTACCATGACAACAGCAGCAGCTTCTATTTCATTATTACTGCTTTATTCTAATTTCTATTTGGTAAATCATCGAAGAAATTCTGCGGACTTTTTTTCTTTATTACTGCTACTGCTGCTGTATAAATGGTTTTAAGTGAATAATAAATTAAAGTAAACCGAAAATGGCAACATGTCTTGCCTTTCCACTGGTCCCCCCCCTTTTTTTTTTTTTTTTTTTAATATTACTAAAATTTCTGTTCTCCTACCTTCACATTTAGGAATTATTATTTATTTATTTATTTATTTTTTTTCAAGAAAAGAAAATAGTAAAATAAAGGACAAAAAATGTCATTAGATGAAGTGCTAGTTTCCGATTGGACAACAGCTATAGAAGCACTTGATTATGACAGTGTTCAAGAGCTATATAATATTGAACCACGATTATTATGGACACCGTTAATGCCATTAATACATCTTGAAAATGACTTTGCTCATTTCATTCACCGTCTAAAGAGATTCAAAATGTTAGGATCATCCATACGTCCCGTTTATGCGCTTCATCATATCTTATTTGATTATGGTTTACCTGATGACGAATGGATCAATGAACGTGTTGTACTTATTGATTTTATATTAAAAGTAAGCAAATAATACACGTATACATGTATACACATATCATTGAACTCATCTCTTATGATAGCATACAAAAAATGATGAATTGAATACTTGTCTTTGGGGAGCAGAACAAAATACTACGATGCATCTTGCCTATCTTTTAGATCAACCTGAATTAATTCAACAGCTTTTAGATAAAGGTGCATTAACAAACATACAGAATAGATTAGGTCATTTACCAACTCAAGAAAAACTACAAGAGGAGGAGGAGGAGGAAGGGGAAAAAGAAAATAAAACAAAAACGATAGTTGACGAAAGCGATCAAGTTAAGCTCATAATTAGTAAAAAGAAGCCAGTGACAAATCAATCCAAAATAAATGTTTCTGATCGATTTAGACGATTGCGTGAACTTGCTGAATCACCTAATAATAAAAAGCCTACTACTGAACGACACAATTCAACTCGACGTTACTTTCGGCCTGGTCACCTTGAAGAAAGAAGACGTCGTGTATTAAGTGAAGAAGAAGAAGAGCTGGAAAAACAACGTTTGAGGCGTTTAAAGGAAGTTGAGATGCTTGCTCAACGTTCAGCTGTTAAGAATAACCCATTACTAAAAAAATTTGAACAACAACAGCATCAACAGCCACAACAACCGCTTGTTATTTCAGCGGCTTCAGCAAACAGAGATAGAAGGAGACATTTGGGAGAAGTAGCTGATCAAATTCGTCGAAGTTCACGTGTTATTAATTCTTTAAAAGATCGTTCTTATGTTTCCGGTAGTGTCTTTCGTCAACAAAACAATACAGAAAATAACCAATTGCGTGTGCCGACATTAGATGAATTACGTGCTGCATCATCGCCTACTAGCCCCACTTTTTCCAAAACGATATATTCTAATATGAGCGATATTGAAAAAGAAGATGAAACAGAGGCATCGAATCATGATCCTATAGAGCAGCAAATAGAATTAGATATAAATACTAAATCAGTAGACTTTTTTTCAACGGAAAAGGAAACACCTGATGAGCCATCCACACTACCTTCTACTGACCCTCTTAGAGGCTTTACAGAGAAGTCTTTAATAAATGAAGACCAAATACGAATAACAGAAAATGAAGTTGAATGTTTATCGGTAAATCAACAATCAACACCTATTAGTTCCAATCAACTAGCATTCATGAAGCCAAATAAGACCAATGACAAAAATAAGATAAATTTGGAAGCTTCTAGTAAAGTACAAGAGATTATAGATGCTCATGAGAATTTAAATATTGAGGAGGAAGTCGAAATATACTCGACAGGAAAAGTGTTTACTGTTTGGAATAAGGATGTTGTTAAAGAAGAAGACAATATTAGTACTGTAGATGGTATGTTTCTAAAAAAAAAAAAGGATGGATGAGTTAAGCAATATAACAACTTTTAATGTTATTTATAGCAGGATCAATAGAGAAACAAAAGCAAGATAAGGCGATAGATGAACCTTGTAGTTTATCTGATAGTACTATTTCGATAGGCGAAAACTTATCAGATCAATCTGTTAAGAGTATATCACATTCTATAAATGAAATTGATAAAAATATGACCGAAAACAGTAATGACGAAACTATTTATATGAGTTTAGAAAATGAGCTATTATACAAAACACAAGACTCTGTTAAAAGTGTTAACAACGATATGGAATTAAGTGATAGACAATACAATAGCCAATTAGACAAAAATAGAAAAGAGAAGCTACAAGAAGAATCTATTCAAACTAATGATTTATTAAATACAAGAACTAACTTTATTGAAACTGATTCATTACCTATATTGATTGAAGAAGAAGAAGGAGAAGAATATGATGATGAAGATGAAGTTAAAGAAGTTAAAGAAGTTAAAGAAGTTAAAGAAGACGATGAAAGAAATAAAAATGTAGAAGAAAAAGCAGAAGAAAAAGCAGAGGAAAAAGCAGAGGAAAAAGCAGAGGAAAAAGTAGAGGAAAAAGTAGAGGAAACAGTAGAAGAAACAGTAGAAGAAAAAGGAGAAGAAAAAGGAGAAGAAAAAGAAAATGAAAAAGGAGAAGAAAAAACAGAGGAAAAAGAAATGCTTGAAGATACAGTGCTGAATAAAGATAATAGTTTATCATTCACTATTTCTGACAAGCTAATAGGTGAAATTAGTGCTTTAGAAAGTCTAATACATAATCAGGAAATAGCTTGCGAATCAGTACATTTAGATGCGCCTGATGATGTAGAAGCCTCATATACAATTAGCAACCATTTTAATATAATAGAAGAACCTCTATCTACCAACTATAATATGAATCATGATCAAAAACAAGCTTTAGATAATAGTGAATTAACTGTAGATACTTATTCATCAAATATCCAAAGGGATAAAGCAATTATAACTCATACTAATACTATTGAACTTCAAGAAGAAAAGAATGATGATGATATAAGAATAGAGGAAGGTGAAAGTGATGAAGATGAGGCCACAACACCTACCTTAGCAAACCCTCATCCCTTTGAAATTAAACAGCTATCAGTAGTACATGAACCTAATAGTACAACAAATATAATCAATAATGAGGATAGGAATACTTATAATGAACAAGATTGGATAATGTCTTATGATAATTTAACAGCACAGGAACTTGAATTACATAATTCTGAAAGTGACGATGATGCTAATGATAATAACAAAAGGTCTTCTTCTAAATACTCATCAGATATGGAGGAAGACCAAATTATTAAGTCTTTGTATCAGCAAGAAATGGATCATAATGAAGAAGCTAAAATATCATTAAAGAAAGAAGTAGTAGAAAATGATTTAAATGCTGAAGAACAACAAGGAATAGAAAATATCTCAAAAGAAATTACATCTTCAAATGATATTAACATAGAAAAAAGAGAAAGTGGTAGTCAACGTCTTCATTGGTCTACTGGTATTCATCAACTTGCAACTACTGAAATAATTAAACATGAATCCTTCATAGTTAATCAGTCGTCAAGTGAAACAGGTAGTGAGAACTGGTTTGATCCTGATGATGACTGGAAAACAGATAGTCAGCGTCAATCACAGTTATTGATGGAAACATCAAGTCATAGATCTTCTTCTACATCTTCTTATACCTTAAGTTCAAGTATTTATTCTTTCAAGAATTCAAATTCAACAGAAAATACAAAACTAGATGATGAAGATAAAGATAATAGCGATGATTATTACAAGCAAACTTATCACGGTAATGAAATCCTACAGGCTGAAAATAATGAGGAAATAGAGTTATATCAAAATGTAACAAATAACTCAAACTATACAGTAAATTCATATAATGATAATCGAAAATCTGAAGAGAAAAAGGATGATGACATAAATCATATCATTGACGAAGAAGAGGGAGAAATTGTTGTCTTTATGGACCAAAACTTATCTATACAACAATCAAAAGAAGATAGAGAAGACCAAGAAATAGTCCAATTACTACCATCAAATTCAGTTAAGCCTGATCCCCAGTCTACTTTAAACGATAATTCCTCCTTACTTTCTGTACAACAGCAACAAAAAGATACCAAAGATGATACCCACTCCCTGATCCATTTCCCTTCTCGATCTATAGTTTCAGTTGCAGAAGCAAACCAAGTACAGGAGGTTATCCCCCATGATCCCAAAAATCCTCGTGTAGAGGATATTAGTCATTATATGAATGCCCTACCCTCTTCTAGTAAAAGAATACAGCATTGCGATGAATCATTAAACATAAATGAAGAAGAACATATGGTGAAACGAGCTGTTTCAAAAAAGATAAATACGACTCCTGTTGAGAGTCCTAAGACAACCATTAGAGAACATAGTATAATTCCTAATGCACATGAAGTTTCTATGGATGATAATCAACTTCCACATACCATATCTTCATCTACCAAATTAGAAATAAACCCTAACATAACAGAAGAAGGATCATATCAACCAAAAATATCTACTTCAATAGAGGCGAATCGGTATGGTAAAATGTATATAGCAGTAAGCGGAGCACATCATGTATTACTTCCTTTACCTAAAGAAATTACATACGTACGATGCGTTATAAGTGATGGCGAATACGAATATATGTCACGCTATGAGATCCTTAGTCATCAAATCCTGATGGACTATGAATGTATTATTGATACACGTCCTGGTATGATTATTACCGTTTCACTTCATGTTCGGCCAGATTATCATGTAAGACCCAAGACAGGTCTTAGTCGATGGTTCACATCCATTCGAAAACAAAAGGAACATCTCTCTGGCTATGTTCACCCAGATGATGGAGCGATTGGCCAAACAAGATTTGCAGTTGATCATATGATCCCTGGATGTTATAGAAAAACTTATGAAGCCAATTTTGATTGTTTTAATTCTTGGTATGCAAGAACAAGTCGAGAAAGAGCACGCAGAGAACAATTTGGAGATGAAGAAGATTTCTTAAAGATTGTAGGTAAATTAAATATTGAAATGCTATATCTACCTGTTTCACATCCGAATGCCCAAGTTCCTCGAAGTTTAAGAGAATGTGATTTAACTTTGAAGATTCGACAATGGCATGATACTTGTTGGCAAAGTGGATATTTATCAACAAGAAAACAAGGAAATCAGGTAAAAAAAAAAAAATAAATAAATAAATAAATAAAGATAGAAAGGCAAATGTGTATACTTATTAAAATATATGTTCTTCTAATTCATGTTAGATATGGAAAAGACATTTTTATAGATTAATTGGTAGTCAACTTATTGGATATACATCTGATAAAAGACAAGTATGGAATCATTATAATATAGCAGACGTGATTAGATTGAGCGCAGCAGCAGATAAAGTCATTGTGACCTTAATAGAAGAAGATACTACTAAAGTATTCGGACATGAGCCTATTCATACAGGAAATCATAAAGGATTTTTTAGATTATCCTTTCCAGATTATTATTTAGATTGTGTAAGTGATAGTTTAGAAGAAAGTGAAGAATGGGTTAAAACCTTAAAGTCAATGATCGGTCGTGTTCCCTTGCGTTTACCCTTTACAGATTAACTAATTGTATTATATAAATATAAATATATTATTTATTTATTTATTAAAAAAAAAACAAAATAAAAAATAAAATAAAAATACTAATAATAATACTAATAATAATAAAAAGACAGCATAGAAGAATGTAAGCGTGTACCTTACAAGTTATGTATGATATAAAAAGGAGAAGAGATACTTTACCTTATACACATGAATAGAATTAGATTGTTATGCATAAACTGTGTTTATTATTATTGTATCACATAATTAATAGGATGATGCACTTGTTGTGTATATTACAAATATGTTAAAATGGCCGATGTCTGTGTTTGATATAAACAGTTCCCTTTTATACTATCGCCGTAAGATATATATTTATAGCATCTACATCCTATTTATTACATTAAATAGCTTTATTTAACAAGTCAAAACTCATATATATCTATTCTTCTATCTAAGATCACTTGTCGTTGTTCTTGCTCTCTTATGTCATCCCTATTTATGTTTAAATTTTGAAATTTGAACCTTATCATTTATAAGCTTATAATAATAGAAAAAGAGAACAATTTGAAGTCCTATTTTAGTGGACGAGCTATCTTTTCCTTTATTTGTCAAAATACGGACTTCAAATTAGGACACTGTGACAAATCATTTTTTTTTTAAAAAAAAAAGGCTATAATTACTTTTATATATAAAACATTGAAATCCTTTTATTTATTTATATAATTATTCCTTTCTTCTTCTTCTTCTTCTTTTTTTTTTTTATATAAATATACATATTCATATATTTTTTTTTATTTGCACTATTATTATATAAATCCAGAAAGAAAGAAAAAAAAAAAAGAAACAAGAGAAATGAATAGAAGATTTTATATATTAACACTAGCTTCTGCGTTATGTTGCATATTAGTATTCACCTTATATCCATCGATAAGGAAAACAGATATGCAATTTGCTCAACAACAAGATAAATCAAGAGACTCTTCAGCATTTAATCTATTTAAAAAGAAGAATGCACTTGCAACTATGATATGTGATCCAAATATGGTAAATATAATAATGATATAATATTTGTGTAGCCTTATTTTTTTTTGACGTTATATATTTAGTTAGAAGCTACTTTGATATCTGTTTATTCATTAAATACTGCGTTTGCCAAGAAACCATCATCAAAAAAAGATGTTATTGTTTTGATACCTGAAACTATGAAGAACGAGGATATTGAACGTCTAAAAGAGCTTGGCACACATGTTATTAAGGTAAGTCCTTGTTTATATATTTACTCTATCTGAAACATAGCAGCTCTTTCCTTTTTTTTTTTACTAATTTTACTAATATTCTTCTTCTTCAATACAATAGACATCAATGCTATCTTTTAATGATAACATGAAATATAACAGTTGCAATCCAGCCATGTTGATTAATCTCTGGGCTTTGTTCGACTATCAAAAAGTTGTTTATTTTACACCAGAAATTATATTTGATAATGTAAATGTCATTTTTTTTTTTTTTTTTTTTTTTTTTTTTTTTTTTTTTTTTTTTGTGTTTGTACTCTCGGTGTTTTAACCTTTTTATTTTATTTTATTGTTTTAGAATGTCGATCAATTATTCAACTTTCCATCAGGTTCTTCTATCGTGAATAAAGAAGAATTTTATACTCCACTCTTTATTCTAGAGCCAAACCCTATTACGTTCGAATCCCTTGTCCGAGATTATAAAAGATTATCATCCAATACAAATAGCGCTCAGTTATTTAATCAATTGCTCGATCAATCTTTTTTCGACTATTCTTTACGTATTCCGAAAGACACATTAAAGCAGGTAAGAATACGTGTATTCTTGTTTATCAAACTAACACACAAACATATATATATATATATATAGAATGTTTATGTTTTTGATAAAAAAATGAAGCCATGGAATTTCCATACTTATCATGACTTTGACTGGAAGAAAGAATATGATCCTTTAGGCTTTTATAAATGGCGTCATTTATCTAATAGTCTTAGAGACTTGTTTAATTTAAGTATGTATCAAAATATATTTCAAATAATGGTCATGTAACTAAAGAAATATGCATTTGTGTGTGTGTGTGTGGATCATTTAACGAATTAGGCTCTGATTGGAAGAATAAGGATAGACAACGTATGGTTTGTGATGCCTATCTAGACGCTAATTCAAATAATATCAATCATTTTACTATTCAAAATCAATTTTCTGTTATGATTAGTACTTATAACCCTGAACGCATTGAACATCTATCATTACTTATTCAACATCTCTTGAAATCTAAAAAGGTACATACTGTCTTTGTAACTTGGCACAACCCTAATTTAGAGGTCCCCGATACCCTGTATCAAGGAATTTCAGAGAAAGACCTTGATCGCGTTAAAGTCTTAATGCAATCATTTGATTCCTTAAATAATCGCTTTAATCCTGTAAATGAACTCAAGACGGATGCTGTCTATATTATGGATGATGATATTTATATTGATCTTGATGATTTAGAATTCACATTTTCGGTAATATATATATATATATATATAGGATATAAGAAGATATAGGATAAAGTAATATTGATACATAATGTATAGATTTGGCAGCAACGTAAAGATAGTGTAGTTGGTCATTTCCCTCGTTACCATACCTATTCACCTGAATCCCATGAAGCTACATATAAAATAATTGGAAAGGCACCTTACAGTATCATTTTAACCAAGAGTATGTTTATTCGATCAGATTACTTATTTAGCTATACTTGGTAAAGTCTATATATATTATGGTTGATTTTTATAAAGAATTTTAACTCATTTATATACACATATATTCATATACATGTATATAGTCTTTTAGATTCAAAGTTACACGAAACAATCGATTCAAGATTAAATTGTGAAGATCTTGGTTTCTCAATGATGGCTTCTGGTATCTCAAATGTAGCACCTACCTATGTTCGTCCTCAAGAACCTATGGAAGACTTTGGTTTGAAAAAGGGCATTAGTACAAATTCTGCCCATATGCCAGCTCGTTCCAAATGTATTTCTGACTTTATTACTGATTACTGGAACGAAAAGGATCCTCTTATTAAAGCTTATGACACTGTTGTTCCTTTTTCTAAGCCTGTTATCCGTGTAGGTGACTGGAATAGAGCTGAAAAGAATATCCTGGAAAATTAAATTACTCGTTGGTCTTTTTTTTTTTTTTTTTCCTATTGGTATTTTATTTTAATTCATTACATGTAGAAATTTAACCCTTTCTTTTTATTTATTTATCTTTTTTTATTATTATTATTATTATTACTATTCATTCATTTATTTATATAACATTGCTTTATGTTATATATTTCCCTTGCGATCTATTCATATATCTTAATATGTACATATATTGGTAGTAATAATATTAGTCATGAAAAAAAAACAATGACAATACCTTATTATATAAAGACATTAAACCTATAAAAAGGAAATTTATATATGTCCTAGAGCATATTATTCTATTATCCCTAATATTCCTCAGTAATAAATACAATACATAGAAATAACATTTCTAAAACCGAATGAAAACACTATTAACACCATATATGTATATATGAAACACAAGTGTAATGATGTCTTTTTTCCATATTAGTTATGTGGAAGTGGATATAGTAAAATAATATTTAATCCAAAGATAATAATGTAGGAAGAAGAGAGAAAGAGAGGTAGGAAAAAGACTAAAACAAATTTAATAATAAGGCAAAGCAATTTATACATTAATAAGAAAAATAAAATAAAAGGGCAGTGGTCTGACATAATAAAATATTATTTTATGAATATATTACCTGATATATATATATATATGTATGTATGTATGTATGTATAGAACCCAAGATATAGTATACATGTATATCGTAAAATATTAGAGTAAACCCTCCCTCCCATTAAAGACAATATACTTGTAAAATGAAGCAAAACCAAGAACATGTTAGAAGGCTTAGGAGTAAATAATTTGAGAGGATAACTATCTAAAAAAAGGTTAGCTTAATATTGGAAGAATAAAGGAAGGGCCCTAAGAAAAAAAAAAAACTATTGTTTACCTTGGATATATTATACTCATTTATGTGTAAAAGACTCAATTCACCTAACTTTTCTTCAACATAAAAGCATTTATTTATTTATTTTTCAGCCAACCCATACCAAATTTACATCTGTGTTGTAGTAGTAGTAGCTTAAAAATAATAATGGGATGGAAATATTACATAGACAGGTATGATATTTTAGGATTTCTTCTATTTATCGTATCTTCTTCCTTTGCTATACTTTTGTTACATGAATATACATCCAAAGCTTGCTGTCTTCCTTTCTATTATATCAACGATTCTAAAGTCATAGAAACTAATAAATAAAACATCTATATTGATCATTATATATGCCGAATAAATAGTTCTTCAGACATTATTTTTCTTTTGTTATAGGCATATTTATTTCTATCGCTTTAATGTCTATTCCATCTTTTTTTTTTCTTAATACATTTGATACTACCACAAGCTGACATTCAAAGATCATCAAAATAAGGTAACCAAAGTCAATTACCCCAGATTAAAAAAAAAAAAAAGTACCTGGACAAATAATATAAAAGAAGAGATTTCAGCTTATCAATATACTTCTTCAAGATCTATAAATTGATGTAGAACAGCGTACACTTCATTAACAATAACTTGACATGATTCACTCGTAACTAATTCTTTTCTAGTTCTCTGTATTATTTGAAATTACATATATATATATAAAATATACTTGCTTTATTCTGATATTTGAATAGAAACATTGCATTACTGGCAGCAAGCTTTTTGTTCACAGATTATTTGAACTTAGCTAGCGACTAATTCCGTTACCTCAAAAACTCTACATACAACTAGAGGATTGTCAGAACCAATGTATTTATTGTATATTTAGTGACAGCTTCATTAGACCCTCCGCAAAAAAATAAATAAATAATGCCATGCCTTGTTGGTTGACCAATCACGGAAGAAAGGGTACACCGCCTATTATTACAGATAGTCTACATCTACCATTCTAACATTAGCTACTCTCGAGCACATACAATTAAATGCCTATTACTATTAAAGTTCCACTTTATTATTACTATTATTATTTCCCCTCCCTCTCCCCTTTGGAATAAGCTATTTGCTGTATCCTGTTTAAACTCAATCGTCTATTTCATGACAAACTACCTTTTATTTATTTATTTATATATTTTGCATTTGATATTGGCTCAAAGCTTCTCTCTTGACCTTTGTGTTGATAACTGATGCTTTATATTGCTAACATGTTTTATTATTCATATTTGTTTTCCTTTTATTAACAAATATTTGTCTATTTTTTTCATTCTTGAAATGTTTCTAGTTTCATAATTTACTCTATCAAACTCTGGCCTGGGCAATACAGTATCTATTCTATACTACTATGTGCTCACATTAGGTCAAGTTTCTCAAATAAAATTTAAATCATAATCATCACTTTTACAAACACTATTATTATTATTATTATTATTAGCAGTATTTTTATTTTTATTTTCGGGGGGGGGGAATGGAGGGGGGGATGATTTAAAAAAAAAAAAAAATAGAAAAAGTTAAACGCCTATTTTTTATTTTATTTTATTTTTTTTTTTTTTGTTATTTAAATAAAAAAATTATATCACATAATATGGCACCTGTACAAAGTACACAAGTACATTCAAGCACTTTGGATAGAATTAAAAAGTCCTTCGAAGATAAAGATTGGAAATTTTACTGTGCTCTTGTAGCTGGTTTAACCCTTGCAGGTGCCGGTGCTTATTATTTGACCTCAAGTAATAAAAGGAAGAAGCCTGAATCTAAAAGAGAACCAATGAGTGAGTAAAAGAAAAAAGAAAAAAAATATATATATATAAATATATAGAATTCTATTCACATTGAACTATAATGTACATGTTAACTAATTTAAAAATACTGGACATTATTTTTATTTAGGTAAGAAATCAGTTCATGATACCTCAGCTACCACTACTACCACTACCACTACAACTACCACAGAAGAAATAACCCCGGTAGAAGAAAAAAAGACAACAACTACAGAAACTACAGTTGAAACAACAGAACCTGATTTTACTACATTGTCAGATGATGAAATTGTCGCCTTAAGTGATGAAGTAAGTTTTTCTTTTTTTTTCTTTTTTTCTTTATATTAGATTAATTCTTTTTCTCTAGAAACGTGCTGAAGCTGCTCAAGCACTCAAGACCCAAGGCAATGCCAAATTTAGTAGCAAAGCATACGAAGAAGCTGCTGAACTATATACATTAGCACTCAAGTATAAGGCAGACCCTATTTTTTATTCTAACCGTGCTGCTTGTTATGCTAACTTGGGCTATAATGATCGTGTTATTGAAGACTGTAATGAAGCGCTTCGTTTAGATCCTGTTTATGTAAAGGCTTTGAACAGACGTGCTCACGCATTAGAAAAAAAGGGAGATTTAGAAAATTCTCTTTATGGTAATATGCATGCGTGAAAAAAAAAAAGAAAATAACATTTAGACTTATTTCATATACATGTATATATATATATGTGTGTGTGTGTGTTTTTATAGACTTTACTTGTGTTTGTATTTTGGATGCTTTTAAGAATGAATCAGCTAGTAAGGCTATGGAGCGTGTGTTGAAGCTTGTTTCTGAAAAAAAGGCAAAGGAAATCATGAAGGTATATAATAATAATAATAATAATAATAATGAAAGGGGAAAGAAGGATTTAACATTAAATGCATTTCTATAGACAAAGAAACCTCGTTTACCTTCTCCTACTTTTGTAAATGCCTATCTTGACTCTTTCCGTCCTGGTAAATAATATAAATCATCTTTTGTTTGTTTCCACCTTCTTATATCAATTTGTATATATAGTTGTTCAAGATTTGGCAAGTATCCCTGATGATGAATCAGGTGATGCTTATTATGCAAAGGCTTACCGTGCCATCGCAGAAAAGGATTATAATACTGCTTTGGAAGCATGTGAAAAGGCAGTCGAATTAGGTTGTTCTCCTGCTTATCAAGCTTATGCCTTGAACTTGATGGGTACTTTTGCTTTCTTGAAAGGAAATACAACGGAAGCTTTGAGTTATTTTGATAAAGCTATTGAAGCAGATCCTAAATTTGTTCAAAGTTATATTAAACGTTCTAGTATTTGTATGGAGCAAGGTAAATTTATTTCATAGTTGATGTTATATCTATATTCTTATTTACCCTAATGTATAGGTGATGTGGATGCCACTTTTAAGCAATTTGATGAAGCTATTGCCATTAATCCCAATGATCCAGATATCTATTATCATAGAGGACAAGTCAATTATATTAGTGGTAATTATGATGCAGCTGCAAAGGACTACAGTGAAAGTATCAAATTAGACGATTCCTTTGTTTATGCCCATATTCAATTGGGTGTTGTTCAATACAAGCTTGGTTCCATTTCTGCTTCCATGTCCACTTTCAATAATACACTCAAGAAGTTTGCTGATAGTACTGATGTTCACAACTATTATGGTGAACTTTTAGTTGATCAACAAAAGTTGCCAGAAGCGATTGAAATGTTTGGAAAGGCCATGACATTGGATCCTAAGAATCCTTTGCCTTACATTAATAAAGCTATGTTGATGTATCAAGTGATGGGTAACATTGAAGAAGCTACTCGATTATGTCAAAGTGCTTTAGAAGTAGATCCTGCTTGTGATGCCGCTGTTGCATCATTAGCACAAATTTTGCTGGAACAAGGCAAACCTGAAGAGGCTCTCAAGTATTATGAAATGGCAATTGATTTAGCTAGAACAGAAGCTGAACTTGAACACGCTATTTCTTATGTTGAAGCTACCAAGACTCAAACTCGATTTGCAAAAGATTTCCCTGATGCCGCTGCCAAGTTGAAGGCCTTAAGAGGTTAATTCCACTCACTCACTCACTCACTCACTCACTATCAATCTTTTTTGTTATTTGTATATGTATTAAAAATCAAAATAATAATAATAATAATAATAAAAAAAAGGCATGTAAAACATAAACAACTCCATCTTATATACTAAGAAAAAAAACGCTCTTCCTTTACATTGCTTTCATCATGTAGTATAGTCAGTCTACAAAAAAAAAAAAAATAGTCATTCTTTTTCTTTTCTTTTCTTTTTTTTATTACTGTCATTATTTCCAGGTAAGAAAAAAATAAAATAAAAATAACTTCAGCCACACACACAAAAAATGCATTTTAAACCTTGAAACCACGAGAAGCACGCTTACCACGAGCACGTTCGAACTTACGACCCTTGGAACGAACATAGGGCTTCTTGTTCTTGTGAGGACCGAAACCAAAGTGCTTGACGGCTTCACGGCTGTTCTTGGCACCACGGATAAGGATGGTGTTGGAACCAGTAGGAGCACGGAGAGCCAATTGATCCAAAGTCAAGACTTCACCACCAGCCTTCAAGATACGAGCCTTAGCGGTCTTGGTGAAACGAAGGGCAGCAACAGAGAGCTTAGGAAGATCAAGAAGACGAGAGTCATCGGTGACAGTACCAACGACGACAACTGTCTTACCTTCCTTGTTGTTCTTGACAATACGAGAAACAGTGACAGGAGGGCGGTTGATGCGGGACATAAAGAGACGCTTCAAGACGACCTTGTTGAAGTTGGCATCAGTACGACGAGCAAGGAAGCGGTAAAGCTAAAATAATAAAAAGGTTTCCATCATGTTAATCAACATTCTTTTTTTTTTAGTCAAAGTAGGAGAATTCTGTCTTTTCCTCCATGTTCTTATTTTTTTTATTTTTACCTTAACCAACAAAGCCAAGTAGACATTGTCAGACTTGGGGGCAGTACGATTGGTATTCTTGACGTGATGTTTCTTAAGATCGATACCCTAACAATAATGTATGAGAATGTGATGTTGTCATTGAATTGGGAATTGGTAATGAGAAGAATTGACATGAATTCATCCATGTTTCCAACATTTTATCGTTCTCTCTCTCTCTCTCTCTCTTTCCCTTTTTTTTTAATATATATAAATCCATCCATATTTAATCCAATATATTTTATCGACATTCATCCATCTCATTTCCAATCCCTTCTCTTATTTTGATTTTACCATGTTTAATTATCTAAGCAAAACCGGTCGTTGTGTCCAAGAAAAGAAGGGGGGAATCCTTTTTTTTAAAAAGGTGGGCGGATTTTTTTTTTTTTTTTCTGTGAATAATTCTCTTGCTCCTTGCTCTCTTTTCCTCTCTCCACTCACACTCCCCCCCCTCACTCCCTCTCTCTATCCCTCCCCGCACGTCTCACGTATTTGAAGCACTGTTCAATTTTTTTTTTTCCTTTTTTTTCTCATTTCTGAAAATTAGTGTCCGAAGACTTTTTTTTGTCCGTGTCGGAAACAGTAGTCGATTCATAAATAATAAAAAAATGCTGCTGAATAGATATGACAGTTTCAAATATGAATAAAAAATAGCGAATCTATTTAAAGTTATTGTAATGAGGAGTGCATAATTTCTATATATACACACAATAACAACAGTATTTGTGAAAAGGAAAAAAAAAGATATAAAGAAGTTCCATTATTAAACACTATATATTTTTATATCTTTTAGCTATAATTGAAAGAAATAAAAAAAGATATAAATTATACATTTTTTCTATTTTTTTTTGATAGATAATAGTCTTATGTTGATAAATGCATGATAAAGATGGGCTGCCTTCTTCTGTTGTTGTGGAGAAGAGACACTAGCAGTCACTTTTTTTTGTAATTTGTCCTTTTTTTTTTTGTTTTTTTTTTACCCTTCCATTGTTGTAGTCTCAACAAAACAATTTTACAACCCATGTCGTATTTTCGATCTATCATTTCAAACACACTCCGTTCTTCAAATGTATTGAAACAGCCCATAGTGCAAAAAGGTAGACAAAGCTATTTACCAATTTTATTACAAGCACGTCGTACTTTTGTTGCTGCACCTACTTCCGAGACACCCCCTACCAGGTATATACATTTGTAATGTTACTATTACAATTATTAAACACTATATATAGCCTTCCACTTCAGAAAGAAGAAAAGGCGTTACCACCACCTCCTTCCTCCGATAAAGATCCTCGTCATGACATGTTTTTTGCCACTTTACCTTTTATTCCACAGTATGGATGGTCCATGGAAAGTTTAATTCATGGAGCTCGTACTTTGGGTTACCCTTCTGTAGCTCATGGTATGTTCCCAGGGGGAGAAGCAGGTTTAATTGATGCTTATTTGTCTTATCAACGTAAAGCATTTGCTGATTTAGTAAAGGAAAAGTATTTGAAAGGCGAATTTGAAGGGTAACTTTTTTTTTATGCTGTGCTACTTTATTCATTTCTCACTCTCACTCACTCTCACTCTCTCTCTCTCTTTTTTTCTTTTTTCTTTTTTTTTTTTTTTTGTGGGTGGGTGGGGGATGAAAATAACTTTAAAGATTATCAATGAATGAACGTGTTAAAGTATTAACAACACTTCGTTTAGATATGAATAAGCCTTATATTAAGAAATGGCCAGAGGTAATAGATAAAAGGAAGAAGAAGCAATCCATTAAACTAACTAACTCACTAACTTACCAACTAATAATAATAATAATAAAAAAAAAGGCACTTGCTATTATGGCACGTCCTTCTAACATGAATATGTCTTTAAAACATTTAGCAGATATTGCAGATGATATTTGGTATTATGCAGGCGATAAAAGTTCTGATGTAAAGTAGAGAAAAAAAAAGATTTAAACATGTATTAAAAATATATCTATTTTATTAGATGAATTGGTACACTAAACGTGGATCATTAGCAGCTATTTATAGTGCAGCTGATTTATTTATGACACAAGATCAAAGTGAAAACTTTATGGAAACAGAAAAGTTTTTGACTAGAAAATTAGAACAAGCTGCTTGGTTAGGATCTTCTGCACGTCAGGTATAAATTAGATTGAATTTATTATGACTTGTTTTATTTATGTGGGTAATTTAGTTGGGTTCAATGTTAACATTTGGAGCAAAAAGTATGATAAGTGTCCTGGCTAATGTAAATATATATATGTAACTACACATACGGCATATACATACCTATTCTCATATTCTATTTTATTGTAGCGTGGAGGTCGATATTAATATATAAACAGTGGCCTTATATAAGTTTAGCATATGCATATAAATAGATATATGTATATATATGTATATGTGTATACATATATAATTATTTTATTATAATTTAATCAAGCAATAAACTACACTTATTTTTGTACTTATTTATAAGGATTATATGTAGAGTGAGGAAGAGGTGGTGGTGGTGGTGGTGGTGGTGGATAAGTATAATAAACCATAGTAGGATAAGGATCCATGTAATAACCATTTGTATAATCAGGATTATTATTAAAAAGGAATGGCGTAATAATAGTATTATAAAAGCTGTCTATTATTTTGATTTTTTTTTTTTTTGTTAATAATAATGATATGTATATATATACATGTATATAGATAGATAGATTATTTACCTTTATTGGGGTAGTAAGCTGATAAAGAAGTTGTAGAAGAAGAAGAAGAAGAAGAAGAAGATTGATTATTATTATTATTATTATTAGCTGATGTTGATAATTTATCTTGTTGAGGTGCCGTAGTAGCAGGTACTGTAGTTGTAGCAGGAGTAGTAGTAGTAGTAGTAGTAGCAGTAGTATTATTATTATTATTACTAGCAGTAGCAGTAGTGTTTGTATTAGTAGTAAAAGGTATCATATTCTAATAAATAGAATTAGTATTGACATGTACTATATACATATATATATGTATGTATGTATGTATACTTGTTGTAGATATGAAGGATAAAGTGATGGGATATACATAAAAGGTGTATTTCCTACAGAAGAATAATCTTCTATCATTGGAGGAGAATAATAAAAATTATTTGTTGACATAATATTGTTATGATGATCATTGATAAAAGTAGTTGTATTATTGCATTGTTTACAAGAATTAAAAGGATATTGTCGAAAACAAACACGAATAATTTTATCATCTTTATACAGTTTACCATTCTAATATAAAAGGAAAATTAAGCATTATTATTATTATTGTTATTGTTATTATTACTTCATGCTCTATAGCATCTGATGCTTCTTTTTCAGACTTGTATTTAATAAAGGCAAATACTTTTTTGATAGTAGGTCGATGATAGGGTTTACGTATTAAATGAATATTGGTAATTGTACCAAATTTGTCAAATTCTTTATGTAAATCATGTTGACTTGTTGATTCAGGTAAATTACCTACAAAGATACAAAGTTTATCTAAACGACAACTAATACCACATACACCATGAAGATTATTATCATCTAAATTAGAAGCCCATTCAATAAACCATTGATTTTGTTGAATTAACTTGGAAATAGAGTGATGATCTGAAAACTTTAAAGTCTACATATGATATAGGGGCGGTTAGAAGGATGAATACAAGAAGGATATTTAACTTTTACCATATAGGCTTTCAAAGCATCATCTCGATATCGATATTTAATAAAAATAGAATGGAATTTTCCATGAGGTTGTAAAATAGTGATATCTTCAATTTCACCAAATGTTGACAGTGTATCTTGTATATGCTTTATTATAAATAAATAAATTTTCAGATTTTTTTTTTTTTTTAATTTTCAATTTTCAATTTTTTTACTTTCTTATGAAATGGTTGATTTAATGATATTAAACAAATAGATCTATTTACTCTTGCTGGTTCACATCGAATACTTCTACCATTTAATATTGTTCCAGGTGCTTCTTTTAAAGCAAGTTTACAATGGGATATATTCTTATAATAAGTGGTATAAATATATAATGTGTATAGGTTTAAATTATAGACACTTACTTCATATTGTACAAATGCATAAGGTCTTTTTAGCCAATCTTTAAATACTTTGACACCTATAATTTGTCCCCATTGTTTAAAGTGTTTCAAAACACTATCATGTAATTCTTGATCTTCCAAATGCTTATTTAAACTTGATTTATATTATTATTATTATTACAACAACAATTAAACAAACACGTATATCATTTTACCTTGCCACAAACACACAAGCAGCAGGATTTTCTTTTTTTTTATTCGAATCTTTGATGAATGCCAAAAAAAAAAATATATTAAAATAGAGTTTTTATATTTAATTTAATTTACCTTCAACTTGATGTTGATCACTTAAATTATCTAAAGAATTTTCCTTTATTAAAGCCATTGTATATTCAAAAGGAAAGGATAGTTTTCTTTTTTTTTATTAAAAAAGAAAAGAAAAGAATAAAACAAAAAGAAAAAAGCAAAGTAAAACAAAAGCTTATTTACATTATATACTTTTGTTGTATATACTTTTTTTTTTTTTTTTTCGCATGTGTTATATTTGATCAGTTTAAATTGATTAATTGCACTACTCTGAGTTTATAATGACATTTTTTTTTTTTTTTTTTCATTTATTTATTTTATTTTATTTATTTACTTATTTATTTATTTATTTTTTTTCATCATTATTAACTTTTATACTATGACAGAAAAAAGAGAATTACCAACAAGACATAACTTTTTAACAGAAGCTGTAAAAAGATTATTAGAACCAAGTAACTTGTAAAGCTTTTAATTCTATTTTTAATTCATTACCAAAAAAAAATAATCTATGATTACTTATCTATGAATAGAACAAACAACTCAAGATCTATGGATCAATGCTAAATCAACTATTTTAATCACATCTCATTTACTTGACAACTATACATATTATTCACCACCTACTACAATACAGTCACCCGATTTAACCAAGATTAATGATAAGCCACCACCACAAGTTCGTTTAATTAAACCTATTACAAAAAGAAAACATCCAACAAAGGAAATGATAACTGAAGATTATTATTTAAAAAGACATCGAAGACATGAATTAGAAGAAAAGAAACAAAAGAATAGGGAAAAAGAATGTTTAAGACATGGTTATTATCAACAAAAACAGTTAGTTGAACGTATCAAGACAATGGATAAATCTTTATTACAATCCATAGTTTCTTCTATTTTACATCGTAATAGTCTTAGTTTAACATCACAACAACAAGTAATCGATGATCACTATTTAGAACAAATTCATGAACAATTACTTCAAAATGCAGTTGATCATCTTGCAAGATATGAGGCATTAGGATTCAAAGATCATGAACCTATCCTTGTAAAGCAGCAGCAGCAACAGCAACAACCTATTCTATCACAACAATTAGAGTCAAAAGAAAAGAAGGAGATAGAAAAGTCAAGTCCAACTAAAAGAAAGGAAATCAAGACATTTGGTGGCTATAGAACATTAAAAAGTCAACAAGGGAATCGACGTTCTAGTCGACGTTTAATTGCATTTGGACAAAGATTACCCTTATTTGAAACACAAGAATTTCAATTGCCTTTATCTATTATAAAAGAGAAAAAAAAGAAATAACCATCATGTAATTTTATTTAAAAAACAAAACAAATCAACACACGTCACGTCACGTCATTCAAGATAAGAGTGGTGTTGTTTCGGCTAGAATAGTTGATTTTACAGTTGAAAATACTCCATTAAAAATAAAGACACCTAATATTAATATAAAGAATCCAATAAATTCTAACCAAGAAAATGAATCCCATCCATAATGTATAGCAATTATCCATGTTAATATAGTTCTAATAAATGAGTTTATCAGATTCAGATTCTTCATATAGCAAGCATCATATGCTTCTTTATTTATATACTACCTTAAAGCATCAATCATGCTTCTACCAGGTACACCAATACTTGTACTTACGATCAACCCAAAGAAATTGAATATCGCTACCATCAATGATAATAGAATCGAACTTTGCCAAAGTGAAGTTAGAGTCAAGATATCTTCAAAGCCTCTTTTCACATCAAACATGGAATGACCAATCAAGGAAGACATAATTAAACCTGTCATTAATAATACTGTACCAAAGACGCCTTCAATCCCCATCGCTTTCACAGGATCCAAATGATAACGGTCCATTAAATATTCCTCGAGAATAAATTGGCCAGCGACAAAGAGTTGGGCAATCACTAATAGACTGGGTCCTATCCACTCATCATCATCTCTTTGAGTTGACAGAAAGACGATACATGCACCCAACAGAATAACACCAATTGAACACCAATCTTTAAATAAGAATCTACGTGATAAAAAGAGACAACTGACGATAGCAGAGAATCCTACAATACTACTTTTTATCATTTGATAAATAGACGGTGTAGTATAGATTAAACCTAAATTTAGAAACTGGGATTCAAAGTTAATGACTATGATACACACATGTATACACATGTATACTTACAGTAGTAGCTATCAAATCAAACACACTGGGGAATATAAACCAAAGAGATGGCCATGACCAAGTAAATGTATGTGGTATATTCCATTCGTCTGCTTCTGTAGATACAGTCACGGTATCCAACATGGATCTATCCAACATAGAAGGCGCTTTGGTCACTAAATGAATGACTAAAATACAAATAATTTCACCCAAAAATATCATAGCGGTTTGAAGTAAAGGTTGGTTAAAATAATAATAATGTGTTTCATCATAAAAGATCTTTTGTTTATCCTGAAAAGTTAATATTAAAGGTATACTGATGCCTTTTATGTATTTGATTAATAAAGAGTAAAGCATATAAATATAAAAGTATATATATACATATACATATATACCTGATATTAGTAAGCCTAATGTTAATAATGTAGTAGAGAATAGAGTCATTCTTTGTATACGTATACGTATATGTATATAGAGGGAAGGAAGAAAGAAAGAAGATATCATTTAATAGATAGATAGATAGATATATTTATTTGCATTATTTTCTTTTTTTTTTCTTAGTGCTAGTTTACTTGCCCCTTTTATTTGGATTTCTCCTTTATTTTATACATCTGTAATTTTCACACGCTAACAACATCATTTATTATTAAAGGTAGTAATTATATATAAAATGGCTGAAGGAAAGATAACAAGAATAAATACATGTACATAATATATGTATGTATGTATACACATTTGTATTTCTTTTTAACACTATACACATACACATATATCAACCATCAATCAAAGCGGGGATTTGTTTCATTTCCTTTCTTCGTACTACCTATGATATATTACATGATACTACTATAATATAAATATATACACAGATGTATATTCGACTATAGGCTAGAGGTAGCACTCGTACCGGCAGCTTTACGTTTTGCTTTATAATCTCGAATAGCAGACTTAATAGCATCTTCAGCAAGCACTATAAAAGGTAAGAGAAAGGAGTAAGTAAAGACAATCATAGAATCGATTAGTAATACACATATTACTTGAACAATGAAGCTTCACAGGTGGTAAACATAATTCTTTAGCAATCTCTGTATTTTTAATAGCATTCGCTTGATCTAACGTCAGGCCACGTACACGTTCTGTGACAAGACTGGAGGAAGCAATAGCTGAACCACAACCAAATGTCTTGAATTTGACATCTGTAATTTTACCTGTCACATCATCCACTTTAATTTGCAACTTCATCACATCTCCACAAGCAGGTGCACCTACGAGACCTGTACCCACATTAGGATCCGTCTTTGAAAAGGAACCTACATTACGAGGTCTTTCATAATGTTCAATAACCTTTTTTTTTGAAGAAAAAATTTTCATTTTTTTTTTAGCCATGTATTAATAATCACTGTCCAATAATAATAATAATAATAATAATTACCTTTTCATGATAATATCGATTGGTTACTAAAGGCTTTTGACTAATAAGACGACTTGACTTGTTCATAGAATTTCTTAAAGTGCGCAACATCATAGTTTTAATAATTAATAATAATAAAAGTATATAAAATAAAATAAAAAAAAAAAAGAAATAAAAAATAACAAACAAATAAAAATATATAATAGATAATCTTTATCAGATAAGTTGAAATAAAAATTTTATATTGTCCATGGTATTTGATTGGTTAATATTTTCTTGACTGACTTTGACATTATCTGATTTTTACAATAGAAGAGAGTTTATTTTATTCTACAAGATAATTTAATAACTGTATTAATAAAATTGAAAAAAAAAAAAAAAAAAAAAAAGACTTTTTGTTTTTCTGTTTAGTTTCTAATTTCAAGAGAATTTTACAATAAAATTACTCTAAAGATAGAATGAAAAAAAAAAAAAAGACATTCTATGATAGTGTGAAATCATGATTGTTCCAGCAGGAATGATTACTAATATGCTCTTAGGTTTGTATAACACAAAAAAAAAACGCTCAAATTTATATGGCTTGTTTTAAGAATCAGTACTGTTGCGCTTTGTGTTTATCTTTATTTGTTTAGCTTTTTTTTTTATAATAAAAGTAAACTTTACTACTCATCAGCTAAATACCTTTCTTTTAACTATAAACATGAACAGATATTAGAAGATTCTCATTGTTGGGAGCAAAATCAAAGATTGATTCTTCTTGTATATAAAGCATAGAAAATGAAAAATAGATGTATTTATATATCAATTTAGCTATGATAGAATCAAAAAGAATTTTGAATATATAATCATCACTCTCCCCTTTCAAAATTATCACAAAATGAGACATCATAATAAACAAAGACATGTATTTATTTATATAAAAAGTTCCCTTTTATGTATTAAAGACATAATGGAATAGAATAGTATGATATGCAAATTTCCTTTCTTCTTTATTATTATTTATTAAAAACAAATTTAGATATTGGAAGGATAAAGCATCTATAGAATAAAGTAAATAACCATTCACTCGTTCCCATTCTTACACAATAAAATAAATACTTACAACACGAACGGAAGCACCAAAGACCTTAGGAGGCAAGTTCTTACGGAAACGGGCCTTAACAACACCGTTAGTACCGTGAGCACGAGCGATACGACCCCAGATAACGCGAATCTTGGAACCATTGACTTCGCGTTGGGCACGGTAAACATAGGCAACACGCTTACCAAGGTAGAATTGAGCATCCTTGGTAGTCTTGACACCTTCAATTTGGATCAAAGAAACGTTAGGGTTTTGGTTACGCTTAGCACGTTCGTAACCCAAAACACGGCCCTTGCTGTAAAGACTGTATTAAAGCATAGCATATTAGTAAACATATTTATATTTTCAGCTATAAAGAAAAGAAAAGAAAGAAAGAATATAGTATACTGTTCATTGAAAAAAAAAGATGTTATCATAATTTTGTAACTCATTAATGAACCTGTAGCAGAAAATTCACTTACTGAATGCAATTGGTTATGCTTTTAACAAAGTCAAGCAAAATAAAAAAAAAGGGACCAAGTCCTTTGTGATTAAACCAATTCATTCAGAGGCAAACTTTTTTTTTTTAATAGTCATCTATTTTCTTCCCCTTATTTTCTCTTTCTGTGTGTGCGCTGATGGTATTGATTTAAATTGTCCAAAGTATATACATATATACATGTATATATATAGTTGCTCATCAATCAAATTCAAATTACTTTAATAAATGTCTGAAGAGTATACTTGATCAAAACATAACTTTTTTTTTAAAAGAAAAAAGAAAAAATCGTATATGAATTATCTTTTTTTTTTTTTTTTTAATTCTAGTGTTGTCCATTCATCTATCTGTCTATTCATCCATCCATCCATCTATCTATCATTATTTGCTGACTATATTCTTTCTTTCTTTTTCTCTTTATTCATTATTAAATATTTGACATACCGGTTTGACATTTTGATTAAAAGAGGAAGTTCTTTAGGCTTTCTTGCTGACCCCCAACACAAATATGCCACTTGCGCTCACACACACACACACTCTCTCTCTCATTCACTCAAACAAACTTACCATGTACCAGCTTTTTTTTTTTTTTTTTTTTTAAAAGTCATATTTTTGTAGATAATGCCGGAAAGTCACGTGACTTTCTTGTTAAATTGAAATTGAATGACATGTTAAACTAGTCCATAAATATTTTATAAAAAAAAAAGCACCACACAGTTGTATTATATAATATTAAATCATCCCATTAGCAAAATGAAATATAAAAAAGGGATATAAGTTTAAATCATATCCTAATGAGCAGTCTGATAATACTATTCATTATTACTGAGCTTATTGTTATTATGAGAACAAATGATAATTCAAACTTAAGTTATTTGCCTTAAAAGGAGTCATTTCTTTTTTTTTTTTTTGTAGAAAGATATTTTCTAATAACAATAACTGTATTATTATTATTATTTAGTCAAGGTTTGGGTAACTCACCCTCCATAATATACTTGATATCATAAAAAGGCAACTTTAGATCTTTCCAGTTATCTGCCTATTCGTGACTGCTAATCCTTTCATAATTCCAGTAAAAGGAACTCCTATTATATATTTTTTTTTTGCCTATTTTTTTTTTTTTTGTTAAAGAATTCATCGATCATGACTGAAGTAGCAACATTAGAAAAACCCATAGACATATCTACCGAGAATACAACCGATGGCAAGTGCCTTTTTTTTTTCTTAAGAAAAAAAAAAAGATGGAGAGAGAAATACATAATAACTGTTTTTTTTTAAAAAAAAAAAATAGATTCAGTAGATTTCACCAAGCTTATCAAAGATCTGAAGAAAAAGATTGGCGACATGAAAAACCAATTAAAACCACTTAAGCAAAAGTACGTTATTTTCCTCTCTCTTTTTTTTGTTTTGTTTTACATGTTTTTTTTTGTTAACTGACACACCTCCTTTTCTTAAAAAAAAAAAAGGGTCAAAGAGAATCAAATACAAACATCAAAAGGTGTATCCTTCCTTGAAGTCAAATACCAACTTATGCTTCAATATGTTCTTCAACTTGCATATTTTGTTCAGCTTAAAATCTCTGGGAAACAAATAGAAAATCATCCTGTCATTGAATCTCTTGTAGAATTACGTGTGATTCTTGATAAAATGAAACCCATTGAAACTAAATTAAAATACCAAATTGATAAATTAGTACGAGCAGCCATGGTGGATAGAACAAAGCAACAACAAGAAACTAAAAAGGAAATGACGACAGAGGAAGTTGTAGCTGCGGATCCTTTAGCCTTCAAACCTAATCCTATGAACTTGATCAATAAAAAAGATGACAATGACGATGAAGTTGTTATTGATGAAGATACCACAGATGATATGACTGGCATCTATAGACCACCTAAATTGGCACCTGTTACTTATAATGAGGATATCGGTAAAAAGAGTGGAAAGAAACAGAGAGATGAGGCACGTCTAAAGGAGAAGGCTTCTCGTTCTCGTTTGATGAAGGATATTATGACAGAAATGTCAGAGAATCCTGAAGAACTGGATGTGTATGGTGGCGTGAATGAAGGTTTAGGTTATGGTGATCGTATTGACAGCATGATTGCTGAAAAGGAAAGTTATGAAGAAAATAATTATGTTCGTCTTGCCGTTACTCGTAAAGAAAAACAAAGATTGAATAAGAATAGAAGAATGCGTTTCGAGAGTGAATTTGATGCAAGTATTTTTTTTTAAAAATATAATGTGACTACATCTAACATCTTATTTATACATTATAGAACTTGAATGATTTCTCTAATTTGGCTGCATTGGAGAAAGTGGAAGAAGAAGAAAATGAACGTTATCGTAATGTACTTAATCGTAAGAAACAACAGAATGAAGCATTTGGACGTGGTAACAAGCGTACAAGGGAAAATCATGATGATGATGATGATAATGACTTTAATGGATTATTTGAAGGAGGAAGTAAAGGAAATAATAAATTTGCAGCTGCAAGACATAAAAAGAGAAAGAGCAAGCCAAAGAAGAAGAGATCTTAATACTTATAAATTTAGACTTTAATTAATAAATATGTATTTATAAAATAACCATGTATTCTAATTATATATGAAAGTCTAGTAGTAGGTTTGTGTATCTATAAATATGATCCGTAGTTGTAATAATGCTGCTACAATATGAAGAATAGTAGTAATTAGCTGCTTCCATTCATGGTTTACTTTTTTTTTAAAAGTCAGCTAAACCAAACATTATTATAATTGCTAAATTAAAAAACAGTAATAAATAATAATAATAATAATAAAATATAATCGTCATTCATTGTAATGAGTGTTTATTTTAGCTATGAGCCTGCTCATACATATATTTTTTTTTTCATATAATAATTAAATAAGTTATGTATATATAGGTCAAACGAAACTGGGTATTAGGAAAGCATGCAACCATAAGATTCCCGCTTGTTATAAAACTGAAATGATCCAAGATAATGAAACTATTCCAAAAAGAAAAAAAAAAAAAAAGTTAAAAATTTGTTATAGATACAGCTTAAAAAAAAATAAACTTTACAAAAATACCCAAACAAACAAAGATATGCCAAATGGCATGACTTGTCATACCAGTTGCATCGAATTTTCCTGGAAAGAATTTTTCAGGGAAACGTTTTCCATAAACAATGACACCACAGGTATACATGATACAGCCAATTAAGACAGGTTTCAAAAAGGACAATGTAACCAGCAAACCCTTGAGAGTTGAGAGATGCAAGAGGGGTACGATACTTGAGAATGCCATGGCAACAAAAAGACCAATACGAAGAGGCCTATAACGCTTTGTATCAAAGAATCTGAAAAAGGGCAAGATAACGCCGATACTACCAATGAGACAACTGAAGATGATATATCGAGCGCGTGGTATTGGTTCACAGTAAAATCCAAAATGGACCACCATAGAGATAGAGGCTGTAATTAAAAAGGTGATACCAATATAATCCAAAGTGGCTGTGAAGCTTTTAATGTGATGTGCAGAATGGCAAATGAATGTATGATAGACAGAAGAACATAAAAGGCATAGTAAGGATGAGAAACAAAAGGCTATAAACATGAGTAAATCCAAATTTGAAGCTTCAGGGAATTTTCTCTAAAACAATATATAGTTTAGTATTTATTATTTTAAATCTCCAGTGATGAACTTACTGTAAAAATATGAACAGAAAGATATAAAAAGAAAAAGAAGCCTAAAAGATGACTCCAAATGTTCATCGTTTCATTATGTAACTTGAATAAGGATAACAAACAATCCTTTGATGTATGATAGAAGCGATAGCCAGATAAAACAAATTGATTCTCTCGTCGATCTTTAGGTAATTCTTCAAGGAGCAATAGACGTTTAGCTCCAAGCATCAAAGCCCTTGCTATTTCTCCATTTTCACCTTTGAACATTAAATTTAATTCGTTATTATCATTGTTTTCTGATTCATCAGTTGACTTTAATTTGTTATTTACAGTAGCCAAGATCTGGGCTGCTAAAGAGGAGCCCTGAACAACTGATGTCGAAAATGATCGGCCTCTGTTATATGGGGTTGTTAATGTATCTTTAGTCGTTGCACTATTAGTTATAACTTGAGACTGTGAATATCGACGTAAGTGAAGACTTGTTTGTTCCAAATCATTGCCTAATAAAGTGGATGTCTGCTCTACAATCTCTGGTGGTGCCATGATAATAAATTAGAAAAAAAAAAAAAAGAAAAGAAAAGAAACGAAAAAAGAAAGGTTGAAAAGGTTTAAATAGTAACAAAACAAAATGTTGTCAATTGAAACAACAAGGCTCGATTTTTTTTCCTTTATATAGAATAACAATAAGGAAAAAAAAAAGGGGAGGAAACAATGATGATATAAATGTTTAAGAATATATATACACACAAAAGAAAAGAAAAAAAAAAAAAGTAAGACAGAATAGATGGCCATCAATGTATACTAACTCTCCCCCCAAATTGTGAGTTAATAAGCCAATCGGAATTTGACGCAGAACTAATAAGGTACTCGTTCAGCTAACCTAAGGTAGAGCACGTCACGATCAAGGGTCTGTTGCGGTTACTGTTACTATGGTAGCGTGCGAATCATCACGTTACTTTTTTTTATTTTATTTAATTTTATTTTTTTATTTTTTTTTTTCCAACATAGTAGTAAATATTCATTGTAAACATTTATTTGATTGTTCTGAAAAAAAAAAAACAAGAAAAAATGTATATTATTTTTTTTAATTTTGTTTGTTTTTTTATCTTTCTTCTTTTCTTTCTTTATTTTATAAAAAATGAGTGTTCATAACTCTTCTTCTTTCTCGCCTTCACCTTCAACTTCTGCTTCCTTAAGAAGAACAATGGCATCTACTAACAATAATAACAACCAGGATAATAATAATTCATCTCCGACAAATAGGTAAAGTGAGACATAGGACAGATGGAAAAAAAAAAATAAGGTTAACTGAAAAAAAAAAATGATATACAGCGTTATATTAAAAATGGGAATTATTGGTGATGCGCAAATTGGTAAAACGAGTTTGATGATAAAATATGCTGAAGGAGCCTATGATACAGAATATACACAAACTTTAGGTTAGCATTCATTAATAAGCATGTATAATATATATTTTATTCATAATTCTGTATATACATATATAAATACATAAAGGCGTTAATTTTATGGAGAAAACGATTTTGATTAGACAAACAGAAATAACATTTAGTATATGGGATTTAGGAGGTTTTATATCAGAATAGATGCATATTATACGATTGATTCTAATCATCCATGTATGTGATAGGTCAAAAAGAATTTGCGAGTATGCTACCATTAGTTTGTAGTGATGCAGTAGCTATACTCTTTACATTTGATTTATCAAGAAAGTCAACATTAAATGGTTTAAGAGAATGGTATAGACAAGCGAGAGGATTGAATAAGGTAAATCAACAATTAATGTTATTTTTAGATTTATATTAAATGCATATTATTATTGTTTTGATAGAGTGCTATTCCATTATTAGTAGGCACAAAATATGACGAATTTATAAATTTATCATTTGAAGATCAAGATGAAATTACAAGACAAGTTAAAAGAAAAAAAAAAGACATATTTAATAATATCATACCCTTTTGGTTATTAATATTAAGTTTATTTATAGGCAAGAAGATATGCTAAAGTGATGAAAGCGCCACTTATTTTTTGTTCAACAGCAGAATCAATTAATGTTCAAAAGATTTATAAGCTTGTATTAGCTAAAGTATTTGATTTAACTTGCACTCTTCCAGAAATATCCGAGATTGGCGGTCCCATTTTAGAATATAAACATTGCTAAATATATATAAATATCAATATAAACATATAATGTGTATGCCTTTTTTATTCTATACTATTATATAATACACAAATCAATATAGCATTTAAAAAAAAAAGAAGTCTAAAAATAACACTTATCCAATGTATGGTAGACTTGATTCGATTGGTTATCATTCTAAAGAAGAAGAAAAAAAAAGGGGAAAATCTTTTGTATTAATAGATTTAGATTCAAAAATAGATTACATTTTATTTCAAGGCACAAATAAAATGTGTCAAAATTAAAAAAAAAAATACCTGTATATTGTCAATATAAGTAACAATAACTCATCCAAGAACTTTCCTTGTATCCTTAATTACTTATTAAATATCTACTTCTGCTTGAGTAATAAATAATTTAAAAGTATTTTTTTTTGTGTTATATATTCAATAAAGTGTTATCTGCTCTAGTATAATTTTATACATTTATCGTTTTTTTTTTTAAATTTATATTCATCTAATTCTGTGTAGAGTATTAGTTTTACTGTAAATCTATCTTTTATACATAGATCATATATTTTCTTTATTATGTTAAATATGTATTTGGGACATGCCATGATTATCTTTAGGTATTTCTGTCTTTATGTTAATCAAATCTGCTAGCACACGTATATCTTTGTTGAAATTATATATTTATTGTAGAAATGGGTATAAACAAAAAAATATATATATATATATGTGTATATAAAGTAGTTTAGTAACTTGTACTAAGCGTAAAATCTAAAAAAAAAGAAAAAAAAGAAACAATTAATATAGAATAGATAACAGATATATACTATAGATACTTACTTCTTATTAATAAAATAAACAAGTAAATTAACATTAACTTCAACTAAGCCATCCAATACTGTCATTGTTTGAAAGCCTTCATATTGTGTTTGTAACAATTCTTCATAGCGCATATTCACTTGTATAGTTGACATGGGCCAATCAGAATAATTACCTTCAATAGTAATCACACCAATTTCATGCATGGATAAAATAATCGATATACGATCATAGAAACGCTTAGGGACATCCTCCACATGTAATAAAATATGACGATCATACAATTGTTTGGCTGTATATTTATAAGTTCCAAATTTGGGCATTATTCCTTTCCTTTGCAAACGTCGTAAATGGAAATATTGACGAGTGAATGGCAAGGTAAGCTTATGTTTCCTTTGACCTCTCTTCGTCACCATAGCTGTCATACACCCGTTCAGATAATGCTCATATGAATTGTATTGATCTATTAAATATTCATGTTTTTCTTTCAAATGATTCAAGGTAGACTTGAGACTAAATAATTCCTTATTTCGTTGAAGACGACGAGAGTGTTGGCCTGTGATATCACGAGCAATCATACTGATTATTTCTTGATAACCTTGAATGATATTATTACGTACTAAATTATCAACTAATCCACGTGTAATTTCCTTAAGCTGATAGAAGGTAATCCTAATATTATTATTAATTATTATTTAATACCTATATGTATATACATATTTAATATTTATATTTAATAGTTTACTTTGCCAAATCTACTTTGCTTTTAGAATTTCCTAATATAATATATCTTCTTTTTGAAGCAACAAAATCATCCTTCTCTACAAACTCTTTTGATATACTATCTTTCCAAACAGTTTCCTGTTTTTCAGTGACTCGCGCATTAAAGATATCATTGAGATCATGTCCTGACTGAATCTTGATGACATATACAATTAGTCGTTTAGCATCCAGTATCATTTCTTGAACACGAGCTTCAAGATCATCTTTAGGAGCTAAGCTAGCCTTAGTTGATAATGTGAGACATATACTAGACTCAGGTAATTCAATTTCAGGATGATAGGGTGATGGACCAAGATGATATAAAATTGTTCGCAAAATATCAGAGCCTTCTGGTTCAATATCTTCTAAATTCTTTTCAAGTATATAATGTAAATGAAATAATTCTAGAGGAGATATATGAATGGTAGGTTTGTAAGGGATAATATGATCGGTTAATTCATTCATATCAAAATAAGTTTCAGGATCTTCAACATCAATTACTATATATATGTGTATAGTGGTCAGTCACTTATATATTAATACTAAAGATATGTTTTTTTCTCTTCTCTCTCTCTTTACATGTTAAAAACCAGTCATTAAAATTTTTGCTTGCTTCAGCAATATAATCATTAAACAGTGTCTTGTGAGGTTCATCTTCAAAAAATGTTCCGCTAGATATTTTCTGAAGTATCTTGGAAATTTCTGCTAAATTTCGTCTTTGTAAAGGTGTAACAACTGCAGAAATAACATCGTATTGTTCAGGCGCACTACAAAAGAACATGAGAATTATATATATATATATATAAAAGGAACCCCTCTAGTTGAAATCAATACACTTACATAATAGCAGGGTTTAGGTAACGATAATAAATAAAATGACCAATGACACGCAAAATACGATCGTGAGACTCATCTGGAAAGCTATCTTTAAGAACAAGCCAAAGCTCCTTAGCTATAACACGAATACCATAAGGTATATCATTGACGGTGGATATGATAGTCAAGATAAAGTGCCCTACAATCTCTTTCAGGTTATCCACATGAGTCGTAAAAATATCCAAGACATTTGAATCAGCAAGGGCTTCTTTAACAGAACTCGGTGGGAGTCGATTGGAGGGTGTACCGGTTCTTGATTCCTTACCGTTTTGAATCTTTTGATATATACTCATAGGGTCTAAATCTAAATCCATAAATTCATTACAGATAGCTTGATTGATGAGTGGAGTTAGTAAGGTACGGAAGAACTCACGCTCTTTAGCTCCTCGATTAATCTGAACGATAAGTTTCATAAAGATATAGTTCCCAAGCATAAATTCCTGGGTGTTTCCTATACCCTTTATTTCTTCATCGATGCATGACTTACACAGATTGATCATCAAGTATTCTTCACGAGTATTTGTAGCATAACCAAATAAAGAAAGTACAGTGGACTCGATGAGTCGCTGACTGCAGACCCCTGATCGATTGAGTAATGATAATAGATTGGTAAGGTACCTTGGCTGGGTCTGTAAGAGGTAAACGAGTTGTTCAAAGAGTGCACGACGTTCTCTACCTTCTTTATCAGTAAGGGATAACGAGAAGGGCCCCTCCAGAGCTGGACTGTTCATTTTATCGATTGCTTTACTCATCAGTTGTTCCTTGCGTTTCTTAAAGGCACCACTTTGTTTCAAGACTTCCTCAAATGTAATTACATTTTTTATAAAGAGAGCAATCTGAAGGTCCAATAGCATAACATGAGCATCCAATTCATTGTTTTCTTTAATGCTCTCAATCACTTGTTGTCTAAGGGCCTCTATCACTAATTCACGATCGAAATCAAGATCACTATTATCTAATAAATGAATAAAATTCTTGACTTCACTCACAGACGGATTTACGTTTGTTTTCAATTTGAGATAGGCTATATTATTAAATTTAGTCTTCACGATTCGTTGAGCCCTGATGATTTTATCTATGTTGGTATGATAATGATGCATGATCTTTCCCTTCCTGGATTGAACCAGATAGGATCTACAAGCAGCCTGAAATTGAATAATAAAATCAATGTGAACTGAAAAATTAGATTGTTTCAAGTGGAGCATCTTACGAGCTCTATTCCCTCTAACAGATGCTTGAAATCGAATAAGGATAGAAAGAAAGGGCTCGGATCGATAGTATTGACGTAATCTATTAAACCTCTTTCTAGCGAGCCAAGTACGAATCCAGGTTTGACATACAATTAATTTCTTTTCGTTCAATTCCCTTTCTTCTTCTCCTGCAGTAATAGAAGCTTGGCTTGAATCTGAATCCCATTCTCCTTCTTCCTCAATGATAAGCTCAGGTATATCCGTATTGTAATAGTCTACACCAGAGTGCCCTAATTTAGCTAAACGTTGATAGCTATAGTCACCATTCGTTGTAATAGAACATATATCATCATCATCATCATCATCATTAGAAAATTCATTTAATTCACGTTTTAAAGAAGTACGAATATTTAAAAAGTTAGGCATAGGCACACCCGACATATCCAAATGACGTTGAGTTTTAGTTAACTCCTCATCTAAGATAAAATTGTATATTATTATTGACCTATATATATATATATATATTATATTATATGAGACATACTAGTGAATTGAAGTTGGCCTAATAAATTTTTAATATTGGGAGCCAAACGCTTTTGTGATAACAGGTGACTAAGCAATTAAAGAATAAATTCAATTTATAACCATATATGAATATATACATGTATATAATAACAAATACTTGTATGTACCTAAGTGCATGAATACAATAAATAACCTTTGGTATATTCTTCTTTTCATATAGATCAGTTAATTCAAACCAAAAGATTTGAGGTAACTTTACAACTTTTAAAGTATCAAAAAAGTAATTTATATTGTCAGAATGGCGAAATTGCAATTTTGAATCCTTTATAGAAAGACAATATATGTATACATGTATTAGAATGGAAAAAAAAAGTATATAAATGTATATATATATATGTGTGTGTGTGTATAGTACCTGAAATATCTTTCGAACAATACCAGGTACAATCCAATTAGCAAGTTTAGCAAGTATGACACCATCTCGCATGGATTCTTCTATTTGAATGATAGAATCAATTTCTTCTTGTAAGCAATCCTCTATCCATCTAGAAAGAGCATTATTAAACATATACACAATATGTATACATATAAACAACACTGATATACACACTATTTATTTATTTATATTTACTCTTTTGCTTCACCAATATGACAAAGATATTCATAAGCTAATAAATTATTTCTTTGCTTATCCATCCATTGGCTTGTAAAAGTCTTTTTATCCTTTTGAAGCCGAATCCTACCTTGCATCCCTATCATATATTTTTTTTTTTTTTTTTTTAAAAAAATAAATAAATAAATCGCATGTAATATCTCTTTCCTTTTTTTCTTTATGTCTTTACCAACCACATCTTGAGCATCTTCAGTAATTGTAGGTATTCTTAAATGTGTCAAGCCTTTGTTACCTGCTATCACAGAAAGTGTTTTTAACAGAGTTGGTTGATGACTAGACATATTTCTTCCTAATAATAATAATAATAATAAAAAAGAGTGACCCTAACAAGAAAAATAATAAAAATATCAATATTTAAATATAATCCAAAAAAAAAAATGAATCAAAACTCTTGGATCAACAAAGCTATTATAAACTCTTATTATTTATGCATTCCTAAGAAAAGTTTATTTTAACAAAAAAAAAAAAAAAAAAAAAAAAAAGATCTGCAGCCTATTATATAATAATTGTATGTATGTGTTTTTATTCATCATTTAATGTAGTAGTATTTATATGCACATATGTTTATATACGTGGATTTCCTTCTTTCTTTTTTTCTCTCTCTCTCTCGCCACAGCTTTTTTTCGATTAAAATAATAATAATAATAAAATTAAGCTGTAAAGATGTATAATCATGATTAAAGACTTTACTGTGCTTGTCATTATTATTTATTTTATTTATTTATTTTAACATTTACCACTACTTTCCAAAGCTCTAATAGCAAAGAATTTAACGTCAACGTCTTGATCTGTACTTAATTTTTCAAGTGTAGGTTTAACTGAAATATCAATAAGTTCAACTGTACTTGGATCTTTTTTCAATAATGGTATCAAGGTCTCCAATGATTTAGCAACATTAAACCGAATATTAGGGATGGGATCTTTTGACATTTCTGTAATTATTGGAAGAATATATTCTTTTACCATCACAGGAGTTAAAGCTTCAGCCATTGTCTATGAAAAAAATAAATAAATAAATATCATATAGTGGACACATGTAGTTTCAATGAATTCAAATTTACAGTTAATGCAAAAATAGTTGTCATTCTATGTAAATAGTTTTCATCACTCATCATCTTCATCACTTCAGGGATAATGGCTGCTTTAGCCCATTCAGCACCAAACACTTCTGTTAATTTCATTAAATTCTTAGTTGCGGCCTCACGAATGGAGAATACAAGATCGCGAAGCCATGACATGCATAATTCAAGAAGTTTTTCTTCAAAGAATTTTGAACCAAATTGTTTAGCTAAAAGTGGAATATATTCAATAATAGCTAAACGAATACGCCATTGCTTATCTTCAGATAATTCAACAATAGCAGGGAGTAATGCTTGGGAAACTCGTTCAATTCCAATAGCTTAGAGAAGAGAAATAACATTCATTTTAATCAATACAAGTATGTATGTATGTATCGACCATTTAAACTCACCTTTATTAATCGTTTCTAAGTTAGAGATAACATTCAAACGAACATCTGGAAAATCATCAGTTAATTGAACCAAGAATAATGGTAATAAGTATTCCATAGTACTATGAACATATATACATTAGTTGTGTATAACCACATATTTCTTGTTTTTCATCTTACGCGTCTTGACCGATAATAGGTGCTAAACCACTGATATCTTTAGCAAGAGCAGCACGTGCATGTTGATTAACATCTGCAGCAAGTTCCTTGATACAAGGTAATAGTTTTTCGATAATGACAGTTTTATCAATAAGCTTACCATATCCTGGAATTTGACTAGCAGCAGCAGTTCTAACTTCTCCTTCTGTATCCTTCAACATACTAACAAATGCTGCAGTGAAATTCTCTCTGGCAAGTTCTTGACCGAATGCTTCAGCAAGCTTCAATATTTCATTCATAAAATCAGATTTCTTTTCTTTTTTTTTAAAAAAAAGGACTAAAATATTATATTTACCTCGACATATTTTGAAGCAACCATATATCTTACTCTCCAAGCTTTATCATTAGCTAAGGCCATAAAAGCGGGCAATAAAAGCTCTTTGGTTTGTTCTTTAGAAAGTCGATTTGCAAGAGCAACTAAAACTTCAACTGTTAAAAGACGGACAGAATCTTGATCATCTTGAGCTAGTTTTTGAAATAATGTAATGATAACTGAATGAACATCTTCATCAGAAGCTTCATTAGCAAGATTCTATTTTTATTCACGTTAGTTAACAAATAAAAAAAAGCTTTTTTCTTTCTTTTTTTTTTTTTTTTTTTTTTTTTTTTTTTTTTTTTTTTTTTTTTTAATTCACATTACCACTAAAGCTTTTGAAGCTGCTCTTCTAACCATTGGACTATCATCATCTACCAATTGTGCAAACAAACTAAAACAAAATGTAAGCATCAGGATCACATTTAATATTTTTTTTTTGTTAATTACGTTTTTAATTCTACTTTAAGAGTAGAAGAAGCTCTTTTATAAACAGAAGCATAAAGACCTGTTGCAGAAGTTCTACTTGTAAACCAATCACCAACACTTAGTCTCTTAAGAAGAGGAATAAAATATTTATCTAGATGATCTTCGGGTAAAGCTTCAGAAATACAACAAAGGGAAGCAACTGCCTATAATATAATGTCAAGAAAATAAAAAAAAAAGTTAAATTATATATATACATGTATATAAATATATATGATTACCTTATCTCTAACAGAAGCTTCTTCAACAGCTGCAATATTTTCCAAAGGAGGTAAAAGATAGTAAGCAAATTCATTACCACCAACTGCATTAACTAATTTGCCTAATTCTTCAGCCAAAGCTAACAAGACTTCATCTTCATCGTCAATAGATTCTAATAATAATAATAATAATATATAAAGACGTTAATATAAACACGTAATTAAAATATAACTTCTTACCTTGAAGGAAAGGAATAAGTTCATTTCTAGTTCTTTCAGCGCCGAGAGCATTAGCAATGATATCCATTTTTTTAATAGAATTAAGTCTGAATGTAACATCTTCGTGTTTAAGTTCGTCAATCAAAACAGCAATATTATTTGTCTCTTGTGGTTCATTCATAGCAGGGGGATCTTCATCCATAAATTCAGTAGGTGGTACTGTATTATTAGAGTCAATTTCCATATCAGTAGACATATTAATTCTTCAAATAAATAAATAATAATAAAAAAACTAGTTAAAACAAGTTATATTAAATATATAAATAAGTAAATAAATTTATATATAATATGTATAAAAAAAAAAAACGAATATGTGTAATAACAAAGCGTGTAATAATAATAATAAAAAACTGAAATCGAATAATTATAAGCGGAAAAAAAAAAAAGTCATGACGTGTTACATCACAAAAAAAAAAAAAAAAAAATTATAGCATAATAATAAAACAAAAACGGCATAAACCTTATTATGCAATGTATTATACATATCAAGTATGGTTTTATACTTGAAAACGTATTCCATAATAGTAATCGACGCACCGCGTAGTATGTGGAGTTATTGCATAAAAGAAAACATATTACATAATACTTCCCATACCTTTAAACTTTACTATATATTACATAGTAGTTAGTAATAATGAGGTTATTCTATATCACATAGAGAAAGCGTTTTTATTCTTCATTAAATGAGATGATCAATATGTAATTAATTACTAACATAAACTTATAGTGTAAATACATATTCAAGGCTATTATATACACATCTATCAGCTTGTAATCATTTGATAAATAAAAAGATACAGTTGTAGCAATAATATTTATCAAAGTAAAATATGATGTAATTTACAACCATGTCTTTTTTAGATATACCTATATCAGAAAGAATATATGAATAACATGTATAGTTTTATAAACTATAACAACTGGATCTAGCAACCTTTTCAATTAAGAAGAGATGATTTCTGTTATTTAAAGTATGTTCTCAAAAGTCAATGGTAGTACTCACAAATGTCAAAATAGCCTGCTGTTGTTGTCTGAGAGATTTCTTTGGGTAAAAATAAAAAAAAAAAAAAATTAATTTTTGTGTCTGTTGATTGGCTGTGCAAAAAAAAAAAGACTTGAAAAGAAAAAAACATTATAACTGTTGTGTACAGAAATGATCTCCATAAATGTAAAGATAATTTATTTCTATTGGATAATATTTCCACTCTTGTTGTGGATTGTTATTCATTTCTATTCATTGTCCTTATTAAGTAATAAAAAAATTTTTCCCCTTTCTATGTTTCTTTTTTTTTTTCTTTGTATAAAACTCATCAAATAGATTTGTATTGACTTTTTTTTTTTTTTTTTTTTTTTTTTTTTTTTTTTTTTATATGGATTTGTCATTATTTTTAACAATTTGGTTTGGTTGTTCTTTACTTTTATATTGAATTAATAATAATAACAACAATAATACATGAGTGCAGTTTTCGAATTTGAAGACTTACCATCTTCAATCTCAAATATTAACCTTGATGAAGATCTTGTTGAAAGTGGTTATTCTTCTGAAGTAGACATCACTGAAGCTAGGACTCTTCCAGCAGATGAAAAATTATACGAAGTGGCCTTAGATGAAAATTACATTTCATCATCTCTCACTATCAATTCACCATTAACTAGTGTAAACCGAAAAGTTTGTCTTGATGATTTTGAAATGTTGAAATTACTTGGACGTGGAGCGTAAAGTATAAAAAAGATGCATATATACGCACATATTTTTTTTTTAAAAAAAAATCTCGCATATTTTTAGTTATGGTAAAGTTATGTTATGTCGTCATAAAGAAAGTGGTATCTTGTATGCTATGAAAGTATTAAAGAAAGCTTCTTTATTTGTCCATGCAAAGAATGCTGAGCATATGAAAGCTGAAAGACAAATATTAGAAGAAGTACGTCATCCATTTATTGTCCAACTCTTTTATGCTTTTCAAACAAACGATAGATTATATTTGATTTTGGAATATGCAACAGGTGGTGAATTGTTTACTCATATGGCTTCTGGTAAAAAAAAAAAAAACCCACTCATTTATAACACAATTTTTTTTTTCAAGCCCTGATCCATTTTTTTTTTTGTAGAACGAATGTTTTCGGAAGATGTTGCAAGATTTTACATAGCAGAATTAATATTAGCCTTAGAACATTTACATGATTTGGGTATTGTGTATCGTGATCTAAAGCCTGAAAACTGTTTATTGGATAGAGAGGGACATATACGTTTGACTGATTTTGGTTTATCAAAGGTTTCAATTGAAGGTAGTAGAGCAAATACAATTTGTGGTACAACAGAGTATATGGCTCCAGGTAAAATAGACAGATAAAGGCAAAAAAAAAAGGGGGAAAAAATTAACTTATTATTTTATAATAAAGAAATATTGTTGGAATTGGATTATGATAAATCTGTTGATTTCTGGACATTAGGGATACTTTTATACGAAATGTTAACTGGTCAGGTAGGCAAAATAAGATAAATGTATACATATTGTAAATTTTACTAATGTTTATATTTATTAGACCCCGTTTCGTGCAAGTAATAAAAAAAAGACTTTGGATGCTATTTTGAAAAAGAAGCTCCAAGTTCCTTATTATATTTCTGCTGATGCAAAAGATTTAATTATACGAGTAAGTAAAAGCTAAAACATAATAAATATCGCCTCTTTTTCTAAATGCATACATACATACATGCATAGCTCTTACGTAAGAACCCAAATATTAGACTTGGTAGCGGTGATGATGGTTTAAAAAAGATTAAAGCACATCGATTCTTTCGTAAAATTGATTGGGATGAATTAAAAACACGTACAGCCAATCCTCCAATCAAGCCTGTTGTGGTATGTAATATCATATATGAATATGAACTTATCCTGATTTGTAAATATTGACACTTTTATTAGACTGACCCCTTATTGGCGGAAAACTTTGCTGAAGAATTTACTAGCGAATTAATTAAAGATACTCCAGTGGATACTCATGACTTGGATGAAAAAATGAAAGATTACTTTTTAAATTTTAGTTATGTTGCTCAGTCGCATTACTTGATGGAAGCCTTTGAAAAATGAATTCTTGTTCTATTTATTAAAGAGACCCTTCTTTTTTCTTTTTGCTTATCTAATCAAAGAATTAAATATTCTCTTTTAATAAATTATAGAAATCGTCTTTTGCTTTTCCAGTCAATTTGTGCATTTAACTTGATTTACTTGTAAATTTAAAGCACTCTTTTATATTCATCTATTTTTGCTTTATACATTCCCTATAATTTGAAACAAGATCCTATATAGAGAACCATTGACTATGATATCAATTACATGTGTTCACACAATCATATATTCTTGATACTTTAACCTTCTTGGTTCGTATATTGCCAAATAAGATTACTTTTAACACTGAGTAAAACCATCATGTTGCACCTTACAATAATGAGACACAATTTACCTTGATCTATATAATAGCTTACATTTGTACCAATGAAGCCGTGAGCTGGTCAAATTTGAGTGGTGTGTTAACTAAGATAAATGTATTTTTTATTTTATTTTTATTTTTTATTTTTTTCATTTGTGTTTGTTATTTCTGAAATGGACGCATCTGAACGACAGAAGTATACCCCCTCACACCTCCCGAGGGCGTACAAGCAACTGAAGAGACACTCCAGGCTGATCAGGCCCAGCCATTTCACGGCCGTGGAATAGCCGGTTGATGATCATAAAGAAAAAAAGAAAAAAAAAAGGGAATTTTACAATTTTTTGACCCCCTTTTTATACCTTTTTTTTTTCCTTTTTTTAAGGAGTAAAATCATTCAAGGAGTAAATATTTTTATCCAATCAATTTGAACATATTACGTATACATTCTTTTATTTATGAACATGTGCATCATATGCTTGAGAAAAAAAAAACTTTTTAGTCATTAATAAACAGCCAATTGGAAGGGTTAACTTATTTTTGTTTATTTTTCAAGTATTTGGGCACATATTGTGCATTGCAAAAAAAAAAAAAAAAAAAAAAATCTTTCTCCCCACTCTTCATTATTATTACTGCTAAATCTAGGAAGCAGACCTCCTCCACATTAACATTCAGCAACAATAATCAACATACTATTAACGTACCATCTTGTTGTCTAGAGGAAGAGGTTGTTTCTCTAGATCTTATCAACAATCACTTGGCTTTATAGAGTTGTAAGTTTTAGATGTATTATTTTGACTAGAATTGTAATACTGTTCTTTTGTTTCAAATAAAGAAGCATTTATCAACATGGAGCTTTCTCCACTGTCTATTTATAAAGACAAAATACTCCATGTTTTTTTTATTACTTTTAGTTTCCTTATTATAAAACAAAAAACAATAATTATTACCTTTCACTATGTATAGTGCAACAAAAATAATAATAGGTAGGGAGGGGGCGTTTTAATACTAGCATGGGATCCTTTAACAGGAGGTCATAATAACAACTCCAGAAGTACCATTCTCCTAAACTAAATATATATTCATCATCTTATTGTATGTAATATTAGTCTGGTACTGGTGGATCAATTTACTTGTATCAGATAGCAAGATAATATTATTGTAGACTACTTCTTGAGCATTAACCCATTTGGTTCTCCTTCTTTTGTCATTTTGCACAAACCTTTCCTTAGACTTCAAACATACACATTGGTGAATATTATCCTTTAGAAAATCCATACTTGGTAACGCTTTACAAATCTGATATTAGTAAGCCATATGTGACTATCTTTTAGCAGGGTTATAGTGGGTACCTTGATGATTTCCTCAACATCACCAGCTAATATCTAGAGCTTTATTATGTATACAATACCTCTATGTTAATAAATAGTGCAACCACACATGGTAATAAGGCTTGGACTATTTTTCAAACTCATCGCTACTTCACATAAACAACTAGGATAAACATAGGATTATCTTTATTAATTCCAGTAATAAAACACATACGCAAAACTTTTGTTCTGTAATAAAAGAATAATTCTATATTACTCGAGCTAATTTCTTTTTTTTTTCTGGTAACCTGTTTCATTCCTTGGCGATGTACTTTATACATGTTTATTATCATATCTCAATTACTTCAGATCTAGTCAAAAGTCCTCTAGAGCTTTTTGATAGCATCATTTTGACAGTATTTTGCAAGCATTAAAAAATAAGATAATAAAAAAAAAAAAACTTTTAGCAAACATTTTAGCTAAAGTAAAATAAACTTCTATCCATGTGCCAACCAATACTATTCTCGAATTCTAGTACCCGGTTAACTATGTACTGTGTTATCTATAGTCCACTTATGCTATAGTATTTAGTAGGATATATATCTAATAATATGTATACATGAGTAAAGTATAGACAAAAAAAAAAGCTCATAAAAAACATTATAATTTAGTACCTGAATATATACTGTCATCTATACGTATTTACGACCATTGTTGACCCTATATCGTATATTTTCATTATGATTGAAAGTTAAGTATGTTGAGCATATTACTAAATGGCTCTTCAACAATTATCACAAAAAAAAATTAGTGTAATATAGCATAGTATAAACAATAAGTCTACAACAATATTTGTAGGTTTCCTTTCTCCCTTGCGCTTGACAGAGTTTTTTTTTTTTTTTTTTTTTTTTTTTTTCAAACTTTGCTCTATCACCTGAGCAAGTCCAGTAAGTTTTAGTGATTAAAATGTCTTTACTCAATTTAGACCATTAAAAATAATAACATTGTATATATATATATTTTTTTTTGACTTTTGCTTACAAATTACTTTGTCAAATTTATTTTGTATAACGTTATATAAAATAATTCCTCTTGAATACGTTATCGGTATACAATTGCTTACATAATAATTAGCTGCGCAAATCGATTCTCAGACAGGGTTTTGTCAAAATCTTTGGTCAGCAAAACTGGAACATGTTACTTTTTATTGACTTTTAGCCAATACGCTGACAGATGAATTGTGACTTATCGTATAGCTCCGATACAATTGTCCAATCTAAACATACAAATATATACACATATATAAAAAAGAGACCTTATTAGCGCGAGCGATATTTTTCCTTTTATTTTTATTTTTATTTTAATTTATTTATTTTTTTTTTCTATCTCTTTCTTTTTCTTTTTTTAAACGTTTTAAAACCGGAAAAAAAAAAGGATATTCTTCAAAATGGCTTCTAATCTTGATCAAAAATCTGTCGATACCATTCGTGTCCTTGCTGCTGATATTGTTCGCAAGTCCAATTCTGGTCACCCTGGTGCTCCTATGGGTTGTGCCCCTATTGCTCACGTCTTATTCACAAAGTATCTTAATGCCAATCCTAAGAACCCTTACTTCAAAAACCGTGATCGTTTTGTTCTTTCTAATGGTCACGCTTGTGCTCTTCAATATACTCTTCTTCACCTTTTAGGTTATAATGTAACTATGGATGATTTGAAGAATTTCCGTCAATTTGGTTCAAAGTAAGTAAAAAAAAAAAAAGGAACGCAGACAACAAAACAAAAAATGTGATGATATCATTATTAACTCATTTCATTTATTTTAGGACTCCTGGTCATCCCGAACGTATTGATACTGAAGGTGTTGAAGTCACTACAGGTCCTCTTGGTCAAGGTATCTCCAATGCTGTTGGTTTAGCTGCTGCTGAAGCTCAATTTGCTGCTACCTATAATCGTCCCGGTTTTGAAATTTTCAATAATTACACATACGTTATCCTTGGCGATGGTTGTCTTCAAGAAGGTGTTTCCTCTGAAGCTTGTTCCCTTGCTGGTCACTTGAAGCTTGGTAAGCTTATCGCTTTCTATGATGATAACCATATCACCATTGATGGTGATACTGCTGTCTCCTTTACCGAAGATGTTCTTAAGCGTTATGAATCTTATGGCTGGCACGTCCAAACTGTCGGTAACGGTGATAGTGATTATGAATCTATTGCTCAAGCTATTGAAGCTGCTCAAAAGGTGACTGATAAGCCCTCTCTTATCAAGATTAAGACCACCATTGGTATGTAGATATGTATATATGTTGTTTTTTTTTCAAAAAAAAAAAGAAATAAGTTTTATAGACTTGTATCAAACAAAGGAGGAAGAAAGGTGGGGGGGGAGGGGGAGAAAGAAAGGGGAGAGGGGGAATGTTTTGGAATTGTGTGATATGAAATTTTTCTGCATTTATTTTAATTCAAATATTAACTTGTTTGTTTTTTTTTATATACAGGTTATGGTTCTTTGTTGCAAGGTGAAGAGAAGGTTCACGGTGCACCTCTTGCCGGTAAGTACAAATAATCATTGTAATTCAAAAAATACTGACTCGCTTATCATCCTTGTTAGCTGATGATATTAAGCAATTGAAGGAAAAGTTCGGCTTTGATCCCGAAAAGACCTTCGATGTTCCTAATGAAGTAAATATTTTAAACTTTAAAAAAAAAAGAGAGAAGAATGGATATAGAATATTAATACCCTTGTTAATGTTAATATTAGGTTTACGATTTATATCATAAGCGTGCTGAACATGGTGCTGAATATGAAGCCAAGTGGAATCAACTCTTTGCTGAATATAAGGAAAAATATCCTAGAGAAGCTGCTGAAATTGAACGTCGTTTCTCCAATACTTTACCTGAAGGTTGGGAAAAGGCTCTTCCTCGTTTCACACCTTCCGATCCTGCTGTTGCCACCCGTAAGTTGTCTGAAGGTGTCTTGGCTGCGATTCAAAACGAACTTCCTGAACTTATTGGTGGTTCTGCGGATTTAACTGGCTCCAACTTGACTCGTTGGAAGAATGCTGTTGATTTCCAACATCCCTCTACTGAACTTGGTGATTATACAGGTCGATATGTCCGTTATGGTGTTCGTGAACATGGTATGTTTGCCATCATGAATGGTATGTCTGCTTATGGTGGTATTGTCCCCTATGGTGGTACTTTCTTGAACTTCTTGACCTATGGTTGGGGTGCTGCTCGTCTCTCTGCCTTGGGCCATATGCGTGTTATTTACGTGATGACTCACGATTCTATTGGTCTTGGTGAAGATGGACCTACTCATCAACCTATCGAAACCTTGGCCTTAACTCGTGCTACACCCAACATGCTCACCTTCCGTCCCGCTGATGGTAACGAAACATCAGGTGCTTATTGGGCTGCCATTACCAACCTTACTCGTCCCTCTGTTATTGCTCTTTCTCGTCAAAACTTGCCTCAACTCGATGGTTCTTCTCCTGAAGCCGTTCTTAAGGGTGCCTATGTTCTCTCTGCTGACAAGAACCCTCAAGTTGTCTTTGTCGCTACTGGTTCTGAAGTGGCTATTGCCGTTGACGCTGCCAAGATGTTGGCTCAAAAGAATATTGCCGTTCAAGTCGTCTCTATGCCCTGTTCTGAACTCTTTGATGAACAACCTGCTGAATACAAGTTGGAAGTCTTCCCTGCCAGTGTTCCCGTCATCTCTATCGAAGCCCTTGGTACATATGGTTGGGAACGTTATTCTCATGCTCAAATTGGTATGCGCACCTTTGGTGCCTCTGGTAAGGCTGAAGACTTGTATAAGCACTTTAAGATTACCCCTGAATATGCTGTTGAGAAGGCTGAGTCTGTCATTCATCATTTCGCTAAGCTTGGTTATGTCCCTGAAGTCAATGCTCAACTTTAAGTATTTGTAAAAAAAAAAAAAAATGTATAATTTCTTCTATTACCCTCTTTTTTTTTTTTTTTTTTGTTATTAAATCATGTTATTCATGTTTGTATGTTTCCGTTTATAAACTATCATTATAAAAAGAAATAAATATATCTTTATTTTATATATTTTATTATTATTAATCTTAGGTAGTAGGTATGGTATCTTTTTTTTTTTTTCTACTATTATGTGTATAAAATAAAATTCATAAGAAGGGGGTTGTTTCAGATTTGTATTGTTAATCCAATGATTGTAATATTATGCTGTGTACTATTGATAATTATAATCTATTTTTTTTTTTTTATTCTACTTTGAATTCACAACTCAAAATAATATCCCCAAAGGAAAAAAAAAAAAAGTTGGGGAGATAAAATAAGCCGAGTAGTAAAATAAAATGCGTGTTACAAATAAAAGTGTAAAAAATAACATGCAACGATTATATTATTGCTATGTAGAAGAAGAATAACATCATTTATCATTCTTTATTTAATTTATCAGAAGAAGAGTCCATTCTTGCTTACTTTAGTAGTAGTTTTCATTAGAATGATTCATTCATTTTTCATTTTTTATTTTTTTTTTTAAATAAAAAACGACTCACATTATTATACGAATTTTGATTGTAAATAGTGGAACATATTATACGTTTCTAGGTATTAAACATTCTTATTTTCTGCATTAATCCGGTTTTTAACTAAATTTTACATGTTCCATAAATAGCTGTGTCTAATAACTTTAATAAAGAATATTGCAAATAGAAAATATTGACAAGAGCTATCATAAATAAATGTGTAAAAGAAGTTAAACGTATCCCACACAAGTATATAAATAGACATGAAGGTTAAGCCAAGTACGCTGCTTTATGAGTAAGGGAGACCAAAATTATTTTGGTTATATCTTAATACAAGATCGTGTAGGTTTATATCCCAACTTCAAAAAAAAAAAAAAAAGAGAAATATTACTAAAGCATTATTTAAACAATTATTTTTTACTGTATTATTATATCATCGTTTATACACAAGGTGAACAAAAGTAGATGATATGTTTATTTCTGACTAGTAAAAAAAAAAAAAAAAAGCAAATAGAGGAAGAAAGCAATACAAGTCCTTTTTTTTTTTGGTAGTCCAATATTACTTTATTCTTACAGAAAGTATCAAATTGATAAAACCCACATTTATATAAAGTTGATTTCCTTTAAATAATAATGAAGTAGTAAATGGTAGTAGATATCGAAGATGAATTAGTATTGTTTCGTGACTATCTTTTAAATAAAAGAGAGGAGAATCTTTTTTATTATTATTATTAATTTCTTTTTTCTAATATTTATATAAATATAGAGAGAAAGAGAGTAAAAAAAAAAGTAGGATGAGTCATGTATTCGAAGACAAAACATTTACACGTTTTGTATACTGTGATAATTGTAAGCAGTTATTATGGGGATTAAAGAAACAAGGTGTTGAGTGTAAAGGTGAGGAAAAGAGAGAAAGAAGATATTATCAAATTAACCTAAAAAAAATAAATAAATAAATAAATAGAATGCGGCTATATTTGTCATCGAAAATGTCAATTATCGGCATCTGTTTGCTCTTCAGCTAACTTGAATGAATTCTTAAATGATTCAAGTCACCCAGACTCACTCGCAGAGAATTATCTTCGTCAATTATCACATAAAGTAGGTTCTGACCGTAGTTCGATAATATCCTCAACAGCAACATTGAAAAAATCAAAACAGCAACATATTAACGTTAACAAGTCAAATGTGTATAATTCTACATTAGATCATATTAAAGCTATAGCAGCTTCAGATAAATTACATAACATATTAGCAGAAGCGGCTTTAGCAGAACAACAAATTCCCGTAAATGCTTATTTGGCAAATCAAGCAGCACTTAATCCACAAATTACTGCTAAAAACTTTACTCGATTCGTATCTCGTTGTGGACCTGTGTTTGCATTTCGAGACGAATTATTACTATTACTAAGCTGGAAGAATCGTACTGATACCTTTGTGTCTTTGATCATCTATTGCATTATTTGTAAGGACGTTTTTTATTTTTATTTAATTTTTTTTTTTCATTTTTTTTTTTTTTTTTTTTTTTTTTTTATTTTATTTTATTTTATTTTAAATAATTATTATGTAAGCGGAGCTTATGATTTAAATTATGCTAACAATAATGATGATACTTTAGGCTTATATCCAAAGTTATTATTCTTTATTCCTCAACTATTACTTTTGTACTTTATCGTAGTTAGCTATCCAAAAAGCAAAACAAATAAAGTATCGTCTTTCAACACTATGGATAATAAAAAAGAAACCTTCAAAGATTATAATAATAATGCAATAGATATAAAGTCAGCGACTCATAGTCACACCGATAATGAAAAACCCATACTACTCAAAGAAGAAGAAGAAGAAGAAGAAGGAAAAGATGCTGCTGCTGCTGCTGCTTATAAAAAAAAGCAAGATATACCTCCATTGTTTTCTTTTAATTTTTCAACTTTATTTCAGCCTGCATCTGATGAATCACCCGAGTATTTACGTAATCTTCAAAATTTACAAAATACAATGGGTGAATTTAGTGATATTTATGACTGGATTGTCGAGAAATCCGATTATTTCAACTGGTCATCCGAGACGAAAACAATCCGTATTCTTCAGTTAATTTTGTTTCAAAGTTTTGTATTTGGATTTGTACTTTATTGTGTTCCTATTAATTACCTCTTTTTATTTTTCGGTTTAATTGTATATGGACTCAACACTCGATTTGCAAAATATGTGATAAAGGAGACTAAGCCTTACATGATTCAATTTGGGAAAAAGAATGCTAAGGCTTTAATGGATTGGTATATTGAACTTGAAGATCAACTAGAGCAACAAGAATTACTAAAAGAAATTTCTGTATTTGAAAACCAAAAGTGGTGGGCAATGCGTGGTTATTTGCATGAGGTATTAACAAATCACACATTATAAGTAAGGGGGGAGCAGTTATTTATTTAAAAAAAAAATCAATTAGATGGCAAAAGATGAAAGATCCTCTTGGTCAGATTTTACAGGCACTGTCTATATGCCGATTATTACAGAAATACCTCCACCAAGAGGTTATCAATGGAAAGAATCAAGTGAATGGGTATTAGATACTACTGGTCCCTGGGTAGACACTTATTTAGGAATAGGTATTTAATATACCATGCTTACATTATATCCTACTTACTCAATTTATCTCTCTCTCTCTCTCTCTCTCTCTCTCTCTTTTTTTTTTATCATGTAGAAGTAAGGCTTTGATAGCTATATGATACTAAACTATATATCATATAATAACAAATGTATTATTTTCTTTGAATAGATTAATGTTAAACCTGACGACGATGGATGGATATATAGTGATGATAATTGGAATATATCGATACCACAAATAGAGCCTGTAGATTTTGATGAAGGAGAACAACGTAAAGAAACTTTAACAAGAAGAAGACGATGGATTAGACAATGTGAAAAAATAGCTTATTAATTTCATAAATAAATAAATAGATGACGCTTTATTTCATGAATCATCATAATGTGTATCAATTATTATATAAGAGTTTCTTAAAGAAGAAAAAAAATGTGTATAGATATAAATTCATGGAAATTAGACTGTTACAATCTAAAAGGCATAGTAATTGAAGTAATGTCGTCTACTATAATACAACATGACAATGCTCATTGTTGCTAATAAATACTCTAAGCAATTCTTGAGTAGAAAAGAATAATTCAACTAAAGCTATTTGTTGAGATAAATTAAGTTTGTCAACCAACAATAGAGTACTCGATTAATATGTTGGATGACATCTTATTCAAAGCATTGTCGATCCATAACATCAAATATTTATGTAGATTCTATTCATTTATTTGAATATCTTGCAATCAATTTTTAATGTAGTTCAAAGCCCGTCTATTGTATATAGTCAGTAAAGTCTTTTGTACATCATCTTTCTTTTCTGTAAGATTCCCTTTTTTTTTTCCGCCCTTCTTCCTTTTCTATTTCTAAATATAAATCGAATGAGCTCAATCAAGCAAAACTGGACGCTTGAATTTAAAAAATTATGGTTAAGTAAATTGACAGAATCTATTAATTGCATAGCTGTTGGAAAGCCTTTTTTGGAAGAACTTAGCGAAGAAAATGACATTCTGATTGGTACAACAGCTGGACGTGTATTAATCTTGAATCAAACTAAAGTAATCTACTTTTTTTTATTATTTTCAATTACAAAACTAAATTTGAAGAAGAGTTCCATGTTAATACAGTTATTTTTTTTTCTTTAATTGAGCCTGTTGAAGGGCTTTTAGAAACAAAAGGTGGATCTGTTCAATCTATTCAACTCCATGATTTAACAGGTTTTGGTGCACTAGATCTTGCAGTTGCAGATTGTGATGGTGTTGTTACTTTATTTTCTAGACAGCAAATCTTAAGTAAACATGAACTAGGATCTGCAATCACCTACATTACTATACACAATGATTTGGGTAACTAAAATTTGGTTCTTAATTATGTTGGACTATATAAATCAGTAAAGAATTGTTGACACTAAATATACAATTTTCAGCTGGAGGTTATGAAATTATAGCAGGAGATATTAATGGAACAATAACAGCTTTTCAGCAACATGACACTTTATGGAAACTAAATATTGCAGAAGAATCAGCTAAACTTGCAACATTAGGGATGGTAAAATATTAATTTATTGACCTTATTCATTTTTAATTCATAAAAAAAAAATGACATGTTAGAAAGGACGACGATCACCTTCAATTCGCTGTATGTTATCGACAAAACTAAAAGATAAGTTTGGTATGGAAATGTCATGTTTATTAGTATGTGATGGTTGGCCTTTAGTTCATTTTATTCAAAGTGGTGAAAGAATACAAACACTTAGAACACCTAGCGTTATTCAGTCGGTAATAAATAATTTCTATGAAAAAAAAGAAAGTATTTTATATGGCTCATAGTTTGATTCACATAGATGTGTTCAGGTTACTTTATAAAGTCAAATGACTCGAGTAAATTTTTTCAACATTCGAAAAAAAAGGCTGGATCTTATAAACTTGATTCTCAACAAGTGCTGTTAGCGGGCCAAGATGGATTTGTATATATAATGATTGATTTTGAAGTAAAATGGATGAACATGTTTGAAATGGATAAAATTCGAGTTCATTGACGTTTTATTATTAGATATTTCCATGGTTTAATGTAGGCTTTTGTTTAAATCGCGTTATTCAATTTCGACCCTCCTCTTTACCAAAAGATGAAACAGATATAGTGTTGTGTACAGGTTATTCAAATGAAGTACTCATATATCAGAATGGAAAGGTAAGGTCTTGATTTCTCTTTCTTTTTATTTATATTCATATTTTTTTTTTTATGACCAGAAAATTACACAAATACGTACTTCTGATTGGCCACATGCAATCACTTTAGGTGATGTAAACGCTGATGGTCAAGACGAGCTTGTATTAGGTCTTTTAGATCAAACAATAGAAGTGTATGAATGGAAGATAGATGGCATTTAATATTACTAATTATGTCTATATTATTAAACTATTTAATTTAAATATGAACAATGAGAAGAGAGAACTCTTTGTATAAATAATTACGAGGGAGTTAAGCATAAAGCGGACTTTAAATAATAATCGCCTATCAAGGGATTTTTTCTCAGTTTATACGCAACGTACATTTTTTATTTTATTTTTATTAAAGTAAATGACAAGAAAAGATCCTAAACGTTCTGCGAAAAGAAAAGAACAGTCAGAAAGAGATAAATCAAGATATTTATCAGAACATTCTGTAACTATAATAGAATAATAGCCATTTCTAATAAGTCTGCAACTAATATATATAAATATATACATTTAAGATTTATGGACAAGCAGCTGCATTTAAGCATTGGCTTGGGCTTGTTCAAAGTCAAGGAATGCGTGGTAACCATCTCCCGATTCCATTTGAATTGATTGGTAATATCAAATAGGGTATACAAACTTGACTGTAATTTAATATTTGATGAATAGATTTTACTGCTTCTTTTATTGCTAGTGTTATGCATGGAGTAACAAGTGAATTAATATTAATGACATCAAGTTTAACAGAGAGTCAAAGTTATAGGGAAAATATCAACTTTATTCGTAGAACATTATCAAAGGCACAGATATCATGTTCATCTTTAATTTGTAGTTTATGGTATATCGATCAGTATTTCTTTTTACAACAAGAGGATTTAACAACAATCAACAAATGGAATCCAAGGGATTTATTTCTTGCTAGTATCATTGTTGCTGATAAATACATGTAGTGTAAACAGACAAATGAAAGAAAAAACAAACAAACAACAACTGGATAAACAAGTTGTGCTTATTTATTTATTTTCTTCATGATATGATAGAGCTGACATTACTTGGTTAAATTCAGATTGGTCAGAATGGACGCATTTTACTTACTCTAATCAAGAAATCAATAGGCTTGAACAAAGGTTCCTCAAAGACATACACTATAAATTATATATATCAGAATTAGATTATAGTCAATTTGTAAGTTATCTTGAATTCCGATTACATTCAAGACAACTATTGGTAAGTGGTGGTAGTTTATTATCCTATCGAGATATAGATGTCTTGAGTCAAACACTAGATCCAGCCTATGTACGACGATTAAAACTAAATTTAAGGCCATTTGAAGCGATGGTTTTATTGGCTAAACATGTAGTATCTATCTTTATTGCTTATATGACTACTACTTTGGCTGTATTGATGACTCGTCCATATTTCATTGATTTCTTAAAGACATTTTTAGTCAATGAAAAAGACAATATTGCAATGATAGTTGTGAATGGAATAGACTTGTTTAAAGAGGAATCTATATCTATTGGCTATTATGAGGCTGCTACTAGTTATGCTTTAAACTTGGGATTTCATAATATCACATGCCAATAATAATAATAATAATAATAAATTAAAAAAAAATATTTGCAACCTGTTTTTTTTTTTTTTTTTTTTTTTTTTTTTTTTTTCCTAACAGTCATCTTTTATTTTGTCATGTCTTTAAAACACGATGAAACATCCACTTTAATTGAAAAATACATCAACAGTTTAAATAAAAAAGCGCCTATTAATATTTCTTTTATTACTCAACCCCTGACAATAGCCATTACATCACGCATCAGATCACTAGAACAGATTTATGGAAAACTCAGCATTTATCGTTATCTTATGAAAAAGGGAGTTTATCCATTTTTATTATTCACTACCTTGACTGGCTCCATTGGTTATGGACTTCAACGTACCTACACTCGTTCAACAAAACTTGTATTAAATTTATTAGGTGTACTTTACCCAACTTATTGTTGTTGGCGTTTAGTAAAGAATCAAATAGGAGACCAACAAATTGAATCATTGAAAGCATGGTTAACTTATTGGATGATCTTTGGGTTTTTTCAAGGTAATCATCATCCTGACTCTCTTCGTCTCCTCTTTTTCTTGATTTCATTTCATATTCACATACATGGTTTTTTTTTTTTTTTTTTTTTTTTTTTTTTTTTTTTTTTGTAGTGCTGGATCACTGGACAACTTCTGATCTTTTCATGTTTTCAAAAAAGAAATATAATCTTTATAAATTATTAATATTATATTGGGCACAAAGTCCTCATTCTAAGGGGGCATTTTTACTTTATCAACATGTCATACAAAAGCCATTAGAAAAAGAAAATTCAGGACAAGAACTAATGACTGCTTATTCTATTAAAGGAGAAGAGAAAGAAAGATTTCGTTATTTAGATGGATATATGCCACCTGATTTATTATCAAACCATTTAGGCTCTTCTGTCAGTAGTAGTAGTAGTAATAATAATAGTGAATATTCAATTGAATCACAACAACAACAACAATATCATTATTATGAAGAAGAAGAAGAAGAACAGCCATCTATGTTACGTAATAGTATAGAAAAAGAGGTAAAGAGAATTTAATATAAAGATGTGTAATTCATAGTTTATATCTCTGTTTATAGGTTTATTCATCCTTACTAATGAGTACAACAGAAGAAGCCAGTTGGTAAACAAATTATACCCCCCTTCCCCTTCTTATCAAGAATATATTTATATGAAATAAAATAATAATAAAAGGAATTAGATTCATATTTATTGATAAAAGCGTAGTAAAAAAAGAAGATGATTAGACACCGACAGTAGTTATTGAAGGATTAAGGGTAGTAGAAGAAGAAGAAGGAAGTATATCATTATTATTTGTAGTAGTAGTGGTGGTGGTGGTAGTAGTGATAATAGAGTTATTTTGTTGTTGAATACTGTTTGTATTGTTCCTTATTAGTGTATTATTATGATTGTAGAGGGTATAGTTAGGATGTGCATGGTTGACTTTAAAGGATAGTTTAGATGATGACATCTGCATAAGACTATTGGGCGAATAATTATTTTGACGGTATTGATGATGATGAATATCTAATACAGCATCTTCAGGTACAGCATCCAAGAACTCTTTACGGACCATAGGTGACATCTCTATCAAGATATCTGTCTTCAAGATTTGGCCTAAATGACGAAACATAAAATTTAATGCAAGTGTCTTTAGTCCTATCTCCTCTGACGCTATGGCCTTTTCAAAGATGATTCCACAATTTTCTACTGATAAATGATTCTCATAGAGACGTTCGCAACATAATTTCTTGAGTCGATTCAGGAGATACATATTGGCCAAAATCAAAAGATGGCAAATTGTGTCACATGACTCAGTATCGTCAAGTCGATCATTATACAAATATTTTAAGAAAGCAAAGACGACTTGATAGGGTTCAGGGATTTCCATACGGCCTTGTTGAGATTCAATCATACCTGATTTGTACATGTTCCTGAAATGCGGCCAGCGCGTGATCAGGATGACTCGATGGACAAAAAATGATTGACCATTAGCAGGGACTATGATAAAGTCAGATAATTCAGGATTGTTTAATAATTTAGAAAAACCAGAATAAATAGGAAGAGAAGAAGGTATATCAAATAAACCAAGTGTTTCACTATCAATCATTAAAGCATCTCTGTAGGTAAATATGATATATATATATATATATATATATATATATATGGTTTAGTTTGATATATACATATACACATTCATATATAAATATACACTTTTGAGTACCTAAAATGATCATATCCTTGTGGTCTAAATGGATCAGTATTACCAAGGAAAAATAAATTATTTAAATTCACTTGTTGCTGTTGTTGATTATCTTGTAAAATAGTAAAATAATTCCATCCTCCTACTTCAAATATACCATTACAGTCTTGTCTGTCCCATATAAATGTATCTAAATCAAGCATCCAAAGTCCATAAGATGATTCATTCGTATTATTATTAATCAAGTATCGTCCAAAGATAACTAATTTTCCACATATCGCTTCACAAAAATGTTGACTTTTCAATAAAACCATTTGTGAATTATTCGATGTTGAAAGTACAAGATGAGGTGTATAAGGTGGAGTGTTCAAGTTGACTACAAATAAATCAGAGACTGTACTTCCATGTTCATCTTTACCAGCATAGATATACATTTTATGTCCTATTAATGTCGCTGAATGATTATAACGAGGTGGAATACCATGATGTTTTGTCCAATGAAACGTCTTTAAATCTAATATACTTAATTCATCTAATACATAAGTGCAATCTGAATTCTTTGCAAATCCTCCATAAATAAATAACTTGTCGTCGTACACAGACGCAGTATGCAAGTATCGTGCAGGTATGCTTCCATTAAATTCAGGTTGAAACCATGTCATTTTTTCTATATTAAATAGATGAACATCGTTACAATACTCTTGATACTCATTGCATCCACCTATTGAATTATGAAAAGAATGAGTAGGCAATAATCTATGTATTTATTTATTTATCATAATAATACCAAATATAATGATACAATTATTCCATAGTGAAGCTGTATGACCATACCGTTTACAAGGTGGAGTCCCCTTTACTGTCTAAAATAAATCATTCATGTTATTACTATTACTATTATTATTTTTGTTAAAATTTACATATACTTACTTTAAGAGTTTCCCATTTCATATCTATCAAGTTTAATACGTGTAAATCATTTGTCACATTTCCTCCACCTCCATAAACAAATATTCTATGGTCTACTTTAACAAATGAAGGTCTCCAAAGACCTACCAAGTTTTTCCCTGTAGTTTGAACAGGCTGACCAGATTTCATTACAACTGACATTATAATAAAAGGTAAAAATAATAATAATAATAATAATGATATAAAAGTATATATTTATAAAAAAGAAAAGAAAATATCAATAAAGGGGAGAGTGAATACAGGTTAAAAGGGGAAAAAAAAAATAAAAAGGTGAAGGAGGAGAAAATAAAATAAGAATAGCGAAAATAAAATAAAATGCTAAAAAATAGAAAGGAATAGAAAAATAAAAAAAAATAAAATAAAAAAAAAACATTATTAAAAAAAAAGGGGGGAGCAGAAGAGGACAAAAGATCAAGTAATAAGCCATAGTATTTACATATTTGATATTAATAGAAGCATTATTATTATGTCTATCAGGAACATAAATGTGTAACATTCTTTAAGGTACAACAAAAGAGAAATAATTCGCTTTTATAGGAGGAGGAAAAAAAGGACAAAAAGAGAAGAAGGCTTATCAAGTAAGAAGCTACAAGATTGTTGTCTATGTTAGATTATGTTTTGATTTATTTTAGTTTTATCTTATCGTCTAGAAGGCATCTCTCGAAATAATTTTGAAGATCCAATCTATTTAACTTATAAATTTTATTGGCAGTCATGTTGCTGACACTTTATTTATAAATGAATCTATTGATATAATTTATACCTTTAAACGATCAATATGATGTCTTCAATATTAATCAAGGTACAAAATAAGATTAACAAAAACTTTATTTCAAAATTAATAAGTTACTACTTCTTTGTTTGTCTATATTACTACTGACCCTTTTCATGTATATCATCTTTACTAGAGGAAAAGAAAAATAAGATATTAACAGTAGTGATTTTTTTTTGTATATAAAGAAGCGAGTTTGAAGTTATGGGTCAAGAAAGCCATATTTATATCTGTTAAGTTAATAGCAAGAAGAACCATCTGATAATATTTGATTGTTTTATGATGAGCCAAGTTACTTTTTCCTTGATGACGTTAGATTGACGATTAAATCTAATGACTATGTGTGTTTTTTTTTAGCCTAAAGTGATTGACAGGAAGACAAAGTGGTTATGATAAATCTAATCCTTGATGAAGAATTTACGTATATTTATAAATATCATAAGGCCTGAGAATAATGGTCTTCTAGATACAGTTAAAAAATACGAGAGATGAAAGTTACTTTTATTGATCAACAAAAGAAGAGACTAAGATGAAAGGGGGCTGCCTCGTAAAATATATAACAGATCAAATAGTATCATAAGAACGACGCATACAAATAATGTATATCTATTGTGTATCATTTTTTTATATAAATATATATTTCTTGATATATTAGGTAGTTTCACTTGTAGCACTCTATACAACGTTATGGCTCATAATATCGACTTTTTGAGTATTTGTTTGTATTTTATTTTTTTTTCAGCTACTATTTTTATGTATAAACGCACACATTAAACTCACTATTATTTACCTTATTTATACGGGTTTATAAAGCTTTACTCTACTCATGTAATATATTTGGCATGTATATGGAACCAAAGCCCATTGGCAGTATATATGTTCAATCATATTTTTTTTTTCTCCCAGGTTTATATGAAGAGCATTTTGCTTTGATAAAAACAGTCGAAGCTTGATGCTCTTCCCCTTATTTATACACTTGAATGAAGTCGTGTTGTTTCTCTATAACTGGAATTATTAAGTTGGCTTATTTATGGCGGGAAAAAATTGGAAGATTTACTACAGATAACTCAACAATATAAATGATTACAGTTGATTATTGGTTGGCATTTAGGACTTATTGATAAACTATGTTACAACATCAAGACATAAGAATATGGGTCAATTAAGACTTCTTCTTTTTTTTTTAATTAGTTGATATGATGTATTTATTGCCAGTGCTGTTATTATTAGTATACTCCTCGATTCATCTCATCTCAAGAACTGAATGCAATAGTCATCGTGATAGGTATACATAGAATAAAATTAGGCTCTATACGGTCTTCTAAAATAAGAATAATATTTGGTCAGGTACAATCCATAATAAAAAGTGTATTAGTAACTTATTTTTTCTTTTTAAAACTAAATATTCAAAGAAAGGATCCATGATATCTTAAAACACACACACACACACATTCAACACAGTGCTTGATTTCAAGAGACTCAAATTATATAGGTAGCATTATTTGCACAAGTGTATATGCATCTATTGATTTTTTCAATTAAATACTTGAAACAGTTTTCGGGACAAAAAAGAAAAAAAAGTCGTTTTCTAATTTAGTCAAAACTGATGGTTATTTCTGCAGATATGACGATACTAAAAAATGTAAAAGACAGCTATTGAAGATTATGCTTGTTACTCTGACTCGGATGCTGATATTTCACTATTGGGAGATATGATGAAAAATTGGATGATATTTCTCTTTGTACTATAGATCTTAAACGAAACCAAGTATTTGCTGCAACATATAGTGATAGAAATGGTTCTCAACAACTTTGTGGGTATTCTACTTTAGATTATTACCTGTATACTGGCTCAAAGAGACATACTAAAAGAGAAAGAATGCAGGAGGAAGGTTTGGATGCTCTACTTCTGAATATCCCAGTAGCTAAAACCATTCATGTTTCGACATACTTTCAATATATTACTTGTATTTGAATGCATATTTACAAAATATAGGTATTCAACAGTCATATATCATTTACACTTATATCAAGGCTTCCAAAGAACCAGACAAAAAGATGATGGATATTTTAATTAATCGTGGTAAAAAAAATATAATAAGTTAACGCAAAAGAACACCGAGAAGAATAGGAAAAGAAAAAAAAAAGGAAAAGCTAAAAATGTAAACGATAATAGTAGTTTAGAAGCACACACAAGTACTAGGTAAAGTTTATAAAATAACTCAATGATTAGTATATTCATCTGGTGTTTAGTATAAGAGTAAATAAATCCTAGGAACTAAAGAAATTTTGAGCATCATACAGATAAGTTACCCATCGTATTTTATCTTATTTCTGTATTGTACCAAATTAAATTAATGTACACATATTTAAAGAAGATCATAGTAGATATTTATTATTAGTGGTAATCGCTACTTACATGCTGTATAATAGACATTGCTTGGACTACTTTACGAATTATATCTATTTAATTGGATAGATTGTCAACTATAATGAATTTATTTTAGCTTATTCATTTTCTTAATCAAAATAATGAAAAATCATTTTTCGATCACATTTTGATTTTTGATATCAATAAAAGATCTTATGGAGACACATTTTTTCTTATATTCATCTTATTCTCGTAATAGAATAGAACAGTAGTAATCCTGATTTCTGTGCTGATAGATTTATTGCTTGCACCTCTGATAAAGGCATCTGCAAAGCATTGTTTGCTGTAATTCTCTTTGATACCTGTACTCAAATAACTGGTCTTGATCCTTTTTGTGATACTAGGGGATTCTATGATAGATTCAGTGCTGTTTTGCCTTCTATTAGAACTACCTTCACTATTAACAATTTCTTGAACTTCTCTGATGTTCATGTTGTTGGAAAATGTTTTCTCGAAACAGGTAAAGACATTGGCAATTCCTTTAAAAAGAAATATAGAACTTACACTGTACGGATGTACGAGAGAGTTGTATCAGTCACACGGGAATGGTTCATCGGTGGTTGCGTCTTTACGTTTGAATTGGCTCAGACGCTGATTATTATTTTTCGAAGCAAATAAAAACAAGTCCAAGATGTTGTGAGCTGCCATAATGTCGCGATTCCACACAATATTACAAGTGTTTTGTTGACACTAATATTGTGTGTACTCTTCGCTTTGATTTTTTTTTTTTTTTTTTTTTTTTTTTTTTTTTTTTTTTTTTTGGTCACCACATTCTCGACATTTCTAATCTTGCACTTGTTGCAGATTTGGCTGGTGAGGTATTCATCAACCATTACTACTTCTAACTACTGTCTACAATACCTCTTCAACGCTTTTGTAATCGTTCTGACTGGTGACGACCTGTTGCTTCGTGAACTAGTATTAAACACACCATCGCCCAAAGCAATGATCGTTTTTACTGGCCTCTCTTTATAGTCGGTTGGGGTAGGCGGATAGAACTTGCTTACATTATTAATAATTGACTTTACACCAGTAGATGACTTCTGATGATATTTGCTGCTGTTATAGACGAACCCATCTTCCGAGTTACAGCTTAATGCTTGATAGCTAGACCATAACGACTCTATCTTTTGTACAATCTCTTCAAAATGTTGATTTTTTTCGACAGATGACGGCCATACGGATTTCTGCTTCAGCTTTAGCGAATAGATATAGTTAGCTAGAGATTTTCTTTCGCTAACAGATAAGCCCTTACAAAAGAAAAATGTAGAGTCTTTATCGGACAAGGATTCTATAAAGAAGCGAATTGTTCTCCTTTCGTGGTTCTCACATACGTGGTTGCGTATGAGCATATCGTATTGTTTGTATACAATGGGTAAAATAGAAGAACATTCAATACTCTTGAGGGATCGTAGGATTGTATCATCAATTTCACATTCATTGCAAAACTCAACAAAGTATCGTTGAATATAACTGGGAGACTTTTTGCCCTTACCAGTGACTACGGTAAAGATGAAGTAGACATCATTCTGACTCATAATCGGAACTTCTTTACCCTTCGTTAAGAGCTTCGAAAAAAAAAAAGATAGTTGATAAGCAACGATCCTACCCACATCACTTTTGTTATGTGTGCCGTGACAAGAGATATTTGATCAACAAGCTTAGCGTCTCTACAGATATTTTTCAAGGAGCATTTGATCACGAAGATCTCTTTTTTCTCGTCTAAACCGTGCTTTGGTTCTTTTTGCTTTTTTAGGGGGTATGCATTGCTGTTTACTCTTAGATGGGTGGTTGAGCCGTATTTACACTGTTTTACTTTATGTTTTACTGTATCCGTCTCTTCCACTGTATTGCTTGCTGTTTCCATTCTAAAGTTGATCAAGGCACGCTTTTTTTCTATTATTTTTTTTGTGTCTTCTTTGAAATATGAGATGAATCACAAGAAGAAGAACTTGTAGAAGCAAGTGAAGTTGAAACAAACGCCGTCAAAGTAGGTGTATCATGATCCACATCTTAAAAAAAAAAAAAAGTACGGCACATACTCTCTCGCTATGTATGTTTTTGGTACTTACTCGTCAAAGCTTTCTTTCCTTTTGATATCGTTAAATCGTCAATTGGATTATTTTCACGCGTTTGCTTCATTATATACTATAGAATCTTGAAGAAAAAAGAAATGTTGTTAAAGTGTTTGAAGAAGTTTTTTTATTTTATCCGAAAAAGGTAAGCAAATCATCCGAAAATTAAAAAACTAACGTCGTCTGAATTCAAAGTGTAAGTACTAAAAATGAGTTTGTTTCATATTGTGCCTCATTTCCTATATACAGCCAATCATTTTTTTTTTATCTTTTTAAGGGAAATAATGTGTGACCGCGTTTTGATTTATTTAATGTTGCACTTGTGGACGATTTAAAGAATAAAGAAAGAGGGAGACTGTTAAAAGTAAGCTCTTTTTTCTTCTTTACTTATCTTTCTTTCTCCCTCCCTTTCTCTCATTTTTTTTTTTTTTTTACTCGTAGACGTACATAAAGTATAACAACTATAAAAGAAGTGTTATATATATATTAACAAAGCATATCAGGATCTTTAATTATATATATATTTAGAAGCAGCATATATATATATATATTCATACATATATATTTAAGCATAAAGTATACACGAGTTTTATATATATATATACAATATACTTCACTAAAAAAAAAAAAAAAAAAAAAAAAACAAAGTAATCCGGTTTTCTTCTTTATTATATATAACGGTTAACACATACAAAATCCTCATTGTATCTCTCAATTTATTTACAAATGACTGAAATCATTAAAGATGGTTATTTATCTGTCAAAGAGGATGGACTAAGAGCTTGGATTTGGTCAAAACGTTTTTGCGTCTTGAGAGAACAAGCATTAACATTTCATAGAAATGAAGTAAGTCTTTTCTTATATATATATACATATATATAAACTAATTAGCAACTTTTTTTTTTTTCTGAATATAATTAGCAATCAGGACAATGTGTTGCTTTAATATTTTTAAAGGAAATTACTTCAGTTACGAGAACTGACCTTAAACCTTATTGTTTTGAAGTGGCTACAAAAGATAAAACATATTATATTGCATGCAAAAATGACGAAGAGCTATATTCTTGGATGGATGAAATATATAATGTAAGCTCTCGTATATGTTAGTTTGTTATTTGCGTCTATTTGTCTATTTATTTATCCATATAACATAGAGATCTACTGTTGGCGCTTCAGGTCCAACCAATTTTGTTCATGAAGTGCATGTAGGTTTTGATCCAAATACTGGTGCATTTACGGTAAAATGATAATAAAAGTAGGTACACATATGGATGTTTCATTTAAATATAAAAATAGGGCTTACCTGATCAATGGACAAAATTATTAAAAGGATCAGCTATTACTGCTGAAGATGCAGCTAAAAATCCTCAAGCAGTCTTAGATGTTCTTGAATTTTATACTGAACAAACAAAACGAGAGGCGGAGGAATATGGTACATCCAATCTTCAAGGTGCAGTTGAAAGAATGAGTATTGATCGATGGAATGCTTTAATTAGCGATCATCAACAGTCAAAGAAAACAGTTTTGCCATCACCTCATCGTCCTGCTCCTCCTAGACCTGCTCCACCACCACCTATCACTAGAAGAACTGATATGAATGAAATGATGGATGAATTGTCTATTCGAGTCGTAATTATATATCCTACCTTGATGTTCTTATTTGTAAATTAGAAAATCTAATACATTATTATTGATGTATTTTTTTTTTTTTTTTTTTTTTTTTTTTTTTTTTTTTTTTTTTTTTTAGCCTAAATCACCAAAATCACCTATAGATCTTCGTCAGTATTCACCTATCGATAGGCTATCTCCTTCCTCTGTATGTTTTTTATTATTTTATTACGAACTGTTTTTTTTATTCATTGTAACTTTACTTCTTTTTCTTCTTATAGGGTTATCCCAACACTAACTCTAATGGCAATAAATATCCTAGACCAGAACCTTCTAAATCACATCATAGAGTACCTGCTCGTACTACAAGTATTTCAGCCTATGATGAACGTATAATGATTGAGCGTGAAAAGATAGAGATGGAAATGAGAGAAAGACAACAAAAAGAAAAGGAAAGGATACGAGACCAAAAGGAAAAACAACTCAGAGAACGTGAAAGAGAACGTGAAAGAGAACGTGAAAGAGAACGTGAAAGAGAAAGAGAACGGGAACGCGAGCGTGAACGTGAACGTGAAAGAGAGCGTGAAAGAGAGCGTGAACGTGAACGTGAACGTGAACAAGAAAGAGAACGAGAACGAGAAAGGGAAAAGACAGCTCAAATAGTCTCAACACCAAAGAAGAAGGTTGAACAACGAATTAGTACAATGACAGAAGCACAAATAATGGAGCAACTAAGTAATACATACATACATATAATTACTTATAATAGATGCTTATATACATATTTATATTTGATAGGGAGTGTTGTGACTAGTGGTGATCCTAATGATATGTACAAGAAATTAAAAAGGGTTGGTCAAGGGTAAATATATATATATATATATACATATGTATATAGTTATCTATAATGATGACATTATTAAATTGTAATAATAGTGCTTCTGGCTCTGTTTATGTTGCTCTTTCACTTGCTACAAATACTAAAGTAGCTATTAAGCAAATGGATTTAGCTCATCAACCCCGAAAAGATCTGATTGTAACAGAAATTTTAGTTATGAAGGAATCTCAGCATCCCAATATTGTCAATTTCTTGGATGCTTTCCTTGTTAAAAATAGTGAACTTTGGGTTATTATGGAGTATATGGAAGGAGGTGCTTTAACAGATGTTATAGATAATAATACAATGACAGAGCAACAGATTGCTACTGTTTGTCACGAGGTAAATAATTACAAAAGTTAAGGGGGAGGTATAATTTTTATTTTTTTATTTTTATTTTTTATTTTTTTATAAACTTATGACCTATTTGCTTTTTCTTTTTATAGACAACAGCCGGTCTTTTGCATTTGCATTCACAAAATATTCTTCATAGAGATATTAAATCAGATAATATTCTTTTAAACGCACATGGCCAAGTCAAAATTAGTGATTTCGGTTTTTGTGCAAAACTAACAGATCAAAGGAAGAAGCGTGCTACAATGGTGGGCACACCTTATTGGATGGCACCTGAAGTAGTCAAACAAAAAGAATACGGCGCCAAAGTTGATATTTGGTCATTAGGTATTATGGCTATTGAAATGATTGAAAATGAACCACCTTATCTTGACGAAGAACCCTTAAAGGCGCTTTATTTAATTGCAACAAATGGTACACCTACGTTAAAGAATCCTGAAAAGCTCTCCCGTGAATTGAAGGGCTTTTTAGCTGTTTGTTTATGTGTTGATGTTAGATCAAGAGCCACTGCTGCAGAGCTAATGAATCATGAATTCCTAAAGAAGGCAGGCCCATTAGAAATATTAGCACCTTTACTTAAATTTAAATCAAGAAATTAACCTAACAAAAAAAAAAAAAAAAAAAAAGACCTTCTGTTTAATACTTTTCTTTTCCTTATATATATACATATATGTTATAATTATTATCATTATTTATTTTGTAAGAGAGTGGGGAAAAAAAAAAAACGAGCAATATTAAATAAAACAAATAACTCTATTTTTATTTTTCTTGGCTTATCTCTGATGTCTTTATAGGGCCTAATCGACTCTTTAAATGCTCTGGAATTTCTTTTTGAATAGGTGGTGATCTCTCTCTTCTTGTTGAACTACTTCGTTTTGAGTTTCTTAAAGGTGAACGACTTCTACTTCTCGAATAGTATCGACGACGAGAAGGTGATGATACTGTATTTTCTACTTTTTTACCTAAACGACTAAAGACGTCACTTCCATCACCTCCATTCCTTTTCATCCTTTCGATATGTTCTCTACGTGCTTCCTTTCTTTCCTCACTTAATGTTTGACCATCTACACCATGTAATTGATAATAACGACTACGAGAACGAGCTCCTCTTTCTTTCACATCCTCATCTGTCGCAATACGAATAAATAAATCAATCACTTGATGATCATGGTTGATCATCAAATAAGGTTTGGCTGGAACTAAAGTGCGATGATCCAAAACGACATTATTTTTTAATAATAAGGAAGATGCCACAGTTGAAGCGTCTGTAGGATTATCAAAGACAAGGTTACAAGAGGAATCATTGATCCATTCAATCTTTATTAAGAGTGTTGAATCAACATATTGTTCAATATCCTTTGTTGACATTTCATTGACACCATATAAAAAAATGGCGCTAGGACGAGGAAGTGCCTCAAAACGATCATAAGGCTCATCACCTACAAGTTGAACATTGTCTGTATCCATCTTTTCGGTCCCATTAGCTTTCGTGTTCTCATCTGTCAATGAGATGTTTAATGATTCTGCTTCGAGTTCTGCTTCAAGCTCTGCTTCAAATTCTGCATCAAGTTCTGCATCTTTTATTATTATATTATGTAAGATGCCATTGAAAGAGTACTCTTATTTACATTTACCTAATTCAGTTTTTGTTTCTTGACTCATTTTTTTTTTTTAAACCTATTTACAAAAAATACATGTATATTTAAATATCGCGATAACAATAGTTAAAGTAGAAAAGATGTATGTATGTTTTTTTTATAAACTCAGATTTATTTTCATCCCAATGTAACAAATTGGAAGTTATAAAAATGGGAGAAAGCTTTTTTTTTTATAAATAAGTGCAATATACAATCTATTATTTAATCCAACCATTTGTCTTTGTCAGCCAATAAGATTCAGATTCATATCTGTTCAGACATTCGAGTAAATCCTTTATATTTGACTTGATTTCATCACCTAAGATAAACAATATAGATGAGTTTACAAAGGGGGAAAAAAAAAAGAGCTATCATGATGATTACCCTGATTGAGTACGAATTTAATTCGAATTTTAGTAGTAGTAGTTATCTTAATTTTCTTTATATGACAAACGAAGGAAAAAGTAGAAGAACCTCTTCTATTCATTGTTCCATTCCAAATGACTTTACCATGAGGATACATTCTTCCTATAAGTTGGCCATTATAGCACTAATAGAGATGGTAATGTAATTAGGCTGATAACTATATCATGTTATATATATATATATATACACGCGTGTATGTATACCTCTTCAAGAACTTGATGTAATTTACCAGCTGCTTCACATTCATTTTTTGCAAAGCATTCAACTGTGACAGTAGTCTAAAAAAATAGATGCTAATTATATTAGTCTAATTTCCATGACAACCTAATATATTATATCTTATACCCTTTCAATCGGTTTTCTTTTAAAAAAGTAACTTTGCGCTTTATTCCACCAAGTCAAGTTGGTGAAGCGTGGTTCCTTTTTATTCAAGGGTACTATTATCCACCACCACCAAGTTTGTATAGAGTCTATGCAACTATTATTTTCTATAGACTGAGCCATGACGAATCCAGGGGCTGCCTTTGATTTAATATGAATCAACGTTTTTCCTACGTTAGAGAACGAAGAGGTTTGAATAGTAGTAGAAGGTCTATTTTGTTGTATCATTGGAGCTATAACTGAATTTGTATCTTTATTACTAGTAAACGAAATATCTATCAATAAGATATTCTACTTGTATGTTATGTATCATTTTATTTTATTTATTTATTTTATTTTATTTTATTTTTTTTTTTTTTTTTACTTTTGATCCCAACCATGATGTTTCTTTTTATATTGATCGATCTGTATTAAAGAGAATGAAGGAGTTTGTTGCAATGAACACGTACTTTGAGGTGTTAATGGTAATAAAGCATCAAAGGCTGAATCAATTGAAGATTCATAAGGAGTAGATAACATATAGCATTCTTCACTCACTCGAAGAGGTGAGGATAGAAAGATAAGGTCTTCCGTTATGATAAAAGGCCGTTGAGTTGAGCCTATTTTTTTTTATCCTTTAGAAAAATAATCCATGTTGACTAATGTCTAAAACACACACACACACACATATATATATACATATTTATATACACACACTATTGACTTACTATTGTTATTATTATTTGTTATCCAGGGCTGCTGTTCTAATCCTCTTAAAGATCTTTCTTGTAATAATTTACAGGTTAATTTTTGTACATTATATCTATTAGACACAAGTTATTTGTATAGGTTCTCCCCTTTTATCAAAAGAAAAAGAGTCCCTCCTTAGTCATAAATAATTACCCATATATCGATAAACTGGTCAACAGTGTTTCTTCATTCTTTTTGCCCCATAAAACTTTAAGTGTCTCCCATATTCTTCCATCCAAGTCTGATTTATGAGAAAGCATAGGAAGTTCTAAATTAGGATCTTGATAATACGGATTAAAGTCCTTCATCCATTGCTGTTGTCTTTGTAAAATCATTTTGAAATCAGTTCCTAAAAATGATTTATTGGTTAACCAAGGATGATAAAGTATCTCTGCTATCTATAAAAAGACACTATCAATCACCAACCAACTAACCAATCAAACAGGTATATATGTATATACATATAAAAGAAGATACCCTTATTATGATTGTAATTTTTTTTTTATCAAGGTACTTACTGTTATTCGTTTTGTTGGATTCACAACTAACATACGTTGAATGATATCTTTTGCATCATTTGAAAGGTAATCAGGTAAAGGACGATAATGACCTGTTTTAATTTTTGCTAATAATCGTCCCATATGTTCATCATCAAAGGGGAGATGGCCTGTCATCATAGCATATAAAATAACTCCACAAGACCATACATCTGTTGCCTTGCCATCATACTTTTTCCCCTAAAATAAAATAAATAAATAAATGGTTGGTTGGTTGGTAATTGGATAAAATAGTGTGACCTACTTTAACTATCTCAGGGCTAGCATAATGCGGAGATCTAATAAATAAATGAATAAAAAAATAAAAAAAAGGGGGAGGGGCATTCTATTTAATATAAAAATGTTATATTGACCCACAACTCGTGCTAAGTAATCTATTTGGAGGTTGCATTGTTGCCATTCCAAAATCTGCTACTTTCAAGTTTTTCTTTTCTTTATCGAGCAAGATGTTTTCCGGTTTAAGATCTCGATGACTTTTATTTTTTTTTATTATTATTATTGAAAAAAATATATATAAGAGAGTTATAAAGTCTTTTTCTTTTCTTTTCTTTTACCTGATATGATGTGAATGACACCAAAAGATGGCAGATACCAATTGAGAAAAAAGAGAACGCGCTTCTGATTCCGTAAGTCGACCTCGTTCAGTCAAGACATGAAATAATTCACCCCCTTCACTATAATCCATGATGAAATAAACAGAATGAGTATCTTGAAGGACTTGTCGGAGATGTACTAAATGAGGATGATAAAGTAACTGCAAGATAGCCAACTCTTGCTGTACAGATTGCGTTGTATGATTCGAGGTCTTCAAATGGCTTCTCGATATTATCTTAATCGCTACCTTTTCACCTGTTTGTTTGTGAATACCGAGTTTTACACGTCCTAAAAAAAATTATATATGAATATAATTAAGCGTCTTGTATAATTTAATTGTAACACTTCATTCATATACATATAAAGGAATAACAAAAGCTAAAAATAAAATAAAATAAAAAAGGAGAATAATAATAATAATAATAAAGAGAGAGAGAAAGAGAGAGAGGAAGAAGGGGTATGTGTGTGTGTGTGTGTGTGTGTGTACGTGTATGCAAGGAAGAGGGGGGGGTGTTCATACAAAAAAAAAAAAAGAGGGAGAAGGAAGAGAGTAAAAGATAGTGGCTAACAGATTTAGAAAGATATTTTTATTCCAAAAAAGGGAAAATCATAAAATAAAAAAGGGAAAGAGAGAGAGAAAAGGGGCGGGTATAACTAAGTTTACCTGAAGCACCACGACCAATGGTTGAACATAAAAGATAATCACCAATTTCTTTCCTTTTCTTTATTGACAATATATTATTTCGATTCATTTTATGAGAGTTATTCATTTGATTATTGTTACTAGATTGATGAAGATAGCGTGTTAAATAAGTGATAAATGACATTGGAATAGAAGAAAATTTTATTTTTATTTATAAAGAAGAGAAAGAAAAAAGAAAAGAAAAAAGTAATAAAAAGAAAAAGAAAAAAGTAATAAAAAGAAGAACAAAGGAAGCAATAAAAAGATGTATATTTTATGTAGTATCTATTATGCATACATAAATATATGTAATAAACATGTACATGATGCTTTTTATATATAATATGTATATATATGGTGGGAGAAAAAGAAAGAGAGAAAGGGGGGAGGAGGAGAAGGAAAGAAAACGGAAGAAGGAGAAGGGCAGAAAAGAAGCTGACTTTAATATGTAATGTATATGTATTTATCAATACATTTAAACTATATAATCTAACGCCACTTGTATGAATGCAGGATGACACTAAGAAGCAACAAGTAGCAATTATCGACCTCTTTTTTTTATTATAATTAATAACAAAAATGTCGGTCTATTTAAAGATGTAAGATACTTTTATTATCCATCTTCAATACTATCCTTTATGGCTCTCTCTCTCTTTTTTTTTTTTTTTTTTTTTTTTTTTTTTTTCTTCAGTCACGAGCATATACAGTAAGGCTGGTAAATATTGGCTAATTCAGAAATTTAAATGGTGATAATAAAAAAAAAAAACTAATTTGGCGAAACAATAAAAAATGATTGGTTGTTTTAAAATATTTTATTGACTCGATGGAAAAAAAAATATTTTGGCAGTTTTAAGATTGGCGATTGATTAAAAGTGAATTTTATCTCGACAATAAGTAATATGACACTTAGAATGATCGCAGAATCCGCGAAGGTCACTAATGCGTACATTATTGCAAGCATCAACGATCCTCTGAGATAGAGTCTCCTCTGTCATTAGGTCCTTGCGCTTCATTTTTCTTTTTACAATAGCCCAAAAGTTTTCGATTGCGTTCAACTCTGGTGAATAACGGAGGCAAATACATGACTCTGTATCCTCTGCCCTCAATTTTTCTAATCATGGGATGTAATTTATGAGTGGTGCAGTTGTCCATCACAAGATAACTACCCTTTAGGCTTTCGTCTATATCCATAATGTCAAGTAGTTCGTTCATGAACTTTATGAAATGAGCCGTAGTAGTGCCTTTGGAGGGGGGTTTTATTGGCTTCCTTATCATCAATACTTTCAACCTCGACAAACTCTACAACAGGTTCCTTAATGATGATTTCATCTGCTCTTTGTTTGCCCTTTTCCAACCTTTCTCTTTTTTTGATTTCTCACTTTTACTTGCCGCAGGTTTTGGAATCTTTTCCTTCCTTGGTGGTGGTGGTGGTAGTGGGGGGGTTTTTTCATTGCGACATGAATAACACTGGAGGAGTGAATAGCACCGATGATGGTGTGAGATGGTGCACGAGCCTTATCAAGTTCTACAAAGGCAGGTGTTCCTATAGTTGACCTTGCCCAGTTGTTCCTCATCTTAATATTAAAGCCAGCCTCATCAATGAAAACGCAGTTTTTTTTTTTTTTTTTTTTTTTTTTTTTTTTTCAAAGTCTATGTCTGAATCCTTCCACTTCATGAATCATTCATATCTCGCTTGTAGATTATCATCTGAGTTTCTTATTTTTGCTTCAAAAGTTGACTTCTTCACGGTGATAAACATATTTTTTTTTCAAGTGATGATTCATTTGAGATTTGGAAATTGAAAAGTCTTCAAACTTGGACGTCAACGAGTCAATAATATCAACAGCACACAATTATGGATTTTTCTTCACTATTTCTTGAATGTATTCTTCGTGTTTCTCAGTAAAAGTATGAGGTCTGCCAACATTTTTCTCAGATTTCTTATACGGAACTTCGCCCTGTCTCTTAATAATGTCCTCACCAACGCTTAGAAGTGCTATTCTTTATTCCTAACTCTCTCGCAACTGCCGACATTCTTCCTCTTTTGACGGAACCTTCGATCATTCGGTCAATGAACTCCTCTCTCGTGTGGTCGTCATAGTTTCTGTAAGTACTGTTAACGGGTGCTTTCGCTAATTTGACCTTATTAGCAGGTACATCTTCCATTTCAGTATCCTTAATATCTTCTGGTTTAGCAGCCAAATAAGCAGCTTGGCTCGTTATTGTGGCGAGAACTATGTTCGGATCGATGATATCTGTCAATACATCCTCCATTGGGTCTACAACTTTCTCTCCATTCTCGTTAAAGATATTCTCTAGTCCATCTTCATAATAGAAAGTGTTTTTGCTCATTCTGTTTAATGAATAATACAATAGAGTATGATTTTATTTCCAGAAATGAAAGAAGGGCTAAATTAACATTGTAGGAAGTAAGAAATAGCTTAACCAAAAACAATTTCTCAATCAAGTCAAAGTATAATTTAAAATGGATCAATCATGTTTTATTATTTCGCCAAATTATTTTTTTTTATTATCACCATTTAAATTTCTGAATTAGCCAATATTTACCAGCCTTACTGTATCTTGAAATAGACTTATTCTCATCATACTCTGTGTCCTTCTTGCCCTAGCCTTTTCAATATGTATATGTATATTTATCTATGTGTGCATACAAAAAAAAAAGTCAAGATTTCCATGTATTTAATAATATATAAATACATATTTAATTATTGAAAATAGACTATTTCGTTCTAGCAATAACCCAAAAGAAGAATGACCCATTTCATTCTTTCCCCTTCTAATCCACTTTATTGTATTATATCTATTAAGATGAATTTACCTGTTAATGGTTATTTATCAATATTAAAGTTATAACCAAACTTGTTACCTTTCTTTTTGTCTCTCTCTCTCTTTTAAGAAAAAAATAATTATATTAGGAAAAGAAAAGAAGAAGAAGAAGAAAAAAAAAAGTATACGTATTAATTATTCATCATTTACAAAGCGAGAAATTGTATATGTTTTACTTTTAACATAATGAATTCATATATTAATAAAATTCATTTAAAGTCAGTTAAAATAATTATGATTCTTTTTAATTACTGCAAAAAAAAAAAAAAAAAAAAAAAAAAAAAAAAAAAAAAAATGAGTTGCTGTGCAGCTGATAAAATTACAGATACACATGATTTGTAATAATTTGACATAATAAAGATACATACAAATACTATAAGTTTATTTATCTAGTAATAGCGAATTGCTTGTTTGTATACATATACATGCACGATATAGAAATGACAAGGATATAGTAGGTGTCTTGTATTAAATCGATTGAAGTAATGAAGATAAACTGATAAATAAGATGCCAATAAAGAAAAATAAAGGTACACATTGATTTGATTTGTCAGTTCGTATCGCTTGTGGGAGCATACTCTGCACTGCAATTAAACACATCATACCACTAACGACACCGAAAATAATTCCGAATAAATACTTTTCTTGGATATAATCGACATTTCGAATAACTAATAATCCTAATATTGCACCTAGTGGTTGTGACATGCCTCCAAGAAATGAAGCATACATGAATGCTGCAAATCGTGAACCCGTTGCGTAATATAACGGTAATGCAATTAAGAAACCTTCAATCAGATTATGCATAATCATAGCTGCAGCTACATTTAAACCTAATTGGCTTGAAGATTCATTTGATATAAACATGATCAAACCTTCTAATATGTATATATATATATATATATAAATATATATATTATATACTAACGGTATGAATATATTTATACGTATGTATGTATATCATAGAATATCTCTTTGTGTGTGTATATATACATATATATATACATATATATATATGTATATATTTTTCACTTCTTATTACCTGGAAATTTATGTATACAAATGGCAATAGCTGTTTGAATACCAATAAGAAAATAGTCAGCTTTATTCTCATGTAAATGACTATGATTTATATTATCTACTTCATCTTCCTCTGCTCCTTCTTCTGATACGACAATGGTACCATATTCAATCATATCTACACGACGACTATGATGATGATGATACGGTAAAATAGGCTTACTTGTGTTGTCTTCTTCATTGGACTCTAAGATAACTTCTTCTATATTATTCTTCGCAACAACGATATGTGTTGTAGGGTCGCACGTATGAATAGCACGAGGAGCACAGGATTGTATGATGAAAGATAAAATAACTGTAAATAAAACACCAATGAAAAAACACAAGAAGGTCCAAAAATTGGAATTATTAAGCTTTTGTTGAGAAGCAGGCAAGAGTGTATAAAGTGAATTGAATATCAGCACTCCTCCTCCTAATGCCATTGATGAAGAAAGAAATTTCGAATTTTCCAATACTTTTCTACCGAGAAAAACAACACTGGCTCCCAATACACAAGATAGTGAAGAGATAGACACCATTATCCATCCTTCACTTATATACAAAACACTCATAATTTAACTATAAAAAGTTTAAAATAAAAAATAAAAAATAAAATGAAGGAGAAAAAGGAACAAATATTTTTAAATATTTATATATATATATATATAAAAAAAAAAAAAAAAAAAAAAAAAAAAAAAAAAAAAAGTTTTATTTAAATAAGCTATAATTAATTATTACCAACAAAAATCATTGTTTCACACTTTAAACCTTTAAATTTTTCATATAATGTAAATAGTTGCATTTGAAAGCAATCACTAATTAAACATCTTTCTTCGAAAGTATAATATAACAATTTATTTTTTTTAAAAAAAAAAAGAATATAAAAGTGAATATTCAATAAATTATAATAGGGATTTTCTTAGTGTCTTTACTATGTCACTATAAAATATAACTTTAATTGTGAAAATCTTATTGGGTATAAAATAGTGAGTACTTGAAGATTTTTTTTTGTTCCGGGTCGGATCATCAATGAGAAGCGATGCCTTCAGGATTATTAATAAAAAAAAAAGGGGGAGGGGGTGTAGCTATCATTCTATTAGTGAGAATGAAAGTAGATACATTTATATAACAAGGCTATTCAATAGAACCAAAACATTCATACAGAAAGCTTATTTAAAAGGCAAAAATAAAACGTTAAAGACTATCTATGATTCGAGTATTTAGAGCAGACACACTATAATTTGGAAATAGTAGATAGAGGGATGTTTAGTTATTAACTATGTAAAATACTTGACCATCAGACAATCAAGGAATTCACTTATGATGTTCTATATATGCCATATGAATAGTGTCTGATGATGATCTTGAATTGTCAGGAGTAATTTATATGAGGGTATAAAGATCGATAGCCGTATAATGATTTTTGGCTATTTAAGGATCATTCAACTTACTTTTCTCGGCTAAGAATAAGGCACTTGATATAAGCATTAAATACTAACTAACTGTAATATAATAAAAGATAAATTGTAAATTCTGAATATAAAGTCATCTACTGCATAAAATATATAGCATTAATCTGAATGATATTCAATTATAAAGACATCATTATTATATCATTTCCAAATATCTATTTTTTATTATTATCCTTGATATTATAGCTGCAAGTAGTTGCATATCTTATAAGTTTTAACACAGTATGGATACATATATTCGTCTTTTTATCCTTTGATTCAAATTTTACTACTTGTGTAAATAGGATATGTACTGTTTATAATTTATATCAAGCGAATAACATACTTGTTTTGTCCCTTTCTCTTTTCTCTGTTATAACCTTATGTTAGCTATACACTTTATGTCCATGTCCCCTTGGGGCTTAAAATTATTCTTATTATATCAATAACCCACTGCTCTTCTTATTAAGAATTGTATATATGTCTAACTTATCTACATAACTCACACATATGAACAGCATTTAGTCTTCTCATCTTCTAAAGACTTTCCTCCTTCAATATCTACAACGCTTGCATCCATTACTATAATTAAATATACATGACCTTTTTTTTTTGCATATGATGGAACGATTATAATTACAAGATAATAGAGAGAGAAAGGCAGACAGACAGTATAATAAAATAGGAGGACAACTATAAAGAACCACGCTCTATTTTTTGATGAAAACTTTTATAATCTAACCTATATTAATATCAGGCATTCAGAAAACTTTACAAAGTTCAATCAATCATAACAAAGTATGTAACATACAGATTATGATTCGACCATCCAATTCTATTTAGAAAGAAAGTGCTATTCACATAAATAGTTTATTTTTAAGAAAAAGAGATTGACTGTAAGAAAGAAAGGCAGAAGAACATGAAGCTTAATAGGTTAGGTATACTTCTTATTTGAGACTTTTTTGCTTTAATAAATAGATCGATAGTAGAAATAATATTAAATACACCTATATACTTAACGTCAACCATAGTAGATACATTTTCCTTTATAAGTGACATCATTTATTTGATTAGCTAAGTATCTTTACTTGGTAAAATCAAACAATCTTTCTCCTCTACAACTTCAACTTTCAGCCATAAATACCAATATTTGTATTAGATCTGCAAATGATTACTAGTGCGTTATCCAAATGACAAATTAGTTTTGTGATCAAAAAAGAAAAAAAAAGAAAAAAAAAAAAGTAACCAATTAGCACATCAATAACTAAAAAAAATAATTTTTTTTTCTTTCTTTTATTTAGCTTTCTTTTTTTTATAACTTTTATTATTATTGTTTTTCTTTTTTCTTAATTAAATAATAAAATATGGCTCTTTTTGTAGGAAAAATACCCAGGGATATGAATGATGTAAGTTCTCTATTTTGATCAAAGTAACAAGCAGATAATTTTAATTTGAGTCTTATATAGCGTGATCTTGAAGATACTTTTATAAAGTATGGAAAGATTACTCGTCTTAACGTTAAACAAGGTACATTTTTTTTTTCTTTTTTCACCCCACCCCCTAGCTTAAAGACTAACTTATATCTCTATAGGTTATGGTTTTGTTGAATTTGAAGATAAACGTGATGCCGAAGACGCTATTAAAGCTATGAATGAAAGAGGCGTACGTAACTACTTTATTTTTATTATTTTTATTTATTTATTTTAAAGAAACAAAAAAAAAAAAAAAAAAAAAAAAAAAAAAAAAAAAAAAAAGAAAAAAAATAAGAAATTAAAATGGGACCAATAGGAGCTTATCGTTGAATGGGCTAAAAATAATGGTAAAAAAGCTGGTAAAAATGAATGTTTTCATTGTGGAAAAGAAGGTTAGTTTCTATATGATTTTATTTTTATGTCTTTTATTTATATTGAAGTAAACAGGCCATTGGGCTCGAGATTGTGCTGAAGGAGGTAATCGACGCAACGGTGGTTATGAAGGAAGAAATAGAAGGTATATTGTCTAGTTATCACAGTTCTACAGCTGCAGTGTGTTATGTGTTTTTTTTTAAAAAAAAAAAATATTATGAATATGCGGTGTTGTGCCCTATTATTATTGACCACTTAACATTGGCCCCTTTTTTATTTATTTATTTTTTTATTTATGTCTTTGATCCTGTTCACTTGGATATGCATTCACTTTTAACATTTATGTAAGTTTATATCTATTATACTAACAAAAAAATTTTTTTTTTCTTTCCTTATTAATTTTTATCTTAGTTATTCTATCTACAGAAATAGAGATTATGGCCGTCGTCGCGACAGTTATGGTGGACGTGATCGATCTCCTCGTCGTGCTGAGCTTCGTGATAATAGAAATGGCAAATATGACCGTGACCGCAGAGACCGTGGATATAGTCATAGAGAAGACCGTCGTAGGGAAGATATTCGTTAATATAATACTAGTCTAGTTATTTTTTTTTTATTTAAGAAAAAATAAAATAATATACACAATAGTTCGAATAAGGATCCAGAGGCTTTGTAGCCAATCAAATCATTCTTTAATTAAATAAATACTGTTTCTCCCAGAAAAAAAAAAAAAAAAAAACCCAAAAAAACCAAAAAAAAAAAGATTAATTTCTCACTGTTAAAGTTATGTTGTAAAGTTTATTAATATACCTTATAATTACTTCTTTAAACAAATGGTTTTAATGGTTAGGTCTTTTGGAAGTACAATGACTTTATTCAAATGGCTATTAGTTTCAGTACTCATGTTATTATCCACATTGGCTATTTATTATGTGGATGCTAAACCGTCTTTTCCAAATGACATGACTTTATATCAACATAAACAAAATTTATTATTAGATTCTTCACAAAAGGAAAGGAAAAATAGTTCACCAGTATCAGATAATCTTTTACCCACCAATTTAGTACTTGTATCTACATTAGATGGTTCTATTCGTGGTATAGACCGTTTTCAAGGCAATGTGCATTGGACCTTAAAAGGTGGTCCTGGAAGTTCACTCATTAAATCGACATCGAATTTCGAGACACACAGATTATATAAATCTTCTATCTCTGAAGACAATATAAGCGATAATGATGATAATAACGAGTTATTTTTGGACACTTTTAATGATATCCTTACTAATAGAGACGACTCTGATGAATTCAATGACGATCCTGAATTTAATTTACAGCAGCAAGAATGGGATGAAGCTGAAGAAACTGACATTTATTATATTATCGAGCCTCAAAATGGTGGTATTTTATATGTTTATGGCGATGGTAGACCTTTAGAGGTAATGAATACGATATAATATGTGTATATCGAATGCTTTTTTTTTTTTTTTTTTTTTTAATCAACGACTTTATATTTATTATTAGAAACTACCTTTTTCTATTGAAGATATAGTTCATAATTCACCTTTTCGTACACCTGATGGTATAACTTATATTGGTCGAAAGAATACATTAATGATAGAAATAGATCCAAGGAATGGAAAGATTTTGCAGCAAATAGATTTAAATAAAGTAGATGATCAATATCGTATGGCTTCTCAAACTCAATATCCAGCTAGAACTATATTCCTTGGCAGAAATGGTAAATTAAATCATATTATATCTTTCATTCTTATACACACTTATGTTCTCCTCTCTCTCACTCTCTCTCTCACTCACTCTCTCCCTTCTCCTCCTCCCTTTTCTTTTTTCTTTTTCTTTTTTTTTTCCTCTAGAATATAAAGTGGCTATTTACGATGAACATTATAGAAAGTTATGGAATACAACTTATATTGAATATATTCCTAATAAGTTTGATTGGGATGTGCCCATGAATACAGTTCCTTCAGATATTTATGTTGCGCCAGATGCAAGCAGAGCTATCACTGGGATAAATCTTCATGACGGTAACTTGATATGGACAAGAGATTTACCTTATCCCGTTGTTAGTGTCTTTGATGTCTATCGTAGAGAAGATTATACTTTCGCTGTATCTAAACAGGATCCACCTAAATCACTTTCAAAGGGTGCAGTAGGTAATATGCTCAACCTCATGATGTCCTTTCGTAAACACCATATTGCAACAGCCTATGTAGGCGTTCATGAAGGTAGCTTATATGCTTTATCTACAAAGAATTATCCTCTTGTCCAAATTTCACCCTGGGCTTCAATGTATACTGGCAGACGTCCTGGCGACACTAGTCAGTTAATTGAAGGTGGTGCTAATAAAATATTAGATGATTCTGACTCATCCACATTTGAATGGACTCAAAAGCCTCATGAAATGTGCTGTCATGGTTGTGAATATCATACGGATTGTTTAATTGGTCAGCATGTTGTTCAATCTTTACTTGATGATGTAGATGAAGAAGATCATAAATATCATCATTACAAACTTTATATACCTCCTTCTTCAAACACTATTTCCTCTTCCTCTACACCCTCTTCAACACCTACTTCACTCCATTCTACCATTCCTCGTTATCATTTAGACAATCTTCAAGATTATGTAGAGCCCAAGACTGGATTCTTTCATGAGGGGCTGGGTAAATTTTGGAAGAGTTATATTCTGGTTACATCTGTCATCGTCTATATTTATCGAGACCGTGTTCAGACATTCTATCAAGTCAAGGTACTACCTCGTTGGAAACAAATGATGAAGAAACATGCTAAGGCAAAAAGAACAAGAGCAAGGATTGCGGCAGCGGCTCGAGCAGAGAAGGAGAGAATTAAGAGAGAACGTGCTGATTCGTTAACCTCTGTAGAGAGCTTTGATGCAGATAAGTTTATTCATGAGCGGTTAGCAGAAGCTCAGAAGGAAAGATCCAATCCCATTGAGGAAATAATTCAAGAAGAGAAAAAAGTAACGGATGAAAAGGAAAAAGAGGAAGACAAAGACAAGTTAGAAAATGCCTCAAAGAAAGTGATGATTGTAAAGAAATCATCCACTGGATTAGACCTTGAAAGTTTTAAACAATCAAAATCTCAAGTCCTAGAGATATCGGATACTGTCCTTGGCTATGGTAGTCATGGTACAGTGGTCTATAAAGGTAAGTTTGATGGTCGAGAAGTGGCTGTTAAACGATTATTATTGGACTTTTATGATGTTGCTCTAAAAGAAGTAAAATTATTACAAGAGAGCGATGATCATCCTAATGTAGTCCGGTACTTTTACAAAGAGGAATCAGATCGATTTTTGTATATTGCCCTTGAACTTTGTTTTGGTTCGCTAAATGATTATATGGAACGAACTCTGTCTATACCCGAAATGCAATTATGTGATAGGATGGATCCTGCCAATATCTTGCTTCAATTCACCAATGGTCTTCAATATCTTCATTCCCTGAAAATTGTCCATAGAGACATTAAACCTCATAATATCCTTTTGACTCCTAGCAAACATCGTATCGCAAAGGATTCTCCTCCAATGCGAGTGCTTATCTCTGATTTTGGTCTTTGCAAAAAACTAGACGGTGAACAAAGTAGTTTTAATTATACTGCCGCCTCTCCCGCTGGCACCTCAGGATGGAGGGCACCCGAGTTATTAGCTGGCGTTTTAGCTGCTTCTCCATCCGATGGTAGTGCCAGTAGTATACGTGATTCATCCTTGGATCCAAACATGATGATGGGTCGAGTGAAAGCTACACGTGCTATTGATATATTTTCGGCAGGCTGTGTTTTCTACTATGTCTTGAGCAATGGCGATCATCCATTTGGTAATCGTTTTGGACGTGAACATAATATCTTGAATAGTAATTACGATCTAAGTAAACTGGATTCAATGGGAGAAGATGGAGTTGAGGCTAAGGATTTAATAGAAAGAATGATTTCAACTGATCCCAAGTCAAGGTAAGGCACTCTTTTTGATACATCATGTGGTGAAATCCATTCATGTATTAAATTAAATTATGTAGGCCTAATGCAGATACTATTTTATCACATCCTTTCTTTTGGTCCACGTCTAAACGACTTGCTTTCTTACAGGATGCTTCAGATCGTTTCGAGATTGAGGAGCGTGATCCGCCCTCACCTTTATTACAACAATTAGAATCCAATGCTGCTAAAGTGATTGGTCACGATTGGTATAAGCGTATAGACCGTGTTGTAGCCAATGATCTTGGTAAATACAGAAGATATGATGGTAAAACCATCCGAGATTTATTAAGAGCTTTAAGAAACAAGGTAATACCAATGTGTATTTGTTTTTTTTTTTTGTTTTTTTGCTTCCCCTCCCCCTCACTTTATTCACTTTTTATTATATAGAAACATCATTGGCAAGATTTACCTGAAGCAGTCAAGAAGGTGTATGGTGAACCTCCTAATCAATTTTTATATTATTTTACTACTCGATTCCCTCATTTGCTTTTACATACCTATTATGTCGTTTCAAACCATCCTACTTTAAAAAAGGAAGGTTCACTTGGACAGTATTTTTAAATACATAATGTCCTTTATATACATATATATATATATATATATATATATATATATGTATGTATATATATGTATACATCATGCTTATTATTCCTTTCATATATTCTTCTTATCATTATAAATCGTTCTTTTTTTTTTCTGTTTTATATTATACATAATGAATGCATAAATAATAATAATAATAATAATACATTATTGCTATATTTCTGTAGTCATTTTTTTTTTTGTTTTTTTATGCAATTTTTATATTTTACTCCTAGTACTTTACGTCGGTTCAAATTTGAAACCAGAAAAAACAAAAAACAAAAAGGGAAGTGGGGGGAGAAAGGGGGAGAAAGGGAGAGAGTGAAAGTATGTTGTTGGAGACCTGACAAAGTCTTTAAAACAGATTAATAAACAATTTACCTAATATAAAAATTGTTTTAAATAAGGGTCAAAACTACCAGTATGATTTATCGATTTTCGAAGTGTAAACTATACATATAAAAAAAAAAAAAAAAGTTGAAACAATTATCATAATACAGTTACTGCTAAAATAAAATAGTTACTCTACTGCCATAACGAAAATTGAATTCAATGTACAACCTTTCAATATTTTTAGTAAATATCTTGAGCTGGTCTATGGATTGTTTAATTGATGGATCCTCTTGACTTCTAAAGTTGCTTTCCAAAACAATCAGTTTAAAAAATTGAAGTCCTTTAAATGTTGAAATGATATATTGTAAAGTTGCATTATGCAATTTATATGTCGTAATTGTGAGATTTTTTAGTTGATAATTAATATTCGTAGTTGCAGATTCCCGGCCGTCTTTGGAGGGCATCAAGAGACTATGAACGCTCTGGGTATCATCCAAAAATTCAAATGATTTCAAGTAAGGATGATTTTCGAACAAACCAATAAAGTCGAGCGATATACGGAATGCCCTGGAAGGCATGATCAAGCTCAGGTCCTCTAAATACGGTAACTGAGAAAGAAATTTATTAAGACCACCAAAGTTATAGGAAATGAACCGAAAGGCTTTGAGCGATCTAATCTGGAGCTCGGTTAAGGTATGTTTCAAGCTTATTAAAATATTTAAATAATTTGTAATTGTATATTTAGAGCATTGCTCTAGTTCATTTATATCCAGTCTTTTCAGTTTTGGTAAATGATCCTTATTTTGACTTAAGATTGTTAAAAATGGAGCAACATTGTTATTGGTACCTGTATTGATCCATATATAGGTCAAATTAGGACACAAGAGTAATACTTTACGAAAATATTCTTGATAATTTGAAGCTGAGAAATCCACGGGGCGATGAAGTCGAATTACATACACATGTAAGGTTTTGAGTTTTGGCCCCAAAGATGAGTAAATGTTCAGATCTTTGTACAGTCTTGCGAGGTTGAATACAAGTTGGTTTCGGGTTAAACTAACAGGATAGAAGGAAGTGATTATGTTGTACCAAGTTTTACACACTAATTTTAAACGTCCTTGAACTCTCGTTTGATTATTGTTTGGAATATTCATGAGAATCTTGAGCCAAATTTCATTGCATATTTTATCAAAGTTCATTGAGGTTTTTTTTTTGTTTTCTAGACTGAAAAAAAAAAAAAAAAAAAAAAAAAAAAAAAAAAAAAAAAAAAAAAAAAAAAAAGGAAAGGGAAAATTGAGATCAAATAACAAAAAAAAAAAAAAAAGATAAATAATCAGTTTAGAAAAAAAAAAAGGGCTATTTACAAACAGAATACTTTCTTAGTTAAAACCAAGAATTGTTATTTTAAGAGTATTTTAGGAAGGTGAAAAGGTAAAAATAGTCGTGTCAAACTTGTTAAAAGCTATTATTCATCTTTTATGAACAAATAACAATAAGTTCTAAAAGATAATTAACAAGATTTATTACCAAGTTTTTTAACCCAAAGAGCAGATAATACAATTAGTTCAGAGCAATAATTTTCTATGATCTAATTGTTTCCTTTTTTTTTTTTTTTTTTTAAGCGAAAAAATCTAGCATGTATCAATAAATATGATAAAATAAGTCTAGAGCTGTAAATTATAATTTTGTATTTCAAGTCCCAACATTCTGATTTACGGTTTTACTGATTTTTTTTCTCTTTTTACAAATAGAAATATATTTCTCAATTATGCAAAATAACAATGACAAACAAAAGAGAAGATAATCTTTATTCAATGTATGTTGAACAATTCTAAAAACATCACTCTAACAAACATTCCTTACGCATGTAAATGATTGTTTTATCTTTTTTTTTTTTTTAAAAAAAAAAAAAAAATCTTTTAGAGAGTCAGCAAAGATACCTTCTCAATGTTGGTGGGCAGATGAAGTATTGTCTTCTGGCGAAGAATTAAATCAACTATACCAAGATTTTGTGCTTATTAGTGAATTCTCTGAATTAGAGGGCCCTTTACCACTAGCCATCGTAACAGAGTCATCTTATATAGATCTAAAGCAATATACCGACAATAGCTCGCCAAAAACAAACTATTTGAAGGAGCAATTAGAAAAACTTGGTCTAGATTCATTTGATTTTAATGCATTTGTACTTCGTGTTGTATCGGTAGATCGAAGTACAGAATTTGAGTAATGTATAAGCATCTCGATTCATTATTATTATTATTATTTTTTTTTTTTTTTTTCGAAAATGAAATTAATATCGTATTAACAGACAAATAGATGAAGTTTTGCTTGAGGCTTCAACAACAGCTACATCTTCTTTATTCCAAGATACATCAACAACTTCATTATTTTCAATTCCGGATGATACTCAAGTTTATTTTACAGATTCTGAACATAATTTCTTCGCCTTTGTAAATTAGTTCTATTGTTTCTTTTTCCTCTTTTTTTGCATAAATTAAGTTTTCTTTTTCTTTTTTTTTCTTGTTAGACACATCATTTGACTTTGTTTGATATTAATGCAAGAGGTTATGTTCATCCAGTAGCTTTGTCATATATAACAAGAGATCCAGAAAAAATTATTAATCGATTTGAAGAATTAATGGGGAAATTTAACGAGGTTTTAGGAAAAAAAAAGGGGAATGGGGAGGGGAAAGAGTTTCTTGTTAACCATTACATTTATTATGATAGGTTTCTATCAAAATGAAAAAGGGCAACTATTCAAATTTTATTCTGGATTTAAAGTATAGATTACTTGACCTAGAATATACCCAAACTGTCTTAAACGACACCACCTCTTTTGAGCAAAAGCCTGTTTTATCAGCTAAAGCTATTGAGCAAGCTATTATTGCAACAAAGTTCATGATTGATACTTTAGAATCAAGTAAGAGTCAAATTAATAACTTGGCTGACGACAGGAACAAAATAGATAATACAACAGAACCAGATATAATACCAATTATCAAAAATGATGATACTTTTTACCAATTTACTAGCGATACCATTCATAATGATGATTATAAACCAAAGCTGATTGACACATTATCTCCTGTAGCTCATTTTGAAAGAAAATTACGTTCACTTGCTCAGTTATGTCAGGAACCTGAGGAGAATGAACAGCAAGAGTCAATAAAACCTACTACTTTAATTGATAATGGCTTGAATCATACCAAACAACATAATTTAACACAAAAGACAACAACTATGATTCCATTTATGTTTTCTATCATCAAACCGTCAAATACAAATATCGGTCCTGTCTCTTCATCAGAAGAAGAATGTTTAAAAGACTCTGACAATAATCAGCAAAATTTAGCATTTGCGAATTCTATTAAACGTGATATGTACTCTAAAGTCATTAAATATATGAAAGATATGGTGCATTACTTTGGACGAAATAGTGTGATACTTAACGTAAATGATGAAGAATCTTTATTTATTAATCCAGTTTCTTCTGCATTAACAATTGGGCGTGCATTTATGTTAAATATGGATAATCCTCAACCCAGAGAGTAAGCAAAAGAAAGAAAGAAAGACAATTAAAAAAAAACAAGATGAATAATAGTGTTCATATTTATTTAAACTTGGTAGACGAGAAGATCATACTAGCTTATCTGTAAGTTTTGTTCTAAAGATGAAAAAAGATCATCTTACATTTATTGAACATACTATAATATTAGGAAGAGGTGACAGCTGATGATAATGATAAAAATAACGATGTAGATGACAATCATGTTAATGTACAATTAGAGCTTGATAATGACGATAAAAAGGAAGAATCTTGCTTCCCCTTTCTTTTTGCACCATTACAACTATGGAAATCAGAAGAAAAAGATGCGCCAAAATCCCATCTTCTAGAAGTGCTTCGACTTTACCAATCTTTAATCGTTGATGTCATTTTTTCTTTATTAACAGGAAGAACTGTTCTTGTTCAAGGCAGCTTACAGAATAAAAGTCGTGTTCAAGAAGTTGTACAAGCATTATCTATTTTTGTTCCTGGGAAAAGTCAGGATCATCATCAAATTATTGAATGGTTTGATTCTACAAAACTTACAGATATTCAAACCAAAAGTATTAAATTAGTTGGAATTAACAAAGAAAATGTAGATTCTAGTGTTCATATTGATAGTAGCTGTGTTTTAGATATTGATGTGAAAAATGGCTCATTAAATTCAAGTCCTGTTTATCTTGAAGGTCAATGGATCAATCAGTTTTTGGATCGAATCATGCTCTTTTCGGTAAATAGATCTATACACATATACATAATTATATAAACTTGTATTCATGTATATGTATATATATATATATATATTTTAATATACAAGTCTGATGAAGCATACCTTGCCTATCTACATACAGTATTTATGAACATATCATTAAAAGCATTCGTGTATCATCATTTGTATGTTTCTGATGAATTTCAATTAGATGAGAGTCCTCTTTCTTCTGCTGCATCAAATAAAGGCTATGTCTCTGAAACTAATTCTGAAAGTAGTACATTAAGTAGAAAATGGAGTGTAAGGCTGATGAATTATCTAAAAAAGTATGAAGATCAAGAGAGTACGTTGGAACTAGCATTAAATACTACTAAAATAAATTCAACTTCATCGGCTCTATCGTCTGTAAAAAGTAATCATGATGAGGATGACTTTTCTGAAGAGAATCAAGCTACTGTCACTCTACAGAACTTTAGTATGCAAAATAACAGTAAGCCGCGTACTGTTTTAGGTTTATTCAATCAGCCAACCACTCGTAATGAAGTTATACCAGACAATCCTCAGACTTTGACAGATGAAAATTTATCATTACTGAGAAATGATAGCTTCTTTCCAACTTACAGTGATTATAGTCGAAGAGAATCGGTTATAAGTAAAAGCAGTTCTACTTCTCATGATGATGAAGCTAATGATGGTGATACAATCAACAGAAGTACCTCTAGTTTAGAATTCAATATGAGTGAATTAATTCAATATGATGAAGAGCAAGATACCAATAGTTATAGTAGTAGTGATAGTGATGGAGATGAAGAAGTCTCTACATATTCTATGCGTCGTCAACGTAGACGTTATAAAGCTTCACGAAAAAAGCCGAATAATGATCAAGATCTTGGACCTGATGGTATCTCTTATATAGAAAGAAGAGGTAGACAGTATTTACAAGAAAAATTCAAAGTATATGGCGATGATCAAACAATAGTTATCGTAAGTCATTTAGTAACTTACAAATTCATTAAAATTGTATTTTAACTTGCTTTTTATAGTATTTAGCTACTTGTGTTATTTAAGTTATTTTTTTTTTAAAAAAAAAAAAAAAAAAAAAAAAAAAAAAAAAAACATACAAAGGAATGTTATCAATCACCAGATTATTGTGAAGAAAATATTATAAATACTTCCATACAGTCGACACATCTTGGTTACAATAAATATACTATTAGATGTATGAGCTCTTTAATTTTTGTTTAAAATATACAAGTGCTTTTTTTTTTTTTTTTTTTTTTTTTTGGCGGGAAAGAATAATAAATTGCATAGGGAAAATGGGGAAATTGTGGAGGGCCTGTTTATATATTTTATTTTATTTTTATTTTTTGAATATTTTGACATTTTAAAATGTTACATCGAATATCAATCACTAACTTAACAAAGTTGAATGCCTTTGGAAGAGTCCAGCCTCTCTGGAAATATTCTTCAATTTATTTGCAACAACAACAACGATTTGCTGTAATTAATAGATTTTTCTTCACACCATTACATCTTTTTTTATTTTTTCATTAATGTTTACAAATTAGGGTCATAATAAATGGAGTAAAGTAAAACATACAAAGGGTGCAAAAGATGCGAAAAAGAGTGTCCTATATTCTAAAATATCCCTTGAAATTGTTTCTGCAGTCAGAGGTAATACTAAATTTTCATAAAAATATATACACATATATATAATTCTTTCTGCTTATATTGTATGTAGCCGGTGGACCAGATCCAACAGTCAACAATTCGTTACAAGCAGTTTTAAATAGAGCCAAAGCTGCTAGTATGCCAAAAGATAGCATAGAAAATGCTTTTAAAAAGGCGCAAGATAAGAACAAAGATGACCTCGAGAAAATAACCTATGAATGTATTGGTCCTGGAGGTATTGCTTTGATTGTGTAAGTTATATTTGTTAAAATAAATAAATAAAAAGGGGGAGATGATTCAAACTTATTTTTATATAGTGAGGCACTTACAGATAAAAAGTCTAGAACTGTTAAAGAAGTGAAAGAAGTATTAAATAGAGTAGGGTAAATAGCAAGGGAAAAAAAAAGAGGAGGAGGAGAAGAGGCAGCGAATACTATGTCGATATATTAATGAATATTGGTTGATTAGTGGGTCAGTATCTTCAGTTGGTTATTTATTTGATAAAAAGGGTAAAGTAGTATTTTCTGCTGGAGAAACAGGCCACAGTTTTGAACAAATTATGGACAATGCAATTGATTGTGGTGCTGAAGATATAGAGGAAGATCCTGGAGAGAATTTAATAGAAGTAACTTGCGAATTTTCAGAGCTTAATACTGTCTCAAAAGCCTTGATGGATCATCAATATGAAGTTCAAAAAATTGAAGCGGCATATATTCCATTAAGTACAGTTGAAGTAAAAGACGAAGAGACAATTGAGTTAGTTGAAAAATGTCTGGATAATATGGAAGACCTGGGTGATGTTGTAAAAGTTCATAGCAATGCTGTTCTTGATTAGAATATAAAAATATAAATAATAAATAGCAATATGCTTAAGCATTAGAATGGCTCTTATTATATATATATGTAAATAATTTAGGAGGCCTTACTAAGAGCAGTAATAGTCATACAATCTTATCACATTATGAATTAGAAATAATAGGTCAGTTAAGATAATAAAATGTTATTCTATAGTTATAATTATCACGTCTAAAATTCTTTATGTGATCAATTCTCGATTGTTTTGCTTGCTTATTTATAAAGAATTGGGTCTTACATAAAAAGCATGTGTCTCTTAAAAAAAAAGCATCTAATAATGATTTCAGAAGGTCTACTATTATGTCTCATTTTGAAAGTTTGCAATGATCTCTAATAAAAATAAATCTGCCCAATAAACTTTTTGCAATCGTCTTGTTTTAGGCTAAAATCCTGTAAATAATGATCGACTGAGTCGATGGCCAGGTAAAGCTGTGCTCTGTTTAGCAATATACACGATAGATCACTCAACATTTTATTCATTTCTTTCTTATTATCTATGAATAAAAATGAAAAGCATACATCACACAAACCTCTAGTGTATCCATTCTACGAAAATAAAGTATAAGGGTGCTAACATCATACAACTTGTGTGGCAAATAGAATTGCCCCAACAAAGTAAAGGGGTAAAAGCTTATAAAATGAGGGCTTTATCACAAATAACCAACATTTGAAGATAGTAACAGCTGTCATGAATATTACAAGAAAAAATATAAGAATATTATTGGATGCTACATTTTAATAGTAAATACTTTTATAAGAAAAATAATTTTTATGTAGGTGATTGCGGGGATTCTTCAGATTAATTGCCGTAAGTTAAAATTTTGGAACTAATATATTCACAAACAAAACAATCAAAGTATCACAGTTAACATGTGTACTCCTTTGACACGTCCGTATCTCATATCCACCTTCAAACAGTATATCACAAATAACATTGTCGTCAATAAAAATGCATGCGATTTTATTCGTGTTTCATTATATTCACCAAACACATATCAGCCTAACAGGGTTTTAAAATTGGTTCCTTAGTTTGACTACTATTTTGAATCTACTTCTCTAAAAAAGGCATCAGACAATGTTTTACTCCAATGGATAGCAATGCAGCATCAGTTATACAATTAAAGATATGCAGTTAAAAATTATATAGCTTGATTGAATTCTTGGACTGTTGTTAATTCCAGCATCACGGGTGTTCACAGAATAGGCTACGTTTTCCACAGCGCAGTATTCAACCAGATTATGGCGAAATTTGTATTTTGGTAGTTTAGTTAGTTTAGTTAGTTGTTAAAGCCAAACTTTGAATATGGGTTGGACTTTTAATCTCGTAAATGATTGGCAGGGATAAGTAACTTGTATATCACTTGATGTTGGAAATCTATACCAGTATTTAAATCAACAATTGTAGGAAAGTTTTCAATTTAGCGTTTTTACTTCTTAAACAACTAAAATGTCTCTGTATTCGCTTGGCTTGTCTTTGATGTCATTATAACCAATGTTTTGGTTCATATGGGATATCTTTTATGTTCTTCCATGTCTTTCATCAGCCCACACAGCTTCACTCAAAGAACTACAGATGGATAATATTCACTGTTAGCTAATAATTGTTGTCTTTGTTGCTGCAAATACAAATACATATTTACAGCTTCTTTACGTATGTTAGGTTCATGATGTACTTTAATTTCTAAAATACTACTCGTGGTTGGGATCGAAGACTCAAAAGCGATCCCACCTGGGATATATTCGAGAAAAAAAAACAAAGTCAACCATAAGGTTAGACACTCTATATTTAAAGGCAAAGAAGACTTGAAAGTTAGAATAAAAGAAGTCTGCGATAATACTCCAATTAGACATTTACAAGCATTTATTCAACATTCTGTCACAAACACTTTGAGGATTGTTTAATTAAAGTCACTATTTAATTTTTGTTTTCAAAACGGTTAATTGAGGTAGTGAGAACTACAATTATAAAAGATATATATACACACATATATATATATAAAATACATATAACACAGATTCAGATATTAAATAAAGAAATTGATATACACAAACTAAGGCTCAAGACTCAAAGTAGTAATACATACAACTGTGCAATATTTTACAAAAGTTTTATTCAAATAAGTTTGTTATTCTAAATTTGAATAATGAAGATCTTCCAAGTAGATATTCATTGCGCAAGTATTGACAGAAATGAGTTTATCTAAAAGACAATCAAATCTTCAAACGTAAACTAATATGTTCTTTCAGTTTCAACCAGGTGCACCACGTGGAGGTAGAACATAGGAAAGCACCCATTTTCGCAATCGCTTGTGATTACGGGGAATTTCAACCCTTAATAGCAGCAATGATCATGTATGTATCGATTTGTATTGCTAGGCTAAATTAGAAAGTTTGTTAGTAAATGGATTTTTTTTTTGTATGCTCAACTTTCCTTTCCTATTATCCTAAATTATCAATATGCATGGTCAAAGCTGTTTATACCTGTCGCTACTACCATGAGGCAACGAGAGTCAACAATAAACTCTCACCACAACATACTAGGATTTGTCGGACCCAAGAACAGGTACCAAGCTCTCAAGATATAAACTGGGGGTGGCGTAATACCATATCTTTTTAAATCCTTTAATATGATACCACCCTGTTCAACTTTTTATCGTAATAACCCCTCATTTTTCTTGCTTTGACCCATCACTGACTGTTTATACCTGTCGCTACTACCATGAGGCAACGAGAGTCAGCAATAAACTCTCACCACAACATGCTAGGATTTGTCGGACCCAAGAACAGGTACCAAGCTCTCAAGATATAAACTGGGGGTGGCGTAATACCATATCTTTTTAAATCCTTTAATATGATACCACCCTGTTCAACTTTTTATCGTAATAACCCCTCATTTTTCTTGTCAGCAATGTTTTGCATATAGTGAGATATCTAGATGACCAGAAATAAACTAGCAATGAGCACAAGCCTGTAAGAATTCGCATAATATAATTAGAACTAGATGTGTCGCAAGTTGAAGTATAAATAGATTGTCATCAATAAAGTCTAATGTTTAAATTGAAATATTTTTGTTAAAAGTAAGGTTATCATGAATTGCTGTGTGTAATAAAATTACTAAATTGTAGTAATTGCCTTGTTGAGTATCAATGTACACGCTATAAAGCTTGATAAAAAATGTTAATGAAAGTCGTTACAAATTGAAAGAAATGAGAACAAGTTGATAAAAATAAAGGAGGAAAATGTGACTTTTTTTTCAGCAGCAGCGTTCGGAAATCCTTTTAAGTATAAATTAAACAGGTACAGGCATGCATTAGGGTGTTTATGGAATGGGTAATTTGTGATCCCTAAAGAGGACATTAGTAGCACACAGGAATAGTATAACCCAAGTTTGCTCTATCAGCATGATTATCAAATCAAATATTCTCCTATGTTATGTATAAATCTTGATTGCCCTGTAAAGTATTATCTTCTACTTTTTTAACTTATTCTTTTTATAATATTTGATCGTTCTATATCGCTTTAAAATGTCTTGTCCTCAAAAATACGTTGGTGCTAAAATAGCTGTTCCATCCTATGTCAAAAACAGCGAGTTTTTTGCTAATAATTGTGTTAACAAGTGGTCTTTCAAAGACTATTTAAACACTTGCACTGAGTTAGAAAATCCATCGCTAAAAGATATTAAAGCCAAAAGACAAGAGTATATCAATAGCTTGAAATCTCTTAAGAAAAATGTTAACTTGGATTCTGACATTCTATCTTTTATAAACGATTTGGCTAAAGCAAAGGTAACGTTGTTTCTGGAATAAAGAGTAAATAATAATATTCAACTCAATTCAATTATTTAGGATTCGGATTTGAATCTTATATCCATACTTCGTGAACTTGCCACAGCCCCTAAAATAAATATTATCAACTCAACAGTAACCAATTCTAATGTTATCGCCCTTAGAGGGAATGTCTATGAGAATAAGGTTGAAAAGAATAATATGATGATTATTAAAATTGAATCTTTTAGATATGTTATTAACTCATTATTAGGGAAAGCGAAAGTTAGACGAAGAACAAGATGGTAATATCAACACTAATTCTCTAATGCAAACTAATTTTATAACTTTTCATATATGATTTTTAGAGAACTTCGTGTCTATACTTAAAAACAAGAAAAGCTATTGCTTTATAAAACCTAAGACACCAGAAATACACTATAATATCAATAGTCCTTCATTCACAGAACTTGAAAAAGAAATGATTGACGATGTTGTATTCATTAAGCTCGACGACACCTCCTTGTGTAATAATGAAGAAATTGCACAAGAATATAAGAATAACAAAACTGAGCAACAGCAAAACCATTTTATGGTGCAACTGCCAGTTGCAATGAAGTTTTTAGAGGGTGCATTAGATCAACAACTTAATCAACTACTCTTCTGGATGGGAAGCAATGGATTTAATTCCAGTCAGTCCGAAGACGAAAAAAAAGCAATACTATTTATTCGTTTAGTATTGAATGATTTTTATGCTAATTGCATAAAACCTGTAGTCAATAATGTCTTGAATGAACGTACGCCCTTTGTCGAATATGTGGTACCTGTATTCAAATATTTCAGTGCTGCATATAACGCTATTGCGTTTCAATGGTAAAACTAGTTAATCAATGTTAATTGCTAAATCGATTATTAATATAAATTTAGGTGCGAGAAGGGTGTAGAGACAAATAAGTTTGTCTCCTTGTACCACAAAGAAACAAATGGAAGAAGACGTTTTGCTGACGGTATCGGGTATATCGTGGATGATCATTCTGAAGCGTTACTGATTGAGTCATCTGGGTAAATTATACAAATCCATAAACATAAAACTTTAATGAGCATTGACACATTTCACCATTTATAGTGAAGAAGACACCAGCCATGCTAAAGAGGACACGTTAAAGCTGTTGGAATGCAGCATTCGTGCTTTGAAGATGGAGATGGAGAAGTTGAAATTTGCCTCTCTGAATACCTTCAAGGCGAGAAGGTTTTACACGATGTTGTACTCAAAAGATAAACTAACAATGTTGAGTACTTCTCTTGTTGATTCCAGTCGTTGGGGTTTCACCTTCGTCAGAGAGGCAACTTTTCCAAGAACATGGAATAAAAGACACGGATGGCTCTCAGTATTTGAATTAGTCTTGTGTCTGAATGTAAGTATTTTTCTATAGTTGTATAATCTCGATTAAATCATATGTTTCGCTTATTAGGACAAGCTGAAGAAGCAGCAAGAAGTATCGCTTTTGCTGTTAAAAGAGCATAATGGCTGGGTGAAGGTTGAAGATGGTGATGCTATTAATGATTTTAATAGATAATCATTTCTGCTGTTAAGGGTTGAAATTCCCCGTAATCACAAGCGATTGCGAAAATGGGTGCTTTCCTATGTTCTACCTCCACGTGGTGCACCTGGTTGAAACTGAAAGAACATATTAGTTTACGTTTGAAGATTTGATTGTCTTTTAGATAAACTCATTTCTGTCAATACTTGCGCAATGAATATCTACTTGGAAGATCTTCATTATTCAAATTTAGAATAACAAACTTATTTGAATAAAACTTTTGTAAAATATTGCACAGTTGTATGTATTACTACTTTGAGTCTTGAGCCTTAGTTTGTGTATATCAATTTCTTTATTTAATATCTGAATCTGTGTTATATGTATTTTATATATATATATGTGTGTATATATATCTTTTATAATTGTAGTTCTCACTACCTCAATTAACCGTTTTGAAAACAAAAATTAAATAGTGACTTTAATTAAACAATCCTCAAAGTGTTTGTGACAGAATGTTGAATAAATGCTTGTAAATGTCTAATTGGAGTATTATCGCAGACTTCTTTTATTCTAACTTTCAAGTCTTCTTTGCCTTTAAATATAGAGTGTCTAACCTTATGGTTGACTTTGTTTTTTTTCTCGAATATATCCCAGGTGGGATCGCTTTTGAGTCTTCGATCCCAACCACGAGTAGTATTTTAGGAATGGTGAATTGGTGCAGGAAGGACTGTTAGTATATAATATAGATTCAAGAGAGAGACTTTGATTTAAAAGAGTCTCTGTAAGCCTTTTGTTTTGTAAGGGAGAGATTCTGAGTAAAAATAAACCTATATATTAAAATCAGTTTATTCAATTGATATAAGCACAAAAAAAAAGGCAGAAGCTATCAAGGTTTGAGGATAAAATAGTTTGTAAAGTTTTAGTACAACTTAAAGCTGATAGAATATTATGGAGTTATTGGCATTCTCTTCAAAATTATAGAGATGAGAGAAGCCCTTCTTGATTATAAATGTGGAAAAATTCAGAATATGAGTATGGATGATGTTATAAAGTCTATTTTTTAGAGAATATTTTTCATAATCGAAATGTCCTTTATATATGTATGTTATGAGATACTTTGGCAATACAATTTGAGTGCATAATATGTAATTATACATACTGTATGTCTATTGTTACAGTTTAGATTATAATTACATTTAAAAGAATTAATATAAAATATATGCTTCAGCGTGATTAATTTATCTATTTATATACGTGTAAAATAATGCTAGTTTAATAGAAACTTTAAAGAAGTAATGTTCTTTTATGAGTAACAGGGAAATGTAAGATGACTATAAAAAATGAAAAGAAAAATGGATGTAAAATGGGCTAATACCATCAAGGCAATATGTATTAATACATATACACATTTTTCTTAAAGGTATATGTACATTTAAGGTTAGTAAATGAATTTTGAATTAAGTCACATATTTCTATTTTATGTCAGGTAATAAAACAAAACAAATATACACTTTTCTATATATCTCAACAAGATGTCTAGATTGTTGACAGTGTTTGCTGGAATGACTTTAGTTACAGCAATCACTTTTCAATCACGCATTAACTTAATTTCCAACACGGCCAACGTTCAACAAAAAATAGATGAAGCAAAGGAAAAAGCAGATCTTCTTACTAGAAAGAATAATAAAGAGCAAATCATTCGACTATCACTTAAACGACCTTCTAGTTCTGTTGAGCAATTATTAGATACTACAAGATCCTATTATAAAAATCGACTTATACCTTCAGGTATATATCAAAACATTAAAAAAAAATGCTTTGTTTACTAAATGGTGTATTTTTATATTTTATAAAAGTAAAATCATCTTGGAATGATCAAATTATTAACTTTACAGGGACTATAATTCGATCAAATTTACCTACAAGAATTAATCGATTTATTGCTGTAAACGTATTTGGATACAGCAAAAAACAATAATACAATAGACTTCTATTTATTTATATACTATTTATGCACAACAAAATAAAACTAATACTTTTGCATATTCTTTTTTTTTTTTTTTTTTTTTTTTTTATACATGTATAAATATTATAATAAAGGAAGGAAGGGGGAGATAATTTACAATGGTATGATATACACTTAAACTTCTAAAACTTTAGTTGCAGCTTTTCTCAATCTATTCATAACAGCCATACCCTCTCTATCTTCAGGAATACCTTCAACAAATATAACATTAACAGATCGTCCATCTAATTCACGAAGACCTTTAAACATGCCACGAGCAACTTCTTCAGGGTGTCCATATCGACCCATTTGAAGAGAAATACATTTTGTTTGATCATCCACCATAGATATTGTTTCCCAAGTAGCCGTCTTTCCTTCTTGTGTTGTACGCAACATACCAATCTTGGACACAACCATGCCTGATGTTCGAATTGCATTCAATTCCTCTTTCCATGCTTTTTCAAAATTTTCCTCAAATTCTTTGCTATCCCTTTTACGATCAATTAAGATCACCATGGCTTCCGGTGAATAATGTCTATATTTCATGCCTGGCGTTGTAGGTGCCATTTCTAATTCTTTATCTACAAAATCTTTTCTATATACCTGTAATTGCTCCATACCTTTGATTTCTTTGAGCTCTTCATATGTTAGACCTCCTGGTCGCAAAATAGCAGGTGGATTACGTAATCCATCTAATACAGTACTTTCAACACCCACATTGCATGATCCACCATCAAGAATGAACGGAATACGACCTTGAAGATCATGGTAGACATGACTAGCTAGTGTAGGTGATGGCTTACCAGAAGAATTGGCAGAAGGTGCAGCTAAAGGAAATCCACAGGCTTCAATCAGGCTTCGAGCAACAGGATGTGAAGGAAAGCGAACAGCAACAGTAGGATGACCGCAGGTTACGGAATTGGGAATTAATTGGGAAGTAGGAAGAACGATGGTCAATGGTCCTGGCCAATGCTTACGAATAATTGGTAAATAAACTTCAGGAATTGTGTTGTCAGGTAAGATACTCTTTAACATGTTGATCGATGACACATGGACAATTAATGGGTTATCTTGAGGACGATTTTTAGCAGCAAAAATTTTTGAAACAGCATTTGCATCAAGTGCATTAGCAGCAAGACCATAGACAGTTTCTGTAGGAATACCAACTGCTTCACCTTTCTTTAACCACTCGACTGCTTTCTCAATGGCTAACTTATCGTTTTTGGTACTAATGACACTGTTCGCATTTAATTCAGAGAATTCATCAGTTCCTATGGACTTTTTAAAGGTAAAATTTTCTGGAACGACTTTTAATACTTGTGTATCAAACATAGTTGAATAAAAAGAGCGTTGAAAAAGATGTGTAGAAGCAGTCCTAAAAAGAAACTGCATTTAAGCTTGTCGCTAATAAATAAAACAAAAAAAAAATTCATTTATAGCTTGTTTGTCTCACTTTGATGGTTACACTATACCCTAAGCCACTAATAGTTGACCGACATTTTAGAAACTGTCCAATAAGAAACGAAAGTAAGTGTATTACAAATTTTAATTTCTTGTGGAGATAATTGTAAATCAGATAAGAATTATCAACTTTATTTTTAATCTCTCTACATGCATTATAATTTAATAAAAGAAAAAACTAAAATAAAAAAGTTAACCCTAATATGTAATAAGCTCATATAAATAAAACACTTGAAAAAAGATTATTTTATATGAATGCATGTTAAGACTTATTCAAATAATATAATTATAGTCTTATTTCCAATAAAATTAGTGTGATAATAAATAGATTCATATTTTTTTTTTTTCGTTTAAATACATGTTTTAATATATTATCTCGAAAATATATATATGAGTATACCATTCAGTATTAAAAATGCCGTTCTATATCCCTGTCTTCAACGAACTCTTCTTCTGACTTTATATGTAACATTAGTATTTCGTAGTAACTTCATATATATAATATAAAGCTACTATTTATTATTATTATTTCTAAAACAAAAAAGGGCAAAATAATAAGATAATATAGTGACTATTTATTTCAAATATGAATATTTAAGGCGATATCCTAAAGTTAGAAAAGTATTTAATTACAATCGCTTAATATTTATTGTTATTAAGGAAGTGTCTAGTATCTTTGAAACCGTAGACTGTACTGCATTGCTATATTTAATACCTTCAAATCCTATAGACTTGGTAAATTAGAAATGTGTAACCTGTGAATAACAATGCAATTATTTCATAACCAAGGTTTAAAATGAGACTCCATAAATGCAGAATTTATAATTGTCAGTATTAACTAGTACGAATATAAGCTAATGTTCATATACTCTTCTACACACAGTCTTTCAAAATCTAACCGAGGAATATATAAAAAGAACTAGTTTAGACACTACTCACAAACCTTGCATAGCCAAAGCATTTTAGATCAGTTAATGTTAAAGAATACTCAAGTAGTATTAGCTATATTGAAGCATAATACGAATATTTATATATTCTTTGTTGAATTAAGTTGATGTATTTGCTGGTAGCATTGTAATCAATTTAGCTTATCTTATCAAATACCCTATGCATGATTATTGACAAAATAATCTTTCACTCATTATCTTTTTATATCATTTTATCTCTAAATTCCAGGAATATTTTATATTTCTTCTTTTAAAAACACGGTTTCTATAGTAAAACCATACTCTATTTTTAATATTCTTTGTTATCCATTCGTTAATTTCATCCTTTAAAATCGCTTTCACTACCATAATAACCTAAAAAAAAATAAAATAAAAGGGTCTTCAGCGACCATTAAATTAATCCAAGCAAAGTTAGTATACCATTCAACATGCTGTGCCCAAATAAAGGGGCTCAAAAATTAAAATATCCCGCATGCACTTTTTATAAAAAATAAATAAATACATATTTATTCATTTTTTCTTTTTTTGTATTAGGATATTGACAAAAATGGTTTCTAAATCGTTTTTAAAACGATTTCGAAAACTAGATGCATATGCAAAGACGTTAGATGATTTTCGAGTTAGGACGGCAACTGGTGGCACAGGTAAAGGATAAAAAATAATGTAAATCAAGCATTCATTAAAATTCTAAACGGATGTAAAAAAAAAAAAAAGTTACCTTAATTAGTTTTTTCATCATTATTTTACTTGTGCTTTTTGAAGTAACAAGGTATATGACGCCTATAATGAAGTCAGAAATCATTGTCGATGGTGGAAAAATGGTATATTTATTATAAAAAAAATCATAATATATTTGTCTAATCTAATGGTCTCTCCTTCTCTCTCTCTTTTTTTTTTTTTTTTTTTTTTTAAAAAAAAATAGGAAAAAATGCCAATTTCATTCGACATTACTTTTCCTCATCTGCCTTGTTACAGTAAAGTATTTATAATCATCTATTTTCACCATTAAGCTTACAAATTTGTAAATAGTGCTAAGTTTGGATATCATGGATGAAAGTGGTGAGCATATTAGTGAATATGATCATGATGTATATAAAGAAAGACTTGATTCAAGTGGCAAAACTATTTTAAAGGAAAAATCAGACGGTAAAAAAAAAAAAAAGATATATGATAATGGAACATAACAGTATATTGATACATCAAGTATAACAGATCCGCGAAACGAAGCAGCAAAATTAGTGTTAAATCATAACGGTGATTTACCCGATAATTACTGTGGGCCATGTTATGGAGCAAATCCTGAAAATAAAGAAAATCCTTGTTGTAATACTTGTGAAGAAGTTAGACGTGCATATGCTGATATGGGTTGGAGTGGAGATGCTGATAAATTTGAACAGGTTATATTCTGTTTTTTGTTTTGTTTTTTTAAATATACAGATATATGTGTGTGTACTCACATTTCTAGTTAGTGCGTAAGAGAAGGATGGAAAGAAAAGACGACAGCACAATCAAGAGAAGGATGTCGTATGCATGGTACATTATCCGTTAATAAATTACGCGGTAATTTCCATTTCTCTGCTGGTAGAGCCTTTAGTCAAGGTGGTACTCATATTCATGATATGTCCCAATTCTTACATAATGAGTATAACCAAAACTTTATGCATGAAATTCATCACTTACAATTTGGATCTCATGAATATAATTTACATAAGCAAAAGCGTACAAAATCAAGTACTCTTGTTCACCCTTTGGATAATACAAAATGGGGAAATATGCAAGGTAAATACATAAATATTCAACTAAGAGAAAATAGTAATAACTTTAAATGTAGCTGCCATGATGTATCAATACTTTATAAAAATTGTTCCTACTGAATTTGATTTCCTTAATGGTAAACAAACAAGAACTTTTCAATATTCGGTTAGTAAGCAAGATCAGTTAGTAACAAATGGTGGGGGACTTCCTGGTGTATTCTTCATGCTTGATCATTCGCCAATGCGTATCATTTACTCAGAATGGAGACCTACTCTTGGTAGCTTCTTAACTAGTCTATGCGCTATTGTTGGTGGTGTATTTAGTGTAGCTAGTATAATTGATAGTGCTCTTTATAGAGCTGAAAGGATATCCAAGCAAAGAAAACAATTATAATAAAGACATTCCCCCTTTTTTTCTAGGGAAATATAATTTGTGTCATTTGTTTAGCTTATTCCCACGTACATAAAATGGTAACTACGAAATGAATGTACAACAATAGTAATCATAAAATTGGTATGCCGATCACAATGATTTTTTTGTGTATACAAATATTTTTTTTCTATTTTTTTTTTTCTGTTTCTGTTTCTTTTTCTTTTTTTTTTTTTTTTTTTTTTTTTTTTTTAACTACATAAATTCACATTTGCTCGATTTAAATTTACTATGGCCGCCATCACTGAAGCAACCTATAAAGCTAGTTCAGATTATCTCATTTCAAAATTGCCAGAAGATTTTCATACAGTTAAATTAGGTGTTATTTGTGGATCTGGTTTGGGTGGTTTAGTCGATACGATTGATCCAACAACCAAGGTCGAATTTTTATATAAGGATATTCCTGGTTTTGTTGCTAGCACAGGTAATTAAAATACATCCTTTTCTTGTTCAATTGTCAAATTACATTTGATGATCTAATTATCATTTATAGTTGTTGGACATGCGGGTAAACTTGTATTTGGTCATTTAGGAGAATCTCGCACACCTACTGTATTTATGGTAGGTCGTTATCATTTTTATGAAGGTTATACAATGCTTCAATGCACTTTCCCTGTTCGTGTGATGGCTCTTATGGGAATTCAGTATCTCATTGTTACAAATGCAGCTGGAGGACTTTCATCTGATCATAAAGTAGGAGATTTGATGATTATTAATGATCATTTTTCGATGCCCGGGATGGTAGGTAACAATCCACTTGTTGGACATAACTTTGATTCATTTGGCACCCGATTTCCCGCAGTTTCAGATGCTTATACATATGCACTTCGTAAATTAGCTTTTAAAGCTGCATTCGAAGTGGGAATCAAGACTGAAGATATTCGTGAAGGTGTCTATGCAATGGTTTCCGGGCCTAGTTTTGAAACTCGTGCCGAGGCTCGTTATTTGGCTACGATTGGTGCAGATGCAGTTGGCATGTCAACCGTACCTGAAGTTGTCATTGCCCGTCATGCGGGTATTAAAGTCTTGGGTATCAGTTTAATTACAAATGATGTAGTGAGAGCAAGGGGTAAAGATGCTAAATTAGAAGTCTTGCAAGAAATGGGATTATCAACTGAAGTAGATCCTGAAGAAGACACCGAAAAATCATTTGCTAATCATGCAGAAGTTTTGGAAACAAGTGCAATGAGATCAAATGATTTGCAGCGTTTAGTTACCCGTTTCACTGATTTATTAGCTGAATCAACAAAAGAAAATTAATTTATATTGTAATGATATATATTATTTCTATTTCATTATATTTATTGAATTATTCTTTGATACATTAGATGATAAAAAAATATCAAACAAAAAAAGTATAAAATTACGTAATTTCTTTATTTTCTTTTTTAAAAAAAATAGAATGTTTGTGTGCTATAATACATGTATATAAATCAAAGAATCACTAAGTTTAAAGATGTATTTTATTTAGTTTTATGCATGCACATATTTTGCTCAAATGATGTCACAAGTAAAAAAAAAAAAAAAAAAAAAAAAAAAAAAAAAAAAAAAAACATTAAAGTGCTGTATCCCTTTAGAAAAAGTATCACACGACTCATGAAAAACAGTATCATACTTTTCAACAAAAAAAAAAAAAAGGTCGTAAAGCAGCCATCAAAACATTTAATGGAATAACATACAACCAGGTTGATGATCTGTTTCTTACGGGGCTCAGTGAAGCTTGGCACCGAGTCGCTGTAAATGTACGTGTTATAGAACAAGCTCTGGATATAAGCATAAGTAATATTATAATAGATGAATTACATAATAAAGGATAAACTATAAGCCTGAATATGAAATAAAACTCTGTACGTAACATCTTGTAAATAATATAAAACTTATTGACATCCAATCGTCTAGATGTATCAATTATAAGACATCGTATCATTTCTACATATTTATTTTTGTAGCCTTGACAAAGGATTTAAGTCGTCTTTGATCCACTAAAATAGACATCAGGAACCTATATACCCAGATCAAACAATTTAAATCTTAAATCAGATTATTACAGCACCCAATATATAATCCATAAATCAGTCTCTTGAATCAGCACAATGTATAGCTGAATACTAACACTGTTTCATGACTTGTCTTTTTTATAGTTATTTTTACTTCTTTGATTTAGGATCCATTAGTATAAATACAAGCAGTTATGTAGACACAAAATAGTCTTTATATCATTCTTTTTACATTGAATAAACAAGTCTCAAACTATACTTCCTTCTGTTCTCTTTCTCTTTATTTTCTTCTGTAAGTCATACCATCACATTTACCACGCACATGATTTGAACACTCACTGCTGTTATAATTTTTGTCAATTATCCTCATATATGTGATAAACGACTTTAATGACTTCACTCAATAAAGTAAAGGATTATCCATATCAATTACATCCATTATATGGATTTTAGTTTCGTGCTGATTGGAGACTAGCAATTAAGAACTTATCAAAAGCTTCAGCATCTGTCATATTAGAGATACCCAATTTTAATTTTTAGAGACTTATGTGTACATTAATCAGAAATGAATGATATTTGTTTTAACGTTAGAATTCGTTCTGAAAACATCAAAAATAAAAATTGTCTTTTTTTTTATGTTTTAAAATACGCCCATAACTTTCATTTTAACGATATATAGCCTTGATCCATAGGTTCTTTGTCTTGTATAACCAAGTTTTGGTATTAAATATTTATCGTAGAATTCACTAAGGTAGTAGCAGATTTACCTATTTGATCATTGTCACAACTCCTAAAGGTTTTTTAGCTCTCTACATTTCTTACCCAACTACCAATGTTAAAATGATTCATATATCTTCTATCATTTTTATCAGCTTTGGCCACTAAGTCAATATCCTTCCTTATTAAAGTAATTATTTTTAGTGTTGGATAGCTTATGTGATGTATCAGCTATAACAAGTCTGCCATCAGTTTCATACTATTTTTTGCGCTATCGATCCTTCTTTGTGTCCTCATCATTAAAAATTTGCTATTTATTTTATATTATTGTTGTTGTTTTTTAATTTGTTAAATTTAATAATATCTTCTTTGTTTGTCAATTCTTTACATAATATTTCTTCTATTTCAAGTCTTTGAGTATAACCACACAAGTAGTTTATACTATTCCCTTACTGTTACATATTATAATTTACAAGTATTCTGTAACCGCAACAAGTATGACAGTGGTTCTAAATAAATAATGTGTAACTTTTTATAGCAATTGTACTACACAATACGTATTAACTTTAGAGCCCATCCTCCCTTTTTCATTTTTTTTTTTATTTTATATGAGAAAAAAAAATTATTGAAGAGGAAGTCCTTTATAGTGTAGAGGTGGATTAGATTCTGTTCTTGTTTGCTTCTACTACAGCCGTGTTACTCCCAGGAATTCTCTCAATGCTGCGGGCTTTCCTCTCTTGCATGGTAGGAAATTTCCCCGCGATTTAACAACATCTTTTTATCGACCTCCATTGAAGGCCTGGTGTTGAACATTGGATCCTGGAAGGTAGCATGTTATCATTAAAGCTCAGAACTAACCCCGATTTTATTATTAAATCACTCCCATCTACAGCTAACAAAGTTCATCTCTCCATGATCGCCGCTTGGCCAACAGAAAGGCGCTACCCTTTCCGATCAAGTTATTTTATTTACCACAATTTTTTTGTTTATAAACCCAAGATTTTAGGTGTAGTTGCTGAGTTGTGGTATTCAAAAAAAATAAAATAAAAAAACATTTCCCTTTTATGCATGCATATATTATAATCTCATATCATCAAACAATTTTTTTAATAAGAATTCAACGACCATCGAAATAAATAAGCATAGTCAGTGTCACTTACTCTTCCTTTATTAATTTTAGATTTAAAGTACCTGGACAAATAGTATAAAGGAATGCGGCTTCAACTTATTTATGTATTATACTTTTTCATGTTACATGAACTTAAGGAAGTTGGTACACTCTACTGACAATACTAAATAGGATTATTCTGTCGTAACTAATACTTTTCTAATGCCTCTCTGACTATAGATATTCTTATATGAACACCTAACTGTTAAAATCATAGATAAAACTGTAGTATTACTTGTAAAATATCAAATAATATAAAGACAAAAGAAAGTCAAGGAGAGCGAACAATAGTTCTAAAGTTAATATTTTTTATTTAGCTATTTATAAGAATTGTTAAAGAAGTCTGACATAAGATGTGAATCAGAAAAGTGTTAGTTACTACCGAATAAGATATGTTGTAGATAACGAAGTGTTGGAGGTTTTTAATATTATTTGATGGAGTGGATCAAGAGAGTTTTTCAGGGGAATCTAGATAGAATTCCTTGATCCGCTTGTTTAATCAAGGTACATAACATTATAAGTCAGTTCATGACAAAATGTATAAATGCAGATTATTTTTTATTTTTTTAAAAGAAAGAAACAAGGTGTACATTACCGCTGTTGAAAGGGTCTATTCTCTCAAAAGGATTACCCACGAACGATATTTGCTAGTTGGCTAACTTCATGCGTCTATTTCATACAATAATTAGTCATCTTATCAGCTTAAGTATGGCACGTTGTATTTAGATTGATTTCTGTCATATTGTTTGGATTAAACATACTTCATATGCTTGTCAGAAAAGAAAAGAAAACAAAAGAAAAAAGGTTCATGTAGTCATTACCAAAAAGTATATGTGTATATATGTACATGTAATGGGCTACTTATTATGTTTGCTTACTTTTTCTTAGAGAGTATAGCAGAAATGTGAAACTCACTTAAATTCTTTGGCACGTCAAAGTTACGTTATTATTAGGTATATCAAATACATCTTCGTTAAAGTACTGTTGTTGTAGCGTTCTCTTCCCTACTTTCTTTTATGTACACTGTATTTCAGTAATGGTATTAAAGTCGTTTAACAATTTACTATGTAGATTCTTTTTTTTTTTATAATCCTAATGATGTTAATATACTCATACTTTTTGTTTTTCAGTAGAAAACTAGTGCAAAGTAATGTTCGTTATCATAATAAAGAAATAAAGAAAGAAAGAAAGAAAAAGGAGATTAATAAGGGACATTAGAACATCATTTACCTTCGTTTGCTAATGACTGTCGTTGAGAAATAGGTTGCTCGAGAAAAGAATCAAAAGTTGTTTCTACATTAGAAATAGCTTGCTTAAATATCTACTCCCATTTTGAAGTAGTTTCACTAAAACCAAAGAAACTACTCATTATTAAATCATTTAAACGCTTTATATGAATGGGATTTCAAAAAAAAAAAAAAAAAAAAGAAATATGTAATATAAGTTTTAGGAAAAGCGGAAATTAAGTCTCTTTTTCAATATCCTTAATATATTGTACTCATCTTAGTTAATTTTTGATAATTTGATTGTAAAGGAAGAATAATAATCATGATAGTTTCTCTGATAAAATATTAGTCAATAGTTTACATAATCACTACTACATTACATCTTATATCTCCTATATTATTTAAGTCAATTATTTTATAACTTCTCTACTTGTTTTTATACTTCTTAAAGTCAATTTGGAGCAAAAAAATATTTTATTATACAAACAATAGTTAAAGAAGGCACAATATTATTAAAAGACGCGTAAAAAAAAAGATATATTTATTTATTGTATTTTATTTTCATTTTTATTTCATATATAAAAAAGTGAATCCCCAATTCGTCAACAGTAAAAATAATATTTACTGCAGTCCAAAGGTGGCCGCGTGGAGGCTAGGATTCTTTGCACCTTCTTTGTTCTTGTATTTTTTATTTTTACTAGGAGGTTAGAAAAAACCCACAGCTAGCACAATATGTAACGCCCTCTGAATCAACAAGATACCCTACAATGTCCTCCTAATTCAAGGAGGGCAAGATAGGGTGTCTTCCTCATCAGAGCCGGTACATAAGTGGTAACCATGAGAAAAAGAATTTCCTCCTAGGGCAGGGAAGAAGAAGAAGAATAAAATAGTATTATTTAATGACTTACCTATAGAAGAAATAGTAATAATAAAGAAGATAAAGAAGAAAAAATAACTTTGAATATCTACTTTTTTATAAGAATAAGGAGGTCGTTGTTGTAAATTACAGTCACAATCATATGAAATCGATAAGAATATGTGTTACCCCACATTTAATACACACATACACACAGTTACATTATTTAATTTTCTTCCTTTCTTATAAAAAGTAACAATGTGTAAAATAGTAAAATGTTGTCAATTTTGTATCTTTTTATGGCTATATGAAATGTGTTTATGTTAAAGAAAAGTAAAGTAAATAAAATAAATATCTTTTCTTTTTCACTTTTTTGTTTATATTCTCATCAACTTTCTTTTCCTATTTAGGCAACTAATATGCATCTCATTTGTACAATATACAACTATTTCTAACAAGGGGTATTTGATAAGTCTAGTCTCCCTTATGTCGTACTTAAAATCATTCTTTTGCCCAAATGATGTTGTAAAGATTAACAATTTTAGCTTCTTTGATGTATGCTATGAAAACCAGTTTAAGTATCTTTGACTTGCATTCACAGTAATATTTTCCACCCCCTTTTAAATACTAAGATATGTTATAGATAATGAATTCTTTGATCCGCTTGTTTAATCAGTTCATAACATCAAGTCTTGAAAAAGCCCATCAATTAGACAAGCAAATAATGTGGTGTAGTTAGGTGTTTGGGAGCATAATCCTTCAGCTATTCACTTTTATACACGTCAAGGTTTCTATAAAGTGGGAAGCCAGACATTCAAATTAGGTTCACAAAAAGATACAGATTATATCATTATTTATTTTATTTAACGTACATTAAAATGAATTGGTTCTATTCCAATGATTATAATGGCTTTAAAAGAATCTTATAAAAATTAAAAGAGAGATAAGAAGAATGATAGAGAACATGTTACAATATACCAAATATAAAGGAGGAAATGCATTTCTTTTTTCAAATCTCTACTGTTGCTACATTTCAGCTCAGGAACAGTATAATCATCTCTTTTTTGTAACAAAGATATCAATTAGAATAGTTTGTTCTGATGATGCCTATTTTTTCCTTAAAAAAATAATAATAATCCATAGCAATAATGTTCATATTACTGCTGTCTTCCCTGTATAATTTACAGCTTTTGAAATATTATCCTTAACCTCTTTTAGCCTTCAGGTTTGTAGGCATTGACAAGTATTTGATAATATACTACACGGAACAAGGGATTTATTAGGTAATTCATTTCAACTTTTTTTTTTTTTTTTTTGATGAGGCAAAATATTAACTTTAGATGTAAAATTGGATAAAGGAAGAGCTAAATTATTCATTTTGATTATACAACATCTAGATAATGTTTCAGTAAAATAAAGTAAAAGGAAAAAATATTGAATATTCTTAGAAAAGAAATATCCTTGCATTTATTACTGTTACAGTGACAGAATTGTTATATTTGTCAATATCTTCTTTTTTTGAAGTAATCAGGAACACTCTTCTTTACACTAGTTTATAGAGAGATATTCATTGTTATCACAATATTCTTGGTAGATCTTTTTAAGTCTTTATTCTTAAGTAAGCCATAACATAATGTATATTATTAGCTAGAGAAGCTTGCTAATCAATTAAATGAATCTGTACATTACGTTTACTTGTGATTATATCCTGAGAGGTTGATTATGATCAAACACAGCAACTATAGATTTGTATCTGTATGTGCTTAAAATAAGGCTTTTTAGACACTCTATTATCTTTTTATGTCTTGAGGACCATAATGATACCAAGGTACATAGTACACATTCATGTGTAAGAATTTATTTCTAATATATAATCTAACTATAATAGTGTCAGGTAATAATAGCAAATTTGTATTTACTACTGTTCCTCCTGTACCTACTACCGTTGCTTGGTAGAATATAGTCATAAAACATCATTACTCATGCTGCTGCTGCTGCTTGAAAAAAGAAAAAAAAAAGGAGTCGCTGGTGTAGTACAAAAAATAAGAATAAATAAAAAAATTAAGGGTTCATTTGATTTGGTGGGGAACCCTTGAAGTGATTCGATTCCACAGCCTAGGCTTGGGCTAAATATGCTGCGAATTCTAGTCACTCTCCAAACACCCGTGTTACTTTCATCAGAAATAGAGGATACACATAGGGCTATGTTTACTGTAAACACACCACTTATACCACCACCGCCATTTATACCTACAACTACAATACTACTACCAACACATCCTTACAAATGTTAATAATCACTACACAATACCAGTGTTACTTACTACCACTACTACTACTACTACTACCACTACTACTACTTTGATTTGCCTTCATTTTTTTTGTAATCCTTATCATTGGATTATGGAACAGTCTATAATATACATGTATGAACAGGAAAAAAAAAAAAAAAAACTACTTCTTTTATTATTAACACTTACTATTATTATTATTATTATAAATAAGCTATATTGGAACATCAAATGATATACTTTGCTATATCGGTTGGGTTATAGAATATATAAAACTTTTTATGATATTTGTTATAGAACAAGCTCTGGATATAAGCACAAGTAATATTATAAAAGATGAATTACATAATAAAGGATAAACTATGAGCCTGGATATATAATAAAACTCTGTATATAACATCTTGTAAATAATAGAAAACTTAGGGACATCCAGTTATCTAAATGTGTCAACTAAATAAGATATCGTATCATTTCTTAATATTTATTTTTATAACCTTGACAAAGGATTCAAATTGTCTTTGATCCAATAAAGTAAAATACAAAAATATCAGGAACCTGTGCTCAGATCAAACAATAAAGTTTTTATTTAAAGCCTCAATCAGATCATTATGACACCCAATAGATAATCCATAGATCAGCACTTTGAATCAACACAATGTATATCCGAATACTAACACTGTTTCATGACTCATGTTCTTTGACAGCTATTTTTATTTCTTTGATTCAGGATTCATTAATATAAATACAAGCATTTGTATAGACACAAAATAATCTTTAACCTTCAATTCTTATTCTTTATTTGATTTTTCTTTATTGAATAAAAACAGTCTCAAACTATACTTCCTTTTGTTCCCTTTCTCTTTTCTTTTTTCTTTATTATATTACGTTCCATCACATTACGGATGCCCTGCAGCTTTAGGTATTCTCTTTGTCTCTTCTTTCTATTTTCCCTTTTCTTTTTGAGGTTCTTGGGTTTTTAGTCTAACCCTCTTGTCTTCATTAATATGATATGTTACTTTATATACATTTTTAGTTCACTTTAGTTAGCAATAATGTTTTTTTTAAAAAAAAAAACGAATGCATACTAACTAATAAAAACCATAAAATTTTCGTCTGATGCTTCAGAGCGTTGTTATTCAGATTAGCTTTTGAAGATGTAAAAAAATTAATCTAAAGCAGAAACTAGCCTAATTGCATACGAATGCTTATTCTTATCGTTCTTTTATGTTCCATTAACTTGGCAAGATCTAACAATTCCACAAGCATACTTATTGAAAGCTGATAAAAGCATATAAAATAATAGGTTGAGCTTATTTAGATAATGCAAAAGTTGACAATGTGGGGGTAGTGACGTAAGTCGTGACCTTTTTTGCTTAGAATAACTGAAATTTATTAATATGGGCTTATTTTCCTGCATTTCTTATTTCTTGTTTTTTGTCATAAAAAAAAAAATACTAACACATCATAGTCGCAACTAATCATTATGCAACTAAATGATAAGGCTGCAAAGAGCTTATTTTTCTGTTAGATCTTTTTAACTTAATCACTTAAATATAATAGTTATACTTTTTTTTTGTTGATACTCTTTTTTTCTAAAGGGGTCTAAGATGCGTATAACTGTAGTAGTGCAAATATAGTAATTCATTATTATTGAATCACGAGTTAATATTACCTACTATTTTCTTTTCCACAAAACAATTAAATTAAATGCATAATAAATGTACAAGTGTTTGTTTATTTATCTATTTTTAATTTTACTTTTATTTTTAATTCTACTTTTATACAAAATTGTAAAAAAATAAACAAAAATTACTTACTATTTTTTATCGGTATTTATAATAAAATCAATAGAAGAAATTCCAGTACAGTCAAACGTTGTCATAACAAAGAAAAAAAAAATAGAAACAATGATAAATAACAATTACGCTGTTTTAAGTAAATACAGAAAATAGAAATAAACAAATAAATACAAATAAAAATATAAATACTAATATAAATAAAAATAAACTATGTACTATAATTATCCTACTAACAATTAAATTAATATTGTCAAGGTATTCTGTTTATTTATTACCTATTATTACTTAAAGTCATCGGATTACGGGTTTAAAACTAATGACCTTATCCGTTTCCTTTCTTTCTTTATATAATATATCATAAATATTAGTTTATAATCTCCCAGAAAGAATAAGTTTGTTTAACATGATATTATCACGAAACTTATATTTTGAATTTTGGCAGCTTCTTGTACAATCTTTAAGAAAATACTTGGAACATTTATTTATTATTGCTTTGTTAACTTAAAATAAACAGATACCTTAATTCTATAAACAACTAGTAGATCTCTTTGATTCGACAAAATCTAGAAATATGTTTTTTTTTCTTTCTATTTGAATACATGGAATTATTTAGTTTTCCTTTTTTTTTTTTTTTAATGACCAATGATCCTATAACAGTTTAATTATAATCTGTTGCCCTGGCCAGTTCAAAAAGGAAAAGAAAATAAAAAAGAAAATGGAACAGTAATGGTGAATAACATATTGGGTCGAAAGTGCATATGGAGAAATTTGATAGAATGCTTATGGGTAAGACACGACTGAGGAACACTACTTGAAAGCCAACTAAGACGCCAACAAAAAGCACGACTACACTCAATGTGAGCCATTGGTAACCAAAGGATTGAATCCTGTACTAAAAAAAGGATAGCAAGCCAAGACTAATTTGATTTGGTAGCAGAGGTTGCAGTAAAGTATCTTCAGATAACTTCATTGAGCAAAGGATAAATTTTGCTCGTAAAATTAAAACACGATCTGCTATTGAGAAAATAGATACCATATTTTAATAAAATTACGATGAATTTACTTTTTTTTTGGGGGGATAAAGCAACCTTACGAATTTAGACGAAGACTTTTAAGCTGATTTAATTTTATGAGTATAACTTTGCTTACTAAATTTTTTTATTTTTGTGTGTCAGTTTTCCCGGTTTTGCATAGTAAGCTTTTTATTTGTGTATAAATTGGGGTAATGAAAAAAAAAAATCTTTCTGAAAATATCACAGCTAAAGATTGTTAAGTGATTTGCGTTTAAAATTTAAGATTTTATGAAATAGCCAATAAAAAAAAAAGAGAAATCCTGAAGTCTAATAAAGTTTTTGTTGGTTGAATGATAAAAGTTTATGGGTGATCAGTAAAATATTTTTATCATCAATAAAAAAAAAGAGATACCGTGCTTTACGATATTCAGTAAGCTAGTGAGAGTTAGAAAGCATGCTTATAACATGGCTCGGTTACAAGTAGTTAAGGATCAAGAGGCAACGATTGAAACAGCAAATCGCAATGATGAATATTATTACACATATTCCGATCCTACGGGAAATATTCATATTATGAAATTAAAAAGAATTGAAGAGACCTACAAAAGCATAGATAGATGCAAGGTGTACAAGATACACTGTACAGCTACAGAATTCATTATACTCTAGAAAATCAAGCACATTCTTTTATTATCGATACCAGTGATAAAAACCTATAAGCCTTTAATATTTTCGGTCAAGAGGAGTTAGATGTAATTGATTCATTATGACGCCAAGCATATCTATAACCTTTTGCAACTATTTGAAGTTATACAATAAGAACAAATCTGATGATATTCATTGACTGTTGTTTAAAAGAGAGAAAAAAAAAAGTTACTAAATTAATCCCAGCTGTCAATTGTGTTTCTAATGCTATATATCTGATTCAAGCACTAGTAACTGAAATATAACTCTTCTTTAGAACTTATGGATGATATAGAATTGATGTGATATGGATTCTGTACCAAGACGTACTTCACTAACATCTTCTAATTATTCTTCTAGATTGCAGTATTCGCTTAAGTACAGAGGTTATTTATAATTGCATGTTTAACTAGGATGAAGATAATATTCCGTATAATTTATTAGTCAACTGATTTATTTCATGTTAAGTATTTTACACTATTGAGTAATTATTCTTCTTTAATGTTTAAAAGTCCATTATATGTCATTCCGGTAACCTTTATGGTTTCATTCTTACACAAGTGTCTCATATACTGAAGTAGAGTTGTACTACATACATAAAGTGTACCACTCATGTTTATGATACCGCTATCTCTGTTTGATAATGATAATTGAATATCTATATGATATTTTGTAGTACATCATTATATATACAATATTGACAAGTTTTTAATCAAGAAATATTTGATCAAAATTACAACAAGGAAACAAACTTTGATTATGGCTGAATAAGAAACTCCTGCTACAATCTACTCTTAGAATATGAAGCCAGCAGTTTCAAAATAAGACTCAATGAAGAATGGTATAAAGCTCATGACTGGATCTTTAATAACACTTGCTTCAATCAAACAACAGCTGAAGTAGCAATGTCAGTAATATATTTTTAGATATATTTACGTAGTGCTTCAGATCTTCTAATAAAATTTCAACTTTTTTTAAAAAAAAAAAATAGAGGGAAGATCTCCTCATTGGAGTCATTTAAGCAAAAGAACAGTGATAGGTATTTTGATTCAACTGAAGATATAACAAGAAAGAAGATGGACACTCGTTGTGATATAATTTTCCGAGAGGAGTTCAATAATATTGAAGAGTTAAGGGAATACGGTGCAAAATAGTAAGCTCTTGACAGAAGGCTACTTAAAACTACCAATAGCGTTAAAGGATATGCTATATCAGCGTTTTTTTTTCTATCTTTATTCAAAAGCTAATAAGGATGTTGTTGAAACAGTAGGAATTGTTCACTCTAGTCTTTTCTCTCACACTTTGCGTTTGTGTATAAGAACTCATACTATTTTATGTATTGTATGAAAACTATCTTTTCAATAAACACCTTGTGTATGAATATCAAGGTATGCGTCGCTTTTTTAAATATTTACCTCATTATTATGATCTATTATAGATGTTCCAAAGGGTTGACTCACAACTTCAGCAAAATTAACTTCATCTGAATGACACATTCGTTTTGAGTGGCCAACGAAATTTTTCGTAAGATTTTTATTTTTATTGTTACTTTTATTTTTCACTCATCTCAATGGCTTTTAGCTTGCGCACAACTTCGTATAAAATGTCAAAAAGAGAGGGAGAAAAAGAAACTTGATTTAACTTTGTATAACAGTGGCAATAGTCGGTGCCCCTGCGCTCAGAACAAGAAGCGCTTGATATCATACTGATATTAAATCCTGCTTCATCAACAAAGTCACAACTGCCAAGATGGTTAATATTAGTTACTTTAACTTTTTGAACCCATTTAAATCTCCCTCTTCCTTTCTAGCAGCAGAGTGTCTAGTAGGCCTCTTGATTTAATGGTGAAAAGATAACGACTTTTAATATTAATTGGAGGAATGTATTTTTTTCTCCTCATACAATCATAGACCGCCAATTAACGCTGGAGGCACTGTCAATGGTGCTTGATGAAACGAATAAAATCTCACTAACTTACTGAATATCGTAAAGCACGGTATCTCTTTTTTTTTATTGATGATAAAAATATTTTACTGATCACCCATAAACTTTTATCATTCAACCAACAAAAACTTTATTAGACTTCAGGATTTCTCTTTTTTTTTTTATTGGCTATTTCATAAAATCTTAAATTTTAAACGCAAATCACTTAACAATCTTTAGCTGTGATATTTTCAGAAAGATTTTTTTTCATTACCCCAATTTATACGCAAATAAAAAGCTTACTATGCAAAACCGGAAAAACTGACACACAAAAATAAAAAGAGTCAGTAAGCAAAGTTACAAAATTAAAATAGATGTGCAAAAAATAAGATAAAAACAGATGCACAAATTCATTGGAAAAGAAGCAATAAATAAAATAAACTGTCCGAAAAAAAAATATAAAGTAAAATCGACGCAGTTTTAATCTAAAATCCTATATGAAAACCCCTCCTCCCCCAACTCTTTTTTAACCCTTTCCCTTTCCCTTCCCCCTTTTTTTTTTTTCTCATATGATTTTGAAGTTTCACAAGAAAATAGTACAGTTCTAAACAATAAAATTTATTTTAATGTCGTTTTTTTATAAATAAAAAAGCAGGTCATTCTTTTGCTGCTAAAAGGAAGAAAATAACAATATTGAGTTTCTTTATTTTAATGGTTTATTATTTTGTTTCTCCTTTTTTTTTTTTTTGTCGTGTAATTTTTTTTCCTTTTTTGATAAATATACATAACACACAAACATTTATATTTAAAGAAGGTCCTATTTATTTCCTTTTCTTTTTTCTTTTTTTTTTTTTTCTGTTAATTAATTAATTTAAAATGTTATCTACTGTACAACATACATTACAAGGAAATGAAGTAGCAGAAGAACAATATCATTTTCTTAGTCAATATCAAAGTCATACATCTTCTAATAGCAGATCATTTATTCATTCTTATCACTATGATTCTAATTTTGAGGTCGCTAATCGCGCGTTTTATGCGACCATTAAAAAATTTACTAGACAAAACTGTTCTAATGGTTCTCAACGTCGATCTTCTCCTTATTCGTTTCTAGAGAACTGGCATTTGCATAGTATGTATAGTAAATCACAGCAAACATTACTCGGTATTACGCCCGTTAGACCCTCTGTCATTTTGTCAGGTGATGACTTTATGTTTACACTCCCTTTTATTGAACAAGAAATAGAAGAACAAGAAGAAGAAGAAGAGGAGGAGGAGGAGGAAGATGATGATGAAGAAGAGTATAACTACGATGAAGACTGGGAAGATTCCTATTATAGTCTTAGTCCTTGTCCTAATTCAATAAATCGGTCAGAATTCTTTTTTTATGATAATAATGATGATGAGGTAATTCAACACATTAGCGATAATGATGAGGAGGATAAGGAAAGGTTTGAAAATATCAATAGACTATTGGCTTCAACATATTCACCGACATTACTTAAAGATATGAATGAAGAAGAAGATTATAATTTTAATTCAGTTATTTGTAATCAAAACTATTATTCAGATAGTTTACAAATGAATAATAATCATGAACGTCGTCCAAAGATTCTAAAGGAATATGAGCCAATAACCCTAACAAATGATCATTGTCCTTTAATAATTGATACCTTCTTGCAACAACATGACGATGCTGTAGTATTAGATATGGATCCACACGTGCCTTCTCTTCACGATGTCCCTGAGTTATCGCCTACTTCTATTTCCTCCAATGAATATGATACCATAGTTACGGATGTAGGTAGTAACGATAGTACAACATCTCTCATGAATTTAACACGTTTGTCCACTGATCATATAATACAATGTCAAGATGTTACACCATTTGACCCTATGACTTGTTCAAGTCAAAAGTCTACAAAAAAAGACAGTTCATATCAATCATTAGCAGACCTTATACCATCAAACGCAACAACGTCATCGATAACATCTGATAATACAACAACGTCATCGATAGAATCTGATAATACAACAAGCGTCATTGCGCCTATGCCTATGCCTATGCCTATACCTATACCTATGCCTACGACTACGCCTATGACTACAACTACGACTACGACTACGACTACGAATCCAACCTTTTATGGATCTATCGATAATACAACTCAAACTCGAAATCCAATGACTTTTTTCGATTCTATTATCCAACAGGGAATATCAATCGAAATTTTATTTATTTGTATCATGTATGTCTGGCAATTTTTAGTGCAAGTAAAAAATATGCTTTTTAATAATTCAATAACAACAACAAGGTCAGAAGAAGAAACTGACTATTTACTTTAAAAAAACTTGTATATTTTCCCTATTTCCTATCTCCCGCTTAATTTTACCCTCTACTGTTTATATTGTTTATAGCTAAAATTTTGATTTTTTGTTCATATTATAAAATAAATCATAGTTATCCTTTTCTTTTTTTTTTTTTTGCCTATTTACATAAAGCCTTTAAACCAAGATATATCTTTACACTATTATAAATTCCTTTCTCAATATGAATAAAACCTTATTCTGTACAAAATAAAGTAAATTAACTATGCTACATGCATCCTAATTGAAATAATTAGATTACGTTGTCGAAAATAAAAATTATAAGGATTTATTGTTTAATGCTATCTTTTTTTTTCCCTTCTCTTTCTCCTCCTTTCTTAAATATGAATAACTTCCTTATAAAGAGGATCAGTCAAGTAATGAATATTTTCTACACCAATCCCCTTATTGACCATTTTTCTAAAAAGAATAAAATAAAAAAAAAAAAGTAAATAAAATTGTTTTCTTTAAACGAGTCCTTCTTTTGCAACAAAGTAAAACTTACATTTCTTGTGTACTCATTTTAAGTAATCCGATAGCAAGGGCGTTTTCTTTACCCTCAGCCATAATAGCAGCAACAGCACCAGCAGGTAAATCAACATCCATACGTGCACCTTTGGATGTTAAACCGGGACACATTATATTAGCTCCTGATAAAACAAATTTAATAGCACCACGATCAACTTGTAACTTGGGAAGCATATCAGGATCTATATTAGACACACACAAAAATAAGTTAAACATGTTAATGTATACAAATTAAAACAAAAAAAAAACACAATACTATACATTTGTGTAATAAAGCAAGAGTTGGAAGAAAAGGTCCATCAAAGTGTTGAAAGAAGAGGATTTCTCCATTTACAGAAAGGAAATTAATGTGATCATGACTATAATAAAAAGATTCAACGTATTAGACCATTCGCTTTGTTTCAGATTTATATATGATGTATGTATACCCCTTAATTTGGATAATAGGTGTTTTTTTGGGCATCAATTCTTCTAGAACAGACTCAATTGTAGGGTATAGTTCATTTAGTTTCGCACGAATGTTACGTTGAACTGAAGACTTTAATTGAGATTGTCCAGCAATATTTTCTGAAAAATTAAACCTAATATACGCTTAATGATGTTAACTACTTTTTTTTTTCTTTTATTTTTATTTTTTTTTTTTGTAATAAAGTCATTAGTTTATTTCTATACACTCAATACGGCTTACTTTTTAAACATTGCGTGCTTATAATTTATTTCAAAAAAAAAAAGAAAGGGATAAGAAAAAAATGAAATAAAAGTGTATACATTTTTTTTTTTTGCTATAGAAAATTAACTAAAAAGGCAGTCCCAAATGACTCTTTTTGACATTTTGTTAGTAAAATGATTCAGTTTATTACACTACATTGTAGTATTTTGTTTCTTATTATAGAGAACTTCTTCAAAGAAAGGATTTTCCAATAGAATTTGATATTTGTTGTGGAATAAGCCAAGAAATAGCATCAAAAGGCATATAGCGTTGACTGTAAGTATGTTGATTAATAGGCTGCTTATGCGTTTTACGACTATGGCTAGTGCTATTCATATTCCTTTGTGATAAAGCTTGATAAAGAAATGAATTTCCTTCTTTTAATAACGATGGTTTTATTGACGATGAATCATGATTTTCTTCATCCAATTCTTTTAACAATTGCTCTAGTGCATTATTTAGTACTATCAACTTGGTTTTCTCATTTCCTCCTTCTTCATTTTTATTAAACTGTTTCAATTTAACCAACTCTTCTTCATGTTCTCGATGTAATTTATGGATATAGTTTGTATGAGATGCATTTAATTGGTCTATTTGACAAGTATGATTTGTTAATAATTTTTGATGTTTGGCTTGATAGCTCTTAATTGCTTTCTCTTTCTCTTTCTTTAATTGTTCATGTAATTTAGTTTTCTTTTTAAATTCATCTTCTCTTCTCTATTGACATCCATAATAATAATAATAATAAAATGGTTACTCTTATCTAAAGAAATAGATACTAAATATGTTCAAAATTGTGTATAGATAGAAATACCTCAAATTCATTCTTTAACTTGATAATTTGATTTGTAGGGAAAATGAGCATTTGATTATCATTGCATAGTGAGTCTTCTTTTTTATAATTTAAAAGTTCCTATACGTATGTAGTAGTTATGATTAAATAAATAAATAAATAAACGGTTTATTTCTTTACCTTTATTTGTTCATTCACCTCAGCAAGCCTTTTTTCAAGTCTATCTTTCTCTACAAGTTGCTGTTGAAATTCTATTTGAATCTTATCACTTGTTAAAGAGGAAGAGAATAAGGAATGATTGTCTGTAGACTATAAATACATATAAATAAATATATATACATATATATACATATATATATATGCGTGTGTGTATAGGAAGCAAATGCTAAATTCATTTATATCTTGTGTACCTTACTTTCTCTTGAAAATTCTGTATCTTTCTTTTCAAACAGTATAATAGGAGAGGATGTATGAATTGCTTGAACATTTGTAACACAAGTAGTATTACACTTTAATATACTTTTGGTGTTCATTATTATATGAGTTTTGTTATTAAATAGCAAACAAAAATAAAAGAAAAAAAAAAGACTTTTAATTATTATTCATTATATATAAAATTGATTACTTACACAAATACCAAATGAGGCTATGATAGAATAATAATAACAATAATAATAATAATAATGATATAACAATTCATTGGGGACCCAATCTCTCTAATTTTATTATTGCTCTTGTTAATGTTTGTCTCTTAACTCAATTTAGTAAGCAATACAATGCTCCAAAAAAAAACAACAAACATAAATAGTTTCTGTTATTATATATTTTTTAATTACTGCTCCTCAATCGATCAATCACTCACTCACTCACTCACTCACTCACTCACTCACCGCCTCCTCTTTCCTCACTCTCTTTTCTCTTTTCTCTCTCTCTCTCTCTTTTTGTTTTGCTTTCAATTCAATAAACTGCATTGCCCCAATATGACCTAGAACTGCTGCTCTTTCAAACCATATATATGAATCTTCTGTACTCTTATTTGGTATAATAATATCTCTTTCGATGTAGATGCCTACTAGGAAAAGGGCCTTTGATAGACTCCAACGATCTTCATGCTGACATTCAATTGCTTTTCGAGCCCAAAGGTAAGCTTGTTCATCAGACTGAGAGAGTAGAGTTAAAGAAGATCCAGTCAAGTACCAAAAGGATAATGCTATTGATGCATCTGAATTTCCTCTTTTTGCAGCCTGTGTATACCAATAGATAGAGAGTGCTTCATCTACTTGAATAAACCCTTCAAGACCTACTTCATATAACTCGCCCAACTTGGCTTGGCTAGGGGAATAACCAAGATGAGCTGACTTTTGTAAGAGTTCAACGGCATAGGCTTTATCTTGAATAAGTAAGGTGTCATCAAGAGAATAATGATCATTAGTGTTATTCGATAATTGAAGCAAAGCTAAAGCATGACTGGCTTGAGCGTGTTGTGAAAGAGGAGTCATTGTTGTTGTTGTTGTTGTTGCTGTAGCTGTTGTAGCTGCTGCTGCTGCTGCTGCACGTTGTAACCAGGCGATGGATTCTCGCGGATGACGTTGTGTCTCATAAAGGCCACAGAGTAAAAAGAGACTCAACTTGTACATACTAGCAGGGTGAGCATATTGAGTAGCGGCTTTCCGATAAAATAAGATGGCCCGATGAGGATCCCTGTTGGTGCCTATGCCTAATTCATAACATACTCCAGCTCGATAGGTGGACTCTGGATGATGACTTTGCTTGGATGCATAAAGATAAAGTGAAAGGGCCCTTTCGTGATCTAAAGGTAATCCAAGACGACCTGTTCCGTAATAATTAGCAAGTAAGAATTGTGCATCACCACTATCTGAGCCATAATGACCATTTCTTGCTAATCGTTTTAAAATCCTTTGCGCCTCTAACGTCAGAATCTCTTCTAATACAGGAATTTGTTCATCGTCATTACTACTTTTTTTACGACGATTACCTTGAAAGAAGTGCGAGTTAGTAGTAGTAGCAGTAGTAGTAGTAGTAGTAGAAGAAGAAGAAGAAGAATAAAGAGGATAATGTGTACTATTGAATAGCATGGATAATGAAGAAGAAGCGGAAGAAGAAGGGAAAGCACCACCGCCCCTTTGAGGTGGATGACTACTAAAGTTGGATGATGCAGTCTCAATCATATTTCTACACAAATTGAATCGATTTTGGTTTGAAGTCGTCTTTTTTAATTTTTTTCGAAATTCATGTATTTCATCGATGGAGGTGGGGACTGGCCATGGTTCTTCCTGGATCTGGATTTCATTCTTATTATAGGGTGTCGAAGAGTCATGTTTGTTAACAAGCCTTGTAAGTGCAGTTAAAGAGGCAGAACGATACTTCATCCAACTACCTTCTCTTTTCGATAACAGAGGATGTTTTCTTCCTCTTTTGTTATGAGGTATATCATCTTTATGGGCTTGTGCATGTTTTTTTACTAGATGAATTGTATTATTTTTAGAAGGCGAAAGACTAGGCATACTTTGATGTCCCCATGGTTGAATAGAATGTGAGATATGTGTTGAATAGGAATCATCAAGATTTTGAATACTCATACTCGAAGGCTGTGAGAAAGTAACAGTAGAAATAGACTCTCGTTCATCATGAGTCAAATTACTGGGTTTATCTTTATGTTTGGCCATTAAGAAAAGAGTAGTTGCCTTTTCTGGAGGAATTGCAATAGACATCAATGATATGGAATGACTGTCTTCTTTTTCCTTTTGTTGGTGTACGGATGAATACATTGGTTGTTTATCGTTCTTCATCCATTCTTTTTCATTTGGAAAGAAGGTGGTGATGTCACGATTTTCTTCAAACTGTAAAATTTTCTGAAGAATGGAGGGTAAAGGTTTAGTAGGAATATCCATCGGATATTTGGAATTTATCAGCAAGTTATTTTTATTTCGCATATAGTAAATCCATCTATCAAATAATAATATATATATATGTGTATATAATAAAAGAAGAAGAAGAAGAAGAAAAAGAAAAAAAGGGGGTGTGTGTGGAAAAAAGACTTAATATTTACATATTACATCTTTATATATAAATATGTTATTGTATTTAATGGTTGATTTTTAAAATTCCATAATAAAGTATAATAGTTTCTTTCTTTCTTCAGCTATAAAAAAAAATAAAAAATTACGTAAAAAATAAAAAATAAATATTTTTTTCCATAGTTTATCTCATTGCACATGATGATGACGAAATACGATCTGATAATTATTTTATTTATGTCTGACGATGAATATAGTTTGTGTGTATTGTGGAGGGGAAAAATGTTTAAATCCATATTGAATCTAGAGTACGTCCTGGAATGATTCACAGCCTTTTTTTTTTTTTTCTGTCAGCAACTAATAAATTATGATAACTATTTAATTTAGCACCTCGAATATTTTTTTTTTCCTGATTTGTCACATTCAAAGTAAGATAGATACGATACATCTTTACTTGAATATTAAATAATCGACACAAGGATTCTTTTAATATAGTATTTAACCATGTTACGCTTAGAATGAACAATAATACCTTGCTTCTACAATCTTTGAGTGCAGCTTTCTCATTGATACCACGCTCACGTGCTACTTTTGAAAGTTCTTTTTCAAGTAAAGCGCATATTGATTGAAATTATAATCTGTGCTAATAGTTTCTTGATACCTTTTCTTGTTGTGCTGATAATTGCTATCAAAAGCAATGTCCATAGGATTAAATGCTTTTTATTTTATTTTATTTTATTTTATTTTATTTTTTTTCATTGTTTACTTTATTTTATCTTTATTAAAACTAACAAAGTAAATGGTTATAGTTTATTATTATTAGATCGAGAGCAACTGAAATAGATAAAGAGACTGCCAAACAGCCTTTCATGGTTATGCTGTACTAAGAATAACGGAAATGAACGGAGACTTAAAAATTTCGATTAATCATTTAAACGTATTATTTTCTACACTACTCAATTCATGTTTGACAAAAGATGCGATTATATTAAATAATTTAAAGGTCGAGAAAGAAGTACACATCATTATGTCCTCTATTTTAACATGGTTCGAGTTTTTTTTTTTTTTTACTACTAATAATAAGCAATGCAATAAAAGAGATGCATGAATTGTATCAGTGATAACTTTTTTTTTAATAGATTTGAAGTATATCTGTTAATAATACAAAATATGACACGGCTGTGTTCACAGGAAATTCATCATATTCCATGTGAACACTTTCCGAGGACTTCCTTTACCCCACATTAAATGGAGTCAATCTAATTGGCGGGTCTTTTGTTTAACTTGAGTCGGAGTTATATTATTTGGTGTGTGAAGCGATCAAGAAAGCAACGAAAAAAAAAACAATGTGATATCCAGATAGCATATGAAAATTATTTAAATATATACTTTTTTTTTTTTTTTTTACTCGGTATTTTATTTTCCTCTTTCTTTATCTTTTCTTTTCCTTTTTACTTTTACTTTTACTTTTCCTTTTTCATTTCTATTAATATGAGCAAAACCGGCGATAATAAGCAAAGAACTCCTCTTCTCACACATCTTGTTGCAGGTGGTGCTGCTGGTTTCATGGAAGCATGTACTTGTCATCCCCTTGATACAATTAAAGTTAGAATGCAATTAGCTAAAAATGCTGCTAAAAATGCTAATGTACGTAGAGGAAGGAGAAGAAAAAGAACTTTATTTAATAAATAAATCAAGAATTAAACTCTCTTTTTGTTTTTTTCGAATAGGGCAAACCGCTTGGTTTCCTTGGCGTAGGTGCAAAAATAATTAAAACCGAATCATTTTGGGCTTTATATAAGGGTCTTGGTGCTGTTGTTTCCGGTATTGTACCTAAAATGGCTATTCGGTTTAGTTCTTTTGAATTATATAAACAATGGATGGCTGATAGTGATGGGAAAGTCAGTACGACTGCCGTTTTTGTTGGTAAGTTGATTTTTTATTTTGATTTTCTAGTAAATGAGAAAAAAGAAAAAGTAAAAAAAAAAAAAAAAAAAAAAAAAAAAAAAAAAAAAAAAAAAAAAAAACAATACGGGAGGGAAATTAATAAAAAAATATATATATCTATATGATAGCTGGTCTTGCTGCTGGTACTACCGAAGCCATCTTAGTCGTTTCACCAATGGATCTTATTAAAATTCGTCTTCAGGTATATATAAAAGAAAGAAAAAAAGGCAATTCAAATTTAATTGATTGAATTCATGATGTAGGCTCAAAGACACTCTATGGCTGATCCTATGGATATTCCTAAATATCGTAATGCACCTCATGCTGCTTATACAATTGTTCGTGAAGAAGGTATTCGTGCGTTGTATAAGGGTGTCACATTAACTGCTTTAAGACAAGGTTTGTTTGTTTGCACGCTAATTTGATTTACATGATTTTCCTTCTGCTCCCCCCCTAATTCTATTTCCTATATACATCTATTTTTAGCTACTAATCAAGCTGCTAATTTCACTGCTTATCAAGAATTTAAGAAATGGGCCAAGTTTTATCAAAACTTAGATGAACTTCCTTCCTATCAACATTTAATTCTTGGTGGTGTCTCTGGTGCAATGGGTATGTCTCTTTTTTTTTTCTTCTTCCTGATAATATATAATTTTATTAATCACTATAAATTAGGTCCTCTTTCTAATGCACCTATTGATACAATTAAAACACGTATTCAGAAATCAAGTGCTACTGGATCTGGATGGGAACGGTTTAAGATCGTTACATCCGAGATCATGACAAAGGAAGGCCCCAGAGCTTTCTATAAGGGATTGACACCTAGATTATTAAGAGTTGCTCCTGGTCAAGCTGTTACATTCATGGTTTATGAAAAGGTAAAATCGTGGCTTGATAGGTTTCAAGAGAAGGTGAATGAAGGTGAAGTTACAACACTTGCATCTACTGCAAAAAAATAGGGATACATCTAATATGTCATAACCCAAACTTCTTTGGTGATAAACAAAAAAAAAAAAAAATTCTCTTTTCTAATTTATCTATTTTTCTCCTTTTTTATTTTATTTTATTTTATTTTTTTAACAGCTATTTGTAATACTACCAGCAAACACACTCTTTTACATTAAAAAAAAAACAAAACAACTTTCACTATTTAGATATTATAAATACATACATACATACATAAGTTACACACATAAATAAATGTATAAAAGTAAAAGAAAATATTAACCAACATCTTTGGGTATTTAACTTTTAATTGTGAGTTATTCTTTTTTTTTTTTGTATACTGATCAAAGGAGTATCAAGTGTATGAATTTGAGTAACAAAAATCCAAGAGAATATTTATCAAGGGAAAGAACTGGAGAGAAGACAGATAGAGTATGGGCCAAGTTCATAGAGCAATGATGTCAAATAGTTTTATACGATAGGTAATATCAATGTGCAAGGGAGAAGAATCTAGATGAGCAACAAACAATGACCCGTCAAAATTTATTATATCTATTAGTTACCTTATTGAATCCATGTAGAATTCATATTCAAGCATAGTAACTAGATAATGATATAATATTTTCTCTTTCTCAAAGCTTTGGGATTCAAGTATGCTTCACAATATTCGTTACTTTTTATGATTTTTATTTCACTTTTGGACTATATTCCTTCAAATAAGGTCATCGCTCAGACATTAGATATTCTTCTTGACGTACGTACAAAAAAAAAAAAAAAAAATTACTTTCAGGAACGAAAAAAAAACAAAACAAAACAAAAAAAATACGTTTATACCCTCTCTCCTCATTATACGCTTTTCTCAATATAGAAATTTTCTCAATTTGTCAATAAAAATTTTCTTATTTATTTATTTATTTTTTTTTTTATCTTTCAGATCTACTTGAAATAAAAATGTCTAAACGTGCAATTCAAAATGGAGGAAATAAAAAAAAGAAACAAAAAATCTACCATTGTTCTAAAGTACATTTATAGAAAAAAAAATACTTGGTATTAGATTTGGCGAATTGATTGCTATTTTTTTTTAATTCACTCAGGAAAATCAAAACAATGGAAGTAATAAAAATAAATTAAACATTACACCTGAAATGAAAGGTGTTCTTGTCATGTGTACTCGTAGTAAAGAAGCTCGTGCAGTTAAAGAGGCTTTAGATATTTTATCAAGAGTAAAAAAATAAAAATAAAAATAAAATAAAATAAAAATGCTTACTTTTTTTTTTATAATAATATATAGTATGCAGATAAATTGTATCCAGCAGATTCTGAGGAAGTCATAAGTGATGATGATTTAGAAGCGTCTATTGCTAAAGAAGTAGCTTCCTTGAAGCAATCAAGCGAGAAAAAAAAGTTAGCTAATATTACTACAGGCATTGATTGTGGTAATATTGCAACGTTCTTTTTTAATTTTTTTGATCTATCTTTAATATTGACTCCCTCTTTCTCTCTTTTTTTTTAAAAAAAAAGTTGCATTTATTAGAGTAAATCCACCAATAGAGCCAGTTAAATTGGTCCATACGATGCTGTCAGATTTAAAAGAAAAACAAGAAAAGACGACGAGATTTATTTCTAGATATTTACCTGTAGAAAAGGTTTGTCATGCTAACCTGCCTGATATTGAATTGGCTGCAAAATCGATTTTTAAACCTCATTTTGATCAAAGGGACGATGAAGGCAAACTTATTTCTAAAAAGGCAAGTCTTTTATACATCCTATATTGTAAAAAAAAAAAAAAAAGGAAACATTGACAAGAATATATATAGTTTGCCGTTGTTTGCAGAGTGCGTAATTGTTCAAAGTTAGATCGTATGAGCGTTATTACTACATTAGCTTCTGCTGTAGGTGCTGGTCATAAGGTAGATTTACAAGAACCAGAATTGACGATTATTGCTGAAATATGTCAAGTAAGTGAAAAATGAAATAAATATTAACTTTGAAAATTTGTTACTCATAATTACATAATTAGACTATTTGTATGCTATCTGTTGTAAAGGACTTTAATGAATTAAAGAAATACAATATCGAAAGTATCTTAGGGATCAATCAAAGTAATAGTCATGAACCAAAAAAAGAAAATGACAAGGCTGAAGTTGAGGCTGAAGCTGACTAAATAAATAAATAAATAATAAATAGTACATAATAAAAAAAAAATAAAAATAAAAAAAAGGGGGTAAAATGCATTGGAAATTCATTTTAGGTACTTTCAGGGATCATTATTACCAAATAGATTTCTGTTTGGTTCCTTAAAGACAAAGAAGATCCTTTTTGTACAGGAAATTGTTTCTTTTATAAATCAAGATTCATATTCTTTTTTTTTTTTTTCCTTTACTTTCTTCTCAGTTATGAGTAATTCAGAAAGAAATGATTATGGATCGATAAATATACAAGTACCCACTTTTGTGCCATTACCAATAGAAACTATTTTAATACCTCCTCCTTCTTCATCTTCTTTTGTTACTGTTACTACTACTACTATTAATCCTCCAGTATGTTTTAATTTTATTAGAAATTATATATAACAAAATAATGATTTCTTTTTTTTTTCTTTCTTTCTTTAAAGATAACAACTACTACTACTGAGGGTAACGATCCTTCTTCTTCTACTAATATTATTACTACTACGACTACAAATGGTAGGCAGAGTACCATTACTACTACTATTAATACTAATACTATTACTACTACTACTACTATTATTATTATTACTACTGCTACTACTAGTAGTAGTAGTAGCTCAATGATAATTACGCCTACTAAGCATAGTAGTAGTAAAAGTAAAAGTAAAAGTAAAAATAAATAATAATAATAATGACTTTTTATTAATCTCTGATATAAACTTCTTCTACCATAGAGCCTATTTCTACTACGTCAACTAGCTATACTACACCCCCTCCAGATAGGACTACGAATGGTCCTACATCAATTGTAAGGACTACACCCATTGTTCGAAATCCTAGTAGTCGGACTACTACTACTACTACTACCACCCTACCATCATCCTCTATCACAAGGACTAAGAATATCATTACATCGACTCCCGTTCCTATAGTAACCGTTACATCCTCAGGAACATTTATTTATACATATACTTCAACATCCTATCGCAGTTATGAAACTGAAATTATTACAACAGATCCAATAGATGATAACAACAACAAAAATGAAGGTGCCATTGTAGGCGGTGCTGTAGGAGGTGTAACATTTATTGTTCTTATAGGTTTTATTGTGGTTGTACTAACTAAGCGTCGTCGTAAGACAAGTAAACACAACACTAGTAACACAGCATCAATGGACGACGATGAAGGACTAGACCAAAATGCTTTTATTATGGATTATAATAATAATACAGCAAATCATCATCCATATAGCAGTCACTCTCATACCTTTGTTTCCAACACGAATGGATCGATGAGCACCAATAGTGTCATCGCCCATAAAGCAAAGCCTAGACCGTTTATTCAGGCTTATAATCCTAGTACAGATGAACATTATGATGATATATCAGCACATCATCATCAACAACAACAACAACAAGAGTCTTATTATAATAATAATAATAATACAGGTTATTCATATGATGTTTATTATCAGCAACAAGAACCTATGATACACATTTCAAATTCTACAAATAGCATGGGTCGAAATGTGCCAGATGAAAATGATTATCATAAATATGAAAGAACCCTTAATAGGAAGATTTCAAGACATGTGCCTGATGAAGTGACTAAGCAGTCTACTACATCTAATAATAATTTAATTTATCATAAATAAAGGCTCTTGGTCATTTTATTTCTATTTATAATTGCTGAGCTCGCCAATCATCCTCATCGTCACTATCTTCTTCTTCATCTTCATCCATAAAAATAGATGCTTCTCTTTCTGTAAATTTATTACTTTTCTTTAGAATTTCCCTCACACTTGATTTAAGTTCTACTCGTATATCATCCTCACTGTCTTGTCTTAATGACTGTCGTTGATCTTCTATTACAGCCTTTCCCTCTTGACGACGCATTTGTTTTAATTTTTCAACCCTTGAATCAAATAGAGCTTGTTCCCTAACCATTAAATCTAAATGACGTTCCTTCCAAAGAAGTTCATCATCTTCATCTTGTACTTCTCTTGATTCCTTTGTAACTTCAATCATGTCTTGATTAAATAAAGCCATTTCTTTATCTAATTCTTCCTTGATTTTTTCTGTATCTTGAACCTCAGTATCTGCTTCTGGATTATCAAAGAATCCGACCGGAAGTCCATTTGGATTATAGACTGTTGCTTGTTCTTGTTCTTCTTCTTCTTCTTCTTGTGGTTGTTGTTCTTGTGTATTATCAAAAAAGTCAGATGGTAAAGCCATTTCTTCGTCTTCGATAGCGTCTTCATTTACCTCTAGGTCCTCTTCTTCCATCCTCAATCGTTTGTTACTACTGTCATGATTAGCTGATGATGATGATGAAGGTGGTGGTGGTGGTGGTGATGGTGAAGCAGGTCGTTTTAATTGTTGTTTTTGTTTGAGAGCTTTTAATTTTTGAATGTTTTCACGATGATGTAAAGAACCCAAATGGGCTTGCCAAACAATGGTTTCTGATTTTACAGGTGCATTACATACAATACAAATAAGTCGTCCAGTTTCATCATATTTAGCAAAAGGATGTGTTACTTTGGACAATTTATTTCTTTCAGCTTGTTGTTTTTTTAACAGTCGACGTACATCAGTCTTGGGTGACGACATGTTAAATTAGCAATCAATATGTAAAAGAGAAAGAGTGAAAGACAGTTTTTTTTTTTTTTTTTTTTTTTTTTTTTTTTTTTTTTTTTTTTTTTTTTTTTTTTTTAATTGTACATAAAGATGATGATTATTTACAATCAAAAATCGGTAGTCACGCACATGGAAAGGGAAAATTATTTCTCTTTTAAGAAAATGCATAATAATAATTCTATTGAATTGAATTATTTCGCCCTCTCCCCTCCCCCTTAATTAAAAGAAGACATGTTAACTCTAGATATCAAAATAAAAATAAAATAAAAAATAATAATCATATCCATAGTTATTATTTAGAGTGGATATATAAAAAAGAAAGGGATCCTATATGTTATAAATAATAGCTTACAAGACTTTAATATAAAGCTTATAATTCAAACAAATTACAACTGCCATTCTCTTTATTAGTCACTTTTTTTTTCTATTGGCCTTTTCTTATTATTCGTTGTTGATTTAACTGATTCTCCACCATTTTTTTTTTTAAATCCTTAGTCGTGGCTTTTCCAAATTCGGATGTGACTTGCTTATCGTACTCTTCCTTAAAAAAAAAATAATAATAATAATGAAAAACATGGAATAAATAACCTTTTTTTTTGTTCATATTACAAAGATTATTTGAAATAATGGGAAAAAAAGATAGAAAAGAAAACGATGACTTTAATATTCTCGAGGAATTACCTTCACTTAATGTAGATGAAGAAGAGAAAGCACGTTTAGATGCTAAGGCTGAAAAAAAGAAACTTAAAAAAAAGGAAATGACTGAAGAAGAAAAGGAGGAACAACGTAGAATTAATAGAGAAAATCGAAAAAAGAAAAAACTTCAAAAGGAAATAAATAAAAAAAGAAAGGTAAAAGAATTTGTTATTATTTTTTTTTGTGACATTGCAAGTTGTTTTGTATTTCTTGTCTAATGTGTGTGTGTGTGCGGGCTTCCTTTTTTTTTCTTTAGAGAGGAGAACTACAAGAAGAAGAAGAAGAAGAAAATACTGAAACAGAACAAACAAAAGATGAAAATGAAAAAGATGATAAAGTTATTAAAAAGCCCAAGGTTGAAAAGAAAAAGAAAGAGATGGAATATGGTATTTGGGTTGGTAATCTTTCTTATGCCACAACAGTAGATACAATAAAAAGTTTCTTTAAAGAATGCGGTGAGATAACTCGTATCAAGTGTCCAAAGGGAAATGGAGTTAAAAATAATAATAAAGGGTATGAAAGTAAGAAAGATAAATAGATTTATTTCTCGACTCGAATCCACTCACTTTACTTTACTACTTTTATTTTCAGTTTTGCTTATGTCTTCTTCTCCACTCCAGAAGCAGCAGCAAAAGGTGTCTCCCTGTCAGAACAAAAATTAGAAGGTCGTTCACTTTTAATTAAAGACGCAGATAACTTTGAACGTGCAGATGGTACAAAACCACCAACAGCAGCTGAAAAGAAAGAGATTAAGAAACAAAAGAATCCACCTTGTCCAACTCTTTTTTTGGGTAATTTAAGTTTTGATACAACAGAACAATCTATTCGTGAACGCTTTGAATGGGCAGGTGATATTCGTAAAGTACGTGTTGCTACCTTTGAAGATTCTGGTAAATGTAAAGGTTTTGCCTATGTTGATTATCATACAGTTGAATCAGCTACAAAGGCTATTCGTGCTCCTGATAAACATACCTTGGATGGACGTAAGGTGAGAGTAGAATTTGCTAGTGAGGAAGCACACATGAGATCCAAGCCTTGGTTAATGCGTGAAAAGAAACAAAAGCAACCCAGTCAACAAGATAACACGAATACAAGTGAAGTGCAAGAAGAAGAAGAAAAAGAAGAAGAACGACCTAGAAGAAAGAGAGTAAATCACGAAGATAGAAAATTTAATAACAAGAAACCAGCTCATACACAACATCAAGGAAGAGTGAAATCTGGAGAGGCTTTATCTCAAGCTCAAAGACAAAAACCCACTGTACAAGAATTTAAAGGCACTAAAATTGTCTTTGATTAATTATCTTTTTTTTTTTTATTATAGACCAGATAAATATCCTAATAATAATATAATCTCTCTTTTATTACCATCTTATTTGTTGAATAAATGTAGTATACAATAGTATTATTTTATATGATTATATAATACTAAATGAATATTATAAATGTGTCAATGTTGATACTATTATGATGATGTGGTGTATATAGCAAGTATATATGAATCTATTATTTATAAGCGCAAAAATTAGAAAAAAAAAAAAGTAACTTTTACAAGTCTATTTTGACATTTTTGAGTGTGTAAAATAATAATAATGGCTAATAATAGTGATAAACGACCATCTGTAATTCTTGATACCTCTATGGGATCTATTCATGTTGAACTTTATTGGGATCATGCACCAAAGTACACATAGAATTAATAATACATGGATATATAGATCAATATTTATTGATTTTTTTTTTTTTAATTAAATAATTTAGAACATGTAAAAACTTTTACGAACTTGTAAATATAATTGATCTTATATTAAATGTGATTGACTTATTAGACTATTGTTATTGATAATAGGCTAAACGTGGTTATTATGATGGTGTTAGTGTGAGTATATATGTATATTATATGTATAACTGAATAGACTAACAATTTAATACAACTATAGTTTCATCGTATTATTGCTGTAAGGGATTATAATTATTCATATTTCAAATGAATTAAACTACTAATAATATTTTATCTTGTTAATTAAGGATTTCATGATTCAAGGTACTGATTTAACAAGATGAAAAAAAAAAAAAATAAAGTCTAATTTATTTATCATTTAGGTGGTGATCCAACTGGTACTGGACGTGGTGGCGCTTCTATTTATGGGTAATAAAACAGTGATAATAATAAAAATTATATATAATAACTTTATCATGTTTAACTAGTGAAAAGTTTGAAGATGAAATTAACCGTGAACTCAAACATACGGGTGCAGGCATTCTTAGTATGGCTAATGCAGGTCCTAATACAAATGGTTCACAGGTATAAATATATGGAAGGAAAGCTACATACATAAATTTAATATCTATTATATAGTTCTTTATTACATTAGCACCAACTCCATGGTTGGATGGTAAGTTTTATTTAAATTGGATGACATTATAAAAAATAAATATTATTTTATATAGGCAAACATACAATTTTTGGTAGAGTAAGTGATGGAATGAATGTTGTGAAGAGAATGGGCTTAGTAAGAACAGATGCTAATGACAGGTAAAAGATAACTAAACTAACTAATTCTATTTATTATTAATATTAATATAAATATAAATAGACCTAAAGATACTGTTCGTATTGAACGTTGTCGTATTGAGGATATATAATCTTAAATAATAGGATCATATCTTGCATTATGTTCATGACGATTACTTAAAAGGCTATAAAAATAAAATTAATTGAATATGCATGTATTATACATACTTTTAATATTACTTACAAGTAAAGAATTAACCCTACTACGGGGAAAAAAAAGACTAAAAGAGACCAACCTAATTTACCCGAGATTGTTCTATTCGAGTTCATAACTTCAAATATAACAATTAAATCAAGAATCAAGATGATGAGACCAAGGATCCCACCGCTATAAGAAAGCATATTATCCTTCATTTTTGTTTTATTTTTCTTGTTGCTATTGTATTTAATATAAAATAAACAAAAAGAAGAAGAAGAAGAAGCAAAAGGATTTTCTATTTTATTTTATTATGCAATAGTAATCATTTCAATAGAATGACATATTTACTTAATTTCCTTTTATAGAAAAGTGGGATTGTTACTATTGCTATTATTATAAACTTGGCTAATAGAAGTAGTAGTAGTAGTAGTAGGATAGCAATAAAAAAGAAATAATAAATAGGCTTCTTCTTTTATTATATTTATATCTATACAAAAAGAGGGAAGAAGAAGAAAAGAAAAGTACAAGTTGATAATTAAAGTCGTATATATTACATGATGAATTAATTATCATCATCATCATCATTAATTCTAGCTAAAGGATGAATGGATGGAGGAATATGTACAATAGTTGATAAAGAAGAATTAGCTGTGGTATGATTATCAAAATGAATAGTGCTATTATTATTATTATTATTATTATTAGTATCCATGTTGTAATGATGAAGTATAAAGTCAGATAGCATCCCTCCTTCTTCTATATTTTTCTGATTATGAAATCCGCAATGGATTAGAATCCAATGAAGAACAGAAGCTACACGAGGATGTTTATAAGGTACAAATATATTTCCATGAGCTGTATTTTCATCTTTGTTATAGTCATTTGTTGTTATTATAGGCAAAGATTCTCTTGTGGAGGATGTTGATTCATCAAGATAGGCAAGACCATGATGGATAGGTGAGATCATAAAGGAATGGTCGCTTGAAATAAAAGTAGACTGTTTGCTTTCTTTTCTATTATTATAATAATGGTGTTGAATTTGACTGTTATAAACTGAAAGAGGGACACTCATACGACGCATCGGAATAGTAGTAGAATATAAATTAGTACCTTCTGTTATACTTTGTGAATGTTGAATAGGATATGTATCTTCAATATGATGAAATCGAGCCTTTAAAGGCATTTTAATAATAGAATGACGTGATGAGATAGGCTCTCTATGTTGATTTAGAGTGTCTATTTGATGATGGTGGATTCTGTCTTGCGATAAACTCATAGGAATAATTTCTATTTGGCCATCACTATATTCACGAATTTGACTGTAATCATCTACATATTTTTGTTTACATAATTTCCATTGTTCATTCATAAAACTTGTCATTGCTGGATCACTAAAGAAGACGATAGCTGTAAAGAGTCCCTGAAGACTTTTAAATGTTACATCTACTAATGCTAATGGATAATTTGGAGTATTTGTTGATGTATCCGTAAGAATAATCTGGAAAATAAAACCCCAAATGTTACTTAAAAGAGGAACTATATATAGATAGATGCATCTATAAATATGTATGAAAAAAAAAAAAAAAAAAAAAGAAAAAAAGAAAAGGAAAGGAAAGGAAAAAGAATAGATACCTAATGGATAAATAATACATCTTGAAACGACGCGAATAAATACATTGGATTGATATTTTATACGTTGCTGAATAGTATTATTAGCTGTTTCAACTGTTTGTGAAGTGGCAGCAATGTGAACAAATTTTCTAATGACCATCCTGTTTTCTCTTAATAATTTAAAAAGTGCCATAGTTGAACAAGCAAATGCAATGACAATTACAAAAAATAAAAATCCATAATAAGACATCTAATAAAAGTAAATCATCATTATTTAAATTAAACTAATATTGTTATTATTTACCCATAGTAAATTACCAAAACCAAATCGATAATACTGAATAAAATAATAACATTGAAGATGTTCACTTGAGAATGAATCATTGGCTTCTTTTACAATTGGTATAATAAGTGTTATTAACGCATAAATAAAGGCAAAAAGATAGTAAGTTCGTTCTAATTTATGTGCTGGACAAGAAATGTGAAATACAAAGACCAAGACAAGATTCACACCAACAATTGTCAAGAGATTAGTACTCATGATTCTCGAGAACATGATAAAAATAATACTTGTTCTGCATATTGCTGTATCACCGTATATTAGAATAATGATGATAGAAAATACTGTATTCAGTAAATCCATAAAAGTAGCAAAAAATACGCAATGTAAAGAGACTCTATTTGCTTTATCAGGATGTGATATACGCAAATAAAGATAAGAAAATACAACTGCAAAAGAAGAAAATAAGGATATACTTGATGTGACTAAAACTAATTTCATTAATGCTTGATATTGTTTTGCAGTATATATAAGTCCTGCCGGAATATTTTGACGTCTTTTAGATAATGAATAAAGCATACTGAACAAGTGAAAATAGAAAAAGAAACATAAAATATAAAACGTAAAACATACAAAAAAAAAAGGCTTTGTAAGTATTGTCTATTAAAGAGAGAAAAAAGAAGAATCTTCTAATAAACAAGGTTATTAAACTCACTAATTATAGTTTTCTGGCGCATAAAAAAATATGAGCAAGAATTTATGCGTGACAGCAACAACAATAATAATAATAGTAATAAAAAAAAAAGTATGCGAGTATCCAATTGAAAAAATTATCTCTAATAGGGAAGGAAAGAGACTTTATAAAGTAGAATAAAACTCGTTAGAAGACTGCATTATTGAGTTGTAAAGAGTGAACAATAATGATTGTATTCAAATAGGCTATAAGTAGATTCTTCCATAAAAGTATAACATGCTGTCTTCTCCTTCGTGCTTCATATGCTCAAATACTATTCTCGATTTGTCTAATTCGTCATTATTTATGTAGCTAGCTAGCAATCAAAAAATGCGAGTCTCTGTTTATTTATAACTGTGAAGAAAAGTTAAAAATCTCAATTGAGTTTGTAGAATATCATAAAGTAATATATTCTGTAGACTTTGTAAATATTATTTGAACAGAAGTCAATAATAATTACAATCCTAGAAAGTAAGAGCTTAATACATATAGAGACCTGACCTGGTCTGGCCTGATATTATTACAACACAGTTGAGGTTAGTGTTGCCGATATTGACTTGAAGAAATAATTGCTTGGTAGATGATATTTTTAACGTACCTTTCTTTTGGCTTGTTCTTTTTTTTTTTTTTTTTTTTTTTTTTTTTTTTTTTTTTTTTTTTTTTTTTCTTTAAAAAAAATTACTTTTCTATTCTAAAATAGTCTAATGAAGTATTGATAGATAGTCCGTTATAAATAGCTTCTAAAATTCATTGATATGCTGTTTATAGTCTCTTCAATTAACAAATAGAGTTGTTGGAAATAAAATAATTCAAGAATTAAATATGTTGACTTGTACCAAGAAGCTTTATAGAGAATAAACAATTGCAAATAAAAGAAAGTGAGGGAGGCATCAATTAAAAGGAGAAGAAAATTCTGATAAAGTAAATGAAGCTAATAAGCAAATATTATATAAAACTGAAGATTCTAACCAACAATTCTTATAAATTATAGCGTACTAAATAAGTTTAGATTCTTTGTGTATAAAGAGACTCTATTTTATCATATTTTAGATTATATATTTTAAAAATATATATATGTATATATCTTTCTAAAACTAGTAAAAAGACATTATGATTATTGTTCAACTAAGCTACTTTAAATAAATATGTTTCAAACATCATACTTTCCTCTTGATCTCTAATTTTTTTTTTTGTAGCTAATTAAATATAGTCTTACGTAAGCAGCAGCTCTATTATATTATGTTATATATTCTATGACTATCAAATAAAGTTACTGTTATTATCAATCAGGTTCTATAAATCAATCAACAAGTGTATTACGTATTCTTCCATATGATGTATAATTATTACTTATTTCAATTCAATTGGTCTAAAATTTTAATAGTGGCTGAGTCATTAATTTATATGTTAAAGTCTTGAACAATTTTCTCCTTATTCTTAAAAAGTTTTTTTTTATTGTTTTTTCTTTTCTTTTTTCTTTATTACACATTTTATTTAAAACAATCAAAATGTCTTCTTATTCTTCATCTCACCATCATTACTCATCATCCAGTCGTAGTGGAGGAAGCTATCGTGATAATAGGGACACTTCTCCTAGAAGATCAAGTAGACCGTAAACTATTATTTATTATTATTATTATCGATTTATTCTCATTTAAAATACTAATTTATTTTATTTTATTTTTTTTTTCATCTAGTTCTTCAAGCCATGGTAGTCATTCTCGTAGTGATGATCGTGGTTATTCCTCTTATCGCTCAAGCCGTGATACTTCAAAAAGTCATGGACATAGTAGCAGCTATTCTAATCATAACAATAGTAGTCATTACTCAAATAGTAGTAGTTATAGTACTCAAAATACTCATGTTGCCCCTACAACAACTACTAGCAGTTATGATACCCAAAGTAATTACAGTGCTACAGCCACACCCGGTTATGGTATTCCTGCCGCCACAGCAGCAGCAGCAGCAGCAATAACAGCCACTTATAATTCTGCTGTACCTACTAGCTATGGTGTGACGAATACCAATTATAGTTATTCATATGGTCAAGATGGATATTTAAGATATTATCCACAAAATAACAATAATTCAATTGGTGCTTTGCAAGATATTGTTTGGGATCTGTCTACACTTCCTAAATTTGAAAAGAACTTTTATTCTGAGCATCCAACTGTTGCTGCTCGTTCTGAAGAAGAAGTGAATGAAATTCGTGCCGCTGCCAATATGAATGTTACAGGTCAAGGTGTTCCTAAGCCTTTAAAAACATTTGAGGAGGCTAATTTCCCATCTTATGTCATGGATGAATTAAAAAAAATGGGTTTTGCTAATCCTACCCCTATTCAATGTCAAGGCTGGCCTATGGCTTTGAGTGGTCGAGATGTTGTTGGTGTTGCAGAGACAGGTTCTGGTAAAACTTTATCCTATATTCTACCTGCTATTGTTCATATTAACGCTCAACCTTTACTTCAACCTGGTGATGGACCTATTGTGCTTGTCTTGGCTCCTACTAGAGAACTCGCTGTTCAGATTAGTGAACAATGTGCTCGATTTGGTGCTAGTTCTCGTATTAAGAACACTTGTCTTTATGGTGGTACTCCTCGTGGTCCTCAAATTCGTGACCTCTCTCGAGGAGTTGAAATCTGTATTGCTACTCCTGGACGTTTAATTGATATGCTTGAAAATGGCCGTACTAATTTAAAGAGAGTTACCTATCTTGTCTTGGATGAAGCTGATCGTATGTTAGATATGGGTTTTGAACCTCAAATTAGTAAAATTATCAAACAAATTCGTCCTGATCGACAAACATTAATGTGGTCTGCTACATGGCCCAAATCTGTTGAAAGACTAGCACAATCTTATCTTAAAGATTTTATTCAAGTTACAATTGGTTCTTTATCTTTAAGTGCATCCGAAAATGTAACTCAAACAGTAGAGATTTGTAATGAAATTGAAAAGCGTGGCAAACTTATTAGTCATCTTGAACGTATTATGGAAAACCCTGAACATGAAAGAAAGACGATTGTATTTACGAGTACAAAACGTACTGCAGATGATATCACTCGTTTCCTTCGTCAAGATGGATTCCCTGCTCTTGCTATTCATGGTAATAAACAACAGAATGAACGTGATTGGGTTTTGAATCAATTCCGTTCAGGTGGACATCCTATTATGGTTGCAACTGATGTAGCCTCTCGTGGTATTGGTATGTATAGATTAATATGCTGATAAGAAACTACCTATGTTTACAATAATATGAAATAATGAGAGGGAAGGAAGGAGGGGGGAGGGTTGTTGTTTTTATGGAATTTATAACCCTTCATAAGTATACGCTATCATCTATATATCTTTTTTCTTTTTTCTTTCCAGTTCAGGTTTAGTATGATGATTTTGGATTTGATGATTTTTTTTTGTAGAGAAAATTCTCTCTCTATAAAAAAAAACAGCAAAGAATTAGAAACTGGAAAAGAAAAAGAAGGAAGAAGAAAAAGGAATTTAATATTTTGTTACTCGAAAGTTAGGTAACTTTCATTGGGAAAAAAAAAGATGAAGAATCTTCTCAATCAAATTTGATAATATACAGACATACTTCGCATATATATATATCTATCTGTTGTCAAGCCACTTTATATATGTAATGTATGTATCTATATATATATTTTTTTTTATTGAGAAGACTTTTTTTTTTTTTATTTAAATAAGTATATGAATATTTATATACATATTTTATTTATTTTATCTTTTTTTTTATGAATTTACTTTCAAGTAACATTTTAAACTTATTCCTTTTTTTTGGCGTTATTTATGACTTTTTTTTTGCCCCTATTTAGTTGTTATTGTTTATTAATATTTATTTCTATGTACGTGTATAGATGTGAAGGATGTCAAGTTCGTTATCAACTATGATTTCCCTACTAATATAGAAGATTATGTCCATCGTGTTGGACGTACAGGTCGTGGTGGCAATACAGGCCATTCGATTACTTTCTTTACTGCAGATAATGCCCGTCAAGCTCGTGATTTGATTGATATTCTTAACGAAACTCAACAATATGTGGATCCTCGTTTACAAATGATGGCTCAAACACGCGGTACAGCTAGTAATCGTGGTGCTAGAGGAGCCGCACGAGGTAATTATGTTGGTTCTTATGGTAGAGGAGGCTGGTAAAGTATGAAAAAACAACAACAAATGTATCTGAAATTGCATTTATTCCTATTATCTTAAATATCTATGTCGTTTTATTATTTTTTTTTCTCCTATTAATTAATAAAAATACAACTGTGTAAATAGTGTTATTTCTTTATATTATCCAATCAATTACTGAGGTTTATTTTTTTGAATTTAGACAGACAGGGGGCATAAGTGTTCATTATTTCCTCCGCCCCCCTTTTTTTTTTTTTTTTTTTTTTTCTGTTGTAATATAGAATCAAAGATGACAGAAATCAATGAAGAGCCTAAAGTATCCTTAAACGATTTAAAAAAATTTGAGAAATGGACAAAAGCACTTAAATACATTACAGGACTTGGTATGACAGAGGCTGAAAGGAAAGATTTTAAAAAGCGTTTAGAAACAGATTTGGAAGATTATCAATGCCGTCAATGTGAAGCATGGAGAGATCAACTTGTAAAAAACAGTAAAGTTATTTTCTAAATGTGTTGTATAGATATTTATATATATCTATTTAACCAGTTTTTTTTTCTTTTAAAAAAAAAAAAAAAATAGGTCCACCTGTTCGATTTATGTTGGATGAACTTAAAAAGATCAAAAGTCCAATGAGTCGAGATGATTTTGAATGTATACCATGTGATGAAACAATGTCAGGAGGATTTTCACCTACTGAAGGTGTCATATTATGTCAAAATCGTCTTGCTTCAAAACGTCATACAGAAGTTACTATGGTTCATGAAATGGTTCATGTGTATGACGACAAGAAATTTAAAGTAGATTGGTATAATTTGAAACATCAAGCTTGTAGTGAGGTAAAAAAAAAAAAAAAAAAAAAAAAAAAAAAAAAAAAAAAAAAAAAAAAAGTATACAAATATAAAAAAAAACGTGACATTATTTAAGAATTAACTAGAATTAAATATAAATAGATTAGAGCAGCTAGTCTAAGTGGTGATTGTCGTTGGACAAAGGAAATTCAAAGAGGATTCTTTACATTTACAAAACAACATCAAGAATGTGTTAAAAGAAGGGCCATTTTAGCGGTTACGAAAAATCCAAGTTGTAAAAATGAAGAAGATGCAGAACGTGCAGTTTTGAGTGTTTTTGAAAGTTGTTTTGCAGATACAAGGCCATTTGATGAAATATATTAAAACAAAACAAGCATAAAAAGAAAAAGAAAAAGAAAAAAAAAAAATCACGTATATATTTTGGACATGTTACACTTCGTGACGCGATCTTTTTAATTTATTATAGTTTACTTCCCCCTTAAAATAATAATAATTTTTTTTTTCCTTTTATTCCCTTTCTCTTAATTTTATTTATTTAATAAAAAAAAAAAAAAAAAAATAAAATAAAATAAAAAATGGCAACTGTTAGCCCTTATAGTGCACAAGGTATTCAAACAAAGGTAAAAGATATCCTTGGACGTGTTGACAATGAGTTATCCAAGTACAAGTTGGTAAATGATTTTGAACGTAAAACGGGCGTTCCTAAAAGCTATGTTGCTCTTGGTACCGGCGGTATTGTCTTTTTGATGATCTTTTTTAATTTGGCTGGTCAATTGTTAACAAGTGCTATTTCTTGGCTTTATCCAGGTATGTATAAATATATAATAGATGTGTGTATTTGATATGTAAATTTACCTTCATTTGGGATAAATATAGCTTATGCATCTTTTAAGGCTATTGAAACTGTAGATAAAAATGATGATAAGCAATGGTTAACTTATTGGACTGTTATTGGCTTCATCCAAATGATTGAATACTTTTCTGATATTCTTCTTTATTGGTTCCCTTTCTATTATCTTTTTAAGACATTGTTTGTTCTTTACTTGGCTTTACCTCAATTCAAAGTAAGAAAAAGCTTTTTAAAAAAAAAATGCGCCTTATTGATGTATTCTTCTATTATTTTAGGGGGCTGAAGTTATTTATAGTCGTTTCTTACGTCCCTATCTTCTTAATGCTCAAGGAGATATTGATCTTCATGCTAATAAGCTTAAGGCAAAGCTTAATGAATTCTCTTCTACTACTGACAAGACAGAGTAAATAATAAATATATATATATATATATATATATACATGTATGTATGTATGTATGTATGTATATTATATGATTATATACATGTAATAATAAATGCAAAATATATCTTTTTTTTTTTATTCAATTAACTGCTGACAAATGCATAGAAAAAGGTGGGATTGACTTCATATGTTACGCATATTTGTTAACTTTGCCCTTACTCTTATTGTGGCTTGTGTATGTTTTATCATTGTATCTAAAAATTAAGGTGTAATCAAAAACACATTCAATGGATTATATATCTTTAAAGTTATATCATCTTTTTTTTTTCATAAATAAACCACGTATACAGCGACTCTATCCTCAAAGTTCATTTTTTTATTGGCCAAAGTTTGCTTTTGCAAATAGCTCATATTCGCTTTTATATCACTCAAAATTCGTTTTTGTTCGCTTTATTTATTTAATTTCAAATGAACAGCAATTTTTTTTTTTTTTTTTTTTTTTTTTTTTTTTTTTTTTTTTTTTTTTTTTTTTTACAAAGATAGACAGGGCAATATCTTATACGAGCAAGACAATAAGGCAATGGATTTTGTTGAGAAAGTCAACCCTTACAATAAGGGTTCAATAATAAACATTCTAGATATTTCGAAAAGTGAAAAGTGAAAAATACATGAAGAATCATTGTTCTTCCAACTTAGGTTATGTTTCATATTTCCTATGTTTTTTAAACTTCAAGATGCTAGTTTTTGATGACAGTTCAACAACATCTGCTCTTATCTATATCAAAGCATTTAAGGAGCAAAAAGCGTTCAAAAAAAAGGAGATCACTCATTTAATAGATAGTAAAAGGAAGTATAAAAAGTCTAGCGATACAAAGAAAGAAGAAAAAAAAAGATGAAAAGCAAGAGACAAGTAAATAAGAAGCAAAAGACGACATAGGTAAGCATAGGACACATATGTGGTGATCCTTGATGAAATGTAGTGTCTGGTTCTCCCCATGTTGACCGTAATGAACGCCAGGCTATATCTCACAAACTACATTTATTAAGTAAAAGAAAAAAGAAGCATCTATAAGAAGAGGTATTAAGTTTTGTCGTTGGGAATAACAGCTCTTAACGACTGTATACAGAGATTAAATTTAGGGAATTACCTTCTTAGCTATTGATGAGAGGGATGAGGAGGGGGAGGGTTTACTATTGCTTTAATTGACAACAAGCGTAGACATGTTAATATTTTAACTTTAAAGATAAAATAAGAGGACCCACTTGTCTCGTTATTAACATATGAGGAGCAGTGATTGGATAATACATGCTTATTAAATGGTAAAACACTGTTAAATAAAAACTTTCGAGTGTATATTATGCTTGGCATGGTTGCTTCATCCATTCTGGGTGAGAATCTTGGGTAACAGCTTTTCATATCATCTAGATTTATTCCTTCATGTTTTATCATTGATCTTGAAACTGCAGCATTGACGAGTTTCACTTTACTGTAGTCTTCAACTGACATCGATACTTTGACATATCTACATAAAAAAAAAAAAAAAAAAAAAAAAAAAAATACTAGGCCCTTTTTTCAAGTTGATTGTTACTGAATTTTTACTTCTATTGCTTACAAGAGGCATGCATTAACCGGAAAAGAGGAGAGAGCATTTGAAAAAAAAAATGAATTGCTATATCGTATTTCCTCTATTAGATCAACTAAGATTACATTTCAATAAAATCAATTTATAGTTGCCGTTACTGGAAAATAGTAAGTCTATTGTTCTCCTAATACTTTACTGAGTAATTATAATATTTGTTAATAAGGTTACAAGGAGCGGATGTTTATTTCGACTTTTCTTTTAAACACTGGCTCATATAAAATGATCTTGATTTCTTTTCACTCAAAATCTCCTCTCACTTACAAAACAAAGGGCTTACATAGACTCGTTTAAATCAAAGTCCTTCTCTTAAATCTATAATTTATATTACTTCAAAACTTATGCCAACCAAAATCTTTCACGCAAGAGGGCTGATGATAAGGCAAAGTAAGTTCAATATTATAGTGTAATGTTATGAGTAATCTAAACAAGCTCAGCTTATTTCAACAGAAATTTTTCACGTGTGGTAATGTCTCATCCTTTTGTTGTATATAGGCATTATTTTGCATCGTTATGGACAAACCATCATCCATCATTTGGTTAGGCATATGAGCAGAAGATTATGTAGTTTTTTTGCTTGCGACGTAATTACCATATAACGTTTATCTGCAAAACAAACAGCCGTATCTTGTAGATAGATAGTTTATCTACAGATGGTGTTTCCTGACTTCTGTTTAGGTTTCTGTAGCCATTCTTCATGAACTAAAGCAACGATCGACGATAGCTTGTTTTGTCTTCCCAAGCTCTCTAGTTTTCACCTTTAACCAAGTACGATTTCATTTTGACCCTTCTATATTCAATTACACATTTATATTTTACTTTGACAAACTTGTAAATCTGGATGTGTTGTTATTAAAATGAAAAATTCAATAAAGTATACATAAAAGGAGAAGTAACAGACGACAAAAAAAAACCCCCAGTCAGATAGGAATGCAATAGATCTGAATCAGCATGCTGTTGAGTTAATAATGTGAAGTAAAACTTTGCTTGCATTAATTAGAGAAAAGAAAGCAAATGCCACCAAAAAATACGTGCACGAAGATTTGTTCAGTAAAACTTTTTTTCCTGTTGAAACTTACATAATTTTATACATACCATTTAGTAAATATCAACAGTCATGACCTTTCAAACGGTGGTTTGGCCTGCCGTATTTATTGAATGCCGATATTCTTTACATTATTTTGTTGTAAGCATATTGATTTAGAGCGAAAAAGTCGCTGAAGATTTTTAATACATGTACACATCTGTTAACAGGTGATAACGATAAAATCAGATAAAGTGTCCACCAAAGAAACTCTAAAAGGAGATAGAAAAGCATATTTTCTTGACATCTTTACTCAATAAAAAACGTATGCATGTACATTCGATATATAACTGTAAATATAGACGTATAATTTTCTTTTAATAAGCATTCTAATGTTTTTAAAAATAAATAGTAAAAAGTTGAATTTCAATTATTATTATATTTTTTTTTGACTTGTATATGTATCAAATACTGGAGAAAAATAAATAAAATGTAAACTCCCAATTTATAAAAGGACAACTATTTTTTTTTTTTTCATTTATATTTGTTATTTCTGAAATGGACGTATCTAAACGATAGTCACACACTCTATCACACCTCTGAGGAAAATATGCGATCTGAAGAGACACTCCAGGACCTTGGGGCCCAGCCATCTCACGGTCGTGGAATAGTCGGTTGATGATCATAAAGAAAAAATGAAAAAAAAAAATGGGGATCCTACAGTTTTTTGATCCCTTCCCCCTTTTTTTTTATTTATTTTGTGAAGTAGCATCTTTTGCATGCTGTTTTTGTTATTAATATTCATGCATGTGTGTAGATTACATATTTGACAGTTTTATTAAGATATAAAGTTAATGAGACTTAACAATTATTTTCTTCTTAAATGATGGAGGGTAGACGTATTTATATAAGAATAAATGAGGTCAGAGAGAACCGTGTTATAATAACATTTATTATTAAAAAATGAAATAGATAACAACATTCCCCCCCCCAAATTCATAAAACATAAAGAAGTATATGCAATCAAGTTGAAAGTACTTTTTTCATTATATTATTTATTCATGGGCTATTGAATAAAAAAGAGTCAAGTTATTATTTCTTATCAGATTGTAACAGCATATAAAAAAGCTTTAGTCACGCTTTTTTTAATTCCCTTTTTTAAGAATTAAAATCTGGTAATAATGAAATAGTAATTGATGAAAAGAGATAAAAAATAAACTTAGGACACATGTACACAAATTGAGAAATCAAAAAAAAAAAAAAAAAAGTACCTCATCAAATTAAGAATTTAATTTCTTGTAAAGTCGCAAATTTAGCTACTGTATTTGGTATATCTTCTCTTTTGTATAGTTTTTAACCGCTCATTTTGTTTTCCTTATTATTCGTATTGTTAGCTGTTATCATTGATCTGATATATATCTTACTATTTGATTTCCTTGAAGCTGTCTAACCACCTTTTTTAATAGCAAAAGAGTTGTTGAATAATTTTATACTTGACTTAGTTAAAGTTATTAAAAATTGACAAACAGAAATGAAAATCAACTACTTAAATAAAATAGCTTTTTTTTGTATGAATAATACGTTTAACAATTATAATCTTGGAGCTGTTTATTTCCGTTCAATTCATTGTACACTCATAAAAGTAAAGTCAAAATGGAAAAAAAAAAAAATAAATAATATAAAAATAGGATGGATTAGCAAATACTACTGACCAATTATCATTCTGTATTTTAAATATTATACAAATTTATTGTAATATTAGCTTTTATTCTAATATTGTTTTTTTGCTAATTATGCTAGTCCCTTCTGAATCCCAACTACCGATTGGGGATAATAACGACGAACTACTTGAATTACTCGCAGATTCTTGGGATAATTCACTTAAAACAAAAGTGCTTGATTCAAAATGGACACGTGAATACTTGACCCAACTTACCTCCTTACCACTTAATAAACTCTTGCAAGAGCCTCATGAATTAGAAGAGGAACAGGCAAAGATCAAACGTAGTGCACAACAACTTGCCTTTCGTGAATACCCTTCTTTTCTTCATGCACAAACGTGTCGACATCAGGCGAAGGATACGTTTGATAATCTCGATACTCAATTAAATAACTTTTCATCATCTATACCTGAGTTACAGAAGGCTTGTGAACTATTTAATAGCCAGGCAGAAGAGATAAAAAAGGAACGTGAAAAGATTAAGAATGTACTTGACGTTCAACATGTTTTGACTGAATTGTTAGAGATTCCTCAATTGATGAAGACCTGTGTAAGAAATGGTTATTATTCAGAAGCTATGGATCTTGCTTCCCATGTACGTTTGTTACAGGTACGATACCCATTATCAATTGTCAAAGGCATTCAACAAGAGGTACAAGCCTCTTCAGATCTTATGTTGGTTCAACTTATTTCTCATTTACGTAAACCAATACGACTTGCAGCTGCTATGAACGTTGTAGGATTTTTACGTCGTATGGACGTGTTTGATACAGAAATAGAATTACGTATGGTATTTTTAAGAAGTAGACATGATTTTTTACAGCAACGATTGGCACGTATAAAACGAGATATCTCTGAGGACAGTCGACAGAAGAGTTCTGACGCATTTGAATATTTAAAGAGATTTATGGATGTGATGCGCGAACAATTATTTGAAATTGGTACTCAGTATATTTCTATTTTCTCTAACGAGCAAAGCACACTCTTACCAGATTATATGATTCATGTGATTGAGTTAATCAAGACAACCTTAAACACCTATCTTCCAATGATCGAAGATAGTTCTTCTTTATCCTCTATTTTAACTCAGCTTCAGTATTGCGGCATGTCATTAGGACGTATTGGATTAGATTTTAGACACATCTTTGTGCATCTATTTGAAGAGGCCTTAGAACCGTTGATAATAAAATGGATCAACACGGCCACTGAGGAGCTTACAGTGACGATTCAAAGGGCTACAGAAGAATGTTTAGCGCCTAGTGCTTGGATGCTATCCAAACTTATCTCCCAGCAAAGTAATTTGCATGGTGATGAGTCTAGACGGCATACCTTTCAGCCTCCTATGTTATTGGTCGACTATCCTTCACTTGCCATCTTTACCAATGGTATTTTATCCGTTTTTAATTCATTACGACTTTTACCAGCAATTAGTTTATACGAAACTATCCAACACCATTTAGAGTCCTGCTTTTTAGATATTGGGATTGCTCTTAAGCAATACTGTGATCAAGCCCTTTTACAAATACCAGAGGAAATGAACTATCTCCAACTCTATTCTGCTGTTTATGTTCGATGTTGTCTACCTTATTTAAAGTCATGTCTTATGGATGGTATTTATGGTAACTTGCCTGTTCCATATGTCATGAGTGAAGATATTGAAAAGCTATTAGTGACGTACTTACCAGTAATGGAAAAGGAAGATACGAAAGAAGAAGATAATGAAGTGAATGATGTTGTTGAAGACAAAAGTAAGCGAAAAGATGTTGAGGAGGATTGCGATATTATAAAAGAAGAAGTAAAAGCAGATGAGAGCGAAAAAAGGGATATTCAAGTAGAAACGAAGAATACTAAAGAGGAAGAGGATGTAGAAAATGATATACAAGAAGAAAAGCCTAGGAAAAGTAGCTTGAAGCAAGGAGAGAATATGAATGAAGATCTTGAGGAAGGAGATACTAGAAAAGTAGATGATGTAATAAAATATGCAAATACTTCTGATAATAAAGATATAGAAGATAAGGAGACAGAATCAAAAAAAAGTGAAAATAAGGAAAATCACGTTGAAGTTAACTCTAAATTAGAGCAAAACAATGATAATAATTATGAAAATAATACAAATGAAGAAGAGAAGAATAATGAAAATAAAGAGAACATTACTGTCTCTAATTTAGTATCAACAAATGACAAAATAGTAGAAATAGAAACTGATAAAGAATGCAATTCAGAAAATAGTATAACTATGCAGCAAGAAGAAGAAAAAAATGATACCCAAGAAAATCTAAGCAAAGAAATAGAAGATAAAACTAGGCTCGATCAGAGAGCTGAAAATGAAGTCATCTCGGATAAAACTAATAGCGAGGACATAAGGGATAGTAATTTAAAAGAAAATTACTCTGATAATAAAAATAGAGAAAAAGATGAGCCAAAACAACAACAGAGAAAATCCCTACCTACAAACAAAAAATCTAAAAAGCATAATAAAGGCAAAAAAGGCAGGCGCTGAATTTAAAAAATAATAATAATAACAATAATAATAATAATAATAAAAAGGCTAATAATAAAACAGGAAAACAAATTTAGATTAAAAATGATTTTGTTGCTGCTTTTATTTTATTTTACTTTTTTTTTGTAAATAGACTAAATGGACTCCTTTATATGGTTGTTACTACTAAGTCTAGCTATGCTAGTTGGTAGTTACATTTCTGGTTCTTTACCTTTAACAACAAAATTATCTGATAGAAAGATTCGTTTCTTAAATGCACTAGGCGCTGGTTTGCTTATTGGCACTAGCTTAATAGTTGTGATACCTGAAGGTGTTGAAACTATTTATGGAAGTCAATCAGCCAACATTATTGCTTCTAATGTTGACATTAATAATGTATCTAAAGTTAATACCGCAATTATTCCAGAACTATCATTCATAAATTTGAAAAATAACTGGACGTCAGCTGATGATGAAGTTCAAATTATAGAGAAACGTGCACCTTCTGAGCAGCAACAAGAAGAGGAAGAAAAGGAAAAAAGTCATATAGCAATTGGATTGTCTTTATTACTAGGATTTGCATTGATGTTTATTATTGATCAGACAAGTTCTCTTCATATGCCTTCATCTACAGGTGGTAATTCAACTGCAGAATATTCAGAATTAAATACACTAGGTAGCAATTCATTTGATCCCGATGAAGGAGATGTTTCAAACAGAAATAACAATGTTAGCCATCATACATCAATGACACCTACTGTTGGATTGATAGTTCATGCTGCAGCTGATGGTATTGCGTTAGGTGCAAGTGCAAATCATCCAGAATTATCTTTAGTCGTCTTTCTTGCTATTATGCTTCATAAAGCGCCTGCGTCGTTTGCACTTACATCTGTTCTTTTAGCAAGTGGATTAGCGCATAATACTATTCGTAAACATTTATTAGGATTCGCTTTAGCGGCACCATTAGGTGCTCTTTTGACTCATTTTGCATTATATTTCTTTTCTTCATCAACAAGCAATAATCTTGAATATTGGACCGGCGTACTTTTGGTTTTTTCTGGAGGAACTTTCCTCTATGTTGCAATGCATGCATTGCAAGAAGTATCTCATGATAATCATTCAAAAGACAAAACACAAATGTTTATTATTTTAATAGGCATGGCTATTCCAACTTTACTTAGTTTGTCACATTCTCATTAATCCGCATGTTTTTTTTTAATGTAGTTATAAAAAAAAAGAAAGTTATATACGTTCATAAACCATATTTTCAATTGCGTTTACTTGTTCTTCAATAGTCAAATAACTTGTATCCATCATGACTGCATCTTTTGCTTGTAAAAGTGGGGCTATTTTTCTTGTTCGATCAGCCAAATCACGTGCTTCCAAATCTTTTTCTACTTGATCTAATGTGTCAGTCAAGGCAGCGCCCTGTCTTTTTTTCAGTTCATCAAAGCGACGTTTTGCACGAATATGAACATCAGCAACAATAAATACTTTAAGTTCAGCATTAGGTAGAATGACAGTACCGATATCACGGCCATCCATAACAACTCCTTTAATAATACCCTTCCCCTCTCTTTCAAAGCCATTAGAGACAGCGCCAGGCAATTCACCTTTAGCCATTGCACGCTGTTGGTTTGCTAAAACTTCACGCACATCAGGATTGGATGCTATTAAACTAATATTTCTTGTAATATCAGAAGTACGAATTAATTCACTAACATCCTGGCCATCTAATTCAACTTTCCCTAATGAAGGGAAACGAATCTTACATCTTTTTGCTATTTCGACTATCTTATTATGTGCGCTTATATCATTTGGATTAACATTTTCAAGTTGGCATTTTAATGTAACCTGAATTAAGAGATTACATAAATTATGTTATTATTATTAGGTGATTGCCTTTTTTTTTTTTTTTTCATTACTGCTCGAAACATGGCACCAGAATCAATATAACTAAAGCCTAATTTCTTTGCTAGCAATTTAGCAGTTGTACCTTGTTATGAATATAAATATTTAAGAACATATATAAAAAAAATAAGTTATTTATTGATTCCTTTTTTTTTTCTTTTACTTTTCCCGGATGCTGCTGGACCATCAATTGCGATTCTGAATAATCTTGACATTGGCAAGTTTTTTATATTAGAAGTTAAAATTGAAAGAGATGAACACTTCTTAAATGTTTAAACATCCGACTTTTTTTTTTAAAGAAAAATATGCCATGCAAAAACGTAAATTTTTTATTGAATTTTTTTTTTAAAAAAAAATATAAATTTATAAAAATCATATATTATAAAAGAATTCTATTAACATAAAATAAATAATGTTAGTGATGTGAGATTACATAATCATGGATTTCTTTTTTCTTTTTACCTTTTTTAATGTTATTATTGAATGCAATGGCTCCATATTGTTTTATACGAAATAGGGCTAATTATTTTTATTGGCCGATTGGTTACCGCTTCGCTGTTGATTACCACTTTGCTGTTGTTGACCAGCTTTTGCTTCATTGAGATTTCTGTCGGCAGCACTCTGAGCACGAGCAGGGAAGGAGTCCTTGTGAGAATCATGACCAGCCTTAGCTTGAGTTGATTGAATTCTGGAAGAAGCGTCTTTTGTCATTTTTCCGGTTCCTTTACTCATTTTTAATTATTATACAAGATATGTATAGAGAATAAAAAGAAGAAGAAGGGGATTCGTTTCTTTCGTTTTATATACTTTTTTTTTCTTCAATCATAATATGTATCAATAAACAAAAGGTTTCTCACGACATTGCTTGTAAATAGCACAGTAGAAGTTGTAAAATGCAGGAAATAAATATCCTTTAAGCAGGAAACATGCAGCTTTTTATTTTTCTGTATAAATTTCTCAGGTATGTTTATTACAAATATAAACTGGTTAAGATATATTTCTTTATAATAATAAAACATGAGTATTATGATATATATATATATTTTTTTCGTTAAAGAAAAGAAAAATAACATGTATATTACATCTTTTTTAAACCAGTATAGACTTCTTCACTACTTGAATCAGGACCATGATTACCTCTAGTTGAGAGGCACTTTGTGTAGCTTTATCAGTTGCGCTTTGTGCCTCAGCAGCATCTGAATTGTTGCCTCTCTTTGTCTGTGTATGTGGACTATGCATATTTAGCATCAGCTTGTGTAATAGGGTTTATAACTTCAGCATTAGTTGAATCGAACATCTTGAGCATATTGAGAGTCTTGGCCAGGAATGAAAGATCATTCAGCGTCACGAGAAGATTGCTAGTTGCCATCAGGATTTCCATGACTAGCTCTAGGATCATTTGCATGAATCTTGGAAGCGTTGGCTTGGGTAGCACTAGAAGCGGGTGTCAAAGTCATGTTTATAATTAATAAAAATAATAAAATCTTGATAGAAACATACAGTTTTATATATTTAACTATCATTATGTATCGTTATCATTATAATAAAGAATAGAGACAAGTTTCTTTTTACATCATACTTATGTCAAATTTGGCTCTTTTTTTATGTTTCTCATTGGTGTTTATAATGCAAAAACTAAGTTAACAAGTATCAAGTTTAAGCTTTCAGCGCTCTTTAATAAAAGGTTTATGATAGATGATAGTAGTACAACATAAAAGAATATTTAAACAGGTATTAAATAGATGGGTAAATTTTCTTCATTGCAGTCGAATAGTAATTGTTTTGAAGCATATCAATACGCACACATAATTTGTACACAGAGGATTGTTTACATGTATATTTATTTATATAATACTGCTAAATTATACAGTTCATTATATAACTTTCTAGCTAATTTAGACAATCTATTTTTCTAGAATATGTCTCCTGCTCTCTCTTATTTATTTATTTATTTAGCTTAGTGTGAGAAATAAAATGTTCGCTTAATACAAAGAAAGGTACTCGTTATAAAGAATCTTGATACAGTAGTTATAGAGTATTATGTTATGATGATAGCATGAAGTATTTACATCTTTTTTTTTTTTTTTTTTACGCGTTAAATTATAAATTGACATGTCAGAATTATACGTAAACTCAACACTATAAATGTATATGCAGATCAATTTATATATATCTGTAACCTATTCTATATATATTTGATAACACTTGAACACAACACTCTTTTTATGCATACACATAGTAACTATTATTTATTTGTTTGTTTGTTTAGTGATATTGGTAATGTAAAAAATTATAATACATATTCAACGGATTTTAAGGAGAATAATTGACAATTTACATAAAATGATTGTTATCTTGGCCGAATAAAATATCTAATCCATAGGATAATCAGGTTTGGTTGATGGTTCATCATAGTTGGATTTTGTACAGAAACCTTTTTCAGTGGCCTTTTTACCCTTTTCAAAGTTTTTATCTCCTTCACTCTGTGCAACTGCGGCAGTGGTTCCTTTCCCGGTATCTTGACCTTCTTTGGCCAACATGGATTGAACTTTAGCGGCGTCTTTTTGTGTAATACTTGAGGACATTGTTGTGTGTTATAGAAGAAGAAATGTTTTATGAAGTTGACATCTTATATATACACGTATTATAAAGCCATAATGGTAAAGTTTATCATATTTACGTCATATTATAGAGCTGCATTATTGTGGTACCAAAAAAAAAAAAGACGACGAACTGACGTTGTGAATACATAATTTAAATAAGCAGAAACACTAAATCTAATAACCCAAGCTATTATTATTTTAATTTTGCAATTTTTTTTATAATGCCTAATAAATTATTTTTTTTTTTTTTTTTTTTTTTTTTGGGAGCATTTCCTCTTCATCTCCCCTCCCTCTCCCACAAAAAAAAAAATGCAATTCTCTCAGTGTCAGAGAAGCTCTACGAATTTGCTGCCTATCTTTGACAATAAGTTTTTCTTTTTGTTTATTCTTTTCTTTTTTTCATATTATCTTCTACACTTTAGATTTCATCTCTTTCTTCTCTTTAATACTATTTCTTTCAAATTGATCAAAATCTGAAAGCTTTGTTAACCTGAACTTGCTGTCATGATGAACATAGTTTTTCATTACTACGATGTCTTCTGAATCAATTATCATAGTTTGTTCATTTGACATACATGTAAAAATTAGACAAAAAAGAAAAAAAAAAAGATCTGCTTGACTCAAAAAAGAACACAATTGTGCATATAAAATAGAAAGAGAGCTTACAGCTTAAGTATTTAAAAATGTACAAATCGCCATGAAGTATCGCACAAATCCAAAAAAGGAGTATTTTACAAGAATGGTGAATAATGCCTGTAAATTATTGGGCATCATTTTTTTTATTATAAGTTGCACTGCTTTATAGGTTCATCAAGCTAATTATTAGTTAATAGAATTAAATTCATTGGTTTTATATTCTTTAGAAATATACGGACTTGTTAAAAAAAATATTATTAATATTATTATTTCCCTTCTTGAGTACAGCAAGATACTTTTAAGGATCTCATGGTTTAAATAACAGCCGAAAGATCTATAGTCTTTGTTATTACTATTATTAAAAGGGCTTGATGCTTATATAATAGAACCCAAAAAGTGTATGAATTAAAATTCCGTAAATAAATCAAGTTTTACAATCTTTTTGTTTTCATGCTCATCTTCCATTATTATTGTTCGCTTCTTTTTTATTTAATAAATTATATATTCATATAAATTAGTACTATACACAATTAGTACATAGATCTCCATTATTAAAATATACATTTCATTTATAAAATAGAGAATAAAAAATATGCATAGATTAAAAGATAAAGAAGAGAACGGAGTTAAAATTTCGAGATAAAAAAAAAAAAACTTAAACTTAGTTTTTTTTTTTTTTTTCATTCTCTTTTCTTTTTTATTCTTCATATTATTAATTAAACAATATGCCTATTCTTGAAATTTCATCTGCCCAAGCTCCTAAGGATATCAGAGCTTTCACCAAGCGTATGAATGCTCTTTTCTCTGAATTGATTGGTAAGCCTGAGAGCTACTGTATGGTTACTTTCACCAAGGTTGATTCTCTTTTCTTCTCTGGTTCCGATGAGCCTGGTTTCCTTGTTAAGGTTGGCTCTATTGGCCATATCGATAATGACCGTAACTCCAAGTTGACTGCTGCTGTCACTCAAGAACTCGAAAAGGAATTGGGTGTCAAGGACAACCGTGGTTACTTTATCTTCACTGATGTTCCCGCTGAGAACATTGGTTTCAGAAAGACTACTTTTGCTAACCTCTTGTAAAACCCATTACCACCAAAACAGTTTAGAATACGTTAATTCTATATCTTATTTTTTTTTTTTTTTTTTGCATAGCCTAAATATGTAAATGTATGAACATATACATATTTTTTGTTTCTTCTTATCATTGAATAAAGCATTTCATCTCATAACATACTTTATAAAAAAAAAACGCGTAACGTAATAATTTAAATGTAGCCCAAATGATAAACCTTTTTATTTTGTTACAAATACATTTTTATTTTAAATAGTAATTATGAATATATAAAAATATGACTACATGTATGTTTATATATACACATATAGTTTATTTTAAGAGAGTAATGCCTTTTTTTTTAAAAAAAAAAAAATAGTAACTTAGAACAAAGCATAACCATAAGGTGGTTGTCTAATAAGATCCCATTTATCATCATAGTTTGCCCAAAGAGGCCAGTTTAATTCCTTTAACAACTTGTTACGAGTATTCCATGCTTTCTTTATATCATTTACTTTGTCAGATGTAAAAGATACTTCTGTGAGGTATTCCTGTACAGATTTAAGAGCAGTTCCAATGTGTCCCTTTTGACGATCACATGCCACCTTGACAAGCAAAGAAGCAAGATTAGTAGAACTATCTTCAGCATCCCATTGTTGTAGAGAACGAATAGTAGTATTTAATGCTTCGATGTCACTGTTTTCCTCTTTACTCAAAATGATAGTATATGCCATAGCTTTGTTCTTGAGGGCATTAATAATTTGTTTCTTCTTATCAGTGTTTTCTTTACGTTTTTCTTTCTCATCATCAGATTCATCCTCTGGTTTTTTACGACCAAAGAATTCTAACAATTCACATTCATTAAGCTTGTTAAGGATTGTATCTGCCAACTGGATAATTTCATTCGCATTATCGAGTGAAATTTCATCTGGATTCAACAAGCTATTCACCTCTCCCTTAGCCCAGAGGGTGCTTATCTTGAATTCTAAAAATGAAATGTCATCAGCATATTCAGTTTCCAACTTGCTCAAGAGTTCCTTATAGATATCTGAATCAGCAGAGAGCTTCTTGAGATATGAGATTTGTAAGTCACGAGTAGCAACCTTTAACTTTTGCTCTAATTCTTCATCGGTCAATTTTTTCTCATCTTTTCCATTATTAGAAGATTCGACAACAAGAGGAGGAACATTGTAAAGAACTTGATATTCTCCTCCTTCGACTTTACCGAGGAAACTTAAAGTACCTACTAATGCATCTCCTGCTTTGGCCTCCTTAGGAATAGCATCTTTACCTGTGGGAGCAGCAATATAGAATACCTTAGCATCCTTACGTTCCAATGCGATTTTAGTGTAATTTGAACTCTTCTTTGTGTATACATCCCCGAGGGTTTGGAAGGTATTGAAAGAAGTACTCTTCAAATCCATATCCAGTTCCAAAATAGTATCCTTTAATTTCTCTAAAACATCTTCATCTTCAACAGACAATTGAAGCATGATTGTATAATCACCCTTTTGTCCAAGCTTAATGTTATGGTCAAACACATCAAGGTAGCCAACAACTTTCTTATTAACATCATAAATAATACCAAAGACACCGGCCAAGAAATGCTCATAGAGTTGGTTCATAACAGTAGGGAAACGAGGCGTGATGGTTGTAGAAACTTCAAGCTTAAAGTTATAAGTTAGAACAAGCTGATATAATAAGCGTGTGCTAGGTAATAGGTCACGGTCAGGATGCATAGGCGTAATGGATGCATCTGAAGGGCGAATATATTTACGTAATTTGTCAAAAGTAACACTGACATTCAATGCATCTTCTCGACGGAATGGACTGGTTATATCTAAACGAGTCACTTGAGGTTCTAAATGAAGAACGCCATGTCCATTAGCAAGGTTACCAGCAACTTGTACACCATGAAAGTTAAGACTAAGGTCAATCGCATGGTTACCAAGACCAGACCAAAATTGGGCAAGACATACCTCAAGATTTAATCCACCACGTACAGAGACATGTTTTTTAATTATCTGTTTCTCAGATTCAGGATCACCATAGGAGTCATTACCCAATAAGAAACTATAGGCATGCTTCTTCTTTTGATTTTGTTTAGGTACAAGTTGCAAGAGGTGAAGCATAAAACGAGCAGGAGCAGTTTCGGTGTTAGCATGTGCCTTGATAGTGACTTCACAACTAGTTGCGCCATCAGGTACCTGAACGAATCGTCTAATAATATCACCTGGTCCGTATTCAACATTCTTATATTGAATAAAGCCCTGTGAAGGAACTGTAGGCTTAACAACAGAGATAGGGACATGGAACAAGGGGCCTCGTTCAGGAGCAGAGGTATCATAACCAAGCACTTCGCCATAATGAAGCTTACTTTCTGGAAGAGAAGTAGGATCTACTTTGATTTGGAAAGCGTTGCCACTTGAATGAAGGTACAAATAATCTGGTGCACTAATCCAAGACTCAGTAGTAACCAATGCAACACGAACATCATAATTAAATTTAGCTTCATTATACTTGGGGTTCTCAGGATCTTGCTCGCCCATAAATACAGGTTGAACTTTAGTTGTAATGTATTGAACTTTGCTTACATCATCAAGCTCACGAAGGTAAATACCACGTTGATTACCTCGCTTTTGAACAGTAACCTTAAAGAACAAATCCAGGTTATCGTCATCCTTATAGCTCTCAAGGTATTCCCAAGCTTTTTCCACTTGAATAAATCCGACATTAAGAGGATCATCAACTGATTTACTTGTTTGAACAATAGCATTCTTCAATCTAAAAGGTGTATAGTTTTGCTTCTCAGCCTTAAGAGCTGAAACAAGTAATGCAACACAACCGCAAGCATTAGGACTGGACATACTTGTACCATTCTTCAAGTCGAGTTTGTTTAAAACATATACAGGGACACTAGTAATTGCACTACCAGGAGCATACACATCGATACCATGATAGCCATCAGTAGTAGGACCACGAGATGACCAAGTATAAGGGCGTTCAGCTACTGATTCAAGGAGAGCATATTCAGCTTGCATTTGTGCATGCTTCACATAGGCGCCTACAGTTATAAAACGTTCATCCATACCTGCTGGAGCACCAATAGAACTAAAACAGGGACCATCATTGCCAGCACTTGTCACAAAAATGCAGCCAGATTTACCAACAGCCTCTTCAGCCAATAATTTGATAAAATGACCACTATTAGGTAAACTACTCGATTCACCATAAGACATATTGGCAAGATCTACCTTATGCATAGCAAGATGAGCTGCAGCACGTGTTAAGCCAGGACCAGTCTCCATAGAGCCAAGTCGTGAATCACCAATGCGAAGAGAAATGAGTTGGGCACCAGGCGCAACCTATAAAAACTCAGTATATCAGTTTACTATTTTAGGTGCTTATTTCCTTTTTTTTACATACACCATTTAATTCCGGTTCTTCGGGGAAATTGCCAGCCGTGATACCAGCGACATGTGTACCGTGACTGCCTGATAAAGTAACAATGCTATACGCCAATACAATGTTAGAAAAAAAAAGCTAAAAGCATGCATATTAAGTTTTTACCTAAGGATATTGCCATTGTCATAAATATTAACAGAAAAATTAAGTAAATCAGCTTTTCCAAATGTATGATACTTCAACTCTTTACGATAATCCGTTAAGCATGGTTGGTCTATAAAAAAATAATCAATAAATGCCTCTTATTTCCTAATTAAGAAATAATTTCCTTTTATTACCTCTTAAATCTCCAGATTCGTTTACATCAATGACAGCTCTCCAATCTTGACCATCAAAAAGACAACACAATCAAGAAGAATACCAGGATCTTCATAGTTTGTATTCATATCCTTTAACATTTCAATACGAGCCTTTAAGTCAGCTTTTTCTGCCTCATTAGGCTGACTATTATCTTTTAAAAACTCTGCAAGTTTAGCTTGTGCCTCACAAAGGAGTTGAGATTGCTTCTTAATAAAATTTTCGCGACGCTCCTTAAAGAGATATAGTATTTTTAATTAGTAATTGAAAAAAATACAGATATTTATATATATAAACTTACAGCTTTAATTCTGTTTTTTAAATCAGAAGGGAATAATTCATAAGCGCGTTTAAGACCTACACGATATTCATCACTAGGATTTTCCCAATCACCTAATATCAATTTGCGTCCACTTAAACCTTCAATAATTTTATTGCCGTTTTCAATAGTAGGCTTTACAATCTTGGTAGTTTCAACATCACCTTTCAAATTAAATTAATTTAGTTCTCTCTCTCTCTTTTTTTTAGTTTTCTTTGGAGCAAAATATTCGCTTTATTCTTACCTCCACCAGTACAGTCGACAATATCAATAATTTTAGGTTTCCCATCAGTAGTTATCTATTAATAAAGTTAATTATTTTTAATATTAATGGCTCTTGGCCTTTGTACCTGCATGCCTGCTGCTCCAGGATCAACGCCTACAATAAAAAATGAATTATTAACCAACTCACAATTGTCTTTTATCTTTAATTTCAATAACTTACCTGTATCGAGAATAGCAATTACTGTTCCTCTACCATCGTAATTTGGAAACTTTTTTATAAAATTAGCTGCTTGAGTATCCTGTTTTGGCATAAGGCCATGAACAGGGTATTCATTAATAGGCTTTGAAGAAGCAAATCTCATTTACAAAAGATGATGCGAGAGAGAGAGATATAAAAAAAAAAGGAGAAAAAAAATCCTATTTTTATACAAATGTATTTTACTTTATATTAATATTCAGCGCATAACATATTGACACAATGTATTTTTAGATGAATGACGCTGATTTATTGACCAATAAAATTTGACTTTTTCCCAGCTTGATTATGTAATTTATAGAAAATGAACCACCAGTTAGGGTGACATTGAATACTACGAAAGTATAACCTACTTTTACAAACTCAATATATTAGATCACAACTTGTAGAATGTTTCATTATATCTTTTGTATTATAATGTTATGACATGTATAATTTATTATCACATTGTTGAAAGAAAAAAAAAAAAAAAAAAAAAAAAAAAAAAAAAAAAAAAAAGCACAGTATACTGTACACAAATGATTGCGAATATTTAATGCAAAAACGGATGAATGATTATTTAAATTTTAGTGTTTATAATAAGTATGATACACTTAGACATTGCTTAAACAACTGATATTGGCTTTAGGCGTAATGCTTATCACGTAAGAATAATAATAAGTATGTTAAACTGTGAGATTGCATAGCATCAAGACACATTAATGTAGACTCCGAAGATTAAAAAAAAAAGGGTCGCCGCACAAAAAGTATTATTTATAAGTCTAAACATGATGAAGTATTATTACGAATTATGCGACTAATCTCCGTTTTTCTTCCACGGATTTAAATTATTTCGTATTTATATTGAAGTTCAATAGAAGCATCTTCAACACATATTATTGTAATAATAGGATAGTTGAATTTTTAATAAATCGAGCAATTTTCTTTTCGTCTTGTGAGTCTTTTTAAAGTAGTATTGTTAATAAAGGAAAAGTGTTCATAAGTCTTAGCGACTTTTAAGCAATATGTATATAGATAGATAAATATATACTCTTCACTTTAACACTTATAAATCTGAGATACTATAGCGCGTCTATCATTGTCATATTATGCCTAGATAGATAAAGGGATATAATGACTTTTATACTTATTTTATTTTGATTCTTATTGTTGAATTCTAAATAATGAGAATGTAGATAATTTTCAATAAGATAAGATTGTTTCTATCGAATAAGTAAAGCTACACCCTTCAAATTCTATTTTTTTTAATGAAAGATTTGAAATATGCCTAATAGGTATAACTATATTTTGATTTACTATAAAAGTAATTATTTTTTTTAAAAATCAAAGCATTAGGTATGCTAATGCGAGAGTAAAAACAACTGTTAACAAGATTTCAAAAGTATTAAAGCAATTACAAATAGTATAGAAATGATTATTATATAAAAAAAAATGGTGTATGTCAATTATTAACAGCTAGTATTACTCAGTATATAACTGAAAGATTTATAAGAATAAATAAGAAATGATTAACCTCTTCATATACATATATGCATATACACCTATATATCATACTGCATACAGACTAATCTATATAGGATAGAACACGTATACATATACTAATCAAACACATTATTTTTAAAGTTATGTAAATAAGCAAGATACTACTTTCAAGTAAACTTGGCTTTTCTTCATTTTAAGATCATTTCTTAAAGAAGAAGAAAAAAGCGATCAAGCTTTTGTCATTTACTTTTTATATAGCATAAATATACATTATACATTATATATTTAGACTATTCACGTATACTTAATTCATAACATATTGTTTGATTTTATTTAATTTTGTTTAAGGAAAAAAAAAAGAACATAATTTGAAGTAAGGAGCATACCATCATATTAACTGAATTTAGCCTTCATTTTTATTGAGTAGTTGATGAATGGCCTGCAGAAGCCATACTTAACAAGGTACCTGAGATCCTTCTTGAAGATTTAGGTTGGATGCTATTGGAAGCAGCACTATTAGATCCTATTATACAAAAGTCAATGAAATAATAAAGATTAAAAAGTATAAAAGATATCTACTTGATCTACTAGAAGAATTGCCAGCTGATGCTTGGTAGTAGTTACTATGTATAACAGAGCCTTCATTAGAATCAAGTTGTAATGGTGGAATAAAGTTAAAGCTATTTTTATCAGAAGTTAATGACCTTTGCGAAGAAGTTGAAGTTGAGCGACCAAGCTAAAATCAAACAGTAAGTTAAATTAAATACTCCTACAAATATGATATATTTTACTCTGCCACTTCTTCCGGGAGAAGGAGGAATTGTTCTAAAGACAGCAGGGATACTATTATATAATATAAGCTACATATTTAGTATAGATAGTGTGTATATTTACCCTTCATCTAAAGGAATATCATCTGTTGATAAACCAGCATGCTTACGAAATTGAATTAGTTCACTCTTGTATTTATTACATTGTTGCATTTTTAATAAATCTATTATATTCATGAATATGTCATTATTTTCTGTAGAAAATAAAGGCTTACTTACATTCTTTTTCCATTTCTGTAGTTCGGTTTTTTAATACAGCAATTTCAGATAATAATGATTCTGCTGTTCCTGATTGAATTTCAGTTGCTGTTCCTGTAGGGGATGAACCCCACTTCATAGGGCTAAGATGATGAATAATGAATAAGAGGTAGGTATTAATAATTAACTAGAGTGCTACATACATAACAGGAGATAAAGCTCTTGGGGATGCAGTTATGCCATCCTGAACACAAGACATCATAGGTGATGTAGTCTGGGATTGTTGTTGTTGTTGTTGTTGTATTTTCATTGAGTCCAATTGCTTTTGTAACTTATTTACAATGAATTCTTGTTCTTGTTCTAAAGAGTTTTCCATTTCAATCTTTTCACGTTGAAGCTGGTTTAATTTCTTTTGTAACATATTTGTCATATATTCCTCTTCTTGTTCTACTTGTAAAAGTAACTCACTTTTTTCTTTTTTCAGTCCTGTAATTCTTTTCAATAATCGGTTTGAAATAAATTCTTCTTCTTGTTCTGCCATAGCAGTCTTTTTATTTAGAAAGGTTAATAAATAACATATAATATGTTAGAGTTCATCTTACCATCTCGACTGCCATTTGTCTCAACATTTTATTATCATGCTTTAGTATCTTTACGTGACCCTGTTCCATTTCCAACTCAAATTCTAACTTTTTTATTTCTGTTTCTTGTTGACGGCATTTTTCATATAAATGCTTAATTTCCTTTCTCAATTCATTTACATCTTTAATGCTCATTAACTCATCTAAACGATTCGTGCTTTCAGAGCTAATTTTCATAAGGTTAATTAGTATTATTTTTTAACTTGTAAACACAATGTCATCTTACTTGGTTAAAAATTGCAAATGTCCTGAAGCTGCTTCATAAGCTTTTGTTCGAGACTTTAGGTCTGCCTCTAACACAGCTTTATCTTTGCGAACCTTTTAACGAGTTTCAAAGGATATTAGGAGTTTTTTTTTTTATAGAAAATATATATAATTACCTTTTCGAGTTGTTCGCGAAGAGAATTTGTGAATTGCTGTTCGTTTTTTCTAATTTCTTCAAAGAATTTGTCATTCTAATTAATAAAAGTAAATAATGATTAGTTGATTTCACCATTAGAAACGAAGAAAAAGAAAATAGAAATTACTTCAACATCTTCATTGTCTTTTATATTTAACGACTTTGATGTATCGTTATTGCTCATTATCTCAAATATCGTTTAGTTAAATAAAATGGATAATTTTATTTAATAAATTTAGAGAGATGCATTTCCGCTCAGATATTTCCTTACAAAATATCCTTTCGTTTGGGGAAATTCATGTAACGCACAGTTTTTCATTATTTTTGGAAAAAAATAGTTACCTGTATATACTTGAAACATTACGTGATACAAAAAAAAGCTTTTATATATAATCGTATATGTACACGTATACAGTGGTTCCACCCCCAAAGTTGGCTTTTGTTGTCATTAAAATTGTTTTTTTTTCTTTTCTTTTTCTTTTTCTTTTTCTTATCCTTTTTTATTGATTTATCTAGCTAGTATGAACACTCAATTAACATATGGTCAAGCCTGTTGTCTGGTTCTTGGCTTTCCCCCCACTAAAGAAAATCGTGAAAAAGCAAAGCAATACTTTCACACAAGTCTTCTAGATGTGTGTTATATTGATTCACTTGGACCAAGGCGTTCCATTGCAATGGTTCGAGGTCTTATTTCTCGTGATCCTTTCACATACCGCTCCTTTACTACCACTCGCCCTTCAAGTCCAATTGAAGTGCCTGATTGCTCAACAGAGGATACGGAGCATATCAATGATGATAGTGATGAAAAAGATGAAGCTGATGATACTTCTGAACTTCTACCCGTAACGAAGGAAGGTGTTTTACACATCCTCAAAAAAATCTTCTTAAGTACACAGCCCTCTAACAGCGAAATGCACGAAAAGATGTTTGTAGATCAAGCAAATCTTCAATCGATTCTATCAAAGTACTTTGTTGAAGAACCAAAATTAAGTTCAAAAGTCATGCAATGGATGGGTGCAGATGGTTCGTTTGGTAGAGTAGAAAGAATACGCGTATCAGGAGCTCAAGCACGTGGTCGTTGGCTTTGGAGACTTAAAAAATGCTATCATATGCCTATTAACTTCTACAAAGAATAAAAAAGACATGTAGAAGAAGAGGCAGATGTAGTAACAATCGGGTATGCTCGAAAGTCCTATGGAAATGAAGCCATATTAACACATATTCGCCTACTACAGCTTCAAGTTGACAAGTTGCGTGATAGATGTCTCGCAAGAAAGGTGTTTGTCTCTTCTCATTGCAGTGCTGCAATGCCTTTGGAAGCTCGTGATAAGAAGCAAGGTGATAACATGGTAAGAAATGGCCAGTTGAATAACTGTGCTGGAACTATGCAAGATCTGATTCATAGATTACGAACGAATATGAAGCCAGTAAGATTAGTTGTGATTGATTACGCTGGTCTCTCCACGGATTTCGAGGATATTCATCTGTTTGTTAGCAAGTACAAGCAGATCGTAGAGCTTGTTATAGATGTTGGATACACGTTTGATATCATTCCGAGAGCTGATGTCTTGAGTGACAATAGTGTATCAAACAAATTTAACTGTCGTATTGGACCTCAAAAACGAAGCCGTGCATTGGTAGAGGATTAGTCACTCGTTTGTTCCCCCTTCCTTTCATTATAAATTATTTGCCATTATATGATACCTAATTAATAAACTTAAATCTTTCCATCCATTGATTACATGAAATAACATTGTATATTGTGCTTGCCACACTTCCCTTTTATTAAGCATGTCAAGTTCGTTATCAAAAATATTAATAAACAGAACGACCTTGACTCACTGACTTGACCTTGACTCACTGCCTCGACCTTGACTCACTGAACTGGACCTTGACTCACTGAACTGGACCTTGACTCACTGAACTGGACCTTGACTCACTGACTCCAACCTTGACTCACTGACTCCAACCTTGACTCACTGACTCCAACCTTGACTCACTGACTCGACCTTGACTCACTGACTCGACCTTGACTCACTGAACTGGACCTTGACTCACTGACTCCAACCTTGACTCACTGACTCGACCTTGACTCACTGACCTGGACCTTGACTCACTGTGTCATGAGCTGACTAATAACGTCATGTTTCTTGATTAAACAAGCGGATCAAGGAATTCTATCTAGATTCCCCTAAATCTCTCTTGATCCACTTCATCAAATAATATTAAAGCTTCTAACACTTCATTATCTTTAACATATCTTAATCGGTCGTAACTAATACTTTTCTGATTCACATCTTATCCTCAGACCTCTTTAACAATTCTTATAAATATCCCATCAATTTAAATCCATAAATAAAATAATAGACTTTAGAACTATTGTTCGGTCTCGTTGACTCTTTTTGTCTTAATTATTATTTTTTATTTTCTAATATTTTTTATTTGATATTTTAAAAGAAATATTACAACTTCTTATCACGAGCTTCTAAAGGCATTGCAGCACTGCAACGTGAAGAGGCAAACACCTTTCTTGCGAGACATCTATCACGCAACTTGTCAACTTGAAGCTATAGTAGGCGAATATGTGTTAATATGGCTTCATTTCCATAGGACTTTCGAGCATACCCGATTGTTACTACATCTGCCTCTTCTTCTACATGTCTTTTTTATTCTTTGTAGAAGTTAATAGGCATATGATAGCATTTTTTAAGTCTCCAAAGCCAACGACCACGTGCTTGAGCTCCTGATACGCGTATTCTTTCTACTCTACCAAACGAACCATCTGCCCTCATCCATTGCGTAATTCATGGTCATGATTTTGATTCTTTAACAAAGTACTTTGATGGGCTTAAAGGGGGAGCATAAGAATATGAATGGTATGTGAAAGGATCACGAGAAATAAGACCTCGAACCGTTGCAATGGGACGCCTTGGTCCAAGTGAATCTATATAACACACATCTAGAAGACTTGTGTCAAAGTATTGCTTTGTTTTTTCATGATTTTCTTTAGTTGGGGGAAAGCCAAAAACCAGACAATAGGCTTGACCATATGTTAATTGAGTGTTCATACTAGCTAGATAAATCAATAAAAAAGGACAAGAAAAAAAACTCTGATGGTAACAAAAGCGAGCTTTGGATGATGCAAGGGCAAAAATTGAGCTACAGCGACTCACAAAAGTGTGGTAATGTTTCGGAATTTTAAGTAATTCATACAAATCCACCATAACTGATTGTCTATCTATTAAGCAAAGTGCTATATAGTATGTATTAGCGGAAAGACAGAAGTCTCCTCTTTCTGATGATACCTATAGCATATATGCACTATATGATGTTTTTATTTCAAAAATCATGTTAAAAGCTATATGTATATAAATTTTATGCAAATAGTTTTTTTTTTTTTTTTTTTTTTTTTTTTTTTTTTTTTTTTTTTTTTTTTTTTTTTTTAGAAAGAAATAAACAATGTACCTTTAGTGTTTAGTACTTAATAGCAGCACCTTTTACTTTTATTACTGCTTCAATGCATCCTGACATGCTTTCTATGAGTTTAAAAGCATAGCTCTGCCGTGAATTTATTGTACCAGTCATCAGCAATTCGCTCCCACAACTCATCCATGTTCTTTAGTGGTCTATCATAGGCAGCAAGCTTGTACTTTCAAATAAAATCAAAGATTTTCAATTGGATTTAAATCAGGTGAGTATGATTGCCATTCAAGGACATTTGTTTTATTTTTCTTGAACCAATTTTAGGTATATTAAGATGTATGTTTCGGATCAATGTCTTGTTGAAGAATTGAATCTTTCTTACAAAGTCCATGGCCCTTAAAAATATCATACTCTTGACCATGTAAGTTCCAGGCAGTGATAAAATGACCAGTATAAAAAGATTGCGCAATCAATCTTCCAAATAATGGGATAATCTTCTTTGGTCTACCTTGTTTTACGTTAATCTTAATCTGATTTTCTTCGGCAGTTTTGCCAATTGTCCTAACTGACACGCCCATTACCTTAGAAACATCTCTATAAGACTCCTTAGCATTAGGTTTTGCTGGAATATCCATCTATATATCATAAGCAATTGGTTTCATTCTATTGTATGTAATGATCAATGTGTTAATGGGAATAATGCACAAATGTTGTTCAGATTAGTTACGATTTTGAGGAAAAAACGATAATAAGAGGTCAAAAATAAAAAATAAACAAAAAAAAATGGCCTTTTTGTAAAGAAAAAAAAATTATTATGCAGCGAAATGGCTAAATCGCATAAAATGACATGATTTGTTGTTGAAATGAACATTCATGCATGTAAATGAAGTTAAGAAGCTATAAAAAATAATGTAAATTTTGTCAATTTTCCATTAAAAATACTCTTATTCATGTTTCTTTATTCAGCCAAAAGTCATAAAACATTGCCACACTTTTGTGAGCCACTATTGTATAACCAAAACAAACTTTGACTAATAAAAAAGCGAACACTGGACTTTTAAGAAACGAACTTTGGTCGAGAACCAAAGCAAATTTAGTTCATTGGAAAGCGAACTTTGGGAATGGAGCTACTATATAAATCATTTATTGATACGTCTGCGGTGCTTAAGTGTGAAATAATAATATAGAAACAAATAAAATAAAGTATAATAATAAAACTAAATAAGACTCAATAAACCAAACGACAATCTTGACAGTTTTCTCCTAAATCCCGAGTTCTTCATTTGACAATATTGATTAATTCTCTTTTCCAATTGCCTCAGTTGCAATCGCAGTACTCAATGTACACAATTAATTTATTGTCAAAAGAAAAGCTTTCCTTTTTATTAAAGATGTTAAGAAAAAATAACACCCCGAAGAAAAGTCACAACTAACGTGACTGCTAGATTTTAGAAGTGTCATTAGATAATTATCACACACCGTGTCATTATATACCATAAAAATTATTATATAAGGGATTGAGAAGGAACAATGAGGACACCGGTGTTGACTGATAAACAGCTTTCGAATTTGAAGTTATATAAATATGCAAGTGTTGATAAGTCCTTTTTGTCAAGATACATCCTTCGACATTATTGGGATTTAGCAATCAAGTTTTTTCCTTTAAACATGGCGTAGAGTATTACATGTATAATATTTTATAAAATCTATTAAACTTACTTATTTTATAATATACTTAGACCTAATTTGATAACATTGATTGGATTATTGTTTATAATTTTTAATGTCATTCTTGTCTTCATTTATGTACCAACTATGGAAGCAGAGGATGCCGGGCCTTCTTGGATTTATTTTTCATTTGCCCTGGGTTTGTGGCTTTATTCTACTTTTGATAATGTAGATGGGCGTCAAGCTAGAAGAACTGGAACATCGAGTCCTTTAGGTGAATTGTTTGATCATGGTTGTGATGCATTGAATTGCTCTTTTGCTGCTATCGTTCAAATGTCAGCTCTCGGTTTAGGTCATACAAAAGCGGCAGTCATCATTTATGCAATTGCTACCACCGGCTTTTATCTTTCAACAATTGAAGAGTACCATACAGAAATATTATATTTGGGTTATGTTAATGTACCTACTGAAGGTGTCGTTCTTTTATGTATTATGTTTACTATTTCTGGTATCTATGGCCCTATGATTTGGAAGACTCAATTGGGATCTATGATTCCCAGCTTGCCTAGTTACATGCAACAGTTAACTTTGAATGAGGCTTATATTTGGTTTATTGGTCTTATGTTTCTATTTACTCATGTTCCAGTCTGGTAAGTGACCTTATCAAAAAAAAAAAAAAAAAAAAAAAAAAAAAAAAAAAAGAAATACACGTTTGATAATTTTTGTTAATTGTAAAATAAGCTTTTATGCTATGTATAAAGCTTGCCGTTTGAAAAAAAAGCCATTCATTCGTACAATGTTATATGATAATTGGGCAATTGTGCTTTATGTAGCTTCTTTCTACTTATGGGTTACTTCACCTTATTCATTTATCCTTTCTCATCAACATTATGCAATTTACTTGCTTGCTGTTGGTATTGTCTTTGGTCGTATTTGCTCTAAGATTATTTTGGCTCATCTCACAAAGTCACCTTCACCTCTTCCTACTGGTTTATTAATCCCTCTTGTTTTAGGAGCTATTATTACCAATTTGCCTTTATATACGTCTATGTAAGTATTTTCTGTATCATTTATATTTTACTGTAAACTAACATTTTGTTCTGTAAAGGCCACCTATTTTTACTCCTCAATCCGAGTATATTTATTTAGTCTGTTACTTTATTTTATCGCTTGTATTATACTTACGCTGGGCTGTCTGTGTTATTGACAGTATTTGCACTTATCTTGGTATTCGTTGTTTGGTTATCCCAGATCAGTCTACAAAGATTAAATAATCATGCTGTATACTGTAAAAAAAATATATTAGAATGTATATAGAAAAGAGATGTATTTAGATTGAAAAAAATAAAAAAAAAAGGAGGAGGTATGATACTATGTTTTTTTATTTGTATTGCCTATAAAATAGTAATATAACATGTACATTATTATAAGATAACGTTTATATAAAGAGGGCTTTAAATACGAATAGATTAAACGCTATTAATAATACATATTTATTAATTACTATTCTCAATGTGTATATCGAATACATATTTATATAGCAATTCCTCCCACATGTCTACTGTGAGTAGTAAAAGCTTTATGAGCTATTTTCATAGATTTGAGAAAGAAACGGCTGAATTTATTTATAAACGATAAATAGGCAATTCCTTTCTATTTACGTGTGTAGTGTGTTGCTTTCTTGTTTTTTTATACATTTCCTTTTTAAGACCTTCTATCTTAATTAATTCATCATCCGCAATTTATTATAAAAAAGAAAAAAAGAAAAAAATCAATGCAAAGAAAACCTCATTTTCCTCATATTCCTTATTTAATACTATGATAAACCCAAAGAATAGACAAGAAGGCAGATCAGTTGAAGAAGTAAAATTAGTGTATCAACGTAAATAGAACTTCTACTCATATATAGTTCTATATATTTTATTTATTTATTTTTTAGATTATTATGGAGCCTTATTCATACTTGATTTCTCACCCTGGAAAAGATATTCGAGCTAAATTAATAACTGCTTTTGACTTTTGGTTGCATGTATCAGAAGATATTCTTGTAGTTATTAACAAAGTCATTGGAATGCTTCATAATGCTAGTTTAATGTAAGCTTATTTATTTATTTATTTATTTATTTATTTATTTATTTATTTATTTATTTATTATTTTACCGACTATTATAATATACTAAATAGGATTGATGATGTGCAAGATGATTCAGATTTAAGAAGAGGAGTACCTGTTGCCCATCATATTTATGGTGTCCCTCAAACTATTAATACAGCTAACTATGTAATTTTTTTGGCTTTACAAGAAGTAATGAAGCTCAACAATCCCGAAATGATTAAAGTGTGTACAGAGGAATTAATTAATTTACATAGAGGACAAGGAATTGAGTTATATTGGAGAGATAGTCTGACATGTCCAACTGAAGAAGAATATATTGAGATGGTGAATAATAGTAAGTTGAATTATAAATTATATACATATAGTAACCTGTAATCATATATACATTTAAGAAACCAGTGGTCTTTTACGATTGGCTGTTCGACTTATGCAAGCAGCAAGTAAAAGTGAAATGTAATAAAATGTCTATAAAAAATATGCAAGTTACTAAAAAAAAAATGGATATGTTTTGTAGTGATTATACACCTTTAGTTAACATTATTGGTATTCATTTTCAAGTTCGTGACGATTATATGAACCTTCAATCAGATACGGTAAAGTATGAATGCGTACAGTATTGTATTAACGCTAATTACTCATATTTTGTAGTATTCAAATAATAAAGGATTTTGTGAAGATTTAACAGAAGGTAAATTCTCTTTTCCAATCATTCATGCTATTCGAAAGGATATTACCAATCGACAGTTGCTGAGTATTATTGCTCAAAAGCCAACTTCAATTGAAGTTAAGAAATATGCACTAGAAGTGATTAAGAAGTCTGGTAGTTTTGAATATACTCAAAACTTTCTTTATGAAAAGGAAATTGAAGCCTTAAATGAAATCAAGCGCTTAGGTGGAAATCCTTTGCTGGAGAAATATATTGATACAATAAGAATAGTAAACAACAAATAATCTTGTATTAAAAAAAAAAAAAAAAAAAAAATTGTTCTGTTAGCCATAATGGATAAGCTACATATTATTTGATTAGAGTTATTGATTTAAGTGATGGGATTTTAAGGGTTATTGTTTGAAGATCTTTTCAAAAGCATTTTATCTTCAAGGACAATATTACTTGAACTGTTTGTTGTTAGACTGCAAGCTTCTTTGTAATGCTTTTAGAACATAATTAAATAAGCTTATTAGACATTATAAACGTACATATAAAATTGAAGCATAAAACCCTTCAATATAATGTTTTTTTATAGCAACTATGTTTGTCTCATATTGGTTATATACTTTAATATTACATATTTAACGATTAAGTTATTTTTTAATATGCTTTTAAATGAATGGCTTCTTTTTTTTTTTTTTTTTTTTTTTTTTTGCTGTCAAAGAACTTTGCAACATTACATAATAATAATAAAAAAGCCTTTTTCAGATCATTTCTGTGACTTGAGTTTTTTGTTCCTAAATTGTAAACTAAGAATTTTTCTCCATGTTAAAGCGAGTGTATCTCTTCTTTTCAATAAAAACAAATTACTGTAATCTAACATGGAAATCCTTAAGAGTAATTTTGAAGAAAAACTACCTTTGATAAAAGAAGCTTTACTCGAAGCTGACTTTATTTCTATTGATACTGAACTAACAGGTAATATATATATATATGTATATGTATAAGGCAAATCTAAATCTAAACCTATTTATATGATCTAATTAGGCTTAACAACACCCGATGTTCAATTTCAAACTGGCGATGATATAGCAATTAGATATTCAAAGATAAAAAGTTGTGTCCAAGAGTTTACGATAATTCAATTTGGTGTTTGTGCTTTTAAACGCGATCCAGCTACAGAAAATTATATTGCGAAGCCTTTTAATTTTTATATCTTTGGTGCAGATACTGCTGAAATTCAGAGTCGGCGTGTCTTTTCTGCTTCAGCAAGTAGCTTGACTTTCTTAAGATCTAACAAGTTTGATTTCAATAAATTGATTGATGAAGGTATTCCTTTCTATAACTATTCAGAAGAAAGCTCTATGTATCAGTCTAATCAAGGGACTAGTCTTGTAAATAGACGTAGTATTATTAATGGTATAAGAAAAACACACACACACATATATATATATATACACATGCACACATTCATAGTCAAATTTTTTAATGTTAAACTAATATGAATCACATAGAATCAACATTGACTAAAGCTAATAAAAGTTTCTTGGAATATAATCGAAACTCTATTCAAAAGTGGTTGCAGGACAACACAGAAAAACCCTTAATTGTACAAGTGAATAGTAATTTTTACAAGAAGCTTATTTATCAAGAAGTTCAAGATAGTAAATATAATGGCTTTTTACAAGCAACTCAAAGAGATAGTAAACATGTACAAATTACAAGATTAAAAGAAGAAGAGAGAAGAAAAAAGGCAGTTAATGTACGTAAACAAACAAACCACACTATTAAACTTTTTATTTATTTATTTATTTATTAATATGCAAATTTAGTCACCTAAATTAAACTTTCGTACGATTATTGAATTGATTAGAAAAGCAAATTGCCCAGTGATTGCACATAATGCAGTATTCGATATTTTTCATACGGTAGATCAATTCTGGCAATACTTACCAAATAATATTCAAGAGTTTAAAAAGATCGCAAACAGCATGTGGCCGACTATTGTAGATACTAAATATTTAGCAGAATATCATCCTGCCCTAAAAGTAAAATGATATAGATGTATATCTTATATAACTTTTTATTAATCCGCTCGTTTCTAGACATGCTTTACTTCAACTGTGTTAGGCACATTATATAATGATGTATATAATGAATTAAAAGAAGCAGGCCAAGAAATTAGTAAGAAATAACATGAAAAGCAAGTAACTTTCTGGTTTTAATCTAATTATATGTATATAATAGTTATGGCTGAAAATTTTGATCGCTATTCAGGTATTGGAGGTGAAGTCGAGCATGAGGCTGCTTATGATGCTTACATGACAGGTGCAATCTATCTTGCTTTTATAGCTTTTATTCGTGAAAAAAAAGGTATTTGCTTGTTTCTTTTTTCTTTCTTTTCTTTTTTTTTTCATTCCTTTTATATTAATTTACATGCATGTATCTAGATGAGCAAGAAAAAAAAGAAAATAAAGCCCTCATTGGTAAAAGAAAGAGGAATCCAAATGATGAAGGAGAAGAGGAAAAATCAGACAGGGATAATGTGTCTGAAATTGAGGAGAAAGCAAATAATGAAGATGAATCCTCAAGTGAAGAAGAGGGAGAAGCATCAAGTGATGATTCTGACGATGAATTTTTAAAAAAGAAGAATAAGTCAAGCGTTTTTATGGATAAATCTTTAACACCTTATTACGGACGTATTTTCTTGATGCGTAGTGAAATTCCTTATATTAATTTAAAAGGAGAAGAAACAGTGGGTAAGTAAAGTATTTGATAGACATATGCTTATACTTACATATTATATAGAAATAGTAACATATCCAAATAAATTCTATCTTCATAATATTCCTACTGGTTTAACCAACACTGCCATTGAAAAACTTTATCCAACTATACAGCCTATTGCTATTTCATGGATTAATGAAAATAATGCTTGGATCATTTTAAAGGATGAAACAAAGATTCCATTTGTCAAGCTCGGTATGCTTGGTCTATCAGTTGTTCATAGCTTTTTACCTGGTTGTTCACGTCAAATAGAAGGGGAAGCATATGGAATTACCAAAGAGGCAAGTAAAATGGAGTTAATCACGCATGAGCAATATTTAGCTCTTTATGGACCAAACAAGACAGTAAATTATAATAACGCGGCATCTATAATGAATGCAAATAATGTGGCCCCTATAAACAACGACAATGTCATTACTTCAACAGCTTCTGCTGTTGCTATAGCTGCAAAAGAAATCGATAGTACACCCAAAGGTGGATCAAGCTATGATGGTAAGAGATAGTTATATTTAGAATATACCGAGTTATTGATGTATGTATGTATGTATATTTATATATATATTAAAATTAGAACTAGATATCCCTTTACCACCTAGCTTTGCTGCATCACTTAAAAGAAATAGAGTTGAAGATGATAATGTAAATAGTCAAAATGGTTTCAAGAATAGAAAACTGAACGAATAAGCATATTTCATACCTTTTACACATCTGATAAATTAGATAACATACAATATAAATCGAGTATATTTCCATGAATGTATTACCAGAGATTTGTTAATAAACTTTTTTTTTTCTAACAAATATTGTCTATCATTGGCAGAATACTTTATCATACTTTAAGGTGTAAGTCTATTTTCTTGAATGAAACAATTCCATCTAATAAAAAGTAAACATATTTTTGATGTCCCGTTTGAATAAATAGACAACGTGGTAGTAAAGACTATCACTAGCAGCTTTAATTAGAAATACTCAAAAATTCATTCTTATCTTTATTAGCCATGCTTATACGAAAAAAAAAATTAAATATGAAGGTGTAACGCTAGCTTGTAAACATTAAGATCCTGATGTTAATTGTGTTGGGCAGGTGAACCAAGTTTTACAGCTAAAAACAAAATAGGTTGGGCCATTCAAAAAAAATTCGGGATAGTGACGCTGAAAATGGGAAACTCATTTAAAATTGGGATAAATATTTTTTTATTACATTCAATTTTTATAGCCCCTTTTCGTAATCTATACACCTTTGCCAGAATGATAAGGAGTGTCCCATTTTCAGCGTCGCTGTCCCGAATTTTTTTTGAATGGCCCAAATTATTTTTTGGCTGGCCCAACCTATTTTCTTCAACTGTAACCAGCATGTTTTGCCGATATAATAATGTTTTCCTTTTTAACTACAAATACAAGTCACTTAAAAAAAAAACCAGGAACAATAGCAATACTCAACTCATAAAAACTTTTTAATATTATTAATTATACCATCATGTTAAATCGATGTCAAAACAAATTTGCTTTCTCAAAATTGAATTGGTACATCTCAGCTCTAAAAATAAATGTACCAAAAAGAATACTAATTTCAACGTTAACAAAATGTCAATATCGAACGACAACCTTATTAGAATCAACAATTCCTGATAAAAACATTGAAATATCAACAACTGTATTACCATCAGTTTTAGTACCACCTTTGGATCGGCCAACGCAATTAAATAGTGTTCAGCTAGTAGATCCCCGAGAATATCGACATTGTTCCGGATTTAATAAGCATAGTGGACAACAATGCAAATACATTCTAAAAGTTGATCCTTCTATTCCACTATCAGAACGTATGTATTGTTACCGTCATTATTCAAAGAATCATAAAGATCGAAATAGGTACGAATCTGTAGTAGTGACTAAAGCTAATCGATTAAAAAAACCGACAAAATTAAAAAGAAATAAAGCAACACCTTCTGTGAATACAGTAAATATATCCAATAAGCTTTACGATTGCTGGAATTGTAAGTATTGACTTTAATATATTTAGAGGAAGGGAGGAGAGGAAGGGGAAAAGGAATGTTGTATAGACATATAACTTATGTTCGTTCTAGTGTGGATTGCAGAGAATATAAAAGATGAACAACGAGCCTTAATTCGTCAGGAAATACAAAAACCTATATCCAAACGTGAAAAGTCCGGTTATATTTATGCATATTTACATGATGAAGACTTAATAGTATCCGAGCATGCATATGCATATTTTAAAATTGGTCGTACAACAGATCCGCATCGACGTATGTACCAAATACACCGAGATTGCCAGTATATACCCAAGATTATTGAACTGTTCCCGAGCTTTCCCGAACCGTCTGATACTTCACTCATGGAAAATAATCTGGAACCTTTGAAACATAAATTAGATGAATTGCCAAAATGCCCATTGTCACATAGAGTAGAGAGACTTATACATTTAGAATTATCAAGTTTATATCAAAAGGTAATGTTTACATGTCCTAAATGTGGGAAAAAGCATAGAGAATGGTTTCGCGTCAAAAGAACTAAACATCCTGATGGAAGATTAATGACTGACCAAGAACTTTGGCTATTAAACATCAGGCCAGTTATATTACGATGGATACAATTTGGGGTTCTTGCCTCAGAATTAAAAAGGATATAGATTTGGATATATATATATATAATAGTTATTCAAATTTACATTACTATTATTTTATATGTGTATAGATAATAAAAAAAAAAAAGAATAGAACGATCTATTTAAAGTGATAAAATAAAATCACAAAAAGTATTAAAATAAGGAAAGAAAGAGTGAAGGGGAATACTGTTAAGTGATTATCGTACAGAAAAAAAAATATAAAGTATATAAATATATATATGTGTGTGTGTCGTAAAATTAAGTTACTTCTGTAGAGGCTCCAGTAATAATTCTATCATTAGTATTCGCATTATTTGTTGTATTATTATTGTCTGAAGTATACTCAATACTAGATGTGGATGGGCAATCGAGATGAGTGTAAAAACTAATCATACAAAGTAAACGATCCTTAATTTCTTGCCAAATTAATTCACATTCATTATTAACACTGCCTAAGACAGTTGCATTTTCTTGGGCTCGGCGAAGTAGATAAGGGATAACTTCATCAATTGTACCATAAGGCAGGTATTTGTAAATTGAATATCCATTTTGAGCTAGAGTATAAGAAATCTGATCTTGCATACCAAACAATTGTCCAAAATGCACAACACCAGACTTGGGTAAAATATGATGACGCTCCATTTCTTCTACAGTCAATATTGTAGAATCTCTATTATGGCTAGCGACCATAAATACAATAGGGGTATTTGTAGCTGTCAAATTAACATCTATGTTCTCTTGATGTTTGTGTAATTTGTTGATTAAATATCGGACACTATTATTGTAGGAAGTATGAGTGTCTTCAATGCTATCATGAATAGGTGATTCATAACCCATTTTTTGTGAACGCTAATCACATATAATTTAGTTGACTATAAAAAAAATACTATTATGAATATCTGAAGGCTACCTTTCGTTCTGAGACCATATAAGCACCGCGTACTAATTTAGCAGCAAAAGTAAAATTCTCTTTATCTGCTCTATCCACGTCTCGTTCAATTTTTTTCTGAGCTGTCTTTGTGTACATTTGATCTATAACATAATATATAAAAAAATAAAGAGAGAGAGAGAGAGAGAGATAAGTAAGAGGAGGAGATAATATACAATCTGAATTAAAACCTGAAATAGCTTACATGTGTTATACACTATAGGAATATGGTCATTATGTTCTAAACGGTTATATTGTTGCTGCAAATTCATTGCTATATAATCGATAGCCTCTTGAAAGTAAGATTGTTCAGCATCAATCATTATACCTACTTCAAGTTCATAAGCTAACGTACATACTTCATCCAATCGTTGAACCATTCTATCATAAATTTCTAAATCTTCACGAGTTAAAAATACATCATTTTTTGATTTGGAATACACTGTTTCCCACCATACTTTACGACCAGGATTATTTAAACTAAATAATGTGATATACTCATTATAGTCTAATGTTCTATCTTGATTTTTTAATTGAGATAAAAAATCAGTTCGTTGCTGTCTTTGAATTTCAGAATACGTTGGAGGGCAAATATGAGTTGCAACATGCTCTACACATTGACTATCAATACGACCATTTAATTGATACATTTCAAATGCTTTGTTTAAACGGTCTATAACTTGATTCAATTGGAGTAATATATCAAGAGGAGCAAGTGCTGTTATCTTTACAGCCACTAATGATTTGTTGATGGAATATTCATCTTGATGTCCTTGTGCTGCAGTTTTAATGCATGTTTTTAGCATTCTAAGCGTAGCATCCGCTTGTTGCTCCTGCTGCCAATGTTTATTCCTTTTATCATTCTGAATTGCCTTTGTTTCTTCAATATGTAAATCAGCTTCAATACTAAGATCTAGTATACAATTAATATTTGATTGCGATAAATGATTCATTGTGATGACACATTCTTCAGCTGTCTCCCCACCACAAAATTGTTTGAAAAACGTCTTTTTGGCAAACCAGTAAATGGGATCTTGTAAATGCATTTTTTCTGAGATGTCAATAATGTATGGTGCGATATCGACCAACCATGGAACGGTGCATAATTTATATACAAACAGCGCCAATAAAAGTTCTTGCATAGATTTAGATTGTAAAGCTACTCTACTACTATCATCGCTCAATTGGGAAGTAACGCTCTGAGATTGTAAATTAGTAGAGGTTGAAATGGGTACAGCTTGTGAATCTTTGACCTTAAGTTTATTATCTCTATTATTATAATAGTAATAGGAAGTTATAATAGAAATAATTGCAGCTGTAGAAATGGATTTAATATGAATATATCTCTTGGGTGTGCTAACTTCAGGACGAAAAGTAGGTCGTTTAACAAGCGTGAGCCTTCTGACATTGGTATTATTAAATTTATAAATAGAGTTTATGTATGTCTTTGTATTGAAGAATAATGAAGAAGCACGCAAAATAAAACGGCGTTGCATACCAATGCTTAATAAAATAGAATAGAATAGAATAGGAAGAAAGAAAAACAATGATTTTGGTACATTCAAATCTAACCATTATTTATAATGTTTCTTAAAATGACTTTTTTGATGCATCTGTGACACGTATATAGTCTCTTTTAAGATTAGTCATTTGCCCTCTTATTTTTTTTTTTTAGTGTAGCTTTTGACAAAATTATCATCATTTTATAGTCATATAAAATATTTATTTATATATTTATTATAGGTATTGTAAAAGCTAGCTATTAAATGAATGACGCATTTCTTGATCTGTTACTATTATTTGTATATAAATATATCAAAAGTTTATTAATATTACGTATGACCTGCTTGGAACATGTATAAATAATATTTAGATACTAGGAATATCATTTATTTGTATATAATTACGGAAGCTTATATTATCTTCTCATTATAATTAAAATTAAATACTCAATTGAATTGATCACCATAAGATTAAACTATTAATGTAAATATTACATAAATATATATATATATATATATGTATTAACATAAAATACATTCTTCGACTTTACTCTTGTGTATGCTCAAGTATTCTAGTGAGAACTTGAGTTGAAGATCCATAAATAAAAAAAAATACGATTATGCAATATGTTAATTAACTATATATGAGATGAATGTAAAGACTGCATAATTTGATGATGCTCATTTTGCGAATAAATTCAATTTGCGTGAATATATGATATCCTAATACTAGTTGAGCAATTTATTAATTGACAATGACTGTTAGGTCATGAAAGCGTATGTTTCATTTTTAGATCTAAATTTATATAAAACTGTTAAAGCATATTTTAGTATTATTAAAAAAGAGAAAATGATTTCTACAGTAGCATATATTCATTCTCCTTTTGTGAGTTCTTATTACTATCTTAATATAATAGATTTTATTTTATTCTTCGAATAAAAGACAGGTATTGCTACTATTTTTTTTTATTGTTATTTAAACTGTTTGTTATCGTCATTTTTATGTCCTAAATACTTTATGTTTCACATGATATCCATAAACAAATATTTAGTAATATTGCTTCCAGCTGCTGTTATATCAAGCCATTCTTTGATATAATGAATTATAGAATACGATTTATTTAATACTAAATGAATTATTCGGGAAACATAAATGAAGCTTCCTTTTCCTTTTACAAGGTTTTTTTTTTTTTTTTTTTTTTTTTTTTTTGGAAAACCATTCTATTTCATAACTGAGATAATGATATCTATTGCATAAATTAAAGCAGATTATGGATGCCATAGTTTAATAGTTTAACCATATTATGGATCTGAATACGTTTGCTTATAACTGGATATTTGAAAAAATTAAATTTATAATTTATCTCCATTGTTACAAATAGGATAGCATTTATTTTTATGCAAAGTAATGATATTATTATTACTATTATTTCTTTGTGTTGTATTAAGTTTGTATAATACCTCTTTTTAGTTATACAATTCCTTTATATATATCTTCCAAAAATAATGAAAGATGCTGATAAATAATACAATTTTTTCATTCCTAAAAGAATTTTGCTTTGATATATTCCATAGTATATTCAACCATGACCAATTACAAAATATAGGCTTTATTTACAATTCAATACATAGTCTTAATACAAAAACACACACGCACGTACGCACACACATGCAAAGTAATGTATACTAAACCTTAACCACTTAGGCCAAGATAGGATATATCTTTTTTTTTTTTAAAAAAAATGCTTTCTAAAGCTGCAGATGTTATTAAAAGCATAATTCTTTTTTCAATGTTTGTATAAATAAAAAGAATAATAGAGAATATGAACACAGTGTAACAGAATATACTAAAACTAATAATCTCGCCAGTGAGAACTATACATATTGCTGTTGTACATCTCTTTATGTTTAGTAAGCTACGCTTGCCCGTCAATTAAAGAAAAAAAAATAACATAAACGCGTTTTTTATTTTTTTATGCTGTTTTATCTTTTGAGCATATAAAACGCGTAATTAATTAATCGTCCCTAAAATTTTATTAACTATTCTTCTCCAATAATACTTATAAAAGTTATACAACACTTCCATTAAAGAAGCAACCTGTTTTTTTTCTTTTTTTGTAAATTTATTCTACATAAATAATCTGAATAGATTTGAAACTGAAACTTTATTGTTTAAATTATTCCTTTGACACAACACCAAGTCTCCATAATCTGATTTTACTGTGCTATTAATAGTTCTGATTAACGACTTTGATAACTCGATAAATGTACTTGAACATAACGATTGACAGATTTACAACAGTAGATTTTCACTGTAAACAAATAGAGTTTCATTTTAATATATGATATACAATTTTTTTTTTTGTTATTAGAAAACGATCAAAGTAAAATTTACAGAAGATAATGATATGACCACTAAAGACTATATCGTTGAAGAAGAATATTTCCTTATATACGAATTATACTTCGTATTTTTTATGTATGAATAGCTCATAAAACGTCAATAGCTCGTGCTGTAAGATGCTACTTCAATGTACAAGTATTGTATTCCGTTTTTTAAGAATCCTAACCATGAAATTCTTTTTGAATTTACGAACGAATTTTAGATTATTACTTAAAATTCCATTTCCCCCCCCTTTTTTTTGACATCCTTATCAGAATGGAACAGATGCAGAAGATTTCTGAGTCATATATTCTTTTTTGGGTCATCATCCCTTATGTAGTTGTAAACCTCAAACATTTATCTGCTTCATGAACACATTACCGATTAAAAAAAAAAAAAGAGTTCTATTATTATTAATAGTTAACCAAGTAGCTTGAATTAAAGACAACTTAAGGTAGCTACTAAAGTAAAAAAAAAATTGAACTACCATTTTCACTATTAATGTTATTGATACTATAGCAATAGTAGTTTTATTTTTAGGCAAAGCACTTGATCAAAGCTTCAATATAAGGTTAAGGACATTAAGTTTATCCTCTCTGTGTTTATAGAATATTATGGATCGATTGAATGTTACTGCCTTTTTTTTTTGGGTTAGATATTGCTGTAATATCAAACTAGCTACACAATTGGAAAAATGATCAGGTGTAATGGCGAACGCGAAAACATCAACTATTCCTTTCCCCTGCCGTTTTCCAACACGTGATATGTCAAATGCATCGGCGTTAAAATTTTAAATATGCTCCGCTTTAATAACCAGTAAAAAAAATTTGTTTGACAACTAATTTTCACTTCAAAATACATCATCTGAATACTATCCTTTCATTTTCCATTTCTAGTAGGTCCACATGATGGTTTAGTTAAACTTTTTCCCGGGTTTGAAAAAAAAAAGTTTGATCTATCATGAACAAAAACAGTATAATACTTGTAGTATGATTTTTCAGTTTCCTTATCATTTCAAAGAGAGTGAAGTATGTAAATGAACGCAGCACTCCTTCCAATGCTGATATGAAGAATTCAAAAGGACCAAGGATTGAAGAATAGTTACTTGCACAACACACTATATATGTGTTGTATATAAATTGTAGAAATGATAATTAGTCAGTCATTGTAATATTGACAAAAGTTAATAAAGAGTACGAAATTTTTATCTAAAAAAAAATATGAATAGTATTATATACCTTGAGTTGCTTAATTTATATTAATACAAGGTTGAATTGTTTGTTGCCATTAGATATCCTTAGAATATCTTATTCTTAGTTCCTAACCAAATATGAGAAGTTCTTCATTATTACTTACTTCTACTTATCCATTTTTAGGATTATTAATAATTTTCTCTTATAATTGAATATTATTTTATTAAGGAAAGAAGAAAGTTAATCAAATAAGGGGATAGAGTTTATAAAATTGAGATAAAAAAAGAAGGATGAAATAAACTTTATCAACAAAAGTTAACCGAGCTCTCCAAATAAACCTATTTTTTCAAAGAATAACAGATTCGATATTTAACGTATAAATCGAAAATGATATATCAACATATAGGACAAAACGATGAATAAATCTCTTTATAACTATTAACTAATATCAAACATGATTTTCACTATATACATGTATAATAATAATATTATTATTATTATTCAAGCTTAGATTGTTACACAGTATAAAGCAGTTCAAGTGATATCTATAATAATACTATATATAAACATGTATTACTATTATCAATACATATCTACTATAATCTTTAGATAATAATGATATTTATGTCTAACTAGATATAATATAATTCGATATAATATTGGAGCAAAACTAAATACGATCATAAATAGCTTTTTTTTTACTTTTTTTTTTACTTTTTTTTTACTTTTTTTTTACTTTTTTTTTACTTTTTTTTTCTTTTCTTTATAGACATATTGATTCTTCTTATAACTAGTTTATATACAGATGAATCAGCATACTTGACCAGTGTAATCTATTATATATTTTTTGTCGCTCCTGGTACTCTAGACGATAATATTGCAATAGTATTTAATTTTAATAGAAATTTACTTTATATCACGCTTTTTGGCTATTCTCTACGAACTGATTATTCACAAGTTTGTTACAAACAATAGTTTATTTCATCGTTCAACATTTTATCTTTCAAACTGTAGATATGTTGATCCTTCGTGTTAAAGTAGTTAATAACTTTTTTTTTTTTTTTTTTTTAAAAAAAAATATCTTTGCAAAATACTTTGTATATCAAGTATTATTTTATAATTAAAACTTGCAACTAGTGATGTTATTTATTGATAATATTTAAGAATATGCTTTTATAAAGGAATTTAAATTCCAATTCTTAAAAGCTTCCAAAAGAATGTACGCTTTGAGGAATAAGACATCTCAAAATTATATCTTTAGAGATTGTTCTTGTAGACCTTTTGGATATGTTGGTATGCAAATTTTATTCACTGTAATTTGAAAGATGTTGCATAGATATGAGTTCACAAGAGTGGTTTATTACCAAAAACTTCGAAATAAAAAAATATGTATATATTTCAATGAAATATTAACTAAA